GAGAAAGTCGACAGCCGACAGGGGGTCAAGAGGACGGCAACTTTCACGAATGGGTGCTGCTCGGCACGGCATCATGCCTCAATGAGACGCATGGCATATGGATTTGGCGAATATCACAACGGAGGCAATTCAGTTATCTTCGTCCACGAATGACGCAATCGCACACGCTCTCACTTTGGCCATGTTGCTTCGTTGCTTATTTGAATTACTCAGGTGCTTCAGTCGGTAATATATTTTGGCTTGCGATCCCCCATGATGCCAGTCATCCCAAGCGGCTCGTTCCCATATCGTAGATTTGAGGAGGAAGTGAAATCAGATGCGGATGACTACATGGTGTTTCGCAAATCACCTTCCAGAATCAGTATTATATCGATACCAACGATCGGGGTAACTCTTTACGTGATAGGAGGGATATAATGAATCCAGGCAGACACATCTGCCACCATTTTGACAAGTTATGCGCAATCCAGGGAATACCATATCGCGGTTCGCGATCTTATACCGATTTAGTTTCGGTGCCACCGTCAGAGTCCAATTGCTACTATACCTTCCAATTTAGGCCCCGGCCGTTCGTCAAACACCAGTTTGCCAAACATTACCAGCTTCTTGGGATGCAACTGATATTCGGCGCTAGCACGGGTTGATGGGTAATGAAAATTTCCCGTCTTCTGTAGCCACTTGACGTGAGCCGAGGGATGGGGACAGAGACAGATCGATGACCAAGCATTACCAAAATACCCACCCCCTCTCTAGTGGTAGAACGGGAAGCATTATGAATCCCGCCTCTAGTGACATCCCCTTTATCGTGAATCATGACGACACACCATGTCTTCGGCGTTGGAAATTGCAGCATCTCACCTTCGGCGTTGGTGGCTGCTTATGTCCTCCACGGGAGACCGGGGTCGTTGCTTTAGAGGAGGTGATAGGCCGTGGCTGGCAGTGCTTGGGACACAATTCCAGCAGACCACGTGGACTTGGGCTAACGACACTAGGTTCGGTAGGGTTACATCGTAGAGTACGGTGCTACGGTCTGGACTGGGGGGGAGCTTTTCAAGAGTTTAAGACGTCTCGGTTGCGTTGCGCGTTGTGCGTTGTATGCACCGGGCTGAGGCTGCCAGGCCTTCCACCGGGATCGCTGTCGGTTAAATAAGACTGGGGGTATTTTCGCTTCAGTTGCGTCTCTTCGAAAATATTCTGCCTGAGAGGTAGAAAAGCTTAAAAGGTCACCTCGTCCAAATGGTTGAGATACAGTTAGTCGACTGGGATGAGAGCAATAAGGGAAACCCCAAAATTGCGTAACGAGATATAGTATCAATACCAGAGGTTCTAACCTAACCCAGATTACTCATCAGCGTCTGCGATATACCTCGTACGTATGTATACAGATCGGGCAGTTGTGATTGTGAATATATGGCGAGCAGCCTCGCTTCATCCTCCGATGTTATTCCTGCCGATCAGATCCCCAGATATTCATACAGTCAATCTTCGGCTATGAATGCATGACTCTTTAACGCGACTTTCGTATAGTAACACCGAGTTTCCACTCCCTCTGCGTGGTGGCGCTTCTCGGAATAAGAAGCCCATATAACTAAACCCAGAGAGACCTAGCTTCCGGCGAAAGCTTTACCATTTCCAGAAATTAACCACGTACTCGCAAGATCTCACAGCTTGGTTTACGAGTTACCCCATTTGGAAGCACAAAGCCCCATGCGGCCCTGGTGCAATGTAACCCGACAGAACCAGATGCTGTGCAGCCCCATGATGTCCCATATGAATATGCCTTATCGATGTGTACATTCTTGTCTTTGAATTTCTAAGCTCGCTCACTGGCTCGTAGTTAAGAAATCCGCCTAGATCACCAAGAAGGTCGAACCCATCATTCTGAAAGATACCCAAGTTTCACCAACCTGGTTCCCCAGCTGTTGCCTGCGCCGCCTGTGCCGCTTGCACATAAATCGATTGTTCGAGGCTTTGGTGCGAAAAAGTCATTGTTTGCGAAGCCATCCTCCGTCTGCATCAACGGCGGATGAGTGCTCGGGACATTAGCTATTGAATGGGCTCGTTATCCGCGACAGGACCTCCGGCTCCCGCTGTGCAGTGGGGATTCCTCTCCCGGATTTGTGGGGTGGTGTTAGGATATGTGTGCACTCCACCACTGCTGTCACGGCCCGAACGGGTTCTTATTCTGACTCTTTCGACGGGACAATTACTGCATCGAAAATGTTGGCAATCTACCGTGGAGCACACCTCAGTGCCGGAGACTTTCTTGAGATTGGCATTGGCACTTTGATTGTATCAGCGGCCGAGTCCGAAGGCCAGAGGAAGAAAACTTACGCAATACCAGATATACATGCTCTTCCCCATTGTGCCTCGTAGTGCTGATATTGCGTAGATACCGGTTTCTGGCCCGCAGCTGTGGTGCCAGTTTGATACCACTGAGTACCGCCCAGGCGATGCAGGAGAACACGAAAAGGCCACGAAGAGATGTTTAATTCATGAAAATATGTGCAATCTTGAAGCTGTCGTTGAGCAGCCTTGGTTGAAGGCAGTCAAATAGACGTGAGCTCTTAATTTTCTGTATGATGAGAACCTTGATCGTTTATGTTGCGGGGTAAGGTCACCAAGCTTGGCGAGGCTGTACTTGCTTCGGTGTTGAATCCCAGGAGACTATCGTCAGATATTATTGGTTGGAGGTTCAGGATGTAAGCAGCACCCTCCCCCAGTTGTGATGCACAGTCGGCGCTTAAAGGCTATGTTTATTTTCGATAGTAAAATACTGGGATAAACTGTAGCTGTGTGTGATCACGAAGAAGCGGTACAGTAATATAAAGTTCGACCTGAGGCACATTATCAAGTGATACTACTTAGTTATGTAGTCTAGCAGCTGCTTATTAGGAGGTCAATGTACCTATACAGAATATGGCAAGAGATTGAATCGGATTCAAGTTATACTTAACGCCTTAGCTCAGAGTGGCTACGACATAAATGCCATTGTTGACTTCGAATTGAACCCACGTTTACTTGGGCTATATACGCCCAGTGTTGGCGGAACCGACATTATATTATGGGGTTTTTAGTCTTTTCTTTCGTCAAGTAGCAGTGGCCTGCAAGTGTACTGACTGCAATACTACAAGTGGCTTAGTAGGAATCTAACATCCTATATGGTATAATCGTAATCGCCTCAAGGCATGTCTTTCAGACATGGCCAATTGCGCAGTCTATACATTAGTCTCTGGGATAAGCTGACGAAAATAGGAGGGTTTCAAGTTTACGTAGTCTATAGCAGTCAATTTGGTGCATATGCTGCCCAGTCTGACTTGATTACATGCCTGCCTGCTCGTCCCGGTGACTCGAGGGATCCATGCGAAACCTCCATTTCCCGCACGACATTTATCCTACCGCCATCAATCCCTCCTGCATGACTGAAGCTCTTAAATTTTTCTGGCTGTGTGCCTTCCAGTGTTGCCATGTCCCTGGATTCGTCTCGGCGATTTGACTTGATGACACTGGTGGACTCCTGTCGCTTGTGCTAACGAAACACTCTACCAGACCACAAATTCGCTCCGTCCTCATGGTCAGATTTCTTTCCCCCATCCAACAGATCATCGCAATCTCCCATTCCTTACGCATCTGGTAGACCCTGACCACTGCGTCCCTTGCTCTCCGCTTTTGGGTTAGACAGAGGTAGGGAGTATCGATCTGACTTGTGCGAGGACCCGCCAAGACGAGAGCGGATGAACAAGGGCACGCAGCGGGTAAAGAAAGGCTTGAGAGCAGAAGCATATGCGCAGATTATGCAGGCAGATATTTGGACGGGAACCCAACAGAACTGAGTACCGAGACCCGGGGCAGCACGTTGCCATTGTGTATCAAAGGGGTAATTATGAAGTCTGCAATAGCTGCGGCGCAAACACCATGTGAGAATTAGCAGGGTATCTTGGAGTAACTAGAATGATAATAAATCAATGAGATATGTACAAGCCACCGGTTGCGAATGCCATAATCGATGCTTTCTGCCGCTTTGGCATCTGCAGAGGAATGACGATCCCGAATTGGGATCAAATTGGCAGCGCTCGAAGCCTTGAAGAAAAGGTCTTTGTCGAGGCATTTCGCGGTTGCCATGACGGCCAAGTCCCAAACCCCCCGAATAGGGGATCAGCTGAAGATGGACATGAAATTGTACAAAATCGCGTATGTTATGACCAGGCCGATGGTTGTCTCGACGACAATCCCGAAATTCTGTTCGGGTGAAGGTAGACAACTAAGACTGATGATAGTTTCGACAGGATTCTGGGCAATAAGTAAGTCATGGGTATCATATACTGAATCAATATTAATTGGATGCCGGTGATTGAATGAAAAGATCGATCGTCTTTTGAAGTACTAACTTGCTCGTATCAACATTTCGTATTTAGTCGTCGTAACCTGCCAGCATGGCCTCGCGGCGCCACCATACTCGATTACAGCTGAACTTGAGTATTTCGATACGCTTCATTGGAAATAATGTAGACTTACGAACCCTCATGGGCATTAGTTTCCTCACCTCGCTTTGAGATGTATTTTGAGATACTTCCACTGCGTTTGGGAAATACAGCCAAAGTATAAACTATGCATCCATACGTCCTGTGAAAAGTTGCCAGTCAAGACTCAATCATAATTAGACAGATTGATTAAAACCCCGTGTGCTCATCTTGGTGTTGGTCGAAATGACGGTAGATGTTCCCCTTTCAAGGATGGGACGTAAGGGGGACTGAACGCTCTACTGGTCTGCATCGGGATGCAACGGTGAAGATATCCTCTATAAGCAAGCATGCGGGTCAACCTGTAAAGCTAGTAACCGATCGGCTGCTCACACTCAAATCCTGTTCAATCGCAAGTCGAGAGTGAAATACACACTATGGCCACCACGCAGTCCTCCCAAGGTAGTCATTGCGGTGTCTAGCGCCAGCCGCATCACTGGCCTGGCCTTGACCCGCTAACTCCGCATCCGCGGGGCCACTATGTCCATGTACGCAACTTCAGAAGGGGATCTATTTTCTGCGGTTGCAGGAATAAAGCAAGATGTCCCGAGGGCAAAGACCGGGTCATGGCCACCATCGTAACATCACATCCGAGACAGTCAAGTCATGAATCGATCAGACTGTCGCGCGATTTGGCCAACTTGACGTTGCCGCCAATGTTGTGAGTAAAGTATACCCCGACCCATACTCAAATGTCATTTACTCATGATGATGACCGAGTAGATATGTACCAAAGGCACCTGTCCCTCATCACAGACCTCGATGTCGAAGATATCCAAACCATTATTCACGGAAGGGTCTTCGGGCTCTTCGACTACCTCAAGGAGGAGCTAAAGGCCATCAAAGACGGCGGCAGCATCGTAAATGTAGGGGGCGTCATGAGCAAGTACGCGTCACCGGGTCTTTCGGCCTACGCCGCGGCGAAGCACGCATTGGTTGGGTTGAACGAAGTGGCTGCGTTTGGAGCTGCTGTCAGGGTTGTCAGGGTTAATATGCAGTGTCCATAAGTTGTTGCAAATATTCGTTGATGGCCATTGATGTGCGCTCGGTTGACTTAAAAAGTCAGCGGGTCTATTGATACGGATACAGAGGCGCAGCCTTTTCGGATAGCGAGTGGTGTTGAGTTTACGATGCCTGAGCCGGGTGTTCCGCGGTTGTTGAAGTGGTACGCGAAGCCTGAGGAGATTGCGGCTTCGATTACGTTCTTGTTGGATGATGAGAGCCAGATGGTCACGGAAGCCGAGTGGTGTGTGTATGGCGGATGGGTCGAGGGGAATTTTCTGCAGTGAAGAATACTGCACCCTTGGTGCAAGTTTGGCATGCTCCTAGCAGTCTTGGGGAGAGGACTGCTTACGAACCAGACAGCCATCGCCAGCTAGCTTCAACGCTCCATGAGAGCCACGACGTTGGTGGCGGGTAAAATCAGCAAGCTTGAGCCGCAAGCTTGTAAGCACTTGGCAAGACCTGTTCCCGAGTCATTCTTGTGCCACAAGCACACTGAACATGTCCAGATATTTATTGCCCTGTTGCCTACTGACTCTTTTGGGTAACATTTCCCCGATGTTATGTTACACCAAAATGTCCCAAGCAGATAACCACGGCAGATTATACCTGTAAACCGTTGAAAAGTGTTATAAGGCCTAGCTCAGCGAAGCAACTAAAAATCTATGGTGCTGTCAGATCCACCCTGGTTCATCTACCCGTAAGGCGGCAAGTCTTGGCTTGGAATGCTTCGATCTGCCTTCCATGCATTCTTCCATAGCGCTCACTTGACGTGTTTTGGGGATTTGAAACAGGCCCAAACATTCCCAGCTCCGAGACCGAACCCAGGATTCTACGGATTGAGAGCGCGCAATGATTTTGTCGTTACGCACATACGAAGGTACGAGAACGCTGGTTGCTGTCTGAATTTGATTGAAGTTGCTGTCACGGTTATAGGTACACTTTGGTCACTTTGGTAGCCACGTATCCAGGCTAATAGGGAGCTAGTCACGAATTTAGACGTTGAAAAGTGGTGAGGACGGCGGTACTTCGACCAACTCGAACACGAACACGAGAAGAGCTTAATTCCCCAACGCGGACAGCAAGTGGGATGTGAAAAGAGGGGCTCCCCAAGTCGAGAGTTTATCAGATCTTCAGGAATACACCGATTGGTGGTGCACCCACTTCGACAACGGGCTTGTTCGGAAACTCGAGCTTCCAGTGGCCTGACTTGCCGACGAATCATAAGCTCACATCTGCTGCATATCATCGACTAATTGACGATGGATTTTGAGAATTGTCCAATGGCGTACCTCCCACCCCTTTCTTTGCCTCTCAGACTTTGCATGACACAATTGGTGTCAATGCCGTTCCATCACCCCACCACTCTAAGAACCTGCATGCACTCTTGCGTAGGCTGCATAAGAGGTACTCAATTGGACCTTTGCAAACTCCAATCTGAGAAAGTCCTGACATGGAATAATTATGAACAAGAAGGGACGGCTGGGGCTGGGATCCGCTGGCAGCTAGGTGAGCTGGTGAGCTGATTTACGGTCCATATGCTGCTGCAGGAACGAGCTTGGGCAGTTCATGGGTCGATGACAGCTGATGTTTGCCCAAATAGTTGAAGCATTGACAGCTATCGATATTTCCAGAGGGAAACATCCTGAAACTGTTATAAGACCAGCCTCCTCCTCTTGCCCTTTCTTCACTTGACTGATTCCCAAGCCTACGGTCCTAGCGGGTTGAATACACGCGCCCATTATCTGTGCGAATTTATGTTAGAGTTGGGAGACGTCTGAAGATTTAACTGCAAGCCCGCAGGTGTCAAAAGGTGCTCGGAGTCGATATCGGACTTAACTCAATTGATCCCTCCCTGTCCCCCGGAGACCCGCCAAGTTTCCGAAATTGCATAGCAAATTTACAGTCACCGACTTGTTCAACGGGCTCGCCGCTTCCCGCCGTGTCGCAATAGCCACTTCCGTTCTTTTAAGACCCTCTCCCGCCGTTCGCGTTCTGCTTGGTCTTCACCTACACGCGCTTCTTCCCACCGAGCTCACTTGCGTTCAAGATGGATGTGGTTAACGAACTTTACGACACCTTCATTGGTGATTACATCTACGCCTTCGCATACCCAAAGCGCACCGCTCTCTATGACTATCCCCAGGCCACCAATGCTTCGGCGCAACCCTTCTCGTCATGGCAATATGAGCCCTCGACCTCGTTCTTTTCCATCACACCAAGCAAGGCGGCATATATGAGTGAATGGTCCAGGGACAACATCTACCGCCAGGCCATTAACCTCTTCCTCATCACCTGGTATGCTCTTGCTGTGTCCCAGCTCCAAAGCGCAACGAACTGGAAAGCTGACAATTTGGCCCAGGATCTTTGGTTTCGTTCTATACTTCGTCTTTGCCACCTTGTCCTATATCTTCATCTTCGACAAGGAGACCATGAAACACCCGAAATATCTGAAGAACCAAGTACGCAAGGAGATTCGCCAGACCATGGAGTCCATGCCGGGCATGTCGCTCTTGACCCTGCCCTTCTTCCTCGCTGAAGTGCGCGGCTACTCCAAGATGTACGACACCACGGCCGAAGGCCCTGGCATGTGGTACAACTACTTCCAGTTCCCGCTCTTCCTCATCTTCACCGATTTCTGCATCTACTGGGTCCATCGGGGCCTACACCACCCGCGCGTCTACAAGACCCTCCACAAGCCCCACCACAAATGGATCATGCCGACTCCCTACGCATCGCACGCATTCCACCCTGTCGACGGCTTCGCGCAGTCGCTGCCCTACCACATCTTCCCCTTCATCTTCCCCCTGCAGAAGCTGGCCTACGTCTTCCTCTTCGTCTTCATCAACTTCTGGACCATCCTCATTCACGACGGCGAGTACGTGGCCAACAGCCCGGTCATTAACGGTGCGGCTTGCCACACCATGCACCACCTGTACTTCAACTACAATTACGGCCAATACACGACGCTCTGGGACAGGCTGGGCAACAGCTACCGCAAGCCCAACTTGGAGCTGTTCCATAAGGATAAGAAGAAGAGCGACACCGAGTGGAAGAAGCAAGTGCAAGAGATGGAAAAGATGGTAAGGGAGGTCGAGGGCGAGGACGACAGAACCTATGTTGTTCCGGGCGAAGAGAAGAAGACCAACTAAAAAGGTTGTTTCTCCGAGCGTTCGATTTCGGACGCTATTGGGCGTCCAGGCCGGGAACGTGGCGCGTTCTTGCTTATCTTGCCAAGCCACGAGAACTGTTCAACAGCAGGTGCAGGTATCTCGCGAACGATGAAGAAGGCTTGTACAATGAAAAACAAAAAGGATCATCAAGGTCTAGAAACCAACGAAGACCACGACTACTGTACATATTACGTGGTTGAAGCTGGCCAGCATCTCGGGGGATACGAGCAAAATAAGGCAGCAAGGGATGGCGTTTCAGGATCTGAGGTATGGGTGGTGACAAAATATCGCCAGTCGAAATGTTTTATAAAGAGCCGACTTAGAAGAGGACCACAACGCTCGTCGCTACTATGGTGAGGACGGCCGAGAAATATTTGTAATGTCCATAGATACCTGCACTAATGCACCACAACACCTGGCATGAACCAAGCAAACTTGCATGCGTCACGAGACGTCATACTGGTCTGTTTGGGACCGATAATGTGGCAGGTTTCTGGACTTGAGAACGGAGCTCAGGTGGTATCACCAAGTTACGACTGGTCTACTACACCAGAATAACGAGCTATCCCATATTATCCCACTCTTGGTACGCCGTTTAGCATGTTCCTTTTTTGATTCGAACATACGTGGGACCGGTCATCTTGCAGGCTCGAACAAATAACGACACACAAGATCGGAAATCGGAAGAATCTCCATTGCTCTTGAGGCAGAATATGTACTAGGAAATTAAGTGATGTCGTTCGCCCTTACTTAGCCACCTCTCTGGTACCATATCCGGCTACAGCGGCCGCTTTCCCAAGTTTGAAGAAACACCAAGCCACATCAACAGCTGTTCCCATAGGTTTGGCTACCCTGAGTTCGAATCCTACTCTTGTCCCTAGTCAATTGAATTAAGAACACATTTCCCCGTTCGCAACACCACCTAAACTCCCAAATGTGACGCAAAGAAAATTATGTTGGTATGTTTTTGATGAAAAGGTCTCATCTGCCATGACGCTCTGTTTCGAGGTTGTTGGATATCTTTCGCACCCTCCCGCTCTTCATCCGCCTGTTTCACTCCGTTTCAAGCGCCAGCCCCACCCATGCCTACCAGTCCATCCCCATCCCGCCCTCCGCTTCATGAAAAACTAACAAACTTCGGATCCCTCGGCCTTCCATCAGGTCCGATGCCATTTGCGCTAAACCGCTGCTCCATGTACGCCTTGCGCGCGTCATCAAACTGCATGCGGCGCTTCTTCATAATACTAAGGATCTCGCGCTTGGCAGCGTCGTCCAAGCCTGAGCGCCCGTCGTTGGCGTCCACATTGCCGCTTAGATCAAAGGTGCTGCTCGAGAGCCCGGCTTCGATGTCGCCGGTGAAGGATGATGGCAGGCGAGAGTAGAGGAAAAATCGGTCGTAGAAACGGTCCGGGAGGAGGTGGAGCCACAAATTGCGGGTAAGGTAGAGGAGCGTGCCGAACACAAGGACGAGTAGGGTTAGGGAGTAGAGGAGGTAGGCCATTTTGGAGGTGTTTTGGGTATCGGGGGAGAAAGAGATCTATCGAGAGAGTCTCTTGGGTATATAGTATCAAGTTGGCCTCGTGAAAGCGTCCAAAAGAAGTCAGAAGTTGCGGTGTGTTCGGCGGCGATGTCTACCGAATAACCGTCCGAGGAAGAACATAAATGTGAAGCAGATCTAGGAAATTGCACAGGTGTAGACGCAGGCGCAACTAAGGTCGCGTTAAGCCATCGAAGGCTGGGATTTGGTTAATGGTTTGGACTGAGCAGTCTCAACGGAGATGCTTGTTGAGTACAACTCATCGGACGGATCTGGAGATGTCGGGAGACGCTGACGACACCGTACTTGGAGTCGGACCCTCAAAGACAAAAAGCGGTCTGTGCGTTTCAAGCATGTATACGCGGCAAACTTCTGCGCCTCAACTTGGCTTACTTAGCACAGTTCTACGTGATCCACCCTGGTATCGTTAGCATCTGATGACCAAATAATTGGCGTAGTGGAATAATATGAGATAGCTGTAGAATTGGTGGCTGAGGTCATGGTCAGATACACCTGAGATACTTTTAATGCCCTTGTGCGGCTTGAACCCCCCAACCTGTACTTCACTTCTTCACCTTCGTATGTAGCCGTAATGCCCGTACCGGTACGATGCCATAGTACTAAGCTCAACAGTATTGTGACGCAACATCACCTGGCCGGACCGCATCAGACCAAGGATATATGGGATGGAAGCGTTTAAGCTTCAACCTGGATCGCATACGTGCTGGAACTGCCCACATGTAGGAAGCGAATGGGCTATGTCTCATGTGGTCTGGCGCGACTTATTCCCACTATGAACTCGTTTGTCTGTTATTCCCCCGCCATATAGAGTGCCGACAATTGATTACACTTCAGAGTACTAACCAAGTATAAATACTAGAACCAACCGGTTCAAGTATTGTATAACCCGTTTATTCCTGTAATATAATATTCCCTGATTCTTCACTAGATTCCGGCTAGATACGAAGGTGAAGAAGTGAAGTACAGGTTGGGGGGTCCAAGCTGCACAAGGGCATTAAAAGTATCTCAGGTGTATTTGACCATGACCTCAGGCCACTAATTCCACAACTACCACATAATCTTGGGCGCACTTCAAAATACCTCGCTCATATTTGGCAGAGCTACCATTCGAGTTTATCCAGCTCTGGTTCTTCGAAGGTCTCTCGGCGCAAGATTTCTATACGACCGTAACGGGTCTTCAAATGCATTATACTGGTATTCGGTTTGGTTACCCTTCTCGCGATGATCATTCAGAGGAGTACCAGGCTCTATTCTCCGTAGCTTGCTTTTGTTGTCCTTGGTGAAAGTTTTCGAACAACATTCACGCGTATTCGTGTCGTCCTATAGTACCTTCGCCTACTACTTCTTCTAGGAACGGCGGAATAAGAAGACGAAGGATCTAAGTACGGACGAGAGGGAGCGCCTAGGCCTAAACGACGGGTTTACCTTGCGGAAACCGAGTGGCGTGCAGGCATTGAGAAGACCATGATACGTGGAATTTTTTTCGGCATGGAGTTGGAGTTACGATTGAGTTAACCTCAGACGAAAAAAGTGAAACCCAAGTATGAAGAAACTACTGCAAAGGCTTTATAGCTCTGTACACAACAGCAGCCTACCTTTCGCCGTTATATGCCAAGGTGTTAGTACAAGACAAGTCAAGAAATGGCCCGGCGTTTGCTTATAGTAACCGCTTCCTGCGATTGGAATGGTGCATAGACGCGTACACGCCGAGACGGCGGGACGGAGAAGGATGTACGGACGGTTTAGTTAGGATTGCCTCAGATCAATAGCGACAGTTCCATTTGCTATGTTCAATGAGGAGAGATCATGTGTATGGAGCTCGAGGAGGATGGCCGAGGATAGCTTGTACCTGCAGCTACTTTGTAATGGCATTCTGAAGGGCTGTCAAGCAGACAACATAATAAACAACAAACCAAGGTGGAATGTTAAGAGGTTAGCTACATATAGATTTAGGGAATTTTGAGCTAATCCATACCATCAACCTGCTTTGAGCCGAGGTTTGGACATGTACATACATACTGTCGACCACCTCAAGGTTGGCATCTTATCTTATCTACGATGAGCACCAAAGCACGTCCGTTCGAATTTGCCGCTAGACCGGATAAAGAATGCTAAGCGACTGCACACAACCATCCGCCATAGCTGGGTCACGAAATCGCAGCGTCGATTATTGAAGTTGAGACACGAGATTTGTCAAAAGGTTGATTTAGGTACCAACAAGCTCCATAAACACCAGCAAGATGTCTACAGTCTCGGCAGATTTGGTTTGGGAGATCGTCCGTGAGTTTTTATCCGCCATTTGAGGCGACATTGGGCGAGAAACTCGAAGTCTGACGAGTCGGCGACAGGAAACAACAACTCCTACCTCGTCAAGCGCAACACGGGCGGTGGTGTTCAATTCTCGAGAGATCCCCTGAACTTAACCAACAAGCACTCGCGCAAGGTGAGTTTTATACTGGTTGGTGGTGTTTTGGAGGAGAACGAACTGACTCAAGACTAGCATGCTGGATTCGTAAACGAGAAGGTATGAGACCCGGCAATATGGACTATTGGGCTGCACTCGGACATTTTATTTACGATTATTTGACCAGGCCATTGGCGTTGTTGCCAACGAGAAGGGTGGTGTCAAGGTCGTCAGCAAGAAGAACAACCACTACAGCAAGCCCTCCGCTACCACCGAGACTGTCTTCCACGGAGGCAAGACCGCCCGCAAGTGAGTCCAATTCCTGGGAGAAGCATCACATTCAAGGCGGTAATCACTAAACGTGCTCTCTTCAACAGGACCTACAAGGCTGTTGCCAACCAGGCCGCCAAGTCTGGCTACCGCCCCGACCTCCGTGAGGCCGCTGTCCAGCGTGTCTCTGCCATCCGTAAATCCCAGCGCGAGCCCAAGCCCACCCCCGAGCGAAAGCCCCGTGGAAACAAGGCGAAGAAGGTTGTTGACGAGGAATAGGGGATTGGTTATTGTAGGTGAAGGTGATATGGCTGGAATGAGGACAAGCCAGTGTTTGGTACAGGGTAGCCCTAGTGCTTGCTTGTCTTGCTAGTTCGGTTCTCCTGCGCTTTTACCAGGAACAAGTCCTTGTGACTTCTGTCCTCGGCAACAGTGTATACATATACACCTTGACGCAACGAGTCTACAGGATGAAACCAACCAACCCAGATATCATCAACCCAAACTCCTAAGCAGCTTGCAGTACTGTGTCTTTTGCTATACTGCAAATCCCCGAGCTCTTGCTAATATGACTGAAGCAACTAGATGATCGATCTGGTTCCTATAAACACAGCGGCTGAGACTGCAACTTTTTCTGTGCTGTTCTGAGCGCCTTTAATTCCACTCCCCAAACGACTTAGCCGTGGAGCTCTGACTCTGTTAGTTTGATTGGCCCGTCACCTAGATGTACTTCTCAGCTATGATGACGAAGTACGTCCCTCTTCGAAGAGGCATTTTCCACATCCAAGACGTCCAAGATGAACGCCATCAATGGTCCATAGTCCGACATAAGCAGTACCGGTTCTACGTATCTCCGCCATCTATTTGGCCCGAACTTGCCCAATTCTGAATAGCGTTGACATCGGATATCGTGGTAGGACTTGGCTTAGATGCGAGAATAGCGTATCCACAAGGGGTTTCTGCACCCCAGAGTGAAACTTGCATCTCCAGAGAGGTCACGAAGGTATCAAGAGAAAAGCCTCAGATGTATATCTTGCAGTCATCCACACGAAGGGCTCAAAAACAAGCTCGGCGCATTAATGATTTGGAAGACTCTGGTTCCTAACTCCTTAATCAGGTAGGACCTGCAATTGATCATAGCCCTTGGAGAATCGCAGTAGAGAGGATGCACGTCCCAAAAGGGTCTGGCGAACAAACGCCGAGTGATTTGAAGTGACGGCGGGGTATGTTTGACCCCTGCCCTTTCCTAACAAACCGAACGCCATGCTGAAGCTTGTGAGGAGCCCATTCCACCCGCATTTCACATCATTATTCCCCTCGTCGAGCTACTTGCCCCGCCATCTTCCGTCGTAATCTTCGTCCTCCGCAAACAACCATCCCGACCAGGTCGTTTTAAGTAAGTCGACTGCCCCGTATTGCTCAACACGGTTGTCTCCTTACACATTGCCTCATCAATCGTACACGACTTCTTCTACGTCTCTTCAATATACCCATTCCAGAGCTGTACCGTTGACCGACAGACTCCAGGCAGAATCGTTACCCCACCTCAACAATCGCTCTCCCTCTCGTTCACGCGAGAGCAACCCGTATCTAAACCCAACCCGACATCAATCCCCCAAACACAGTCACAATGGTCAAAGCTGGTAAGAACGATCGATTTGCTTCAGACGCCCGAAAACTCGAAATAGTTATATGCTGACGATGAATTAGTGGTCGCTGGAGCCTCTGGTGGCATTGGCCAGGTTCGTCGAAGGTTCTGCAGATGTCAGAATGTACAAGCTGACAAACATTAGCCCCTCTCTCTGCTGCTCAAGCTCTGCCCCCTCATTGATGAGCTTGCTCTCTACGATGTCGTGAACACCCCGGGTGTTGCTACCGATCTCTCCCACATCTCCTCGACAGCTGTAAGTGGAAAGAGCCAATGAAGCGAAGAAACATCGTATTCTGATATCAGAGTGACAGAAAATTGCTGGCTACCTGCCCAAGGAAGATGGTGCCAAGAGCGCTTTCAAGGACGCCGACATCATCGTCATCCCGGCTGGCATCCCCCGTATGTACCCCGACCCTGTTTCTCTGTCCAAAATAACTCATAATATCCAGGCAAGCCTGGCATGACCCGTGACGATCTCTTCAACATCAACGCTGGCATCGTCAAGGGCCTGATTGAGGTTGCCGCCGAGGTTTCGCCCCAGGCTTACATCTTGGTCATCTCCAACCCCGTCAACTCGACCGTACCCATTGCCGCCGAGGTCCTCAAGGCAAAGGGTGTCTTCAATCCCCAGAAGCTCTTCGGTGTCACCACGCTCGATATCGTCCGTGCTGAAACCTTCGTTGCTGAGATTGCCGGTAAGAAGACTGGCTCTGAGCTGACTGTCCCCGTCATTGGTGGTCATTCCGGAGAGACAATCGTTCCCCTCTTCAGCCAGATCAAGCCAAGCGTCACCATTCCTGATGACAAGTATGATGCTCTCGTCAACCGCGTCCAGTTTGGTGGTGACGAGGTCGTCAAGGCCAAGGACGGTGCTGGATCAGCTACTCTGTCCATGGCCTACGCTGGCTACCGGTAAGTTTCATAAATTACCTTGACCAACTTTATCTAATGGACCATCAGTTTCGCGGAGAAGGTGCTCAAGGCTGCCAAAGGCGAGAAGGGTATCGTTGAGCCCAGCTTCGTCTACCTGCCTGGCGTCCCGGGCGGTAAAGAGATCGCCGCAGAGACTGGCTGCGACTTCTTCTCTGTCCCCATTGAGCTTGGCGTAAGATCATCGACCTCGTGGACTCGTGTCATCTGCTAACATTGTCATAGCCCAACGGTGCTGAGAAGGCCATTAATGTCCTGACCGGCATCACCGACAAGGAGCAGGCCCTACTGAAGGCTTGCACCGAGGGCCTCAAAGGCAACATCGAGAAGGGTGTCGCCTTTGCCCACAATCCTCCCCAGAAGTAAATTATACCCCCCGCCCATCCCCCGAGTTTATGCCACAGGCATGGTTGATTGCGCTTTGATTACAAGAAACCAGACAAAGACAAGGTTGCCGATGAACGGCATGGTGTGTAGAGAAAACAGCAAAGACAGAAACATAATTGAGACCGGGTGACTGATTGTTAGTTTTCCCGCATAGGTTGTGAGGTGCTATTAGTGACCGTCGCGAATGACACCCTGTTGTCGACCAAGTTAGAGCTGTTTATTGAGAAGCCCGCTTGCCGAATCGGACGGGTACCAAGCCGCATAGCTTAGCTAATGGTGGTTGGGGATGGATTTTGTCGCGAGACAGCAGCACGAGGGGAAAATACTGGTTAGGAACACAAGCCTTCTTGTAAAGTTTACCAACGCCGCAAACGCCTAATACTCCTTTCTCTAAATGCTCAGTATCCCCTTTTTTGCCGTTGCAGTACGAACCCAAATCTTTTCTACTTGCCTATTAAATGATTACCGCCGTTAGCCACCGCTGGCTACTATGATCATGATTTTGCTGGCATTGTCTTTATCTGAAATACTGCGCCCGGCAGCTCGCTCGACTCGGCTTGCACAGTCGCAGTAATACCCAATGCAGCCAGTGCCCCTCTCACTATGCCGCAGGGAAACCATAGGAACTGTAGACAGGCCATAGTTAGTACTTGTGTTTTCTAGCTAGACCAAGCGCAAGACGGATACTCTTCTGTCACATATACACTTGGTAGACGGGGGTAAAGGAAAGGGAAAACCCACTGGTTGTGCCTTCACCACCGCCTGTCCACCCGCATCCGTACTCATGCGCGACAGCGGCCGGAACGCATTGTCTGTCAGTACGTACACACCGCGATGGTTCGTCTTGAGGTTGTCGACCTGCTTCTTGAAAACTAGGGTCCAGAGGTCTTTGCACAAAAATTTGATGACGTCGAGGGTGTCATTGAAGCGTGGCCGGTCGCGGGAGAATCTGTTGGTTGGTCGCGTGTTAGCATTGCCCTCGTTTCATTTCATGGTCATTTTGGCGTATTTTCTTGTAGACCGTGTGGATTGTGTCGATTCACTTCGTGTATGTTTTGTAGAAGAGACAAAGGGGCAAGGAGATGGGTAGATAGACATACCGCTCAACCAATCCCAATCCCACCCGATACCCCAACATCTCGAGCCGATAGAACGCCGCGTCGCGCTCCTCTTCCTCGTCTAGTTTCCTGCCCGACCCCGCCGTCGCCGTCCCTGCTGCCGTGGCTTGCGACATGGAACCTCCAATACTCTCTGTGCTTGCATTGTTGGCCCCGGCGCCGGATACCGCGGCGGCAAATTTCTGCTGCGGTGCGTCGAGCTCGTTAGTTACCCGATATGCCATGGGTACCAGCTCGATCAGCAGAAAGTCCAGACATGCGCTATTAAGGAAGGAGGCATTGGGATCTGTGGCGTTGAAGGGCGGGAGGGGCTGCTCGAAGGACATTGTGACGTCGAGGGATGGGAGCAGCGCATTGGCGCCGCGCGCGCGACGAGGAGAAATAGGAGGAAGGTCGTCTCTTGGTGGGGTTGTTAAGGATTCGCAAATCGAGCAGCTTCGACGGTTGCAAGATCGGTGGTGTTTATTTTCGTGGGGAATGGTCTGATAAAGTCGTGTCGGCAGATCGTCGTATGAGGATAGATGGGTGTTCAAGGGGACTAACGTTATCTGGGACAGGGCTGAAGCTGCTGGAAGTTAGAGCTGGTGTTGAGTGCTGGTTTAAGCGGGGCCCCTGCAGCAGTAGGTGCGCACTTGTCTTGGACGAATGCGGATGCACGAGTGCTGATTCTGATTGATGAGGCTCAATGAAGGAGTTTCACATGACAAAATAGGCATCTCATCAGTTTCTTGTTATCATGTAAATTTTATGCCCAATTTTCAGACAGCATATGAAGTAGCTTATCACACAGCACAAAATACCAGCAGTACCCTGCTCCGTTAGCATCCGAAGGGCCGTATTGATCATTTCATCCACTCACTAGATACGGCGGCCCGGCCCTCTTTCCACACATGCACGTTGAGTAAGTGAGAAAAGTACTGTAGTTGGATACCCGCTATGAGCCCATTTTCCTAGATCAACAAAACGGATAAGATCGTAAAACAATTCCGATCGAATTGAAAATTGGGACCCGCAATGTGTCCATTATAGTGGCCAATGTTAGGATTATTAGTAACAACTGGAGATCCGGTAGCGTAATGGCAACGCGTTACATTTCGGTTATAATTGTAGCAGTTCTGTGAAGATTGCGGGTTCGACTCCCGTCCGGATCTATTTTCTCCACGCCTATTCAATTGACAAATTGACGTCTTGAGTTATTCCATGAACGTCTTTTTTAAATATATATATTTTGGGGATCGGCAGGGGGTTTGGAGGGTTTGGAGGGTTTTTATCCTTTTTTTTTCATGCAAATTGATAAATCTGAGTTGTTATTTCGTGATTGTTCACTCCTTTTTTCTATATATAGTTGGCAAAGGGACACACACATGTTCGGTTGGTATGCTATTGGAGATCAGGTATCTCCAAAACGCAGGCTCGTTACAAGTTTCAGTTGTTGACCAATTTGGAGCTTTTCAGTAGAGGAATAATGTCGCAAATATTCTTCTACTCCAGTTGGCTAATGAGCCTGCCTCTGTTATATCGTGTAGAACGCCATATCCAATGCCCATGGCTTAAGTCTTTTCCAACATCTAGCAAGTCCAGGAATGGTACCCAAGACTGAAGATGCCTCATCTGGACTCGACATATGAGTGCTTGTGTTGTCTTAAATAGTAGTTTCAGTCGCTGAAGTTCTCGGCTGGTATTTTGAAACCAAACACGCCCCTATCTAATGTTCCGGTTCGTCCGGCCCCTGAGCCACCGTATGATCCACTGCCCACTGGCGAATACTCTCATAATTCCGGCAGGTATGCGGTGTGGTGTAGTCAGGCCAGGGGTCGCCGTCGTTGAAGGGGAAGCGGAAGGCAAAGACGTTGACGTCGGCCTGGCACATGACGAACTGGCGCAAAGCGTCGATGCAGTGGTCCATGTGGCCGTGCAAGTCGTGCGGGTCGTCCGACGTGTCGCCCCCGAGCGGCTTGTAGTAGGACTTGTAGTTGTTCTGCCGCAGCAGGTTCAGGCAGTGCAGCTGGTGGAATACCTCGATGGCGACGCGGAAGCCACGCTTGCCTGTGGCTGGGTCGGTGATTTCCAGCGCGCCTTCAGGGTCGATATTCATTTTGAGCATTTCTTCACGGGTGACCATGGTGTCGCCGACTGGGTGGATTGTCAGCGGTGTGTAGGAATAGATTTGTGAGGACCAGGTGGACTTACTGGCGTCTGTAATATATTCCCACATGGCGTCTACCTCAGGGCCTTTCCCAACGAACGGACCTTCTGGCACTGGTGGTAGGTCGAAATGTTGTATTTCATATTTTATAGCACTTGCCGCCGGTGCTGTCGAACGCATATTAGTATGGTCTTGCTGTCAACGTGCAGTGCTAAGGCTACCCACACCATGTTGTAGGGGGCATTTCTGGACACTGATTCTTCCCCGACTTGACACAGAACGACATCATGAAGAATATCATCGAAGTCGACAGCAGAACGACGTGGACTAGCCATACCCATGTCGGACTTGACTTCTTCAGCCTCTGGGGGAAGGACTCTTGTTCTTGCTTCCATGAAGACCACCTCTCATCGATGCTATCGTTGTCCGTAAGAGGCTCCTCCTCGAGCGGGCGGTATTCCTTTGCCATGACGAACGTGTCCCGAAACAAAATAAACTAACCAGGAAGAGCACACCAGGTGCAGCAAGAAGCGAGTATTAAAAAGATGGGGAGAAGAACCGCCCGCGTACGACAGAGAATGGGGCAAGAATGTAAGTGAGAATACAGATGGGACGAAGGGAAAGAAGGCGGGAGCAGAATTTCAGCAGTGAGGCACGGCAGGCTTCTGTCAGTCGTCAATCGGCCTTACCGGCCACGAGGAGGCGATACCCATACGCAAATTACTAGGCGAAACTTGGGCAAGCTTTCGCCAAGGGGGGGGGGGGATCCCGTGGTTTGTTTGCATTTGAGCAGCCCTTGGCTTCAAACGGCGACGAAACGTCTCAAATTCCCAGCGTTAAGGCAAGTTGAGAGTCGAGACGATGATATCAACATAGGAAGTATGCTAATACTAGTGAGTACTTCCAAATTGATAACGGTAAACTACGTGGGCTACCTTATTACGATACAAATAGTAGATTAGCTACACAAACCTGTAAGTCGAGAGTCGACACGATTCTGCCCCTTGCCATTGTTTGCGCGGCTTTTATCCCCAACCTTAGGGAAGCGTCAAAATAATTGAAACCTTTGGGGGTTGGCTGTCTTCATGGTGGGGACCGCGGGGGAGCATTAGTGTGTTGCATATTCGGTGGAGCAGGGCCTAAACTGAGGCTCAAGTGAGTTCCAATTGTTGGTTCATGTTGAGGAGGTTGAGCAGCAGCTGCTCTGCGAAGTCGACCCCAGACCAGAGAAGATGTCTGGTTTCTTTCGCCATCGTCTGTGATGCATCGTCCAGAACATCTACAGTGAGACTCCCAAGTTGCAAGTCCAGACGATGATCTGCGACAATCACCACGACTCAACTTGCTTGCGAATTACGTATGCGCCCCGGACGGCATCCTCCAAGAATGGTTTAGTGCTGCTCTGAGAAGAGTGCATGGAATCAATGACATCAGCACTGACAGCCGTTTCATCTGAGATTCTGAGATCTCAGTGCCCCAATGTGACAAACCGCGAATACTACCAACCCACTTGTTCATTATGGAGAACCCGGACGTCCCTTGTTGTGATTCGTCCTCAATGAGGCAACATCTCCACCTACTACGACTCATTGTTGGAACTTGGGGACCTGACACGGGGTGTTTGAGCAGGGATGTAAGACAGGGGCCTTGGCACTAATATACTCCCCGAGGCGTCCGAACATCAACTCGATCAGCGTTGGAGCCGAAGGTGGTGATTTACCCATCATCGTAGATCATATCGGCAATCCTTAGCAGTATTGCTAGCAACTCGCGCCAAATCTGGTAAGTGAAGGTTGAACAAACAAGCATGTTTAACCTGCCTCGTTATGTGCCGCCCTCCGTTTCTCCCCTCCAACCCCTGCTCTCCTGCCTGAAGATGAGGCTCTTTCAATTTTTCACCCACCTTCAACGCCCATGCACCAGCTGACAGGAGCCTCGGGTTGTCTGGTTGCATTACAGCTCCAGTTCTCCCCCAGAGATTCACCATCAACATGAAACGGCCTATCGACAAACCTTCTGCTGTTCACCAACAGAGAAGAGACTCCATATTCCGGCTTATTCCGCCATTCTGGAATGAACTTCCTCCAGTGGATGCAAGGTCAGATCTGCCGAGTGATCATGACGCTGAACGTAAACGGTTAGATTGTTCGATAGGTACTAGGGCTGTCCATGAGATATCGAAGACGAGACATGCCATCTATTCCGGTAGGTTTGAGGCTTCATCCCATGTCAGTCGAGGCAAGTTGGTCAGCAAGGCTCGACATAACACCCCCGAGCTTTCGAGCGCTGAAGGAGACATCCCTAACCAGCACCGTTGAGTTGACGGTAAATATAAATCCTCTCAAGCTCACTCCAATTACCTGGCATTCTTTTTCTCGATATCTTCATTTCTCACTCACGGTTTGACACCTGATACCTTTCGCTTTTTTCACCTTTGCTCCAATAGGCCTTTCGTTCTTTTCCACTGCCGGCCAGTAATAATTCACCTTTTTTCAAGATGTATACTACTTCAGTCATTCAGATGATCGTCTCCAGCCTGTTGGCTACGTCAGCTGTCAGTGGCTTCCAAATAGCTGGTCACCGCGACCTTTCCATTCGTTCCATGGGGTCTGTCCTTACTTTGGCGACCTTGGCTGGGGCAGCCCCCCACCACAAGGGCAAGGGAAACAACGTAAGTCATTCTTTCCTGATATAAACGCCCAGAGAAATAGCAACCAACCTTTGATGACGATGTAGAACAACAACAAACGTGAACTCGCGGCCATCGAGGCAAGACACCACAAGGGCAAGGGCAACAACGTAAGCAACCCTCGACGTGTCTACCTTCGAGTTGATGATAACTGACTTGCGGCCTCGTAGCAGAACAACAACCGTGACCTCGTGGCCATCGAGGCAAGACACCACAAGGGCAAAGGCAACAACGTAAGTAACCCTCGACGTGTCCATCCTCGAGTTGATGACAACTGACTTTCGGCCTCATAGCAGAACAACAACCGTGACCTCGAGGCCATCGAGGCAAGACACCATAAGGGCAAGGGCAACAACGTAAGTAACCCTCGACGTGTTCATCTTCGCGTTGATGACAACTGACTTTCGGCCTTCGTAGCAGAACAACAACCGTGACCTCGTTGCCATCGAGGCAAGACACCACAAGGGCAAGGGCAACAACGTAAGTAATCCTCGACGTGTTCACCTTCGAGTTGATGATGATAACTTACTTGCGACCTCGTAGCAGAACAATAACCGTGACCTCGAGGCCATCGAGGCAAGACACCACAAGGGCAAGGGAAACCAGAATGACAATAACTGAAGCCTCCAGGTGACGCTGCCAACTGTTATCTCCAGGAACCACGACGCGACTTATCGGCTTGCAACTCGCGGAATGAAATATTCAGCCCATTTGGGAGACCAGAGCGACTCAGTCAATCTTGTCGCCACCCCGTCTGCCTCAAAAAATGGATGCGGCGGGCGCTTCGTGATCTCTCATGTTTCTCTGTCGCTTGTGTGTAACTCGGCATGAGTTGATTGCTTAATAACTATTTCCGATAGTAGATCAGGTTACTCCGCCAGGATAGAAACAAGCGATCTCTAAAACTTTCAATTTTGCGCCTTTGAGTCTCTTGTGCCTGTGGGAAGATGTGACTGGTAGATTCCAGATTGCCGGCTTGGCTCGGTTTGTTGATTGAATTGATGAGCTCCCGGAATGCTGTAGTTCGCTTCATTGTCACGCTAATTCGAAGCTGAACACTCGGAGGATAGACAGCTGATATATATCCTGGACAATCGGTCGAAAGATTCCATGTTTCAAGAACCAGCGCATACCCCTGAGCGCATTTGAGCAGGAACACCCTCGGCTGTGGCCAGTTTCAGACTGCCGTAAGGCTGAATCAATCCCGCGCCTTCCCTTGGGCCGCGGGTGGTATTTTGGCTAGAAGGACGGAAAGTCGCTTGCTTTTCTCTCGTGAGTGGTTCGAGCGAACAGACAGTGGAGTGTGAAAAGTGTATGCAGGAGTTTGGCGGAAACATTTCTAGGGCTTGGCGAGCAGATTTTGGGAGAGCCTTGAGCATCTCTGGTCTTTTAATGAACTACCTCGGGAGACGATAAGTTGATGGGCTGAGGATGGAAGCTTGTACATTTTATGAGGAACGGTACATCCTCTCAGGGTGGTGAGAATTCTGAATCATTAAAAGTCAGCGAATGACTTCTCAAGTGAGCTGCTTGAATAGGCAAGTTCCTGGAATGCAAGTGAGAAGAGATTCTTACACTACGCCAATCTGACGTTAAAGCGAGTCGTATCTTACCGAGGAGTTCAAGCTGAGGAGGCATAATTAAGGGATGATGAAGCTGCCCAAGGTGTAGGCCTGAAACTTGAGATGTGAAGGCCATATATAAGCTGGAGTCTCCATTAAGCTCTTCCGTCTATTCGTCCATCATTGCATTTTCGAGGCGTTGTTGGGCTGTCATGCCGAGTTTCGCAGACAAAGGCGTCATGTCGCTGCGGTATGCGAATCTTGCGTGTTTTTGCACTGGTGGACCGACCATCTTACGATAGGGAAACTTCAACGTATCTATACCCAGGATGTCTCGACATGACACAAGAAATAAATTCAACATTTTGGAAGTGATAAATCCAAATCTTGAAGATTTTTGGTTGTTTAGGCAGAGGATTTTTCAAATTTGTGATGAACGGGCAGAATTTCCAATGTTGCAAAGAACAGTTCATGGCATGAGAGGATCGCTCTACCCGCAACTGCTGTTGGACCGACATGAACCTCACCTTTACACTGTCTCATACACTTCATGGGGACCAGGTCCCGTTCAAGATGAGAATAGAGTCATGTCATACTCCAGACTTTGGTGGACCAAGCCGCGAACGCTACTGGCACTTTGTCTGGGGTTTGCAGCCCGAGACGTTGTGCAACCCACCAAAATACTCGAGCAGCCCTCAAGTATCTCAGCATCAGAATCGATAACATCGCAAGGGCTGAGAGGCAGAACGCAGCAGGCTGCTGTCATTAGGCGTCGACATGAGGAAACAGTCCGTGCCGCAGCACTGCATTAGTCTTGATCCTCCATAGCACCACGTGTAGTCTAGTTCTCGCCTCCATCCAACTGGCTCGCAAGCAAGACCATCTGCATGAGAAGTCAAATAAGGGTGATGTTGAGAACGAAGTCGCACAAAAACATATATTCTGGAGTCGTTTCTCAAATAAGGTCGACAGAGGTTTAGTAGGTTAAAGTGCCTCGGGTACTTTTTAAGTACTCGTAGGTTTGTGCAGGCATTGCGCTGACCACGTTAGTAAACCAAGCCGGCGAGTCATGAATGGGGGTGGGCCTCTCAAGATTTTTATCCAATTTAACACCCTCGCGAAAAGCGGGAGGCTGAAGGGAGGGTGTTGTGAAGACGCCACTGGTGTCCCTGGGAGATAAGCTATATCCGGCATGCCGGCCGAGACCAAAATCTCATATGGGGGTGAGGTGTGGGTGCAGCTTGGCTTCTTTTTCGGGAGGGAAGTCAAATCTCTGACCTGGGACCTGTCTCGGGGGGCGGAGGGCGGGCTCGGATGGGTTCGTCAGACCTTAGCAGCATCCATCAGTCACTTTGTACTGGAGTTACCACATGTTGATGTTATTTGATGCCCCTTTCCTTCAACGAAGATCGTTGGCAATCACACACACAATGGCGTCTTATCTTACACAACAAAAAGCAGGTTCGGGAGGCTGTGATGCCAGAGCCGTCAATCCGAGTTCCCGACCCCTGACCTGGCCTATAGGTCAGCGGCTATAGTCTTGTACCTGTACGAAGTATGAACTCATTTATCCGAGTGTTTCGATGCAAGTCATACCATGGTAGAAAGGGTGTGCAATTGTCGCACTCGGGAGCCTGTCCGATATGCCCCAGGTATTTTTGAAGTTGCACAGAGTTGTCAACCATGACAAGAGGGGGTGGCAATTTGGCAAGCTGCGGACAACTGTAGTGCCATCCCCAAGTGTTCCATCTAATGCAGTCTCTTGCTTTAGTCTTGTGCCTCATACCACGCACTCACGCGGGGCTGATGGCGCATCAACAGAGGATGCAAGCTGGTAAAGTACTGCGGTACCAAACGGAGCCGATCCATCAAATAGCGCGATGCTTCTGGTCAGAAGGTGGAGCCAAGAAGTCTGTTCCAAACGGCCGCCTCTTGCTGCATTGTATATTTTCTAGAGCCACGCCCCTGATGCGACGCTCCCCAGACCCCCCCGAGCGCGATACTTGGCTAGATATACACTGTCACATTGCATAGATACCAATATCGCGTCACCAAATACTCCCCAGTGTGCTACTCAGCGTGTCGTGAATGAGCACTGTCATCATCAGTCCGCTTTTGGCTGCAATCAGTGCAATGGAATTATACTGCGTACATGATGCAATCATGTGTCTGTACGCCCGGACTGGCTGCCCACCAAGCCCCCAACTGCCCACCAAAGTATTGAATGCCCCGGAGTTGGTACCGACCAGGGCCAGCAGGTACGACCCGAGAGGGTACAACGCCGCAGAGTACAGCGCCGCAGAGTACCTAACCCAGCAAACCTAGTGCCTACGGATAAGCCCAAGTGGGTCTTTTTTCCTGCAGGCTCTGACGCCCCGTCCGGCCCCCTCCCCTCCATGGATGCACGGCTGGATCCATCACGTCGAATTAAGTACATGCTCCCATGCTGCATGTACTCTGGTAGCTGGCATCCCATCAAGGGCGATGGTTCCTTGCTCTTCTAGTGGCAGACCGCAGACGATGTGCGTGCAACCTGGGACCTTAGGCCTTGGCTTGGAACCCCGAACGGCCACAGATCGCACAGACTCTTTTGCTTGTGGACCTAATCCAGCCCGGCCGCCAGCCCCAGTCAAACAGCAATTCTGGTTACAACTCTTCTCTTCTGCGGTGTTCCCTTTTTCCCCCTTCGCTTTTTTCCATCCTCCCAAACATCGCCGCAAAAAGCCAGCGCGACTCCATCTTCAACATCGACTCCACGACCGATCCGGCCATCACACGGTCGAAACCCCCTCACCCCTCCTCTGCTAGGGGGTCCCTCGCCGCGTGGATTCTCGGCAATTAAAGCCCCTTCTGTTTGTCTCGGACGGGATAGTAGTACTGGAGGCTGAAGCTCGAAAGGCTCAGAAGACAAGGCCGTTGGAGATTTTTGGAGGCATCCTGGAAACAGCAAACGCAAACCCAAATCCAAACCCACCGATCCGCAAACCGCAACTAGCTTTCGGATAGAACTACACGTCTATCGAGCCCGTCGCGCAATTTTTTCAAGCCTGAAATCTGTAGAAACCGCCAAATTTGTCGCATAGACGTCCGCCAAAATGTCGATGTATCAGCATCGCGGCATACCGCAGAATGCTCAACGCCTGAACGAGCTTCTGGAACAAGTCCGCCAGGAGTTTGACGCGCAAGTCAGGATGAACGAAGGCTATGAGCAGCAGAGTGAGTCTCAATGATCCCCTGGTTGTCCTGGGTCTTGTTCGCGCGACAGGCGCATTTCTTCGCGGCCACATCACGTCCAATATCCTCAGGTCTTTGCTGACCTGTCTTCAGTCCAGCAACAGGTGCAAGAGGCGCAACTCGTGCGCGAGAAGGTTTACCAATTGGAACAGACGCACATGACCATCAAGCAGAAGTATGAGGAGGAAGTCGTTCTTCTCCGCCGGCAGCTCGACGCCGCGCGCTCCGGTGCCCCTCCCCAGCCTGGCATGCCTGGCCCTCCTCAACACGGTGGCCCCTCCAGCGTCCCGCCCCCTCCCTCTATCGGTATCGGCACACAGAATCTCTTCCAAGGCATCATGACGGGTCAAGGTGGTCAAGGAGGTCTGCCCCCACAGCCCGGCCCTCCTCAAGAACAGCAGCCGCCCGGCCCTCAGCACCAAATGCCTCAGCCGCCCCCGGGACTGGCCCAGGGCCCGCCTCCTCCCCCGCCGCCCCCGTCCCAGCAGCCCCCTTTCCAGCAGCCATATCAACAGGGGCCTGGCCCAAACGGCTTCCCCGGGCAGCCTCCCCAGAGCACCGCTTCTCCGGGTCCCGGCAGCAAACGTGGCATGGGTAGACCCCCGACCGGTCCGGCTACTCCCCAGATCAACAACCCGATGCCGTACCCGCCCGGCCCAGGCGCATCGCCCCAGGTACAGAACCACCCGACCCCGGACCACCGCGGCCTCATGCCACCCCACCCTGGCGCCATGGTCAACAACGCTCTCGGAGATCTGGACCCCGATCGTCTCCCAAACCACGTCAAGAAAACGCGGGATGACTGGTTTGTTATTTTCAACCAGGCTGTCCCTCGCATGTTGGACGTCGATCTGGTTCACACCCTCGTTCACGAGAGTGTTGTATGCTGTGTAAGATTCAGCCACGACGGCAAGTATGTGGCTACTGGCTGCAACCGATCTGCCCAGATTTATGACGTGCAGTCGGGCGAGAAGGTGTGCGTTTTGCAGGACGAGAACGTCGACTTGGCCGGCGATCTCTACATCCGAAGCGTATGCTTTAGCCCGGATGGCAAGTACCTTGCGACAGGCGCCGAAGATAAACTCATTCGCGTGTGGGACATTCAGAACCGAACGATCCGCAATACGTTCGCTGGCCACGAGCAGGACATCTACTCGCTCGACTTTGCCCGCGACGGCCGCACCATCGCTTCGGGAAGTGGTGACCGAACAGTTCGCCTCTGGGATATTGAGAATGGCACAGCGTTGTTGACTCTCACAATAGAGGACGGGGTTACCACAGTGGCCATTTCCCCCGATACCAAGTACGTTGCGGCCGGTTCTCTCGACAAGAGTGTCCGCGTGTGGGATATCCACCAAGGATACCTCCTCGAGCGTCTCGAGGGTCCCGACGGCCACAAAGACAGCGTCTACAGCGTAGCCTTCTCTCCCAACGGCAAGGATCTCGTCAGTGGTAGTTTGGACAAGACTATCAAGATGTGGGAGTTGTCTGCCCCTAGAGGCATGCAGAACCCGCCGCCCAAGGGGGGCAGATGCGTCAAGACGTTTGAAGGACACCGGGTAAGTGATTGGTTCCCCCTTGACTCGAGCCACCCCTGACTATCCATTTGGCCTTGCTTTCCGAGACAACATCGGCGTAGCTTTCGAAAGACCAATTGCTAATATCTCACAGGACTTTGTTCTCTCCGTCGCTCTCACCCCCGATTCCAACTGGGTTATGTCGGGTTCCAAGGATCGCGGCGTCCAGTTCTGGGATCCTCGTACCGGACACACCCAGTTGATGCTTCAAGGACACAAAAACTCGGTCATCTCGGTCGCCCCCAGCCCCATGGGCAGCTACTTCGCGACCGGCTCCGGCGACATGCGAGCACGCATCTGGTCGTATAGGCAAGTATCCTAAGCGAACGATGCAGACAAGTTTGGGCCCAAGGAATGAACTGGATTAGGAACAAGGCCATAGTGAAGTAAAGCGGAATGACGGCTCCATCTCATTCTGTTCATATCCCGTAACAACTCACAGTGGAACGCATTGTGCCTGCGTTTACTACACGGACACCACAGCTTCGTCATTGGCTCAAGAACTTGTCACACCATGTAAAACAACCCTACTTTGCCTACCGCGCTCGAAGTCGGTTCTCAAGTTCTAGGCACGAGAATACCGGGCGTTGCAGGCTATGCGACGACAGGCTGCACCCGATCCCTTTGGAAACGGAACTCCGGCATGACGTTGAAGACCGTCTAGAAAAGGTAGCTTGGGGATAGGGGGAGGACGTCGGCCGGCCACGCGGATCCTGAAAGAAGACGTTTGGCACTGCGCTCGTTACGGTAGTTGTTGACTTGTGGATACAAGAGTTGGCGTACTGGAGGGAAAGAACTTGAAATCAATGTCCGGTCCGCTGTACGTGGATGCGTCGACCCTGCAGAATCTGGTCTGTTTAGTATCATCATAATGAATTTCTCTGCAAAATCCAGCTCATTTTTCATCAACTATGCACTTGCCTTTATCATAAATGCCGTATGCATGCTTCAGTACTTGTGCTCTTTCTGGCTCTCAGCTACTTGAAATAATTGGGTAGCCCACACGGATGATGGATGCGAGAAGATGAAGGCGTCGACTTGGCTTTGTTCGTCTCATTTTGGATCTCTGACTATGTTGGGATGGGAACTCAGTACTCCAGATTTCCAGATAACAGTTAACTACCTCAAAGCGTTATATTCTCTGGGATTCCCTGTATGTTGGAGTGGACATTCTTTTACCCTCCTCCCTAGAAGACACTAGTTTATTATGAAGCCACATAATTATCCTGGACCCAATATGCTTAAAATAGAGAACTAAACAAGTCATCAAACTCGTCCCCTTTCTTCCCCTTCTTCTTCTTCTTCTTCTTCTCCTTCTCCTTCGGCGCCGAGGATTTGTCCTTCTCCCCCCTGCCAGCCTTCTCAACCATAGAATCCTCCTCCGTTCTTTGTATCTTCTCTCTTCTTGCGTCAAACGCTTCTTCCTTCCTGCGCTTCTTAGTTGGTACCGCAACCCCCTCAGCCGCCTCCGCCTCCCGTCGCATCGCCACTTCTCGCGCTATTTCCTCCCGCGAAACGGCACGGCCTAGATCGACAGTGTCTTCTTTCCCGTCGCGAACTATGCCCAACACTGGTTGCAACTTCTTGGTGACTAATGGGACAGTCGTGGCTACGCCGCTTTCGGGCAACTGCTGTGCATCGTCGCCGGCAACGATAAGGTAAGCGCAAGCAGCATTAACCTGAGCCAAAACCCCGAACAGCATGAGACCGAGGGTGGCGAACTGGTTGTCTGCCGTGAGCTGGGAGAATGCACTACCGAATCAATCAGGCCAATGCGTCCGTCATCTGTGTTCATCCAAAAGAGACCTACACGTAGAGCTTCGGCACGAGCACACCCCTCAACCAGCTCGCGCGCGTCTCGGCTGCATTTCTACCGCTCCTTCCATCCTTCTTGGACGGAACAGCGGCTGGTTTGCGCTTCTTCCCACCAGCGGCCGCAGCTTTGTCGACAGCATCAGCGACCTCATCAACCAACTTTTCCAGATTCCGGCGCAGCATGCCAAAAGAGCCCCACCATCGCGCGCCGCGGTGCTGGTTCTTATTACGGTGGTTGAACCCCGCGAGGATAGGCTGCAGCGGCTGGAGGAGGTCCAAGGCCTTTTGGGGATCTGCCGATGCTTTGCCGCTGGTGAAGGTGTCCATTACATGTTGATTAACTGGCATAAGGCAACAAGTCGATATCGTGGGTATGAAAGGTGAATGGATGGTGGTTGAGTGGATGGCGGTGGAAAAGTTCGGAGGAGATTCGGACACATTGATTGGGGTATTGAAGTCGTTAAGTGGTTCCACTTTTTGTTTCGTACGACAACAAACTTCATCTCACTCTCCCGCGCTCGATATAATAAGCCCTTGCTTATGTACTAAAGCTTCGGTGCATTCGCTGTCATACCTTGGAAACCTACCACAGCAGTTTCAGCTGTAAACTAGTCCCTTTCGGCCATTAGCCAACCCCTTATCGCCATAATAAAACTTACCCGTGGTTAAGAAACGTTTGCCAGTCTCGTGAAACTCGAATGTCTACACAATCTCATAATTATCTCGATAGTGCCGACATATTATTCCAAACAGGTCCCCCAGTTGGAATTTCTGAGGGGCGTGCACTCCTGGAGTCCTGACTAAGACGGTGCGAGAGCGACGTGAGTTGTCTCTTCCAAAACAGAATGATGTGTCTCCCTCCAAGTCGTGCATTGTAACACGTCCATTTGGTTCACTGAGCAGTGTGGTGCGGGGGAAAGTAAGAATGCCTCAACACTGCCAGAAGTACCTCATGGTATGGGGGTGGTTCGGGAAGGTTTGTTCACACGAGTTTACCGTCCCGGCCCCAAAGCGAGTTCCGGGCAAGAGTGAATAGATACGAGGTTTTCTGTAGGTACCTACTGAGGCTCGTCTCGTTGGTGGGTAGTTTTCTTCCATGTTCAGATTGAATGATGACGTGTGGAAATATCGAGTTTTGGCCACTACCTCCCATCTTGCCTTTGTGGGGCCGATGGAGCAAGCCTATAAGACAGATCCTGCCCATTCAGAAGTTCGGAAGAGCAACCTCGTTCTAAACAAGCGTCACCAGTGCTCGCATTCAGAATATGGTTAGTGAACTGGATAATCTTAAGATCCATCTGGCCCTCAAGCAGCCAGACACCGACAGAAGCAGAGGTAACGGTCGTTTTGTTCATGGCCGAGCCTACTCACCTTCAGCATTTTCTCTCATAGCGACTTGCAGATCCTCCCTAGCTTTGCGATATGGCCAAAGAAATCCTGCAGAAGAGCACACGTGTCTTGATGTCCTAGGACACTCGGCCGTTCCGGCCCAGGACCTCAATGTGGCTGCTGCGGCGGCCTATCCGCTATATGCTTGGCAGCTTCCGCCAACCGCAGATCGACAAGTGCCGGGTTCGCATGCGGCGCCGTGGCCTGTAAAAATTCCTCCAATCCTCCCACCTCGAGCTCTTTGGGCTTCACCAGGCTCCTTGATGGTGGATCTACGTCATGGTTCTGGACGGATATGCGTACACGCGTCCACACGTAGGCGTATTTACGAAGGGTACTTGACATAGTTCGCCTCTATTGGCTGCCCCAGTCGCCAATGAGCGTGTTGTATCTGACTGTCTCCCGATCCCCAGTACTCTAGGCCGACACTAGGACCGTCCCAAACCCGCCGTAATATATCGTGCATCTTAGGCCAACACGCAATAGAAAGGATAGCGGTTTTTATCACTTGTAAGGGGATATACCGGGAAGACGTCGATGAGCGGCTGGTAGTTGACTGTCGGGAGCCAGAACTTATTGTTCAGAGGTGCGGAGTATACGCCCGATACCACCACCTTACCGCGGAGCTCTGGTGTTGTAGATAATTCCCCAAATAGCTTGGTCTTGGCTGGTCGTTCGCACGAGTTGAAGGAAGTTCAAATCGCGCAGGGACGTCGATCAAGACAATGCCTAAGCTAGTGTACTCAGAATCTGACAATACGGAGGCGGGTGGATTCCACGCTTCTCAATTCAACTATCTCGAGCGCAGCTCCAATAACTTTCGCAGAGAGGCCCTTGAGCCGCACCAAGTCCAGAATTGCGTCGGCAAATGCGAGGCCAATAAGCTGCCCGGCACACCGCTACTAGCCAAGACACCTTGACCGCTCTCGCAACATCGATGGAGCTAAGTTTGGAAGTTGGGGAGAGTCCGGGGCACATTGAATGCCGAAATTCCAAAGCTGTCTGTCTTTGACGTGTTTTCGATTAGTGCGGTAACTGCTTGATCGTGAAGAGCTCTCCCAGAACGACGGGCCCAAGTAGAAGTCATGGTATCGAAATTTGTGTTGTCAGAGGGCCAGACAACCTGGGCATTTATTTATGTTAGCAGAAAGGTCAACATATTAGTTGTAGTTATAAACGTTGGACGTACCTCATGGCAGATAGATCAATGAGTGGCATCTGCTCCTATCTAACCACATGCTCATCACTGTTGTCAAAGCCAAACTTGGCCATGTTCTGAATAACCACAAGGGGCCTGCGTGACCGGTCTTTCTCCACCACCATCGTTTCGCCTGCCTCCGTCCAATGACCCAACGGATCGAATTCAGTCTCCTTCAGACCATGTTTCAGACCATGAAAGCGACAACGCCATAGCGCCGTTTTTCCAGGTCCGAAATATCAATGACTATCATGCCGTACCCAAGGCTATCGTCCCTTACCTGGTGGTCAAAGGTTCTGGATTCCCGCTACAAGGACCGCCAAAGATCGGAACAGAACTGGCACCAAGTAATAGATATGTCAATATGAAGGGGAATTCCCACTAACCCTAGACTACCGACGATAGCCTGCGTTCGTCAAGGCCTCCTCCAGATGTATACCTAGGACTATCTAGTAAGCCTCGAGTAGTTTGATGGGTGGCAAGGTTGTGATATGTTGAAGCGCCCTCTTCGACCAAAAGGGAGCCACGTCTCTTAACAAAAGAGAAAGCAGGGTTTTTACAAAAGGGTATTCGAGTTGCTCGAAGTAGCGCTGATCAATCGCTGGCTGCCACCCCACTGCTTGTTTAGGAATACATGTTTGCTATAAGTGATAAATCCGTGTGGGCGTAGTTTGCGATAAACAACTTGGTCTGATGGTAAATTCTATATCTACACTCAGAATAGACATCGAGTTCCATCCATTCTAGAGTGATGGAATCAAGGACCCAGAGTTATCAGAACCACTGATAGACCAACTCTTCTGCCACGTTCCCCACGCCGCAAGCCTATACGTGGGTAAAACTCGCCTGGTAGCAAGTCGCAGGTATCCATCTACTTCACTTCAAAGTGCCAATTTGCGTGCCGGCATCGGTGTACCTCGCTACGTTAGCCAGGTAGCTGCACCTATCTCCGTACACGGCCAAGTTGGCGTGTAAGTTCTGTAAACCTGCTTCACTCGTGCTACTCCTAGTGATGGTTAAACACTCAGCCGTCACGTTACAAGCACTCTCAAGCTGCCCGTCGCAGCCAGAGACCGGGTACGAGCCAGCGCCAGCGGCGTCGTCCAATGACCAGACGTCGTGCACCGTTGACAACGCCATGGCGTTTGCGGAACCACGCCGCAGCCCCCGGTCGTCCGCACAGTGAACACGTCGCTGAGGCCAGCAACTTGGAGAGTCGGAGTCGCAGTCGGATTCATTGCAGGTACACGGATCTCTCTTGCCCAACTTGCACGAGTGTCATACGTGGTCGTCGGGCCTCGAGCCGAAGTCGTAATTATTGCACCGACCGACTTCCCGGATTATTGTTGTACGCACCGGTCTCTCGTTGTTCGGGGCCTGGGGGGGTCCTGGTAGTCTGGTGGCACATCCGTCGGACTTGGCGTGCAGTAGTAGCCAGTGCAGAGCGTCCCGCCGCATTTGCCAACTTCGGAGCAAGTCAGTTTACTTCGGCGTGGATCCCGAGGTGAACATGATGGATTGGCCACCCGGGTTGCCGTTGGGTGGGATGTAGTGGGCATGATTCAATGTCGTCCCTCCCAAGTTTCCGCACAGGCGCAACGCCAGCGGTACAGCTGCCTGTGCTCTCATTAGCGTCCATCTAGGTCATGTCGGTGTTGAGGCAGGCCATTATATGCATGCGTATGACCCATTGCGCCGTCGTATTCCAATCAAGCAGGCAGCTGTGGCTTTGGCTTTCTTGGTAGACCAAGGTCTGCACCGGTGCGTCCCAAGCGATGGACGCTGTATTACATCTGGCGGCCGCCTTCCATCTTCCCGGGCGTAACCGTGGGCGAGGAAAGGAATCGGCTTCTCACGTTGGCTGGATTGACCTCCCTACCTTGGGTCTCAGCATTTATGGATTCGTCCGAGTACGCAGTATGGCAGTACCGTCCAATACTGCACCTTTGTTAACGTCAAGGCTCGACAAGCTAAATGGGACCACTCACATGATCTTGGGCCAAGGCGGCAATACTTCTTTGATTTCTTAGGGTATAAGTCATGGGCGAAGGGCGGAGGAGGGCCGCTATTTTACAAGCAATGTGAGACAAATCTCCGTTCTTGTTTGTGTTGAGAAAAGTCATTTACGGTGTACAAATGCGCGATGGTAAGATCCAGTGCTATCTTCCAATCTTGATATCGTTTCTGCAAACCCAAATCTAGTATATTTAGATGCTTATGGTATATTTTGGGGGTTACCCCATTCTAGAAATAGCTGGGAGCCTGTTCGGTGAGGTGGAACATGAGGGACGCCGCAATGAGGTATCGATGTCCAAGTCCGTCCCGGCAGCACCACCCACGCGGAAGTGGGACTTCCACATGGCGGCCATTGGATATCGCGAAGGCTCATCATTCTGAGCCAGAACTTGCATCGAAAATTAGTTTTAATCGAGTATCATGGATGCTGGGAATAGAGGGATAGCTTACCCTTCAGATATATAGGGGTCTGTGCCGAAAAGGGTAATTTTGGAGAATTCGTCACATCCTTTTATGGTCGGCGGGTCAAGCACGTCACCAATGAACTGGGTATAATACAACTGGATGATGGGGCTGCAGATTTTTCAGGTACCGGGCTGCTAGTTCTTAGCAAAAAGACGTGAAAATTGCATGTACTGGTAGACGCACAGGAAAACAAATGATGACACCTTGGGTGAAAATGTTTCCACACTCCTCGCCGCAAAGATTGAGATCTTCAATGGCGCCATTTATAGCCTCCGCAGCATCATGATCACCACTATTATCAGCCGCGTAACCAGTCGCGATAGAAAGTGTAGCCCGAGCTCACTAACGGTTGCTATAGTACCAAGAGTTAGCAAGGAAACAGAGTCAGTGTGAGGACACTAACATTGCCTATTGGGCCAAGAGCTGTGAGAAAATAGCTTGAAGCCTGCTTATATTTTGGTCCTAAGCAGCTGGCTGGTGTGTTCCCGTTCGGTGGAACCTGGGTGTCATTCGAATGTGCGGTTGGCCTTTTGCTGTAGCCACCACAGATGGCATAGCTCGCTCGAAGACCGGCCCTGTAATTCTCAAAACTAGCGGAATGCCGCCAAACTATGCCATTTTGCGCCCCTGGTGTGATGGTCAATCGAAGCCAATATGGCCCTACATGTGTATATATAACTACTGGAAAATAGCCCTTTGTCAGGGGCGGCGGGGAAATAATTGTGCTGCTTATCAACCATGTACAGGAAGCTTAGTTAGAAACACATACGTTTCATAGAACAGCTATATAGCGAATTAGTATACCATAGTTGGGCACATGGGGAAATCGGTTTGGCTGGACATAACCCCCATACCGCTCTCACAGACAAGCACTGGAGCAACGCCAAAATCACATCCAACAGGGTGGGCGGCGCCATGATTTCCTGTATTGTCTCCTAAATAACGGCCTGCAGGTGAAATTAGTGGTTCGCACTCGCAATAGCTATGCGCACACTCTCGCACGCATTGATCCTCTTATATCTCTTCGAGTACCCTTCGGTCAGCCGGACCTTCCAGTAGCCATGGAACAACCAGGTGTAACCGTACTTCCCACGCCATCTTCCATGTCGCACCCATCTAGCAACATCACGTACTGGATAGTAACGCTAGCACGTCATGTAATTTTCATCGAGCGTATTTGCTTAAATGGGTGCTATCATCAAGAATGCCGGGGCCCGGGCCGATATCAGAACTATCCATACACCCGATACCAGATGTTGCTGCTAAGCAGACCATGCGCCAGGGGCATGCGGAATCTTAACCGACCGAGTACTCTGGATCCTGATAACGGCGAAACATTAAGGTCCAAATAGTGGTACCCATGATCATCAAGGACGTATTAGAGACGAGGGACCTTGAATACAGTTGTATACGTGTGTAAATCGAATACCAGACCGGTGAGAGCTGTTGAAAAGAGAAAGTTGATAACCGCAATGAAGGAAGCGAATGATTTTCACTCGCTTGATGAATTCGTAGTTGATTACGTTACACCACAGCCGCCCACGCGGGGGTGTTATTACCCATATTCCTAGGCTCGTTGTTACCTGAGCCCAATTACTTACTGAAATGCCGCGGAACGATCATCACAGTTGAAGTACGGCTGAAAGAAATCTCAGGCGACACACCGCACGGCTCCCAACGTCTTAAGTGGAACTTGCCGGTATATGTCTGAGCCCCTCATGTGTTGCTAGTCTCGCTCTCGCCGGGGATATTTTGGATTTTCCAATACGTAAGTGATACTGGCGGGCCTAAAACACGAGTTCAGAGGCGTAACTGCGGAAGTCCCAGAGCGCTGTGGGGAGACTACTCAACTTCATCCTGGCGATCAAAGCAATAACCGATTTCCCAACTCTCTTCCACAACCTGGTCCCCATTTTCCAGAAGGATATGACAAATTGGCAATTATATGTGGTCAACATCCCTTCGTGCTGAAGTGCCGTCCTTAAGATACCAAAGGATGAAACATATATCATATTCATAATGGGTTGGAGCTGACATATATGCTAAGCCAACTCTTCTATAGGCCTTCAATGGATTCGATAATCGATGCACCGGACACCATTGCGTTGATCCCTTTCACTTCTCAGCCTGATTATTGTATATCTTCAAAACCCAAAGCTTCGCCAACCCTCCCCAAGCCAGCACCATCAAGCTATTCAGAAGACAACCCAGCCTATCCCTAGTCTTACTTTCCGCAACTTAAGGCGCAGATGCTAGTCTCCCCATCACCTCCCGTGCAGCCCAAGTGTGCTACCACAGAAAATACCCCACTCTCCGCTGATATAGCACCACCAACGACAACCCCCAGAACATATTCATCATGGACCTCATCTTCGTAGCCAGCCAGACTTTTCTGAGTGGACACCTTATTCTCGAAACACCGTCCTAGTCATGTTCAAGCACCTAGACTCCTTGAACAACTCGTCTGTGCTGTTCGATATCGCCACTACTATCGATGGAGGCGGCTATCATTGGGGATTTGGATGATGGTTGATCTTTGGGAGTTTTAGTCAATGAGTGACAAATTCAGCTCATAACTACCTATATCGATTCAGGCCATGCGCTGAGTAGCTGGATCATTAAAATTGTTTCAAATGCTATCTAAGATTGTGGTTGATTCTGGTGTTTCTTGTAGATAGAGCACATACCATTGTAGCTTCATGAAGAGTGACCACAATAGAGCCTGTCGTTTGTGCGATATTATATATATCTTAGGACTTTCCAACTCAGCATTGTAAAAATTCACCGAGCAATCAATTACTTGCTTAAGTAATGTTCCTAACCTAGTGGATTCAAACTTACTTTGATCTGAAGCCGACATCTTGGATAGATCAGATCAGGACATCTTGCAGATTCCATGGCTCAGATTGTTCGGGATCTAATCAAAGATCCCTTCAAATCATATTAAATCTGTTGGTGACAGTGGGAATATGTCATCACAGGGTGATCCTAGTCTCTATTTGTTCTGAAAAGTGCTGTACTCAATCTAATCTTCACATTCTACCTACAGAGGAGGAAAATAATAAAGGGAGAGAAAAAGAGGAGATGAGGGGAATATATACACAAAGTAAAGGGTAGTAATAGAAGTAAAAAGGGGTAGCCAGCAGCCCACCACCATCACTTTCGCTCCCTTCCCTGGGAACAACTTGACGTATTACCACCTCAACCTTCATTGTTTGCTTTTTGGCGCATGGAATCATCATACCCTAAATTCACGGTATTGTTAATATTTCCTTGGTGTCACACGTTGCGGAGAGCATTGCATTCTTTATCAGAAGGGTCATGTCTATTCATCGGCTACCAACGGCCGGACGTTATCAAAATCATGTTATCGAGTGACAAATGCTCATATCGGGAAAGGAAAGAAACTTGGCCAAAGCCTATGAGAAGCTGAAGACCACTGCCAAAGACATGTGCTGCCACGGCTAACCAAATTCTTCCAGCATCCACCTTGTTCAAGCCGTGGGATTGGTCGATTGTGTGTGGATTGCCCTGATCGATGCCCGGCGACGAGATCTGCAGTGATGGTTAGCCAGAACAAGAGAGTTGAGTAACGTGTCAGCGACAAGCTTACTGAATGAATGGATGTGTAGACTGGTGGTGTGTGAATTTATTTGCCGTAGGCAGAAATGAAAGGAAATCTGGGGTCATCAGTTGATCTGTCAGGCCATTTGGTAGACAAAGTTTTACTTACCAACTGGTGCAAATTTTGGGGAAAACAACTCGATAACTTTTTTTGTTTTTATTTCTTTTTGTTGGGAAAGGCGAAGAAATCAGGAGTGCACATCTGAGGTTATTAGTTTTGACTCAGGTCACTTGCTGATCAGTGACGTACCAAACAGTGAAGGATATGCACCTCCAGACGGATGGAATCCATGGTACTGAGGAAATATGGACCTTGCATCTAAGGCTGTTAGCCATGATATGAGTAACTTGGCAATTCGGACTCGACAATCGAAGGTGCTCAGTGATATGGGGATTGCCGACTTACCAGAGTGACACCTTTACTCTTCCAAGCGGACTGCATAGAAGACGCCATTGCCGGTGACATACCAGCGGAAGGGGCCATGATCAATAGTATAGCGGTTGTGCTTAATCCAATTACCGTCAAGCTCACGAACCATGTAGATGCGGGCAGGGTTGTCATCCGCGGGCTTCATCTCCTGAGGCTCGTTGATTTCAGGGTTCAGCGTCGGGTTGAACTGCTCAGCAGCAACCTCTGCAGCAGTCTTGCCAACACCCATGACGTCGGGGAAGGGGTTCGTGGAAACAGGCATACCGGGAGCACCATTACCTATGATCATCTGGGGCTGGCCACCAGGCATCGGAACACCAGGTTGGCCAACGAACTGCTGTCCGGGCATGGTGTGGATGGCCTGACCACCTTGGGCAACGTAGACATGTTGCGGCGGACCCTGAGGCTGGGCGTTCATCATGGGGATGGATACCGGCTGGGCATGGATACCAGTCGTTGCCTGTTGTGCAAAGAATTGATTAGCCTTTGTCTCTAAGATTGTTTTTGTATATTGAAGAATATGTGAATGCGTGAATGGGATGTGATAATGCGTGCAGTTGGTGATTTTGACGGGTTCAGCAATGCCACTCAGATTGGTTTGATCGTCAATGCTGGGAAGGCAGTCACGTTGGCCACCAAGTCGCGTCACGTCGATGCACTGATTTAGCGAATTGGCCAGTCAGGCAAGGCTGGAAATAGAGCTTGGATGACTTGCATGAATAGGGCAGGTGCAGGGAGGTCGGCCGCCTCGCTGAGCGAGACAGGTGCAGGCCATCTGCTGAGACGCGATGTGAATGCCTTGCTGCGGGAGCTGGTGAACGATGCAACCCGGGGTGTGCTGAGCCTGTTGAGCAGAGACCACAACAGGGACGGGGCAGGTGCACGGGGACATGGCAGGAGAGGCAGGAACGACACGAACGCCGTTGTCAAAACGGGGGGTGTAGGTGTGGACGAAGCCACCGTAAGTTGTGTCAGGGACGGGGGGCTGGAAGTGCTGGCCCGTGTTGGGCATGAAGCCGTTGCCGTAGTCAGCCATAGTGGGAAGGGTGCTTACGTGATAGTGAGGGAATGGAATTAATAAAGGATTGTGTGCCCAAACCTGAGGTGGATTGATGATGAAGTTGTTGGGTTGAGGTGCGAAGTTGGGAATGGGCGGCGAGTTTGTGTTGTGCAAGTAAGCACCTGAGGTAGGCATAGACAGGTGGGGGGGCCGAGCAAAACCAGGTGTTTGGTGAATTTGCGGCAGCTGCGTCGAGGTTGGGTTCATCCCGTTGATGGTGTCGTAGGTCCAACCACCTGGGTAATTGGTGACTTGATGGGTAAAACCCGGCCCAATGCCATCAGAATTGTTGCTCTGCTGGCCCTCTCCTGCTGATGGATTCTCCTCGCCTGGACTCGTCGCCGTCGACTGATTCTTCAGGATGCTTGGGCGTCGGACAGGAATGTCTTTCGCAGCAGCAGTCTTTCTGGCATCATTGCCACCTTTCTGCGAATTGGCGTCCATCGTGACACGTGAAGAACAAGTGAAGGCAAGGGAGGAGGCAAGGTTTCCAGGGAAAGAGATGATCAGGAGCTTGATGGATACGATTTGTGAGGAAGGAGAGTTCCTCGTGGGCAGGAATCGAGGTGGATTGGATGGTTGATGGCGGAGATGAGGATAAGAGAGGTCTGACGACGAAATTTCTGCACTTGAGTTGTCCCCAACCGCAAGTGGCTTGCGGTTTGCATCTATTCCGGTACAAACTGCGGGACTGTGGTAACCAAGGTGGTCACTTCAATTTCACCAGCCCGGTATTGCAATGGCTGGCAGCGGATGGCCGAATGCCACGCATGAGAGAATATGACAAGTAAAGGAAGGAAAAGAAGACATCATACGTACGGTAGGAATCCATCTTCGTAGTTTGTGATTATTGGGATTATTATCCTCGAGTGTGATGTCCTTGACGGGCCAGCATGGAAAGCACATGGTGGGCGTCTTGTTGTGGTTGTATTTATGGCAGAGGTCAATATATTGGTGATATTGAGGGTGAAGTCAACGAGAACTATGACTACAGATATCAAAGGCGAAGTTGCACTTACAACACAGAGTGCTGGATTAGTGGAAGGGGGGGGTTATAGGTTGGTGATATTGATTGTAGTTCAAAGAACCATCCTGGTCGTTAGCTCAATAGAGCGTGAAGCACGTGATCGTTGGCAAAGGTGATGTTCAAGAGAAGGATGCGTTCGGGTAGTGTTGAAGGGGAAGACATGGGTGTTTACTAGACACAGGGCCCTCGCTATTCTCAATAGCAAATGGAAGAACATGAACATGAGAAAATCTCGAATATAGAAAACTTGAATTCTATGAGAATAGACCGGATTGCAGATCCAACATAAACGAACATATGGCGAATTGTAGATGCTGTGTGAAGGTACAATTGCAGACATCAAGTGGATGAAAGAAAATATTCCCTTTGGAGTGAATGAAGGATAAAAGGAGTGACGTTATGATAGTAAGTAAGTGACACCCGTGCGCTATCTTGTCACAAGAGACGCTGTGCAGTTGGGAGCAAATCCAGAATAAAGTTCATCAACTTCAGCAAGGAACACAGATGATGAAAGTGGTGCAAATTGCCAGACTTGAAAAACCAATATTGCTTTCCCTGAATATGTCTACAGCAATTATGCCTAGCAGCACATCCGGGTTCCACTACACCTGTACAGTTAACATAATTTAATATCGCCTGAAAAGAGCCAGCTCAGCTACCTATCAGATTGAATGACCAGAAACACGTCAACAGGGATCTTTTGCCACACAGTAAGGTAACAGGGATAAAGAATGGCAGAAGAAAAGCATGAACGTACCTGATCTACAACCGCCTCTCACAGTGCCAATCCAACTCCAAGATGGTGCGAAGCCCCATGAACCAGTTAATTTCACAATGTTGGATGTTCAAACAACATTGTCTTGTTGCCGGTTGACTGGCTGGCCTTGGTTGTCCAGTTTTTGGCTCCCACCTGAACCCAGTTATCGATGTTATATGCTGGATGTACTGTGGGATCGAACGGTGTGCCCAACCTATCGCCACCTTTGAGTACCAATGCTTTAGGTTCCATCTTTCCTCGATCTAAAACCTCCTAGCCGGCTACAGCCCAAGTCACCTCCTTGGTGCCGCTTTGGCGGCTCTTCTCGAAGCATTCTTCTCGGTGGTCCTGCAGGATATGGGTCTGAAGTATAACAGTTAGCCTCAATTATGTATAAAAAAGCTGGCCTGCTCTTGATTAGCCTCATGAAGATTGGACGGAGGGTGGAATACCTCTTCATCGCTGTCAGAATGTCATGGTATTGCTCAGGTGTCTTGAATACTGCCATGAGCTCTTGGCAGTATATTCAATCTGCGCTGGTGCTCCTCAGTATCAGATTTAGGATCAGATACCTGAAAGGTTTTGAACGACCACTCTTTGCACTCCTCGTCTGTGAGTTTGTCCTTTTGTTGCCAGCATGCCACTGCTTCTCTGGTCTCCTCGTATGTGGTATCTCTCTTCGGGAATGGGGCGGTTGGCTGAGGATCATGTTTCCATGGTACTCTCTTTCAGAGAAAAAAGGTTCCACTGTTGACTCCAGGAACTGCACAAAGGCATCGATAGTGAGTATCAGCGAGAAGAGGATAGTCTACTTCTTCATGGGTCCGGAATCGGCATGGGGTATCATAAAGACGTACAGCTCCATTTCTTACTGTGTCACCAGCAGCTCCACAAGCCCACGGCTCGTCCCATGTGAGGAGTCTGTATTTTTCAATGAGTTTGGCCTGTATTTCAAAGAAGAATCGTTAACAAAATATCCCAGCGAATACCAAGTGAGAGATGAAATATGTACCTGGCCCTCATAGTCCATTTCACGTAGCGTCTTTGATCCAAAGCACTCCATGAGATTAAGCCATCTGATTTCTTCATTTATTAAACTGTGTGCGCCATTGGCCATCTCCGGGGTTTTCTGCATGATCTCACCAAACTTTTGGTTCCAGTCTCGAAGTTTGTTGCCCCAGCTTGCCAATGGGTGGCATGTCTTCGAATGGCATCCAAAGAAATTCAGAAGAGTTAGGTGTGCGGATGATCGCACCATCCTCCTTCAAACCAAGCTTAACTCGGGTACCACCAACCTGCGTGGTGCCACATTTGCGTATCGCCTCTTCACGGTTCAGCTTGGTGGCATTAGAGCGCCAGGTGTCAAGGTAGAATAGCATGGACTCATTTTTATCAGTCCTGCTGTTGGCGTTACCATCGAATGCTGGCTGTAGGCTTGCTGCTGGTTACCTATCCAGACTGGGCTCATATTCTTGTCCATGACATGGGATTTGCTTCGATAGGGTGATCTTTGAAATGGCTGCCGGAGTGATTGCTCAAGTGGCCGCGCTTCCAATGCCAATATGATACTCCAAAAGTGTCAGCGTCTGACCTTGGGAGGGCAAAATTATGCGAAGAATCACAGTGATTACCTGCAGTGACAAGACAATCTGAAAAAAGAACCCTGCGCTTAGAAATGTAAGGAAGCCGCGTGCCATCGATTTGGTCGCTTCCAACTAGGAGTGGGCAGGGGACGCGCGAAAGAAACTAGCATGCAGAGAACACGATCGTATCCTTCTAGTTACCCCCAATATCACAATCATCATAAACATGAAGAAAAGACATAATCTACGTCAAGATGCATTAAATGTCAACTGCCAACACCCTTTGCTGACTTGAACGCCTACCTACCTACAACTGTGGATGTTTCTATACGCTTGACTCCCTCTATTGTACACACAAGTCCAGCCGGAGGTGAGATGATCCATCGCTATGCGACCAACCGCGGGGAAGCCACCCGTTCAGGCGGAAATCGAAGGTATTACATGACATGTGGCCTTGTTTCTCAAGTCCACTATTGGTACACGGCGCATTCAGCTTTTCGTTTGCGGATATACGACGGGTTTTGTTTATGATTGTTAAGATGGTAGCGCTGAGATTTGCTTAATGGAGGTTGTATTCGGGTTCACTGGGCCCAGAGAAGGCCCTTCGAGTTACCTGGAAGTGTGTCAGTCAGAAATTCCATAAATCGAAATTTGGATTGGAACCTACAGCCCATGCCGCGGCAACCGAGGCGACCACTCCTCCTGAGATCATCATCGGCCGTACACCCCTTGTGCTTTTGAAGAGCATGCCACTGAGCCCGCCCGCTACAATGGAGTTCGCCGCATCATGCTTGCCCCTGACGTATCCAATACCCGAATTAAAGCAGTTGTAGGTGATAGCAACAACGCCGCCTGAGTTGCCCAGGAATGGTCCGCGCCGGGTGACTGCGTTGAGTACCGAGTTTAGGCGCAGCTTCGGTGGCTGCCCAGCAGATCTCCTTAACCCTTCTTGCAAACCCCAGGCTCCTCCTAATGACAAGGCTGCCAGATATGTGATGCCGGTTCCGTAACACAAGTCGTCGCTGAAGCCTCGCGATGGAATGGCTGATTGCGAGCCGGGCAGGTCCGACAAGGCGGAGTCCTCCAAAGTCAAATACTCCAGGCTGTCCCTATCCAATCCTGCCAATGGGCCCAGCGACGCCGGGTCGGCAAATGCAGAACTTTTGAGAAACTCCTCCACGCCTTGGGCTGCAGACGGGTCGAAAGGTGGCGGGCTTTGGTAGTCGGTTCGTGTGGGTGCCGGTTGGGGCGCATTAGATGTGGATTTTTGCTGTGACGAAGACGAGGACTTTCGTCCCATAAGAGCATCCCAGATCGACATGATAGGCACTGGGTATAATGCTGTGCGGTAGAATAGTACAAAGAAGATTATACAGCCGATAACGTGGCTCCGAGTGTCATCGATCGTTGGGCTCGTCTATGGGTGTCAAACCACCAGCTAGCTTTACGAATATTGAAGCTCGACCCGATCCATATAAAAAAAATTCCCATCTCGCGATTTGGCCAAATGGCCCGTGCTGAGGCTTGTAATGGTCACTCAATGTCACTGCCAAGACCAGGCCGGCCTGGAGTACAAAGTACAAAGTACTTCGTAGCTTCCAGAGTTTGTGCTAGTTCACCATAAATATTGACGTCCGATATTTCCCCGTAAAATCTTGACTCTTGCATGAGGGAGATGGACTTTTCATAATTATGGGTAGTTACTGTCCTTTGTTTGAGATGACTAGATGATATCATCCAGAGAGGGTGAATCATTCTCTTGATCTACGAGGAGTCTGTGTGTGAAGTTCAGCACCCAAACTCAAACCTCCCTTCTAAGGTTCGATCTCCTTCCCGGCTGCACGTCCTTGGAAATATACACGGGCCAGGAGCTTTGGAAAACACCAGATTCCAGATTGAGCAAGGGGCCACCTTGACGAGCACAACTTCACAATGGAAACAATGGAGGCTCTGGACAAGTTTCTCGGAATCACCGAAACTTCCTTCAATCCTAAGCAAGCAGTTGCTTGGGTCGAAAAAAAACCACCAACCACTCAAGCCCTGTAGGTTTTGTCATATATATACACGATCTTGTCGCTTATGGATACAAGGTATGCCAAAGACATCTTCCAAGAGCTGTTTCAAAGCGCTGCAAGGCCCAAACAATCTTCAGGCAATGCCTGCGTCAAATTGTGTGGTTTCATTGAGCTCTGCGCCAGGTCTGCTTCCACACCCCTGAGCAAATTTGCTTTTGCTGAGGAAACCGCCTGGGACTTGTTCAACTTCTTTATCGAGTGGAATGAACAAGACCAGCATCGTTCTATGCGGCTGGTCCTTGATTTTCTCAAACTCTTCATTTCCAACAACCCAGACCCCGAGGTGGGCAAGGTCATCAAGACAAGGGTCTTGAATGATACCATTTCTATGATCGCATTGCAATCCACCAGACCTTCTGTAAAGTCTGCTATGACGGCTCTGGATCACTTCCTACAAAAGAAACTGCTAAACTTGCCAGATGTGCTGGATATTTACCGTCATGTACATCGGATTCCCAGCAGCCAGGATGTTACTTGGGATGAATTCATCACCAAAATTTTCAACTGGATGGATATGCAGTATGTGTGTCCTCAAGCTGGGAAGCTGCTTGTGACCATATTTACTAGCCCCTGGTCTGAAGATGAGGAGACGAGGTTCTTCCCAGACTCCTGGCACAAGTTTCTACGCAAGGCCTTGTTCACAAATACTGAGCTCCTCGAGCCTATTAAGCTTTACGTTCTGGTCCCGTTGTTCAAATCAGACCGGACTCAATCATTGGCATATGTCAACTATTTGTTCACTCTGCAGACCTTGACCTCTAAAGATAACAATGACATAGATGTCAACTCGGTCTTATGGCTGGCAACACTCGAAGCAGGAAAGAAAGTCGGTGTAGTAGATGAGCCGGATATTGGTATGCAAACAAGTCTTCTCATTTTTGATTATATGTCTAACTACTGGAAGAACCAGGCATATTGCCTGGGCTACACGGAGTTACTCGAGTTCAGGCGGGTGTGCTTGAAGATATCCTGGGCCATTCATCTCATGAAGCACGCTCTTCTGCAGTTTCCATCCTGATTGCATCGCCTTCCACAACAAAGCCATACGCCGCTGTGGCTCTGAAACTGTTGCGTAAGCACTTGCCCGCCTTCCATGCGGACACGGATGCAAAATTCAGGTACGACGTGCTTGGGCATTCGAGAAATATGATCAAGCGAATCCACGGCGCGATCGTTTCCCTCAGCCGAGAACATGAGCGAAACTTCAAGAAGGCACAGAAATCAACAAACAAGCCGGGGCTTGCTGGTAATGATCAGTCTAAAAGTCCCAAAACTGCCACGTCCACGGATCCCCACGCAGCACTCCTCCAACACGAAGCCTTTGTTCACTGGTATCTCGAGTTCCTGAAACAAGAGCTTGTCCCTACTGCATCCTACCAGCGCCACATAACTGCCTTGAAAGCCACGACTCTTGTTCTCAACGCTGGTCTGGTGTCAGGAGCACATGATGAATGTTCTACAACCGAGGCAGCATTCTCTCTTACTGATGCCACTTGGGTACGATCAGTGATGGATCTAATAATGGATCCTTTCGATGATGTGAGGGAGGCAGCGGCATCGTTATTGATGAAATTGCCTTCGGCAATCGTAGTCGACGAGCTTGAAGAGTTCTGCACCAGAGCCAATGCTCTTGCTAGCAAAACAGCTCGAGCCGATCATTCTGATGGAGTTGCTCGATCCCAGGAGCTCCGCTGTAGTCTGGCGACAGCTCAAAAGGACAAGTTGATAATACCTGAGAAGCTTATCGTAGAGCTTGAAGCCAAGCTTTCCGCAGCTGAAAAAGATCTGGCGTTGGCGGTGCTCGAAGCCCCTGTCCATGGCAATTTTGCTTCGCTTAGGTGGGTTCGCCGTTCCGGCACAAAACTGACCGTCCTTTGAGGCTGACGAGTGCAGATACATCTGGGAGGCCCTTTCGGGAGGTAAATATTCCCAGCAAGAACTTGAAACTCTCAACTCACTGCAAATACGTGCTATGACTTGTTGTATCAGGATCTGGCAAATGGTCAGGCACGTCCTTTGCGATGATTCCCCTGAGGGCCACTTGCCTGAAGAACTGGAAGAGGTTGATGGACTTGATACGAAAGATGTGCTTAGCTACAGTTTCCGTGCAATCCACGAGTCAAGGTTAGTTTATAGTTTATGGTAAACTAACTGCCCCCGAAGAAGTTAGCTGACGAATTTTAGTAATCTTCTGCGTGCCATCATTAGCAATGCCAGGTATCATGGCATTCCTGGATTCCTCTCCCCAACACCTGGCGACTTCGAAGCAATCGGTAGATTGACGTTCGACGAGCTGTCTCATTTGCGGCACCGAGGAGCCTTCACAACCGTGTCCCAGACATTTACGAGCTGTTGCCAATTGGTCAAGTTTTACCCTACTCCGTCTGGCGATCAAAATTTTCTATTGGATCAATGGTACAAGGTGGGAACATGAGCTTCATCAATGGGTGCATAATGCTAATTGTGATAGGGAACTCTTGATTGCATTTATGCTCAAGTGTCAACGACCAGAAGATCAGCAGGAATACCGGCTCTCATGGTCGGGGTCCTCTCAGCCAATGCAGAACACCCCTCTGTGCAAACTGCTATACAAGAATTACGAGGCATTGCGCAGAAGCCAGCACGTACGTTGGATACAGATGGATCTAATTTACCCCAAGTTCATGCGTTGAACTGCTTGAACAATATTTCCAAGAGCTCCTATCTGAGCAAACGGGCAGAAATATATCTTACTGAATGCTTCAAACTATCCACTGATAGCTTGAAATCTGAAGTGTAAGTACTCACTCCCCGGTGAAACCAGATCTGCTGATATCTTCAGTTGGGCTATTCGTAATTGCGGCCTTCTTCTCCTCAGAAGTCTCATCGACTGTCTCTTTGGGACCAGTGAAAGCAAAATATCAATGGAAGCTGGATGGGACGGCAGAACGACCAAGATCTCTTGGCACAAATTCGAGGCACTTCCAGCTGTCCTCGTAAGCCTACTAGAAATGGGCCAACAGCCTTCAACCTCAGCCAAGGGAAGTGAGACGGCAGAAGCGGTATTTCCTGCGTTGGACATTATTCGGCGTGCTGGCCCTCCAGGGCAGTTGAAGGACCAGCTGTATGACAGTATCGCTTGGTATCTCGGAAGCCATCTTTGGCATGTACGGGAGATTGCTGCTCGCACGCTCTGTTCGTTCCTGCTCAGACCAGGCTGGATTGACCCGATCCGAGCTCTGCTTGAGGAGTCGAGATCTTCAGCCAATAGGCTTCATGGTGCCTTACTGACGTTCAAGTTCTTGCTAGAGAGACTACTGGATGTCATGCCAGATCAACTGACATGTAAGTAGTCACTACACTGCTTTTCTGGTTTGTTCTGACACGGGCAGGTTACTATCCAAATGTGCTGGTAAGTGTCCTGGAAGAGGTGTCAACCCAAGGAGGCAGCTTTCATACTTGTTCAGAAGCACGAGCTGTTTACTGCGAGATTGTCAGCTTTGTGAATAACTTACGTGTCTTCGCTGCTGCATCAAGCACTGATCCCAGCGTCGAACATGCACTTCTCCAACCTATTTCAATGAGTACAGGTATGCTCGACTCGAGCAACCAGGAGCATTTCTCTTCGGCCCTTCTCAGTTCGAAACAAGGGCAAGCTATCGCAGGTTACAGTGTGCTGGAACTTTTCAATCATGGGAAGACACCAGAGAGTTTCGACCTTGGCTCAGCATTGAGTAGCGACATAAATGTAGCATGCGATATGCTCGAGACCTTGGCAAAGGCCTCGGCTGGATCACTACCCAGCCATATTAGTGTATCGCAACACCTGATCCGTATTTGTCTGAAAACATGTCAGCAGACGGATGCACCAGAGCCACAAATAATTGCCCTCGAGATGCTCGCACAGCATTTAGACCTAGTCCTGGGAAAGCAGCCTGCGGAGCTGATACTCCCCACGAAGGAGGAGATTTGCCTCTTATGGGCAGATCTACGATCCAAATCCATGAATCCAGGCCTCTCAGATGCCATCATACAAGCCAGCGGGCCTCTCCTTGCTGTCGTCATGATTCAAACTAAACAGCCATCTGACTCCGACAACAAGTCCTGGCTTAGGTCTTGGGGGACAATGATGGGCGATGCTGGCCTAGCCGATAAGGTAAGGTTTACCTCTATTCGTCGCACAAGCGATAAACTAAATATTCACAGGCCTTTGATACTCGCATGGCTGCCATTGAGTCCATCCGTTCCTTCTCATCCCACGTTTCCCTGTCGTCCCAGACGAGCACCTCGACCGCCCACCTCCCCTGGCTCCTGGCGCTCTACGACGCGCTCAACGACGACGACGACGAGATACGCGACGTCGCTGCCGCAGCCACGGCCCCTCTCCTGGGGAAATCCCTCGTCTCTATGGAAGCCGGTGTCCGGCTCCTCGCCTGGCTGGGACAGCGCTTCGGGCACACGAACGAGTTCCGTGCTCATGTTGCCTGCCGGATGATTGGCCACTCTTCCTCTAGTGGTAGCGCTGGCGTTAATGTAATAAACGAATGGTCATCCGCGGAAAACCAACTATTCAAGGCCATGGTCTTCGATGATGCGCTGTTCGTCGTCGAGGAGCAAAACTTGTATATCGATGAAGTGAGGGAGGCGCAACGGTGGAGGGATATTTTTGCAGCTCTGCCAACACATCAGGAGTCTGACGCTGTTCTGGAGTCTCTGAAAAGCTGGACCGTTGACGGTCTGAAGGCAACGACGAAAATGGCAGAGACAGATGACGGGCCTCTGGGGTGGACGTCGAAGCCCGAGGTATTTGCCATCTGCGCCCGGATCGTGATTTCCGGTGCAGCATTGGCGGAAAGAGGAGACACAGAAGTGAGCGAGGCGTTGCGGGCATTCTGGATCAAGGGGACGGAGTTCAGGGTCCATGGGCAGGTATTGGGTATGTGTGGGTTGGAGTGATACATCGTTCTACCTTTGAGAGAAGTAAAGGGGAAGCAGAAGGGGACTTTGCGGATACAGATGCATTGAGTATGTAAGCCTTGCAGTTTTGGCGTACACATCGCAATGTATTCCTCAATACAGGCTCGGGCATGAAATATTGATATTTCTCTGAAATATGAATTTATTAACCTCCGTTCCGGTCTATAATTCACCCAAACTCGATTCATGTAGATCATCAATCATTTCAAGGACTCCTATTTACCCGTCCTGAAATGATTGCGTGCTCGTGTGCCGGACACAAGTCCGGTACTGGTATAGTATATGCATAATTGCTTGCTTTAATTCGACGCAAAATAAGACAAGCCGAAAGGCCGTAACGACGCTCAACCAATCCATCCATACGGCTCGTGGTACCGTGTGTTCAACCATCCACTTCAATCACTGAAACGAGTCTCTTCACCTCACGAGCTGCTCGTCCACCTAAGCCTCTGCAGCCCCTTCCCGACTAGAGTACGTCACACTCTTCCTCAGCTCCTCCAACGCCTCCGCCGAGCCCGCTTTTCCGAGCTTCGCCACAAGCAGCGTATTCTGGCTCTGCAGTTCCCCAACCTGCTCCTTCAAAATATCAATCTGCTTCCTCGCCATATCCCTCTCCGCCCTCGTCTTCTCCAACTCCATCGAAATATTCCGTTTCTCTTCTCTCTCAGCCGCTTTCCGCTTCCGCTCCTCAGCCTTGCGCTGGTCGTGCGCGCGCTTTTCTTCGAGCCGCTTGAGGTCCCTCCGATATTTTTCTTCTTGCTTGGCTACTTCGCGCTCGTGCTTTTCACGTAGCTTGGCCAGGGCGGATTCGTCGTTCTTAGCATCCTGCTCCTTTTTGGTGAGGGTGCGCTCCTGGGACCGCTGGAGCTTTTCTTGTAGTTTGCGGCGCCGGTCTTCGAGCTTGCGGAGGTCTTTCTCATGTTGGGAGGGGACGGTATATTTGCCCGCTGCTGATTCGGACGAGTGCGTAGATTGCGCCTCGCCATTTGTGACAGTGGGCGTGAGGAGGGAGTTGGTTTCCGACTTGGACAGTTTGGAGTCGTCTTCGTGGTCGGAGGCGAAGCTGTGGAAGCTGTAATCTGATGTGGTGTCATCTCCGTCTAAGGAACTCGTTGACAGGTCCGAGTCGGTGTCGCCACCCTTCGCAGACCCGAACGGGGCCGGGAGACGCGCGGCGAAAGCCGAGCCAGCTGCCCCTAGGGCATTGGCGATCATTCCGTAGAAGCCGCCTGGTGCTTCCACCTGTTCCTCAACCGGTACAGGACCCGGTTTGGCCGCGGGATTGTTGATGACATTCGATGTAGGACCAGTTGTGGGCATACGCTTCTGCTGGCCAATCTCGTGGGCCTCCGTGGCATCATCCATCGTCTTCTCATCGATGTGATCGTCTTGGCTAAAGTCCTCGAGATGGGCCGACGAGACCCATTTAAGGAACTTTTCCGCGTCACCGGCGATACCGGCGGGGGTGCCCTTCTCAACCATGAATCTCGGTACACTACCTCCGGGATCACTTCGAGTCACCATCAGCCACTCAACTAAAGTCTCGCTCTCCTCGTCGTTATCTTGGCCTTCTTTCCCGGTGCCAGCAAAGGCGATAGTTCGACCTCGCTTCCGCCCTTCCTGGTCTCCAGCATCGGATGCGGAACTGGACATGGCAAATCCACGGGTGCTGGCTGAGCGTGTCAAGGCTTTCTTATTAAGATCCTCGGCCACTTTAGCTCGTATCGCTGCCTCCTCACCAGCCAGATCGATCGAGGAGCGCACCTTGCGCAGCGGCTTCTCAACCTTGATCTCGCGAATGAACTCCACCGACTCATACTGTCCTCGAATGTAGCCATTACGCTGCGGGCACTCGGGATGTATGCAAGGTTTGGAAACAACCATGAAATACCTGGGCTTGCCTAGACCTTCCTGCATCGGCGCCTCGAGGCCGCAATCCGAGCTGAGGAGCAGAGTGATAAAGTCTCGCGGGGTCGTGGGGCCAGGAAACTGTGCCGAAAGCTGGTAGACCTCCATCTTGCCCACGCCGTCCAGTACCGTGTTGACGACCCGCTTGTCGGCGCCAATGCCTCGAATCTTGCCATCACCGGGCTTCCCCTGGACTTTCAAGCTCTCGGCAAACTCGCGCTCCATGCCCAGCTTCCATTTCTCGAACGATAGGCCTTCATGTATGCTCCTGCGGGCGAACCATGCTCCCTTCTTGTCCTTGGCGCCCAGCCGGTATACATTAACTCCTAGTGGGTTGTCGCGCGGGTTTACTTGTACTTCCTTCCACTCTTTCCGTAGTTGCTGAGCCCGTTCCGACGAGTTAGGTGCTCTACCTGGGAGCTGGGGAGAGACTGGATCCGTTGCGGAGCGCGGCCGGCCGTTCTGTTGTACGTTAGAGGTGAGGGATATGGGTATCGAGTCGATGAGACATTGGGCGTCGCCAAAGGTGTCCTTCATGAAGGCGCCAACGTCGTCGGGGTCGATCTTGTCCCAATCGATGGGCGCAAGCGCCTTGAAGGCTTCGTGGGCAGTATTCGGACTCATTGTATCGTTTGATCTATTATGTTTCCCATAAAAATACACTGTCGTAGCAATCAAGGTAGTGCTTGCAGTTGTTCGCAGCTATAGATGCCGAGGCTGCTGCGTGACGGTCGCGGGGTACTAGTGAAACATCCAGCGATCTAGGTTGCGATACGGAGAAACGAGAGTGTTGCTGCTACTGTTTCCATGTCCTATGTAGATGCAGATTCAAAGTCAAATATGATGCAAAACGCGGAAACGGAAAGTTGTTCAGAATGTATAAAAGAGGAAGTCCCATAACTTTAGGCGCATCCCGTCAACAAATACGGCTGTCCGTACCGTTGGTTTCACTCAGTGGGGCAAATGCTGAATATGGCTAACAGCAAACGTTACCACAAGCGACACGGCTACGTATATCACGATTCCTCCTCGTAATATCTGGTGGTTGAAAGAGCTCGGTCAGACCAGATCTCAGATCCTTCACAATTGACGTCACAGCAAGCAGGGGTCAACCGAACCTGGACAATCCTGGTAGCACCCGACGTCAATTATCCTGGGGTCAATTCAACGCGATTCGGTGCGGAGCTTTTCTCCGAAGTCCACCGTTGTCTTTCGTCGTTGTACCATTTGAAACAATTCAATCATCCTGCTATTGATTCTTGGTTATATCATCAGCAAATCTTGATTGGTTTACTTGTGTTCCCCTTTCAACCCCGCATGAGATCCCTACAATCAAAATGAAATATGTTGTCCACATGGGAAAGCAGATTGGCGGGTTGGAACTAATCAAAAGTGCAACTGACCGCTTCTGGTATTGTGTCATTCTCAAAAGTGATCGTCGGTGTCTTCCAAAGCAGTCAGGCCATGCTCGGCCATGCTCATCCAAACTGCGCCATCGCTGTTTCACAATTATTGGTCACGGGTAGACCGTTAAGTGTGAATACACGTCGTGCTGATCCAACAAGAAACTGCATCCACCTGCACATATACGTATGCGCATCTATATCTCCAAGATCGCATGCCAATGGGGTTCATTCACTCATGTTGACTTTCGAATGCGGAAAGCGTAGCATTAAATACCGCCACTTGCTTAAATCACGAAGCTGGGGACATGTTTGTGGCAAGTGATCGTTCTCTATTAGCATTACGGGGTGTACCAGTTTTGGTTTTCAGGAGCCACCGCCCATGAAGGAAATCTACCAATTACGACGGGATACATCTCTAGCAATCGTGCAAGTTACTATCATATCTTCTCGGCATCATGGTATGACCCAAACACATCTTGCTCTCATGCAATGTAAATGCCCACATGTTTCGGTAGGGATTGATCAAGTCTCGTCTCCCTACTAAAGTACGTCGCCAGCATCCACAAAACTGCAAATGCCGGCATGGGTACGAACGCAAATGCCGTAGCCCTGGCATAGCAATCACCTACAATGTCCCCGACTTATGGTGGCAAAGTCCGGATGGAATCCAGACTACCGAACATGCCTCTCAATATCCGCCGCCTGACCGCTCTCGTTCAGCCGCGCGTCTGCTGGAGGAAGGCAGTGGAGGTGCTGATGCCAATCGTCGTGCCCAGAGAACGGAACAGGGGCGATGGCGACCGCTCGGTCTTCTCTGCTGGCGTTAGCGATGATGGCAATGGGGATTGTTGTAATGGCTGTGTCGCAAGTCAATCCTGGTTTTAGGATGCAGATGCTCGGGGATTGCGGAAGCATACCTACGCCGGCGCCGACGGCCATAAGGGCAACGCTCGCCACTTCTCCTGTGACTGACTTGACAGCCGGACCTGTGAATAGCACCAAAGGGATGATGCTGAGGAGGATGCCGCAGCCTACTAAGGCGACTTGTAGAACTTGCCCGTCGCCTTCGTGACTTATCCGAATCCCAAGGACCCAATCAACCCTGCCACTGTGCTGGTGATAAAATCGTTCCTGATTATGTAGCGTGTAGCCCCATGACCGCTTGGTAGAACTATGCAACTGATTGCCAGTAATTCGCCCTCAAACGTTGTCTTCGAAGGGCTAAGTGGTTTCAGGGGGGGCTAATGCCCGTTAAAGAGTCCACCAATCTAAGAACATATCAAGAAATGAAAAGTGAAGTTCCATGAGTTATTCACCAATGCAAACAATGGGATACCCGTCCGCACAGCCATTCCACAGAAATTAGTGAATCAAGTCCAGAAGTGGAGGATTGGAGATGGCATGGGCTGGGGTTTGAAGCGACCTTAACATCTATGAGGACGAAGAAGGGAAAACAGGGGCGTCAGTGCCAGAGGTACGGTGGTGATAACTTTGTCCCCACCTTCCCGGTTGTTACCGTTGTCGAGTCCGAAGAGCAGGAGGAAGACAACGAATGTCAAGGTACGGGCGCCCAGGAAAAGGATGCGCTTGAACTTGCTGATCCAGGGCTCTGCTTCTTAACGCGCGGGCACGTAGAGGGCGAGGTATACGGCCGTCAAGGCTAAAATGGTTATAGGGAACTGTCCGATGGGTTACGATCTCCAGCTGTAGGGGGACAAGACGTAAGTTATGATACTCTTGCATAAAATACATGTAACAGTAGCTTTAGAGTTCAGTGAGTTGGGGTTCCAGAAGGGGTAAATATCGAACAGGAGTGTCTGCCCTGACTTACCGGATGATATCAGCGAAGAAACCGCCAAAGGGCGTCCCCGTCGCCATACCAGTATTGAATACCATGTTGACATAGCCTTGCCAAATGCCGCGGTCACGCAGAAAGACGAGGTCATTCATCAGGACCAAAGCCATTCATACCGCCACCGCCAGCACTGGTGACTGCTCTGGAGATGCACAAGGGCACGGTTTTGCGATAAACCACAGCCTAGACCAAACACGGTGTAGGCGAACAGGAGGCACTTCCTGCGGTCGAACATATCGCTGAGCTATCCTGTTGTTGGGTTTTGGTTACCCAGGGAGTTTCGTGGCAGCTCGGTGGTTGCTAGCCGTGTGTCCGGGTTAAAGGGGGTCGCTTACCGTGCAGACGTGGGAAGGCCGTTAAGATGATAGTACCCGAGACAGAAGACCGCTATTTATTGTATCATAGCGTGAACAAGAGCGTTGGACTAACGAGGTAGCGAACCAGCTTGGATCGACCAGAGCTTTCCGATCACTTCCACCTTGCCACAACTTGCAGTGGCCAATGTCGTGTCCAAGCCGACAAGGTAGACCTTGATGTGTACCCAATCAGTATGAAAATTCACGGGCTCGTTGTAAGAAGAAACATACTCTTGAAGCAACTGCAGGAAACCCCTTTGCCAACGCTTTCGATGGTAGAACCATTCTCAACGTCTTCATTTGCATCTATGTCGTCCTTTCGACCCAAATCTCCCGAATGCATGAAGGTGCGGTTCGACTTTACCTGTGCGGCGTTGCTGGCTCCGAAGGCATTGGGCCGGAGCAACGGGGCAGTCTCGGACAACGCTGCCGCGTCTTGGGTCCGGGTGTCTTGCTCTTCGGCCATCTCGATCGTCAAGAGAAATAATAGTGAAGAGAACTTCCTCTTTCCGCAAAAGTCCGAGTCGAACCAGGAGGAGCGAGGCAGCCGCGACTTCGTACAACCGCCTCTTCCGAAGTGCGGGATCTCGACCAGCTTGTGGTACGGTACAGTACCGTCCGAACCGGCGCCGCGAGACGGTTGGTGGGTTGCGACTTCTTGAATTGGTAACGAACGCAGATGCTACAAAATCTAAAGTCGCACTGGCAGACGTTGAGGGAGTCCTAAGCGGGCTTATTTCCCAATCCATCCTCGATGTACAGGACAAAGGAGCCGTTTGTGCCCACCTCTCACGCACAACAAGCGACGGTCCTCGAATCGAGTGTATGGGGCCGGCACCGTAGTTCAAGCCCCGAGTAGGCTGGAAGACGGCAGCCTTTCCGTTGCGGTCCCAGGCGTCAGAGGCATGGAACGGTTGCTGATAAGGATTCCCTGATTGCCCTGTCGTATTTAAGTCGATTTTGCGACATGAATCCATAGTATGAAAGGAACTCGAATGTTGGCTCTTTTTGAAGCTTCTCCAAGTCTCGAATGCGCCAACTCCGACTATTGTCATTGGCAATCACCCACGACACGATGCTGCTACGGAATCACTTTGGTAATCGAGTCCGTTGGAAAATGATTCCACCTCCAATGTTGGGATTCCGGGTGAATTCAGCTCACATGTGATGAAATCAACATCAAGAACCGACCCTGGGCACGCCCACCTGCAATGGTACCATCGGATGCAGGTACTCCTCCGTCAATATATCTTGTGACACCGGAACGGTTTCCAGCAGGAACGAGACAAGTTCATGTTGTGCCCACATAAATTCCGGATTGGAATGACGAGATTCATGACGAACAACTTTAGGGACATTCCCCAAACTTGGCAACATCTCCTATCAGGAACGAACGACTCGTGGCATTTTCGCACTCCACCGGCGGCCGATATACCCCGCCGTGCCACGCTGTCCAATCCAGTTTTCATTTCGACCAATCTGCTGCGTCTTCGAAATGACCATAACTTTAATATTGGTCTAGCGATCATCCCGGAGTTTCCTACATATTATTGATACTCCTTAAAAAAAAGATATACATACATATATATTGCAACGATCGTATCGGCTGCCCAAGTTGTGCAACGTACGAACTACATGGAGATGTCAACCGCGTGCCCCGGCAGTGCATTTTCTCGAACGTGCATTCTCGTCTCATGCAATATGGCTTTCGGTTTCCAGGTTTCTCATCGTGATGATCGCGCAGGGCCAAGGACTCAGGGGCGTGGAAACCGGGAACAAACACCTCGAAGTCCATCCAGAGCTCCAAAAGCAGCACAACGCAGCGGCAACAACCTGCGAGCTCTGATGGGCTCTAAGCATCTCGTGCGAAACCTCCTGGACAGCCATGCTATTCCTGTCATTTCCCCTGACCATGATTCCCAATGAGCCACTCAGCGGACGCCGATGTGGTGCCATCTTCCCCTTCACCACGCTAGAGACAAAAGGGGACAGGGCAAAAATGACGAGTGTGGCTGATGACTGGTGTGTCTCACAGCCCTGAATACCGCCAACCACAGCACGAAATAAGATTATCTGTCGAGTCTGAGACGAGGAGGTCTGTGTACCCGTGTGCGGTAACTCATCAGTTTCTACTTTGGTACGCTATTGAGTATCTCTCCGTCTTTATTGATGTCTTTGGTTTTTCTTTTGAGAGCTCGCGTCTCTTCCCATTGTTCATCCCACAGTTGGACGCGCTTCCTTGCCAATTTCAATTAAAGTTGATTGCGTTGTCTGTAAAATTCTGCCGTTGTTTCATTTTATCCAGGGGTAACATGCGGAGAAATTTTGCTGATATCAACCAACATCAGATAAATTCTCATATGAAGAAGTATCCCACACTCCGAGTGGACCCCTGTTTTCCCATTTTCAGGGCCCATGGGCTAACATGGGTGCATGAAGTGACTCCTCTACGGCCTTGTGGATATCGCATTTGTGGTACCTGCATCAAAGCAAGGACCGGGTAACGACATCGGCCAGCGGGGGATTATATGTGCAACTGGAAGATTGCAGGCCTTCCTGCTTCTCCTGCTCTCCTGGTGAGGTATCATGGAGCACAATCCACCAATTAATGCCTAATTTGTAACACCACTTCACCCTCTTTTGCTTCAGCCCTGCAGCCATTAATAGAAATGGATACTACGAGCCTCCAGGCGTCCCAGATGGGGCGCTCGCGTTTCTCAAAAGCGTTGCCTGCTCCTCCGCCTGGCCTAGATGACGGTACAGCCATAGATGCTCGACAAGTGCCTCGAAGACTTCCAGCGCTTTCAAACATGGCTTTCCCGCCCCGAAAAGAAAGCGTCGGCGCCAGCATGTCGCCGAAATCACTTGATTCCCCCTTGCCATCGTTGCCGGCTCCTTCTCCCGTGTCAGAGGCGCCGACCAAGAGCCTGCCTTCGATTCCTAGGAAAGCAATAGCCTCGCCTCCCAGTCAGCTCACAGCTGCGCAAGTCAAACTGAGGAGGAAGTCATCCATTTCAAGCTTGCTGTCCGCGTATTCTCGTTCCTCGACAGAATCTGTGCAAAGGTCGTCCCAGGACAGCTCGGTCACAAAGAACAGTGAACCATCACTTTCACCAGAGCTGGATGCGACGAACGACACAAGAAAGGAATTCATTCAAACCTCAGAGTCGTACTCTGGGAATCTGCGTGACGGCGAGTTACCACATACGACGAAAGATACAGGCCGTGGACTTTTACCACCTCCGTTGAAGGATGTGTCGATGCCTAACACGCCCCGGACTGGTCTTCCGGCAACCCCCCGAACTGGCCTTCCGGTAACTCCCCGAAGTACAAGGCCTGCAGAATCTCACGCGGATGCGAATGCGCCATCATCACCAGTGTCATTGACGAACGGCTCACCCCAAAAACATGAAATTTGGAGGCGGAGGAGGACATCTTCCAAGTCGGATCGTAGCCTAGCAGTTGCTGCGCTCAAATTGGATGGTGTCAGCCACGGCTCTACGGCGCAGACCACAACAACTACAGCACAACCCCTCGCGGGTCCTACTTCAGAACAAGCACAAAACAATCCCACGAACCCCATCATCACATCCTCACAGCCACCACCTCCTCCACAGAAGGCGGCCATTGGCGGTCTACCAGGAAGAAATATCAAGCCGGCCACAGCTACAGGGCCAGACAGCGAAATGAAGTCGTTCATCAAGAAGGTCAAGTCCCTTCACACGCTGAAGAAGCAGAGTGAGAGCGTCGGTGAAGCTCCGGACGATGAGACACCCGAGATGCCGCCGATGGTTCCGAAAAAGTCACCGTCTCAAGAGAATATCCCGACTGTGCCGCCCGCTCCACCTCCTAAAGAAGGGCCGATGCCCGAGCTCTCGGATCACAATAGCAAAAAGGCTGCACGGGAGCCTGCGGGAGCAGAAGTGGTGTCACCTGTAACATCGCCCGATTTAACCCCACGGGCGTCCGGAAATTCCGGAAACTCAATTCAAAGACGACCAGTCGGAGCACAGCTCAAGTCAAAGCCAAGCAACGCCAGTCTGAACTCACCTCAACAATCTCAACCACCATCGCAGACATCGTCGCAGACGCAGCCTCACCCTCCTCGCACCACTTCTCGACCTGGTCTTCCGTCTGGCCCAAGACCTACTGCCAGCAACGCAAACGCTCGGAATTTGAACTCAGATCCAAGCTATGTTCAAGAGACAAAGGTTGGGCCAACACCAATGACTTCTCAGAACACCAAACCTGGCTCGTCGTCATCTGTACGAGGCCCAGGCGAAATGCGAGATGCACCACCAGTGCAGAATGGACCACCAATGCAGCAGTACGGACGGCCAATGCAGAATGGGGACTCCAATGGCACCAAAGAATTTTCCCAACTAGAGGTGCCTGGATCATTGGCAACTAACAAGCGCATTCGCAACCTTAGTGTGGACAACTTGAACGCGCCCAAGCCATTGAGCCAAGTCAATGAGACAGAGCTTTCAGGTGGTGGCCCGTCTCCGATGAAGCCTCTTTCAGAAGCCGATCAGAAAAAGGTCAGCGACGCGATCCAACGTTTCCAGGATGTGCCGCGAACCTGGAAATTAGAGCCCAGCGCAGAAGGCGTCTTTCCTGCGGCGCCGCTCACGGTGAACCACTTCAAATGCCTCGGTGACCATCAACAGTGGTTGTCCACGCAGAACCGCAGCTACCCCGTTGCCTGCGCTTGCTGTCACGTCCAGGATATGAACCCACGCAGCGTGTGTAAAGCTTGCAATGTCCGGGTTTGCCGCGCATGCGCAGATTTGCTGAGAGAGCATAAGGATCTGAAGGTTGTGGTGGGCAAGGTTCGGCCAAATGCTTGACCACGACGCACCACTCTTTCAAACACTCGCCCATGGAGCTGCATCTCATTCACCAAACGGCAGACCTTGGCAATGTGTAGCAGGAGATTTTTCATTTGTTTCTTCGAACTGTCTACAACGTATGGACTATAAAAAATGGGGAATGTTGGAGGCGTTTAGGAAATATTACAGTACGAGATTTCGCGATTCTCGTTGGATGATACCATTTCGAAGGAGGAGCCGGTATGAAGCGCCGCATCAGTCCTCAGGTTAGGGTGAGAGGGTGGAAGATACGCGAGATGTGAACATGCCGAGTTCCGAAGCATACCAGAATTTTGAAGAATATTGCCGGACTTGAGACATTTGCCTTCAAGCCATTCAGTGGTACAAGACAACTGCCAAGAAGCCATTGCAGTGGTACGAGACAACTTATGTACCCAACTCTAGAAATACCTAAGGTCATGTCCATGATGGATTCTCACTTCTTCAGCGTAACTTTCTGTTGATCAATCGTAGTCAGTGTAATGGAATTAAAACACCAACTGCCGGCATGACCCTCAAGCTCTCACGGCATTTGACCGACTGAGCTCGTGAATATTATAGTTCAGCCCTGTGTTGATGCCCTGGGACGGTCTCATCTAGATGAAGTCTTGTCAGGTACGAAGTACATCTGATAGGCGTGTTGGTGGGGGTTGCATCCGCTAAGACCGACTCGGGCGATCAGCGCATGGGGCTCGGCAGGGGCCGAGATCGCCAATTAACGAGCTCTAAAGCTGGAACGTCAACCTTCCACACATTTTCACCGCCAACCATGTCGTCTTCGACAGGTCTCAGTCGCACGCGATCCCTCCGCAAGCCAGCTGTTAGCGGGAAAGATTTGTGCCAGAAGGATGCTGCGTCTTCGCGCAATGAGACTACGAAATCCACACCCGCATCGCCCAGCCGGCTGCCGCAAGTCAGGCCCTTGACGCGGTCAGCAACGACGACTGCGGCGTTGTCTAATGCAACCGCCCGAGTCAGACCCGGAGCAAATCCGATCTCGAGTCGACCTGCGTCTGGGATTTTTTCTACGAAGGCTGTGCCCACAGGGACACGGCGTGCTAGTCCGACGAGAGAACTGAATGCAGTGCCGACGCGGCGTGTTAGTCCAACGACTAGAGACTCGAATGTCTCCCAAGCTTCGACTACGGCAACGAAGCCTCTCACAAGAGCAGCCACGACGCGATTGCCACCGTCCCACCAACCTATTCGTAGTACGTTAGGCGGCTACTCATCATCCTCCACAACTTCAGCCGCCACGGTGAAACCAGTAGCCCCCGTGAAACCAACAAGGCCACGGGGCCACTCGCGTGCCATATCGACCGCAACAGCCCTAACGACCGCCACGACCCTCCGCCCACCAGTAGCAGCATCCTCATCGTCACACATATCCTCAGCCGCTACAACGCCCACAAGTACCGCAAACTCGTCCATAATCTCCACCAATCCCCAAACCCGCTCCTCGACCCACGCCCGCGCCCTCTCCCAACCCGCCATCCAACTCCAACAACAACAAGCCGTTGCAATCCACTCCCAGAATCCCGCCCAACAACAGCAACAACGCCCTGCCTTCAACACAAACCAACAACACTACTCCCCGCTGAAATCACACGCCCCCAAACCCCTAACCTCGACCTTCCTAGCGCCCCCCTCGCCCAGCAAACTCCCCGCCAACGTCGCCCTCTCGGCCGAGACGAGCAGGCTACAGACTGAGCTCCTGCAGCTCTCGCTCCTGCACCGCGATGCCGGGGCCGTTGGGTCGGAATGGCATGATAGCGCGCGGCGGAAGCTCGGGAAGCGATTTGGGAAGTTGGTGAAAGATGATGAGGAGCTGGGACGGGCAGAGAGGGATGGGGTTGAGGGGCGGAATGTGGAGGCTCTGGTTATGTGGGGAGAGAGTGAGGGGGGAGGGGAAGGGGGGCTGGATGAGAGGGTACAAATGTTGGATCAGGTACTCAACGGGGTATGGGGGTTGAGCGAGCCCGGGGGAAGGTATAGTCGTGCTGTGGCGGCGTTTGAGGTCTGGGCGGAGAAGATGGCGGGTATCGTGGCTGCACAAAGGAGTGGGGATGTGGATTCGTTGGTTGGGAAGGGGGAGGTGGTTTTCTTGAGCGAGCTAAATACAAGTTGGAAGGGGGAGTGTTTGGTGTTGTCGCGGAAGTTGGACAATTGGGGGAAGATGTTGAAGTTATTGGGAGATGGCGGTGCTTTATCATCACCACCCTTAGGCGATCAAAACAAGAACAACGACGGCAACGATGAGATGAGGCAGAGATCTAGTCTAGCAAGGGTCCTGGAAGGAACAGGGAATCTGGTCTACGATATGTTGGCTGAATTAGCCGTCATGGAGAGGATTGAGAAGGAGGCGACCAGGGCGGAAATCGAGTGGATTGAAAGGATGAATGAGGAGTTGAGGCTTGATGATGATACCCAGGATAGTCGCCAGGTCCCGCTTTGGAAGTTGGTCGTGTAGGCAAGGATAGGAATGCTATTACCACTGCTACAGATTGTGAATATGAGACGGCTCAAAGAAAGTATTTGCAAAGGCTTGACGCCTTAGGTGAAGGGGACTTGAGAGATTGAAGTTACTCATAAACTTCCTACGAGAAAGATATGGCTGGAGGTACCGCCTAATGTCAGATGGTGCGGTTCTGACGGATGTGCTCTATTCAAACCTCGTGCAGGAATCGAGCGACCGGCGTTGGGAAAGCAGTCGAGGCTACGAGTACAAGAATTATGGCCCAGGAGCAAGCCATCTAGTAGAACAACTACCGGAAAAGTCCCGGTGGGGCGGAAGCTTTTGATGACAAGTTATCGTATCACGGCAGGCTACTGCTGGAATTGCATCCATCCATACTCCTTAGATGGCATCTTCACCGTCCTCCTTCCTTTTCTGCTTCAATGACTGAGCTCCTCTGCGTAGAATAAAGTTGTAGTGTATGAGTTCAAGGATTGGAATGCACGCAAGCGGAACTGGGAAACCCGTAGGTGGTCTCCTTGGTTGTCTTGCTAGAGATACCCAACCCATCTCTTGTAAGGTCCAGGATCGTGATCAATGTAATGCATACACTGCGCCTCTTCTCACAGAGACCGATTGTAAAACATGTAGTTAGCATTAGGTGCCATCTGGAGAACCGGGGGGCCTTGGGGCAGGGCCGGACATGCTTGAATAGATTCGTAGCTGTATGGTGAAATAAATATGTATAGCTCTCGAGTTGGCATACTCATTCACTAACTATACTTCACTTAGCTGCAGTGTGACCAAGTCATATCAGGGCTCGTGGAAGGCTGGGTTCAAAGTTAGACATTAGCAAGTGGTTGCCTCTCGACACGCGAATCGTCATAATCGTATTCCGAAAGCCCTTTCATTTCCCGCTATCGTAGCATACCTTTCTGCTCCACTGTTCTCTAATTTAAATCAGAGCGAACTTCCTACATTCAAATAAAGGGGGTATATGTGCTACTCCAGTTCAACAACATCAACAACAACAACCAGCTCAATCCTTCCCTTGCTTATTCTTCCTCGTTTTCCTCCCCAATATCAAATGCATGATAAAGGGGTAGCACCGGCGTTACCTTATCTGGCCCCGTCCAAAATCCTGGCCTCATAACCGTCAACCTCGGCCTCGTCTTGGTCCTCTCTGGCAGCGCAATACGATCCAGATCGACCAATTCTAGACTATCCGGTCCTTCTTCAATCTCGAAGCTCGTCTTCCTCCTCCTTATATCCTCACCCTCCGTCTCCAGATTCTGGTTCGTCACAGGCAGCACCGTGCCCTCACTCTTCCATCTTGATGAGTAGCAGCACATTCCCCTGACATCATTGACCGCCGTCCAAACAAGCAACACCACCCACACAATAGGCCAGACGAAATACAGTATGAGTATCAGGCTGACGCGAAGGATGTGGAACGTTCCCCAGCGCTTGGACGTGGAGTCGAGCAGACACCGCCAGAGGATGATGCGCGGCGCGACGGCGGTTATGAAGATGAAGCCAATGGTTAGGTAGGCCAGGACAGCGACGCCGATGACGGTGGGGACGTAGTCGTTTTTGCGGAAGGCGTCATTGTCGGGGGTAAAGACCATGTCGAAGGCGCGTTTGGTCATGGGGTTGATGGTGGGGGTTTTGTTCATATTGGTTTCCATGATAGCGGACAGTGTGCGATCGGTGTAAGGCCACAGGATGCGGTGGCGGAGGTCGTCCCAGATGGGGTAGATTTTCTTGGGGTCTATGGATTTATTGTATGGTAGTGCGGTGGTAAAAGTCGAAGTGTTTTGCGGCATGGCACTGTTGGATAGTTCGCCGAGAGTGGTTGAAGTGTCGTTCATGGTATTAATCATCATCAACTTTGAAGAGACCGAAAGACTGATATGCCTATGTCGCCCATTTGCGCCCAATGTGAAGACAGTTCGTAGACAAGTTCATTTCGAGCCGGTCAGTTGAATGTGGACAACGTCGAACTAACGCAAGCCTTCTTCGACATTTATTTTGGGAAACTCTCTTTCTCCGTTTATCTCTGTAAATGGGTTTAAGGTTGAGGGTATATCTGGGAACCAGCAGATAAAGTATTCATGCGTCCTTGTGGATCAGTTCCAGGAGAGTGGTAGAGTTTATCTGTTGTGATGTATGGCAAGTTGAACACCGCATCATTTTATACTCCAAATTGTCTGCCATTGAATCCTTCTATGTACCATTATGTTGAGATAGAATCTCGCTCCTATATAATGTTTTCATTTCAACCAAGAGACAACAAGTTCAACTGAGGAGTATGAAGCGTTTAGATTATCGGCCATGGTGTCTGGATGAATCTGGACTGTGTCAAAGGGTACGCTAACATTTTCAAGCTGCCTCTGGAAGTACTTTGAAGTCTCCAAGTTCAAAGGGTCTGACTGATTTCCAAACAAGGTGTTCAGAGCCATTCAACGGAATGTACCAAAGGTTTCATAAGTGATTGTTAAAAAATAGGCGACAATTCTGTGGCTCTGTAGCTTTATATTCGTAATATAAACAAGCCAGTCAAATAAAGTAGAATCACTATAGGGACATTTTACCTGGTCCATCTGCAAAGTTCGGCTTGAGAAAGAGCGTCATTGAGCCACAGAGTGGCAAGTATGACCCTGGCCAAATACTCCGTCACTCCTTCCTCTCTTGTTTCCACAGACAAGAATAAGATGGTAATTCAACTCTTCAGATATGACAGTGTTATTGGCTTAAGTACCTCAGGTCCTTTTATCTGTTATCACCGTCACCAGATGGTCGATACCTGTATCCTACAGTGAAGCAACACAGGTATGAGACATCGAGCGCGTACCAAGACTGCTTCAACTGCACCCACGCAGTACCCCAGAAGCCCGAAGACTCATCCAAGCGCTGCCGGCATACCTGAGCATCTGACCCAGAGTACCTGCGAGCCTGAAACACCCACCTCGAATTCTACGACCCCCCGTCCCCTGGATGACTTCCAGCAGAACAGGGTACTTACCTCCTAACTTACATCCTCTATTTTCGTCTTAACTGCTATTGCGATTTCCACCCGCGCATCACTATGGAAAAGGAAGCCGACAGTGGACTAACAGCGGAAATCCCGCCTACAAGACTAATATCATATTCTTTGCTGCACCATGAGACCATACTCAATAAAGCGATGCAGAGGGCGCAGGAATTGTAGATCAATATTGACCGGGAGATGAAGTAGATAAAGTTGCTTATCTAGGGCGCAGGCCGCGGGAGGGACTTCTAGGCGATGCTCGATGGGATGCTGATGGAGTCTGGGCATTTTAGGGTTGATATTGAGAATAGGGGTAATCCCAAGCCTTCATTCATCAGCCCACAGACCAACGTAATCACCTACCATCAACTCTAGACAAGCAATGCAGTCTTACCACCACATGCCTTGTGGCTGCTTACCTTTGCGCCTGGCCGAGGTGTAGTGGCGCAGCCTGTGCAACTTTATATAAGCCATGTCCCCCAAATCCAGACAAGAGCCACCCCCCTACACCACCTGGAAAAGCTTCTTCCCCATATAAATGCCCACCACTACGCAGACATTAAGTTACACGAAGACTATTGTTGCATACCGTCGTTCAAAAATGCCAGCACTGTCACCGCCAGAAGTATCTATTGTGAGTGTGGCAGGACCGACAGTTCCATTGTCACTCATGCAGCTAGCTGCTAGCTACTTTTGCTCACCGAACATACCTTTGATCTCAAAGGTCAAGGTCCAGAGATAGAGAGAGACATCGCAGGCGCCCACAAGAGCCACATGACATATTGTCGTACCCGACTCGCCATACCTGGCCCTGCCAATGCATTGCACAGATCTAGGGGAAGCTTCCCAGTGCCACACACAGCAGATGAAGGTGCGACGCTTTGCCGTGCTATGGATCTCGACTGAGCTCTATTGGACTACAATGCATCTTACGCAGCCTCACCTTCAAGCATCGGGGTTTTGTCTTGTCATACCGCATACAGCGATGATCGGACATTTTTTCTACTGCGCAGATACAGCTGTCGCCCAGCTAAACAGTCGAAGCTGCAAGTGACCTTGCACAAGGGATAGTGACAACAGCTATTACCTGCAAGTAGGAATATGTCATCCTGCGGGCCTGCGACTACGCTCGTGGGGTTCCGTGGGAGACGCCATGCCGACTACTAGGTTACTACGCAACGTGGACTTGATGCTAAACTTGCTGAGTCGGTTGTTTGATAGGCTATAAAAGGCAGCATGTCTCAATGCATCTAGATTCGAGACCTTGAAGAAGAAGATAACGAAAATTGCGCAGCCTTGGTTGTAGGATTGGCCAAGAGGTTAGGGAATCAATTGGCCTGTAAACGAATATGCACCCCTGTCTGGCCCAAGATACCCCTGGAGCGACTCCTAATGTCGAGCCTGATAGCGGCTGTGAACATCTGTAGCGGTCATTCCAGGCAACATTTCAAAGTTTATATATGCTGAAGAATCTGGCATCTTGGAGACTTGCAGAGGTTGGGTCACTTGACTGCTACACTGTCTGTGCGGGTTTGGGTCCAAAGCCAACCATTTTCTCGGGGATGGCCTTGGAAATCTCAGGCCACGTAACGTAATACAACACTGAGCGAGGCTTCACTGCGTCTAGCCCATCGTCTTATGAGTCTGCCTGATTGCATGGTCGCAAGTATGACAATAAAATAATTCAATAAAGTCTTTGAAGAAAAGAACAGCCCGGTACATAGAATGAAGATCACCCCCCAGATAGAAAGGTGGCTAGGGTGGAAACGAGGTAATATCTACCTAGTATGTCGTCGAAATAGCCTCTGAACCAGTGATTTTAGACCTGTCTTAGCCATCACAATGTGACGTACCTCGATATCCCCTGCGGGCCGCAAGGGAGTGATATCGCGGCTCTTCTTGTGGCGCAAAATGTCATGCAGTATATTTAACCCGAGCTCGCGGAGCAAAACGATTCTCTGAATTGAAGCCTGATTCTTGGGGTCTATGTGTATGTGCTCAACTACAGTAACTGTGAGCGTGTGGGGTATCGATGATATCCGAATAATTGGTTCATACCAGAATATCGGAGCCTCAGAGGGACTAAGTAGCGGTAAAGGACCGGGCTCATGACGATTGGGTGGAAGGTGAAGAAACGTCATTGTGTCGTGTGATGGCTTTTCAGTCAGTAGGGAACTGCCCGCCGACACATTATGAGTTGCGCGTCGGTATGGCCGGTGAAGCCCAAACACAGCTTCTCTGGATAGCCAAAGAGGTTGCAACCAGTAGAGTGGATTTTGCCACCTTGAATCCACGCGGAGCCTCGTTCATGGTGATATTGAAAGAGGTGATGTACTTCGTAGACAACCAGTATCGAGAAATCGGGGATACTGGGGTAAGTTTTAGCGTTGCGCCCGACCAGAGAGCGTGCGATATGAGACTCAATAAGGTGTGGGAGGAAGAGGAAAAACTGACCAGGCTCCAGGAATCTCGCCATTGAAGTTGACCGTAGCTGTGAGGTTGTCACTAACAAATCACATCGGGCACTGCAATGTTGGGGGCTGTTGGTATCGTCAAGTGACCCTCATGAAACTGAAGCCAATATCGCAGCTTCGTCAGCGTACGCGAAGACGAAAAAATGTTGCTGACGTCGCCTAGAAGTTTTCACTCCGTAGATATTGATTGGTCGAACGAAGCTGCATATCCAGCAACATATCGTGTAGGCTGGCTGGACTCCACCCCGCTTCTGAACGAGCTTGCCAGCCTGCTGGGAAATGGCACCCAGCCAACGCTCTGGATATTAGGCAACTGCTTGCCTAAATTTGCGAACTAGTCAATCCATGCGAACCGCGGAGGTTGCCTTTTTCATGACATGGTCCCGGGTGGTCCCTCATCCCGAGCCCCAAACAGACTCGATTGAGACTACGTATATTGGCGCAACTGAGTCCTGCGATTCCGATGAAACCTTTTTGAGCAGTCCAACTGAGTTGTACGGCAGATAAGCTTGGACAACGAGATTCTTGCAAGCAGCCGACGCTGAAACACCTCAGCTACCCTTTTCACATTCCCAAGGCGGTCGTGCTTTATAGAATATATCATCCATTGGACGAGTCGTGCAAACAACGCTACCAGGAATGGACGCAGCACAGCCATACAACCTGGGCGATTCTTGATGCATATTGGGGATAGAACGACTTCCAAATAAATTGCGGTAGATGTAGCAAGGGTAAAGGTGCAAAAAGGAGGCGTCGTAGAATCCTTCAGGGTGTGGCGGCGCCTTATAACACTTGGCAGTTGATCGACACGATTCCTATATCCTTGATCTTGGTATTATACTGATCCGGGGAAACCTTTGGTGGGATTGCAGAAGTCAGGATGTACTGATAATCTTGAAAAGCGCTGTGCGACCTGAGCTCATTAGTATATGTCATGTTCACGTTCCATATCATGCTTGGGGCGTAGATACTCCCACCTTCATCAATTGGATGGTGGAACCCCACTTCACCTCTAGATGCTAATAAACCACACATTCCCACTCGACCTTCCCACCGTATTGAGAAACCGTTCCCCTTTCACGCCACTCTCCCATCCATCCATACTGTGCCAATTATGGTCACAACCTGGATAATTATTTGTTCAAGGACTCCGCAATATACGCCAAACCATCATCTTTATAAATTCCACACCTACACGTTTTGCTCTTTGACATTGTCCCCAAGATCAAAGTTCACGCGCAAGGCTGAGAACTGCCCCCCTCGGCTGTCAACTCTGACAACTATAGAGTGACAGCGAACACGATGGCTGGTTACCAAGGGTTCGTCCAGCTTAGCGGGAACGGTCCGCAAGCGCCTGGGCAGGCACGCCCCCCAGGACCTCCAATGAACCCTCCGCCGCCGCCGAGAGATTTCCTACCAATGGAGTTGCGAAATAACCGTCCATGGCAAGAGATCTCGGATGTTAGTCAACACTTCGTGTCAGACAACGACATGCGCGAGGCTCTCACCGAGTACTATACTATCCGCTTCGACAAGATACCCGGAAAGTATAGTATAGATGGGCAGCTGGTGAAACCGAGCTGGGAAAAGGCACTGAAGACCGAAGTCCGTGGTCAAAGCAGCACAGATACCGCCAGGCAGATCCGTCAATTAGACCAGACGACAGGAGACGTCATGAATAAAAAGGCCTCTCTCAGTCCCGTGCTTCAACAACACATTGATACCGCCTTGAACGACCTGTTGACCAGCGATCATGATCCTGCCAACTTTCAATGGATTCTCGCCCAGATAGACCACCAGCTCAAGCGCCTCGATCGTGTCGCTAAGAATAGGCACTGCAATCCCTCGGCTAGGAGGTCGTCCCATCACAAAAAAAGGCAATGGGAAAGAGTGGCGATTACCGCGTATTTCAAACGCACTCCGCGACCAACTGTCAACATACAAACGTTGTATAATGCAACACAGAGGATGGCGAAAGTCATACTTCAACCGAACATGATGCAGGGTCATCCGCAAACGTTCCAGCAACGGGCTCAGCAGCACGGCCAACAGCACGGTGGTGCAGAGAAAGGCCCGCCGCCGCCACTGCCGTTCGGGGCACGTGGACAAGGAGGACCTCCAGGTGGCAATTGGCCTTTACCCAAAGACGGTGGTCCAAAGAAAGGCCTACCCCCGCCGCCGCCACTTGGAGGACGTGGACAAGGAGGACCTCCAGGTGGCCATAAGCCTTTACCCAGAGGCGCTGGTCCACAAGGATATGGTGGGCCTCTAGGAGGTGGTCGCCCCGCAGGAATCGCTCTAGGCCCTGGGAAAAAGCCGGCCCCGAAAGTCATCAGCGACGACGAATCTATTAGTGACGGCTCTGACCGCTCCTCCTCTACTGCAAGTTCATACTCCTTGCCGGGGACATACACAACCTCGCGGTCGTCAAACTCATCAGGCTCCAAGCGAGGTCGCAAGAGGAACCAGAGCCGACACCGAAGCCGAAGCCGAAGCCACGTGAGAAAGGGTCGAACACGGGAGACTAGTCGGCACTTCGGGATTGATGGCCCCAGGCAGCACTCTAGAAATGAGGGCAACTTCATCGTCGACAGTGGCCGCAGAAGCCCTATTAGCCTTCTTAGTCCTCGGCAAATGTCTAGGGCACCTGGGTCTCCCATACGCTTCGTTCACACAACGTCGGCGAGTGATATCGAGAGGATCAGGGAGGCTGCCTTTTTAGCCGGGAGAGTCCACGAGAAAGCGAACCAAATAGTAGATGACGAACGCGAAAGACGCCAAAGGCCAACTCCATCTCCTCCACCGCCTCGGATTGTCCAGATGCCGTCAGGGGTTCGCAGAGTCGCAATTGATACTAGCCACATCCACCGTCCCAGGTACGGAGGGCTCTCAGACGATGGACTTCACTTCGACGCTTTGTCTTTGGACGAGTCTGAATACGAGCGAGAGCTTCGTCGTCATGACAAGGCTCGTCGTCGTGATTTCGATATTTCACCGAGGTATTTTTGAGGAAAGTGTCGATGATTTCGTCCAAGAGGTCCCATATCACGGTCAAGAGCGGAGGGCACGCGCGTGCATACGTCCTTGTGAGGCAAACCACTTCGTTCACGTCGGAATGAGCGCGAGAGAGCCTTTCGCCAGTAACCTTTTCGAGCCTGTTGATCCTGGCTTGGGACGGGGAGCCCAGTACAGGCCTGGCCGTTTCTGATGATCTGTTCTGTTCATTGGGTTTCTTCCTTGCACTGTTTGTCTGTTGGCTTCAATGCGGATGTATGAGATAGTAAAGCTTACCAGAACTTCGCGGTCATTTCTCTAGCATGACCTGTATGTTTTATCCATGGTGGCCATGGAGGCGGATTTGTCCAACGTTCGTAACAATCTGGGCTGCAACGGAAAGGAGGATTTGCCGGTTTGGAACAAAGGAATGAGAGGCAGCTCGATTACCCCTTCAATCCCAGTCTTTATCGAGAGCAGTCAACAAATTCCACTTTTAACTGTCAATGTTCAAGTTGAGTCGACTCTCATTAGTAGTTCTCATTAGTAGTGCCAACCGTCTGACATCACGACATTTATGCAGCATGAAGTGCGGGGATAGATCGATCCAGGGCTACTGGATGACCAGGTGTAAATCCGTGCCCACTGTGTCGATGTGTAAATTCAACGGCTGCACAAGTGGGATGTTGCAGCAATATTAGCCAGTATGAAGAAGTGAGGCAGGCGTCCGCAGATGAGGGAGGACGCTGGTCCAATGCCATGCTGGCAGCTGCAGTGCGATTGGAGTCGCTGGTCGGTCTTCAACCGTCACTATATATAATACTGTTTTTCATTGGCTCAGGTGGTTGGGCATAGTTGGGCATATGTATTAGGTATTGACCATGGAAATTGTTGACGAAGGTTGGATTTGGACATGTAAAATGATTAGAAAATGAACTGCAATTCGCAGTTGTTCGAAGTTGAGAACTGTACTAGCTTGAGAAGAAATGCAAGTGCGGCCAGAGCTCAGTCTTGTACTGCCTACAGCTGGCCTCAGCCGGCGCGCTTGCACACTTGACTCTCCAGCTGGCCGGTGGCAGTTGTTACTTCCTTACTCGAGAGCACGATAGCATTTACTGGAATCAATGAGTAAATAGAATAACGAGAGTACTTGTCTTATGGGAGCCATCAGTCACTGGAGTCTGACAGCCCCGACCGATGTAAGGTGAAGTCAGGATGCTGGACTGAACAGCTAGGCTCCCATTGGACAAATGGGGAGGGCGGCTGTCCTACAGGCGACTTTATACCACTGGAATTAAGCATACTTCATAGATCAACTTAGGTTAGAACGTGACCGTTACCTCTCCCAAAGACGAATAACTTGAGTCTCATCGCGCGCGGGTAACCGCTGCGGTCGTCAGGATGGCCGCTTCCTTGGTGTCAGGCATGACTTACCGCTGGCTTGTATACAGGACTTGACTTCGACAAGCTATTGTAGGGCTTCGAAAAACTTGACAATTTAGTCTTCCAGGTAGCTCACGGTTTATTCGTCTCGTCATTAGTAAAGAAAGGGCATCGTGTTGATACTACCAACGGCTGATCTGGAACAGGGGTAAACTACAGCAGCGCTGAAGTCATCTCAGTATATCTACAGTGTTCAGCCTACCATTTCACCTAAGCGACTTGGCCACCTTCACAAACTCCCGTATTCTTTCTAAACTCTGCCTGCCATCAGGCCCTTCGACCCCAGTGCTCACGTCGACTCCTATAACTCTGGCGCTATCTACTGACCTCACGGCATCGGATACGTTACTGGGATTCAATCCCCCGGCCAGAATGACCCGAAGTTCCTGGTCTTTTTCTAAAGTTGCCTTGACCCCCACGGCATCTAACAGCTGTCCCGAGCCATCGCCAGAGTCCAACAGAGGTACTGTATGGTAGCCGCGTGCTCCGATACTTGGCTGTCCTGGGCTGAATTTTCGGATCACTGGTACTGGGATGGAGCCCGACCACTCAATAGGTTCGTTGCCGTGCAGCTGCACGATGTCGAGTCTGTATCGGCTCTGGAAGTCCAAAATAACGTCAAGGGGCTGGTTGAGGAACACTCCTACCAGGAGCGGCCGGATGTGGCCAATAGATGTGAGCTTCTTTCTTGCCGAAGCGAAAAAGTCACTTGCGACGTTCTTGGGAATACTAGATTGTGCTTGAGAGACCGGGCGAGTAAATCCGTGTACCGCATTTGAGATTGCTGTCGCAGTCTCGTCAGACACAGTTCGTTTCCGTCCTGGGACTAGGATAATGCCTATCAGATCTGCTCCCGCCTCCGCAGCTGCAAGGGCAGCTTCAGGCGTCCTTGTTCCGCAGATTTTGACGAGCAAAGGCTCGGTATTAATTTTTTTGGGCGTTACCTGACCGGCACAGAGCTGCTGGATGAATTGCGAGGCATCTGGCGCACGCATGATTGTCTCCCCGACCAAAACGGCATTTACACCGTCTTTGTGATTTGCCACAACGTCTTCGTAGGTGTTGATTCCACTCAGGGCGCAGATAAGGGTCTCCTTGGGCACCAGGCTGCGCAGTCTGGTGGTGGTACTCAGGTCTACCTCAAAGGATTCTAGGTTGCGGTTGTTGACGCCGATGACTTTAGATCCAAGCTCCACGGCAACTTGCATCTCTTCTGCATTCTGGACCTCAACAAGAGGCTCCATACCAAGAGATAATGAGTAATTGTATAATCGTGACAACAGTTCGACGTTCAGCATTTTCACAATTAGCAGCACCGTGTCGGCTCCGGCCAGTCTTGCCTCCAGAATCTGATACTCCTCGAAGATGAATTCCTTTCGTAGGATTGCTGGCCGATTGGGCATCCAATTGAGAGTTTGCCTCACCACACGTAGATCTTCGATGCTGCCCTTGAACCACTCGGGCTCAGTGAGAACTGATATAACACTCGCTCCAGCCAGGGCATACTTCTTCGCTTGAGTCGGCGCGTCGATGTCCATGGCAAAAATGCCCTTTGACGGAGAGCCCCGCTTGATTTCGGCCATTAGAGACACGTCGAAAGGACTCTGACGTAGCCTATCAACGAAGGAGATCTGCGGCGGAGCGGCATTGAGGTCGTATGCTGCCTGCAGGTCTCCAGGCCGCTGAGATGGAATTTCTTTCTGTGCCGCCACTGCCTCCCGTCGGTGGGCATATATTTGCTGGAGAATATTGTTCTTTTTGGCTTCAGAGAGCGCTGAAGCGGCTCCAGTCGCCTCCGCAACTCCGTTCGAGTGTGCCAGCTTCTGCAGTCGCTCGTTCTCCGCCCATGTTCCACCTTGCATGTGCAAAAAATTCCTGATCATCTGCCTCCCACCGACTGAAAGGATACTCTCTGGGTGAAATTGAACACCCTCAACGGTATACTCCTTGTGGCGGACGCCCATAATGAGACCCTTTTCACCGTTCTCCTTCGGGATCCAGGACGTCACCTCCAAGCATTCAGGCAAGGTGACATGGGTACCAGCCAGAGAATGATATCTGGTCACGGGGAGGTCTTGGGCTAGACCAGCATAGACACCATTGGAATCGTGAGTTAGGGGCGAGGTTTTGCCGTGTAGAATTTCGCCAGCGGAGTTCACATCGCCGCCGTACACATCGAAAATACATTGCTGGCCCATGCAAACGCCGAAGATGGGAATCTTGCCAGCGAAATGCTTGATGACGTCGCGACTGATGCCAGAATCTGTAGTGGGGTGGCCCGGTCCCGGACTGATAACCAATTGAGTCGGCTTTCTAGCTACAAGTTCATCCACAGTTATCTGGTCGTTTCTGTAGACCGAGCAGGTGGCACCCTCAAAGCAAAGATACTGGTAGATATTCCAAGTGAAGGAGTCATAATTGTCGATGAGAACGACGTTTGAAGCTGTTGCGATTGGCGGGGCAGGATCTGGATGGTGGGGTGAGTGGTCAATGAGATCCAAAGCCGCCATGATGGAAATATGTCGGGTGTATTGCAGACAGCCGCGATGGATCCCGGCCAGTGGATTGGTAGCAGAGAAGATATATCTCGAAGTTGTCTTTTGGGGTTTAATGACTTAGTAAGACAGGTGAGTAGAAGAGCACATTCGTGTTTACGTCATGAGAAGAGGCAGATTTTCGGAAATTTGGGTGGTGACTTGATTGGACAGCGTAGAACTCGGAAGGCCCGAGCTTCCAAACGGTAGTGACTGCTGATATTAATTCACTGTCTTGCTGGCAGTTGTTCCAGTAGATATTTACTCTAATAGACAACCTCGTAGCTCTATGCCAATGGTTTCTAGAAACTTTACTTAATTCATTTTGGGGCTACACATTAAAATTCTTCCAGCAGCATGCCATCCTCTGCATGCAGTGGCCACAGCTCCCATAAGTAGCTAACAAGAAGCGTCCATCCCCCATCCACTAATGAGTTCTTTGACCATGCAAGGCTTAAGTCCCTTGCGCCTTCAATAGTTCTTCTAATTGGCTTGATCAAGTCATTTGGATGCAAGGCTGACAAACAGCGGGTTCTTTAAGTTGTTGTCTTTTCGTCGCCAGAGACAGGGAGCTTGAGAGCTTGGACCGGGATCTTGAACTCTAGAACTTTTTGAGGCAAGCTGCAACTACTGTCAAACACCACCAACCTGAAAGCGCGTCAAGCACAGCCGAACTTTTCTTCACATCCCACATCATTGCATGATTTTGATGCACAAGGCAGCGCGCATTGCCGGCTGTTGTCTGCAGCAATGGCACCGCTTCTTGTGGATAAGGTCTATCTGCCAGACTTAGAACCTTGCTTGAAGGGCGAGACAGCGATTCTGTAAGTAGCGGCCCGGTTTGGTATTCACTCCCACCAGATGCGCTGACATTCGATCCCAGGTCTTGGAGGCTTGTTGCTTTGGCATTGGCAGACAACACTGGCCATCGGCAAAGCAGTCAAACCATCGTAGACTTCCTCACCAATCCCCAAGTCCAGACATTCTTCACCAAACCCTCCACTACCTTCGAGGCCCCCGCCGGCGACAATGACCCATACAAACAGACCTTTGAGACGCGAACGTCGGCTGTTCAGGTCACACCGACCCCCAACGATAAATACGATGTCGCAGCGATAAAGGAGGATTCGGTATGGCTGAGCAAGAACGCGCGCATCAACCTCATTGCTGCATTGCGCGTAGTGTTGATTGAGTTCCAATCTCGAGCTCGTAGCCAGCTCACTGGCCCGGTTTCGAGCCAAGATAACTCAAGTCTTCAGGAAGCGGCTGGCGCTACCAATGCGCAAGCATCCAGCATCCTGCCAGGGCTGAATTTGACCAGCACACGCGACGCCGTGGAGATCCAGACCGACTTCGACAAGCTGGAATCCAGGCGGCGGCGGATATTTGAGTTCTACCTTGTGGAGCGACGCTACTTTTCCATGACTACCGACTACATATTCACCCTGATGCTGCAGGAGAGTTTGCCTACGTCGCCAGTGACAAATGCGACAACCGTGATACGCAACTCCTTCCTCCAGGCTTTCGGTCTCACATCTGCAACACCCCAGAGCGAGGCACCCGCAAAGACATACCATGCCCTGGTGTCACAGTATTTTACACTCGTGACTGGAAGCATCAATAATATCGGAGACATGGGCTCAGTTGCCCAGGATCAAATCCTGCATGACGTGGATTTGCAAAAGGAATGGATGAAAGCGTTCCTCGAGGAGGCCATTCATGAAATGACGGTTGCTTTCCAATTGTTAGATCTCGCCAACCAAGTGCTGGCTCCGGCTGAGCTCCTTCAGCAGTGGTTCCAGTTCCTCGGCGACACGTCGTTTCTCAACCAGCTTGAAGCATTTGAGGATCTTTCCGATCTCATACCACCGGTTTACTGCCTTCTTTGTGCAATCTCGCTGACAATGTTCAACATCCCAAGGGTCATACAGTACCTCGAAGGCGAAATCGATGTTGACAGTCAGGTTGAGTACATTGGCTCATCTGAGGCTCTTGAGCTAGTTCATGAAATCATAATGGCCGCTGTGGAGCGGAACATTTCTCCCGCGATACCAGTTGCATACGGCTGGATACCTATACTGCATGGAATGTGGCGGTCATACCAAAACCGCGCTGAGAAGAGGGACGCGCTGCAAAACCAGAAGGCTATTGAAACATACGACTCCGGCACGGCAATGATACCGGGCGCCGGCAGAAGGAACTCCGCCGGTAGCATCACTACCATCGACAAGTCCAGCTATGACGATTTTCTGACCAACACACAAATGGAGAAAGAAATAAAGCCGGCGCAGTTTCTTGCGGAGGCTGCGACAAGCGAGGGCCGTGTCTTCTCAATCATCACAAGAATAGCTGAGTGGCTAGGTACCTCTGAGCACGTTGCGTTTGCTGCCTCGGTGGGGTCGAGGATGAGATTAGTTCTTCTAGACCTGTTGAAAGCCACATATACTTATGTGCCATACAATGCTGAGTCTGTGACGGCTTTGATTTCGCTCCTGTCCCCGGGCCACGACTACTGGAATCTCTCAAAGCCCAATAACCTCCTTCCCAGGCAGGACATCGTGTCCTGTACACTGACTGACGGATTCACTCTTGACACCTACTTTCACCAAGCTTTGAACCGGTACCCTTTCGAGTTCGCCCCTTTTTCGAGGCTCTGTCGGATTCTTTCATGCGCCACGTCAAGTGGGGAAAAGCTCGTGGATATCGTCAATCTCCTGCAGAAAACACCTACACTTGTCTTTGTTATGCCAGCATACCACTTCAACCAATTCGAACTGATCCACGAAGATAGGGACGACGACATGTTCGAGCTGTTGGAGGATATACCTCTGTTTCCCGTCGTATCAAGCCGGAAACGAATACCAATGGATGAGGAGGATCCATTCATCGTACCTGCCAGAACAACCGGCGTCTTCATGAACACGGCGAGCGCTGATGGTCCCCGTATAGTTAGAGTCGAGTGGGAACATTCTGCTCTAGCGCTTTTGGGCAAACGGTTGGAAGCGACCCTCTCTCCGAAGCTGTACCAACTGGCACTTGGCCAGCTGAGCCCGGATGACACATCTGAGGCCATCTCCTTAATTGGGACCTTGATCCGGACCGAAACACTACGGGCTTCGAGAGCAGCTGGCGACGCTGAGGGCTCTGAAGCTGGGTTGATAATCTTAGCTGAAGTCAGCCGCGCCCTTCCACGGAACAAGGACATCATCTCGATTGTCTGCGAAATCTTGGACATCTACCTTGAAGGCGAGCCAGGCGACTCCAGCTTGGCAGTGCTCACAGCGTGTTTCCAGTTTTTGCATGCGATATTGCCCCTGTTCCCTGGCCGAGTTTGGTCTTACATGGCAAGGAGCGCGGCGTTAAGCAACGATTCGAGCGGAGGACGACTATCCAGGCTCGTGGGAACCCTAGAATTGTCGAACGCCCAATTTGACTTCTTGTTGTCTGCCGTTCGTGTGTTCTCGAACCTCGTCGACAGCGCCATGAGCAGTTCTGTCCAACGAAAAGCAGTCACAAAACCTTCTCCACGACAAAAAGCGAATGAAAATATTTGGCTCGGAGTTTCAGATAAGATTATGACACAAATTACGGTCTCAATCTCCCATGCTGTTGTAGACATATTCGAGAGCTCGTCTACTTGGAAATTTCCATCCGAAGTGCATCGGACCATTCTCATTCGCGATCTGGTCCCGGTCATGAATAACGTCATAACCTACACTTTCGGCATAGATGATATGACCAAGAGGAAGACTTTGACGACACCGTTGGAGATATCTGCCAAATATGTCATTGACAGCTTCTTGTCCCCTGCCGCTGGAAGTCTACGCATTCAACCTCTCTTGGCCACCCTGGTGGCGGCGAGCCAGTGTCCCAATACAACCTTATATGCGAATGGGCGTCAAGCAATCTTCGATCAGACAATTGCTGTTCTCGGCCTGGCAACAACTCTCGTGAGGGTTGCCAACTTCTTTGACCGGTCTTCAACTACTATCGAATTGCAGCTATTCAAGGCGACACCTTTTGTTGCCAGGGTATGTGCGGCGAATGATGCATTCAGAAAACCTGCAATTTCACTCCTCGAGGCCCTTGTGGTCAGCGCTGGTAAAACCACGGGAGAGCCACCATCGCTGCTTGGGTACCTTGGTCCTCGGACTTCACGAGCATTTTTGCAGCTACTCTCGACTTTAGACAGACCTTTTGACCAAGCTGAACAGGTCGGTGCGATATGGCGCTTCTTTTCAACCATTGTCCGGAATAGACAGCAGTGGATGGCCAATTGCCTTCTTACTGGGAAAACGCCACGTGATGTAAGGGAAGGGCACGACAAAACTTCACAGACATCTTCGGATTCTGTTCTTACGTCGGCATTGGGTAGACTGTCCTCAATCTCATCCATTCCTACCTCTGAAGCCCTCTCTATCCTGGACTTCTTAACGTCTGCCCAGAATTACTGGCCCTGGACGATATTCAACCTCCAGAAAAACAACGAATTCATGTCTGGCCTGCGGAGTTACGTCCGTGAGCTTAAGTCATCTAGCATCACCTCGAAGACGGATGTTCTGCAGGCTTCAAACGAGGCCCGTATTGCGGCGTACATTGCTGAAACTTTTGCAATGCAACTGTTCCATCTGCGGCAAATGGGTCAAGCAGGTCCTCTTGCCAAGGATCTCGCACAGGACCTGGATTATTACTTGAGGGACGGTGTCCTTGTCTCGGGGTATAACAACTCGCTGCATGCCAACTTTTCAAGAAACTTTAGCAACCAATACCCCGGTTGCACACTAGAGAACTTCAAGCGAACGCTACTTGAACCCCGGTCTCTTGGATTTGAGTACTACTATGCGTTGAGCTTCGCAGACAGGATGCTTCAGTTCGATCCGGGCTGGATTGGGCCTCGGAACAACGGGTTCAAGAGTGAGATGGAAATGGCCAACGCAAACTTGTCACTTGTCGATGCACAAATAGTAAGTTCCCTGAAGCCACCCATTGTGTCGTCACATCCTAACAGTTTTTTAGGCCTTGTTCCACGCTTGGGAATACCTGCTGCTTGAACTGAGTAACTGCTTACCGCACAATGATGCCTTGAAAAAGCAGTCATTGCAAGTTGCCGAGCAGTGCCTCGAAGCGAATCAGTCAAATCAGGGCCACGAACTCATATTTGAAAGGCTGACAGAATCCCGCGTGAATCTAGCACTCATGCTTGTTCAGCGAGTGGTCAACAACACCCCATCAGCAGGCGACGTGGCTCAACTGTTGACTACCTTATGGGCAACGGTCAGCACTGTCGAAGAGCCGTACAACAAGGATAGCATTCTCCTATACCGGACCCTCCTGAAGTTACTTTATGTGACTCTGCGGGCCCAGGTCAGTGCATCTGGTCGAAACCCCAAGGATACAGCGGAAAAGCTTGCTATGAACAACTCTGCTGCAGCTGTGTCCCAGACTGTCTTGAGCATTCTCGATCGTGTCGTCGCCGGAGGGTTTCGGACGCTTGTCTCCCTCATTCATGACTCAGAAGCCATCATATTCCCCGAGGATATCGCAATCTTGACTGCCATCATGCAGGCTTGTTTGTGCATCCCAGGCATTAGTCAAAGTCAGACTCAGATCGTGAACATCATGGCTGCTCATGATGCAGTCCATGTGGCTGTGTCGTTGTACTCCTGGTCCGACAAGTTGGCCGACAAGGGCGATCCTATTTACGGCGAGCTATCCCTGCTTTTCCTACTGGAATTGTCTGCGCTCCCTTTGGTGGCTGAACAACTAGCCTGCGACGGCTTGTTGAACCACCTCACATCGGCAAGTATGGCGTCGTATCTCAGCCGTCCCAACGTAACGCCCTTTGCTGATACGGTTGGTCCTCAACGCTGCTACAGTATATGGGCCAAAGCAATCGTTCCCCTTCTGCTCAACGTAACGACTTCTCTCGGCCAAACCATAGCCCCGGAGGTTGCGTACGTGCTTAACCAGTTCCCCAATCTCATGAAGTCCAGCGTCGAGCGTTTCGAGGCGCTGGGTGGCAGCCGAACGCAGAGCCGCAACAAAAGTTCCTACATTACACTCCTCTCCGTGTCAGAGGTGCATTCCCTGGCGTTGATCACACGTGTCCTAGGCGTCTTCCGTTCGAACAACACAAGGGACGTACCTGAGGTTGAGTGGGATTCTCAAGGACTGCTGGAGAACGTCGAATTCTGGCTTTCAACTCGCAAGATTCTGAGGGAACGACTGCTGCCTTTGGGACCGAGAGAGGCAGAGTGGAAGGCGATGCCACCGAGTGACATAGGGAAAGCCGCAGGCTGTGAAAGTAGGTTGGAGGAGAAGGTCGTTGAGCAGTTGGAGGCCGTTCGAGCTGTGCTGAGCGAGGATCTGGAATGAGCACCGTACCGATTCTGCGCATTTTGGGCGATAATAAAGGAGCCTCGTCAGGCGGACAGATGGTGGGCTTTTTGGCAGATGATTCCCTCCTGAAGCACAAAACTGGCCTGGCAATTGAAGCGTTAAGGGCTTCTGGTGTTTAGGCGTTCTGCCTGCTTGGAAAGTCATGTACGGAGATAGATAGATGCATTTGGTACATGTCTTTGAAATGTAAAACCCGAGGTTATGTGTATATGGGTATACTCAACCATCAAGATCACGGAACAGGGTGAAAAGGAGTTGAAATTGTGATATTTTCGTGCCCAGATGTACGGAGGATTCGATCAAGGAGCATCGTCCCACCTCAAGTGGTTCTACAGTACAGGTCAAGTATTTGACCTCGATATCGTGTGGTCTGAATAGCCAGTGGCGTCAGGCACGGCGTTCATGCCGAAACATCCACAACGACCTTAGATCATGTCTACGGAGATTTCCCAGGCAACCAGTATACACTCGAAACTGATATGTCTCCATCTCAGTCTCCGTATCAATACTCTCCCAACCCGACCGAGAATATTTCCTTCCATCCTTCCGCACAAATACAGTACACCGATTTTACGGGCAGTTCATCGTCCGCCATGAGAGCTTTTTACCGCGGCTGTTGAGCCTGCTGGCTCATAGCGGTATTGTGCTCGGCGAAGCGTTCACTCAGGCGCTGCGACTGGGCCATCTGCTTCTGGACACAGCGTTGGATGCAGCCCGTCTCGCGCGTAGAGAGGGATTTAGATGTGAAGTCATCGACACAGGACACGAAGCAGTGGTCGACGAGGTTGCTGAAAAGCTGTTGATTAGAAGGTCGCGTTAGCTTTCGTTCATTCGAGCTTCGAATGGGATGTGAGTTGGGGAATCGAGAGGCAAGAGGAATTGTAGGTATAGTGGTGGACATGGTGTGAGTGGGGGCACGTACGCCCATGAAGTCCTTCATCTGGCGCTTTTGCAGGCGGCCTTCGAGCTCGCGCTGCTCGGCTGCTGAGAGTCTGTTGAAGATTTGATTAGTGAATCGGACTCTGCTAAATCGGGCGGGGGGTGGTTAGCCGTACCCCATATCCATGATGTCGGTTGGTCTTCTGTGTTCTTTTTGAGTGTCGAGGCGTGTTGTCAAAGTCCAGCTGTGTCGCAGAGACTGTCGTCGTGTCGTGTGAAGCCGATGATGCTATCTGAAAAGCTAATAGTCGCGACGTTAGCAGCGTCCAACTTTCAGCCACCCCAGAAGCTCTTGGTCTGGCCTTGTATCGATAACGGAGTCGGTCTTTCCCTTCGGACCCTGCCATTTTCTGATTGGTCAGACCCCTGCCCAGATCCCAGAAGCGCGGGGCATCGTAGACCGCAAAGCCAATTTTTTGAGAAAAAAGTTCGAGGGTCGGCATCGTTATCGAAGGTCGACATCAAGAGATATCTCGGCCAGCATTTTCGACTTCCTTCCCAACACCACCAATCGGAGTCTCCACCAATAGAATACAGCCAAAATGCCCAAGTCCAAAAGATCCAAGGTCGTCCACTTGACGCAGGTGTCCAAGAAGACCCGCGAGGATAAGAACCGCCTGTTTGAGAACGTCCGCGATGCCGTTCCCGAGTACCAGCACATTGTCGTCTTCGCCGTCGAGAACATGCGCAACACATACTTGAAGGATGTAAGGAAAGAGCTGTCTGATAGCCGGTTAGTTTCTCCTTCCTCTGCAGGGAACGCTGCAAAAAGATCAATTGATTCGATCGCGTATCTCTCCAATATTCCGTGCCTTGGCCACTGACCATGACATAGCATATTCCTGGGTAAAACAACCGTCATGTCCCGTGCACTAGGTCGCACCCCCGAAGAAGAAACGGCCGAAAACCTGCACAAGCTCAACCCCTACGTCACAGGCGGTGTAGGCCTGCTCATGACGAACCGCCAGCCCTCCGAAGTCATCGAGTACCTGTCCTCCTTGTCCGAAGCCGACTTCGCGCGCGCCGGCACCGTCGCCACGCGCGACTTCATCATCCCGTCTGGCCCCGTCTACTCAACGGGCGGCGAGATCCCTGCTGAGCATGACGTGCCCATGGGCCACACGATTGAGCCCGAGCTGCGAAAACTCAACGTCCCAACGCGGATGGTCAAAGGCAAGGTGGTGTTGGGCGAGGAGGACGGCAGCTCCGAGGGCTATCGTGTGTGCAAAGAGGGCGAGGTGCTGGATTCGAGGCAGACGAGGCTATTGAAGCTGTTTAGTGTGTGCATGAGCGACTTCACTATCAAGGTTAGGGCGTATTGGACGGCGGCCACTGGGGAGGTGACGGTGGTGGATGCGGATGCCGAGAGCTGATGGGATTAATGTTTCAAAGGGCGGCGTGTGTCTTATGTTGTTCTCGTCGCATTCATGACTGGGGCGATACCATCTGATGGCATGGTAACTGGCGTTCCGGTAGTGGAAAAAGGAAACGGATTGGCAACCGCATTTGTGTTGTCGCAAACCAAACTTTATCAATTTCATGTATGCAGGCCCTGAAAACGGGTGCATTACTGGTGGCATATGTGGTCAATGTGCCCTCACAACAGGAGAATCAGAAGGATAATCAGACATAACCTCGCTGAGACCAAGTACGCTCAGGCGTTCTAAGACTCTCAACTTGTATCATATATGCCCCTAATCAGCTTGCCGATTTCTCACTACAACAACCCAACCACCAAAAGCATAAAGGCAGTTAGATGTGGCGCCGGGCATCCTCAGTTTCCTGTGCACAGTTTTCTATAAGAAAGTGGCTATTGACCGTATCAATTCTTCTCTGAGACTATGGCACCACTATAATCTACCGCGAAACAAGTCGATGCCTTGCGCAGCATTAACAACCTTGAGCCTGGGGGGGTTTGTAGATATGCATTGCTATCATGCCGTCAGCTCTATTAGATCACGTAGCAATACTATCTCATCTTTTTCTATCCGTCTCATCATCCACCCGTCTGGCCTCGCTTGCCCCCCCTTCTTCCAGCTAGCTGCCCCATTCTACAGCAGCTAGCTCTTGATGTCAAAAAACATCGTCACCTGCTTCTCAGGATATCTGAGGAGAGGGTGGTTGGGTGTCTTACAAAAAAAAGTAATCGTACAAATACATGTAAAGCTCAAGAACACATCCGCACAGTTGGATATGAGTGTGAATACCACCTCCTTCCGTTAGATATCAGGTAGCTTTGCTCCTACCCACCACATTGTACCGACCATTTAAAAAGGACATATCGCGGTGGTCTGTTCCGTGGAAACAACCGCGCCCACCCCAACCTTTTAAAACGCCGTGGACAGAGGTCCAACCCAGTTTGCCCAAATAAAAAGCCAGCCGTCTTTATACTCCTATCGTGATGAGAAGCTGTTTTCGTCGTTCCCCTGGGCCGCATTCTGCCTTACAAGCAGATACTTGCGGTCCACCCGATTGATTTCCCGTCAAACCCACATGATTCCATAATGTCGAGCGTTCGATCGTGTCCTGGCGACACACCATGGTCATCATGGTGTCACGTGGCGTTCGGGAACGCATAATGTACAGTTGTGATAAGAGGGAAAAAAAGAAGAAAAAAAAGAGGTGGCACTACGCTGGAATGCTATGCAAATCGGCGGAAAATCAAAACAATGGTGCATGCTTCATCGATCAGAAGACTCTGAAGGTTGCATCTCAAACGACTTGCCGGGTTTTGGCGTGTGTCCGTTGGCCCTGTTCCCATTCTCCTTGGCTCCCTCTTCGTCACTGTCCTCGGTCAGGTCTGTTAACCCAAAGCCCCTCGCCTCTTCCTCATCATAGGCGTGCATCAATCCCTCGCGATCGCCTCTACTTCCAACACTGCTCCGGCGTGCTTGCATGCTCAGCCGTGTCTGGATACTCGAAACCATATCGGTTCCCGTTACATCAGTGCTTTTTCTAGCAAGCAAGTTCGTTCCGTCAGGATCGCGCCGCGATAGATTCAGGAGATACACGCCCGCAAAGGTGGTCAGGAAGCCGCTCAGGAGGGATATCGTGTTGACGGTGTCGGTCGTATTGAAGCCAGAAAACAGGATGAAGGAGGCGCAGAGGGTTGCCGTCGTGAAGGTCACATAATACAGAGGGTTCACGCTACCACTTGTTAGCTCCACTGGTATGAAGACAGCTATTTGCTATTCTGTGACTTACATCTGTGTTGAAAAGGTGGCCAGGGCCTTATTGAAGTAGTTCATCTGTGTCAGGATACACACCGTTGTCAAGATCATAAATACATAAGTCGAAGGATGCGAGAACTGGTTGTTGCCCGCAAAAGTGAGCTTCAGGGCAATGCCGAATGCCTTGACGGACATGACGGAGATGGACCCGACGGTGGAGCAGATGGAGAGGTATATCAAGGGGTTCTTTTTGCCGTGGAGGGGGGCAATCTTGTATATCATGACGGATGCGAAGACTGCGACGAATATGCAGTAAAGAAGGAATCCTAGCATATGTAAGCACTAGGGCTCGTCGGTTGCTCGAGTGACCTCTACTCACCAGGTTGAATCGCATATTGTAAAATCTGGTCGATCGTTTGGATTTCTTCGTCGGGTGGTGCGTGGAGGACGATGACAATGGCACCGAGGAGGCATATGGCGCAGCCCAGCTTCCCCAGCGTCCCCAGCTCTTCCTTCAGGAAATAGGAGCTCAGCACTGCTCCTATCAACACTGAGAGGGCTCCTAGCGGCGTCACGAGAATGGCGGGCGCGAACGCATATGCGGCGAAATTGAACACTTCGCCAATACCCACTGAAAGCGTTACTCGTCAGCTTGCAGGACCTTGCCAAACATATTATAGGAAAACGTTGGCGCTCACAAGTCAGGATCCCTCCCCACCATAGAGGACTCTTTAGATATACATATCCATCGCCGTCGAACCCGTGTTTCTCTTCTGCTTGGCGTAAGCCCTGGAGACTCAGGTTAGCTGGCACGTCGCCGCAGTTAATCGCCCTCGTCGAGGATGGTATCGCACCTTTTTGGTGATCACGAAACTCGTGCCTGGGAGATAAAGAATGCCACGTCAGTTGCTGATGTAGCAAAGTGCACTGGGAAGAAGAAATACCTATTAACAAGCTGGATGACATGGCCAATGCCAGGCCGGTATATCTATTAATATGCGATGTCAGCCAATCTACTCAACCACGGCTGCCATGTCGGCCATCGCCCCCTTGTAATGGTTCTGAGAGGGGATCACGTACTTGTCTTCAAGCATCGTGCTGATGGTGATGCGACAGCCGCTCGAACCGAGGCCGTTGTGGTATTCGTCCCAATGATCAAGGCAAGGGATGTCGACGATGAGTATTATCAAGACTCGCGCCGGGCGAGAGAAAGTGTGTGTCGCGGTAGACGGGGAACCGGTGGCCTCAAATGGAATGGGGCTCAAGCGTTTGCAAGTGAACTTTGTTGCGAAGTCAAAGAATGCGCGCGTCTAATCAGCAGAAGTGGACGTGAGCAGATGCCACGGGGACCCCAAGTTTGTGGTGGTTTGCGTTGCGCGCTAGACGGGGACTGGACGCTGAGATGCCGATGGGGGCGGTAGCGCTTGCAAATGGTCGGACGATTGATTACTGGAGAAAAACGATGTGCACAAGTACATCAATTGCAGGCAAGTGAATTGCGGCAAGTCGGTCCGTCTCGTGAGGGTTCCCTAGGTCAGAAGGTGCCAAGACTTGAACCTTCACGATGTGTGTGTGTGTGTGTGTGTGTTGTGCAATCGAGAATCGGATTGTCAAAAAGTCAAGTGGTTTCGACGACACCTCTGCGCAGAATCGTCTTGTCATCCGTTATGTGGGTTTCCGGGTTTCAAGGTTTCGGAGCACTCGCTCTACCCCCTGGCTGCAAGATCTGCGATAGATTGGGATACTTTTGGCCGACAGGGAAGATACGGCGATTGATGAGAGTTGTGCAAGCAGCGTGGCAGGCTCCGTCCACTTGTGCAATAGGTTTGGGACTTTAACGTAACCCACCCATAAGCGGGCCACACCCCTTAGCGGGCCACCATTTTTGGCATAATAAGATGATCAATAACAGCATAACAAGCAGAGTTGAAGCTATTCACAACGCTATTTTCAACTAAATACATCAGAATCGAGCGGTAATTCCTTCCAAACGCGTTTAGCAAAGGTAACAACGCCCCTAAGGGCTTGTCTACGCTCCTTTTCACTCATTACCTGAGCCTCTCGCTCCTCTCTCCGGCGCCGTTGATCTCAAATCTCTTTAACAGTTAATACACGTGCAGTACCACAGGCCTTCTTCGTCCTTCTATTTCTACTCTCCTGTTATTTCTTAACGAGGCCCTCGTTAATCTTCTGTAAGGCTAGATTATCTGCTAGAGCTGTTAGGCAAGTCTCTTAATAAAAGAAACCTTACGCTGTAAGGGGCTATCACAAACAGTGACAAGCTTAGCTACAATCTCATTGATCTGCTGAGCCGTATCCCTATCAACTTGAATATCAACGCGTACACCATTCTCGTCGGTAAGGCTCGCAAATGGAGGGTTCTTTGGCCAGTACTTGGCGAGGATCTTCGACGGATCTAGTGGGGATAAGCCAGTACCTCTCCAAGCGCCCGGGATATTGCGGTAGATAGTAGATCTAGATTGTTGATATAATAATAAGAACTGCTGGTTGTCGACTCGTACGGCACCGAAGATAGACCGTTCAGTCATCAGAGACTTGTACGCCTTTGCCAGAGGGCCGAAGATACCCTTGTCAAGGGGTTGAAGCTCGTGGGTCGAATGGGGGGGCAGGCAGAGAGGAATGATTTGATTTGCTTCGCAGTATTCGAAGAATTCAAGGGATACGTGGCTTGTGTGACCATCTAGAATAAGAAGGCGGTATTGACCACGACACTGTTGACGTGTATACGTATTAAAATGGCGTAGCCAGGTCGAGGCAATCTGTCGATCGGTCCAGCAATTTGGGCTGACCTGAATAACAGTCCTTGGATCGATCCTCTCGTCTATCCAAGACGGCAGAATCCTCTTGCCCTCGAATATGATAAAAGGCGGTAGGGAGTAGCCGTTGATTCCTATACATTCGATGATAGACCCATTCAAGGTTACCAGGCTGGTTAGCAAAGGCCTGATCGTCCTCTCGAGAGATAATAACTTTAGGGTTATCACCGATCCCTTTGCTAATCCCCTTCTCGTCCATATTGTAGATATCATCGTCCGTGATCGCGTATTGTTCTTTAACTCGTCGGTAGAGGTCGAACCATTCGGTGAGGATATCGTACGCGATACCATCCTTTCGAGCTTGATCTAGACTACGAACCCTATAGGTCTTCAGCTTAGGGTGGCGGTCTAGAAAGCTAGTGTACCAGTTGACCCCTAGGGGGCCTGTATCTCCTTTCGCTTCCAGCAGGTTCACTGCTAGCCCTTCCACTGCTTTGATAGTCAAGGGCCATCTCCACGCAGCTAACTGAAGCAAGGCTCGTTCGATCGTAGCTTCTTCGGCAGGTAATAATCGCTGTCGGTGTTGGTGGGCGGTGGTCCGGCTCTGGCGCCTTGAATTCGGGCTTGGAGGGTTGTTCTGGGGACCCCAAAGAGCTCGGCTGCTTTACGTATACTAGGGACTTCCCCAGAACGAATAGACTTGATGGCTTTCTTGATCTGGTCTTCCTGATCCATTTGACGAAAGAATAAAGACCTAGCGATAAGAATCGACGTAGAAATTGATGATGTTGTTAAGTTGAGCCAATTCGACAGAGCCGAAATGGGTGGCCCGCTAAGGGGTGTGGCCCGCTTATGGGTGAGTTACGTTACTTGGTTCCACTTGTAGCCCATAAAATACCGTTGGTGGCAGTGTGATCGTACTGCCGCTGAGGAAAGGCCGTGTCCAAACACTTTGCGCGTTTCCAAGTTGCAGTGTGCAAATGTTTTGGTGGTGGGGTTTTCTGCACACCCCTGAGTTTCCTCTAACTGTCACAGGGATGTAGGCGACGTGACGATTTTAAGGAGCCTGCTCCAGCCAAGGATTCAGGAACAAAGGTCTTTCGACATTGTAAGCTAGCATATTAGCGTCCTTGGCTATTCTATTCAGTAGGCACTTTTAATTGACGAAAGAAGCCAAGTACGTAACTGATCTTGTTGAGTCCCATATCTGCAATTTCAAAGTTTGCCAGACACTTGTTGGACTGGGGCTGAGTTTCCACGCCTGGTTGAGTTCCAACTGGAACCTTTCAAAGCCCTACCCGGCAAACGATTTAGTCCGGTATCTATTCTTAGCGCCAGTCTTTGTATGAGCATAGCCTCTTCCAGTCGATTTAGTTGATGATGTGGGGAGCAAAGAGGAAACGTTGTCCGAATTCGGAATTCGAGACGAACTGCCACTATCGTAGCTGATGTTCGTGGAGTCCTCCACAATGCTGTGATACCAGAGAACTGGAACGGCTTGCTATTATTGCTTAAGTGAAAATGGTATGGCGATCATTGTCCTAGACCTCGGCTCGTCTGTCAGAGTCAGATGATAAATCTCGGGCCTTCCAAGTTGTTGGTTATTTAACTTTGGAGGAACAAATTTGCGGTTACATGTCGTGCAGGCCACGGTGGTGGTACCTGAAATCTTGGATAAATTATTGTCAGGGTTGACTTGTTGTAGACATCACCCTTCCTTGCTGGTTGGCCTCTTGGTCCTGGCCAGATCGGTTGCCGGTTAGGATCTGCACCCGCACCATAGGAAATGTTCCGGTGGCTGGGCGCAAACCGCGTCGTAAGGAATATTAACGCCACCACATTGACTAGTGTAGACATATTTGGATGAAGTGAGGCTGCATTGGCTCTTTTCATACGCGGCCAGCAATACAAGCCTCGTATTGGGATCCATATCAGCTGACGTTGAGTAGAAATCTGAAAATTGGAATTGGGGATGACGAGTTCCTTGGGCTGATCAAAAACTACTCGTCAAGCGGTTTGACCCACTGCTCACTCACACAGGAGGTCAAGGGCGTACATTGGACTTTGTCATCTATTGTCATTTTCCACCGATACCTCCAAGCTTCACAGCAAATTCAAAGTATCTCTCAAATGTCGAATACATCGCTTAGGAGCATTTAACAAACGCGGGCCCTTCGCGTGCTTTACTATGCGCACTCTACTACATCTAGAATAGCACTGCATGTTACTAGGGCAAATCTCATATTTTCGCTGATTTTTTCGTTGAGATGTGCTTGCCTCTTCGTAATGAGCCCGCCAAAGCCCGAAATTGCGGTGCACTTCTAACTTCACTCATAGAGTGTTGACGGATTGGGGTAGGTGCACTTGCCCTTCTATACCAGCTACAATTTATTGGTGGGGTACTTCATATTTGGTGCAGACTACTAGCTTGCAGAAGTACCTGAAAAATGGCATGAAAAATGACAAATAGATGTCCTTGACCAGTTACATGAACAGGTCAAAACTGCCGTTTTTAGGCTTGACAAGTAGCTGCAACGCTTCTTTTCGGGTCCAATTCTTGAAAAGACTTACTCTCCATGGTCTCACTCTTTTCTAACCTGGAAGGGTACTTGAACGGCGTCACTCATATCCCATCTTAAGAAAGCATCTGCATAAGGATTTCAGTGTGATAGGCCCATACGTAGTGCAACTTCCCATTTTGTTTGCGATGCCCTTGCCTCCTTCAATAGTATCCGTCTTTGCATTTATGCCAACCTATAAAGCTGTATTCTATCCCTCCCTTCCGAGTCGACGAAAAACCTTATTGCCCTCTAAGGAGATCATTTCTCCACAAGCATGATGATCAGTAAACCGCGGGCCGTCCCTGCTTCCTTACATATGATTGCCATTTAAGGCGCTGATTCCTGCATCGTCCCCAAGGACTCATACGTTTCACGGCGACCGAGGTCCCAAAATAAGCGATATCGCAGCGTCTAGAGCTTCAAAGACAGGACACGATGGAAGCCCAAACCAAATGATACTCCAAAATGAAGAAACCAAAACGAAGCCTGCCTGCAGGCTACCTCTTTATGCGCTATGTGCTCAATCGAATTTGAAAGGAAACATCCACCAGTGCTGAACTGACATGAAATCTTGACTTTCTGATGAACCCGGTTGCGGCTGACTCATTCGGCGACGGAGAAAGCTGTGATTGGTATTTGGAGAGTGTACCAACCACCTCTCAACTCCTCGTAAGTGAAACTTCGCTTACGCCAAACATCAACACCATTAGTTTTTAATGAAAATTGGCATGTTATCCTGATGTTAACATTCAGCAAACAACTAATTATCCTGCAACAAAAACCCTCCAACGAAGGCTGCCCTCGGGTAAGCTAGATTTACCTTCCCCCCAGAAATAAAATGGCCATCAAAGAAGACTACTACAAAGTTCTCGGCATCCTCTGCGATGCCGCAGACGCCGACATAAAGAAAGCCTACCGCATACAAGCGCGGCAGCACCACCCCGACAAAGCCGAGGACAAGGAAGCTGCACATGCGCTCTTCGTGAAAATTGGCGAAGCCTACGATGTACTGTCGAACCCCAAGAAGCGCACAGACTACGACTATTTCCTCTACGAGTATCACTGCGAAACCGTCCATCCGGATCCTGACTCGGAGCGGTGGCATGATGACGACTATTACTCATGGAATGGTGCTGCGCATGCGGAAAACAATGACTGGGGAAAGTCCAATGCGCAGTGGACCCAAGATGCATCGCGGTATGCTGCTCCCCAACAGAAACAAGACGCCACGTTTATCCCGCACTTCACTTCCAAAGTGACCCCACAACTCAAGAAATGTCTGCAAATCCTCAAACGGCTGCGTGATCAAGCCACTCTAAAGCAGTCCCAGTCTAAATTCAAGACTGACTCCGAAGAAGAGCTCAACGAGGAAATCAAGCAGTGTCTCAACGAAGCTGAGGCGCGCGTCCGCAGCCAGTTGGACAATCTGGAAGACTTTGAGTACTCATTCAAGTTCGTGCAGGAGTGGGATAAGCGGGCGGTGTTGGAGGAGGAGATGCGGCTGGCGGAGACGAAGGCGGATGAAGTGAAGGGGACATTGGAGGAGTTGTTGAAGGTTGTAAAGGAGCTGATGAAAGTGAATGTTTCCATTTTCAAGACAGCGGTGTTAAGGGAGGAGTTGGGGACTAAGATGGAGGAGTTAAGGGAGATGAGGTGATGGGCTCGCGTGGCATTTGGATGAGCAGTACGGATTGGTGATGAGGTTTGAGTTTGGGACACTGGGTATGGGATTAGACGATTCCGCGGAACGAGCGTTTGGAGCGCAGTTATGATACCCCTATGGAGTTGGAAGGTCGGGATAATATCACGAGAGTTCATACGTGATTAATATCTAGTTTGAAATGTCGCAAATGACACCTCTTATTGGTGACGAACGAGTTTTGACCAGGACAATGGAGCAGAGCTCTCGACTATCTCTTTCTTATTACAGCACAATGTTCCACATAAGATGTAACCTATTCCCAGTGCTCCTGTTAAGGGCAACAGCCTTGGGAGACACGGTAATTTGTCAAGTTATAATTGAGCCACAGAAACATAGATCCCTTACAGTGGATTAAATTAGCGGTATTGATAATGACGGTCAAGTACTTCTCTGGAAGGACTACGAATTCTTCGTCTTTGAACTACATGTAACCTGTATATTTGAAGCTTAGGGCCAGAGGCATCTCGAGACTGTCTTCGCAGTCGTGAAGGGGCATGTGCTGTGCCGGCACGGGTCTTCAGAAGAATAATCAAGAGCCCCCTCTATCTCATCAAGTACCTCAAATAGATCGCAGTAATCCGTGTTCTCGTCCTATTCGAAGTAGTCAGGAGTGTGAGCTTTTGGAATCATGACTGATAATGCCTACTTGATTAGACACTGATCGAGCACTCGGTGCTCTCATCACTTGTACTTTTATTTTGAAGTCCTTACTAGCCTCATGGGTAAGAGCGAATCAGCCTCGCATGTTGTCATTATTCCTCCTACAGATGTGATTTTGTCCGTAAGGGTTACAGTTAAAGGCCCCTGAAAGCCTTCAGGCAAGTTGGATTTATGGTGAAACCTTGAACTAAGTCTGCTACAGTAGGGACAAGGAGTCCGAGGTGGTGATGAAGTACAGCTTTGGCCTAATGGCTCCATGGCTTCCATGACGGTCAGTTTTGCAGGAAATCGTAATGGGTGTATAGCTGGACTTTAATTGATGCAGGAGGCTTGTCTTGGCAGCATTCTTACATTCTAGCCGTATACTATATACCAACGTGAAGGAGAAGCAATAGCTTTGAGAGAGCAGAAAACCTTCCCCCTAGGAACCCTATCTACATCTCCCCGCCTCCCTTTCCGTAGAACTCCTAAAATCTCCACAGTTTCGTCTGCTGCTTTACTAGAGAGGATCTCTTCAAATACTAGCGTTGTCGCCTTACCAACGACCTCATGGTCAAGACAACGCATCCTGTCCTCCAGCTGACCCAACCCCTTGTTTTGTCTACCCTCAATTTCTCTCGCCATGATCACAGCTCCTCGATCGAACTGCTTGGTAATATAATGTACCATGACCCCCGTTTTCTTGCTCTCCAGTTTCCCTCCTTCAAAGTCGTAAAAAGCTTTTTGATGGCATCCTTGCATTAGTCTGTTTTCTTGTAAGTCCAAGCACAGATACATATAGCGAGTGAGTAATTTAAAGGAGATAATTTGGGAAGTACTTGCCTGGTAGGCCTAGAGGCAAGTTGATCATGGAAGGTGAAAATCCCATGGAGGATCAGTTCTGGAATGGCTCTAAAGACCCATACTAAATAGCCATAGATAACGAAGAAGTGGTGTGTCTGCAGGTGGGTGCTGCAAAGGAACAAAGGCTCAAAGGACCTTTGGTCTCAAAGACTTGTTACCCCGTACACTCGCTTCCCCCATAAGCTCCAAAGGTGGCTCCCCAAGTATCTGCATCCAACCCGCCAAGACCATGAGAGCTGGGTTCAATTCACTCCCCTGAAGTACCATGGTAGCTGGCGCTGCATCATACCTGTTTTACGATGAGACGGGTGATTTTGGGAAAGGGTAGCTGGCCGGAATCGATAGCATAGATGAGAACTTGGAAGTTTGTAGCGCCTCCACTCGCCATCACTACTATGGGATATGGCTCCGCCATGGCATGACCCGATATTGGGGTGTTTAAATTTGCAGAAGTTGTTGAATGGTGTTCTGCCAGTGCGAATATCATGAAACAAGTATGAAAGTGCAAGTAAGCCACAGAGAAGTTTCGACAGTGCTGAGAACCTGCCTGGAATTGCCACCCAGAAGCTTCCTTTACATGCGAGATTCGTTTGGGCGTATCGACCTACTGACGAATAACGCCCCCTGTTCACGGCCCCATGGCGCGAATCTACTTAGCCACTGTCGGTGGCACCAATCTCACAAGAAGTTCACGTAGAAGAATAATGAAGTTATGTCATGACCGTTGCATACCGTAATCTCTAAGGGATCTTGGTGTAGATGCCACTATAGAGACCCTTGTGATTGCAACTGATGGAATTTTCCTGTGCCCTCCTTGCAATGCAAATGTAATCGAAGACGCCGAAATCGTGAATATTGACATTGCCCAGAACACCCTTGTGTCCTCCACAACCCAACCATTCCACCACCAGCAGGGTCTAAGAGGGAAGTCCAGCACCGACTGCCTTACTCTTATTCTTGCTCAGCGGGTGCGGCCTCCTCTTCGCCGCCCTCCTGCTCAGCAGCACGTTGTGCCTCGGCCTGGGCCTGTACCTGGGCGGCCTTAGCACCGTAGTCCTGGCTCATGGGCTGGATGACGCTCTGCTCCTCCTTGGGCTCGATGATGGTGACGGCGTCAGGTAGCGACTTCATGGGGCCAGCCTTGCCCTCGGGGTCGGAACCGCGCATGATCTTCACCTTGATACCGAGAACGCCCTGGCGAAGGAGAACGTGACGGGTGGCGTGGTCGATGAAGTCCTTGGCTGGTTGACCGGAGTGGATCATGAAGCCGTCGGTAAACTTCATGCTCTTGGCACGAGCAGCACGGAGCTTACCCGAAACGACGACCTCGCAACCCTTGGCACCGGACTCCATAATGAAACGGAGGACACCATAGCAGGCACGACGGACGGCTAGACCGTTAAGCAGCTTGTAGCGGAGGGACTCGCATTGGGCGACCGCGGACAGCCCACGGTTCTGGACCTTGGCGGCGTAGAGGGAGACAGAGTTCTCGGGGAACTTGAAGCGCTTCTGGATCAGGGAAGTGAGCTCACGGATGCGGCGGCCCTGCTCTCCAAGAACCTCCTGGGTGTGCGTTGCGCGGATGATGATATCGGTGACGGTGGGGGTGACGCGGACCTCGACGCCGGAGTAGCCCTCCTCGGCCAGCTCGCGCTGGAAGAACTCGTTCAGCTCGGCATAGAAAACACCGTCGGCTACGAACTTTCTGCGCTTTGAGCTGTAAAGGATGATGTCAGAATATCTTCAACACAGCAACTTGAGGGCATCGTGGCAACGGTTCGACGTGGGAATTTGTTGGCGCATGGAGGGGCAATATTAAGAGATTCGTCGCCAGTACAAAGCACAGCATTGCAACTTACATTTGTGTACCCGGAGTGGCCATCTTGACGAGATTTCCTAGATGCCTGCTGGAAAAGAGGTTCTGTGTAGATTGGTGATCTGGGTGCTAGCAGCTCAATGATCAAGATGTCCAAGTCGGGTATTGGAGATTCTGGAGCACTGGTAGCCACACTGGGGGAGATTTTTGGCGGCCAATTTTTTTTGCTCTAGTAGGGCTCAAAATCTGTGTGCGGCTAGGAAAGTCGTGACGACCAGAATTCTTGGCAAAAAGTGCACAGACCAGAAGTCGTTCCTGCCGCATGTGACGTCGGCATCAGCCACAGTCAGCTCCGACCTGTTCAGCCTTGCACCTCAAGGATTGTGAGGATTGTGATGTACCCAGGGTCTACTTTGTAGACTAACTGTAAACTCATCATGGCATGGAATCTGTTCATCGAAAAATGATACTCCGTATAAATGAACTGAAGATAGCATTATACCAAGTTATTCAAATAATGATACAATTGGTAAAATTTGATACTGGTATGAAAGTATGAAGGACCACATGCCGCCTTCTTTAGATGGCCAACCTTAACCTCGCGCTAAGCTTTAACCTTGGTGGGCCAAAGGTGGTGATGACTTAGGCTCGCTAACTAACAAGCTGGCCGCGTGTGATTGCAGATCTTCTACAACGTCAAGACAAGCAAACCATGTGCAACATCGTCGCTTCATCTTCATTCTCTTTGCGAATGTGACGCTCTTACTGAAGAGACATTCACTTTGAAACGCCATAGTCGACAAGGTCAGTCTCTTCGTGGTTTTCCAGTTGCTATATAAAGCTGCCCTCCCACCGGGCTCCTCGCCGAGCAAATGCAACGGTTGAACGACCCGACCATTTTCTCTTCATGTAGTGCATTTCACAACACTAGATAGGTATCGCCGACAAGATGCAGATCAAGAAGGTAAGCATAGATTTTATGACTATTATATGATACCACGGATTATCGTCCATCACCGTGTTGAATGCTTTGGTCAACGTGGCTGACGATGATGGCAGATACTCAATGTTGAGGCCATTCGTGGCGGCGAGATGCAAAAGGGCGATATGCATTTGACAGATCACCACATTGTAATGATCATTCCGCACGTAATACCTGAAGGAGCTACACCGCCACCCACTCCCCCGAAACCACGAGAGCTTTACATCGCATATCCCATCATCGCCAACTGCACCTTCCGACCCGAACCCCAGGCTTCCGGGCGCCCATCTTCAATACGGCTACGCTCTCGCGACTTCATGCTCATAAGTTTCCACTTTAGCGATGATACCTCGGCTCGAGAGGCTTTCGAATATATGCGCAATCGGACTTGCCGGCTGGGCAGCATCGAGAAGCTCTACGCCTTCAGCTACCAGCCAGTCAAGCAGGAGAAAGTCTTAAATGGATGGGAGCTGTACGACCCGAGGGTAGAATTCCGCCGCCAAGGCATCAGTACCAAGAGTGTCGAAAGAGGATGGAGAATTTCCCAAATCAACAAAGAATACACATTTTCCCCGACATATCCGGGACTGCTTGTAGTGCCTTCCAAGATTTCCGATAGCACTCTCAGACACGCTGGGTCTTTTCGGTCGCGACAGCGAATACCTGTCTTAACCTACCTCCACTCTTTGAACAACTGCTCCATTACCCGCAGTTCGCAGCCATGTGTGGGTTTAAGAGGAAATCGCAGCGTGCAAGACGAAAAAATCGTCAGTGCAAGCTTCTCTGCCTCAGCGACTGTTGAGTTTAACGGACTTGATGTTCCCTCTACAGAAACTACCGTACCAAGCCCTGCTTCTAGCCAAGCAGATCTGCGAGCAGAGAACCACGTGGAAGCTGACACTGTGGAAGTCTCGGATCTAGAAGAGGAGATTAGTTCCACTACCGATGACGCAGCATACGACCCAAAGACCGGCAAGCGACTTATATACGGCGCGCAACAAAGCAACCTTATCGTGGATGCCCGGCCAAATATCAACGCAATTGCCATGCAGGCAGTAGGCAAGGGATCGGAGAACATGGAATATTACCCATTTGCGAAAAAGGCTTATCTCAACATCGCAAACATTCATGTGATGCGTGATTCACTCAATAGAGTCATTGAGGCCATCAAAGACGGTGACATCGGCCGTCTTCCCCTAAACCGCGACTTACTTGTCAAGAGTGGCTGGATCGAGCACATTGCTGGCGTACTGGAAGGGTCAATGATAATCGCACAGCAAGTGGGCATAAGGCACTCGCACGTACTTATACATTGCTCTGACGGATGGGACCGTACATCTCAGCTAAGTGCGCTCTCGCAGCTCATGCTAGATCCTTTCTACCGCACCATTGAGGGCTTCATTGTACTCGTTGAAAAAGATTGGCTTTCATTTGGTCACATGTTTCAGCAACGATCTGGTCCGCTAAACCATGAGAAATGGTTTGTCACTGAACGTGATACCATGGCAGGCACGACCATGCAACCGGGCGAGTCAGAAGGTCGCGCTGGCGATGCACTCGAGAACGCATTCGCAAGTGCTAAGCGCTTCTTTAATAAGAACCGCTCCCCAGACATTCCCAATACCGATGTAGATGACATTTCCTTGCCATCTGATGATCCCTCTCAGATGAAGAGACCCAGCGTGCCAGAGGCAAGCGTGGCTACCAAGCCGAATGAGATATCGCCGATATTCCATCAATTTCTGGATGCAACATACCAGTTGCTTCGTCAACATCCCACCCGTTTTGAGTTTAACGAACGTTTCCTGCGGCGACTGCTGTACCACCTATACTCGGCACAGTACGGCACCTTCCTCTGGAATTCGGAAAAACAACGCCGCGATGCGCATGCCTACGAACGTACGAGAAGTGTATGGGACTATTTCCTGAGCCGCAAGCACGAGTTTATGAATCCTCAGTACGATGCAACCGTCGACGACCGTCAAAGTGGGCGAGAAAGACTTATTCTCCCACGACCCCGTGAGGTGCGCTGGTGGGCAACCTGCTTTGGACGTAGCGAAAATGAGATGAACGAATACCTGGAACGTGAGGCTGCCAGGGGAGAAAAGGCCGTCACTTATCCAGACAGCGCTGTGACGAGCCCTGGGCCTGGGAGTAGGACTCGCAGCCCGGTGCCGTCTAAAGAACAGCCACCAGGCATGCCTAACAGCAAAAGTGTGTTGACAGGTGTGGAAACGGCGCACGCAATATTGACAGCGGACCAGGGTGCTCGTCACCAGGCTAATCTTAAGCAAAGCTCGAGCGCGGATACGCCCGGCGCATTTGCGAGCAACCTTGCGAAACTGAGGGAGGGCGTTGGTAGCTTAGATCTTGCGCGGGGATTGTTCGCTGGTGGCAGCAGTGTTGGTACCGGTGCCGTTGCTGGTGATGGCGCTGACGCCGGACTAGGCAATAAAACGAAGAGTAATGGCGACCAAGGCGTAGCAAGTGGGAAAGACGAACAAGAGATGAGGGAGATGCCAGCCACGGCCGTCGGGGGTGAGAAGGGGCTGGAGATGAGCTAGGAGCTCCCAGTAAGATTCGAAACCAACAATCCCGAAGGTTTCAACGCCCGCAGATGGGAAGAGACACAACAAGTCCAAGCCCAAAATCAGAAGACACAGGGACTCGATGGAACCGCCGACAATCGCTGTTCCTCTAATCAGGATTCAATGGACCAACCAGAGCAGCAGGTCCCGGAAACCGACGATGACCATTCGATTTGTTCCTGTCCATCATACTGTCCATCTTTAGACGAGGAGGTAGTCGAAGAGACTGGTGTCTGGGTTGTGGGAGACCATGAACGATGGAGATCAAGCGAGACACGTTAGTCTCCTTCAGTTTGGGTCAAAGAAAGCTTGAACCTGGCGTGTCGAAATATGCATGGTTAGTCACAGGATAGCTTGAAGAGTTCCTGTCGAATTACTTAATCCCAACGCCGCATGACTAGAAAATCATAGCACTCGATAAAATATGCAGGTGCGGATAATGATCCACCTTTACGCATTTTTGGGCTTGACTGAGACTGATGGTAGGAGGGGGAATTGAGGGCAAGAAGGCCGAAATCAAGATCATGACCATATCAGGTGTCATGTGAGGTGTCGTAATGCGGGCATCCATGTATCCATTCATCATTCATCTACAGTCGACGAGCCTGTTTACATAACTCAAAGCTCTTGTATTTTATATTCTTTCTCCCAACCAATTTGCCCATTCTACTATAAGAAGACCTCCAAGTTGACCTCCAACGTACTAACCGGATACTTCAAGTCGAACTTCTCCAGCACCTCCGGGTGCAAGATACCAAACTCCCCTATCCTCGCCGCCTTACCCCCAATGCTGAGGTAAATCGCCGCCGCGCGCCCAGGGAAAAAAGTCTGCTCCTTGTCGGTGTCGATGGGTTCAAGCCAGTAGCCGTCGCGCTTCTGGTGGTTCTCGACGACCTTGAAGTCGATGCTGCCACCCGACTTGATGCCCTCCTCGCGTGTGAGGAAGGCCTGCCGCAGCATCAGCATGACGCGGTCGAGCAGGCCGTGCACCTCCTCGAAGCCCGAGGACCGGCCGTACCATGCCGCGCTGAAGTGCCGCTCGTTGCGGGCCTTGCGCTCGAGCGACTCATCCTTGAAGACAACGTCGGATGTCTCGAAGACCTTGATGGGCACGCTGTGGGACTTGTTCTCGCGGATCGTCTTGAGGAGTCCCGGGAGCAGGGACGTGCGCACGATCTGGTATTCTTGTGTCTTTGGGTTGGCTAGACGCACAGCGGTCTTGCCGTCGTCGTGGCGCCTTAGCCATGCAAAGTTCTCGTCGTGGCTGCATAGGATCAGGGGCATGACTTCGGACCAGCCGGCCATGCCGCACTCTAGACGGACAATGTCGCCTAGCTTATTGAGAGTCAGGGGTGCGCCGACGGTCTTGTTGACTGACATGCGTGGGAGTTTGTTGAAGCCGTATGCAATACCAACGTCTTCCATTATATCGCACCGTTGAAGGATGTCTGCTCTTGTTGGTGGGATGGAGATTTCGATGATATTCTTGTCGCTTGACGGCTTGGCAGACAGAGCCATCTTGAAAAGAAGTTCACATATTGTCTCCGGCGACTCCTGGAGACCCAGGCAGTTATTCAAATAGTCAACTTCAACCTTTTCTATCCGTGGTGATAGGTTGGGTGTGATTCTAGTTTGTCCGTTGTGATCGGACAATACCTTCACCGGCTCCACTGTGAACTGCTCCTCGGAGTAGACGGAGAACATGGTCACCATCATATTGATGACGATTTCCAGCTTGGTGGCATCTGTAGCCGTGCATTCGATGAGAACGTTCTTGCTGTCAAGGGTGATCTTAGAGTGGTCGCCGTTGATGATGGGCGGCATAGAACATACTACCCTGTTTGCGTCGTAGATAACGGGGTAGACGGGCTTGTCCTTGATGATTGGCAGAAACTTGGCAAGATGTTTGGATTCCTTCTCGTAGAACTGCATCATCTCCTCGGCGTTCATCTTCTTGGTCTGGTTCAGGGGTATGAACTCAATTTCCTTGGGCGGCAGCGCCTCGTATGTGAACGGACCCTTGACCGTATCCAGATCGTGCGTGCCGATAGCTACTAACGTACGTTGGCGGGCGAGGTTCTGGTGCAGTTTGTCTTGTAACGCGATGAAGGAGTCGTACGTCTTCTGGGTGAACTTGACATTCCTTAGGATGGCACCAGCAACCAGAGGCCGGACTTTCATAGTATCTTCCCGCACTGTGATAGTATGGAGCTCGCCACTGGCTGGTGTGGTCAATCTGAAGTTGGGCGTCGGGGTCTTCCCTCGGAAGATGTTGAGCATGAGAGCAATGCCCTCGAAGCAGAGCATGTCATAGCGATTGGCCGGTATCTCGATCTTGAGGGTGGGAGGTTCTTGTTGGCCATTGACGATGGGTCTATCTTCGTTCTCGGTATCCTCATCTAGCTCGATTCCAAATTCGAAGCATAACTCTTCGAACTCCTCGGTCGTGTACCTAGGCCATGGGTTAGTGGGATGATCTAGGGCGGCGGGGATTGGGAGCATGACGCACTTTTGACCGAGGGCCTCGAAGAGGTCGTACTTGTCCACGGAAATGGTAGGCATTTTGGGCAGTTGTTGACCTCAAGTTCGTAAACGGTCGTCCTAGTAGTATGCCCTGCCCTGGTATGGAGATGTTTTTGTTAATTTGGACGATAACGTTTCGCAGAATCGCAGCTTGACTCACTGGAAATTTGGACGACGGCTTCGCAACCCCACGTTCAAGTCCAAATTCTCGCGCCGCTCACCAGCCACAATGACTGCTTCCCCACGTTACCAGCTTTCCGATGAGGCACTGCACCTCGAGTTTAATTGCTACCAAGTATTCGTAGTATTCGTAGTACTGCGATGCTCAAAGTGCTGTGACAACAAGAGGATCATTCCGTAAAATATCCAATAAATTAAACGTGATCTTAAAGCTATGGCCTAAACACAGAGGAATGGGTTCTTTGATCTTTGGGTTTAGGGTAGCTGCCATTGTCTCTAAGTCCCAATGCAGTACGGAGTACTAAAGCTACTTGATGAATGAACTCTTCGATGAATTTTGAATTAACTGCCTAGATACCTTATGATTTCCAAATGACTTTTGGGTGAGTGCATCAAATCTCAGGCACATATCAGACCTGGAGTTGGCAACGATTGGGAGCTTTGGAACGAAACTTGGAGCTTTGAACAGCAGGAATGAGGCAAGGTGGGGTTCTCAACAAGCCACACTTTTGACTGCCCCCTGTTCTTTTAGGTCGCCTCCAAAGCTCTGCTTCGAGCCAGCCAAGACACATTGGAGGAGAGAGAGAGCCTTAGGTGCGAAGGACCTTCTTTCCTTTCAATCAACATCCAGCAACACGTCAGTCCCACCAAGACCAAAGATACCCCTCGATTTGGACTGGCAACCACCCACGACGCCATTGCATCTGGTAATCTAGATCCCTTGAATACTTTTCCCCCATTCCTGTGCGAGCCGTCTTTTCGCACCCGCACCCGCTTCCCTGACAGGTTCGCTGCCTCTGTGGTATGCATCACAAGTCAGGCGGGCCATAAATCCTATTGCATCACTCACGCACGCGATCTTCAGCACCACCGTCCAACTCCTTCGGCCTTGCATTTCCCAGGCCCGCCAGCCCCTCCACGGCACCCATCACCATCCATTTAGCCCACCATGGCTGACGCGCCGAACGCGAACGATGAGCTGTATCCCATTGCGGTGCTCATAGATGAACTCAAGGTGGGTACCGGCGGTGACCCGACCCAGCAACGTCATAACAAGCGATCACGGCTAACCACGGTTGCTAATAACTCTAGCACGATGATGTCCTCCTTCGCTTGAACGCCATCCACCGTCTCTCCACAATTGCGCTGGCTCTTGGCCCCGAGCGCACTCGTGAGGAGCTTATTCCCTTTCTCGATGGTCAGACATCACCCCAAATCCCACATTCCTACAAGTTAGGCCACCATTTCTAACACCTACTACAGAGTCGGTTGAAGATGAAGACGAGGTTCTTGTCGCCCTCAGCGAGGAGCTGGGCAGCTTTATCGAATATGTCGGTGGACCTCAATGGGGACACGTCCTGCTGTCGCCCCTGGAGAACCTCGCTGCGATCGAGGAGCCTGTCGTAAGGGACAAGGTATGCGGCGCCTGACTTTCAACACGTGTTCTGGGCTCGCTGCTAACAGTATTCAGGCTGTTGAGTCGCTTAACAAGATTTGTAACGACCTGTCGCCGCAACAGGTGGAGGAATACTTCATCCCGCTCACAATCCGACTTTCGAAGGCTGACTGGTTCACTTCCAAAGTTTCAGGATGTGGCCTCTTCACGGCTCCATACAGCAAGGTCTCACCCCCCGTCCAAGAGCAGCTTCGCTCGCAATTCGGCCTACTGGTACATGATGAGACGCCCATGGTCCGAAGACAAGCAGCCACCAATCTCTCAAAATTCGTCAAGGAGATGCCAGCCGCCATTGTCGTTGAGGAAATGATACCCCTCTTCCAACACCTTGCTCAAGATGATCAGGATAGTGTGCGCTTATTGACGGTCGAGATTCTCATTTCCGTCGCCGAGGTTGTGCCTAAGGAACAGCAGGCCAGCCATGGCGTGCTGCTCACATCTTTGCGCAACTTGATAGAAGACAAGAGCTGGAGGGTTCGCTACATGATTGCCGATAGATTTGAGAAGGTATGCATTTGTGCCTATACGGCTCGAATCTGGATTAGGACTAACAAGCCATGCAGATCGCGAAGGCAGTAGACGAGGAGGTCGTCTCGAGAGATTTGGTGCCTTCGTTTGTGAAGCTGCTCAAGGACAACGAAGCCGAAGTGAGAACCGCTATCGCCGGTCAAATTCCTGGCTTTTGCGCAATTGTCGACAGCGCGACGCTTCTCGATGACATTATGAGCTCCGTTGAAGCATTGGTCTCGGATACTTCGCAGCACGTTCGCGCCGCTCTGGGCACTCAAATCAGTGGTCTTGCGCCCATTCTGGGCAAGAAGGAGTAAGTCGCGTCATTTCTGACAACGATGAGTCAACATGCTAATTTTCCTACAGGACGATTGATCACCTATTGCCCATGTTCTTGCAAATGCTGAAGGATGAGTTCCCCGAAGTTCGACTCCACATTATCTCAAAACTTGAGCTCGTAAATCAAGGTTTGTCCTGTGCCCCTTGTGTTGGGGTTGTGTACAAAGTTGCTGACATAACCAGTCATCGGAATCGATCTGTTGTCGCAGTCCCTCTTGCCCGCAATCGTTCAGCTCGCCGAAGATAAGCAGTGGCGAGTGCGACTTGCTATCATCGAGTACATCCCCCTGCTCGCCAGCCAGTTGGGAGTGAAGTTCTTCGATGAAAAGCTTAGCGGTTTGTGCATGGGCTGGCTCGGAGACACGGTTTTCTCCATTCGTGAAGCTGCGACGCACAACCTCAAGAAGCTGACGGAGGTGTTTGGTGTTGAGTGGGCTAGCGAGGCTATCATTCCTAAAGTTATGGCCATGGGATCTCACCCCAACTACCTCTACAGAATGACAACCTGCTTCGCCATTTCGGTATGTTGATTCGCTGTCAGAACACCGCAGACAGGTACTAATATGTGCCCACTTAGACCCTGGCGAGTGTCGTGAGTTTGGATGTGATCGGCAAGTCTATCCTTCCCATGCTCGACAAGCTGGTGGATGACGATATTCCCAACATCCGGTTCAACGTGGCCAAGACGTATGCTGCCCTGATCGATGTGCTTAAGCGTCTACCGGAACAGGGTACCATCTATTCGTTGGAGAAGGCTGCCACGAAAGACTTGACGGCATCGCCGAGATCCCTGGAGCTGATCCAAGAGCGAATCCTGCCGTGTCTGGAGAAGCTGCAGAAGGACGACGATGTCGATGTTAGGTACTTCGCAACGACAGCAGCGGCTGCCATCCCTGGGAACGGTGGAGACCCGATGAACACATCACCATAGATGAAAGAGAAAAAAGTAAATGAAGCAATTCTCATTCGTCAACGCAGCATCTTCCGTCAGCCAGTTTCCTACTCGTTGTCTGCGTGGTAGAAGGAAGGGCTTCACCGCGTTAGACCCTCATGCCACACGAATAATCCACAAACTTAGAGAGATGGAGAGGCTCGTGGGAGGCAAGGCACGTTGGCGGCACGCCTTTCGGGCTTTGAAATGCTCGTTCGACAAGAGTGTCTCTGGTTGACATCTAGCAAGGCACCCACCCATAGACGATGAGCAAGGGCCTGGGCTGGCTGTGCGGAAGCAGCTTGTCAACCCCAGGATATACGGGGTTCTGTACAATTACAATACCAGAGGTCACGAAAAATGCGCATGATTTTATAGATGCTCTCCTGTTTTTGTTGTTTTGTTTCCATCTAATAGTGTGGAGGGCTTCATCCGAACTTAAATCAAGGGGTATCTCCCGGGACGTATTTGCCTTTGATCGCAGCTCGCTTTTAAATTGGCAGACCGATCCCTTGTAAACCCATCATCACCTCCTAACCATCTTGCGGAAACACAGCGTACTAATCGTCTGTCCCTGGACACCCCCAAAACTAAAACTCCGATACTGTACCCTGCCCACCTTCTCAAACCCAACCCCCTCCGTAACCCCCTCCGTATCCCCCTCCTTGACGCCCTCAAACCACTTCCCCAGCTCCTCTTCGGTCCAATTACAACTCGTAACCAGGAATATACCCCCGTCTCTGACCAACTTCAACACTTGGCCCCTATACCCCTCGCTAACCCGCCTCCCATTCGCGTCCGTCTCGGCCGATAAGGAGATAGCGTCGAAGGTCCCCTTGTCGAGGACTACGTCCCATTGCCCCTCGGTTCCGTTGTAAAACAGTTGCTCAGGGGGGGTGTTCAAGATATCATGCCACCTGAACTCGACATCCTCTTTCTCTTCCTCAAGTCCCTCCTCTTTTCTTTCCATCCGCCGTGAGACGGCGATTCGGCGCGCGAACTCGACGCTCCGCTCGCTATAATCTACGCCGAGCATACGCCCCGCCCACCCGTCGTCGCGCAGGCCGAAGAGGAGCGCGCCGTTTCCCGTGCCGAGGTCGAGGAAGGACGTCATGGATTGTGGGAGGGACAGCGTGGAGAGGTACTCGATGACTTTGTCCTGCGCGTTCGAGTCGTCGAACCAGTTGGTGCCCGTGTCGGTAGGGTCGGAGGCGTGGTTGCTGAGTTCGGTTGTGTAGAGGTGGTCCCAGCTAGAAAACAGAACGAGGTCAGCTTGGAACCGAGAATAGAGTTCTGGAGAGGGAACCAAGTAGAAGAGAACGTACTATTCCTTCGTGCCTAGCTCTGAGGGTTCAAGGTGTAGGGGTTGGGGGTCTGAGTTGACCGGTACTGGGTCATTGGAGAACGCCATCGTGAGAAGATGAGCGAGTCCTTGTCGTCTGCTATTGCGACAGCTTTGTGATTGGATTATATGTCATGAAAGCATCTTCGTTGAGAGCTCTGGAGGCAGGTTCTGGCTATTCTGCACGAATTAATCGTCTGTAAGTCAACAGCCCCTCCTCGACAGTGATCGTCCAAAGTTCTGGGACATTACAATGGAGGGACAGCCGGCAGAATCCACAGTTACCACCAACAAGGTAGGCGGTGTGGCTTCGCATACTCGCCTACATACACAACCTCTCCTTCTTTTATATATTGTCAGTCATCATGCATTCGGAGTATTAATAGATCTGCAAGTGGTTTCCCTTTGGAGGGGCTACGAGAAGAAGTCTTAGATGCTTTTAGTCATCTCTCATGCTCCGCCCAGTATGCCAGCACGAACAATCGGCGTGGATAATGAAGGGGAACTTCAACGTGAAGTCCATTTGAATTATTGGCCAAATCTTCAGCTCGCCCGTCCAGCCGTCCATCCATCCATCCATCCATCCATCGTCGCACGATGCGACATTTTAAATCCATACGGGCCATATACACCGTCACTCCCCATTCCAAAATCCATCCGGAATTCTAAAGCAATCCTTCACATGAATATGAGCCAAGACGTGAGAAAATACCCTCTCCCTCCACCTTATGATCCAAAGCGTCCGCCCATTGGACGCTCGTATTCAACCCAAGCTCCATACAGGTGCCTTGACGAGAATCTGTCGTCCTCTAACCTCAACTGCAATGAAGCCCGCAAAGCGAACCCGGCTGGCATCCCGGGGAGGCGGTGCTGTCGAGTCCGTCGCGTCAGTATTCGAAACCACGCTGCCTTTTCTGCTGCTGGACAGTGGCGCGCCGTTTAGCATGTGCAACATACCGCTCTTGGCCTTTTCTCGTTGAGATGTCTTATCACCGTCTTTGCCACTATCCTCGGCTTCGTCGGGTTCCGGCAGCGGGGGCAGACCTGCCTTCTCGGGCTCCATGATCTCGCTTCGTATCAGATCACCGGGCAGGGGATATACGACAGCAACGTCACGACTCTCTAGAGGCAGGTTGGCAGCGATTCCCACCGCAAGCTCTACAATCATGGCCACGCTTCCGTCTACACCAGCAGGCGGCGGGTCCGTTAGGTGCTGATAGAGATGGGCCGTGAGGTTGCTAGCCGCCATGGTTGTGAAATCGGCCCGGTGCATTGCACTCTCTGGAGACTGCAATGAGCGCTGGAGACCTTCCAGTGTGGCCATCCGCCACGACACAACCTTGGACGTCAATGCATCATACTCTTCTTGGCTGCTCATGGTATATGAGAACCGCCGGATGTTTTGCTCAATCTCCTTGAGTTGCCGGCTTAGGTCCATGTCCAAACCCGGGTGGAAGCACCTGTTGAATATTTCGTCTACCACCCACCGAATAATGATAGCTCGTCCCACTGCTGTCATTTCCTGCTTGCCCGTCTTGAGCGCCTCTGTACTGACATATCTGTCGATCCAGGCAGGTAATGTTCGCCAATCCTTACGGATATTGAACGACAGGTTGTTGATAGCGCCATTCAGTCGATTGAACCTGGTCGTATACTCACTGTCATCTAAAGCTGTGCGTGATTGGGATATGCGCTGGTTTGCTACGGCATTCTGGAGCTGTTCTACTTGGGTAGAGAGTTGCTCGATCTGAGTCTTGCCGTCGAAATAGAGTCTCTTGACATTCTTATACTTGGTTACTGGGAAATGGGTGAGTAGGCGCTTCATGAAATTAGGTATCGGGTGGCTCGTACATAGATCTTTAAACTGCTTGTCTGGTTCTGCCTCGCGGTCTCCGGTCGAGGGCTGCGGACTGTTACGGCCACCGGCTTCTGCCGAACCATCGAATCCTGCCCTCTCCGGTACATTGCTGGCACGGTAGTTCTGGTTATGGTTACCACCTGCAGGAGTGGCAGGTACGGGGTTCATGCTATTCAATGGTGCCTGGCTATGGCGGTAGCCAGGCGGGGGGCCGGGGGGAGGATCGACGTTGCTAGAGCCACGCAGTGCCTTCTCATTCTCCGCCGATCTACGTGAAGCACCCGGTCCTCCAGGTGGCAGCGGCATGTTGGCGGGCTGCGATGCAGACGGTGCCGGCGAGACTGACTGTGGGCTGGGTTGGGTGGTTGACACGTCCTGATGCGGGTAACTCACTGCAGGAGATGCTTGGGTCTGGGCTGACTGAGGTTGGGCTGCGCGCTGTTCGTTATCAGTAACTGGCGACTCGTATGACAGCTGCGAGACTGTCTCTGGGTTGGGTGGTTGAGAGCTTGCGCCGAGGTGACCAACGTATGATTGAGGTGGGTTTCCTGGGTGGTAATGCCCCTGATGTGTGTATCGACGATACTGTTCCTGCGCGGGGTCGACGACAACCTGGCCGTAAAGTTGTTGCTGTTGTTGCTGTTCGACCTGGGTATGTCCCTGGAGCTGTAGGTGGGCCTGTTGGTGCTGGGCCTGGGCTTGTTGTCGCTGGTAAACCAGGTCTTCGTGGCTATAAGGTGAAGTGTCAATGTCAGTTGGTACCTGTCGGATGGTATTCTGGTGGGGGCGGGGTCGTGGATCCTGCGGCTGGGATTTCTGGAGTTTCTGTGCGCGTCGTCCTTGGTTAGGACCGTCGTGCACGCAGGATTCGTCAGTTTCACCTACGCCTTGCAATGGCGATTGCTGTGTGTTCTGGCTTTGCGGGGCCGTCCAGTCGGGGTGCTGTACGAGTTGTTCGAGAGACACCTGCGAGGCACCGGTTCGGATGGTCGGCGGGAAGGGGTTGCTCACTCGCTTCGAGGGTCGGCGAGCAAGACTAGAGGTGTTGTCGTAGGAGTGATTGTGCTGGTGGTGAGAGTTATCCGAGTTTCGGCTCGAAGAAAAGGCAGACGATATATTCTTGATTATATTATTGCGTTTGGATCGCTTTGCTTCGGTGGGGGCGGGTTGATGATGCAGTGCAGCAGCTTGACCTGACACTGGACCTGGAAGGCCCGGTTGGCCCTGGGAAACACTGGGGGAATGTAGGGTTTGGGCAAGATCGTCCACAGAGCTCGACGTAGGACCAAATTGTTGCTGCATCTGGAGAGGAGCAACTTGAGAGTATCGCGTTGACTGGGAACGGGAGATGTGGTCGGCCAAGTTGTGATCCTGGGCCTTGTGTTGCGACTGCTGCTGCCGTTGCTGCTGTGACGAGCTGAACATATGGAATGTCTGTGTCGTGCTGCTACTGCTGTCTGGGGCGGGGGGCTAGCTAGAGGAATTGCCGCGGACCCAGGGCCACCAGCAGGAGATGGAGGAGGCAGTCGCGGTCGAGAGAGCCGACCGGGTTGTGCTTGCCAATGTGTGCTACGGGACGCCAGTTTTTTAGACGACAATTAATCCTGCTCTTTCACACGAACAAAAAGAGTTGTTGTGCAGTGCCGTGCTGTACTGTGCGGTGTTGTGCTGTGCTGCGCAAAACGCAGGCAAAAGATGGGATGGGACGGCGGGACGGAGACGATCTGGCTTATTCTTTCTGCTCACTATCACGGCAGCTGCAGTCTGACGCACGCCAATGAGCCTGCACAATAGTGCAGGGGCGGGTAGTCTTTGGAGGGGCTGTGCTGGATGCCACTTGCAAGTGGTGCAATTGAGTTGCTCGGGTGGAGCAAGACCTGTCAACCTCGATGAGTTCAACTCAAATGCTGGATCTGCTTGGTGCTTCAATGGCGCGTGGACTGTCGTGCTGGAGGTCTAATCCATCCCCGGCGGCTGGACGGGGCATCAGAGAGGGAAGAAAGAGACGATAAAGGCCACGGCAAGCGCTTTTGGAACCAAGGGCGCTTTGATTTGAAGTTGATAGACACAAAACAAAGTTGTAAGTGGAAAAGATGGCACCAGCCAATCCAGCCTTTTCAAGATTGGCGACAGGGCGGGCTGCTGATCATTTCTCCATCGTCCAATAGTGCACACCTCCCAAGCCTAACAACAAAACAAATGGTGCAGTGAGGGTGAGGATGGGATAGTGTGGGATAGCCCGAGTTTCCGGTGCAGTTGACAGGCAAAACTGCTACAATTACCAAGGTATACCAATGTTATGCCGCTTTGTTCTCACTAGTGTCTATACCTACCAGGTATCTATTCCACGAGGATATCGTGTTATCTAGTGCTACTTAAGTATTGTAGGAAGCAGTTGCCTCGTTGTTTATGTAGCATGTTGATGTTCACCGGCCCTCTCCCCCCTATCAACTTGGTTGAAGATCAATGCTCTAAGCTGAGAAACGAGCGGCAGCATCTCCTATTTAGCTGAGGTGCGGCCTTTTTTCCCGGAAATGGTTGTATGTTGCTGGACTAACCAAAAGAGCCCGTCATCCTTCATTACCCAACACGAACGAGCCGTACCCTACCCTACAGTAAAAGCCGCATGAATCCCCGTCTGATCAGCTGAACTCTAAGTCGCCATAGTCCATCCAGTGAATGCCAGTTTTTTGAAAACAAGCACGCCACACCGGCTTACCTAACTTTTGCTGTCATGTTAGAGTTCAAAAGTGTCTCGATGCTTAAACAGGAGGTGTTCGGACCATGGCACGACCGACAAGTCATATATCAGAGATGCTTGACTGGACGCATGGCAACTTCGGCTGTCATGCATCTCGGTGTCACGACCGGCCGGCCCATCGTTGCCAGCATTGACACAGGTATATAGGTAACGCACACATCAAAGCCATGTATGGCGACGTCTTTTGCCATCGCTTCGCGTTATTGCCTATTGGTTGCATCGAACTTGTTTGTTTGATTCACTTCAATTGACCAATACAGCTCCAAGTTCGGCCTTATTAAGTATCAACTCATTTGCATCATCTTTCCCCAGGCTGATAGTCTTCAATCGCCCCCAAACCTTTTCCCATACCCTAGCCCCAGTCTGACAGTGCGGTTCAAGGTTCCTTTCCTTTCAGTGGGGATAAGACCCTGGCAACTTTATTTCCAACAGACCAGTGTGGGTGGACCCCTGTAGGAAACTAGCCCAAGCTAGGTACGAGTAACCAAGCTAGAGTCTAGTTCTCTTTGTCGCGCTATTAATAGAAACGAAGCTCGTTAATTTCCTGCTTATTACAATCTCCACTAAGATCTGGTGCGGCCCAGCCCAGCTTCTCGAACGAAAGACTCGGCATATGCAAGCCAATTCTGACAACACCGAGGAAATGTGGTTATGCGTGTGCATGTGTAAGATCGTGGCAAATGTCGAAACGCAAGTATCGTCACAGGCGCAACGACGATAGCCACGATGGATTGTTGCGGTGACGAGGCCGACCCCGAGTGCAACATGCTGCCGACGCCGATGACGGGCCGCCATGGCGCCGAATCATTAACGTCGGTCCAGTAAGCAGCCTCGCAGCATCTTGCAGTCGGCTCTTGACAATAGCCACGGTCGGTCTACCTGGCTTCGGGAGCCTCAACCGGGTCTTGTGAAACACTGTGAGCCCAACGTTTCAATTGGAATACCGATAGGGCCCAGCTGCAACCCCGTCGATCACCCTGGATGAAGCAGCACATGTCCGTTTCTTCCATGGTTATATTACCATCTGCCCTTCAACCCGCGCGACTCAGCCTCATTTTCCCTCGTTGTAATTGGAGGCAGTTGGCTGCGACTCTGCACGTTTCCATGTCATCACGTCCCATTGAAGTCGGAGTAGTCTCGACTTCAATAACTCCATGTGCTACTTCCGCATTAGCGAACTCACGTATAGCTTTGGCACTGCCACAACGGACAACAGCTCGCATGGCGATCCAATGTAAGCAGCTCTGTACAGCCTGAAGGATATTCGCTAGCATCTGTGTGTTCACCAGCCCGAGATCATCATCAGGTTGGGTTGCTGTCTTTCCGGGCGTTGCAATACTAAACGGCAGTATTGCAGCGAGCTTCTCGAAGACCTAGAAACAACTCAAGAGTACATGCGCAGCCAGCACAGCTTGTCTCTGATGCATATTAAGTGGCTTCTTCGTGACTTGTCCAGCTCACGTTAGCGCAACTCAGTTCCGTTGCAGCCACTACCGCTGATTGCATCCTGATCAAAAGAGTTGTGTCGAGAGCGCTGTGTACAAAAGCAGTATGGGTTTACCTGTTGTCAATGTGGTCTCGAGCCGTTCTATTCTTGGAACTCATCGTACTATGCCGCTTCCGTTCTCAGGGGAAGTTAGCGGTCAGGCTCTTTTAGGATATTCCGCCGCCTTCTTCAAATCTGTATGATATCGTGACATTGCTTGTCTCTTCCGAGAGCAGACCTGAGAGTGTGCTCAGCTTGTGGCTGTGGAAAGCTCAATATGAGTTTCGTCACCGTGCTGAGATATTCTGGGACCGATAAAACTTCGTAGGCCGAGCAGCAGCCCTCGGCTGTCCTCGGATTTTCACCAGTATACTTGCAATGACTGGATAGGTCTCATTCACTGAATTCCGCTCCGACCTTCATGATCGTTCAAGGTCGTTCAAGAACTCCTAAGCCCACCAAGCGCTGCCCCGTGGTAAATACTCTAGGTCGATACCTGTCTTTTTGTGGCTAATACGGATGAATGGGCCGAGTGGTTCGTGATCTGCTATATCTATATACGGGGGACCGGGTCCAACTCCAAGCCTGACGGTATCTTCATCTATCCCCCTATTTCAAAGATTGGGTCAACAATATCATTGATGTACCATTTGGTTTTCCGAACTGAATGCATTTGAGAAGTATCTACTACTCTGGTGGCAAGCGCTTTGTTGATGTCAATTTGATCGACTATCCTCTAACAGCACCCAATACCAAGCGAGACTCAGCTGACACCCTAATAAATGTACAGGGTGTGTGCTCACCGGACACATAAAACAATGAATAGCTATTCTCAAGTTGGGTGGGGCCAGGGAAGAGCCCAATTGCCTCAAGACCATGGAGCCATGTTCTCCACACGGTCTCCAGCACGGCCGGCCCTATGAATCCAATGGAGAACTACTTCCATCGCCACCCATCAAAGCAGGATGGGGATACATGGAATACTTTGGCTCCTTGGTACGTGCTGGCTACTGACGTGCCTTATCACCAACCTCCCCAGAGACGACTAGCCCGGTTCGTTGTCGAATTGACCGAGTCAGCAAAGACGACCCGCGTGATAGACCCGAACTTGACCTACCTCTCCCCCCTATCCTGCCCTAATTTCTCTGCGTTTTCCATTATTTACATCTCCAGTATCCATTCATGGCAATGGCACGACCAGACGGCCGGCCTTCTACTGTACTGAGGATTATCGCTCTGGTGACAAACAACCCTTGTATACTTCCTTTTATGCTCTATTCAACTAAGGAAAAGACTCGTCAGGATTTTGTCGTGAATTCGAAGACGAGGTACCTGTGTGGATAAACTGTGGTGCATTCGTGACTCTCCTCGCTTCATATGGCATTCGAACGGGGCACACGAGGCTTTGGCAGCTTAGAGGCTCTTTTGCAGAACCACACAATCCCAAATCGTTGCATGGGGAGATTATGGGTGCAGCCCAGTGGATCCTACACGCCCGTCAGTGATTATTCAGATGGGTTGGGATGCCACAGACGATTACCGACGTCGATGCCCGGAGTACCCAGGTTGGCTCGCTTTGTACAGGGGGCCATTCGTGCTACTCGATTGAGCGGTGACATTTCTGGGAGGAAGGGTTTAGGAATGTGGCGGAGAGAGAGGAGACGAGCAAGGCCAAATCATTGGCTTTGAAGGGAGCTCAGCTCATGGATGCTATAGAGACGAGTGTGACGTTCTGATTGGAACGGCAGCGGCATGGTGTTGGCCTGCAGAGATCGTGTATCTGCTCGGCAGGTTTTCTTGGAAATCGGGAGTGTCGTTATGACAGCTCCAATGCGACGTCTTTGCAGTCACAAGTCACTTCACTTACCATCATCAACAAGTGAGTCATCTTTTGGCAATGTTTGATGACTCCGCTGATGAGTAGACCTAAGCCCAACTGTTAGCTGTAACCATCATGTTTGCACCCCAACTGGAAATGCCCAGCCACCGAAGCCTCGATAGGAGGCCGCAGGACTCCTCATGGCACGAAACAGTTGTGCCTCACCGCCCAGGACCCGCAGATGTTCAGATTCACCTCTGAAACACCCCGGGTGTAACAGTTGAAGAATTGCCACGTGTGTCCAGAACCTCTGGTTATCTCGTGGAAACCGCTTCTCCCAAGTTGATAGCGAGGCGACCCCACAATGTACACACGGCAAAGAAATGATTGTCTCGGAGGCAGGGCACTGCCTGCCCGAGTAATTGCCAGCTATCCAATGAGTACTTGTGAAACGGTCTTTTTTCGGCCGTCACCAGTTCTGCGGTGAGCGTTCACGAACCCTCGACTTGCTGCTCGATGTTTCCAAAACCGGGCAGTGGTTCATCTACTTCAGGCCAAAGGGTTACTGCCGAACAGGAGGTGAAGACCACTGAGTGGCTGGCAACGGCAGATGGCAGGAGAGGCCAGACCCTTTCTTGCTTGTCGTCCGAACAAAAACAAGTAGGTCCTGCCTGCGTGCCTTGCGTGTCTGCCGGCCGCCGACGAACCGAGGGCGATGTTGTGTGCCTGTAAATAGAAAAGCTGACGAACGGCGGCATCGTCACCGGGGTGGCTGCATCTGATCCCGCATGACATGACGCGCCCTCGCGCCTCGGAAGAAAGCGGGTGGCTTGGGCTTGGCTCGCCGAATGGGTATATAACTGTATAGAATGGTGAGCGAAAACGGTCGAGTTCGACCGCCATGAAAAAGCACTTTCGTAGGTGGCACTGAGTTTGCCAAGGGGACCAAACGAACCGGCGGCCGCCTGCAGCGCCAAAGACACCACCATACGAAAAACTTGCCTTGTGGCCCCTCGGGGAATTCTTAAAGGGGGCACAGGGAAACAAAAGCTTGTCAATATGATTCTCCTTGTGTTCTTGTTGTGTCTTGGGCTGTATAACGTGGACGAAGGTGTCTTTTTTTTTTGTTATTGCTCTTCGTATCGTGTTTCCCTTGGTGGTCGTGGTCAAGGAAGGCGCCGGCGTTCAGTCGACGATCGGTGACAAAGGCCGCCGAGGAGGCTCGTCTGGAGTTTCCAAAGACACAATACCCGGAGCTCGCTGCCTATAACGGGCAGGTTTACGAGGCAAGTTCCGGGGTTGTAGCAGACTCCCGCAGCAAGTAGCCGACGACAGCTGGAAGCAAACGCATACTCATTCGAGCCAACGGGTGTGATCAAGAAAACGAAGCGAACGCACAGAACTTGGAGATCTTTCGTCACAATGAGGAATGTATCCGGCAATATATTGGTGTTTGCATTGGAAGACATTTGTGAGGTCGGAGAATGGGAATGAGGAGCAGGGCTACCCTGGAACCACCCCTTTCTTAGCTCAACAAGGAAGGATGAACCCTGAGATAGAACCAACGACTAGATCGTCCTTCCCTCAAATGGGAAACAATTAAAAACCAGCTTGCATCCACGCACCCCGATTGGATATCATTTTTACGCATTCGACCCCAGAATCTGGACGTCCAGTCGTTTGGAACCAACGTCTACAGGGTAGAACTACCCCGTGGTTATTAGGGTTGGGGCTAGTATTAGAGTCAAATCGTCCATGCACTATAGAGCTCGACACAATTCACTCCACGTGGTTTAGTTTTCCTCCTTTTGCCAAAAGAGAGAAGCATACAAACGATGTCGCAAGGAAACGACTGGGTACGTAAGCTATTTATTTCTAAGTTGAAAGCCAATCGATAATTGGAACCTGCTCAACAGTTGAATCTACTTTATAAGCCCTTGCTGAGCTGTCAAACAGGCAATCACTGGCGTCTCAAGGCTCCATACCCTCAAGCCCATTCCAACAACACCAAGTTGACTCGGATTCACAAGGGCAACGCAAGCAAGTTGTGAGTAGTGGAACAAGCACAGCTGCATTATGTGACATCACACGAACCCCCGCTCTCGGACGTTGACCGAGTAAAGTTGGTGCCTTTTTTATTCGAGGGTCCTTGGCCTCCTCGGGTCAAAGAACCACCCCCCAAGGCGCATCTTCTCTGCTGTTGGTTGATTGTGTAGCATGGAAAAGCCAAGGGACTTCAGGCAGGTACAGCGGATACCTGCAGAACTAACTCGTGGGTGCCGGGACCAGGCTGGAAGCTTTGTCCATGTGCTCATCGTGTTCCCGATGACATGTGTGAGTCTTCGGTTGTTACCTTCTTGTTATCTACATGCCTGCTGTGAAAGACATCCTGTGCTGCAGGTGCCTTAGATGGTTGTTCTCTACAGTGAGGAACTTACATATCCCTTGTGTATAAGAAGCGCCCGAGTTGCTCCTTCCCGCGTCCCTCATTCAGTATCGAGCTGCGCAAGTTTCCCACAATCTTGTCCTATCTAGGTACCCTAATTCTTGCAGATCTCGAAAAGCATTCAGGCACCAATTCTAGTCAATCCTCATCTCCTCCAGCATCGGCTGTACCATTCCATCACCTACACCCTCAGGTCGTCAATAGACTGTCACCATCGCCATCACTACCATTCAAGATGAAGCTCCTAATCCTGCCTAGCTTCTTACTGCCCCTGGTGGTTTGCATACCTTCGGCAGCTAAGCTTGACACCAACGTTTCATCTCGGGGTGCGATGATGCTCCCGGCTGAGCTTGCCCAGTTCGACTTCAAGGACCAGGTCTTGACAAATATCTGCGCCAACTGCAACCGAGCTGCCACTGCAGACCCCTACAACTGTACAATTGACTGTAAGTACTTGGGTCTCCTTTTCATGTCTATCGGCATGAATGTTGAACTAACATGGCGTTAGTCGACTGGGATGATCCGAACTACAATAAATCTGCCCATTGCAACGCAAATTGGGAGTGGGACGGTGTCTCTTCGGGCCATGGCCCTGACAGCGAAGGCTATTTGGTCTGCCACGTCGACTTCCACGAGTACTGGCAATTTGGGTTTACCCAATTCACCAACGTGTTCGGCTTCAAATGGACGTTGGGCCACAAGTGTGAGGATACCGAGTAAGCACGTCCTCTATCTCAGTGTCAATTGGAAGCTTGGCTAACAGTGTTTTAGGCGCTGGAAGCCGAGTACAGAGTACCCGCAGTTCTTCACCGATTGCAACGGAACTCTGAACCCCGGTGGAAGATCGGACAACAGCATCGTTTTCGGGCATCCGGGCCCGTTGTATTTCGCGGTCAACGGTGTGGCTATGTGAAGGTCCACCGCACGATTGAGTGTGACCGTGTAACTACGCGGCGGTCACCTCGACTGAGATGTTGATGACGACCAGTCTTGCCCTTGTATCTTCTCAATGGAATCAGCATTTGATATGGCGTCATGTCTCAGGGAGGCTTCGGAAACCAGATTGGTATGTCACACGGTGACGATAGGTTAAATTTTAGACTCTGGACTCTATGGACTGGTTGGCATGAACTTGTAAGCAATGGTCTTCGGGGATGGCAGGTGTTACACCTCATCAGAGCTCATGGGGGCTTTTATCACGATTGCACGGAGATCAGATGTCCTTTTCACCTGCTCATTGTCGAGACGAAGTTGGATAGGAGATCTGAACTCACGAACGATGCTCACTCATCACTCTGTCGAATTGACATTGATATTGAATACGTAGCTTAACATTGATACACCGCTCCCTATGATGTTACATGATATGCCGCGGGTACAACATTCCCCTTGAGTGCTCGTCATTCCACTAACATGTGATATGTGACGTTCGTCAGACCTAATGAAACGGATGAGCTCATGCAGAACTTGCCTATGATGCTATGGTCAAACCAACTTTTACGCGACTTCCCCTAATCATCATGGTTGCTGAGTCAGATAAGGTCACTCGTCAGGACACTGAGCAGATTTGCTTCGAAAGGCACATCATAGAATAGCTCTTTCTTACTCATTGAATTTCCAATATTTCCAATCACATTTTAGGTTAAGAACTGTTCAGGGGGATTAACCCTGCCAGTCGAATGAATTACCCTACGATAACGAAACACATAGCGGCGCGAGAGGCTCCGTTGCAGCTCCCAGTCCACCGTCAAGACCGAGCCTCGTAATAATATGGCCAATAGTGGCCACTGGGTTCGCCGCGTCGAACTTGGAAGACCTCGAGGGAGTGGCTGGCCGCGGAAAGAAGGATTACTGAAAGGAAATAAGTTGGTGAAACGAGGCCCGCGGGAAGGCTGGGGCGATGGGTATATTCATACTATCCGAGACTGGGACGGAACCAGTTGAATGTGAACGTCACCGAAAGACCTAGAATTCCTTAAGTACTAACGAAAAGATAACTGGATAGGTGGTACAATTATTCAGCAAAGCGGGGCATTTGCGTGTGGCCAACAAGTATGTGCTGGATAATGTACCTGGAGATGTCGAACAGTCATCCTTGACTACAACCCTAGGAGTACTGAAGAAACGCAGTGATTGGAATGAACATATCTCAAATGTAACAGGGATACCGACTTGTCTTCGTCTGTTGCGCATGTTGACGTCGGCGAGGGCCCGTGGTTGATGGAGTAGGTTTGAGGTGAGGGCTTCTCGTTGGGTCTTATATTGAGATATGAACCTCTGAGGAAACATCTGATATTGATGGTTCGATACAGAACTAGCTACATGTCACAATCTAGGAGTCGGGGGCCGATGTATCGCTGGACATGGCAGGTTGCGCATTGGGTTATCCGTTGATTTGTCGAGGGATTGCTTCTAAGCACGCCAACGCTCATCATGTATCCTTTTCTCTTTATCATGAAGTCCTAGGAAGACATCTGAGTGGTAAGATCCGTCATAGTAGGTATTGGTTCCCTCGTCGCGTGTTTCTAATCCGCAGCCCCTTTTACCTGCAAGGTGATTCCCGGAATTTTCAACTTATTCTCCCGTTGTCTTCAGGCGGCTGGAAGTTTATATTCCATACTATCATATTGGCCTGACTTGCGGTCGGCGGCAATATTCCCAACCTGGGACTGATACGTGTAATGGGTCGGCATATCCCACGAACAATGGTACACATCTTGAGATTTCCAGTAGCAAACACAGCAGTTCTACAGAATTATCCACTTATGTCGATGAGCTCTATTAAGACTATGGAATTCAAGGGAGGACTTTCTGAGTTGATTATAGACTGAAGCCGTGGTAAAGAGACTCTTTAGGCTAGATCATATCCGGATTAGAACTTCGAGCAGTCTCAATTTTCAATAGAAGAGTTCTGAAGTGTTCTTGGTAAACTTCTAATTTGAAACACAGCTACATATTTTGTACATTGAAACAATTTCATGCCTTCAAGCAAGTATCACCAGTCTACCACATGATGGCACGCTGTACACATAACTTCTCGTTAAGAGGCATCCAAACGCATTTAGTTGCGATAGGCGCCCTACGACAGCACGCATATGAAATACCGCCATCTCTTTCTATAGTTAGCCCCTGAAATAATTCTCGCTATTATATGAAACATTGTGGAATACCTGAGTAGGGAACTACTTGACATTCCGAAGGGGGAGGAGGACCTGTATGCCACCTTGAGAAAATACCTGGGATCATCAGCCCACTGAACCCCAGCATAATGCAGGTGATGGCCCGAAGGCTAGTAGTGACAATCTTTCTTCCCGAAGCATTCGTTTCCAGTCCTAGCTGGCAAGACTCAGAACACTTCATAACGTTCATCAGTTCACAGAATAGTATATATAAATCCCAGGCTTTCACCCGGACGGTACAGTATTGCTATTTACTGATTTTTAAGCCTACAAAAACCTGCTGTTCGATTCGCCTCGCGGTCGGTGATGGTAGCCTTTTTTTCTTCTACCATGGTGTATTTTAGGAATTCTTTCATTCTCTTATTATTTATTTTTTAAAAAACGCATATGTCGAGTTAATACTCCTGATCATCTCGTTATGCCTTTAAGTTCCTAATGTATGCTATACACTGGGATACATCCAATCAATCTATATCAGAGTCCTTATTCCTTAGGCCTGTGACATATCCCTCACTCTGAACCTATGACTAGACTAAAGGGTTGGCTTAGGAAACATACCATGCTCTAGTATACTGATATTTTTTTAGTAAAAGGCATGAAAGAAGAGAAAGGCGTGGAATAGTCATTCAGAAGACCTAAACCAAAGGTTGCGATCGAATATACTATACAGACCCATCGGTATCTAGCAAGGGGGGTTTAGTAACATAACACCTTTGTGTTAACAGTACATTTCTAGTGAGCTTCCAATATTCCAGTTCCCATATTCCTGTTATCTGTTGTTTAGTAGTCACCCATGCTCCTTATTCTACCGCTCTGGGGGTTGGTGTTGAACAGAGATTATTTCCAAAAAGGACTGACTTCAAACTCAAGCCAGTCTGATCGAAGTTACATGGACATATATACTGGTTCTTGGATGCCAGTCTAGAACAAGTAGACTTTTTATACCTACATTCACCAACGGAGCTGGCAGCAGTGGGTAGTTCCTGAGGTTTACGATCGTCCATTGGAAACTTAGGTGTCCCGAAGAGACTGGAATATACCTATTTCCACTATTAGACCCGACTTGCTAGGCATAATCGAACCCGAAGCCAATCTGTGACACAGACCACGAAGTACGAATAAACAGACACAATTAGAAAGTCAAATTTGCAGCTTGTCTTGCAACTATAGTTCATTGTATATAAATGTTGTCTACTACCGGCCAGTCTCGGCCGACCGGCAAGGGTGGGCCGGAGGGAATGGCACCATCGCATGTCCCAATGATCTGTGCACCCGAAATCGGGACGGCTTGTGGTAATAAGACGGATAGGGTCGATATCATTATCGGGTTTATTTTACACCGTCCTATATTGGAAAGTCCGAGATGTAACTATATGGCATCGTCGAGTCCCCGTTTGCGATTCTGGACATTGATGAAGTTACACATACTACTTCGCTCACTCTGTTCAACCGGACATGTTTCAACGGTCTTGTTGTCTTGGCAAAAATGGCGAGCGAACCCCAGGCCGACGCCAAACCTACGCCCGATAAGAGTCGGGCTTCAAAAGTATTTGAAGTCTCGAAAAAGGTTGGCAACTTCGTGCTAGCGAATTGGCTTATAGTCGGGTTTGGTCTTGCGACGCTCTTGGCGTATTTCTTCCCTCGTAAGTTTACTCCTTGTCATTGGCGTAGTACAAGCAACGGAACGCGATGCTAACAGTCCCCAAGACGTCGCGGCCCATGGCGGCATAATCAGATCGGAGTACTCCATTTTATATGGCGCCATCGCGCTCATCTTCTTCATCAATGGAATGCAGCTATCGCCGCAAAAGCTGAGACAGCATATCTTCAACTGGCGCCTCCATGTCATCGTGCAGGGTATTGGATTCGTCATTATACCGGTGATACAGCTCAGTAAGCACAGCCAACGCACTGTCAGTCTTTGACAATCCGCACATGAGTATCTGACAGGCATGCAGTTGTCGTTCGTATAGTCATAGTCGCCGGTGGCGTATCATCAGGGGCCATTGACGTGAGCGTGCTAGTTGGCATGATAGTCCTAGCCGCTGTTCCCACCACCGTAGCGTCAAATGTGGTCATGACACGCAACTGCGGAGGCGATGAAGCGGCAGCCATCATCGAGGTAGTCATCGGCAATGTTCTGGGCCCCTTCATATCTCCAGGTTTGATCTATGGGTTCATGCCGTCTGATGCAATATTCGACGAGTGGCGTCCCGCATCGCCATCGACTTTGGGGCCCATGTACGCTAGTGTTATGAAACAGTTGGGCCTCAGCGTGCTGCTTCCGCTTGCAGTCGGGCAGGCGATTCGGTGGGTATGGTCTAAGCAGGTCGAATGGATGCTGAAGACTTTCTATTTGGCCAAGGTTGCATCGGTCTGCATGTGTTTGCTCGTTTGGTAAGTAACTGAACAACAATCTGGAAAAGAAAAGTGGTTCCCGTTCATTAACAATAACCAGGTCAACCTTCTCCGGCGCCTTCAACACAGGGGGCCTCTACCAGCTCTCAAAAGGCTCGGTGGTCTTCAACGTCATTATGAATTTGTTCCTGTACGCTCTCTACACTCTGGTCTGCTTCTACGCAGCAGCACCGCCGGGATTTGTAGCCAGACCTGTCAATAACCATGTCGCCGACTCGAAGTGGACCGCCCGCTTGCCTGCTATAGTACGGCGCGGCATCACCATCAGAAGGCTGTCAAAGGAACAGGTCGTGGCCGTCTGCTTCTGTGGTGCGGCAAAGACACAGGCTTTGGGGATTCCCCTGGCTGATGCGATGTGGTCTCAACACACTGACCGAGTCAAGTCGCTGATCCAGATACCGGTCCTCTTGTACACGATGGAACAGGTCTTCGTTGCTCAGTTCTTGACGATTCTCTTTCGTTGGTGGCTGGAAAGGGGCAAGAAGAGAGAGGTGGATGGGAACTCGATAGTTTCAGAACAACCTGGAAATATGGCTGTGTCGAATGGCAGACCTGAGGAAGAAAAGAAGCTGGGAGGAGACAGTGGTGTTGCCTGAGAATGGGCATAGGGGCGCAATCTGTAAAAAGTACATTCCATGATACCCAAGCATGACTAACGTTTATGGGGAAGTCTGCTGATAATTATATGACCTGGGATATGGCTTTTGGTGTGAAAGGAATCTCAGTAGTTTCCTCCTGCATTACAACTATCTGACTCCAGGGGATCATCGAACTTCCAGGAGGATGTCGAAGCACACCCCGTTACTTGTCCCTTTATCGTTGTTGACCAGCATCACTGTCATGACGATCTCGATAGCTTTGAGCTGAAAAAGGCCACTACAACTGGGCAGCAAACGCAGCTCCAAAAGAATGCCATCCGCCTCCGCCAAACTTCCCACCAAAAGTATAGCATGTTTACTGCGAGCCAAAAGTTGGCAGTTGGCAGTTGCCTATTGCAAATTAGAAGCATCCATGGATAGGAGTTGTTGTGAAACCTAATAGTCCATCATCGGAGCAATCAACCGAAGTGATTATGCGTATAGGCGCCTTTTCGCGATGACTCCAGGTCGTTCTTCGTGGGCCATCCAAATGCCTTCTTTGTGTACAAGGACGTCATGGTCGATACAGTCAGGCTCCACAACTCTGGGGACACTTTACGCCAACGCGAAAATTCGCGCACTTCGCACCTACATCCTCTAACATTTTAACTACCACAATTATATCAAAATGAGGCCGAATCTCACCGAATTTGCGCAGCAAGTAATGGCTGATCATCGGCCGTCACGAAATCCCTGGTGTCCTGGAAATCTCCCCATAACTTCGATTCGCTAGCTCGAAGCGGTCGTCGCCCTAGATTTTCACGTCGGGGTAAGCGTTTCCTCGTTCAATTATACAAGTGTAATCGAAATTGGACTTATAAAGAGCTTATGCAATCTATGAGTGGCAAGGTTTCGAAGAGTACCCTTCGGAGGTACCTACGCGCCGTTAATATGAAGAAATGGCGTGCGCTTAAGCGCATACCATTCACCAAAGAATTAGCAGCCGATCGCCTTGCATTTGCAACTTATTGGCTCGAAAATCTGGAGGAATTGATGACGGTATAGCCTCCGGCGTATCGAGGGCTCCCCCGCTAATCTAGTCCACAGGTAATCTTCTCCGACGAGTCCTCTATACAGAATTCTACGTCATCCCCGACCGCCTGGGTCTTCCGATTTCCGAGCGAGAAGTATAATAAGGACTTCGTTAATCTTAAGGCACACGTAAAAGCGAATATTTCGGTTATGGTCTGGGGTGGGATCTACGTCGAGGGAGGAGTAGGGAAGAAGAGCGACCTGATCGTGATGGAGCGACCCCCCCAGGAGGAGGGTAAGAGACAGAAGGGCTACAATACCTGGAGTTATCTTAAGGCCTTGAGGGAGGGCTTACTCCCATTTTATAAGGATTGGCAGCATTTTCAGCAAGATAATGAGAAGATACACCTCTCGGCGCAAGCTATGGAGTGGTTCGGCCGGCACGCTATTTCTCTAATAGACTGGCCAGCGCATTCCCCAGATCTCAACCCTATAGAGCACGTATGGGCCTCGTTAAAGAGGTGTCTATCTAGGGAATGCCCTGAGGCTGGATATTGAGAAATTTAAAGCTGCGCTGCAGTTAGCGTGGAAGGCAGTACCGGCAGCGCTGATTAAGAAGCTATACGACACTCTAGAGCATAGGCTCCACGCTATTATTAAATCCCGCGGCTGGTATACAAAATATTAATCTACGGGTTATAAGCTTCGAAATGACTCTATTTTAATACCTGTAGCCTATATATTCATAGAGACATAGCCATATTAAAATCCCAGTCCCCTAAAGAGCGCTGTAGTAAAAGTGGAGTGTCCCCAGACTTTTGGAGCCTGACTGTACTCACTTACGAGCGTTCGCTAATCTGGTAGTGATGCCTTCAAATCAGCATTTGCGTTTGAGCCAAGTGAATTGAGACAGTAAATATTGATTTGTGGCAGACAATAACGGTATTCTTTGATGCAACTTCCTTTAGTGAATGGAATGCAAGTACAAAGCCACCAGATAGACAGACTTGTGACGCGCTTGCCTGCTTTATTATTTAAGTGTAATTTGTACTGCGCTGTGACCTGACAGCTGGATGATTGCCACAAATCTAGTCTTCCCTCCAGCACCTTCGACCTAGCAAACCCAACCATTCCCTTCTGTCAACCATTTTTTTGGCCTCACATCGGCTGCTAGACGTCCGCAAGTGCAAAAGTCCAAAGTCCAGCCTCAGCCATCTGAAGCACTTGGGAGCCCACCCAGCCAGGATGAGCTGCAATCGAGCATTGCGGGGCAGCTGCCACTGCGGTCGAAACCAGTACCTCGTACGACTACCGAGCAATGCAACTCACGATGCTCAAATCCTCTTCGACACAGACAGTGGACATAGTATGGTACTACCTATTAGCCGTGTTTGCGATATATCCACGACCATCACGTAGCCAATCTTCGAGCTAACAAGGCGCACTACATTTAGGGATCTCGACCGCGGCACCACTTTCTGCCTTTCTTCGCGTTCCACTCGAATGGTATCACAGCCAAACATTCGCCTTCTTCCCGGATGAGACGAGATCGACTATCAGAAGAACCTTCTCGCACCCTTCTGAACAGCAGGTGCAGCGATACTTCTGCGGGTTCTGTTCTACCCCTCTAGCGACCTGGAGCGAGCAGCCGAGAAGCGAGGCAGACTACATTCGCGTGACGCTTGGCAGTCTGCTTACACAGGATCTACGTGACCTGGAAGACATAGGCCTTATTCCCGATGATTCCGATGCGGATGAGATGGACATTGTTCCTACACCTGCACCCGCCGCGGCCGCGACCTCAGAGACACAATTAATTGGGCGAGAGTTCCAAAGCATCCCTTGGTTTGAGGCCATGATCCAGGGCAGTCGCCTGGGCAACATGCGCACAAGTAAAGGCACACAGCAGAGCCAAGATGGCAGAGTACGGGTCGAGTGGGAGATCACTGAGTGGAGGGCCGACGAGGATGACGCGGAAGAGGCCGAGGCATCTGAGTCGTCGGCTACGGGTAAGAGAAAGCGAGGGGAGTCGGGCAGCTCTGCTGTCGGAGCTACTTCATTGTGATCTGAAGCTGGAGGTGGATGGTTCAGTGGTCCGCAAATCCGTGTTATTACGGATGTGACATGTGGCTGTTTTGAAACGGCCTCGTGTAAACACATTGCTCTTCTATCAAGCCTCTTTATCTTGATTGAGCCGGCAGGCTCGCCTTGATGCACACAGGTCGGTACCTTGCGAATGACATACTGGGAAGATTGATTGACGAGCGTCATGAATTCGATCTTGGAAGCAGACCCGACCTTCCGGATGGACCAGTCCAGTTGCCCGATATAGGCGTTTGCAGCGTAGGAAAAACTGGGTAAGGACTAACGGATTGGCATTTCGCCAGGTGGCAGGTGGCCACAGATCAGATGTTCCGGGCTACGTCACGCAAAATGGGAATTGGGACAGACATTTCGTCAAATGTAATAATACACAGCGTTATATGGCAACTCTGGGCTCTACTTATGCATACATGTACCTGTCATATGCGGTCGAGCTGGCTACTCGAATGGCCGAAGTGCTCACTCATATGGAATGCTGGTAACACTATAGCTGCGATGTCAGGTTTATTGTGCAGAAGCAGGGACAATCGGTTGTCAAAGATTAGCCCGTTCTTTCCTCAACCAGCCTCAAGCTTGCAGCAGCCTCTTGTCTACTGAAATAAAGAAGAAAAAACGTCTGTTCTCTCTGCCCGCTGCCCTTTCCCAGTGCCGATCCGCACTTCCATCGAGACCTACCCGCCAGCCAAGCCAGCTATTGCGCCACATGCACAACAGCTCTATACCTGCAACGATGGGAGGCTACTCCCTGCTGAAAATCGTTAGTTTCACTCAATGCCATGCGCTTCCCGCCTTGCCCGCATCTAGGGGCAATATGCGGACCTCCAATGTGAGGCCATCAGCTGTTGGCTCGAAGTTTCAACAGGCCTTCCCTGCGAACAAAGTGCATGAGAGCTCACGCGTCGGAGAGACGGCCCGTCAGTGACAGTTCGTGACGGAGGAATTGGGGGGTCCTTTCCTGAGGGGTCGCTACGACCTGCTCCAATTACCCCGCCGAGGGCACAACTGGGGACTTGGAGAAGCGACACCATCGCAGACTGTTCGGTCGTGACGGTCCGACGGGGGTGAATTGGGAAAGGATTCGAGCACGGTATTCATCCAAGACTCGGCCTGGCGGTACGGTGCGGTGAATTATAAGAAGATGCATTTCCCCGTGCTTCCGTCGAGCGCAAACAGAGGGACACCGTTGTGCTCTCGGTAAACGCCCTCTCCTTCGCAATCACTCTACAACAGTCTCTCTCTGCCACTCAGCAATCAACCCGCGGTCGTACGTCTTGGCGTTCGCCTGATCATATTGGACTTGGTATTCTTCCAGACGAGACGGACCCATCAGAGAAGAACTACAAATAGCCTGGATATACCCACTGTCGCCTGTGCGGTAGTCTACTCAGCAAAACACACCATGTCGCTGCCTTCCGACTTCACGTGGGGTTTTGCTACGGCATCGTAAGTTTCGTTGGTTCCTGGCCGTCATATCATATGGGGCACATGATGCTCATCTTAACCCCAACGAGCGGGTGAGAAGCGGAGGCTAACCTGCGTGTTTCCCCATTCAGCTACCAGATCGAGGGTGCCACCGAGAAGGATGGTCGAGGTCCATCTATTTGGGACACTTTCTGCAAGATCCCTGGAAAGATTGCAGATAAGAGTGACGGGAGTGTCGCCTGTGACTCGTATAATCGCACCGCTGAGGACATTGCTCTTCTGAAGCAGCTCGGGTCTAAGTGCTACCGTTTCTCCCTGTCGTGGTCGCGTGTCATCCCCATCGGTGGTCGAAATGATCCCGTCAACCAGGCTGGTCTCGACCACTACCGCAAGTTCGTCGACGACCTGCTCGATGCCGGTATTGAGCCCTTCATCACTCTGTACCACTGGGATCTTCCCGATGGTCTGGAAAAGCGCTATGGCGGTCTCCTGAACCGGACCGAGTTCCCCCTCGACTACGAGAACTATGCCCGGGTGGTTTTCAAGGCTATCCCCAAGTGCAAGAACTGGATTACCTTCAATGAGCCCTGGTGTAGCTCCATTCTCGGTTACAGCTCTGGTTTCTTCGCCCCTGGTCACACCTCGGACCGCAAGAAGTCGCCCGTTGGTGACAGCGCCCGGGAGCCCTGGATCGTCGGCCACAACCTGCTGCTGGCCCACGGCAGAGCCGTCAAGGTCTACCGTGAAGAGTTCAAGCCCACCGACAAGGGCCAGATCGGTATCACCCTGAATGGTGACGGTGTCTACCCCTGGGACCCTGAAGACCCCGCCGACGTTGAGGCCGCCGACCGTAAGATTGAGTTTGCTATCTCGTGGTTTGCGGACCCCATCTACTTTGGTAAATATCCCGACTCAATGCGCAAGCAGCTTGGAGACCGCCTGCCCGAGTTTACCGACGAGGAGCGCGCTCTCGTCAAGGGGTCCAATGACTTCTACGGTATGAACCACTACACGGCCAACTACGTCAAGCACAAGACGACGCAGCCCGAGGAGGACGACTTCCTAGGCAACCTCGAGACGCTATTCGAGTCCAAGAAGGGCGAAAATATCGGCGAGGAGACGCAGTCCTTCTGGCTGCGACCCAACCCGCTCGGCTTCCGCAACCTCATCAACTGGCTTAGCAAGCGCTACGGATATCCCAACATCTACGTAACGGAGAACGGCACGAGCATCAAGGGTGAGAACGACATGCCCAAGGAGCAGATCCTGCAGGACAGCTTCCGCACCAAGTACTTCCGCGACTACGCGAAGGCCATGGCCGAGGCCGTGTCCGAGGACGGATGCAATGTCAAGGGCTACATGGCCTGGTCGCTCATGGATAACTTCGAGTGGGCCGAGGGCTACGAGACGCGCTTTGGGTGCTGTTACGTTGATTATGAGAATGGGCAGGTTAGAACGCCTAAGGAGAGCGCTAAGGAGATGAAGGGGATATTTGATGCGCTTATCAAGTGATATGAAAGGAATGCATTTGAATAGTTGATGCTATCAATGATGAGGGGATCTGTACAAATGCGTGCTACTGGAGTAGACAATTGATATGATTGAAATGAACATAATAGTACGTTTTTTGAACCAATGATTGTGTTATGCCTCTATGTGCGTGCTGCGGCGTGCCGACAAGCTGCCTAGTACAGCATAAAACATCACTGCACGAAGTAGTGATGCCCCCGCACAATTGCATGTGATTATAACATGCACGAAACCGTTTCCCCTCTCTTACTCAAGTGCGTACATCTATGGCCAAGTTTATGTACAAGAGTTGCTCAGTATATGGCCAGTACGAATCAGATAGGTCCTGAAGAAGCGAGTAAACGGACGAGCAGCACCAGGAGCAGTCTGGAGACGTATGCACTGGTGAGGTCACGCAGATATGTTGCAGGAGAAATGATACAGGGTCGACCATTGATGACTCGATGCCTCGTCGAACTCTACTTTTAGCGGTGGGAATAAGAAGAAAAGAGCAAGGAAAGGAAATGACCCTTTTTAGTCACTTCAATAGTCAAGGCACGAGGAGAGGATGGTTCGAGGACTTCAAGAACCCGAAGCCAGTTGTTCTGGTGGTAAGTCGTACAATACCTCGCGGGTCGCTTTACCCGTAAACGGCTTGTTCTAGATGCACAGTAATTTGAATATCGAATATGGCCGTGTAGAGTATGATTTATGTTGGGTTTGTTAAGTACGGATTCATGGATTGATATCGTCGAATCCGAAGGCAGGCCATAGCTGAGTGAAACACCCGTGTAGCTTCGAGGCGGTGTTTCTTGCTAGTGATCAGAAAATGCCCGACAGCACGTATCAGCCAGACATGGTTGGGCGTGACAGGTTAGTGTGGGCGAGGCCATCTATGTCTCGACTGTGGACTTGAGGCATGCTTTGGTTCGCCTTGCTGTGCCATTGTTGCGTGTTCATTCTCTGTATACACTAGGCCGACGACCCCTGGCCACACATGATTCTATGTATCGCGTTGTTATTTTACAGATTACACGCAGCACCATCAGAACGTCTTGAAAAGCAGTGATTGAACCTCTCTATCCCTTTTTAAATTCCTTACCAACCTCACCCATATTACAACCGATCCATATTAGATACATTGAGCAGGAGACCTGGGCGGCCACTAACCACCAATATCCCCGCCAAACCCAACAGGCCTTCTCTTCCCACCATTTTCAGGCAGTATCGCCAACGCCTTATACACCTTCCCCATCCCCCCCGGCGTCCGATCTACCAATCTCTTCCACGCCCCCTCAATCTCCCTCGCTCTCGCCCCATCCCCGGCCTTCTTAACCAACATCTCCGCCCTTTGTCTAATCCCCATCGCCTCAAGGAAGTCGCTCTGCTCAACCGGTCCATGCACTTCGACTCCTTCACTAGACTTCATAGCCGCCTCAGCAATACCCATGAAATCCACATCGGCGCTGAGATCGACGAGCCCGGGCTCACTGAAGGGACTCACGCGCTGGTGTTTCCGGATGCCGCGGAGCGAGTTGACCGGGATGGTATTTGCGGGGCCGTAGTCGAGGATCAGCGCCGCACCCGAGGGTTTCGGTTTAGGGTGTTGCGGGGAGCCGCCAATGCGGGCGGCGAAATTGGAGGCGTAGAGGGAGGCATCGGGACAGACTTCGATGAGGGACGTGGGGGTGGACTTCAGGACGCGGTAGCGTGGGGAGGATTCTGGGAGGTAGAGGGCATGGCGGGTTGAGGTGGGCGAGAGGGTGAGTTGGAATTCGGGAGGGGGCCCTGAGTGTTGTTCGGATTTCGGGGTGCCGAGGGAGGTATGAGTTGAGCCTAAAGGAGTGGGGGCTACGACCATTTCGCGCCATTGGAGGGTTGGGGATTTGGGCTCGGAGGGTGCGGCTCGGGAGTTGGAAGGTGAAGGAGTGGTCTGCTGGGGTGGGGGCACCTCGACGACTTGGAAAGCGTGGATGGGTAGAGCGTCGAAGAACTCGTGGGCCACAATGAAAGGGGTTCGATTCGGGTCTCTAGGGAGGGACCGTATTGTTTCCATCCACACAATGGGAACGTCTAAGTACTTGCAGGTGCTGTGATAACCCGATTTGGACTCAGACATGGGCGCGTCCTCTCCACAGAGCAAGTTTTTCTGAGCTATGCGCAGCTCGCGACTTGCTTCCACCATATAGACAGCATCAATGCTGCCAGCCATGTCGGGGAAGTTTCGAATAGTCTGTATCGCTGTTAGATGCTAGTCGTCTTACTTGCATCATATAATTGAGCACTTACACGGAGCATGTCGTCCATCAAAGTGCCTCTTCCGGGCCCAACTTCAACAAGCTCTACGCCCTGCTTAGGTTTACCCTGAGACATCCATTCCGCAACGAACCAGATGCCAATGAGCTCGCCGAAGACTTGGGATATCTCGGGTGATGTGATGAAGTCGCCCTTCCGACCAAATTGATCACGACCTTCCTCAAGAGCTCCAGTGTAATAGCCACCAACGTCTGAAGTAAGACACATGCGCATGTAGCTTGCCAAAGTAATAGGTCCAGTTGTCTGCATCTCGATTAGTAGATTTCTCAAGTCGGACTCTTCTGGTACGTACGTTTATCGCCTCTGCCAATTGTTTGGCTAGGGATGTTGTCCAGTTACGCTCTTCATCTTGTCTTACGGCAGTTGCAGACAAGCTCCGGGAGCTCTGAAAGAAGCTCGGCGCAACCCTTGCATGACAAATTCGGGATGCGTTTTTCAACCCATGGTGGGCTGCACGTGCGATAATGGTCCTCATTTCTACCCTTTGAAGCCGTGGCTATTTTGTCATTATGAGGAATTACAGCTGGTGAACTCAGAAAAGTGACGACGTTGAATTGACTTTCTTAAGTTGACCGGAAAGTTGAAGGAGCTCCGAGTTGAGCTTAGGGGAAGCTTTGTTTGAAGCTTCAACTCCAAAAAGTTTGGGCCGAGTATTCCCCGATCTCGAACTTGACGTCAACTACCAAGTCACTTGATACCAGCAGTCAAATTCACAAACACTTGTGCCAAGTGTCGTTTCCCGGTGGGACGATTGAAATTGTCTTTAGCTTTGCTGAATGACGAACATTGGGACTCTTGCGCGCCGGGCACCTCCACAAGGCCACACAACGCCCCCCATCTCACCTCCCATCACCTGTCCACAGCCATGGCAAGCAAGTCACGTTGGGCAGACACAGAAGAAGACGCCGCGCTTGAAGCAAAGATAAAGCGCGAGAAAGAAGAAAAGAAACGTCTGAAGGCAGAAAAGGCGCGGAAAGCGGCAGAGAAGGCACAAGCCGAAGAAGCAGCCCGCCAACGAACCCTACAAGCACAGCAACATGAAGAAGATTTGGATGCGGATCGGCCTTCCAAGCGACGGAAACTCACACCCGAACACGACCACGACCCGTTGAAACCTACATCCCAATCACAAGGGGGCGACAGCGGAAAGCTCCTGCGCTTCGAAGCCGGTAGCTGGGGACCAGCCCGCAGCGTCGAGAATTACGACAAACTAAACGACATAGAAGAAGGCGCTTACGGCTGGGTCGCGCGGGCAAAAGAAATACAAACGGGCAAGGTAGTCGCCCTCAAGCGGCTCAAGCTCGACGACAGCCCCTCCAACCGTGTGGGCCTGCCCGAAACAGGGCTGCGCGAGATCCAGATCCTCAAGGACTGTTCGCACCGCAACATCGTCTCCCTACACGAAGTAGTCGTCAATGACGGTGCCTCGGACTCGCGCTCGCGCAAAATCGAGTCCATCTTCCTCGTGCTCGAATTCGTCGAGCACGACCTCAAGAGCATACTCGAAGACATGTCAGAGCCCTTCCTCGCATCCGAGGTCAAAACCCTCCTCCGACAGCTAGGCGAAGGCGTGGCCTACCTACACGACAACTGGATCCTTCACCGCGACCTCAAAACATCAAACCTCCTCCTCAATAACCGCGGCCAGCTCAAGATCGCGGACTTCGGCATGGCGCGGTATGTGGGCGATCCTGCGCCGCCGAAACTGACCCAGCTTGTCGTCACGCTGTGGTACCGGTCTCCCGAGCTACTTTTAGGGGCCAAAACATACGGCAATGCCGTCGACATGTGGAGCATAGGCTGCATATTCGGCGAGCTGCTTGCACGCGAACCACTCCTCCAGGGCAAAAACGAAGTCGACGAACTAACGCAAATCTTCGAACTCTGCGGGATCCCGACCGACGAATCCTGGCCGTCCTTCCGACGCCTCCCCAATGCGCGCAGTCTGCGTGTACCCAAAGGCAGCTCCGCGGCCACAGGGAGTGTCATCCGGGCACGATTTCCGTTGCTCACGGCGGCGGGGACCGCGCTGCTGAACGGTTTGTTGAGTCTGGATCCGGATAAGCGACCGAGTGCGAGGGAGATGTTGCGTCATGAGTATTTTGTACAGGACCCGAAGCCGAAGCACGAGGCTATGTTCCCGACGTTCCCGTCCAAGGCGGGACAGGAGAGGAGGAGGAGGAGGGAGACGCCGAATGCGCCCGGTAGGGGCCAGAAGGCGGCTGAGTTGGGGAGTGTGGATTTCAGTGGAATATTTGCGGGGAGGGAGAGGGAGGAGAAGGGGGGCGGGTTTACCTTGAGGATGCTATGATATCCGGTAGATCTAGTGAACATGATTACAGTGGCAAAACAGTTCATTGAGGTTTATTGATGTGATATTAGTAGAAACACCATGTTAAAGAACTTGTTAAAGTGCCTGTCCATTTCTGGAAAAGTGAGTCGAGTAAGATAGGGGTGCATCATTAGCTAGCTATATAGTGATAAACGAGTAATACATCGTTCGTGGCCCATAAGTGTTGCCCCTCCATGCAAGGTTTCAGTAGTTTGTAGATGTAGTTGGTAGACGTTCTAGCCTGGTTTTCCCCTGCCCCCGCCCCCCCCTTCCCCAATACCCATATAATAGTGATAACCCCCCGCCTTCTGTAGAGGATTCGATAGCCTCGCAAGGAGGAGCGGGTGCCAAAAAAAATTGGTTAAGACATAACGCCAATGCATGATTTGTTTCCCCATTTCCCAAATTACCAGGGGTACCCTATGTTGGATTATCCCCCCCAAAAAAGATGTTCGTCTCTTTCCTCAGTATTCACAGTTCAGAGGATTATCCAACACATCGTCCATCCAAAATGTCTGCAAGCCCCAGGACATCTCAGCGATTATAAGATTGCCCCAAAGCCTACCACGAACCACGTGAAACTCAGCACTGTGATAATGCTCATCGTCAGTGCGAAGCCCACCGCTCTCTGGTTCAGATCACCATTCGCCGCACTGCACGTCGCGCACTGCCACTCGCCGAGCGGCTCGTACGGCTTGGGCGCGTACATGCCGAACCTGAAGGTGTTGAACGTGGCCAGGAAGCCCGGGGACGCTGTGGCGCTGGGAGACGAATCGGCGTCGTAGATGATGAGCGTGTACATTTCTGTCAACAGCGGGCTCTGCACCGCTGTTTGCTTGTACTCGTTGGTGTCCCACGTGTACGTACCCGTCGCCTTGAACGTCATGTTCTGCGTTAGGGTCACCGTCTGCGACGCCGTGCTGCAGGCGGCTAAGACATCGATGGCGGTGGGTGTGCCTTGGAGCGACGTGTAGTTCCATACCCAGGTTATCGTCTCGCCGATTTTGTATAAGGGTGTTCCTACGGAGGCCGCGGGCGTTATCATAGTGATGCCGCCAGCGGGATCGTCGGCGTTAAAGGTAGTGGTTTTGGAGCTACCGGAGCTGGTGCCGCTCTTCTTGGTGCCGGTCGTCTTGCTCGTCCCTGTTTCCTTCCCCGTCCCTGTTGCCGTCGCCGTTATGCCGGCCGTGTTCATATTTGTTGTCTTGACATCATCGCTGTCATTAGTTGTCGTTTCCTTCGCAGTTGCGTCGGCTGTTTGGGTTGCCTTGGTTTCCGCTGCTAAAGGTGTTGTTAGTTGTGCACTTCCGGCGACCACATGTAGTCACATTGACGATATTTGAGAAACACTCAGCAAAAACTTACTGTTTGTCGCGTCATCTTGCCTCACGATGAGCGTATCCATGTCTGGAAGCCAACCAGGCCATGCTGCTACTGTTGACGATAATGCCACGGCAGCAGTCAAAAGATGAACCAAACTCTGGGGACCCTTCATTATGCCCTGTCTCAATTGCTGGAATGCGGATGGAGAATAAACTCAATCGATCTCAGGCAAGACCTAAAGTGGGCAACACCCGAGTCGTCCGTCTATGTCTATTTTCCCACCAAGACGACAAGGAGAACCCCTTTTCCGTGGTGTAAATGCCGTGACACGTCCGAGTTATAGTCTACAATCGAGTTTTTGTCGTTTCGCGTCGCACGTAGGATGGAGGCCGGGTCTCTGCGTTTTGCTTGGGTTGGCCCCCTTTTTACGCAGGTGTCCGTGACTGATCGAGCGGTTGGTTGGTCGGCTGAGTGAGGAAAAACAACAATATGTGGCTGCTTCGATAGACGCCAACAGAGAGTGTCCTGGTTCAAATTGAAAGCGAGTGGCAGAGCGAGTGTCGTCGGAAACAAAAAGCGAAGGAATATCTCAAATCAAAACCATTAAATTGTTTAATTTGACGTTGATGATGATGAGAGAAGAGAAAGAGAAAAGGCAAAACGAGGCTTTGCAACCGTGTGACGGACGAGCTGGGGTTGCATCGCCTGGCTGGCTTTTGCCCATCGGATCGCCCACAGGCTTGCAAGTTTGAACACGAAGAAGCGTTGGCCCACGGGTGGAACGCACCAGCCCAGATGGGCTTGGTGCCGCAGCGCATTAATGGGCAACAACCTTCGTGCCATGGCCCCTGACCGGTCAGGTTGCCAGGAAAACGGCGAAAAAGAAGTTCCCTGGTTGGCGGTGGCGTAGCAATAGGTTGTGCTGCAGCTAGAGAATATTTGGACCAGTCATACGTCGGGAAGTGGCTTGGTCGACCCAGCGACGATCTGTCCAGTGCCGTATTTGGATTGTCGGCTTCTAGAGTTGTTCGTGATGGGGAGTTCCGGCTGGGCTTGGGGGGTGGTGGCACCGCAGCCATTTTAAACGCCTAAAAATAGCTTCTAACCACAGCAAATGTTCAACTTCTCTCTCCAGCCTTTTCGAATCAAGCATCTCATATGTATACATTACATCGCCTTTGAGCTTCATTGACATTCCTCAGCTGGGTGGCACATTTTTAGCGGACGCAATGATCGATTCAATGCTCCAGTACGGAACAGTCCATCTCAAAAAGTTGTCGATCCTGCCTCGAATCACTAGCCTGCTTTGAAGTCATGGACATCGACAATGCAGCTGTGACTGGCCGTTTACCGGCCAAGTACCGAACGGATACCAACCATATCCGATCATGCCCACGACGGACTCAGTCCTTCCGAACAACATCACGTAAGAGTGGCTTTGGATATCGGGCTGTCATCCTGGTACGAACTCTGAAAGGGCGACACAGTTACTTCGCAACTTGGCTACAATCTCTAGGTAAGGTTGAGCCGATCTTTTCAAATCGTCAACGATCTTCCCGGGCGGACATGCACGTCAAGCGAACTCTACCCACTACATGACTCCACACGAGCCGGCCAACCTAACTTCAAAACATCAGAGAGTTTATGACTGGCATGCGCTACGTCAGAAGATTTTCGACTGTTTGTTTATTTGCTGTTACTAGTATCCTGATCCTATTCTAGCTACTTTCGACCCTGAAACGTGGGGCAAGAAACTCTATACCAACTGTCTTTCCGTACTTCTAGGACTAGCGATAGATACAATACCACAGTCGTGTCAAATGTACTATTCTGGTGAACAGAATCTCACATTTCCAACTGAACAAAAACGCGTTTGACTTCTTGCTCAACGACGGTCGCTGGTTCCGCTACGCTGTTCTCGTTCATAATTTGCAGCAGGTTTTTCGCCGTGCAGTTTGCAAAATGTATGAGCCAGCTCGACGAGTGGAAGCTGTGTCAAAGTCGACCAGCCGACGATCAGAATCCATCATATTCATTGGCCAGACGTGGCCGCGACGATGTCGACTTGTTGAAAGCCCTCATGTATCAACAGGATTCGACGGAATTTCTTACGAGCCGGAGACCAGAGGTTTTCAGATGCTATTTTCTCAGGTCGGCTGAGATGTTGCAAAACAAGATACTCCTCCACCTTGACCAACTGCTGGCCATATGCAGGACCTAATCAGGGAGACAAAGAAACGGCCTCAAGCTGTTGGTTCAACGATGACAGGGTGGATTGCATGACGGCATCTATCGCGGATTGACCATGCGGTGAATAAATGCATTAGACTTTGTCTTAGTCTATGACTCCAGGGAGAGATCAAGGGCATTTCGAGCCCATTTAAGATTGCGCCATGCTCAGCAGGCCGTCAATCTGGCCGTTTCAAGCATTGTCAACACCAGCTCGACGTACTTCGCAAGCAACGATACTAGTACTTCCTTCTCAGCCACATCCGACCAGCAAAATGACGGTTGCCAAACCACAGACATATCAACAATATTTGGAAGCAGTGCTAATGTACCTCCTTCTGGCGCTTATCGGCGGAATTGCATTTGAACCTGGCGAAAAACGATCTCGGCAGCCTGGCAATGCATGCCACATCGGTCTATCAGAGGAAGCGCACAACGCAATCTCCAAATATCGGTGCGAATCAAGTTTGGCCTCCGGACTTCTAAAGGCTCGATCACAAAGTCGATGCCATCATCCGGGGCCATGCTGGCAAAATGCAGATCAAGCTGTTGAAACCGCGAGGAACTCCAGCAGTTGACGCAAAAGAGCCATCCATGCTCGTTGCTCTTTGGCGGCCTTCCAGTGTGGAGGGCAGCAGTTATGTACGGGTCTGCTGCGACTGAAGCGCCATTTACGGACGCTGGTCTTCTTGAAGCCGGCCAGGTCTCCGGTCCAGTATCTTGTGAAGGTACGGTTCTCCCGAGCCCCCTGGCTTCCTCCCGAAACCCGGCTCAGCCGAACGGCAGAACGGAAACATGTTCGTTAGAAGAATACACCGAGTGAATACCAAGGTTCATTCCCGGCCGCCCGCCACAAATCCCTAGTCCCGAAAGTCCCGTATTCCTCCAGCGCCACAATCCGGTAGTACATTCCCGGACCGAAGTTGCTGTCCAACGGGTTGAGCGCACAACTTGTCAAACATAATATGTCCCGGTTCTGTGGAGGGAGCTCCTACAATCGGATACATTCCGTGATGCGAAAAGTACTCCACTGTGAGCGGTAGCTTGACGCTGCCGGCCGGACATAGGCCCTTCTATTTCCAAACAACAACCAAGATCAAGTACACAACCCTCGATGACCTAAGAATAGCGTGATGTAGTGGACTAGGAACTAGTGGGGACGAAATGAGGCTTCAATATGCCTTGCTAAATGTTATTTATAGCGGTTGGTGGTGATGATGTTGGTGATATGTATGTCCATTTCAGGCGGCTAACAAGTAGCAAACATGTGTTCAGGTTCATGTTGTTAAGTATAACGCAGCAAGCCATTGATGTCCAGGACGGCGGACTCTTGACTACAAATACCAGCCCACCTGTCAGACCTGATTCCTGACATGTGAACATCATCTCACACAGATTGACGGTGAAGCCTGAAGCTTTCTCATGACTCAACAGCGAGCATCTACTCGAGGTTTTTTCGATTTTGGTTTTAAGCCTGGAGCTCCAGGCCTATGCGCCTGTCACCCAAGATTCTGCAGATCAATCCAGCAAGGGCGGCCTCAGACTAAGCTGAAATTTCACTAGCGCGTAATCACCCTATGGGACGTAGCTGCATTCAACGACGAAAGAGAAACCCCAGGACCCACCTTCAGGTTGAATCAATTGGCAGGGGTCCTAACGAGTCGTCACATTTTCCTATCTCGAGCTGCAGGCAAGCATAGGAGCATAGCTTCCCTCTCTTTCTGCTTCGTTTCTACTGCATCTTTTTATTTTCCTCTCACAATTGGAGGCGTGCCCTCGTCCATATCAGAAATGGCAACGACCACTACCGGCTCCGTCACCATCGAGCGTAGTCACTTCGAGACGCTAATTCGCAGGTGAGTGCCACATTGGTGATTTCCTTATCTGAACACTTAGATGTGGAGAAGCTCCATTGGATCCATTGGGGGTCCCATTGGCGGGGGGCATCAGCTCGAGAAGCTTCAGTTTCTCTCACTCTACCAACCATTGAAACCAATGTTGCAAGGCTGACCGAACTCTGTTTACTCTTGATAGGGCCAATCTTGTAGGTTCCAAACCGCCTGGTTGTACGACGTTGGCTGGCAATGCTGACATCAAGCTCGAGAATACCGAGGATGATTTGACAACGTCGACGCTGGCCAGCCAGAACCTGACCATCGTCAGCAAAATCGACTATGAGAGTCTCATCTCCATCGCCCACCGATTTGCGAGTCTTCGGCAGAATCTGATGAATGGGGGCGTCAGCGAGGAACAGATCGATGTATGTCAATAACTTTGGCTACTGACCGCCTCTGTCAAATATCCAACTGACCTCGACCAACCAGCTCCTCAGTCGTGATGTCCAGTCGGCATGTACTACCCAAGACATGAGCACCTACTCGACCGACTATGCATGCAATCGAGATCACAACAACGAGGGCGGTGCCCGTCTGAACCCGTCCACCCCACCGACCTTCACATTGAACCCCAACACCCCCATGCATCAGTCCTCGCACAATGGCCATGCTGCTGGAAATGCTGGCTACGGCGCCAATCTGGGTGGGAAGCCGCCCCACTCTCAGGAGTGGGCGGATGCGGATGGCATGGGAGACGATTTCTCGGCGTCGTACTCGATAGGCGCGCAAACAGCCGACGTCACCAACCAACCGGTCTTTAATCAGTTCAACCAGCAAGGGCCGTCCGATCGACCGTACTTTGCTCGTTCATGCAAACGTACTGTGGTCCTAGCAGGACTGCCGGATAGCACGACGCATTTGGACGTCACCAAGGTTGTTCGGGGCGGCTTGATCTTGGAAGTGTATCTGCGGGCAGCTGAGCACGCCGCTCTTGTGTCCTTCCTCCGTGAGGAAGATGCCGTGCGCTTTTTCGACCATGCCAGAAAGAATGACTTGTACATCAACCACAAGCGCGTAAGTCGGACATTGGAACCAGGTATTGCCAACTTGCTTACATGTAGATTATTCAGGTATTCATCAAGTGGGCCGATCGCCATTTCCACCTGGCTGGTCATGTTGCTGGCAAAATCGCTGTCGGCGCCACCCGCAACATGATCATTCGCCGCTGCGACCCCAGCCACACCGAGGACAGCATTCGAGATGATCTCGAGCACATTCACAATCTAGTCGTCATCAAGGTTGAGTTCTTAGGTGGCAGCTGTTACATCAAGACCAACTCGGTTCACAATGCGATGTTCGCTCGAACTTGCATGATGAGCAGAATGTAAGTTTCACCTGCCTCTAAATCCGCTCGGCCTGCTTGCTGATAATACTCCGTAAGAAAATACAAGGGATCTAAGATTGAATGGGACCTGGATGAGTGCGAACAGCCACTGGAAATTGTCCACAAGACTGCCACTCTCCTGCCGCAACGTGCTCCATCCATGAAGAAACCAGTCAGAGTGCAAAACCGGTTCGCAAGCCTGCGACTGGATGACGACGATGATGAAAGTGACGATAAGTTCGACACTTCTTCTGATTTTCCGGCTGCGAGTACTGTTAATGTATCAGCGTGAAAGACCGACGCCACCTCATCCCTAGGACGAACCCCTTTTTCTTAGGCGGCGCTCAGCCCCTACTTGTTCAAGTTACTAAAAATGGCCGGACTGGCGCTTGCTCATAGTTGATGTTGTCCTGAAGTTTATTTGCTGGACGGAAAAAATGGTCTGGTCTGTTGGACAGACAGACGTGGAGGAGTTAAGGACGGAAATCAATACCCAGGGCCTGTCATTGTTGCCGTGGTACCACTGCTCGGTTGGGGGCTTACAGGACATGCACTAGCATAAGAAACAGTACCAGTCGTCGCAACGCAACGTTTCTGGTCAGTCTGCCCGAGCAGTTTCGTCTCTTCGGGGAGGGAGGAGTCCAACTAATCGTTTAAAGTCAGATATGAATGACGAGGAATATAATTCGATTGATTTCTTGTCCTACTACGTTCGGTTTCTGATATCATATCAAATGTATGGCCTTGCTTCGAGTCTCGGTGTAACGTTGAGCGGGACGTGCTCTTGATCTCAACAACATACGAAGTACTCGAAAATAGAATAGTTATTAATAAGCCCTTACGAATCGTATCTGAGCCTACCTCTCTCATCGGAACTTGGTAGTTAAGCCAAGCAGTACTGTCCCCACAAAACCCTACGTCTCCACATAAGTAAGGCCCGACTCCATGGCACCGGGATTCATTTCACTGTTCGTCTAAGCCCGTTATAGACTTAGTAAGCGCGCTAAGACTGCTAAAACTGGGTAAACAGGGCGGCTAAGGGTTATGGAGGCAGGGTGTTGTGTGCGTCTGCCCAGCTATGTTTTGTGATTGGTTAGTCTGAAATGTAGGTTGAGTGGTTCGTGATGGTGTGCAAGAGGATGTTGAGAGGATTCTGATCCTGGTTGTTAGTTGGGCGTATTGGTAGAGGGGTTCTTACATAGGAAGGTATGAATGCTTAGGATGATGGATGGGGCAGAGTGGTGCGGGCGGCTGTGTAAGATGCTGGTTCTGGTGCGAGCTGTATTCTATTAGGGTTCGGAGGAGGTTGATGGGGTTTCATGTGCTTGCTTACATTGGACTTCAAAGGACATGTAGGGAGCATGGTTAGTATGCCTCGCTAAGTGTACGGCAAGAAGAGTGAAGACGCCTGGAATACTAATCGATCGCTTGTATTTTTGCAGTCAAATCCCATAGGATGCTGGACCAACCTATGTTATGTAATCCCCAGGTGAACCAAGTCCCCTACTCGTTGCAAAGAATGGGAATCGACCCTGCTACTCGCATTGAGGATTGCTTACATCAGCGAAATCATAATCAAGCAGACCACCGGTGGCTGGTCTGGCGGGAAATATCATCGATGTACCAATCATAATATGTCTACAAAGTACTAAACAACAGGGTATTTGAGATCCGCTATGTGGCTGAGCGCACCTACTCCAATCAAAAGGCTGCGCAATGCTTCTTCATGCCCTAGGTCCATATCCCCCATCCATATTCGACTCCAGTGCGATGAACGAGAAACAGATTCAAATACCCTCGCTTAATTCCTGCCACCCGTCGCCAATGCAATCATATCGCGGGTCGTTGTGTACTATATGATGTAGTAGAAATGGGTGCCTTGTTAAAAAGTGCGATCATAGTCATGCGAACGGTGCTACCGTTTAGAGGTGCCAGGCGCGTTCTTCGACGCATCTTGCAAGAAGCCCAGCAAGAACTCTCTGTCCGCTGGAGAAAGTAATGTCCCACTACCACGCCTGTTGCCCGGTGTGCTGCCTATAGAGCCAAGTTGCTCAGCCGCTGCCTCCTTGCCTTTAGGTGGCAGTGCGGCACCACTCGTCTTGGTTTGGTTGAAGAGAGAGAGTAGGGCAGTCTTATGCTCAGATGACTGTTCTGAGCGTTTGAGCATGTGAGGCATTGGAAGAGCCGACGCCGGAGGCCCATGCGCCGTCGAACTGTTGGTCGGATGATCTGGTTTCCCATATGGATAACCTGGCTCATTGGCCGGGGCAGGAGCCGGTTGACCCTTGAGATTTCTTGCACTCTGCCTTCCACGGGGCCCGGACGAGGCGTGCTCTAGCGATGACTGCCTAACTTGTGGTGCGTGGGCATTCTTCAATATTTCCTCTTGCCCCAAATCTGCACTGCTCTTCCCGTCCTTGGGGCGCCTAGCGATCATGACAGCTCCGAATGGCAGATTGGAGTTCGGATTCATCACCATAGGACGACCGTTCTCTTGGACCGCTGTTTGCAGAATATTGGCCATTGATGATGGTTTATCCGAGGCCTGCTGCTTGGGCCCACCGTTGGAAGACTGACGTAGGCCCGCAGAATTGGTAGTTGCCGCTCGAGGTGATTCCGTCCCTTTGAATAAAGATAACAGGTCTGGCGTTGGTTGATTACTTCGGGGGACCGCTGCTCGAGGCGACTCCGTTCCCTTGAATAAAGACAGCAGGTCTGGAGTTGGTTGATTGTTTTGGGGCACCGCCGCTCGAGGTGATTCCGTTGCCTTGAATAAAGACAGCATATCTACAGTCGGTTGATAGCTTGGGGCCTTTGGTGATTCTACCTTTTTAAACATGCCCAAAAGACCTGAACGGTGTTTATCGGTTGGCGGAAGAGGGCGCGAGCCAGGCGAAGCTGGTGCAATTTGGGGACTCATACTCGAAGCGGCTACACCGTACTGGTTAGAGTACCTAGTCGGTTTCTGATTTTGAGTACCCATCTGTTGTTGTTGCTGTTGTTGGTGTTGGGGTAGGATGGGCCTGTAGTCTGCCTGTGACTGGACCGACGGCTGCCGATCTGAAATTGCCTGCCTCGCGTTTCCTTTCAGCATTTCCAGCAAGTTTGTCGTCTGAGCGGACGGTTGTGGTGCTGTCCTTGGCCCGGTCGTGGCTTCTTGGGAGTTTATTTGGGCTGAGGATGGATCGGGCTGGTGGCTGTGGATAAACCCTTGATTGCCCTGCGTTTGATGAGGAGCCGTGTTCTCTGGTAAGGTCGGTGTAGGGGGCACGCCCTGCATCAACAAGGATTGCTGCACTTGAGGATGCTGGGGTTGAGGATGCAGGATCTGAACCGGCTGATTCTGGTATTGACGAGAAGTGAGGACATTCGGTTGCCCATTACTGTCCATGCGGATCTGAGGCCGGTGGTAGTACTGCTGCTCATGAAACCCGTGATTGCCCGATACAATGGGGAATTGCGGGGGTCTTTCTTGCACATTCACATGCATTTGCTGAGTGGGATGGTGGCGATGGGGCGTTTGCGGCTCTGCGGGCTCGTAGATAGTGTGATCTAACGGAGTATGAGGGTAGTAATGGTAGCTGTTGTTGGCCGGAGGTGCTTGGCTAGTCGCAGCGGCTGCTGCTTTGGGCTGCAGAAGCGACATCAAGGCGGCTCCGGCATTCGGATTCACATTGTATGCTGTGTCAGTTTGCAGTCCTTCTGTTGGCGGCTGAATCTGGAGTTGGCGTTGCAACTCTTTCTCGGTGCGGTCCAAATACTCAGTACCAGGCGCAGGTGCGGGTGGCGCAGAGCTTTTCAACGGATTTGGTGCCATGTCGTCTTCCGTAAAAACATCATCTTGAAGCATTTGAGGTGGGTTACCGCTGTAGGTCGCGTTCATCAACTGGGCTTGCTTCTTCTCGCGGATCACTTTCCTCAGAGGAACGAGGAACGGCGCAACCATGTAGAATTTGTTGGGGTTGACGGCCTTTTCGTTCCGGGTATTCTGGGCCGCGGCGCCCTTCTTGTTGTTCTTTCGGAAAGCGGGTAGTTGGGATATTTTGTACCATTGAATGTCGCCGATTTCCTTTCTCGTCTGGGGCTCGAAATGGGTGTCGTCGGGGACCCCATGAAAGATGTATAGTCGCAAGTGTTGGTCACGCATAGTGGCCTCAACAAAGTCTGGTTTATCCTCCACCAGTCCAGCGGCACGCAGATCGTACCCCGTCTCCTCGTAGGCCTCTCGAATGGCGCATTCAAGATCGTCTTCGGCCTTGTTGATCTTGCCTCTCGGAAAACTCCAACTAGCCTGCTTCTTCCAGCCTCTGACGAGTACCAAGCTATCCATGCGACTGTTCAGTAGAATGGCGCCGCGCACGGGTACTCGTTGCTTGTACTGCATGAACTGGTCGAATGCGAGGGCACGGTTGGCCTCGGAAAAGGACGAGAGTATCGGGCAGTGTTTAAATATCAGCTCGCTGAATGCCTTGAGTTGCATGTTGGGCAGTGCCGGATCCAATGTACGAATGAAGTCTTCGTAGAACCAGTGGGCCTCCTCAACCTGGAAGCAGATGCGCTCGACGGAGGACAGGTCTTCAGCGGGGAGGTTTATGATGAATCGGACGCAGAGGTCGTCCAGCCAATCCTCAAGCGTTATCTTGTCCTGATCTAGAGCCATGATGCTTGAGGTGTCCTAGCATATCCACGGCGGGGACGCGGAGGCTTGCTACTGTCTTGTTGGTGGGGGTGGGCAGGATGCGACGTCGTGGGCGGCCGGCCAGGTAGAAGCAGACGAAACGTTGTTTGTCACTTATTTCTGCTAGTGATGGTCAATCACTGGAACGCACGAAAGAACGGTGAGATATCAAAAGTCGACCGTGCGGTTACGATGCGATTAATGTTTTGGCGTTGGGCATTGAGGAGGGCAGCAGGCGCGGGCGGACAGATTGGTTGACGTGGTTCAACTTCAAAGCTCCGATGCTTGAGTGGGTCCAAGTCGCAGCCGAGCCAAGCATTTCCGGGATGGAATGCCTCAATACCGCTTGGAAACAAAGCTCATCTATAAGTTTGACCCCAGGCTACCAGGCTACAAGGCTCTCTGCTTCACATCTCCCGAGTGGATACCAGTAGCCTCATGAAGATGATTCTATTTTTCGTAGTCAAGCATGTTTCAGATTTTCGCGAAGTGAATCGACGGGCAAGTAGTTCCCATTCCTGCTTTGACCTCATTATAAGAGGGTATGTATATATGGAGGCCGAACGCTAACGAGCCTTGCAGCCCTACTTATATTGTAGACTCTACAGGGTAGCCTCCCTGGGGCACACGTATTGGTACATAACATGGTTTAACTCATCTGCCTTTCGACATCTCTCATTCGCCCAGTTGGCCAGCGAGTCCAGTTGTAATGGTTGTCTGTCATTGATAGGTCACCTGTTTGGTAGACGTTTGCTTTGTTCTAACCTCAGGATTGCGCAACTAGTCTGGCTTTCTTTTAAGTGTTTTGCCAGCTCGAGTGGTTCAATTTCAAAGCTCCATGCTGGACGGAGTTCTTTGGCTTGACTTGGATCCACCCCACCCGTACGGAATCACTCCGGTCGATTTGACGTTATTGAAAGCTAGAGCGCGAGTGGCATCTGCATATGTTCGTTTCAGTGCTTTTGCTGCACTCACGGATGCATAGCCAACAGGTAGTAAGTGGCGTATGTTCAAAGGTGTTGCACTGATCTGGGGCGGAGGTAATCATAAGGAGCCGCATTCACCACATGCACAACAGCCGCTACCAACTCCAGCTGCTACCAATTACCAATATTTCCTACCATAACCCATCACAACAAAACCACGCACAATCATCTATATTCCTTATTTCCAGGAGACCTCTTAAATCAGCGTTGTTAGTCTGATCATCTGATATCCTTACGATATAGTTTAAGAAAGTTCGTACGGGGTCGATCGCTTGAACTGGCTTTGGCTTTTGGGCTTGACTCGCCATTTGTTTGGAGGTTGCGACGATCTGGTCGAGTTTGTCGAAGGAACACCAAAACTATCGCAAAAGAATAATAACCTTCACTGCAAACTTAACCATCTCGAAGGGGACTGACTGCTAAGCACAATTCGTGGCTGGCGAGCTAAGCGAACGAATGACAAAACATTCGACTCGGGTGGTGTAAGGCAATCACCCGCAAGTCTCACGGATCAGGAGGCTGGCTTTAAGCGCGTCAAATGTCTGGCTTCACTGCAATATTAACCCTCACGAAGAAGACGGATTTTTCAGCATTATTTGATCCTGATAACCCATGTGGACGACTTGCCATGCCCTTCACCTGGGCGTCGTATGAAGCAGCCAGCTGTAGTAGGGTTTTGTTGGCCCTGTTTCTATGCTATGATAGTTGAACCGGCTGCAGGTAATCGTAAGATGGCCTACCCATTCCCCTTACTTCACTATTAGTTTAACGCTAACAAAGGAGACGATTCAGCACCGTTCATGACTGGCGAGTTTTGAGTACGGTTTGCTCTGAACTCGACTCGGGTAACAGGAGCTCCGAAATTTACTGTGGATTTACTCCTAACGAAGGCGATGAACTCTTCGGTAAGTTCTTTGCTGCCCTCAATACTAAGTATGCCGCAACCGCTGGCAACTAGAGCCCGAGTCAGTCCAACTGATGTCTCTAGCAAAGGTGTAACGTAAGTATGTATAGACGTCCTCAATACCCTTGTACATCCCGATGTCCCATATTGCCAAGATCGAACCCCCTCTGTTCACGTCAGTCACCGATCATGGTTAATAATAAGTCAGTGTAACTGGACAATAACAGTACCCAAATCATACTGCTACCCTGTATTTCAGCAGCTCGTAGGTAACGCGATCCAAGAGCAGAAAAAAACAGAATGCAATTCCGATACCTACAGACGAAATGCAGCAACCGGCCACCAACGCCTCCTAGTTATCTTTATAATACTACTACACATACAAAGAGCACACATCTTCTCCGCGCTCTTGACGAGGCCACCGAACTGCTGCCACCCAATCTACACGAATTCCTATTTCTTGCTGTTGACCAATTTCGAATCCTCCTCCTCGTCATCGCTGAATTTGTCTCCGTCTTCACCCACGGCGAAGATGGTATCTCCATCTTCGAACGAGTCCCTCGGGCTCGCAGACTTGGCCGGCCCCTTGCCATACGATGGTGGGGCGCCTGATGAGGCTGCATTGGAGTCGGGCCTCGAGCTTGCGTTGTTCGAGCCCTTGATGCCTACGTTCGCCTCCTCGTCCTCTTCCGAGTCATCAGGGTTCCCAACATCAGCAAACTCGAACCCGCCATCCTCGTCCTGGGCGATTTCGTCGCTCATGGCAAAGCGGCGGTTGTTTGCGGTTGGTCGCCACACGTATGCAACCCAGGCCACATCGGCGAAGTAGACCAAGTTCAGCCAGCCGTCGAGTACGAACCAGCGGCTCTTCCAGTGGAAGGGCACGTAGTCAGGATCCGAGGCATTAGCAAACGAGAAGGAGTTGAAGAAGAAGAACCCAAAAATGACCATGATCGAGATCAGGATACACCACCAGAGCTTTCGGTACATCGTCTCCTTCACCGTCTGCTTTCGCTCACGAAGATCCTTGAGAGTGAAGTTGAGCGAGTTGAGTGTCCACACATAGAAGGCTGTAAGAGTGCCTGCAAGGGGGAGCACGATGAGGAGGACAAAGGGGCCTGTGACATGTTAGCTAAATGGTGCGCGAGTTGTACGATCGAGACTTACCAGCAGTGTCTGGTGAGATCACAAGACTAGTAACAGCATATACTAGGCCAAACACGAAGTGTGCAATCGCCAGGTATCTGACGTATGTCATGGTCTTTCCAAGAGATGGCTTGACAACACCATATCCCATACACACGATAAGCAACAGGAAGAAGGAGAAGGAGTTGCGGAAGGCATTTAGAACGGCAACAACGACGAGGAGGATCCTTGCCCCCACGTTAGTGCCGTTACGGTTCAAGTAGTCTGTGATGAGTTAGATGCCGCTTTTCATCCATGGTTCTTGTAGCACCACCTACCATAGAATCCCCAAGTCATCAACATCTCGAAGACGAGGAAGACCAAAATAGCCGTAATGTAGTTCTGAACAGGCACTATTTCAAGTTAGTTCGGAGTTTTGGACGGAATCGAGTAACTTACAGATGTCGTATCTGTGCTGGTAGTATAGGAAAGCCCAGAATCTGCGCAGTATTAGTATAAGGCGAACATGCCGAATTTTGGGAGACGTACACTACAACAAGCGCATAGAGGATGGTAATTCCTCCATAGAACGGAAGTTTGGGGATCTGGGTAGCCGGAAGCTCGCCGTAGGCCTCGCGAAACTCGGCAGCGGCCACGTACTTATCCGTCGAGTAGGGGTATGTCATAACACAGTAGTATCCCGTCTTCGTTATTGGGTAGGTCATGGGCGGCGACGACTTGAGATGGACAGCCTTTGTGAAGATGTAGTTGCCCGACTTCTCGGTAGCATCGCCGGAGATGATGAATTCGCCAATGTCGGTCTCGTTGCAGGCTCCGGCGTTCACAGCAGCAGGGTCGCATATGAACTCTTGCAACTCGATCTCTTGGTTGCGGACTCCGATGTAGTCCTCGTCCTTCCACTCGAAGATGACCAAGCTTACGATAGGGTCGGCATCGCCTTGGATGGTTACATTCGGAAAGACCACCTGAATAAAGGGGTCGACGGGCCCTCCCCAGGCGTTCTTGCTGTACATTCCTGTCTGCGTTCAGCACTTGTGTCTATCATACGTAATTGAGGTGGTGCGTACCGGCGCATCGTTGTCTATTCTCCTCGGCTTGATCCTTTTGTCTGTAAGCTTGCGACCAAACAATCGGGCAGAACAGGACATGGCAAAACGCACTAGTTTGACCTCCAACGCCTGGGCTGTCCATAGGGACAAGCCCAACAGAAGCAAGGTCGAAATCCACCTCTTCATGGCGATGTTGTGTGTCTGAATATGAGCCGCCGAGGCAGCCTTGGCTGGGAGATCTGTCAACAGCCCGGCAGTGCAACTCTCGGGTGTCTCACGGTCGCGGAAAGCTTGGGATTTGTATGATGTGTTGTTAATTAACAGTAATTCGATGGCTGAGCAACATGAATAGTGTAAAGAGTATATAGATTTGGATGTCGGCGAATGTGATGCTTAAACACAGCTCCCCCCAAGTTAGAACGGCGTCCACGGCTGCTTGTCTCTTCCGCTTTGGAAACATTTCAGTCCCTAACCGCATTGACCACCTTTTTGCATGCACCCCCATTTTGCAGGGAATTTCTACGCCTCAACAACACGACGTCTCTCAATTTACCTCGCAATTGCTCCCTATCTACGTACAAAATGGCTAATACAGTGGGGAATAGTCTGGACGATTTTGAGCAGCGAATCGAACGCGCCAAAGAGCTTGTCCGTCAGGGCTCTTCCCAGGCCGTAGCAGCTCATCGGTACGGTAATTCGCATCGCGACGCGGCCTCCAGGCAACAAAAGTTGACTCCAGAGCAAGAGGAGGTTATCGTGAATGGGATCCTACACGAAGAAGTGTGTGGACGGGCTCCTAGCAAGCGTTATGTGGCCGACTTCGCTGCCGAAATCCTCCTTGCTCAAGGGGATAACAATACACTCGGCCAACACTGGGTGGATCACTTCGTTAGCCGCCATCCACAGATACGTACCAAAATTGGGCGCGTCGTATATGCTAGCCGAGTTAGAGCGTCCGATTCGAACAAGATCCGAGACTTCTACATCCTCCTCGAACGCTTACGTACGAAGTATCGTATCAAACCCGACAACAAGTATAATATGGATGAGACAGGTGTCCAAGAGGGGGAATCTGGGCATGGTACGGTTATTGGGACGTCTAATTCACGCCGGGTACGCGTATCAAAGTCGGACGCTTCGTCGTGGTGCTCCTGGTTAGAGTACATTTCGCATACCCAACGGGGTACACCTGTCTACGTATTTTCCGGCAAGAGAGTCCAAGCACAGTGGTTCCCAGACCAAAATATCCATGAGTGGGAATACACCGCGACGAGTAAGGGCTGGAGTAATAAAGTTATCGCAAATAGGTGGTTAGATCAGGTTTTTCTCCCCAAGACGAAGCCTAGGGGTACCGAATGGCGACTCCTTATCCTCGACGGCCACCAGACATATATTCATGCCGAATTTATGTGGAAAGCCTACTCGAATAGAGTCGCCGTGCTGTATTTACCCTCACACTGCAGTGACGATCTCCAGCCGTGCGATGTCGGGCCGTTCTCACCTTTGAAGACCTACTACCGCCAAGAGCTCAGAGCTTACGCTTCCTACAAGGCTACAGCCCCAATTTACAAGCAACGTATGCTAGAAGCATATCTACGTGCCTCGGAGAGAGCCTTTACTACGGAAAATATTAAATCTGGCTGGCGGAAGACTGGTATATGGCCCCTAGGCTCCGAAGGACTAGTCGACTGTGAGGTCAAGGACAGTGTGGCTGTGTGGCTGAAATCGCCGAGCGATCGGATAATTGTCGGAGATTGAGCTCCTCAAAAGGGGCCAAACGCGCAACACTTAGCTCGGCAGATAGAAGTCAACAAAACACCTCACTTCTTGGAATTGACTTCCGTGAGCGCCCAACCGTAGTCACCTTCCCTGGCACCCAGCCGCACCTATCTTTACATCGACGTATCTTGTGATCCTCCGGAGCCTCATACACCAGATCCTCCGCCTCATATATCACCACCTTTAGTTGCTTTTACTCCTCAGAAAGCGCAGCAACTATCTAGCCAACTACAGTCGATAGAGAAAGCCGAGGGCGGGGTATCTCGTAAGATTCGTACCCTAGTAGGCAAGGCGGGCAAGGCCCTTACACTCTAGGCCGCCGAGAATGCCAAATTACGTAACTATCGAAAACGAGCAACTATATAAAGAACTCGATAAATACGCTCCACATATACGCCAGCCCGTCGAACCAGACCCGAATGAAGTATTCGTTAACTTATCAGCGATCCGAACAGCCCAGGACAAGCGAAATAAGCGAATACGGCCTATTTTACCGGATAAGCAGTTAGAAATTGATACTTTTCTCGAAGGAAGGGTCCCTCCTAAAAAGAGAGCTCGAAAGAATATATCTAAGTCTTCGGACACTTAAATTAAGTATGTTCTGTATATAAATAATATGGACGAAGTATTTAGGTTGATTCAGTTAGACCCTGCAAAATGGGGGTGCATGCAAAAAGGTGGTCAATGCGGTTAGAGTCTAGGCCAAGTTGGCAGCAATTGCGGATTGAGCCGTGACACCCTGGCAAGGAAAGCTGCTACGCTAATGCGATAAGATAAGAACCGTTTGAACGCCGCTGAGCAATTGCTTTTCTAGCATCGAAGTGCGACAACTAGGGAGACCGTCGTTACGTACTCCGAAGTCACTCATTGTTTCATTGAAGGCTCACACAGCCTGATCCTTAATCATGGGGAAAGGTACGGATAAGCTTTATATCACCCACTCCGAGTGGTCCTCGTCCGACGCGTTCTCTGCCAGCACCGGCGCGCGAACTGGCGCGAACAACGGCTCATTCAAGCGCCTCCCCTTCAACTTTTGCGCCGCCAGTCTCCAGCCTTTTAAAAATCCCGTCTGTACAGCCGAGGGCCAGATATTCGACCTCGAGGTTATATCAAAATGGCTCGAAAACCACAAGACGAATCCGGTGAACGGCGAGCCCCTTGCCTTGCGCGACTTGATCAAGCTCAACTTTGCGCGCAATGGCGACTTGGACAGCAAAGGCAAAGATGGCTCCGGCGGTGACGGCAAGGGTGACCTGATTGACCCCGTCAGCTTTAAAGTTTTCACAGACAACACACACATTGTGGCTATCAGGCATGGTGGCTACGCGAACGTGTTTGCTTGGGATACCGTGGAGCGCATGAACATCAAGGCCAAAATGTGGAACGATCTTGTCGACGATGAGGGATTCGGACGATCGGATATAATCACTTTGCAAGATCCTCAAAACGCCGCGAGTCGAGATTTGAGCCAGTTCAAATACCTGAAGGACGGCGAGGATGCGCTCCTGACGAAAGAGCAAGAGGAGGAGCGGAAAGAAGGGAACGTGAATATCAATGCGCTGGGTAGAGTCGGTGACAAAGTGTTGCGAGCGAAAGTAGCCGTCGAGAAGGCAAGGAGAGAGCGAGAAGCCGGTGGGGATGTCAACCGGTCCAAAGCCATCGCCAAGTCATCAGCAAGCAATGAACCGCGGCAATCCATGATCCAAGACAAGAAGCAAGCATATAATGCAGCAGCATACACAACGGGGAGGGCAGCTGCAAGTTTCACCAGCACCGGCTTAACACCAGAAACCAGCGGCGAGAGAGCAGTGCTTACAGATGAGGAGTACATGCTCAAACCCAAGCGGGTAAAGCACAAAGGCTACGCGCGCATGGAGACGAACCTCGGGGACTTGAACATTGAGCTGCAGACCGAGCACGCTCCAAAGGCGGTATGGAATTTCATTCGCCTAGCGGAAAAGGGGTACTACCAAAACGTGGCTTTCCATCGCAATATCCGGAATTTCATGATTCAAGGAGGTGATCCCTCAGGCACCGGACGTGGAGGCCAAAGTATCTGGGGGAAGAATTTCAGCGACGAGTTCGAGGGCCCTCTGACGCACAGCCAGCGTGGCATAATGAGCATGGCGAACAAAGGGAAGAACACAAACTCGTCACAGTTCTTCATCACGTACAAACCAGTTAAGCACCTCGACAATAAGCACACCATCTTTGGCAAAGTGGTCGGTGGACTCGATGTACTGAGCAAAATGGAAGACGTGCCGACGGACGGGTCGGACCGCCCGCTTAACAAAATTGTCATCAAGAATATTGTGGTCTACATCGATCCCTTCCAAGAGTTCCAGAAGGAGAAGACGAAGCGCGACAAGATCGCTGAGCAAAAGGCGGATGTGCAGCGTCGTGGCGGAACAGAAGACGACCGGACGACGTGGACGGGCAAACGGGTGCGGGATGACGGTACGGTGGATCAAGGAAATAGGGACGCTGGCGTTGGGAAGTACCTCAAAGCTGCTATGGAGAAACAACATGGTGAGGCCAACGAGATTGTGGAAGAGAATGTGGTCGATACCTGGGAAGAGCCGGTAAGGAAAAGGGCCAAGTCGGGTGGGTTTGGGAATTTTGATGGTTGGTAAATTGGTTGCATTGCATTCATGGCGTTGGCATACCCCAAGATCGGACACGGTATTCACAATAGCATTGCTATTTGAAATTTTATGCTTGCCGTTGATCTCGTAAGAAAGTTGCGTCCTCTCGGGTTATCTGCATGTTCGTGGACGTGCAAAGTAGCCGCGGATAGCTCAGGGAAGCTTTCGTCCTGATGATATTGGTGTGTACGAGGTCCAGCTCTGCGGTACCCCTGAAAGCATCGCCGACAACCGACCTTTTAACCTTTCCCTGGTAATTCCATAGGTCTTCTTTTGGTGTTGCAAGCGATGAGCATAAACGTTGTGTCGTTTTTGCTCAACCAGAACGTGGTACCAGTATCCATTGTAGTCACCTCCCAGCCTCTATATGACACCAGCTGCTCTAACTCACATGTGGATCCATATTTGGCATACTACAACAAGAACGCCTAAGACACAATGAGTAGATCGACAGGAGCAGACAACTTGAGACTATAAAAGCAAAGTTCTTGTCAGCCATTAGTAGAATTTGCCATCCTTCTGCAGCACCATCTCCTTTACGCATGTGCTGAGACGTTCCCCCGGCGAAAAATGATTGCGACGACAAGCCACAAGGCCCTATCCCGCGGCCTTGTCCTGCCATACCAGCCTGGTTTGATGCTTGCTCATCCTCCACGGATCCCCGCCCTGTTCTTCCACGTCATGAAGCCGGACGAGCCCACGCTTGTAGCGCCTCCGTATAGATCAAGGGAAAACCCCGTTGGTCAACCTTCACTTCCCTTTCCGACCTTTCACATTTGGAAAAATCGGCCCACGCAGCGGCTTGCGAGTATGTCAATAAATTTGAAGATCTTGGTGTATAAATCAAATGAATACGGATATGGAACTCATATCGTTGCGCAAAGCCATGATACGCGGGCGGCCCTCTGCATCCCTTGTGTAGAACGAACCTTGTGCGTAAGCCAGGACCTTGCAACTGTCTGGTCGGGAAGTGATGACTTGAGCAGTTGGCTGCGGTAACTCAATCAAGATGTTCCTGTGCAGTGACGAGAGGACGGGTCAGTCAAGCATACACCTATGCACTCCCATGCTACTACTGGAAGAGGAGAATCTTTTCTTTCATATCACCTTGAGATGGCGGGTCGCACCCTTTCCACACCCGAACTAGGACGCAAAGAAATGAATGAAAGAAGTTGGAAAATGAGAAAGAGTCTTACTGCACAAGGTGCAGCTTCGTGTCAAAACCATCGTACATATGCTAGGGTTTCTTGGCCCACGCCTTGCGCAAGTTGATCTGTGGTGATTCGTTCAAAAACCGGTCATAGTTGAGGTGACTCTCCGGCGTGTATACAGAGTCTATCAGTATCGATGGGTCTCGTGCATCGAAGCAGTGCACCCGTGTAAGACAGTTTAGCGTTCTTGGCTTTAGTTGGCGGGGGTGAAAGGGAAAATAATTATAATGGAGGCGGATTTCTCACCAGTCGGATTATCGTGTCCTGGATTTTGGCCTAACAGGTACGTTTGGATATTGCAAGGTGCGGCTATCTTGGTGTTGCTGTTTACGATATCAGACCGAGGAGGTTGTGATGAATGTCGAAGATTTATAAAATCAACATATTTCCAATGCGAGAGAAGCCCTCAATCTTACAACCCAACTCCCAAAATGCAGTAGCATGCACTGGAAGGTAGTACAACACTCGGATTTATCATCGCGTGTAACATATATCACAAAACCTAACCAAGTCTGACCTCAAATCCCCAAATTCCTTTACTCCCCCTGGATTCTTGTGGTTGCAAGAATCGCCATCTTGGCCATGGCTATATTCTGGTCAGGATCGGCATGGAGCCCCGAGAGAGCGGCTGCAATGTTGGGGCGTAGCCAACACGAAGCCACGTAAACTCCGTATATCAATATTTGCACTTCGTGACAGTGACCGTATATGCCTGTATTGATAAGGCCCGGAAAAGAAGTGTTTAGTCCACTCGGCGGAACCCTGCGTAACCGAGCTGATGGCGAAAGTATCTCATGCACTGCGCATGGTGTTTCACTGTGCCTAATTAAGGGCAACCGGTTGTACTTCAAGTAAACTTCAATAAAGAAAGCAAGGCGGCATGATGTAGTGAAGACTATACCGGGACATACAAAATCGGGCCAATCTTTACATGTAAGCTGGTTAGGAAAATCTCGTGGAAAAGCCCCGAACTAAGTACAATAATAAGCAAGAGGCCTCTCCTTGATTGTAGGTATTTGGATACTACATTCTCGGACAGTGTATTTACCACAGCTAATTAGTTTATCGGATACTTCAACCAGGCCAATGTCCAGGTATGTTGTATTCGCCCTCCGAGCACCAAATTCGAAGTACCTAAGCAGCAGCCATACAATTAACCAATCATGATTTTGAAGAAAGCTAGCGCTGTTGCTGCTTGCGTATATTTTCTCTTACAGATCACGCTACAGTAGAAGGGGGCTGGTGCAGAGGAACGGAGAGAACTGTACATATGGAACGCAAGCATTCCTAGTACCCCCCACGTAGACCAAAGATGCCTTGCTGGAAAATTATTGCTTCGTTGGTATACCTCCTGAGGTGGAGACAAGAGATGGACTGTCACATAATCGACATATAATCTTGGACATTTGATTGCTGTGGTTTACATTAGTATTGTTGTGCATTTTTGGAAATCTGTAAGGTGTATCTGGAATCAATTCAGAACAAAGATCCGACGTCTTGACTCTTCCAAGCCACATACAGTAGATTATCAATGAATATGAAGCCAACAATATGTTTAAAGCCCTTGGTGCAATTCTCTTCCATCCCTGCCCATCTGTTGATGCGGTGAGTCCCGCGTTTCCGGAAACCGCCCTATCTCGAGCTGATCATATCGATACATGTGCTGACTCGTAGAAGTAGCAGCCGAAGTGAACGGCGGGTTGTTGGGCATCTGCTTCAACGTCAATCCGATTCCCTCGACAATAGCAACGACAATCATCTCCATGACGATAGCCATGCCCAGCTGAATGTTGAAATTTCCACTCAATTGATTGAATTTGGAGTTGTTTGCGAAAGTCGAGATGGCGGCATAGACAAGTCTGACGAGGACAAATGGGAGTGAAAGTTCCACCGCCAGTATCAATCATTTCTCGCCAGGCTCCGCATACCGAATTTGGAGAGCAATAACGATGGTCGCCAGCAACAAAAGGATGTATCCGGCGATCATGAGCCCTATTCCCGCCTTGGATTCGCCCGGGGCTTCGTAAGTGCCAGTTTCGCCGTAGGTGCTCGCGGCTTTGTTGCCTCCCACAGCGCCGAGGATGAGCCCAACGACGACAATCGTCTGCACCAGCCGCAATTTCTTCTCGTCCAGGAACGTGGCGTGCGATTTGCGTATGCTTGCCAATGCTCTGCCAATGAGTCCTAGCTGCGCTAGGATCAGTGGCGACAGGCCGACGTTGGCGAGTGTGGCGGCACCGATGTACAGGCTGATGTTTCTGGGTTGCGAGATTGTGGCGAGTTGTAGTGACGCGCCGATGATGCGGGCGAGGGAGAACATGATGAGATAGAACCAGCCGGCGCTACGACCGAAGCCGTGACGGGTCGAGAGCCAGATGGCGAGGAAGAGAGAGAGAGTGTAGAAGCATATTTCTGCGATAGAGATGTTGTTTTGCTCTGTTAGAGGCATGCTGCGATCGAGAAAGGAATAGACAAACGCGAGTACCCGTTTGTTGGAAGGACGATGCGTGGAATGTTGACTGATGATTGAAAAAGGAGAGGAACAGCGTTAATGTGAACTATGACTGGTCTTCGGAAGCGTGTTGCTGGGGCTTTCGTATGAGTGAAGGAAGTACAAAACTGTCAGTCTTATATGTACAGTCCATCTTGGATATCTCAAGGCTCCATATTTCCTATGATGGCTGGTGAAGGCAGCAGCGCAATCGCAGGGACAAACGAATTCCAATGAGTGATCTCTGACGACTCTGAACGCGAGACTATCCCAGTTGGGACGGCCCAGGCGCCTGTGATTGGTCAATTGGATGAAGTCAGCCTCAACCCATCACTGCAAGTCACCGAGAAATGGCCAAGCTGGCAGACATCGTGCCGCCCTACTCGTCAGATCAAGCTTTTCAAGCCTCATTCCTGCTCCAATTATCCGGCACATTGAGCTGTCAGCTACATCAGCTGGCCCGCCAGTTTGGCTACGCGAAAGACTATGCGAGCCGGTCAACCTTTGGGAGACTTGCCTAGCATTCTGGTGGTGCTCGGGTGTTATTGTATGTGTTCCGTTCTATTCCAAGTCGACAAACCAGATCCAAGCTGATCATGCCTACATTCATGGCATATTGTCAAGAACTGGAGGCTGAATATGGCCTCAAGTTTGAACAAAATTAGCGTACTCCTGCTGGTGGGGGACTTTTGGACCCCCCTGCCCAACAGCCGTAAACTTAACCTTTTCTGGATTCTGTGTTAAAATGCTGTTATGAAATAGAACTAGAACAAAGGCTTGTCGCAAAGGCGTGTCTTCTGATGTACGCCGAAGAGATTCTGCCTACAAGCTTCAAGCTTTTCAATTTATTTATTTATTTTGTTTTGTGCATGTCTGAAATAACTTAGGACTCGCAGTAAGAAGCCACGACTTCCCCCTCGCCTGGGAGCTCAGACCACTTACGGCTCGTGTTGTTTCCTTGCCCAGTCCTCAGCGGCGGCCCTCCTGCTTGGCACCACTTTCTTTCCATCACAACTCTCGATGTGGACCTGGGTGGCACGATAATGTTCTGTACTTTTGACCCTTGACAAGCAGACATGTCCCATCTTCTTTAAGGCACGAGCATATTGGCTTTCAGCGCCTGTGTCCCAATCCTCAAAATAATCCACTTACAACATTACAACGCCAAATGGCGCCCGGCATGGAAGACCCCTTAGCGCCTCCTGCCCCCACAGATTACCAACGGCGTGTTGCGGACGCCGGATGGGGCTACTTTGCCGCTACACCTATGGCGCTGGTCCTATGGCGCCTCACTGCCGGCAGATCGAAGAATCCGCGACTGAGAATTGCTGCTAGGGCAACAATGTTGCCAGCGGGGGCTATCATGGTAACCTGGGATCTGTGGGATTACAGGCGCTGCACACGTGCTGTCGCTGCGAGGGCCGAATGGGAAGTTGTGCGGAAACGAATGCATATGGGAGCAGAGGCTGAGGCTAGGACTGATGACATGAATGATCCCTGGGCTTGAGGGGGGCTCATCAACTTCTTCGTGCGCTCTTGGATTGCGCAATCGGTCAGGAAACTTACACGTGGCTTGGATATTCTGAAGAGGAAAATCGATCCGGTTCAGTCGGCTCTGTAGTGGATGGACGAGCAAGCGTGCAAGAGAATTTGTGTCTGCTCGAAAAATACCCGCCCGATGCTTGAAGGGAACATGGGTCATAGCGGGGCTCGTGAATATGAACCGAGGAATCGCTTTGTTTGCAGGTAGGCTCTAGCATTAGAAACATTGAGACATGCTAACAATCGCGGACACATCCGGGTATACACGGTCCGACTTCTAATATTTTTCTGAACTACGATTGAAGCCCACGTATAAGACTGTTTGACACTACCGACAAACTGTCGCTGGGTTTAAATTCGACCTTAGTTCTGTGAACGAGTTCTACTCAGAATAATATTCAGTTAGCCATGTTGTCAGAATTTTTAGGCAGAACAAAATACATCAATGCAAAGCGAGACTATTAGTTGACACGGGTGGACTCCGCTTCCAAGGGCGGTTGATATGTTATAAGTTCCAATGCCCCAACACAGCTTCCCTGTTGCACTCACCCACTCTGCAGCGGCTTCATCAGGTATGCTCATCTTCCTGATTTCAATCTACAGTTTCCTCGTTGCCAGTCGTATATTGAAACTCAGGAAGACTAGTACGGTCTCATGTATACTTTCATTTCACCATGGTTCCTATTCATATCTAGAATATAGGTTAATATATTTAGCATCGTTCATTCATCATAGTCATCCAGTTATGAAATATGGCTTGATTGTGTTTGCCAAGTCTGAAGTATTTGACTCACCAAGGTGCTCAGGGGTAGTAGCAGTACCTTCTGGTCACACACAACATTGCTCCTGCCAACAATATGCCCTGATGCAGGCTGAACTAGGTATAGTTACAGGTCCCCATTGCCTTTTATGATCTGCTGCATTGCTTGCTGAAAACTATCCTAAAAAGTTCATTACCATCTAATCTCCTGTTGAAGGAGTACCTTCGCCCCAAAAGGGTCTGATGCTTCGAGCGAGGATGTGATAGATGCGACTCCGGCGTTGAAATAACCCACATGAAGCCTACCCAAAGCTTACTCACAACATGTATTGAAACTGAGAACGTTGCTCTCACTGGCTGCTATCGAGTGACGAATCAGTAACGTCCAAGTTTCGCACTGCCCAGCTACTGCATGGGCTCTCAATGGCTGAAATTCACTTACATGTGTGTTGCGCAACCATCCGGCCGTAAGAGGTGGCAAAGCGCCGATTGCCATTTGCCTATGTCATGGCTCAACCCAATGGTTATTGATTCAAACCTGCCTGTCATAAATTACTCGAACCGCTTCCAGGGGTCTAATCTTCTATGTTCTGAGACTTACCTATTTTCCAAACCGAGTATTAATCCATTAGTTTAGGGCCAATACGGATTTTGTCTATTGCACCGCACTGGCGGCCGTCAAGCTCTACTGCATCTTCCCGTATCCCTACTACACCCCCCCCCCCCCTCGTCGTCAACTTCTAGGGGCTACTGTGAGCCAATTATATGATCAGATTTTCTTATCATTGATTATTCTAGGACAATCACTTCTTCTGTGATCAATTTCTCAACGATATAAAGGCGGATTCTCCCAACACACACTCTTCCTACAAAATGGATGCGAGAGCATCCTGAAGCACCCTGGATTCAACAGCCACTAAAAGACCTTCAAATATTAAAAACCATGACTTCCATTGTCCAATGTGCCATCCTATTGAGCATGTTGACAGGCCTACCCCAAATCTGGCTCATATTCTTCGCGAGCCTCTGGATCGTCGTCGAGGCCAACCTCCTCGACATCTGTGCCTCATAACCACACTACGCAATTTCTTTAGCCACTTAGCGTCCAATATAATATGAGACTCTCACTACGGGTATAAGACAATTTGAACACTGAAGACATACGAATAAGTGGAAGGGACGAGCCAGACATGAAGACGCCAGCGGGACCGGTGTGCCAATTTGAACGAAGACACGGATATGTATCTGGTACAAGGTGCTGAGACTGACTTTGAGATGGCAATTAATGCTGGGAAGAAGAAAAGGGGTGGGCTGAGTGGGACGTGGGACGCGAGGAATAGGGATGATGATGATAGCGAGAACGCTATTCTAAGAACGACTCCTGTCATGGTGCAGCATGATTAAGTTATTGGAAACGTCATTGCGGAATGGGTCTATCAGTAAATGAAATTCAATGAGAACCCATCACGCAACCAAAGCCCACTAAGCTGAGTTGTGCCTAATCACGTTTAGAGTGCTGAGACAAACAGTTTCTATTAACTTGAAGTTCGAAATACCATTTGAGAACTAATATGTAGGACCTCTACATTGTACTTTCTGCTGCTGATGAGGTACTTACGCCACAGAGCATATACCTCACCGAGAAAAATTACTTATACGAGTGAGACTGCAAAAGCAGGCCGATTAAGAACAGTTTCACTGTATCTCAGTCTCTCCAGCCTCGGGCCTTCATGACTGGTCCCATTTGGTATTCTCAAACCATCTTGTGTATTTTTCCTACCTCATCTGCCATGAACTTTTACTCAAAATGCTGAACTGGTCGATGTATAAACGGCTTATCGTGTGACCCTTCTTGGGGACCACTTAAGTGATTCACCCCGAAACTCGACATATCTTTCACAGAATCAATTACACCTGCCACCTCCTTAGCTTGATCCTCATAAGATAACATAACTTCCTTGATCATAAGTACGGACACGGGAGGCCCTGGATGCCCTGCGCCGCACAGCGGACATCACGGCCAGGGGCTATAATACGCGGAGCTGGGTGCATAACGTGGTTATTATTTCCTCATTTCCTTTTACCACTTACGATAATGAACTCGCCATATGTGTATACGATTGCTTCGACGCTCTGACCGAAATTGGAATCGTCTCTACGACACCTAGGTGTTTAGTTTGTTGATTACCGTAGGGGAAAAACCGCCTGAAGCTATAGAAATTGACACATATTGTTAACTGTACTGAGAGTCTCCACCACATGTTGAACGTGGTATGTTTAGTATGTCGTGAATGTTCGATTCTGGGTGGAACCATTATCGTCTTACCGTGTCTTTATGCCTGGTTTGATAAGCCGCAATATGGTAGATAAAACACCCAAATGAACGGCAATGTGGTAGTGGTTTGGCTTCCAATGCTGTAGCACCAAACTTTCTGATTCCTTCAAACTACTGTCTTGAGAAAAACCAATCCTAACAAGGCGAAGTCAAGCTCTGTCTATGACATCGGACCCCTTAAGCAGTTCCACTACCATAGAGTCTTGTTCCTTAACTGCAATCATCTTCACTAGACAGCGGAAATACGGACGAGCTAAAAAGATCGGCCGGCTCACATTACCTGGATGATCAGAGGCTTGGTTGTCGTATATTAGAAGCAGTATTCCATAAATCAGGAAAGACATACCGAAAGCCTTCGAACACAGCTTTGCTGAAGCCTGACGGATTCTGGTCTGATGATGTTAGCGACGCGACCCTCGCCATAATCGTCATGAAGAGAGACGACCACCAGGGTCATGGGTATTGGTGTGTCAGACATGGTGAGAGTCGCCATGAGAACTCAGTCATCTCAATGTTTGGTTTGTAGGAAAGGTTTACTTCATTTAACCAAACGACCATCACTTGGCATGCGGTTATATGGGCTTTTGTACTACGAACATGCCTCTATGAACGTTTGCACCCGAGTCCCAGGAAAATTCGGCTCCCCATTTCAAAACAGATGTGGTGCGCAGTTTGATGACGATTGGATCTCAGGATTGCCCTACGCATTACAGTACTGGCCACACAGTGTAAAGATTTGTACAGTCCCGGTCCAACCATGCATAGTAAGGGGTATCATAAATTTAGCTCGTCTAAATTGAGACCTTGAAGAACGGAGCTAGGCAAGAAAGCCCAACTATTTCGAGGTTCCACTCAACCATCGTTGTCGAACGCATCATTCAGGTACCTCACAAAGCTCTCCCGTATCCTCGCAGGACCAGACAGGTTTCCCACCGGCTCAAGCCCAATTCCACCCCTATTCAACCCCATATACGCCCTCCTCAGCCTCTGCAACTGCGACAGTCCGACCTTCTTACCAGGCAGATCCACGACCAAATCCTCTCCTCCTTCCCCCAAAACTTTGGGTATCGTGATCTCATCCCCGCCATCTTCCGACTGCTGGTCCAATATCCGCTTCACAATCCCCTGCGTCTCCTTATCCATCACATACAAATAATCCCCTCCGGCATCGCGACTCCGCTGCACCGTCGCCTGGTTTGGCTTGACCACCTTCCGTGCCTCACCCGCCACCGCATCCCACAATTCACTAAACACCTTCCGCGTTTGCTCCTCATCGTCGTCCCATATCAGCGTGAATAGCGGGCTGTCCCACCGCGTCATCGGGTTTGGCTCTTCGAAGCGGAATACGAGATTCTCCCAATTACCCAGTTCGTACGGTGCTTCGTCCTCATTTGCTTCGGCCTTTTCTTCGCCTAACCCTGCCGCTGCACCTTCGTCTCGTTTCCTCAACCGCTCCTCATTCACCCCCTGTGCCCTCTCCTTCCCGCACCCAATCTGCAGTACACAACTCGGCGTTCGCACTGCTTTGGACTCGCAGTGCAATTGGTACCGCCATCCTTTAATGTAGTTCAATCCGTCGAGGATCACGATATCCTTGTCGCTTAGGACGCGCTTGACGGCGCCGTAGATGCTGGCGCGCGCGTCCTTTTCCGAGGCATTGGCAGAGCGGGTGTGGGCTGGAAGCGCCGAGAGATCGTAGACTGTGCGGGATATGGAGAGGGTTTGATCGGATATGAGGTGGAGGCGGTATTTGGGCGCTGTTGCGCCGGCGGTTGCAGTCTCGATGCGTTCGGAGAGGTAGGAATAGAGCTGCTTTGCGCGCGTGGATTTGCCGGAGGTGGGGAAGCCGGTTACGATGATGAGCTTGTGCGATCAGTATTGCTACTTTTTACGGGGTTTACAGTGCTTACAGGCATGACGGGACTTAAGAAGACAACAATTATTTGCTAGTGTCTGAAGGTGAAATAGATGATGCTCTTTAGAAATTCTTGACGACGTTCAACGCAACCCCACCATACCCCGCCATGGGTGCGAAGCTCTCACAGGGGTATCCAGCTTCTCTGTCTTGCTACCCCAGATTCTCAACAACAACAACAACAACAACAACGCCAGAATTGGAAACCTTTAATAATTCATTTTTTCTTCAAGAGCTTGGGGGTCTGCTGTAAGACATGACCGTCTTCAACTTGATAGGTATAGTCGGCAGGCAGACTTATGCATCTAACGAAGAAGCACCCGAAGCCTAGGGAAGATATAGACACAGTATGCATTACTTCTAGTTATCATCAACTACGTAGTACAACGTATCTTTATACAATGGATATCTCGTGTCGCGAACCTAGGCATGATGCTCTTTTCGCGTAAATCAAGGCGGGAACGTTGCGCACCCCGCTTTCCGAGTTCAGCTGCTTTAACGCATCATGCAGATCGACAGCAGCTCCGGCGATTTATTCACAAACAGGCCCAACCCTTATATGTTGCCATCCGATCTGCCCCACCAACCGCCGAGCTTGACACGGTCTCACCGCGTCGTCCAAGTTATTCACCCGCCAACGTTCGATCACATCAAAATTTATGCCATGTACCGATAAATACCAAGCTATACAATTACAACGATTTGCTTATTGCCACACGGATTCCGATCCACTGCGGTCCCACTGTAGATGCAAATAACCCACCTGACAAGGAGAATAACACCAAAGAAAGCGCGTCCGACGTCACCACGACCAACATGGTCCGCCTAAGTCACGACCCCATAACCCCCTCCCGCCGCAGCGACTCTTCTTCCCTGAACGACCTCAACCGCCTCCTCTCGCGCCTGCAGCACAACATCCTCCATGCTGACGCAGAGCGGGAGCGCCGCCTGCGTACAAGCGAATATGAGCGCAACAAAGCCGGGGTCAATCTCGAGTACGCGCGAACACTGCTCACGAAGCTGGAGCAAGACGCGGCGGGGATCAAGACACAGGCACGCAGGCAGGAGATGCAGGCCGATTTGAACCAGAAAAGGGACGTGTTCGAACAGTTGATGGAGAGGCTGAGGGAGCTCGAGGAGGTTAGTGTGGATAGTGATGAGGGCGATAGCGAGGAAGAAGATGAGGAGGATTTGTTGGCGGATTTGGTGGTGAGGACCCCGAGTGAGAGTATGGGGTCCAGAGGAGAGGACGAGGATGATGGTGGGGATGCGTGGGGAGCTGGGATGGAGGATGCATATGAAGAGGAGTCGACGGTGATACCGGAGCAGCACCCGAGGCAATGGCAGTCGGAACCTGAGCCGGCAGCTGTCGAGGCAACGCGGGCGCCGGTAGAGGGGGGAGATCAGCCCGTTATAGCGACAGAGACAGAACAGTCGCTACGCGCGAGGAAAAAGGGCCCTGAGGCACAAGTAGACACCGCCGAGACGTCAGCAAGGAAACAGCTTTTTGGCAACCGAACAGCAACGTCCACGACGGCCGTATCCACGACGGCGACGACGGAGGCCATCCTGGACCACCACCGCGAGGAGCAGGACAAACTAACAGAGTCGCTACTAAATATGGCGACGGCGCTAAAGTCGTCATCCCACGCCTTCGCGACGTCGTTGGAGGGGGAGAAGGACATACTCAGCACAGCTGGGTCTGGACTGGAAAAGAATGAAACGGCTTTGGAAGCGGCATCAAGGCGCATGGGGTTCCTCACAAGAATGTCAGAGGGCGAGGGGTGGTTTGGGAGGATGAAACTGTACGGAATGATTTTCGCCATGATGGTCGTGGCGATACTGATTGTCTTCGTACTGCCCAAGCTGCGGTTTTGAGAAGCGGATAAGGGCATCCATCTTACGACCATTGAGGAGGCACGTTTTACCATTACCGCAATTATGAAGGAACAATGAATCACGAGTATTGAAGCGACACCCCTAGCTTTGAATGTGGGAGTGGAATCGACGGAGAAACTATGCTGTCTATTTATGTAAGGGTAACGCAATCATCTATGACAAATAGCCATCCATACAGAAGCCGCGCCGGAAAATCTGCAGAAAAGCAACTATGCCCATCCATTCCGAAACTCGGCGGAAAACCCACGCAGGCGCGTCTATAGCTATTTTGTTCCCATCCACCGTACTGCGCGAGAATAGACAAGTCGCGGGACTGTTCTTCCCAATCGTAGAATGGCGATAATACCAAATGCCCAGCCTAAGACAGTACCATCAAATGAAAGAAGGGGAAAATCTGTTGCAAGCACCAGTCATTGCGCCAATGCTAAGAGAAAGATACGAAGGGGCTTAGTGGAATGATGAGGAGGAAACGTCATCGCCCGAAGTCTGTGCCTGTGCCTGTTCCTGTTTCAAAAAAGAACGTACTGGGATTTACATATCGCTTCTTCAGCTCCGCCGTCTGAGCCTCTTCCTCCACCCGTCGTTTCTTAGCGTTGGGCTCGCGTTGCGTCTTCATGAGGCAGTACTCCTTGATAGGCAGCCGTGTCCCCTTGTTCATGGAGTCGTTGAGCCAGTTGAGGTTGACGATGTTGATCAGCCTGTCTTGTCGAGCTTGTCGATGGAAGCGACTAGGATGCCCTTGAAGATGGGCTTGGACTTTTGTTAGAGGCTGTCTTTGGGTATTGCGACAGTGAAGATGTGGGCTCAACGTTGATGATTGGGGATTTATTGGTACATATATGTCTTTGAGGAGAAAAAGAGCAGACAGAGTGGCCCACCCGGTTCTCAACACAACAGGAGTTCAATTCCTGAAGTGCGACGAGTCGATACTGTGTCCCCCTGAAATGATACATATACCCCTGACCAGAAAGTTGAGCGTAATTATGTAGCCACTTGCGGATTATAAAGCAAAGAGAGGTCTGATATCCCAGTATTCTAGTGTATTCAACACCAACGCCCAAGGGAATTTCACGACAACTGTCACACAGCTGATTGCCAATTTTTACTTACCCATTCGCAACCCACTGTCCCTTCTCAACCCCAGCCCAGGCCAAAAGCCTCCCATGAACGTCCCCAAACCGACCTTCATACCCATCTGCCCAAGCTCCCTCCTCAAGCTCATCTGCAGCTTCCACTACATTCGCTAACCACCTCCTCAAAGCCCTCGCATACCCCGTCTCCTCCCCAAAATTTTGGTCTGCCATCTTCCGCAGCATGTTCAAATACCCCAGAACCGAGTTCCACAATTCTTTCCTCCCGGGCAATCCCTCATTGTCCTCCTCCCCGTCCAATTGAATCACTATCGATATCAATATCCTGATCAAATCCAACAGATCACTATTCCACTCCTGCCCCTCCCGCACATCGGTGTACGCACACCCCTTTATACTATAGCGCAGAGCGGCGAGGGGTTGGGATTGGAGACTGCACATATTGCCTAGGCGTTTCCAAAGGAGGGGCATGGGGTCGAGGTTTTTGGGCCATTGGCTGTCTGGATACGCGCGGGCTGCGAGGTCCTTTACTTTGGTTTCTAGTTCGGTTGGGGATAGTAGGGACCGGGACTGCGGATCGCTCATCATAGTAACGATGGTGCCGTTAATAAGCTCCGTCATCTGCTCCTGCGTCTGCCTGATGACTTCAATTTTGGACCTGTCATTGCTGGTGATGGCGTTGTGTGCCTCCGTCTCTTTTTCGCATCTCGAGCCTATAAATTCATCATTATCAGTTTCATGATGTCTTAATCCCATGCAGCTGATCTGAGTTTGCATTACATCCACAAGTGAAATCAAAATCCCTCTCCAGCATTGGCCGCCGCAAGAGGACATCGCACGTAACATCCGCATAGCACTGCATCACCTCCTCACCCGCGCGTATAGGACGCAAAGAACGAACATGCATCTCGCCGCCTTCAAAGATGGTCAGTGCATTGGGGAAGCACGAGTGGTTCATGAGGGCCATGACTACATCGATGGAAGTACCGAGGACCTTGGATTGACCGGCTTCGCGGATGCAAATTGTGTTCGTTAATAGCTGTGGAGGAGGTACGTCAGCAAATAAGTAAGCAAGTGGGCGAGTGAGGCATAACAGGAGCGTTGGTTTCAGATATCTCTCCTAGAAGAGACTTGACCGCTAGAAGAGGAAGGGGCGGGTTGATGTTCAGGGGGCTGTGTGTACACACCGCACAGTAAACCCTCCCCACCTCCTCAACCCCCATCTCCGTTCCCGTGCGCCTCCTCGCCTCGACAGCCACTTCACGAATCTCATTGGCATCCGCGCCGTGCATTCGTTTCTCATAATGCGACTCCAGATACGCTATAGATCTCCACTCTCGCTCCGATATCTGTCCACATTTCCTCCTGGCCAGAATCCGATACAAAGCCCTTATCCTCGCTGGAAACACGAATGATATATCTGCTAAAATCTCACACTCGTGCTTATGATATGCTTTCCATGCGCTTTCTCGACAGAACTTTGTTGTGTTTGTCATCGGTTCCAAGCTTTCAAGGACATCTTCAAGGCCAATCATACCTCAGAGCAATACTTACAAACCCGGCACTCCTTGCACTCTACAAGCGCCTGGATTTCATCACCCCGGCGCCGGAACCGGCCGCTTGGGTGTAATTTGCTTTCACTGTCCTTGTAGCAGAAATCACAGACGGTGTTCATCAAGTCCCTCGAGACGCAGTTGACCGTGGGCTGGGACTTGAATATTTCTTGACCCTCGGCGATGTATTTCGTGGCGAAGAGGGCGCATCCGGCACCTGGGATGATGGATTGTCGGATGTTGAGGGAGTGGGTGGTGGTGATGCTGTTTATGAGATATTGACAGATTTCAGTATCTTCATAAAGCTGTTTCCGGTTATGTGTATTCATCTTCGCAATGGTGGCTTCGGCCGGGCTGGGAACAATGATGCTAGACGGAAAAGAGACGGTTGTTCATTGTATAAGTCAAGGTCTACAAGATATGATTCCAGTCTACCAACTCCAAGTGAGGAATGACGTCATTGGTTACATGTGACGATTAAGTGCAGCGTACTAGAAAGAGTATATGGGATCCGCTCTCGTCTGTGCTCACCTCGCGTGGCTGCGTTTAGCGCTTGGAGAGGAGGAGTTAGAGGAGTTGACGAGCTACGCTCCCCCTCCCCCCCGGTAGCTAAGATGACATGTGGGTCACGTCGGAAAGACATATATGTGGGGAATATAGACCCACATGTCATCTTGGCAACAGGGGGGAGTGTAGCTCGTCAAACTCCTCGAGTTATTGCCTGAGTGATAACTCGCGCGCCCGTGCTAGCAGATATGCGACCTGCTAGAGATTGAAGACTTTGGTAGCTCAAGCAAAATCGGATGGCAAGAACAACGCGCTGGAAGTCAGCTTCCCCACATAAATTCACAACCCGATTTTCTGAATCCGAACTGACCCTGAACTTGCTGGGTGGTTTATGGGCGACAGCCTACGGATAGCGAGTCGAGAAACTGAAGGAAAGTATTTAAATATACGGAGGCGTGTATTTGAATTCGCGCACATGGCCATTTTATCTTTCGAGTTATTCTTTGTCGAGTGGCACTCAGGCAGGAACTCTACTAGGACAACAACAACAACAACAACAATTACAAAGTGCTTAAAAGTACTTCTGTGGCTTACACCCAATGCTCGAAAAATGCAGGTTTGGTGTTTTTCTGATACTCTGTTCGTGCTCTAATTTTGGAATATTCTATTATATGTGTAGTTTATCATTAGCAACACCTTTTATCGGTTCAGGAGTGCTGGACGTCCAACCTCGAGTGGGACTGAGTTACTTACACCCGCACTCTACTGGTCGGAGCTCCTCGTAATCTTCTGGATTAGCGTAGCCTGTTCCTCCACCCCCTCGCCCATCCCCCTACGCAGCGAAGCCATCGTAGCAAAGCCCTCAGCGTCTCTCGCCGCCAGTGCCACCCCACCGGCGTCGACTAGCATACCCATAATGGCCATGGGTGCGCTGTCGGGATCCTCCACAATAGTGTAAATACTGTACCCAGCATTTGCCACCTCTCCCGCGATTGTGGCAATTCGCGATAACGTCGCAAACCCGGCGGCGGCGGCCACTTCTTCGCCAACAAACGGCACCAAAGCTAGTACAGCAGTCACGATCCAGCCTATGAGTTCTTTCTACTCCTCCTCCTTCTCCGTCTCCCCCAAGTCCTTGACCTGTTGCATGGCGCTGACGGCCTGTTGAGCGAGTGCCACGGGCATGGAAACGACCTGTACTGGATCGAGACCAGACCCGTTCCACTGGCCGAGCATGATGTCGAAAGTCGTAGCGTCGATCTTGTCGGGGAGATCGCCGAGGCCCGTGCCCGCCTCGGTGAAGATGTCCTTGGGGTTGGGGACTACGATGTCGTCGGCCTTCATGGGGAAGTTGTCGTACTTCAGGAACTTGGCAATGCAGGGCGAGGTGGTGACGCAGACGGAGCCGAGGCAGCTGATGCTGCCAGGCACGCAGTCGGTGGCGACTTCGATCGACCCCATCTTGACCCAGGCCTGCTCGATGCCGTACGTCTCCTCTAGCACCGCCCAGAATCCTGTCTCGTTGGCGAATGACCAGGTTACCGTCATGCCGTTCTGCAATAGCTGGTTCTCCCTGTCGATGTCCGAGGTGTCTGGGCACGCCAGGTCGCCCGGGTCCGTCGCGTCAGCGCCGCTGCCCCACGCGCACTCGAAGAAGGTCCAGCCGTCGTGGGCCATGAAAGTGTCGATGGCTGGCTGGATCAAGTTGTCGACGTACTTGACGTAGTAGCCGAAGAGGGTATCGTAGCCATCGTTCACGTCCTCGTAGCCTCACAGCGCGCTCGTGATGTCGTTGGAAAGCACGTTGAGTGCGTAAATCTCGTTGCAGTAGGCTGTGTACGAGTCGGACACGGCCGCCAGGTCCAAGAGGGTGTCGAATGAAAGAGTCCAATCACAAGCAGGAGAGGACTCATCGCTCACTTCGCAGACGCAGACGCCATAGTTGCACGCGAAGGTGCACATGTTGTCCAGCGTCATGTTATCCTCGTCCGGCAGAACGATATCGCTAGGCACGGCGATATTGTCCAATGGCACCAGCGTCCCCTGCGAGGAGCAGCTGCAGATACGGATGGGGCAGTATCCGTAGGAACAGAGCCAGGCGCACAGATCGTCGGCACCATACTCCGTCCAGTCATCCGTAGCGGTGCCGCCGGTGCAGTAATCCGGAAGAAAGGGCGACACACTAGGCGTGCTCAGGGAATTCTCGGTAGTGGAGCAGTACTTGTCGAACTCGAAGCCGTAGTTGTACAGGAAGGAGCACAGGCCGATGTAGTTGGTATCGCTCTTGGCGTACCCAAGGACACCCGTGGCCTCGGGCAACTCCGTCTGCTCACCCATGCCCGTGCAGACGCAGGCGCCGAAGGGGCAGTAGCCGTACCTGCAGGACTTCGAGCAGATCACTGCGAAGTCTACCGCTCCTGTGCCCGCGTTGCACACGAGATCGTCTAGATTGGCCGTGTCAGCTGAGACTGTCTGCGGGGAGAAACTGCCGACGACATTAAAGTTGAAGTTGGCGTATCCGTCGTCTCTGCATCCTCCGATCGCGTCACCGGTCATCTGGATCACCTTTACGTCGTCGCGGACCAGCTCAGCCGTGACATCGCCGGTGATGCCGTCTTCCAGGTAGAGCGTGCCGTAGTAGACGCCCACCCCCCCGGCTGGTTCACGTAGCCAACCGGAGGTCATGGTTGTGCCGCCAACCGTGATTCGCACACTTGCTGAGGATCCGAGCGTGGCCATGAAGCCGATGTAGCGGGAAATTATTACGGAGTCCTCGGGCAGCACCTCGACCTGTAGCTGTGATGCAGTATTGACGACCGTGCCGCCGTCGTTGCAGCTCATCACGTCATGAAGTTGATACATGAGTATCAGGCTCTCGTCAATGACGGTGGCAACGTTGTTCTTGTACTGATTCGCCCAAACGGGGAGTGGATAGTGCAAGCCGCTGTGGTCCATACCTGTGACATAGTCAAAGATTGCAAGACCGTCTTCTTCGAACGGTGGCGAGCTCTTGGCGCCACCGATGTAATGAGACTAGTGGGAATGAAAATGTGAGCCTTGGAGTCGTTCTGAAATTCAACGTCGCATTTAGTTCGTCTCACTCGCCTCGCCAAAGTCATTCCAGCTGATGATCTCGACATAGTCGGGCTGCAGGAAGAGAATCTGGTTCCAGCGCCGGGGCCAAAGAAGCATCTCCTTCTCCGGCCACATCCAGTTCTTGTTATAGCCCGGCAGGTTGGTGTAGAACCAGGGCGATACGGCCATCATGTAGGGTTTGCCGTTGAGGTATTGGATATACGAGGCATCGCCGTAGGTGTCTATTTCCAAGCCCTGGTATGACCAGGCCGCTCAGCTGAAGAGGCCGTCTGCAACGCCGTCCTAGTCATCGTCGAAGTCAGCAGTCGGTTCGACCAGATTTCCACCACGATGTAGATGGATTTGTCATGAGGCAAGCAAGAAACCTTGCAGCCGCGGAAGACAAAAGAACGATCTAAAAACTGACCTCGAGCTCGACAGCCACCTTGGCACCCAGCGACGACCAATCCGGCATGAAAAAGCAGCCGCTGGTCGCCTTGATTTCGACCCAATCCGCTGCGCTGGCGGGACCCTCGACCGTCGAAACAAGCGGCATCGACCCATCGTGCTGGAAGTAGACACCATTACGGGCGTACGTGCTGAGTAGCGAGATGACGTCGGCTTTCGTCCAAGCGCCGTTCCCGGCATAGTCGAACGAGAAGGCGTCGATCCCTGCCGTCGATGCGATGATCATCTCGGTCTGCCAGTCAGTTTGGGACCAGCCTCCCGCATTGTCAGCTGGAAGAGTTGAATCGAGGGTTCTGGCAAGGACGGAGAATCTGAAAAGGGATCTCTGGCGTGATTCGGTCTGTCTCAGTATAGATTTATTACCAGCGTAAGCACGGTTCATCTCCGATGCGTCACGGAGGTATCCTGCAGGAAGTTGAACCTTGCCAAACTCTCTGGTCAGACTCCGCCGAATCAATGGCCTAAAGCAGAGAACCAAAACAAGTCGAAGATAGATAAGCACTAGGTTAGAGTGGCACGACAGCATTATCACCGCACAAATTATGATATCCACTAACATATCCCACAAACGAGCCGCCCATCCAAATATACCGCATAGTTCAAGTTTTATATGATATGAAACCCGGCTACATACATATATAATGATACATGGCTCATTCTTACATAAAAATGCAACTGGGCGGCTCACTTGAGTGGATGGCTCGTTTGTGGGATACGTTACTTGATTCAGTTAAAGAAAGTCGAAGGCCAAAATGCAAGAGCCTACTACATAGCCTGCGGCACAGACAGGGCAAAATGCTCATGGCACCCCTGCAGGAAGGTGTGTTGGCCTTACGGGGCCTGATGCTTATATTCAACGCTTGGGAATTCCCTTTGTGGGGCTATCTACTTAATCGCTGAGCCATCGAATCTGGGCTTTTTGGACGACTGGGCGAGGAGCGTATCGTGCTCGTTGACGCGGCCGACAGCGAGCGTAAGCGCAAGTTCCAGAACTTCTCGGAAGTACATGGGTCGGGGCAGGATCGGCAAACGGCGCATTTCTTCCAAGTGTACGGTAAGGCGGAGTCGTGGGTTCACGATAACATGGACGAGCTGCGTATCAGGTGGTTTATGCATATGTGGCGTAAGACTGGCAAGGAGGCTATCGAGGACTACGAGGGAGTCTGGGCGGAGCGACCTGACGGAGATGAAGATTGGGACGAGGAACCCTACTTGAGGCAGCATTGGGTGCTAAATCAGGACCACCCCTGGGTAAAAGATTTCTTCAAGTCTATGCCGGAAATTCGGCCAACGGTTACGTTTCGACTCTGTATTCAGAACTGCGCGTAAAAACAGTGTACCCTGTAGTGGAGCAGGGCCGGTTATCAGGGAAAATAGGGGAGGATTTTCTTTTTCTTCACTTCAAGAAGTACGCAGGGGCGGGTCATCTTAACCATTATCTTCTTCTCATCTTCTATTCTATGATCTTTTCGTAGTTAACAATTGGTATCTTCTTAGTATGCTACTTAGATTTTAGTTTAAATTTTTTATAGAAGTCTTAGTATACTAAGGAACCGGAGGGACTAGTGCTCTACGGCGCCGATATACAGGCTCTAATTATCTATGGAAGGGAGGTATCTTACAAGAAGATAGAAAGATAGTCAAAGATCAATATACTACTCTGGGCACCCCTACCTGAGACCACTAGTAACCGCCACTGACCACTCGGGGTAACCAGGGGGAACGCCCATTACTCCCCTTCACTCTGTACTATCGCCTTCGGCTAAGCCGTACTGATACGTGACCCTATGGGGGGTTACCCCGTAGCTATAGATAAGATAGATAAGATAAAAGCTATAAAAGAGCTCTGCCAGGCCAGAATAGCTGACCTGGTCATCCTTTCCCAATACAATAATTCACACCCCATATGCACTCGCATCACGTACCCTGACAAAAAGATACAGACAAATAGGGAGCCTAGGCATGATTATTAATTCCTAACGCCAGTAATAAGAATACATAGAGAAGGAAACTTGTGCCTCTAAGTCCCCTTAGTACCTTGAGCACTATTTCAAGCGTACAGCATGTTGCACGTTTTCTGTCTAGTCGCATCAGCTGTTCAAGTTTTGACGCCTTCAGTATTCAGCCGATTTCTTCCACACCGGCAACTCCCGAAGGCTGTCCCTGTCAAACACGACCCTCGATTTCTTGTCCAACCAAGCCCTTTCATCCGTGCTCTTGATCCCAGCTGCCGAATTGTCCTCAACTTCCTTTTTACTAAGCCCTGCTTCATCCTTTGGCAGCCAGATAGTCGGAGTTTTGGAAGTCAAGCTCGGGTTCATATAAGCCGTTCGAAGCTCCTCTTCGCTATATTCTGGCGGCTCCAAGTCAAAAGCATGACTAGCGAGGAACGCCTTCATGACTTTATGCGACGCATATATATGCGGCTCAAAGAAGCGGGCAATAGGGTCGATGACTTGCTGCGGGGCGTGTAGCCGTTGGCCTAGCCGTTGCACTTGGGACTGATCGTGGGCACGTTCTACTGCCTCCCCTTCCTCCGCCGCGAGCAGCGGCTCTTCTTCTTCTACTTCCTCTGCTGTCATCAAGTCGTCGGGCAAATGATCCTCCAGCGGACCCAGGTAGCGGTTCATCACCACGTTGTATGCAATAGTCCCAAAGAACAAAACGGCCGTCATGATAGAAGGTCCAGTCGCCCTCCGAAGACTAAAAAGGCCGATGAGACTCAGTTCTCCCACATAGACTCCACTAAGGATTTGTTGCAGCGCACGAGTATAGCATTTGCCTTTCGTCTCAAGCTTGGGCTGCACCACAAACAGGAAGTTGTGGAGATAACTAAGATAGAATAGCGAAAGGCCAATCGTGGCGAATCCCAGCACCAGAGGAGAAATGCAGGAGTATGCAATGGCAATGATCACAAAGTTGGTGAATTTAGGATAGAGCTTGCCCCAGCTGATACCCTTGAGATTCGTGTACTGGTTGTACTTCTCTCGCGGTGTCTGGTTAACGAACATGTCCCACAAGATGTACTGGAAGAGATCTGAGTAGTTAAGGATGTTCCGGGCGGACGAACCGAGTCCCTGCAGAATGAAGTATGTCAAGTAGAAGTTTGAGGATTTCGGTAGATTGTCAGCAAGAAGCGTGGGAACCTCGTGAGGCTGGTTGATTATCCTGGGAATGAAGGCAGTTGCCGAAGAGGAGAGCGCAGTGACGAAGAAGACTTGTATGAGTTGGAAGGCGTAGTACCATGCCTGAACTTGGAGCTCGGCTGACACAGTTGTTGGTTCCCCCGACTTCTTAGCCACGTCTGTATAGCGTTAGCTGCTGGTCTTCAACTTATAGGTCTAAGACGACTCACATCTCATGATATTCGGTACGTAAGAAGCTAACAAACTGGTCAGAAGCGGCGGTAACAGACCAGTCAGGAGACCAAGGATTGGTTGTGGTAAATTCTTGATCCAATGAAGCCATTCGACCCTGTCGGCGAGGTAGTTGACATTGGAGACGGTTCCAATGAATGCTGTGGGAATGGACCAAAAGATAATCAGAGCGGCGATTAGTAAGTTTGCGATCGACTTTTCTGAGATTCGAGCGGTCTGCGGCATTGTGAGGTTATCCCAGATAATTTCTGATGGAGACACGCCGATGAGTCTGAACTGAACGGCCAGATTGGGAGGTACCGGCAGGCCAAGCTTGAATCTTCCACGATACGCCCTCTGAGCTGCTGACTGGGTCGCATACTCAACAAATATAGCAAAGCGGGTGTGGTTACCGTGAGCTAAATGGGATTCCCGACTTTCCTCCACCTTGTGACTGGTCTCCTTCAGGCTGTCGCGCAAATGATTAATTGCATCAGTCCCCTCCCCGGTGACGTAATATTGCTTGCTAACAGGACGTAGAGACTGAATTGTCTCTATATTGATTTCCACATTGTCGGAGTCGTTGTCCTTGGCAAGTTTCGACCTCTTCTTGTTGACGTTCCTCAAGAACGTGACCTCAGCAGATTCCAGTTCCAGAGCCTTGGAGTTCCTCGACCCAACAAGATGATCGAGCTCATGCGTGGCTATCACAGCCCATTGCTGCTTTGACTCGTCGCCGAAGTTAGCTTGCACGTCGTCATTCTGGGAAGCATGCTTGGGAGGATCAAGGAACAAAACCGTCCGAGAGGAAAGCCGTGAAGCCTTGGTCTTCGAAAGATACCAGGCTTGGCGCAGACCAATCAACCACAGACGCTCCCTCGCAATGAGGAACATGACAAAGCCAAAGAAGAGCCATGCCACCACAGCATGTGCATAGAGTCGTTTGTGGCCATGGACATTTCCAAAGCCGAGTCTGTCCAGCTCCGAGGCATGCCCGCCGCCAGTTGCATTTACAGGAAACAAGATGGGCCAGGTAATGCAGGAGCCGATGAAGCAGATGAAGATGGCGGTCCGTAGAAAACGGAGATACAGATACGCATCGAGGGATGAATGTTCAAGGATGAATTTGTCACCTAGCGTCGCCAGAGCCTTGATCCATGCGAAGCGAGCGGTGCCCGACGACGGCGTTCGATCTCTGGACGTTGTCAGTTTCGAAGCCGGTGGCAAGACTTGGGGTTAGTAACTTCTCGGGGATCAGGTCGATGTAAGTTCTGGGCGCGTATATTCGCTGGTGATGTCTCCTAATGAGCACAAAGACTACCATGAAGAGTATTGCCGTGACGAATGATGGGACAAAAGCCGCAATAATGGCAGGAAGAGAAGCGCCATTGCCGGATTTCTAGTATATGTTAGCATTCTGTGAAAATATACTTCAGTTTTGAAGCGATACTGGGAGCACTCGAGGGAGTTGGGCTCTGGGCTATGCTGGGACAGCACCTACGTCATTGTCGCCTGTCTTGTTGAAGGTATGAGACCGCTCAGTATCCCACCTCTCAGGGGCAGTGAAGAAAACCTGAGATTCCATTCCTACTAGCAATGCAGATAATCAAAATTCAATGAAAGCTCATAATTCGAGCATCGTCATGTTATTTGGATGTTGGATCTGGCATGTTTGTAGTTGCACAAGCATTTGCAGGCAGCCGCAATATGCCAATGACAGGGTGGCGTAAATGCTACTCGGAATGGCTTAGCGGACTGCCTATCAAATGACGCAACTTGATCACTTATGATTTTGACAACTCCCTGAGTACATCACCTCTGTGAGCAGCTAGTAGGTCAAACCGCCGATTTAGGCTTGAGGAGCATACTTTTTCCCTCTCACATGTACACCCTGGGCATTAGAAGCCGTACGATAATCACAAACTGGGATCCGTTGTCTACTTACTACTTACACAACTGGAGTGAGCAGAACTTCGGCAATGCCTCCGTGGATGTCGTCAAACTTGGGGATAGAGAAGCACGGAACCTCACCAAAGCATTCGACGGAACGTGCCTCTACGAACGAATGAGGGTATCAAAATCATCAATTCATCCCTATGTGGCCTTAAACAATCAACCTTCCTTGATACCATTGTAGCCTCAACACCATAACCCCAGTACCCATTCAAGGAAGCAATCTAACAGAAAACTGCCATACCCATGCCACGCAGTACCATGCCACGCAACACCGTACTAAGTAAATGATCCAGTATCAACTCCGACCTGGACTCAGAGGGTAGTGTGATCAGAAGAACATACTACGTTTCTTCGGCATCTTCTTCCCCCCTTCCGCGCTGTGTCGAGTCTCCCTCCCGGACCCATGATGCGGCTGTGCCTGCGGTTGCATCGCCGGGATGGAATTCGACGGCATCAGAAACCCGGGCCCGACCCCAGGCCGACTAAACCAACCTCCCAAAGCCCCCGGATGCGACGGCGGCTCCGCGCTCATCGGTCTAGGGGGAGGATGCTGCATGCCGTTGAACATCCCCGCTGGTTGCAATTGCGGTCCCCGTCCATTCGGCTCTGGCCGTGGCGGCAAGTTCGGCTTGGTGTATTCCTGCCCCTGCATGCCAAACTCCTTCCTCAACCTCTCCGTCTCCTTAGCGACTTCGGCATCGCGGCGCTTGCGCTCCTTCTCCTCATCGTCAAGCATCTTCTTGATGCGTTTCGCCTCGGCCTGGTCACGCTGCTCACGCTCACGCTCCTCCTGCGCTACCATCGCCTGCAGGCGTTTGGTCTCGGTATCTACTTCCCACTGCGCCCTGGCGTCGCTGGGCGGCGTGGGCAGCTGCCGCATTACGGGTGATGCGGTTGTCTGCTGTTGTTGGGGCTGGACATTGTTCACCCCATTCATCATGCTTAGGCCGCCGCTCATGGCGTATCCAGCGGTCGCCGTGGATTGGGGTTTTACTTGAAGCTTGGGCGAGCTGGATGTTGGGATAGGGCGCGAGTTCTTACGCTTGTTTGGGGGCACGGTGCCGTTGATGTTGAATGAGTCGCGGTTGGGGAATAGGTAGACGTCGCGAATGACCTCGGCCCCTAGCAGCAAAACCACTTCTAGACCTTTACGATCCTCGACTTCGACGCGTTGGAGGTTCGGCTCGTATACTGTGAGAGCCGGTTCGCGACCCTGTTTGTACATGGCCACCGTAATATCGGGCTCTTTGCTCCTTTTACCTCCTAGTGATTTCCCACACATATAACACGTCACGTCCTTGGAGAACTTGCTGTCTCGCTTCCACCGAAACAGGATCTTGGGCGTCAGTTCGCTAACCACAGGATCGCTTTGCTGTTGGTCCAACTTGGACGCCGACGGCATACGAAAGCTCTGTTGCGGCATCTCGAACTCCCATGATTCTTTGCCCGTCCACGTACTCTTTTCTCCTCTGACCGAGATTTGCTGGTCCGGATTGTACAGCTGTATGATGAAATGCTCGGGAATCATCGGCACCGGTGGCGGCGGAACTCCGTTTTGCGCTCTGATCTCGGCGGCCGACAAGGTCGGCTGCTGCCACTCGGGCTCGACTAGCACCTCGGCGAATATGACATCCTGGCTGAATGCGTCGGCCAAGGCCACTGCGAACTTGTTCTTCGACTGGGGGAGGCTCGGATTCGGTCTTCGAAACGAGTATTCGGGCGCTGGCTCAGAGCCATTCTGTGTGAAGTAGACGACGCTCGTAAGCGGGTTGTCAGGCGAGTGTTTGTTAAAAAACGTGGGCAAATTCTCGTCGAGCATCTTCGTCTATGTGCAACTGCTCCTTGAAGCTGCAGATACTCCGATAAGGGTTTGGTCGAGTGCAGTCGGTAGAGAGAGACCAGGATCTACAGCTGTAAAGAGATGACGTGTTGATCTCGGGAATGCAACATGAAAAGAAGGTTATAGGAAGCAGGGCTAGGTAGAAGTGAAAGGATGAGCCGAAGAAGGCGCAATTACGAACCGGTCAGCGCAAGGCTGAGCAGACGAGCAAGGTGAAGAAGCCAGAGGATTCGAACCACCACTAAAGGTTGTTTCACGTTAGGGATATATGATAGGGTATTTCGGAATTCTGGCAACGGCAGCCTGGCCTCTTGTGAAGGATAATTGATTAATTGCAGAAGAAGCAGTTTCGGCCCGCCAGCCCGCCACCCACAGGAAGCTGAACTGTAGGCTTGGCCTGCTGTTTATCCATTGCGGCGTGCTGTTTTCGGCCACCAGTTGTCGATCCTAAGTTTACTTGGGTGTCGTCACGGGCTAAGCCACCGGATGCCGAACACTGGCGCCGGGACCACCATCTGATTGGCGCAGCGAATCAGCTTGCGTGCCTTCACCTTGGGGCTGTGCTCTGGAGACCATTAAGCCTCCGGTCAAACAACGATAGTTCCCTTTCAGGTCCTCTTTGACGAACCTCCAAGCCGTCCCATCGGACCGCTCTGTTGATGCCAATGCGTTTGGTAATCAGTCTTGTTTTGACTTGATTGTCAACATTTTTATATATTTGAGAATCTACTACAAGTTTCTGTGTGTCAATTCGATGTTGAGACGATTCCTATGAGACAGTGGGTACTGAGAGTTATGGCATTGCTAGTGTTTCACAGCATGTGTGACGGCTACCTGAGTTTGGCTTAGAAATACTTGAATAATGATACGGGAGAGCATGCTCGCATGGGAAAGCTGGCTACTAGGATTTTACAGCATGATTTGACCCATATTTCCGAAAAATGTCTACGAGTACTCTCGCCACACATCGTTATTGACCGATTCCATTGGCAACAAGAAACCATCTAGGCGCTTTTCGATATGTCCAGGTTAGTGTATGGAAAATCTCGGAAGACCTCCCTCACTAAACTGTCCGTAGAATATTCCGCGGCCACTTCTACGCTATTTGTAGTAATCGACCGCACGGTAACAATCCAAAGGTTCATATTTCTTGAGGTATGTACAAATTTGGGGCTCTCTCAATAACCGCCTAGATGTGAGTCCTGAAAGGCTCCACCTGAAACTTGGGGTATCGAGCCGCGCTGCCAATGCAGATGGCAGTTCTCTGCAAGGCACCGGGCCAGAGCAGAGAAAAGAAGTAAAACAAAGTGGCGAGGCCCAAATTAAGGCCAGCAAAGAATGGCTGTAGTAGCTATGTACAGTATAGAGTTAATAATACCAAGTATATATGGTGTGTGTGTGGATAAAGCAACATTACAGACCCCAACCACCTCGCTCTTTTTGTCAACAACCAATGCTATGCTGTTCAAATACCGGCCCGTCCGATCAATGTCGTGTCGACCATCAAATATGCATTTGTCGCTCGCTCGCTCGCTGGCTTATCCTTCGTTCGCATCGAATGTCGTCACGTCGGATTGGTCTGCGCTTGCTTGGGAATACCTGGCACCGCCGGTATCTCTTCCTCGTCTCGATCTCCTATCGCAGCTCTCTTGATTCGGCCGGCTTGTTGATTTACCCAGCTATTCACCCCGCGGTATCTCGCCGGTCGATCTTCGCTGGTGGTTGTGTAAATTGTTTCCCTGTCTCCGGGTCCACCACGGCTGACCCACGAGAAGCGACCGAGGTTACTCGATTCTCTCATCTGCATCGACGCCTGAGGTGGCTTAGGCAAGTCTGGAATGATAATGTCGCCGTCCCCAAATCCAGAAGATAGCGAAGACAGTTCGCTCGCGCGGTACACCTGCCGCTGTCCCGGATTGTATGCATCTGAAGGCTGTCGTGCAAGTTCCGACTGGTTGAAGAAGGGATCTAGCATGCGTGACCTTGTTGATGCCTCAGAGCTAGACGGCGTACTTTGTTCTGAAATCTGGCGTGTATGGTCCGGTATTCGCGATGCCATCGTCGTGTCCGTGCCGGCTATTGGCGATTGGTTCTGGTTATGGCTCAGAGCTGCATATTCTTCCATCGGAATCATGACGACAGATCCAGGAGCCATGTTTTGCGGTAGAAAGCTCCTCTGTGAAGCCCCGGTATTTGCACGGGTCAAGCCACCCCGTTGTGATGTCTTCAGCTTTTCCGAGCCGTAGAAACCAGCATTTTGCATCGTATTTATGTCACCCCTTTCGTAACCAGGGGGAGGCTCGTTGAATATTTCGCGTTCTCGGCGCCAAGGTAAGCTATCGAGAAAGCCGCTGTCATAGCTATCGCCTCGCCTCTGACTCGATTTTTTCATTGTGCGGTAAACGATCCAGCCAATGAAGCAAAACAGGATGAAGGCACCTGTGCGAACTCCGTTAGAATAACACGTATATCATAAATTATAGAAGTTCGTACCTATTGATCCAGCAGCGATGAGGAGGTGTTCAGCAGTTGGACTCAGGCCCCGTGGACCTCCTTCCCCCATCATGTCATGGTGGTCTTGGTTATCACTGTTGTCGCTGCCTTTTTCGAAGTTGGTAGCAGATGCGGGCAATGCAGTTTCTGTTGCAGTGAACGAGGTAGTGCCGGTCAATGCCGTCTCGAGATCGGGAAGAGGTGTAGCAATAGCTGAAGGAGTGAAAGTGCCTGGCTCGAGTCCCTTCCGGGGTTGACTGGATATCGTTGCATCCACCAGGGTTGTGGTCATAGAGACCCAAGCGGTCATAGTGGTCACCAGTACAGACACGCTAGTAGAAGTTGTTGTTGGTGGTTCGGTGCTTGTTATCTCTGGGAGAGATAATGTTGATGTGATGATTTCGGGAGTGGTAACTTCCGCAGTGGTGGTTGTAATAAGCGGCGGAGGAGGAGGAGGGGGAGGCATGCCGCCAGCGTGGGGCTGCGGGAAAACGAGGGCAATAGTAGTTGAACTCGGCGATCGTGTTTCTGGGCCAGAGTTCTTGTTATCGCCGTTGCCATCCCGATTGCCGTGGTTCCTGTCGTCATCGTTTCTCTCGTACTCCTTTCCACCATCACTTTTTTGCGCCCTCACTTTGCCGCCATGTCCGTTTCCGTCGCCATCTTCATCTCCGTCTCCTTTGCCATCTCCATCTCGGTTTGAATTTTTCCTCGTACCCCCTTCCTCCTCGTCGCTTTCGCTGCCATCATCGTTTCGACCTTTCTTTCCCCCGTGTCTCTGTTTCCCATGCTTGTTGTTGTCATCGTCATCCGAGTCGTCTCGAATTTTAATTGATGGCAGTGACCGATTTTCGTAATTCCCTTCTCGTCGCCTTGAGACCTGCATCGCCTCCACGAAGAACGGTGCCATTTGTAGCGCCTGTACCATAATATCTCACTCAAAAATGCACCGCGACGCTTTGAATCCAAGCTCTCGTATAATGTCTTCAAACCATGGCCGAAAGTGGGTATATTGGGCGAAGTGGAAGTTTGCGTAATGTAGAGTACTAGAGCGAAAATTGGCAGGCAAGTGTAGGAATGACAAAATAAAACCCAGATCTACGGGCGCGCAAGAAGTGAATGTCTAAGGCCAGCCTTGTCGTGAAGAACGAAAAAAATGAAAGGTATGCGTTTGTATGGTGAGAACGAAAACGTAAGGGAGAGTCAGGATTGGTAACGATCTCTGCGACATGGGGAGATTCCCGAGGGCATAAGGTTGAACGCCACGAACGGCCTCAGGGATGTAATGGTCACCGAGACCATTATCCCTGCATCCGCGGTGTGCTTCATTGCGTGTTGAGCAAGGTCCGTGGAACAACTTCTTCCGCTGCTAACCATCCCGGGGCAGGTCATGCTTGAGTCGCCAGGAAAACCCCAGCACCCCAAGGCTGCAAATGAGCCAGGTACTTGCTACCGGGAGTGCGCCAAGTTGCAAAACGCCTTGCGGAAGAGCCTCGCTGGAGCCGCAAACCGCAATGGAAAGTCGCTTTGACCAATGGGGAGCTTACTGAGTCTCCATGGATGATGCATAAGGTCCCATTTGAGACCCCATCTTCACGCACACGGAGACAACGATGACCTTGTGAGAGACCTGTCCGGCAGTGTAGTGTGAGAGACTTGGCTCGGTGGGACTCGGTGCAGGTTTCGTAGAATCCGACGTGGCTCGACTATCCCATCAGTGGCTCATCAGAGGAGCAGAGCGACATGGCGTCAAGGGCATTGCACGTCTTGCATTGAGGTGTAGTTGAGGTTGTGACAGGAAGGCCAAGGATCTCACGTCTCAGCATGGATAAGTCGGCGGGGCAAGGGTTTCAACCAGGTGTCGAGTGAACCAGGGTCGTCCCACCCTGATCTGCATCTTTCTCGGCATGCGGCGAGCCTCATCAACATCAGCAGAACAGTGCCTTGACGCAATGCTGTGCCTCGAACTGGACCAGGAGAAGGTGTTCGGGTAGAGAATCCAACAAGTGGCGCAACAATCCTTGCGAGCGATACCATCACCTACTCCTACAAGCAGTTAACCGTCACGGACGCCAAAGAATTGGTACAGTGAGTCGTCTATGGAGCGCATCAGGTGCAGTGCAACGAAGAATATGCTTCATATGCTCCACCCCGACGACTGCTGACGGTGACGCGTAAACAATTGTGGCTCTTGCAGCTTCTCGCTACGTGAGTAATGCGATTAAGCAATCGGAAGCTCCAGTATCGCGACAGCGAAACGGCCTTAATTTGATGGGTTGTTTAAAGTTTATTGCAAGTTGTTTTGTCAATCAAAACAGATCGCATCGGGCAACTTGGTCATGCGTCGCGAATCGAACGTCCGCAGATTGATCTCGGAGACTCTTCCCAGAAGACGCTTCGCTTAAACAACGGCACATTGTACATAGTCATAGTATGCGCTGGTAGTACTCTGAGGTCCAGAATTGTTCAACTGCCCACATCTGCTCCAGTCAATATTGCCCCGCATGTTCGAGACGTTCCCCCGTTGTCAGAAGTCCGGCACAGACCACTGACATCAGTAAACTGTGCACACGAGAAGACAGGCCAGATGGGAACGATAGTAAGTTTCGGGGTATTCTACTTTCACTCGGAACTTTCGGTAGCCTCCCAGATCTAATTATCAGTATCACATATTGTTGTGGCGTTTCCTGAGACAGCCTTACATTTGCACCCCAGGCAAGCGTCAGACTCGGCGTCCAGACGGTCCTTGCCCTAAGTCTTGGATATGCGTGCTTGGGCAAGCCGGCTTCCGAACCTCTTTCCAGGGGTTGCCCGTTTGGAACTTGCTGCACTGGGCGAACGACGTTGAAGAAACCTGACGTGTTGTAAAAATTCACTTTATAGGGGAAATTTGTCGATGGTGTATTGGTATCGGCTAGGACAAGCCAATCTTTGTTGACAGCGTTAGCTGGATGTTTTTACTCAGCAATCGGTAAGAAGAAACAACGCTGTACGCCACAGCGGTGTTTCCCATACTTCATGTCTATGCAAATGCCTTGGAAAGAGCAAACCTTCTCTGGCAATACTTGCCATACAAATGCAAACGGTCCACATGAATTCTCAAAGGCAGGAAAGGTAGGAAAAAGAGGGATCCCGATGGATTCCAAAGTCACTTGGTGACTAACAGGTTTTTCCTTCCAGTTGGTGCATAAGACATTAGCGGGTGGTCGAGACGGGAAGTAGGGCTTCCACCATCAGTTTGTGGCGGTTGTCACTAATCACATCGACAGTCCATTTCGATACCTCTTTTCATTAATTTTATCAATTTGCTCACAATGCCGTTGTGAGCATTCTTTGGAAAAATATAAATTGCGACTCGATCAGAACGAAAACTCGCGAGTATAACCTGCTTAGCCAAAGATATGCAGCTTCCCCTCCAATGAGTTAAGACGTGAGTATCGGACGTTGCTTCATTCTGCTCGGCCGACAAACATAGTCGCGATGGCTATCAAGGTCTATCCTCTGACAGAGGCGGATATATCAGGTGCAGTGAAAGCCATACAGTATGTTCATAAGATTGACAACTCTACACTGGCCTTTCTTCTGTCGCCGACTGGCAGTTATCATAGGGAGCTGTCAGAATCACCCGCTGCCATCTTGCGCCCGTTGCCGTTGACGTTTAATAACAACGCATGCTAACTATTCACCCATCAAGGGTTGCATTCGCAGACGATCCTTACAACAACTGGATATTCGATAAGTCCAAGGTATGCGTCCTTTGCAAGCAGTGCTCCCCTGGTCATGAACTCCAACTGCCGTCGTCGACCTTTTCATGCTTGAGATGCGCCCGTTTCGCCTGAGCTGGACGGATGCCAAGCCGCAATACTGTTTCATGGCAATAGAGCTCTCGCTTGATGAATGAAAGTGGAATATTCTCCCGCTGGGTGTGACCCTCCGTTACGCCTGCGGCAACTGCAAACTGCATGGAAATTCCGTGGTTCTTTCTGGTAGCAGGCCCGAATATCGGCGGCTTTATACATTTTTGAGTGAACTCAGCTGCTCTGCTCACGAGGCTGACCGTTTCATATTCCGTCAAGAACGCGTGGACCACTCAATCCAGAGAGAATTGCCATTAACAAGCCAGTTATACAGTTCGACCCGCGACGTAATGTTACCTCGCTCGGCATTCGCTGCCGATGGGGGATACGCAATGGGATCTTCCATGTGGCCAAGGAGGAAGGCTCCGATGAGATTCTTGGCGTTGCTTGTTGGTTGAAACCCCAGAGAGTAGGCCACGTGACCACTTGGCATGACTTGTTCGAGGATTGGCGGTTGTGGCTCAATCAAGTCGGTATGAATCTGTACTACGGTCGAGGTGGCTTGAATGTGAAGGTAAGTCATGTCAGCTTTCACCACGGCTCGAATACAATAATACACCAGTCTTCTTTGAAGTCGCAATGCTGGGATCCAACCAAACGTTCTTCTAGTTGGAGCTCGGGAGATGTGATAACGAGAAAGCTTGTTTGGCCTGACCGAACAAGGTTGTACTCAGGGTCTGACCGAGGCTGCCTGTGCGCTTCGTCGTCTCAATACGTGTGTCAGCCCAGCCCTCGGAACCAGACTCAGCCATCTCTGCCACTCTTCCGGTATTTCATCACGATTCAGCTAACGTTGTTTGTGCCATAGCGCTACTACATCTGGAAGGAAGCTCAAGCCCAGGCCCAATCAACTGTCTGGACTGATCCTCGCGGATATTATTTTCTCAATATTATGGTCGTAGTGCCTAAAGCACAGGGCAAGGGGGTTGGTCGACTTATGATGGAAGCCGTGACGGATCTTGCCGACGCAAAGCAGATTAAATGCTACCTCGAATCCAGTCGCGATGTTCCTAACATGCAGATCTATGGTCGATTCGGCTTCAAGTTTGCGACGGAGCTCGAGTGCAACGACGATGGTATAGCTATCAAGCTATTCTCTATGGTGAGGGAGCCGAATGCGGAGCCGCAGGACAGATGAATTTCAAGTCACCGGATGCAACATCAACATCTGATTGTGAAAAACTGAATCTAACGTCAGACAAGGACGATACAATAAAGATGCACATGGAACAACCTTAGTAAAGTCGCTGAAAACCTGCTCGGAAACTACTCTTCACGGCACAAACACCTACGAACATACAGAATCAGATGAATTTTTACTTGTGAGACTCGGAGTCTCAGCACTTCGGGTTACTGATCCCTAGGGTTCATTTGATACCTATTTGCTGTGGTCACTCTCCCGCGTCCTTCGGAAATTTATTATGAATTTACGATCATGTGAATAACTCCAATGTAGGCGTGAATCAAAATCAGAAAGCCAAGCAACCAGGAAGAGATTGCACGATCTCGATTGTGGAATACATGTTGCTATGTAGAATCACGGTAGGTCCTTCACGAACCTGGCGTCCACATCTACCAGCAACGGCCAGGTCAAGACGACCGCGAGATTTTGGCCTCGTCCGTGAGATCATACATGGCACGCTGTTCTTACGGGATGTCCCGACTTCAAGCCTCTTACGCAGCATACTGCTGACGCAATGAGAGACTGGTGTTCCCTACTCACTTAATGTCCACTTGAGTAGACTGAACCACAAAAAACGTGCAAAGATACCAACATAATTCATTGCTTAAATATACCTAACTTCGCTACCACCCAAGCCATTTGAATACGACCTAAATGCTCACACACCAATGCGAACCTGAACTGTGAACCCCCCAATAATTCATCTTAGCCCCCGTCTTTGGCCCGTATATCCCATCTATGTCGAGTCCACCAATTCCACGCTGGATCGTCTTGACTGCAGCCTTGGTATTGGGGCCGTAGTCGCCATCCTCGGCCAGCCCGGAGCCGTAGCAGTGGTTGTAGGCGACCTGGACCGACTTGACGCCGCTGCCGGCCGCCCCTTCATTCATGATGCAGTCTTTGGTTGTGGAGCCACCGCTACTGTAAGCCGGGTAGCTGATGGTGTAGGCGCCCGACTTGGTGGACACGACGGTGTTGCAGTAGCCTGAGGCGGCGAGGGTGGTGTAGGTTTGGGTGGTCAGGAGGGTGATAAGGAGGACGAGGGGGTTTGAGGATTTCATGGTGAGTTGTTGGGGAGTTTAGAAATGTCTGAGTTGCTTGAGGGGTTTGAGAAGATTTAAGTGAGTGTCTTTGATGTCCTGTGCTATTCGAACCGTTGATAAGAGGACTTTCCACGTTGGTGTGAAGCTGTCTGGTTCTTATATACAGAAGTTGAAAGGCGTTGACGGGCTGTTTTACGTAACGTCGGACCACATCGAGCTCCTCATGTAGTGCCTGCATATTTGGCCCATTTCCGCCTGGTTCTCAAATATCTCATTCGTAGTCGCAGAGTCTAAGATACCTTCAACGTAGGGTCTTATTTACTCCGGGTTGTGTACCCGGGCAAGAATAGATCTTACCAAAATTAGCATATATGGGGCTGGACCTCCACGGAGAGGATACCGTCACTTATTGGCTAAGAGGCTCACGGGCCTATATTAGTCTGCTTGTTTTCCGATCTTAAAATAGGAGATGCTGAGGAATACAGATGCACTCCAGGCTTGGCCCTTAACATCCTCGATGCTCCGATCGATTTTGCTTACTTTATTGATATATTTTCACTGGTACAATAGCAGAGATTTGCTACATGGACTCAAAGACTTGGTATATTTCGCTAATTTCTGTAGTGATGTGTGTGTGTCCCTGAATGCCGCCGGGTCTAGAAGTCGTATCTACTGCAGCGTTACCCCCAACTTGAACCTATGGAGCATCGATTTCATAAGGCGGTTCATATGTTCAGTCCCAACTTTTTTTCTACATAAAATCAACTTGGAATTCAAGAAATTTCGGGATCCGTTGCTTCAGGCACAGCTTTGGCAAATAGTCACATATGTAAGGCCAACGAAATGTACTGCCGACAAGGTGGTCCGTCAGAGGTTGGATATCCCAGAAACACATCGATCAACTGATCTCAGAGTAATAGAACAAGGTAAATGGGGCTTCCCTAACTCGCTCAACTTTGCAATTTACTTAAATTCGGATCACACGCTCCGTAGCTTCGGAGTTTATTTCTCATATCAATCTTCCTCGCGGTCGGTCCACTCGTCAACTTCTTTCTTCGTCTTGTTCTTCTTTGCGTCGGCACACTGCCAGCTCTTCTTTTCGCAGACACAGTCCTTCTGGTGGCACACTGTCGCACCTTCCTTTCGACACATGGTCGGGGCCAAGATACAGTTCTCGCAGCATACAGTTGACCTGACGAACAGGATTTCCCTCTCTAAAACCACCCAATAATCGAAAAAAGTAAAACGATCGGATCAAGCCGACGGTAGCTTTATAAATGCCAGTCTATAACGATGTGATGCTGCCATATTGAATAATGTTCTGCTGCTATTCTGAGATCCCGCAGCAAGTTTCGTGCTTTCACCTTCCTATGCAACACCTTCATACTGGCCACCTAAATCCACCGAATCTTCAACGTAATCTAAAATTGCTTATATTCAGCACCCAAGACGGAAGGCTTACCTAAGGTAACACAATCACCGTCAGATACTTCACTAGAAGACGTCACTCCGGTTATATGACGGCGGAGAGTGTTGTTCCGTATAACTGGAGCAGAATGATGGCCTATTTATAATCGTCTAGACATATTTGGCGATATCGAACAGGGACGTTTTCTTACATAAACAAGGCCTTTTATCTCCATTTTGTTCGAGGTTTCCTCATCATCTAATCATCAAAAAAATAAGTCACAATAGTCAACCCCATCGGAGAAAGGGCCAAATAGAACGCGCCCTAAAGAGGGCGCAGGCGGCGAAAAGCTGCTTTTAACATACCCTGTACCAGAAATGACAAGAGGCAGCTACGGCACGAATCCTCTTCATCCAATGCAAGTGTCACTTCCTCGTATCCCGTCCCTCCAACTTGCCTCGCACAACTTTTTGCGCCACACGGGTTTTGCCCCTTTCAAGCCGTCAACAAGATCACCCGCATCCGACAACGTCATCATAACCAGGTGCGCATTTGCCGACGAACGCAATGTTTTAGTTTCCAGTGAGCCATATACGCACAAACTATGCTGGGTTATCTAACGTCGGCGAATTTGCTGGCTCCAGCAGGCCTAGACCTGACAATAGGGGCACTTCGAGGAGAGTATCCTATCAACCGACCATGATGGACGACTTTGCCGATTTTTCCACCGCGGGCTCCAGTAGAACTTGGCAAGACAACAGGGAGACTTCGAGGACTAAATCCTACCTACAGACCGTGACGAACAACCCTGCCGAGTCTTCAGCGGGCCCCAGAACCTCTCGGCCAGACCACATCTTCTTCATCTCAGCGACTGGTTACTCCTACCGCACCGCGATGAACATCCCTGCTACGTTCCATCAGCAGGCTCCAGCAGGCCTCAGCCAAACAACAAGGAGATCTGGAGGAACGAATACGACGCTGCCAACGGTGCCCATTTCAGCATCAAACAGAGAGTAATGAATGTAGACAAGAGGAAGCATTGTCATCCATTACTCGTCCCGGTCGAGGTGGAAAACGAAAGGTTGCGCCGCGGTGGAGAGAGCTTCTCCATACATCAGCCCTCTCCTTCGCAATAATGAGATGGACCGCATTGCTGCCCGCGACAGTGCGAGGCGCTGGCCACCAAACCGAAAGGACTGTGGTCTCATCGAAGAACCAGTGAACAACGAGTACGCTTCACTGCCGGGAGCTCACGCCTACGCTTCGACCAACTCGAGTACTCAAGCCTCAGGAAGCCAGCAGGAATATACGGCACGGGATGTGAGCTTCCAGTATCCTTGGCACTCGGAGCAAGATCAAGGCCAGCCGAGGAGCAAAACGTGGAGGAAACGCGCAGACCTAGTACCGGCAAGGCCACCAAAGCGGTAGCGCCAGGACTCCATTTCGTAACATACCGGGCCGTCATCAACCCGGATTTTTCAAAGCATCGCATTCCGCTCCAGCTCCAGCTTTGGCTCCACCTCAGACGCCGTATTATGGGCAGGGGCCGATAGCGATACCGCCATCCACACCTTGGGTAATCAACAGCCGGCCCCGATACAAACTCAGGCCCCGAATGCCCAGCCTGCCGCATCCCAAATACAAACACATGCTCCTGTCGAAACACAGTCGGGTGGGCCTAACCAGAAGACGCGCCAGGCGAAGATAGCGGCTGATGCTATAGAACAGAACGGCACAGTGCATCCTAACGGCGAGAAGTGCAAAGGCTGCGAGAAGTGACCCCTGGAGGTCTGTATCATGAACGAAAACTTATGCGCAAAAGCCTGTGGCAATTACACCGGCTCAAAGTCGGCCTCTTCCCTCGCAGACAACGCTCGAAAGGCCCCGAAGGCATAGGATGCACATTGGTCGAAGTTGCCGGGTCTTCCACTACTACGGCTGCCCATGAGAATTCCACCGGGGCTTCTTCAGTTACCAAATACGGCGGGCCTGACCCCTATTCGGAAACCAGGCCACCGGACGGCAACAAGGTACGAGGTATGGCGCAAAGGGACATCGACCGGGCGAGCCTTTTTGATATATGCCAAGTTCTGGCATACGCATTCGAGCTTTCTACTGTCCAGAGCTTGCTGTTCTGTTTTTTTGGGCAGGAGTTGGAGAGGGAGGAGGTTGGGCTTTGTTTTTTTCTGTTTGTTTTTATTTTTGCCGTAACAGCCGCATCCTCATGATAGTACGATACGACATGACGAAAGGGTTTGAAAGATGTTTTATACTCAATCCTAATGCTGGAATTCTGTTAGGGTGACGTCGATAGTGAATACAACCGACTTGCGCCTGAATAAGTAATGCCTATTATTAATCTGCTTGACAGCATTCGCTCGTGTCGAGCTCAGGCCATGATCTCCTGGGCCACTGCCTTGTTCGTCGGGAGAACAACCTTTCGTGGATTCCATGTGCTGGTGACCTTGATACATGGCGCTCATCATACCTCGGGAAACCCACTAGCCTCCTGTCTCGGATGTGAGAGCTTGTGATTCCTCACTCATAGCCGCGGATAGGCATGCTCAACCCGAAATTGGCTTTGATTAAGGTGACATGTTGTGCGGACGGCTTGCCATCAACAACAAGATCAGTTGCAGTTGATGTCGCCAGGAGGGCTCGTTGGATGGTTACGCCGATATTCGTGCGTTACAACAGCGGAATATCAACTTATCCAAGGTCATTGCAGTCGATGTGACTTTTATTCCGTTATCCACATCTTTGTGTTGCTATGACAGAACAGACTGCCGTAGGCGGCTGTCACAAGAGAGTTGAAGTGGGTTGTACCCCAAGTCTGCCGGCGCCGAATTCCCGATCGAATGCCGATTGCCGATGTTGCAATGCACACTGGGACGGGTGGTGTTGCACTATGAGACTTTCCGTGCCTATCTTCAGATGACTAGTTGACTTCGCATTGTAATGGTATTCTGGCTGAGTTATTTTCGACAAGTGGCGCTAGTGTCAACTCGAGGTCCAACTGGACGAAGCCCCCACGAACAGCGGTGACATTGGAACAAAGCGTATTTTAGGGCTGGGCTATTTGGGGGAGGACGAAAATGCCTCGTGTGCGACCGCGGCAGCCACATGTAGGAAAATGTTCACAAAAATTAAAGAACCCCGGGTTCACTTGTGCCTAGAGGTCTTGGAATGCTCCGAATTCGCAAGGCGGTGCTAGTGTCAACGAGCATAACTTTAGAAACACCCTCTATCGAAGACTCAACTAGAAATGCATAAGACCGCGGATGATAGTCGGCCGGACCAGTGGAGAGCATATGGTGCGCACCTGCCGTATCTTCTTGCTGCAGGTTGATGCAGAAGTCGAAACCTTCGAAGACCAAGCTTCGAATTGCGGCAGCTTTGCTACTTCTACTTGTAGCGGGTCCAATAGAAAAATTGGTTGTCGGACCTGCGGCGCACCCAGTTTTTTAGCTTATCACAGGAGCTCCAGCAGAAATCAATTACGTTGATCTACCCTGCGGCTGGGAAATCTGAAAATCCTCTCACGAGAGGAAGATTGTCATCCAATCTGTCGTCGACAGCTCACCTAATAAACCCCCCTTGACCTCAGTTATTTTACTTCCATAGACCTTCGGTGCATTCCTACCCAGATCGCGACCCATTGAACCTCACAAACAGGCCGTCGAAGCTATGGCTTCATCATCGCGAGCCTTGACCCGCCTCTCTGCCACTGGAGCTCCCCAGAAGAAGCTTGCGGGAGGAGCTGTCGCAAACTTCGCGACGACGTCACCTGCGCGTAAACCCGCATTTCCGTCCGCCCTCATCACACGCACGCGATCGACCGTCTCGCGTCAATTCACGAGAGGATATGCAGACGTGCCGCCTACCGTCCCAGCTCGGCCCGGCAAGTGGTCGAGAAGGTTACGCGGTACCGTCAGATGGTCCTGGCGCTTGACCTACCTGTCTCTAATCGGCGGTACTGCTTACATTATCTACGATGGTTACGATGCCCGCCATCCAGAAGAGCAGTACAACCCCGATCCCCACAAGAAGACATTGGTTATTCTCGGTAAGTCGAAAAACGCTGGTCAATCGCTGAGTCACAAAATCCTGACGTGTGGGTTCGAAAGGCACCGGCTGGGGCTCTGTTGCTCTCCTGAAGAAGCTTGACACGGAAAACTACAACGTGGTTGTCGTGTCGCCGCGCAATTACTTCCTGTTTACGCCCCTCCTCCCGTCATGTACAACCGGTAACATTGAGCACCGCTCCATCATGGAGCCGGTGCGCCAGATTCTGCGTCACAAGAAGGCGGCTGTCAAGTACTACGAAGCTGAGGCTACTCATATCGACGCCGAGAGAAAGGTCATCAAGATATCCGACAGCAGCGAGATCAAGGGCGTCATCAACGAGACGGAGGTTCCCTACGACATGCTGGTCATTGGTGTTGGTGCCGAGAATGCCACTTTTGGTATCCCTGGAGTGCGCGAGCACAGTTGCTTCCTCAAAGAGATCCGCGATGCCCAGGCCATTCGCACCAAGATCATGGATTGCGTTGAGACTGCTGCGTTCAAGGATCAAGCCTCTGATGAGATCGACCGTTTACTGCACATGGTTGTCGTAGGAGGAGGTCCCACCGGTGTTGAGTTCGCCGGAGAGCTGCGCGATTTCTTCGACGAGGACATCAAGAAACTGATCCCCGACATCGCTGACCGCTTCAAGGTGACGCTGGTGGAGGCACTGCCCAACGTCTTGCCCATGTTCAGCAAGCAGCTCATTGACTACACCGAAAGCACCTTTAAGGAGGAGCACATCGAGATTAAGACGAAGACCATGGTGAAGAAAGTGACTGACAAGACTATCGAGGCTGATGTTACCGGCCCCGATGGCAAGAAGGAGAAGATCACGATTCCCTATGGTCTTCTTGTCTGGGCCACTGGCAACGCCCTGCGACCTATTGTCAAGGACCTCATGTCCCAGATTCCCGCCCAGAAAGATTCGAGACGCGGTCTAGCCGTCAACGAATATCTCGTTGTTCAAGGCGCCCGTGACATCTGGGCCGTAGGTGACTGTGCCGTCGCAGGATATGCGCCCACGGCCCAAGTCGCTTCGCAAGAAGGAGCTTTCCTCGCCCGTCTGTTCAACAACATGGCCAAGACTGAGTCTTTGGAGTCCGAGATCCACGAGCTGAGCTCGACCCTGAACATCAAGCCTGGCAATGCTGCCGAGGTTACGCAGGAGATCGAAGGTTGTGAGCGCCAACTCCGACGGATTAAGGATATCAAGCCATTCCACTACTCGCACCAGGGCAGCTTGGCGTATATTGGTAGCGATCGTGCCGTTGCTGATGTTTCGTGGTTCAATGGCAACCTCGCCTTTGGCGGCAACCTGACGTACTACTTCTGGAGGAGTGCGTACTTGAGCATGTGTTTCAGCAGTAAGTTTCACCCTATCTTCTTTGATGCCAACTAGACATAACGGTACTGACATTCGTCGCTAGCCCGCAACCGAGTGCTCGTCGCCTTGGACTGGGTCAAGGCCAAGATATACGGCCGGGATGTTTCCCGTGAATAAGGTCGTAGAGAAATATCATATGCGTGCTTTTGAAATAAGGGTTGAGATTCTTCTCAACTGGATACCACGGTTCTGGGAACTCTCTTTGCTTGTCACTTCTTAGGAGTTGGTCTGGCGTGCTTCAACCAGAAATAGACGTGGTGAGGCCAAAAAGGAACCGTTCGGAACACCAGTGGGGGATGGATAATATAGACGGATTGGAACCAGACGACCTCGGTTTTACAGCTCCAGGTTGTGGGTTGTTACACACACAGGCAATCATCGAGCGTATAATGCGGGCGACGGCGCACTTCTCGGACGAGTATTAAATGGATTTTTGCAATCATCGCTTACCGTTTGGTTACCTGGCCGAGAGGAAACTCGGTATTAACAACGCACCTCACACTCATATATATCTTCTCTGGTCATCAAGCTGGTCCCTATGGTTATGTCGATTTGCTGCGTTGCACGTGGGGTGTGTTGTGATGCGGATGTGCCCATATCAAAATGGACTCATGGTTCTATGGGATGGTTTCCATTCGGCTTCGTTCTCGTTGGCACGGCGTGGTCTACAATCACAAGCAGGTGTCGCAATCTCCATGCTATCTGCACATTTGCCCTGATTAATAAACCGTTGACGATCATGTGATAGATAGCTCTTTTGCTGAGATTTGTGTTCAATACACCGAGGCACCCGTCGTCGAATTCACGAAGCCCCAGATTCCAGGCTTTATGTGTCCTCATTGGTAATTCTTTATGTGGGGGAACTTGCGGTAGGTAGAACATGTGTACTCTTTCCTAGCAACACTGTACGAAAGCTGTTGCTTCTGCGCTTTGACCTTGGCTGAGGTTAGGCTATCCCATATGTATCCAGATTTACCGAGTTGTTTCCTTTTCCTGGGAATGAAGGTTTGGCGGCAGGGGGGACAATCGAGTGTATCGATAACATGTAGTAAAAGCACACCGAATGGAAAGGGGCTGGTCCTGCGCTTGGGGAAGCTGAAGCGACGATGGAGCAAGATCGTCGAAATCGAGGTATGGATACTTGAGCAGAGTATACCTTTCGAGCAAGGGAAAGTTTCCAACGACTGTAAAAGTATCACCAGACTTATTAGTGGTGTAGCCTGGGAGGTACGCTGTAGAGTGGAGACGTTATATGTTAGAAGAAATGACCTGTCCTTGTGGTTATCCCCGAAGAAGGTGCGTTTCGCTACGGCGTAATCCGGCTTGCCATAGTTTTTATGTGCTTAAACTCTAATACTATAGAAGTAAGTGGTCAGGTAGATCGCAAGATGATTACATGACATGCATGCCCACCTACAATCGGGTATCATGGTTCCTAGTTTAGAAGGGCCATAATAAGTTATGGGACACCATATAATGGACCTTCATATTCCTTTTACTCCATGCCTACTACCTTTAGACTTGGCTGGAGAGCTTGTCGACTCGTGGACTGTCTCACACAGCCCGCATCACTCTGAACCTGTGTGCTCTTGGAGTTCATTGAAACGTTGGGCAGAGGATGCTTAATTAACAGAGAAGAACCAAAGAATAATACACCTCAGTCATCTCAATGCAAGGAGCGGGCCAGGACTTTGGAAGAGGCTTGTTGTTATTAGCAAGGGCACGGAAGCTAGGAGTATCGATTCAAGGGACAGCAACCGTATTAGTCAGGTGGATCTCCGCCCGAGTATGCCATTGAATTATTGAGGCTTCGTAGTTAGGCTTAGTATTACCCTTTTTGGGTTTGGAAAATGTCCCTAGTGTGGCTATTACGGCATCTATCAGTTGTACGCATGTATTGTATAATAAGTAGACTCACGACAGGCTCTTCAGCTTCATCATTGTTGCCGAAGGGTTAAAGAGCAAGCCAGATTAGATGAAAATCGGAAGATAGAAATATGGTATCCATGTGGAGTCATACTATAATCGTGCCCTTCGAGGTAGTCACTCAAAGAGACGCCATCAGGGTTTATCAGTGAGGTCTCAAACATAAACACACGGGCGCTGTAATGCCATATGTGGCCATGATTCAGACAATTCGCTTAAGTGCAACGATCACGAGATGGTGTGTCCGGGGAAGATTGGAGTCAAGGCTAACAACGCGGGGGAGTACATGGTTAAGAGAAATGTGACAACTTGAAAATGGAGTTGGAAGAGTGTACAAGCGCTGATGTGAATCTCAGAAATGCTCCGTGCTGACATGCTCCAAACAATGCGCCAGGAGCCACAACTTGTGGAATGCTTGCACAGGTTAATGTTATTCTGAGTCTATAGAGTTGAGTTTGATTGGCTTGAACCATGGCCCAATTGAACCAAACCAGCTCCACTGAAAGTGAGAAGCCGAAAAAGTTTATAGATTTAGAATTTACCGTTCCCTGTAACAAGTCAAGTAACGCCCTCCGAATTGGTGTAGTGGCTAACATTACACGCTCTCACCGTGTAGCCCGGGGTTCGATTCCCCGATTCGGAGTTTACCTTTGAATTTTATTCGGGTAATTGACACATGTAAATGTCATTTTTTTCAGTACATAGGTCTCAATATACTCAGCACTAGTTCTATATTTTGCGGCAGTTACACACTTGTTGAATATGGAAAATGCTCATACTTTCATTGTTTTGATGGCTGATCTTTGGGGTAGAAAAAGACTGGACCAAGATATTCAAATCTGAAATTATCGTTAGTTATATATTACAAGCATATCGTAAGCTCGCGACCAAGACAGCTATCAGGTCTTCCGCTTGGCTGACAACACCTGCAACATTCAGCCAAGATTGACTTCCAGCATTGTTTATAAGTCATTTTTCTTTCCGTCCAATTACATAAAGACTGACGGCTGTGTTACTCTCAAGTAAAATCATCTCACGTAGCAATATCCGGAACATATCCCCGGATGCGTGTTACACACACTTCAGTACGACTAGTTGGTAGGTTTATGTATGTAGTATTGCACCTGAAAGCTCAGGAGCCTATGCAAGTATATTCAAGAAAATATTTGAGGCTGGAAAAAAACCACTTTATCTCATTTTGGGGCCGAATGCTTCTAATACGTCTCGGATAGACCTGTTGCGTGCAGCTCAAGTCGATACCAAGTCACGAGGTGGTGACAACGGGTGAAGCGTCTGTGATATCAGCTACAAACTAGTGACAAGGCAGCCTTGGTAATGAAGGATGGATCGTGATCTATTTTAGTAACTACATTGGCAACCGGCATCTCTCTGTCGAGGGCGTAGAGCCCACTGCCAACATGCCTGGAATACAGCTACGAGCACGTAGGAAGTCCCTTCGAGCAGACTCCTCCCCGTCTTGTAACGAACAGGCACATTATATTCACAGCACGCGAAATAAGCGAAACACCATCTGCAATTGCAGGCGCTGCTGTGTGTAACCAGAAGCATATGAGACAAGGCCTCCAATATCTACCGAATTTTATCATTACCTTTAATTGTCCAGCCCTCCCTAATTTTGGCGCATGAGGAATGTATATTACATATAAGACAAGCTAGACCAGGCGATCGATTGGGTCATCCAAAACCTCCAAGAGATCGCCGACGTAGCGGCCCCTAGGCGTACTGTTGGTAGAGGCGCCGGGACCCCGTGGTGGTGCCCCCAGGTCAGCAAGGCTTGCGCTGAGACGAAGAGGCGACGACGAGATTACCTCCACGCGAGGTCGCAGACTAACTGGGACGAATACTTAAGAGCTAACCAAAAACAACGGCTCGAAATCAGCGAGGCACAGGCGCGGAGCTGGCATGAGAAGCTCGAGAGGACGGCGAAGGATCATAAAAGCCTTTGGGCACTACAGAGGTGGGCTAGGCTTCGGAGCTGGACACCCCCTGACACCCATGGGACGCCGGATCTTCGACGGAACGCAAGCGGTGCACCCACGGCGCGCACCCACGACGAGAAGTCAAAGCTACTAGCTGAGAGGTTCTTCCCAGACCCGGATATAGACCTGTCGGACCTCGATCACAACCCGGCACGGACGAAATCAGACCTGGACGTCCCTAAGGAGGTAAACGCGGAGGACATCGAGGCTATTATCAAGAAGACAGCGGCTTGGAAGGCCCCCGGCGATGACCAGATCCCTACGGGCCTGCTGAAAATCTGTGGTGAACCCCTATGGGATATCCTAGCGGATATAGCGACCGCAAGCTTTAGGCTAGGATACTACCCGGAGCGCCTCCGCTCGGCAAAGGTAGTCGTTATCCCTAAGCCGAACAAAACGACAGCCCAAAAGCAGACCCCTAGCGGCTGGCGACCGATAGCGCTGCTTAGTACGATAGGGAAGGTGATAGAGGCGGTGATGTGCCAGCGTATCACTACCGTCGCGGAGACGGCTGGTCTGCTACCAAACGGCCAAATGGGTAACCGAAAAGGGCGGTCCACCGAATTAGCGATAGGTATAGTTGAGGACGTAACCCATACAGCGTGGAGGCGCGGAGGGATCGCCTCACTACTACAACTTGATATCAAAGGGGCGTTCGACACAGTCAACTACAGGCGTTTGATTTCCATACTAGCCCGGAAGGGCTACCCGGAGTGGGTTCAGGAATGGGTACACAGCTTCGTAGAGGATAGGACAGTACGCCTCCGGTTCGACGGTAAGGAGTCAGAGCCAATCCCTCTACGAGCTGGCGTCCCCCAGGGGTCGCCACTCTCCCCGATACTATTTATCCTATATATCTCGACGCTATATGAGGAACTAGCAGAGAAATACCCCCTACTCTTAGTCGTGGGGTTCGCGGACGATACGAACCTACTTAGCGTTAGCACAGACACGGGTACGACCTGCCGCCGACTAGAGGACGCTTGGGCTACGTGCCAACGGTGGGCCGTCAGGCACGGGATGGAGTTCGCTCCGGATAAGAGTGAGCTGATGCACTTCACTAGAACCCGAGACCCCTCCCCGCAGAGTATCCGTCTTGGAAACGCTACAGTAACGCCGACGGTCTGGGCAAGGTTCCTAGGGGTCTGGTTTGACCGCAAATTAACGTGGCACGCCCATACCGAGCGGGTTAAATCAAAAATGGCGACTCAGAAGCTAGCCCTAACAAAGCTAGTGAACATGGCGTGGGGCTGCGATCTTATACGGGCGAGACTACTATACACGTCGGTTATTCGCAGCGCGATTGCCTTCGGGGCGGCTGCGTGGCACACTATAAGCGAGGAACCAGCGGGACCAGCTAAGAGCCTAGTCGGGATACAGAATGAGTGCCTCCGAATAGTCTGCGGCGCCTACAAAGCGACATCGGTCCGCCACCTGGAAATAGAGGCAGCGATCCCGCCACTAGACCTCTATCTCAGTGCCCGGGCGGCGAAATTTGAAGAACAGCTACGGAATAACGGCAAAAGGAGCCTGCTTCGAAGCGCGAGCGCGAGAGCGTCACACATACTCCGACAGGATACGCCGGCGGGACGGAACCGGGCATCACAATCGCTCAGACCAGCGGGGTACACGCTGGAGAAGGAGGCTAAGGGCTCCGAGTGGATGGGCAAGGAGAAGGAAGCCCCGGCCGCCCTCCTAGACCACTGGGAGAAGAGATGGCTCTCCGGGGCAGCACAACACGACCGCCAGCGACGCGCTATCGCCGAGGAGCCGGAGGGCCCCTCGATGCGAATGCCGAAACAGGGCAAGTACTCAGGCCTAAACCGACCGGAGGCGTCTACCCTATGCCAGATCAGGACCGGAAAAATAGGACTATCAGCTTTCTTATTTAAGATAGGAGCCTTCGGTGTGTACTCGCCGCTATGTCGCTGTGGAGAGGCCCCCGAGACGGCAGAGCACGTAATCCTCTTTTGCGGCCTGCTGGAAGGATCGAGAGAGCGCCTACGGGCCACTATCGCACCATGGCCGCTACACACACGTAGAGACCTGGCGACGGCGACAGGGAAACCAGCAGTCAGCAGGACTATCACAAGGTGGCTACTCAGGACCGGTCGGACAGCGCTTAGGCCCGGATAATATCGATCTTCTCAGGGGGACTTTGTTAGTAGGGTGAGAGCTAACATAGTATTGCGGCGGACGTAACGCAGTCGCTAATAGAGCGAACCTACGTAGCAGCGTATGTATTTAGTCCAGCCATTAGGGCACGGTTTGACATACGGGAGTACTTGTAGAGGTACCGGGGGCTTCGAGCCTACGGCGTATTTAATAATAATAATAATATAAGACAAACATTTATATAGATCAATTCCGTAAACACTTTAATAACATTGTCCCTATAAAGCTAAGTGAGAATCCGAGATTAGTTCGTTGGTGAAGGATCGCGACCCAGTCCAGTTATCGTGAAAACCCAGTGGACTGGACCGAGGTTAGCGAACCCCAGAAGCCCCCTTTTTGAAGCGCAAGCGCAGTAAGAACTGACTGGGACCGAGGCATGGACTGCAGCACCAAAGGCAATATGCTTACAGATCAAAGGACTCACATATGAAGCTTCACTTAAACTGGTGGTTGCAGCCAGGGAAAGAATGTCCCATGGGTTCAAATTTTCAATATAACTGCCAACCAAGTCGTTAGCATTTATGAATCAACAAAGTCCCCTCATAACTTACAGTAGTCGCTTTGCCACTTCCAAGACGGGCGCCTTTCTGGCTCTCTGTTGTGTATGGAGCATTATCTACAACATGTAAGGCTGAGACAGCCTGCTCCCTCCACAATGCCGGCCTTCAAAACTGGCAAAATCCTTGCGAAGCGTACATCTGCAAATTTGCCGCGTGGTCCAAAGGGTTGCGCAAATGAAAGTCGGTAAAGGGTTTTGCGTACGAAGTTGAACTCATAGCCACGAAGCGCTCCTTTGAAATGTCAACTGATCAATACCAAGTCTTCGTGCTTTTCAGTAGGTTGTGCGCAAAGCGAAGCGGCTTGATACCATTACCAACCCAGGAGTAGCCAATCTCAGTGTTGCTGTTATCCCCTCGGCTACCAATAGGGTCCAGAGTTGATTTCGTCACTTCTTCGGACTTTACCGCCCTTCCTTACAGAGTAAGACGGAGGTTACAGGAAGCACGGACGAGGTAGCGAAATTAACTCTGCATCTTAGATCAATCAAGAGGACAGCTATACCTCATATATCGCAAGAGACTTAGCCCCGTCGTCCCTGCCCACAGGGCTGTGTTGTCTGAGAACCAGAATCCGCTAACAAGAGATACAACAGCGGAATACTGATCACATTACGGAGATGATCTCTGAGGACGCATTCAAAGCGAATAGGTGTCCTGTCATAGGTTCAGAAGACTAATGTGAAATACACGGATAAGTATTATCATTTCTTTTGCTATATAGGAATGCTTCAATGCAAGCGAAAGGAAGCATTCAGATACTCTTCAAATGGCATCAAAATTATTACTAGAAATACAGACGAGTAGATGGCATTACTAGTTTGAATACTTCGCACAGACATACAATATCATACAGTCCGTTCCCTGCTAGGTAGTAATTGGTAACTACTATCATCGTCCAGAAGCACTTAGTATGCGAATCCCTACATTCACATCCTTTGAACGTCGTCATAGACTTATAACCCTCACTCTGAATAAGCCGTGTAACGTAGAGAGTGCATGATATTCCACCGGTAACTGACTGTTAGGGACATCAGTTGCCATTCTCACCAACACTCAACACAAACCCACCTCCTCCCCGACCTCGCCTCAACCACCTTGCCTACTTTCACCTCCCCCCAACCCTCCGTCGGAAACTCCTCACATTTCCCAATCTCAGCAACAAACTCCCTCTCCCTCTCTCCCCCCTGAGCCCCAATCTTCCACCTCCCCACCCCAACCTCCCCACCAATCCTCAAAATCCCCTGCACCACCTCCCCAATCCTAACCATCATTCCCCTTGTCCTTCCATCTTTCTCATCCCCATCCTCAAACCTAAGTACCCAACCCCCTACTCCCATCTTCCCATCCCTCTCCAACCCGTCAACCCAACACTCCTCATACTCCTCCACCCTCCCACTATCCGGGTTCTCCATCTTGCCCCTTTCCAACACTTCCCCCCGCACCCCGGTCCCTTCATCCCCCTCAAACACATCCCCCTCATCGCTCACCTTCTCCGCATCCACATACCGCGAATCGACCCAATGCCTGAAAACCGAGTGCGGCGGCTTTTCCTTAGCATTGTGCTCCGACGTCCCTGCAAACGCCCAGTCGAGCTGTTTCTCAGAAACCGAAGGGAGAGGCAGCAGGAGCCGTACGTCCACGAATCGTCTTTGCGGGGAGGTGAGGACCAAGGTTGACGTGGGTTCGGACGGGGGTGCGTCCTAGATAGCGAACGGGCTTGTATGAGATCTTCTTACTCATCACAATGCAAAAGAGAGAGAGAGAGAGGGGGGGGGAAAGAAAGACTCACACCCCATTTGATATACTTCCGGATCGAAACCGACGGCTTGGTGTTTTCGTCCGTCATTTTCAGGAGCTGCTGTCCTTCTTCTTTTCCCAGAACTCTAGATTTCCAACGTGACACAGAAGAAGCAAGGCGGAAAGGAGCTAGATTAGATCCCATCTGCATGCGAGCATGCACGTAAGACAAGTTAGGTTGGGTTGAGGGAGGGGTGAGAGCTTATCGCTTATCGTAGCGGTATGCACGATGTTCATGCAAGTCCCCAGATATTTTGTCGGTCAAATAGGATGATGCACTCAATTCAGTTCCTCGCCGTGTGCCTGCAAACCGCAAGTCAATTATGGATACGCTTGGATTGGAAGCCTGTTCATAGTGTGTTTATTAATACCGAGTAACACAGTTCATCTATCCTCTTTATGTATAAGCTCTTTTCATTCAATAGTCGTCTGACCTCAAAAAGTGGTGATCCCACCCGTGAATCTAATAGGTATGCCGGTGCACACACACTCAATTCCCTTCCTTCTTCTTGTCCATCTCCCTCTTCACATCATCAGTCGTGCATCATCGTCATCAACGGGCTACATCGTATGCGTAAACCCCGCCATGCAAAACCAAACCGTTCAGGCTCAAAAAACACACCAGACCGACCCACAGACCGACCAACCCACCGCTTAACCAAGCCGACCAACCAACATCCTGTTCTCTCGTAGGTGTAGATAGACTAGACTCTCTCTCTCCCCTTCGTCCTAACCCCCTTTCAAGAGCCAGGCTCTCCAGTTCGAGTAATAAACAAAACCTTATGGTATCTTGCGATTTCTTTGATAATAACATGATGCCACCCGCGAAGCCATCCTTTTTGGCTTCGTTTTGTGTATGCCGTCCTGAACGCCACCTCAATGCTGCTGACGACGACAGTTGCCCACATCTGGAACTATGTGCAGATGCGAAAGAAAAAGTAAATGAACAAAATTGTATAGGTAAAAAGCGCGCCGGTGGAACCCAGGTCCGAGTCGAGAGGGGTTGGGTGAGTCGTTATTAGTAATTAGCAACTCGGATTTTCGTGGTGCTATGTGCGAAGTTCAAGATGGCCGGCGACCACGAGAGCCTCGCTGGCTCACGGAGGAGCTGTTGCTTCGTCCTTGAGTGAAAGTCGTGGCGGCGTTGTCCCTAGATCGCAGAGAGCCTTAGCCGACTCGTCTGACGAGCTGCTAGCATCATCGCAAGGCGTTGTCCGCCCGTCCTTGCGAATCTTGGTGGAAGTAGAGCTTTCCGTGCCGCCAAGGTTAGCCTTGCGGAGGAGATAAGTCGCCTTACTGATGGCATTCCTAGCCGCCACGGCCGCATCCTCTGCCTTGGCTTGCTTCTTCCACATTCGCCCGTACACCGAGTTGGGTCTGTCCACCAGGCTCTGATGTGTACCCTTCTCGACAATTGTGCCGTTCTTAAGCACAAGAATCTGGTCGGCGTGCGTGATGGTCGAGAGACGGTGTCTGCCCATATTGATTAGCACAATTATTCGCCGGTTTCCTTACTGGGATACTTACGCAATGATCATCATGGTGCGTCCCTCTCCAATCTTTGCCAGTCTTGACTGAATCTCCTGCTCCGTGTGGCTGTCTAGCGCCGAAGTGGCCTCGTCGAGCATGATGATTTTGGGGTTCTTGAGAAGAGTGCGAGCAATCGCGACACGCTGTTTTTCGCCACCACTGAGACGTAGACCTCTCTCGCCAACCTTGGTGTAGTACCCGTCGGGGAAAGACATGATGCGGTCGTGAATACTGGCTGCTTGGCAGGCGGCGTACACGTCCTCGGCTGTGGCATTCTGGTTTGCGTACTTGAGGTTGTACATGAGTGTGTCGTTGAACAAGATGGTATCTTGTGGCACCACACCGATGTAACGACGGATGGAATCGATCGTCACGTCCTTGACGTCTTGGCCGTCAATCTTGATTGTGCCACGCTGACAGTTGAAGTACCTGTACATGAGCCGGAACAGTGTCGACTTTCCACCACCGGATTCGCCCACCAGTGCTGTGGTCGTTCCAGGAGGGCATTCGAAGCTGAGTTTCGTCAAAGCAGGTCGTCTTTGGTCATACGCAAACTCAACCTTGGAGAATTCAACATGGCCATCGCAATGAGTGACCTCGGTGGCGCCCCGCCGATCCACTACAGTTGGACGCTGCTTGAAAAGCTCGAGTAGTCGCTCGCCTGAGATCATGGACTGTTGAACTGTCCTGTAAAATGTACCGAAGAAGTTGAGGGGTCCCTGCAACTGGCCCAAGAGGGTCATCAAAGTGACAAAGTCACCGACTCGTCGCGTACCGAGACTGACTTGATAGGCGCCGAGCATCATGGCAACAAGCATGCCCGTCATGAAAACAAGAGACTGGCACATGTTCATCAGGGCAATGCTCCATGTCACTTTGGCCTCGGCCGCCTGGAAGTTCCTGATGGCACCTCGGTAGCGATTGAACTCGAACGCCTCGGCGTTGAAGTACTTGACGGTCTCGTACGAGATGATGGAATCATTCTTGACGGCTTCCTCCTCCCGGTCCGCATTGGACATGTTTCTCCTTTGGTCTGCCGTGTTTTGTGCCATGCGCATCGTCAAGAACAGGTAGAAGAAAGTGATGATGGAGGTGAGGGCCGCATAGGTGGGACCAAACTCTACATAGAAGAAGCCGATAGCGGCGAATAAATCAATCAGCATAGGGAACACCTGGAAAGTGACCTGCTCGAGAAACGAGTTCACAGATGCTCCTTTGTTCAGCGCCGACAAGACCTCGCCCGTCCGTTTGCCGAGATGAAAATCAAGACTGAGCGAGTGCACATGCTCGAAGGCCGATGTCGTCAGAGCTCGGTACGTGTGTTGCGAAACGGGGATCCAGAGGAGCGACCGTATAGAGCCGAGAAGTCCAGAAGGTCCCTGAAGAGTCTTGAAGACCATGAGCAATGACAGAGCAACCCAAGGCATTCGGAATGTCTGGCCTGCTTCCATGTGCTCTCCAGCCAGCTGGCTAACCACCTTTCCAATCTGCCATGGAACCGCGATGTTGATAATTCGCTGGAGTACCAGGAGGACAAAACAGAAGACGACCGTTAATTGTAGTTTCAGCTCCGCACTAGGCCACATGTAGGGAAAGAATATCGAGTAGCCTCTGAGGTATTCAACCCATGTCGTATGCGGCAGCTTTTCTGGGCGGTAGAAGGCAGCCTCGGCATCCACCGTTGGAGCATTCACCTCAACCACGCCATTTGTCGTGCCATTGGCGGTCCCGTTGCCATTGCCATTTCCATTCCCGTTGGTACCCGAGTGTCCATTTGCATGGTACCCATTGTGACCCGCACTATCCAGCAGAGGCGTGTTCTCATCCGCATCAGACTGGTAATCGTCGTCATAATCCTCATTATGTGTTTGGGATCCGACCCAGATGACACCCAAATAGACAATTACGAGACCTATGAGCAGGATGAGGCGGCATGCTGAGAAACCGAGGTCAACCTTGTCCCAATTGTTCGGCCCCGTCTCGATGGTAAACTTATTACGACCGAGATTTGTCATGACATGATGCGGTCCGGAAAGAATCTGGAAATCGCAGACGAATATGACCATATCGAGGATAAGGGCAATGCTCCAGAAGACAATGTGGACCAGGTATGGACTCGTCGGCCAGTCCCAGAGGGTGATTGAGACGTAGACATACAGGAATGCGGAACCGAGGATGAAGACCTATGCGTGTGAGCCGTGAACAGAGAGCAAGCCACTGGGCTTTCAAAATGCTTACCGTCTTGGGCTCCCCACACCACCAACCATGCTCTCCATCTACAGATCGGTGGTACAGGGCACGAGCAGTGACATTGACGGCCGTACCAAAGAATGTCAGCGTCGCAACCACCATGCTGGCTCTAAAGAAGGCCTTGGATGCCTGTCCAAACTGCTGCCCGTCTGTATCGTCGTCGCCATATTCTTCTCGCTTTCGTTTCGTGACGGGCAGAGGTTTGCCACCGGGCCCTCGAACTGTGGTAGCCACGACATCTTCCTTGCGCAACGCCGACACAATGCTGTGTGTCGCGCCAACAATTAAGAAGGACAACAGAAGAAGCCCGGGATACGCGTAGTGGAAGATGCGTCTCACAGCCTCTAGAGGGTCCTCGTCTGGGTTGACTATCGCCGGAGCCATATTGAATGCTAAGTCGCGGTCAGGTCGTGCATAGTTTAGAGGGACAGAACCATGCATCATAGGAAGTACGTGTTGGGACGCTTCGAGATGCAAAACTTACTCCTTATGAAAGAAACCCCCAGGACCTGCTCATCTCTCCGAGTAATGGAGGCAAAAGTACACACCCAGGGCCGCAATTGCAAAGCCTTGAATGCTTGCCGTACGTAGCCTGTGAAGGCGGTGGTCCGAGATGGAGGTCTACGGTCCTGTCTCGGCTCAAAGTCAGAAGAAATCCGGGCAGGGTCTGGTGGGGCAGGGTCACAGGATGGTGTTAGTGGCGACAGCCACACCCTCGGGCTGGCTGCTCTGGGGAGACTGACTCGAGACTAGACGATTGGCACTGCCTCGTGTTCACAGGGATCGACACGCACTGTGTCTGTGGACGATGGCACAGAGCGATCGTGACACCAGCAATAGGTCGGGGATTGGGAACACAAAAAAGGCCTAGACGAAAATGTCAATATGGCATGTGTCGATACCAGAGCCAGAACGGCGGTGGAGGTTCGAATCGAGCGTAGAGAAAGAAGATGGAGGGGTCTTGAAGTAGACGAGTACAAAATAATCAGTGACCGGGGAACCAGTGCCCTGGCCCGACCAACTAGAAATGATAACCGGTGTTAGAACGAGCTGTCTAGCCTCAACTACTCCGACAATGACCAATGCCGTGGACAGAATCGTCTTTAGTCGGTCCCGACCGACCTTCTTGAGTCGAAAAAAATTGACGAAGAAAGATGGGACAGAAAGCACGGGACGGCCGACTTTGCAGCCCGCGTCTCGACCACCCAGCTTTCACGAGCGGCTGGCGACTGGCAACTTGCGCCGGCAATCAATTCCACTGGTCGGATGCAGAAGTACCTGCTTCTCCACGTCAGCCAGGATCGTTAGTCTACCACACACTACAATGTATTCAGTCGGCTAAGGCCCTGCGCTTGTTTTTTTTTTCCGAGTGCCTGTCGACCGATAAGAGTATTCCAAAGGTGATAATGAGCGTGCAGATGCAGGCTCGATGCCCGATATGCGAATAGTGTGCTATGGTTTTGCAGGGAGGCTTACCGCGAGAGCCAAACGGCTTGCAGCCTTCTCACCGCCTTGCCTCTTAGCTGTTGATGGGAACGGTGATTGCAGCAAACCTGCATGCATGCAGGCTCGGTTGACCAGGGGCTTGTAGGTGTGGGCGAAGGTCTCGGTTTTGGTGGGGTTGAGGGGGAGCTTCGGGTTGGGGAGGGGGACCGGGGGGGAGCGGATAATAAAAGAAATCCAAGCCGCTCACCTGAACAGATCATGATGGTATTCTTTCAGGCTCAAAGAGTCATATCAATCACGGCTCCTCGCGGCATCTTGTTCTTGATGGTCTCGTTGTGCTCTGGCCCTATCGATGCCGTGTGACCGGACTGTGGTATCGGTAGGCTAGATACTGGAAAGATCCTGATGACACTTGACAGCACGCTTGAGCCTAACGGCTTCAATGTTCTCCCAACTGAAAGAACTATTCTCTGTGCAACCTGCACCTGTGATTCGGGCCTGCTGAAAGGGGTCTCATCCATGGATGCTTGTACGCTTTCCTTGCCAGTATTGCACCAGATGCCTGGGGCTGGGCTTGTATGCAGTGATCATTTGATGTTGGTCCCAGTACTTGAAGACTGGTAGACAAACTGCTCGCTTGCTACACCATCGACGGTGAGTTCCAGCTGCGGTAGGCTAATGGCGACTTCGGAAACCGTTGCGCAATACTGCACTGGCAGTAGCCACTTTGGTACCACCAATTATATCGTCAATGGCAAAGATGAAATCGGTGAAGGTGCTGGCTCTTCTTCTGGCCCGATCCAGTATTTGTCTCTCGGCCACGCGTCAAGAGCCAGAGTGGTTTCCGCCATTCTGCACGCACCTATGCATTCTTCTCCTAATATCTCTAGCGATAAGGACCCATTCTGGCATGCGGATGACGGCTTGCCGAATCTTCAGCTGCATTCGCTTGTGTGTTCACTCATTTGACGTAGACGGCGACATGCTACATCAATCACTTGTCTGCTGTCGCTTTTGCGTCCCGAACACCGTCAGCCTATCCGCTTTTTGGCTGTCACTCGTCTCTGGTTCAGCGACTGACCGACATTGCGATAAAGTATAATAGGATGCCAGCCTGGCATACATGGTACACCGGTGAGAAGTGGGGATGGAGTCCTTCAATGAGAATCATGGGTCTTGCCTGCCGACGATGGGTTTCAACCACTTGAAGCATCCAGATCAGCATCCCATACCGTGTTAATCTCCGTCGGCCGTCTTGTACAATTCCCCGCATCCCACCGGTCGTGCACGCCCATCTCGCAACGTGTTCATACAGAGCGCCACAGCTGTGATGCAGGAAGGCCCTGCTCCTGTCGCTGATCAGGCCGACGTTGAAGTCTGTCAGAATGGCTCTCTGCATCGGAATATTGGGTACGGATGCAACATTAGCACGCCAGACTTGCACAAGCCACTTATACTTTATCCTCAGGCCCGAGAATCCAACCCTGTCATGCGTGTCATTGGCCTAGTGTTTCACTGCAGGCTATTCCCATTAGGCACGGTCCGTTCAGATGACGTCCTGCCTGGCACTGCCAACAAGACGTGTATTGGTCGCTTAAATGGCCTGTAGATGCGGGTTAACATGTGTCCAACCGCCCCCCTTCTTCCCTTCCCCCCTGCCCATGGGGACAAAGGCTGTGTCTCACAAGGCTGATGATATTCCACGACATATGCAACCCTGACCTGGGTTGTGGGGAAATCCTCAGGCATCTAGATTCAGATCGAACAACGGACATTTGTTGTCCGGCTGTCGAGGTGTCTTGAGAGTTGTGATGATTGGCTCTTCACTAGAGCCTACACTCTGGTTACACAGACTAGGTCATGTCATAATCCATCACGAAATGGAACCCCGTAAAGGTAGGACATATGCCCGTATACAGCCACAGTTCTCCCTAGAAGTGAGAGCCGTAGTTAGCCAATCGCTTCATGACACACTATAGGCAGCGTCAGCCTAACTAGAAAGAATTGACAAGTGTTACATACCTTCCAGCGGCTGCAGGTCATTCCAATATGGTGTTCGACAATGTCATGGACGATGGCAAGTAGACGCGTCCTCTGTTCCAGACTCCGTTCTAGGAGTTGGACTTGGGCAGGTTGAAAGTCCTCGACAGCCATCGGGCGAAAAAAACAACGAACTTTGCTGTATGAAACGTACGTGTTCCTGCCGGTTGTCAGACACGTATTCATTCATGGCCCTATGATGGTTATAGGTCATGCAATGGCCACGGATTTGGTTTTGGCAGGATTGTGCCAACTCAGGTCCAAGATACCTTAGTGCTTGTCAGGACCACAGCTTGCTTCTGAGTGAGGGTGAAAACTGAAAGATCTTGAGAGGAAGACAGGAGATCTGGTTCAGGGATAGATGCAGCTCCGTAACGCTCTATTATGGGTTGAACCATCTTACAAGTCACGAATCACCCAACGGCCGCTTGCTTGGTTGGCGAAAACCTCGGAAAAGAATGAAAACATGCAAAAATTGCCGTAGTTGAGTCAAAGACACGTGTCCTACTCGTGCTGTAGTGGTGCAGCAATTTGGGAATGACGGCATTCCAGGTTGGGTTGCTAATGAGGCAGGAACGATGAGCAGTTTTTGAAGCCGGACCCGCCACTGGGGTAATTCCTGCTCCTTTGCAACGGCATGAGCGACTCCATCTCTTGCTGCATGCCAGTCGGCTTCTAGATGCTCGTCCGGTGGCGATTTCTTTTTCTGCCCTCCCGCTGTGGTCTTTCTTGTATGGCTCTAAGACCTGGGCGCATCACTGCTTACTCTTATACTGGAGTCGGAAAGCCAACAGCAGGGAACCTCGTCTCTTGGAATGATCTGCTTCGCCTACTGCGTAGGTGTGCTATGGGTCGGGGAATGGAGAGAGACAAACCGCATCTTGACCTAGGCTTCTTGCGGTATTATGAAACAGCATGCGCTCGAAGGGATTAAGAGTCGGGGTTGCTCTCTTTTCGAAGCCAATTCTCTGGTGGACCGGAGCGAGCTTTGCTTAAGCGCTCTGTGTGCCTGCCTGTAGCATCTCCTGACTTTACTAATTAGGCACGCTGGACATGATGGTAAATATACCTCTATCTCCGTTGTTGACGTGAGGGTCACTCATTGAGGTATTTTAGTCTCTCAGGTTGATCCGACATTACGCAGGTGTGTTTGGGCTTCTGTGAGTTAGTTGCCTTTGATCTCGCTATCCGGCCGCTTTCTAGCAGTTTTGATGGGCAACGAACCAAGAGCAGTTGGTAGGGCTGTAGAGTGGTTTGCCTGCCAATGTGAGATCGTTCCTGTCAATATTTCATGATTTGGTGTTTGTTTGAGCCTTGTGGAGTCAGCTCTGGCACCTTGTCAAAGTACCAGAGCGACCGGCAAAGGCACATTTATCTTCGTAAATGTTTATTGCTCTATGTCTCTCTTTCTCCATTCCTTTTCTTCAATTTGATTTTCTCCGGAAAGCTTCGTTTGCCTTCGCTGTTGCACAAGATGAAGACTTGAAGTGTCTTTGGTCTCTCTTGGCAATAATCTCGCCACAACACGAGGTTCAGCGGCTCAGGATACTTGTGGACTAACTCATGCTATTTCGCAGTAGCTAAACTAGCCCCAATGCAACCCCCACGAATATATATCCTCCACTTCCCATTCAGGCCTGTTGCGTCTGCAGGCAACCATATCTGGTCCCACGCCAGGACCCGGCTATCTGGACATCCACCCATCCACGATGCAGGCACATCTTGTTTCCGCGTCGCCCACCTCTTTACTTCCCAAACAAGCATGCTGATATGCACCACAAGCTACCCCTCTAGCGGCCCGTGGGTCGTGGTGGACGATCATGGCCACGATTTACCACCCTGTCTGTGGTTCCTGCAGTCGGCATGCGTGCTGCAACTTCCACTGCCTTACGACGTCAGGTGACGGGACAGTGGTGTGCAATCCAGCCAGGATCTAGTTACATTGTCGTGGGGGTCATGCCGTGTCCAGAATCTCCCCGGGTTGTCGCCTACATAAACGCCGGTGGCGCCCACTTAAAGAAGTCTTGAGTCGGCTGCATGCTGAAACCCGAAGCACTCCATACAACAGGACTTCTTCTCCTGCCAAAGATATGTACAGCTACCACTCCACATTTGCTGTGTTCGTTAACCATGCCGAACAATTTGCCCGGAAAGACCTCGGAACCGTTACCAGAGCATAGCAACAGCATCCTCTACAGCGATGAGAAACAAATGGCGAGCTTGTATGGTGAGGGGCTATCGCGCTACCCGAAAACACCGTCGCTATCAAGCACCATTTTGTTTGATGAGCAAAGTACCCGAAACCTGCGGGCAAGCTGTCCTGGCTAAGTGAATTTGTCCAAATCGCATCTCGGCATCCAAGTGTTCCTACGGAACAAGCGTAGCAAACACAACAAGTGCGTCCGTCTGAAAAGGCCTCTTGCACGAGTACCGACAGGTGGAATAATGCCCCCGGGAGCGCGAGGACAGTTTGGGAGACTACCACCGAACGGGTGTCACAGGAGATACTGCGGGATTCCGCAGTCCACTAATGAAACATAGATCCAGCGACGCAGTTGCCCATGTCTAGCCGCTCTCCATAGGTCCTTCAAGTCACGGAATCCCCGTTCTGGACAATCGAAGCGATCTCGGTCTTTCATAGCCGCTCCGGCACATATTTCATGATGGCGACATCATGTATCTGCCCACTAATCCGATCGAGTGCCTCCGGCACTAGATAACCCATACGCTGTGGGGCTTGCAAACGACCGCTTGCAAATGATTTCTCTCACAATCTACAAAGTACATGCTGTAGTAAGTATACCCCATGCCTCAATTAACAAAGTTGCATCTCCTCGATGTCAACAAGCTCCAGGCCAGCTACCAAAAATAAAGTGACAGTCTATAGAGCGCTCAATTTGATTCAATGACAGCGAGGGCTTCGCTCTTTCCACATTTGGTGTATACAGTGGTGCTGCGGACCCTGAGATTCCTCGCAAACCCTCCAAAGGGTCTTATAGATGCTTGTGACTGCCATATTGATGAAATGTCGGATTCGTCGCGAGGAACACAAGGCTGGCTGTATTGAAGAACTTATCACACAAGGACGACCATCCTCGGTACATATACCGCCTTTTCGTATGCCTCCCACCTCTCTTCCAAATTGATACAGTATCCAATATATGCAGCTTCCATCCATTGCAGTCACGAACAAATAGAAGTTTATCCTGGATTATTCGGGTTCCAGCATCATGTGGCGTCTAAGTACTCAAATTTACACTGGTTCGTTCCTTGGTCAGTCTAAGCATAGTATTAGCCCGTCACAGTCTTCACCTCGCGTGACTCACGTTAGATCCCCAGCACTCCGGAGAAACTAAAATATTACATCACCCGCTTTCCATTAATGCTGTATCGGTTTCCCTCGGTCTTTTGCTTCCTGAACTCGTCGTAATAGTGCTAATGACAAATGTTGGTGGAATCTCATGACCACTCAGCCACTTGGAATGTCATCACTAGTCCCATTAGGCCGTCAAGATCAGTCGCCAGCTTCTGCATTGCTCCTCCAATATCGCACGTCATTATACATTGCTTCTCTAGCATTCGCTTGTGTATAGATATAATTGGGAAGATGACCCTCCGTCGAAAGTGGCTGGGAAGGTTATATCATCATAAACCCACCCTACTCATGCAACATTTTACCCTAATAAATTCTTTTGAAAACACTCCGACATGCCAATGCTTCTTGGCTGTGGGAACTAACCAACATGTTTTACGTACATATTTGCCTTAAATGCTGTTATAAAGTGCTAACAGCAAAGCAGGAAGGTATTAACATAGAAGTGCATTACTCTCAGCATAAGCCCAAATAGATAGGCAACGCATTGAAAGATAGTTCAGCCCAAGTCTCATGAAATAGGTCATCCCATACACGAGACTCTCTTATGAAAACCCACGAAATGACCAACCATCAATGAGACGAGTTATCTCTGGGTTCGCATTTGAGTAAGCTGACATCATTTTCTTTTCAATGTATACACTCACGGTGTGATCAAGGTTGCATTCTGGGATCTGAATGTGTAAGCTGACTCAACTTTCCAAGGTGCGAATATCAAAGATCCAGGAATACAGAGTGATCCACGAAACGCAGTCGCTGTAGAAATAATGCGAACTATGAAAATACTCAGGGCACATCACAGCTTAAGGGTAGAATTATCCATCGTGGCTGGATTACTGGACCTAAGAAAATGAAGTGACATGAACAAGATGGAATGCAACCAACACACTGTGGCAATGCGAATATCAGGCAGTGACATTGGCTGCAACAAGCTGCAGCATTTGAAATCAGAAAACACCAAAAAGGCTCATATAACATTCATGTGCCTTTTCCAGGAAATCACGATTTAGAGAGAAACATCTTACAAGTTCTTCAGCTTGGAATGGTAGTTGATCAACCAGCATGCATGGGCGGAACTACCCGATAGCTACCCCTGAGCCCTTGAGCCAACTTGACGCAGTTGTCCGAGGACTTGTGAGGAGGTTGAAGCCACAAGCCAACAAAATCTTAAACAGGAACAATTGAATAAATGCACATGCTCCCGTGAGGGAGGATGAATAATTACTTTTTCATATGTACTGAAGTAGATTAAGACCTTTACGTGAGACCTGATAAACCTGTTCAGTTGTTAGGACTCACACCGTGTCGTCGCACTCCAACTTCACACACGAGCCACATTTCATGCCAGTTGCAGTCTCCTGATCAGTACATTACGCGGCATAATTTTGGTGCCTCCATGTATGGCCATCGTTATAAATCGGTACTATCCTGTCCCGTAACTTCGTTCCATACCATTGCCTTATCCAAACCATGTGCCTGGGCTCGAAGTCACGTTTACTGGCCAACTACCCACCGCGTAGTCTATATAGATATAAGAAGAAACATAAATCCCCTAGCGCCGACATCTATACTGCTAGTTCGCGTTATTATTGGCAAGATTAAAAGCACGAGTTAACTTCAGTCTATTTTTGGGAGAACACTACTTCGACCGGAGATAAAGGGTTGGAATTATATCGAATAGGAAAAAGAGGCTCTTAGTGCAGCTCTACAAGACAGTAGTGCCCTAGGCATATCTGCTACTAACTAGCAGTCTATCCGAGATAAGGTCATGTAGTATATCGAGTCGAAGAAGACTGCTTATCGATTTGATAGACAAATAAATTACAACTCGACTAAAGTACTAACTTGGGATATACTCAACAATGGAGAACTAATGCTATAAATATAAAAAACCGTACTATTATAGCACTAGGTGATGAATATTGATTATACTAAAGCTATAGTAAACATTTCATGATGAATTGGGTTCTCATTTCAGAAGGCGCTAAAAGACTTACGCCGGATACCTTCTCTCCTAAGTTCGTTTAGTATCATGGTTAGATACTTATCTATCTCTTATACTAAAACATGTTTCAGGGATCAAGATACTATGCATAAGTGTACCGTAGTAAGGTGGGAACTAACCTACTGTCTCCTAATATCATTACTAACTACGTTGTCCCTCCGTACTAGGATATTCAAGCTACTTAGGTTGCCGCGTGTGTAAACCGGCCTACTGTATGTGTACCGATAGAAGGTAAACAGCTCGTGGAGATTAGGAGGCAGGTTCTCAAACCTTAACTCTGCGTCTGCCCCGTTCGTAGTGCCTCGTGGAAATTACTGGCTGGACCGAATAGGCCCCAGAACAGCTTCGAGGTAAGCGATAGTCGTAGAGGGGGCCACCGTTAATGTTGGCTATACCTATCCCTTTAGGGCGGGTGACGGAGCGAGGCTCGGTAACTATGCTCTAAAGCTGATCGAGGATCTACCTTTTGGATTTATCGGGCCCGCTACGATACTCTGAGTATGCTACTAATCCAGGTTATAATCATATATGTCGCTCCCTTGTGGACGAACGCGTAGTAGACTTTAGACACTAGAATCGATATATGCCGGCCGACAAACTATATAGCGTACACCTTAGTCAAGTTCGTATACGATAACTTCAATACAGAACTTGAACATGGATAACAGGCCGACTAAGCGTCTCCATAGTCGTTACCGTTATTTTCGCGTCTTAGCCTTAGCGATAAGAAGAGTAAGTATTCGGCCACGGGCCTAGCGTTGATCGGTTCGGATTCCATCCGGATGCCCCCCCAGAATCTGGTTCTTTGCGCTCTAGAGATCTGGAAGGGGAATTAGCCGAGGTCGGGCAGACGGACAGAACGGTCGGAGAAAGAAACGCGAGGCAAGTATAGTTGCTAGTTGTAGATAGTGGGTCCGACCCTTCCTTCCCTCCACATACACATAGAAGAGCAAGACCAACTCACAGGTCCTGCAACACCAATCTACGCAGCACAACGCATGAAGCCGGCACAGCGATCAAGCGACAACCATCTAATTCTTCAACATAGGGCCGATTCCCCCGATCTGCCTATTAATCAACCACCTTAATTACATGTCTTATTCAGATACAAGTGCAATATAACATCACCTTGACGCACCCCTCACCTTCAGTACAGTACTAGGATAGTACTGCGGAGGTTGCCGTCTTAGTCTAGTCACATAACCGGAGGCATAAACGACCCCGCTTGTAGTAGGAAAGCCTGTAGGGCAATATATTACTGGTAAAACTTACTAATACGAGCTGTCGCTATGGTCGCTCCCTTATGCAGAGCTGCCTAGCTTACCCAGGGCCCACAGCGTCGCGCGCTCAAAGGCGGCGCAGCTCACCCGCGCGTCTGGTTGGCCAAAGCGCCGGCCCCGGCTGCACATTTTCTGCGCATTGGCAAAGTTGCTAGGGTCCGGGGTAGCGCATCGTCAGCCTCGCCATCCAGAACGTCACCGCGGCGAGGTTGAATTCAAATGGTCATCTCCTGCTAGCTCTGCGCAGTCATCGGGGGCCAATAAAGCTGGTGTCATTCGGCGAATTGGTCAACGGCGATTCACCCCCAAGAGAGCTGGACGGGCCGACCTTAATTCTCATTCCTCGTTGTTCCTCCCTCTTTTTTGTTGCCGGTTTTGGGGTTGCTTCGGTTCATCAAGCTCGCTAGCTACTGTGCCTAGCTGCTCACCTCAGTTAGCTAGAGGTTTATTAAGCGATCGTCTTGCGGCGCAAGTCTGACAAGGAAGAGCCTCGACTACGAGAATATTGTGTTGACTCTAAACGAAAGACAACATTCCTACTGGTCTTCATTGTCAGTCCTTGGAGGAATCCCCTCCACCAGTCCACCACCATGTCGCACCCACCCTCAACACCGGCCAAGGTGCCCGCCTCGGCAACGACTTACACCCCTGCGACACTGGACGCACAGCTGCGCTCACACATTAATTCTCTGTTAATATCAGAAGGACACATTGAAAAGTACTTTGCCTTCCTCTGTGTCTCTCATTCATCCCCGCCCCACTCCCCTCCCCCACTTGTATCTATTCAAGTCTTTAACATGGCTAACACCCACCTTTCCCCCCACCAAACAGAATCCAGGACCACCTCCTCCATGCCCTCAACGCCGATAAGTCCAACTGGCCGTCTGCCGTGCAATCCCACGCCCTGCAACTCCTCCGATCAGGCGAAGTCTCCACATTCCCAGCGCTGATCCGGCGCGTGCTCGAGGACGTGCGGCATGAGACGCAACAAGTGACCACGGCTGCGGCTGAATCAACAGCAAACACCACTAAAAACGGCGAGGTGAACGGCAACGGCACAAACGGAACTACGAAGAAGGTTTCAGCGGCTGTTAATGGTGTCGGTGGTAACAACTCGGTGGCAGGAGTAGACGGTAGTCTAGCCATGCCGGCTGCTGTCGTGGAGGACATCCTCAAGGTGACGAGGGAGAGTCTGGAGGCTGTGTGTACGATTGACGATGGGACTTAGTTGGTCCGGCCGGAAGGAGTATGGAGCAGAGGGGTTGCTGAATAAAGATCAAGCAGTACTGCCGTCATAAAGATCATGGAGACGGGAAGGATGCTGGGCTGCCCACACAGACTGAGACAGCCATGGGATCGGGTGAAGAAAAGACAAGAGAAGACAAAGAACAAAGTACGGCATCAAGGCGTATGGCGTTCACTACACTGCTACTGTGGTTTTTCGATACTGGACATGGGGGGAGGAGAGTAATTTCATTGGCGGCACCAATTACACATTTTCAGGTCGAGTACTAATACCACATAAGGTCAGAATTGCATGACAGACAGTCTGAAGGGTACTGTTTGAGTTGCTATGCGCAGGGGTAGATAGACATTTTGTGACCAATCAATCCTCTTCCTAACCATTTTGGTCTGTTTTCGATTCTTCAAGTTCTACCACTCCCCATCTTGCGAGGTGTATTGTTGTCGTTGAATACCAATAACCACCAGGGCTGAGTAATTCAATGGTCCCCAAGAGAATTGACCCACCAACACCCATACCAGGACACAAAGGACTGAAGATGCTGCGAGCTCGTATCACCCACCTACCTTGGAGTCCTTTGGGTAAATCCACTGCGAACTGCCCGTTTAGCAACTCAACGTTGCCTCGTAACAGTAACTCAGAGCAGATAGACACCCAGACTAAACTGGTAGGGCTATCGTTGCCAACCGTCCTGTTTTGTTTCTGCAGCTGCAAAACTTGGAAAGCTAGCAATCCCCCCTTATCTTGGAGGCTCCTATGGGCTCCAAAATCTGTAGACCCAACCATTAAGTGTTGTATTGGTTTTGCGCTCGAACTGGGAAGCCGCGCGATAGGAGTGCATGCCACTGGATAACATAAGTCCATTATTATGGTAGAAGTCGGTAGTAATAAGGTATTTCCCATAGTACCGTGAATTTAGCAGGTAGACTGGGACATTAGACCTTGATATCATCAAACCCCACATTAGAACACACAATATGCATTATCACCGAGCGAACGTTGTCATGAATGCAAATCGATGAAATCTATCGTAAACTCCCTATCATCAGGTGCAAGGCGCTATATGTATGGCAGGCAATATGACTTCCCTGCTCCCAAGAGGCAAAAGCCCTCCACAAGTAAGCAGCAGACCAACCAGCCATATGCCATGCAAACTCACATAAGGCAAACCATTATCAGCATCTTGCTCTACCACCCAGATATTCCCAAATCTACCGAAGTACCCGACCCCCCTTCGCAACAGCGGGAGGGAAGCCGAACTTTGAGGTGGTCTTGTTGCTCACTCATAGTGAACCCAGTCAAGCCGCGTCCTCATGGAGAAAGCGGTGAACGGTGGGGGAGGAAATTAGAGTACATGAACCAGTGATCAAGAGCCGGATCAAGCCGGTTCTATTTAGTCGTACAGACCATCGTCGTCGCCTCCAGCGCCAAAGTCGTTGTTTCCGGAGGGTGCACCTCCATCGACTCCACCCGAGGGGAACTTGAAGAAGGCACCAGGGCCAGCGTTCTTCATTTGCTGGGCAAAGGCCTCGTACCGGCGAATCTCGACATCGGTGACTGACCGTCGAGCCATTTGCATAGCCTCCTCGAAGTGACGCTTGGTAAGCTCAGGCACAGGGTCCTCAGCTTCATCATCAATGTCCATGTCATCACCAGCAGCCTCACGTTCCTTGGCGCGGTTGATATCCGCAGTGATGGCCTCCTTGATGGCAATTTTGACGGCACGTTGAGTGATGAAACCAAGATCGGCACCGGAGAACCCGTGAGTCTTGGAGGCAATGTATTGTAGGTTGACATCTCCAGCGACCGGGGTCTTGCGAAGCTGGGCGCTGAGAATGCCAAGACGGCCCTCCTCGTCGGGCAGAGGCACGTAGATCAGCGAGTCAAGACGACCAGGTCTGCAAAGAGCGGGGTCAAGCTGCTCGGGTCTGTTGGTGGCACCTATCACAAACACGTTCTTCTTTGAGGTCATGCCATCCATTTCTATATGGCGTTAGTCATCTGCGAAGTATGCATGCCAAGGGAAAAAAACTTACCCGTCAGAAGCTGGTTGACAACACGATCCGAGGCACCACCGGCATCACCGACGGAGCCACCACGAGCCTTTGCAATAGAATCCAACTCGTCGAGGAACACAACACAAGGGGCTGCAGCACGAGCCTTGTCGAAGATGTCTCGGATGTTGCTCTCCGACTCACCGAACCACATGCTGAGCAGTTCAGGGCCCTTCACAGAGATGAAGTTGGCTGCACACTCGTTTGCAACAGCCTTGGCCAACATCGTCTTACCAGTACCAGGGGGTCCATAGAACAGAACACCGCGAGATGGCGAAAGACCGAACTTGAGGAACTTCTCGGGGTGGTCGACGGGGTACTGTACGCTCTCCTTCAGCTCCTGCTTGACTGTCTCGAGACCACCAATATCCTCCCAGCGGACGTTGGGAACCTCGACAACAGCGACCTCGCGAAGAGCCGAGGGATTGGACACACCCAGGGCGAATCGGAAGTTCTCCATGGTGACACCTAATGAGTCGAGAACCTCGGCGTCAATGGTATCCTCGTCAAGATCAATGAGATCCATCTTCTCTCGGATTTGCTGCATGGCAGCCTCGGAGCAGAGCGCGGCAACATCGGAACCGACGTAACCGTGGGTCTCGGCGGCGATTTGCTCCAAATCGACATCATCGCCAAGCTTCATGTTCTTGGTGTGAATCTGAAGAATCTCAAGACGGCCAGTGGGGTCGGGAATGCCAATGTCCACTTCACGATCGAAGCGACCGAAACGTCGTAGGGCAGGATCAATAGAGTTGGGTCGGTTGGTGGCGGCCATGACGACAACATTGGAGCGCGCCTTCATACCGTCCATGAGGGTGAGCAGTTGCGAAACAACACGTCGTTCGACTTCACCGTTGGTCTTGTCTCGCTTGGGAGCAATAGAGTCGATCTCGTCGATGAAAATGATGGCAGGCGAGTTCTTCTCGGCCTCTTCGAATGCCTTGCGAAGATTCGACTCAGATTCACCAGCCATCTTGGACATGATCTCGGGACCGTTGATCAGGAAGAAGAAAGCGCCAGTCTCGTTGGCAACAGCACGAGCCATGAGCGTCTTACCAGTACCCGGAGGACCGTAAAGCAAGACACCACGCGGAGGCTTGATACCGATTGACTTGAAGAGTTGAGGATGACGCAGGGGCAGCTCGACCATCTCACGGATCTGGGCCATCTGCTTCCTGCAACCACCGATATCATCGTATCCGACCTCGTTCAAGTTGTTCTCCTCCTCTTCACGCTGGATGGGCTCCCCCTCGCAGTGGATAACGGTATCCTGAGCGACGATGCCAAACTCAGGCGGGTCAACCTCGACGACCTTAAACTCCACTTGTCTCATACCACCGCGTACAATGAAGAGGTCGCCTTGACGAACGGGTCTGTAGGCTTCGCGGAAGTATGGGGCAAGGAAAACATCGAAGAGCGAGCCGGTAATGCCCTCAACAGTGTCGGCAATAGGCAGAACAGCGATGCGCTTGGCCTTGGGAGATTATTAGCCTCACAAATTTAACTCATGGTGGGACTCGGCGATGCTCAACGACTTACATATTTGATGTCTGGGCAGGCATGAATTGTGATCATGTCGCCATGCTTCACGCGAAGGTTATGACGAACAACACGGTTAATCCGGGCGCTGCCATCATCGAGTTCATCATCGGCCAAAACAATGAGGACTGTATCCTTGCGCTTCTTGCCGCGGACGAGGACTGTGTCACCACGGAACAATTGGAGCTGCTCCATAGTGTTGTTAGAGAGGGCGATGATGGAGTTGTCATCATTGGTTGCATCAGTGACCCTGTTGGTAAGCAGAAATTAGCAACGGGTAGGTAAGCCGCCGTGGAAATATATCAACGTACATCAGCTGGTTGGGCTTCTTCTTCTTCTTGAGAATAGCCGTGGAGGTGTCGTTTTCCTACATCATGTCAGTCTGTCATCTTGGTGAAGGTGACTTGAGGCCCGCTGAAACCCACATCCTTGGGCTCTGAGCCGGAAACGTCGCTGCCCCAAAAATCAGTATCGTTGCCAAGTCAAAATAGAGCATTAATTCTGTAACATACGCCAAGTTGGCCTTCTTCTTGTGATCAGGTTCAGGTGCCATCGTGTCTGTTTGCTCGGAGGATGTGCTGGTTTGCGTTAAGTGGATCGGGTTGGAGGGGAAAGCGTCGCGAACGGACGGACTTGCGATGCAACGGAACGCAAGGAGTGAATGGGTTGAGAGTGGAAGGTCTGTTTCTCTGGATGATATGAAGAGAAGGGACCTTTGTGATGGAATGGGGACGTGAATGGGGGAGGAAGCAAGTTTCGCGGATTTGGTGAAGTTGTTGAAGCTCCGAATCTAGGTAGGCACCGGATGACGACCTTAAGCAGGCACGCCGTGCACGGGCCATTATTAGCCGGGTATCTTCCACGCCACACTGTGGCCAAGTGGCAGCTGTGAGTTGGGCTCCAGCAACTTCGAAGACTTTCCACACCTGAACTCATGCTAGATTCCGGGTAGCTTGCGTCGAGCTGCATGCGCCAAAGGATTGTAAACGTGACGGCAACCGGAATGAGGCAGACGCTAGATGCGTAATCACGAATTTGTAAGATGTCTTGGGTGTAAATTACCACCACCTACGAAACCCTGCCCCTCGTTACAAGGTACCACCTGCCTTCAGATCCTTTTAGATAAAGCAGGTAGTTACCTGCCGAAGCTACTGTTGTTATCTATCGTAGTAAATCCTATGAGGCTGAAGTGGGTGAGTTAGGTCATAAGCCTTCTAGCTCTTGATAACCTTCAGTTTAGTGAGAGAACATACAACCTATCTCTAGAAGGTTGAAAGAAGGAGACGGAACAAATGATGCGCGCGGGCAGAATGACCTGACCATATCTGCTTTTATGCATATTCATGACAAAGGAGTCTGGGTCCATCCCATTCTATTCCACTCGGTGAAGTAGTTGACTACTAGACCTCTCTGCCTGTCGTCTTTTATCGCCAGCCCAAGAGGTCCCCCCAACGTTGAAATTATGGCATGCTTCTCCTCGTCCTCAGGGTTTTAGCCATAATTTTCAAGATGATAAGATGCCAGTTTGCCGAAATCTAATGTATTTTCTCCAGTATGCAGATGTAGTATGCTATCATTTCGGACTGTTGAGAATTTGCCCTAACTATCCCCAAGCCAATAGCATCAGCAAGTAGAACACAGAATAAACGGTGTACCCCGGTGGAATAAACGCCCCACGTCTTTCTACGATACTGGATTGGCGACCTGTTCCATCTTATTCTATCTTTCGGTCACCGTTTATTCTGCTCTCTACTTAACAACAACCTCGGTATCATGACAGTAGCAAGCCTGTAAATGACCTTCCTATCAGAAGATGTCTTGAAGTGATTAATACTGCGAAGTCATAACCAATGATAAATCGCGAGTCGTGTACGTTGGAACCCGATAACTAGGTGCCGCATCTGGCCCCGGGCCACGCTGCTTTAAGCCTGAGCCTGACCTGGGTCTAGCCTAAGCTTTGCCTGAGCTTGGCCTGAGTTGCCCCATAGTAAAAGTTTTAAATAATATTAAATACGCCGTAGGTGTTAACCCTCGGTACCTCTACAAGTACTCCCTTAAGGGGCTATAGATGATATAGCGGGCCCTTAAGCCGCGTCGGGCGGTTATACAGGTAAACTTGTAGCCAAACGACTACTAAACCTCCTGTCCCTCATAAAAGTTTTATAATATATAACGAAAAGTAAATTAGAAATGGAATGTGCATATAGAAAATATGCATAAATAACTTTGACGTAATAAACCGGCTTTACGACGAAAGTCTTTAACGGAGTGTTTCTGTTCGTGACTTCCGAATATCCATGTAAACTTGCCAACGTCGCATTCTACTACAGTAGCTCTTCGTCCCAGTTACCCTTGGTTCATATAACGTTCACCGTTGTCGAGGGAAAGGATGTCCTCTTTCGGGGTTCTAAATTCAGTGTCGTTCTTCGATTCCGACGTATGAATATACCGCGGAAATGGTTGGTGAGTTCGAAGTGCTTCTTAGCGAGATGACTTGTTAACGTCTAAGTCGGTTAGAAGGGGAGGAGAAACAATACGTGTGACATAATTATCACCATGTCCACAGCTCTTCATCTGAATAGCAATAAGAGGGTTTTCACGTGCCAGGTAAAGTGAGTTGCCAGAAACTAAACTGAATCTCAGGAGGTAGATATTACAGTGAGAAGTCTCCCTCTTGCGCCTGTTGGGCCAAAACCACCGTTATACATTTTGTTACCGCATGCTGAAGACGCAGTCAATTGAGGGGTGGATTCACATCCATTCCTACTATGTTGATTATGTACACCAAACGATGAGGATTGAAGACATTTGTACGTGTTTGTCAAATATGGCCAGCAGCTCGTTATAGCCTTCACAAGCTGGCCTTTTGGAGATCTGAATATTCCTTTGCTCATCGTGCCGCAACTGTCCCTCGCTGTACACACTTGCGACTGGAGACGGCGTAACAAATGAACACTCAACGTGTATATCCCCAGTTTGCACTATGCTCTCTGACTCCTTGGCGAGAGCTAGTAAGTCCCAGTTCCAGCTCTGCAGGTCCCTCCTGCGCAGGAGCATTGACGCGTATTGGGGGGTTATGTATCGCCAGAATTGGCTAGCACACCGTTATTGCATTGTCAGAGCAAGGACAAAATATAATTCTGTCGAATGTGGTAAATATGTATATTCACCCTTTCTATTTATAGACCCTCGCGTACTGTCACACATGTCAATATGCCTTTTTCGGCATCGTCATACTTTGAGCGAAAGTACCAAGCGTAGCTCATACTAACGCTGGTAGCGATACCCCCCTTTTACCAGCTCATAACTTCACTAGCCCCCGATGTATACTGACAACACACTCATGTGATAGCGACCTCATAATTTCACTAGCTCAGTATGACACATGTGGACTGGTAACATGATCAAGTTGTGCCAGAACGGAATTGGCGCTGGTAGCAAACCCTGGCCTGGACCAGCCCACAGCTTCACCCATATGCGTCCTGGTAACACTCCGGTGTTTTGCCCGCTTTGCGTCGCTTCCCCGATTTTTTTTCTATTACTTGTTATCAGTGTGTTCTTAATCTCTGAAAAGAGCATGAAAGTAATTACGATCCTATTTCTTCTCGTTGTTAACCGAAGGAACTTCCCTGGTCTCTTCCCAGGTCTCCGGTAATGCACACTCCATGCGAATCAGCCACAACCGGCGATCCCATCGACCCTCCTTCAGGGCCTCGGCATCTCCAGCGTACATGAAGGCATTACCATACACCTCAGCCGGATCCTTCCCATCGCTAAATTGTATCTTGCAGCAACACACCATGTATGCATCTCAGTCTCGTAACGCGCCAGCTTCTCCTCCTGTTCGCGATTTTGGACTTGATAAGCATAGCCAGTCACTTCCGCTCCGGTTATGGCGCTCTTCCTCGATGTCGAGGACATGCCGCAATATTTCCGGCTTGGTGAGAGTCCCGTAGAAGAAATACCACATAGGAGCGACCCGGTCATCAAACATGGGAATGTACACCGAAGTCTCCGTGAAATCCGGACCTGCGGCCTCGAATGATGCGAGATAGGCAGAAGAGCGTTGGGTGATTATTGAAAGTTGGAAATCGCTGTACCATGACGGCTTTCCGAAAAGCGAAAATCTGGGGAATGTGGTTGATAATTGATGTCCGGATGGGACACGTTCCCGAAAAGCACTACTTGACTACCTAAGTTGTCTACTATAGTAAGGGCGCTTAAGCCATCCTCTAGATGGGCAGCCTAGGTAATCCACAGTTGGTCAATGTAGCCGCTCGCTTGAACAGACCAATTTTGGATTTGGTATAGCACTCGGCCCGGTCATGCTATTCCAAGCGTCCTTCAAATATTACCTCCAATAGACCCTACTCGCGATTGACCTTTAGTTTTGTCAAAACCATGCTTGAACTAATTTGTAGGGTCAATCATTCACGGCAAACAGGCGCCCCTGTGTTCTACAATTGCGTGGCTATAGGTTGATAAGGCCGCGACCAGTTTCAACTGAAGGCTACAGAAGTATAAAACGGTTGAATTTCGACGCGGAGCAGCAAGCTCAGCTGCTGAAGATCCGGCTTGACATAGTGTCAGGGACGTCTAGGCCGCAAGGCAAAAGTACAGAGTGAAGAGGAGAAATAGGCGTGCCACTATTGACCACCGGGTGGTCACAGGGAGTTATGCCCATAATAGCTCATCCTCTAAGACACCTTCCTTATACAGACAGCTGAAGCCTCTATTCCGAATTACAACGCCCAGATCTCTCGGGTTCAGCGGCATTCTAATAATTCCATAATATTCTATGACCCATAAACTCACGGGCCAAACCTCCACCGGCTCCCCATTGGTGCTATGCATCTAGCGCTCTGACACATAATATTTAATCCAATGCTCGTTAATATCACAGCTTCTCAAAGCAGTGGCTCGATATAAAAAGGCATGTATGCGCGGGGGGGCGATTAGCTACATCATACGTGGGGCGTGCCTACCACAGTCAAATGCAGCATAGTGGATGCCCGGCAGGGCTAGTGCCGTGATGCTAGTAGAAGTTAACATATTTGATGGGAGTCCTTTACGTGGGTGTGTATTTATTAATGACGTAGCAAGCAAAAGAATCTACTGCAGTATGCAGTAGATTAACCAACCTTGCTGGCTTGCTGCGGGGCATTACTTTGGAGCCAGGTGGGGCCGCAACAACGGCGGGGTAGCGATCTGGTAGTGGGGCAGAGAGCCGTTATGGTGTAGACGAGCTTAAGATTTCGCATGCTGAACCTGTGTCGTGGCACCGTTGATAGATTTGATGTACCGATAGACAAAACCTGAGTAGCTTGACTAGTGGCATCGAAACTCACTTTATGTGACCGAATGGAGCCACGGTCGCTCGAGCATCTGTGTTATCTGCCGTAAGTTTTATACTGCTGTTGATAGGACACTCCTGCAAGCTACACTGGCGTTGGCAAGTGCCAGATGGATAGCGGGGCGTCGAAGAACTAGTAGTAACGGACCCAGGAGGCCACTTGGATGTAATGGTTTTCAGGACGAGAACATATGCTGAGAGACTACGACCAGATTTTCTGCTTGCCGACGACGACGCTGGCGTTGATCTATGCCCTGTTGCATGAGAGGACATCCCGTACGTGCTAGTAACCAGAGTCTCCAAGAGCTTGGTTCTGATACGCGAGGCACCTTGTGGGCGTAGAACGTGTTATTCAATTAAGCAGTAGCTGTCGGTCGAGCTTTTCCGGGCCAATACGGACGGATCATCAGAAATAGATGCGAACTCGATGCTAACCTTTTATATCGAACATATGGATCAAGCTGTGACTTGCAGACGATGTGGTTTGGGCGCCTTGCCGACTCAGAAATCCTCGCATGTGCTATCCTTTCATATACCTGGGCAAGGGGCGAGAAATATGCTGGCAGCTGTTCTGGGAAGAGCCCACGTCTGGCGTCCAGAAAAATATCAAGAGATAATTGTGGCAGTGGACGCTCTGCAAAGCAGATGTACTGAACGTGGCGCTTTGCCTGACGCAGCCTCGTCGGAATTCGGCTACCATAGTATGGATGCCAGAATTATTGGGTTGCCTGAAAGACTGAAAGACAGGCATGGCTGTTCTCAAGGCGTCGCCGACGGCTGGAAACCGTTTTCTTTGCATAATTGTGCATAATTTGTCATGGCTTCAACTGCTCTGGGAATTGCTCTGGGAATTGCTCTGGGCAGCTCAGACTGATAATTGACTGAGCCGAGTCTGAGTAAAAGCGGCATTGGCGCTAGGCCCAACTTGGCTGAAAAAAAGCTATGATGGACACACAAAAACCGTTTTTATCAAGTTGCCGCGAAGCACATGTCGCTCACCTTGGCGCACCGAAACATAGCAAGGGTATCTCAGCTTTACTCGATATGTCAACTGGCTGCAAAGAGGTAGTGAAGATGACCTTCAGTTGGGATGTAAGCCACCTTGACCACACTGGTCCAGATCGTTGAGATGGCCTTCACCCCCTCGAGGGCCCAAGAGCCACGGTAGCTGCGGTAGCTGCGTCAGATGGAGATCAAAGCTGCCATCTTGACTAGTTGAGATCTCACGATAATACATCTCTTAGCCTTGCTCACGCGTTTATAGAGTTGCATGACGACCCCACCGAAGACGCATTGCACCGACGACCCATTGCCCAATTAACGAGAGCCGAACTCAATGGTGGGGCTGATGATAAGCCGTCAGGAAGGGCTCTGTAGTGCCAGATGCGATGGTACGAGTCGCTTATGGCTTGATTGGCGTGTTTCTCCATCAGAACATGAGCTGGGCAAAGGTATCTGCTAACATAATCCGCAGTCGGTCAAACCTTCCCATAACCCTGTTACCCTGCCACTTCTCCATCACTATCAACCATGCTACTAAACTACATTTTTCTATCCGGCGCTTTCGAAGCGGCCGAAATGATGTAACCTGGTCAAGTGGTCATGGCAATTAGTAAATGCAGTTTCTGATTTCTATAGAAATATCTCTTTGACTCTTTCTTCAACTTCCCACACTTGAGCCTCTGCTCAAACTCTTGTTCGTCTGTTCTCATGTTGTAAAAGTAGAGAGTACCAATCTACCACCCAACCAGTTTCCTCGTAGACATCCACGACATCCACGGCGTCGCATTGATCTTCATCCCACCCCTCCACCGCCAGTGCCGCCCTCGAGTTTTCGTCTTGCTTGTTTTGCCAAGGACGAAAGCTTGTGGACCCTACATATTCAATCGCGAGTCGCGCAATCTCTAAAAAGGAAGAAGGGTTGACCAAATCGAGAGCTCATCATGTCTTCGAGACATCCCACATCGTGGGACCAGTATGAACGTGGGAACTCTCCTGGGAGGGGCAGCGTGTCCTCCACTGGACAACACAGCGTCAGTTTCGCCGAGGGGCAGAGTCTCCTGGGCGATCACGAAGGCCACGAAGACCACGATAACTCTACAGAGTGGATGGGGCGCCTTCGCCGGAGGTTGGCTGAAATCTCTGCGCCTCATTCGTAGTTTAAAAAACTTACTGTTGTTTCAGATCCTCCGTAACTAACAGGCTCGCTGCTATCACCGAAATCGGTGGCGTCAATAGCATTCGATCCTTCACTCGAAGCTGGCAACGCGCCGCTGTGTTTCCTGAGGTCATTCCTCAACGACCGTCCTTCGTATTCGCCCCAGACCAGGAGCCGGCCGACCCCATTCATTATGGCAGGACTGATGTTGAGACTGGTCCTCGGACGTCGCTCCTACGGAGCCACCTCGAGGCAAACACTGCTCCTGAAAATGCCATTCTTGACACAGAGGACGACGCAGGGCCCGCGGGCACGCTGCCCCATCGATCGGGGGGTGCCGAGGGAAAGCTGTTCGACAATGACCTTCCTGGGGTAACATCGCCGTCTGGGTCGGCAAGGACCAACTCTGTATTTGAGGTGCCGCCTCATCTCTCGGGGCAGGTGCCATTCGTGGGCAGTTACTCGTCGTATGTGACGTATGGCACCGTTGACTCCGAGATAAGTCGGCCGTCCATGGCCGAAGCTGGAGAGCTTTGGCGGCAACAACAAGAAGCAGGTGTTGAAGTGCCGAATGGCGAACACCCGCGCATTATGGTCAAGGAGGTGGAACAGGACGGCAAGTTTGTTCTCGCAGTTGCTGGCCAGTCTACACTGCCGCAGACAGTCGTTAACTCTACCAAGTGAGTTACTCCGAAGTGGTTATTCTCAAAAACATGCTGACTAATAACACTATCAGTGTTTTGATTGGTGTCGGCCTACTCAGTCTGCCCATTGGCATGAGATATGCTGGTTGGCTTGTCGGCATGGTCGCGCTTTTCTGTTGCGCCGCTGTGACAAGTTGGACGGCGCGACTGCTCAGCAAGTGCATGGATCTGGACCCTACCCTCATCACTTTCTCCGACGTTGCGTATATCTCGTTTGGGAAAAATGCTCGAGTAATCACAAGTATCGTCTTTACGCTCGAACTTATTGCGGCCTGCGTCGCTCTCATAGTATTGTTTGCCGACTCCCTGTCGCTTTTGTTCCCGGGTATGCTCTCCGTTAACGGATGGAAAGTCATCTGCGCCGTAGTGTTAATACCCTTTCAATTTGCTCCTCTCCGGATCTTGAGTTACACCAGCTTTCTTGGCATCCTTAGCGTCCTTAGCAGTCAGTCACTTGGAATGGTTCTTGGCTACATCATGGGAGATCACTAACCGTGATAACAGTTGCCATTATTGTCATATTGGATGGGTTGATCAAGCCGCATGGGCCTGGCTCGCTCATCGAGCCGGCAGCTACATATCTATTCCCAGAAAACTGGCTAACGTTGCCACTATCGTTTGGCCTACTTATGTCTCCTTGGGGTGGGCACGGTGTTTTCCCAAACGTGAGTGGTCGCTCCGTCCTGACAAGCAAACGTAATATACTGACTGTAGCTAGATCTACCGTGATATGCGACACCCTCACCGATACAAGGAGGCTGTAACCATTACTTTTAGCTTCACCGTTGGTTTCCTCGCTGGATTATCTTGGAGCTGTGTAGACTGACCCTTAAATAGTACCTGCTAGACGTTACCATGGCCGTCGTCGGCCTCATCATGTTCGGAGACGGCGTGCGGGATGAGATCACTTCCAACATCCTTCGGACAACGGGCTACCCCGAAGTTCTGAATGTGTCCCTGGTCATCTTTATCGCCATCATCCCCTTAACTAAGATCCCCTTGAATGCCCAGCCTATCGTGACCACCATGGAGGTGTTGGCCGGCCTGCGTCAGCATGTTATGGCGGACAATTCTGCCTTGCTTGGTCGATCCAGCGCATTCAGGGGCGTTATGAAGATCGTCATCCGTATCATGACCTTGCTCATACTTTTGATCATTGCCATTCTGTTCCCGGATTTCGACAGCATCATGGCTTTCATGGGGAGCGCTCTGTGCTTTACTATTTGCGTGACGTAAGGTTTCCCCATGCAACTATCTTACCAGTCTTCGAGGAATCAGTGGTTGACTTCGGTTTACAGATTACCATTGGCGTTCTACCTGAAGCTTTTCGGGCACGAGATCATGGCCAAGGAACGTATATTAGCATGGTTCGTGATGACTACGTCGTTCGTGCTCTCGGTCATCGGTACGGTCTGGGCATTCCTCCCCAAGAGCCTCATCGGCATCACCACATAGGACGTGTGCCAGGAGCTGCTAGGTTCATGGTGATATCGATCTGATGGCGCACCCGGTCTGGGAAGCGAGGGAGGGAGGCGAATTTTCTGAATAATGATCCATGCATACACGGAATCGTTCCTAAACTATGATGATATGAGGCGAGACATCTTCTATTGCATCATTCATAGCATATCACTCGCGGGATTCTGCACATTGGTCAAGTTTGATGGAGTTGACGAATATGGAAAACGTGACCAGTTCACCTGCTTTGCTTTCTATCCTCTGTTCGTGTGTAGCTTGTTCTGTGATTATGTGATTCCATGAGAGGTATACGACCCTCGATCTGCACAGGAGTACCGGCGGGAAACAGTTCGCCTTGTGTTAGGAAGAGTGGACGTTTGGGCCGAAATTGTGCGCCACTCTATGGAATCCCCAGATTCCACATCTGTTGATTGAAGTATCCCTATTCATGAATAATTCATGTTGACTTTCTACCTACATCCTCGTCGACTTACCGAGGATCAAGAAATTATAGTATAGAGTAGGATGAGGATAGAAGCGAACTGGAACACCGCTGTTGTAGAGACAAATTCGAAAGGAGACAACTCACCGCTATGCACTGCAAACAGTACGCGGGGTATGTTCCCAGAAAGCACGTTTCGACATTGGTAAACTGCGAAGGTGCAGTCAGAATGAATGGCAAATGGTGGGGGTGACAAGACAGAACATGCAAGCGGGTTGCAGGCTTGTCTTAGGCTTTTCCACCAGACCTCCAGGGAAATAGAAGAGTAGAATAGGTCCATTCTGATGTCACAATAGGGAAGACTATAGTTACCCAGTACTGATGCGCTATTCTGGCTTCACTGGCTACGGATTGCTGACATAACTCTCGAAAACAGTCAGGGGTTGCCATTCAAAGAAGTCGACTGACCTACCTCCAGCATATTGGAGCTTACCGCTCTGGACTCGGCTTGATTAGAACCGAATAAAGTAGGTCGAATTGACGACGAGGGCATTTTCGAATGATATGGTGTTAAACTAGAGGAGACTGCCTGCTACGCTATTAATGCTATGTACGCGAACATTATCAAGAGAGCCTGACCGTTTCTCCCCTTAGGCGGCTCAAGTACCGGATAACCAACTTCGTGGTATTGGAGACAGCGAGATAGCCAGCCGGCTCCCAGTCGAGTTCGACGGAACACGACTATTGCGAGCACCGAGGTGCCACTTCACGGAGTTGGCAGAAGCCGTTGGAAGTCCGGGCTAAGAGCTGTAATGCCGTGGGTGCGAAGGGAATACTTCACAGTATGAAGTATCAGTTACATAACCCACAGCTACATCACACGTCCTATCAGCGACTCATCCTATCCGCGAGTTATGGCCTCGAGGCTCAAAAATGGATCCAGCACGTCTTGCGAGCAGGAACCTGCGACCTCGGGGATCATACACCCAGTTAAAGCCAGGCTTTCCTCATGGAGCATGTATGTGGATATGTATATTCGTAAACGTCGATGTGACCAAGTGAAATAGAGCTAGCCATTATGACAACCTTGGCGAATTAAACCAAGGCTAAATCAGGTCACACCATCCCAGACCAATGAGACAATTAACCGTTGCCCAGCTCTTACTCCGTCCGTTGCAGCCTGCGGAAAATGGATACTCGTACATGCAAGTACAACATCGCCCCACGTCGTATGATGCGCAACTCACACACTTGATACACCAAAGCTGTATACTGTGTATAGCCGTCGGGGTGTTCCGAGACAGACAGTCTACCGGGAGCGTCGCGCAAAGTACATACACCTCCATAATTGTCTACTCCATTCTCGCCATTCCGACGCAATACGTCGCGAATCGCGGCGGGAGAGAATGTTGGGTAGTTCCCACATCTACAGTTCCATGACTCGAACCCGTGGGGAAGAACGCTTGAAGTCGCTTCCCACCAAATACATACCTGTCACTGTGGCACGTGCATGCCTCTGACTGCACAAACGCGGACTAGCACTACTAATATGGATTCAACATCGTGATCGACAAACTAAAAGGACAGCAAGCAACACATGGATAATGCCTGTTTACATGTTTGAATTCCGAAGGTTTATGAAACCCTCTCCCCTCCCAAATTGTAGTTACCCGACCCTCTGAGGACCTAGGCAGCTAGCTATACTGCGGTATATGCGTCCCTCACGTGTCTATCGGACGACCCGGATAGTATGGGGTCGACACCAGCCACTCAAGGGACGCGGAGTTTATTCCCACGCAGTACTCCTCCATGCGGTAGTTAATTGGCCCCCAAGGTTACCATCATGGCATTCAACACCGTGATTAACACCACCCCATCTGCATCCCCAGCTCCATCTTCAAGCCCCGTCGTATGTATGTAGTTACGAAACATCCGTCACGCGACCCCTCACCCACCCCACAAACGTGTACCCCGTTCGACAAGTGGCTGAACCACCGAGCCATCAAGAAACCCGGACTCAAGAAAGCGGCATACGCGTCCCCTACTATTACCTTACTCTACCCCCATCGGCCACTGCCGGCAGATCAGGATCTAGACCCAGCAGACCCAGCAGGATGTGTGCCACAAAACCGATATTAGGCCACAGCACACTACCCACACATGCATGCGTAGTACCGCGTACTTCTTTCTATGCGTATTACCTATGTTAGCTTTGTCCCACCCTTCTAATGCTCGTTCGATTCTTCCCGATTTCCAGACCGTAGTGCTGTTGAGTTGAGAACGCCCTGGCGCTCCGGGACTTCCCTAGGTTAGAACGGGCTCGGAGCGCTACCTCGGGCATCTCCTATGGACCCCCCCTTGTATGCAACACGAGTCAGGAAGGCTATGACGTAGTTATCGTCATTCGAAATGCGCAATGTGGAGGTCACTGGTCGACTGCGGATATTGTAGGCGGTAGATGTGTTAGTCGACAAACCGTGCAGTATTGGAGAGGTAGAAGTTCCAGTTGTTCTATGGGCACGTCCAAAGGTTGATACAATCACATAGTAGAAGACATCTAAGTTTGAGTAGGTAACTTCTGGTATTCATCATTGTGATGTGTGGAGATATTAATACACAGAGAGCGAGCTGAAAGCAGATCAAATCCATCGGGTATGCTGGGTTGCCAATAGCCATGTAAAAACTTCCACCAAGAAACCGGCCCTCCATGGTTCCCAATCCTCAATTCCCAAACTCTTCCATCAGAAACAAAAATGGCTGAAATGAAGGGTGGCAAACCCAAATGATGATGCATACCCATAAGTAATGGAAAGATGTGCCCAACTACAAGAGGCAACTAGTCTAGGCTGCTCAATTTAATGAGCCGCCTGCCAATTGCCAACCCACTCAACGTCGCCGAAATCGTGACGCTTCTCCTTGCGCCAGTTCCAATCACGGCCCTTTGTCCACGGGCAATCGCCCACCGTGGTACGTTCCTTGTTCAAGTTCCAATTCCACTTGTTATGATTGTGGTTATGCGTGGCGTGGTCCATAATCCCTATCCCAGTTGCTGGGGCAGCTGCAAATCCAAGTCCGAACTGTCGTCGGAACTTGGAGTTATCCGGCGATCTCTCTGTCTCTGAAGATCCCGCAACGGCTCGGCGCCGTTCTCCGAGCGCGGCCCATTTATCAACGGCGTTGTGCTTAGAAGCTGGAGAGTATCGAGAAGAAAACTGGTCGGTCTGCTTCACTGGCGTTGGCTCATGTTGAAAGAAGAACCCATCCGCGACGAGATCTCCGTCGATGTCGTTGAAGGTATCACGCACGGGTGAAGCTGCTGACTTCTGATGACCAAGAGTTGGGGCCTGGGCCACGGGTACCGAATTCTGCAGCGTCGGCGTGGCTTCTCTCTTGCTATCCTGACTCCAAGATCTCGCATTGAGCTCCTTCAGAGCTTGAATTTGACGATCAAGCTCTGCTTCATCTTCCTCGTCCTCTTCCCACATGTCGCTCCAGCTCTTGGACACAGCTTCCTTCGGACGACCAAACACCACAGACATAGCGCTGAGGTTAGGCTTGGTCCGCGACATGGTAATGGGCAGAGAACCGGCCATAGGCGACACCCTAGGAGCTGTTCGCATGGGCATGTTCATGTGCCGACCGGCTGTGAGCGAGTTGATGGACGCTCCAAGGCTGGATGTCAGAACAGATGAAATTGATGGTGTCTGTGCTGAAGACATCCAGTCCACGGTTCCCTCGGACTTGGGGAATAGGTCCTCGGTGTAGCTCTCGTCGTCCGGAATAGCGCTGAGTTGCCGAATTGGACGAGGTGAGGTGGCGTGCAAGGCCTTGGCCCAGGGGAAGGAACCCTGCTCCAATTGGGGGCTTTGGATGGATGGTGTGCGGAGAGGCTCGCGGTTTGCCGTGGCAATGGAAGGACGATCGCCGCAGCAGAAGTCATCGTCTTCTTCCTCAAGCGTGGTGAAGCTGACGACACGTCGGAGCGCGTTCTTGACACCGACGAGAGATCGTTTGGTAGGATCCAGATTCATGCACTCGACGATGACTTCGTATGTGTCTTGTGACATGGTCGGAAAGACGTCAAAAAGAGACTGCTTGTCCCGGGAGAAATCAAGGAACAAGGGGTCGGCCTCTGTGGGAGTGGTAAAAGGGTTCCTCGAAAACAGGATGTTCAACAGGCAAATGCCGATGGCCCAGATATCAGCCTGAATTGGCGAATAGCCAGCGCCAGCTGAATCGTATTGCTCTGGAGCCATGTAGCGGTCGCTTCCGACAGTTGACTCATACGACCACTTGTCTGTTGTTGCCAGACCAAAGTCACCCAATTTCATGGAACCGTTCTCGGTCAAAAAGATGTTCTCGGGCTTGATGTCCCGATGGTAGATACCCTTGGAATGCATGTACGATACGGCATCCACCAACTCTAGCATGAAACGGCGAACGTGCTCCGTCTCCAACGGCCCGTAACCAGTGCGGATCGCTTCATAGAGGTCGCCGCGAGAGCAGAATTCCAGGGCCAGATAGACGTGAGCGTCCGTCTCGAATGTATCGATGAGGCTGACAATGTTGGGGTGAGCACCCAGGACGCGATGGCAGAATAGTTCTTCCGACTGATCATCCACGGCAAAGTCGATTCCGAGATCGTTCGCAGCTGCCTTTTTGGTTAGGCATTTGACGGCGACAATGTCGTTGGTCTGAAGATCCCTCGCCATGAAGACCATTCCGAAAGATCCATGGTTGAGAGGCGAGATGGTTTGAAACCTCCCACCGAGCACAACGCCATCTTGAAAGTTGTTGCGCAAGCATTCCATGACGTCGTCCCGGTGAGACGGGGGAGCTGTGGTTTCGAGGGTGTCAACGGGTGTTGTCAACGGGTGGTGACCACGGGTAATGGTACAAAGTCGTTCGCAGAAGTTGTTTTCTCTTTCGTACTCGTCAGTGTCGATGAGGTATGCACGATCCAGAAAACGATGAAAAGCTTTGTATCCTTGCGTTCAGGGTTGAGGTCACCTGGTTCGATAGTTTTGACAGAGAAAGGTGTTGATGTAGCAAAACCGCCTTCTTCAAATCGACGCACAATGTTCAATGCGGGGGAATAGGCAGAGAAGATATACAGGTTTGCGCGATGTGTAGGAAAGAGAAATGCACATGTAACTCCAAATCGTTCACGGGTCAGAGGCTCATCGAGGGGTATTTTGGTTTTGCTTGCTAGCACAAATGAAAACGAGATAGATGTTCGTCAAAGGTTGGACCGACGTCCTGAAAGAATGAAAGGAAAGGTTCGTTACGAGGACATGGGTTAGTAATGGTATGAAAATCCGAAAGAGTGACGATTGTAATAAGGGTTGTTATTGTTGTTATGCTGGTGGTGGTTCTTGCGGTGGTGTTCCTTGTGGAAGGTGCGGAACCTGCCTTGAGATGATGATTGGGTGCGTGTTCGTGTTGTTGCGAGGAAGTCGAGTGCGAGTAATGAATCGGTCTGCCCAGGCAACGATGATGAACGCGGGAGAAGCCACGATATCAAGACACGAGAGCAATCCTAGTGCTAAAGCTGCATTCGAGCGGATTCGAGCGGGATGAGATTGTTGTCTGATTGGGCTTTCCTTGATTTGCAATGCAGGAAGGGCTCGGAATAGAAGACGGAAAAGGTCGTGGCGGTTGGACGACCAAGTTCAGGGAAGCTGGTCTGCCACGAAGATGATGTGGACCATCAATCAAGTAAGTGTTGATGCAAGGCTTGGTCGATAGCGTTGACAGCTTGACTCGGATGACTCCTTCGTTGAGTCCTCGTACGGTGGAGAAAAATTGATAGTAGCGGCCGTAGTTTACAAGGTCTTCCTGGGTTGGTAGCGGAGCCGGGCAATCAATGGAGTCAAGCGGATGCTACGTGATGAGCACGCTATCGGGGCTGTTCGAAATGATCGAGCACCGGGATTGGTAAGGGGTAAAAGCGTGGTGGCAGGTGATTCAGGGTCGATGATTAGTTTTAAAGAACTGTCTCGAACGAGGCAAAGAAAGGAGGCAATTTTTGCTTCTTCTTCTGCTTCTTGTTGTTGCCGTTGTTGTTGTGTTGTTGTTGATGTTGGTGCGTGTCGAGGGTCTGGATGGTCTGGGCGGGTTGGTAGGTTGGTAAAAAACAGCGTTGAGAAGGTGCAACTGTCGCTCTTTGTGCGGAAGGAGAAGGTTGAGTTAATTAATTAGGTACAGTATGAATTGGAAGACAAGTCTCCTTTCTCTCGGTTTGTTTGTTGACCTTGCGTAAGCACGATGAATGAGTATGAGCTGGCTTGCGTGCATGAGAGAAAGGAACAGAGAGCGACAGGACGAAGATAAAAGGTAAGGTTGAATGGAGGTCGGTCTGGAAGAAGCGGTAGAGATGGGTGAAGGATGCAGAAAGAGTCGACGAGATAGGATGGCCGTGGGGACATGAATGCTCGAATTGGTGTGGTGGGACCCGTGGGCCGACAATGGAGCGACTTGTCGAATGGCCAGATGAGAAGCTGGGGTCGAGTGACACAGCGACCGGGGTTTGTCAACAAACAAGCCTGAACAAGCGCCAGTATCTACGACGCTACCAAGTACAAAGGTACGAAATAGCTGCAGGTGTGGGCTAGGCCTAGACGACGGACTGGGTAGTACCCTCAAGTACTTAGCCAGCAGGCACGAGACTGCGGACTGGCAGACTTTCAGTGTGTTTCTCTTCGTTTTTACAGTTTTGGACACTGTAGGCATGATTCCAAGAATGGCAATGACGAATGAATTGCATACAGTTGTTCCAGGATGGTGTGTCTTACAATAGGAGAGTACTTAGTGGATGCCCGCCGACCCGTCAATAAGTCGGTGGATTACGTCAATAGGCCAAGTACCGCCATAGCCACTTCATAGTCCAGCTTGGTGAGACCAGGCTTAGCTCTCGACCTGCCACAGTGCCATTGTCCACTGGGCATGTTGGCAAGAATAGAAGCCTACTGTACGCAACCAAGACAATTCAGGCAGGTTAGCTGGCCGTGGCTAGCAGCTTTTTATCGAGGGACCTGATTGCGAGCTTCTACTCTGCCTTATGCTTCACTAGCAAAAACACTGGGGTTTTCTATCCAGCGGACCTACTGGAAGCTTATCGAATAATCGGAAGCCGCGGCTGCGTACTAGTCCTCATACCGTTAGCACCTTGGGGGCTGCTCTGAGGAATGCAACTCGAGCACCGTGTACAATAGACTTGCTGCAAGCAGGCCCACCGGCCGCGCATCGCCACACCGCTCAGTACATAACCGGCCGGTATTTGAATAGCATAGTCCCACGGGAACCGGATGGTGGGAGACTGGCTCTGCATGTATCCTTCCTTGCATCTTGTACGAACTGGGCACTGGTCGCTCTATCGTGGACAAGTATTGCCTACACTGTATGCAGGCCTACTAACGACACACAGAGAACATCGACACGTCGCAGCTTCATTGCGCGCAGCGCTGCTCCCGCCGCCGTTGGAATTGCTTGGGAGCCAATCAGCCATGTCTCGAGGTTTCTAGCATCTTCTGTTTCACTTGAAGCTTTCCGACTAGCCCATTGGCGGATGGCCATATGCACTCCTTACTTGCTGCATCTCGTAGCCTCGTTTTCGCTTTGCTTGCTTTGCGTATTGTGCTTGTTCTGGCTCTGTTTTGTGCCTATTGACCGCTTGTATTTAATTTTATTTCCTGCAGCCAGCAGCAGCAGGCGCCTGGTAAAAAAAGACCGGAGGACGATGAAAATGGCAACCTGAAGCCGTCGGAGAGTTGGAGAACGCTTGGGCATTGGGCAATATTGAAGAGCCCGCCCCGAAAGCTATCGTGTCCCTTTCATCAACTTGGGTCATTTTAACTTCGAACGGCCGCGGCCTGGCTGATGGACACCGAAATTCAGAACACGACAGGAGACCATCGTCGATGACATGAAATTGAAATGGAAATGACGATGGAAAATTGTCGGTCAGTTCATCAGCCGAGCTAGCCGAGACTTTGTCATCGTGAATCAAACCAGCGTTGTTATCTTGTTGCAAGGTGTCATCGAGCAGCTCCGGATTAAGACAGCGAGCATTCTCGTATATGATCAATTGATAGAGCATGATGCCATAGCTAGCTCACCCGTCTCAAATTGACCTTCCTCAGGGTGACGGCCTCAGAGGGACGGCAGATGCTATTGACATTTGGGGCTCAGTAAGTCAGCCTTCTGAGCCTACTAACCTGCTTTAGCCTGCCGCTTCAGACACAGTGACTGCAATGATTGCCGGCGATGGTGTCGTGTGACCCCAATGCGGTAACGTTTGAGCATCGTCCGATGATTTAGGTCTATGTGGCGAACCTCGTTCCAAATGTTAGCATCGCTGCTCTTTGGCTCGTTTATCATTCCAAGATATCCCACGCGCGTTCGACCAGTTCCATGGCTGGGTTCCCCCAGTTTTCCTCTATTTTCCTAGTTCTACATCACTTTTGTTCATGAATCAGGGACCGATTTAAGGAACTGGTGGGTTATTGGTGGATGCCTCTTTCAAGCGACAGACAGCTTGGCAGCCATTGACATATTGGCCGATCTCGTGCATGGACTTCGAAACACGGTCCCTCTGAGCCCGATAGTCGACTTTATTAGAAACCCCCGCCAACCCACCACCGTCATCATAGGCTGACCCCGGCTGAGAGATAATTTCGAAGATTGACTTGAAACGACCTGTCGATACTGCCTGGCCCTGTAGCATTGTAATGATAACTTAAGAGAAATCGTGGTATTTTGGCGGTGAGAACGATGGCGGCATCGCAGTTGGCAGTTAAACTCCGAAACATCCAGACGCACGCCTGCGACGAATCGGGATTTGAGTTATGTTTTAACCCTCGTTCATGCCAGCGTGCCGTTGTACAACAGCACTTACTGATGGTCCTTATCGAAGTCGCGCCAGAACCAGCCTTTCTTTCCAATGCGCGTCCGTAGAGTTTCTGTTTGGTCTGTTGCATGCTAGCGGTCTACCTAGGATGGCACCAGCTCCAAACTCGTGCAGTTCCTACGACGGACTATCCTGCCGCTGTCGTTCTTGGCTGTGCAAAACCAACTTTAGGGCAACGGGTAACCCGTCAATGTGATTGGTGACAATCACCACCAAGTTGGGTACTCTGGGTGTGAAGTCGTTGGGCGTAGCTGAAGTCGGCCCCGAATCCAATGCTGCAACAACCCAAACAACCAAGCAAGGGCGCTCGCTCTTGTGAAGTTCGGCAAATTCAAAATCTTGGGTTGCATGCAGCCAACTCCTGTCCAGTGCGTATACTATAGTAAGTAACCTTGGAAATATTGAAAGAGTTCGGGTTTGTAATCTGAGTTTCTTGACGACGCCTCTTTTTCGCTTACAGGTTGGCAGTTGAGTTGACAACCAAAAGGTTGGAGAAGCAACCGTGGAAGCGCAACTTTGGACCCCAACCCCAGCCCGTCGGCATCGCCTGCAGCAGCCGTGGTGGCTACCAGACGTCCTCTTGGTGCCACTCGGGCTTCCTTGCCCCCCATTCTGGAATATCGCCATATTCCCTAATCCACATCTGCTTCTTCTTTTTCTCCATCGCCCCAACGTGTCAAAAAAGCCGATGCAGATGGATATTGGCATTCTTCCGTCAAGTGGTATCAAGTGGATCCCAAACATCAACTCGATATCAACACCACTTGATAATCTTTATCCGCTGTGTGTCCCCCGGCAGCCCTGCATGTCTTCTTACTGCCTTGGGTTGGCTACATGAACTCCGCCAAAGAAAACCATAAACCCAGGAGCTCTGTACGTACCGCTGCAGCCTGGGCACCGTGATGAGATTTGGGCGATACTATCGGTGCAATACGGCAGCTTACCCTATACTTGGTCTGTCGACGTTTAACGTTTGCAGACTACTCTCCATCTTTTGAGCCTTGACCGCCTTCTTACCCCGACGCACACCTGCCACACCTAACCCACCCCCGACGACACATTGACATCTTCGATCTGATTCGGTATCACGTCCGATGCAGCGACGCTCCAACCCAGAAGCCAATAAAAGTTTTCCTTCCACCTGCCAGACATCCTTCCAGATCAGAGTTTTTGCGTCTGGCACGAAATAGTACGGTCTTCAGCCTTGCATCGTTGGGACGTCGTCACCGCTCACTTTGCGGCACGAAAGCTCGCATCGTTCCTGAAAACCTGCCATCCCAAAATCTCGGTTTCCAAGAAAAGATTTTAAGCCGGACCAAAGACCCCACGCCAACGGACAGCTTCAGCCATACGCAAATGACAATGGCAGCCGCTATAGCAGCAGTCATCAAAGTCGTGTTGCTAGACATTGGTAAGGACCAGCCAGACCAGCAGGCAGCTCCCCAAAGCTCCATTCAAAGCCCCCCTACCTTTCTCCAATCTATCCACTATGACTTCCTTGTCGTTGGATGCAGCACTGCATTAGCCCCTGGACCAGCTGGCTAATTTACACGTTTTCCTCATTGCAGAGGGTACAGTATGCCCAATCTCTTTCGTGAAGGATGTTCTGGTAAGACACTCTTCTCGCATGAAAATCTCCGCTTTTGAAAAGTATATATGTCGAGAATCCACAGGAGCTACCATCAGGTTGCGTGAGACTGCGATATGAAATGAGCATGGATCGATTTTGCTTGCAGATGGGCAAGTGCCGTCTGTTATGTGTCACTCTGCAACTCACAGCAGCCTTTGGGAACTTCTGTCTTGGCAATGGGTACTATCCGTCTTGTGATCCCAGAAACACCCTGGCCTTCTGCTGTGAGTTGGCAAAAGACCATTTGTTTGCAAGTTGCAAATAACTCCGGCTCCGTACTCGTGTAGACTGGAAGTGGCAAATATATGAATTTCCGACCAGTGGGACATGATGCCTTACTGCCTAAGCGGTCTCGTCATCATCGTTGACAATCATTTCATGAACTCGCACCAGAAGTCATCGCCTCGTGTCTGCCCAGCAGTTCGGTTGGCACCAGGCATGATCAATTGGGCATCTGGCAAACTGGCAACTAATGTCTTGACTTTAGTTTCCATATGCTCTGAGGGTACTTCCGGAGACAGTCGAGGCACAATGGGATAGCCCGGACTTCAAGAAATACCGGGACGCATTTCCACCAGAGTACGCGTCATCTCAGGAAGCTTTCCAGGCGCACGTTATAGACCTAATCGCCCGAGATGTCAAGATATCCTACCTGAAGAGCATGCAAGGTTATTTATGGGAGGAAGGTTACAAGTCCGGGGATCTAAAGGCCCCGCTGTTTTCGGACGTACCGCCGAAGCTCGCAAGATGGCACGGACAGGGACTCAAGATCATGATCTACTCGTCGGGCTCTGTTCCGGCGCAGAAGCTGCTCTTCAAGCATACAAACGCGGAACCGTCTGATCTCACATTCCTGATCTCTGATTGGTTCGACACGGTGAGTGCTGGGTTGAAGTCTGAGACAGCGAGCTACAAGACCATCCTCAGCAAGCACCCGGAGTACCTCCCGAGCCAGTGGCTGTTCCTAAGCGACAACATCAAGGAGGTGGATTCTGCCATCGCGGCCGGGATGCAGAGCATGGTTGTTCAGCGACCCGGCAACGCTGATCTGCCGGCCGAAGTCTCTGAACGGCTGCAAGTCGTGGAGACGTTTGACGTCTTCGACGAGGAGTTCAAGATCCAGCAATCGCAGCGGCAGACGCTGGGCAAGAGGGAGCGAGGTCAGGATCAAGTTGGGGAGAAGGACAAGCAGGGGGGTGCTGAGACTCTTGCTGCCGAAGACAGTCATGAGTCTAAGAAGCTGCGACTGGCGGCCGAGGCAGAGGCTCAAGAGTCGCGGCACGAGGCCGTGGAGACAACACAAGAGGGAGGAGATACGGCGACCGAGGAACCTACTGGTGACACCCTTGCGCAAGATAAGGACGAGTCGAACGTTCCGGCCGATGGAAAGGCTGGCTAATGGGAGGCACTATTGAAGTTCAGCAGGCTCAACGACTCACCTAACCTACACGTTACAACGAGGTTAAAGTACATATCTGCTGCAATGCAAATCAATTCCCGCAAGTTCAAGCTTAAGCTTCTTGGCGAATACGTTATATCGAAGCACCGCTCGAACTGGGAATGAATGTCAAATATTTAAGCAAGCTATCCAGTGTATAAGTGGGAGTGTTACTTGCTAAGCTGAGAGCTTCGACAAATTTAGAGCTCCCCTCAACTAGTCAAAGTACTTTCAGAGAATTAGTTGCAAGCCTCCCGCAGAACTCCAAGTAACTATCCGGCTGTTGCATTGCCTTACAAGGGATAGTGTGTGAAAGTAGGCTAGCCATGCCAGGTGATGCAACATAGACAAATACAAATTTTAAGCCATCGAATCGCACGCTCTGTGTCCTCAACCTAACAACCACACTATTGGCATGCAGCACAGTGCTTATGCAAACTGCGTGATATGTGAACCTCGCGACTCCAGCCTGTCCCTTACATAGCACATTCAATATGGCTTGTCTCCGCGGCCCCAAACTTTCGATTAGTCCACAACAGGGACGGGAGTCGCCACTGCATTCCAAGACCATATGCAAGGCAAGCGAGTTACGTATGCTGGGTTACGTTGAGCGAGTTACCTGACTCGCAACCTGCATCTAAGCACATTTCCCACGGCTGATCATGATAAGACTATTTGTTGTTTCTTGATTTGAAACATCGTTATCATTTGGCCGATGGCCCTTGCGGGGTCTATCTAATAATCATCTCAGGAGCAAACCCTAATTCGCCTGGAGAAGCCGTCGCTGGTCTACACTACAGTGGCCGATATGGCGAGTCAAGAGTGCGTCAAATCGGCTGCTCGACAAACTAGGAACCTGACTACCAGCCTTGGTGGCTTGATCGATAGTGCCGGCATTAACACCGGGACATGACGGTGGCCCCGAGCGCATCGAGCTAATATTTGCTACGAATCACTTTGGTCCTTTCTTGCTCACTATCCTCCTGCCACTCTTGGTCGAAAGCGGTAAGAGCCGCAAGCCGGGGGCAACGCGTTTCGTCAATGTCTCCAGTAGCGGGTATCGTATATCGCCAATGCGGTTCGGTGACTTTAGCTTAGGGGGAAAGCCAATACCTCCTGAGGAAGAACCCCTCCAGAACTTGCCGCTAACCCATACGAAGAGATCGATAGATGCCCGGGGACGATGGCGTATGGGATAGGCAAGAATGCCAACATCCTCTTTGCAGTTGTGCTGATGGATCGGTTGCGGTCGCACTGCATCGAGAACTGTACGGCGGATCCGGGAGGTAAGTCGCCATCGTCACATCTCAACCATTGGCCGGTTGACTTATACTCGTCCACTAGTCATCTCAACCGGCCTCATTAGCGATACAGGACCTGAGTTCCGCAAATCACTCAATGAAACCCTTCTGATGCATGGATTTTGCCTGACCCAGGTTGCGCAACATTATTGGTTGCCATGTTTAAACCCAGCCTAACTGGTATTATCTGTGATATGCGGGGTAGTCCAAGTGACTGACGATGTCGACAGAGTGCTAACTAGCCCTTCGAACTCGATGAGCATCAGGCAAATAGAAAGCTGGGGCACTATGGGAGTTGGGCGAAAAGCTAATTAGCACCGAGTTGGTGGGAGTCGACTGCAACCCTAAAGTGTCAATACCTGTTAGGAAGGTTACTTTCTGCGCGACTCCAATACCCACCATTTGTCATTGAGGTGTTATGAATCGGCTGGATGCGCTTTAACTATGAGGTCAGAACTTGTCGATCGCGGGCAGACATGGAGTAGCCTGCAGCTCAGCCCGACGAACCACGGAGCACAATCGAGAAGTTGTTCCTAGCTGTTCCGGTCCGGACTTGGGTTTTCGCAAAAGCCGTGTCGCATGCTGCAGTTTTCTTCGCCCAGAGATAGTATACCAACCGCTGCGTCATTTTGGATTTGACCTTGACATAGCCCAATGCGACCATAATTGCTTCCAATCGAGTCTCATCCATGTAACGTGAGTTGGTGACACAAGGCGCAGGTAATACCAAGAACAGACTGGGGAAAAACTCATTCAACTCGGGATTTGCGTGCCGGTTAGGCTCTTTGAGAAATTCGAGTGTCCTCTGTAACATTCGGCCGCGGACGTGAGCGTCTGGGACAAAGTTCAGTACAAGTGATAGACTAATGATGTCGATTCGTTCCGAGTCATCCTTTGGAAGTGGCCTCTCCATGAAGTCTTGCTGTAGGATACCTTCTCCTTGGCTGTTCAGATCGATCCGGTGCATGGCAAAGACGCCGCTCTTGGAACATTGATTTGTGGTGCTTAGAGCCCCAACCTCGAGCATTCTCAGTGGTCCATTTGGCAAATCCTTCAACATCGATTGAACTGGATTCAACCACTCCATCAGTACCCTGGAGCTGTCACCACCACGATCGATTCGTTGTCCCTGAAGACTGGCTTGCTGATACCTCTCAAGGCCACCTAGGGCAGAAATTTCCGCATTAATCGCCGCGACCTCGGCATGATTTCCCTTTGCCAGTGCCTGTGCTTTCCTCTTCCCCAGGATGTGATGAGAGTTGATCAACGCCTTGGTAGCTTTTCGTGAGATTGATTTTGGCCTTTGAAGCGTTGGTGGGCGTCCTGCTGCTAAATTCCGGCTGCGTTCCTTCTTCTTGATTCCCATCGTGGCTCCGGCAAAATTGTCTTCAAGTTCTTGTCATAGTTCCGGTTCAAAGTCTGCTTAGTTCCGATATTTGAAGATCAAGTTGCGGTTCTTGTGGTGTCCTTCGCTTGTTAGTGAGTGAAATTGATATTGCACTCGACTAATTCGGTGGCATCCCTGAAAGCCATAGCCATGCATATTATTACACCAAATAACCTAACCCTAGGCGAAAGTACCCACTTTTTGAGACGCTCCAGCCCACAAAACTTTTGCCAATTTTGAGCTGTATTTTCCGTTTCGATTTCTCTTCAGGCGCAAATTCGACAACCGACTATCGTTCAACCATCGACAAACGACCAGCCCGGACCAACAGTCGACACAATGGCTCCCCAAGAAGCGAAGAAAGGTACTTGAAACCCGACATCTAGTCTGCGACACCGCAACTGCGATATGCGCTCGTCGGTGAAGTTTCTGCTCCCATGAGCAGCCGTGGACAGAAGCATCAAGCTGCAGCAGATTTTGCGAGTTCTGTCACAAGAGCGATTGCTGATGCGTAATCTCAACAGGCGGTGCCTCCAAGGCACCTAAGGGCAACAAGAAGGCCAGCGCTGCCGCCAAGGCTGTTCTCAAGGGTGTAAGTTACCACGACCCAATCTCAATGTCATGCCCGTGAAATCACCGCTAAACATTTCATCACAGGGCCATGCCCAGAAGAAGCACAAGGTCAGACTGTCAACCACCTTCCATCGCCCCAAGACCCTCCAGCTCTCTCGCGCGCCGAAGTACCACCGCAAGTCCATCCCCCATGAGAACCGCATGGACGAGCACAAGATCATCGTCCACCCTCTCAACACTGAGAGCGCCATGAAGAAGATCGAAGAGAACAACACCCTTGTCTTCATTGTTGACGTCAAGTCCAACAAGGCTCAGATCAAGGCTGCATTGAAGAAGCTCTACGACATTGACACCGTCAAGATCAACACTCTGATCCGGTAAGTTCGATTTCACAATGTTGGGGAAAGCACTGTACTGACTAATGTATCCAGACCTGATGGTGCCAAGAAGGCTTACTGCCGTCTTACTGCCGATGTCGATGCTCTCGACATTGCCGCCACCAAGCTCGCGCTTGTGTAAATGCTAGATTGGTTCAGGTCTTAAAATATGGTTGCAGGGTCGCTCCAGTCGCGGCACGTTCCGGCCGGTTACGTCGGACAAATTTGCATTGGCACCGGCGTTCAGGAGGGATTGGCTTATGAGATCAATGAAGAAGAATTGTTTGCCGCCCTCTCATGACTGCAATTGATTGTTCTCAATCCGTATGCTTCTTAATTTGATTGTGTGAGCTTCACTGTGCTTTCGGGCATGAGATGGTAATTCCAAAGCTGGGTATTGGGCTTTCCATATTTGTCAACATCTATAGTCTACATCCGGTTGTACACCGCGCATCCTCCTGCTTCATCGTTCGTAGTAGTCGTACATTTCATTCTGTGGAGGGCATGGAGTCTCCGTAGCGGTCCCAGATTCCAAGTATTTCGTGGTCCTGTGTGGCTGTTTCGCCACTTCACCCCTGTCGCAGGTTCTGCAGGTGCTTCATCGTCAAATTGCTAACGTCCAAGAAGCGGTCCACACAGCTCACGATGCACCCATCTTCTGTCGTGTCCAGCTTGCCCTGCTTGATGGCGCCCGTCACGCACTTCTTCCAGCACATGTCGGTCAGAGAGTGGACGGCTGTAAGAAGGTAGTATTAGCTTCCTGTTGTATCTGAATATTCTAGGCTCCCTAGGATTCGACTCCGCTTACTGGACTGCACGCGCGCCTTCTGGTTCTCGTTATTCAGGAACTGGCGCAGATCCGCCTTGTCCTTGTCGTTGAGCTTGTCGAGATCGTAGTCGTTGAGGCTTACGGCGTCCATTTTGGATGGGCTGTGCGGCTGTTTGACGGGTTGAGGAGATTTTTTTCGGCACAGGAAGAATTGAGGTGTTCAGGTTGCTGTTGTGACTGCCTGTTTCGACGCTAGGGATCCAGTTGTTAATGACCCGTCTCGATGCGCAAAATTCAGGAAGCCAGGAGCTCCTTATCTTATCGCTGTACAGTGTGAGAGTGGCTCCAAGGACAAATCTTCGCACATACTCCCGTCAATGGCTTTACTCTGCAACAAGAACCTCTAAAAATTACCACCCCTCACCAGAGGCCAGTCCAACTTGCTCGAGGCTCTGATTCAAAAGTTTTACAATAGCCGAGACATGTTGTAGTGGGAATCCGATATTAACGAGTTCACAAAATGAGTAGACTTTCACTTATAACCGTCTACTAATCCTCCACACTTACATGCACGTATGCAAATGCGCCACCCTAGAATAGAGAGTTGAAGTCGTTGTATAATTAGAGAATATTGGGGGCAAGTGTGGCCTCGGGTATAGAGGGCTACAAGGCACCTAGGCATGGACTAGTGTGCTTAGGGACCCTCTGGGGCTGGCCCACGCATGTTCATAATACTCATACAGGCCCCAATACTCGGAATCCAACAACATAAGGGTATCATCATGGTGAAAAAATACCACAGTCTGGGGAAAGTCTATAATAGTCAACAGTGAGATCCTCCTGTGAAATTGCTACGTTGTTGAACCTACCCTTCTGATCATGAATATACCCAGCGCCAACACCGGCTTATATTTTGAACACGGACTTTGGACTTGTTTAAGTGTATGATCATTTAAATATTGATCTTATGGCTCCGGGATTCCTTGAAAATGATACCACATGCAATTTATTCCACATCCTAGTTGTGGAAAAGTGATACGTGACCCCATGGGGGTTACCCTATAGCTATAGATAAGATAGATAAGAGCTATAAAAAAGCTCTGCCAGGCCAGAATAGCTGACATGGCATCCTTTCCCAATACAACATTCACACCCCATATGCACACGCATCAAAAAGGATATTCTCGAAGGTACTTGTTCCTGTGAGCCTTGAGCGTTATTCAGGAGAAACAGAGAAACAAGGGTGAGATCAAGTAAAATGTCTGGATTTTCGAGCGTAGTGATTCACCTAGGAAGTAGTTATCCCTCCGTGTGAGCCACTTGTTTGGTTACCCGCTTGCTACCGATATAACGCGGTTACGTACGTTGAACTAATGTAATCGGACCGTGTTCTTAGCTGCAAGGCTTCGCATGTGAAGCAAGGCGTAATAGGTGATTATGGCTTTTAATTCGCGAGATCCCTTTTATTTTAACGGTAGGAAATGATTATTAGGAGTCATAAAACAGATAATGATCTGATTTTGGAAGAAAGGTTCTGGGTTTCGTGAAGTCAAGGTTCTCCTGAAAAGTAAAGTAGTTTTCCCAAGCCAGCAATATGGAAACCAGGCAAGTATCAGACATGTTTTGAGTTGGTGTGGTTGTTTTCTATGGTTCATAATACCTGCCTGTTTATTGTATCTGTCATACTATTTATTGATGGGCCTTTTTTTCTGTTAATTGTGTGTGCGATAATCACGACTTGGATGGGCTGGAGGCCGGATCATTATCAAGTTCCTAAGGTTGTGGACAATGATGTGTGACTGTATCAACATAGAGAAGTCAGACTGGGGAGTTTTTCATAAAACTTCATCTACGCACGATACACGAGATGCCTACAACATCTCCTGGTCCCTACAGTTCCTGATACACCCGACATAAGCCAGAAATATTGACATACCTTCATACGAAGTGGCTTAATCAATATCCCTTTATGTCGGGTATGGGATATATACTCCACTTTCATAACCCATATCATCCAATCAAACCGATTAATTCGGTTTACCTGGATGCAATGCTCGGTTAGCTCAGCTGGTTAGAGCGTCGTACTAATACCTCTCCCCGGAGACATATATAGTAATGCGAAGGTCATGAGTTCAATCCTCATACTGAGCAGTTAACCATGAAGTTATGGAGTTCGATCATTTTTTGCCTTTTTTTCCGGACGACACCCTATGAATTCCACCCGTATCAGGTTTTACATGAGCTGTTCGTACTTGAATTTCTACTTCGGCAATATCGGTTTGATGAGATTCGCCCACTGTCTCCATGTGTCATTTAGTTTTACTTCTATATTCCAAAGATGGTCATGTTTATATACCCTACATGTACTTGTACGGGTTCATGATCCCATTCTGTGCATGCAAGTTAGCAAAAATATTCAAACAGTTAGCAAGGAGTACAGACGTAGAACTTACCGGATCATACAGATTCTTGATCTGCTTCATTAACCCGATCATAGTCTCACTCCTACTATACCCGATATAGTTTTTCTTCGCGAGCCCCAACCCATGCTCAGCACTTATACTGCCCTGTACCTTGGCGATCCACTCGTACACGAAAGGCTCGAGAACTTCCTCGACTCGCTTGTCATAACGGCGCACCGCGACATTGAGGTGAAGGTTCGAATCTCCCATATGACCGTATCCAACAACATCCAGAACCGGGAATTCGTCGGTGTCGCCCTTGAGCCCCGCCGCTTCGATCTTCTCCCTCGTATCATCGACCAGCCTGTACAGGTCCTTCAGAGGTATTGAGACATCATATTTATAGACCCCTCCCCAGTGTGCCGTGGCTTCGGAAATACCCTCCCGTTGGCTCCATAATGACTTGATCTGGGTCTGATCTTGAGCCACCACACCATCCGAGACGATTTCCCTGGACATGACGTCTTCGAGGAACTTCTCCAGCTTCTCGTTGTCGTGATCCGAGTTAGAGCCACTCGTCTCAATCAGGCAGTAGAACGGAGACTCAGTCTCCAAGGGCGGCTTGCTGCCCTGGGCATTATTGACCAGGTGCTGACTGCCCAAGTCCATCAACTCGAATGCGGACAAGATCTCGCCCAGCTGGGTCTTGGCTTCGCGGAACGTCCGCTGCATCTTCTCGTAAGACTCCACGGCCAAGAAGGCCACGTTGACGGCGCTCGATCGCTGCGGACAGATTATAGAAACCGCCGTGATCATGCCGATGGTTCCCTCGCCGCCGATGAAGAGCTGTTTCAGGTCGTACCCGGTGTTATTCTTCCTTAGCTTGCTCAGGTCATCCACAATCGTACCGTCGGGGAGAACTGCCTCGATTCCCAGAACGCTCCCGTGCAGACTTCCATACCGCAGCAAGCGCAGCCCACCGGCATTCGTGGCCACGTTCCCACCGATATGGCAAGACCCCTTCGCGCCAAGATCCAGAGGGAAAATATACCCCTTCTCGGCAAGGAACTGGTCGGCGACCTCCAAGACCACACCAGCATCCACGACTAAGATCCCGCTAACTTCGTCAAATGACTGGATCTTATTCATACGGCTGGTATTGATGACAATCTCGTCAAAAACAGGCACCGAACCGCCCACAAGCCCCGTATTCCCGCCCTGAGGCACCACAGCGAGCATGTTGTCATTGCAGTACTTGAGCACCTTGCTCACTTCCTCCGTCGAACCGGGCTTCAGCACCAGCTTGCAGTGGCCCCGGTACTTGCGCATCCAGTCCCCGTTGTAGGGCTCCATATCGTCGGTAGCCAGCTCGGTGGTAACCCCGTCGATGACGGCGGATCCTTTGCCCAGGAGCAACTGGAAGTAGGATACATGGTCCTTGGTGATCTGGGCGAAGCGGGGGTTGCGTTGGATTTCGGGGTAGCTATCGGTGGTGAATTTGGCGAGCGTCGGCGTCGCGGCGCGGAAGGATCGTGGAGAAGAGGTTGAGAGGTACCGGAGGGCGTTGGCGGATGATGCGTGAGTGGTGTTGAAGGATTTCAGTAAGCCGAGTGCGCGGGCGCGGCGGAGAACGGGGGTGAGGCCCGATCTACAAGCCATGTTGGAGGCTTGGGGAGGGATTTGGTCGCCTTGGACACCGAGGGATTCTGTGTAGAAAGCGTACTTTCATCAATGTGACCCATCGGCATCAAATTCTCAAGATGCCGCGATGCCAGGAGCGCCGGCCCGGTGCAACCCGAGCTTGTATGTATGTGCACGGGCCCGATCCCGAACCTTTGGCCTTGATGCTTACTGCAGATCATTTCAACGTCTTTGCTGGGTTGATGGCTTCCATTCATTCTGGGGCTGCCAAGTGATGTATTGCCCACTATTTCACCCGCCTTAGAATTGCTACTATTATAATCAGTGCCGGAGCGAATCTGTACACTTACTAGGCATTATGCAGTCTTCGGAGCTAAGAATTCACCTGATATTATCTAGGGACTAAATATGTCAAAGTTTATGTGCCTTGCATATAAATTAACTTGTTGGCTGTATGGAGTTGGAACGCCGATTGGATCAGTCGGGATGGTATGAATCGTTGCGAGCAGTTGAATCATGCCCCCCAAATCTCGGCAGACCATGTGTGCGAGGCCGGCCAGTTGACCATAGCACTAGCCTGAATGGTGTACCTCGGTCATTACCAAGCGGACTGCCCCAAAAACGGTACGGTGTGGCTTCAGATTTTCCTAGCTGCCGCCTAGATCCAGGTTTGAGAGGTGGCACCTCGACTTACAGTAGAAATCACGCCCATTGGCAGCAGCTGCGTTGATATGAATAGGGATTACGGTGCAGCGAAACATCGACCGCGCCTCAACCAAGACATGTCTACTCTGATGAGAAGATAGTATTGGGACTGAAGTTCAGCAGGCTTTGTTTCCAAATACTAGGAAACCTCACAAGGTTTGACGGAGCTGAGATGTCAAGTCAAGACACATACACGCAAGGGACACGACATCCGATCATATCTGACAGGGTTTCTACCACTTTTCGAACGTGTTTGGTTGCTGGCGACGTCAACTCCGGATGCTCTTGTCAAGTTGACGCACAGCTTGTCAGAGCTGACCCTGGACAATTCATGCGCGATGTAGAGGGAGATCGACTTCCTCGGAGCAGCACGAATAGGCCAACCAATATGTGGGAACCAGCTCTCCGGTTTCTGATTTTCTCGCCGGAGCTGTCAACAAATGCTAGCTCTTGGGGAACATGACTCCGCCGTGTAACATTGAAAAAACGGTTTCAAGACGGACTACTCTGTATCTTGTTCATTTGTAAGGATGAGGAAGGTAATGGACCCTTGAGATCGACGATGACATCTCCATACTGGATAGCAAGGGCCACCTGGTGATTCTATCGACGAGAATCCATGCACTGCCCATGGGCAAGCAGAAGCAGCTAATCAGAATGATGACGGCGACGGTCTGAATATTGTTCAACATGAACGACCCTTGCGCAGAGAGTTCCAACCCTCGGAGGATTGTATCGAGAGAGCGAATTGGAGGAAAGGTGATGTTTCAGATGCCCAAGTGCGGTGGTCAGTTTAGACGGATGGACAGCCGTCTGAAAGAATGCATTAAGGGGCGTAATACGCCGACGGTCAGTATTTGAGAACCGGTTGCTGCACTCTATTTAGTCTGATTCACGACAGCCAGTCAGTCAGTCAGTCAGTCGTGTCAGTCTCTCTTATCGAAAACCCATCGTCAACTCTGCAGAGCGAAAAGAGAAAAGAATCGAAGTTAATCTAGACGGCATCCCAATCCAGCACCCAGGGTCCAGAAAATCTGCCGGTCCGCCGCCCCGCAAACTACCCATAGCCCCGCTGGAAGTCGCCGTGGCGTTATCGATTGCTGGTAGCGATGAGCCTGGCCTATGTGTCCAATGGCGGGGAAAGAGACGCGCCGCTTCACAGTGTTATTCCTGGGCAAGAGGCTAGTGGGCAGCTGTCGCCTCGCCAACACCCGCAATTGGATGTCAACGCCGTCCTCACAGAAGCGTTCCCAAGCTGGCACGAAACTGCAACGCTTGATGACAGTCACGCAAAAGCTGAACAAGAAGCTACTGCAGACAACAATAACAAGTCATTAAACCGATCATCCGTATCTGCTGCATTGCCTACTTCCAGATCGAGGACCAGCACGACCGCAAAAGCTTCGCAATCCCAATCACGGCATAGCTACCCAAATTACTCGCCGAAGTCGAGGCGCACCACCCACACCACCCTAGTTCGGTCGCATCCGGAATTGCATGCAGCCCGCGTGCAGCGGTCGGCGACAATTTCCAGCGCCTCGCTCACAAAAAAGGACCCAAAGGAATCCAAGACAAAGAAACACCAACTACATTCGCTCAGTTCCTCCAACGGCCCGACCGACTCTGCTGCCGAGCAGCCCGGTTTGACCAAGATGGACAGTAAATGGATCACGGTCCAGCAAAAGACCTTTACCAAATGGTATGTCCATCTCCACTAAACCGAGCTCCGCCAATCCGAAGTTGGGCAGAAACGGAAGCAAAAAAGGGTATCACCGAGAGAGAGAGCGAAGACTGACTGCGTCGGAATGGTAGGCTAAATACTAAAATCGAGACACGGAACTTGGAGGTGAAAGACTTGGTCGTCGACTTAAGTGACGGTGTAAGTCGGGCCCCGCGTCGATCTGAATGAAACACACATGGACGAGGGTAAATACTGAACATGTACCACACAGGTCATCCTCATCCACCTCCTAGAATGCCTCTCCAACGAGCCCCTCGGTCGATATGCCGCCAAGCCCAAACTCCGGGTGCAAAGGTTCGAAAATGCAAACTTGTCCCTCGACTTCATCAAGTCGAGGGGCATCCAGATGACCAATATTGGCGCCGAAGATGTCGTCGACGGCAACCGCAAGATCATACTCGGCCTGATATGGACCCTCATTCTGAGGTTTACCATCAACGACATCAACGAGGAGGGCATGACGGCCAAGGAAGGTCTCCTGTTATGGTGTCAACGTAAGACAGCATGCTACGACGAGGTGGACGTGAGAGACTTCAGTGCAAGCTGGAACGATGGCCTGGCTTTCTGTGCCCTACTCGACATCCACCGGCCCGATCTGATCGACTACGATGCGTTGGACAAGGCAGACCACCGCGGCAACATGCAAATGGCTTTCGATATTGCTCATAAGGAGATTGGTATCCCCGCCCTTCTGGATGTCGAGGATGTGTGTGATGTTGCCAAGCCTGACGAGAGGAGTTTGATGACGTACATTGCCTACTGGTTCCACGCCTTCTCACAAATGGAAAAGGTCGAGAACGCAGGTCGTCGAGTCGAGAAGTTTGTCAACAACATGCAAGGCGCCTGGGAGATGCAGAGCAACTACGAGAGGAGGATGGCAGCCTTACTCCAGCAAATCAGAGAGCAAATGGAGAGCTGGCAGCATGCCACCTTCGAGGGAACCTACGTCGACGCGAAGAAGCAAGCCACCGAGTTTGCATCTCACAAAAGGGGCAAGAAGCGTGATTGGGTAGCTGAGAAGAGCGACTTGGCCACGTTATTAGGCAACATTAAGACCAAGATGGCTACGTATCGCTTAAGAGTGTATGAGCCTCCACCGGAGCTAGCGTTGGAGGTAATGGACCAGGAGTGGGCCAATCTGACCAAAGCTGAGATGATGCGTGGTCAACTAATCAACGAGACCATCAGAGAGCAAGTTTTCGATACTGCAATTCGATTCCACGGGACCATATCGCTAACACCCCACCAGTATCAAGAATGCTCTCCGCAAATCGTTTGCCGATAAAGCGAATGACTTCGCCATGGCGCTCAACACCATGCAGGTCGCCATATCCGGGCTCGACGGCGATGTGGAAGACCAACTCCTACACGTCCGCAGACTATCAGAGAACTTGCCGCCCCTCGATTCCTATCTAGACAAGATTGCAATCGTCGACGCCCAATGCGAGGAAGCCAACATTGAGGAAAACGACTTCACAACATACACGTACGACGAGCTCTCGTACGAGCTAGGCCTCGTGAAGTCGTCAGTCTCTAAGAAACTTTCCTTCCTCGAGAACCAGATGGTGGCCCGCAACATGACGAACCTGACACCTATCCAGCTCGAAGAGTTCGAGTCCGTGTTCCGCCACTTCGATCGCGACGACACCAACTCGCTCTCTGAGCTCGAGTTTAGCGCGGCCCTCGCCTCACTGGGCCTCGTATTCTCCGAGGACGAGATGCACGACTACTTCATGGACACGTCGCACGGGCGCGATCGCGTCACCTTCGAGCAGTTCATTCGTTTCATGGTCGACGTAACCGAGGATCAGAACACGGCCGAGCAGGTATTCCAGTCGTTCCGTGAGGTCGCTGACGGGAAACCCTACGTCACGGAGATGGACCTGAGGCACAGTCTGGTGCCCGACGAGGTTATTGAGAAGCTGTGTGAGCTCGTCCCCGAGCACACGGGGCCGGATATGGCGCAGGATCGCGGCGTGCCGCAGTATGATTATATTGCTTTTATGGAGAAGTTGATGAATGAGCAGGGCGGGGCGCTGGAGGATGTGACCAATGGGAGGAGTAGTCCGACGAAAAGGACGAATGGATCGCACTAGGCGTTGACTTCGAACCTACCTTTTGCCCTGAGGAGCAAGTATATGGCTCGCAAGTGTCATGCCGTGGAAAGAGAGAAAGCATATATAGCCAGCCAAGCAACTTTAGGGACAGGCACAACGCTGTAGACTGGTTACTACAGTACAGTTAGGGAAGGTATTTTTGACGGAAGTCACTTCACTCTTAGGGATAGCATCAATTGGGGGTTTTCAAGGGGCAGGGCGGGGCGGGCAGACCAACACAATTCCCTCTCGGTCGGGGTTCCTCTGTTTTGTATCTTTGTTTCAAGTCAAGTGCAGGACACGGCTATGGTGGTTGGTAGTGTGTCGGCCTGGCAAATAGAGGGACTTTATATATCCTGTGTAATTAGACTTCGAGATGAATTCATTACTGAGACTTCTTATAATTTGGACATGGGATAACGGAGGACGTTTGCGTGTGTTTATTTCGGATTGTCAAACGGCGGAAGATTGAAAACAGAAATCTGCACTCACATGAACCACATGCCGGGAGAATATAGTAGTACAGTTTCTAGTCCCGGGAAGGAAGAGTTTGGTTTATATCCAACGGCGACATCACACGTGGTATGTCATCCACACATAGCTGAAAGCGAAATAAGCTGTTGGAGATGGAGTGTCCTTTCCATCAGTTTGTTGCGAGTGGCTCTGGACTACCTTTTCTTTTTCTTGTCTTTGTAAAAAATAGTCGGCATAAAGCTTAAGAGAAGGTTGCTTCGGCCAATGGAAGGGATGCCACCAACTCTTACCATATACACATCCCGTGATGAAGCCCGCGAGCTACAATATTAGGACTTCAACCAGGCTATCTCTCCTTTGTTAGCTTTCGAATAAGCTACTGGCCGATAACCTCAATAGTTCGAATTTCCAGATAACTGCCGATGTCAAATGCTCATATTTCCTGCAGCGACCGGCCGTCCCTGGCCTGCTGTTTGGGCAAAGTGAACAGTGTTTCGAATGTTGATAGCTTCTGTCTGCCAAAGGGAGATTCCTACCGAAGACCTGCCTGACTGAGAAACCATACTTGACAACGGCGGAAACTACGTGAATAGTCATCGAGCATTTATAGGGCATACGTTACTCGTGCTCGGTCTCTCACATGGCTTAAAGAATATACCGGTCTACCATTGCCACATGTAAGCAAGATCTAGATATACTACCATCGTTCAAACTGTTCATTCGATTTACCTATATCCTAAGCTTTTCTAGTTTATCCTAACCTCAAGCAAACCGTCCCGACGCAGTGTCACGATCCTCAAACCAACACTCCCTTCCAATTAACTCCAACACCATGCAAATGCCTGAACCCCAAGTGCAAACCCCTATGCCCTTTCTATCCCAACCCAATGCAGTACAATTAGTCACCGGTGTATCTGTATCCGATGCGACAAAATCCTGCGCTACGACTCCTTAAAGGCACCCATGTCTTTCAGTGCCCCAGCAAGTCTTCGATAATCTCTCAGTAGTTCTAGTACCTCGCCTAATTTCAAGTCCGCAGGATTCTGGAGCTCCATGAATCTCTTCGAGGGGGGTTTGATCTGCGGGACGTCTTTCGGCGGTAGAGCTGTGGCAATGTCTGGGAAGGCCTGGTGAACGAATTAGCATGATACAGTAAGATGGGCTTCCATATTAGACTTACAGCTGCCAAATCACCCCCGTCAACCGGCTTGCTGGCGGTGTCCTTTGCGGCTGGTTGAGCAGGGGTTGGAGTCGTTCGACCAAAACCTCGCATCATGCTCATGGACGACAGCCGGTTGATGGGGTTCAAGGTGTTCCCAAGGTTCCGCATTTGATCAACAAGAGCGGGGTTAGACGAAGACGCTGCTGATGCCGTGGATACGGCGACGGCGGCTTTGTCCTTGTTATCCTCTGCAAACACGACCTTCTTGGACGAGCTTGCACTTCTAGCACTCCGCGTGCTGTCTGCGCTACGATCCCGGGGTAATTTCTTGCCACCGACCAGACTGAGGACTCTGTCGTCCTTGCGAAGAGTTGGACGTTCATTATCGTCGTTATTTTGAACAGAAACTGCGCTGTCCAAGACATCGTCATCGGGGGAAGGTGTTTCAATCAGCTTCCTGGCGTCATCCAGCGTGCGTGGCACAACCAATTCCTTCCCGTTGGCTGAGGAATCGCGCAGCTTTCCGAGTAGGAGCTTGTAGCTGTCCCCAAGACTGTTCCCAATATTTTGGATGTTTTTAAAGCTTTGGTCGGCAGTATTGAAGAACGAGTCGGTTGCGTTGCCGATTGCTTGCGACGGTGTCTGAATGAGGTCGCTCAGTTTGCGGCGTTGTGCTGCCGCTTTTGCGGCTGTGGACGATGTTGAGGGCTTGGACTCCGAAGCGGTCCCAACACCGATGACCGGAGAGCTTTGAGAAGCTGATGACAGACCAGGAGTGTAAGCTGGCGGGAACGTCTCGGTCTTCAAAGGCGTCTCAAAACCGCCGACCCCCTTCTCTGGTCCGGCTAGCGTCTCGTTTGACCGAAGACTTGCGAGATCTACTGTCTCCAGGAAAGTAATGGCAGCCTCCAAGTTGGTGAGACAGTAAGCGGTCTCGCCCTCCAACTTCTCTTCCCATCGGAACCGTTGAATGAACATCGAGTCGCTTATGACGTTGAGCTTCTCTGGTGGCATGGTGATCAAGGTGTAGATGAGCATCGGCATGATCTCGTCCGCGGAAGATGAGGGATGAAAGTGTGACAAAGTATCCACAATGCTCTTGTGAGCGGCTTTAAGTTGATTCAGCTTGCCAAGAGGATATCGCTTCTCGTGCATCATCATCAAGTCCTTTCGTGCCTGATCCAGGTACTGGGAGATTTCCTCTTGCTTCTTGGCAGCCCCCTCGACGTCGTCTTCAGCAACTTCGCCCAGGTCTACCCCTAGATCGGCGGGTCCAATACCAACCAGAGCAAGTGCCGCAGTCTTTGATCTCAGTTTGTCGTCTTGGGCCTCGTCCTGGGTGGTCCTGTGGCGATATATCCGATCATATATGCCCTCACATAGTCTCCTCTCGACTCCTTCTTCTAGCAGAACCCTCTTGTGCTCTAGCGCCTTTCTTGCTTTCTTCCTGTTGGCCAGTTCTTCGCTTGTGAGCATTTGCTGTTCGGCTTCTTGTGTAGGTGCTGGCTTTGTCTTCTCCTTGCTAAACGAGGCGGCTTTTGCTCTGAGCAGGCTTGCTGTGGACGCTCTCGCGGGGGCGGGAGGACAAGGGGAGCTGTCGCGACTTTGTCTACTGGCTAAACTCGCAATATGTGTTTGAATGTGCTGGGCTGTTATGACATAAAACTCTTGGAAACGTTTAGAAAGACTCTCGATATTCGGAGGAACAGGATGGACTTTCGCAGAGAGCGAGTCGATGAAACTACAGCTCACGGAGTCAGCGGCCGACTTCTGTCACCTGTCACGAGAGGATCCGTAACTTACTTGTCTGTCATACTGACGAGCTCTATGGGAATATCCTCCATGTCAACTGACGCGCGAGGGACCTCCACTGACTCCTCTGCCTCGGTAGCTTCGAAGGCATCTGGCTCATCTGTCTTTGCCGCAGTATGTTTCTGCGGCGATTTGTGCTGTGTCACCGTTACCTCGGGTGAAGTACCATTTTCGAATGTGTTGGCACGCTGGCTTCTAGACAACGGATCTATCATCTCCTGAGCATCGTGACGTGGGAAGGACCGTGTGGTGCGGAGCAACCCGGGACGGGGACGGGTTTCCGAACCGTGGGTTGGTGTTGAAGGCGCCATGAAGGCGGCTTTGATGCTGTAGACCATGATGGTTAGCTTTCCTGATAGACTTCACGGAACCAAGAAGTCTCGAGCTACAAGCGAAAGTCGAAATGTGTGATGGAGCGTTGAACGGATATGAAACTGTAGCAGGGGATTGAGATAACCTTTTAGGTGCTGCTGCGAGAAAGAGCTTCGAGGCGGTATAATATGCCGTTTATGCGACAAGCATAGTAACGCGGATGTATGAGTATTGCCCGTCAAAGCAAAGCAACAACGCATCTGCGGTTGCTTGAGACTGGGTCAGATGCTTGTCTCAAAATTGGACCTCCAGGATCACCAACTCGGGGCGGCACATGTATTCGAATTACGGGGTTCCTTATCGAACAATTGGATAAGAGGAAGATAAAGTGACCTTTTAGCTGGCTGCAACAATGCAACCATCCGACCCCTGTCTCAACGATCTGCAGCTTCTGGAAGGACACGAGAACTAACCTTAATAAGTTGCTAGCTTTCCCATTCTCAGAATCTGCCATGTCTACGTTTATTGAGTAAACAGGGGAGATCGAGATCGAACAGCGAGAAGTATCCGACAGAGCACTCTACGAAATACAATCATGTCCATATTGATCTGGACAAGCAGGCTGCCCGGCATGAAATAGGCCTGATTCATCCATCCTGGTCATTCGAGATGTGGCGGTGCATCACTGGTGCATGTGGTTCTTATGAAACGGCGAGTTGAATAAGACACCCCATCATGGAAAGCAGTACATCTAATTGTATGATTCATGGTCCCGAGTCATGATCCTGGTATGTACCTGAAAGTCGGTTTATTTTACTTCCTGCGAATGAACAGCTTTACACGGACTTCAGGAGGTTTACAGGCCCAACAAATCTGAATGCTCGACTGTAGGACGCCAGCTGGCGGTCTGCAGGGGTCGTGCTGACACTTGGGGCAGGAGTGGCGCGTCCTCTAGCGCCCCGGACATCGGAGCCTTTCATCGAATTACCCCAATGTTGTCATACTTCCCCTGCAAAGCAGTGGCACGCGATATGCGTTAGTACATTAGCCAGGGTCCGTGGTTGCTCGCCACTTGACCTCTTATCGACAACGTCAGGTCTAGTACCGAGGCAGCCACCATAGCTTGTCTCGTCTCTCTTCTTCATTTCATCTTTCCTATGTTGTTAATAGACCCGTTTGCCATATTCGACGCCGAAACCGCTCACTTTGCCATCGAATGAATCCAGGATTAGTAGAACCAACAAGATGGTGCGACGGAAGCAATCGTCCTCTACTTGCATCGCTGCTGGCAGAGTAACAGCCAAACTATTCCTCTCATTCCTTGCCATCTCTGCATCCCCAGCTGCCGCCACTGCACACGATCAACAAGTCCAAATAGCCTATTCCGGTTCGCCAATACTGTCGCCTTTGGTTCCAGAACGAGAGCCTCCGCGACCAGCCGAGCACACCTTCACATTACGTCACATACTCCATCATGGAACTTACCGCCATCCGGGTCTCCATCGACGGAGAGACATTACCGAACCCGAAGCTGAAGTATGGCTAGCAGATGAAGATGAACACATTGCCGAGAGGATATTGCCGCTCAAGGCCAAGAGTCAGCCTCGTAAAATCGAACGCATGGTAGATAGGCGACCGGATGTAGTAGATCCCATGATCGCGGAGGCCCGTCAGCGAGGATATGTCCTTGCGGGCATGCCCTCCGCCTGGACCGTTGACGAAGTCCCAGGGCCGAATATAACAGATAAGGAGACGGTTCTCAATATGGCTTTCATAGCAGCAAATGCCTACGTTGAGAATACGGGCACGCCGGACTGGGAGGAGGTCGGCACTCCATTCAACCGAAGTGCAGATTTTGGCTGGGAAGGCGACGGCTTGCGCGGCCACATATGGGCAGATGAGACTAACTCGACCGTCGTCATTGGTCTGAAGGGAACTTCGGTCGCAGTATTCGATGGAGAAGGGACAACGACCAACGACAAGGTCAACGACAACCTGTTCTTTAGCTGTTGTTGCGCCCAACAAGGGCAGTGGTCGTGGCATCAAGTCTGCGATTGCGCAACGGGGACCTACAGTTGCAACAACACCTGTGTCGCCCAAGCGTTGCGAGAGGAAAATCGCTACTACCAGGCTGCTCGGGAACTCTACGCAAACGTAACCGAGATCTACGGGGATGCGAATATCTGGGTCGTCGGACACTCACTCGGCGGGGCAGTTGGCTCCCTCCTCGGTCTGACCTATGGACTGCCTGCCGTCACTTTTGAGGCCGTCCCCGAGGCCATGGCTGCCGGTCGCTTAGGCTTGCCAATCCCTCCACATGCCGACCCGGATTATCCTCAAACTCGCGAATACACTGGAGCCTACCACTTCGGCCACACTGCTGATCCTATTTATATTGGCACGTGCAACGGAGCAACGGCCACTTGCTCCTTCGCCGGGTATGCGATGGAGTCTGCTTGCCACACGGGCTCAGAGTGTGTCTATGACACGGTTGGAGACAAGGGCTGGCGAGTCGGCATTGGAACCCACAAAATTCGGTCTGTCATTAACGATGTCATCCGCAAGTATGACACTGTTCCTGAGTGCAAGTTTACCCCGGAATGCCGAGACTGCGCGAGTTGGAAGATGTACGAGAGTAATAGCACATCTTCGACTACATCCTCAAGCAGCTCGACGACCTCAAAGACGCGCACTCGGACGGCGACTTGCAAGACTCCAGGTTGGTGGGGCTGCCTTGACGAAACGGTAAGCAATTTTCTAAAATATGCGTTTCTCTTGCCTGGTCTCTAGTGTGGTGTTATAGACATCAACGTGTCCTGACGCTGGTGATGCCTGGTACTTACTAACTGATCCCGAGCAGACAACTACTGGAACTGCGACATCGACAAGCACTACTACTACGTCGACATCGACCTGCAAGACTCCAGGCTGGTTCGGCTGCAAAGACGAGATAACCACTACGACCACTGCCACGAATATACCTACTGTCACAACGACTTCGGCCACCAGCTCTACTACTTGTTTGACTCCAGGCTGGTTGTATGTATTTTCCCTCCCTCCCTCCCTCCCATTCATGGAAATCTTCATGGAGACTCCATGATTTTCAAAGGAGATCGCTGACATTATCGACGTAAAGTGGTTGCAAAGACAAGACTGCTACTGCGTCATCCGCTACGTCTACACCCCCCATTACTTCACCGCCGCCAACGCCCACAACGATTCAGGACCCAGAGCCCACTGAGCCTACTGAGCCTCCTCCGAAATCCAAGGCTCATTGTGTGCGGAGGAATTGGTTTGGATTCTGTAAGGAATGGGGCCAAGCTGGAGATGATGGGGGTCTCTTCGATGAGATATAGTTGGGCGTACTTAGAGTAATGCGCATCAGTTTTATTGACAAAAGGCGTTGGGTTGTATGGTCGTTTCATTCGTTGAAGTCATTACGACGGTGGCAAGGTTTGGCAGGCGTTAAAATGAATTGAACTTAGGCATAGTTTGTATATAAAGGGGACTGGGAACACATTCATCTAGTCTGCTTCACTCTTATTTACTTGAACAGGAAATCTGCGCCGAAGATATACAGTGCTGACAGGATCTACACCAGAGGGCCATTCCACTTCACTTGGCTGCACAGCCAAGATCACGGACTCTTGTGTTGGAGCTCTTGTGTCGGTGTGTGGCTGAAGTGTAGTCAAGGACGATCCTTAGCTAATATCGACAATTGTTCAATTGGTATTTCTATACATCAAGCGCAGAACGCCTTGTTTTCTATTGCCATGACTCCAACCCCTTCAACACACATCCCTCCACCCCCTCGGGGCGCGCAACCAACTTTCCGATTGTATAAACTGTCTCCCCGTATGTCTGCAATAGGCGAAGAACACTTTCAACCTCCTGTGGACTGACCACCGCCACCATGCCCACACCCGTGTTGAACGTCCTCGCCATCTCGGATGCCTCAATATTACCAGCGGCCTTCAACCATTTGAAAACGGCGGGTAATTGCCACGCTGTTACGTCGATTTCGGCCGCGAGGTGCTTGGGAAGCATGCGCGGCACGTTTTCGGTTAGACCGCCACCCGTGATGTGGGCAAGGCCTTTGAGTTGCGAGACGGCTTTGAGGAGGGGCTTCACGTAGATCTTGGTGGGTGTCAGCAACGATGCGCCGACGGTCACTCCGCTGTTATCCCATGGTGCAGCGGCGTCGTAGCTGAGCTGTTCTCGTGCGATAATGCGACGGACGAGCGAGAAGCCGTTGGAGTGGACCCCCGAGGAGGCGAGTCCAATGAGGATGTCGCCCTCGGACATGGCATCAAGACGCGGTAACCGATTCTCGGGGTGCATCATTCCGATGGCGGCACCGGCAGCGTCGTAGTCATCATCGCGGTACATGCCTGGCATCTCAGCTGTCTCACCGCCTGACAGGGCGCAACCTGCCTGCCTGCAGCCTATATTCCTAAACGTCAGCAGTGGCTCGATAAAGCATGGTTTATGGGAGGTGTAGTGTGTTTCTCCCACCAAATGACGGGAAAGAAGGAAGGACATACCCTCTGCCACGCCTTCCACAAAGTTAGCAGCGCACTCTTGGTTCAGCTTGCTGCAACCGTAATAATCCAAGAACATCAAAGGCTCGGCGCCCTGCACAACTAGGTCGTTGACGTTCATAGCTACCAGGTCAATACCAACCGTGCTGTGGTTACCGGTGGCTTGGGCGATCGCAAGCTTTGTTCCTACACCATCAATGGCTCCAACCATGATTCCAGTAGAATAGCCGGCCTTTTCAAGATCAACCTCTCCACCAAAACCTCCAATCTGTGCGTCTGCTCCAGGGCGTGCGGTAGTTCGGGTTACTTTCTTCAGGCGTTCGACAAGCAGATTTCCACCCTCAATGCTGACTCCAGCCTGTGCGTAGGTGAGCGCCTCTTTGGTCTGCTGAGTCGGGCGGAAGGCGCGGTGGGCGATATCCTTTCGGTAATACATCTTGCTGAACTGGATGAGCTTAACGCCTTCGTAAGCCCTGTCAACAGCGGCCCTCAGGTTCTCGCCTGTTGCAGTGGCCGCGATGACTCGACCACCTGAGGTTTGCAACTTCCCGTTCGATAGTTTGGTGCCTGCATGGAAAATGTTGATTCCTTCAGGGGGTGTCTGAATCTGGATCTCGTCGCCCTTGCCATAACTCTCCGGGTAGCCACCTGCAGCCACGACAACGGTTGTACTAGACTTGGGCTCAACATTGATTACTAACCCCTCCTTATCAAGTGTGCCCTGTGAGCAAGCGACCATAATCTCCGCCAAGTCAGTATCATGTGAGAGAAGTGGAAGAAGTGTCTGGGTTTCTGGGTCTCCAAAGCGAACGTTGTACTCCAGAACCTTGACACCAGTCTTGGTGACCATTAGTCCGGTGAATAAAACACCAACAAAGGGCATATCGTCTTTTCGCATGCCATCAATGGTCGGCTGGATGATATCGCGGTCGATCTGCGCAACAAGGGTAGGTGTTGCAATGTTTGTTGGTGCGTAGCAGCCCATGCCTCCAGTGTTGAGACCAGTGTCGTCTTCGCCAATACGCTTGTGGTCCTGCGCAGGTGGAAGCGACTTGATGGAGTGCCCGTCGCTGAAAGTAATGATGCTGAGTTCATCTCCAGTCAAGAACTCCTCAATTACCACCTCGTCACCTGCAGAACCAAATTCCTTGTTCAACATGATGTCCTTGAGAGCCTGCTGTGCCTCCTCTTTCGTGGTGGGAATAATAACACCCTTTCCTGCGGCGAGGCCACTAGCCTTGATAACAACATCGTGCTGGACTTGATTGAGGTAATCGCGAGCTTTCTTATAGTCGGAAAAGTTCTCGTATTCAGCGGTGGGAATCTTCCATTTCTTCATGAAGTCTTTCGAGAATGTTTTGCTGCCTTCCATGCGCGCGGCATCCATCGAGGGGCCGAAACTCTGAATGCCCGCTTGTTTGAAGAAGTCCACCGCGCCAGCAACCAAGGGTGCTTCTGGTCCCGGAACAACGTAATTGATGTTCTCCTTGCGTGCTAGCTCCAGGAGGGCTGGGAAGTCTTCAGCGGAGACCGATGTCTCGTTTCTTGTTTTGGCGCATGTTGCAGTGCCTCCGTTGCCAGGAACTGCGATGATGGATTCGACTTTCGACGACTGGCTCAGTTTCCAGGCGATGGCATGCTCGCGGCCGCCATTGCCGATCAGCAATATACGCAATGGGGATTTTATGCCCATAATTGCTGTGTTTCAAGAAACCGCAGTTTGAATGGGTTCTTATTAAAGAATCGATAAATCCAAAAATACCGCCCGTTCAAAGTTGTTTGAAGTTGAGTGCCCCTCGATAACTTTTTTTTACCCCTCCCCCGCATTCTTCAATTTTGGCAGGGTCTCGGCCCCACCACAGCAGAAGGTGGAGTATTTTGACAGGCCGGGAGACTGACAAGATGCAGACTCAAGCTGCAGTTCAGGTGTCAGGTCACTGAATAGTCCAATGTAATTGAAGTTGATGAGTATTAAACATGAATGGCATTACTTACTGTGACAGAGTGACCTGGTGAGGAAGCAGATTGACCCAGGCTGTGATCATCAATTGTAGAAGTGCAGAAGAAATAAATCAGTCCCTTTGTTAGGTTCAAGAATGCCTCCTCAAAAACTGACAATATGACGGATTCATCCCGGTACCTTATTTACTTGGGCAGGCACTTGCACCGGGGTGGCGACACAAAGTCTGCAACGCCCAGATTGATATCCCTTCTGGTTTCCTTATCAGCTTATCGATTTCATCAGCGCTACTTTCGGAAGACGTGAGACAGGGATTTGTGAGCCTCGGGATGACGACGTTTAAAGTGAAGCTCGCGCGATTGGGTCCAACTTGCGGTCTTTCACCTTGTCAATGTCATCATTTTTCTATGTAAACCCTCGGCCAAACTCATCGGCAACAAAAATCGGATAAAATGTTACTCATTGGCCTCACTGGGTCCATCGCGACCGGAAAATCCACTGTTTCCTCAGTTCTCTCGTCAGCTCCATACTCCCTCCCCGTCATCGATGCGGATATTTTAGCGCGCAAGGTTGTCGAACCCGGCACGAGCGGTTACAACTCCATAGTAAAATATTTTGGCCCTACGACGCCTGAATTGCTCGTCCCTCCTTCAAATTCCATGCCCGAAAATGGCGTTGACGGCAAAGGCAGACCCCTCAACCGACCTGCGCTTGGCAAACGTGTCTTTGGGGACAGCGAGGAGAGAAAGAAGGATCGTGCTGTGCTCAATAGCATTGTGCATCCCGCCGTAAGGAACAGGATACACAAGCAGATAATTTGGTTTTATCTCACGGGAAACTGGGCTGTGGTCTTAGATATCCCCCTGCTGTTTGAGAGTGCCCTGGATAGGATGTGTGGTGTAGTCATGGTGGTCGCCGTGCGGGATCCTGAAGTACAGATGAAGAGGCTGATGGACCGTGACTCGCATCTCAGTCATGAAGATGCGCAAAATCGCGTTTTGAGTCAGACTGATGTGCGGCTGAAAGCAAGGAGGTGCGAAGCACGAGGGAAAGGGAAAGGTGTGGTGCTTTGGAATGATGGGTCGAAGGTGCAGTTGAAGGCAGATATTGAGGCTGCCATCCAAGAAATGCAACGAAGCAGCCCAGCGTGGTGGAACTACATGCTGCTACTATGCCCTCCTCTGGCCATCGCTACTGGTGCGTGGACGGCTTGTCAGAATATACAAATTAACAAGGTCTGGAGGGAGATGGAGACGAGGGAAAAGGCAAAACTATGAGGGGCATAGTTTCTGTTCTCACATATCATATATAGTACTCAGGAACTGGCCTGATAATTCTGCTATCAATTTTCTATCGTGGATGCCGTTTATGGAATGCGACACATAGTTAGTAGATGGTGACGAAGTTGGGAATCTTCATTTCTTCCAATCAGGCCGGGGATTGGAAACATCCACAGGCTAAGTGTTGCCTAAATACCTATTTTTAAGCACTTGGGTTTGTAAGGATTTCATATTGGGATATATTGACCCAAGTGCAAAGGGCAACACTACCCAGAGTAAAGATCTTTGTCAAATGGTTACCTGGTCAGGTGCAACCGTCGCTGAACCCGCCGCCGACCAACTCACTCGCACTTCACCCAGGCAAACACCATCCCATCAACGCTTTCCATTTCAATCAAACCTTGAAAGCAACATCTCTCTTTCGATGAGTATCTTTACTTCTACGATTTTGCCCACAATCGCCTTTTGGTGCCTTCGACAATTACGTACATTTCCAGACGCATTTGGAAAGATCGCCCGGCCTACTTGACACTATCACCAGCTTGCGCAGGCTAGAAACTTCGTACTTCGTTACCATCAGCTGATGATCTTCATTGGTCCTCTGAAAACATTGAACGCGCACCCATGAACCAAGGCCGCCCGACAGCCTAGATACGCAGGCGCTTTCGCTTGTTGATCAGAATCTCTGGACACATTGACAATAAAAACAACCACCGATGACCTACAGTCAAGATCAACCAACTATATCTAGCCTGGAATCCCACCAAAAACCCTCATCTCCCACTGATCAACTTCATCAACGCCACAATGCCGCCCAATTCTATTATGGAGTGGATGGTGGGCTCCAATGTAGCATCGAGGAAGAAGACTGCCAAAGGACGAAGGCCCATCTTGAACTTGGATTTGTCCACAGACGATGAGTCTGAGTCAGATATCATCAAGCTCACATACCCGCGTCAACGATCAGCCAGGCCAAAAAAAGTACGCTTCGACGAACCCCTACCATCGGCCCTGAAAGAATCATTAGATGATACGTCCGCCAAAGAAGAAACAGAGGTCAGTACAGATAATGCCACAGACACCGAAATAGGCACGAAAGAAGACGAAGCCACTACAGACGACGAGCTGGACTCCGACTGTCCCTGCTCCAAATGCGTTGAAGGAATCAAGGAACTGAAGAAGGCTAAACAGGACAAGAAGGCCGAAACCCCCGAGGATGACGATGCAGCAATTCACGCCAAGCACAAGGCGAAGAAGGCCAAGGCGAAAGAAAAGGTCGAGAAGGAAGATGAGAAGAAGGCTGAAGATTCTGAGACAGTTGATGCGACTGATGTTACTGATGCGACTGATACAACTGATACAACTGATCCTGCTGGTGCTGCGACCGACACTGACAAGGAACCAGAAGAAGAGGCTCCTAATGGCAAGGACAAGGAAAAGGATGACCAGACGCAAGACTCCAAGGAAAAACCCGAAGAAGACTCTGAAGCCACTGACGCGGAGGCCACCGAGGTAAAGCAGACTGCGTCTGAGGAAGAACCGCCCAAGAAGGAGGAGGGCAAGAAGGAAAAGAAGGGGAAAAAGGGCAAAAAAAAGGACAACCAGAAGCAGGAGTCCAAAACAAAAGCCGAAGAAGACTCCGAAGTTATTGATTCGGAGGCCACCCAGGTAACGCAGACTGAATCTGAGGAAGAACCGCCCAAGAAGGAGGAGAACAAGAAAGAAAAGAAGGGAAAGAAGGAAAAGAAGGGCAAAAAAAAGGACAACCAGAAGCAGGATTGCAAAACAAAAGCCGAAGAACACTCTGAAGTCATTGATTCGGGAGCCGCCGAGGTAACGCAGACTGAGTCTGAGCAAGAACCGCCCAAAAAGGAGGAGAGCAAGAAAGAAAAGAAGGGAAAGAAGGAAAAGAAGGGCAAAAAAACGGACATCCAGAAGCAAGAGTCCAAGAAAAAAGCCGAAGAAGACTCCGAAGTTGTTGATTCGGAGGCCGCCGAGGCAACGCAGCCTGAGTCTGAGCAAGAACCGCCCAAGAAGGAGGAGAGCAAGAAGGGAAAGAAGGGAAAGAAGGTCAAAAAACAGGACAAACAGAAGCAAGAGTCCAAAACAAAAGCCGGAGAAGACTCCGAAGTTATTGATTCGGAGCCCGAGGTGATGCAGACTGAGTCTCAGGAAGAACCACCCAAGGAGGAGAGCAGGAAGCGAAATAAGGGAAATAGGGACAAGAAAGGCAGTGAAACCGATGGTAGTAAGGCTTCCAAAAAGAGAGACGCGGTTAAAGAAAAAGAGCCCGCGGCTCTTCCAAAGGCAGCGAAGACCAAAAAGGCCAAACTGCCACCTTATCTCCCGCCGCCAGAGGTTCGCCCTCCGAGATTAATCATGCCTTTCAACTCACAAGTCTTGCAAGTCGAACACACCCTTGAGGATATGGGCGATCCGAAGCCCAATGCATTCTATGATACTGAGCATGGTATCATGCGTGTGTACCATGGCCCTGCGTATGGCAACACATATTCCGCCCTGTACCCCAAGCGCGTATACAACAGCCAGCCTTTGCCCATGGGTACTCCACATCCCATGCAAAATCCTTGGTACAGCGGGTTCCCGCCTTCATATGATCATGGCAAGCCTGAGATGCCACCCATGGCTTCTATGAATTATATGCCTCCCGCACCTCCCCCACCTAGTCAAGGTCCCCAGAACAATCCCTGGTTTCAGGGATATGGTATGACAACAGTGGGTGGCGCTCCACCCAAGCCGCCCGAGCCTGCACATACGGGCGAATCAACGAACCCCTTCGGTTCTCCCCAACCGTGTCACATGGACTTGGGCTTGCCCCAAAATAAAAACGTGAAGAACCCCTTCAACCTGTCGCCGAACGCTCAGAAGGACCTGGATAACCGTTGGCTCTCGAATGCCATCCCTGATACGCCAAGACTTAGGAGTGCGTCAGACAAAGTAAAGTCTAACAACAGTGCCGGGTCAGGTTCAGGACGACCCGCAGACTCGGATGGGCTGTGGAATATTCAGAGTTTCCGCAGCGAAAACGGATCCAAAGGGTCGGAAGGAAAGAGGAAGGAGACGGTGCCACCTGGCTCTCCTTGGGCTATGGGTAAAGAATACACGGCCAAAGATAGCGAGAAGCTGGGAAATTTTCTTGCCAGTTTGAGCAGCAAGCAGGGAAGCCATAATGACAGCCCGCAGAGAGATGATGGCTTGAATGCCAACAATAATGATGGATGGGGTGGAAAGGATACCAATGCGAACCAGTGGGGAGGAAGTAATGACAAGCAGAACGACAGATGGGGAGGAACCGATGGCCAGCAAGACAACGTCGGCGGCTGGGGCAACATTGATAACAATATTCAGGACAACTCTGGCGGCTGGGGAGACGGCAATAAGGATAATCATAATAACATCGGCGACTGGGACAACGATGACAGCAACAACCAGGGCAATAATTGCGACTGGGACGATGACAACAACGGCAACCAAGGCAATACTGGCGGTTGGGGCAACGGAAATGGAAACAAGACCACAGGTGATGCTGCAGACAACAACTGCGGAGGAGGCAACGGTGGTAAAAATACCTGGGATCATAGCCAAAACGGAAGCCGTCGAGGCTCAGCCAGTGTCAAACCACCTTCAAACTCCGGCAATGTTGGGCTTCCCGGCGCTTGGCCCTCATCCATCAATGCTGACGGCAGCGGCGGCTGGAGTCAGCAAAGCAACCAAGGATCACGCCACGGATCGAACGGTGCCAAGCTGCCGTCTAATGCTGGGAACGTGGCCGGCAATGATGACTGGGGTGACAACAATAACGGCGCCGGAAGCTGGGGAAATAATGATAACAACAACAAGGGTGGTGCGTGTGGATGGAAAGACTCTTCCGCAGCGCAGAACTCGGGTGGTTTCTGGAACAAATACAAAGGCGAGGATGAGAATCAAGCCCTTTGCGGTCAACGGTAGGAACTCAAGCCCAGGCTAGACTTTCTTTCAACCTGGGATGAATTGTGGTGGTGGACCGTAGTGGTTGGGTTAGTTGGGGTCATCGTGGCGGCTTATGCATATCCAGGACTTGAGACCCTGTTTCCGGGACCGGACGACTCGATGAACTGTTGGTCCGCCTGGCTGGAAGTGGGAAATTCCTCGGTTGTCATTCGACAGATAGAGCCACAGCCAGGAAACCTCCGCTAGGGGCAGTCTGGACAGGCCGGGGATTCTTTCTTGCAGCGTAACATAGGCAACCATGTCACATGGCTGGGTCAGTAATAATGCAATTTCAACAAGTGGGCGTTTCGTCCGTTTATCTTGTAGTCTGGCAGGTGATAGTGTTCGTGATATATGCGTCTAGCCGTTTCTGTTGGATCCAACGACTGCGGAATAACAGGTACGCGATGTCGAGCGTCACCATTCGTATGTCCATCAACTAAGAACTCGCTGCTTGTGATGGCGAAGTTTTGTTTCTTGAGGATATTGATGGCGTCTGTGGCCACAGAGCTTACGAGCTCTAATTTGTTTGAGGTCAGCAGCCAATGAGACACGTACCCGGCTCCCAAACCCATTGAGATGGAACTTTACTGGAGCTGTGTGCAGGCCGCAGAGTGCAACTGTTTTACTTGGGTCTCACTGGGTACTCTGCCTCAGTACGTGAGCCTCCTGGTAAGCTCGTGGGATAATATCGCCGTCCCCTGGGATCGGTCTCCAGGCTATGCAGAGTCCACCAACTCCAATAGTGTAGAATTGTGTGCAGTGAAATGTGCCGTATAGTATAATATTGTAAAGGCAGTTACGAAGACAGGAGGCAGATAGTTACAAGGCCAAGTATTAAAGGCTAGGTAACGGCGCCTCTTGATCCTTCTGCTGGAATACGAACACCTGGAAGTCCAGATATTTGCTAACAGCAAACCTCGATATAACGGTTGTAGCCAGACACCAGGAAGCTCAAAAGTATCTCAATTAATGGATCAAGACATCACCGACTCCACAAATCAAGAATTCCAAATCTCACAACCTGCTTCGACTAATCCTAGTACGTGAATGTATGTCTTCTGGCTTCTACATTCTTAACCCATCCAGTTCATCCCTCTCTCTAACTTGACCACCCAATACCTTCCCAGCCCATCTCATCTCCTTATTCATTGACCTCCAAAATCCATCTTCAACGCAATACTCGGCTGCCCCGCCCCACTATCCCTCTTCCCCTCGGCCCCCGTCACCCGTCCCGACCTGATAACCTCCTCCATAAATGCCCTCTGCCCTTCACTCATAGCGGCCACGACGCCCCTAAACGCCGCCTGGTCAAAACTCGCCATCTCGAGCAACCTGGTGCTTGTCTCGCGATACACTTCGGCCCCATCGCTCGAGGCGCGCGATAACAACGCGGGGACTACGATGGACATGACAATCTGGGCGTGGTCGATGCCGACGACGACGACGTACTGCGTTAGGCTGTGGGCGACAAGCTTGCGCGCCTCTTCGGGGTCGTCAGGGTCCGTGTCCGTCACGAAGGCGATGAGGCGGGGGAGGAGGTGCCGGGCGATGGATTGGTCCGCTGGGGTGGGGGAGGGTTGGAGGAGGAGGGAGCGGATGCAGTTGGCTGCGATTTTGGCAGTCTAGGGAAAATGAATGTTAGGAGCCTACTTCAACAGGGGCTTGGGTTGTGGTTTGATTACTCACCATACGATCCGTCAGACAATCCACCACTTCGTCGAGGAATCGTGTGACGAGGCCATTGTTGGCTGCCAGCCGGTTGTTCCCTCCCGTGAACAGGATGGTTATTGCGAGGAGACAGTTCTTGACGCATTGAAGCGAGGAGGGCACCTCGCGCTTCTGGGCATTTAGATAGATGGACAGGAAACGGCGCAGAGATCCCTGAAGCTGAATATCGCCTGGGGATTTGCCTTCGCTCGGCGAGCGCGAGTTCATGCTTGTAATGAATCGCTTTAACATGGGTAGAGCCTGCGGGACGATGATGTCCTGGCACGAAGGGGTTGCAAGGATAGTAGCAAAGATGTGGATGATGCAGGCGTGCAAGTCCGTTTTGATGATGGCAGGGAACACCTCAGCAGCGTCGACAATGGCGCTCAGACCTGTCCTGATGAGCAGCACGGCTTCTTCGGTGAGCTGTTGGCGAACAGGTTGGTTTGCCTCTGTGAGATTGGGTAGGAGCCCCGAGAGCACCAAAACGATGATGCGAGTCAACTCAAACAGCTGCTCAATGTCCTCAGTCAGATCGCCACTTTCAGGTTGCTCGTCCCTTCTGGCAGAAGGATGAGCTATGCACAAAGCCCGGGCAATCTCGACGATAACCCCTTGAACATCGAGTCCTTCGGTCAAGACAAGGCGGTCAAGCAGATCCATCGTTTCCGAGAAGATTGCCTCTCTGTATATGGCGTGACCTGAGACGCTTGGATGCAGTATCTTCTTAAGAGCCTGCAAGATTTCGAGTGTTTGTTCTTGAGTTGCCAGCGAATCGGCCTGGCCGGGTCTAGTTGCCAATGCTTCGAAGGCAATGCCAAAAAGCACAAAGAAGAAAGCCACAGGCTCATCGCGGTAGTTGATATCCGCACCCTTGGACTCCCCGTTGGTTGCGGGTCCTTCAGTCTCCTTACCATCTAACGCGTCGAACACAAACTCGCTGTCTTGCTCAATCAGACTGGCGATCGCATCCACCAGTTTGAGCCACGAATCCTGGTAAAACTTGAGCAGGGTCTCGCGGTTCAGAGCCGCATAGATGGTGTCCAGACTGCCAGATAGGGATGGAGGCCCCAGAGTCATTGAGATATCGGGCTCGAATCTCAGCCGGGCAAATTCTCGCAAGGAAGCCAACCACAACGGGGTCAGCTTTCCAATGTGAGGCTTGAGGACATTGTGCAGATATTGCTGCTCGGTACTGGCCACTTGCAAGTCCGCCCACGCCGAGAATACAGACATCTTGACCATAACTTGAGCATTGGGACTAAGTCCCTGGAGGTCTCCAATCCCAACGTTCTCGGTTTCGTTGGTGAAGTTCTCCAAGCCCGTCACAAGCGTCTTCAGGATGCGTCCCATACGATCTACATCCGTGACGATACCCGTGGAGATAAAAGCCGCGCAAACATGGACAGCCTCCGCGGCGAGCTCCGGTGAAGAATCCGCAGCAAATGCAGGAGTCAGGGCCGAACTGATCTGGGCCTGGTACTGTTCCAAGAGCATGGCTTCTTCAAAGTCAGGGTCCTGGGCCTTGCCAAACATTCGGAGGACCGCGCCTATGATTCTCAGACCCCATATCCTCAGCTCAAGGACGCTGGAAGTCGAAGCCGAGAACGCCATGCGCACGACGTCGCCGATTTTAGCCTGCAATGCAATTTGAGCTGGAGATTCCCCGTTCGTAGAAACGTCTTTCGTAATGAGAACGAATATCTCGTTCAAGCAGCTCATTGCGAACGTTCGGACCTGCCAACGCAGCGGCTCGATTTCGGACCCCGCGCCTGCGTCCTTCTCGTCTTTGTTTGTTCCAGCTGCAGCAGCAAACCCAGCCACTTCTTCATCCTGAAGATCGACAATGGCACGGGTTTGGTTATTTGCTTGTCTCGACTCCTCGGTCTCCTTCGGCCTCGTCATCTTGAGCACGCTCTGCAGACGAACAAGCCAGGACGACGTATCTGTCAACGACGTCTGGCGCATCCAATTCCGTATGACGTTGTGGATGCCGTCATGAGTAGGGCTGCTGTCCAACACTAGCCAGAGCTGGTCCTCAAAGCCTTCGTCCGCAGCGTTCAATACGTCGTCGGAGTTCCTCTTCATGATGTTATAGAGGCCATCGACGGCAACATCTCGGAGGACGGGGAACTCGCAGTTGAAATATTTCTGGAGCAGTTTGACGTAGTCCGCGAACGTCATATATCCAGGAGCATAAAGCGAGAGATGCTCTAAGCAGCCGAGACTGGCCCGTTGCACGTCGAGGTCATCTTCTGCCTGGAGTTGACCCACCAGCGTCAGAATCAGTTCGCGTGATTTTGTCGCATCTTGCAGATCCGGACCAAGCACATTGATCAAAGAGTCGACGCAGCGGGTAATAGAGCTTGGGGTGGACAGTTCCATTTCCAAGTTCATAGTGATGGCCGAGGGCACTTCAGCGTGATGGGTGTCGGAGAGGTACAGTTGAGCTAGCATTCCCAAACTGCTGGACACGAATTGGGCAAACCCAAGACCGGCCGCATCTGTTGCTTTCAATAGCGCCTCGAGAGCCCAATAGTGTACTGTGGGGTGCGGGTCGTTGCATAGTGACATGAGAATTCCCAGAATTGTCTTGAGATGATACCCAGCAGCCATTCCACCCACCTTCGTCTGTATATAACCCAGAGCCATAGCACATCCAGCTCGCGCACTGGGCTCCCGGTTGCTGACGATGGTGTCGACAAGATGTTTGATCTCATGATTCGTAAAAGCATTACCGCAAGCATTGCAAAGTCTTGCAATAGCTGCGTAACCCAAGTTGCGTATGTATTGATCTGGATCAACGACAAATCCTCGAATCATCTCCTGAAGGAGCCTCTCCACAGCCGGGTTGGTCACGTCGCCATGAGGGGACGAGGTCTCCCTGACGGCAACTTTAAGCGTGGACAAAAGTGCAGTGGCGATGTTGACATTTATGGCTGCTTTACGGCCTGAGTCGCGTTGCAGTGAGCCCGCTGAGCGAAAGTTCGCTATTTGCTCCAGGATGCTTTCCTGCACTTTGGTTGGCGTGAGAGGAAAAACAAATGCAAATAGCTGAATGGCCATATTGACCACCTCAGTCCCTGGTGGATCTGGAAGACCAGGCGTTTCACCCAGCTCTCCAATGTAAAGCACAGCCGCGTCATGCTCAAGGGACGGGCAGATGGGTGATTTCAGAAGGTCATCGATGATGCTGTCAGCATCAGTTTCATCATCCACTGGTTCGTCAGACGAGCTCTCATGTTGTCCTGGGAGCTTCTTCAGTTTGAAGCCGTTGATAAGACCCGTCACTCCGAAACCAGAATTGTCGCTAACTTCCCAGACCGTCTCAAATGTTCCGGCAGCATTAGCAATCGATGCGCTCAGAGAGTTTGCGTAGTTCTCGGGGTCTGCGAAGAGAGATATGGCCAGTGTCAGCAGATTGGACTGCAACAGGGCTTCACTCCCTCCTGGCGGGCTTTGGTTCACTAGCTTCGTGTAGCATTGAAGAACACGGCGCTGCACCATCAAATCAAGATCGTGAAGCTGCAGGGCTGGGGTCAGTCTCTGCGAGATATCGTCGCTTGTTTTCTTGGAAGGCAACGTTCTGAGAAATGCCGTGGTGCTCTGTAACATGGTCGCAATGCGCTTCGACACGTCCACAGTCAACAGCCGACTGTTAAACTGAAGAAACGCAAGTATGGAACCGAGTGCACATTCTCTGACATGAGTCAGGAATGATGCTTCTAGCAGACTGCGTGAAGATGTGTTGTCTTTTGCCAGTGGTTTTGGCAGGGCGTTCTTCCAAAGGAGTAATAATTGGGATAGGTGAATCTTGACAAAGTTGGGTCCCAGGGACATGAGACCGCCAATGAGGATCCAAGCTACTTGTATTTGTGTGCTTGATGCTCGGAGCTCTGATTTACCACTCGATTTCAGAAGATTGGTAGCCATGGACAGAACGCGGCTGTTGATATCAACCGACCCGTACAATGGCCGTTCGGGGCTGGCACTCAGAGTCGAAGCCAAGCCATGCGCGAACCCGATACACCGTCGAGGGGAGTTTCGACCACCACCGAGTACAGATAGTTCCCTACTGAGACTGTTCATACACACGGACAGGCAGGGCAATAGCTGTTGTGGACACGCCAGCACGAAGCTCTTCATGCAATGTGACGCGTACACCTGCACGCTGTAGCTGGGGTGCTGCAGGACTTGCAAGAGACCGTCGCGACAGGGTTCGGCAAAGTTGTTTGCCGCCGACCCTAACGAGTGGATGAGAGAAGCGACGGCGCCGAGGGTCGCAATCAGAGTATTTTTACTTGGCTCAGGCCGTTCCTTGAGTGCTTGGGGGTAATTTTTGAAGACTTGGTTGATCAATGCCTTTGCTGCCGTCATCTGCCCTGACTCGCCCAGTAGTTTCTGGCCGACGACAGTTTGCAGGACGGTGTCCACGATACGTCGGGACATCAATAACCTATAGCGGTTGTTTGTGATGCTCGGGTTACCCAGAAGCTCAATCGTGAGGTTTTCGACGATCTTCATATAATTGACCTCGACTGTCTTCTCGCCAAACCTCCGGAGAACTCGTCCATAGAGCACACCCAGAGCAGCCCTCGCCCGGTTCGTGGTAGCCATGCGCACGTACTGAGCAGAAATGGTCCTTAATATGTCACTAAATGACAGCGCGAGATCCTGTGTCTTCTTGCCGCTAGGGGCAGGACTACCCGGCCGTGATGTAGGAATATCATCCTCCTCGGCAAGTCCAGCGCCTGGCTGAACCGAGGCACGCTTGTTCGCCTTTGACTTTGACTTCTTCACTTTGGGGGCCGCGCTGTCAACTGCCGCGTGCGAGTGACTCTTGACCATGGCCTCAGCCAGACAGTCTGCCGCCGCATGGCGAACATGAGACGAGCTCGAGTCGATGGTCTTGAAAACGGCCGTCTTGAGGTTCTCGAAGTCGCTATGATTCTCGAAAAAGGGGGTATGTCTCGCCAGAGCTTTCAAACAACGGCAGGCAGCGATCACTGACAGGGCGCCCTTGTCGGCGGAAGCAGCGTTTCGCGCTTGTTTCCAGATGTCCCGCGCAATGTTCTCATCCATACTGCCTTCTATCATAACCACAATCTTGGACAGAGATGTGAGAATGGCAGCGCGCAGACCCGAGTTACTTGTAGACGACTTGAGCAGCTTGATCAGCGCACCGCATACCAGCGGGTGCAAGCCAATCACACTGTCTCCTGCGGCGGCATATACATCTCCTAAGCAGCTCACGGCGGCGTGCCGCGTCCGTATTTCGGCATCCGTCTTGGCCTTGCCGCTCGAGATGATGGCCACCAGCTCATTGACAGTTTCGAATAGGAGCTTCCGGTCCCCCTTCTCAAAAACGCGACCCAGAATTTTGCCGAGGTTGTTTCGTATTACCCGACTCGGCGACGGTGTGGGCAGGTTGATGATCTGGAAGACCTCCTTCTTGAGATAGAATTGTTGGGATGTGCAGTCATCTGCCGACAGTTCCTGAACATGTTTGTGGAGCGAGGATACGAACGTCAGCAGAAACAGGTCCTGCTGCTCAGCGGGTAGAGCGTGAAGCTTGGCGAGCTCGAGCTCTGGGTTGGTGGTCGCATGGGCAGGTGAAGGGGCCTTGGGAGCTCCGTTCGGGTCGCTAGTGGAATTCTTGGGAGTCGACATTGGAGAATCGCAGGCTCGCTTGCTTCTCTAGGTACGTGTGGGGAGTTTCGATAATAATTCGAACCGCAATTATAAACGTTGTCTATGTTGTGTGCCCTTTCGCTATCAAGCAAAGAAGTCGTCGTCCCGGAAGTGTGCAGCGAAAGGGCCCGTCAAATGTATGCGGGAAAGTGACAAACATTGGAGCTCATCCCATGCCAAGCTCAATGAAGGGGGCATGTATAAACGCTGCCAGGTATCCTGGCTCGATTGAGTTTACAGCCAATCAGACACACAGAAGACCGCCGTCAAACCCCAGCCTAGTCGCAACTCTAAGACGGACGGACTTTTGATGATCCTCAAAGGGCTGCTTTTACAATGCCTCTGGCTCGTCACGACGCTCGCGATGCGACTTTGATGGGCTCGGTCGGCGCACAATTCTAGAGCTCTGGATTTCGGGAAGGAACGGGCCTGACCTTCGTACAGCATGTATTTGTACAGTTTGTATCCTTAATTCACCTTTTCCTTTGGTGATGCTCAGTGCCATCATTTCCAAAATGTCCGTTTTCGCAACGATTCGCAACCCGCTCCAGAGGTCGATGAACCGGCTCTCATCCTCCTCCTCGCGCTGCTTAGATTGCAGGCGCGCATTTTCTTTGAGTCCAGCTCTCCCCAGTGGCCACAACCGCTGGTCCAAAATCAAGCATGAAAAAGGCGCGGCGGACCAAAAGAAGACCGCTCAACGGAGCATCTTCTCCAAGAACCTGACGCTCTACACGAAGCTGTACGGGCCCGACCCGAACTTAAACTCGGCGCTCGCCAATGTCATTGCTGTGGCCAAGAAGGCCGGCATGCCGAAAGCCAACATCGATCTAGCCGTGGCGCGGGGGCAGGGCCGGTCGACGACGGGCGAGAAGCTCGATAGCGTCATGTTGGAGGTGATGATGCCGCCGTCGGTGGCCCTGGTTATCGACATCGAAACGGACAACAAGAACCGCGCGTTGCAGGATCTCAAGCTGCTGGTGAAGAAGCACAATGGCACGGTCACGCCTACGACGTTCCTGTTCACGAAGCGAGGACGGACGGTGCTCAAGAGCGAGGCGGCGGGAGAGGAAGAGTTCGACAACGCGTTTATGCAGGCGGTCGAGGCGGGCGCTGAAGATGTGGAGCAGGATGAGGAGGGGAATATTGTCGTCTGGACACGACCCAACATGACGCATCAGACAGCGCAAAGTCTGAGCACGGCCATGAAGATGGAGATCTTGACGTCGGATGTTATGTGGGTCCCCAACGCGGACAAGGCTAGGGTCGATAACGAGGAAGCCGCTGCCGCTCTGGGAGACTTTCTGGCGGCAGTCCGGGACAATGCGGATGTACAGGCAGTGTATGCGAATGCGGAGAGGGGCGACGTGTCAGAGGACGTGTGGAGGTCTGTAGAGGAGAATCTCGACTTGTGACATGATGTATGAACGGACCTATACACAATATAGACATACACCATACTGTACATTGACGGCCTTTTACGTACACTTACACCTAGCAATGCAACCATTCCAATAGCGCATTCGTCATGTATCCATGTTGCCGCACCTTATCCCTAGAACGCCAACCATGCTTCCCTGCATCTCAGTCTTTTTTTAGTGCTGTCTTCTCCCGTCCAGCATACAGCCGAACCCGCTTCAAGCAGCCCGGAAAAACGCAATCACTTCTATTGCTCCGGCTCCTGTGGCGGCGGAGGCGGCGGCGGCGGCCGTCGAGCCTCCTCCTCGAGCCTCTTGTCCCTCAAATACAATCTCCGTGCACGTAACCGCTGTAACTCGGCATGGATCTCGTCTCGGTCTATGGGCACCTTGTTGGCCTGCTCGGCCTTGGGCCAGAACTCGGGCACGGAGAAGCGCTCGTCGAGGTTGGTGCCGAAGTAGTACATGATGCCGATGGGGAACATGACGTACATGCCGAACTGTTGCGATGTTAGTAAAAGCGTGAAGAGGGGTATTGAATATGACTGAGCACGGTAACTACTAAGCTACTGTACCTAGCTAGCATTGGGTGGAGTGAGGACGAGGATGAGGACGGACCTTGAAGACTTCGAGATTGAGACCACCCATGATGCCGATGAGCTCTGAACATACGAGGAGTCAATGGTGTAAGTTTACTGCGTTGTGTTCGAACTCAATGCGGCAGATTGGCTGTGCAACGTATCATTGCTCTGGCTGAGTTCTGGTTGTTGTGTTGGGATATGTCCAGATCGATCTGAATTAACGATGGCTGGACGTCTGCTTAATTTTCGCTAACATCTGATTGAAGTTCCGCGACCCGCGGGAAGCTTGGCACTCCGCGCGATCCACAAAACCCGGCATTGTATACCATGGTAACGCGGATAGCAGAATCAACATCATTCTCAACGTGTCTGCTCAAGAAGAGAACTGGTAGTATAATAGAAAAAATCGTTCATCATGTATTCATTCCGGTGTCTATATCTTCAAGCAACTCTTCGTAACCCTCCAAGCCGCGAGGCCCCTTCTGCCTATAACCCTATTTATTGTCGGCAAGAACCCGTCCTCCGCCCAATCCAGATCATCCAAGTTGAAGTGATGGGTATGCCGCCACACTTCCCGGAACCGTAATCCATCCAAACCCTTATTGGGCAGATAGGGGTCCAGCCAAATCGCCGACAAAGGCGCGATTAAATACGTCCCGTTGGACTCTTTCAGATACTCGTTATTCCTCCGATCTGCTGGCTCGTCGCAAGTCGCCAGCTTGTCCAGTTCCTCGAGCACCAATGCCCCCTCCGTGCTCATCATGTCTTGTGTCCGTAGGACTTCGTTCTTGCCATCCAACAGCCATATTGGTGGCATGTACGTCTTCCACCAGATGGCCTGTGTCGCATCAGGCCGCTTGCTCAGGAAGACCTGGGCGGGCACAACGCCGCCTTGGTGGTAGACTCCCATGAGTAGGCCGAATACGAGATTGAAGGCGATCCATGCTCCGAGCCATATCTTGTATAATCTGTTGCTCCTTGGTAATTGCACCGATGACAGGATCAGGGGTACTGTGGGAAGTAAGAAACGGGCTTCCTGATGTTGGAATATGGACAACACGAAGATGCCCGATATAGCCGAGTACAGGCGAAGGGATAATTGCGGTTGCAGGAACAGCAAGGCTGCTGCAGGACCAAGCAGCATTGGTATGTTGATCAGTAGGTGTTGGTACCACGGATGCAGACCATGCTGGGCGAGGTTGGCGGGTATTACGTTGTACTTGAGATTATTCCACGGCGTGATGACCGGTCTTGTCAATAGGTCGGACCACGTAATCGAGTGTGGCGTGTAGAAGGATGTGTCAAGTGTAATGGCAATTGCAACAGTGAAAAGTGCAGACGCTAGAAGTACAAGAAGAGACAAAGGTCTATTCTCAGTGTCAGCAGGGGGCGTTACAAGCTTTGTCGGGCAAGAGAAGTTCAACGTACCTGTTCATGAAGTGGGGTATCAATCGAAGTCCAGGAATCAACAGAAAAGCCGGGAAAGTTATTCTATTAAAGACGCCAAACACGGTGACAAGACCGAGCAGGGTTGACGCCATAAGAGAAGATGTCTGCTGCGACGTATCCAAGATGCGCTCAATCAGAATGAGGCTCCACGCTACGATGAGCGTTTCCACCGAGTTGGAGAAGGTGTGAGTTTGATAAGTCCAAGTTACATAGGACGAGGCGACGAGAAGAACAGCCACCCGCCGATGTCGCGACGACTGGACCAGCTCGTGGATAGCCCAGTCCTCGAGCACGAAGCTGATGATGAACATGAGCACGCGCAGTGTCCAGAACACGGCGATCGGGGGTATTTCGCCGTCCTCGCCGCTGCCGATCCACAGCCAGCGCAACAGGAGCATGGGGAGACCGTAGACTGGCCATAGCGGGAAGACGCTCCGGATGGGATTGTCGCTCGTGAATTCCCATGTCCGCTTCACCGGGTAGCTGTAGATCTCGCCTGCGATCACCTCGGGGCCCTGGAAGTTCTCGTCGGGGTGAAGGTAACTCGGTGATAGCGCGAACCACAGCCGTACCAGCACCAGGAAGAGATAGGTGCGCCGCCACATGCCGAGGGGTTCAAGTTGGGTTTCGGGGGGTTCGATTTCGATGTTTTCGTCGTCGCAGTGCTTGTAGAGGCATCTAGGAGTGCCTAGAGGTGCGGCGCAAGGTTCGGCGAGGTTCAAATTTCGGTTGCGAGACTGCAATGTGGGACCGGAGTAGTTGGATGGAGCGGGACGTCCGGTTGACGAGCTTCACGGCGCACTGGTTTTCGGAGATGCGGCGCGTCTAATAAGCTGCTATGAACCGGCCGTGGAACATAGTCGCATGGTCGCAAGCTGTCCAACGCTGGAAAAAGCGAGGTTCCACGTCGAGGCGAAATGAGTGCAATCTCGATATCTGCGGGTTGCAACGTTCGGCCAAAGGGAAGTCGCGGGTAGTAATTTGACGATGCGATGCGGGTAATGATGTCATCAAACGGCTTGCAGGTAAAAGAGAAACAAGCGACACAAGCAGGAACGGCACACCACTTTCGAACGACGTTTCTACGATGTTTTTCTTCGAGTCTGTTAATTAGCAAATCAAACGTTTGAAATAATAGGAGAGGAAAGTTGACACCCAAGCCAACAAGTCTGGCCAACCAGCCGCATCTGGCCAACCAGCCGCACCTGGCGTTGGAAACACGCTGGCACATGGGTCGCTGTCTTGGTAGCTGGATGTCCATGACAGCTTTTTTTTCGGCCACATCGGGCCTAGCGGCAATGCCGCTTTTGCTCAGGCTCGCTTCAGTCTATTATTAGCCACATGCCCTGAGCAGCCGGAGCCCTAGGAAATTATGAATAGTTATGCAGGGAAAACGGAGGAAGAAACGGTCTGAATGCAGCCCCGACTAATATAGCTTGCTCAACAGACAGAATTAAATAGTGCAGCTTTTGGCTTCGTCCAGATCCGTCTATTATGCAACACACATATAAAATAAATGATCCCAGAAACATTCGTAAGGTAAAGTCGTATCGTAAGAAGCATATTCAACTATGCTCGCGAAATCATTTTTCTTAGTTCTACCGCTTGTGATAGCCTATTCGTGGGTCGAACAGGTGAGGCGTCTCGGTCTGAGTAGGACTATAGTCGGAGATATAGGGTTCATCCGTAGCGCTATGTCCCGACTTTACCTAGCATTCAATAACCTAAAGCAGCAATACCTACTCCCGCCTCCTAGTCAGGATGCCAGCCTAGAAATCCTTCCTTCTGACCCTACATGCCGGGAGTCTTAACAGACGGCTAGGTAATTTAACGCAAGCTTCCCCCTATTACAGGCATCGCCGGACGACTTCATAGCCCTACAGTATTAAGAGAACGGACGTATCACCCTTCCTGAGAACACGCTATAGAAACCTAGGGACTCTACTATATTCATTTACGGCACTCCGTTAACGTATTTCACCCCCATTCCGACACCCTATAAAACAAAACACCACGAATAACACTGCAATTTCAAACAACCACCACAAATTTAATTCTGAACAACTATACAATCGCTTTCGACAGTATATACATTAGATATTTCTGAACCCGAATCAACAACAAGAGCTTCATTAGATACTTCCCTCATCCGCCGTACGTCCTCAATCCTTGCGAATTTCGCGTTTGGACTTATTTGCACCTTCTTTTTTCCGTGGCTTCATAAGCTCCAATCGCTGTTTCAAGCCCTCAATTTGTAATTCTGCGCTTACTAATAGATAATCCTTCTCATCAAACCCTTTTTCATCTTTCTAAATAGCTGGCGTTGTGTAGTCATGTTAGTTTGTTGGAGTCGATTGAACTCCCTAAACTGGCGCTCTATATATACGCTCTTCTTTGGCGTTGACCATACAACATTGCCCTCTGAAGGCTTCTGGAGCGTTTTCTGGACTTGCTGGGTTGTAATAAGAATGTCTGGACCTTGGTGACGTGTGCGGTTGCTATTTTCAAGCAGAAGAGGGCTAGTAAGGGGCATAGCGACATTTAGGGGCCATAGACCACTTGTACGACAACCAGACTTGATATTTTGAGCCGTTAGGGGCCTCTGGCGTGCTCTGGCGTAACAGCGCATAAAATTCCGCTTGCCAATAGGTGCTGAATCAGTTAATAGGGTTAAAAACCGGACCTCCTTGCGATATGCCGTTTCATAGCTGAGAACACCCCAACATCGAGGGGCTGAAGGACATGAGATGAGTGTGGGGGTAAAAATAATAAGTATATGTTGTTTTGATAGCAAAGAGACATAAAAGTATCAGTTGTGTGACTACTGTGACCATCCAAAATAAGTAAACGAGTGTCTGAAGGGTCCTGAGGAAGCGTAAGGGGTATAAAAACGTCTTCAAGCCATTTGATAGCTATCGTATCGTCTGTCCAGCCCTTGGGGGATGCCTTGAAGCGCCAGTCCTTGAAGTCCTGAAGATTTTTATCAGGGAACCACTGCTCTTGGACGTCCTTGCCCTTGAAAATAACCAGGGGGGGTAAGGTATTGCCGAGGGCATCCACACATTCCAAAATTGACGTCCACGCCCTCGAACCAGGCTGTTTCTGGTGTATTGCGCGTAAGGTAGCGCTCCCGACAACTAGCCCAGAGCCCCCTTGACCCTCCATAAGGCCATGCTCATCCATATTATACCTGCATTACGGCTTAATCGCTTGAATTGCAGGAATACGTAATTTTGAAGCAAACCAGGCTTGGATTACCTCGGTAGACGCGCCATTGATACGCTGAGAGTCGATACGGCGTTGCTTTTTAGTCTTTAGTGCTGGGTGACGCTTTAGAAAGGCTTCCAGCCAATTCTTGCCGAGTGGTTGGTGGTCACCTTTGAGGGCTAGGACGCGCTGCGCGAGCTCCTTGATTTGCGCGTGCGTTGGGGCTAGTCCAAGGGCTTCCTGGACCAAAACCCAGTCTGCTAAGTGTTTTTCTTGCACTGGAGATAGCCTCTTCTGGCTAGCAGAGGCCTCGCGACTTGATTCAGCGCCTTGAAGTCTGTCGATAAGTGTAGTCCTTGGTATACCTCAATCCAGGCCAGCGCGTCGCACAGATTTACCATTTGCGACGTCTAGAACGGCGGCAGCGAGGTCTTCTTCCGTATATGAAGGCATTGATAGCAGATCAGATCGAATACTTGGAATAGAGTCAATTGAAGCAAAAGTGGTTGAGAAATAAAAGGATAATGTAAATAGCGGTGTGGTTATTGTTGGGGTTTACAGGGGTGTCGGAATGGGTGTGAAATACGTTACCTTCTAAGGATGATCGTCTTCTTTCTATCTATCACGTCTGGAACGCGTCTAGAACCGGAGAGGATCAAAGGGGGGTTCTATTAGCTATCCGGTCTTTCGATAATAGCTAATACTATTAGATTAATAACGGGTCGATCTCTTTAGCTCGCTAGAAGATCTATAGTAAGGTCCCTATGAATCCTCAAGGGGCCGACCTGTGGTACTAGAATAATTTGTGACTTCCTATAAATATCCGTGATAACTATACGCTTGACTAGGTTTGGGAGTAGCTAACTATTCCTACTAGTGAAACGGGGTCAGGCGGTCGGTAGGATGTGCCTATCACCTAACACACTGAACAGACGGCTCCAGTACCAATAGATCACATCTGTTGGTCTGATCAGACGAAGACCATGGTGCTGGCCGTAAGAGCGAAGCTCTTATAAGTCTTGTGCGCAAGTTGGTCGGATGTGCCTCTGAGACTCTCGTGTCGGGATAATTCTCAGAATAGGACGTCTGGCTCCTAGGAGTCGAATTGAAGCTGTCTCTAGTACTGGATTGCTCTGATCAGAGCAAGACACAATGTCTCATAGTTGTCAAGGCTAAAATGGAAAGGATAGATGGATTCTTAGAAGCTATCCCCTGAACGTGTAAGTGAATCATGAACTGAAGCTTCTGAATTGCATGCATTGAAAAGAGTGCGATGATGGCTAACTATTGCTTGTCGAATAGAAAAGATGAAGAAGTCATTAAAAAGGGTCCGTCCTCGAAAAGAAAGTTGCAGCCACAAGCCTCCTTCATCAAAGCAAAAGATCCTCCCCATTCCGTCACCTATTTTCCCTGGCGTCCGGCCTTACCCCGCTACACTAGCACGGTCCCTTAAGGCCGTATAGAGGTTTATACGACTTGTATGGATGCTCAGATTCTGCCGGGCGTTCAAGAAAGAATAGTATTATTCGAAAGGGATCAGGACTTGAACTTTGCTAGCGTTGAGGAGCAGATGCTTGCCGATTAAATGTCATCCATTGACGTGGGGTTAGGGTTTTTGGGTACTCGTTTTCGTTTTTTCCGGTTTCAGACGAATTATGTAAGCGCGTTCTTGAAGGGTATTTAAGACCTTATGTACGTAGTCACTCTCTTGAGAAAAAGATAGAAAATCAAGCGGCCTTTTCCACAGTAATCTGAACCAATTTCTCTTTACTTTGACAGGCATTCAATGTCTGACGTACCTGTTGAGGTACTTTTTGTTTCCCTATAGATCTGCTTGTGCCTGTTGAGGCCATTGTTCCCATCTTTCGCCTGTTGAGGTACTTGTTATTCCGATCAGGGCAAAGAGCTCTTGATCTTGTTATATTTCTTTCCACCTCCCGGATAGTAAGGTCTTGTTGAGGATCTTGTTGTCCGTTGCCATCATCATCACACCTTGAACCTGCGGGTGGTTTCACTGCCCGTCGTCACCATAGATGAGTTTTATAGTTTCATAGCAGTAGTTCCTCCTTTTTCAATCTGAAGCAGGTTTCTTATCAATGTATCTTACCCGACGCAGTGTTTCACGTAAACTCTTAAATAAGTTCTAATTACCTTTAAGCTTAAATCATTTTACATGATGTTTAGAAAAATATCTACAAAAAAAAGGCTAAAGTTGGAAGCCAACACTACTGCGGTATTTATATAGTATTTCGGGGGCATCGCCTCGCTGCTACAGCTAGACATCAAGGGGGCATTCGATACGGTCAATTACAGACGGCTGATTTCCATATTAGCCCGGAAAGGCTACCCGGAGTGGGTTCAGGAGTGGGTACGCAGCTTCGTGGAGGATAGGACGGTACGCCTCCGGTTCGATGGCAAGGAGTCAGAGCCAATCCCCCTACGAGCTGGCGTCCCCCAGGGGTCACCGCTATCCCCGATACTGTTTATATTATACATTTCAACGCTGTACGAGGAGCTAGCGGAGCAGCACCCACTACTTTTAGTAGTCGGGTTTGCGGACGACACGAACCTGCTAAGCGTCGGCACCGATCCAGACACGACCTGCCGCCGGTTGGAGGGCGCATGGGCTACGTGTCAGCGGTGGGCAGTGAGGCACGGGATGGAGTTCGCCCCTGACAAGAGTGAGCTAATGCACTTTACTAGGGCCCGAGAGCCCTTGCCGCAAAGTATTCGCCTTGGGGACGCCACAGTGTCGCCGGTAGTCTCAGCGAGGTTCCTAGGAGTCTGGTTCGACCGCAAACTGACGTGGCACGCCCATGTTGAGCGTGTTAAAACAAAAATGGCAACTCAAAAGCTAGCCCTGACAAAGCTAGTCAATATGTCGTGGGGCTGCGATCTTATACGGGCGAGGCTGTTATATACGGTGGTTATCCGTAGCGCGATCGCCTTCGGGGCGACTGCGTGGCATACTATAAGTGAGGAACCGGCAGGGCCAGCTAAGAGCCTGATGGGGATACAGAACGAGTGCCTCCGGGTAGTCTGTGGCGCTCACAAAGCGACGCCGGTTCGCCACCTGGAAGCAGAAGCAGCAACCCCGCCACTAGACCTCTATCTTAGTGCCCGGGCTGCTAAGTTTGAAGAACGGCTACGGCTTAGCGGGAAGAGAAATCTGCTTCACAGCGCGAGCGCTAAAGCGTCACATATACTCCGGCAGGATAGGCCGGCGAAGAGGAAGCAGGCGTCGCAACTACTCCGACCGGCAGGGTACACTATGGAGAAGGAGGCCCGGGGCTCCGAGTGGATGAGTCAGGAAAAGGAGGTCCCGGCTGCCCTCCTCGGCCACTGGAGGAAGAGATGGCTCACCGGAGCAGAGCATCACGATCGCCAGCGCTATCGCTGAGGAACCGGAGGGCCCTTCGATGCAGATACCGAAAGGGGGCAAGTATTTCGGCCTGAACCGACTGGAGGCGTCTACGCTGTGCCAGATCAGGACGGAAAAATAGGACTAGCAGCCTTCTTATTCAAGACAGGGGCTTTTGGCGTGTACTCGCCGCTATGCCGCTGTGGCGACGCCCCTGAGACGGCAGAGCACGTAATCCTCTTTTGCGGGCTGTTGGAAGGACCGAGGGAATGATTACGGGCCGCTATCGCACCACGGCCACTATACTCTCGCAGAGACCTCGCAACGGCAACAGGAGAACCAGTAGTTAGTGGGACTATTGTAAGGTGGCTGCTAGGGACGGGTCGGACAGCTTCAAGGCCCAGATAGCATCGATCTTCTCAGGGGGGACTTTGTTGGTAGGTTGAGAACCAACGTAGTATGGTAGTGAACGCAACGCAGTCGCCAATAGGGCGAACCGACGGCGCAGCGTATGTATTTAGTCCAGCCATTAGGGCACGGTTTGACATACGGGAGTACTAGTAGAGGTACCGGGGGCTTCGAGCCTACGGCGTATTTAATAATAATATATTTAGAAGGCCTCAAGCCGTCAACAAACCGTATTTCAATATTTACCGTAAAGCTAGTTTATTACGTTAACGTCCTTTGTGCATTATTTTATGGAGCGCTTATTTGGGGCGTATACTTAAGCCGAGCTCAGACCAGACCCCTGTTGGAGTCGGGCTTAAAGCAGCGTGACTCAGGTCTAGTTATGGTACCTAGGTGTGCATGATTAATCTAGGTTAGGTTGGGGGTAATTCACGCGTCTGGTCGACCCAGGAGATGGATGCATTTTGAAGGGTCGTGCAGGGATCAGCCGCATTGCAAGGCCCCAAGGACTCAGTTCAAGCTTCCAAAGTTCTTTGCTGGCAGTCTTGGCACGTTGATGGGCTCACCAAGGCATGCGCTAAACCGGAACGAGCCAGTAGGCGGCCGATTCCTATAGGGACCTCCCTTTTTCGTTGGTGGCCAATTTGCCAACATTCCAGTTGGTAATGGACATCGAACCAGTGTTAAAAGATATCAATCGTAAGATATGATTTATACGTATATATGTGCCGCAGTAATACCTTACTCAGCTACCTTCCCCGCCCCAGCCCGTACAATAGTCCTCCAAATCCAATATTGATGGCAATATGTTGCCCCAGACTCCAAGCCATGCTGTAAAGATATTTCGGTGAAAACACAGTCCATATGAATAGATGCGTCCGTAGAGCCGTGCAAGCGGCCATGACGAAAGCCAGACTCGCGGTGGTAAACACCGTCAGCAAACCAACGTGCTGTTTGTAAACGTTGCCACCATTGCGGGCCTGGTTCTGCAGCAGAAGCAAGCTAGTTGCCGATGTCCACCACACTGGTCCCGCCCAATTACTGATGAATGTCAGAACCCCGACTGCAACGACGTTGTAGTCGCTGACTCCGTTGTAAGCACTCGACAAGTCTATCGACGATATTGCATTTGAGCCCCCCATGGCGAAGAAGGAAGCCAGCTGTAGGAGTAGGGATGATGTTGTTATCTCAACGGTGTCCAAATTTAAGTGCTCAAGAAACATGTGCAGCACCTGGAGAAGAAGAAACAGTGGGATATTGGTCGCTCGGGACTGAGTGAGAGCGAGGAGCGTACATAGGTGATGCAACGTTCGTATAGCTATTCATGAGTTAGCAGTTTAGTTGCATCTCCATAAATCCTATGGTAACTCACCTTTCAGCCTCAAATTCCTACTTCGATGGGTTGCCAGTACGTAAACTGGACAGACAGCAGCAAGTACTAAGCCGAAGAACACTGCCCGTGCTCGAGTGACCAGCGAAGGGCCGTCGAGAATGTCTAGAACCGATCTGGCGAAGCCAATGACCAGTTCCGGTGCGTCTTCATTCGTGAAAGCAAGCTTGAAAGACACTGCAGAGGCTACGAGCCCAATGGAGAGCGGGAAGGACACCGCACTCGGCAAGTACCCAAACCCACGCAATAGTTGAACAGCAACCATCCAGTAAGTCCCAATGATGAGGCACCAGAGAAGTTGTGGATTCGATGCCAAGAACAACTTGACAATGTCAGGCTCACCGGCGAACTTTTGTCCCGTCTGGTTCCAGCCCCTGATGAGTCGCACGACCGTGAGAACGAGCAGAACTCCGCCGATGGTTCTGGCACTGGTCTTACTCATCCCCTTGAACGCTAGATAGACGACCCAGGCTGACGTAGACCAATACCAGAAATGATGTTCTTCTTCAACGTAACTGCTCGCAAACATCATTATACCATATAGCAGGGTGATGCCCGCCAGAGGTAATGCGGTACGTGTGGCAGTCTGTGCAGAGACGAGAGTCGCAACGAGCGATAGGAGAAGAGCCAACGCAGCAGTCACAGCGCCGGACAGTAGCCTATTCATGTCGTAGTTGCTCGCCATGCTGCTCATGAGACTTTGCGCCTCTTGTAGCCATTGGGTTACTTGGACACTCCATGTGCCATCGGGGTCGTTTCCAGCCTGACCATTGATAGAATGCCACCTGCAAGCCAGCTCTTCTGCCGCGTTTGACACTTGGTGGCAGTCCTTGATACCGCTGTAAGTATTGGCCAACAACGAATTGCCAGAGGCTGCTGCGACAATTTCAAGAATCTGCCTTGTATTGTGCATGAGGATATTGACCTGGTCACGCTTTTCAGGCCAGAATGGCAAAAAGTCCATAATGAAGGCCCCAAGGTTGTTTTTTGGCACCGGAAACCCAAGCAAGGCGCCCAGCGTGGGGGCTAGATCAGACTGCTCCACAAAAGAGTAATACTGAAACTCATCTACGTACGGGGCTGGCACTGTAGCTGGCTTCGAGATAGTTTTAAGTTTCGGTGACATGAACACCAGAGCGGGCGAGGTCTCGCCTGGAGATGAAGCTCCGTGGTTACCCGCATCATTCATGCCATGGTCTCCGAGAAGAACCAAGAGGGTCGACTGTAGATGGGACTCAATCTCGATTGCTTTGTATATCTGCTGGACAATACCATCCATCTCGCGCTGTTTCGGTATCATATTGGGACTTCGTGGCCCAGCCTTGTGTCCGATGTGGTCCAGGCCCAGGTAGTGCAGCACCATGGTACTCCAATCGTCTTGGCGCAACTCGTCAGCGATATGCCTCGTCACGTTCCTGTCGACCTCGGTGAAATCCGAGACGAAGAAGCTCGAGGTACCGTCAGCGCGATCAAATGTGTCGGGGAAGAGCTTCAACCACGTGTCGTCGCCATACATGACCAGCTTTCCCGCCTCCTTCGCCTTCATCTGTGCAAGCCATGTATCTTGTGACGCGAGACTCGAGCTCGTATCAGCCTCATCGAAGTTCAAAATGACATCCAGGAAGGACGGTATAGAGCCGGTTGTGATGGCCTTGATGCGCGGCATAGTGATCGTCGGGGACGTCGCATGCGCCGTGAACGGCATTGCGGCCCCATCTGCGATCAGACTCTGCGTGAATCCAAAACCAGAGCCATTGGCGTAAACAAAGTCGCTTCTCAGGGCGTCCACAACCATAAAGACGAGGCGATCAAATGGCGCCGGTGGAGGCGCCCCGTAGCCCAAGGCTTCATATTGGGCGAGTCCTGGCAGAAACGGTTTGTACGGGAAAAAACCGGTGGCAAAAAGAAGGATCGCGACGGGTATTAGTGAGTTCGCTACAATGAGCAGACCGGTCGACAGGGAGAGGGAGAGGGAGTATTGACGACGTTGCATCTTTGGCGTAGCGCAGCCTAGGAAGTCGAGGAAAGCCGCGTCGAGTATCGTGAATACGGGATGATAGGTGTCTTGTTCGTCGTCTCCATGTCTGCTTAGAAAAGGGCCGGGTACATTCCAATCATGTTCCCTAGTCAGCGACAGCACTGAATGAGAGGTAGTTGTCGGTTTCTGGCTTGTGGTGGATGCTGTAAAGATTATCTAAAGCTGGCTGTCATCAAGGTGTTCGGTAGAAATTCCCTATGGAAATGTTTCGACCCCTGGCAGGCCACTAGAAAACAGGGGTGCCAGGGTCGGCCCCACAGCGTCATGGCCTACCCCAGCTTCTACTTCTCAGCTGCCTCAGAATGTGCCCCGCTTCAACGACCGTTACGATGTATGATCATGACAATTTTTATCATCTTTACTCTAGCAATGTCAAGAATCAAGCTACGCGAAAAGGTCATCTGACAAAGCTTCACAACCTGCTCTTTAGAAACCCTTATTTGTTGTGTAACATCTCATATTAGCGTATCTGGCCACGCCACCCGTCACTTGAACGAAGCTTGTCCACAATAACATTGCTGCCCTGATTTCCGAGTACGAGCTTCAAGATGCCGACTGATTCGGGATCCGACAACCCTTTCATTCGCTTCAAGAACATTGTTGACGACACGGTAGCGCAGAAGTTCCGGAGCCTTTCGTCAGCCGGGCCAGTCGAGTCAACTGGCGATGCACGCAATGATACCGCTCGAGACGAGAATACGACTGCACAGACCCCTGCTCTCTCAAGAAACCCCGATATCATAGGGAACAGATCAACTACTGGAACAACTCAACAACATGACCCCCCTTCACAACCACGGAGCTATTCATCAATAGACTCCATAACCCAAGAGCTTCGACATCGAACCATCCTCTCCTGGGCTACCTTCTCTTCCTATTCGCCCTTCAACCTCACGCACCTACCGCAGCCCAAACCCCGCGACGCTTGCCGCAACCCCGCCCATGGCTTCACCTTTAGAGATGCATTTGAGGATCTCGCGGCCGTGAGCTCCGGGGAATCCTTAGGCGACTTGGAAACGATGGGGTATAAATTGGCTGAAAAGGAACCCCAGAACCAAACAGTCGCATCATCCAGTCACTGCGATGTTCCTCCGTTGCCATTATGTCTAAACAAATGGGTCAACCGGCTGGAACGCCGCCAGCTATGGGGAGCCTACTTCCCGGTGCGGTCATTCCGCGATGAGGCGGAACGCATTTTGAAACGAGGTGGCGACCGCGAGGCTCTGATCGGGCAGGCTTCGATGTGTAAAGAGGAAAGAGTCCTGCCACGTTTGGGGGCCCTGTCCTTAATCCAGCTTACGGTCTTCCCTCACCTTTTCTTGCAGGTGAATCCTTGGTGGGCAGCGTTCGACCCGTTCAACTTGGTTAATGAGCCGTTGGCTGAGCTATACAATCCCTGGATTAAAGCACTCAAGACCGCCGATTGGGGTGTTGACGCGTCTCCTCGTGAACCCGAGACTTCTGAGGACTTATACCTGGCTCATAACTCCGATTTTGCGAGGCGAGATCCGGGATCAGCATTTATGGCGTCAGAAGCTCCAGACGAGTTTCACTTGCACCGTAAAGCCCAAGCCAGGTCCGATTCTAGATCAGTGATACCCATGTGGAGTACACCGAGTCATAGCTCCTTTCCTAACGGGAATAGCACAAACTCCACGGCAAGTAAAACGTTGTCGACAGAAACTTGGATCTCTCCAGAAGGCAAGACTGTGCAGCGTGTTGAACGTCGGGTATTCGATGGGATGACGCAGGTCATGGAGACAACGGTCCAATATAATGCCAAGGGCAGTGTAGTGGAGAGGACAGTCATTAACCGTCAGTTCTCGACGAAGGAATCAGATGCTGCCTCCGCGACCAAGTCGTATACTGGCAGAGGTGACCAGCAGACGCGGCATACTTCAGAACAGGAGGTCGAAACAAATACTGCGGAAACCACAAAGAAAGAAAAGAATGGCTGGTTCTGGATATGAAATGCTCAATGGTAATGAATTATTTGGGTATGGCTTCATGCATTATCTCAGCTCACATTGACTACAATTTGTCCTTCGTAAGTGCTATCGGATGCTTCAGAAGTTCGCCCCTTTACTTCCCGCCGCGTGTACCAGCCTTCTTTTTCCTCATGAGCCGTTTCCTGCCAATGATTGTCTGCTCCAGTGCCTTTTCTTCCGTCTGCTTTGCGCTCGCAGATTTTCCGCTCTTGCCAGCATCCCCGCCGGCTGCAGCGCCTTTCTTGTTGGGGCGAGCTGCAGCACTGAAAGAGGTCGGCTTGGGTTCGTTCGCGGGCTGTCGGGGCCCCTGGTTGGACTTGAATTCAATATCCTTGCGTCTGGCCACAACTTGCGCATTCTCAATGGCAAATTCAACAATGAGTCTCTGCGTCTTTCCAAGGTGATTCTTAAGAGCATGGCCGTTCAGCCATCTCAGGCCCATAAGCGCTGCTCGATGCGTGTAATACTCGACGAATCCGTAGCCACGACTCTTACCAGCACCATCCCCTTCTCCAACCTTGGTGCCCTCTGTGTTCTCAAATACGATCTTGGTTTGCTTGACTACACCCTTCCCCTTTTCCTTTCGCTTGCGTTCAGCCTCTTTCTCCTCAATACCACCGCGAATAATCTCCTCTCTGGAAAGCGGCTCTCGTTTGCCTTCCTTGACATCTTTGGCAAATCCAACAATTGCCTCGCGAGCCAGAGCTTTGAGGTCTTTAGATGTGATGTTCCGGGGAAGATTGCGAATAGCGAGTCGCGTAAGACTGAGATGTAAACTAGGGTTGCTTTGAATGAGCTTCTTTCTCTGGGCGGCGCTGTCATCTCTCATCTGCACCTCGGCAGTGGATAGAAGCGCGTGCAATGGAGAGTCCCTTGAAATGCTACCCTCGGCAAGGAGGTATAGACGCCTCTTGTCCTTGGCCTTATCATCTCGGGAAGCAACCCCAGTGGCGGTGAGACGGCTTGCCTCATCCTTGTTCACAGCTTGTGACACTTGGAGTACGCGGCCCTCGAGCGTGTAAAGACCTTGCGCATCGGCCATCTCATCTTGTAAAATGGATCGCTTGCCAGCAGTGTCGGAGACGCGCGGGCGGGGAGCTCCCTTCAGGCAAGCCTTAAATTCCTCTTCATTGAAAAAGCAGACGAAGCCAGTTCCAGCTGGTCGGTCTGTGGCGCGGTCTATCACCACACGAGCGTAGCGGATACTGCCGAATTGCTCAAAATGAGACTTGAGTCCGGCATCTGTTGTTGAGAATGGCAAGTTGCGAATGAAAATGGTAGTGTCATTGCTGGTCATAAGCCTCTTTGGCGGTGGCTTAGTCTCCTTATCATTGGAAGTTGAGCCGTTGTCTTCGTCATCTTCGTCTTCGTCCTCGTCTTCCTTCTCAGCATCACTATCCTCATCCTCTAGGTTTTCCATATGGTTCTTCATGAAGTTGCGAAGATCTTCGTCTTCTTCTTCATCTTCGGCCTTGTTTTTATCCTCGTCGTCGTCTTCCACGTTGGTGTCAGCGGCAGCATCTGCTGACTTTGACTTTGACTTCGACTTCGACTTGGCCTCGACCTTTTTGTCTTCAGCCTGTGCGCCTTGCTGTTTCTCCCAATCCTTCTTCTCCACTGCCCAATCGACTGCCAGGGTTCTGTCGTCGATGATCTTGCCATTCAACTCTGCCAAAGCCTTCTCTGCATTCTTGCGGCCGCGGATGGTGACAAAGCCAAAGCCTGACAACTTGCCCTTTGATTGGGGCAAATCGGCGTACTTTACCTTGCCATAGCTGTGGAACAGGGCTCCCAATTGATCTTTCGTTTTGATACTCCAAGGCAAATTACGAATAATCAGTTTGGGTGCTTTTTTCGCCTCCGCTAGGGCTGCTTGCCTGTCCACCTTCTTCGTTGCGGCTGCCGCCGATGTTGCTGTAGGTTTGCGTTGTCTCGGTTCAGCAACCTCCAAGCTAATGGTTCGACCATCGAGCTTGTGGTGTTGCAGCTTTTTTGTGGCGTCGATGGCATCGTCGGGGTCAGTGAAGGTGACGAAACCATAACCTCTCGAGGTTTTCGTAGCAGGGTCAAGAACCACGGTGGCATGCTTCACAGGATAGTGTTGGGAGAAGAAATCAGTCAAAGACTCGGCAGTGGCATTCTGAGGTAGCGATCGAACAAAAAGAGACCTGCTGGCCTCGACTCTAGCTCTCTTGGAGGCTGGCTCCTTGACGGCTTGTTCTGGCTTTTCTGCCTTGGTCGTGTTTTTGGCTTGTGTAGAGGAGTCGGGAGGGGCAGAGACCTCGGCATCGACGGCCTGATCACGCCTACGTTTACCAGCCATTATGATAAATTGGTATGTGGTATGGTATTGTATGGGTATTGCGATAGCTGGTTAAGCTCTGCCTCCCAATTGCGATGGCAGAAAAAAAAGATGGAGGGCAGTCATGATAACAAGCCACAGCAAATGTGCAAGTCGATAAGACTTTGGGTGTGGCTGGTGGGGAATTTTACCTATTGTCCCGCCTTTCCGGACCGCAGTTGCCATAGGATCCATTGAGCCCCTCATCGGTCTTCCATTATTGACTTACCAGGACTGCAACAAACAGTGCAAAACGCGAGGCGCGTCAAAGTGCGACAACTTCTTCTGCGACTAAAGAATTCGAAATAGGAATACCATAACGATACTCGAACGAATACACGATATAATACGACTACGAAGCGAAGTATCCCTACGGGCTCGTTCATATATTTTGTTGCCATTATACACCCGAGGCGCATTAGTCAACAAGTCTTGACGACCGCGCGCCAACCGCTACATACACACAAGGTTTGTTGCTAGCAGCGCTGAATAGCGTGGGAAGTTACAACTGTACGACGTCCCTTGGTTATCCACACGATCGCCCAGAATGCCGCCCAGAGCGTCTACAAGGTCGACACGAAACTCAACGGCCGTTTCGCACAAGCCAACGGCTGCGACCCCGAACTCGCGCGCATCTGCCACTTCCCGCATCTCCCTCAAAATCCCCGAGGAGGCGCCTGACAATGCGCTGCGAACTCAGATATGCGGCATCTTCAAAGATGCCCAGCGAACGACGGCGACGCACCGGAAGTTGGTTGTAAACCTGCGCAAGATCCACGAAGCCTGCTGCTATGAACCGATTCGTCCAAGCAAAAATGGCGACTCCAACGACTTTGACGAGGCCGATTTCAATAACGAGTTCACCCGCTGCGTGATACGCGCCATGCCGGTCAAGAAAAGCGAAGGCATCGGGGAGAAGACGATTCGATTCGTCGGTTTGTTCTTACGCCACGCCAGCGACAAGGACAATGATGTGCTGGGGGAGAACGACGTCGATGCTAGTACCATGCCCGAGACCCCCAGTACGCGGCTTACTACACAAGTAATGGAGGCTATTGTCGCATTGCTCACTGCCAAGGACAAGTTCGTTCGATATAGGGCAACCCAACTTATCTCCCACGTCATCAACTCGCTCGACGCCATCGACGATGATCTTTTCCAAAAGTTGCGACATGGTCTGCTGAAGCGTATCCGTGACAAGGAGGCCATGGTCCGGGCTCAAGCCGTCCTCGGACTTGGAAGACTGGCTGGCAACCAGGTTGAGGGAATGGCTAACTCGGAGGATAGTGACGATGATGCTGAGACGGGCCTGTTGGAGAAGCTCTTGGAAGTTCTGCAGAACGACCCTAGCGCCGAAGTGAGACGCTCGCTTCTGGTGAACTTGCCGATTCTCCCAAATACACTACCTTACCTCTTGGAACGTGCCCGTGACCAAGATGCTCAGACTCGTCGCGCTGTCTACTCAAGACTGCTTCCTGCACTCGGCGACTTTCGCCATCTCTCCCTTTCCATGCGCGAGAAACTCCTTCGCTGGGGCTTGAGGGACCGAGATGAGAATGTACGCAAGGCCGCCGGCCGTTTGTTCCGGGAGCGGTGGATCGAGGACTGTGCGGGTGTTTCTGCGCAGGCCGAGGATGGCAAGCCTGCTGAAGCAGCGACCCCTAGTCTGGATGGTCTCCTTGAACTTCTCGAGCGCATCGACATAGTGAACTCCGGTGTTGAGAATGGAGTAGCTCTTGAGGCCATGAAGGGCTTTTGGGAGGGCCGCCCAGATTACAGAGATGCCGTCTCGTTTGATGACAATTTCTGGGAGACACTTAGTGCCGAGTCGGTCTTTATTGCGAGAAGCTTCAATGATTTCTGCCGAATGGAAGGAAATGGCAGATACGAATCATTGGTTGAAGAAAAGCTACCAGAGGTCACCAAATTGGCCTTCTACCTGGAACGTTATCTCAATGTTCTCACCGAGGCGATACGCCGAGTCAACACTCAAGAGCCTTCTGAGGAAGATGACGACGAGGAAGATACGGTTGAGCAGGAGTTTATTGTAGAGCAGCTGCTACACATCATCTTGACGCTGGACTACTCAGACGAGGTTGGGCGCAGAAAGATGTATGCGCTGCTGAGGCAGACTCTGTCCATTCCGGAACTTCCCGACGAGGTCACGAAACTCACTGTCAACGTGCTCCGCGACCTATGCCCCCCTGATACTGCTGGGGAGAAGGAGTTCTGCAGTGTTGTTCTGGAGGCAGTTGCCGACGTCCATGATACCATAGTTGACGATCCTGGCGCCGATAACGACGACGACAGTTTCCACTCCGCCCGCTCTGATGTAAGCAGTGATGGCACACCTACTAAGCGTGGCAAGAATGGCGAGTTGAATGAGGAGGATGCCCGAGCCAAGGCCATTAAGGAGATCATGATCAACATGAAGTGCCTGCACATAGTCCAGTGTATGCTCGCCAACGTTGAGGGCACCCTGCAGGAGAATGATCACCTCATCTCCATGCTCAACAACCTGGTCGTGCCAGCCGTCCGCAGCCACGAAGCCCCCGTCCGCGAGCGAGGCCTTGTGTGCCTCGGGTTATGTGCGCTTCTCGATAAGCCACTTGCAGAGGAGAATTTAACACTCTTCATGCATTTCTTCAGCAAGGGTCATGCGGCTCTTCAGATCACAGCCTTGCAAATCCTCACCGACATTCTGAACGTGCACGGTGCCCAGCTTCTATCAGCCAATCCTGCACTTCTCAAAGTCTACATCCGGGCCTTGCGCTCTGGCTCAAAAAACCCCGAGGTACAGGGCGCCGCCACCGTTGCCGTTTCAAAACTTCTCCTGGGCAGAGTTGTTACGGACCACGAAACGTCGACAGAGCTACTCAAGACGCTTGTCGTCGCATATTTCGACCCAGCTACCAACGGCAATCAGAGCGTGAGGCAAGCTCTAAACTACTTCCTGCCAGTCTTCTGCTTTTCCAGGGCCGAGAACCAGGGCTTGTTGCAGTCCGTGGCTCTCGATGCTCTCCACGCCCTATACAATGTGCGCGAAGGCCTAGAGGATGACGACGCTGACATTAACGAGGAGATGGCCAGTTTGAGCACTATTGGCGCCTGCTTGGTGGACTGGACGGATCCACGGAAGTGCTACCAACCAGGTCTCCCTATGGAAGCCGAGAAGAAGCACGTCAATGGCGACGTCCATCTTGATTTCGCAACTGACATCTTGGAGAAGCTGAACAGCAGTGCTAGCAGTAAGTGGAATTAAGCTTCGCTTGCAAAGGTTTACTAACAGAGATACAGAAGAAGAAAAGAAGACGGTTGGGCCGCTGCTGGGGAAGTTGTATATTTCGCCTGCGTCTTCAGAGGACAAGATCCGCGTCTTGTACGAAGAGGTTTCTTCAGCCGTGGAAGAAAACATTGCCACCGACGCAACTAGCAGAAACGCTCTTTACAAGATCCACGTGAACCTTGGCAAGATCGTCAACCAACTGAGTGAGCAGGACAAGACAATGATGCGAAGGAGCGGGAGTCGGAGCGTGAGCGTCTCGGTCGCGGGAGATACCTCTGTGACAGAGGATGAAAAGACCGCTTTGATGGATGACAGCAAAGGGGACGAAAAGACAGTACTGGCCCCGTCACCCATCAAGGAGGAACCTGAAGATTCTGACGTTGATCTTGATGGCCCGAGTCACTCTACGATACGGACGGCTCGTCAGGATGACGACTCGCTCGTGGAGGAACTACTTACGGATGGGGAAGATTGAGATGACGTGATTATGTTGCGATGATATCCGATATATTTTTGTGTAGTTGTTACTCGAACTTAGTGAATGATTCCCAGCCCTGTTCCACAACTTATTCTTGTACCTGGTCGAGCGCGCTCTCCGATCGGTAAAATCCCCTTTTTCGCTTTCATAGGTTATCAATGGCGTGCCGGGTACGGACCTCATTTGAGTTGACTCAGTTATTCATCTCCCCTCGCACCGCAACCCGAACGTCCACAGCCCTGACCCTTGCACCGCCAAATACATCCACCGCCGCAATACTCGCGTCCCGCGCCGCCCGCAAAACCAGTTTCATCCGCTCATTCCCAACACCATCCCCCACCTCCCTCACAAACCCCTGGCTCGTGGCTGAACTCGTCTCCCAGTGCCTATCCCAAAGCCCAACAGGCATCACAGTCTCCTGTCCATGCCGCCTCACCAGAAAGCGCCACAATTGCGCGTGGACTGTGCGTCATTCTTTGGAGGAAACGGCTTTGTCAGAGATGTTGTAAGTCGACATGACATGATGGGCACAAATGGACGGTTCATTCAACTGCCTACACCATGGGATGAATAATACTCCAAACTGCCCGCCTGGGAAAGAATCTTGTCGTTGTTGCTGTTGTGTGCATCTACCGTCCTTCTGACTCCTTCCGCGACTCGGATCCCGCCTTCTACTCCTATCTTTGGATGTTGCCTTGAGTATGTGTCCTGACAGCTAAACACTGTAAGCCTCCATTTTCCCCAAACAAGCTTGAAATCGAAGTGGCTTGACATGCCCTGACCGTGTAAATGCGTCTTGTCATCTTCCTGGGCTTCAGTGTAGTCCACGACCTCTCATTACTGAATATCACTCTTTTCCTCACACTGATTGCGGGCCTGGGAGAGGGATTCGGACCGCGTAGCAAGGTCGGCCCCTCGTTGCCATAGTTATGGGACATGATCGCAAGACCGATATTGTAAGAGTGGAAGAGACATAATACTGGCTGTCGGCGAAGACTCACATCCCTAGTCGAGGGTGACTAAACGCAGAGAAAGATTTGAACCACGCCACCTAGGACTGAAACAATGCTGCCGTGTGGCTGTGGTGCCACATATGATAGATACTTATCCCGCTGGAGGAAGCCTAGTCGCCCAGGCAATACTCTCGATGCCGTTTGTATGCGTAAATATATTCAAGACGTATATGTTTTGGTGTGAAGGAACGGCTAGCTGAGCTGGTAGAATTGAAATCAAGTTTAATAACAGGTGCTGTTGCGACTTATTTCTTGTTCAAGGCGCATAGTGAGGCTCGACATACGTTTAGTACTTGCAGCGGAGATCACGGCTGAGAATATAAAAGCTATTAAGACAAATTCTGACTGATTTTCAGTTAGTGCCTGACATGCTGAGCTACAATATATATAGAACCTGGCTCACTCACAGTCATCAACGATGATAGTTGCACGCATGATTATCAACCGAGCAAAGAGATGTAGGCCCACAGTCGCAGCGGTAATGATGGTCGTCGTGACCCGTCATCGCCATAAGCTGACCCTTCCACAGTGTGAGGTTGTAGACAATGCGAATGTGGTCTGGTAGTGGCTCTCATATGTATTCACCAGCCATATTGACATCCACTGATGGCACCCGTATGAAACATATACACCGAAAATACCCAGTGGTCTGAGAAGGTACTCTTCCTAAATGTGAGTAGGACTATGAGAACCTATCCCTATATAACAAACAGTTTCCTGTTTGTATCCTGAAATAGCTACACAGAGCAAGATAAAACTATTACAAAGTATCAACGAATAACCTATTCTCGAGTGTTGTAAGCGGAACAAATACTCTGACTCAAAAGAATTATTACCCAAATATTATTCAAGTATTTAAGCTAAGGTACGTAAACTAGGACCGGGATTCTGAAATAGCGTTCAAAAATTAGTAGAGGCTAAGCTAAGGTATATAAAGTACAATATGTCTTTAGAGGACTTGGGTTTCAAACTAAGCAACGAATATACTCGATATATATGGATTGCGAGCGACATGGGCCCGAATCATAACTCGAAAAACGGGCAGCTAGTATATGATAATTTTGAATGGTAGAAAGTAGGAAAGGATTTGTCGAGTTAGGGGGACCTCTGGACCCTACGAAAACAACATGAGCATTTATCTCCCGTCTTGCGAGGTTGGGACTCAGGAAATCGACCAATAGGCTTCCTCTCCACCTGGCCCGCGCCTATATCGCCCGTTTGGATCTGGCCGGCACCAAAGTCAGGAAGCAAAAAGACCAGAGCAATGCTTCGCCATATCGCATTTCGCCCCAATGAACATACTTTTCGCGGCGATATGGATTGAGCGGCTTCATGCTACATCTGGACGTTGGGACGATGCCGTTCACGTTTGGAGGGAAACCCTTGCCATTGTGCCGGCCTTGAGCCCAAGGTCGTTGTCTCGGCAGGACCAGATCAATGTCATTCAAAATATACAGGGCATTTCCTGTATGAGCCAGACCTAATGCTATCGTCTTGATCGGCGAGAGTCTCGGGTTATCTTCCCGTCTTCATAATCATCAGCCGCATCTCAGCCGCACTAGTCACCACCATCACATCTTCAGCTGTCATGTGTTCGGATGCTCCGTCAAGCGTCAGTACAAAAATCCGAGCTTGCCACGTCGTTGCTTCAGTGATTTTTCAATAAAACGCAAGCTCGCAATAATCGTTCCCACAAAGCTTGATTCGGACATCTGTAGCCCCCTGCCTGGCTGCTTCTATGTCTATCATGGCCTCAATCATGCGACCTCCCTATGTGTATCAAAGTCTAAACAACAAAGATGTATCCATCCTCGATGATGACTTTCAGCCCTTCGACTTTTTCAAAATCAGGGTCATGGTGCTTGAGCCCGCACCAGATTTTGATGCCGAGCTACAATGTACCATTGAGACAGTCAACCTAAGTGACTGGCCAGACTTCGAGGCCGTATCGTATGTCTGGGGTCCTCCTGTCTTCCTCAAGGAGTTATTCTGTGATGGCTCCAAGATTTCTATCACTCCGACTCTCGACCAGGTCCTCCGCCGCTTCAGGAAGAAGACAGAAAAGCTCAGACTCTGGGTAGACGCCGTTTGCATCAACCAAGCCGACATCAGGGAGAAGAACCAACAAGTACAGCGCATGGGCCAAATTTACAGATATGCAAGGTCCGTCCTGGTCTGGCTAGGAGACGGCGGCAAGATGGACGAGTGCATCGACTTCCTTTGGGGACTGAGCAGCTCCCAGCATGAATCCAGCGTTACAGCTGAGCGCGCCGTCTCCAGCATCGAGACGGAGATGCGCCGCTTCTTTGAGAATAAAGAGGAAGGCATCGAGGCAGTCCAACGGTTTCTAGCTCTGCCGTGGTTTACAAGACGGTGGATCGTTCAGGAGGCAGTGCAGAAGAACGCGCACTTCTACTGTGGATCTCTGGACATCACCAGCCATGCATTGAACCATGCCGTCTTCACACTGAATAAGAGCACTTTCAACTTTGATCAACACGTCATGGATCATATCCGCGCGCTCGAGCGGCAGGGTGCGTACTATGAGTTCCCTGAACAGTACGGAGAGGATGGCTATGGCATCCTCGATATTCTCGTGCGGTTCAGTTCTTGCAATTGCACCAACGAACATGATCGCATATATGCGCATTTGGGTTTGGCAAACGACGTTCGATCCCCATTTGCAAGTCTGAGACCAGAGCCCGAACACCGGTTTTCTCAACTGTCCATTACCAGTGGGTCCGAGGAAACATACACAACCCGACAAAGCAGACAAAGCATTCCCATCCAAGTCGACTACGAAGCCAATGTGGAGCACGTGTACGCAGACTTCGCAGAATCTATGCTGAACCAGAAAATCCATCTCGAGCTTTTGCACTGCTCAGGTGCCTTCCGACCCGAGCTCCAACTCATGACGACTAGAAACAAGAGCTGGGTACCAGACTGGAGACTGCCGATGCGTTACCAACCCCTACTTTCCGTCCCGTGGTTTAATGCCGGCGGAGAGCAGGAAAACAAGCCCTTCTTCAACTACCCCTGGTGCTCCGTCGAGGGTCTCGTCTTCGACACAGTCAGGGTCTCCTGCCCGATCACGGAGTTCGCCGGTGGGGAAACTCCCAACCGGCGCGAGATGCCCCCTATAGGATATATATGCAGCGCCTTGGGCATGTCACGGAGATACTTCACTGGCGAACGGATGTGGCAGGTCTTGGCCATGACTTTCATTTCTGACCATGCGTTGAATCATATCCATCAGCAGCAGTACCATAGCCGGGATCACATGTATAATGGGAAGCTCATGAAGCGTGATGCGAGAGAACGGGACATGCATACTCTACTGGACTGGTGGGCTCCGTGGGACGATGCTAGACTGGCGGCCGGTGGGAGGCCAATGGGTGGTCCATATGACGGGACACCTTCACAAGAAGGGACAGGAGAGGAAGTTTCGGTTCAGCATGATAACAAAAGTGGACCGACATCCGACACCATCGAAGATCCCCTGGATATGGAGGCCATAGTCAAAGAACACTCCAAGTCACTGCACAGACACGACTCTATTGGCACCTTTCTGAAAAGCATGGAAAGCCGTGATGACTGGGGCCCAACCAGCCACGCCGTCCCATCCCGCTGGCACAGCCGCATCGATGAAGAGCTCGAGCCTTACTTCCAGGCACACTTGGACCAAATGTACCGCTCCGACGACAGTACCGACACGAACACCAACGACAAAAATCCCGAAGACAAACCCATTGACTGCGAATGGCGTTGTCAAAAACAAGGCTACATCTGGCTCAACCCGCACCGCCGTAACACAGAGCGTTACGCCGAGCTAGCCAACGAGACACTGCGAGGCAGGGCCTTCTTCACCACGGAAAAAGGGTACATCGGGATTGGGCCGGATGATCTGGTGAAAGGGGATACGGTGGCGGTGTTGAAGGGGGCGAGGACGCCGTTTGTGCTGCATCAGGTGGAGGGGAGTTTGGCGCAGTGGAGGCTGGTGGGGGATTGTTATGTGCATGGAATTATGGGTGGAGAGGCTTTGGAGATGGATGGGGTGTTGGAACGGAATTTTGTGTTGGTTTGACATCAGCGTATAAGGGGATTTGGGGTGCGATATGGGAAGGTTACGCTAGGGGCATACGTACTGGCCGAACAAAGTCATATAATGGCATTGTATCTACAAACGGACGACTAGTGGAGATTACTGTCAAGCGCGGATATTGGACTACCTTGATAATGATCATAATTCGCTAAGGAACTAGAAAGGCAAAATAAGTATACAGGTGAGCAATTTGCCTGTGCCAAATAGACTAAACTCGCACGTAAAATAATGGGCCCCTGGCCTATATTCTAGCCGCCCTCCTACTATTCTGATCCACCTCCTCCTGCAACCCCTTCACCGTCCATGGCTCATACTTCTTTCCCGGGGGCGTGTTCGTATTCTCAAACGGCGCACCATTCTTCACATGCTCCGCACATTGTTCGAAGTTCTCAAAAGCGTACTTCTCCGCGTCGTGTCTCACAATCCAAGGGCCCCTGTCGTAAATTAGACACATCAGTCAAAATGCTTCCGCTAATGTTATACAGATGAAGCGGCAGAATGAGCAAGGAAGAGAAAAAAGAAAGGACTTACACAACGCCCAACGCCTCCGGGTTCCGCATAACATCCTCCCAGCTCGAATGATGATAGAACTCCCTAGTCTCAATCCCCATTCGCTGCGCAAACGAGACCCGCTCGAATCGCAATTTCTCGTGCACTTTGACTGCAAGCGGGATCTCCCCCTTTCCACTCCTCGTTACTCCCTCTCCCCTATCTCTGTCCGCCACAATCCTCAAACAAGCCGCAATCGAGTACGCATCCTCCATCGCCATGACGGCCCCACTCCCCGAAGTCGGGATAAGCGGATGACACGCATCCCCAAGCTGCAGAACACGGGAGTGAGGGGAGCTCCATTTCGATTGCGGACCGCGCCACACGAGCTTCCAGTCTACGCACCGGTTCCCGGGGGTGGTGCTGATTAGGGCAGCGAGGTAGGGGGCCCAGCCAGCGGAGGGACGGACCAAAGACAGGGCGCCGTCGGTCGGAGCGGTGGCGGACCAGGCTTCTGTGGCGGTTTGGGAGATGTCGCGGTGGGTCAGCATCCAGGAGATCTGGAATTTGTGTTAATTCTCTGCATTTTTGGAGAGTGAGGGGAAAGGGGTAAGAGGGTTACGCTATTAGTTTTGGAGTTCTTCGCAGTGACGATGTGGAGGTCGTCGGCGAGAAAGATTTGGACACCTTCGACGGAGCCGCCCCAGTGTTCGGATACTAGAGGGTCTTTCAGGGCATGGTCTGGAGGAGAGTTAGTGTGGTTGTGTAGACTAGATTTGCTCTGTTACCGAGTGCGAAGCTGGTTCTGTAGATCGAAAAGCCGCTGCTTGTTGGGGTTTCTGGGTTTGCGTCCTATAATCTGTTAGAACAAAGGGCATGTAAAATGGAGTGCGACTCCAATTGTTGACTCACTACCAACTTCGCAGATTTGGACGCGATTCCATCAGCGGCTATCACCAGGTCGGCAGAGTACTTCTTCCCATCCGCCACGACAAAGCCGCGATCCTTTGTCTCAGAATACTCGACCGCGTTCGCATTAAACGCAATAGGTATCCCCAACTCAGCCGCATATTTATGCAGCTCCCCGTGGAGCATGGAACGCCACAGAGGCATACTAATAATGCCCTCATCACTACTATCCTGGTCACTCAGCGTAGCAATCTCCGTGCCATCGAATTTGAAGAAGGTAATCCTTGGTGGCATAGCATTAGCCATCAGCCGATCAAGAAAGCCGGGCCATTTCTTCATTGTTCTTTGCGCGCTGCGGGTGATGCCGATGAGGTCGCCTGTCATTGTTCTAGTGGTGGGGAGTTTATGTCAGGGTGGTTCGTGAGGACAAGTTACCGAAAGTGTTAAAGTCTGCCCTTTTTTCCAACACGCGGACCGTGTGTCCTTTGCGGTGACACTCAATGGCCGCCGTCATGCCTCCAATGCCACCACCGACAATCAGCAGTTCAAGGTTGGTGGGGGAGTCACATTTCATGGATTTCGCAGACATGTTGGGCTGACAGTTGTGGGTTTTGAAGATTCGGAATCAATCATGACATTTGGCAGCTTGAAGGATTGTGTCAATGGAGACGAAAGGTTTATATTAGTAGCATCATAAAGCACCTAACCTAGGCACGCCGAGAGCCGGGGACCTAATACCCAAATTCGGCTTAATCTACCATCGCATTGGAGGTCGCTCGCATTAGGTCAACTTTATTCAATGCGGAGTAGACATGGGGCTTGAAACATAGCAACTCATGATTCACCAACTCTTGTCATTATTGGGAAGCCCATGCGACTGATCTAGCCGAATACAGGCAGCAGTTCGCCGGGTCCTGATATAATAGTATAATACTCTTGCCTTCACCTACTTATCACTACTGGTACCAGCGTGCCTACTCGTTGCGTACAAATAAGAAAACATACAAAATCTTGCTAGAGGTATGGTTGAACAGTTGAACATGTTCATCGTTCCACTCCCAAAATGCTTGTGCTATCCCGGTGCCGCCCTCCAACATTAGCATTGTTGAAAAGGACGTGTAACTTGTTCTCGCGCTCCAGTATGTGGTGTGCGGCGACTCTGATGGAGGTCGTCTAGGTCGAGCAGAACGAAGAACAGCTCTCCCGTACAGGAGTGTGTGACCTCTTTGATGTCGCCGAATTCCCTGTGGGACTTTCCGGGGATTGTGCTACCACGTATGCCCTGGCTACTTCTTCTCCTATACCTGTTATACGTAGTTGGCTCATACGCCCCTTATTAGAAAGGATAAGGTAAAGAGTTTAACTCGCCGTGCAGTGATGGAATTTATTTCTCAGTAAAGCTTTGATTCCAGGGGCTGAACTGCCCGAACGTCTTGATAATTTCGACCAGTGCCTTCATTCTTGATTGTCATCCAGCTAACGGATATTTCTCAACCATGGTGGTATGGTGGGGCTAAACTTGTCCTGGAGGGTAATATTGAGCTATAGATGCGAGAGAGGGTGGTTAACATAAGGCAGAAATCTCCGCGCCGGCAGACTTCTAGAGCATTTGTAGCTGCCGAATTTCCAAGTCGGCAAGTTTTGCTGACAGCATGAACAAGATCGGTGCGCCACATGGCAGGGCTCCTTATGCACCTGCTCAGGGATGTAAGCGACGATACATGCATCCGATTTATAACGGCTTCCGATCGCCAGCGTGGACCGCGCTCGCGGTCATAAGTGTTTATCGAGGGTAGACTGACCAGCAGTCTGCATCAATAATGTATTCGTGTCGGTTAACGTAGAACTGAGAAGCCGAAGAGAAGTAAACCCTAGTTTACCTGAGTGCCTTAGTACTATGCCGAACTGACCAAGGGAAAGCATATGGCTCTAGTAAGATGAGCCATTACGGAATAAAGGGTGGCGGTATCTCTTTTGTCTCCCGCATCAGAGTGTGTGATCCTTTCGAATCAGTGAATTCAAGCATACCTTGCCAGTAAATTTTGCCCAAAGAAGTGAAGGCCCTCGAATGGAGTCAGTAGAACAACGGATCGATTAGTATTATGTGCTCTATCTTGATAGGATCTTATTGCCACTGTCCTTTCAGGCGTCCATTTCCACAACGCCGAGACCGAGAGGCCTACCTCGAGGACTTGGTATAAAGCCCTGAGGACTTCAGTACTAGTATAGACATCACTCGATTTTGTGACGACAGTTATCCGCATTATAGCAAGGCTAGATATATATGCAGCGCCTTGGGCATGTCACGGAGATACTTCACTGGCGAACGGATGTGGCAGGCCTTGGCCATGACTTTCATTTCTGACCATGCGTTGAATCATATCCATCAGCAGCAGTACCATAGCCGGGATCACATGTATAATGGGAAGCTCATGAAGCGTGATGCGAGAGAACGGGACATGCATACTCTACTGGACTGGTGGGCTCCGTGGGGTCACTATCAAGGCCCCGAATGGAATACTAACTTGGAATAATACTAGGCTTTTTAGCCCTCGAAATATTAGCTAATGGCTTAGATATATAATTATACTCGTACTACCTTTATTAAGTATTAGGAGGGAAAGGGGTATGCTTACTGTCAGAATCCATGTATTAGGGGCTGTATTGGTGCTATGGAGGTGCAGGAGGGACCAATCCCAAATTAGCCCCAAGGGATCCCTAAATACTACAACGAGGGCCTTTCTGTCTGCCTCATACCCCTCTACACTTGAGGCCACAACTTCCCACTCTCACTCTGTAATTCCTAGCTTAGTACGCATACTATACCCCTTAGGAGGCTCCTTTAGGCTAATATTCAGAGGAGGTTGATGCTGCTTTTACCGAGCATTTCATCACGTTGCTAAAACAGAGGCCCCGCAGAGTACCAATGTCAAACATGCCTACTTTCTTGGTGAAGATCATCGGGTCTTCGGCTACAATTTCTTTGAAATTTGCCCAAAGGAAGCCGAAGCGATGGACTCGTAACAACGCATGCTCTTTGAGATCGTCTACGAGGGCAATGAGTCAGTTGGCTCCTCGATGCAGCAGCTGCGCGGCTCAACCACCGCCGTCCTCGTCGGCATGATGAATAGCGACTGCACTCATATGTTGTTCAGCGATCCAGACGACATGCCGCCGTATACCACCTCAGGAGTTGCGCTGTCCGTCATGGCCAACCGCGTTTCGTACTTGTTTGATTGGAGGGGCCTGTCTTTGGTCATCGATACCGCCTGTTCGTCAAGCATTGTGGCTTTGTACCAGGCATGCAAGCCCTTAGTATTGGCGAGGCTCAGTTGGCAAGGCTCAGACGGCCACCGTAGCTGGGACGAATCCTATACTGGGGCCTGAGATCTTCATCGCCGAATCCAAGGCACGTCGGGGCAGATATGACACATTGGATTATATTACCTTTTGGTCAGGAGCTGACGAATCATGATAGGGATGAAAGCTACACGTGCTCCCCCCGAGCGGGTGCTCTTGCATATGGGACGTAAGTTTAGATGGATATACCCGCGGAGAACGCCTTGCCGCGGTAATTGTAAGGCACTGAGCCAGGGTATCGCCGATAACGACCACATGAGATGCATCATCCGCGAGACTGGTGTAAACCAGGATAGTCGAACTTCAGTCAGGTTCTACTGACACACCGTGTCGTTCTGGTGCCAACCACGGTTTCTCACGAAGGATTGAAGGTGCCCAGTACAGAAGCACAGGCGACCCTAGTCAAGGCTACGTACGCTAAATGCGGCTTAGACTAGCGAAGGCGGCAGACCGGCCACAATATTACGAGGCCCATGGCACCGGTACACTAGCTGGCGATCCTATAGAGGCTGAAGCTATCCAGGCTGTAATTTTCCGTCAGGGCTTCGACCATGCTGAAGATAAGACGCTCCTAGTTGGCTCGATCAATACAGTGATTGGCCACCTCAAAAGGATCGCAGTCCTAGCGGGTATGCTCAAGGCTTCGCTGGCTATACAGCATAGTCTTGTGCCACCAAACTTGCACTTCGTTCAGCTTGGCCCAAAGATCAAGCCGTTGCACGGCCACATGCGCGTGCCAAAAGCGGAAACCTCATGACCAACCGACTTGCGCTCCACATCAATCCTCATCCGCAACCTCATGACAAACATGGTGAGGTAGACCCCACAATATACGCTGGCGGCCCCTTTGTGCTATCAGCTAATTTAGTCGTGGCTCTGGCCTTAACGGCAATAACACTTAGCGAATAATTATAGGCGCATCCAGACGCCAACCTCGGTGGTCTTGCTTACACGCTGTCACGCCGGTCAGAGAACTATTCCCAGTACGGGCTTGAGTATTCCGACGATTTCCTCCCCGTAACGGTGCCGCGACGGCTTAAACAGGCCGCCGTAACTACCAAGCGCCCACAAACTCTGGACATGGAATCCTACTGCGCCCGATTCACCAGCAAAGAATCTGCCTTCATTATTCTCTGCGGCACCATGGACAACCAGCTACCTTGCCGTCTTTACTGAATAACCCGACCCACGTCTTCCGCATCGAGACGGGGCGGGCTCGCAATCATGACTTCGGCTATAGTTACTCCCGTTATGCCACATAATGGCATTTGCCTTAGCCTAGAAGATGTCAAGACGGCGTTTAAGCCAGATAACCATGTTAATACCTATCCCACGGCCATCGTCAGCCTCGAAAACACGTTGCAAGGGACCATTATGCAGCTCATCGAAGAGGTCCGATATATTTCGACTTTTGCACGAAATAACGAAATTAAAATGCACTACGATAGGGCGAGATTACAAGAGGCTATTGCAGCTAGGGCTAGCGACTTTAAGGATCAAGCGGCGTGTTTCGATACAGTTAGCCTATGTTTCTCCAAGGGGCTAGGGGCGATGGGGGGGAATATTTAGGCTGGGGAAGCTAAGGTGATCAGAAAGGCAAGGCACGCGGAAGGCGATAAGGGGCGGGGTGCGTCGGGGCGTGGCGTTTGCTGCTGCTGTGAGAGTTGCGGTGAAGGAGACTTTCGAGGGCCGGTGCTTGAGAGATCTCACGAAACGGCTCGGAAGGTACAGGCGATGTGGAAGGGTTTAGTGGGTAGGACGAGGTAACCGGTGGAGACGAATGTTGTTTGGCTTGATCTTGAGGTGTGGGTATATTAATACGTTAAGAATCAATAAGCTGGACCGATAGGAAGGCCTCGAATTGAAGGGGAGAGGTTGCTGATGCACTATGAGACATCAGAATGAAGAGGACATATTGAGTAGGCTGCGTAGGGTCTTTGAAAAGACCTGGACAGACAGCGGTAAGCATCAACAATACTGCACTAAATTCAAATGCATCAGTGTATCAATAGAAGGGCGATTTTATTATAGACAAGAACCACTACCTTGTCTAATTATAAAACTCAAAACCAGATTTCACAAACGCTACTTATTTCTTACATCGCCTAGAACACTTCACATTTTCTTATATGCAGGATATATGAACCAACAGAGTCTTTCATTATCGAAATTACTCTCGGGGAAATACCCTCCTATATGCCTCTTCTTGTCCATGTTCAACTCATCAGACTTTACCTTTCGGCCCTGTGTAGAATATATGCTTGGGGTGATAATCTGCGAAGAATGCGCCCGTCGCAATTTCCCGATGACTCTCCGATGAAGCCATTTCGTTGAAGTTATGAATATGAGTAATTGGAACTGGCCGGCCACAATGCAATTAATAAAGAAAGATTCAGACGAGCAAATCCCGAAAGCCTATTTGGTCTAATACATCGGTGTTCCTCAACCCCACGAAGGTTTATTCAGTGTTTCGAAATGTTGACGATCTTAAGTCAGATACTCTAACCTTCTCACTCATACTTGGATATGGGGAGTTTACCATCCTCTCCTGTCATACCAGACACGATATTATAGTCAAGCCCAGCCATGAAAGTCAAGCACGACAAACGGCCAAAGAGGTTGCGGCCGTCTGCTATGCTAGCCCTCTGGATGGGCCTCTGTGCTCGGTCCGCAATAGCAGAGCCACCCGAGGGTCGAGATCCAGCTCCAACAACCACAACTGCGGCAACACTGACTACTTCTCTTCCTGAAAATGCGGATTCTACCAGCACACTTCTCAGTGCCAGTGCTACGACCGGCGCCGTCATCACGGGATCCATGGCTACTGTTGTCGAGCTGGCCGAGGGAAGCTCTACTGTGACAGTTTCGGATATTATCACAGATACTGCAACCAGCACGACCTCAAAATCGTCTACTGCCGCTCCCGCCGGCGCCCCAGCCACAACGACGCTCCCGAGATATGTCGACCCGTGTCCAAAATGTCAGACGACGAAGAGTGGGGCAGGGATACCCGAGGTAGAAATGTGAGTTTGGGCCTCCTTCGAACTGCATTCCGAATGAATCTACGAACTGACACTCCCCAAGGTCATTACTTCTGCTGGTTCAAGGCCTGTTGTGCTTGGGTTTGGTTGCTCATGTTGCAGTTGGTTGATAGAAATTTTCGAATAGAGCAGGATATTAGCTTGAAACTTATGGTTCAAATGCATGTCCTGGATATAGAAGTAGTCACTGTTAGCTCACTAGAGCGCCGCGTGACTCGTAGCTCAGAGGCGACTGAGTATATAGGCATAACCGGGGAAACAAATTCCATGATAACGACTGTAGAAACCAACATTTTCTATAATATATCACTATCTTTACAACACGGCCTATGGCATTCTGAAACTTAAAAAATAAAGATCACATGCACGATGTGGATTCCGAGCTTAGCATAGTACCTGATAATAAGAGTATTATTTAGTACAGCCTTGCGTGTGGAGTTCATACTTGAAAAGTTCGACAGTCTGTCGGTTTTTGTGCTATTACCCACAATGATGAAGTCCACCCGAGCTGTTAGAGTTTAGCCAGTTGTGAAATAGTGAAATAATTAATTAGCAATCATCAATTCAAGCTGTCATCACCTTAATAACGGACCTTGTGGCCCAGGGAGGGTGGCTTGATGGACGTGGCTGATTGGTGGGCAATGGTTTTATGGTAGCGATAGCCCTGTCACCTTGTCAGCACTCCACAGTAGCTCCGCGGCTTGGTTTCAGCGTGGGCAGCAGCTCCCCCAAGCTCCATGACTCGGACCACTTTAACCTGAATTTGAACTTACCTCAAGCCGATCAATCGCATCTCCTGTCTTCTCTAAGCCGGGATTGATTAGCCAGTGTACATTACGTATATCGCTTCGTCAGTTGGTGCTTTAGTTGCAGTCCTATCCCGTCCCACTTGGGAAGCCCGGAATCGTCTTTACGAGGCGATTACCACGCCGTTGCAGCCGCCGTCATCCTCTCGACCTACATAATACCATTCGACCTATCTAGATCGCGAGCCCTCCGTTGAGACTAAGAGCCACGACAATGTCTCTGTTCGGCGAGTCCCCTCCACGCGATTCCCCCCCTCGGGGCAATTCAGCCATGGCACGACCCCGTAACTCCCTCTTCGACGAGGATGGCGCCATGGCTCGATCCACGTCCGACACCCTCTTCGACGACAACGATGCGGCTGGCAGTGGCTCTCACTCGCCCTGGGATATACCAACACCGCGGAGACAACAAACACGTGCTGATTTGATTCGATCTCTTCTTGCTGGCGTTGATGTGCCAGAGAGCTATGTTGAGGCCTTCGACAATGCCGTCCGCGAGGACGGCAGCGCGGGCAAAGTCTCGTCGGCTGGCATTACCAAGACGCTCGCAAGTGCAAAGCTCGACGCCGATGAGCAATCCCTGATCATGAACATCATTGCGCCGGGAGGCCAGGAGTTTGACCTCAACCGGGAAGCCTACAATGTGCTGCTTGCTCTCATCGGACTGGCGCAAGAGGGCGAAGCTGTGAGCCTGGACGGCGTTGACGAGCGCAGACGTAGTAAGTCAAAGTTCAAACGCCAATTGTCCTATTCCTCCAATTCGCTTCTTATTCCTGCTTCTCGGCGTCAACGGATCCATGCATTTGCCACAGTCCCTATTCCGTAGCTCTATCGTCATGCGGGAGCCTGTGCATCCAGGTTATCGCAATCAAGCGGGTCCTCGACGCTATTCGCTGGTCCAATGCTCACGGAAATAATAGATCTCCCTCAGCCCCGATTATCCAACGTCACCAATAAGAAGACACCGGCCAACGCATTCCCTGTCCCATCCGAGCTCGCTGCCAAACCGCCACAGGCACCGGCGACTCCTAGGAAGAATTCGACGCTGGCTGCGCGGCCGAAGCAGCCCTCGATGGACGAAGACCCTTGGAATACCCCCGACGTGCATAAGAATCACAATCATACCGCGATATCCCCGACAAATGGAAACGGTAGTGGTTCTGCAAGTCCTGGTGTGAATGGTGGCAATTACGGAACCCTAAATGCACCACCAGAATTACCTCAACGAACAACTTCCACATTCACGACCACGACTATGGGCTCGGCCCCCGGTTCCGGCCGTCAATCAGCCGCCTCTGGTTCTGTCCCAAGCGTGCCTGCGAACCCTGCCGGCGGCTGGGGCTATTACGACGGTTCGAGTGCCACTCCTGAGCCCAACTTCAATGGGCCGTCGATCCAGCCCAACAGTCCGTTCGGCGGTGTTAACAGTCCAGGCGTGGGCCGGGAACCAGGTGCAAGCCCTATGCTCGGCGCCGGCCACTCACGTACCATTAGTGGTGGACGAACCGGCGGCGCTATCGAGGAGAACATCGTGGTGACCTTGATGCCGGAGAAGGAGGGACTTTTTATGTTCCAGCATCACAACTACGAGGTCATGTCTTCGCGCCGGGGGAGCAAAGTAATCCGTCGGTACAGTGACTTTGTGTGGCTGCTTGACTGCTTGCATAAGCGTTATCCCTTCCGAGTTCTCCCTCTACTACCGCCAAAACGTGTTGCGGTCAACGGGAACCACCTCAGCAACGACGGGGCTTTCATCGAGAAGCGTAGACGGGGCTTGGCAAGGTTTTTGAACGCAGTTGTTAGACATCCTGTTCTCGGTCAGGAGCAGTTGGCGATAATGTTTTTGACTGTCCCTACGGTTAGAGTCTTCCGTCTCGGTTCCAGATCGGAAATTTTGCGAGAGTCAACTAACCATCTTCGGTGTGTAGGAACTATCGGTGTGGCGCAAACAAGCAACTATCTCCGTCCAAGACGAGTTCGACGGCCGCCCCTTACCCCCTGGTCTCGAAGATTCTCTTCCTGCTGGACCCTTGAACGAGCTCTTCGATCGCACACGTGCTGGTGTCCGCCGTTCTGCAGACCTGTACATCAACTCCTGCAATCTGATGGATCGGTTGGTTAAGCGCTCCGAGGGCGTGGCAGCCGATCATGCTCGAATGGCCCTCTCCCTCACGTCTCTCACCGAATCAAGCGCAGACACGTATGCTACCGACACGAATGATATACCCTTGCTGAATGACGGTCTGGCTGCCATGAGCAAAGGATTACGGACCGCGCAAGGACTGATCGAGGACGAGAGCAAGGCTTGGGATGCTGGCGTTCTCGAGGATTTGAAGAGACAGCGGGATGCGCTAGTCAGCGTTCGGGAGATGTTTGATCGCAGGGAGAGACTCGACAAAGACAATATCCCCTATCTGGAGCGTCGCATCCAGACTAATGAGACGAAGTTGGCCGGGCTAAGAGCGAAGCCCGAGGGACTCGTCAAACCTGGCGAGGTGGAAAGAGTGGTGGAGAGTATCATCAAGGTCAGTAGTTCATGCTCACGTGTCTGTGACATACACGCTAACGTCGGTGATAGGACAAGGAAAGCATAGTGAACCAGCACAACCGCTCCGTCTTCGTCCGCGAGTGTATCCGTGACGAGCTCATTTTCTTCCAACAGACCCAGTACCATGTTTCGCGATGGAACCAGGATTGGGCTCAAGAGCGGGTGAAATACGCCGAGTTGCTTGCCGACAATTGGAAACGACTACTGGATGAGTTGGAAGGGATGCCTCTTGGGGACTAGAGGTCATCGAGGGACAATGTGCAGGGAAACTTCCTCAACATTATTCCATGTGATGAGGAAACAGGTCTGGACGGCACAGCTGAGAGTAGGACTACTACGGGCCCGAGAAAGATCGACGAGACTAAAGCGAGAAGGGTCCTTTTGGCCGGTGCGGCAAGCACATCGCTGAGTGGCGTGTTTGCAAAGTTTTTGGGCTGACGACTGCGGCGACATATTCGATAATACTGTTCGGAAGAGTGTTTCGATATCCAGAGATTGGCCTGTCTTGACAACCCGGGCAGTTCGGTTTGTTTCATTAATCGAGGGAGATGAGTATGTGCATAATACCCTTTTTGTTCGATCACTACCCTACTTTCTACGCTGCTCCGCAGCAGCCAGTGGCCAACACTATGTTCCCAGTTATCAGAGTTCTTCACCAAGTTCCTCTTCCTGCGAACAATGGCCCATGGGCACAGGTATAAATCCCGTGGGCCTCAGTGGGCTGATTCTGTGACAGCAACTGCAACTCTCTACACATCCCAGTGAAACAGGTCATGTCGCTATATCTCCCCTTTCGATTTTTTTCCTCTGTATACTTGACCTCACTCTTGTCTGCTGCACCGCCAGAGAAAGCAAACCATCGGAACACGTTTACACTCAGTTGTGCTGACGGTGTCGTCGTTTCGTTCATATAGCAGCAGCATGCGAGCGTAATAAGAACGAATTCGCTGTAGGCGGTGCCGCATGCTTATCCAATACATCCCGGCCGCATGACAAGAGATCTGGATATGCTACGTTGGAGAGGTAGTCCTTTTCTCAGCCGACCCACCTAAGATATAACATCACCTGTCAGTTGTTGCAAAAAACTCACAAGAATATTAGCTTCGTCACCCTACCCTAATTGTGTGGGCCAGTAGAGTCAAATCAATGGTTATCGGCACCAAATTTCTGCAATTGACTGCCGCATAAATGACGCCATCGTCTGGTATATAAGCTGGACGGACTGTTTTGGTCAGTATCGGTGGTCAGTATCGGGGCGCAGCATGTCTGATCTGAAACGAGATCTTACGGGCCGGGCCGCAAGAAGGTCCCTGTCGTGGCCGACGTATCACTTTCCTCCTTTTCCTTTTTGAGACGGAGTTATTGCCGGGTGTGCTATAGCAAAACGTGGCATTGCGGCCGCAGCTACATGGCCCTGGGACCGGCGATTTTCAGCAGTTTCCAGAGGTTCTTGGGCATTCCAGGCTTTGCCCCCATTGGCAGAAATTTGGCTCTTCTGGTTACCATCGCATGCATGCTATGGCAAATTTCAAGGCCCATCTTAGCTGAGTGTAGAATTATGTGGATTTTTTTCAATACTCTCCAAATCGTGTGGTTTTATTGCTCTACGCAGCTATTTTATCGGAGGTATATCAACTAAGCGTGATAGAGGAAGAAATCTATTCGCCCAAATAAACCAGATTTTAGCATAAGTCCGATGGTCTAAAGCCAAGTTGCTTGCTATATCCACTCACAGGACCACCCTTTGAGGTCTTAAATACATAAAGAGGGAGCAATGCCTGCCCTATAGGCAGAAATTGTTTGACGGTGGGTAGTGGTCACATAACGTCCCACACCCACATCCGGGACACCCCCACATGTGGGACACCCAAAAATGCCTCATCAACACCGCTAGCCTCCAACTTCAACCTCTTTTATCTTTACCAATATCGATTCAATCGTTACGACATTTTACGTACGTCTTCTTTACACTAATATAAGTCAATATACCGAAGATGATATTTATCGAGCTCTTCAAGCAATAGCTACCGGTCAAAGCCTCCGAAAAGCAGCATATGAGCATGGTGTCCACTTGGATTTGATGTTCCCGTTGAAGGAGCAAAAGGAGGGCACATATGCCTAACCTGTCTGTATTGTAGCTAACTCTGGTCCTCTCTTCGAGGGTCTATGTATGGAAACAAAAGGGTTCTTATATAGTCAATCAATGGTAGACTTGCTGATTAATTCAGACAAGTTGTAGAAGCATATAGATAAGTAGGGAATGTTCTATCCTCGCCACATTTCTCGTAATAGAGGTATGTGGGGATGGTCGCCGTTCTAGGTGGCGATAGTGGCAAGTATAGGACCCACATGGCCCACAGGGCCCATATTGTCCAACTTGTCCCAAGGTCTACTCTTTCACGACGGATTCAGGGAGCCCAGTCAAGAGATATAGCCTTCACTGACTACCAGAGGATCTCTCCAGCCCAGGAATCTCATCTGGCTGAATGGGTTCGAATCCAGGCTGCCCTAGGCCTCCCACCAACCCATCAACAGCTCAAAGACTTCGCCGAGCGTATCCTACAGATCCACGGAGACACCGAACCACTTGGAAAGAACTGGGTCCAGGCTTTTATCAAGAGGAATCCTTCAGTCAAGGTCCAGAGAAGCAGAGCTATCGATTCCCAGCGTATTAATGGAGCCTCAGCTAATGTGATCAGGCAATGGTTCAAATACCTCGCTATCCCTGAGATCAAAGCTATTAAGGCCTCGAATCGATACAATATGGATGAGACAGGTATTCTAGAAGGTATAGGATCAAATGGTCTTGTTCTAGGATCATCTGAGACTCGTTCTATACGGAAGAAACAGCCTGGATCTCGAGCTTGGACATCTCTTATAGAGTGTATCTCTGCGACTGGTACTGCACTATCCCCACTTGTGATATACAAGGGGAAGTCTGTCCAGCAGCAGTGGTTTCCTCTGGACTTGACTCCATACGAAGCCTGGGATTTACAGCAACAGAGAATGGGTGGACGTCAGACTCTACGGCTATTGAGTGGCTACAAAAGATCTTTATTCCTTTGACTCAACCAGGAGGACCCTGAAGAGACTAGGTTACTTATCCTAGATGGGCATAGTAGCCACGAAACGACAGAGTTTATGTACCTCTGCTTCATAAACAAGATACACTTGCTTTTCTTACCGCCACACACATACCACGTTCTCCAGCCTCTCGATCAGTCAGTCTTTGGACCCCTCAAGGCAGCCTATAAGAAAGAGCTTGGTTACCTTAACCAAAGGGATACTACTACTGTCATAGGGAAGAGAAATTTTCTCCTCTGCTATAGAAAGGCACGTCTAGCAGCATTGACCGCTAAGAACATTATCAGTGGATGGAAATATACTGGTCTCTGGCCTTCGAGCATAGCTAGACCCCTTATGAGCCCCCTGCTCCTTGAGAATACGTCAGCACCAATCAAACAGCCTAGTCAGACTTGCAAAGGGCACTCTAGTAGTCAGGACTGGGCGTTAGAGACATCAGCAGTAGCCTGGTAAACACCTAAGAGGAGAGATGAGCTCCAAGATCAACTCAGCTTATTCAGCAAGCTTGATAGTGATCCAAATACCCAGCGGCTACTCTTTCGGAAAGTTCAAAAGGGCTTTGATGAGAAGGACTACCAGTTAGCTGTCGCACAGCGAAAGATTGAGGCAATAGAGGCAGAGCTTGAGACTAGTAGGGCTAGGAAGCGGAGGAAGGTCAAGATGAGCCCTAATTCGAAGTTTACTAATATCAAGGCTATTCGGAAGGCTCAAATCGAGACTGGTGAAATTGAGGATAGTACAGATGAGTCTAGCGAGTCTGAAAACCCTAGTGACGGTGAAAGCTGTATTGTAGTCGCATCAGAATAAGTGTAAAAAAAACTTGAAGTCAATGGTTATAATATACAGCATCATTTCTAGGGCGTCCCACATGTGGGGGTGTTCCCCGCGGCGTCATGTTGGAGAATCCATTCAGGTCCCCATGTGTATTCGTACCCCCAGCTTTCAGGGTACAAATGGAATGTGCCGTAGTCAAGGGTGGGAATCTTCAAGTTGGCCAGGAAATCGACACCTTCGCCGCCGCCGTACGCATACGAACCATCTCCAATCTTGTCTGCAGGCGCGAACCAGCCTTCGTCGCCGAGCGTCACCATGTGTCCCGAGTCCAGACTCTTGATGTACTTCGAAATCTCAGTGGCCCACTTCGTAATAACCAACGTGTCGCACCCACGGCAGCGCGGCTCATTAGCTAGCTCCCAAGCAAAGATCGCCGACGACTTCCTGTATCGGCTCACGAGCACTTTGATATAGTTCCGGTAGACCTGCTGCGAAGTCTCGTCCGTGAACCACTGCGTCGCGTTGGCGCCGAAAGCGGTGGTGTAAGCCGCGATGCCGCCAAAGTCGCCCCAGTTGTTGACGAAGTTGAGAACGAGCTTGACGCCGTGTTTTTCGGCTGAAGACACGACGTAGTCGAGTCGCTGCAGGCCGTCGGCGCCGTAGTTGATATAGGAGCCGGTCGAGTTGAGGACTTGGAAGTAGACTTTGTTCGGGTCGGTGTTTGTCTGAAGAGGGATGGTGTTCACGTCGCCGAAGCCCCATACCCGGAGGACTTTGTACTTGGTCTAAAATGCTGGTCAGCGACTATCACATATTTTTGGATGCCCTCTTTACCCACGTTAGCTACTTGTTGGAGGGAAATGTCAACGTCCGCGTTATTGCTCAAATGTCCAAGCCACCAGGCGTTGCTGCCAGCGAAATATCCAACTCGACCATCGATGTCGAACACCCTCCCAGCGACTTTTGCATTAGGCCCTTTTCCATTTCCAATGGGATATTTCGATGCGGGCTGCTTGCTGCTGACGCTCACGCTTGAGCTGGGCAGAGCAGTGGCCGTAACCGCTGCTCCCAGCAGAGCTGAGATGCAACTGGAGAACTTCATGGTCGGCAAATTGTTCGGCTCGTAACTAACCGACCAACAGAATAAACCCAAGTAACGGACACACCAACATCATATATCTATTTGAAGTCGTCAATGTTGGTACCCAATTGACCAATAGGAACTGTCACCCGACTCCAAACCCCTTCTAGCTGGGTTCTCCGCATTGTGGGGAGGCAACAGCAGAACCAATCCCAGGGGAATTTATATTGCACGAATAGCGGAGTGGTAGGTTAGGGAGGGGACTAGCCAAAGGCATCTCGGTTACGAAATTATCTATGGCCATGGTACCGGGACGACGGGAATACTGGCCGCAACGCCGACTAACTCTCTGGGCAAAGCATATTTTCCGTGATCTCACTGCTGTACAGTTGGTCGAATGATTCCCACGGATTATAAGCAAGCATGTGGAGATATCATCGTAGTGCTCCTTTCTGCCCTTGGTCGCCAAGAGGTCTGCGGAGAAAAGGTGATGATGGAATAATATGCCACAACTCCTATATCGCCAGACAAGTGCGGTTCACTCCTTGTGTTATTAGCAAGACATCAGAGACGAATCTGATGTATCGTTCATTGCGCACTGAACCCCTCTCAGTTTTTGGTAGATTGTTTTGCGAAAGAAAATAATCATCAGTAGGCTAGACAATGTGGTAACTGGGTATCTATAAGATAGATCGAAACTCATGAAAATGAGAGTTGCTATTAGTGCTGAGGCTCACTTGTCAACTGTATGCTAACTGTGGCCAGCTGCACTAGTAATTAGTTTACTAGGTATTAAGTCGCTAAAATTATAGCGGGTAGGCCATGCGTTAATAGTAGGTAGATGTAGATGCCATAACTATAGGGGTTAGGGCTTATAATTACAGTAGAGCCCTATTCATACAGCGGGTAGTTCCTATATGATTATTAGACGTACCCGCTAGAAGTACAACGTTAAATTAAAATTAAGCATTTCAAATGTGAAAATCCTCGCAGTAAGCCCTACAAATATAAATTTTAATATCTCTACATGTAGAAGGTAGGCGTATAGTTATAGGGCTTAATCGCTATAGTCAGGGCTTAATTCTGAATAACTGCTTTTACTAACAGGCCTCGTTCCATAGATTGTATTCGCACCTGGCTGCAGCCGGCCCACAGGTGTTAGCATCAATAACATATCTCCTGAGACTATTGTAACATTAATATATGATTTTCAGTCCTTGTACCAACGCGAGAACTTCAGACTCAGCCATACTGGGCCATTTCTCCTCTGTAGGTTTAAGGAGTATACTAATCGGAAAATCGATGTTGTTTGGTGCTATGATAGGTGAGTAGCGTGCTAGTACTTGCTTGGGAGACAGGAGTGTAGAACTGAAATATGTAGATTTATCATTTCAATATGGGGCTCATCTGAACTTAGAAGTGATGCAAAATAAGTCTAGTTTGACCAATACTAAGTTCTGTTCATGGAAGATCCTATTTTATTTTATTACGGGCAGTGAATAATGATGGGCCTAACTATCAACAACGCCGGCTAACCGAGAGTTGATGCTGTAAGTTAAAGCTTCGGGCACCACCCCAATATTCAACTCTAGATGTTTCTGCTTTGCAAAAAGTTAGATTCCGAGGCTTCTGAACATTACACTAGCAGCTATGTATGGTAAGATTACAGTGTATCTATGCAGTACCTTCGCTGGGGTTCTAGTGCATTGGTCAGTATCAGTGGATTCATCAGTGTAATTCATATCCCACTCGAGCTTATGGCAGTATTTTTCCTTCAACGGGTGCAATGTTGGCAGTGGGAAGCGGCAGCATCCAATGATCGCCGCAGGAGACTTGGTGGAAGCCTGTACTTGTTATTTACTCGGTCATCCTCTCAGTTACCTCAACTAGAGTCATTGCATGATTGCGTTGGAACTGGTTCACCACAGATGCGGTCCAGCAATATTTGATCGATGGTGTAAACAACCCGACTTCTTCCACGTTCTCAAGGTTTTGGCGGACGAATACAAACATACTGACACAACCGTCTGCAATTGCTTACTTCACAACGTCTGTCGCATGAAGACATACTGTGGAAGAATCGTCATTTAGTATGGAAACAACCAACCGTTCTCAACATATGGTCATGAGCTTGCGTGATAATATTATGAAGTAGAGTTTCTGGATTGGATGGGATCCTTGAATCATTCTTGATAAAATTTCATGGGCTAGTTTGACCATACAGCAAAATATTTGCAGAGGATACCATCACAGCGATAAACATTCCATAATGCCACGTAGTTACCCTTATAGCCACACTAGCAACAGCTGTACTCGTTGACGTACTCGTTTTGGAAGCTGTTACCCCTGGTATACTGATAGTTGGCAAAATTCCGCTGCTTCCACTACCACCTAATCCATCATTCATTCCCGAAGTCAAGGTCGCGATTGCATTACTAAGTTGAGATTCAATGCTTGACAGTAGAGAACCACCTGGAAGTGAAGGCATGGCTGTTGACAGCGCCGTCGGTAGACTGATGCCTGGTATGTTGATGATAGGTAGGTCAAACTGAGGGGACCTAGAGACGACAGTGGCTGCGCTCCAGTCGCAATTGGTCATCAGTTCTGCAATCTCTATCTTCACTCAGTCAGCTATATTTTCAATATTGCTTCTCAGGACAGCTTACCTGTGGTGATATCGCTCTGGTTATTTTCTTTGACACAAGCAATGCACATCACTGCATTGGCTTCAGCATCTGCTGCATTGCAGACGCATTGCTTGCTCGAATCATTACCTGCATCTGTATTCGTGATCCCACACGAGGCGATGAGATTCCTGGAAGCCTGACACGCTTGTTGGCAAGCTGCGGGAATGTTGGATAACAGTGCGCTACAGGCAAAAACAAAGTAAAGGAATGCCACCAACGAGGAGATTCTGGAATACATCTTAACAATGATTGAGGGTTCTTCAGACGACCAAAGTTTATAGCTTATCCTAGCGGCGATGGAACCAAATCAGTTTTCAATATGGGATGTTCGTCAAGTCTGGTGTCTTTCTCTACGCACCCTGGGGACAAACGTGGGACATTCGAACTTCTTCTAAAAGATCCCGCATGATGGCAATGCGTCAAAGCATTTATCATGGATCTTGCGTGTAGGTGGGACTTACTATGCAATATGATGCCAGCAAGGCAGGCACTACGGCACAATTGTGCTCGCCAGGCGGCTTAGGCGTTCAATTGCTCGACTCCAATGGCTATGATTGGAAGAAATCCGAGGCTTTTCGTCAATGAAGCTTCGGTTCGGGTCTATGTCAGGGCTATCCTTGCAAAAGATTCATGCGTAGGCATCGGATATGAGGACATGCCATCCGATTCCTCGATTCGATCAGATGAAACTCTGGCACGGCAATGAACCTCGGGGTGTCTGGACCTGTGATGATGCGCAACTCTATCTGGGCAGGTCCTGCTGCAGTCGGTTGGCTGTATCCTGGGTTGTGAATATACATCACTGTTCACAACGCCACCTTATGCTAAACGTGGCCAATAATTTCTTAGATGCTCTCAATCAGGTTGTGCCACTGAGTTTCTGGACGTTGGTTGCTCACTTAAGATGATTGGTTAGCATAGTAAGGCTCTCAATAAGTGCACACATCTCTTGACCTTGGTTCACTCGACCCGTTTTCTACTATATTTCCGGCTCGGTTGCGCAGAACCTGGGTCAGAACCTGGGTCAGAACCTGAATCATATCAATATGAACTATTACGAAACCTCATGGCTACCGAATATTTGCTGAATTCTGCATTAATCTACCGAGGCTGGTATACGGTGGCGAATATATGAGCCATTCCATGCAGTGAACGAGTATCGTGGATCAAAGTCAAAAGTGATTGTAGCATTCGCATTTTCTCTTCTTTAGCATATACACGACTGTTAGGGAGGAAATAAAAGAACCCTCGCATCACGAAAACATTGAAACCGCCGGCTATGCGCATTAGATCTTGACAGTCAACTCCAGGCCCCTCCCTACCTTTCCACGTCAAGTCCCTCCAACAAACACTTACAAGTCTCGCTCACTAACCTCTCAAACATGAGTGCATCGTGATATGCTTCATGGAATGTAGCAACGACCTGCAGTCGACCTTTAAAAGTATGTAACAAAACACAATGCACCACCTTGGGCATCAATGTCAGCGTATACGAATCCTCGACCTCCATTTCGACATACCCAAGCCCTCAAAAGAAGTCCTCATATACCTCTCAGCTACACTGAAACTGAGAAGATTGGCAAATTCGGGGCGGGCGTTTCAGGGCGCAAGAAAGACCTGAGGAGGTCGTTTATGAAGTCCAAGCCCGTAGCATCAGCCGCGAATTCTGTTTGGTAGGACTTGAAGAACTTGTTGGCGTCGAATGCGAGATCGCGGAAACTCCTCTTATCTTCTCCCATATCCAGGGCGAAGGGGAGGATAGCGTGTGGGTCGAGGCCTAAGAAGTTCCGCGTATCAATGGTTTGTTTGAACCAAGGTCTTGCTTCGAAGTGGTGGAAGCTCATTACGTATCTTCCTTTTGGTCCATGCTCAGCCTGAATCGGCTGTGATGTCGTGGCTAGAGCTGTGTAAAAGGCGGCAGTGACGGAGACGCCTCGTTTGTTGCAAGCAGCTATTATTTCGGCGGTCTTCTCTACGGAAAGGAAGAACCTCGCCATGCCGTACAAGAATCATGTCTTGCTTCAGGGAGCCTGTGACCATGGCGTGGGCTTTCATGACTGCCTCCAATGACGAGTATTTCGGTAATCCTAGCAAATCGTCCCTCGCGATTGGGAGGTTCTTCCACTCATCGCCGAAATGAACTTCCTCTGGTTTCACCACCAGCTCGAGGAAAAGGTCCCAAAAGTACCAGGCTCCTCTTACATCGAAGTGAAAGTGGTTGCACGCAAGGAGCAGCTCGTTGCTGGCTGGAAACTAATGCAGACGCGGATACGACTGGCGCTTGAGTTTTCTGATCAAGTCAATGGCACACTGTCCGGAGTGAACCTGAAAGGTGTCGTTGATCCAAGCCTCCACGTCGTCGGCGGTGGGGCACTTGGTAAATCTTGTAACGTGGACCTAATTTCATCGACAGGCCGGGATTGTGACACCGCATTGCGATCCAGGCTTTGCTTAGGCGGTCTTCGATGTCAGGGGAGTGCTTGAACTTGAGCTTGATGCAAGAGGTGAGGAGGAAAGTGTCTCTATCTGTAGAGGCCTCGCCTTCTATCCATGTTTTGAACAACTTTTGAAAACTATCGTAAGTTTGGGTGTAAACACCGGGTGCGGCAAGCGTCCATGTGTGATGGTAAGATGGGGTATATTCAGGCTGATTGCTCATGGTGAGGGAGGCGATCGATGCAGGTTCCATCAACAATTTTGGATACGACTCGTGTAGGGTACACTCTCAGGAGTTGCATGATCTGAAAGTAGCATAACGCTCATATAAGTACCGAATCTCACTAGCTCATGTCTCACCCCAAGTTACTTGGCGAACTTGCCTAATGCATCGATCTACAGCCAACAAAGCATCATTGGTCTTCTCATACACTATCAACTCCTTTTTGGCAGCTCCGCCCTGCAATACCCTCAATCACGCACAATTTATTAACGCGCTAGCAAGCACTAATAATGACAAGATAGATATTTCGGGCATCATTTTGCGCGTTGGGCAATGTGCTCAAGGAGGCATGTCATATTTGCACACCCAAACTTTGGAGCCCCAGTCGAGTTACAGCCATAGCTCAATAAGCCAGTCTGAAAGGTCTTCAGAAAAGAGGTCGCCTTGATCAAGACCATGTCTCTTGTTGCTGCCTCTTACGCGGCTCTTTATTATGATGCAGACGAATGCCAGTGTCTTCTTGATCACTAGAGAAACTCTGACACCCAGTGAGTCCCTGAGAAGAAACTCGTAGCGGTCAACGACTGACCGTCATAGTGATGAGCCTTCTACTTCCGTGATATCGCCGATCATTCAAGAAACCACATGTCAGCGCAGGATGCCGCAACATGCCGCAACTGGGAACAACTGCACGATAGGTGGCTTCCCTCTGTGCTCTTTCAACATCAGCAATGTTACGCAAACCCAATTTTCCATCAACTTTGCACGGAATCTCAACATCTGTCTGGTTGTCCGCAACATTATCCATACTTTTCTGGTATGATCGTACTTGACACTACGCTCACTTCCGGGCCGTCATTGATACCTATTGGACTAGTTGTGCAAACTGCACTGCATTGAAAGTATGTAGATCTCTGTAGATACTCGTTTTAAAAGAGTATACTGTGGTCATAAGGATCTTATATACGTATAAATGAACGATGCCTTCCCCACTGGCAGAAACGGTGTAGCATGGTAGGCCGTCATATTGGCCCATAACGTACGTTGGGTAGCTACATGACCTCAAAAACTGGCAATTTGATTGTAATGGCCTTGAAGGTAGCAACATCTCATAATAGGGAAAGAGCACTGGTTTCGAATCGTCGAATGTCTGGACCTATAACCTCAATGCAATTAAGTTTATGAAGGACTGCCAGTCAGCAGGCCAGCGCCCAACATAAAGCAAATGCTTGGCAAGTAAATCAAAGAAAATCCAAGTAAGTCAAAGCAAACATAACTGGCTCCTACATCTGCAAATACATACGTTATGGTCCGATTTGTTCGATTTACTTGAGCTCAAAAGCCCGTCAAACCTTGAGATTTCCGGCCGGCAAGAGGTCTATGGGGAGTACCGGAATAAGCTGGATCGAACGCTGCTACGGTTAGCTATAATTTCGCAGGGGAAAGGGGTAAGATGAAGCTGTCCCTAATCAGTATTATTCTGGGGGATCAAGCAACTGCAAGTGGGGTGTAGACCCCAGAGTAGTCTGGACACTAAAGGCAACGTAGCCTTTAACCTGCTGTAACTCCATATAGCAGGTTTTGTACGCTTAGTGAATTTAACCTCTCGATGGCCCTCGGTTTGGCCATTCTGACGATAAACAGAGCCCGTATCACTACGTATGCGGTTATTGTGGTATCGCGAAGTTAGGGTGGCTTATTTGGGCTGTTGGCATGGGCTGTGGCTGTGGGGACATCAACTGCGCGTTGACCCTTCGAATATGACTGGCTTCCAGTACCATAGTAGGCCTTCAAAGCGGCTGGTTCACGTAATTACGCATTCTCCAGCACAAGGCGACTTTCCGCGACAACTTTGCGTTAGCTATTCGAATACAGCCGGAATCGCTTATAGACACACTTTTGACCAGAGGGCCACTTCGTGGTATGAATTCTAATAAAAAGTTAGCGCCACTTACTAGCACTCCCCTAGGGATTATGTTTCAAGGCCAGGACCGCTGTTAAGAGGAAATAGAGCTTATCTCGTGAGAATTCGCTGTTAGTGATCTGTATGCTAATTCTGGCGACCTTTGGGACCTAGCATGTATAAAAGGGCCAGAATTCGCCCATTTATATCGCCTATTTCTATGTGATAAGGCATAATTTCCTTGTCTGCATATAATAGCGGTAGACATCCCATCTATCGCCCCTATCAACGTAGATCGGGAGTGTGTCTTCAGTGTGCGCAAGATGACGCTATCCTCGCTGCATTTAAGTATAGGGATTGACACGCTTAAGGCTATTCAGGCCGTGAAAAACTGGTGGAGCTATGGCCACGATAGTGTTGACTTTATCCAGAGCGAGCAGTGGAAAGAAATCTAGTTGATTAGTTCCATGTCCTCTTGCAGTTCACTATTATATTAACTATGGGCTTAGAACCCTCTTACGCGAACTTACTTAAATACGCTGTATCGGTGTGCTGTACTGAGCCTGCTTCATTCTTAGATCGGCGGTATTTACACGCAGGGCTGATACTCAAAGGATTCCGCGGTTTGGGTGCTTCAAGAGTCGAAAAGTTGATGAAGTTAGTGCAAATCGATGGCTAGAGGGCTTGACTGCCTGCAGAATTTGATACACTTCGCCAGATGGAAGGTTTGGATGATTTAAGGGCTGGAGAGTTGGTAGAGCGGTTGCGATTCGAAGGTGTTGATGGATTCAGAGTGAGGTTAGTGATTATGATGCACTGCAACCTGATTGTCCGGATACAGATTTTCCAGCTCCAGGATAGTCTTGGCAAAGACTTATAAGTCATTAGCAAATCAAATCGTAGACCGGACTTGCTTTATGTCGGGCCCTGTCAGCAGGTAATTAATATAGTACATAGGGCCGGCTTTCAAGGTTGGTGCGGGGATCCAAGTGCATGAGCTCTATAAGGCTGCTGACAGAGTCGGCGGTGAGTGCCATGTATGTGAAATGAGCATTCGTTTCTTGGCTCCACTTCGCTGGCTTGAAATCGCAGACGATTGGTGTCATCGGTGGGTACACTGTGGGTGGTGGTCTGGTTGCTGATCAAATGCTGATCGTCGATGTCGTCACTCCTGATGGTCGGTTCATCACTGCTGATGAGAGTTAGATCAGGAGCTCTTCTGAGCTATTCGGGGCGGAGGGCGCTGGTGAGTTTTTATACCTGCGTAGACCCGTCTGGATCACACACCGTCCCGCCATCACCTTCTTTGGGAAGTCTGGAGTAGCACATGAAGCTAGCTTTGCTCAAAGCTACTTGGGGTGTTGTCACATCTATGACTGTTAAAGTCCACCCCAAGATGACATTTTCTGGTGTGACCTTTGCGATGCTCATTGCAGACCAGAACATGCTCGATGCAACCTTTGGGGCTGGAATAGAGACCTACTGGAGCCGCTTCCCTGAAATTTCCTCGAAGCAGAGCTAGGGATGCAGCTTGACTCTGTTCAACATGAGCATTCACGCCGGTTATGTCAGAAGCATGCTTCCTCGGCTCGTGCCAAACATGACCATCACTGATGTCAAGGCGATGGTGAAGCCGCTGCTTCATGACTGGGCTACGCAGGGGGTGGCTGTAGGAGCCTACCTATTTTTAACATGAGAGCGTCTACGAGACGTGGAAGAACCACTTCCCCACAGATGGCGTGGGAACTGCTGAGGTCCGCACGGGGTCTCGTCTCATACCACAAAAGAACTGGGAGGACACTGTACTGTTGAATGAAACCATCGCGTCCCTGAGAAGCATCGTCAATGAGGTTTCTGCATGGATCCAACACAATATCTATACTGCTGCCCCCCCTCCCCCAATTGAAACCCCCTCCAACGCTGCCAGCGTGTCAAGATGCTGTCATGTTCGCTATTATCGGAGATGCATGGATTGGGGTGACGGACACCGAGGAGGTCAAGGCTATCACCGTCCGCATCACGGCTGACTGGACGAGTCACCTTCGGAAGGCGACCCCGGGAAGTGGCGGCTATGGGCACGAGGCGATGTGATGGAGCCGGAACTTGGTCGGCGTTCGTTGGTTCGAATTACCGTGTACGAGCAGAAGCAGAAGGTCGACCCACGGGCCGTTTTCTATGCGCCAACGGCTGTTGGAAGTGAAGACTGGTATATTGCGCGTCAGGACGACTGGCTGACTCTGCACATTGATACTTAATATGTTGGAAGAGGTGCGGAGGGAGGCAAGCGACGGGCTTGGTTTTTAATATGATATATCAACTCCCGGCCTGAGGGCCATCAATCTATATTCTAAACCATTCCAATCCACCAATAAGACGCTACGCAAAAAAAAATCCGAAATTTCCCTTGCAGCCAAGCCATGTGCCTTCCCGCATGTGAAGTTCCGTGCTCCGCACGAATTAGATGGGCAAGAACTGGTTGACTCAGGGCAACAAAGTCCCACTTCCGTCTCTTGGGTGTTCCTTCCTCTTTTGATTGATCAACCACCAAACACAAACAACCCAAGCAGCCCAAAGGCCCCGAAGCAAGGGATATTGACAGAGATTACCATCCAGATCTCTGCGTCAGATTGCGCAAAGCCAGCTACCGAAACATTCCGAGAAGAAAAATTACGAAAATGACGAGTCATTTCGAGTCAATATGTCTGTATTCTCGCGACCGAGGTTTGGAGGCGAAATTTCTCTTAGTTTCGGGACTGTCGTGATTCGTCGTATGATTATCGTGCCATTGTGCTGCAGGTACTTCAGAACATGTACAGTAGGCCCATCAATTGCCGCTTCCGTCGAGGGAATTCCATCTACGAACCCACGTCCGAAGCAGCCAGGGCTCGCACAGGATAGTGTCTCGGATAATGGAAATCATATGACGGCGAGGCGAACTCCCATGTTGTGACATCAGATCGGCCGAGTCAGTTGTTGGCTTCCCGCGGGCACGACAAGCAAACCACCCTCCCAGAACCCCAACACCCCACAAGGGTTTCCCGGGTACCAGAACGATCTCGGCTGCAGCCGACTACCGCTAACCGGACCTGTCAACATCTCGAAGGGTCCTAGAATTCTACGCAGCGTTCTACATCCACAATATCGGATCCGATCATTATCGTGCATTGGTGCTTGAGGGGCAGGCACACTTATTTACAAAAAACTAATATCTTCCGCTCAGAAAGTCTGGGGAACTAAGTTTGTTTAACATTTTCCCCAGATCGAGAAAGAAACGGGCTCACGAATCTGATAGCGACTCACGGTCTCGTACGTTGCGCAAACCCCACTCTCTCCACATGCGATACAATACCTCTTCAACAAAGATTCGTCCTCAACCCTTGTTCGTTGGCTTTTCTTGCCGTTTCTCATCGAGCACCAACCGCAATCACCGAACACCAAACTCACCTCGCCATCATGGCGATGACATACAAGGAGATGATGTTGGTGAAGGGTACGATCCCGACGCTGCACGAAAATGGAGAGCACATCGCAACTGTCTTTTACAAGACAATGCTCAAGGACCACCCAGATCTCAACAATTACTTCAACAGCGTCAACATGAGGAACGGTAGACAGCCGAGGGCGCTCACATCCGTTATCCTAACCTTCGCTTCCAACATTAGCCACATCAGCGAGTTGACACCCAAGCTAGAGCGCGTCGCCAACAAGCATGTAAGCCTGGGCATCCGGCCAGAGGACTACGAGATCGTCGGCAAGTACCTTATGCGCGCCTTCGCCGCCGTGTTGGGCGAGGACATGACGCCCGAGATACGGGTGGCTTGGACCAAGGCATATTGGGTGCTGGCACGCATGCTCAGTGCCAGAGAAGCACAGATCTACCACGACTTCCAGCCATGGTCGAGTTGGCGCCATTTCATCATCGACAAGAAGACACCCGAGACACTTGAGGGCGATATCATGTCTCTGTCCCTAAAGCCGGTAGATGGGGGCCAGTTACCAAGTTTCATGCCAGGACAGTACATCTCACTCCGTCTGCGCGTGCCAGGATCGGCATACTTCCAGATCCGTCAATACTCTCTCAGCGACGCACCTCGGCCAGATGGCTATCGAATCACCGTCAAAAGGGAGATTGGAGATCACGTTGGCTGTGATTGCGAGCTAGACAGGTCGTCCCGGCGTGACAAGTCGCCGTCGTCTCTCAGCAATCGCAGTAACCTCAGTAGTCGCAGCCACAATTCTTCCATGTCAACCGCAGTAGCTAGCGTCATCGGTAATAGCAGCCTCGGTATCGACTTTGGGACTAGGGCTCCCGGAGTCATGTCGAATCTATTGTTTGACGACTTGCGCGAGGGCGACGTGCTGGAGCTGAGTCATCCGGCGGGAGACTTCTACCTCGACGTCAACAATGACGCCGCCTCGACGCCACTGGTACTGATCTCTGCGGGTGTTGGTGTGTCACCGATGCTGTCGATGCTCAATACGGTCGTGGATCGTCACTTGGATCGACCGATCTCCTGGATCCAGGCTGCGAGAGGCAGCACTCCCTTCAAAGAACATATCGACAGTTTGAAGACGTCCAACCCGCTGTTGAGAACGTCGTTCCTCAACACAGCTATCGGCAACAAAGATATAGCCGAGTCGACCGATACTTTGGGCTTCGGATACTACCTGGAGTGGCTGAAGCCGGAGGACATGTTCTTCGACAACAAGGGGACAGAATACTACATGTGTGGGCCGGAGCGCTTCATGCGGGACATGACAGACTACCTCGAGACCAACGGAGTGCCGACCAGCAAAGTGCGGTACGAGCTGCATGCAACTGGTGCCTTTGAGTTACAAAAGTGAGGGGAACAATTTTCGAACAATGGAATTGTCGTTACGAGAGAGTCATCACTCAGTAGCTGCTGCTATGTTGCCTGGACGTGATTGACGGCAGGCATGTCGCTCATCCGTAGCTGAGGGATGGATGCATACTAGGCGGTAAAAGGGAGGCCGGGCGTCGTTTGACCATCTAGAGGAAATCAAACTGACCCCTGATAAAGTTGATGATGATTGAAGGGCAGTTGGCTTCGATGAACACATGCCAAGAAATGAGATTGGGGCATAGAGGGATAAGCGTCTGCACGGTCGTGGGTTGATCCAAAATGAAATGGAATACCAAGAGGAAAAAGGGTTACAGCGGTAAATCGAGAAATCTCGAGGCAGACTCATCTTCCCCGCATGTATGATCCCGGGAGAGAACACGGCTCCGGGGTTACCCTGTATCAATACCAAAGTCTAAGTACGGATTGATAACCGAAAAATGCGCAAGAATGGCCCATGCCGTTGAAACGTGCCTGCTGATGAAGAGGTTCAGCAAAGTTCATGTGAATGCTTCCAATCGCAGTGACGGCTGTAACGATGAGATCAAACAAAGATCAGACGGTTAGCAATCAACTCGATGGCAGCGACGCAGCGGAACCGGGACTTCGGTTTTTGGTGGCTTCCCCGTCTCAATATCCCAGCAACGAAGTGTTCGAACAGACCCGAACTTCGATGATTTCATGATAATCTAGCGCAAATGGTCCGAAGGGAGGCAAAATGGCTTCCAATCGACCGCATGACTTCTCGAATGTGAGTCTCCCAGCCAGATAAATCTCGATTTAGGCTGCAACCTGCACCATCCCATCCTTGAGGCTTCGAGTGACTTGAGTTCTCAAACACGACGCTGACTATTTTACCAGACACCAACTTCACCTCTTTTCACATCTCGTTCTCAGTATCACTAAATCATGGTCATCAAAACTGTCACCCTCATCGGCGCAAGCGACAACTTCAGTGCCCCGTCCTAGACGCCCTCTTCAAATGGGGCCTCTTCACCGTAACCTTCCTGCAGCGCGCCTCCTCTACTTCCTCCCCCGCCTTGGAATATCTCTCCGTCAGAGTCAAATGCTTCGACTCCGCCATGTCCTTCGACTCCCTTGCAGTCGCCCTCCAGGGCCAAGACGCCGCCATCGCCTGCTTCCCGCCCAAAGAGGCCTCGCAGCACCTGCGTCTGTGCGACGCGGCCGCGGCCGCGGAAGTGCAGCGCTTTATCCCCGCCGACTACGGCAGTTGTTACTCGTCGAGTGCGCAGGCGCAGGAATTGGACTTGCATTTCCTGAATAAAGTGCGTGTGCGGGAGCAGCTGCAGGAACTGGCGGAACGGGATGGGATGAGATGAGATGAGACGAAGCCGTTCTCATATACGAGCCTTGTTGCTGGGAATTTCTTCGATTGGGGGCTGAGGGAGAATTTCTTGCACTTTGATTTGAAGGCTTGGGAGGTATATGTGCTGGACGACGGCACGTATCGTAGCTCGACATCGACGTGGGCGAGGACCGGAGGCGGTGTTGAAGGTTTTGGTTATGGAGGAGGAGACGAGGAATTAGATGTTGTTCATCCAGGGTTTTTGTGTCAGTCAGTTGGAGGTGCTGGCTTCGCTGAAGAAGGCGACGGGGACGAACTGGGAGGCGAACTGGGTTAAGTCGGAGGATTTCATTAGGGACAATAAGGCCAAGGCCGACAGAGACGACAAGGAGGCCGTGGAGCATGTGGTATTTGCGTTCGGGGCGATTGATGGGGATTGGGAGAAGAAGGAGGGGTTTGCGATGGAGTTTTTGGGGATAGAGGAGGAGAGGTTTGATGAGGTCGTCAAGGAGGTGTCGTAGATGGCGCTCGACGGCGCTTGTTGGCACGATGAGTATTGGTCACGATATTATGAAATTCTGCGAATCATGCACGTTGCATTAGAAACAAATTGACCTCCTGAAAGGATGCTCTTTACACAGCGCAAGATCAAGATGATGAGGTTTGGTGGGCATACGTGGTTATAGACATGAAAATACACAATTACTTCAGCCAAGTTCATATGAGCAGCTGTGCCTGTTCTCACGCTGAGGACACTGAGGACCTCACATCCATAAGAAAGTCTGCACAACTAAAATTTATAGATATTCTCGTTCAGCACCAATACTCTCATGCAGATGATTATGGATTGATGATGAGTGTACCTCCCCATCCCCCCAAGTCTAGCTTATGAGTACACCGCATGCACAACGCGTCACCCCGTCCTGTGAACTACATAGCCGTAGTTCAGCCGCACTTTAACTCTCATTTCAACCAAGATTATGACTTCTCAAGTGACTTTGGGACTAAATAAAGCCAGATGCGTGCTTGGAGACCGAAAACGTTGAACACGCATTTCCCTCAGGTCAATTATTCCCGATGGGTATAGTGTTCACATTATCTAATATACTAGCTAAGTATGTACCTACCCGCTCCTCTGAACTATGTACAGCATCAACCAGCGAGCGGCTCCAAGTTACCCATCTGACACGCGCGTATGTCGAATGTCCCCTCCAATGCGACCCATCCAAAGTCGAAGCAGAATGTTTAACGCCGTCGCCCAATGCAAGATGCCTGCCTGTCTGACTTGTCTAAACGGGTATGCTGTCTCAAACAACCCCCGCCAAACCAAGAGAAACCGCCATCGCCATGCCAATGCTGAGCCAGTAGATGGAGACCGCCCCTATCGACGAAATTGCATTCGAAGCTGTTGGGGTGCTACTTGCAGCAACCACAGACGAACCTCCTGCCGTGGCGGCGGCAGTGACCGTAGCAGTGGCAGAACTACTTGAAGTGCTCTCGCTAACCGTCGTCGACGTAGTCGTCATGAAGGATGGAGCACCGCATTTGCCCTTAATCTGGGCAATGTCGGTCGTCGTGGTGATTTCGACTTCTTCGGTGCCACAGTTGACGTACTGGGCAAGGTAGATGGCGTCGGACGATTGGTCAAAGACAGCTGTGAAATTTTAGTTGTGGTTCTTTCGAGTCATCACGTATAGGCTTACCGTAGGCTGACCGTAGCATGGTATCACCGAGGAGAACAAAGTCTTCATTGGGGGTGATACCCAGGTAGCACTGAGTGCCAAAGCTGGTCTGAATCTCCCGTATCATCTCGCTATATGGGACGTGAATGGTGACACCCGAGAAGGCAAAGTCGACAGTGCCGTTCAAATCGTTCAGTCCGCAGTCGACCTTGTAGAACCCGCTGGAGTCTGTACCATCAGCCCCAAAGTCGGCGCCAATGGCATCGGCTAGTGTTTGAGGCAGCAATGTCAACGTGGCGCCGCTGTCGAGAAACACCGCCATCGTCGTGTTGGCGAACTTCTTGGTCTGCCCGCTTGGCGGCGTAAGGCTCATAAAGTCCATGTCGATCCAGTATCTTGGTACTCCATCAGGGGCTTCCTTTGCTGGGATGATTGGCTGTTTTTGGAGCGTCCCCGTGAACTTGCCCGTGTCGAGACCACCAAAAATCACCACACCTTCCTGTTCATTCTTGCTGCCAAGCGCGAGACTGAAAGCTTTCGTATCTGTTACACCCTGGTCCTCCAATTCGTCGATGAAGTTCTTGTACCGAATCGTCACATTCTCGCCGTGGCCGATTCCCAAGATACCGGAGAATTCATCTACCGTGGCCAATGCAACACCAAATTGCACATTCTTCAATGGGCTATCTAGTGGAAAAGTCAGTCTGATGCAAGGTGGAGCGCCTGGGATCGAACTCACTTCCTTCAGAGAAACCAATGTCGTCAGTCACATATTGGATATCGGCACTGCCAATGCCATACCTCAGCGTCTTGGTTCCCTGCGTGACCACGGCACTAGAAGACGATGATGGGTTATAAGACCCCACGGCCTTGCAGAATTGGACGTCTGAAGCCCCTTGTAAACTTGAGCAGTCAGGATTCACCCACAGCTCGAACGATCCAGTGTCTAACTGAACATAGTTCGGCTGCGGAGGATTCCCGATTTCAACTGTCAAGGGTTAGAGGCACCAACACCAAGTCAAGGAGGAGGAAAGCTCTCACGTCTTGCATAGTAGGCTACATCAGATCGATTTGCCAGCGGCACAGTTTGAATTCCCCGCTTCGCCCACACGTCGGCGAAGACATCCCGATTCGTCGAGTGAATAACGGGAAACTTGACGTATTTGCCTGAACTTGTGGAGTTGCTTATAGATTTGATTGCAGAGTTGTCCAACCGAGGCGTGGTGACTGAAGCATGACTGCAAGCGGCGAGGGCTAGAGTCATGAAGGGGAGGAGAGAGGCCATTGCTGGTGGAAGATATGAGCCTACTGCTACCGCACCAACGGCATATAGATGAAACAAAGTGCCGAGGATCAACTAGGACGCAAGTCACAGAGGGTGTCTTGCCGTAGAGGCCTTGAGGCTCTGTGGGTGAGTGACACACAAGAATAAAAGCGCGCCAGTATCAAGTCGGGAAGATCCAGCTACCAGAAACGAAAGCAAGTAATTTCAAAACGATAGGCAAATAGTACCAAAAAGAAAGAAGAGACACTCGTGATCCCCCGGCCGATGCCCAGCACCGAAATATAAAACAGAGGCGAATGAACGACGACGCCCAAGATAAACAGAGGAAATGCACAGAAGTGCTGAGAGGTTGGAAATGACGGCTGCTGCAAGGTTGGTGGGACGAGAGCCAATGACAAGACTCGCCGACGCCGTGAGAAATGGAAATGGAAAGGGCAAGAGCTGCCACTAGACAAGCCACCGGCTCATGGCAGCTCCTGGGCATTGCATGCCGTAGCAAAGACCTCAAGTGCATCAAGCGGATCGTTGAATGGCTGTAACAATCTTGGCCGGGATGATCAAACGTCGGCGTGGTATTTGTTCCCTGCAAGTTGGTAATAGTGCAGGGATTCCATTCAGGAGGTTGCAACCCCGAAGGCCCCAAAAAAGAGCCGCCTAGCATGGTCAAGGCTCGGCAACGACTCCGGTTTCTGTCTCCTTCAGATGCAACTGTCACCCTTCCAAACATGTTCGTGGAATGTTTGGGGGGAGGATGCTGACTCAGAACTCAGGAGACATTCCAGTAAAATGTTACAACACGCAAGGAGTGCAATCCACGGCCCCTCCCTCATGCTTGAAGAAACTTTCTCCGTTGTGAACGGCATCCCGGTAGATCGTCACTGCCAGATTTTCCGTTTGGCGTCTGACCCGATCGGCCCGATCCCTCCAACTTCCAATGGCCAGGCGATCAACAATGAAGGCAAGGCTGGGCAGTGAGCGCCATTGCATTTTCGAGTTGGCGCGGCATCGTCAACCAAGCTTGGCGCGATGTCCGACACCCCGAGGAAGCTCCTGTCCTTGCGTCAGCATGAGACGTGAAACTGAATCCAATGCTCCCAAGGGATTCGCGTGCTCAAGTGGTCACAGCTGAGGCTTACTTGTCAGCAGTCAATGAACATCGTCATCTCACGAAGCCGTATGCAACGCTTCCGTTTCCACAATATTGCCAACCTCAAATGCGACTATCCACCTCCACGACAACTTTGTCGCTCGGTACCTTAGCAATATGAACGAATCCGACGACTATACACCACAGGCCGGCAAGTGCCTGCCTCGACCAACGTCGCGATGGCATCCAAGTCCTTGCCAAGCGGCGCGACAATCATCCACAGACTATCGACCGGATTCCTTCAGACCGCAAATGCTACAAATGCTAATCAAGCTACCGCCTTCATTTAACTGCGCTGCAGCAATAGCCCAACGTTGCCGAGAGCCCGCACAAACTCCGCATACGGTTACGACAGCACCTGCACCGGCAACTCTGGCAAGCTGGACAGCCCAACTCGCCACGCCACCCGCCGCAGTGGTGATAAGCACGCGCAAATAACTAATCTTCGCCTTCGCATCTGCATCACTCTGTAAAGCGGCCGCGTCCGACGTCCCTTGTATGAACAACGCCTGGTAAGCCGTCAATGCGCTAGTTGGCACCGCCGGCATCTCGAAGAAATCCAAGCTTCTGGGCTTGATGGGCAGCTCGGATGCGCGCACGAGCACGTACTCGGCGGCGACGCCAACTTGACGCCGGAAATGAGAGTACGGTCCCGGCTAGGTCCTGCCGTGAGATCGGGAGCTCCATCCGCAACCCGCGATTTAATTTCAGGATAAGCTTACGCCAAGCAATTGCAACTTCGCTTTCTGTAGACTGCGGACTAATCAAATACATAGCGTGTGGAACGCAAATTTTCATCCATTCGGACGACAGCTGAAGACATACACAATTGGATGACGCGAGAGAAAAGGTCGGGTCAAGATACTGCAGCATAACTAAACTTATTCGACTGTAAGCAGGCTCTTCTCCACAAAACGTTGTGTTGAAGCCGATGGATTCCAGCCCTTGCGACGAACGTGCGCTCCGTACTGATGTAATCTGGGATTTGAAAACCTCATTTCAAATATCTTAGTTGTCTATAGCACGGAATTTCAACGCTCATGGCGATGAGTCGGATCTTGATTTGAGAGACGGGCCGGTTTACGTTTCCGGCATTCGGAAAATGCCTCAAAATGAAAACGGCAGAATAAGTTTATGTGGGTTTTGAAAATAAGGCGACTCTGTGCATACAGCAGAAATGAAGCCTCCTGAATGCGAGAGTCCAAATGACTATTTCACAACGTCGTAAGGTAAGTATTGCGCGTAGTATGGAGCGTAGTATGGTAATGTGTGTTTGAAGTTCGAACGAAGTATGACGCAGCTGCCTTGAGGCAGACATAGGCGGTGGTCCACCAAAGCGCCGATTAGCGCGGCTTTCCTGAAACAACGGAAAGCCTGGCAGACCACAACATCCCAAGATGAGCTTAGTTCTGTCATCTTATCTACGAATCTTTCAGCCTCATCACTCCATGACTCAACTTGACCGAAGTTCTTGATAGTCTGAATCATTTATCTCGGCCAGTCGGTTTTACTATGGGAGCAAGTGACAAAGGAGACCCGACTGCTGACGACGCGACCACGAGGCACCAGTCGCCTCTCTTTATCCAGTCCAGGTCAAAACTTCAGGATATACCAGTTTTAATCGCCTTTGGCTTTTGCCTCATCTTTCTGAGTACTCACGGGAAGTGAGCTGCAGAAGCCGGTCTTTACCACTGCCACAATGGCCTCGTCAGGCGAACGAACAACCACGTCACCCCCCTCAGCACCCACAACTTTCACCGTTGCCCCCTCCCTATCCCCCTTCCAAGTGCCCTTGAAAGATTACCTCTCGTCCCATCCCCAATTCGATGGCATAGCATCTGGAGCCCTGGTATTCAAACCCCCCACCACCTCCTCTCCGCTCCAACTCCTCCTTGTTCAGCGCGCAGCCCACGACAGCATGCCCTTGCTGTGGGAAATCCCTGGCGGTGCTTGTGACCACGAAGACGAGACGCTCCTGCATGCCGTAGCGCGCGAATTGTGGGAGGAGAGCGGGTTGAAAGCTAAGAGTATCGAGGAGCAGGTACGCGGCGGGGATGATGAGTTGGATGGGGTGTTTTTTACGCGGAAGGGGAGTCGTTTGTGCAAGTATAGTTTCTTAGTTGCGGTGGAAGGGTTTGAGGTGAAATTGGATGCGAATGAGCACCAGCGGTACGTTTGGGTTACGGAGGAGGAGGCCCGGGCGAAGAGGTGCGGGGAGGTGGAGTTGGTGTATACGACGAAGAGCCAGGAGGCCGTCGTATTCAAGGGGTTTGAGGTTTGGAGAGAGAGGCATGGCAAGAACGTATAAGGGATCTAGAGTGGGATTCAAGGTCTCAAGAAAGGTAGACGGCTCCGTTTATGGGGCATCATCGTACCGACAGTGAACTCTGGATAGAGTATGTCATATGCTTGGAGCTGCCTCTGTCCTCAACCGGACCGGAAATTGACATCAACTCTAGGTCCCACCGCTGAAGCAGGAGGGAATAACCTCAGATACCCCATGCCCCAGCCGTCCTTCTCTCCCTCATCCCAGAATGCGACATCGTATCTGGAAACGGCAGTCGCTACGATTCTAGTCATGATGGACATGACGAGGCTAGCACACGACACTCCATCAGACACATTGCTTAGGAGAGTACACACTGGGGGGAGGGGACCAGAGGCTTACTCTTTGGCAACACAAGTCCTATTTCCAAGTCCAAATGTGACCGCGAGCTTCCGAGCTCGATCGGCCTCCGGACTTTTAGAGAGCCATCTGTCGGGATCGAACTTTTCGGGCTCGGGGAAGATGGTGGAGTCCCAGTTGACGAACATTTCGGTCATGCTAATGGTAGTCTATGTCGCCAATGAGTCAAGTTTGAGAGGAGAAGCTGAAGGAAGGAAAACGAACCCGCGGTGGGGTGGTAAAGCCCTTGTACGCAACAGTCTCATGACTTTGGCGGACAAATCGTATAGCATCCGTATCGTTCAGCCTGTAGGAAAAGGGTTTAGCCAAAAATCTCGAGAAAGAAGACAACATCACCTACCGAAACCCTTCTTTTATAACACCATTCTGTACGCAGGTTGTCAGTTGAAACAGCAGGTGAACCAATATCGTACAAACATACCAGATATTTGAGGTTGACCACTCTAGGGTCATCCCATATACGGCCCTGGGGTACCTCTACACTATCTAGCTCTTTTCTCAATTTCCTAGCAACGGTGGGATTGCCCATCAGTCCGTGGAACACGTGGGCTAGGTTGTAGGTGATTGCTTCCGTCCCTCCCAGCATAAATTCAGCACATTCAGGGTTCAGGACAGAGGAATCCCGATATAGCTTGTGATTGCTGTATAGATGCTGCGCAATGCCCCCTGATGACTTGCCGCTTTTTCTAGGCCGAGATGGAGAGAAGAAGGGTTTGTTGAGTTCGGCTGTCAACTACCCAGCTATTCGTCAGCTTGGGGTCGTCCAACGGTTGAGGAACGGGAGTAATGAACGCGTGGAACCCATTCGTCATCAATTTTAAAGAGTCACATACAGCTTCAACAGGCAGTTGCGTCAAACCTCTCAAGAGCGGAACATTACGGAAACATTACGGACCACTAATAAGAGTGACAACGGCCACTGGCGAAAAACCGATGCCAATCTCGTGGCATTGAAAGTCCTGTGGTCATATCCAGCTGCCAGGTCATCCCTGTCTAGCAGACCCATTCCGGTACCAAAGATGTACTCAGCCAGGATATCGTTGCTCGCAGCCCAGAAAAGATGAGTAAGGTTGAGCGGCTCTTTCGACTTGGCAAATCGACCAAGATGGGCATCCAGCTTGGTCAGATACGAAGATAAGGAACTAGTTTCGAACCATCTCAACTGTCTCCCGTTGAATAGGGGCAGTATGATATCCCGGCGACGCCTGTGCTCAGCATGTGGGGTGATGGTAGCGGTTGACCTTGGGGCAAGTTGGAAGTACCATTTTTCTTTATCAAGATTGCGCTGGTTGAAGTGGATGTAGTTGAAGTCATGATCTAGGATGTGGACTTCATTAGGGTTGATTCTAACAATAGGTCCTAGCGAGTTCAACAATCAGTCTCAAGAAGACTACATCATAGGATCTGATTTCACCATATCGTCCATGTAAAGATCTGAGATAAGTGCCCCAGTGATTTCGTATGCATACGTGGTAGAACTCGTTAAGGTGTGTGATGGCTGCTAACTTGGGGCCGGAGATTCGAGAGATAGGGCTGAGATATAACCCTTGAAAGACTTTGAACAAGAACCAGACGACGAGTCCGAGCATTAACGTGCCCACAAGAAGGGGTGTCATGGTTTGAATTAAGGGTTGAGGATCCAGGGACCTCTTGAAGAGCGATCAGAGTTCTGGTATCCGGCACTGGGCACCCAAGACTAGGTTTCCAGCGAGTTCCACCGCGAGCATTACTCTCAAACTACACAGAGCAAATGCCTTGATGTGCTAAAGTACACGGGAAATAAGGCACAATAGTTAGGCTAGCCTTTGAAGTTGCCTTTGCTGCGGGGTCAAGCCACAAAGTCCACACCTTAGCGAGCTGACGTGTAAGTCGAAGACAAGTGGTCCCAGACGGGGATAGAATAGGGATAAGGAGAGCATGGTTAGAATGAGAAAGTGGAAGGCCGAAGATCTGGCTCATCAATAACTTGACCTGAGCAGCATATGTATAAAACTACTGTGGGCAATACAGGCAAGAGAGTGGTATTAGTGTTGATGATGATGGGACCAACTCCCAAGAGTTCGTAGCTACGGAAGGTCTATCTGTGGGTAGCTGGCCCGAGCGCTGCACCCAGCACACATCCGGTGTGCATAGGGCACGCAACAAATCCACATACATATCTGAAGAACATGTTGAGACAAGTGAAATAGCGAGCACGGAAGTCGGGAAGGACAAGCTGATCAATAAGGTTCAAGTGTGGTATATAAACATCAAACCTGCAGGTTCCTAGTCAATATATTGCGCAAATTGTCCCATAATGGTGAAGCTGATTCAACTGGAAGTCATGAAGAGAGGAACAGCAAAGCTGCAAAGCTCGCCCCGAGATGTTGCAAGTGATGATTGAATCCTGGAGATGCGCAATTGTCGAAGTGTGATTGGAGAACTCTGGCTGCCCGGATGGATGCCTGCAGTTTGTGAGCTCATCACGTGAATCCCAAAAGCTAAGCTAGCCAGACATGGCTGCATCAAGACCTTAGTACCCGCAATCGAACCACCCGGGCATCGTCAAATCAGACAAACCGGAAATCCCTCTCTCTTGCCAACATCACGAATCGACCTCTCCACTCCACCCATTGCGCCCACAATGTTTTTGCAACGCACTGCTGTGGCGGCCGCCCGCCGAGCTGCTGTCTCGCCCATCGTCCGCCGAAGCTTCACGGCTTCCGTCATGCGCCGTAAGACCTCACCCGCCTTGAACAAGATGCGTCACCTTGGGCGCCATGCAGCGACACAGGAAGCTGACTGAGCCTTGAAACGAACAGGAGATGCGAAGAACGTCGAGCCTCACTCCAGCGTCAGCCAGAAGATGAAGTCTTTCAGCGGTACGAATTCTCCAACCCCCCAATTGACACCGTGCAAGGACGGATCGCGATCATGGCAGCTTTGGCCAAGCACGACAATGTTGACGCGGGAAATTCACAGAAATCAAGACCGAGCAGGACCTCATCGGACCTGGTGCCCAGCCTGGGTCCGTCCCCACCGATCTCGAGCAGTCCACCGGTCTCGAGCGTCTCGAGATCTTGGGTAAGATGGAGGGCGTTGATATCTTTGACATGCGACCTCTCGACTCGTCGCGAAAGGGCACGGTCGACAACCCCATCCCGGTCAAGTCTGCTGGTGACGAGCAGTACGCTGGCTGCACTGGCTCCCCCGCCGACTCGCACGTCGTGCACTGGCTTGGCGTACGTTCAGTGCAATTTGCCCTTTTACCAGGCATTCATCCATACATACATGGGACACCACGACACTAACAAAATTTTGCCTGCAGATGTCCCGCGAGCGACCGGTGGAGCGATGCCCCGAGTGCGGCAGCGTCTACAAGATGGAGTACGTTGGACCTCAGGATGACCACCACGGCCACCACGACCACCACGGTTACGAAGAGCCCAAGACATTCGCCAACTTCGTCAAGCCCGAGTACTGGTAAACAGGACGCACATATCGAGGGTAATAGGAGGCGGTGTTGGTGCCTGGAGCGGCAAGGGTTGTAGAATAGGAGCGGCCGGTGACGTGGCTGTATAGAATTCCCAAAGAGTTGATCATCTGCAAGATCCGTCTACCTTTATGATCCTCATGACTGCATACGATATACGATATACGCGCAATGCGAAATATAGGCAATATCGAAGAAGGCTGATAGGCATATTGATACCTAACATACTAACACCACTCCCGCAGATGGTGGCCTTTGATTAGACAAAGCAACAATGAAACAATTGGCAGGTACCAAAGGGTACACCAACTATTCCGGGCCATCCCACTGTTACGCCATTTTATTCTTGCACTGCCACTGTGACATGATTGGTGTCAGCTTAATTGACAGCTGTTTTTGGATCTCACAAAATGTAAGATGGACTGGTGACTGGGCGACCTGACAGTATGGGTAACACAAGTTCAAACTGTGTATACAACGTTTGCGCATTCCAAAGCATGCCCGAATTTTGATGACAGGATTCAGAGGTGCATACCTTGCGGAAGACATAATTGGATAGATATACTCCCCGAAGGGAGCGGGGATCCGAAATGCCGACGGTTACTTGCCAATACTTATAGCAGTCAGAGCGTCCCTAGTGGATAGCGAGCGTCGCGTTAATTGGCCAGGGTGCCGCCTGAAGCCGAATGCATAGTACTATTGCCCCCTATGGGAATATGAATGATTATGCAGGTGGCTTTTCGTTCCAAGCCCGTAAGTTTGAGGAATAGGAGGCCACACACTTTTTTTCTGCACACACCACCTCTTGTCACTAAAGTAGACACGTCTTGGACCATGGACCTTGGTCTATCAATGTCGCCTGTCGCCCACCTTAGACACCCTGGCGATGCACACTTGTAGCCTGGTCCAATACCTGGTACCCTGCTTCTCATATTCATATCAATAGAACGATCGGTCCCCTACTCGTAATAGCTTGCCTGGCCTGCCAACTGCCTATCACATGATCTCGCAATTCTACGCGTCTTGGGGACCCGGTTTCTAGTTTCTGAAGCTCAAACTCAACCATCTCGGACCAACACTCTACTCTCGACTGTGCCATTCCCGGCCGCAGGCCTCGCCCCCTTTCAAACGGCGTGGCCAAAAACAAAAAAAATAACACGATCGATCCATCCATCCGTCCATCCATCCACCCCATCATCCATCAAATACTCGTCCCACATCCATCAGACTCCACCTTGCAAACAGCACATCTTGATTCTTCGAGCACCTGGGACTACGAATACGCGCTTTCTTTTTTTGGCAGCGACTAGTCAGAGTATCATCATCATACCGACCCGTCGGTTCCCAACCTCATTGCATCGCGCATCACTTCTTTCTTTTCTCCTGTTGCGCTGCAGCACCCCTACACAGGTCATTCTTGACGGGGACCACCGGAGCACCTATCCAACGCACCTGACGGCTGAGCTGTAAGGTGAGTGTGTGTTCCATTGACTGGTCGGCCATACCAACAAAGGGAGCCGCATTGCCAGGGTTCTTTGGCGCATCAGCAATCTGCTTCTATCTACTCCCACCACACACGCGCACCTTAAAAGCACCTTAAAAAGTACTATTCGTTGCCACGACCCACGGGGTCATACTCGCCCTAGTCAGACTTTGGTACCGTACTAGTACGAAGTACAGCCAAAAGGTATAATACTCATCATCCAGGCCCCCCAATACCATTTGACCCATCGTATTTCTCCCTCTATTCACTTTCAGCAACCTTCCAGATTCTCCATCCACCTTCCCTTCCCTTCCATTCTTGATCTGCGCATCTGCATCTCTGTCCCTGCCCCCCAACTTCTCGACGAGGCAACCGACTTACTGATTATTGTCCCTCATTTAGCGCGCATCCTATATCAGATTCGCCATCGCCAAACCATTTGCAATTTGCGATCTGATTAGTGGCGACGCCCTTTTTGTTTCTTTCTGCCCGCCTCACGTCCCCTTGTCTGGCGATTAGCAAGGAAAAGATAGTCGTTCACCCGACCAGGTATCCGCATCAGCTTTTCACCCTGACGATAATTACGGTGATTCACACACACACGACACCACAAGCCGCTTCTCCCGCCCCTCGCATAAGCCTTTTATCACGGGCAACCCAAAATCTGTCGAGATTGCGTCGTGTGTTTTCTTTTTTTTTTTTTTCCCACCCTCCATGACAACATCATCAAACACTGCTTTCAGCAGCCATTTGGACTTTTCCCATTAGTAAGAGTGTAAGTTCACTTTTCCTTTATACTGCCCCGTCCATATGCACCCTATTGCATCTAGTATAATACGCGCATCACAAATTGTGTCGCCTATATAGGCCGATGCCGACCTGTTCCTTTCCATTACTTCCCCCCCCCTTGCATATCAATCACATCACGGCGCTGCCCGTTTCGCACCACTGTTTCGCAAACCTGGCTACAGTCCGCCCAGCAAAGTGTGTTCTTTCCCAAAATGGTACAGCAATAGTCCCCACCTATACAGCTGGACCCAAGCCAACCATCCCAACATCCATTTCTATTTACTCAAAACTTATTATTAGAGTGGGGCATCGAGCTCAATCGGGGGTGCACATGCAAAAGCAACCCACTCACTCTATTCGCATTTGCATCACAGCATACTCAATAAACTCAAATCGCTGACTATCCGAACCTTATAGCCGACTACCCAGTGGAGGTGATACGGCATCGCGTGGCGGGTTTGGTCGCAATCACAATGTCGGCCAAGGAGGACGTCGGAGGAAGAACGCTTGATGAAGTGCAGGCGTCGTGGTATGAGAACACCAGAACCATACGAGATCGCGAGGACTTGCAGCTGCGTCAACAGTACGATGCACAGCAGGACCAATTGAGAGCACGACTTGTGGAGCTATATGACCGCCGGTCGCACATTGAGAACGAGCTGAATTCCCTACGCGCCAGCATCGGCTTGCAAGAGGAAGAACAGGCGCGCCTCGTGAACAGTTTCAAGGTACACTGTGAACAAATCGCAACCCGGCGCCAGAACGAAGATATCGAACACCAGCAGTGGTTCGAGCAGCAACGTGCATTCGAGAATGCCAATAAAGCCAATGGCCATCGTGCATCCAGCAAGGAGATGGGCAATCAACAGAGCGGTGGAAGCACCGGTGGCTGGACGAGTATCAACGGCACCGCCAACTCGCACAAGGGCTCCAGTCGCCGCGACGATGAGGAGGAGCCACCTGCAGACCCTGGCAATATGCTCGGCAGCGGCTACCACCCCATGGATGACGCCGAACCCAACGGTAATATCATGCCCTTCAGAGACTCGAGTCACAACAGAACTCGACCTGGCACGTCAAATGGTACTGAGATGGAGATAGATGATCTTGACGCAGATGCTCTGCCTGTCCGGATAAAGAAGGACGGCGAGAGACCGCTCAAGCCCAAGCAGCGGCACAGTCTGCCCAGCTTCCCCGCCGTGGTTCGATCGCCCGCTGGCAAACGTAAGTCTTGCATGAAGAACCAGTTCAGCTGCACAACGGGGATCACGGCTAATGCATCACCTGCAGCCAAGCAAGAGACTCCCGCTAGCGAGTCTAAGGGAAGATCTCCCAGCGGTCGGAAGTCGTTGCCCGCTGCGCGAAGCCATACACAATCGGTAGAGGCATCTGGGCCACCAGATGAGACCGAGATCAACCATGAGACCCTTATTCTTAAGCACAACGGTCAGTTCTACACGGAACCACCCATTATGTACGGGGTCCCGTTGGAGAGAATCGACCCGAAGCACCCCTATTGGGACCCCGAATGGCAACCCTTGGAGGAATACATCCAACCCCAGCTCGATAAGTGGAAGGAGAAGCACGAGGCGCTTCGTCGCGACCCCAATGCCGTCAGACACACCGTGTTCCTCGCAAACCGCCAAGTCAACCGTGGCCAGGCAGTCCTCGATTACCTCAAGGAAGGCGAGTTCCACCCTTACCAGTATGTGGGCAAGGAAATGATGCAGAAGTTCTACAAGACTTTTATCAACTACGATACCATGTTCCGCTTGGTCAACGTCCACGAGGAGTTGAAGAAATTTGACCTCGATGTGACGCCCCTTGAATGGCTCAGGCATCGTATGCACGAGGTTTCGGTGGCGCAGGGCGATAAGTTCAGCTTGTCCAAGTACACTCATGACCTGTATCACGATGCGAGGCTGAAAGCCTTGCGCGAAAAGCATGGATTTGGAAACATTGGTCGCCCTTCGGGTTACAAGGTCGGGGAGAAGAATCCGGACAAGGCGAAGAAGCCAAAGCGCGAATCAAGCGGAACCGCATCCCGACGCAAGGCAAGAAGGTCGATCGGCCAGGTTGACGTGGATGAACCCTCGGTGATGATGGACGGGGCTCAGCCACAGCTACCGCCTCAGCCGGCAGACGTCGAGAGACTCGAGCCTGTAACACCCCGACAAACCAAGAAGCAGCGTCTAGAGGTGGCGCCTCTGCCCGAGATCAAGCCGGAGCCCGAGGTCGACTACCTGGAATACGACGGCTACACATCGACCGATTCCTTCTCCGCCGGGCGCATAATGCATCTGGACTGGCGCGTCTATCAGATCAAGACGCGCACTCTGACCACCAGCACCGAGGTCACGCAGTATTGGACTTGGAAGCCCGACAAGAGCATGTTCGAGCACCAGGTTCTGCGCGACGTATTTCCCAAGGTCACATGGGGATACTACCAGAAGCCCATCAACTTCGACCTTAGGTTGGACGAGGTGATTGAGATTCAGTACGCGCCCGAATCCCAGAAGGTTTTGGTCCTGATTAAGGATGGGAAGCGTGGTAATATCCTGGCGCACTTCAAGCGCGAGAGAACGAAGAAGCGATTCCTTTCCTTTGCTAAGAAGAAGAATGTCCATCTTGTCAAGCAAAGCTAGTAAGTGAACCAATGCAAACTGTGCGACTGACGTATGCTAACATTCCCACAGCCAGGAAATGGAAGGTGCCTGGGATTCTATGGAGAGTCAGACCTTGCCCGATGAGGATTCGGAGACTTAAGCTCGATGCCTCATAAAGAGAACGAACGGCACGTGGTTAATTGCGCCTACTTTACGCTTGTCACGATCGACGTGACTCGGCGGTTCTGTTCGATTCCGACGACCAATGACGGATACAACCCCTACCCCGAGACAGCAGGAATGCTCTCGCTGTCTCGGACCGATGACTCTGTGCTGGAAAACCCCACGATTGTCTCCACCTCTCAACCCACATATCAAGCTCCCCATCCTGTTCATCATCAAAACGGTTTCATTGCGGTAAACCCGAATTTTCTCATGAACGGTTAGACTCTGGAAAGCTCACGGCTAGGGTCACAACACAGCAAACAACATTACTACATACACTACACTAATACGAAGGGTGCACCCACCCGCGCTGGGGATTGCCACGCAAGCGATATTGTCTTTCTTTCCCCCTGTCTGCGCATTTGCATTTTCGAGGTTCGAGTCACAGCAAACGGCCAGGCGTGATGGATTTGATTTGTTCCGGCAGAGATTGTTTGACAAGACGGCATTAGACAAAGGCTTAAGCACCCCAAAATTCGCGGCTGGCATTAATGGACTCTGTCATTTCTGTTTTTCGATTTGGCAACGGCGAACAGATGGCCACAGGGAGTTCGCATTTGTTAGGTCTGGAATCCTGCTTCCCCCCAAAATTCGCGAATATGGCTAGGGCTTCTCAACGGAACTCACTGTACAATATAGAGAAATCGAGGACTTTGCTATCATGATTTTCGTGGTTTGATTTATTAACCGTACTATTGATTTAGCGCACGTAGTCTTGAACGAGACGAACCTCTGGCGGCGAACTGGACTTGCACGCATTGTTTTCGCCCATGACCCGTTGCTTCCTTTCTGGGCAAGTCAAAGTAAGTAACTCAATTGAAACTTGAAACACATTTGATAGCTTCGATGGTGTCAGGGATCGAGCTGCTATAATAAGTAACAATGATCCTTGACGTGACTCGCATGCTTTCTGAGACCAGACAGACGCAGCGGGAGGACCTTAGGGTCGAAAACTGTAGGTCCAAGGTGTGCCCCACTCTTTGCTGTCCCTCATCGGGATATCCCGACGCTGACTTCGACCGTTGCTTCGAAATTTCCGTGCTGGCCGTCAATCACGATCGATGTGGTAAATTCCGACATCAAGACAAGCTACAATTCAAGCCACGACACCTGCCCCAAGCGGCCGACGAAGGGATCCCTCTCTACACCGGGTGCAATCAGGTTGGCCGAAGCGAAACAGCCTGGATCCTACGTCGTCAAGGCGAGCATAGATTGAGAAAAGCAGCTGGTCACCATGTTGTACGAATTAATTGGAATTGTAAGTCCTTGGTTTACGACGTATTGCGCGTGATGGGCGCTTCTGTCCTATCACCCTCTGCTGGCTCTCCTGGCCGTGATCGATACTACTTGTGTTTGGGAACGGAGACGAAGCCGGCAGAAGAAAGCAAGTGCTTGCCCCGGGAGTTCCCACGGCGGGGAGATACGATGGGCTGCATTGCTTCACGCGCATACAACAGGCGGATGCATGTCAGCTGGAAGTTGCAACAAGACACCTCGAAAACGACACGCAGTGGGACAGACCGAGAGGCTCACAACAACATGCTAACCACGATCCCCTCCACAGGTCCGACCCGGCAAGATCACCGAGGTGAAAGAGTACGCCCGTCCAACTACCCTCTACCCTTATCCGCTCGTCCATCCCCGATTTATCCAACAACCGCGAAGCCCCTGAGCCACAAACACAGGAACTAACAAAACCCCTCTTCCCTTTCATAGAATCGTCCAAGCAGCCGGGTCCCTAATCCTGCGACAACGCGGCGTGATCCGCGGCATCGCCAACTGGGGCGTCTTTTCATTGCCCAAGGCCATCTCGATACATCAAAGGCGGCACCAGACCGGACACTACTTCTGTCTGCGGTACGACGCGAGCGTCAAGACGCAGGAGGAGGTTAAGCAGGTATTGGCCAAGGATCCGCGTATCATTCGTCATACCAATGTGAAATTGGGGGATGGCAAGTTGGAGACGATGAGTAAGTTTGGCGGGGTGGATTGGAGGTAGAGTACTGTAATGTGAACAAGGGGGAAGAGAAGAGATAAGGAAGAATGCAGGAGAACAATTGAGCGCAGGCTTTGCGGCCTGTGGAGAGATTTGGACGGCGTGAAGCACCTGCCTGCGTATTACTGAAAATGCAGATAAGGAAGCTGTAAGATACGGGATAGCGGTCTTAGTATGCGCGGAGCTAGCTCTGTTGTCGAGGCTATGGCTATGGCTGCTGGGGGACCAAGAGGTCTTACATTCAGTCATCTACCCTCGGCCCGGAGGGAGACGACGCACTCAAGTACAGACACAAAGGAAAGCCAGGCGTAGAGCCTGGCAAACCAAACACCAAACTTCAATATCCCAGACGGGCAATTCGACCTGAACAGTGCAAGCCACACCTGTTGATCTCTGTTGGTTCGCGAGACACGTTCAGATGAATCATTACAGCATGTGTAGCAAATTACTCTGTGCCATGAAGATCAGGATCCCATGCCTTCCAATTTATAATCTATGCGGCCCCAGAGGCGGCGGTTGCTGGACGGCTTCTCAGTCCTGCTGAAGACAGGAAGACCAGCGCATATGAACGGGCCGTGGGGCATACGAGAGAACGCCAAGTTCACCAGAAGACTGAAGAAAGAGGAACCTACATCCACGACATACCGAGAACTCGTATCGCGGATGAGGCGCTGTACTGTGTCTGCCTCGGAGTCTTCATGACCTTCCGTGGCTTGGGCCTCTCGGCCACTCCGGCGGCCGTCGGCCTGCACGTTCCAACAGTGCACCGCGGATATTCAGATGTATGTAAATTTTGTCATGACCGAGAAATACGCGTATCAGTACGGGTCGAGAATATCTCGGTTTCTGAAACCCAATTTCACTTGCTGGGTCAGGGCTTCATGCAGTAGTTGGAGGCTCCATATCAGCTAGTCAAAATGCGATAGGAGCGTTTTACTTCAGTGATAGCAAGTGCGGTACTATAGAACTAATTCCGGCACATGCTTATGGGAATTCATGTCTCATTCAGCCGTCCATTGTACTCAAACGAGGTATACTGAGGATTGTGAGCTCGAGTCCGTCGCTTCCTCAAGGATTTTTCCCTTCGTTACCAGCCATTACCTTGCCACGGGACCAACAGGAAAGCCAAGCTGTCCGGAAACTTTGCATATATACTGTTGTTCTGTCTGCTAGTGATGCAAGCTCTAGTCTATTGTAGGCGGTGCCTCGTTCAAAGGCCATGTGTGCTCTGAAGTGTGGAGAGACCATGCTTCAGGCTGCAAAGAGCGACCACTACAGGGGTCAACAATCCCATCGAGTCATCGGTGTTGAGTGAGATTCGGCGTCCCGTGTCACAATATGTCGAGCCGGTTTCCATGTCCGTGTCGACTAGGTTCTGCGGTTCTGCCGTCTAGAGTCTTTAGCAATACCCCTTGATTTCGCCTCCTAGGCATCAACGTCCATTGCCATGCTCCCAGCGTGCTTCGAGCGGTACCACTCAACGAATTCATCGATCACACCTGGCCAAGAGTCGTCTTCGCTCCAGAAGTGAAAGCTCTCATCATCCATTGACTTTCGGGCAAACTCGAGCGTCTGGTTCCACATGTCTTTGTTGACTGATCGTGTCCACTTCTCATTGAGAAAAGCTGTCCATTCAGGTAGAAAGTTGATCCCCGTCTTCTTACCCACCCAGGGACGGCCGGGGGGCTTGAAGAGCATTTCCCAGTACAGAATGGCGTTTTCCTTCGAAAGAGCTCGCTGGTCGGCTTCTTTACCAACGACGAAGGTGTAGCGGTAGGCCTTGCGGAAAGCTTCTGGATTAGAGCGCAGGCTGCTGACAAGGGTTTGAATGTAGTTGCGCTGAGCCGGTATGGTGCCATCAATACTAGGCAGGGTGTTAGCAACTGGTGCAGTATATTGGAAAGGAGTGTGAATTTGCAATTGCCAGAGTTGGCAGCATAAAGTCCCGTGATATAGTCCACGTCAGGTGGAGACCCAACCGTGGAATACGGGATATATGGGAGCGAGACTTACCCAACGGCCTTCCAACCCTCAACAAAGCCAGACTTCTTGATCTCGCCAATACTCTCCGCCTGTATCACCTCCAATGCCACGAAGAGCGACGCGTCTTCCAGGTTCACACCAAGCTTCTGTAGGTACTCCATCGAACTTTCCGCTCCAAGCTTCTCGGCCTCATCCTCGGAAGACGCTGTGAAGACGGTGAATTGGTGCTATAAATGACTTGATAGAGAAGACGCACTTTTCAGAGACTCGAATTGATTCTTCAAGGCTATCTCGCGATTGGCACTGGGAGTTGCACCGCCCGTGGCAGAGTAGAACCTAAAACCCCGAAGGTAAGTTTGTTAATGGAGAACACTGGCTTTTGTGATGATTCAAGATGGACATGACTAGCGGCTCCGACCGAACAATTGGGGAAGTGGTCCGTAAATGTACGTAAAACTGGCCAATGCCCGAAAGTCGAAATCAAGCTCGGTTGAGTGAATAGGTCCAGAGCGGTCGAGCACGATATTCCGCAAGTTGGCCAACCCATGCCCCAGTTTTCTCGTGTCAAGAATGAGCCTGCAACGGTGGGGACAATAGAAAAGGCTGTAGAGAGTGCCATGATTCGGTCCCATCAGCTCGGAGTTCGTCCACATGTTGCTGGAAATATGAATTGTGCCCGAGGAATTAGTGAAGGTATGAGGCCGGCACACTAGTCTGTCCCTGTGCCAGTTCGAGCAAATAACCGAAAACGAGTCGCCGAATGAGAAATCTCCGCATGGTGTGGTGTGGGCAACCTTCCACACGCAACCTTGCATCCGTGGAATAACCTGCCTGAGGATAGTCCATAGCGGATGAACGGAGCACTCCATGATGACCAGTTGTGAGCATCGCCGGCCCCTTACATCCAGTGTGGCGCTTCTGTGATGAGAAACCCGTCACCACCAAGCCGCTGCATGCCAGAGGTACTTGGTTTTATGGATGAGATAGAGTAGTGGGATTGGGATTGATAGGGGTGAGTGCGAGGCTTGCGCCCACATTCCAGCATTAGGCGTAGAAGTTGTCACTTGTGTTGAACCACAGTGGCACAACACGCAAGCATTTCAGGCTTCAATAAAGAGTGTTCCGGGGCCAGTATTGACATCTTGGATTGTCCCATGGTGTACCCTCCAACTCCGCCTTTGCCTTATCGGTAGGAATGAAGGTGTTCTTAGAACGAAGGTGTTCTGCATGTAGAGCAATCTCGCCACATATTGCCACAGCTGACACCGGAACATGGCAACTTGGGGTTGTGCGCGTTTGCATTGTACCAACTGCTTGCAATCGTTCCGACACGGGTAAACATGCCCAATGCTGACATGTATTTCGGGAAAACGTGAGCCACAAACTGTGATACCTGCCGTGACACTGCTCGTCAGGCCGTTGGCAGGATAACGGCCCACCAAATTCTCGTGGACAGGTCGAAAACCCGGATTGCGCCTTCGTCCTGGCTCATCGGCTTATCATTATTCAAGCAGATACCATTCGTCTCGCGTTCCTTGCAGGATGAGCAAGCGAAGGCGGCATTCAAACATACACCTGTTGCGAAAACGGGTACGTTCACCAGCTTCGCCCCCATGCCATACACCGTTGAGGAAGTCTGAGGCATTCTCCCGTGCCGCCAAGTGTGTCCGCATCTGTGCGCGGCCAACGGGCCACTATCTCTCGATGTCGTGATGCCTTGAGGACGGCCATTCGGTCATTGCAAGGCCTTCCGACCATCGATTGGCGTAGTCGGTCCAGTCCGAGAAAGCGAAATACAAGAACCAGTCCAGAGCCGCCAATGCATGGAAAAGGAAGAAAATCCAACTTACGCATCTACTGCTTGGTCTATCTTGTATGAAGCATTCTTCAAGTACTACGGACAAGTTGTGGTTAGCAATGATGTGACATTAGACGGAAGTGAAAGGCCACCACTCCAAACGGGCTTTAGCTACAAATGCGCTGCAACTCAAGTCCGTAATCATAGGTGTTTGGTATGATCCAACTTACTCTCTGTGCGACTTTCTCCGAGACGCCGGTGATGGACACGAACTGCGAGACGGCTGTCTTCTGTGCCGACGTGAGCGGCATGGTGGCGGTCGTTCCCGTTTATGATGACCAAGCCTATGAGCTACGATGGTCTGCAGGAAAAATGAGATCAGGTTGGTGGCTGCCTGTCGATAAGTTGAAGGCAGAAGTTGTCAGTCGGACCGGCTCGTAGAAGCCGCAATCGGTCTGGAGTCGGGAGGAGGTTCGTAGGGCTGGGGTCAGCGGTCGCGTGATAAAGACGTGTATGATCGTTGAACGATTTATTTCGAAGCACTTGGTACTGAAGCGAAAGTTGCAGCTTATTGAATGTCCAAACAGGCGCGTCGAGTGGTCTAATAATGTCTTCTCTGTTAGCAGCCAAAAAGACGTCAAGTCAGTCGCGGTTGGTTACAGGGAAGGCGGGACAAGGCTGACCTGGACGTGGAGGGGTAATGGCGATGAATTGGGCTAGCGGCAGAGCGGGGAATGCCTGCCCACTTTGGGTAGCCTCTGGTTTTGAGTAAAGCCACGATTACAACTGTAGGTACGTACGTATTCCATGTCAGCATTGCGCCTTCCTCGGCCTCGATAATTGTAGACAACAAACTACCAACCATTTTGAAGTAGTATCCTTGAGTATGGTTTGAGGAACGAGCGAGTACTTCAGCAACTCTAAAAATGTACTGTTGCCAGCGTTCGTTATGCCCTCCGCTAAATATGCGAGCGTCTCTTATCACGACTTATCCAGAATCTACACGCCCCTCAGCTAACACTATTCGACCACCTTTTTCATTATGAAGCATATATCGATCAACCGTACCTAAGTTCAACTCAACCCTCGTTTCAGGGCGTCTTTCAGGCGTTCTGTTGCATCAATATACCACTCCCCAATGAATCAATCAATGGGGGCCCCATTACTTTTGAATCATGGACCCTGTCGGAAAGTTGGGACTACGAGACTACGAGCTGCTGACCCGCCTTTTATTATTGATAGCAATCAGGATCATATGCAGTTGACTTTCAATTCTTTATAGGATCTGGCTAGACCTCGCTTTTCTGCTTCAATCCATCTAGTCTCACTCACCGAGAACGACCCTAACATAGTGAACAATGACGAGTATCGCTCACTTACTATCTTGTTGTATGCAGTGCGTATCACTCCAGTAACAGAGTACAGGGAGAAATAGCTGTTTGTTTTGAAAAACATGAAGCTCAAAGCGATACTATAAAAATATTCATTTTCGCATTCGGGTCACCGTTCTTGTCAAACTGGGTGCTGAGGACGCAGGTAGCTGAAAGACCCGAGGTCACAGACTGACTCTAAACTACAAAGTCTCCGGCAAATTGTAATATCATCAATTTACAAGGCTGCGATACCCCTTAAGGAGCCTCGACCTTCCAATCTCGCTTCACACTGATGATGGAATTCGGCCAGTCAACTCAATATTTTTCTTGTTCCCTTCACAGTTGGAACAACCAGCATTGTCATTAATCTCGGCTCTATACTCTAGCCCAAGCGGCCGCAGGCGGTATTCGGAAGATTCGGCATCGATTGTCTCAATTGGGGCATCACGGAATTTGCGGACCATGCTCCCCTCATTGACTTTCTTTGTCTGACCACAACGGATTACGTTGCCAGTTTTGGAATATTCGTAGCGGCTAAGCAGTGGGCGAAGCAGTCGGACTGAAGCAATCGCAACACCGATACTGGGCTCTGGGCGACTTAGAATATTGCAATTATAACCATCTTCTTGAACATGTAACATGACGATCAAATTTTTGGAGGCTTCATGACAAGAGGAAGTTCAAGTGAAACCAAATTATCAGGGCAGATTCAGTTTTACTGTTTCGGGATACTCAGCTTTCTCTTCATAGGATAATCCATGGCTCAGAGGGACTGACCTAGGTACCGAACTGGCAAGATCAGGACTGCAACATCAATAACTATATTCCACACGCCAGTGATAAGACGCGATAGCACCTGGTTGCCACAGTGTCCATCAGGGGTTGGCAAATGAGGAACGCCATCAAAATTGCAGCAGCAACGTAGCCGATCGTGGCCAAGCCCGTAACCTTAGCGGCCAAGATGAAAGCTAAGGCGTCAAATATGGTGCAGCGGAAGACCAACATCAACATCTTGGTGAGGAAGAGAGTCATTCACTATAGGACTTGAATGGCCATGACGATCTTATACCCTCAAATGTTAGTTAAGCATTATGTTTGAGAGCCTATATCCTTCGGGACAGGCACAATTTACCTTCAGAAGCAGCGTCAGTGAGTCAAGATTCCTGTTGTACCTTTCAGCGTCGGCTACATACCATCGACAAATCCAATCCAGCCTCGAAAGGGATATTTACAAATGCAGTTGGTCACTCGCCACTAGCTTCTGTGAGACTTACGACGTGTCACCTGTCGCAGTACTATTGAAGTCAGATGGAGGAAGATGAAAACCCACCATGGACTAAAATTGCTTCTTGAGCATGCGTTCTGACTGGAAATATGGCCATTGGGTTGACTTCAATGGTCGGATGGTGCCCAAGACTTCTAAAAATGGACTCTCGAACAGAACCCACGGCAAAGGGATGAGCGAAAGGATTTCGAAACAAACGTACAAACATTCGTGGAGCAAACATCTCGATTATCCAGGAATTGGAAAAGAATAAATGCATGCTTTTGGCATCTCACCAGAATGAAGCATGTCGGCCACAATACGATGATCATTTAAACGAGGTCCAATACTGCCACGCGGAATTCGCAGTCGGAGCGGTACCACGTCTCTCATATTCACACAATCGAAGATCATAATATTACTATTTGAAGTTCGGGAAGGCTACCAACAACTTGGTGGAACATTATATGCTCCAGAGCTTCGCTCACAGTCCCTACACATCTGAGATGGAATCCTTTGGGAGCTTGTAAGTCGGCCAACTATCAGGCATCTCATTGCCGACGCACTGGGAATTCCTCAAGTAGCACGGCTGTGCTGCTAAATAGCAAACTGCATCAAAGTCTCGTGATACACCGTTCCAATCTCAAGCCCTTGGCCTCTGTCACGGTCGGACGTGAATATGTAATACAGTGCTTGGTGATTTCCAGACTATTGGATCGGACAATAGCCAATTTTTGCTACTCTTCCGGTGTATGAGTGTGCTCGAGTCATGATGGAAAGTGGGTAAGTGTTTCGTAGAATCTGGCCGAATGTGATTGTCCGTATCTTCCCCCATCAGCACGTTGTTCGAGTGGGGGCCCATCAAGACCAACTTCCTACTGTCTATTTCTACTTATCGAACACCTTTAGAACATCATAGAAGTTGCTTCTGATTGACAAAACTACGCACACGATGCTCACAAAATTGAATGATATAATATTTATAATTTGTAGGGAAGTAGTTGTTACTTGAGATCTGGGTTAGGGGCATCTACGTGTAGGAAAAATCATTTAATAATGTGACGTCTCTAGGGTGTTGGCTACATATTTGACGTCACTAGTTTATACCAAGCTGCTACCCTGTCCTGCCCGCTTACCCGCTGCTTCCATATATGGGAGTTGGGAATCAAGGATATACGGTGTCATTAGATTGCCGGTGCACTCATTAATAGTAGAAACTGTGGAATACTGATGGCCTAAGGCGACTTGGGTGTTGGTTTCTGTGCATCAAATATGAAAATGAAATCCCTTGGCTATGTCACTACTTCCTATGATACCAACATGGCCCTGCTGATCTTACTCTTGGCTTTGATATTCCGGAGACGATATTTCTCACCTATCAGCAATCTTCCAGGACGATGTGCTGCATCTTTCACTCGATCATGGCATGTGTGCAGGGTGATTTCTGGCGACCAAACCACGGTTATACTTGTGCCAGCCTTAGCCATTCTGACGCAGTGGAGGAATCAATACTGAACCTAATGCACAAAGTAGACCCAGACTTATCCTCGTCGATTTATGTTGCAGCCTGATGGGCCATCTGGAAAACACTGCCCAAAAGGCATTGAACGCCGTGATAATACCGATGCCAGATTCGATATTGTTGAGCATTGGCTTCAAATTTCCCACAAGCACCCTGAAAATATCAAATTTTGTGATATCCGGGTGGTCACGTCAACAGTTGTCGGAACCGGGTCTGATACTGTAGCAATTGCTGTTCAGTAAATCACATCAGCTTGAACGACCAGCCCCCAAAGATGATATGCAATACACAATCGATTTCAAAATCAATTTGGATCTTAAATTTTTCAGGTCCTTTGTTAATTTCATGATACAAGATCCAGGATGCTCAGGTTGTCTCCTTTGCAGATGCACCTCAACTACCGTATATGCAGTAAGGAAAAGACCTGTTGTTATCGGCGTTTCTAGCTGAACCAGTTCGGAACTACTTGCTTGGACCTCATATGAGCCTGCTATTTTCCCACCACCCCAAGTGGTTGTGTTGACAGGAAGGGAATATGGTCGATAATGTGCGGGGACTTGTAGAAACTAGGGCAGGTCTTCAACTCGGCTTCGCCTTTATTTTAGAGGATGCCGCCGTGGACAGACAACACCAGAGTAGAAGTGGGAGAAGTGCTGTAGGGGCGCCCGTTGTGTTACGCCACCACAGGAATACCGCAAATGGGGTAGATGTGGCATAGAGAAATTCGAATGTGGGACATACTGCTCTTCGAAACAAGAGTAACTTAGGGCATCGCGCCTTCACATACTACTTGACCTGCTATGCTAATCTTCCTGTGGTAAACAAACTATCCAGTCTGCTATACATAATTATACTATTTCCGAGTATTTTAATAACATGTCGTACTGCTCTCTAATTATATAACACCTTTAGCTACTTTCAATGTGCCTATCCGTAAATATCTTAGAATACTTAATAGTTAAAGGAGTGAGTATTTATATCTCGAACTATCTTATAGCTATAGGGCGGCGACCTAACTAACAAATAGAAGTAGGAGCAGCGCAACTTCAAAAAAAACGTAAGATCCCGTTAGTTTAAGTATTACTAATCATTAGTGTTTAGAGAAAACAAACCGACTACATTATTCAAATGCTCTACTAGTCTCCAGTGTAGCCTTCTCTTCAGCCTTCTCACTTACTTATAACAATGTTATTGATTTTTTTGATGAGTGACCCCAAGTGAGGTTATCATGTATTGACGACGGGCAGTGAAACCACCCGCAGGTTCAAGGTGTTATGATGATGGCAACGGACAACAAGATCCTCAACAAGACCTTACTATCCGGGAGGTGGAAAGAAATAATAAGATCAAGAGCTCTTTGCCCCGATCGGAACGACAAGTACCTCAACAGGTACTAACTGGAGCCTCAGCAGGCTGGGGAAGAAAAGGAGCCTCAACAGGTCCTTGAACAATCACCTCAACAGGTGAAAGGTGGGAACAATGGCCTCAGCAGGCACAATCAGATCTATAGGGGAACAGAAAGTACCTCAACAGGTACGTCAGACATTGAATGCCTGTCCAAGTAAAGAGAAATTAGTTCAGATTATTGTGGAAAAGGCCGCTTGAATTCCTATCTTTTTCTCAAGAGAGTGACTATGTACATAAGGTCTTAAATACCCTTCAAGAACGCGCTTGCATAACTCGTCTGAAACCGGAAAAAACGAAAACGAGCACCCAAAAACCCTAACCCCACGTCAGTAGCTATATTTGAGATAAGACAGGTAGCCCAAAAGGGCCCTCGGCTAGCCAGCTCTCCCAAAACACAATATTTGACCCCATACGCACTCGTATCCCTTTTAATATATGAGTGATTTGTTTTTCCTATCTGATACGAATTGAATTTATGATTAGAGATTTCATAGCAACGGATAATTCACGTATCTCGCCGAAAGAAGTAAAATAGACTCGTAACTATATCTCTCGAGACTAGCTTTATTGGCGAAGTATACTATGACTTTACTTGTGTAAGAGAAATCCTTACTCTACTTAATAAACGAATACGGTAATAGTTAATTCCATCCTATTCCACGACCTAGGTAATAGTTTACTTGGGCTCCTTCAGATTTAACTTCGACGATGTCAAATGCGTAGCGGCAGTGAGGAGTTAGAAATTAGAAATTAAAGTTGAAACCAATACACTAGGATTATGTCAGAGAACAGAATGCCATAGGCACCGGTGGGACACCAGTGGGGCTCTGGTGTAGGGACGTGCGAGTCATGACACGATATGGAAGTCTTGGTTTGCGGAACAATCGGAGAAACTAGTGCTCCGCGGCTCCGACGTCGGGTTCTAGCTATCTATGTAAGGGGCGGAGGCCCGGGAAGAAGATAGAGAGAGTAGAGATCAATGCATCATCGTGGGCACCCCTACCTGAGACCGCCAGTGACCACCCGGTGCTACGTAGGAGGGACGCCCGTTACTCCCCATCACTCTGTACTATTGCCTTCGGCCTAGCCGTATCCTGACAGATTAACCGAAACCATATAACAACCCTGAGTGCAAAGGTTAGCGTCAGTATATTAATCATGACTCGTATTCAAATGTCCTCGGCTTGACTCGTTTAGACTAGACTATAGAAGGACTGCAAATGATATGTCAACTACCACTATAAAAGCATACGGGAAAGGGAACCTTATTTGCTCATGACGAGGATGAAGTCCTAGAACGAGCCAAGGTGCATATTCTACATGCACCTCGATGACGGGAAATACCTGTCACTTTTGGCAATATATATCATATCTATATATTAGCCTCGTGGAGCAGGCTAAACCTATCGGGTGTGACCGTCCGGCAAACTCATATGAAGCGCAAATAGGCGGAGGGAGAACGACCAGCCAAGCATTCATTTGAAATCAGTCAAACATGCTCTCCTCTCTCAGTTTCATTGAATGATTTTATTACATAACTCATTAGCTATGACCAATATCCCTTGAGCCCCCGCAACGTCAGAGTCGTTTTAAAATATCATAACACAAAAACTAAAAAGAGTTGTCATCTCAAATTGTGGGCTTGCGGCACCTATAGGTATGGGTAAATCCACTATACTGAACAAGGTTTGGCCGACTCGCTCACTGCCTCTCTCACTACCTTTGAAGCTCCATTCATGACTCCTGATCAAATTAATCCGATACTGCGGCTAGAATACCCCGATCCCAGCAAGAGAATCTCGCGCGAGCACAAATACCGCAAGACGGAATATATTGAAAGGAAAGTTCGCGTCTTCAAACTTTCCAGACTGTTGCTAGACGCAAGATTCCTGAAGATCCGGAACGGAACGGGCCTGTAACGATTGCAATGGCAAGATTGCGTCATGATTGTCTGCTGTGTAGATCCTTATTCTTCGTGACGCCCTGAAAGAAAGTTGTATCATCTCCTTAGAGAAACCCCCTGACTGGCGGCACATGGTGGGGAACTGATGGCTCTGGTAGCCACAAAGGCCAAGGCGAAGGACTTGGGAAAGAACAAGGCCGGTACTTATGGTGATCTTGGCTACTTCTAATTCAGGCAGTGCCAAAAGCCAGAGTCGTCTCCTCCAACTGGTTGTGGAGGTGCACATACTAGTCCTACCCAAGGTCCTAACAATCGCTGAAGTGCAGAGGGTGCCACCGGTTGTAAATAAACGGTACTGCACCGTATGCTCCGTGGATGTGCATGACGTTGGTTATCTTGAAGTCTTCGCGAAAGGTTTCGCTGGGGTTGGGAGATACGGTCTAGTGAAAGTGAAGTATTTAGGATAAATTGTTTCAATCTTTGATTGAGCTATGATGAGTTGTTAGTGCTGTATTCTCATCCATAGGGAAGGACCTCCTTGTATTCTTTAAAAATGACTTTCTGTTGACCTTCGCATGGTGTAGACCAATAGCATTATCCGTGCGGACGTCCTTATTGATCTGTCTGATGGTGACGGGTAGCTGGGATATCAGCTCTTTTACCTAAATTCATACAATTGACTACTTTACATATCTCTACAAGATTAAATAAACCGCGACAAGGTCAATCGAAGTCTCTACCTATGCTGAAGTTTCTGAACACCAATGCGGACGTATCCATACTGTGCCGCGATTTGCCGTCTTTTGATCTCTTCTCGCGTACAGGACCAATTTACGATTCTTCCAACAGTTACGATCGTATCAATACGTGGCGACCGTCCTCCCTGCCGCAGCCTTGGCGATCTTGATGAGCGACATCAGGTGCTAGCATGTTTTGTGTCTACAAAGCAGGAAACGTTTCACGAATCAGATGTAAGGGGTTAGTATTACATCGAAGAACCGGAGTTTTAGTCTCTAGACCAATAGCAATGCCGACTAGAGACATAACTGCAAGCCTCCGACGAGAAAAGCCAGCAGAGGTAGAGTATATGATCCCCATTGCTTCCGGCCCTCTCATCATTCATTCCAGGCAAAGCTATCAATATCCAACTAAACATGTAGGTCGTCTTCACGATTGTCTGCATCCGCTAAAGACAATTATTCCAGCAACACGCTACACAAATCATCATCCTCCAACTCCTCATCACAGTAGTCAAAATGTTGGCCTGCTGGACCAGCCACCTCCTGGGTCGTAGGCGTAGACGAGACGTATTCATTTCCCGATAGCCCAGACAACTTCAACATCATCTCATATGAGCTCTTCGGATGGCCAACTTGAGAATCTTTGTTCCTTTTTTGGCTCCCCAATTGACAGACGCTTGGGAGTTCCTGCCGCTTCTGGCTGTAGTCATCCCCCCCACCCCCTGGTTGACCATCGCCCGGTGACTCTTGTTTCTTCTGGTTGTGGTCCTCCAACCCCTGACTCGCTACCTCTTTCACCACTTGCCACGTACTCTGTGTAACCGCTGCACGTCGTGTTTCGTCTTCTTCAACTGCAGAATCCAGAAGCAGCTGTTCCAACCACTCATCTTGTAATCGTTGAGCCTGATCCATATCCAGATCTTCCTGAGGTTCAAGATGTACACGTGCTTCCTCCCAAGGCGTCGTCTTGCTTCTCTCGATGGCGTAGGCCTTCATCGCTCTGGTTCCACTGGATGTGAAGAATGGTTCTGGGGAACGCCGGGGAGTTTCCAATGTTGGTTGAATTTCCGCATATCGTGGCGCTTGCTGGACTGACGCGGGCGCGACTGGGGGCTTTTGCAACATTTCGTCATTCGAGACCGAACAGTCTGCACTATTAGCACCGGCAGAGTTATGATCTGACGGATGCTCTCTTTTTTCGCGGGAGTGCAGGTTAGAAATCTCCGAAGGTCTCGCTAAGGCTCTTTGATTGAGACGTGGACCTGAAGATGTCTCCGGCATTCCGCTGGATGGTAGTGACCCTGGGATTGATTCAACGTATGGCGTCTGAGCCTTTGGAGGCGATTTCGGATGTTCCTCAAGTTCTATAAGGTCCTGGGAGGATAAGAAAAGGTCTTGCGTTGCAAAAAACGGCATTTCATAAAGTCCCGTAACGCTATGGTCAATGTAAACCGTGGTGGGTTTCACTAAGTTTTCGCAAGTAGGAGCGGTGACTGGTCTGTTTGCTGTTATGAGACGATTTCTTGGGGGCTTGGAAGAAAGGAGGGACGTTTTGACTCGAGGAGGTAGTATAGGTCGGTCACGTAATGGTGGCACATGGGACCGGACCGAGGACAATGTCTGCGCACCTTCATGTTTGTCTTCAAAGAGTTCCCTGACTTCCTGTGAAGGGCTCGGGAAAAAGTCATCAAAGTCCATCAAGAGCTGTTGTGTACTAGGTGGGGGTAGAAACGCCGCACCAGATTGCACTGCTGCAGGCGAGAAGTGTGACCTGTGACTCGGTTGACGCAGGAACTTCGGCGGATTCATTTTGGCAACAAGCGCCTCCTGGTGGGCCGTTTTGAAATTCGGCACAAAAGAAGGCGGGCCCACCGATGTTGTTCGATGACCTGATGAAGTTGAGGCGGAGGTGAGGGCTCGAGGCTCGGGCATATTGAGTTGTGGTGTCCTTGCTGCTGGCTTAGAGCCGTCCATGGAAAAGGGTCGCCTGAGAGGCGGAGCGGCAGTTTTCGAAACAGTGGTGTCAGCTTGGTTGAGTGACAACTTCTCAAGCGGTTTGCGTGTTGCAGTACTGGCAGTGGCACGAGATTTCGCGCATCCGGCTAGATTTTCAGGCTCGAAACTAACCTGAGGGCCACATCTGGCTGGAGGCGGCTTCGGAGGATGTGCTGCACGTGGAAAATTTGGTGGATTTCTAGCATTGCTCTTCAACAGTGGAGGGACGGGTTCAATTATTTTGTCGTCACCATCGACACGGGCTGGAGCATGTGATACTGTATCTCGATGGACATGCCTGGGGTTATCTGCCGGCTCTGCAGTCCTCTGCAGCAGCTTAGTGACACAGGATGTACTCCCGTGAATTTCCTGGGCCACCTTTCGCGTTGAAGCTGTGGACTCAGCCGCTTTCAATCCTGTACCTAGGATGGAATTCATCTTCGGCTTCGTGCCCTGAGACCTGCTAATTTCGGGTGCTTTTGGGGAAGGAAGTTTCGCAGGAACATGTGAGTTTTTATGAGAAGGGTCGTCCGCATTGTTGATATCTTGAACACAATCTTCGAGAAAGGACAACTCTTCTGTAGAGAAAGACTCAATTGCAGAGAGGGACTCGTTGAACAACTGTTGATTGAAATCTTGTTTGGTCGATGGAGCATCCCGATCGTAACTGCGTTTAGGAATGGATGCATTTGCTTGGAACATATCAGTTGGATCAAGGCATGGCTTTGCTTGAGATCCAGCTACCTTCGGCTCGACTCTTGGGTTTGAGGACGGCTTTGCTTGGGAGCCAGACGTCTTCGATTTGGCGTCTGGAGGTGTATTGAGATGCATCGCAGGGCCATTTCCAACGAATTTTAGAGAACCACTACTACGTTGCCGTTTGCGTGGAGGCTCATGATCGCCGTCCACAGCCGACAACGTCGAATCGCTATCATCCTCAGTGATGGCCGACAACGGTGTTGATCGCTCCTCGGTCTTGGCCGCTTTCGGTTTCGGCTGTATAAAGCGAGCGATGGTATCTTGGGATGGATGTACAGCAACAAGCGGCAAGCCCCTCTTCTTTTTCTCCGCCTTCTGCTTGTCCTCTTTCTCTTTCCGCCTGTCCCGTGCCTTTCGCGCTCTTTCTTGGTTCTTTTCCTTCTCAATTTCCCTTCGTATCCGGTCTTGTTCCATCAGGTCCTGGCGCCTCTGTTCGGCCTTGGAGAGCTTCGGGCCCGTGGACTTGGCCTTGTATAGCTTCTTGGCTTGCTTCGACGTCATGGGCGGCTTGGAGGGGCGACCGGCCGACGCGGTTTCGTTGTTGCCATTGCCCAGACATGATGGCAGCTCTGGGATCAAGGAAAAGGTCTTCTGTATTGGCGCCATATTGTCAACAATGCATTCGAGAGCATCGTGCAATTAATGCTTGATCAATTGAACAAGTCGCTGGTCAATCAGAGGTGGTTTATTCAACGAGCTGAGTTTGGTGGTTAATAGTGCTAGTGCCCCGCGAAACGCGCTTCAGAGTTGTTGTCTCAACGTGGACTGCGTCCGAGGAGCGAAGTCACCTGATGATGGAATACGGTGCTAGTACAATTTCCGGACGGTACATACACACTGTTCCAGATTTTGCCCTTATATTGACATACATTTCATGAGAAATGGCGCCTTCATCATATTAAGTTGCTGATGCTATTTGATACCAACGTTACTCATTTTACGAACCTATTGAACTGAGAGTCTTCATATCAACAAGGCCTGCAGGATATTCGTGATGTTGTTTTCCCCTTTGAGATTGTAAGTCGGCGTAAATTGGTATTTAATGGTGACAATATGCTGGAACGCCTTCAAACCACTACTTCAATATCAATGTCGGGTTTCGGCTCTGCCCTAGCTTGAGAAGCCGGTAGAGTTGCTATAGCTTGTAGTCTTGCATCTGCGTATACCTTTCTCCACCCGATCAACTCTAAACAAAATAGAAAATCCTTGCCTATCCAGCGAAGACTTTGGGAAGATTTAGACGAAGTCCTGTGCCTGAACTCGCGAGCGACAGCATGGCAGGTTTTCTAGGGCTGTCCTCAACCTTATGGCCATATTCATCCTCCACATTTTAGCCCTGCGAATCTTCCTATGCGCGTTGTTGCCATTGAGTCTGGTCGTCCGAGTCGAGTGGTTCTTTCAACATGAGGGTCCATCCACCCCGGCATCAGGTTTATGGCCTTTTCTTGTCTCTTGAAACCTCGTGCTCATCATGGCCTTCATCTGCAGCTAGCCGCAATTGGTCGTACTGGAGGGTCTTCCGGAGAAGCAGATGGGCAAACAACAAGGTGAAGTCGAATAGCGAGATCTCAAGTGCCTTTAGCTAGGAGCTCTAGGATCGGGGCTGAGGCAGGCGATGAGACAACGCGCTCATTGTATATATGTGTACTGCATGATGTATGTTTTATGTAGTCTGTAGCACAGCCTAAATATCTCGCCGCATCATTCAGCAAACCAGCTCAAGCTTTATTCATCTTCTGAATTCCACATCCCATCACGGTCTGATTGATTGTCGTCTCACTATTCAACAACATTGTAAATTCCTCCATCTCCGATAAACTCGTTGTCCGAATTTGACGCTGCGAAAGATGAAGTCAGTCAGCTCATCGTCTCCATCACACAGGATCAGCTTGCCAGTCTGAATACCACTGAAGATGCGTTGTGGAAACGGGGAGTGACATCCGATTCCACAGCCAAGAATCTTGTCTTTCTGTCTTTCCCCAGGAATAACAAGTATACCTTCTAGTCCATGGTAGACGATATGTAGTTGATGATGAGTAGTGGTTGGCTATCCAAGTCGGAAATACTGGAATATTTCAACGCCAACAAGTGTCTCCAGAACTTACCGACGCGCACACCGTGGCTGCTGGTGCCAAGCCTCGATTCGACGACTTCGTCGTGACTTACATCAATCAAACCGTCACCATCTGGACGGTGTTCAAGGCTATAATTCCCGTGGCTTGGAGCGAGATGTCAGCCCGGCATTGCGTATAAGATATGCCAACTACTCAACCGGCTTAAGTCGATTCATACAACACACACCGAGTAGCATTTACTGATGATGACAGATCTTCTTCTGAAATCGCACATCACGACATACCGTACTCTGCCTGAGCGTTTTCCAAACATTGTCGAGATTGGACCCCATGGCAGAATTCGTTGCACTATTAAGTGAGCGAAAATTTCTCAACTAGCACAAGAGTCGGAACAAAGACTGATTAATCCATTAGCGGTGACCCCGGTGGTGATTTATTCACTTCGCCAGCCAATCTGGCTGTCTGGGTTCATCATTCCATGATGGATCGCCTCTACACGTATTGGTAAGTTCCATCAACACCATATCCCATGATGCGCAATCCAATCGGTTCATTCAGGCAAGCTCTTGATCCCAAGAAACGACACACAGACTTCAACACAGGAACCTACGGCCCATATCACACGGGCCAATAATTCAGAACCGGTTCTCACATCACTTTTTGTTGTCATTGACATGTGACATACCAATCCATCGACGACAATTGGGGAGGTCATGAGTATCACTTCTGACCCCTTCTGTTATTTTAACCTGTAAGATGACCAGTGGATGTTATGAGACGCAAGATTGGTCTTGTAATATTATGATTGGTATATTGAATCGAATTAATTTATTCGAGGGCCATGAGTATACAGCGGATGTTTATAGACTATTGCTGGGTAGCTACGGGGTCGCTACTGGGTAGGTTCAGGTGCAAGGTCTTTGTTAGCTAGATTTCTTCATTAAAAAACTAGTTCCTTTACTAAGGCCACATTCTCTACTTTTCTTTATCTATAATAAAAGTGCCTTCACGAATTTTTTGTTATCATATAAATATACTATTAATAGTGTAGAATTTCGGGTTGGAAGTGAGGTTCAATTCTCTATATGCTGCTTGTCTGGACAATCTGAACTATATACATAGATAGAGTTTACCCCACCTCCAGCGCTGTTTCAGGTGCATTTCGGACACCTGTATATCTCCAAGAGAGTGCAGTACTAGATACTAAATATTGCTGACAAATAGTATTCAATCATGTATCTTGTCGACAAATCTGGATTCCAGAGGCACTGTTTCGCACCATCTCCCGAGTGCTATATCCGTCACCCTCATCTAGTTAATATACTACAAATGCTCGGTCTGTCGTCTAAATATCTAAGTATCTAGAAGCTTTATACTACGACAGCTCCAACTTATCAGCAGCCGCCCAGAGGGAGTGAAACGGCCTCGTCAAAGTATCCGCATCAGTGATACCAGAACTCCATCCAAACTCGCCTTGTCGTAGAGAAGCATCAACAATATTCTGTGCGAGAGGCTTGTGCCGCGCCTCGTATGCCTGTGATGCCTGGGCGAGGGCGAACGCAATGTCAGCATGCGATGCTTCCGATTTCAGAGCGTGGGCGCGTTTATTCCACTCTTGTACGAAAGTGGCAACGCCGATGATTCCCGTGGACATGGACCCGGCCATGTGTGGTGTCATGGCATTGGCCGAGTCGCCGAATGTGGTGATGTTGAGTTCCGGATTGGTGAATGGCCCCAACTGGCCGAGGTGCATTAACTCGAGACGCTGGCAGCCGCCAGGGGTTAGATCGATCAACATCTAAACTGGGTTAGCATCAATGTGGCAGCCAGAGTCAGGGTGGAAGTCATTACATTCAGTATTGCATCCGCCGTTTTGTTCCGCCTCTGGAAGTAAGCCAAAATATCATCCTTGGTCGGCTTGTAGTCCCGTCGCAGCTGCTTCCAATCATGCTCGACACAGAAGGCAGCAATATTGATAAACGCCCCCGCCGCGATGGGAAATGTGAGAATATGCCAACCCTGGGTACCGATCAACATGTACTGGCCTGTGGCAAACTCATCGCCTAGAGATGCCCGAACATATTCAGCGGGAACCTTTCCTCGGAAGCAAAGCATGCCGCTGTATAGAGGCGGCTTGTGGTCTGGACCCTGGATCGCCTGCCGGCACAGCGAGTTGATGCCCTCGCACGCCCAAACAGCATCAACTATATCCTTATAGCCGCCCTGAAACTCGAGCTCCAACTGCTCGCCCACCTTCGTCACGCTCGTCAAGCGTTTTCCGTACTGAATCGGAAGTGTGCTCTGTGGCATGCTTGCATCCAAAAGCTCGAGCAGTTCATCGCGTCCAATCCATCCATGCACCTCCCCCTCAGGCATCTGTACATCGGCAAGTTGTCTGTCAGACTCGCCGCTGTGCCACCATCGCATCCATGAATGCCCCAGGAGGCACTGGTCCCGTACTTTCTGGCCCAGCTCGGCGTTAGCGATGTTGAACGCTTTGAGCGCTTGTGGACCAACTCCGTAGCCGAAAGAGGGCCGAAGAGGTAGTACATCTGCTTCGTACTGCACCAGTTCGATGCGAGGGGGCAGTTGTGCAGCGCAGGCAAGAAGCTTTCCAATTGGCCCCGAGCCGATGATGGCAATACGGAATTTACTTTGAGATGACGAATTGCCGTTCATTGTGGCAGAATTTCCTGGTAGTGGCAACAGTTGGGCTTATTGATAGCGTATAAAAGCGGGACAATGAAGCGGTTAAAGGATTATGTTGATCAACGAATGTATAAAAGTAATACGACTGGCGTCAGATGTGTCTGGCGGCAATAGTTGACTTCTTGACTTGATGGTGTGGCAAAGAAACTAAAAGGGCTTTAAAAGCAATATCGTGCGATGCATAATTCCAACGATGTTGTTTATTCCTTTCCCCCCATGTGTATATATGCCCCTGCCATAGCTGGCCTCATCTGCATGTCGCCTGATTTGGACATGTCCGAAAATAGCACTACAACATGACAGGGATCGGACTGTCTTCTGCACACTCTGTCGCACTAATAACGTCGACCCCTTGCAAGTTAGGATGGTTCATGCAGCAGGCGTTTCTACTCCGTGCATGCCGTTTGAGTGGCACGGAATATTCGAGGCGCCCCTGCAAGTAGACAGTGTAAATTTCGGCTCGGTGTCTCCACAAGCATCATATCACTTGTGCCAGAGGGTCATAGGAGAGCCAGATGCGATATTTACTTCATGTTGTAGTGACGAATTAATGCTCTCCTATCATTAACAGAGAGATTCTAACGGTCCAGGAGTTAAGGCCTCGAAGAACCAATATGTGCCCAGCTCTAACATGCCACTTGCAACGGCGTAGTCTAACATCTAAATTTGGTAACAACTCCACTGGCCAAACCTTCGTTGCTCTCATCTTTGGTTTCGGAAATACGCCTGTTAGCCATTTTCATATAGACCCAAGCCACGATGATCAGCCCAGTGGCGACGCAAGTCAATATCAAACCATCCGTCATACCAGCCGAGTAATGAGGTGCCTCGCTGCTACGAAAGATCCAGGCCGAAACGAACCCTCCCACATTTCCAACTCCGATGACAAAAGCAGAACCAAGCGCCTTCTGAAATGGCGTTGCTGAGTTCAACTGTGTAAGTGCCCAGATCATCGGCAACGAGATATAAGTGCCCATGGAAACAAAGTAGAGGGCGAGCATCTGGATTGCAGGTGAGAATCGGTTGGGGACTCGAAGCATGGCATAGCCGATTATCTGTCGAAAAGTAAGTAATCGGCAGTTAGGGGCTAAGATGAATTCCAGGAGGTCACTTACGGTGAGTACATAACCCGCCAGTGCAAATCCAGATCGGTGGTTCAACCGGTCAGACGCCCATCCAGCGAGTAGACAGACGACACAGTCAACCACGAAGATAGGTACGACCTGCCCTTGGACCTGCGGGACTTTCCAATCTGGGTGGAAAGCCTGAACAAAGGATGGTGCGAAGATGGCCACCGAGTAGAGCGTGGTGCAAGTGAACACGTATAGAGCCGCCCACGCATAGTTGAGAGGGTTCGAGAAGAACACCTTCAGCTCTGCAGCGATGCCAATAGTAGACGTACGGCTCTCGACCAAGCTATGTATTACGTCCTTTTCCTCATGGGACAGGAATGTTGACTTTTCGGGCCGTCCGATGTCAGACCAAACACAAATTGCTCTGGCCGCGCGGGTGATTAGCGATGTTGCCAAGTCATATATTCGACCAATGAGTCCTTCTGTCTTTGGACTGTTATAGACATCGTGTTGAAGAGAGGGAGGGAAAAGGGAAAGAAAAAAGAAAGACCACAGCGCTCCGGAAGTTACTCACCCGATGGCAATCGTCAGCAGTCCTTCAACCATGAAAATCCAGCGCCAGCCGCTATAGCCATTGGAGGCATGAATATTGGAAATACCATACGCCAGGATATTGGAAATGATATTGCTGACGATATTGGCCACCATGAGCATTGACATGCGCCACTGAAGATGGACGGACGGATAGTATAGCGACAGGACGAAGACGCAGCCTGGCATAAGCCCGGAGTCAAAGATGCCCACAAGAAAGCGGGTCGCAAGCAAAGCGGCGTAGGATTGATCGAAAGCTTGGCCCAGAGTAACGAGACCTATGACCATCGAATTAGTCAGCTTCCCTTGAACCAAGACTCCTGGGCATTGGTAGAAGGGGGGCATAATTGTGCAAAGACGCACCCAGACCAACCGTGATCAAACTCAGGTAGCGCATATATGACAATCCGAATCGCGACTCAAGCCACTTCATGATGAGATTGCTCGGAACTTCAAAGAGGATCAGCATCACCAGGGGAATGCTGACAACGAGGAATATCTTCATCGCATCCAGCTTCAAGTCCTTTGGGAGATGTTGGATGAGCGCCGCGCCAATGTTGGTTCGGCCCATAAGTGAGAGGAAGTTCAAAAAGAACATGGGGGTGAGGATTCGCAGGTCGAGTTTCGAGCACAGTCTGGCATTGAACGCTGCCATTGGGAGACTGCGGTGTATCGACGAGGCAGGTTTCTCACTGCTCGTCGTCTCCGTGTCGTTGAGAGCCATGGCGACTTGGTCGGGTAGCGGCTTTTGGGTTGGACTGACGGACATTTGGATGAGAACACAGTCTACTGGACAAGGCGGTGATGTTGGGGCGTCTCAGAGGGGTTGGGACACAAGCCAAGCTGACCAAGAAGAGAGAGGCTCATAAAGTTGATTAGAGAGTTGACAGGATGCGGCGATGAACAGAGGGTAGTGGCATGGTAATGGGGAAAGGGTCCCAGGACACACCCTAGGTGCAAAAATTATTCATCAATCTACTTAGAGCAACTTTTACTGGACTGAAGAAGCGAGGCATAGCTAGGGGTTCTGGTCTGGCTAGCCTATCTGTTACATACCACCTGCTTAATCCTGCCCAGATCAGAGGCTCGGTTACATAGTATATGGTAGATAACTATGATATGATTCGCGCGATTGGAATGCATGAGCAGGAGCCCACACATCATTGGGCCCCGGGGTGGATCTGAGGCCGTTGGCGGCCCGACAGTCTGGAGTCGATGTCGGTCCGTAACGGATCTAGACTTGTGCGAACCGCAGGACTATCGCCTGATCCGTGCAGCGGACTTGCTTCCAGCCCCTGTACTCGTGACTTGCAATGGTCAAAAAGTTGGAATAATCCCAGCAGGACAACGGACAGGGTACTATAAGCGGTAGAAATGCAGGTAGCGATATTACAGGTGGTGAGTAGCGCAATTTCCACCTCGCCTTCAAGTGTCCTGGCCATGTAGTAGCATGGCTGTTGCATGTTCCACAGTAACCCAGCATACTCGTAATGAGAACAAGACTCTTATTCGTGGATCAAATTGGGCATATTTCTAGCAGTCCCAATTCCAGAGCACCAGCACAACTCATTTGACTGACCCCATGTTTATATCTCATCCATCTAGTAAACGTCAGGTGAATTCGCTTCAGCCATCTAGCAACCATGGAATTAGGATTAGGATCTCCGATATACACTGAATCAAGCCTGATTCCTTGATAATTTACTCTTGATGCAATGTTGTCCTCAGTGATATCTGCCGCAATTCGGGGAATTCTGAATTCCGCACCGTGAACTAATTTCCGTGTCCGGCCAGACACTCCGGTACATATCGCTATCCGGGATCATTTACCGTGGAACGAGGCACAGTCCTGGCGTGTACCCGGTCCCATTTCATGACCTTGTCAATGGCACCATGTCGCTGTTATGATTTAATGAGAAGCAGAAAAACACATCCAAGTCAGCGGTTACGCGGCAGGCAGCTAACCAATCAATCAGAGTATATCGTGCATTTATGCGATCGTTTCAGATTAGCCAGGCAATGTTCGAGTCTCGCTGCGGGGGATGACAAGTCCAAGATTTGGGTGGGTTTCCCCAAGGACGTCGTGAAACAAATAGCACTTGACAAATTGAACCGCAGAGATATGTTGCAGGGTGCGCGGCGACATTAGCGTGAGAAGTCTGCCCCTTGCCCATACTCCAGAACATTGCCGCTCATGTAATCTATCATGGATTCTTTTTCTGCAGCACCAGTGTGCAGCCACACCATAACAAGTCCAGATCTGTGGTAATAGACTGGGTTGGAAGGCTGGCTCGGTCGCAAAATACCGCACACAAGCCAACGGGTACGCAGCCGGGTCAGTTCCTTGGTAGCTGGTCAAGCAATTACGCTCGAATTCCCCTGAAGCGATTGTGCCTTTCTTGACACATATTCCATTGTATCACATCGCAGGTTGATGCATGTTCAAAGTGGCGAGGACGAACATGCCTTGATGCAATGCAACGGTCTTCCTGGGCGAGATTCACCATATATGGAGAAGTGACGATCCCCTCCATGCTTGCTTCATCCACTAACACTCATTGATCCTTCGAAAACCTCCATGATGGTAAACGCTTCGACGAGCCCGCCGACTCTGAGGAACCCCGTGGGGCTTGGCATTCAAGTCGTCGGTGCTGTGATGCTAGTCATTCTGACAGCGGTTGTTGCGATGAGACTTTGGGGTCGATACAGGTACAAAGCACCGGACAAATCAACCAAAGCTACATTCCGAGAGCCACGATTTTGGATGTTGGTGTCTGACGGCACCATTATACTCTCTTATGTAATTACTGCCCTCTTGCCCCCGCCACCTGAGTGCGCTAACCATCGTGGTCAAAGATCAGCGCCGTTGCTCTCACGGCTGTCCAGATGAATGGTCAGTCCTAGAACACCTAATCCTGCGGGACGAGACTCACAATGCATAGCTGTCCAATGGGGTCAAGGCCTACACGTCCGACAACTCAGTATAGTACAGATACACGCTGTTTTGAAAATGTTTTTCATATATCAAGTACTGTTAGTGACACACCACGCTTTTCCTACCACCGACTCACTGACGCTTGAACAGGTACAAATTCTGTTCGGCCATAGCCAAAATGGCCACCGTATTTCTGTTCCTCGCCATATCGACGCCCCACAAGCCCAACTTCAACTTGGTCTGTAAGGCTTTTGCCACATACATGGGCCTATACTGCTTGGCATGTTCTCTCGTGGCGGTGTTTCAATGCGGCACCAAACTGGAAAGCAACTGGAACAAGACGGTGGACCAATCTCACTGTTTTTACCTGCCGCCATTTTGGTACGCACATGCCATCATCAACGTCTCGGCGACACTCGCCATGGCCATCTTGCCGTGGTGGCTTTTTGCTCAGTATTCAGTCCTCTCCTTTGCTTCACGTCAGCTTGAACTAATATGAAGGTAGTATATCCTACAAGCGGAAGTATGCTATCGCGACTGTCATGACTGTTCTCGCTCTAGCGTGAGTACGACCCTTTCCGTTTGATTCCAGAAGTTGACAAAAATGCAGTGAGACAGGATTGGGCGCAGTGCGACTGTGGAGCCTGTATCGTGCTGCAAAGAGCCCTTCAGATCTCACGTGTAAGCGTACCATTACCCCTTGTTCGAGCTCCCAACGTATTAATAAATGTGAAAACAGACTCGACATCCACCGGTCAAATTGTGTCCCAACTCGAGGTTGACTTTGCGACCATTGCTTCTTGCATACCAACGGTTCTGAAAATCGGCGAAGAGGCATGGAATACCTTCTGCGTGCGGGTGCTGGGACGTACGCCGGACTTCAGCACGTCCAGAACAGGTTCCAAGACGACCGGCACTCACGAGACCCACGCCAGTGAGCTCCAGTCCATCGATCGAGGGCCAAGGCCCACGGGGCCGTATGCCAGCTTCGATAGAGACGACGAGTCCACGGACAGTCAGGATGTGATCGTCAAAAGGAGCAGTCGAGCAATTAAAGTCACAAAGGAAGTGGAAGTGGCAATAGAGTATGGTTTTGCTGAGACCAGATTTAGTCGCCAAGATGAACAAGAAGACGGCTTGGAGGGCGGCAAGTCATCCTACTATGTCAACTCCACGTCTCAATAGAGTGCATGCGGGCAAAATATGCGGGCAAAACCTCATGATGAAAAGGGGACAGAGCACTATGAGAGAACCAGATGGCTGTATCATTTCGGTTTCAGTAGTCCACAGTTCATTTGTGGATTGCACATTGAAGTTTATTCGTGTATTACGGTAGCTAATAAATTTCACTCAAAGAACCTGAAGGGCACCATCGCCTGATTCAGCCGTAAAATCTTTTGCCCCTCATGCCTTTTTGAACGCGAAGACTCTGTTTGTTGTCGATAATACCGGCCACTTGCCGATGTTACAGATCGCAGATACAGATTTGGTCGCAAAACTCGTTGTTTCTCCAAGGCAGTTGAAGATATTGGCTAGAAACTTTGTAAGTATACGATCATTCTCTTACAAGCAAGCGCCCCCCTTGCCTTTCCGGTCCTCGAATTGTAACTCCATTGAACATTAACTATGAAAGAATGTCATTTGGTGGCTGTGTGCCTCCTTGAAATTGGTTCAAGGGGGACCTCAACACTCTGCTCACTCGGTGCATGTTGCCCCCTAGCATTGTAATTCCTCTCATTGTGGTCCTCATTGGGCCACAAATCCCCGGCCATCGCCCTCGAAAGTTCACGGTCTTTCAGACGCCCGAACAGTCCAGTACCATTGTCGCCTTTCATCCTACTCAGCCTCTTCCGGTAAGACGGTCGGACAGAAACTTGGCTGATTGTTTTGATGGTGTCAAAGTCATCTTGACCGTCTTTTATCTTTCCGGAAATCATGAGCAGGCCTCCTAATATGATACGGGGCAAGGGCTGCATGGTTGGCAAGCAGGCACAGACAATACCAATAGACGGCTCAATAATGTTCCATGTCGAACATGGAACCATTAAAACTACTATGTCAGCTTGAACGCTAGATTTTGTCCGTGTCATGTTGATTTAGCTCATTGGTTGATTCCCCTTGAAGGTACAGATTGGCCGGTCTTGCCAGTCACCAACTCTCATTAATACCCAGACGCGACCTAACTTGCCCACTTTTCTATGTCTCTGTCATCTCTCTGTTGCAAAGTCCATCATTTAAATTTCCAGTGTGCGCAATGGCACAAACCTCAAACAAACCTGTCTTCTCCTTGTCTCTGGTGCATTTCAACCGCCCAACTTTTACGAGAAGTTGGCCCTTGAGTTCAAGTACGAGTACGTATGCCCCTTGCCTCCAACTCTAGGCGAGGGTTCACCGGGCATCACTTGGAAGGCCGACGTCAAGTGCATCCATGACACCGCCATGCCCCTTTTCGAGCAAGGGAAGGAGATCATTTTGATTGGTCATTCCTATGGTGGTGTGATAGCAGCAGTCGCTACCAAGGATCACGGCACTGAGCAGCGTGCTGCTCGAGGAAAAAGGGGGCTTCTCACAACTCATTCTTCTGGCTGCTTTTGTAGTGCCCCAGAGGGGCATGGATTTGTTGGAGATGTATCGTGGTGCATGGCCAGACATCGTTCAAACTACAAAGCCTTACACCAAGGTCGGTCATACTCAATCCATAAAGCTTTCCACCAGACCGGAGATTAGTAACTTCATAGAACCAATTGGTGATTCCCAGAGAGGAATGCAAGGACCTCTTTTACACCGACGTCCCCAAGGGTGATCGGGACATATACTACAACATGATGGTTCCTAGTTCACAAGATACTTGGGAAACGCCATTCGATTTTGTTGTGGCCGATGTGACTATCCCCAAGGCGTACATAATATGCACGCAAGACTTGGGCATGTCAGCGAAGGCGCAAGAGATGATTGTGAAAACGCCTGGTCTACACTTCCCGGTCAAAAGGATGGACTCGGGACATAGCCCGTTTCTGGACCAGCCGGCGAGGTGTGAGAGATCATTATGGAAATTGCGAAAGGAAAGTCTACAGAAGCCCACTGTGATCAGTGACGTAGAACACACGAAAGCATTGTAGGGTAGTGGAGGACTAAGGACGACTGCTCGTATATGTTCCAAGCCCAATATACCCTCCAGAATTATGTTCTTCTCCTAACAGGAAAGTAGTTAAGGACGGCAAACCCGCACCCTAATATCATGACGCTGAACCCTCGAGTGACCAAATCTATAATGAAGGGCATGCTTCCACTTCGTGCTTTTACATGAGTTGTGTTTTTTGAACTCGAAAGGAGTCGTATTCAGGGGCCATGGCAGTCCTAAACCGGCAAAGTCTTTCGAAAGTAGTAGTTCGTAGTCCCTGCAGATATCCTGCGTAGATTAAAGCTAAATGACAGCCCAATATTCCTTAATAGACCGAGGTAATAACTCCAACAACACAAAATCCCACTATGTATTGACGACGGGCAGGAAAGCCCTCAGGTTAAGGTGAAGATGGAGACGACAACACGATATTCAATAAGATCTGCTGTCCGGGCGGATAACAACATGGAATATCAAGAGCCTTGTCGCTTTAACAGATCAATAGAAAGGCCTTAGTAGGCTCGAATAATCGACTGGGCCTCAACAGGTCCTTGAACGGAATTATCTCCATGGATCAAGAATAGATAAAGCATCAATAGGTTTGGATTGATCGACTTGAATCACAGAAGTACCTCAACAAGCACAAATCATGAACAACTTTAAAACCAAAAGAACTCCCCCCTCTCTAGTTATCTTGATTTCTTGTTCTCTGCTGTTGTTCTCTGCACCTCTTCTTATCAAGAGTGTGTCTTCGACTGCAACAGAACCTTCTAGAAACAGACTTATTGCACATTTTCATCCGAAAATACCCTTGAAACCCCCTGTCCTCTATTTTAGTGTAGTAAAAAGCAAACCCACTAATATCTATGACCTGTTTGATTCGAACTAATGCTCATAATAGTTAGGGCCTTGTATGAAAGCCTTAGTTACCCCAACTGTTTCAAAACCACCACGCTCTTGTGTCAGTGAGACGGGATTTCGGCCAGTAGTTGCCCGGTCGTAACTTAGGGACTGAAACTCCAATTCACTGGTCTTCTCATCAATACGCTTGTAAGACTTCTGTTCGGGACGTAAGACGAAGCCCGGGTGGCCTATGCCTAGGAAAAAAACCGACAGGACAACAGCACTGCATTATAACAAAAGAAGTCAGTCCGAGATCAACACGGCATTTAAGAGCAATGGACTTACCATCCCTCCAACATAATAAACAAGGCCTCCTCCTTCATTAACTCCCCAGAGTACCCCTGATTTAACTCTGCAAGTCTATACCCCGAACGCGCAACCGTGAGCAGCAGCGCGATAATGATAGCTCCAAAAAAGAAGCGCAGGCGGGTATCGTGGGCACTGGTCTCGGTGCAGCCCCTGGGCGAGCGGAAGTAACGAATGTCGAAGTCGATGAAACAGATACTGAAGAGCAAGACGGTACCCAGCTGGAGACTCAAGCCGATGGTGGACAGTGTGCTGCCGAGGGAACCGCTCGAGGATGTAGCGCTGATGGCGGCACCGGAGATCTGGGCCAGGAGGGCAATGAGGTCGCTTGGGAGGAAAATCCAGTAGAAAAGGCTAGGTCGGACGCGTGAGAGGGTTGTGTTGAGGTTGTTTATGCTGGCAGTTTTTTGTTAGTGGTTTCGAGATGTTTTAATGCGGCAGATAAAACTCACGCCAGGGCAAGGGTAACATAGATCGCAGCGCAGTAGAAGACGGGCACGATTGTGAGGAAGACTGTGACATTATTCAGCTTCACTATGCTGGGGGACCAATACAGAGGAAGATTGAACGCACCAGCTTGTATCAAAAAGGGGAAAAAGCCAAAGGGGTCGTAATGCATAAGGATTCGGCCAACGTAGCCGACGATTGCGCTAATGGTACTGAGGGTGCAACAGCTCATGAACCACCAAGTTTTCCAACGAAAGCCAATAATGAGGTGGATGACCATAGCTATGGCGTAGAGAGCGATGAAAATGATGTTGACGGGAAGACTGGGGTAGTAACCTGTTACGCTCATCTCCAGTGGACATATATCGACTGTACAATTGGAATTGGGACCAAACCCAATATTCCATTGGTAGACTTCAGGGGAAAGTTGAGAAACCATGGCGAATAGTTTGCAGCTAGCTCGTAATAGAATGAGGATGGTGACAGGACACCGTTTCCGAAGAAGGTATTTGGCGTGCCCTTGTAGGTGAAGTTGGGGTTGCTGAGAGACTGATTAATCGAGATATCATGAGAAGTTGTCCGCTTGAATTTGAGAAGCTGGCAATGTCAAATATGTATGTATGCATGAATGGAGACCATGAGTATTTAGGCAACCTCAACTTTTCATGCGTTGATGGGTTTTCTTCTTAATTGATGACAAGTTAATTGACGACAAGTGCATAGATCCTACAAGCCCTGGAGCTACGCGTTCCAACTATGTGGTAAGCGCAGCACCGCCTCTACCACCGTTATTGGTCCGCTCGTATGTCTTCATTCTTCTTGCCGGATTGCCAAGGATTATGCCGGCAAGGTATTGAAATAGCCTTTCAGATATGCGTCCTCTGTTCCCATCTTACCTCGGGCTGTGAGGCTGAAAGTCTGCCCCCATGCCATTTAGGACGAGATTTGGCGTCAGCCGAAGCGCTAAGCCTTGTATACCTTGTTAGATGGGGATTGGTCCATGTCAGGCCCAGCTTGAAGTAAGGCATGAACGCGAAACGGGGAAGTGGCTATGCTTCATCCAGTGTAAATTACATGAGACGGGATGTTCTATAAACTCCGTCAACTTGCCGTAATCTCGCACTCTATCTATCAGCTCGATATAGCTTGAGTCCACCATAGATCAGGTCCAAGCCACAGGCAATGACTTCGTCATGGGCAACTCGCTAGCTTTTCATATGTTAAAATATGATCCCTAACTACTGGGTTACTAAAGACTTACTCCTCCGAGAAACTGGTAGGCAGTAGCCGAAGTATCGTACAGCCAAAGCGCTAGATCATCTGCGCCCATTTCTTGCCAATCTTCCTCCACATCAATATGTTTGCAATTCATCTCTTTACATCATCGCCTTTGTTGAAGGGACGAGCCAAGAGCATTTCACCCTGGTTTTGGGCCCGAGAAAAGATCAAGTCGGCAAAGCGATGTTGCACGGCTGACTTGTTGCCACCTTGATGCAGCATCGGACCGCCCTGTATCGGTTGTTCGTCATAACACGAAAGAAATAGCCCTGGGTTGTCCTTTGCAAGCATGCAAGTGTGATAAAAGTATGCAAGGGCGATTATTTTCCTACTCCTGAAGTTTTACTCCAGGAGCGCACTGCTTTCAATCGCTAAGCCCAGGTTCAGAATCAGCAGCAGGAAATCCAAAATGTCGGTGATCTGCGACACATTTGAAAACTGGTGGGAATTTTGAAGTTATTATGAGATTCTGGAGCTTTCAGTTGTGCGGCAATCTCTGCGACTTTGTATTCTAGCTTCCTGGTTGCCAATCAGCAGCAACTTCTTAGCTAGCTTTGAACCGCCTCTAAGCCCATCAGATGAAGGGCTTCCGTGGCCATGGGATTGAGTTCGAAGGCAGTCACTTCCAGATCGAGCTCCCTGTGTAGTCGTGAGTACACTGGTCGAGTATGGCTACATGCAGCTACATGCAGCTACATGTTCGCATTTCTGTCATGGATACGGTGGGCTCACACTTGACGTATTCGGGATTGATGCACTCGCAGTTTCGGGCGTGTGGACTGCGAGACACACCATCTCTTGTTACTACCGCTGCACCCCCGGTCCAAATTGAGCGTCGACGTAGATGGACACAGGCGTGACCCCGAACCAAGTACAACAGCTGTCGTATCCCCTGTGAAGCAATATATAGAGCCGTGAGTTTGTCGATGACCTTACGGTTGTGCTCTTTTACCTGATCCAGCCGTGGTGGTATACAGCCCGAGACTCTTGCCACCACCTGGTCTACACACTTTTGGAGTTCTGTGTGTATGTACTCGGTATCTACCAAACAATGATCATAGTTATGAGAAGTTGTAGGCGATTCGAGAAACGCATCTATAGACCAATCATCAAAGCCTTGGAAGATGTCCTCGTTATGATAGGTCAACGGCTGACAGTCAAGGGAATCAGGGTATTCGGTATTTACCATGTTTTCAGAGGCAAAGGGGTTTCAAAGAATCAAGAAACGTATCGAAAATTGCATTTGGACGGCGTTTGGCTCTGGGCAGACCCGTGCAAATTCATGTGACTATTATGGTACCTTCCGTACTTATCTACGCTTTTCTTGCTGGTGCCAGCTGACTGCGCTGATCTGAAAGTACTCAACCCGCATTTGCACTAATGTATCACCTGCAGCGGCTTAGACAAGAGGTATGGCGAAGTTCGACACCGACAACCAGGAGCCTCGAAATGGTCAATTGGCTGGCTCGGAGGTTCCTTTTGGTCAATGGCAACCGCCTGAGGTACACACGCCGGGTACCTCCTTTGCGTGTGGCAACGGTCTTATTTGAGACTGAGACTGCAGAGTGTAGCTTGCATTTTGCCGGAGTAAAAATTACCCGACCGCCTTGGTCATTTTGTTCGTATGAGAAGTACTCGAAGTTTTCCGGGACAAAGCTCGAACTACTAGACATTCTGCTATGAAATGAATCGGGATTTGTAAACGCTTCATGTTTGGCACCGACATCACCATTACATTCCTCAGAAAATACCCGACAGTTCGAGGTGTGTATTACCAATCCTAAGGGCTCGCATTCCTCATTTAGGAACATTTATTCGTTTGAAGCACTGCAGCTCCTCTCAAAAGTCCATTCAACATCCAGATGTACACACCAGCTGGGCAGTCTTCAATTGAACGAGTCATTTGCACCGAAGAACCACACTTGCATTCCTTCCTTGGCAATCACTACCGAGAGCAAAGATAGGTTCCCAACCTACTCCATTCAGTCAACCTAATTCGAGTCAAGAGACTGCGACAATGGAAAAACAAGCGACAGACCTTGGAAAGAAACCGGATGCGCAATAGGATCCCGCCAAAATCCAGTACTGACAGATCTTAGGCTCAACATCATCCTCGTCGGTCTAGTACTTTCATTCTTCTTGGTATGTCTCGTACCCCGTGTAGATGTCATTGACATAATCCCTTGCTGACTTCCATCCCAGAGCGCCCTCGACATGATATAATCTTGTCCCTTGTGTTTCTATCTTTTCTGGCTTCTTCCAAACAGCCATTGATGCGTCTCGGAATGCTTTGGACTAACGCATTAATACTTCTCTTCTAGAGTATCATCGGTACAGCTGCCCTTAGCATAACCACCGAATTTTACTCCACTGCCGACGTCGGTTGGTACGGACCCTCCTTCGCGCTGACCCTCACCGCTTTTCAAACTCATTGGGGTAAAGCATACGTCTGTTTCCCATTGAAATGGTCGTTCCTATGCTCCGTAGCCATCTGGGAAATCGGACCCCTCGTCTGCGACATCGCGCCCAGCTCCCTCGCCCTCATCGTCGTGTGCGCGGTCCAAGGCGTGGGCGCCGCCGGGGTAACAGGAGGATGCTACACCATTGTTAGTTTCATAGTCACGCCTGCCAGAGTGCCCGCCATCAGCGCTATAGTGGGCGGTGGTGTTTCTATATCAACTTACCCATTGGCGGCGTGGTGTTTGCTTGCTTCATATTATTCTTCCGGACTCCTATCCATTCTAAGGGCATGCATGGGAAGTAGTCTTGGGGAAAGATCGCTGTGCAATTCGATCCCGTGGGGACTGTGCTACTGATTGCTTCGCTGGTTTGTTTCATTCTGGTGATTCAGTGGGGAGGTCTCTCGAAGGCATGAAATTCGTCCACGTCATCGGAATACTGGTGGGCTGGTTTGTTACGTCGGTTGCACTCGCCATTAACGAGTGGTACCAGGGAGACCAAGCGTTGGTCGTCTATAGGATCTTGAGGAATAGCACTATCGTGTTATGCTGCGGTTTCATCTTTTGTAAGTGTACCCTTCCCACCGCTTTTCACAGTGGCCTAACCTTGATTGATCTAGCATGATGTGTGGTGATCAGTCGTTGCATTACAACCTTCCCATATATTTTCAATTTATAGGTGGGGATTCTCCATTAGCAAGCGGCTTGAAGTTATTCCCACGATTCTGTGTACGTGTAAGCTGCTCAACTCATCCATAATGCTGCCTGCCAAGCTACTAAACTTATATACTAAATTTGCCGATTCAAACGCTCTCTTTCGGACGACATGCCTACAAAACTGGTAAGCAGCTCCAATCGAGACAAGCAAGAGAGAACTTGGAAAACATGACCTAACGCAGGGAAAACTCAGAGACTCCTAACTTTGATTTAACAGAATGCGATGCCTCTTTGTCAGGCGCCATGGTTTACGACATTTTGAAGCGCATTCTCTGGTTCAACAACGCGTTGGTGGCAGTACCCAAGTCGCTTTTACAACGCCTGAATCTTGTACTTGGCTTGTGCACGCATCAGAAGAGGATAACCCGAGATATGATATCAGAGGTTGGTTGGTCGGGAGAGAGTATTGTGTCGATCTTACAAGCCGCTAGATTTATATAAAGGCCAAAAAAAAGATTTTTTTTCTTTTTCTATGATGGTTACTTCTGGTTTGAAGCGGGGTTTTGTAGCCCTACGCTTGGCCGTACCTTCCCATCTCCGTTATGTTCACCCGAAGTCCGTAGAGCGGCTGGGATAAGACGCCCGACGTTACTCATGGCTGGCACACTGACCACAGCATCAATCTTGGAGCATTTGATCTACTGGATGGTCGATAATCCGGATGTGCTTCAAAGACTCCAGGAAGAGCCGCATAGCGTGATGACCTCAGTCGACGACGTCAGTAAGGTCCCGCTTGCAACGCTGGAAAGCCTTCCTTACCTGACGGCTGTCATCAAACAATGTATTCGATTAGTCTACGGCAATTCCGATCCACAATTCCGCGTTAACCCTAATGGAACTTTGACCTATGACAACCAAACGACAGGCAGAAGTTGGTTGGTCCCGCCAAAGACATCTGTTGGCATGACCAGCGTGATGTAACATCACAAAGAGCTCAATCTTCTTAATAGCAACAAATTTTAACCTGGATGCTGATTTGGTGGCGAGGGAAAAAAGCTATACAAATACATCGTGGCCTTTGGCAAGGGCAGTCGCATCTGCTTGGGAATGAACCAGGCGGCGAACGAGAGATTCGCTGATCGGGTTGAGCGGCTAGATAAGACCCGTGGCTCTTGGGTGTCTAAATCAGACGGCTGTGTGTGGCGCTGGCGGGCAACCTATTCCCCTCTTGAGGATACCTAGCAGATTCACATTGTCTATAAGGAGCATAGTCGCAGCGGAGCTGCAAGGCAAAAGTTCTCTATGTCTAAGTGAGATTGATTAGACCGTATTGTCGCTACAATCGTGATCAGTGTTCGTCACCAACGGAAGCAAGAGTAGTACAGCCTGACGGCGTTATTTGCATTGTGAACTTGACAGCAGGGACTTGTTCATGCCGCCGGTATCAAAGTAATGGAATACCTTGCGGGCATGCTATTGCCGGATTACTAGCAAAAGAGGGCGCTATAACCCCTTATCTACCAGAATGTCTCTCCGATAGTTTGGGCTGCTACCTATGATAGCCCTATGCCAGCTATTAAAGTCTCTGAGCTCAAGCCCGAGTCAGAGGACCCTTGTAACCCTCCAGTTACTAGAGTCCCTCGAGGACGCCCTGCCAAAGAGAGGATCAGAAAGGGGGATGTCCGCCGCCCTCTACAGAGCTTACAATTGTGATGCTCTAGTTGTGGTGAGACTGGACATAATGTGAGAAGGTGCTGACGCTCACGTGAATAGCTTGACTGATGGATTGGGAAGGCAAGTGAGAGGTCTCACAAATTGCGGGGCAAATGAATATTTACAGGGATTGTGCAGGGTATATTAACTTTTTTCCCCAGAATGTGGCTGGGCTGTAACCACACAATTCATACTAGGGCAGCACTATGTAAAGAGCCAGCCACATGAATAGGGCATTCGAGATATCAAAGTCGCAGTGCGGTCATAGCTTATAAACTTGAAAATTGTGCATATATAGATTTGGACCTTATAGGAATTCACATTCTTCATTCATCTCCCTCAATATTCATTAAGATTGCCTTTGTTGCCACGAATGCCTCACAATTGTATTCAAGTTGACCACCCCAGGCATCATGGCTAACGCCACAACCGCCACCACACTGCGCAGAAATGGGCTCGAGCGTCACAAATCTCGCTTCCGAAGTTTTCGCGAACCTGTTGTAGTGAAGGTTATCAATTCCATCTTAGACAAGCCTTTGATCTCACCTTCCCAAGCTTCACAAACCTTTCATACCTTGTTTTTGTCGACTGCATCTCCCCAAGTCCTCATTAACAGAGTTACCACGATGTCTCCTCCTGTGCCTACGGAGCGCATTCGTTCCGATACTCCAACCTTCCTGGCCTGTCTTGTGACAGCATCAGCTGCCAGCAACCCCCCCAAGCTGTCAACCTTCGGTATTACGACGCTGACACCTGCAGATGTCCCTCCCAATGCGAGCCAGTATACCACTGCCTAGGAGGCGGATGGGCTGCGCGCAGAAGTTGTGGACATGCTGAAGAAGGAAAACGTCGCCTTCACCATGGTAGCCCTGTGTGGTATCGCCAATGATAGCAGCACTGTCGCTTGCTTCGTAGGTGTGCTGCCCGGCAATGTTAGACCGACCAAGCCTACGGCCATCATCCATGGTATTTGGGACGTGTTCGGCAGACGCAATCTCACTGGTGACCACTTGATGATTCAAGTCAGCGAGTACCAGGTCGACCTCTTTCTCAAGATGAACTTGTCTGGCTTCTCTTTCGAGGATACGTACAATACCGGCGCGCTATTCCCGGGCTGTTCTCTCGGTCGGCAGGGTGACGACGGGTATGGGTCTTTCTCCTTTGTGCTCGAGGTACGCGTCAACGGTGTCACTGAACTGGTCGGCGTGACCTGTGGCCACGTAGGGAATCCCGGTAAGTATATTTGTACCTGATAACTACATTTGCATACCTGATACTCTATTCAGATTGGTACAAAAACGGTTTCGCTGGCACCACGATGGATATGCCCTCCGCCTTCCATCACGAGCAATGGAATCAATTTCTCAGCACGAATCCCCAGTTCATCCACGAACGCCAGACCACAGAGTCTTTCTCCCGCACTGTTGGCAAGCTGCTGTATGCTTGCGTCATGGGTGACACAACCCCGGGTCCGAGCCCTAAGTCCCGTCTGGACATCGCTGTCTTCCATGTGGATAACAACCGTGGTTCTATTAGTACCAATGTAGATTTCTGCTAATACCGAGAGTAGCCAGCGCTGACTAATTTATCTACGTAGGATCCATGTACGCTCCTGGCCAACAGCCTGGACGAGTATGGTGGAGCCTACATGGGCAACGACTTTGTCTCTAAGGCTGGCGCCGCAACTGGTGCTACCGTCGGAACCAAGATCTCGACCTCGGTGATGGTTGCTTTGTACCAGGGAACCAGTCTTATTACCGAGACTGTCGAAAAGTGTATCGTCCCCCGGGGTTCGGAACCTAGCATGTTTGCAAGCCCTGGTGATTCCGGTGCTTTGCTTTTCGATGCTAAGCGCAACGCTGAAGGCATAGTTTGGGGCGGCGGCAGTATTAAACCTGCTTCTGACCACACGACTACCCCTAACAGCAGCATTTCTGACGTGTCTCTCCAAGTCCTGACGCCCGTCCCGGGCCTTGATGCCAGTAAGTTCGTGTACTACACAGAGCTTCAGCACGTCAAGGAGTATATCCAGCAGAAGCTGGATACTGAGTACGGCACTGGAAACTACGAGGTGCTTTGGGGTCCAGGAGGCCAGCGGTGGATCTAGTAGCCGTTGGGGGCGAGTTGTTTGCCTGGATATATCACCAGATCAGGTCGATGTAGGAGCCAGACGGTGGATTCATCGGACTACTGCCATGGTATTTGGGAAGATCGATAGATAGACAGAGAATTGCACATCAAGCCTCTCCTCTCTGCTCTCTGTATTAAGTAATATGTTCAACTGTGCTATGTTTGCTATTTGGGAGAAGCTTTCAGATGGGAAGTTACGGCCAAGTACAGGGCTACAAAACCCCGCCTCAAACCAGAAGTAACCATCATAGAAGAAGAAAATAAAACATCTTTTTTGGCCTTCATGTAAATCTCTTTCTTTCTCGGTTCAATTTGTTTCCATCGTCAAATATGACCAGGTCATCTTCAGGCTCGAAGGTTGGCTTCTAGACAACTATGTACTGGGCACACCGTCAGATTCCACCAAAGCTACACCGCCAATGCTGCCTGCTCGACTACGCCGCGGTTGTTCCATTACTTTATGCTCTTCCCGTACTGATTCTTGCGAGCAGTAGCCAATTGGCACTGACGCAACAAAGTTTGAGGCTGACACTTTTATTCATTGTCTTGGTGGCTGTAGCACCACAAGCCCTAAGCCACCCACCCTCCACTGTGTTGTTGCAATGGAATTTGGCAATCGTGACGGGATTCCCAAAGGGATGCCCCAATACGAAGTAATGCCAGGCGGTAAGGCGGGATTGATCTTGAGACCCCACCAAGACTGTTCCTCTCAAGTACAAACAGTATAGTGACGCCGAGTGCCCAAACTTCGGCTTAAGGACCACAGTCATTTTTGCTGTCGAGGGTCTCGGGTGCGACATAATATCTGTGTCGTCCCACACGCAAAGAGTGCCCAGTTTTCATCCTAGAACCCTTGAAGAAGCATCGTAGCAAACTCCCTAACCTTGCCAGCGTGAAACACCCATTTTCCTTGCTTATTCTCGGTGGCGTTGTCTTGAAGTTTGTAAGAAAGTCGACGCCTCGGAGGAATCGTTCCAGGGTACCGCCGCGTTCTCGGAATCGAACCTTCGTAACGTGGGAATCGGAGAATACTCTGGGAATGCTCTGGGTAGCTGCTGTTAGCGAAGAACCGAAACAGTTGAGGAGCGCTCACAAGTATATCGAAGAGACTGCGGCCTTGACGACGTCTTCTCACAATGTCAGATTGTTGGCATCAGTTTACTGTCCTGGGTGCATAGCATGGAGTCGGTTCTGACCAGCTAGTTGGTTGCGGCATCTTACTTGATTCCTTTCTCTCAAATGGCTGTTTGCACATCGCCGGCTGGGTGCATTGAAGTCATGGCAAACCTTTCAGGGTATTTGGCGCTGGTATATCCGGATTGAAAGTGGACAGTTAGCAGCTGTAGTAATATTAGTAGCCTTTCCTTCGACGGAGGGATATTAGATTATATACGATGTCCTCGTAGTAGGCTACGTCACATAGACGTACAATCAGATCTCCGTCGTAGCCCTTAACTTAGGTATCCACCTCGATATTGACGACGGACAGTAAATTCTCGCAGGTTTAAGTTGAAGATGATAGCAACGGACAACAAGATCCTTCACAAGACCTTACGATCCGGGAGGGTGAAAGACTAACATACTAAGAGCCTTCTTTACCCTAATTAAGTTAACAAAAGTACCCAAGGGTCGGAACGACCTTACCATGCCAACCTGGTGAGCTAGGGTTGGCGTGGATATACACCAATACCCTCACCATTCTCCGGACTCTTTTTGCCAATGATAACCTCACCAGAGGCCCTGGTTAGGCAACCTGGTTGGCTTACGGTTGCCAAGGCTCAAGTAGCCCTTTTAACCGTGCTGGGTCCCTGACAGCCGAATGTTTGGGTAATTTGAAGGTGCTGTAGGTCCCTACCAGCCCTATAGGATCCCCTGTAAGACGTATTATCTTGCAAATCTCTGCAAAATATCTGGTACTTTGAAACTTTTCTGTTATCTTGGTATTCCTCTACCGCTTAACCGCTGCCCTTATGCTATGGAGGGTCTACTTGTACCTATAACGCCAACTCCGGTGGCATCGCCATCTCACCAGGCCAAGGCTAAGGCTACTCCGGTACTCCCGGAGGCTCAATAGCGCCTTTTCTAGTACTTCCGTGGCTTCACTTTCCCCGAACGTGGTAAGGCCGTCTCATCGTGGGAGTAGGCCTATGGCCATGATATCCAGAAGGATAATAAGCGGCGATAGGTGCGTAAACGTTGTGTTACTATTCGGCACCTCTGTCCCGCTAACTTCAACGTTAATAGTACCCAAAACGCTACAGACTATCTGTTAAAGAGGCACAACATCAGGGCACAGACTCGCGTTGGTATATCCCGGTCAGAGCGTATCGCTAGGAAGAAGGTGACGCTTGAATCGATTAAGAGCCATTTTTCGCTCGCTATTTTAAATCCGTGAGATCAATCCATCTCGAATAGCCTTATCGCGTCGTTAGATCGCACGCGTTTCCATCAGTTACTTGTCCGAGGGGTTGTTAACGGTAATAGGCCATCTACGGAAGTATAGGATGTGAATCTGTGAGTACCTATCCCCATCGGTCCTTATCCAAGGTAGCCAGCGCCCTTGATAAGGCAGCTAGATACTCTGCTTAGGGCCCTGACGGCTGAGAGAGTTATAAGAAAATAACTGTCTGGATGAACCAGACGAGTCTACAGAGGAGGCTATAGCCAACCGCGCCGGCGAGGTTAACGATAGCTTCATCTCTTAGCAGTAAATCCAACCAAAAATTCACCAACCTCACCATGATCACTGGTTGGTCAACATCACCAGCGTTTTGCTTACTAATTTGATCACTAACCAACCAAGGGGGATGATAAGGTTGGTGAGGTTAATCCGACCCTTGCGGATAATAGGTGACCCCTGCTATCAGTAAGTGTTATTTATCAATGCCGGCATTTCATATCGACAGCATCGAAAACTACATACAAGTATTGGAGTACATCGAGAATCAGCCGATACACGTCTGTGACCAAGTTACCTCTTAAAGCTGTTGCTGGACCACACGCAATTATCGGCGAGCTGCCCGAAGACAAGCTAAGACAGCGTAAAGCGAATATATTTCAAAGATTTTAGCCTAACGTAGGTAGGAGATGTACGGAAAGAGCGCAAATTCGAGAAACCACCCTCTACGATTCCTAGTGGGTAGTCGAACCCAACCTATTCCGCACACACCTAGGAAGGGCAATCCAATATCATAAAGGTTTTTAAGACGAGAAATACAAGTAACTAGCCAAAGAAATGGTTAGAAAAGCTGCAGAAGCAGCCAAAGTTCAGGAAAGATCGGTTCAAAACTAAAAGCCCGGAGCGGCTGAGGAAGCAAGAGTCGCTTGTAAACCACCTTATTCTATACGCAATCTATTACTAATTAAGGCGATTCCATAAATATAATGCAGTTCGCCGGATTAAAGGGTTAGAGTTGATAGACATATTACGATTTGAAGTACGATAGGAAGTCTGATACGCTGCAATTTATTGATCCTGATGAAGATGCAGGGTAGTATAGCAAATACTTTAAATTTATTTTAGAGAATTCAATATAGAGATGGAATTGCGTTCGTATTACTGAGTAGCACTGATACAAATAAAATCGTGGACCGGATTGCTTTATTTGCTTTATGCCGGGCCCTGGGTCTTTGCAGGTGGCGGAGAACTAACAGACAACCACGTTACTGAAGGCCAAGGCGAGAAGGCCAAAGATACCGAGTGGATTCATGTTTGGTTATAAACTAGGTTAGTTTATAACGTGTCAGCTCCCTGGAAGGCAGTTTGCTGAGCTGAAGCATGGATTGAAAGGGAGGTGAAAGAGTACGGGGTTGTGTATTCGAGTCTCAAGTACTTTACGACTGCCCTCGCGTCATCGAATACCAAATCACAAAATGAGAGAAAGCGAAGTCAATGCTGGCCCTCAATAATGTTTGCACAATTCACCGCCCGTAAGGTTGTTTGCGCGGTTCGCTACGTGAGGTTACTTAAAAGGTAAGGGCTCGAACACTCGACTAATAACCAATAGGAATAACCTTGGAAGATAGATGGCTGATACAACATTCTGCCTTGGACAATGCAAATCACGGAGCTGTTGGGCTCCCGGCTCGAAAGCATCCTCTATATCGAGTGTGACGAGGGATGATGTCAGTCAAAAGACTCGGGTGCTAATCAAGACGTTGCATCACATTACAACATGTAACGAGGCAGGAAGGAGGTTTGAGCCCGCGAATCAAAGTCACAGCAAGCCTACCAGAGCCCTACATACTTGGAATATCATGACCCAGTGATACCTAGTTGATCTCAGCATGTAATTTGTTTCATCATCACGTTGCCCACCAATATGACCCACCAAAGTTCAACCCGATCCGAGGTAACGCGTGCTTTGATAGTCGTGCATGCCAATTTTTCAGCAGTGGTTCGACTGTCGGACAGCCAGCAACCGCCGTAATTAATATGGCCAGGGAACGACGACATGTTGATAGTGGGGCCAAACGTTGCAGAGCTCAGTCCGGGGAATATGGAGTACTAAGTATGTGTTAAGATCAACAACGGTAGTTAGCAGACGCTAGCCCGGCGTTTCTCGTGAAAGGCAGGTTTGAGAAGGCACCAAATCTAGATGCAAGTTTGAGACGAAACATCGTGGCAATCTGATTGAAGAGTGAGCGATGTTCAGACGAATGCGCAAGTGCTTTAACGGATTGTTGTCTGTCATCCAATCTCTATCCAGACAGGTCCCAACCCAAAAATTCCCCTAGGCCCCAATTGAAGCTTTTTCCAATTTTAGCCTCATCACAAGCCTCGATCGGCAAAACATTTTCGCGAAAAGTCTCCACCCGGCTGGGACTCAGCCGCTTCCAAGGTTCCTGCCTCCTGTTTCGCCCACCAAGAGGACAGCGGTGTTCAATTGGCCCGAGGTCGCTAGCGAAAGCTGACGGCCAATTTCACTATCACCCGCAAACCCAACACCCAAACTTCGCTCCTGAGCAGCCATAATTTTCCTTTCCGCTCCCAGCCCTTTCCCCTACGCATTACTAGCAGCTCCGTAGCTTCTTCATCTTTTACCGGAGCATCCAGTTCACTGGCGCTTGTCAGTCAATAACCTTTGTTTGGCCGGCAATCAACAAAAGTCCATCAGATCCCGACCCATTAGCCCTCCCAATGCCAAGATTCTAACGCGTATCGGTCATTCAGCACGGCAGGTGCCTACCATTACCGATCTATCCATCGCAGCCTACTGGTTTTGCCACCTTTTCAAGGGGCCCGACTTCCCCTGCCGCTCGCTACTGCTCGACCGCCGACTCTGCCAACTCAATAAACCGGGTAGAGAGTGGAACACATTTGGAGAAAAAAAAGGGGCCTTACGACGTCGACTTTTGATGACCTCTGTGATTTATATTAGTCGTCAGCTTACCTAGTTCATCGACCCTCCCCTATTTCCTCGCGTCGGGTTCATGATCGACATTGAACACACCGAGACGCTGTGAGGAAAATATCTTGGTCGAATTCCATCAATATTGCTCCTACCGTATCGACATCCTCCACTGCCGATTGCTTTACCCACCACCCTTCTCTCCGTCTTGGAGCAGACAGATTGAGATCCTGTCATCAATATGGATCTCTTCCGGCGGGCGTACAAGCGCGTCCCAACTTCAGCGCCCCAGCTACCTACCGATGACGAAAAGGCGAGACCTGCCCGACCGAATAGGTTTCTGTCGCGCCTCGCTTTCTTCAGACGACCTCTCAGATTGAAGGGCAACTCTAGCATATCTGTGCCGCTGGGAGTGGTGGTCCTGTTTCCATGCATCGTTCTTATCCTGATGCTGGTACTGTTTGTCAGACACCCAAGCTCGCCAGGCAGGATACTGATGCCCGCTGGCGCTCCTCCGGCCATCCGAAAGATCAGTGAAGAGCACGACAAGGTGTTCTTTACGGGCTGCCTCGAGCCTGACACGTCCAAGCCCAAGGCCAATGCTGCCTTCGTGGTACTTGCGCGAAACAAGGAGCTGGATGGTGTAATCCAGTCGGTCAAGTCGATTGAACGCCACTTCAACCGCTGGTACCACTATCCGTACGTCTTTTTGAACGATGGCGAGTTCAATCAAACTTTCAAGGATGTCATTCGCAACTACACTTCGGCCCCCGTCGAGTTTGGCACGGTTGGTCCAGAGATGTGGGGTTACCCTGAGTGGATTGACCCCAAGGTCGCCAAGGAAGGCATCGCGAAGCAGGGAGATGCGGCTGTCATGTATGGTGGCCTCGAAAGCTACCATGCCATGTGCCGGTTCTACTCTGGATTCTTCTACAAGCACCCGCTCCTTGCCAAATACGAGTGGTACTGGCGCTTGGAGCCCGAGATCAAGTACTTCTGTGACATCACGTACGACCCCTTCCTCGAGATGATTGCGGCTAATAAGACCTATGGTTTCACCATCGCCGTCAAGGAACTTCGCGAGACTGTTCCAAACATTTTCCGCTATGCTTCTGCATACAAGCGTATGAAGAACATCTCCTCGCAGGGATTGTGGGAAATGTTTGTGGATCCCATCGAGAAGCCCAAGGAAGAGGTGCCAGAAGACGATCCCAACTACAAGCCGCCCTTGCCTGAGGAGATCTTGCGCAGCGACCCCGGTCGCAACAGCCTGCCTGAGATTGACCCCGAGGCCATGGAGGGCGAGTCATACAATATGTGCCATTTCTGGTCAAACTTTGAGATTGCCCGACTCAGCTGGTTCCGCAGCAAGGAGTATGAGGACTTCTTTGAGATGATGGATCGAAGTGGAGGGTTTTGGATGGAAAGAGTAAGTCTCCAATTTTATTGCGGTATAGTTCATCACTAATCTTCTGCTAGTGGGGTGACGCTCCCATCCACTCTCTCGCGGCCGGTGCGCTCCTTGCACCTCGCGATATTCACTACTTCCGAGATTTCGGTTACCGGCACACGACCATTCAGCATTGCCCTGCCAACGCGCCGGCCCGCCAGCTTCCCCGCGAACCCTTCCTGGAGAAGACAACCACCGACCCAAAGAAGCGACAGGAAGAAGATGAGTACTGGGAGCAGTGGGATGCAGAAAAAGAGAACGGTGTTGGGTGTCGCTGCCGCTGCGACACGGACATTGTAGATGTCGAGGGCAAGGAAGGGTCCTGCTTGGCCGAATGGGTCGACGTAGCTGGTGGATGGGCCAGCCCATAGACGGTTGGAAGACTTGGTGAATGTCACCAGAACGAGACATGAATCCACGCATACGTCCCCTCTTATTCAATTGTTTCAGCCACATATCCCCCCTGGATCTTCATGAAATTCCTCCTCGTCGTTCTTTTATCCGCATATTACCTCTCCAATTCAGGGAAATTCCGGCTTGAAGCATTCAGTGCTCATCCACCTCGTTACTAGTCATCATAGCGTCGTTTCTGGTGGGAGCCTGTACGTTAGAGAAAAAGGCTATCAAGGCAGAAATCGCTTTCTAGATATAAGCGAAATTGTTGTAGGCTGCAGTCAGTGTTGAGAGAAACAGGAAGCGAAGCTATGGGTGTGGGACATGTCAAACCGGTCTGCAAGGGGGAGTATATGAGGTTCGGCACGGATGATGTCGAAGTAATGTTGCCTCGTCGGACACGTAGGGTTTGCATACATACATTTAGGAGTTCATATCAATGGTACATAATATTCTTGAATAGAGTTATTTGCCCGTGAAGAAGCAAACCCAGCCTCCCCATCGAACAGGCGTGGGCAAGCCATCGAAGCTCTATGTCTCAGCGTTGAAGTCAAGTTTTATCCTCAAATCTTCGGCGGGAACTGAGTCGTGAGGGGGTATTAATTAGCCCGTGCTGATTCTGGGGAGATTCTTCATCCACATGCGCGGCTTCTGGCCTTACTCGCTTTCTGAGGTGCGCCCGCCAACCCCTGAGCACTTGGGCCTAGCCGCAGCCTCCGCCGCTCTGCCTTGTTTGATATCAACTGCGTAACAAACAGACAGCTTTCCATGGACACTGCGCAAACATGGATCATCGACTTTCCTGATTGTGACGAGCACTCCCAGCGGCGGAGGTCTTTCCTACTTCGGTGGCAGCAGATATTGGCGACCTCCCCTCTTCCCACTCTCTTATCAGGCACACCATGCTCTATGCGGTCAGAAAATAGTGAGTCTCAAAACACCTCTATGTTATTTGCTGGCTGGCGAGATGGGGAGGAGTGCGTCTAGAGTCATTCTGCGTCTCCACATTACTTATACCATGGCTTGTTCTCAACTTAATGAAGACCTCCACCATCTCCTTTTCTGTTTCATCGGAACCAATGTTCATGCTGCTTATTTCCGGGTAGTCTCTGGAGTTGGGATCGACTTGTGCCGTCTATCAGCCCCCTTTCTCTCCTTGAGGACGGGACCTTGATCAAGGAGCACTCTGCTTCTTCGGTCTTGCCGATGCCAATACCGTGAGATTTTCGTCATCTACCCATTCTGACTCTTCTCTCCTATCCAGAGGAGCCTTTATGTGGAAATAGATGGCTCGGCCATTGTGATCTTCCCATAAATCTAAGTCTATCGCCCGTATTGAGTCATGTGCCTTCATTTCCTCTACTCCTGCGCGAGTCACCAGACAAGACCTGAAACCTCTCTCTCACTAGGTAGTCCTTCACATATTGATGGATCAGGAAGAGACCTTTGTAGGTTGCTGTGAACCAACCAAAATCCAAAATCTTGGAGAAATACGATGCTTGGCGTAGCTTGTCTTCTGCTCCATTGTCTGAAGAGGAACTTGGACTCGTGTATGACGTATCGGGGTTTGCGGGAGGATAATCCTTATGAGCGAATCTGAGTTCAGCAAAACCTCTAGAGTGATCATACCAGCCTCTCCATTTGAAAATCATACTCAATAAAATCAGGGTAACTTTCGAGCTCCTCGAGCCAATGTGATTGATTTTCAGGATTTATGCTCATCAAGAGCCTTAACCAGGGTAGCGGCAAGGGAGTGCGCGAAAAGCAAGCCCATCACTATAACTTGAGTGATTGAATTAGTTCTTCTGGGATCTCTGAGTATAGTTTCATAGAGCTTAGAAAGTTGTGACAGTAGTTCCCTGCTGTAATTCAAGATCTGGGTGATGTTCTTGCCCTTCCGATGCTGCTTATATCGTTGTGAAAAACCTCCAGAAGGAGATATTGAACCCATTATTTCTCTACCTACGAAACAGCATTAATTTAGAATACAAGGCTTAATTGTTTTGCATACTTGAAATAATAACTTTTCATAATAACAAATAAGCAATGAGGATCCTCAATCTCTTAGCGCCGTAGAGAATCCATACTAACTACCGACGTAGATTTCGTCCTATATCACGACTTAATGATAGAATCACTTAGTTAATCTACGTGATTGCAATCCATAAATATTTACGGAATGTAAACACTGCTAATTCCGCTGCGCGCGGCTGAGTGAACAGAATAGCTAAAGGCAGGTAAAATGTGTTACGACGACCCCTTTTCTCGGACTGACAACACATTTCGAGCGTGCTTTTAGGAAAGAGATCGGCTGCCTATGCCTTGTCCCTTATGTTAAGGTACATCTCCCATTACTTTTTATCTGGAGTTGCTTTTACAGGATATAGAGCTCACCTCTAGAAGGTGTCTGTCATCCCGCTTTGCAAATCAGAACCTCACAGCACAACCAAGAGTCATACATACTACCGTCTCACTTCCCACCCCGACCACTCTGCATCAAATGCGCATTAACTGGCGTCAATGCCTGCCCCTTCAACAATAATCCCTCAATATTCTCCATAGCCAACCTCTCAAACCCCCAATTCGTCTCGATGGCCCCTCCCGCATTATGGCTTGTCAGCGTGACATTCCGCATTTTGCACAACTCCGGATGCACCCTCGGCTCATGCTGAAACACATCCAACCCCGCGGCGAAAATATGCCCGCTCTGCAATACTTCCACCAGCGCATCCTCGTCTACCAGCGCGCCCCGGGCTATGTTCACGAATCGAGCCCCTTTCTTGAATTTCATTAGTCGTTCCCGGTCGATCAACACCTTGCCCCCGAATGGCGTGGCGAGGACTACGCAGTCTGCCTTGCTGAGCAGTTCATCGAGGGTGGGGATGTAGACGGCGCCTACTCCACCACCAGCTCCGTTCTTCCCCTCGTCTAGCTCAGCAGCAGGTTTCCGCACGACGTCATGATACAAAATCTCCATGCCGAAAGCAGCACGGGCCTTTTGGGCGATGGTGAGGCCAATATTTCCCAAACCGATGACGCCCAGGGTGTGGCCCCGCGGATTGTGCGCGGTCATGGTGGCGTGCTTGTGGGCGTCGGTCCACTGGGCCGGATCTCCGGAGCGGGCGGCGAGATGGGACCATGTTAGATTCCGGAAGACTGAGAGGATGTGGAAAAGGGCCATGTCGGCTACGGCTTCGGAGGAGGCCGCGGCGCCGTTGCAGTAGAGGATTCCTGGCTTCATATCAATGCCTCGTTCAACAGCTTGAGACTGTTGAACTCTGGAATATTGGGACGGGTGGGAAAGCTCACCATGCTCCGCCATGATATCAACATCTGCCCAGTCGTATCCGGCGCCGGCGCTGGCGTAGATTTTGACAGATGGGGGCAGAAGTGGGATCAGTTCCTGATCCCAGCGTCCCATTTCACCACCTGTGTTCCAGAAGGGGCGAAAGACTGCATCGAAGTTGCCCCATTTATTTTCCTTCAAGGCTCGTAGAAAAGCTACTCTTTGCCGTTCCTCGACTGAGGGACGAATGACGGTGAATTCTGAAGAGAAGCGCCTGTATATCTCATGGTTGTGTTTGATGGGGTCCCCAATGTGGAGGACTGTAGGTTTTGTGGCTGATGGCATGGTGTATAGTAAAACGATTATGGAATGGTTGCTCTTGGATTGGGGTCATCAGTTCTGGTATGGGTTTTCTATATGGGTTGTCTATATGTCGATATTTCAACTGTACATGCCGGCATAGACTCCGACTATGACCCGACGCCCAGCTATTTAGTCGCGCGTCATACAAAAGCGGTATGCCGGCGCCGCATGAACCTTGGCCACTAGAACCATATTATATGCCATAAGTTAAAGTAATTTGTCGAGTTCCCCTCACGATGGTTATCCCCGCACCCCGAGATTCGAAGAACCTGGTAGAGAGCAAGCTAGTGCCTCTTTTCCGACCGTCTCGATCGGCAATGCAGTGTCAGGGACACTGATTACCGCTCGTCGGATCGGCTACTGGTTGCTTGAAAAGTCCCGGGACGAAGTCCGACGTATAATCGTGAGAGGATGCCACCCCGGATTACGATGTCGATCAACTCTGTTTTAGGACCTGCCCTAACACATCAGCTTGGAAAACCTGGGGTATTACCCCAGTTCTCCGGTGTATTTGGGTGCTTACATTTACATGTTCATCGTAATAAACAGAACTGCGCCATAAATAAGGAAACTCATATAAGAGGCTATATATGCCGCCGCAGCTTGTGCGACACTGTCACCACCACACCACCACCACCACCTCTTCAAGAAATTCTTCCACACCCTGTTCTCCTAGATCTGAGTTGATTAACATCTTAAGAATGACGACAGTGAAGGTGGCCACGCCTTCCAGAATGGACGAGGTGCAGCATCTGCATCTTGAGACAGCCGGTGCAGACCTCAAAGTTGTGAATGGCGCTGTGGTTATCGAGGACCGGGTACACAAAGAGAAGGCACTCTTGCGCAAGATCGACATTCGCATGATGCCTCTCATGATGTTAATTTGCATGACTGCCTCTACCTAGAACTCCTCAGACCTGCTGTGCTGACTCTACTCAGATGTCTTGAACTACCTCGACAGAAACAACATTGCCACCGCACGGCTCGGCAGTCTCGAAGAGGACATTGGGCTAGTCGACACACAATGTGAGCAACTGTTGAATATTCTTGGCGTTTTGTCTATGTATCTTGGAAATTTCGAGTGGAAACATGAAACTTGCCCGACCCTCGCGCGACCACTGATAACGAGTGTTTGACAGACAACACTGTCATTAGCATATTCTTCGTGGGATATATTCTCACTCAGATTCCGACCAATATGATTCTCAACAAAATGCGACCATCCATATTCCTGGTCAGTAGACTTTCAAGATGCTGACATACCACTCCGTATTGACCAGCTGTCACCGTACTAGCCCACCGTCATGTGCTGCTGGGCCGTTGTAAGCGCTTCTACCGGAGGAGTGCAAAGTTATGGTGGATTGGTAGCCCTTCGTTTCGTATTGGGTTTCGTCGAGGCTCCCTTCTTCCGTAAGCACTTCGCCATATCCGCTGAGTCTCTATTAGTCTATTCACAGATATCCTAGCTGGTGCCCTCTTCCTCTTCAGCTCTTGGTACACAAAAAAGGAACTTGCCGCGCGTATCTCGGTTCTCTACGCCGCAGGTCAAATGTCAGGGGCCTTTGGCGGGCTCCTGGGTAGTGCCATCATGGGGGGCATGGAAGGAAAGGCCGGTCTTGCCGCTTGGCGATGGCTGTGTAAGTCTTTCTTATCTGGAAAAACCAAATGACACTGATCCATGGGCTCAGATTAACTAATTCCAAACTTTCGGGTAGTCATCATCGAAGGTGCAGCCACAATACCGGTGGCCATCCTGACTAGCTTCGTCATCCCTGACTATCCATCCACCACGTCCTTCCTCAGCCCTGAAGAACGCATCCTTGCCATCCTCCGTATCGCCGAAGAAGCTAACGAAGAAGATGATCGAGCCGAGACACCGGCCATGGTCGGCCTTAAAATGGCTTTTACTGATCCGGCCCTTTACTTGATCTGGTACGTGCACCCCTGAATCTTCTTCCGTGTCGTGCTTTTGGACTGGCCAGTTCTACAAGGAGTGACTTACCCCCAAACATAGTTATTCGTCGAAGGAGTTTGTTAAAGGAGTAGAGCTATACCAATAAAATTTATACAGGTTCATGCAACTCGGCCTCAACACCGCCGCCTCCTTCATAAACTTCTTCCCCACCATCGTAGCGACACTCGGCTACTCCCAGCGCGAAACTCTGCTCCTCTCCGCCCCACCATTCGTATTCGCCGCCATCCTCGGCATAACCAACTCGTGGCACAGCGACCGCACCCGCGAGCGCTGGCTGCATGTCGTCTGGCCTCAAATATTCTGCAGCGTGGGCTTCGTCGTATCAGCCTCCACCATGAACGCTGCGGCCCGGTACATCTCTACTTTCCTCATGATGTCGGTGTACGGGTCCTTCGGGTGTATCTTATCCTGGGTCTCGACCACACTGTCCCGCCCGTCGTCTAAGAGGGCCGTTTCGTATGCGGTGGTTAATGCGTTCTCGAATTTCGCGAGCATATATGCGAGTTATTTTTATCCGAAGCGTCAGGGGCCTAGGTACTGGCAGGCGAACGTGGCGAATGTGGCGTTTTGCGGGGCGTGTGTTTTCGTTGCGACTGTTTTGAAATTCTATTTGAAGTGGAGGAATGGGAAGTTGGACAGGGCGGCAGAGGAGGATCTGAACATCGAGGGGACGGCGGCGGGGAGTCGGACGAAGATGTTAGCGGAGAGGTGGCACTGTCATCCGGATTATAGGTTTACTCTGTAGACAAGCATCGCGTGTAATGCTACGAAGAGTGTTATTATATTTGATCAGTTATATTCAAATTCAGGGACGAGATTGCCGTTGCCGCGAATCTAATCATGATAGAGTGGCGAAATCGCTGGTTGAACATGTCACTAGAATACATTGTGCCCCCTAACTCGGGCCTCTTCTTGTTCAAATGACGGTTACCAGTTGAAACCTTCTCGCATTCTTGAGCGGTTTCCCATTTGAAGATAGTACGCATTTACGTGCCGAACAAGCTTCCTGGATGATAAGCCGTACCAAGAGACACGGGGCAGAGTTACGTCAAGCTTCAGAATAAGTGAGATAAGAACAACGGATTAAGGTATGTAGTCCACACAAACTTCACGACTTTGCGGTACACTTGCAAGCCGAAATTTTCTGCTTCTAGAAGAAGAGAAGCAAATAAGTGGCTGCTAGGCATCAAGACATGTATATATTTGAACGTCGTACCGCCCTTTTCTTTTTCCAACAACGTTCATGCTGAAGTGCGATTATTCACTTTGCGGGCCGATATTTCTTCAGAATTACTGCAAGTAGTTTGGTTGAAGGCGGTTTAGCCTCCTCAATGGTTCATGATTGAAACTGATTAAACCGAGATGTTAACTGTTCATGCCTGGGGTCTACTGTATCATGTGAAAAGTACGATGCGAATTGACGACTCCCTGACCGAAACGCAAAGACGTACATGCAATTGCCCATAAAGAGGCAATATGACAAGGAGTCAGGAAGAAATTAGGCAATGGTAAACTCGGCTTGCTATACTTTCCAAATTGATTCCGTCATTTTGTGTCGAGCATGTGAGGTATTTGTGGTTTTCTTGCATCTCAGTAGCCAATATGGCCAGGTCTGCCATGAGAGTTATGATGTAACCAGCCTGCATCGTCGCAGAGGTGAAGCAATTATCAAATATACCTCTTGCTTTTCTTAAACTTACTATGTCATGCATCACGACCTTGATGACCCTGCAGACACCATTCCCTCTCAACGTTATCGAAATCAATATCTTTGACGAGATACCCTTCTGTGTATAAAACCCACTCTATTTCCTTACAGCGATCATCTTCTCCATCCCAATCCTTAAATATCAAAAACCACGCCAAGTCAAACCACCACATCGTTATCATATCACCTAAGATGAAGTTCCTCTCCACTATGCTGGGCTTCGCCGCCCTCACCAGCGCTGCTCCCTACGCCAGTATTCCCGCCAATAACGCCAGTGTTCCCGCCAACAACACCAGAGAGACCCGCATCGCCACCTGTAAGTCCAAGCCCATGATGAATCTGAACAAAACGTTTCACGAATCCAAGAACGAACCTTTTACTCACTATTGCTCGTCATCACAGTGTGGGATGCCTCTCAGTTCCAAGGTTCTTCTTACAATATTGAAGTGGCCACCCGCTGCGGTATGTGATCCCATAACACTGGCTCACTTGGCCAGCCAAACACAGTGTAAGCTGACAACTGATGTGATCCCCGTAGACTCGCTGGTACACACGTTCATGAACCTTGCCACGTCGTGGAAGGTCAGCGAGGGTTGGTACTGCGTTTTCTACGAGTATGTGCCTTTTCCTTCTTCCCCCTAAGACCCTTCTGAGCTCCTCCCCCCTCCTGTCCCGGGTTCCCTTTTCTTTGCATGCTTTCGCTATGGTTTTATATGTAGTTTGCGTGTTAACCACTTTTGTTTTTCCAAAAAACAGTGATCTAGGCTGCAAGCAAATCATCAGCGAGGAGCAAACAATGACCGAGCTTCCCAAGGAGCTAAGTAACCGGATTAGCTCCTACCACTGCGAGGAGGAGAACTAGTGCACGTAGATGGAAGCTCTGGGGTTGAATTGCCTGGAAACCACTTGTGTCCCTCTGTTAGGTTTAATCTTGCAGAGGCGTCAATTCAAAGATGAGCTAACATTGCGTTGATTACTCGAATCGTCGTTGCTGCGGTTCGCACCACGATCCCGCTGGTCTAACAACAACTCTAACTATTACCTAATCACCATATTTGTCCGGACACATGCCTAACGATTCGATTCACTTGAAAATGGCTACTTGAGGGTCTGACTTTGGTTCGTATAACGTATTGTTGGGTCATCTTCTAGATATGGTGCGAGAAGTATCGTCTTATTTACATGAATTTCTCCATCCGAATCCTTTTCCGTCTCTTGATCGCGCACCTTGTAGTTCCTATTAAGCCTGAATGAACGCTGCGTTTCTGACAGCCTGCCCCTTTTTAGGTGTAAATCGTCCTTCATGGATTCGGTATCTGATAGCGCGTAGAACTGCATAGCAGGACTACTCTGGAAGTCTAACATCTCTGCTCATCAACAACATCATGGTGGTTAGTCTCCATGGCTTGGACCTTCGATTAGTCCTTCCATCTCATAGTATGACCTCTGGCCATCCTCATGACCCTTGAAATGTTGTAATTCCCCTTGGTCCCCTTCACCTGGACTACTTCCCCTTCAGACATCTCAACCTTGAAACTTTCAAATACCTCAACCACTTCTCGGTCTTGAAAGTCAACGCTCGCTAATATCACTATGATTTGCCCCAGGATCGTTTCGAATATCTGATAATCCAAGAGTGCAGGACTGCTTCCCAAATCTTCGTCGAGAATCAAGATGCTGGGAAGCTAAGATAATCAGGATAAATACCCAGCAGAGAGGCTCAAGATGGTAGGTGCTTTTCCAAGTACATGTAGACCGGAGGCTCAGGGGGTTCGATGCCTCCAACCCCACTATAGGCATTGTTTCTCAGCCCTCCATTCTGTACCCCGGGATACTAAACTCATGCCTCCCACTCCCAACCCTCTTCACTTTCTCACTCCCCGGCAGCGTGACATCAGCATGCATATTTGGCGGCACTACTAGTTTCAACTGAAATCCATGCCGATCCACCTTCCAATCCGTCGACACCGTCCCGTACGGACTCAAATAACTCGCCTTCGCCTCGGTGATATTCCCACCCGGCACTACATTTACCTTGGCCGTCTTCCACCCCGGCTCAGCCGGCGCCAGTCCTCCCACAACCTGATGAATCCAATTTGCGACAGAACCAAAGGCATAATGATTAAACGACGTCATCGAACCCGGATTCACGGTCCCGTTGGCAAGCATACTGTCCCAGCGCTCCCATGTCGTCGTGCCGTTCATGACGACTTGGTATAACCATGATGGGACGGTCGTTTGCAGGATCATGCGGTAGAAGGTTGAGGTTAGGTTGTAATTGGTTAGTGTAAGTCCGAGGAGATGGGTACCGGCGAACCCTGTGCCGACAAGGTATTCATTATCCGCGATGATTTTCTGGAGCCGCTCGGCTGCTGCGGCAGAATGATCATCGTTGGCAAAGAGATCGAAGAATAATGGGAGTGTGAGGCCTGTTTGTGTCTCGTTGGCTACCATGCCATCTGCGCTGATCCAGGCATTGCCGAACGCGGTTTTGATCTTCGCCGCCCAGTCGCTATAGTACACTGCATCGTCCTTGAGGCCCAGAGCGGACGCCATCTTCGCGACGAGGTTGGTCACGTAGACGAGGTAGGCATCAGACACCAGGGAGCTGCTCGTGGTTGCATTACCGGGATCATCAGGTGGTGAAAGGGGGTCAAGCCAGTCACCGTACTGGTAGTACGAGTGATTCCACAACCCGACTTCGCTCCGTGGAATTCCAGTGTCTAGCCATGCTTTGGCACCCTTGTACTGTTCACGCAAAACGATGAGGTCGCCCGAGGCGATGTAGGCGTTCCAGGGGTTGGCGACTACGACGTCACCCCAGACTGCCGTTGGCGTTGTCCCTCCGGATGAGACGACGGGGATCACTGGAACGATTACCGGCGGTATGCCTGGTTATTGTTAGCAGATTACAAGACTTGCTTATGGGGGGTTTGGGGGGGCTGACTTTGGTTCGCCATTTGCTCCGATGAAACATCTTTCATCCAACCCCTCCAGAAGCCTGATGTGTCATAGAGGAAATTCGCGGTCGGGGAAAAGGCATGCGCATCTCCGGTCCAGCCAAGTCTTTCGTCTCGCTGGGGACAGTCGGTCGGGATGCTCATGAAGTTCCCCTTCATCGACCATCTCACGTTCTGATGCAGCTTGTTCAGCAATGCATTGGAGCACTCGAAGGAGCCAGTTTCTTGCATGTCGGAATGTACCACAATGGCAGTGACAGCATTATTGTCTAGTGGTGTGCTGTCCGTGGGCCACCCGTCGACCTGGACGTATCTGAACCCGTGATATGTGAAGGCAGGCTCCCAGGTCTGGACCCCTTTGCCCGCGAGGGTCAGGGTGTCTGTCTGCGTGGCGTTTCTCAGGGGCCGAGTGGCCACTTCGCCGTTCTCGAGGACTGACGGTCACATTAGCCTTCTCCATCAGTATTGACGATGAATCACACTTACCTTCAGTGTGTACCATACGGATTGACTGTCCTTCCGGTCCATCCACTTTCAATCGAAGCCAACCAACCAAATTCTGTCCAAAATCCAGAATCGTCTTCCCGGAAGCGCTCGTGAATATCTCTTGCAATTCGACTTCTTCCATTCGACGAATAGGGGGGCCATCTGGAGCAACAAGTCGTTTGTATGGCGCTTCGAGTTTCTTGACCCCAATCCAATCTGAAGGGTCAAATTCAGTGGTAGCCCAGCCTGGCTGCTCAAGTCTTGCGTCATAATTTTCACCATCATAGATCTCAGACGTGAGGATCGCTCCTATCCCAGATTGCCAGCTCAAATCGGTAGACACAGTCTGCTTCGTCCCGTCGGCGCTCTTGATGACCAGCAATGCCATCGCACCAAGCGTATCTCCCCAGATATTTCTATCGCCCCCATTCCATCCCAGGCGCGAAGAGTACCAACCCTCGCCAACTTGGATGCCAATCGCGTTCGTCCCAGTGTCAAGGAGATGAGTGACATCGTAGGTATCATACACAAGCCGATGATCATATGACTGCCAGCCTGGAGCCAGGACTGCGTTGCCAACCCTTTTGCCGTTGATGTACGCCTCGTACAAGCCGTAGGAAGTGATGTAAAGCCGCACGGATCCGATACCTTCCTCAACAGGGAACTCCTTTCGGAGCAGTACCGGCTGATGAGGGGCATCCTTTTCCGTCTCCTTGTCGGCGGCTATCATCATGGCTCCTTCCCACACCTCCTCGTTTAGCAGGCCGGTTTCTACGGTGAAAGCATCGGACCAATCTGTAGGCGGTGAATCGCCCGCGCCATACGCCCGGATCCTGATAGTGGCTGCTTCGGCAGATGCTAGAGAGACGGTCGGCCAAGGCACAAGAACCGAGTCGGATGAGTTGAAGTCGAATAGCTCTGGCTCGGCTTTTGCGCCCCGGGATACCTCGATGCTATACCCGCTCTGGGTCCAGTTGGGCGCATTACCGTCAAATCGCCATGAGATTCGAGGCTCGGTCTCCCCTATTCCCAGGGCGCTAGCATGGTGTTCGAACGAGACGTGAGAGACTGATACTGCCATTGCAGGTTCAGGTGGCTCAGATTCGGGTGTCTGGATCTGGTCTGCGGTCCTGCTGAATACAGAACCACTACCGCCATTTTCTTCCTTGCGAGTCATGGTATAAACCACGACCATTTATTCAGGCTAGTGATCTCACAGACTTTCCCTTTTTCATTTTTCTCAGGGTTGGTCGGTCAGGAAAACACCGAACGAAATGATGGACCCTATGCAGATCACGACCCCGTCGTCAAATCAGCACTTAGGGTGGGTGTATGTTGCCGGTCGCGATCCTCTCAAGCCTGTTGATTTTGCAAGGCACCCATCTAGTTGCGGGGGAGCAGCATCGAGGGTCCGTCTAGTAGTGCATATGACGTTCACAATGCCGACTCCCTTCTTGTTTTCTTCAAAGAGCAACGAAATCGTACTGCCGAGGGATCTAGAGTGCTGCAACCCCCGCAAATGTATGCAAGTTCCCCAAACCCGACCTCCATCTTCACTCCAGTTCTTTCAGGACGAAATATCACCAAGAGGATGTCGTTCTCCGCATGCCAAGGCCCGCATGCCGATGTCCGGGGCAGGTATTCGGGTCACGATGAGAACTGGAGCCAATGAGGAAGGGTCAGACTAATGTATGGCCGGAAGTGGAGTTTATCACTGGTTTTCGGGATTTCCGAGGTGCTGGGTATGGATGCTGTGTCACATTGGCGGCAGTCAATGCGGCTGGTGTTGTCGGGACTCTGGATTAGGAGGGGCAGAACAGAAAGGATTCAAAAGGCACATATATGAACTGGGTGAAGATTCAGAATCAATAATTTTAAGGATCTGTATAGTGATTCCGAGATCTGACAAATTCGGGGACGTATGGGGAGGCTATGGCGGTTTTCGAAATTTCCCAACTCGGGAGGTCAGGATTGGATCAAACTAGGATAGATGAGCCCTTCAGCGCAAATATTTTGGAGTAATTTACTCTCGCAATTCTCACAGCTCAGTCACGTTAACAAAGTATCTCTCTACCATAGGATGAAATCACTGACTCATGACGAGAGTCGTATAGAGGTGCGAGTCACTATTTGATCGATATCCCGGGAAGGAAGATGGGGTGGTGGTGAGCCTCACCATCTGAGGAGGACTTGAATCATCGGCAGAATAGCCTTATTGAGTAAACTTTCCTATCACTCAGATGAAGCTAACGTGCCTGTAGTAGAGCCTTGAAACGGAAATATTCCCTGCAAGACTGACGTTCGAAGTCAGTAGTCGAGCAGCCAGGTGCTCTTTTAGGCTCGTTAAAGGCTGCGAATGAGCTGATGTATACATGCCATGGCGTTTAAATGAATGGATTGCATCTATGACAGTCAGTCGCTTGTTTAGTGAGTCTTATTCTCAGGAGAATTATCAACACGGACACGGTGTCAATAGGAGACCAAGGAGAACCCTTTCCTGGGGAATACTCGTCAGGAACTATATTGTCAACAACATATTTCACTGGGAATGATCAGGGTCTCAAATTTGATGCAGATACTTTGATTCTGATATTTATCATAGTAGTCAAAATAATAATAATCGAAGGCTATCTCGCTATACCATCCGGTATAGCTCTTTCTATACAATCTATAAATACAAACCCCACTCCATCTATCCATGCAGTCTTGATATCAGCCATTGTTCCTCCTCGAGAATATCTAGCTGAAAAACTCAAAATCATCCCCATTTCGCTCTGGCATGCTCCCTTCATCGCTTTCATGAGATAGCCTCGTCATTGTGTTCAAGTAGATCCCACTCTAGCGTAATCTCTTTTTGTGCTTCTCCGCGCGAAGCTGGAAGTCGCCTTTCTCGAACTCCTCCTCTCTGACTCTCTTCCTAGTCTTTTCCGTAGCACTCATCTCCTTCCTCTTCTTCTTCTTCTTCTTCTTAACATTGTAAATATGCTTCCGGCACTGCGCGGCGCTCCAGCGCTTCTCAGGATTGGTTCTCAACATGCCCTTTAATAACCCGGCGACATCTTCCCACTCAGAATCTGATTCGAACCGGCGCAGTAATATGTTGGCTTGGCGAATGCATTCCTTGGGCGCTTGATAATAGTATGAAAAGTCCCAAGCAAGATCTGCGAGTGTTATGCCTAGCATCCAGATGTCAACTTTGGTGTGCGACGATTCGCCGATTTCTGAATCGGTGGGTGCGGCTGATGCGAGACCAAAGTCTGTAAGTTTGAAGGAAGGAGTAGTCTTGGTCCTGGTACTGGCGCTGGTGTTGAAGGGAGAGGTGGATGAAGAATAGGAGAGCAAAATGTTGGCGGGTTTGATGTCGTAGTGTGCCACGTTGAAGTTCGAGTGTATGTAATCCAGAGCGTCGCACATCTGTTTTGCCAGGGTCCAGACATCCGATGCGGGCCATTGGGCAGGCGCATGATGCTTCAGGATATCTCCTCCAGGGCAATACTCCAGTACGAGTGCGACTTCCTTGCTGCAGAAGTCGATACAGTCGACGATGTGCTCCTATTGATGTGTGGTCAGCTTGAAGACTTAGGGGTTAGAGACAACAATTGGGACAGAACTGGTGACTTCACTTACGTGATGTACCCTCTTCAAGATCTTCCACTCAGTACGGACTTCATCCAAACTAGAGACGCCAGGATTGTGAAACTTGACCGCGACGACCTGCGATCCGCGCTGGTTGACACCACGATGAACAGTGCCGAAGGAGCCACTTCCAAGACGCGTTCGTGCGTGCTTCAGGACCAGATAGTCACCGCTGACGCCCTCCGGTTGTTGGGGAATAGAGTGGACCATATCTTGATTGCTCTGCGTCGTAAGTTTGGTGATTTCCAGTCGCAGCTGCCTCTGGAAGAGTTTGTGATACTTCTCAAGTAGGACGTTCTTCTCGTCCTTTTTCATCAAGGTGGTGACGACGACGTAAGTTCCAATTCCGGTCTGCAGGGCCACGGTTAGGAGCTCGACTGTTCCGTCGTGGCAGTTGATAGCGCGGCCCGATGCCGCAAGGGTCCTGGTGTTGCTGAAAGGTTCGTAGAAGAGAGTAAAAAAGGTGCCAAGCTGGTCGACCTTCAGGCGAAAGGTCTTGCCGTTCTCGTCGCTGTTGTTGGTACCAGGCAGGAGGATGTCACCGTCTGCTCTCTGACATCCTGCGGGTCGGAAGGTGATTGTTCTGTACTCGGCTTCCTTAATCAGTGGGAGCCCCAAATCATGCCCCAGGCTACCACGCTTTCGTGAACAAGGCAATCGCCGCTTCTGCCCGGATGGGTCGTACTCGATATGCTCGTCCCACTCGAGCCATACGCCGTTGTGCCATACTCTGACCTGGATAGCGTCCCTGGGCGCCATGATGGAAGTGAGGGCCCTGATTTATCGACGGTATTGCAAGTGAAATGGTAGGATCAATGCTTAGCGATTGAGGGAAAGTTAGTAGGTACGTCAAGATTCGTGACTGCGCGAGGCTTGAGGGTTGGCGACGATGGGTGGTCGCGGCAAGATTATTAGTCGGCAGAAGACCACTAATTGTGCGGGCCTTTATTCCTGTGCAGATTTTGTTGTTTTCTCGCAGCGCGATGGTTGCGTGAATCCCGATGGTGAGGTCGAGGTGATGTCGAGTGGTGGAGCTCTGGGCTGGAGGAAAAGGGGGTTGGTGAGATCAGGCAAAGGTGTAGCGTTGAACCGCTGAAAGGTAGCAAAATAATTGGCGATGCCTCGTAAATTAATCTTTGTGATTTTTAATTTACTCAGATTTCAGAATCGCGGAAGTGTCAGGTTTCATACCATGGTTCGTGACAGCCTCTTTGGTTCTCCAGATACGAAGGCGCGTCTTTACCTGTCAGGGCAGCGGCCCAATAGACCGCGGAAAAGTTTAAGGCTATCTATTGAATAATAATCTATCTCATGGAACATGAACAAAAGGAATACCTCTCCATGCTTTCCAAATCCGGGAAAGGCTTGTCTAGGGAAACCAGTGGTGCCGCCACTATCGTGAACTTGGTGAGGTGGACGGATGTACAAGGCAAAGCCTCAGCGAAAATTTTTATTGCCTTCCATCTCATTAAATATCAGGTGAACAGGGGTGACCTGTAGAAAGATAGCCTGAGTTGACGAACGAAGAATTGGATTTTGTCTCAGGCAATAATAGTCTCGATGTATGTCGAAGGCCCCTTGCCTTATTTAGGGGGCTTGTGACTTGAGTCTGAGGGGGTATGTACGATACGATTTGATATTTTGAGACCTAAATGAAATGAATGATGGCCGTTTCCAGCTCTTAAATAGTTCAGAGCACATACTAATGATGAACTGCCGAGAATATGGATATGCACTCACTTGTCGATTTTAGACCGAGGGCCAAATCTGGTGGCATTGTCGATGTGCCCTTTGATGCCACTGCCATAATCTTAGACACATCTCATAGCTACTTTCTGCTTGAGAATATCAAGATCAAAGGTTTATTCGTCGCCGGATTTTCACTGCTGTTTGAATTATGTGTTTTCTTTCCTAAAGTAATTTCCAGGTAAATCTTGGACTCTACTATTATCCTGAAGTTCGTAGACTGTTTGACCTCCTCTTTCATTATAGCTCAGGTCTGCGGTTATAGCAGCCTCTTGATGGGCCCCATGTGCCTGTTACTGGGTTAAAGGTCAAAGGCTGAACGCTTTATTTGTTTCCAACTTGAGGCGGTGGTGTATCTCCTGGTGCTTGTGGTCATGATTCTGGTTTTACGTAGTCTCTGAAGCTGATACCAGTCACTTTCCCCTTTTGCACCCTATTTAGCCCAGAGTTCAATAGCCACATCAGAATCTGATCCTCATGATTCTCCATTCCACCAAAGATATTGTGAACCTTTTCCTTATCACGAAGTCCATGGCCATGTTTCTGCCTTCGGAGGTGTAGTTTGACTCGCAGATACCCCAGTCCTTCCAGTGAAAGTGGTCGTTGGATAGGAATCAACGGAGCACGAAATAACTTAAAGTTGATACTGGCAATATCGAGGTCATTTGTGTCTCCTTTATTACGCCTGATTTTGCAGTGACGTGACGAAGTCACGCTCAAGTACACATAATTGACCCTTAGATAACTGAGCGTGAAGTTCTGCCAATGCCTTACTCAATGCGATGATTGAGATCAACTCGCAATACTCTAGTGACAAACACGTTGAATTCATGACCCTGTTGGGGTTCCGAATAGACAGCCGCGAACAAGTTCAGCCTAAATGAGTTTGAGCCGTAGATAGTAAGAAGCTTCTTCTACGTCACAGTATGTCCTTGTCAACCAGATATTCCAGAGAGACGCTGCGTATACATCGCCAGCAACTTGAATGGACGTTTTCTCCATGAACCAATCTGAACCATGTGGCAAGCTGAAGGGACAGAATGGACCATATCATGTTCAATCAGGAAAGTTTCCTCACCTATTCATATCCCATAAATTGCCAAGGTTCATCCGACATTCCGTGGTTGAGGAAAAAGAAAAGAAAAGAAACACCACAGAAATTAAGAATCTGCTCGTTGTCGCGGCCAGGCACATTGCTTACCTGGGAAGCACACGCGCTTAGGATACCCCCAAATAAACAGCATGTCACTATTGTTCAGCATTGACAAGCTCAAGCCGCCGCATATACGGCCAGTGAGAGCTAATTGCTGTTCCAAGCAGACCTAGTACTAAATAACCATGACCATCGCCTGGCAATGGGACTCAGCAAACCCAAGCCTCAGTGGCGTCCACGGGGAAGCTTTGCCATGGCTTTGTAGAAGACAGGTAGGCACTCATCTCGCCACGATGCCACGCAACGCAATGAGTTGATGAGAGAAAGACAGATAGATCGACCGCGTCCCTGCAGAAACAAGCGCAAAGACTACTGTAGATGCGATGTGCCCCTCACTGCACTTACGAGCGCATGCGTGCATACATACATACACATATATATATATATATATATATCCATACGCAAGCCCGTCATGCAACACGAGTCGAGACAATACAATCAGCCTCTAGCACCGCTTCGATCGAGCATCTGTCCTCGTACTGCAGGGGTACGACGTCCGCCTCGTCAGGCGCAAGTCAAGTGAACTCATAACTTCACTCCAGACCGCACGAGCGAAGCGATTCTCCCCGCCTAGGGTTCAGCCAAGCATGGAACCCCTGAACACGCTACCAAAGTAGTAGAGTTATACAAAGGCGGCCCCGAATCTGTACTTTAGTAGCAAAACCGAAAAACAATCCGCATAAAAACACGTGGACGCGACCCGTCCTGCAGGCCCGGAACCTTATCAAAGGCTGGCTGTGAAACCTGGCTGGCATTTTGTTCTTGAACAGCTTCGACGATGGGCAACTAATGCTCTCATTACGAGCATGGGGCGGAGCATCCACCCATTGACAAGATAAGCCACCAGGTACCTTTATCTCTCCGGCTTCGAAGCCGGCAGAAACTTGACAGTCAAGTGATCTCAAAGATTCTACGCTGTAGTGTAAATACGTGGAATTTGAGTTAGCTGGCTTTGTTTCCACTGGACCGAAGGACACCTATACAAGTGCATAGCATGCAAGTCCAGAGTTGAAGTCTTCAAGTGGCTTCAATTTCCTCGGCTCCATCTCTACACAGCTTGATTTGACCCGGAATCGAAATGACTTTGCGTTTTGAAGTCTTGCTGCCAGCAACAACCCGAACTGCTCTTATCTCTAGAGCGACAACCGGCCAATTATCGGACTTATTCATCAGCCAAGACATGTTGCTGATAGGATTTTGATAACACGAGAAGGCTCCGATAAGACTCCGATAAGACTCTACGTAGTGATAAGGTCTTGATGACATCATTCCGTCTGCTCCGGAATCCAGAGCGTTGAGTCCAGAGAAGTTCAAGCAATGCTAGGCACATTAGTTCACGAAGCATCAGAGGCACAAAGGTGAGTATCAAATGCTTGTTCATTTTGCATGTGCTAATTGTCATCGCTGACAAGCCTATCTATCTAGGAATTCAGTCCAATGCGGAAGTGGATTCTGGCCTATCTTCCGTCCCTTCCCTGTCCCGTTCAAGCCATCAATCGGGACAAAAGCCATCGTACACACTTATTCACTCTTCATCCTTCCCTGACCCAGACGTGTTTCATCCTTCCCTTTTTGATCCGAACCGCAAAAATCAAAGTAAGATTCCGATCGCTTGATGTGTGGTATGGCCAGCCCGAGCATTGGCCCCAGCCCCTCAACTCCTGTGAATGATGCTGCGGGTGATGTGAATCTGCAAATTCCTTGGTATCGGCAGATATGTTTTGCCACCTGTGTTCCCCTTCCTATAAACGCCATGGGCCATGCAAAATGCGAAGCAAAAGCAGAAAAAATAAAATCGCAGTAAGAAGAACTGGTAGGAAGACAAATCGACATCTGTCGCGCTGGTGGATAATGCCCATTGAACACTTGGAGTCCTCCAAAGGGGCGGATTTTTGTGATGTCCCGAGATGGCAGTGTGAGTTCAGGGATAGTAATGACCGGCGCCCGTCGGCCGACCACTGTAACCGGGCAAAAAGTCAGGAACGATTCCGGTTCGTACATTCCGGCGCCCAAGTGGTTGATAATGCATTTGGGCAGACCCTAAATGGTATTCGGAGAGGGGAATCGAGGGAGGGGGATAGTTGAGGGTATTAACAGGCCGCACCGGCTTGTACGGGCTATTTCGCTGCTGCAGGTACACGGAAGGCGAGTTCGAAATTGGCGTATGCGTGTTGAAAGGTTCCGTTAGAGGCGACGAGCCGTATACAGTCAAGCCGCTTGGACTTTGTCGCTTAGTAGGCGTACCGAAACTGGACGGTGCTGTGTAAGATGGAGTTTGGGGACCGCAAGTGGCGAGGACTGCCATCTGTGGTGCCCAGGTTGTCGCATTCTGATACGCCGAGGTCATGGCTCGAATACCTGACCCAATTGGAGGCAAGGATACCGATGCAGGAACTTGGCCCTGAGTATGGCTCGATGGTGGTGGGTAAGCGCCAGCTTGCGACGTGGCGGCCTGGCCGATATCCAAAGTGAGCTGAGGAATGGGCAGCCGCACCGACTCGGCAGGCTGCCGGCCTGTGGCAGATAAAGTAGCAGCAACTTGGCGATTAATGCGTTTTGGTGCAGGTTCAACAAGCTCTGGACGTTCCAAGCTCCTCTTCCTATGTCCACCGAGTCCAAGATTAGGTTTGGCGGCCAGTGGGGACACCGAGGGGGTCGGCTGATACTGTCCGTGCCAGTTCTGATGCCCGTTGTATGTCACGGTATTAGGTGAGTATACCGTGAGTGACGATGATGTTCCTTGCAAGGCAGCAGGCAAAATGCCGGTCGGCGATGGAATAGGTGAGCTGAATCGATGGGTAGGTGACATATTGAGAGGTGCCATGGGAGCCTGTCGGCGTCGCAGCTCGGCTTGCTCGCTCATCTCGGCCCTCTCGCAGTACTCGTGGAAACACGACAGCTTTTGCAGCCACTCAGCCCATTGTTCCTTGGACGTCAACAGCCCGTATCGCATGTTGCTCAGGAACTCAACTTCCATAACATGGATCTCCTTCACGGCAATACCAGACACTTCGGCCCAGGTCTTGTTGGTGTAGGTATTGTCATCGAGGACTGCGAAGTTGGTTGGTTTCAATTCAATGGAGTCAAGAGGGGCGGGAGACAGGTGCTTGCTAACTCACATTTGTTGCCCAGCATCAAGGCCACCGTCAAAAGTCTGTACTCACTGCCGGGGCTACCATTGACCTTGGGATTCGTGCACTTTAACCGGTAGACGAAAAGCAGGGCCAAAAGTACGACGTTCTGCGTGACTTGAGTAGTTGTGAGAATACTGTTAACCCACTTCTTGTAGTCCGCACATGGCCGAGTGTGCTTCGCCAGGGGAGGGATTGTCAAGTTTGCTTGTCGAACCTTGATCTGTTCCGCTGCTTGAATCGTTTCGATGTTCTCAAACCAGAAGAAGCAGGTCATCTAATATATGTCAGTCGGGATATTCGAGTGAGCGGACGAGGTGACGGCAGCAATTATCCCACACATCCTTCGTCTCCAGGATCTTTTGAGGAACTCTCTAAAGCACCGGTTCATCCGACTGAGGTGAGAAGGTATTTGGTGGAATAATTGTAGCCATTGCCAGTGAGGAGGCGGCGCAGAAGGCAACTTACCAAGGCAGCAAAGTCATCCAGATTACCACCATTGGGACTTATACAGCTGGGGAGCTGTAGACTGTGCATGACCATGGTCGAGTCCCTCCTTGAGACTGTTCCTCCTTCCGAGTGTACGTGCGATGTTGCGGTCGACGAGGGCGTCGATGGTCGAGTCGAGTGTCGGGAAGAAGCCGAGTGCGGGTGGGGATTGGCCACTATTGTGGATGCATAGTAAATCTGCTGCGCTGAGGGTGGTTGAGATTGAAGCTGAGGTTGGTGCTGGAATTGATGTTGCTGGTGTTGCGGTGGATTCCTTGGGTTCAGGACGGCCTCACAAGGCGCTCCCCCCGTCCGACTTTGTGGTTGTCTCCCAAGGCTGTTGTAGGTTGACGCAAGCACATGGTTGGCATGATGGTACGCCGTACTCATGCTGTCCTCTGCCGGCGGCGTTCGAAGCCCGCCCGTGTGAAGGGCAGCTTCGTCAGCCAGAGAGGCTTCTTGCACCTTCTGCAGACTTAAGGGTGGAGGGGCACCTCTTCGTGACTGATGCAATAAGGAATGTGCCGGAGATGGGAGGTGCGGATGTAGAGCCGAGCGGACGGTCGAGACTGCCGAAGACATTGGGGGTAATTATTAGAATTCGGAGGGTGATCGTGCAAATTGTGAGAGAGGAAGGCGGGTTAGGGACGGCAGATGGCAAGGCTGTTCCTGTTGTTCGAGATTGTTGGGTAGTGAAGGATGTGTGACCGAAGCGAAGGTGCGAGGTGAAGTCGTCTCCGAAATCTTCTCCATTCGCTAGCAACCGTTCTTCACTTGCTTCCAACCAACTTCAGCTTCCCGCGGCGTGGGTATTATAGTTGCAAGACTGCAGAGTCCTTTCTCGTCAAACATTCATATGTGAGCCATGTCGTGTGGAACCAAACTCTTGGGCGTTGGTTGAGGAACTCAGTTCAGACGTTGCTGGTGATATATCGCGGCGGCCGGTGGTTGAGTTGCAGCTGCACGTTTCGAGATGCCAACACAAGACACAGTGGGAAACAAGAATGGAAGCTCGGCTCCCTTCCACGTTCAAACTGTTCAATATTGGTAATCCAAAGCCGGTGTATCAAGTTTCTGTCGTCCCTGGAATTGCTGGGACAGCAACCAGAATCAATTGGGACTTGGGCGTCCATCGAGTAATATACGATCATTACGCTATGTAGGTTCAAGGTACCGGCCAAATTGAGAATGGTGGTTGACGGTGTCTGATGCGGCGTTATGGGCTTTGGCCAGTACGGAGGTACAATGCATGGACAGGCATGGGAAGAAAGGACCCCAAAAAAAAGGGGGTGTGGCCAGCAAGCCCGAAGGGAGAGGGGTGCGTGACGGAAAATAAGTGTGGAGCAGGGTTACCGGCTGGCCTCAGAATTGTGAATGTGAAAGCCCCAAAAAAATTGCACACGCAGCCCACGCACCACGAAACCGCGCACCCACGGTGGTGGCATGGCACCTTGCGCATGCTTTTCGTTTCCGTGGCAGAAGAAAATGGGTGTGGTCCTGAAGCTAAAGAGTGGGCCGGGGTGAGACTAACCGTTTCGTGGTGACTACAATGTACCCTGTGAACTAACACACTCACAAGTACTCGGCTGGGTTGGCCAGTCTTTGCTTTGCAGCTAGGTTCTTTAGTTGGCTGGTCAGGGAGAGTGAAAATGGCAACATGGGGTACGAATACTAGACTTTGTACACCACTGCGGCGTTGATGGATGCTCTCGTGGGCCATGGATGGATGGATGATGATGATGCTAATGGATCACCGCTTGCCTAATGTGGTGCCGTGGTAGCCATTGCGGAATTGATAGTTTGGCGGTCCTTGAATGATGAATGCACACGAACGAATGGACACGCTCACTCATCCGCAAGCAGCAGCAACAACATCAGGCAGGAACGAAAGGAAGAAGGCAACCAGCCACCAGGCATTGGTAGGATGCATCGGACGGACGACGCGGATGGGCGCACTGCACTGGGGGAATGATGTGGTTGGCCAGTCATTTTTGGTGCAGCCGTCGGCGGTTTGAGTAGATCGTCTTCGTAGTCTCCCTGCCGTCCGTCGTTAAATGGTTGAGGTTGCGTGCGGTTGCGTGACGGAGGAGCAACAACCACTTTGGTTGCTTTGGGTGCTTGTGACGCACCGCAGTACGTCCTTCCTTTGATTACTCGCTTAACCCCTTCAGAGACGTACTGGGCTATTTATTCCGTCATGTTATCGATATGCTGGGCTGGCGCAGCAGTCAAACCCAACTCGTCAAGCTAAACTAGAAAAGCGCCCCTACCTCACTACCTAATCCCTAGTCCGTTATTTGTCCTCTCTCTCTCTCTGAATCTCGCTCTCTTTCTCTCTCACAGCCAAAAATCTTGAATGCCACCAAGCAGCAAGGCCCAGGCACTGCTGGTGGTGGTGGTGGTGTTGCGTCGCCTGAGCACCACTGTGCCATTGTAACTGTGGAGCACGTGAGGGTATTAGAGGCCTGGTCCATCATCCATCTTTGGTTTGTGGCTCAGAGCTCCTATGGATACACTACACCTCAGCTGGGCAGTATGGTCCGCGGTTCAACTTATTATTTTAAAAATGGTGGCTACTATGTAGACAAGTGGCCCTAGACTCAAATGCTGCCGCACACAGTTTGAGCAAGATGATGCACGTGTCCCACAGTTGGTCAAGTTTTGGAGTGGGGACGTACGCACCGATCGGCTTTTTCGCTGCTGCGGAAAGCCTTCAAGCAGCAGCCTGCGTCTGGAACCTGGAGAACTGGGCAGAAACTTTCATCGTCAGATACCTCCTTCAATCCAATGCCCCTCAGGCAAAACGCAAAAAACTTGGCCTGAAAGCCGATCGGGGGGTTTTCACGCCCGCTTTAGGGGAACATACGACATTGGACAATTTTAACATAACATCGTAAAGGGAAAATTGAAGGAGACTTGAACGGACCTAGCTGCAAATAGAGTAGTCTGAGGCCAATGATTCATTCCGACTATCTCAGAGACCGTCCAATCTTGGAAACACCAAGCCGTCTGGGACCAAATGCCAGATATACAGTACGTCCTTGAGTAATTATTGCCTATATTACGTGAAAACGGCAAATGAAAGGATACACATCGGGATTCCATTTCTCACATTGTCGGCGGGAGAATACAGGGTGTTTCGGACATAGAAACCGTTTCGGCTCACAAATTGGGTGGGCAGAAGATTCAATAGCTTCGGAGTCACTATCTATATCTTTATAAGATGTGCTGAAGTGCCAGAGGAACGGAGATGAATGTCATTGTCGAGATTTGATCAGCAACAGAGAAGCAAGCTATCGTGTTATCAAAGCCAGACGCAGTCAGTCTTCTAAGGAAAACACTTTCTCACTCAAATTTTCAGGTCGGACCATGGTCTGAACCTCCGACAGTGTGAATGTAGTAAAAGCCGTAATGGAGACTTCGTGTCATAGACATTCATGTCGGAACTAAGACCAGAAAGGCAAGCCTAGAGAAACATCTCAGGTTTTCTATTGGAAGATGGCGTTTGGTTCCAGTGCCTCGGAAATAACGTAAAGGGCAAAATTACAGTCCTGTATCCAGATCCATACTGTGGGCGATCGATCCCATCTGACAACCTAGATATTAAGAGGTGAATGGAAAAAGTACTCAAGTACTCAAGTAGAACCCTAACGATAGATAAGACTGGGCAGTGGGCAGGATGCCAGCACTGGCGCATGTATCGGGCAGGGCGTACGACGGCGATACGCGAAGTGCGAGAGACGGGGCATCCCCCATAGCGGCGTTTCTTTGAACGGGATTCAATCATATTCAGTCATTCGACATCCCATCCCTAATGCCAAGCTTGAGACAACGCTGCCTGTGTGTGAAGAGGGCCCTGTGCCTCCTGGATTCCTACATGTTACAAGCACATGCACGCACTCAAGGTCAATTATTGATACATGTAATATGACAGATGCAGCGCCAGCGCCGGAAGGAGGAGTTACATATTTGTGTCTATTTGGTTGTAGGGTGTTATCATAGCTTGGGGGAATGCGAATCATGCGATAGGGCTATTTTAAAAAAAATTTTATAAAAAAAAAGGTTTGGGGATCAGGTGGCCGAACACCACAGTTGGCGGAAGGAAAAGCCGGATCCAGGCTTCGCTGGCCTGCTCCAAGCACTCGCTTGGATATGTAACTAAATGTTTGCCCTTTGATAGTCCTCCTGATGTGACCAACCAAACCGGGGCATGTCGATGGAAGCTGAATCTCGAAATGCACCGATGCCAAGCCTCGCTCTTCCACGGCCCTATGAAACCGCCCCGTCAACCAGGTATTTTGTTGGAAAAATGGCAAGTGTTGTCTGTTTAGCCCCGGCCCATGTGTGTCAAACACCCCGCTCGTAAGTGCTGATCGTCGAATGAGGTACGAATGCCCGTATCAATATGTCGGTGCATATGTGTGCAACGGCGCAAGGTAACGAGGCGCAGGTTGTCAGGTACATCCGGGCAACCTTGGCATACAAGGCTGCGGAGTTCAATAGTCATGCTTGCTCGGCTGACGATCTTATTCAACGCCGTCTCTTGAGTAAATTTCCAAGCCCAGTGTGTCACGACTGTACCCTAGAGCAGCACCTAGGTAATCAGGCTGACAAGACCTGGATCCAATCAGGGTCTACAAGCTGAGATGACGAGCAGTATGTTGCTTCAGACCATCCAAAAGATGTTGTCAAGGCGGAAGCGACTACTCGTTTCCAAAGCACCTGGACCGGGACGGCTGAATCACAAGGCGTTCATTCAGTCAGGCAGTCTGCTCTATCAAGAAACCACAAGAAACGAGGAGTGTCACAAATGCCAGTCGGTCACAAGCAACAGCTCCGTGTTCCTGCCCAGACACATGCACAAACATCTGCGGAGGGGGGCCATTATGTCGTGACATAACCACCAACGTCTATTATCGAAGCATAGTTGACCAGATTTCTGCCTGCCGCTACGAGGAAGTCTCGCGATGGTACTGCAAATGAAACAACTTAATGCTGGAGATTGTCGTCTTACCGCCTAAAGCGGCTCAATATGTTACCGATGTTGAATGCGCAAGAAGGCTAGGTGCCCATCCAATCAAGTTGGGTTGAGAATAGAACACTCTTTCAAGGGGCGCCCTGGCTCTTGGGACACCGTACCGCACCGTGTCATTATGCGGCTTACAGGCCACCGCCTCCAGACGATAATAGACAAGTACCTGTTTAGTCTCGAGAGGACTTTCTTACTGCGGCCCCCCATTGCGATGATCCATGTTAGGAGTGGCAAAAGTCGTCGAAATTGACAACTGGATATTTCCCTATCTTCCCATGACGTGATATGCATTCGGTGTCTGTGTTTTTGCTGCTGATTGTGATGAGGCGGCGCGTCGAAAGTGGCAGCACTTCCCTGACTAACCATTCTGTGCCGCGGGTACTTTCAAGCAAGCCCGGCGAATCGTAGCACGACCTGCCGATAGCTTCACCGAACTTTGCGTTTCGCGAGGCGGTAACAGCAACTCCTCATCACGATGCCTCACGGTCCGAAGGTTCTCCGCCCCGATGGTTGCAAGAGGTTGTCTGTGCCTCGACTCATGTATGGGGGGCCCGGGTGGACCAGGTTGCGGAGGGATGGCTGGAATAGATTATGAGTGAGCCGGCCAGCAAGACGTATCACTGTATTATTTGCGGTGATCGCCCAATTTGACGCGCTTTATCAGCTGTGTAACTCCGCCTGTGGGTGTCACTGGGCTGTCGTCCCCTTTCCAGGTTGTGTGTTAGCCCCAGAGACATAATTTGTCAGCACAGGATCCAAGGAGAGGTCGGCCGGATATCGATGCTTCTTGCGTAACAGAGCAGGCAGGCCACAGGCAGACCAGAACCCAGTGTGGAAGACCGACCGATCGGTTGGTCCAATAAACTGCACGCTAACCAACCGCTGACACTCGTAGTGTCCTCCCGCCTACAAGCTGAACGCTATTGGTCCAAGACCCCTAAGACACGGTGTGCTGGAAGGGTCGCTATACGGTTCCGGTTTGGGATGTGGTTGAATCATGCGGTGCAGCGAATGCCGCAGAAAAGAAACAGGACAGGCAAGCGGCAGCTCGCACTGTCCCACCTACAGTGAGTGGTCTAGAATAAGTGCCATCCTTGTCCGCCATGTTTCTGCGTTTAGGTTTCCATCTTCAGCCGATACATACACTCCCTCGTTTGGCGCGGACCACTCAAGCCACATGGACACCTGGGAGCACCGACAGTGGGAGACACGCAGCAAGGATGGTTTGAAGAATGAAACCAACTCACGATCATCATTGCTGGGAACATTGCACGTGGATAGACCTAAGGGAATGCCGGCTGTTCTGTTGGAGATTAAGGCTGTGGACTGAGGTTAGCAGGGTGGCATGCCTGCGTTGGAGCAGAGTATTATGGAGGATCATGATTGAGGATCCTAGATAGACGGCAGGTCAGTTTGACGGTGAACATTGAACAGGGTAATGACTATTTTTCGACTTGTAAAAAGTTGCCAGCGAAGGGATTTGTGGCGCCCGGAGGGTTGCTGGGCTTGGACCGGCCGGTAATGGCGGGGAAGGAGCGCCGGAGAGGGGCGCATGCTCCTTGTTCAATTGGGATTTATGACGGCGTTGAGAAAGCTTTGTAACTTCACACTGATGAGAGTTGGGTTTTCACAACTCCAACGCATTCAGCACTATTTTGTTTTACCCAGGCTGCCCTTGTCCTCCACCAGTCAAGGTTTTGAAGGTTTTTGTCACCATCAGAAGGCAACTTGTACCTCAATGGTGGATCGTTCATCTGACGGCTCATGAGTGTCATGTCCTGGCGAAGGCAGATTTATTCGTGCGGAGCTTGCCAATGGTCATCGTGTTGGGAAATGGTCTAGTTTTCTCACCCTCACTAGCCTTGTTTGTTGCACATCAATCAGATGGATCAAATACTACTACATGTGAAGTAATGTTCATTGGCTCAAGAACAACCCAGCGTCAAACTCGATGTTTCGTGTCTCATTCTTCTTTCCCCGGCTGTCTCCTCCGCAGTTGGTAACAATGGACTTCGAACGTAGTTGGTTCCTTGAACTGCGGCTGGGCGATGTCTCAGTGCCTAGGAGGTGATCTTACATCCAGTCAATCAATCTGAGCAAATGGGGCGTTTCGAAGGCTCGACGGCCGTGCTTTTCAGGTCTACTTTAAATCTTGCATGAATATCCCGACTCACGCATCGCGTATTTGCGAGTTTCCCCCTCATCACTAGCCGTCTTGCCGTCATCTATTCCAACCTGATTACCCCTCAACGTGCTGTCAATCGGCCATTCTAGGACCCGAAAATTGCGCAGGGTTCTGTGATGTTGCCAGCTCGCGCAGCACTAGGCAGTAATGACTGCGAAGGAGTTGGGGGTTCCAGTTTTGCCAATCACCATCCAACAACAACGTGAAGGTTTCCAGGTCATTCATCCGTAAGACCACGCTATCAGCTGTAGCACCTGTAGCTGAACAAGCGGACAAGACGCCCCTTTGTCGACTAATATTAAGCAAGATGCATTCCACTCAGCAGCAGAGTCCACCACTTGAAAACTTCTTGGCCAAGATCGATACAAAGTATCCACGACAAGAACCTTACCAACGGCCCTTCTACTTGAGGTCCACCAGGTCCGAAGTTTTTCAACCCGCTTCGGTGTCAGTCGAGTCAATTCCGGCGTCTGCAGCTATCAACCCTACAAATTGTTATACCCGCCGGACAGATGTTTTGTCCATCCCATCAAGCGCTGCAGGATCTGCCATAACCCTGTCCACCGGGATGCAATCACGATGACAGGGTTTTGTTTCTTGTTAAAGAAATCTTGTTAAAGAAAATGTAAAAGGTCGAGCCACTTGTCTTAACGGACGCATCTGGAACACGAAGCATTACGGCCAGTTTGCAAGGTTTGAATAGCAACAGAGACAGGGAGACAAACTTGGATCACGAAGCTGGGTAAAATCAAGCACCACTGGGCTGGTCCATAATCGGCGCATAGTGAGGCGCGCAGGGCAACCAAACGATGATCCCAGTCCCAACTAGACACAAATGAAGGAGTAGGTATTTTATCACTTTCAAGGTTGTGTCTTGTCACCACATATATTTCGCGTCAGCTCTAGCGTTGCATTCTTCACGACACGAATTGCTAATTTCGTACAAACTACAAGTCGACTTCTATGAGACCACGGCGGCATTACGGTAATCGGTGATCCACGACTCTGAAATCTATCAACACCATCATTATTCCGCCGAGCTTAATGATAGATGCACCAAATTCCTGCTCTCCCCCTAAACTTCATGCGAGATGTCACAAGGCTTGGCATGTTGGATGGTCTGCCGGCAAGGTATGTAACATCAACGACAAACGACTAGCGGCAGAACGCTTTGGAAGTTGGTGGGGTCGACACTGTATTTTCATAACTTGACGATGGGCAAAGTCTCACCAGATACCACCCCCGTCATCTCCACAGGCCTGTCATCGGCCGACGCCCGTACCGATCTGTAGCATAGCCTGCCTCTGTCTACGCAATTGCGCACTGCAGCAGGAACATTAGATCTAATAGTACACCACTGCAGGAGTCACGCCTAATGAAATTGGGCTGATTATTTCTCTCCAGCCCGTCAGGGAGACCTGTGGCCAAATCAGCCGCTTACCGAGACTGACGATCTTGCTGCGCACCCGATCATGATATCGAACTCTAGCCAGTGGGGCTTCGAGACTCGACAGCAGAGTTGGCGTCTGACGAACCTCTGGGCTTTAAGGCATTATCCACATGGCCAGCATCAACTCGAGCGCCCGACTGGTATGAGGATGTCTAGTTTTTGCTTCGGAGCATCCGCTATAAGGCTTCGTCGGCTTGTGAATTATCGTCATTTGACTGTAAGATATTATCATCACTCTGATTATCAAAGGTACGTCCCAATATGCGTATCACGATAATAATGAGGCATGTCCTTCTAGAAGTGGCACAAGCCCGTCAACGGAACCAATCACATATCTGGCATTCAACCAGGCTAGGAATTTCGCTGCGAAAGGCCTAACTCTGGTGGCTCTGTTCTCCATTTCAATTAGACTTACGCTCCGGAGTGAGCAGAGTGAAATCAGAAGGCACCCAGTTCATTGGCGGATGCCAGTCCCATGCGAAACTGCAGCAAAAAGCTCATGACCCGTTATCTCCAATTAGCACGGAGGCAGCGCGGCCAGGTTTGGCGACACTGTGTGCTCCCACGGCTCCATGGTCCCAGCTACACAGATCCCAGCGATGTGTTGTGTACTATGTAGCTGATACGTTTGCTTCTCGGATACCGTCGTATCCAGGAAGCGGAGGCCCGCTTACGCTCACCCAAATCTCCGTTCCTGCACACGCACAGTTTCGTATCCAACAAGGCTTTTGCTCTGCTCAACCGTAATAATGTCACAATATGCCGCTTGGTTTCGCCCTCCATTTGAACCCCGTCAACCCGTGTCGTCGTGTTGCGTGGATCCATGCAATACACATCTCGCTCGTTCCATCCCACCATATGGTGAGATCATTTCCAACAAGCACAAACGACGCGCGAGTATTGCCCCCTTTGGACTGTTTCCCCCCATCCCGAATTTTTTCTAGCGCCGATATCATCTCGACAAATGCAACGCTTTTAGGGGCCGCCTGATCCGCACTTACTCTGAATTCTCAGACCGACACACACACACACATACACACACACGCACACCAAACTTGACGCGAAAGCGATGCGAAAGCGATCTGCCGAGGGAACGGCAAAACTCAGAAGAGCAAAGTTCTCCAGGGAGAAACATAGGCGACGTGCGTTGAAACGACGCCAGCCCGACCCGACGACGTGCGGCATTGCTGTACACGCAAACCAAAAATACCTTTCTTACCTTAAGCCGAGCCTTGTAAACGTCTTTTCTCAAGCGCAAACCACAGATAGCTCCCTTCGATCTTTCCGGTCCCGCGCGTACGACGACCTGCCCTGCGCGAATTCCACGCATGCTACGAGCAAAGCCTCTGCGGCCATCTACTAACCAATCCCTAGACTAAGCGGCTGCAGCCATGAGGCAGATATTCAGCCGGCGCTGCGATGCGCTTCTAGTGCTTCAATCGCCGCATTGCGTTTCTTGACGGGCTGTGCGGCAACATTCATAACAACCACTTGCATCAGACAGACCGTCATCATTTGTGTTCCCATTGGTTTACCTTTGCCATGACTGTGCTTCTGCGCCGACCGCCATGTCTTGTCGCGATGGATACCCTCGTTGTTTCCTTCAACATCTGTATGTTTCTTCGCCTTTGACCGAATGTTCTTGTGTCGATGCGTCATATCTTGGCCGTGATCTGGCATTGCCAAGCTGCACTCCCCGACGCTCCTCAGTTTGCAATTCTAGCTCAATGTTGCATGGCTGCGCCGTCTTACGGTGGGTTAGAGTACTTAACAGCCGCTCGCATAAGAACAGGATGCGTTGCGGCAATTTCGTGATGTGAGTAAACTTGTCCACGGTCCAGAGAAGCGAGGGCGGCTTGGGAGGAATCGTAGTACACCTGAATACTTCCATTTCGGTTCGACTTATTCGCACTATTGCTCCGCGAGTCTGCAGCATGTCGCATGTAGAGCTCCTTCATATGATAGCGCTGCACTACGAACAGAACCGTCGTAGGATAACGAAAACTTGTTCGGTTCCCTCTGTGATATACTTGCCACTGGTTACGAGATTGACCACCGAATTGAGTCGAGACAGCGGTAAACGAGGAATGTGACCAGGTCGCGAGTCAACAACCCTCTATCTTCTGTGCATTATTTCGTACTAAAGCTGAGGGACCCATCACCGTCCGCGTCACTTCCAGCGAACAACCGCCACCGCATCGCTTCCGGCCGGCGAAAGTTGAATATTCTTAATTCTCTTAATTCTTCTCATATTGATCCGCAGATGAGAGTAACCCCAATACCACATACGGCCCCGCTACGTATTCGGGTGGCGGTCCCTGAAAGGAAATGCTCTGTGACGTGGAAATATTCAATAGAAAATACGATGAGGTGGTACAAAAGACAGAAAATTTAAATAAATAAATGAACGACAATACCACCATCCACCAGATATAGGTGGTTTGGGTGGTCACTCAAAAAATAGTAACTCTAGCATCTCCTCGTTTCGATCAAGGGTCCTCCGGGTTATGAGCCCGGCCTGTATTAACGTTAGTACAACATATTTTACCAAGTTGAATTTATGCTATGCTTACGCGCTTCCGCTGCGCCAAGATGCTTTGACTTGATTGGTTGAAGATAACCGGACTTGCAATATTTTATGAATGGAGTGGCTAACAGGACTGACTGTCACGAGAATCTTCGTGTGCGAATTGAGTGAGTTAACCAACAGCCACCCCCATACTCCAGCTCAACCACAAGAAGGAATCCGTATATGACATTGGGAAAGATGGCCAGTTCTACTGTTGAGCTTCCGACATTTTTATTTGTATGATGCCGACGTATCGCTTGGCAGTTCAACTCGAAGATTTGCCCCTTTTGCGAGTCTGTCCAGCTCCAACCGACTTGCTCAGCTAGTTACTTATAGCGCTGCACACAGACGAAGGGTGCTCTTTTATCAAATGCCCTTCTCATATCATGGCTTGTTGGTTGGAGCATGGGCTTTGGTATGTGAGTACCTCTTCCAAACATGTTAGTCCTATTGGGAGGACTGCCAAATAACCAACGATCATATATGAGTTGGCGCGGTCCCATAGTCCCTTGTTTGGCAACTTTTCATTGTCAACTTGGTATAATTTCTTGGGAAAATTGGGGTTATAGTCGTGGTAAAGAGATGCAACTGCTGTAAAAGCCTGGGTCAAGCTGTATCCCTTTTCACACTTGCTAAATCACCTTCTGGCGATCAATGCGTGTTGAGCATCCCGAACCTTGATCAATGGCCAAACATTTGGAAGACAGTATTAAGGATATATTTGAAGAGGTCGGATGGTTTTGTGAATTCTCAGAGAGGGAGGAAGAATACCTTGTTGATCACGTTCGTTGAACTTTTGAAGTCTAGTCTGATCTTCACATTTAACACAATATGCCTCAAGTGTAATAATATCTGGCGTCCTATTCTGAGGTTATTCAGCTCTTATGTAGTCGAGTATAGAAAATTGTGTATTATCATAGTTTTTCCACGTTCGCCAGGCAGTGAAAGACAGGACGAAGCAAGATGTCGTGGGCTTCGTCTCAGCCACGGTGACCATATACGTAGTTGCAGTATAAAAGAAAACAACGGGTAGCACGGTGTAGATGCAAGCAGTGATAAAGGAGTCAAATTCCGTTTCGCCTGATTAATGTCAAATCCTGAAGTCTGCTTCTTTCCGATTCCGACTACGAACCCTTGCCTGTTATGGATTCCCAAGGTATTAACTTCAGCCCCTTCGCCGAGGTTTCACATCTTACTGATATATGTCCTCTAATGTGGTCCCAAACCAGGCATCGATACGAATTCGACACGAATCCGAACCAACATGTATTGTCATCTTTGTCACCTACCCCTTTTCCCAAGTATCACAGCTCATCAACTGACCTAGCCAAGGCGAAAAACATACAAGGGCTCACTGTTCGCTATCTCCTAGGGGTAGTTACTATATCACGTATGAATGAAATGCAAACAAAGAACACAACCGGTGATACAGATGGTTATATCGCGGGAACATTAACCTTACCTACACATAAAGTGCAAGCCGTCCCCAGTAGCTACATGAACAATTCAACATTAAACCGGAACAAGTCTTCCCATAAAGCGAATCGACAGCGCGATCAAGGCGCAAGGATTGGGTCATTCTGCAGTTCAAAGGGTATACACCTGAAAGACAAAAAGTCAACAATATAACTATGAGGGAGGCAGAGAGACGTGGAAAGAGACGACATCGTAGGAACCAGAATCACTCAAAGCTTGGACCTCGACCTGGAGCCTTTAGGTCTATAAGCCCGCTTGAAGGGAAACCATTCGCCATACTACACGAAATTCAGTAAAGGAGCAGGCTGTGAGTGGGCTATCGTATGGTGATCTTTCATCATGGCTGTATCAAATTGTGATACTCGTGGGCTTCTCTTTTGTGTCAGGGTACACCACTCAGGGATGAGAGCGAGCAGATCTATGAGACGAACGATAACCCGGACGGTCAAGAAAGGAAAACTGATGCACTGAGCTACACCAATGCCTATAATCCTTCAATCCTCATGAACATACGGTATGTTCCGCTACGCCAAGCCAGTCATTCGCAACTCCTTACTCCGAGTAATGACAACACCTAATCACATACACCAACCAATTTTCAATCCCATTGCCAGGGCGTCTTCGATCAATCCCCCGAAGTATCCATCTCGCCGTCACTACTTTGCGGAGCGCTTGCACAGCTCTGTAAACTGCGTTGCCCCCTTGTTGCCTCAGCAGCTAGAGCGTCCCACCCTTCACCACCAGTGCGTATGACCAGGTGGGGATTGATGTCCGCGGCGAAGTATTGTTCCCTTCTTATGCTCGCCCTTGAAGCTCCTTCGAGGGCCGAATAAGCACTTCTTGTCGTTCTGATTCGCTTCTGAGGCTTGCCGCCCTTGCTAACAAGGTTGCTTCGATGTAATCGTTCTTGCTGGAGCCGCTGGTCGTAGGCTACTATGCTGCGGACGTATGGCGCTACGTCAAGAATGAGAAGTTTCATGTTGCGATCAAACACAGAGGCATCCAAGTTCCCCGAGCTCAATGGCTTCTCCGACGCAGCAATTGGGTCAAAGGCGATGCTGTAGTCATAGCGGTTGACGACTGGGCCAGTGTAAAGGGGATTACTAAAGCTGTCGCGGATCTGATTCGTGGCGGCAACGTAATAAGATTGGGGATTTGACAGATTGTTCGAGGTGGCCAGGAGACTTCGACTGAGGTTTTTCATGGTCGAGGCGATGTGAAGGCTAGTATTGCTGTAACTAGCCAACGGTGGCGCGTCTATGAATTGGCAGCCGATGATGAAGTCGTCTCTTGCCTTGCTTGAGAGGCCCGGCTGGGTAGGATCCATGGTTATTTCGTGGAGCTTTGTGAACGACCCCATTGAGCAGATATCTGCCGCACTCATGGACTCGGCGAAGGAGTCCGACAGTGCCAGAGCTTCAAGCCGTGTGCTTCGGGTAGCATCCGGTTTGCTCGCCTTGAGCGCCCAGGAAGTCTGACTTGTTGAACTTTCGAGATCTTCCAAACCCCAGTTCTCCCATAGTTGCTGTTGGAGTTCTTCCTGGACAGACCGATATGCGGAAGGGACGAGCGCTGCATCTCGGCCAAGCCAACCCATGCCGGTTCGATATGTGCCTGCGCTGACGACGCGTATTTTGTCGCCATGCTGATCAACATCGGTGCCGGCCGGCCATCTGCGATAGATCCACCCAAATCCACCTTTGAGATCACCCACACCAATCTGGCACCAGTAATTCAATTCCATGATCGAAGCACGCATATCATGACTGCGTGATTCGAAGAGGCTTTCAACGGTCTCTCTCTGTAGAGCATGCCCCTCATTCGCAGCAATCAGCAAGAGAAGGTCGACAGCCGCGTCCTTGGGTGGTATGCCGAATCTAAAAATCCCATAGAGATTCAGACTATGCAAAGGAACCAGGCTTTCATCATTGCAAGTCATGATGAATGGGCGCTTGGACTGGGACATGAGGGCTATCACAGTCGTCCAGAACTGCTTGTCTTCTTCATAGAGTATGTCAACCTCTTCAAGCAGAATCAGTGACTGTTTCTGCTTCGTTCCTGGCAGCTTCTTAGTCTCATTCTCCGTGGCTGAATTCAAGATTATCTGAGCTGGCTTCTTCTTTTTTGGTTGGCTGCTGGTTTTTGGCTTGAAAAATGCTGTCATCATGCCCTGCTTCCCCGACTTGATGTCTCGGGCTACCTCATCGTCACTAACGCCTTCAACCTCGTCAGCTGCAAGGTCATTCTGATGATGCTGGACCAGGTGGTTTCGTGTCATGTCTCCAATCCTTTCGAGAATATCCTTGCCGCTCCTTCGAGAACTGGAGCTGATTTCAAAGACCTCGAAGTCAAGCTCTTTCGCAATAGCATAGACAGCGGCAGTCTTGCCACATCCATGTGGACCGCTGAGCACTACAGCATTCGTGAGGCGAGTATTGTCCTTTGAACCTCGAATATCTCTGGCTCTGACGACAGTCTTCTTGACACCACCCTGACTTCCATTGGGTGCCCAGTCTGCTTCAGACTCGGATATCTCATCCATTACATTCCCCTCCTCGTCGCTCGACACAATGAAACCATCGAGCTTCTTCCGTTTTCGTTTTTTCTTTGGAGCTGCTGCTTGTTTCAACTTGGAGGGTAGGATTTCTGGCGTGCCGGTGTGCACTGCCTGGACTTTAAGAGTCAAAAGCCAGTCTCTCAGAAGTTCGGCTTCTTTCCCGCTTTGGAGTACTCGATCTGCCGAAGTCGGGGCGTATTTGGACGCCCAAATTCTATTTTCGCATTTTGACTGATCAAAGGCTGATGATGAGGTTAGGACTGAGTTGTATGCATGAGCGACGGCAGGATGTGTCGTGGTTCCCTGTGGACTCCTGCAGGTTCGAAGCTCTGGGTCTATCCTGATACGAAGTTTTTTTCCACTCTCAAAACATCTTTCTGGGATGCGCAATTCCTGCGGCGGGGATTGGAAGTCTTCAGTGCTGAGAACCCTCAACTCCGCAGCCAGGCGGTCTAATTCCAGCCCAGACATAACATGGTAAACCATTGAATCTTCGGCCGGGATGTGACTTTCCTGGCCTTTGAGTTTCCTTCCAGCCACGCCTGTCAGAAGCTGACTATTGATCCTTCGTGGTTTCACGTCACGGTCGTCACCGTAAACATGAACCATCTCCTGGCAAGGCCAAGATGGGTGTTGTGCTCCAGGAACTTTGATTCCTCCAGTCTTCATGCCAAATTGAGGCAAGTTGAATTTTGCTGGGGGTACTTGGCGAGCGTGCCGCGGAGAGCAGGGAGTTGATGTGAAGATAGAGTGTGTCTTCGCGGGTGATTTCGGTTTTTCTTTGAGCTCTGAGGTAGCAACTGTGTTGGTGTCTTTCAGCTTCCCAGTGAAAAATGGGTGCGTGGCCTTTTTCGGAGTTTGTTTTCCACTGGGCATAGTCTTCTTCGGCATCTGCTGTAGGGTTTCTGGATATTGGTCATCTTCGTCAGAAGTTAACCGCCTTGGCTTGCCGCGTCTTGGCGCATTCTTCCTCGAAGTTTTTTGCACGGTTTCCGAATCCCGGTTACGTCTGGCAGACGTAGATTCCCGGGGTTCTCCGGCTGTTGTGATGTTCCCATGACTAGGACTGAGGCGGACACCACTCATAACGTCCTCAATCTTCTCGCCGATACGAAGCCTCGTCTCCTCGTCTGTCCCATAGTCGATGTGGACTATTAGACTTACCATCTGTCTACTTTGGCATGATTTGCCGGTTGGCTTCGATGGCGCAAGGCCTGGTTTATCCGCTGTCTGCGGCTTTGGTTTTGGTGGAGAGCCAAATGTCCCCGTCTTTGGGTTGAACTTCACCAAAATTTGTGGCCGTGCTGTTGAATTCATCTTCTTCCTTGAGTCCACGTCCACATCGTGTGTATGTTCGGTATTAAGAGTCGATTCAGGGGTTTGAGCAAGAGGAAGCGATGACCTGGTTTGGGGTTCCAGAATGGAGTCTGCTCCCGCTTCCTTGTTCTCCACTTCGGCATCCTCCTGAACGACTTCGACATCCTCATCATCTCTGCTTTGTCCAAAATGCCTTGCGATGCTCCCATCACCTCCTATTCTCGATTGTCGCTTGGGTCGAGCCTGTCTTTTTGTGGCCGGCTGGGCAGCTTCTGCAGCATGAATTGGCTTCGGGTTCGTCCTGCGTCGCTTCCTCCTGCAGTCCTCCGGTTCGCCATCGTCTTCGCCGTCTGCATCTGCAGATTCACAAGTTTTGTCGGGATTGGAACTACCCGAGAGATCTGGGGTCATGGGTCGTGCTAGGCTGATTGTAGGTGCTTCTGGGCGATTCTTTGGAGCTGAGAAGAACGGATGGATTTTCTTGGTCTCAATGCCATCTTTCCCAGCCATAGTAATAGTGCCGCGACAAGATACCCGGAATTGTAAGAAACTTAGTATGAATGTTGGGTGGATGACATCGCGTCTCGAAGTTCCATTTCGAAGTCGCGTCCTATGCCAGTGATAGACGCGCTGGACCGTGACTGCCCACTTTAGCTCAATTGGATGCACGGGCCATGTATCCTTCGTTGGAGCAGATCCTGTAAGCATATTCAACCAATCATGCATCAAGACCCCACTAGCTGGCATCTTCCAAAGTCCGACCGATAACTTTTTCTGCCCATGATCTCCACCAAAAAGTTCTCGCAACAGCTTCAAATTGGAAGCGACGGCGCAGTGACAAGCTTCACAAACAGCAACAGCTTCCATTCACGCAAAGAGCAGGACGCTGGCAATGGCCTCAAACTTTCATATCCAAAAGCCCTATGTGCTCAATGCACTACCCCGGCCCCTAGATCCAGCTACTGGCCGATATGTGGTCGGCGAGGTTTATGGAACCGCCGAGGGTTCAAGGAAACGGAAGCGGTCTGAGCTGACAGTTGGAATTGACGGAGAAGCACTCAATATTTATGATGTAAGGCTGTCATTTGCTCCTGGGGTTTCTCAGTGACTGACCTCAACCCAGATATCTTCAGCGAGACTCGTTACGTCGTACCCAATTCCTCCCCAGTCGTCCTTTACCTGCGCGTCTTGCTCGCTCCGGCGAAGGATACCCGGAAACAAGGAAGTTATTCGGTATACCTATATTGCCACTCGTGACCCCTCCCAGAGGGTCACCTTATTCAAGGATCATGTCGACCCATCTGGAAAGACGACATCATCCACCAATTCGCTCGCCTTAGCTTCTCAGAACCCCGTGGTTCACCTGACAACTAGGTCCCCACCAGGCGCCAAGTCCAATGACACACTCTCGCCTTCAACTGGCGATGAGCTCTTGGTCATTCGGCGCAATGGAGAGATAATCGGCCTCGATGCCGAGAGTTTGCAACAAAAATGGATCACAAACCCGGCTGTCCTGTACCAAGACTTTGCGCGTGGCTCCAAGAAGGACTTCCATGTGGAACACTGTATCTCTGCCTCCACTTCAGATGTCATCCAAGGCATGTTCAAGGGTAGCCGAGACTCGCTGAGTGGCCTGGCAAGCGCATCCCATGACAATTCAGACCCTGAGCTACTCATTGTGGTTTCCAGCCTGCCCATGGACGGACAGAATGTCCTTCATCTCCATATCCTCAGCCAAATGCCGCTCTCGCAAACTCTGGCGTACTCAAGTGGAGGCCTTTTACAGCTCTACGTAGCGCCCATGGTCTCGCCACCGAGGCAGGCGGACAATCCGTCGGCTTACCAGTTGGACGTCCGTTCGGGAAGCTTTCTAGAGCTTAGTGATGGAACATTGACAGTCTACGACCTGACCGAGAGCATTCCCAAGGTCACCCACATCATGGATCTTGGTGATGCTTCTTCATTCCTAAAGATGTCGAAAACGTCTGTTCTATCATGCACGGCTTCTCAGCTGAACGTCTACAATCCTCAGTTTCGATCTATCCAAAGCTCAACATCCATCGATCTTGAGGGGCAAACGCAGAGTTCCCACGACTTAAGTGGCGCGGACAGCTGTGAACTGGTTGCATACTTTTCGAAACTGGAGCTGGCCATTGGCATCACCAACGGCCACATGGTGGCTATTCAGCTCGAAGCACCCAAAACTCGAACCAAGAAGCGGCGGGCAGAGGGTCTTTTGATTGACTCAATTGGACGCGGTGTGCAACAGCCAATTAGGACAGACACAAGCACTACCGCGAACGTCTCCACCAATTCCGCCTTTTCAAATTATTTGCCTGGCTCGGTCAGGGGTGATTACTGGGAGACGTGGACACAAGGTCTGGAAAAGGCAGATGCACTACTTGAGTCTGATCAGCTTGAAGAATTTGAGGCATTACTCGCTGAGAAGGTCGGACTGCGAATCAGCAAGAAAAAACTGACGAGTCGTGTCATGGAGGACGGCGAAGAGGCCCAGCCACTCCCTGAATGGAAATGGCCCAAGTCTAGGTCTGAGTACCCTCGAGTCGACCGAAGGTGGATCCTCTATGGCATCAGCAAGGCGTTTCGATGGCACCGCGAACATGGTGACGACGCAAAACCACCCCGTCTTATATGCTCGCTACCCTACACCAACATCGTCACCTATCTAGTGGATGCGGGACATCTGACGGTGTCAAATCTGAAATCTGCGTTGCGAGATCAATTGCGTGACGTTGATAACGTGGACTCAGTCCTTGCTCGACTGTTGATTTCGCGACTAGCTGAACTTGACCCTACGCTGGAGCTTTTGACCTGCTACATCTCCGCGACGACACTTGGGTCCACAGAGTTGCTCTTGGCCGTTCGTGCTATTATGCAAAGTCTCGAGCTCATCCAAGATCCCAAGCAAAGCCCGCCAAAGCTGCTCACAAACGTATCTTCAGAGGAAGCAGAGACAGAAAATGCAGAGTTTGGAATGGAACTCGACAATCTCGAGGAGGAGATCCAAAAAACGGAATCCTACCTCAACGGAAACACCGGTATCCGTGGCACTGGGTTGAGTGTGGCATTTGCCAAATTAGCCAATTGCCCCGCCGTCTCCACGATTAAGGCACTACGTTCTACGTTCAAGCCCGAAGAAATCCTGTCACTTGTGTATCTATTGCGAGTCGAGCTAGTCAAGGGCGCTTGGACGTCACGGTACCTGGACAACACGGAATTCGAAGAAGATGCCGAACTTGACGCCCCGCCAGATGGCATCATCACACTGATATCTGATCTGCTGGGCCGCTGCATCGATGCTATTGGTCCCGGCGGCTGGCTGCTCAACGACGCGCTCCTAGGAAGCAACAACATTGACGACTCGGGCGACTTCGTGGCGTCGCTGAAGCTTGAGGTCAGCGCTGCTCTGGAAGGGCTTCAAGAAGCAGTATATCTGCGTGGTATCGTTGGGGAAGCCGTCAAGTACTGCGAGGCTGCCCAGAAGGCCGAGGCCCAGGCCAACGCCATGCTTGACGTCACCAAGCCCATGCCGTTGTACGTACGTGAGCCGGGCGCTGAGGCGCTGCCGCTTGGCTTGAAGACCAAGACGGTCATTGAGAAAACGAAGGTCGTTTCTGGAGGTGAGGTCGTGCGGAGAACAGCACGGGAGACAGGACATTTGAGAAGTCAGCAGGTTGGTCCATATTCGCTTGAGCGAATTGCTATCTAGAAAGACCCAGCATTAAGATGTATGTGTCATGGTTTTTGAAACCATTGTTTGATGTACGCCTCAAGAAGGACTTTTGATAAGTTGTAAGGGTTGATAAGCAGTGAAAAGTGTGTCGTGACTAGGCAAGTAGTCTGACGAACCAATGGAGATAGATACTCGGCAAGATAATACTTGAGCCGCATGAAAAGCGCCATTGTGGGCGGTAATCAGCCTTTAGTGTCAGCCGCTTGAGTCACCCATATCCAGGTTTTTAAGTACTGGGCCAAGCTACAGTTCAGCTCTTGCACTTCATGAAGGCAGGCTCTGCCAAGCGCTGATATCTAGCCATGATTGAGCCTCGTTGGTGCCAGTAACAAAGCGATTATCATATTTCAAGCTCGTGATGGAGAATTCCCATCTATCTTGACTTGCTAGCTCAGCTTTACGTAGTACATTGTTACGCATCTATATACATGCTTGAGCTGAACAAAAGGTCCTTTCATGTCAGCCCAGCTAGTACCCAGGGTATTCGATCGATACTACAGTATCCTGACCACATGAACCTCGTCACTTGTCGGTGAGTCCCAATATGGTCAATTTATGTTCTACAATACAATTCAACTACTTGGCCAGCCGTGTTATGCGTAAGCAACTGTGGCAAACACCGGCACATCATACCCTTCCTCCACATTTCGTGCGGTAAGTCCCAAGCTGACTGATAAGTTCTATGGGCGCTCTGCGATGAGCCCATCCCTGTTCAACGCCGGCACCAGTTACTCTCCCAAGGTCTGTGACTCACAATGACAAATGAGAATCAACTATGTCACGATCAGATCGTCGCAGGCAAGCATCCTCAGCGTCTGATCCCGCGGGAAGTCTAGGGAGCCTGACGGACGGGCCGTGGACGAGATGACCGCGTTTGGAGGTTACTAGCATCGTCGCATCAACACGCATGTGACGAGGCAAACGGCATACGGATGGACTAGCTGACCGCAGGTCCTTCGTGGGACGTCTTTTCTCTCCGCAGAACGCGGGTGAGCAAGGAAGCCGGAACCGGCAATATTAGTTAGTTATCAGCCCTGCGGATTCGAAAAGTTCCGCTTGTGTACCTCTGTTCGTTCGCCTGTCCATTGAGTGACTGACAGACCGAGGAAACCACTGTGTGATGGTTGGTAGAGTGGCGACGCGAGGGGTGGTGGACGCGGGGGTTTTTTTTTCAGAGGCATGGATACTGCATGCCAGTGGTGCTATCATGTTGAGCGCAGAAGCAATATCACTCGCAAGGTCTGCCTAGGCCATTAACTGCCACCGCGTGACGCATCTCGTTCATAAGAAGAGGCAACTCCCTGACAAACAAACCGCCGGTGTTGAGTCTATGAGTGAGTGAGTTCGGATTATTCAGCCCTATGACGCCCGATTTTGCCTGGATAGAGTTCGAACGAAATGGGTATACATTGACGTACATGTGCTGAACATATCCAGGGTACCGAGATGTATTTACAGATGCCAAGGGCAGATAATATTCCAAGGCGAAAGGCCGCGCCCACGACTCCGGAGAACAGAATGAGTAGTGTTTGCCTGCCTCGCGGGTGGCCCCGGCAGACAGGCATTATGTGCACATGACCTGGTAGTTGAGCAAGAAATCACAAGTGCAGGTATAGGCGATGTATCGCAAAAATGCAGGCATCCCTCCACTGGAAAGCCTCTAACATCTGCCGTGCGAGTGCTTGGTCCTCGTATCGTTCCTGATATCCCCGTCAAGATTGAACTCGTCTGCATATGAACCTTTCATCACTGTCGTCCGGTGGCTCGCCTATAAATTTTAGGAGTGGCGACGAACAGCACTGGAGATATTGGCCCTTAAGATGGTCCTGGAGTTGTAGCAAAATGCTGGGGATTTCCACTAACAGAAACATGTCACGTCCTCACTGGGTGAAGGAAATCTTCAGGGCTTTTTGACGACGACATCCTTGTCATGCAGATTGGCTAGAATTCTGCCAAGAATGTCTCCAAGTTTACCCGTTGAAACATACAATCCTTCTAAAAAAGTATCAAATACCGGCAGTGGCTATCGACCACGAATAATGCCCCACCAGACGACAACGATATCCGGCAGTGACGGAGGCGATGTAAACTTGGGCGTTAACTAGTGAATTAGCGATAAGACGATGAGACCTTGACCGACGGGGCACCCCATGACCGTTCGGTGGTCGCTTGGCGTGCGGTCAGCATGTCTGGGTCAGAGCCTCACTGATCCCTCCCTAGATTCCCCCACATCTCCCACATCTCCCACATCTTACTTTCCCCCAGCACGCGGCCCGGCTTAGCCATCAAGATTCATTCCGGCCAGAATTTTGGTATTGTAACACGGTTACATACGGCGCCCCCATGGCCCATGGGATGCAAGGGTAACGTTGACCGCGGAATGGCCATGTTGGGATCTGTCGTGGAATACTGAAAATGCTTTGCATGTGAGTCCACTGCAGCATTATTAAGTCGTCATCCAGGAAGATGTCACTGATGAGTCGTCCGGCTTGAAGCCTACGTCCGTTCCGGGTATCACGACATAAGAGCTTATAGCAATTTACCTATGTACTCGTCGCAGCTACCTTCGACGGATGGCAACTTCTTAAGCAAGCAGAAGTGCGGTGAAGGTATGGGGCGACTATCTTTGGTCAGCCTATTCGCATTGGACCGATCACCATAGTTGGTAAAGAGGGAATTCATTGACGCGCTTCTCGGACGCGAGTATGTCTATTATGGCGTTAATGTGACTGCCCCACGCTGATACAATCGATTGGTGCCCGGCGGAAAAGTGCATTGAGGCCCCGAAACTGCGTGTCGGACACCGTACCCGCCCTTGGAGCGGCCTCCCGGTCTGATAAACCCATTCTCCAGCTTTAAAATAACGCTGCAACGGCCATGCAGCCTCATCCTGGTATCAGCTCTGCTTGTAGAAGCGCATAACTGTTGGAGGCCGGACGATGGTTTAGTCAGACTGGGAGAGCGTTCGGAGTACTCGTGCGTGATACAGATAATATGCAGACAGCCGAATGGCGATGTTGGAGAAAAGTTACGGCACCGCCTTGGAGACGAATCACTCTAATGGGTCCTCCATCTTCGGGCACTTTCACGATCGCCCCATCTCTAGAAGCTTCACTAGTTGCTTCTAGGGTGTGTAGACGACGAAGGCATGGCGTTGCTGCCTGTTAGATAGAGCCGCAGCCACAACAGCCACAATCACTAGCGTCAGATAGACCAGACTGTACGTAGACCAATTGCCAGATGATTTCATCGTTTTTCAAGCTATATTGGAAGCCTACATTGAATACCCATATGCCTCTGCGAGTCGTCGTTCGATAGATATCTATCCGCATAATCACAGTCGGCTCCCTCATGGCTGGCAGCAATGCCTTGAAACCCACGTTGTCTGGCATCAGTATGCCCCGCGAGGCAAACGCACTTAAATTCGCGTAATCCAGAACTTGCATGCAAGGCATAGCCCGCAGCTGCGTTGGGCAAGCTGCAGCCATGGACGGTATGAGCATGGGAGGCAAGCCTACACCTGTCCCATAGCCTCAGCTACCGTAATCCGTGACATACGCTTGCAGTTGCCGCTGGGCCTAGGCTGCACGTGTAAGCCATGAGCTGTCATCAAGGCAATATGAATGTCGCCGAGGCCGTTCGTGTTTGGGAGCAGAGGGATCTTCTAGCAGGCCGTCAGATCGTCAACAGAGTAGCAGAGATCTGTTGGGCGACCTTGTTCGTTTGATTCTTCCGGCAACGATTTCACGTCCATTTGCGTTGGGAGAAAAGAGTCCGCTTGGTAGTCAAGCTTTTTGCCTGACACACAGTACCTTATTTGTGTGTCTGATCCAGTAATTTGGGTCTGGGAGTTGGTAGCTTGCGCCGTTGTTCGTTGTTTGTCGTGTGATTGGAAACCACTCCACTAGTGATTTGAAGCGGGGGATGCACAAAGGCGACCACAGAGTGGCGCAGTGAAAACATGAGCCGTGGCGCGAATCCGAGGCGAACACCGCGCCAAGGTAGATTCCTTAGCCATCATGGATGTCAACTTTGTGCTTGTTTACTAAACTGAAAGGTTGTCTTGCCAAATGGTTGCCAATGTTAATGGCTTCCTTCGCATCGATTGTGGTGTGTCGACAACTGCAGAAGGCCAGGGTCGTCAAGACTCAGATGTCGTTCGTCGGGTCGCAACTTAATCCCTGCGTACCAACGATTAGGGAAGAAGTTAGGGTCACTTACAGCCAATAGCCACAGCGCCTTCTTGCCAGCATGGACCAGCTATGATGACATGCGAGTCGAGCAAATACGTCACGTAGATTTCCTTCGCAGTTCAATTGTTGATCCCAGCGACGGAAGCTCCAGACACTCACCAGCGCAGGATCCCACGGTCTGAAGTTCGTAACCGTCGACCCCTCTGCAGCGACGCTTTTAAGCTCTGAAGCTGCATTCGATGCGACTGTGCCCATAACTATTTCCATTATGGTGACAGAAGCAGCCTGTGATCCATTTCTGGACCTGTGTTGTTCCACGGAGAGGTGAACACATCTCTCTAGGCTGGGACCGTGCTTGTCCATGCCAATGTCCAGCCATCCTGCGTACTACAATTGTCTGCAGATAGATACAAGAATACGAAGTAGACACGGGTACTTTACGTACTTCTCAATCCGTCATTCTGTGCGGTTGGTGGATTTCAAGCTGCTGTTTAAAGTCGCCAGCTAGCCCTTGTCAACCTTCCAAGTCCGAGTCTTTGGTGAGCAGGGGTGGATTTAAGCAACTTTGACCCTGTCGCACCAGTTTCCTGTTTCTCTCGTCCCGTCCTCCATAACACACGATACACCCACTCACTCACTACGTAACTAGATCTCGTGCCAGCCTCGAAGCGAAGCGGAGCGAAGCGACGAACTTCGACGCGGTTATCTTTCTTGGCTTCCCAAGGCACATACCACGAGTTCGTGCACTACGTACGGCCGGCTGACTAGACCTTGTCGACTAAATTCCGAATTCATATAGAGGCTCCACCACCTCGCAGCAGCTTCCCGTCGCTTCCAATTCTCCACACCTTGCAGCTTGCTTCATATTTGCCGTACCCACTCAACACCAAACCAACTAGGTTACCCAACTACACAAAAAGTACTGACCGAGCCTTACGACTCACGGGACGTAGCTCCCAACCACCATTGTCGCCATGTCCACTAACACCGGTGCACCTACCGCGGCGCGCACATCGGCCGATATCGACAGAGTTGATGTCTTCTCACGACAGCTGTATCGACGAGCCCGCCAAGCTGGGTCCGACTTTTCAGATGTCGCGATTGTCGTGCGGGGCCTGCACACGGTACTCAAACACCTGAAAGTCGAGGCAGAAGACCCTGGTTCTCTCCTCAACTCGGAGCAAAGCCCGGTGTACGTCCGACAATTAACACCCATTGTCGAGGACTCCGAGTTCGCGCTCAAGCAACTTGACACCATTCTCGAGAGGTATGGTGGCAACGGCAGCGGAAGCGACGGAGAGGGCCATAGTGCAGCCGGTAACAGTTCGCTGGGTGGCCGAGAGCACGACAGGATCGGTCTGATCCGAACCAAATTGGCAAACCAGAAACTGAATATCGACATTTTCCTCGACACAGTGCAGTTGCACAATCCGTCAAAATCGCGCAAGGTTGTCGACACGAACAACGCGAATCTGGACTCGATCAAAGACAAGGTGGACGTAATTGCCTCGAGGATATGCCAGCGCAAGAATTCGCAGTCGAGTGAGGCGTCAGACGACAACGGGCTATGGCTACAGTTTCGGGACGAATTGGAAAAGGAGGGCTTCTCGAGAGACGTTCTGCGTAAAAATCAGGTATGTTGCCTCATCTGGCAAACGACATCTGTGAGCATAGGGGTGCTAACCGTCAGCAGGATGTTCTCCGGGCCTACATTCGCCAACTTGATGAGCAGAGCATGCCTGGCGGCGCCATTCCAACAGTTCGCGGATTCCTCGAGGGCTACCAATCTCCCTTGGGTGCTCTGCACGGCGCACCAGATTCAATGTCCCCGGTCCCCATGGAGAATCTCAGTCCTAAAGAGATGTATCCTTCGGCCACCAACGAGAAGTTTTTTCCATCGATGAAAATGGAACGTCTTCAACCAGACAAATACCCGCCATATCCGTCAAATTTGCCTACGCACGCCACAGACCTCTCGTACGATCGCCACTCTGAGGAAGGAGATGTTGATGACGGTGCTTCTGACAACTCGATGGCACTGGTCATATCCACTCGCGACCTTATGGCTCTGGACAGACGAGAGGCGGATCTCGCCATAGCCATGGGCAATATGCACCTGCAACCTCGAGGTCCACCCTACGCCACATCAAACTATACCCATGCTGCTAGCCCCGGCTCCTCGCCTCAGACATACAACTTACCGTCAAGTTCGAATGCGAGTCTGTTCCCTTCATCATTCAACCCAAGTGTAGGAGACCAGTTTGGGCTGTCCCCACGCTTTGTCCCGCCCTTGGCTCCTCCACCGTACGGCGGCAGCCCACCACCTACGCTTCACCCCAACTCTACCTCTGCGCCCGCTATTCCTGGTGCGCCATTTGTACAGCAAGCCCAGCGGTATGCCCGCCTAGCTCCGGACCAGCACGGCCATGACATACCGCTTGATGCCCAATGGACCCGCATCAAGCGATCTCTCATCTCACCAGAGGTTCTTGACCGAGCACGGGTGCGTTATGAAGCCCGGCCCGACTTTGTAGCTGTTCTCGGTGTTTTCACGAAGGCGGAAATTGCCGGGTTTGCTAGGCAGAGCGCCGAGGTGCGGAGACGAAGAATGGAAGCGCGCAAGAGAGAACCACGCAATGAGAAAGACCGGTACTATCCCGAAAAGTACAAGAACTGGGATGTCGAGGCCCAACAGAAGCAAGACAGCCAGTTATCATCGTCATCTGATTTATATGATTCGTCCGACTCTTCCGAATCTGACGAGGAACTGCCTCGATACCGCCCTCGTAGAGGTAACCATGCCGAAAGCGACAAGGACGAAAAGCACGATGAAGAAAAGGGTACAAAGGCGTATCCTTTCATTGTTTCACCCCCTGAGAAAGAACGAGAAAACGGGCACAGTCCCGCTGCGACGGTGACGCCCAAGCCTATTCTCAAGAACAAGAATGACGATCCTCACGTGCGTTTCGACCCGGAACCGAAAGTACTCGATGGCTCTTTCCCACGCTCCAACCCACGGCATTCGGATCGAGACCTTCATAGGCCAGAGCGTCGCCACCGGGAGCGGTCCGAACGTGGGCCAGAGCGCGACCGTTACGTGTCTGGGTCATACGACGACCGAGATCGAGATCGGGACCGTGACCGGGGTCGTGATGACGAGTACCCTCACCGCCACCATCGACGTCACCACGGAGGAAGCACCGGCGGTAGCAGACGAGAGAAGGAGCGTGATGAGTACGGCAGGCGGAGGAGGAGGGACGACAGGGACCGGTACAGAGACAAAGATCGCATTGAGACGAGCGAAGATCGCGCTGCGAGGAAGAAGGCGAGGGGTGAGACTTTGAGGGCTGTCGGCATTGGTGGTGCCGCCGCTAGCTTGCTGAGCGTTCTCACCGAGGCTGCTGCGGGGTTGTAGTTGGCCAGTATATTGACTGATTGTACGAACTTTGCTCGTCGCAGATGTAATATATCGGGATATCTACCTGGTTCAAGCTCTGTGCGTGACGGGGTTGGCCTGGGCTGGGTATCTGCCCGCAAGATTTTGCCAAGTCAGCTGGAAAACAGAAGATGCAAAAGTTGAGATGCATGAGATGATGGTTCATATCGTTCCTCAGACTGCGGAAAGCAGTAGTCAACGTTCTAGGTTCGGGCTTTAACTACTGTTGATGACATCGTGGACATTCAAGTTGGATATCTTCTTTGTTTTATTAATCTCGGGAGGGTAAAGGTTTAAACATGAACGCAGGCTTTGGGACAGATGACGAAGGGCTGCGACGGACAGGTATGATGATAATGATGATGATACCCAACGGAGGCAAGATTTGATAAGCTCGAGGAGAAAGAATTGAATCATATTCGTATCTCATGCGGAAGAGTATGAAAATTGCTGTGATGGTGACAACTCTTCATGAGGGCTGTCGACCCTCGTCATTCCGGTCGTGAATTTGAAGCGGCAGCAAGTGTGCCCGTGGGGCGAACGTGGGGCGAACAGAAGCCTCCTTGGAACCAGTTTGCTACTGAGGATACCAACTTACCAAGAACTCTTTTTTCCCCAGTTCTCCCTCTCCCGGCGACACAACCACAGTCGTGACATCGTCACTGGGAGTATGTAGGACATTCAGCACTCATAATTCAATAAAGGCATAACTCTAGGTAGTGATTCATTAATGCATGCCCAACATTATCACGGAAACCATGGGGCTAACCCCCTAGCATTACCTAAACTATGCTACAGACGAAACCCAATCCAACTCCACAACTTTGAAGCTTTCCAGGAACAGATCTTCCCGTTTTGGGCCCGTGTTTGCTATGGGATTGTGGAGGACGAGCCCCCCCCACCTGATCGTGGCGATGCCGTACTGTCAAACCTGAGTTTGTACTCCTTTCGATTTTGGACCTCGGCTCGTCTGCGGCCAACTTGTTATCTTTATTGCCGAGGTGAAGAGATTCGAGTTCAGGAAGATGGTTTATGTTGCGATTTATGCTGGAGGCTGAAGGCATCCAACCTAGGTATGAAGGGCGTACGTGGAGCTCCACTATCGTTGCTGTTTCTGTACTGAGTGAGTGCTCAATGGCTCCCCTGTTCAGTAGGTAGGTGTTCACATTAGCACATGCGGAGAAATTGGGTGTTAGTTGGTTGGGGGCTCGGCCATTGGTTCCTGATAACCCTACATTCACCACACGGGAGAGGAAATTTTATACAACAGGCGTAGTTGGACTGGTCTAATGAAAGAATGTTCAAAGTACGTGGCTTCGGTTGGTGAAAGTGGAAAGTCCATGATGTCAGACTTCCATTACCTCGAAAAGTAGCCGACAGTGATACTGTGCCGTCAACAATCTCTGGTTTCAATTGGATGCGACATAGTAGATGAGAGAGAGCCCTCAACGCCATGGCGGTGTCGAGTATCCTTGACGGGCGTGTTGGTCTAGGGCTGGCTTCATGCCACCGCCAGCGGGGCGCAGCGTAGTAGGTTATTTATAGCAGACGGGATTGGGACCCTGACTCCAGCCCAACGGTTGAGATCTTGCTTAGTTGAATTCTTCTGTATTATAAGATCAGAAAACGGCGTGCTTGATATTTATCGTGGATGCTCAAGGCAATGACAAGTGAGACCACCCTAGCGATGTCGAAAGTAGCCGTATCCGCCATGTTGGGGGCAAGTTCATTCCATGAGGACAATTCAATCGTATCAGCGCCACGCCTGTGATGGCAACACTGGTGAGGATGTAATACTGACGACCGGGTTACTCAAATGCTTTATATAATGCTTGTTATTCTCATGATTGGTATCCTACCCTGCGCCTACTCAATGCTCCTCATATCCCGTGAAATTCATAGAGCAGACATAATCCAACCTCAGTCTACTTTTCCTGTACTTGGACCTGTACCAACCGCCTCAACGCCGTCTGCTCCTCCTCGTACTCGTAGGATCATCACCCTTCAATCCCTCCAGCGTGGGTTTCTCCAAGCTCTTCCTAGGCGCCGCCTTCTTGTTCCCCATCATGCGGTCCACCACCGCAGCGCGGTGTTTCCGCGCCTCTGGGTTATCGTAGTCCAACTGCGTTGCCGCAGGTGGTTTCTCCCCTTCCGTCTCCGCACTCATGTCCCGCCCATCAAGCATACCCTCAAGGAGCCCCAATGCACCGGGCGCGCTCTTGTTCGAGTCCACTCGTCTGGCCGTTGGCTGTTGGGGAACCTTTGTTGCAGTGGCGGTCATGGATGATTCAGCGCTTGCCGAAGAAGTGGCGGATACATTGCTGACTGCTCGGCCCAGTATCTCTCGCTTGCGACGTTTGGGTCCTACTGCTGAGGCTTGGTTGAACGACTCGTTGCCCTCCGAAGCAGCCGCTTCAGCAGTGGCGTCGACAAGAGACATCAAGTTCTTTGCAAGGGCTAGGCGTTCAGCTGTTTTCTCTTCTTCTACCTTGCGCTTTCGTGCGGCCTCGGCTTCGTCTGCCAACCGTTTTTGTGTCATTTCGGCATCCTCTGCTTTGCGGTTCCGTGCCGCCTCAACGTCTGGGACGGATGGCGCCTTGTCTGTCCGTATAGATGCAGCATCTGATTCATCTCCGCCTTCCGAGTCAGCGATCGTGCCCCCCGTTGGAAATCGCTGCAATGGCATTCGGGGAGGCTGGTCCAGCTGGTCCAGCTTCGCCGATGGTGACTTATTCAGCACATTTTCTGACACTTCCGTTAAGGGTGCAGCCACCTGTTCCCCATCTACACTATCGGCTAGATTACTTCTTGCGGTTTCGTAGTACGACTCATTTGGGTCCTTTCCCTCGGACGCAGAGCCCTCTCGTGCCTGTGCGAGAGGGGTATTGTTTTCGAATGCTGTCCGGTCCACTGTCGCCTTGGAGGGCGGAGCACGAAAGTCGGCCTTCTGCTTCGCAGCAGGCTCCGACCGCGATCTCTTGAGTTTCTGTCTTTCCTTCTCCAAAGCGGGATCCACGTCGATAGAAAGCCGCTGCTTCAGCTCCGGAAACAAAAATTTGTCCCAAGGAACGAGAAAACCAGTTGTAATACACTGGTATAGCCACTCCATATTGACGACGGGTATTTTGGTCAGTAAGCAAAAGTCCAACTTTTGCTTGGAGACTTCATCTATCGAGGGACATATCAGCAACGAGCTCTGACGATTGAGGCTTGCTCGGTACTCTGCGCCCAGTTGTGTGACGGTTTTGGAAACCTGATGCGTCTGCACGTCTTTAAAGCCAGCGGTACTTATAGTCAATTTCTGGAATCCTTCAATCGGGAACTGCGGAAATGGGCGCCCAAACACGTGCTCGTTCGGATCAAACAGCCGCTTGTAATAAATACATCGCTCGATGTAGAACTCGGTCACGATGTGCACACCGTCGGGCAAGAGCGGGTGTGTGTTGGGTTGAGAGCTTTGGGGAACAAGGAGGAAGCGCTGCTCTTCGGGATGCACAGGAGATGCGGCGTCAGCGAGCGACGAAGAGATCTGGGCGCCGTGAGATTCCAAGTGTTCGTAGACGACTTGTGATTGCTGTCGAGAGAAGCCGTGCACGAAAAACCGACAACCGGAAAAGATGCGACCGTCTGGCTGGCTCTGGCCGGCTCCAGCTTGAGGCAGCGACAGAGGATGGTTGACGGTGAAAGATGCAAGGGAGCTGCCAGCGGGGGCGGTAACGGGCATGGTTACCGCTCTCTGCTCCAGTCCGGCTCGCTGTTGGGTTGCCTGAGGGTTTGCAGATGGCTGCTTAAAGAGAATGTCATCCCACAGGTTGGCGCTTTGTTTGTCGAGTTTCATGCTGGCCGTCTTGCGCAACTTTCTCCGTCCATCGTCGGGGGCTGCAGGAGGGCCTTCTCTCGGCCGCTTTCCCGACAAAATGCGTTTGGCCTCCTTGGGCATCCAGGCTCCCTTTCCTCTCTCTCCCTTTGGCAAAGCTGGGTCGTAGCACTTTTCGTCCAGTATCATGCCTCTCTCCACACTGTCTTGGAGCCACTCTATGCAGACGGTCGGGATGCCCCAGTTCTTAGCTGCTTTGTACTTCTTTCCCTCGGGCTGGTACACAATGAGATGGCTGACAGCTTTGGACAAATCGCCCGTGTAGTTGCCACCATTTGCCCTAACTGTGTCCTCGATAGACTGGCGCTGCTCGCTATCAAGAAAGCCAGTAAGGCAGCAGAGCAGTCTGCCACGGTCTTCTTGTGCCAGGCCGCCGCTGGTTTCGAAAGGCTTGAGGGTCCACTCGGCCTCCAACTTGTGGAAGTCAATCTCTTTGTCGTTTACCCACAAGTCTCGGACGGCTTGGATCCATCCAGCAGCCATTGGCTTGACATCGGGCCGTTCTCTGGCGACGTGACGGTATTTGGGGGTATTGTACTCTCCCACGATCAGATGCGTGACGTCTGGAGTAAGGTCATATTTGTGGGTGCCACCCATTTGGCCAGCCTGGTGGTCTAGTTCGGTCTGAGTTGCAAGAGGGTTTAGTTAATCTTCAGGATCCCGATGATCGAGGTATAGTAGCTGTGGACTGGCGGGATCGAGTCCATCGTGGCTGCAACTTACTCGAAGATCAGCCGCAACGCTGGTGCAGCAAATGACGACGGCCTTGAAGGGCAGCGCCGCGTCAAAGGCCTCAGGGCCGTCTGGTTTGGGGAATGACTCCATGGTCAAGTATACATCAGTCTTGGAAGCAACGAGACATTGCTATGGGGCGAAGCAAAATATTGAGCACTATATTCACGACAACGGCATACACATTCAATATCCAATGCACTGCAGCCGTGTAGCGCGTCGAGTCGCGTCAAGCAAAACAGTGGATCTCACAGGGCGCCAGTTGACACCACTTTATTTTACGGGTACCCACTCGTAGGGAGCAATGCCAAGCCGGCAGGCGCACGGGTGAATGCCAGGGCCTCCACCAGTTGAGACGACACCTGCAATCCAATACCCTGCGAGCAAGTAACTTCAACACACAAAAGACGAAGCTCGTTCGTTGATCAGTAATTCAATCCGAACAGTATCAGGTCTACCTGCAAACAAGAGATTGAAGAGCATGTCCAGACGAACTTCCGTAGAAGCTGCAGGCCGGTTAGTGGCCTATACCTCATTCGCCTCTATGGACGTGTCTCATGGCTCATGATCCGACTACTATGTGCTACATCAACAGCCTCTCTCATCCGGGTTATCCATGGATGGCGGTCAAGTTCCCGCTGTATATGGTCTAGTCTCGATGTCATCCAGCGACACTACTCAGTCAATGATCCAGGGCAAAAGACGGACTGACGCAGACGAATTGGATGCGAAGCTGTTCACCAAGGTTAGGTGCTTCTCGATGTTCGATGTATGTGGCGACAACGAAGCCCCTCCTTTAGTTTTCATATCTCGAACATTGCACCTTCGGCCAACCTGGATATTGGTCACAAAGAAAGAAGAAGCTTCGAAAGGATATTCTCACCCCGACGTTGACGACTTGATCATGGCTGTGCCCTTAGTTGCAGATTCGTCGGAAGCAAATGGAAAGGGCATCTAGACCCATTGGCGGAGAAGACAGGTCTTCTAGAGGCGACGCGTTACGAACCGGACATGTACGGGGCTGTCTTTGAATGTTTAGCCGACTTTGCTCGGAAAGACTTTCGGTGTCTTGAAAACACTCGCCTGATATACCCTCTTCGCCGACTTGATCCCAGCTGAACTCATAAATTAGCTCGATGGTCTTCGAATGTCGTCGGAGAACTCTGCAGAAGGCTTAGGTCCTAAGAGCGACTCTGAGTTGATCTTCTGTGTCGTATAGCCAATTTGACGACCAGTTTCGACAAGACATAGAAGTTGACAATAACGAAGCGTCCAGTGCACCACTCGAGGCGAGAGTACTGCCGTCACAACCATCTTGGCTGCTAACGGTAAACGCAAGAATCGCAGAAGACAGGTGGTGCTCGACCAAGAGAAACGGCATGGCCCCCATGCCACGGGCGAGACCACTACGGCCAACCAGTGGCATTCGGCCGGAAAGAAAGATACAGAATACACCTTATGGGTCGGGCCACCAGCAGCAGTCAAGAAAACTGCCTGGCAGACGTGCTAACCTGCGCGACTCTGTTCTCGGGAGGGTGTGCCGAGAAGTTCTCATGGCGAGTATCCTGATATTAGGAAAAATTAGGCGTGGCACTCTCCCCGTTACCTCTTCATACGTGAGAGATCTCCCAGTGGCCCCGCCTAAAATAGTAACAACGCTAGCACTTTTATAATGCTACAGGCTGTGACGTCTGTCGAGTGCGTTTTCAACATAACAATCTTCGATCGGAACACATTCACACCCCCACCTTTGTTGGTCATAGTTTTCGCTGCATTTTTAACACTTGCGAAGGATGTCGTGTTACCCTATTCGATCAGTTTATGACGAAACAACGCCCCAGACGTGGCGTCGAATGACGGACAGGTCAGTCTTGCGGCTAATTCCCCGCGACCTTGGTTGGCTATCCAGTTTTTATCAGACATACATTACTATGCAGGGGCATCAAACAAGGTCCATCAGGGGCGAAGTTGTCAAGGCGCACCTCCTGAAGTCGCTTTGGGACTTCGAAGCGAGAACCGCTTCAAGTTCAGGTGCATTGAGCCTGGCGTATCATTCGATAGCAGCATAGCGCCACTGATGAAATGCAGCCGCACACACTTGTGTTGCCAATTAGAAAACACAGCTGCGAATCTTCGATCGCATCGCAGCAAACCCAGAAGGACCTACCATCGGGCGGACAGTTGCAGGCATTGAGTGCCAAGTCGGTTAACAAAAGCTTGTCGCTGGATGATCCAGCTATCTTCCTCCTTTTTCCCTTGGCTCGCGAGAGCTAATCTGCCGCCTGATCTTGTAAAGCTTGTTCACGATGCTCACCTGGTAGGTCCGTGAGTGGCCTTGCTTACTATGCGCATTTGCTTAATCCGCAATTTGCTGATTGTCTCATTTTGAAGTTGCTCGTCTCTGCTCGCATATCTCAAATTGGCAGGTCTGACAGCGCATAAATCACACAACTTCCTTGATTCTTACGCCAAGTCCCCTGCCCACGGTCTGACGCTACTCGTATATTCCGCGAGATCCTAGTGGAGTTTCAGGCTTTCAGCTGCAACTGCAGCTCCACCCGCCGTTACCGAGCTCGATTTTCCTCGATCGCCGAAGTTGTTTTCTGCGGGCCAGAATCGCACTTCTCTAATGAAAAACATCTCGTTTCCGACCTTCCTCTCACCTCCCCCGCACTCACATAAAGTTCCCTCAGCACCATGGATCGGGGCCGCAAATCAAGGGCATCCTCGTCCGCTTCCTCCCTGACCTATTCCCGCTCGCGGTCACGGTCACGGTCCCGCTCCCGCTCCAGACCTACTCGTGCAGCTTCCTTTGCACCACCATCGGCTGAGTCGCGGCGCCGCCGCCGGCCGCGTTCCATCTCATCATCTTCGAGCTCTTCCAGATCGTCGAGTCGATCGCGCTCTAGGCCGGGGGGTCTGAGGAGCAAAGTCAAGACTGAAGTTACAGAGGCAAGTGGCCTGCAGACTTCTCTCGCCTTCCTGGGTGCCGTGGGAGTCGCTACGTATGCAGCGCATAAGCTGTGGCCCAAGGGTGTCACTTATGGTGAGAAGGAGGCGTGGGAGATGAAGGAGGCTGTAAAGCATGCCGGGAACAAAGCCAAGCACGCTTTGGCGGGGCAGGAACCTCGGCAGCGTAGTCCGCCTCGTCGGTATGAGGGTGATCGGGATCGGGTGCCGGAGAGCAGGAGGCCGCGCGATGATGAACGGTTTGGTCCCAGGGGAGGCAGGTCGTTAATTGCCGATTCTCCTCGCCGGCGTGATCAAGACAGGGACATGGAAAGGGTGCAAATTGTGAGGAGGCCTGCGAATGCCTCGAGGGATTTTGTGGACGTCGCCACTGTCGCGAGTGTGGCCAGTGGGAGTCGACATGGCGATGCCAGGAGGGAAACGTATATCGAGGATGATTATGTGGGCCAAGCTATTGTTCAACGACAATATGCAGAGGCGGCCAGCGTGGCGAATGCCACGAACGGTAGCCGGTCGGGTGATACTAGGAGGGAGAAGTACATTGAAGAAGTTGGGACGGAAGCTCCAGTCGGCGGGACCCAGAGGGTATACGAGGAAGGCCTTATCGGCACGGCGACTGTTGCGGGTGACAGCCGGTCCGCTGACACTAGGAGGGAGAAGTTCGTTCGCGATGATCGGACGGTGTGGCCAAGGAGTGCACGAGGTTTTGATGAAGCTTATGATGAGGCTACTGTCGAGGGTAGCAGATCAAGCGATTCCAAGAGAGACTACCGCGACGACCGCTCGCCGAGATACATGGAGCGTAATGCCACTGTGCGGCCGGTTTCGAAGGGGTTTGTTGATGGCAGGGAGTCTATTGGTGATGATCGGGGGGTTAGGAGACAGTATGTCAGGCAGGTTGAAGAATATCGATGACGGACATACGCGACGAGTATTTGATGACTGGTATGTCATCTTGGGAATATATATGGGTATGAATGATTTATGGTCATGACGGACACGAGGTTGAAATTTGGTTAAAGAAAAGAACAAATAACAGGTTTTCTTATCCCTTACTTCTACGCCGAAGGCTGTCACTAGACAGGATCGACCTGCATCCGCTAGCGCCGTGCTGCTAGTTGGTTCGGATCAGATACAGAATATTTGGTGCTGCCTATCTGGGTTGTCTGCAATGAGAAATGCTATTGTCGATACTGCGGTGTGTAATCGTAGTTCGAAACCGTAGCTGCTTCCCACCTGTATAGCTGGGTCGTTCTTAATGGACGTAGGAGATACTACTGCCTTTCTAGTTCTTGTTCTATAGGTAGATAAGATATGAGACTTCTCACGGTGTCAATCCAGCATGTTCTTTCGCATTGAAACGAGACATGACTTGATCTTTGTGGCCTCGATTATTGTATGTAAACCATTGCTGACCAGCTGCCATCCCCCGAGGCAAAGACGCGTTATGTAGTCTACAAAAGAAACCTGACTCGCAGAAACATTTCTCGGGAAGAACTAAAATCTCCAGATTAAAGGAAAGCGAATTATATCAATCAAATACCTTGACGAAAATGAACAGACTCACTCAAGAACTCGTCCTCGCCAGAATGCCTCCTACTCCCACTGCCTAAAACCCACTTTCAAGAGTCTGGACGCCACAGTCACATCACTAATCCTGCTCCAGCTCATCAACGCCCCAGCCTTCCTCCACGGCGATACCAACCCAGAGCACGTCCTCCTCGCTCATCGGGATGAGTTCTCGTGTCGACTAACCTGCTACGGATTTGCAAACATCCCGCAACGCATACATATCTTCGAGCCGCTGTCAAAGCATCGTTGTGCTCTTGAGTTGGACCAAGGAGGAGCCCAGACGACGGTTCAGGGCAGGCGGTTGATGTCTAGTCGCTGGGGCGTGTGGTGCTGGAGTCGGTGGTCATGTTGCCGGTCTTTGTTGATAGCCGGGTGTATGGTTGGGGAGATGCGGTTCTGGGGTGTTTCCAGGAGAATCGCTGGGTTTGGGATGTGTGCTCGCGAGGGTGGACCGGCGCGGCCCGATGCCACGATATCTGGCGCGGGTGAAGGATTTGGTAAACTGAGGCGCGTCGAAAAGACGTTCCGACCGGCTTGGTGCGGGTTTGCCTTGGTAGATAGGATAGAGGGTTTGGGGGATTGTACGGAAGTGTCGCGTATTAGGATGCGAGTGGCTGTCGGCAGAAGCCGGTAGTTAAGGACTGTAAGGATGTCTCTGTCTCGGTACTTGATATGTAAGAGCTTGAGCTCCGGTTGTTTAAAAACTGCGATGGAATCATGAACAATATGGTCATATTGATCTTCTTCCCACGACAAAGGCAAGCTGACGAGGTTATGCTTTGACCAAGGTCTATGCTCTATACTTCTTATTCTAGGGCGTTTTGCCGCTCAAGGAGGATTTCGAGCAGTCTGTAAAGCCCCTATGACTGGAATTAGTTGACGACTTTCGTTGTGTATCAGCGATGCAGTGATACATACCTCCCAGTCATGTATCCATAACAAAGGCGACTCACATAACTCTTCCAAGGCATCCTCGAAGTATACTGAAGGTTCACGTGTTGGGTCAAAGGTGCAGAGGAACGAACGAGCTGGAACTCTCGATGTGTGGTCGAATGGCATTCTCAGAAACATCCGAAAACATTTCTATAACTTTAATAACGACATCGAACGTCTGGTTCTTAGAAGTCGCCGTCATGGCCTGAATGTCCTTGGTATGCTGTCGACTCGTCTCTTCGTGTTTCGTCGACACGTCAAGTAGAGTTATTTGGTCTTGTTCATGCTGACTGATCAGCTTGTGTAGTTCGTCAATCCCGTCCATTACAGTCACAGTCTACTTGATTCTCTTTGCACAGTTCATCAGGCATGGACACATACCGAGAGGGCCAACAAAGAGATCGACAAAGTGTTGGATGACCACCACAGATTGGACTAAAATCGAAGCAGCTCCGATGAGCCACGTCAACCGCTTTACATACTGCTTGTTTTATGCCACAATCCCCGCAGGCGGCGGTGTTTGCGCGCTGCCTATTGGTGGCGGCAAATGCGATCTGCATCAGCTATCTGCCTATATGTTTACACTCGTTTTCTAAGATCAAGGTTGTGGCGAACATCTAGAATAAATGTGTATATTTGAGAAGTAAGGATATCTCAATGATTAGTATAGATTAAATGATGCGAAGCAAACTTGAGGGACTCGATATTAACCCTTTGCCATCGTCCCGATGCAACGCATCTCTGAGGTATACAGATTAAGGCTCACGTGGCCACAGCTAAGTTACCCAATGAGATCAATATATCAGAAGACGGGAGAACATAGTACATGGAATTAAATGAATGATATATCAGAGACACGCGCGTCACTAATCTTTACCATGTACCCTGGGAAGTTCCTCGGATGGTTTTCCAACATAGATATAAAGTATGCCATACTAAAATATGGCGCGTAAGCCTCAAAATCCCAGCATCAGCCGTTCGCGAGAGATGATAATATCATTTACTGAGCACCTATTTAGAAATGCCTGAAGTTGAATTTCTTTCGGGCGAACTAAGTCAGTCTTCCAAAGACATTATCGAATGCTTCAACGCCACCACTTCTTGCATGAAGCATCCCTTAGATGCTCCGGTTCATCTCGCCAAAGCCGGGTTCTCATTATGCAGCGGCTTGTTATCCCACGGCACTGAATACCCAAAAGAAACGACAGGGCTCTGTCGTCATTGGCGAGTGGCATAAAATTATATGGATCATTTCCTAAAGACGGCATTACATTACTTTGACCGAAGACAAGAGATATTGAAACCCACGGGTGAGTAAGCAAGCAGGAGAGGGATGATGCTCAAACTGGAAGTCATGACTTCACGTGTCCTATATTGTATGTAAGGGTATTTGAAAACAAATCTACTTCCTCAATTTCGTATGGCCATGACTTAGTTGGAGGTAATTCTGTGTTCCGGAATATGCATGCAGGTCGCTTCTCCTGTTGCCCAGTCGATCAACCGCAGACTCGAGGAGCAACTAGTGCAGCACTAAGTTATTCACCCGAAGAAAACATTGACAAGATGAATATTTCGACTTATTCAATCCAAGTTGCCTCCGTGGATTCTGGTATACGTCGTAGCCCCTATACTGGATGCCAACCGAAGACATCGAGATCGAAATCTGTGCAAATTGAGAGCAGCAAGTCATCACTATGCGTTTTTCTATGTTAAGTGCTTGACTGACCAGTGCGCCTGAAACCCGCTTGACGGATTTGGGTGTACGAGCGTAACTGCCTAGGCGGTACGTCTGTAGATGTTGTATTGCCACTGCAAAATAAACCAAATAAGACCTCTTACTGCTCCGTCAAAGGAGATAGATACCATCCAATCGCTCTCATATTTGTATTAACCATTTGTAAGGTTAGCCACTAACGCGTCTGCGGCAGGTAATACGGATAAGGGGAGAAGAGATAAATGGCAGCCCCGAGTTGGAGGTTCAGGCGACGCATGCTCATATTCGTGTTTCAAACAACTACAGCGCTTGTTTTTGCGGCGTCGAGATTCTAGAGACGGGACCCGTGCTGGTTAACTTGACCGACTAGCGATCCTACTGTCCTTGCAAACCATTTATTTCGGCGTGTCTGTTCTCAGCCAACACCACATATCAGCTGTCAGCGATAACATGAACTATGTAGATCTCATAAACATTAAAATTACTAATTAACCCATCTACAGACGGAAAGCCTCATATCTCTTCCCCACCACCGTCCCATTTCCCAACGAGCTATCACTATAAATGGACATGGTATCCGTCGTGTTCTCATACTGGGTACCACACATCTCGGAAAACCCCCTAAATAGCTCTCCTCTATGTTGGACATACTCATCAAACGCCTCTCTGGAACAACTTGTGGCCGGTCCATCCGCACACTCCACCAACGACTGCGGCGCGCTATTCACCAACACGCGGTAATACTCCCCATCCTCGTACCCGTAGCTCCCCGTGCAGTTCATGCGTTCGATTGCAAGGTTACTCAAGAACGGAAGAACATGAGAACTTTTCCAGACGCGTTGGTGGTTAATGCGGTCAAGAGGCATGGTATCATTGACGGTAGCTTCTGACCCTCCGAAAGCAGAGTTGTTGAAGAGACCCATGGCGACGAAGACCATAGGAGGCAGCTCGCGGTGGGTGAAGCTAACGTAGAGGTCATCAGCACCGGGGGTCTCGCTCATGAGAAGGTTGGCCGTGGCGTTGAGCCAGGGGAGGCCAACGTAGCCGGCAACGTTGTTGCCGTAGCCGACGTTATAATGGTATCTACGGTAGTAGAGTCAGTAACCTGGGGAAAATATCCAGAACGGAACCGTGAGAAGAGGTGGATTTACCTGACATCTTCGGTGTACTCCCAAGCCAACCATTCATCCGGCGAAAATAGATCCAGGTCGCAGAACGGCGAGCGACCCCTAATGACGGACTCGTACCCACACAGTTGCATCATGCCATACACATCCTCTGTCGTGAAGTTGAACCCGGGCACCGCGGCATTGAACCTTGCCTTGATGGGCTTAGTGAAGATCTTCTGGTGCACGGCCGACTCATCACTTCCCGCCGACGAGCTGTAAGCCGGACACGCCTTATACGGCGTCAGACTGTTGGCGCCGGACTCAGCCGATTCGTACACGCTAACCACATTAATAGTGTTATCCTCCTTCTCGAGCCCACGAACAAGCGACTTGGCGCTCTTCTCTGTGCGCTCAGCCGAGGAAGTCCAGATGCGCTGAGGCAACTTCAAATTAGGATAGCGGAACGACAAATCCACACCCAGCTGCGTAGCCTCGAGCTTGCCAACCTGGGTAAGCAGCTCCTGCTCCGATTCGGATAGAGGCGCGGTCCAAGTGGCTAGGAAATTCAACGAGGGGACCTTGGTCCAGTCGATACCCGTGTTGTTCTCGAGCTTGGAGATGAAGGGCTCGATGTAGGTCTCAAAGTCAAAATCGTTAGCGTAGATGGCGGCGTGGCGGTTGAGATAGGCGGCCCGGGACACGGAGCAGCCTTGAGGCGCGTCAGGGGACGTGGGAGGGTCTTGGGGTTCAAAGTAGGGCGCCACGCCGCCGAGGTGCTCGAGAGGGTTGAAGTTATAGGTTGAGTAGAGGGTGGTGGCTGAGGAGAGGGCTGCTAGCGGGAGGAGGCCCACGAGCTGCGTGGTGGAAGGAGCCATCTTGACTGCCTTGTGTGCCATGTGGCCAAGCTGCTGCAGGAGGACTTTGTGTAGTGTTGACGATGGCGTGGTGAAAGTGCAAGTCCGGTGGATTTTCGTGTGGGGGAATAGCGCGCCATAATGTATTTCTATCGGTCTGCCCTGCACTTTCTAGCACTAGGGTATTGTTTACTTACGTAGATCCCCATAATACGAAGAACTATGTTTGCTGCATCAGCGGTGCAAGTGTAGGCAAGTGGTTGGCGATAGCTTAATTGTGGGCTGGCGGCGTGGTGATCGCCGTCGAGGTAGTGCGCTGAAGTGGCAGCACTTTGGCGTCATTGGCCTGAGCTCTCAGCCGCCAGCAAGTAGCCAAAACAAGATCAAGGAACCTTATTTCCCCACAATATTCCTGCTGTCAATCCCCTCACGTCATCAAATAGGTGAACTAGCCGATCTGGAAATGAACAGAAATGAGAAGCCTCATCATTGGCACGGACAGTTCAGCCCGAGCGGCTTGAACGGCATTTACCCTTGGCTCTGACATCCCTACATCCCTACCTTGAAGGTGACATGATGACGCTTGATAAGGGCAAGGACGCAATGCCGTGAGATTTGATATGCTCACTGCGAAACTGTTACTCTCTTGGGGATTGCTAGCTTCTGGTTATGAGCTCATCGGGGCCGATCTGGGCGAAATCCTCAGTTGCTACTCGTTCCCCCAGTCTGCCCCTGAAATCAACTGACTAATCAACTTGCTTAAGACCAGATTCCTGGTGAGGCATGTTTGTCGTGCTTCGTAGCCTGCCTTCGTCGCGTCGCATATAGCAACCGCAGGTCCCGTCATGCTGAGCAAACTGTGTTACTAGTTAATAAACACGACCCCTTGAACGGCAAAAGGTATCCCGTAGATTTTTGAATCGATTGGGCCCTCGTATTCGCCCCGGATACGTCTAGGCTCGCCATCTTCTCCTTCTAGACAGTATGCATGCTCCTAAACATAAATTAATTACATGAACTCCAGCCCCTCATCGTGCATAGGTGCATCATCTGCATCTTGATCTTGATTTTGATATTCGTCTCCGTCCGACATACAAACAACATCAATGAACCATCGTTCTTGAGCTCCAGGGTTTGAGTTGAAGGCGGCAGTAGGTCCCCTAGTTTGCTCGTCGCCATGTTACACAACTGGGCGAACTGCGTCGTCAGCTTCAGGTGCGCAGATTCTTTGGTAGGTTCGGGCAAGCAGGTAAGCGGGAGGTAGTCGGAGAAGCTGGAATCTTCCGAGTACAAGTTCACAATGAGTAACTTCAGTGCGCCCGTGTGGAGTTGAAGGGCTTATCTGTTTGATCCCTTGTGGAACTCACGGAGAAGTAGGTCGCGCCCGGGCGTGTAGAATGCACACAGCTCTAGGCTGGTTATGCCAAGATGGCTCTGGTTGATGAGGTCGTCCCCGCTACAAAGGTCAACCTCAATGATAAGTATCCTCAAACTGGTGATCCGGAAGAGAATTTGGCAAGCCATGGGTTGGTACTCCTGGTGGTCTTCTTCATCGGAATCGGTACCGTTTCGAGGACCTTTTTTGTTATCTGCGCGTCGTTCTGCCTCATAACCATGGTTTTAGTCCGTAGGCGACCTTGAAATCCGCCTTCATATGGGTAAAATTTCGGAGTCCACATGCAGTAGTGGGTCAATATGCTTGCGAAGCTCTGGCAACTCGACCGGCGCTCGGAGCATCCAAACAGTGTGTAAAAGAGTCAGTTCAAATTCTTCAAGTGTGTTGGCTGATGAGACGATGAAGAGAGAAGATGTATGCTCGAATCATGCGTTAAGCGGGCAATCATTTCATCTAATTACAACACTTTTCTTGAATCTCTCACCCGACTTCGATGTCTGCATATTGTTCTTGATGTTTCGTCGCTCTCTGCGGCTGTTGCAAAGTCCGTCTATATCTGCACTCTATACTCTATGCTCTATAAATCCACCAAATCTGCCCTCCCCTTCAAGCCTTCTCCTCAACCTGCCGCTTGGGCGTCCGGTTCGACTTGATCAAATAAGCAATACACACACATACCCCCAACCCCGCAAGCCCAATGCCCATATAATATGCGCTCCTATACCCTTTCAACCTATCCTCAGGCGTCTTCCCCCCATTGTTCACATTATACTCTACGGTCCCGGCGAAACCCAGCCCCAGCGCAATACTATAGTTCACCACCGTATTGACCAAACTCGCCGCAATCCCCTGGTGCTTCCTCGCCACGGCATTCGATAGAATGAGAGTCGCCGCTGGGAAGGACATGTCCATACCCCATGGCATTATTATTAGCGCAACGAAGCTTTGCCCCCAGTATATCTGGTCGACTGGACAGGTAGCCATGAGTATGGTTCCCACGGTAAATGCCGCGAGGGCACCAGTCATAACGAGCGGGGGCCCGATACGGTGCAGCAAAAGCCCCACGAGGCCAGCGGCCATGGCGCCCGAGATGGCGACAGGACAGAACCAGGCCGTCGCCAACAGAGGGGAGGCGCCCCGGCTTTCTTCGAAGAATTGCCAGGTGTACCAAAGCCAAATGCCGAAGCAGGACCAGCCACAGGCCACGGCGCCGAGGACGAAGGAGACGTCGGAGGACAGGGCTTCGAAGGGGATGAGGGGTTTGGCCGAGTAGTGGTTCTCGATGACGAAGAAACCAATAACGAAGATGATGCCGATGATAAGACAGACGTATACGTATGGCATCTTCCAGCCGACGATCGGTGCTTGGTTCCAGGCGAAGTTGATGAGGATCAGCCCCGTGACGCCAACGAAGGCACCGGGGACGTCGAGATGGTGGACCTTGCCCCAGAAGTCCGGCGGCTGTTCGTCTCTATCGGACGACGGGGCGTCGGGAATGGCGTACCAGCCGACTGCGGTAGTCATTGCTAGTGCGATGGAAAAGGACCAGAATGTCCATGGCCACCACTTCAGTGAAAACAAGCCGGCGAATGCAGATCCGATGACGGCGCCACCCGGGGCCGTGGCCGCGAAAGCAGCAAAGGCCAGGGACTTCTTTCGCCCGGGAGCGTAGGTTGCGCCGAGAATGGCCAGTCCGTTGGGCAGCGCCAAGGACGGGCCGAGCCCTTGAAGTACACGGGCGAAGATGAAGAGGACGTAGCTCGAGTAGACGGCGAGACCGGCCACCATACTCCAGAAACTGTACCAGCCCATGCCGATGAGGAAGATCTTCTTGTAGCCGAAGACATCGCCAAGGCGGCCGGCGAAGAGGATGAAGGTTCCGACCGTCAGACTGTAGCCGGAGATGAACCATGAAAGGTCGCCCGAGTTGGCTATTCCCCAGTTGTCACCAATGACGTGGAGAATAGCAATTGCTTGTCCAAGACCGGCCTCTGTCTAGTCGTTAGTTTTTGACCCAGTAGCGCAGCGATGATAACCTTACGCGTAAATAACTGCGCGAGACAGATGATGATCACGAAGAGCAGCTCGCGGTACCACGGAAGGGTCTCTGCAACGGACACGGTAGACTTCGGCCTCGTCAAGGTCCTGGGTTCTCCGTCCCTGTCTCCATCAGAGTCGTCGTCGCTGGATGGTGAAATATCCAAACGACTCGAGGTTCGCGTCACTTCGTTATCGGAGACATCTTGGCACACCGGTCGACGAGGAGTCATCCCGGGATGATGCTCATGTGATGAGTCTAGCCTCGAGTCCTCTGTTGCCATTATTCCTCGATGTGAAAAAATTGATCAGCCAGGGAACGAGTTGATCTCAAAACACTAGGAAAGAGTTAAGATCAAGATTGCACGAGCTAATGAGGTTCGGCGTTCCGTTCCCAGAGTGGAGAGCGCGCCATGCAGTCCCTTTATGATCCCTGGGACCCACTGCAAATTGTAACTGCCATCGTGCCTGGGAAGCTGGATGGTCTTCCACTTGAAAGAAACCCGGCAAAACGCCTCCGCACGCCTATTTTGTATGGGGATAGTTTTCTCCCATGTGCCGTGGACCGATAACATGAGCGCCAAGAAAATGACCATTGGCATGCCATGGTATGGTCCATTATCACGCGTCGTGCCATGCAGAATATCTTTTTTGTCTTCTTGCTCGGTAATAGGGGCGATGGAGTCTCTCAACGGATTTATAAGGCTGACCATATCATGACAAGGGTCCACGACGTGCTAAGCTAATGCCGGGCCCACATTATGGAGCCCGATTATGGAGCCTGGCTGCCCGGCTTGCCTGGAATGGCTGGGAATTTGAAATTATTCATCGAGGCAGCCATCATCCACCGCTTGTCTATCAATGCTCCATCTTTGCCTCTGGCGCATTCACGGATGCGGTCTGCAAACTCCATGGCCGGCAGGTCGGGCTTGACGTTGTCAGGTCGGATGATGTCTTCCGATATCGCACCAACAGCGAGCGCCTAAAGCTGTGGTGGCTGTTCGTACTTCGTAAGACGTAGTGCGACTCATGAGATGGTATGGTCCTGGTATCATATTCAACTGTTGCGTGCTTGAAAATAATGGGTACGGCATCGTTCTTTTGACCTTTGACCTGTGGTTGGATTGAAGAATGAAGCCGTCTGGACAGTAGGATATTCAAGTTATGCATATACCAGCCCCGATACTACGAAATGGGTAAATTTGCATATGTACTTATCTACATATCCGCAGATCAGACTACCAACAACCTCGTGCCCTTACCCAAGAACAGTTTCCTAATGATAAGATGTTTATTCTAGCTGGCAGCTGAGCATAGACATATGGAGAATATGGAGGATTTTCAGTTTCCAAGGAACGACATGACTGGTTTTGAAAGGCAAGTCTTTCTACAGTATCAAAGATGGAATCAACTCCTCCCCATATCTGCGTGGTCGGCACAGAAGTGAGCGGGCTGAAAGCTGTCAACATCCTCACCTTATCAGGCTTCCAAGTCGCGGTATTCGAGGCCAGAGAACGGATCGACGGAAGGGTGCACCAGTATCCTTCACTAGGCCCGTTAGTTGATCTAAGGGCAGCTGGATCTATGGCACTATTAGAAATCCTATTGTACGTGTCGCAAAAGAGGCCGGGTGTGTATTCAGTTATTTTGGTGCGGCATATTCCATGTTCTACGGCGAGAGGCGTAGGATGGATGAAGATAGATCTCGGAAACCGTACATGAACGTTTGGGAGACTCTTAGAGCGGTTTTTGAATTCAGTGAGAGAGGGAGTATGACTCTGCTAGCTCGTCAACAAGACTCGTCGACTTCGTAAAGGAGAAAGCTCGTGGTTTCAATTCGTTGCGCCATTCTGCCCTTTGCCCGTCTGTTACGGGGGCTACAAGGTGCTCCGCACGACTCCTTACGGGCCTCTCATACACATAAGGAAGGCGGGTAGAAGCTAAAGGGTCCGCGACGACCGTCACGAGGTAAAGCTCTTTACGCGATGCAGCGCGTTGTCTTGTTCATGTATGCCCTGCTCGTGGTATCCAGCCGATCAACGAATACATTCTACAAACTCCAACACAAAATATTGCTGCGCTTTCGCTCGCTAAGAAGAGGCCACCGAAAACACCATAAGTCTCAACATCAAGAAAGATCATTGGACAGAATTAGGGTTACATCAGTAGATCTCGCATAAGCTCTACGGTCCGCTGCAGCCCTACAGCTGCGGTCCCCTCCGACGGCCACGCGAGATATAAGGTAATCCCCTGTTAATTACATGGATCCCACAACGATCTTCCTTCTATGTATCAGCCACAACATTAAAGTTAATTATCATAAAGCTGATTTGATCTTGACTTTCAGTGTCTTTCATTGGTACTGGCTGATGAACAGTACCTTAACCGTCTTTATGTGCTTAATAACAAATTTGATGAAGGGCTTCCCAGGACTCGTATACATCAGTACCTGAGTTTTCCTTGCGGCTCGAGTGCTGTCAAGAGCCTGGATGAGATCTTGTAATAACTGTTCATGTTATTTGCCCGTAGGGCAATATCTTGACTCATGACGAGAAAAGCAGACTCGTTACAGTGACCCTCAATAGATCTGCGTATGGCCTATATTTCCGCTACTAAGACTGAACTACTTCTCAAAGCTATACAAAGTTAACTAAAAGTCGTAATAAGGATAAGAGTACACCGATATGTTTAGAATTAGTCGCTTTATCAATTTACAAAGTAATCATACTTTTATTTATAATTATCAGTATTTCCATGGTCATTACATTACTGCATTTGTTTCTACAGGTATCCGGCCTCCAATCCGGGCCCTTCAGTGCTGAAACGCGGGGGATAAACTTTGTGCGGACTATGTACATTCACTGAGAGCTATTATCTAGCTTCAATTGATCAATCCTCTCAAATGCACTGCACGAAGTGATCAGAATCTCACAAAAGTTTTAACATACATCTTACCTATAACTTCGAAGTATAATAGCTTTGAAATCATGAGATATATGAGAGCGTAATTATTTAAGGCTCATAGTTTAACTAAGTCGTATGATATATGTATGAAGTTCTGGTCTCAAGTGTGGAGGGGCACGAGGCAGGCAGGCATGCGTTGTAGTATTTAGGGACCCCTCGGGCCAACTTGAGATTGATCCCTTATGCACCTTCATAGTACCAATACAGCCCCTAATACCTGGATTTCGACAAACTATACAACTTTACTCCCATCTTAAATATAGCGAGATTTGGTAAGTTTTGGCAGGGAAATAAAGCCCGTATCCAAACTTATTGAGGGTCGCTGTACCTTCACGTTAAATCGGTCTCTACACAATCGCAGTAATCCAGCTGATTGAGCTTCACAGATATTATTATTATTATTAAATACGCCGTAGGCTCGAAGCCCCCGGTACCTCTACTAGTACTCCCGTATGTCAAACCGTGCCCTAATGGCTGGACTAAATACATACGCTGCGTCGTCGGTTCGCCCTATTGGCGACTGCGTTGCGTTCACTACTACACTACGTTGGTTCTCAACCTACCAACAAAGTCCCCCCTGAGAAGATCGATGCTATCTGGGCCTTGAAGCTGTCCGACCCGTCCCTAGCAGCCACCTTACAATAGTCCCACTAACTACTGGTTCTCTTGTTGCCGTTGCGAGGTCTCTGCGAGAGTATAGTGGCCGTGGTGCGATAGCGGCCCGTAATCGTTCCCTCGGTCCTTCCAACAGCCCGCAAAAGAGGATTACGTGCTCTGCCGTCTCAGGGGCGTCGCCACAGCGGCATAGCGGCGAGTACACGCCAAAAGCCCCTGTCTTGAATAAGAAGGCTGCTAGTCCTATTTTTTCCGTCCTGATCTGGCACAGCGTAGACGCCTCCAGTCGGTTCAGGCCGAAATACTTGCCCCCTTTCGGTATCTGCATCGAAGGGCCCTCCGGTTCCTCAGCGATAGCGCGTCGCTGGCGATCGTGATGCTCTGCTCCGGTGAGCCATCTCTTCCTCCAGTGGCCGAGGAGGGCAGCCGGGACCTCCTTTTCCTCACTCATCCACTCGGAGCCCCGGGCCTCCTTCTCCATAGTGTACCCTGCCGGTCGGAGTAGCTGCGACGCCTGCTTCCTCTTCGCCGGCCTATCCTGCCGGAGTATATGTGACGCTTTAGCGCTCGCGCTGCGAAGCAGATTTCTCTTCCCGCTAAGCCGTAGCCGTTCTTCAAACTTAGCAGCCCGGGCACTAAGATAGAGGTCTAGTGGCGGGATTGCTGCTTCTGCTTCCAGGTGGCGAACCGGCGTCGCTTTGTGGGCGCCACAGACTACCCGGAGGCACTCGTTCTGTATCCCCATCAGGCTCTTAGCTGGCCCTGCCGGTTCCTCACTTATAGTATGCCACGCAGTCGCCCCGAAGGCGATCGCGCTACGGATAACCACCGTATATAACAGCCTCGCCCGTATAAGATTTTCACAGATAAGATCATGGCCTTAGAAGTCATGTAATGACTGCAATCTATAGTCTGAGTCATAAACATTCATAATATAGCTTTATGCATACTAATTTGCTGGTGGGTAATTTTTCTCGCCAGGCCGATTGGCGAGACCTGCTATCGGGGTCACTTTCGAAAGGTTGGTGGCTCCTTATAGAGAGATAACTTAGTAGGGGGATATTATGGAAAGTCCAGCATGAATAAGAGTTCTTGAAAGATTCAGCCCTCTGTTGATGACTCTGTGTGGATCTCGTATTGATTGCCGTGTCTGCTCTACGCGTTGTGCCGCGTTGGTTGCTAGAAGCGCTGTTGCTCTCTATGTATAAGGGAGGAAGGGTTGGACCCACTAGCTACACTTGCCGCTACACCACCTTCGGCCTAGGCCATAACTGTGACGCTCAATCCCACAGTTCTTAGTAATTTCAAAGTAATCTTTGCGAGGCAATCGGCATTTCAGGGAGTAGGTGTATGGTGTTTAACTGGATAAAGTGCAATGGGGGTGACTGTCTGAGAACCAGTGGACATGGGAACAAAGAAATGGCTGTTTGACGTAACTCGCGTGGGCATCGTATCGTAGCTAGTAAGATGAGGTCAACAACAGTTTAATCCCATTTAATCAGAAAATCAATGAGTATTGAGGTGTATCAGCATGATCAAGTCTAATGAGCACACTTTAAGGGAGGAGGTATCACGAGGATCGAAGTGACAAATGATATCCGAGAACACACTGTATCCATATCTATCTACCCAAGATGTCTCCTTCTAACACTCATACGTTTACTTCACTCACCCTTATCTTCCATTCCCCTCCCTGCTGTACCAGTCACGATCCTACTCGCGGAAAAACGAGTCCCTCATATCACGGAATTTCTCAGTAGCCTCAAGTAAAACCCACTTGAGCGGCTTTCGCCTGGGTCCGGGACAAAGATGCGGATCCTTGTCCGGAATTCTGCGAGTCATCCACGTTTTGTTATCCTGGCAGAGACAGTAGCCGTGGTTCTTATAGTACGGACAGTGCTCGTCATTTTTGGTGTCCCAGTTGCCAGTCTCCTGTTGACAGACCTCGCAGTAGGTGATCACGACAAGGTGTTTGCACATGTTTGCGGTGTCGCTATAGGTGATTTGAGTGGTTGCAGTCGTTTTGCGGTTGTGAATTGCAAGGTTCATAGAGCTTGGGTTCACTGTGAAACAAGAGGATAGGCTATATACTTTAGTGGTCTTGTGATCCATGGGTACTTGTATAGGGAGTTGCTGTGCCTGCTTATAAGGACAAAGCGTTGTCTCTAAACAATCTCTTGATTGTTTTGGAGCTTTGTTATGCATATTGTGCATACATAACTTGGATCTCTTTCGCCGTGTCACGTCTATCTAGCAGCTAGCATGAACAAAGCCTGCAAGCCACTATTCGAGCCCTGTTGCTCATCTATAAAATACTGAGAGAGATTTCTTTCATGTTATTCTCATTTGATAGGTCCAACATGCATGTATTGCAGTTAATTCTTCGGCCAACAGTCTACGGTCAACGACCAACTTAACACAAACCGAGACGTAGCGGGTCGAAAAGCCAAATGCAAAGTACTCAGACATGTTCACTTCATCATCATCCAGATAATACCATTCCTTCGAAGCAATATAGATTCATCATGAGTGATTCATTTTCTAATAGTCAGTGAGGAAATGTGATGGTCGTTTTAATACATTGCCGGTAAAAGGATTGACCCCTTCCACAACCTCCAAGTTACTAATGCCCTAAAACAGTTTCCATGAGCTGAGAAGGCGTATTAACCTAGAATAAATCACTCAAATATACTTACAGAAATTTCCAAAGCTATAACGGCTTTTATCGCTCACATTCTTCGTGCCCGTAAACAAGCAGCCTTGGCCAAACAGCGAGGTTCACATGCTTACGATTGTCTTGCTTAGAATGTGGCAAGTTGAATTGATAACCCCTCCCATAAGTCGTTAGACAGACATGGTGCTTGAACTCGATATTTGAGAGTAGATCTGAGATCTGGAAAGGAGGATGGTTGGTAATTGGAGCGCTGCCGGCCTTAGAGGCTTTAAGCCGCAGATAAACTCCTCCTGAGTAGTTCTCGGCGCAACAGCAAGACTTTACCAAATTGGCATATGATATCAATACCAGTCCTAGTCCTACATGTTGCACTGAGAAGTATGTTTCCACCGAAGACTAATGGCTTTGCTTCTAGTATTCAATTGGGAACAGTGCTTGCTGCTCGGAACGATTGGCAGGCGTGCTTCTACTCTCACATGTATATTTAGCCTTGTGAGCTTCAAACTAGAAAGGACGATCAGACTGGGATATTGTGGACGGAAATAACCTCCATTGTCAAGTCGGAACTCTTGATAAAGCGTGGTCTTTTCCATTCCTAGACTCAACGTGAACAACGATCGTGCGAAACCATTTGGGTTGTCTGATACCGCCTGTTTAACGTTTGGCGGCATATCGACAGGCCATTTACTTGAACCTGGGCAATATCGTTGCAGTAATGTACACGTGATCTGGGTTTCTCGCTTTGTTGAGGCCGACTGATATGCTACATGCAGAGTGTCTGGGAGATTCTCAAAGCCTGCAGCCGTTGATGCCTCACATATCATTTCGGTTATCGGCGAACCGCATTCGCAAGATAAGGTACTGGATATACATGATGATGATGGCCTGCACGTCCAGGGATACGCCATTACAGGCTGAATTCATGGTAACTGACATCGTGAATTGGTGATACGGTTAGCTTCATTTCAGAAGGCTCTGGTGCGTTTCCGTCCTATTTGCAGGTTAACCAAATAGTTGGCTCCACGCTCACTGAGATGCTCGGATCGTTATAGGGTAGGGCACGATTGGGTGGATACGATTTTCGGGTCACCTTATGGTGGTTTGTGCAGAAACACTGTTATCTAGAAAAGCGAGGGTCCTTGCACAAGAGGAAAATTGGTGCTGCATTCTGTGGCGAACGTCCTTTCTGTCATGTAATATCGCGTCTGCTCCCGCTGATGTGGCCCAAACCAATAACTCAAGTCAAGAGTGATTTTCGGGGGTTCGGCTTCTTCACGAAGATGGGGCGGTCAAGAGATTTCGAATACAACAAGAAACATTCTACCTCTTTGCTCACCTACCCAGATAATCTTCGCATCAGTGTTTCCAGCGACATTGTTCCATAATGGCGGTCTAGATAAAGTTGGTGTACTAGCTCATCATACCTTTGAGGTCAGCGCTATAAGTTTAGTATCTCGACATATTTTTCTGTCGATGAAATGCAGCCGTGGAATGGTGATATCCAGGAAACAAGACTTGCAATGGTGCTTGCCATGTGGGAAGTGTGGCAGCTTCGGCACGAGCATAACGCTGTGCTGTCAAGTCATCATGGGCCAGTCTGCAGCAGTGTATCCATGGCTAGTTCGCCCAAGTGCTCAAATGGGTAGCGCTGAGAAGATCAGTGACGACATGAACAGCTGCGACGGTGCGAATAGCCTCATTCCCACAAGTTGCGATGGCTGGGTCGAAGCGGGTATGCCAATTTGAATCATGGCCCCGCCGACGGAGGCTCGATGAAAATCGACTCAAATTCAGATTAATTCGAACAGCGTCAACGGGCAACTACATCCTCAAAATCTCCCAGAGTGTTCATCATGCCGGGCCAAATTCATTTCCATGGAGAGACATACTAAAAAAAATGTGCGAAGATGTTGACCTCGAAGGGTAATGATTCTGCTGGAATAACATCTATTGCTGCGAAGTGAGTGTGGCCACCGGCGAAATTGAAAAGACAGCCCCCTGGATTGTCCCCCACAGCTAGGCCTCTGCGACGACAATCATCCTGTGTCTCGAGCCAAGACGTCAATCGCAAGGAAGCAGGAGGCGGTCAAGGCCTATGTGCTGGCATGCGATCTATGGGGGCGGAGATCGGCAGGTACGGACGCATAGGGCTGAGCCTAGAATTCTGGAATTCTAGAGTTCAACGGTTAATTATCAAAGACCTGCCCGGTTAGTGGGCCACCGTATAGACTGGCTGATTGGCGGGAAACAGGTTGGCATCAACCGGATCGGTTCAAGGTCAACAAGAACGGCAATTAGCAAGACCTCGGGAAATTCGGAGAGATCCTTTTCGGCTTGTGGCGATTGGCGTATTGGGCTTGGATCACATTGAGTGGGAGTCACTTGCAGGAAAGCCATCGTTCCGACGATTAAGTAGGCGTAATCACAACTCAAGGGTGGGCGCATTCGCCAACCACTTTGCACCATTCATCTGATCTGTGGACGGAGTTGAATGGATCTGGACCAAAAATATAACCTGGGGAAGTGGCGCTCGGCAAAGGCGCAGGTTACTAATCAGGATCCACTACCTCTCCAAAAATGGATTAGCTCCTCCCGGCGCCAACTTCACACATCGCGTCCAGCTGCTTTTTGGCATCTTTGCGACAACCCCCTCTTCACAAGCCTCCGCTTCCAAGGCCTTCAACGTGCCAAAGACGCGTCATTCCGCAAGACCTAGCCCATAGACACGTTTCTGTACGCCAAGTAACGAATATCCAATGGTTTTCCTCGTCATTCACTCCTCTCTTGCCACTTCGATGTCACACCCTGAATAGGACCATTTGTCATCACCAGGTCCATTTCTCCTACCTCTATTCATCTCCAACATGGCTCCCAGCCCGAGGACGCCACGGCAGCCTGCTGCTCCCCTCTCTAGGAGCCGTCCCAAGACATCCAGACGATCCACTGATCCGCGACGACGCGAGAGAGACGACGGTCTGACTGCAGCGACCGAACCTCCACCAAAGCGGCGGCGATATGTTCCAGGCGGCCCCGGCGGGGGTGGACGCTTCATTGATAAGGACGGAAACGAGATCCCTGGGGGACGGCCCGGCTCGGCTAGCGCAAGCACCTCTAGACCAAGGGTGCGCCAGAATACGAACAACAGCGGAGTCGCCGCCTCTCCGTCGGTCTACCCAAGACGCGAACGCAGTACACGCACGCGAACAGCAACACATAAAAGTGGCGATGACGATATGCAGATCAGCTCAGCAGCTGCTGTTGCCGCCGCCGTAGTGCAAAGTGAGGGGTACAAACCAAGAGAAGAACGCGGCTGGGAAGAGTTCCACCCCAACCTCGATATCGAGGGTACCTTTATGGTATTCCATGCCGACGACGTTGATGGGACAGCAAAACCCACTCTAGATTCCTTATCGGCACAGAGTCTTGGTACAGATCGAACTGAGGTGGAAAGCCCACTGAAGGACCCAAATGGCATATCAGGAAGCGCCACGAACCCAGCATTACTCCAGGCCAACGGCGCCGCCTTTTCAGGACTTGGAATTACTCCAGGGACTCCGTCAAGACGTCGTTCCGGCCGGCCTAGAGACTTGTACTTTCCCAACCGCGATCTGGGTGCAACACCGAAGGCGCCCAAGGTTCTACCGATTCACAACCAGACGCCCAAGGAGCGCCTTGACCTCAAGCTTCCCCAGTATCGCAAGACCGACCGCATCTTGCTTTTCGAGAGCAAGACATTCGGGCAAGCAAGATATGTCGATAAGGCCATGATGAACGTCGGGTATCAGGAGAGCGATAACTATATCCGACCGGAACGTAGGCTGATTAAGGCGACCGATGCAAACATCGAAGATGAGGCGGATCATGCCGCTGTAAAGAGCGATGGCGAATCCTCTCTTCATATTCATCCTTTGGGTCGCGTTGAATACGACATGGATGAGCAAGACGACATGTGGCTTGAGGCGTACAATGCGCAGCGAAAGACGGTCGGCTGGAATCCGGTAACTCGGGAGGTGTTTGAAATAACAATCACTAAGATTGAAAAGGAATGGCACGCTCTCGAGAAGAGAATCCCCAAGCCGAACCCGAAACCCCCCCAAACTCATCGGCCGCGCTCTAGCTCCGCTGCAGCAGTCAACGGCGAGCCGCAAGCCGGCGAAGAGCAGGACAGTAAGTGCGCCATTTGCGATGACGGAGACTGTGAAAACACAAATGCGATAGTGTTTTGCGATGGTTGCGATCTTGCAGTCCACCAGGAGTGCTATGGTGTGCCGTTTATCCCCGAGGGCCAATGGTTGTGTCGGAAGTGCCAGCTTATTGGTCGTGGAGTCCCAGTTAGTCTACCCTGCTATAACCTGCGTACCTGGACCTGAGGCTAACACACATTTCTAGACCTGCATATTCTGCCCAAACTCAGATGGTGCCTTCAAACAGACCAACTCATCGAAATGGGCCCATTTGCTCTGCGCCATGTGGATTCCCGAGGTCACATTGGGGAACCACACCTTCATGGAACCAGTGATGGACGTCGACAAAGTCCCAAAGAGCCGCTGGAAGTTGACATGTTACATCTGCAACCAACAGATGGGAGCTTGCATCCAGTGTGGCAACAAGGCTTGTTACCAGGCGTTTCACGTCACCTGCGCGCGTCGAGCTCGGCTATTCTTGCGAATGAAGAACAGCTCTGGTGCCCTTGACGTTCTTGACAGCAGCACCAATCTGAAGGCGCTCTGCGATAAGCACTGTCCGTCGGAGTACGCCAAGGAGAATGATGTAGCAGCAGCCACCAAGAGTGCAAAGAAATATTACAAGAAGACAATGCGAGATCGCATATGGGCTGACAACCAGGCGTCGGCGATGCAGATTGCGGCCAGTCACCGCAACGCTATAACTGAGCATCCTCCAGATGAGTCCCAAATGACCGGGGCGAAGCTGTCTGCGGTCCTCGGAGATCAGAAGAAGGGCCAGGCTGGGAAGTCCATATGGAAGCTACCGTCGGGTGCTCCCGTAATTCCTCAGGCGGTGTTCGACATTGTGGAGCTATCACTACAGCGATTTAACTTCCTTAAGAGGAGAGAGTTCATCAGTGATGCCTGCCGCTACTGGACCCTGAAGCGCGAGATGCGCCGCGGTGCCGCTTTGCTCAAGCGGCTTCAGCTCCAGATGGAGACATTCTCGTCCATGGAGCTTACGCGACGTAACTTCGCTGCCATGGGTCCATCAGGAAAGGCACGACTGTCAAGGCGGATCGAATTTGCCGAAACCCTCATCAAAGACCTAGAACAGCTGCAACTTCTGTCCCAGCAAGTAGTCCAACGTGAAAAGCTCAAACTCGAGGCAGCTCAAGTGGAGGAAGAATTCGTCGACACTTGCTACTTCCCGATCCACAAGTCCCTTCCACCAATCATGGAGAAGGCCCTCATGTGAGTTGCCCAGATAATGTTGTGCGAAGCAAAGTCCTGACCAAATCTTAGGCTCGATAAGAAACTCTTCCAAGAAGGTTTGCTCAAGTTACAGACTAAAGTTGATGAACGATTCTATACTACTACCCTTGCGTTCGCCCATGACCTTTGCGAGGTCATTCATGTTGGAATCAACACCGAACCCAAGCTTCCACAGGAAACCCAACCCAAGTTTGACTCAGTCGTCGCCCCTCCTCCCAGGATTGACTATTCCGATCACCGAGACAGAAAGAGACTCGGCAAGAGGATCCTCAAGTCTCTTCAACCTCAGCTGGAGGCAGCTCTGCGGCTCGAGTCGGAAATCAACTACAAATCTCTCGAAAACCTCAAGCAAGAACTTGAGGGCATGGTCGAGGCTAGTCTTGAGCTAAGACAAAATACAATTGCCGCGACAGACGAGGCTGAAGAAAGCCAGGATGTTATCATGGTTGACTCGTCGACAGCGGAGATCACAGTGAAAAACACTGCGGATGATGACACTGCAGCTGACATTCAAGAAGAACAGGTGGATATCGCTATGGCTGATGCTGGCGATGAGAAGCCCACCAACGAAGGTGCAATAGGAGTGAATACATCGGACCTCGAAGCTAAGCACAACGCCACTGTCATCTCACCGCCCAATGGGTCGGTTGTCGAGCACGAGCAGCAGGCTGCAGAAGAAAAGCTGGAGGCTCCAATCACTAATGGGACAAAGTCTTTGGACACCCCACCCGCGACCAATGGCTATCTGGCAGCACCTCCCTCTTCGTCACAACCAGCGCCTCCTACACCCCCACAGTCTAATGGTAGTCTTGGCCGCGAGCAAGTACACGCTCTGACCGAAGGCGGCATCCCATGGTACCTCAAGGCATTCGAACCCGAGGGCACATCAGCTCTTCACGAGCAATGGCCGGGACGAGACGCCGTCCGGTCTCTCAGCGAGGAGCTGACAGAACTGGATGAAGATGAGCTTAAGGGGCTCGGTGTTGATTTCAACGCGGAAAACACGGCACCACCTCCCAGCATTGCCGATTCTGCAGACGCTGACGCTGTAGGAGGTTGCGCGAAGAAGAACACGAAAGCGAAGAAGGGTAAGACGCCTCGACGACGAAGATGAGCAATATTGCGGATAAGGGGTTGGTTGGATGGGTCTGTATCAGTACGAATTTAGCGACTCGAGGGTTTCCCGTTTTCTTTCTTTCCCCGGTATTCCGTGGCGCGGGAGGTCTGGTAAGCCCACCGGTGGGTTTCGCCCCCTTTCCCTTAGCCCGGTGGCAAACACATTATATCCTCATATACTTTACTCACCTTCGGCGTAATTTATGATGCTCTGGAGTTCAGAGTGGGCCGTGCAGATATTGATTGATTGAGCAGCTTCTGCGGGCTTTGAAATGGTTTCAAGGCGTTAGATGGATGGATGGATGGGCTGCCCAATCGGTGAGATAGATGCACTCTGTTACAACTGTACTGAATAATATATTGCCTCCGTTTCCCTCAAGTTATTCCTTGGTGTACTGTGTGCGAGAACTTCAAGGATGTATCCTATTCGTGGATTGTGGCTCTTGGTTGCGTGGGGTTGGTGTACCTCTCTCAAACAACCAACCCGGTTGGGTGCTCCGTGAAACTGGGGTTTAATCAAACCTGCACAAAGCAATCACTGGCTGACTGCCCAACTAACGTGCTTCGCATTGCAGTTCTCATCCCCGTGATCTCGGGAACCATGTTGTGATCTATCCGGAAATGCCAACGGGGTGAGGTGCTGGTCTGCATCAACTGATTTACGTGATAACGCACAGCGGGAAGATCATGATGATCGATGGATCCGGTATGAACGGATATAGGCATGTATTTCTACGAACACAGATACGTTGGGCTAGGGCAGGGATATGACCATTGCTGTCCCGGCCACATGCAGTTAGTGGTAGGTGAAGAAATGCACCGATGTAGGCATTTCCACAATCGTTGGACTTATGTATGCCCTTCGACCATTCGACATGTGTGCGGTAGATATCTTTCATTTCTGCGGAAGCCAAAAGCGACCAAATAGTAAGTGTACTGATATTGTCTCAACTGAACCAAGCCATCCGTCAACACATTCATAGCTCGTTTCATTCTCGGCAAGGATAGATCAACGCGATGGGATGTTCAAATGAGTAGGGTATACAACCCATGGTGAAGGTATTCAAACCGCGTGTGCCACGTGACATCTCAGGAGAGAGACGTTACCAGGGGCCAACAAGGTTGAAATCATATCCTTGATGGTGGGGCAGTACGTTCACATGGACTGCATGGCATGAGAACGATCAGCTTGGCATACTTACTTGGGAATTTTGGCGGGTCTTTTGTAGTATCGAAATATTTAGGTAGTGTCGGACAATGCTTGGGCACATTATAGAGGTTTAGGTAAGGTATGGAGACCTGCACGCCTGCCCAAAGCGTGAACATACTGTAAGATAGATTTTGGCCCAATTGGGACCTTATAAGGACGACCAACCTTGCAAGACTAAGCAGCCATCATACTATCGAGGAACCAGAATGTTGAGGAAGAATCGAATACTCTTGACATGACAATGTCGTGTAGGTTTGGATCTCCATTGTAAGAACGATGTAGAGCCAGTGAGCCTAGCCTCGCTGTTGCAACAATGGGTGACACACGCCAAATGCAGCCTATTATGAAGTTGAGTATTCTTAATTGCCTCAGAGTATGTTCTCTCATGTCGCAACTGGCTATTCCGGTGCAGTGGTTACACTCAAAAGGCCGGGAAAGCAACTGAATGAAAGAGCCACATTTGCAAAATTGAAGACTTCGAGTTACTATGCGAAGCTCATCCAGGCTCACCCATGGCAACTGCTACTGGGATCTGAACCAAGTAGTTGACCTCATGATTGGCTAGAAACGCAGACCTTACCTGACAGGCCCGCGCATCCCCTCAGCTGTAGGAACTGGCTGGACGAGGATGGTGTTCGCAGCTAGGCTATTCACATGTCAGACTTGTCTGGTACTGGACTATACTAGTCATGCCATCAGACTGATCTAGAGTCAGTCGTGGTCATGGTTCTTGATAGCAATATCCAATGAGAGTAACGTGCTTTTGCCAAACGGAACTTGCTCCATGATACCGGCCAATCGATCCATCGTCTGGAGCCAACTGCAATTTCTCGCAGTCCTGATGATCATGTGACCCTGGGTTGAGCAATCGGAAGACAGGTACAGGTTGAAACCAAGGCGGGGTGACAAGGGCTTGGTAGAGATTCGGCCTTGATGTCAGCTGCGCAGCATGAGCTCACCAGAGCTAAGCTTCTGGTAAGCATTCAGCGACTGGTTGTGCTCTGCGTACACGCAATGAGGAGCATCCAATCCCAGCGAGAATGCATACAAGGGTCGGCTCGATCTTCCACCAAAAAATGCACACAAAGATGTGCACAAGGCAACTATTACCTGTCTGCTATAGTACATGATTCATCAGCACAAATGATAACCTCTCCAACCGCGACAATCTGCTAAAGTTTATTTGTCTCGACCCCTGACACTTGCCTAATCGCCGGGACCCCGGTTGACCTACGCGGCTGACGAAACAAAGGGGAATCGATTGTGGAAGAACCGGGACGCCTCGGTTGTTTTTTTTTGGGTTCCTCTACCGGAGACGATTTGATACGCCCTCAAGGGGTTGAAGGCGCCTAGCCTGCCTAGCCTGCCTAGCATTCGGCGTCAAGCCTTGGGACGGTATCAAGAAACGCTATTGCACGGTATACTCGCTTCCTGTGGTGGACAATGGATGGTTTCAGCCGCGTGAACTGGTCGGTCGCACTTAGCTGTGACTAAATCGCCAATTCACTAGTCTGCCGGCAGAGTTGAATACGACCGCCTCGTGAGACTATCGGATACGTTCTTTGGAGCATTTGTTAGGGATAGAGAATGTAGCAACACACTGGCTTGGTATGATGAGGGGCCAAGCAGTATACAATCTTACGCAATACCACTGGAACAACCAATGTGAGCTGTACAAGAATCATCCGCTTTCTGGGGCCTCCACCAGTCCGCCATGCAACTGGGAAACTTCCGAGGCGGGCAAGGTGGAACATAGCGATTTTTAGATGCTTGGATGAGACGGCAAAGACGAGTCAAACAAGTCCGACAATCCGCATGTGGATCGGGTCAAGAAGATCTTCGGTTGTCTAGAATGCAAGCTCAACTGAAAGTGCCCTAAACGTGTACGCTGTTTGGAACTTCTGCAAATCATTGAGACCAGGCCATTCCCTCTCTTTGAGAAAATGACAAGATGACCAGAGGTTGCGTGGAAAGACGAAAGGCGTGGAAGAAACAAAAAAGGGTCTAGCAACTAGAAAAGGCCGACCAAAGAAACTCAGCAGCCACCCACCCCAGCCAAGCCTACACATGAGAAACCTTAAGCGGCTAGAAACCGGTAGAGTCGGGATGCATATGCATGCTAGAAAACGAGGACTTGCAGCCGGTCGACCTGGATTACGGCCCCTCGGACCATTCAGGGTGGATGCAGGTGGACAAAATAGCGGCAACTGCATAATGGACGTCAGTACGAGATGCTGATACAACGTGCGTCTGGTCGGTCGAACAAGCCCAGCGGTGAAGCACTGCAAAGGGATGTCATGGTCAAAAGATGAAGTCAACGACAAACTGCCTGAGCGTATGAGAAGCCTCACGGCTACGTGAAGTTTGGAAATAGGGGCTCATCTCATCTTGAGAGTGCCATGAAAAGCGTATCTGTGTCTGTGTTGCATGCTCGCGTAAAGGTAGCCATGTGTGTGTGTATATATATATGTGTGTATGTGTGTGCATGGGCGCGGGCGCGCAACATGACATGATGAGCCCAAGTGCACTTGAGCAGACGGTCTTGGATGGCAATATCACGGCATCTGAAGTTGGTGCATTTATGATTTACGAGGACTAGCGGGACTGAATAGATGTAAAATGCGAAGCCGAATTGACTACAGTGGATTGATGCTTAGAACTTCAGTAGGCAAGGGAAAGCAAAGCAACTTGTAGCAGCAACTTTTAGGCAGTCACTTGAGGCAAGTGCTTTTGCACTGCCTCATTTTGGCCAATGAGAGTCGTGAAACCCTATACTAGTGCAAATCGGCCCCTTCCCAAGCATGCAAGCGTGCTGCGACCGGGACAGACAGAGAAGAGAGCGCCAATCCAGCTCAGTGCCCAAAGACGGATCCGAATCTTGGTCTCGAATTCCTTTCTCTCCTCCTTCAAGCCAAACCCCGCGACGAGTAAAGGCAACTCATATTCTTCAACGACGACATATTTGTCTCTCTACGGTCCGCAAATCTTAGTGAGCTGATAAGATTCGATCTTTCTCGCAATCTTGTTCCGACGACGACTTCCTATTGTTTTGGGCCAGCAACCAAGCATCCACGCGACAAGCAAGTGCGTTGCAACTTTGACACGACGAGTCCAGTATCTGGAATTCCTGCCGACCGAGACAGCAACAGTCTCAACAAATTCTGCCTCCAACGCCACAGCAATCAGCATCGACTACCACGGCGAACATTATCAAGGATAACACGTCGACTTGACGCGATCCAATTTCTGTCATCGTATTTGACACCAGAGCGAACAGTGCTAGCACTTGTAAAATATCTCCTCCCCGCATTGCCGACATCTTTTTGACGAGACGCATTCGACTTTGTCATCAAAATCAACAACGCAGCAGCAACAGCGAAGGCAGCCCGGCACCCAAATTGAGGGGACGAAAATAATCTTCGCCGTCCTTCACCTCGACATCACTTTCTCCCGTCTATTCCTGAGGAACAAGTCGCCGCCCGACTGTTTCTGCGCAGGTACATAATCAACCCGCGAGCTTCTCCTAGGAGCTCCGCCACCGCTGAGATCACTTCAATCGTAAGTCAACTTTTTTTTTTCATCGCGCTTTCATCATCCACCACCACCCAAAATCCGTCCGCCCGCATGGAATTACGTGCCTCCTTCTTCCCCACCACATTTGACCACATTGACTCGGCCTCGGGATTGCCATCATTGGCCAATCGAGAGTGACAGCATTTGACCCTTCCATTCTTTTTTCTGCCATATCCGCCTTGGACCTTGTATTGTATCGTACAACCACCTGCTGACCTGCCCCTTGAGTAAAGCCGAAGAAGTGTATCATTTTTCTGATCGGGCCCCATCGCGATATCCACACGGCGACTTCACCCCCACTCCTGTCTCCTGTCAGGACCCTTCCTCCACCCCGCATCTTGCAGGCCATCTACCTGGCAGGTGAGGAATTAAGATGGCGGACCAACATGATGTTGATCTAGACTCCATCATCGACCGCCTCCTCGAGGTTCGCGGAAGCCGGCCCGGCAAGCAAGTCCAGCTGCTCGAGACGGAGATTCGATTCCTCTGTACCAAGGCCCGAGAGATCTTCATCAGCCAGCCCATCTTGTTAGAGCTGGAGGCTCCTATTAAGGTACGTGGCCCGTGAGACATGGAGGTGCGTTCGCGGTGATATATATCATGGCTGACTGTTTGTGTCACGCGACAGATCTGCGGCGACATTCATGGTCAATACTATGATCTCCTGCGACTCTTCGAATACGGTGGCTTTCCCCCGGAAGCCAACTACCTCTTCCTTGGTGATTACGTCGATCGTGGTAAGCAGTCTCTGGAGACCATCTGCCTGCTGTTGGCGTACAAGATCAAGTACCCCGAGAACTTCTTCATTCTGCGCGGAAACCATGAATGCGCCTCGATCAATCGCATCTACGGCTTCTACGACGAATGCAAGCGCAGGTACAACATCAAGCTATGGAAGACTTTTACCGACTGCTTCAACTGCCTGCCTATCGCTGCCATCATTGACGAGAAGATCTTCACCATGCACGGTGGCCTCAGCCCCGACTTGAACTCCATGGAGCAAATCCGCCGCGTCATGCGTCCAACTGATGTAAGCGTTTCTTGTGCCCTCTCTCCACTCGTGAAAACTCAGTCTTCTGCCAACCATTGGCCCGACTGTTGCTGACTTGAGCCCCTCTAGATCCCCGACTGCGGTCTGCTTTGCGACCTGCTGTGGTCCGATCCCGACAAGGATATCACGGGATGGAGCGAGAACGATCGTGGTGTCAGTTTCACGTTCGGTCCCGATGTCGTATCGCGATTCCTGCAAAAACACGACATGGATCTGATCTGCCGTGCTCATCAAGTAGTCGAGGACGGCTACGAGTTCTTCTCGAAGCGCCAGCTGGTTACCCTCTTTAGTGCACCCAACTACTGTGGAGAGTTCGATAACGCGGGAGCCATGATGAGCGTCGACGAGAGTTTGCTATGTTCCTTTCAGGTTTGTGACGCCTTTCTGCCACGCCCAGCTTGGAAAAGTCGCAAGCTGACCCAAAGTACCCATTAGATTCTCAAGCCAGCGGAGAAGAAACAAAAGTACGTCCGTGGCGGCCTCGGAGGCAGCGGTTTCGCAACCCCCAGAAAGCAATCCAAGTCTTGAAAAATATGAATGCATACGAACTGCTTCGTCTCTATAGGTTCGGCCGTCGATAAACTGCTCCTCCGCGATATCAGCCTGCCCACCGAATTCCATCCCGCCGGCCATTCCAGCAATAAGTCGCCTAGTCCCGGCTACACTCCGACCTCCCTTGGCCGCATCGATGTGCACGTCCGATGATCCTTGTCCGAGTACTACACCACGAACCACCCACCGATCTGCGACGACGTTTTCGTCGTCACCCGTACCTCCCCAAACCACCGCCGATGATGACCGATGAGCTGGCTGTGGAGTTGTTGATGAATGTTGCTATTACACGAAAAGAATAAAATCAGGTTTTTCATTTTGGAATGGTTCATGATGATGAGCGCCTTTCTGTTCACCTCTCTCGTGAACATGAAGACCAACAAGGGGGTCTAGACAGTTGATTGTTTTCCCCAGATGCGGTTACTTCAATGAACTCATGCAGCATCTGCCACATGATCCTACAGGTTTATTCGGTCTTGATGGTGAAGTAATTTCCTCGTCCGCAATACCGATCTCTCTCTTCCTCGAGCTGACTTTCCCGCTCAACTCGACTTCTACCAGAGAGATGTTGCATGCATGCCCTGACTCGTGTAACGCGACAACGCGATGAGTCCAAGCTGCTACTGACGGCCTCTTCTCGATATCGATAACCAAGGAACCTTGCGGCAAGGGCCTCGCAATCTCACAAAACTCTTCCAATGGCCTCGCTGGTTGGGCAGCCGTGTAACTAAACTATTCCGGGGAGGTGCAATTGCGTGTGTCAAACGAGGTATGCGTGTCCTCCATAGTGGCCCTGGCACTACATACGCGGCCCATGTTACCCTGTCCAACCAGGTAGGAAGGTAGCCATATAGCAAGAATAGGCTGGTTGGTTGATTGGAATAGCTAGGTGGGATGATTGTGGAGTGATATGGCGGCACTTGGACGTGTACTCGGTGGCTATGCAACCAGGGTAACAATCTATGCGGGAAGTTTACCGTTACTGCTATTAAACTATCATGTGGCTGCGTATAGTCAGTATGCGACGATTGCTCCTTACCTACTTTACATAGGGAGGTATGCCGTCATTGTGCTCATTAGCCAAAACCGTGGAACCTTTTGCCCGTCAACTGCCAGCCAATCCAAAAGTTTCCGGCTTGATTGAATATATAGCTTGTCAAGTTGCTAAGCACTGTGAAGATCGTACATACCAAATCTTCTCATTACCCCAATCGTCCATTAAGTAGTATATGACTTACTACTTGCAGTCTTCACACTCCTCGGTTTTATTGTCCCCGCCGGTCTGCTCCTGAGCAGCTCGCTCGGCCTTCTTCCGATTCACCTCGTCCACCTTGGCTTGCATTTCGACATGCGATTCCGTCGGCCCCCGCGGCGCAATGGGCATGATCCCCCCGCCTGGCATCCTTGGATTGTCCCTCTGATCCGCTCGGTTCGGGTGCGGGCCTAGTGTTTTCCAGGATCTGGAGTCATGCTTGGTTACTGGCGCTTCTGATGAAGAATCCGGCTCGGTGCGTTGGAGGGGGTTGGAGTGTCCAGCGCGGAGGGGACCGTCATTGGGGTTGTCAGGGGCTGATGATAAAGGTGTACCCGTTTGGGCTTGGGATTGAGCTTGATACTGCGCTTTGAGTTCGGAAACCGAAGTAGGCAGGTGGGCGGATTTGTTATCGTTGTCGTTGGATTGAGACATGTTTTCTGTGGTAGTTGTATCCGTGGTCTGGTCGGCCTTGGATTTCGAGGCGTAGTCCCTATCGACGTGTCCCAAGTCGCGGTTTGGCTCAATGACGTCGCGGACGCGGCGCTTAAGTTCTTTGGTCTCGGGAAAACCGCCGTCGGTTTTCCGATCCCAGAGGGTGCGTTGCTGGATCGTGGGGTATGGGTCCGAGGACGATAAGGAGGAAGAGTGGGCGAAGAAGATGTCGACTACGAAGGTGCCGCCTGTGGAGGGCTGGAGGGCTACTTCGCCGAGGGCGGTTGAGAAGGTGGAGAGGAGCTCTTGGGCGAACTGGTTGGAGGTAGGTCAGAGAGATCTAAGTGAGATGGTTGAAAGTGGGGTGAATTAAGTTGGATGGAGGGGTGGTTGAAGCTGGAGCTTGTGATCAAGCAATGCCGTCCACTAGCTGGAAATGTCACGGAGGGGTGCAACTCACATATGCGGCTCGAAGCATCCACTTGCACTGCGGTGTGCATGTAAGCTCAGGTCACCAAGCACAGTTCGTAAGTACTGGCTGTCTGTTGTCTTACCTGCGTGCAGAACCGGATAGTCACTCGAGGTAATGCGAAGGTGGGATGTGCGGGGTCCGCAGTCGATGCTGGAGTAGTAGTAGTAGTAGTAGTAGTAGTAGATTCAGCCATGATGGAAAAGTGTGAGATAGAGTGCCTGGTTTATATACTACTTTCCAGATCAGGATCTGTGTGTATGTAGCAAGCCAACTCTCAAGGTACTCACACGACGCGATTGCGCCTGGAATCCACTGACGTCGTCGGTAGGTCATCGGGGGTGAGATGGGGTCGGGGCCGGGATTAGCCAGTCAGCCACAGGTTGTGGTACGTCCAGTCCACTTAAAGACCGGGAGCCCACTATAGGTGATGGATAGCTCGGGTCTTACCGATTAGTGAGGTCTCGGCTATGATGGGGCTTCCCAATCGTCTGGATCGCTGCAGTGGCCAGGGGATCAACCAAGCGCACTACAAGTAGTAAGGAGAAGCTCCCGCCCAGGGGGCTATTCAGCATTGTGATGACCTACGCAGGGCATGATAATCTTCGGCATGCTATCTGTTCCGCAAAACAGTCAGGATCACTTTAAGTGTGGGACGTAACATCGAAACCATGAACTCAATTAGTCCGTATGCATAGGCATTGTTCAAAATGCTCGTAAGTGACAGGGGGCCTTCTTCTATTACTCTTCTAACGGTGATCCAAACCATTCTATGTTCCAGTAGACGGATATGAGCCCATGGAAGTTCCTCCCTACAGTAGCATGGTGGCATGTCACACAGACACGACCAGGGCAATCGTCTGTTCCCAGTCTCACCCTGCTGCAACGGCTGCTGGCAAGATACCAAGCGAGACAAGGAGATAGAGGAAACACAGAAGGAATCCGACGCTGTGAAATCGTCCGCATCGGAGATTTGCAGCATCACGGGGCGTAGTCACGAAAATCCGGTCAAGTTCAATAGACTCACCTGCCCCAAGTACCCGGCGGACGTGAGTAGTAATCATGAAGAACAGGCCATCATCGTCACCGAAGCATTTGCGCTTGACGAAAAACACGCAGATGTTGCACTATCGACAGCAGGCGAGTCGGGCACAGCAGGGGAAAGCCCAGAAATACATCAAATTTCAAGGAAATCATCAGTGACAACGAGGAGAAGGGATGCGATACAAACCAGACACGACGCCAATAGCGACCACCAACGAAGCCGGCGGCAACTAGAACCTCACGAGACGGAGCGAGGATTTCATTCACAATACTGAATTTCGAGCCGAGGATGGTGGCTTGCTGAAGTGACAGCACTGGAATGAGCTGTTTTTCTTGCCGAAGAGCGAAGGGCATCGTTCTTGACACGGACAGGACCATTGTCATCATCACCGCCATGAAGCCGAACCTGCCTGCTGACAACTCAACGGGTCAAAAGCGGCGCATTAACAAGGCGGGCATTCTCGACAACCCGACTGTCGAGTTCAAGACGGCCAAACAGCATATGATTATGTTGTTAAAAATACTTCTAAGGGTCCTTTAGAAGTGGTGACTCATCACTCTGGTATCAACCTCTACCGGCAGCAACTCGAAGACGAGCGAAACCGACACATCCAAGAACCCCTCGTCTGCAAGTTCCCGATGCTTTGGCTACTGTATAAACCTGGGATCAGGGTGTACGTCAAGTCTCTGGAGCAGGTGAATGCCTATGTTGTGCAGAGAGAGGCTCGACATGGGCGGCGAATCGCTCGCCGAGTCATGGACGACGCTAAGCCCTGCACCCTCACATGGTGGAATCTCAGCTTCGACGGACGGTACGTCAGGAGGGCCAAGAAGCACATCATGATCGATCCCTTCAGGGGGGGGACGCCGGTTCTGAATCTCAGGTCGTCCCGGCATCCTTCATTGACAAAGCGGATGGGGGTACGACGCGGGAGAAACTCGTCAGGGGTAGGCGGAAGTGATACCGTCTACTCCAAGGCGCCCAGTAGCAACACTACTATGGGCAGACGGGGGTTTATAAGAACAACAAAGTGGAAGAATGGTTGTTTGCTAACACATCCCGCCCAGTTCGACCCCCATGTCATCGTCGATATCAATTCACACTTGGGTAGTTGCGCCGCCGCCCCACTAAGTCAAATAATGGAGATTCAAAAGTGGAAGACCTCGGTGAGGACCCGCCGTACTGCCCATGCGAGAAGTGTCTAGGCAAGCTTCCCCACCCTCCAGGCAACTGCCCCTGGACAGAATACGATGTCATCGACCCCCGCGAGGAGAAAACCCTCGAGCTTCCGCAATCCTACCCAGATCGCTAGCATAGACATCTCCGATGTACTGACCATCTGGTATGATTCGTGCTCAAGTCATGAATATGGGGTGTATATATATATGTATATTCTCTAGCCGAATTTTCGTTCTAACATTAGATCGCACACACGGAGACGCTGGAGGTCGCATTCTGCCAGCCTCCGAGGATCAACCACAAGGCTATAGATGCTCTTGCCATGCCTGCAGAGAGGAAGCGGCTGGTTGGGGCTCTTGTGCAGAAGTATTACGATCCATGCTTTACCCCGGGGAAGTCGGTCCAGACCTGGGGAGCGGATTTTATCGCGACCAAGGGCGAGGACCAAAGCTTCTCCTGCACGGCGGGCCTGGTGTGGGAAAGACTGACGTACGTTTGTTTTTCTTATTCTTTTGTTTCTCTCCCTCTGTCATCCAGTCTTCTCGCAACTATATTCTGAACAAGTGCGTTCGTGTTCGTGCGTCTATGATCACAGACTGCTGGTAAGTCTTTCCCTTCTCCCAAAGGGGGCTGATCTCAATTTATGTGCGCGTGTGCTGACCATGACTGTAACATGCATTTCTGAGCTCATAGGCCGTCCACTTCTTTCCGTGACTCGCGCCGATTTGGGGACCTACGAGGTCGAGATACAACCTAAGAAACTCTCGTCAAGCGTTCTCAGGGTATTCCTTTAGACCCGAATAAAATGAATGTCAGTCTTGAATTCGGTGCCAAAAGGCGCTCTCATGTATCCTCACACATATTCCTTCTTGTTTTCTCCTTGTTGGGTTTCCCCCTCGTTTCCGATTATTTTCCTCCTCCAGGTCTAGGTACCATACGGGCCATAAAGCAGCCAACAGAGTCCCGATCATTAAGTGGACGGAAACAACAACCCGCTGCTTTGGGTCTAGTTCTGTAGACCTAGTCAAGGGCTGGCTGGTTTGAAACCTATGGAGGTGGTTGTTTGGGCTATATGAGTGGAAATCGCAATTCTCAAGTGCCCTGGAATGATCATGTTTACATTTCCTACCAATGGTTCATCGTAAGCAGCAGTTGGTATTGTTCCGAACAACCAGAAGCACGCGGTGGTTATTCCAGAATCGAATTCGGTATGTCACGACGTTTGTCAACATGAAGTAGGTATGTTGTCCGTGGCTGTCAATACCCTGAGACGACATGACGTCGATCCCAAGCCACTGGCTTTCTCATATTTATTCAAAATAACACCCCAGGCTCGGTTGGCCGTCTTGCATGTGCCAGCCATCTCCTAATTTCGACAAGCCAAAAAATTCCCCGAATGGACAGAGTATAAATAACTTTAGAAGAATCCAAATGACTAACAAAAATAGAAGATCGACGGTGTGGGATCGGTCTCCTGCAGCGAAGCTAGCGTTGCCATTTTGTTGTTGTTGCTGCACATTGATTTGTTTCAGGTGTCGGTTGTCCCGAGGCAGATTGAAGAGCGAGACCAAAGGGTCCTACCGCACGAGTATCGCACTGTAACTGTCTCATAACACTTGCGCTGCGCAGCGCTCATTTCGGTCGGTCAAGCCGCGTGCCAGCCGCGTAAAGGTCGTGTGTTCTACGCCTAGTATTTCCCATGGACGAGATCTACGTCTGGCATTTCTGATACGCACCGAGATGACTGCGCAGCAGGAGCAATGCGCTGAAATGATTAATTGAAAGAAGATCAATAATAAGCATATATATATATCAGTGTGAGACGGGACAATCGCCATTTATGGCTTAATATTGGCAAGCTGTCTTATGTAATTCCTAATTGCTTCAGCGGCAGGGCTACCTGGGGGGTTATGCTAGACAAGGGAGATGAAAAAATAAATAAATAAAAAATACATGAACATATTCACATTTCATTTGACTGACTGTTTACGGTAAACAGACAGTCCAAGACATAAAGTAAAAAAAATACACTTTGGAAGAGACCAAATATTACATGCTGAAAAAGCTTCCTGCAAGACCCTGCCCTGTCTGTAGCCCACGGCCAGCCTGATTGCCGTGCTAGAAAAAAATAAAAAACTGGCGATATACCATCAATTATCGTGACGTTACCAAAAACGATCAACTCCTCGACATGACGTGCTGATTCGGGGGTATTGCAGCGGTGTGTCGGGTTTTTTGTATGTCTCTTTGCAATCCGTGGTGTTTCTGGTTGCGTCGGCGTTCGAACGCGAGTTCAGCGCAGGGAAAATTGGGCAGATAACTTCCCAGTCGAAATCGAGATTCGTCCACCTTCTTCTCATTACGACGTAAATCCCAGATGACAGCCTTCTGCCTTCTGCCATCTGCCGCTCCCGGTTATGGTTGTGGTAATGGTAGGTAGCTCTTTGACCTTGGCTCTACATAACCAAGCAGCATCCACCGCTCTGTTGAGGCGCGTACGGGTCCTCTCCTCTGGGCACGGCACCCCATACCGATGGCACCATGTAGTCGCGTGTGCTGTTGCAATATGCAATTATGCTGTCTCTCGCGTTAACTCCATGGTACTCGCGCCACCATTGGCGATGGATCTTACCTCTTTGAAGCCTGTGACACTGGAATGCGTTCTCGTTCCAGATCTTCGCGCAGTCGGTTGTTCAGCTCCGTCAGGCGTCGCAGTTTCAGGTCGGCCATCGACTGCTTGTTCTTCTTGATTTGCGACGGGTCGCCGACGTCCCTCGAAGTGTATTGAGGCATTGTGAATGATAAATCGAATGAGGAGACGGAATCGCTCTTCAGTGGAAAGATCTGAGAAGCGGGAGAATGCTGCTGCTTTTGCGACGGCAGCGGCGGAGAGCTCGGGCCAGCAACAGAGGTCGATGCCGTCAATGTCGAAATGAACGAGACACCTCTTAGACTCGAACGACGAGGACGAGGTTGGTCAAAGGGCTGCTTCTGCTTCTGCGAATGCATCGTCGGAGTCAGTGGATGGTTCATAAATCTCCGGCGAAGCTTCAAATCAATTGTCCTCCCTAATGGCCCGAACTTTTTATTTTTCTCACGCCCTGTTGTGCTTCCCCCTAGCGGGAGGGGAGCATGCTTCGGCGAAGGCAAGCAAACCGCGTTGTAGCGTGCGTGTCGGAAAGCCAACTCATTCGCGCAACAGCGTTCCCCCAAGTGCAGATGTGGCAGGACAGGACGAAACTCAATATCACTCACAGCTTTGGTTGGGGCAATTGATCGGCAGACGGGCGTAAGGCGACAAGAAGACCACGGGCTCCTGACGCGTCGTCGTCGTTAAAATAATGAAAGGAAAAAAGGCGCGATGTGCAGCTGGGACTCGTCGTACCTCAATTGAGTCTGGATTGGCAACAAATGGGGGAGGAGGAGTACGGAATACGGGGGTCGCGGGAGGAAAAGTCAAGGAGAAAGAGTAATGGCTGAGTCGGAGGTCGGTACCACTAGAGACAGAAGGACGGGCCTGACTTGGAGATTTGTTGCCGTCGATTGGTAGAGCAATCGCAAGGGGGAGGGGACGAACTGGCCTGACTGGGGCGGGCGCGCATTTGCGGGCCAGGTCAGGCTAGGTTGCGACCTGTGGGAAATTGCTTCAGCAGCTTTTTGTCGGGGATTCAAGAACGCTTGTCGCAATCGGGAATCTCCATAACAGCTCCAACCTCCGTTTCTAGCGAGATACAATCTATGTTGGTGGGGCATATGTGATCTTCTGAGTCGAGAACGGTATTTTCTCACATGACAACCAATCCGCACATGAATCAATGGCGCACTCCGATACTCTAATAAGCTGGAAGCTCTGGTAGTGCTATACTGGTTCGTTATAATGTAGTACGTGTTTGCCAAGGTATTCATATCGTTCCACCCGTGGCGGGCCGCTCCCACCGTCCTCCATTTGATACATTTCAAAGCAGATCTTGGCTTTGGGAGCTTCAAATTGTTCAAACTGGGTGTTGTTGGAAGGTCACGAGGCGAAGTTGATCACTACGCATGTGAGTCAACTTGCTGAATCCTGCCGCTTTCTGTCGAAGGACATCAGAACTTGGGCTTGCGCAATGCGTGTACAGGCATTCATAGCCGAGGAATCCTCCAATTGAGATAGATGAGTATGGGATTGGCTGGATTTCGCACTTCATACCAAACTGCTTGTATCTGCCTTAGGGGTGGGGTATACAACTCCCTCGACTCACTTAAACCGATGCAGTGTAGACCCGAGTGTAAACTGACTCGGGATACGAGTATGCGCACGTCGTGAATAATGGACAAAGCCTGAACATAAGGTTACGTTCGTACAATAGGAGAGAGTCCCGTTGCCCGACCCTAGGTGTAAGGCTAAGCATAAGTATCGTCATATTTTGCTCAATCAAAGCGGTCATCCCGGTTTTTTCAATTTTTTATATTTTTTTATATTTTTATGGCTCCCATCGTAACAGTCAAGTCACAACCCGCAGAATTGCGACCATGGTCGAATCACGTGATCCGCAACGGATCATTTTCGGCAAGCCCCTCTTTTTGCGCCTGCCCCAATAACCCACGAAACGAACTTGGACAGGAACCAAAATCTCTTTCCGCTGACTCCCAGTGACGCCTTCCGTTGGCAACGAAATTATCACCTCGAGTTTTTGTTGCAGTTTGCATCATTACTCCCCATCGCATCTCTTATCACAGTCTCCTCCAGCCAGTTTCTGCTTTCGAGCAGCAGGAGATTGCCCAAGATGCCGCCTCCGCCGCATCAGAAGCCCGAAAACGTGCTTAAGCGCGCACATGAACTCATCGGGGTTAACCAGGCGCCTGCCGCCTTGACCATCGTCCACGACCACATCACCTCAAAGCGATCTCGCAATGTTCCCATCGCATCGCTGGAGCCGGTTATGCTCCTCTTGGTGGAGCTTTCCGTCGAGCAGAAGAAAGGCAAGGTTGCCAAGGACGCGCTCTATTCGTACAAGAACATCGCACAGAACACGAACGTTGCAACCATCGAGCTGGTTTTGAAGAAGTTCATCGAGCTGGCAGTAGAGAAGGTCACTGTCGCCCAACAGAAAGCCGATGAAGTTCAGTCCAGCCTCGAGGCCACGACTACTACGACCAGCGTTGATGATCTCGAGGCCAGTGAAACCCCGGAGTCCATACTTCTCGCTACCGTATCCAGCGAGCAGTCTCGGGATCGTACCGACCGTGCCATCATCACACCATGGCTCAAATTCCTGTGGGAGGCATACCGTACTGTGCTCGACATCCTGCGTAACAATGCCAGACTTGAAATCCTATACCAGAGCACTGCGATGCAGGCCTTCGAGTTCTGCCTCAAGCATGCCCGAAAGACCGAGTTCCGAAGACTCTGCGAACTGTTGCGGAACCACGTACAGACGGCGGCCAAATACTCTTCTCAGATGCACGCCATCAATCTGAACGACCCTGACACCCTGCAGAGACATCTTGAGACCCGTTTTCAGCAACTCAATGTCGCCGTCGAGCTCGAGCTCTGGCAGGAGGCTTTCCGCAGCGTCGAGGATATCCACACCCTTCTCAACCTCAGCAAGCGCCCCCCGAAGAATGTCATGATGGCCAACTACTACGAGAAGCTTACGCGCATTTTCCTTGTCGGCGAGAACTACCTCTTCCATGCTGCCGCCTACTCAAGATACTACAACCTCCTCCGCCAGTCTGCTGCTATGGTCGCCTCCGGTCAAAGTAAAAAGGCCGACAACCCGCCGATCAATGAGGCTGACCTCCAGACGGCTGCTTCTTTTGTGCTTCTGTCTGCTCTCTCCATCCCCGTCATCAGCACCTCGCGTTCTCGTGGTGCCATGGTCGACTTTGATGAGGCAAGGAAGAACAAGAACTCTCGTCTGACGCACCTTCTGAAGATGACCCAAGCGCCCACGCGTGCTCTGCTTCTGCGCGACGCTCTTTCCAAGTCTCTCCTGAAGCGGGCCAGACCTGAAATCAGGGATCTCTACAACATCCTTGAAGTCGATTTCCACCCTCTTTCCATCGTGAAGAAGATCTCGCCCATTTTGACCAAGATCGGTGATGATCCTCAAATGAAGCAGTACATCCCGCCTCTGCAGCAAGTCATCTTGACCCGACTTTTCCAACAGCTGTCCCAGGTATACGAGACTGTGGATCTGTCGTTTGTTGAGAGCCTCGCTGAGTTCCCTGAGCCTTTCCAAATTGATCGTGGCACTGTCGAGAAGTTCATCATGAACGGAAACAAGAAGGGAGACTTGTCAATTCGCATGGACCACGCCACCGGCGTCCTCAGCTTCGACACTGACGTATTTTCCTCGTCCAAGGCTGGTCACCCGGGCTCCGCTGCTGGCTCTGCTGAGAGCGAAACCGGCTCCGTCCAGCGCCTCCAGAGCACCCCTTCTGAGATTGTTCGCTCCCAGCTGACCCGTTTGGCGAAGTGCCTCCACACCACATGCTTCTACATTGACCCCACATACAATGAGGCGCGCATTAAGGCCCGTGAGGCCGCCTTGGTTAGAGCCAAGGCTGGTGCCGAAGAGGAACACCGCGAGCTTCTTGCCCGCAAGGACATTATCCAGAAGCGCAAGGATGAGGCATCTGAGCTCCAGGCTAAGAAGGACAAAGAGAAGGCCAGGCAGAAGCGCCTCCAAGAACAGGCTTTGGCCGAGGCTGAGGAACGTCGTTTGGCACAGGAGCAGAAGGAACGCGAAGAGAAGAGACTGCGGGATGAGCGAGACCGTGTCCGCAAGGAAGAGCTCAAGAAGCAGATCGCCGACCTCAAAATCGGACCCAACGCTATTGACATCGACATTGAGAATCTGGATGATCTTGACAGCAACCGTCTTCGTGCCATGAAGCTGGCACAGCTGGAGCGGGAGAAGAACGATGTCAATGAGAAGCTGCGCATCACCGGTAAGCGTATTGACCATCTTGAGCGAGCCTTCCGAAGGGAAGAAGTCAAGAAGCTTCCTGAGGACTACGAGAAACAGCGAAAGCGCGACTTGGCTGCCTATGAAAAGACCAAAGAGGAGACCCTCATCGAGGCCAAGAAGAAGCACAAGGAGAGTGTCGAGCTCAAGCGCCGGCTCGAACGTCTGTTCCCCCAGTACGAGATCTTCAGGAAGTCGCTGCACGATCGACGTCGTGACGAATTTGAGAAACGCCAGCGCGATGCCGAGCGTGAGCTCGAGAAGCAAATCGCCCAACGTAAGAAGGAGTACCGCGATCGCAAGATTCGTGAGAAGCGCGAGCGTGAGGAGAAGGAGCGTGCTCTGCGCGAAGCTGAAGAGCGTGCTGCGAAAGAAAAGGAGGAGAAGGAGAAGCGTGAAGAACTCCGACGGGCGGAATTCGCAAAGATCAAGGAGCAGAAGGAGAAGGAGCGTCAAGAGACTCTCGAGAAGGCGGCGCTGCAAGCTCGCAGAGAGGAGGAGGCCATGCAGCGACGAAAGGAGGAGAAAGAGAAGGAGAGACTTGCCGGCGTCCCCAGGCGGGATGTCCCCACGATGGAACGCACCGACTCGAACCAACGCCGCCCTCTCAACCTTCCCGGCGCTGGCAAATGGAGAGAGAGGGACGCATCCCGCACCGCTGCCGGTGCCGCCCCTGCAGACAACGTTGTTCCGCCGGCACGTATTGCCAGCCCAATGGAACGAACCAACTCCAATGATCGACCTGCTGCTGGTGGTCCGCCTCGTCTCAACCTTGCTGGCAACAAGCCCTCGTGGCGTGAGCGTGAGGCAGCGAGAGCAGCAAGCGGTGGTGCCCCTGCCCCTAAGGAAATCTCTAGGGACACTGCACCTCCCCCTCGTACTATGCCAGAGCGACCTCGCGTCATTGATCGTCCGGATCGCTCCGATCGCATTGATCGGGGCGATAACAACACTCCGGCTGAACCGCTTAAGCCTTCGGGGGCCGGTGGCAAATGGTTGCCTCCCCACATGCGCAACAAATAGGGGGAATCATCGACGTGGAGTTCGGGGTTCGGTACAGGTCATTGGCTGTGTATTTTAAAAAAAAGTGAGGTAGCATAATTGGGCTACGAGCAACGCGTTGTCGGGTAGCATTCGCTAGCTATCATATAAGCATGTTGAGTTTACCAAAAACACTACCTGGGTATTTGCTGAGGTGGCATGACGTCACAAAGTACGAAATTGACACCACCATATTGTTATCATTTGGACTGGTTACTCAAACATCTAGGGGAATGAATGATTTGATGAGAGGTAGTCTGGTCCGTTGCGCCCATGTAGATGGAGTGCGAAGTTACGGTTTATAAATGATGTCATTCTGCAATACTTGATTCACTTTTGACCATCTTGTCTGTGCATGCTGTAGCCGAAATCGACCTTGATATGTCTGTCAGTCCCAATGAATAACCTGTCTAACTTGTTGCATTATCATTACTCACAATGAGTAGCCTGCGGACAACAGAGCAAATGATTTGTGTTTATCAAGGATACTTCAACTCAATGTTATCAATTCCTGCCGAACTCATTACCCGGCAGTCGTGGCAACTCCACCTGCCATGAACAATAGTGGATTAGCAACTTTTCATCCTCAGAGTTTACTATTTATCTATACTTGGGAACCTAGAGACGTAAAGGCTGAAGATCAACACGTGCTCATGCTGTTTCATTCTTGATATCAAAAGACTGGGATACCATCTCGGCAACCAAGGGCGAGGCGCCAAACAGGGGTAACAGTCATGGCCCTAAGGATTGGTCATGAGCCTTGAGGGGGCTCACGCGGATGAGATAGAATCACAGGTAGGAGACAGGTGCTAGGGGGACTCTTTAGTGAGGGTCACGATGAATACGGCCTCTTGTGGAGTATTGTCTCCTTTAACTCTTGGGCTGTCGATGAACTGGACAGGCACTAGATGTGATGAGAACTGTGAAACAAAATGGATCTGCGGTACGTAATCGTATATTCACGTAGATGTGAGCCATTGGCATGTAAGGGGCAACTTGGTCCTGTGCTAATATTAATTTCCATGCAGTGTTGAAGCAGCATTGCAGGCAAGGTATCGGCTGCAGTTGGTATGATTGAACGCTGATGATCCCTCACCGTAATGTTACAGTGACTGTGAATCTGAACGACATAATCAAATACATGCTGAATAGAGTGGAGTTGACAGGCCTCGACTTCAAACGCAGCACCACAAACGCCGGGTGGGACGTGGACGGCAAGATCTCGTCGTATCTCCGCTGCTGTTAGTATGATGAGTCCAATCTTCGTTGCGTCAGCCGAAGGAGTCAGCATTCAATAAAGCGGGACCCATTGATTGAGGGCACCCCTTTTCAACGCGATCCGCACAGATGGAGCCTCTCAAAGCTCAAGCAGGGTAAGTCCACCGGAGGTTGTCGCGTTGTATCCTCGTATGCACGGATGCCCGTCCCATAACCGAATCTCCGTTGCTATTTAGCGAAGTACCCATGTTTAACTTGAGCGCCGGTACAGTATTCATAATGCCGGTCCAACTACTATACCATTCGACGTCACCTAAGAAGCTTGTATATCTAGTTCAGAGAGGTTGCTGCGTTCTGTAGCGCTAGCAATCCCACAGGGCTTGATATGTCGATTTTTTTTTCTGCAGCGGGCCATCGGTCGGGCTGCCATTGGTTCAGGAGACCGACCGCTGAGGCTGACTTGCAATGAGATCAATTTCCACCACGACTTGTACTTCAGCATTGGAAGGGCACGGGGTCGACGAGGGTCGGCTGTTACTTCCTCATACATTCTTTGACCCAGTAGAAGTGACATCTCTCTTCGGAAGTCCTGGACCCGGCTCGATTGTTGGGTTGACGAGAATTGTGTTGCAGCTGCCCCCATTGGAGCACGGGGTCGAAATGAAGCTGCTAGCTTGCATCCCACTAAATAGAGTTATCGGTCGATCGTGGCCCAGGTGATAAATCGCAACGGCTTAGGGGGACGCTGATGGTCCCTCCCTCGTCCTTGGGGAATCTGCAGGTATACTTCTCCGGATAATCGAACCGTGCGTTATGGAGAGACTGGCCGTGCAAGAAAAGCCATCAGATCCTAAGTGGCCGAAGAGAAACATTGCAACGGTCGCTGGGCAGTGTCTCTACGACATGGAGTGTTCCTCACGTCTGAACACTGCCGAAGTCTTGTTTGAAAGCCAAGATCTACGTGCACGGCATCTTGCAGTACCCCAGCTTCGCATCGCCTGAACGGTGCTACTCGAAATACCTTGTGTTCCTCCGGTTGACCAAGCCCTACGAGAAGTTGTGTCCGGGCTGCGATATACGAACGCCATCTTAAACATGCTCACACCCTGCACACTTCCTCGTAGATGTTTTGTGTCTATCCAAACTACGCCACCAACTTACTTCCGCAACAGATGCGCATCTTGTACGCCCAAATTTCCACGATGAATTGCAACGTGGGTCAAGTATCGTTGTTGAAGCTATCTTGCTGGTTAGGTAGTCGCGATTCAGTGTCACCAGGTGACAATAGAAGTTATACTTGCCCCAAGCAAATAATTGGGGGGCTTAGCCGCGGGCTCTAGTACAGGAACCAGCCTCTAGTAACTACCTGAAAACCCTCCATATTTGGGTCGATCCGGCCTGCTCCTGGCGTCCTCATTGGATTGCCTCTCCCGTGGCTTTCCAGCACAATTTCAATTTTGACCACACTTCCTCTTTCGGCGATTTGCCCGCCGTGGAAAAACAATGGCGCCCTTCACCATCCAGACTGGCTTAGCTCCAGCTTGTCTATCTGGCTATCTGAAGGAACTTGATGGCACTTGGCCTGGTTGTCGTGACAGCCATTCCTCCGGCCTCGCAGCAAAGGTATAGTCTCGAGCTTCCTAAAGCACCCGCAACAGACTAGTTGTTATGCACAGGCAAGCTACCATCCTACGCCTAATCGCTACTACGCCCGTCTTAGCTCCGAGTACCGTTTTGTCGTTGATTATTCTCGAAGGCGACGCTATGTGGCAAGGCTTGCTTTCGTTGAGGTATCGTCGAGCGACGACCCTGGCAGGTCGTGCCCGATGCATGGCAACCACGATGCAAAGGGCCCGCCGCTTTGTGGTGTTAGTCCAGGAGGGTTTCCACGCCCGGATGATCGAGACTCGCAGATGTCTATATAACATACCTCGTCTGCCGATCTCAGAGATATGTCCCTACCACTCACGCCAACATCATTCCTCCACACTCGTTCTTGGATAAGTTCAGTCACTCGTTCAGAACTATGATGGCTCTCAAGTCCCTGGCTGCGCTTGCAGCTCTGTCACTCGTTCCCAACGTCCACGCATGGTATGAGCAACTACCGCCATGTCTGTCGCCTTTCCAACCCTTCCTTCAAGTTGGATGCTACGACAATGGTCTGCCCACCGAGATGACGGCACTATCTGAGATGTTCGATAAAAGCCCAGATATGACCGTTGAGAAATGTGTGGCAACATGCAAAGGTGCGGACATACATACGACGGGCCATCCTGCAAATATTGACTAAGAACTAGGCAATGGTTTTCGATATGCTGGTCTTGCTTGGCGCGACACCTGTTACTGTGGGCAGACTGTCGACAAGCCTGAGGTCAACGCCGCCACGGAATGTAACTTGGAGTGCGCCGGGAATTCCTCGCAGACTTGCGGTGGAGACACTGGGCTCAACATCTACACCGACACCACCTTCCTCCCTGTGGATGAGCAGACTATTGCCGAGTACAGGCCCCTCGGTTGTTACACGGATAATAACCCCGAGGCCAAAAAGGCTCTGTTTTTCCGTCAAACCCAGCTTGATAATGAGCCCCTGACTACGGAAATCTGTCTCGAGGCCTGCCGAAGCAAGGGTTTTCCTTTTGCTGGAACGGAGTTCTCTAGTATGTATCAACCCTGACGGACTATAAAATACAGCGGCTAAATATCCATCTTATTTCAGGTGAATGCTACTGCGGTGTTGCCATCGGTAATGGGACTGTCCACACCGACGATGGTAATTGTCAAAGAACGTGTACGGGTAACAACGACCAGTTCTGTGGTGGCGCGGGTCACATCAACTTGTACGTGTTGAACGACCTCATCTCACTGGAACCTTGCGGTTATACTCCACCGCAATCTTCGTCAACGGCTTCGAGTGCTGTTTCGACCACTTCCTCGACCGTTGCCGTGTCGTCATCAACTTCCACCACTTCAACAAGTCCAACCTCAAGTTCTACATCCAGCACACAGTCAAGCATTACGTCAACTTCAACTTTGAATTCGACTCCAACCTCCAGCACAATTTCAAGCACCAGTTCAAGTACTACATACAGTACATCAACTTCCACCTCCTCGACAACTTCAACTCCGACTTCGACGGCAACTTCCAGCACACCTTCAAGCACTACTTCAAGTAATACATACAGTACATCAACTTCCACCTCCTTGATAACTTCGACTCCCACTTCGACTCCCACTTCGACTCCCACTTCGACTCCCACTTCGACTCCCACTTCCAGCACACGTTCAAGCACCACTTCAAGTACTACATACAGTACATCAACTTCCACCTCCTTCACAACTTCAACTTATAGTACACGCTCAAGTACTTCTTCAACTACTTCTTCAACCACTGCAGTATCGTCAACAACTTCCACTTCCAGCACAAGGTCAAGCACTGCTTCAACCACTGCGGTACCGTCAACCTCAGCTTCCAGCACTCGATCTACCACTACAAGTACCACCTCGAGTGTCAGGTCAAGCACTGCAAGCACAACTTCAAGTGTTACGAGCACTTCCCGAGGTTACGTCACCTCTTCTACGACGAGCACTCGCAGCACACAACGAACGAGCACTACTACCAGTCCTGCCATGTGTACCTCTAGGGTTGTCACTGCTCCCACATGCGAGTACCAGTGTGGCAGGTTCTGCTCTCAGCCTTTGCCTGATTTTGAAGATAGCAACAGCTGTCTCACTGCGTGGTCCCAGTGCGCTATCCAGATCGCCACTTGCTTTAAGTATGCCGGATGGCCTGACGCTATGGATTGCTTCAACTTCTACGAGTGGTGTGACGGCATTAAGGAGTATTGTAAGGGCAACTCTCGCGGAAGCAAGGGAGATTGTTACAAGAAGCTTCCCCCTCAGTATCCTGATGGCAGTCGCCCGACCACTTCAACTACTGCCTTCCCCTGCACTTCGGCGCCTACTTCGACTACGTCTACATCCATCAAGCCAACTTCCAGCTGTCCCGTGCCTACCCCGACCGGTATTTGCATCCAGCCAACGTCCAGAAAATATGATGGTCCCGTCGGCGGCATTAAGCTCCCCGTCCTGACCTGCAACAACATCGAGGCCGACTACAATTCCCGATCCAAGAACGTCTTCAAACTGTACACCGAATCCAACAGCAAGAACTGCAAGTCGTACCCGCGCGACCAGAGCGACAACGCCTGCCAGGAGGCCTGCACCGTCCAGTTCAACCAGTGCAGTAGCGTCTATGCCCAGGGCTGCAGGACGGGCGGCAAAGACTCCAGCGGACGGATACACGGCGAGGGGTACAAGAGCCCTAGTAGCCGGAAGAGGGGCCGGAATTACTCTGAGGCCACCGGGATGGAGAAGCGCACGGGGGCTAATCGCTGGAGCAGGGGCTATGATGATGCGAGTAGGGATTGTCAGATGCAGTATGATGATTGTAAAAGGGTCAACCGCGGGATTGATGTTCGGGGGAAATGTCAGAAGTTTGGAGAGGGGTATTAGCCCATTAGGCTTTGCGTCGCCGAGTACAGCTAACAGCATGTGATGGTACTTTGGCAGGGGTGGAATTGCTGGGTTCTTGCTCAGAATGACGATGGCAGAAGATGTACGACGGGGAATGAATACGATTCGTGTACGGCATAGCAAAATTTTCATACGGTTTAATTAATATTTAAACAATAATACTTTGTATACCACATCTTTTCTTTTCAAGCGAGAGCCTTTCTCACTCGCTTGGATACACGATGAGTCCGCCATCAACCCGTCGTGAAGTTCTTTGTTACCCGATTGATTCTTGAGCTGTGACTTGTGGGCGTTGCGCCAAAGGATAAACATTTGGGCAGTTTCGATGTTTCTCCCCTCCCATATCGGCCCTGTTGAACCCACCACGGCTCCTATGTCCCATCATCCTCTTTGCCGTCCAGTGCAACCCCTTCCCTCCTCCGGCCTAGTTTCGGGTCCGAACTCCGGTCCATCTGCCCTTCTGTGCAATGGCTCGACTCAACAAGCGCCGCCTCCCGTCATTCCGTCTGTATCAAACTCTGGATCCACACCAGCTTCCGACTCCGTATTCAACGGCGCAACCAGATTCCAATCAGAAAAGCATACAAGCATCACTGGCTACAATAACCACTCTAAAGTCTAGGTATGGAAGTCCAAGCATGCCCCTGTCCGCTTGACTCCTAGGTTTTAGTGAAGGATTCCACCGCTAATCGGATTGCGTATATATTCAAGGGTTGGAGCAATCGATTGGTCTTGCAGAATGGGGTTCAGGGTGTTAGCTGATATTGTTGGTAACGAATATAACATGTAATTAGACTGGAATAGCTTGTGCAATTTCTTATTTATCCCAGTGCTACTTCATTAACGCCGATTATTGCACTCGCGTCATCCCACTGCTCTTTGGATATTCTGCTCCTTTGTCAGCACCTAATGATATCCTCTTTCACGGCTCATAACGAGAATATTCCTTATATACCCAGTGCTTAGGCTTGGCATAATTAAAGAAAGTGAGGAGACCGCCCCATCGCTGAAACTACCAGGTAGTAACTCAGGCATCCTCATTCTACCGAAAAATCTCAACAAGATACTAGTAACAGAAGTATCTTATATTAGCCCACCGTGACCGCGACTCGGGCGCTGTTTGTACTTCCAGTTCGAAATACAACTTGCTCTATAAGCAACCGAGAGAAAGTTCGTGACTGCTCTGCAAGTCAAACCAGCTGCTTGACTTCCATCGAATCCGGTCTCTTGTTAGTATTCCAACAAAACGTGGCATTCCTATTCACTCAACATGATTTCTGATGATCCGCTGGTCTCTCAAGAAGGAAACAACCGACGCCCTACAGCGTGCATCGATAACCTATTCACACTTCAGAAATAGTATGCCGATATTAGCAATGCTAGAGATAGAGCAAAGGCGACATCGGCATGTCCAATTAACAGACTACTTCACAAGTAGTTGCAAGTGTCGATAAATAACGACCTACTGGGTCTATATCTACAGTATTGTTACCAAAAAGGAACGTACGGTATATCAGGTGTCGGGTTATTCGTGGCATATTCTACTACGCTGAACTTGCCGAACTTCCGCCAGGCCTTACGGACTTCAATACAGGGCTTGCGGATTTGCCGTTCAGCCTTCTAAGTTACGCAAGAACCTACAGACTTGCCGTCAGGGCTTGCAAACTTGCGTCAGGTCTCGCGAAGCCTTTACGGCCGATTCCATGTTATTATATAGAAAGAGCATCCTCTTCACATCTTCTTCCGCTAGGCACAATATGGCGCAAGAAATTTATGCCATGGAATAGATTCAGCCCAATGACTGTTGATCTCCTGGAATGTTTATGAAACAAGCAGCAATACTTTGGGGAAACAATGTGAAATAAGAAGTTTTGACCTACTGATATAAATGTGGAGAAAGAGGTGTTATTCTACCTTGTGCATCTGGTTTGAAACCTGGGTCTGGCTGGAGGTGCTGAGATATCTCACCCAGGATATTCTCGAATTTTATCAATATCGGATCTTGGTCGATTCTGCCCAGTCACCCACCAGCTTATCCCCTCACCTGACTGATTTTGAATTCTGCAACGGCTCACCGCCTTTCTTTTCCACTTCCGTGTACTTAAGCGTCTGTGGCAGCTTTTCCTTTCGCCCTTTTCCTTTTTCTTCCTCATCATCATTAGGGTTTGGCTAATTTCTTCGTCATAAGAATTTATACAAACTAATGGCGGCTCCGCTAATGCGGCTTGCTGAGGGTCATTCTTATTCTCTATGGATTTCCTTCCGTTCCCGGCCTCCTAAAACAACGGAAGCGCTCTTCCTAATCAGCCGTCGACGCCGTCTCTTCGAGGTTCGCGACTGTGGGGTGCTCACGACATATCGTAATCAAAGTCGTCAATTTGCTTGCTTGTGAGGGATGTTGATAGCCGGTCAATTGTGCACTTGTCTGCACATGCCGGGTCTTGTCCAAAATAAATGGAAGGATTTTGTGACGCTGGAAACTGTTTTCACTCACACATCGCCATGGAAGCACGTCGATCACGTACCCCACACCGCAACCAAGATGTCGATCCAAATGGGGATCGATCTCCTGCTCTTGCCGTTGGCCTGCGCGTCATGTAATATTCGAGCCGAGCTGAGCCTTGCCGTGTGGTACGATTGACTGATGAATTTGTTATTTCACCAGCATCCCAATTGCGCATGGAAATAGCACTGTGGACAGGGTTATGCCGAGGTCGTGTTTCACTCGAAGCCGCACAGTATGTTCTATCGTGCCATAGTTCGAGGCGTCACGTGCTGTGCTGCAAGCACTGACTAGGTTGAAGATTACAACCTCGTCTTGAAAATGCAGAGCTTTTTTTGTCTTGGAGGTTTGACTTGTCATTCGCTACCAGTATCTATCTTCTGTGACTCGCAATGCCCATCCCATGATTGTTAGCACCAGTGTGGCAGCAAACATCCTCCGGTGGCAATTTGATCCGTCTAGTAGAGGCGCTTCGGGGGAGACATGGTAGCCTTGATGGTCAGGCTACCAACGTTCTGCCAGCCCTTCTTCAGCAGTGAGACGAGGTAGTTGATGGCCAACATGATGTTGGCGAGCAGCTGGTCCTGAGTCATGCCAACGTTACCGACGGCGACACCCATGCAGAGAACCTTCTTCAGCTGGAACTTGATGGTGGACTTGACCTCGTTGATCTTGCCAGTCAAATCGTCGGCGTGGGAGACGGGGGTGGGGAACTTGCCGGCTGTAGAGGCTGTCAGCTCCGTATCCAAGACGGTTTGAGACAAAAACGGTACTCACCCTTGGACAGACCAGGACCCAAGAGACGGGGGATCTGCTTGATCAAGGTCTCGGAAGCGACGAAAGCATCGTACTTGCGAGCGAGCTTCTTGATGAGCTTCTTGTTCTTGTTAAGCTTCTTCAAGTCATCGGCGGACATGGCGTCAACACCACCGTGCTTCGCACGATCAATATCGTGCTGGTCACCCAAAATGCAGATGGCCATGCCGGCTACATTCGAAGTTAGCATTCGACTCAAGGTAACTAACTAGGTTTCGCGGTGGGTAGACGTACGGCGGGGGATCGAAGGCAGACGGACGGTGCCGGAAAAACGCTTGTCACGCTCTATATCGCATCAGTAATGACGTTACTCGAATATCAGGAGAGGCTCGTATTTACGAGGGTCATCTATTTGGAATCCGGGGTCAGTCATGAATAATCAATGCAATTCCGACAGACTTGCTTACAGTTCTTGAGACCGATCTGGAGCTCGACAGTCTCGAGGAAGTTACGCTTCTTGGTCTCGAGGGAGTAGTCGAGGAGCTCCTGCACGTTAGTGCGCACACCGGCGACAGAGATCTTGGACATCTTGGCTGTCTTCCAATAGATGGTATCTAATGGTGAGGTTTATTGCGCAGTTGTTGGTGGTGGTGGAAAAGGACTGGTTTTGGCTTGGTCGAAAAAGAAAAGTCGTTTCGACCAGGGTGTTGAGTGGGATTTTGCGCAACTCGGAGTTGCTCAAAATTTGTGGGTGTGGCTGACATAGAGGGGTTGTCTGCCACTTCCGCAGTCACCGAGGTTTGGCGAGATGTGGCTGTACTATCTCTTAGCCTGAGCAAGTGTCAGTTGCAGGCATTTGGATGATCGAGTTAAGTTAGGCAATTCCCAGTGAAATTCGACCCTAGAATCCAAAGCCAACATGCTCGTAATCGTTCTGTATGATCTGAATCCCTTCTAATTCAAGGTAGCGGGACAGTCAGTGACAGCCAATGCTGTAGAGCCGAAATCCCAAACCGTGTGCAGCATTTCACTCTTTCCTATTCACTGACGCCATTTGACCATCATGATTAATGCTAGGCAACAATAGAATGCAATCAGCACGTTGGCTCAGCATCGGCACCGCAGAGTATGTGACGGCGTTGAAACCCACATGCTCAGACCCTGCAGTCTGTTCCTTGCCAGCATCTCGTGCACAATATGTCCACCCAGTTACTACCGCAGCCCTGGGCTTCCGGCTTGGTCATCTAATGATCCCCTGTCTTCCGTCTTGCGTCAATGAGCCTATCGCAACTCATAGTCATCTACAATGCGAGGACGGGAACTCTGAGACAAGGGACGCTTCCTGCTTTTTGTCACCATCAGACTTCAAGCCAGTCGCATTGCACGAAGTTGGGCATGGTTTTTGAGGCAAGACAGCTTGAGATAGGTTTGGCATGGAGCCTCAGAATCGACATTGCTGACGGTTTCCAAGCTTGAATGGCACACGGGACAAAAAGGAAAGCTTCTCTTAGTCCAACGAAGATGCATCATTTTCTCCACTTATCTGAGGATATGGAACGTAGACACCGCTGCACGTCCACGACACTATGCACCTGCTACTGATCTCTGGTTCGTCACTGCCATGCTGTCGATTCGCTGATACGATGTCCACTTTAGAAGCTTCTTCAACCATCCTGGTCAACGTGCCCAACACAAAGGCATGAAGTGGAAAGCCGGCTATCCCATATCGATATCATGAGAGCATCTGCCCACTCTTCCATCTTGTATGAGTCTTGAGCTCCAACTGCCGAACAATAGACTCCAATCATGTTTCACAATGTTCTTCGCGGCTTCTGAGAAACGGTCCCTCTCCGGCCTAAGTTTGCTCTGATTTTCATTGTCATTATGAAAAGAACCTTGGTGACTTCCGCTCAGTGAGCTCCTGGGCTGGTGTCCCCAGCACGTTGAGTTTCGTGGTATTTGTGATGTTTGTGCCAAGCACGAAGATCAGGGTTCCTCTGCGAAGGAGTTTGAGGTTACACCCATGGTGAGGATCATTCTACGTCAGGGGCGTCCTATATCATGTTCTCCAACCAGCGGCACCACTTTACGCTGAGTAAACGCATGGGTCATGTGCGCTGAGTCGCATAATGCTAGGAGACTTGGTACTCAATTGAAGTGGCAGACAGCTTGATATTATCTAGACCAACGTGACAGCTCTTAGGTCTGTGTCTCATCCTGGCGCATGTAAGAAGGCTCCCGGGATCACGCAACGATCTTCAGAATCCCGACCTCAATTCGATTCTTGATAAGCAGCATGATAGTATGTGTGTTCCATCGGAATTTCAAGGCCATCTCAACCGTTCAACTCGACTGTCACGAATTCTCTATGTCGATGCTTAAACCTCTTGGAGACCTTGAGACACCGTGCTGTGAAACACCAGGTAAGTTCCATCCGTGTGACTAGACTAGTCATTTGAAGACTGAACTTAACCCCCACGAGGAACATAGGTAGAGGCGCAGTCTGAGCGCTAACCTTATCTGTGCGCAACGTGTGCATTACAAGTTTCCCGACATGTTCAGCATGCCCCTTGCATTCTTTTCCCTGTTGAAGACTGGATCCCGGACTGGGTTAGAATCAGCGACTGCTTCATAGCAGCTGTGACAGGCCAAGAAGAGTTCACAGTAACGTGGTTGCCGTTCATACCGGTCGGGATCATGCTCGTTTTGGAAAAGGTTGTACCTTGCAACATACAGGGACAGCCGCAACCTTAGTATGGCGTGCTAGCAGCACCACCAGCGGCGGCGTGGGAGGCACATCCGTGTATGCCTTTCTTGGACATGCAACTAGACGGCGATCTACGCCAAGAACGTTTGGATGCATATTTATGTGTGTTGCTCCATCAGCTATAACCGACAACATTCTATTAGTAAGATGTGGTTGGGGCCTATGAATAGCAGATAACTCCCATCCGCGATCCTTCCTACGACGTCCAATTCCATACACTCAAAAAGTTGAGCGATGAAGTCCGTGAGATAGCCAACGAGCAAACATTCTCTGAGGTTCCCGAATTATATGACCGTCGCCATGGTCTCTACTATTTGTTCGACATACCGACTCTGACTCGACGCCAACTGACGTCTGTCGTACCAAGCACATCAAGCAGATTCGTCTTTCAGGACGGAGGCACTTTTTCAGGAGGACATCCCGTCATAGACCTCGGCCTTCTGCGAAGTCTTCCTTCGGAAAGAACACTCCTGCTTACGCTTACCTACATGATGAGGCTTCCACTTGAAGCCGTACTCAAGTGGCCTCGACCCAACTTTGAGAATCCACAGACCAGGGGGCAAGTTGGCTTGATCGTAGGCACAACGCTCCTAACCTTTGTTACCGTACTTCTGGCCGTTCGAATATTTACTCGTCAATACATTTCGAAAGGACTCGGACTTGATGATATCCTCATTGTGCTCGCATATGTGGTTTAACCCACATGATCAATCTGACATGAACTGTTGCTGAGACCCGTGACAGATTCCTGCCATTATCTTTGCCGTGATCGCCATGGTCGCCCAGTCACACCTAGGTTGGAACAAGCATATATGGGATGTGCACGAAGAGTTCTTCGTGCCATCGCTAAAAGCAAGGTGTGTCTGTCACCTCCAATTTAACAGGCGCAGTTGGCTAACGACATGCAGTCTCGCCGTTTTTATTCTCTTCGACCTGGCGTCCACAGTGACAAAATTGTCGATACTGGCTATGATCCATCGTCTCACGGTGGCTTCCGACGACAAGTGGACAAATCGATGCGTCCTGATAATGGCGGGACTGGTCTGCGTCAATGGCTTCATCTTTGTAGTGGTGACGCTATTTCAGTGCAGGTATGGAATGGTTATCGGTCGCACAGACGCGACATAAGCTGACTACTGATGTGAAGACCGGTATCTGAATATTGGACGGTGTCTTTGGAGCCTCAGAACTGTATTAATGATGACGTGCACTTGCTTGTCGCGGGAACCATCAACACTGCCGAAGACTTCACACTAGTCTTCCTGCCGATACGGACAGTAATGAGGTTGGAGCTGCGGCGAAAAGAAAAGCTCATTGTCATGGGGCTGTTCGGTGCGGGACTGCTTGTGTCGTGCGCTGGAATCGCGAGGATTTATTTGACCTGGATTTTCGCAACTACCCCTGACTTCGACCTCACATGGACAGGCTGGGACGTCGTTCTTGCCAGTAACGTGGAGCTGTTCCTTGGCATTGTGAGTTATACGCCCTTTCGAACTGGCACATCCTTTCAGCGTGCTGACAGAAGATCTGCCTATAGACGTGCGCGTCGCTCCCAGCAATCAAACCTTTCTTCGCACAGTATCTTCCGCAGGTTATCGGTCAAACCTTTCGAACACACAAGTCCAACAACGACATGCGATATAGCAAAGATGTCAAGTTAGTCCAGCTTCTAGATCCTGAACTCGCCTATGTTCGAACGCCGTCACCCGCCAGCTCTACATTCCCTCCGAACCGACCATACCCTTCCCACTATCATCACGGCATGAGAAGTACAGGTCTGAACACTCCTCGGCCATCTGCCTCAGACGAAGGGCAGTCATCCTCCCCCATGTTTTCTGAGGACCATCACACATCCCTGGTCTCAGAAGACGCCAGCGTGTACACCGAACGCTTCTCGCGTCCACCACAAAGAGCCGGCGTACGATTCAGCAACCGCTCCATTACTCCCTACCCCACCGATGCTGGGAACCCGGATCGGCAGACCGTCGTCATCATGTTCCAGGACGACGAAGAAATGGGAGGCCGAAGTACTGAAAGCTGATTTGAGGCACCACATACTTCGTCGCCAACTCATCATCACAACATTACACACAAATTATTTCACATCAGTGTGGCGAGAACATTTGTTACACCGTGCGACCTAATCAGTCATTCCTGTCTTTTCACTCCTCGAGGCTATTCCACCTTAAACGATGCTCGAAGAGAACATGATTCACCTCCAAACAGCAAACACCATCGTCCAAACGGTACGCAAACTGCGGCATAAACACGCACATACAAACCACGGTAATTACACTGGGAGGCGTTCGCATGATACCAAACTGTCTTTTCCACATATGCTGTATCTGCAACGTTGTTTTATGATTCCGCGGAAGTTGACGTTTGTGACTAGAGATACACGTGCTAGTACAGCAGATATTGTTTCTCAATATTATCTACGTGCTTTGCTTTTGTAGACGAATAAAATGCGTGTCTTAGTAGGTTTATAACTGCATATCATCCTACGAGTTTCCCTACGTGATGAAAGCCAAGATACGATTCTTGGATCAAGAAGAGACATGGCCAACTAGTGAGGCCTGATATTTACGTGGCAAGGTCATGGCAGACACCTTGATAATACCACAGGCCACGGTACGAGGACTGAGGGTTTGCTGATGAGATTTAGACTTTAGAGTTATTCTGAACGAGCCGCTCTGGTGTTTCATAAACTCTACCCGTCGTGGCGTAATTGGCTTCCAGATATGGGAACTCGGGTACTGCTAGGTGAGGATTTGGATGAATATACCCCTGTGCTTATATTCAATGAAGCTGGATAGGTTCGCGAGGAATATCCTCCATCCAAAGAATTGGATGGAAATCTACCGGTTTCGACACCGGGCCATCTCGTCTAAAGCTGGCACGGCGGGAGTTTTGAGACCAAAAGTACTAGTAGGTACGGCCTGATATGGAACACAGCTAATCAAGTGAGCGAATGCGAGTGCCAGCATTCGGTCTACATGCGTCTCTGTATTCTTGGTTTATGGTACCAAGAATTCAGGGGAAGCAGGAAACCCAGTGACACAGATTGACGCCGCGTCCACCCCGGAGGTGCTACCTGCCCGCTAATTTCTGCTATGTATCATTTCATTGAGGCAATCGATCTCATAAGCTCGTGCTTGGTCAAAATACGAAGCATCGCGCTGATTGCGAACTAGTGCAGCATTATAAAACTGGGAAGGAATTTGAGTGCCGACCCAGATAGTCTAATAGAAATATGGTTAAAGCCTTGAACTCGAGTTTGCATTGTATATTTAGCACCCATAGCATGTAGAGAGAGCAATAACCAACTCTAACCCTAGAGACACTTGACAGCATGGTGCAACACCACGTGTAAACCGAGGCGTACGAGATGGGCCAGAATAGTAAGTCAAGACCCTTTCATTAGGATATGATGTCAATGCCACTCATTCCTCGTCGAGTAGATTCGAATCTATATTCAATTTGAAATTTTCTCTCTATGTCAATTTCATATCTCGATAACAGTCTTTCTCAATCTCAAGCCACCCCAACAATTTTTTGTTTCAAAGACAACAAGCAGCAACAAGCAACAAACAGTACAATGTGTCCGATAGAGACCGAGCCTAACCTGCCCGGCTCTAGAGTCTCGCCTTTGAAGGCAATGACTTCGAGTGCATCATAAGCCTCGGGCCGTGCCAAGCCCCTATATTGTCAATCTTCCTCGCGGTCGGGCCGCGGTTTGCCAGCATAGCAATTCTTAACTCCCTCTAGTTGCGCCTTTATCCGCAATTCACAACGGTCCAGGTAGGTTTTATCTCCTTGGGATGTTCCTGGGCAGACGGCTGTCTATGTGAGTACGAAGGTTCTCCAAGAAGCCTTCTGTTGACCGCAAGCTTGGGGCGACTGCCTCGCGAAGCTGTGTAGGTCGAGTCCACCCCACGTCTTCATGACTGTTGGGGGGCTTTGTCTGCACTTGCAAACATAATATGGATCATAGAGTCCACCGGCTTGTGTGAACACATTCATTCACATGGTCTTCAGCAAGTCAGCACAGTCCATGTCAAGAACGGAACGTAATATAAACACTTACTTTGTTCATTCAGCCAGTGTAGTGGTGCGTGTAGGACCGTCCGTAAGTGTCACGGGAATTCTTCAGATTGCGGGAAATCTTCTCCATGGCGGCGAAATGCTCTGTAGCCTCGCCGCATTGATCCAGGACCTCAAAGGCAGCCGGGTTGTCGTAATGCTGGAGATACGAGCGGAGAGCTCTCTGGTGCTCGTACCATTCCTCAATGAGCGGTTGCTCGGCCGCCCTGGCGGCGGCGGCGGCATCATCGGCAGACGCCGTCTTGGATGAAGTCTTGCGACCGCTGGATGAGCTTTCGGAAGAGGAGTCCTTGCTCTTTCTCTTTCGGCCCTTGGCCGAGTGGCTGTGGGGTCCACGTCCAGAGGGAGCAGCGCTGACGGCGCTCAAGGTCGACCCATTGTCGTTGTGAACACGTCTCATGTGATCCCTCAGGTTCCAATTGCGGGGAAAGCCGCATCCGGGTACAGCGCGGTCACATCCTTCATAGGTGCAAAGATAGGGCTTGTCTCCGTGTCCGTGCATGGCGTGGGCCTCACGCTCGTGTCGAAGAAGGCAGGCCGTGGATGAGAACCGTGCGTTCTCGCACGACTCGTTCTTGCAGCGGTATGGCTTCAAGTGAGAATCGACAAATTTGCTGACACGGGGGTTAGACACACTATCGCTTGGGGAAGACGGGCGTCGTCGACTTACTCGTAGTTACACTTCAGCTTCTCGGGCTTGTGGTTGCAGCTGGAGTGTCCCTCCCAGGGACAATGGAAAAGCCCGTCAGGCTTTGGCATGGCGCTTTTGTAGAGCGGGTGGTCGCGAGCAGACGACTCCCCGTCGCCGCTGGGACGGCGAGTGAAAGAAGATGGAGCGAAAGTGCCATCATGCATGTCATTTCCATGGATGTCCTCTGCGGTAACCAATCCGATTCCACTGTGGTAGCTGAGACTGATGATTCCAAAGGAGTCAGAGGCGTATTCAGAATTGAGGTGATCATTATTAGTCCTACGTACCTTGGCGACTGACTGTCGATCATGGGGGAGGATCCATTGCTCTGCGGCGAAGATTTTCCCATTGGAATGCTGGCCCACTCCTCCGGAATGGTGGGAGAAGAGGTACGAGACTCGATGGACGAGGAGCCCCACGAACCCGATGGAGAGTTACCGGCAAGGCACGCGTCAAAATCCAGTTGCATGTGGGTGGGATCCATGTGCTGCTGCGGCATGCCAGCGGCATCGAGCACGTCCGGTGAGTATGGCAAACCGTCCGTGGTTAAGCCAACACTCATGGGCATGGGATAAAACATCTGAGAAGAAACCGCGTCGGATTCATGGATGAGGTACGCGTCCATCTGACCATTACCTGTCATGTCGAATTGCGACATGTGAGACCCCTGCGACACAGTAGACAAGATCCTCGGTCGAGTCTTGTGGGCAGAGGTCTTGAGAGTCTTGTGTTTGTTGCTCCTGGAAGAGCTCCGCGAGCTGATGCGTCGCATCGGCTCCGCGGTGACCGCTGGAACTTCCTCCTGGGCAATCCATTTTCCGCAGGTATCATCCACGGCTTCATGTTGTTCCTGTCCATGTCCTCTAGGGGTAACGTGGCCAAAAGAAAAAGGGAATTCCTCGGAGTCTCCGTGGAAGTGCTGTGTGCCTTCTGTTGCTGTCGCATCCCATAGCGAACCACTCAGGTCCGTAGGTACTGTTTGAGAATAGAGAAATTGCGCATTGGTAGTGGCCATCATGTTCCCATTGGAGTATGTGCTGTAGTCACTGAATTGGTTGGTTAGTGTGCTGTTCTCCCACTGTTCATCCGATCCATGTACGCCAAATGCAAAACAAAGGAAATACCAGGCAATGTTGGCACAACTTTGTTCCTGTACAGCAAAATGATTAGTTTCAGAGCAGGAGCATGGTATGTGGGGGCCGTGGTGCACAAACCAAACTGATTGACGGTTGAAGCCACAATCCAGGGCGGCATATTCCGGTCGTATTCCATTCGATATGATCCTTAGGTTGTAGCAAATCCGGTTGAAATCCTCTGGGGAGGCAGGGCCTTGGTTCAACATGCAAGATAGACATAAGAAAAGTCCACGGACAGAGGGATTCCTTATTGGCAGGTGCCTATGAGCACGAAGGAGACGAGGGTCAGTCGACAGGCGCACGAGGAAACATTGGCGTGTATTCCGCGATTGACAACGTTATTGGCATACGTACTGAGGTCAAGCTTGTGGGTTACAAGTACCCGGAGCTTAATTGGCAGACAAAGTCGATCCAGTTGGGTTGCAATAGGCAGTGCGATCCGTGTAGCAATGATCCTGAAAACAGAAAGAAAAGAAATGGCGACCATGGTGCGCTATCCTGAAACGGTTCGAGAATCCACTGAGGGTGCAGTATCATGATCGACGGTGAAAATCCACGGGAAGGCGTAAAAAGTCGTCTCTAAAAAGTGACCTGGGCAAGGGGAATTTTGCGGCTCAAGATACCACCCAGTTTTGCAGCGCAAGACCGTGGCATGAAGAAAACATAAATGTTGATAAACCTGGAAAGAAAGAGCCTGACGAGATTGGTTGATTCCGAGAATGATTCCTTGGTCCATGATAAAATCCTGATGAGAAATCCGATGAAAAAAGCGTAGATCCATTTGTCCAGGTCCATTTGATATCCATTTCCTTTGGTCTGATATTCATGTTGTCGTCCGTTGCGGTTGTCAAGTTGCTGCGACATAATTGTCTCGTGGGCGATACTCACCGTCGACTTGAGAGATTGCCTCCCATGCTTGTTTGAAATATTGGTTTGTCCATCTGAGGGCATGGCACGCCAAAAACTCAGAAGCGACATCCGGATGATTGTCTGTCCGTGGTAGAAAAAGGGCTCCAGCGTGTCTCCCCGGGTGTTTCTCCTGGATGACGGAAATGTCCTGGGCTGAATCCTGTTGAATCCTGGGCTACAATGTCCTTGTCCTGGGTTCGAAAAGAGCACTTGCTGGCTATCGAAAACGTCGTAGTAAGAAAAACATGAGTGATCGCACAACATGACAGCAAAAACAGTATAACCTCCGGTAATAAATGGAAAGCAATGCAATATACCTCGCGGGAGTGTGAACGTGCTCCATGTCTAGATTTGAGCTGTAGCCAGGCATAGTGTCTGGACGTTGAGCCACCATAGCTGCCGACATTGAAATCCCAGGCTGTGAAAAGAGAACCGGATGGCTCGAAGGTCCTGATGTCCTGAACGGGAAATTGTCCTTGCGGATTTCTTGGAGAGTCTGGGTTCTCTCGATGAAGTCCTGCGTGTTGACGACAAGGTGTTGCAGTTGCACAGAGACGATCTCCCGGACGGTAGTAAACAACCCTCTGGGAAGATCAAACACGGCCTTGGGTAGTGCAGTGCTAGGGTAGTATGTTGTGTAAAGATTTGTTTGCCTGAGGAATAAGAAGTGGCGATATTGCGGAATGGCAAAGAGGATATTTTGGGAGATTCGGGAGATTGGGCAGAAACTTGATAGCTTTGGGCTGAAAGAATTGAGGAAGAGACCAGAATTGGGCATTGAGACGGGGACATGCGGGTTTTATCGTGCCCATCCAGGCCCAGCGTGGAAATTGCGCTCAGACTGAATTGCGCGGTTCTATCACGACCCCCGCTCTGGGTCCCCTGTCTTCCCTGGTTGTCACGACACGATTCGCTGAATGCTGGCCAACGACATGTTAATCATGGTTTCTTGGTATGCTTGGCTTTTCTTTTTGATATCCTGCTTTCCGTTGTGTATCTCAGTCGGTCGTCACATTGGCCGCAGGTTTGGCAATACTGCGCCTGTCCCTTTGCTCCTGCAATTACGATAGGTTCGTCGACCGGCGGCTGGTCAGACGGTCGTTTCTGATGGGTTATTGCCTTGGTCCTGAGAGTGTCAAGTGGAGCTGTAGAAGGTCGCCAGCCTATCATTCTTGGGTCAGCAGAATTTTGGTACGTGATGAGGGATTATGGCTGCAGCGACAACGCAGCACTGCAGCCAGCTCATAAGAGGAACAACAAATCATTGAGTCGCCGGCGATGATGCCACATATTTTCGATTCACCCTGCGGAAGGCGCGGGAAAAAGCGACTCGTGCAGTCCTCACCGACAACACATTTTGGCCAACCAATGTTGCATATCTTTCTTCCAGCTTCAAAAAAATGCAAGAGTGTGGATAAGAAGTCAAGGAGTCACAATTGCGGTGAAGACAAAATCTTTGTTCTCGCGAGGCTAGCGATGTCCACGCGGTATCTTGTTGGCACGTTATCGGCGCAGGAGATATCCAAGATGGAACGTTGTGCATGTGGCCATCATAAGGGCCATACCCAGCTCAAGGCTGTCACTATGAATAGACAGCTATGTGATGGTTGGACTTATGGATAGTTGACGCTGTGTTCGCCAATAGCATGAAGCCACGGTAAGGTTGCTGCTTTTCAGCACTGATGAGGCCATTTCTTCGAGATTGGGGCTGGCCCTTCCATTCCACCAATTAATAACACTACCTTGCTGTCTTATTTTTTGCAGGCCGGATCTGATCTCGATGCTTGGCAGACAGTCGGTAGTCGAGTGTTGTGGACACCCATACTATCCTGGGTCACAACGTCGCCAAACAAGCCAGCATCCAGATGACGAGAAAAATGCTTCATTCCTCCGCATGTACACGTTCATATTCACCATCGCACAAAGTTCTCTTGGTATATACACGCGGCGTACTCGCACCTTGTTGCCCGATATGGTTTAGAGATTCACCTGCCAGCCTTGTACAACGTAGTCATATCTGCAAAATTTACCGTAAGACCGCTGCCCCAAGCATGCCTTACCCTTCGCCCTGTCTGTCCATCTGCATGCCTATACCCTTGAACGCATCAGGATTTGCGGGTCGATAGGGCCGAACGCTTGAAGCTGTTGCCATAGCTCCTCATCGCCCCATGCACGCCTCTTCCCACAGAGCCTTGAGCTCCAACTCGCCATTAAAGTCGTCTTCCCAAGCGAAGAGTCGAAGTTGTGCTTTCGCCCCTTCCCAAGTGTTGATTCGCAGCACCTGGCTCGCAATGTCAATCTTCCTCAGGTACTCGTTCCGCATGGACTGCATCTGCTCAATCTCCAGCGCCGACGTGGCTCGGGCGGCTGTCGTGGCACACGCACCGAACATGACGGTCCAGAACCAGAGGGACTGGCTATACTGCTCCTTGTACATGTCCTCTTCGGTGCGCTCCACGTCTGCCAGCAGCTGCTCGATGAACCAGTTGAGCACGAAGGAGTCAACAGTGTTCTCGCGCAGGATTACGTAGAGATAGAAGTGACAGGAGATGAAGTGCGATCTGCTACAATCCACTGACCGCAGAGGCGCAATGACGTTGCTGTCGCCCGCCTGCGGATGAGGGGACTTCTTGGCCAGTATTTCCGACAGAGGCTCGGCACTATCGTTGTCGTTAGAGCCACCGAGCGTGAAGACGCTATATATCGGGCGCAGGGCTACTCGGAGCAGCGAAACAACCATTGATTGGTGCACGGAATCGGTGCGGCCAATGTCGAGTATGTTCCAGACAGGCTGACCAGCAATACAACGTGCAGCCCTGGACGAAATGGTCAGCCAATTGGGTTTCCGCGAATGGCTTCTCCCAACCTACATGAGAATCATGCGCTGGAGAAGACCGAGAGGCGCCTCGTTTCTGTCTTGGATTTCTTTTATCTTGGCCAACCCACACAGATGTGAGGCCGTCGCTTCGATGGAGCCCAAGGCATTCTATGGACCGTCAGCAATCGGCAAGCTTGTTGTCACGCCAATGACCTACCTCTACAATGGCGAGGATGGCAACAGCTGCGATTGTCCCATCGTCCACGACTGAGCCGGGATTGGCCAATTGCTCATTCACATATCGTATAGCTTGCAGTTTGTGATACAGATAGGGGATACTGAAGGATTCCTCATCGCCCGTGGACCAGGCCCACTGCAAAGTCGTCATTAGAAGAGCTCCATGGAGGAATCCTGGATTGGACAGTGCTCGATGGACTCTATACGAGCGCGTGTCAGGTTCTGATGATCTGGTAATAGCAAGCCAGTCTCGGGGACGTGCTTACACAAAAGAATTCGATTCTCTCGGAACTGGGTTTGTGTAGGAGTATTTTGTGGTAATGACTTTGTTTACAGTCAGTCAACAGCAGTGCAAGGCAGTCGACCATACAGTCTTACAAAGCTGGAAAAGAGGCCTGCATTTCCGCGGTACGTCGAACCCCGAACCGAAGAACGTATCTCTCGGTGCAGCATCCTGCAGGGGGAGACAAAGTTCATCGTCCTCCCGGGGGTCTTCTGATGAGTGCACCGAGCCCCGCCTGATATCCGTAATAGCGGAGTCGAGATCCGGGTACCCACAGTCTCCGCCATGCCGGAGACAATACGTGCTACTCCAGCATTAGCATTGAGCCAAGAGAAGACATACAAGACGTATATCGTGTAGACGCGAAAGTGAAACGGCTAGGGTTGTTGGTTTGGGCGGCCCGTTGCGTCGGGTCTAGCTTTGGGGGCCCAAGTCAATTGGACATTGGGCCACAGACGCGCAAGTGCAAGCCTGCAGCGGCAGTGCTCGTATAAAGACGGAATAGACGAGCAGAACATCACTCACCATAATGGTTTTCTTTCATCACAGCGAATGTGTTTCTTTTTACATATAAAACATCCTGCAAACCATCGCGCTTGTCGCAAGATTGCCTATGGCGGCAAACTTGCGCGGTCGCGCGAGAACGGTCAGCTTATTCTGGGTGGTCGGGATGCTCACAATGAAGCTCACCATTTCTTGACCTCCGATGAAACTTGCGTTGGCGTTGCCGCTGAAGAATGGCTGCAGCCGACTCAACCATGATGTCGCAGCTATTAGGCATCCTTGAAAAATAGACCACTGGAGTTTGTCATTGTCTGAAGCTCTAGAACATTATATCCCATATTTCTTGTCAAGGCAGCCGTTCCCTCCGAAATACCAGGGGTGGTTTCTTGGGATGGCGCATCGCCGCTGAAAAGGGATTATGGAATTAACTTCGAACAGGGCCTGGCATCCTGCAGACCGTCTCACCAAGTCTAAGCCACCGCAGACTTTTGCCCGGACGCAATGTCATCCTGAGTGACAACGGCCTAGTGCAACCGCAGGCGTCTTCTCTGTCTTTTTTAGATGGGTTGCTGTCAGCCGAGACGCGCGGTAGTTGGCCCACCAAAGGACACTGTTTCACTAGTCCCGAACTTCAAAGACTGAGAACCACTTTGTGACCAAAATTGGTTCAACTCATTTGACCATCAGAGCATTCGCCAATGCCTTTGAGCTTGTCACACACGATGCCGACGTTCAATTGGATGTAATACGGGTAGGTAGGGGGCCGGTCATAAGGCTAGCCCTATCTTGTGCCCTACCACTACATTGTAGCGTGCGTGAGCACTGAGGTACCGCCCGGTTCCAGCTGGGGAATTCCGAGTTAATATATGACAAATGACGGGCGAAATTCAGATATGTTGAAGGCACCAAGAAGTAGTAAAGGGAAAGGGGAAGGGGATGGCAAGAACCAGTCGCACCATGCAAACGGCTACTTTGTCAAGTTTCTTTGGTTGCGAACTTCCGAACGATGCATAGCAGGTACAGCCGTCTTGAAGAGATCGAAGGTAGGCACGCCCGGCTGATCAAAGAAAAGCCAGGCGCTGTTACTTCGGCCATGTCTTCAACTCTGAATTCTTGCTAGAAAGCATAAGCAACCTTGGGCACTTGGCCAAGATCGAGTTGACCGTTGTTGAAAGAGCATGAAGGATTTCGAATATCGCTGGAGGATATAGATAATGATGCAACCCAATTTGGGGAAACTCTGGTTCGTGGACCAGGCAGCTGCCAGACAGTCGACAGAGCAAGATGCAGCTTACTCTGCCCAAGTTAAGTGTGGTCAGGGCCAACTGGCCCAATCCTTCAACTCATGATCTGTTCAACCTATTGCCTTCCAAAGAACTTGGAGCTGACTGCTTCATGTGGTGAGATGATGGCCCCTGTGTACTTTTGCTGACCTCCCACTCAAGTCCTCAGACATATAATTTCCCACCCCTCTGGCCGGTCTTGATGTAACCGAGAAACCGAACAGCCGCCTGGTTGATACTCACGACGACGACAGCGAGGCTGATGCTCATCAATCTGGTTGGCCTAGCTTTCCGCCCTTCATCTAACCTTGAGGCATAAGCTTCACGGTTGCAGCTCTCGTGCTTCTTTTAGATGAGGGCAGGGAGGAGTGGCCCCCAAACGCTCCCTCAATTGAGTGGACTTCAACTGCGGCCCCTCCTCGGCTATCGAGATACTGACGATGATTTCCAAGACTTGGGAACGCCCGATCGTGATTTGATCGGTTAGCACCCACTCCAGGATTGCTATAGCACGACGACTAAGAGCGCCCTGTTGCTTCGGGAAGCTAGCCTGTGATGATCTGTGTTTGCGTAGCCAGAGTGCAGTTGGAGGGCTCTCGGTGGGCATCAACGGGCGGCGTTGGGCTCTGTTTTCTCGGGGACATGTAACACTTTTCTGCCCAACGGCTGTCAGCCATTCAATAATGCGCCTCCGCTATTCGTCCGCAAGGACTGCCCCTGCAACTACACCTAGTCAACACTATTGCCGGCATCTTGGGTGTCTTTGGGCACGACACGCACTTCTCGGTTTTTTTTTTCCCTACCGACAATACTGCCCAATGATGCCTTACCACCTCCCCGCAATTTTATTTCTCTGGCAGTCAGGGCCAAGAGGGTGCTCCGCAAGATGCAGCTGGCCTATGCCTCAAGGTGAGTCGCTTTGCTACCTGAATCGCGCGATATTACCAAGGATTCTCCTAGGCCATTGCCAGCTGTTTAGGCCTAGACACATCTGCTTTTTCATACCTGCGCTTCTTTGTCGGTCGATCCATACTGTTCTTGTTAGCAGCCCATTCCGCCGCTGATGGAGCCGATCCCTTTCGGGTCACGTATCAATCTCTTAATGCGGGCTATCTGGGCCTCGGAACGCCGTCGCCCCAGATTCTAGCTTGAGTCGGGCGTGTTGCAGGGACATCGTCAGTAGCAGCCCCGGCCAGGTTTGGGTCATCAGTTCAGTCTTGTTACAGAGTGGCGAAAAACTTATTCGACCGCGGGGCAGGATATGGAAGGACATAAAACACCCCTACCTCGATCGTGAAGAATCTTCGGAACGGACAGAAGTTTTCCAAGTAACTCCCTTCAGGAAACCCACCGTGTAATAGTTTGACTCTACCGCCGGATCAAGATTCACTGCCCGGAACGCCTTTGGACATTTGGACACAGGACCCTTTTTTTTTCTACCGATAAGCTGGAGAGCTGGTTCAAACCTCACCGCCTGAGGCCAGCAAGTATATCCCGGATAGAAACATCTCAGCCAGGATCCTGAATTTTTGGAAATACTTGGAGCCATTGTCAAGGACAAGCCCCCGGGAAACGTTTTTTTCTGCCGCAAAAGGCGTACATCAAGGAACCTTTGGCAAGATCCAAGTGCGCTGCCGAAGTTTTGTTTTGATCTCCTCGTTTTGCGTCTTCGAGGAGGACTTTTTTCGTTCTGCCAAACACTACCACAAGGGAATGGCACAGCTGGAGCTTGTGTACAGAACGTCTGCCATGATGTCAAACGGACCCTGGAACCCCTCGCGCAGGTGCGATCATCTCGACAATTCCATCGTCCATGCGGTCAGGCTAACCCTTTCTTGGTTTTTCAAAGTGTCATTTACAACGACCCCTATCAGGGTGGTGGCTACGACAATGGCTACCACCGGTCAAGGTAAGGGAGAACAACAAATTGCCCCATCTGCACGGACAGCGAAAGTAACAAAGAGATCGAAGTGTGACATACCCGTCCGGATCCAGTTCCACGTACGGCCTCCCGATCAACGCGCCGGTAGTGGGTACAAGCGGCCCAGCCGGACGGTCCGAGCCTGCATATGCGCCCTCGCCGGTATACACGTCAAGGCCCGCGTCTGGGGCGTACGGTAGTTCGGCCGCTGGCTACGGGGTTTCGTACCAAACATCCAACTCGCAGCAGGGATGGGGAGAGCCCCAAGGTGGCTATTCGCCAACCGACTCGGTGGGTGATATCATCGCCTCTCCGAACCCATCAGACTATGCCCTGGAAAACGGTACGGGCGCACCATCTGGCAAGTCCAAGAGCAGCAGCAGCAAAGGCCGACCACAACGGCGGCCCTCGAATCGTGACGAGTTTGACGGGCCGCATCAGTTCCTGCAACGTCCGCCGCCGGACTACGTGGCCATGCAGGAGCGGGAGCTCCCACACCTTCCCACGAACCTCTTGGTGCAAGAGCAGGATAGTGTCCTCACGCAAGTCAACGACAGGTTGTCGCAGTGCGCTTTTGACTTTGTCGCCAAGTATCAGTTTCCCATACCGTTGACGCAGGACATGCGACCGGTCGAAAGACCGCAAGACCGGGAATGGACCGAGTGGGTGTACCTGCTGAAGCGGCTGGCGACCAAGAGAAGAATACCCGCCCGGGTTCTGTATAACGGGCAAATCAAGCAGTTTGTCACCATATTGGAAAACTCGCTCGAGATGCGCCATGCTGCAAAACATCAGTCGCGCCCCTTGAAGGATGACAGGAATATTCTTCAACTAATCAGCGCCGGGATCCAAGTCGCCAAGATTCTAAAAGATGCGGCCGCCATGGATTACCTGGACAGACTATACGTTTCGACGGAACAACAGATCAACGAGCGAAGCACCGCGGCGTCGGCGCGATTCCGTTGAATGGTTTGAAAGAAAGAGCCAAGGACATATGGACGGAGAGACAGATTTCATGATACCACATGATTAAATACCAACGTTATTTTTTTTCATCTTGGCAGGACGAGACGAGAGGATGGATGGGGAGGATAGCCTGCGGAGTTGGGTGAAATCTGGGAACTACCCAGATGATACGTTCAACAAACATGTACGAGATGACGGACCTCTCGGATAACGAATAATGACTTATCCTTTTCCTTCAGTTCTTGTTCTCCTTCATTTTGTCGGAGGTGGACTCGTCAAGGAGGCAGACTTGGGATAAGCTTCAGGGCGAATAATGGTCTGGATGTTTGTTTTCGGCGGGCAAGACGTGCAGGAGTTCTAGGCGGAAATACTGAAGGGATGCAGTGAGGAAACAACATTATATTGCCTCCTTTCTCTCTTCTCGTTTTCAAAAGCAAGCGAAGCATAGTATGTACGTCCGTCTGTATTTTATGTCTTTTTCATTCAGCATTTTTGCGGCAGAGCCACGTCAGTTTATTCCCTCCTGACGGGCCAGGTGGTGAAGTGGCCCTGCTCTGAATCTCGATTTGAGGCTTTGGGTACACATTGGTTGATTCGGAACTGGCCGACGGGCAGGTTGGAGGGAGTTGGGCAGTAAAGACAGATCGGGTCAGGTCGGGCCAGTCACACGGTCGGTTGGGCAATAAAGCAGAGTACCTCCTACCTGGTTAAACTACACTACGAGAATTGCACTTTGGACGGAATGAGCGAGGGTTGCGCCGCCTTGCCTCTACCTGCTGCCTAAAAACGCGGGCGCATGCCATCGCACCTACTTCGGCTCACCATGGGGAGCGGTTATATTCAATGGCGCCAAGACTCTCCCTGCTTTGACCTTCGGAGTGCTCCACTTGGAGTGATTTGGAGTCGGTCGCACGTTTACCTTTCGGACTCGGAGAACTGAGTCTATTTCGGTCAACTGAGTGAGTCTACGTCGGCCAGTCGGTCTTGGTTCCTAGCGGTCAAGAGTAAACACCAGGGAGCAGACTGATAAGATAACTCCATATCCGACGTCACAGCAAGGCATATTAATGTAGCTATGCCACAATATCCTTTAATCAGAGGCGCACCATCTATCATGTTCGCAGCTTGCCTTGCTAGTGTTGGAGGCATGGCGCAATTGAGTCCCGCTGGGTAATCCCCCAGAATACCGAAGGCAACAGCGGGTGGCTCTCCCGAACCCTTACTCGACGTCGGTCATTCCATCGAGTCTAGTGCGCAATGGAGCAGCAGGGATGCTGGGAAAGGCACCCTCTTAAACCAGATGGTCCCTCCGTTGAAGTTTGCTACATTCAACCGAGTTGCATCGTCTATGCTTGTGGTTTTGTTTCTGAGTTATGCCGTTGATTTTTGATTACTGTGATCTGATAAAAAGTGTTTGCGACGAGCTTCCAGAGGAGCGTCGAGGGTGCTACACGCTGAAGCCCGCTGGCGACTTGTGACGACAAGGCCCCGCGGTTTATACTTCGTGAGAGCTGGACTCGAAACATTGCGACGGCGCGCAAACCTCAACGACTAGTAACCACTAATTAGCAAATCGCACAACTAGTATTCCAACCTGCCTCTGGACCGTTGAACGGCCCGTAGCCCAACATGGCTTCGGTCGCATCCGTCTCGCCCTCGGAAAATAGCTTCCAACGGGCCGAGTCCACAGACGACTCGGAGCACTCTTGGCAGCGTGTCGACTCAAACCTGGCATCCGTCGGTTTATTTCCCAGTCCCGCCAGTGGAAGTTTGAAAAGCTGGGCTGTAGTCGGACATCCGAACCAAGTTGAGCACTCGCCACAGGCCGTATCGCCGCTACGGCTGGATACGGATAGTCAACATGTTTTCGCGACCTCGTTCCCGGACCAGACCGATGCGTCCATGATGGCAACGGCGGGGATGGACGGTCAATTCATGGCGGGCTTTGGAATTGGACAGCAACAGTTTGTTGGACAGCAGCAGTTTGTTGGGGGCCAGGACTCCATATTTACGGACTCGTTTAACCGTGAGTTGTACCTATAACAGGTATACACCTCAAGACGCTAAAGCAGCTACTTTACAAGCTCTCGATATATCGCCGTATTACAAAGAGGCGTTTTCAGGCAACATGGGAAACGTGTCGGGCCTGGAAGCATTCGACATGTTCCGTCAGCCCATCGACCTGGGTATACCACAGCAGTTCCGACGCGGCAGCGATGTGCCTCCGTGGGACCCTACCAACTTCAAAAACAACGAACCAACCTTCATCACGTCTCAATTCACCGCGTCTAGCCCTTCCAAACCCTCACCCCCGAGCTCCCATCCGTCATCGAGTCCGCGGTCTCCAGATGTCAAGCTGGAACAAGGCAAGGCGCCGAGCCCTATGCGCAAGGTCAAGGGCACGGGCAAGATCGAGAAGAAAAAGCCCGCCGAGCCGATGAACAAGTTTGTTATCATGACCCCGGGCCTTATCAATGCTTCTGCTGGGAAGCCAAACCCGTTTGAGTGTTTCCAAGCGATGCGGCCGAGCCAGAAGGGGAGAAAGGGGCCGTTGGCCAATGAGATTAAGCAGAATGCTCTTCAGGTGAGGAGACTGGGCGCATGTTTCTGCTGTCATAGCCGGAAAGTCAAGGTAGGTGCTTGAGGCGATGCGTTGAGCGGATCAGTCAACTAACATGTCAAACAGTGCGACAAAGAGAGGCCATGCAGGAACTGCAAGAAACTTACCGTGCAAGTCCCCCAGATCATGTGCTGGCAATTCCAGGACTTCCTACCCGTGCTCTTCCCTGACTTCATTCGTGGACACTTCAAGAAAGACCAGATGATCAAGTTCACAAGCGACAACATCGCCGGCTTCACTGTCGACGGAGCGGAGAAGACCTGTCAAGTTGAGCTCTTCTCTGGCACGCGGTTCCAGAGCACACTTACTCTCCGAGCCAACTTTTTCACGGCAAAGGGTCCGGATGCCCTTCAACATTGGCATTTGAACGTCGGGGTAAACCAAATCGACTTAGAATCTAGGGGATCCGCGCCGATCGGGGTCGACATGGACAACAGCCAACGTAAAGAGGAACTGAGGAAACGAACCAGAGAATACATCCAGTCGATTACCTTGGAGCCACAATACGCCGAGCAAGTCACCGACGCATTCCGACACACGGAGCTTCCGCGCAAGATCCTCAAGATCGTGCAAAGATATGGTCAACGCTCAGATGTAAGCCGATAAATAAGAACCCCCCTCCCCTTTCCTCCCTTTGACGTGCAGGCTGATGATTCCAAAACAAACAGTCCCCTATGGTCAAAAAAGCCCTCTCCATCTACGCAATGCAATACGTCCTAACCCGTCACCTCTGCATAACCTACGCCTCCATCCTCACACTCCGGGAAACCAACCTCGTCCCCCAAAACATCCCCTGGGTCACCCCGCGCGTCCTGAACCGTCAAATCAAATCTCTCATCGACGAGATCCTCCTGAAGGATATGCAATCTCTTTTCGACTCTTTCTCGCGCTCGCTCAAACCCAAATCCCGGCGCGAGTGGGCCCCCTGTCTAGCCTCCTTCCTGGTCCTCTGTCTCTTCATGGAGGCTGTAGAGACGGCAACTGACACCTTTGTCATTTCGCAGAACGAAATCAGTATTCGGAATCGGAGAAAGCCGGAGTGCAAGCGGGATTTCGCCCTGGGGTTGTGTAAGGAGGTCGAGAATTTGCCGTTCAAGCAGTTTGCGTATCAGTTTCATCAGATCTATCAGACACACAGTCGGGATGCATTCGTGAGGGCTTTTAATCCGCTTGTGGGCGAGGGGTGCGATGTGCAGGAGGGGGAGTTGGATGCGGCTGCGGGAGAGATGGTTAGGGCGTTGAGGGAGTTGCTTGAGGGAGATTCATGTGAGTTTTGTTTTTCTTTTTCTTTTTTTCGTGTATGATTTCGTGCTGTGTGGGAACGGGTGATGTGGGATGTGAGATGAAACCGAAACTGACCGATGGGACTCAGACTACGAACTCGACTTCCTGGTTGCTGACCCCATTCTGCCGAATCAGGAGCACCACCCGTTTCCAAGGGATGTGTCGTTTAACTATACGGGGCGTTTACTGGCGAGGTTTCTGTTGTCGTTCATGGATGAGAAGTATCTGTTCGACGGCCAGTTTTGAGTCACGGGGTTCTTTGGATTTCGTTTGTGTTATATAGCAGGCGGTGATGATGATCTTTGGCAAATACCCTGGGATGCGTGTATGAGGTTACATGAAGGAATGACCACGTTATGAACGCTCTTTTGTTTGACCAAGGGATTTTTATCATGAGCTCAGTGGTCTCTAGTCGTATGCCATCTACTTGAACTGATATGCTACATGTCATGAACCCCGTTTGCCCCATAAAGTCTATATACTAGAAGTAAATCTTGGCCGTTCTCTTAGACACAGAATGTCGGGGGATAAAGGAAGTGGGCAGAGCCTCGTTACGAATATGTTCACAACCTCTTGAACTCCTGGTGGCAAGGCGTGCAAAGGGTAATACAGCTTTCACTTATACCCGTCCGCACTCTCCAAATGTTTTACAATCTTTAAGGAACTCAAGCCGTGGCACCAGCCTTGTCTGATTCCTCTAACCTCTTTCTCTCCTCCCTCTTCAGCGCCTCCTGTACCCTCACCCTCTGCGGCACGATCCTTTCCCTCTCCCCCGTGATTCTCCACCTCTTTAAGCCCCCTCCCGCTTCCACGCCCAGACTCCGCAGAGTCTTTAACTCCACCAAACTATACCCCCCATCCGCCCGATCAAAACAAAACGGCTCCCTTAAGCTCACCGGCGGATTCGTAATAACCCTGAACTCCCTCCGCGCATTCCTACTCGCCGAATGCACCATAAGCGGATGCACCAAATACACATCCCCCACACCGCCCACCACCTCTACAAACTCCTCACACCCGCCAACCAACTCCCGATACCAGTCCAGATTCCGCTCCTGGTCGAAATCCCCATGTCCCCGCGGCACCATCCGAGGCGACACCCCCTCAGGATGCTCATACAGCCACCTTGCCACCCCAGCAATCGCATCGGGACAAATCACTGTCCCGCCCCCGTCCGGAATGACATCCGTGAACAGGGGGATGACGAGGAGGCCTTGCTCGGGACTATCGAGGTAATGCACGAAGAAATCCCCGTCTACGTGCCAATTATTCAGGTCTTTCGGGGCAACTGGTGGTTTTTCTGCTTCTCCTCCGGGCGTTCCCAGGTTGACGATAAGCGAGTCGCGCCATTGGGATGAAGAGGGGGTGATGCGGTCGCTGCCGCCGCAGAGATCGCAGATGGCGGACCTTTCCGGCAAGGGGCTTGGTGTTAGTAATGAGGGTATTCTAGTAATTAGCTTCCGTACCGGTACGTCCTCGTCCCCTCCCTCCTCGTCGCTCGAATAATCGTCCAGAAACGGAGTTAAAAGAGTTGATAAATAAAGCCTAGGAAGTTAGTTACTCACCAAGCCTTGGGGACAAAGACGGAGGCGTCAAAGGAACGGTGCGAGGGCATGTGGATGCGTCCTTGCCCTTGCTCGCTGGTCCTCCAGGTTGATTTATCGGTGGGGGACATATTGAGGCGGGTCCAGACGCCCTGGAGGACGTCGGAGGCTTGGGTGCGGGTGAAGCAGGAGGGGATGTGGAGGTAGCCGTGTGTCAAGAAGAAGTCTTTTTGGGATTGGGTTAGGGGTCGCTCGGGAGATGATGCCATGGTGAGGAATGGTATACCTAGATAGAGAAACAAGCTCCACGGGGCTTGGAGATTACAATGTTGTAGGAGCGGGATGTCAATATCTAAGAGCTGCCAAGAATAATATATGTATATATGTAGTGGCGAAGAGACGTCTTGTACCGGGCTCGACAGAGGGCCTGATGTTGTATATTTTGCGAACATCCTTGACTTTGACGCCAAATCATCACAGTTAGGTCCGCGGATAGTCTGCGGGGGGATATGATTGCATTTAACCCCAATTCTTTTATTGGGTAGTCTTTTGCGAATTTGGCACGCTATGCAGGATAGGCCGTGAACTGATGGTGGGTGTGCTCCGGATTTAGAGTGGTCTTGCAGCGCCGGATATTGGGTTCTGTCGGTGTAATGCATGTTGAAACCAGGTACTGGGTAAGTATTGTAACCAAGCGGTATGATTGACACATATTGACTCTTTGCAATACAGACAGTCAGATAACCAGGTAATCTATAGGGACACTGTGTCATGCATCATATTAGTATAACCCAAACGCCTTGGATCATAAGGGGGCTTCAATAGTGTGTCTCAATTTCGACACCCGTACTTCTAAGTCTGTAGATCGTGGGCAGCGTGGTAAACCTACCTCGGCGACGATTCCATCTATGAACCCGGAGTTGAACCTCTAACCTTTGCTCTCTATCTTCTAGGAAGTTGAGGATTTAAGCAGGAGGAAATGCCCCCATCTCAGTTCTTCGCCGCACGAAGGTCACTCAGCGCATCCACGTAGAACGCAGGCACAATCTCTGCGCCTTCAATCTCCCACTGCTCCTTTTTGCTCACCCCCGTGAGCACAGCCAACGTACCTCCTAATCCCCCCTCGATACCAAACTGGATATCCGTATTGAGACGATCGCCCACCATGCACGTCCGTGCCCGATCCAGCTGGAACTTGCCCTCAATAGCATCCATCATCGCCTGACTCGGCTTCCCCAACGCCGTCGGCTTCTGGCCCGTCATGTTCACCAGCGGGATGGAAATGGACCCCGCACCGGGAAAAAAGGTATGGTTCATAGGCAAAGTGCTATCCTCATTCGTGACGAGGAACACGGCGCCGCGCTGCAGGTACTGGTATCCCAGCGCGAGCTTGAGGTAGTTGATGTGGAAGTCGAGCCCGGCCAGCACGACACCCACATCCGGGTCCAGCATCGATCCGTCGGCCATCTTGTCGTAGTCTTCGGGGGTGATGTCGCGGCGGAGAGCGGGGTCCGTCCCGCCGATGAAGGGGACGTTTTCGGTGCGCAGCTCGCTTTCGATGCCGCTCTCACCGATGACGAAGACTTTGTTCTTGGGGGCGGGCAGCTGCAGGATCCGCGAGATGTAGATGGCGGACGAGTAGGCCGAAGCGAATATCTCCTCGACGTCGCTGGGGATCCCCTTGGATGTGAGTTTCTTTTGGTAGTCGGGGCGGGACTTGGTCGAATTGTTGGTCACAAACACCACCTTTTTGCCTTTGTAAGGAAGCCTGTTTCAGTAACCGCGCAGGCATACGGCCATCTTCAGCACGTGAGTACGTGGGCAGGTAGATGCTAACCTCGGGATCTTAGCATCTCCAATGTCTCGACAATTCCTTCGAAGAGGTGGTCCCCGGACCATAGAACGCCTGCCCCATCACTTAGCCTTCGATTTCACTTTAGACAGCCAAATGATTGTACCATCACAGTCCAGTAGGAAGACCTGGGCGAGATTAGCTGACTGAGTTGGATTGGGGTGGGAAATTGGCGCACATCAAAGCGGTCGATGAATTCATTTATCGCAGCCACGTTTCCAGTGAGATATTTCGGTGGCGGTGCCATCTTCCAAGGGTCGTTGAAATTACAGGATGAATTGATGTTGTGACTACTTACGCGCATTCGCCTGAAGTTGTATTTTATAAGCACTTGCGAAGCCGTTGTAATGGTTAGGTCAGGTACAGAACAGTGGCGTCTGCCCATCGGTATTGTCGCCGAGTCATCGCCGGTCCTAAGCCGGAGTTCCACGATTCAATTTAGTTGCACTTTCGGCATTATCGGATACTCCCGCTTTGTCTCCCGAGGCTGATGCTGATAAAATGGTGACCTTGCAGCAGTCGTTTGTGGTAATCAGTTCTCAATGAGATAGTGAGTGCTCGTTGGCGGCGCAGTGCCTAGTCCTGCCTGGTCTTGCTTGCATCCTCCATCGCGATGAGATGCAGCAAGACCCTACACCAGCATCCAGCGATATGCATCTGCATTGCGCACCTTGGCTCTTACTGGCTGTCGCGATGCATCTCCAATGCAGGACTTCCCTGTCCATGCCCACGTTGAAACTGGGAACTTCGAAGGTTCGACGGCTTGCGTGGTGCTACTGTAGCGTTGCCGTCATGGATCCTCGTCGAAGCTACTACTCTTCTTTTTCTTTCTGTTCCCGGTCCCATCTTCCTGACGACGATTCAGAGTTCCATCATTTCGTTGGTGTGCAGAAAAGAAGAAAAGGCAGGGGCAACCGGGCCTATTCAAGCCTCGTTGAACAACAGTGTCGGGGCGGATCGTCATCAGACTCACTCAACCTCTGACAACTGGATGGCATCACGTCGGACAAGTGAACAAACGAATGCTTGGTCACAGCCAGGAACAGAAGGATCCATCCTTCCATCGCAAAGATGAGAAGTCTTTTTCCCGAGACAACTCGCGTTGACAACATCACTCATAATCCTCCAGGTCCGTATTCGCTACAGCTGATGTTATATCAGCAGGTGAAATTGCAAAGGAGTAGAGTGACGCTCTAGAATTGGTGACCTGGCCCTGGTTCTCATAGCTCACGCGAGAGTCGGGATGAACCTCTCGAACGAAATAAGAGAGAGCTACAGCAACAACGTAGCCTCTAACTAATGCATACTAATCGCTTCCATCGTTGCCGCATTAGCCCGCCATGTACTCGACCTAACCTTGCAACACAAGCACGAAGGAACAGCGAACTCAGGGTCCTTGGACCTAATTGCCAAGATTCCCACAGCGCGATTTGCATCTATCGGTCCGCCAGAGACTCAATCAGCCCCAATCTAGAAGGCTTCCGATTGTCGCGCTATCATAGAACTACGTCAACACACCCCACCACAGGCCACGACAGAAACCTCAGGAACCCCGGGAGTTGGCAAAAAGACGTGGTATAAACTGCATTGACAAGTGCGCGGCTTTCGGGCTACATCTATTAGCGGTGAGCCATAGCATATTAACGGCCATTTGACTTGCGGCCCAGGCTGTCGGAAATACATTATTGGGCCTGCGGTTTAAATACCCGGTAGCTGTCCTCCCGTCATGCACGTAATTAAAATGTTGTCACTTACTCATCTCTACGTCGCTCTACTTCGAGCAAACAAGCAACAAGCTGACTAAGAGGAAGAAACAACCAAAGCCAATCTCCCACATATTCACTCTTCAGAAACCCCCCAAGAGATAATTATTGGAATTTGGTCGCGCCCCGTCGTATTTAGCGACCACAACTGCCACCTCCCACGTTACTCACCACACTCACGTTGTGTGTCAACGTCCGATGCCGTCACCCCGCTATCGATAGCATCCACTGCAACAAAATTCACTCTCACCCCACCATCCGTCCCACTAACCACCCTTGAGGCTCTCGTCGTGTCAATCTACAGCACCATTCTTTCCTGCGTTTCGCCCATCCACAAAACACTGCTTCAAGGGCATATATAACTGCCCTGAACCATCCGTACGACTCGGCCATATTTGCCTTTTTTTATTTTTTTATTTTTTCGATCCGTGACAACAAAATATGGGCAAGCAACCCAACCTCTTCGCCTTTGAGGACGTCAGCGCGCTGGCGCCCGCGCTGCGGTCCTACGTCATCTCGTGCCAAAACGCCGGCCTCACGCGCCACGGCATCTTCAAGATCGGCGTATCAGGCGGCTCCCTCCCCAAGACCCTCGCGCAGGCTCTCCTCCTTCCTCCCTCCTCGAACGACGACAAAGTACGCTGGGACAAATGGGAGATCTTCTTCGCCGACGAGCGCGCCGTGCCCCTCGACCACGAAGACAGCAACTACGCATTACTGAAGAAAGAGTTGCTAGACCGGATCCCCGCGGGCGCAGGCCAACCCACTGTTCACCCTATCGATGCGCAGTACCTCTCCGACACGCAGGAGCTCGCCGACCAGTATGAGCAACTCCTGGTGCGCTCCTTCGCGAGCCGCGACTCGGTTAAGCTACCCATCTTCGATCTGCTGTTGCTCGGCAGCGGACCCGACGGTCATACCTGCAGCCTGTTTCCGGGGCACGCCCTGCTGCGCGAAACAAGCGCCTGGGTCGCCCCTATTGACGACTCGCCCAAGCCGCCGCCGCGCCGAATCACCCTTACGCTACCCGTCGTCACCCACGCCGTCAAGGTTGCGTTTGTGGCTACGGGCGGCGGCAAGAAGGAAATTATGAAGCGGATTTTCGAGCAGGGCGATGGGCTGCCGTGCGCGCTTGTCAACGAGGCGACGGGGGAGAGGTGCTCATGGTTCGTGGACACGGCGGCTGTTGAGGGCGTGTCGTTCCCGCGTCGAGGATTCCTGTAGGCCGGTCTTTGATTTGGGCGATGTAGGAACATGTGATCGACAGGCGGTGGCCAAGCTTGAGTGTTATCTGCTCGGGGAGGAATGAAGACGAAATAAAAATTTAGACGCGCGCGAAAAACTACAACTAGTTCTAGACCAACCGTCCCGGTTACGCCTCCCGAGGTGGCGCTTGCACAGCAAGCAACTAGGGGGAGGACGGTTAAATGCGACGCACATATGCGAGGAGGTAAAAATCTCTTCTTTGTTTGTCACACCCAGATATCCTGAGCATTTGAGAATATTCGCTTTTGCAACTCAGTGATCGACCGAAACATCACCGCGTCGTGGTTTTATTTGTTCTTTCGAGTTTCAATAGAGGAAAACGGGAATAGGATACAGTCTTTGCGTTATGTTCGCTGAGGCAGCATGCTTTGATATCCCCAATTAGATTTGATCGCAATAAGAATTCAGTTTTCATTTCATCGAACACTGTTCCTAAGACTTATTATTTTTTAGAGACCTCGCAACGGCAACAGGAGAACCAGTAGTTAGTGGGACCATTGTAAGGTGGCTGCTAGGGACGGGTCGGACAGCTTCAAGGCCCAGATAGCATCGATCTTCTCAGGGGGGACTTTGTTGGTAGGTTGAGAACCAACGTAGTATGGTAGTGAACGCAACGCAGTCGCCAATAGGGCGAACCGACGACGCAGCGTATGTATTTAGTCCAGCCATTAGGGCACGGTTTGACATACGGGAGTACTAGTAGAGGTACCGGGGGCTTCGAGCCTACGGCGTATTTAATAATAAAAAATAATCTTTTTTTTCATATAACACCTAGGTTGTATACTAATCTTCTGCATCGTCTCGAAGTTGCTCCGGGCGTATTGCGTGGACATGAAATAGGGGCACGTCTGCTTGTTATCTGTGATACTTGGCATATGGCCCCGATTCTTCCGTGCTTTCCTCAACCAAACAATCGCGTTTTGATCCTGGATTTCAGGATTACCTTAAGCCTCTGAAAAAGATCAAAAAATTAGAAAGGATACACAATGTAAAACCCCCTTTGCAGCCTTCGAGTTACATAGTACTATACCCCTCCTTGTCGTCGTTGTACTACAAGTAGGTCCGCATAGTCTAACATTCTCTCATCCCTTTGAGTATCTACGACACCACCTCATCCCACCTTCTAATGTACGTTCATTTCCTTGTCTTGGCCACGACAGGTAGCCAGTCGAATTAAAACTTCTCATCGGTTCAATTCAAGTAAGTCAAGTCCTATTCAGACCTTCCGACCAAGAAATTACCACCGTATCGGCCCGTCTCTCCTAACCTCACAATCCCAATGACATCCCCCTCCTCTCCTCTATCAACCTTTCATGATCTACCTGACAACTCCCACAATACTCCTCATGCCATAATCTCAACCCCTCCCTCTTCCTCTTATCTTTCTCGCCCGTCTTCATAACCTTCTGCGTAGCCTCATCGCTCACTTTGTTAATACCACTACCTCCACTATTATCATTCCCGCTCGCACCATTACTACTGCTATCCCAAGCCTGCAATACAGCCTTAACCTGCTCGCACCGGGTATTCTCATCCATAAGCCAATTCTCCCACTCGCTCTGGATCATCTCGCGCTCCACACTATTGACCATCCGCATCGCAACAAGCAAATCATGTCGGTAGGAACCCAGCCGTTGCCGTGTGCGGCGGAGGCGGCGAGCCGTAGCGCGGCTTGCGCCCGAGGAGAGAGAGGAGCCAGAGTTTTCGTAGGGTCCGTCAATGTCGGTGCTGTTGGCGATGGATTGGAAGGTGGAGTAACTGCACATCATAATTAGCATCGTATGAATAAACATCAGAGATCAATACTGGTACTATGGTTAGTGGGGTAGAAAACTTACCAATAGCTATCCTGCGGCCAAGAAGGTTGAATCGCCGAGCTCCTAGCCGCCTCATCGAGGTCCGCCAGATAAATAGCCTTGCTCATCATAACATTCGGTCCCACACCAATCCGGTTCATGAACCCGGCTGCCTTTCGCTCCGTCCACCAAGCCGAGGTGCTCTGTCCCGAGAAGACAAGGTTGGTAAATACACTGAAAGCTAGTAAGGAGAGGAGTAACCGCTGCGAGGTAATGACGTCCCACAACGTCTTGATACACGCAAACACCCACATCAATACCGACGACGCGGCGCTCTCACCAAACGAGCGGACGGTATCGAACAACATCGATGTCAGCGTTCTGGGGTTGATCTGCGGCTTCTTGGCCGAGTCCGTGTCGCCGGGCGTGAATAGCACGACCTGAGCTTGCTGGCCGACGCTGCCGTATACCTCAATGGCTCTCTTCGTCCGGCTGTGGGAGCCGAGCCTGTGTACCTGCTCCGTGGCTACATCGGCCAGCTCCTCGGCATCGCGCCCGGCATCGTCCAGAGCGTGGCGCTCAACCATGTTCTTGGCCAGTGCAGGCGGCTTGGACCAGGCAACTTTGGTGTAGATGGCCATCTTGCACTTGGACTTCGCGATGTGGGTTATGACAATCTTGGTCACGAGCTTGAAAGATGTCGCGTGTGGTAGATGCCACGGCGTCTTGACGTGAGCGACGACGTAAGTGACGTGGTCACTAAAGACATCAATTGTCTGCTTGTCGCTGATCTCCTCAGCCCTGCGTTGACCAAGCATCGTTGTATATGCAACGTTGAACTGGAACGTGCGCTGCATCCGGCCGGTTTCGCCGAGCGTCCAAGGTCCCTGAGCAATCTGCTTAGCCCTTCGCTCAAAGTAGAGCTTGGGGAAGACAAAGCTTTTGTCCCCGAAGAGCACATGGAAACAAGCCTTGGCACTAATTTCAAATGTGCGCTCCGCCACCTTCTTCTGCATGTCCTCTGGTTCGTAGTGTACAGGGTGCGTGGGTAGGGTGAAAGCAGGGACGTGCTTCCGGACACCTCGTGACCGAGATTTATAGATGAAGTCGTTCGATCTAGGAATGACTGCTCTACCAGCCACGGTACCGTCGTCTATCGGCGTGTTGGCCGACACTTCCTCCCAGCTCTCCACGCTGGGACTTCTCTTGTCGTTGGTTTCTTCGTTCTCCAGACTAATGAGAGCCTTCACCAAGTCTGGAAGATCCATGGGTTCTTCCGCTTGCAGGTCATCAACCAGAAGGTTAAGCCGAGCATGAAGAAGGTCGAGGTCCTCTAAGAAGGTCTTGATGGTGATTCTGCTGTATGCATTGTCGCCAGAGTCCTGGTTCAGGTGCAGGAAGATGAAGTCGCAGTCCCGACCGGGCGCGGCTGTCACCTCGGTGATGTTGTCCAAGCTGATGGTGTATGCAACAACCAGTCCCATCTGGTGTCCATAGAAGTACATGGTATCCGGCGTGACGTAGACACGGCCGTTTCCAGCCATACTAGGAGTCTTTGCCTCGGAATCTGAAGTGCTATTCCAAGACGCCCTGAAAACCAAAACCAGTTTCTCCTCCAGTGGCACGCTCGGGAAGAGTAGACGGAACTGGGCCGCGTTCGTCTTGAGTTCAAGGGGATAGCCCGGTGGGAATTGTTCCTGAACCAGCTTGTCCTGAGCTTGAGACGGGTGGATAATTTTGGCATCCATGCTGGTTGCCTTTTTATGATTCGAAGATGGCGTTCTCAGCTCACCGTTATCGCCAACGGTAGACATTTTGATGGAGGGCGAGTCAGGCCCAAATGGATCATCCGATTGAAAACCAGGACGTTTAGGCTTGGGGGCGTAATCTCGTGCCCAAGCATTGCTGCCCCAGTAGTTGGCCAATATCGCAGTGGGCATCGTGTGGCCAACCTCGCCACTGAAAGCGCGGTCGCTGCTGTACACGACAGCAGTCTTACTAAGACTTGTAGGTGCAGGCGGTTTCGCCAGTGTTGAAGGTGCTAGCGAACCTGCCTGTGGCTCTGGTCCACCGAGAACTGGGGTAGCAGCTGGCAATCGGGGGGATTGCAAAGGGTTCCCTACAACAGGAGATGGGTAGCCTGGCAAGAGACCATGGCTGGCAGAGATGAGGCTGGCTATACCGCCAGATGGAGGCGGGGCTGGCGTTGCTGTGGTGTCGGTGCTTGAGGAGAAGTTGGCTTTGCGATGCAAATCCAGCTTCTGCATAATCCTGGCGGCGTGTTCACGGCCACTTTCACCCTCCTCGCGAACTAGGTCGCGAGCCAGTGAAGTGGCTGACCGCCTAGGGGCCACTCCAATATCTACGCTCTGTCTCGGAGCGAGTCCGCCATCGGGTGTTGGGACTGCGAGCGTTGCTTGTCTGTCCATGGTCGGCGCAGCATCTTCAAGACCCAGGCTGACCTGAGCATCCAGATTCTTGGCCGAGAACTCAGGCATGGAAGGAGGAGTAATTGCAAAGGCAGGGTCAACTCCTCCAGGAAGTGCCGAGTTGTCACGACTTACACTAGCTTCGAAAGCCCTCTTCTTGGCAACTTCGAAGACCTCCAGCCATTCCATCAGCTGCGTTTGTGTCTCAGCTTGGAGCAGCATATTCTGATTCTTAGTCTTGACCTCAAAACAGAAGCGGCGTTCTTCAGCCACGGCTGGCTTAGCATTGCAGAGCAGAACGCCAATCTCATCGCCCTGTAAGACTCCCTGGGGCCCATTGACAAGCCAGCCGAATATTCCGTCGCGGCAGTAATACCACCGGCGTGTCCAACTGGGTCGAGCGGGTTTTCCTGACATCATGCGTAGAAACAGCCATCCCTGCTTCTCCGATATCGTGGCTGATTGGCCCTGGGAAGTGACGTGCATCGGGCCTTTGGAGCCCAGAAAAGGCACCGTGTTTGCGCTGTAATCGTCGAGCTCTCGCGAGGGCTTGAAGTGCTGTATTGTGCGCTCCCCAACTTCACGTCTCGCAGACTGTAGTTCGCGTTTGAACAGGGACTCGGTCAATTCCATCTCCTTTGACCAACCTTTCACCCGATCCATCTCGTGGCCCCATTTGGCGAAACTACCGGTCGAATCTCGTGCCCGCTTCATCTCCCGCCAGATCTCGGACGATACTCGAACCAGGATTTTGTCCAGAGTGAATCGAAGTTGCGGCGCCATTTGACAGAAATCCATCGAGGCCTTCAAGTAGGCCTTGCGGGTTTCGTACACCGCGAACGCATCCTCCCGCAGCGACGAAGGCTCCTTTGTCTTGGTCTGGCTAACATATCGAGCGAGTGTTGTATCAAATGTCTTCTGTGATGTTTCCAGGTTCCGCCGCGTCTCCTTGAAACACCGCAGGTCATTTTGCAAGAAGTTTCGAAGGGGCTCGACTGACTGGGTGTCGAGCTTCTTGGCCGTATTTAACATGTGTGTCCACCATTCCCGCGAGCCCTCTGATATCCTCTTCAGCGCAAGTGCCGTGTAGTCATGATCGACCGAAATGACGTTGACTGGCGGGACAATTTTCGACAGGTAATCGTTGATAGTCGCCTCGAGGATCTGAATATCATGGGACAACTTGGATGTCGTCTTGGTGTAGCCTTCTAGCCATCGCTCGATACCATCGACTTGGTCGGAAAAGTGCAGCGCAGTGGCTCGGAATGATGGAGAATCGAGACCTGCTTCGTTTAGAACGACGGGTATCGACGGGTTCGAGTGCCGTGCTGGTATCGGTATCGCTGATGTTGCTGGAGTCGGCGGCGGCGCCGCGGCGCCTGTGTCAGACATCGCTTGGTTGTGCAATGTACCCAGTTTCAGAATCGCATCGGGGCTGTCTGGGAAGAGATGATGCTGGAACGGGTATATCTCCTAAGAGGGGCGATAGCTTGGGGTAAAGGTGATAACGTTGCGGTGGTTCAAATGAGGGAGATGCCTCTGAAGATTCCCAGCGGTATGACGTTCGCGGAGCTTTGGCTTTCACGGATCCCGACTCAAATGCGGAACCATGTCCGTAGGTCGCCTCTATCTGAAAGCGACAGCAGTCACTTTACGAAACTGCTGCAATCGGAACTGTTGCGATCGATTGACGTGAAACGTTAAGCAATCAGCTCTTGAACCACAATCCCAACAACCGACATCCTGAATCTTTCCAGGTCATGCTGCCAGGGGATGCATCCAATATTTGCCAAGTCTGTGCTGGCACTAATGTCGCGGATCATCGGCAGCACCGGGGATAAGAAGAGCGGTCCCAGCATGTTGGTTATCGAGAAACGTCACGACAGTACGCCACCATCTTAGAGTGAACTTATACCAACTTATACCTGAGGAGTAGTTTCCCTTCTCGTTTCTCGTAACCTATCACACCTTTTTAACGACTTCACATCACTCTGTATCATTACTTAGTATCTTAAATCATGATCCAGAAACCTCCACCGCCCATCACTATGTCCGAATCCTGCTGCACCTGCGCAACGCTCCTTATCCAAGTGCCCCGCTACAGCGAGTGCTCAGAGAAGCCGGTGCCCGCAGACCGACAACTAGAATGTTGTCCACGCGTTATATGCGGGAACTGCCTCCATGTGCGCTACCAGTTTCATCCTTCGTATTGAATGAAAACATAAGCGTAAGCGCGGGTAGACTGAAGTATGTATCTGATCAAATGAATTACAGAAAAACGAACGCTTCAACACCTACTGCCCCTACTGTCAAATCAGCCAAGCCCCCACCTCCCTCCCTCAGGGCCTCAAAGAGCCGCCCTCCTACACCTCCATTGCAACAACTAGTTCCAGCTCATCGTACTCCCTCGCGCCGCCGCCCTATTCCGCAACTGCAGACCAACCCCGCAAACCCGTAGACCCGTTGGATGAAAAATCCGTACCTTTGGACGACGAGCCCCCCGCAGAAGACACCCTGCACTTCCTAAATCACACTCACGATACCATCTCCTCGCTCTCCTTGCGGTACGGCGTTCCCGCGTCGGCATTGCGAAGGGCGAATAATATCACGTCCGACCACCTGCTTCTGGGGCGGCGGACTGTGATCATACCAGCGGAGTACTACAAAGTCGGTGTTAGTCTATCGCCTCGTCCGGTTGATGGGGAGGAGGAGGAGCTGCGGAAGAGTAAAATCAGAAGGTTCATGGTTAGGTGCAAAGTATCGGAGTATGATGTTGCGGTACTGTACCTCGAGCAGTCGGGGTACGATTTGGACGAGGCGATTGAGGCGTATGTTGCTGACGAGGAATGGGAGAAGAATCATCCTGTCAAGGGATTGGGAAGGGGAAAAGAAGTTGAAAGGGCAGCGGCTGGGAAAAGAAGAGGGCTTTCATGGAAGCGTCGTGATTGATATCAGCATTCGTTAATGGCATTGGCCGTTGCATGTCATTTGATGTATTTGGATAATCGGCTGAAGGTTTGAGCTGTGTAACTCCAGTTGCGCGGGAGTTCAATAACGAGGGATATGTCATAAATATATTCAGCTCGTAGACCCGCCTTGAAACGCCGAGCCATCCTCCATATACCACCATTTGTAAAATACAACGAACTTGCAAACAACCTGGCGCCGATGCTGGCCCCTTTTAGAAAGCAGATCGTGTACGAATATCCGAAATCTTCCGCTCTATTTCTCGGACGGACCGGTCTAACTCCCCGGCAATCGTCTGCTTCTTGTCATTGTGCAAAAGCGCGAAACGCTCGCAGAGATCGCCATCAATGACGCCCTTGACAGGGACGTAGTACCCTCTGTAGATCAGATGGTCTCGGCCAGCCAGAGGAGGATCCTCGGAGCGCATGTGCGATTCGAGGCTCTGGAAGAAGTCGGCATCCTCACGACTGACGAGGGGGATAAACACGCCGATGGTACCCTGGATTCCGCTCCAGAGCAAGACATCCTGACCACCAACGACCAGATTGGTTTTGCTGATGCTTGTTGGTACGTCTTGTGTGTAAAAATGCGTCATCAGGCTGACGCGATGATTTGCACCGTGAAGATACTCTCTGGCAGACTGGAGATGGGCTCCAGCTCCCTCCTCATCCGCTTCAATACTGGCCTTTTCTGGACAACGAACAATCCAAATGTTGCCAAATTTGTCGCCGCCAGCGACGGATTCGTAATCAACCATTGCAGTGCAGTTGGTCCATCGAGGAATTGTGTCGTCGGCGAAAGGAATCAGCTTATTGCTCTCAAACTTGTATACAACGTAGGTAACGCTCTGTTGCACATCACCAACAATAATGCGGCTACCTTGGGTTTGAAGAGAGACGATAAGTTGTGGAGCGACCTCTGCTTGCGCCTTTCGAAGGAGTTGTCTTAACCCTAGGTCGTAAGCCCTCAGTGTCTTCCCGATGCCTGCAAGTAGACGGCCCTGGAACTGGATCAATGCCATAGGCGGCTCTTCGACCTTGGTCTTGTGGATGAACTCAATTTCTGGGCCACCTTCGCGGAACCGATAAACATGAATGAATCCGGCGGCGAACTGTCGCGGACTCAATATCATGTCTTTACCAGTTCCAACCACCAGGAATGTCTCGTTGTCCTGACTGGCAAAAGAGACCGTGGCCACACTCACGGCAGCCTCATTGTCCTCGAGGTGCAGGGTTTGGAGTACTCTTTTCTCATTCAAAGGATCAATAACACTGATGCAGGACGCCCATCGACCAGAGCCCCTGGGGTATCCAAACTCCTCTGGTGGTAGTACCCGCGCATCCCCATTGACGATGGCTGGATCTGCCAATAGTTGGGCACGTAGTTCAGGAGGCAATGTGTTGTTTTCGGACTCGATGGTGTAAAAATAAGGCTGGTCTGGGTGTTTGACCAAACGCTTTGGTGTGTATGTCAATGGGATTGACTTTTGGAGCAAAGTGTCTCCAAGCTTGTCAATGGAGAATATGCTAGTTTCTTATTAGCCCATGTCTTCTGTAAGGTCAACAGAAAGGGTGTGAATAACAAATTGAGTCAGAAGGAACAATTGGTACAATATTAAATGTCTCATCCTCAAAGCTCATAGCATAGGATCCCAATTTCTCATCATTTTCATCAGTCAGGGGGGATAGGAAAAAGGTTTTACTCACCGCAGGTTTTGGCCTTGGATTCCTACCATGCCTTCCTCACATTGTTCACTGCTGAAATTCCATCCCCAAGCCAAGTCGCCATAATCAAGCGGCGTCATCATGAAGGCCTTCGAAAGCGGTTCCAAATAACCTAGCCATGTCCTCGTACTGAGGGCCAAAACACAAGTTTGCCCTTGAATAGACACCTGAAAAAGCTTGACCGGCCTCGGTCCCAAAAATTTTTGGCGAGTGTCTGTCAACTCTCCAGTGATCTCGTCAAGGACAGTGCGCAAGTAAACTCCTGAGTTGAGACCGATATGAAGATAAAGGGTCGATCCACCAAAGGAGGAGTCCTCCATAGATATGATGGACAAGGCAGACGGCGCTGCGGTCAGAGCTTGCACCGACTTGCTTTCCAAGGTCGTTTCGGGATCCAAGCTGAGCACGCGCACTGTGCTATCATCACAACCCACAGCCAAGAACGAGCTCCTTAGTCGACCTTCCGGCACTTCGCCCAAGCTCAAGCAGGTGACAGTGCCAAACATCTCTTTCTTTTCATCATACTCCGCGAGGGACCCATCTGCATCCATCTCGAAATAGACGATCTCACCAGAGCTGAGGGCGACCGCCACTTGCCGCGCGTTGGTAGATGCAGCCACGATTGAACGATGTTGTGGGGCTGCCCACTCATTCACTTGTCCATTACGAATATGCCTGATTCCCTTGGGATGCACTTGAAGCAGTCCATCCTCCCCAAGTTGCTGGACAGCCAAAGTTGGGACAGATGATAGGAATCCGGTGTCTGTAACCTCTTCAACGGTCTCGCCGATGCTGAGGACCAATGTGCCGTTGCTGAACGAAAGCACAATGTAGGCGTCGTATTGATCGCTCCTCTGCACCTTCGTAGTCCAGACTGCTGATGGTATACCTGGCAGCTCTGAAGCAACGATCTCGTTCACCTCAAGGCCATGTTTCAATGTCCTAAAGGTGCTTCGTGCACCGTTTCCACATATACTGTAGATTTGCGGGGCATCATCAGTGGTGAGATTCGCGACTTTGCAGTCGATAAGGGGATTCATCGAGTCGATGCTCTCCACGAGACTCAAGTTGTCTGCAGGCCTCGGGTAGAAGTAGGCAGGTGTATATGATGCTTTGGCATCCGTGGGGTAGTCGTCGCTCGAAAACTCGAGTTCATCGTCATCATCACCCAACTTCTCAAATTGGAAGAAGTGATGGTTACCAAACTCGCTGGCGACGAACAGAAAACCACTCTTGAGAATGCATAGACTCGTCGAGACGGGGACAGTATCGAAGTACTTGACTTTTAGTCTTCGCACTTCGCCCGTCGCATTCCCCTCGTCGTCTTCGGCCATGTCGATAGTAACTTTGAACAAGTCTCCATCCTCGCTTTGGAGAAGGAAAAAGAAGGCACCAGCACTTCCTTTGAGCTTATGCATGACGCCAGAAACGATGGTCCGTTTTCGGTTGGGATCTTCTGTCGCGCCTTTCCGTCTCGGTACGGGGACACGGAATGACTCTTGGTTGGAGTGACGGTAGGTGATGTTCTCTTCGCCACAAACCAAGACACCACTGGGCCCATCATTGCCACCAGGAACCTGGAAAAGCATCGAGGCACTGGGGTCAACAGCATCGCTCCACTTTCGAACAACGTGGTTCAAGCCGAGATCCAACTCGTAATAGACAAGCTGTGTCTCGATCTCCTGAAGGGCGTCGCCGGTTGGATCCTGATCCGACTCTGTGTAATCGATCTCCAACGCGGCGAAAACAGGATTCGCATACCCCACATCTAACGCGACCATAGAGAGCACCACGGTACCGGCCTTGTGTGCTTCAAGGGGCGATGATATGGTAAGCTCGGCCTGCGAGTTCCTGTTCAGGACGTAGACCAGCTTGTTCTTCTCTATAGACGCGATGAGACATGCTCTACCTTTCGGGTCCGTCGCCAGATATTGTCCCGGAACAACTCGACGGACGCCAGACTTTCCAAACGTTTCAAGCTTATCGCGGACAAACTTGTTTTGTTGCGGGATGTACTCGACAATGGCAATGCGACCAGAGTCGGTAGCAAGAATTATGTAGTCTGTCCAAAGAAAAGATGTTAGTATGGTAGGTTCCACATATAACAGAGCTTGAGGCGGACCTGAGGACAGACACCGTCGACGAGCCAGGGATCAAGGTATCGCCCATATTTTTTCTACCACGCGGCTCAAGAATCACTAAGTGAAGCTTTAGAAAAGGGGGCAGGGAGAGACTTACCCTTGCTGCTTCCTGCAAGCCGAAAGGCGGCAATTGACCTGATAATGCCGAATACATCTTGAGAGAGGATGGTGATAACTCTACCCTGGGACGGATCGGGACGCAGCAGCGTGAGCCGTGATCCTGAAGCGACGACAATCTGCTGTTCCTTGGTGCCACTAAACTGGCCCAGTATGGCCTGGTTGATAGTGGTAGGGGCTTGGATGGTGAGAGAATACAGGAACATGTTAGAAGTCGTCGCCATGTTCAAAACGGGGTGCGCAGAAAGCCTGCGCGGCTCCTGTTAGAAGTGCTTCTTATGGAAGTGAAAAGGCGGGCGATGTTGTGGTCAAGTTTGGCAAGCTCCAAAATTTCTAGCTGCAGCCTGCGTTGTTGGTATGAAGCTTCAACCTACCTGCAGCGAAAAATTGGAGCTTTCCTACTGGGCACTATGTTTATCCGTGCCGCCCAAATTTCTGGGCTGCAACTAACGACACCAGAGGCAGTCGAGTGTTGCAACGGCCGGTACCGTTTGGATGTTGGATCGAGAACCTGATTCTCGTCGCAACTGCAGTTCCGAGCTTTCAAATATCGGCAATGGAAATTGTCATGCGTTCGGCAGCCTCACGCATCTGCCGGAGATGCTCACAGTCATTGAAACCAGGACCTGGAGCTAGGGCGGTCTCTAGTAGGCCATTATCGCGACTTGCACTTCAGCGGCAATCGAGACAGCTGCAGAACAGGCGCGCATTTTCGTTATTCGGCGGCTCGCAACCCCGGGTCGCTGAAGAGAATTCCACTCAGTTTGGCTCAGCTGCACCACCAACTGAGACTCCCAGTGCTCCCGTCTTGCGTTCCGATGATCTGTTCCACCCGTACACGAGCTCGCCGATTCCCGAAATCCGCCGGCGTGCTGCCTACATAAGACAACATGCGCTCTGCCCTCATTCAGACCACCGTCCTACCCGACTATCCGTAAACCCGGACACTTCGGAGCCGGCAATATCGGGAAGCCAGCCACCCGCCCATGTCGACTTTGAGTGTCCCGATTGTGGAGTCCCAGTTTACTGCAGCGAGAAACACTGGGCAGAGGATTATGAAGCCCACTTGCAAATATGCGACACTCTGCGACAGATCAACGAAGATGACCATGACCTAAGATCTGGCAGGTTCTTCCCCGAGTTCGAATACGCCGGGCCTCAAATGGAGGAAGCCATGGTCAACATGACCAACTGGGATACCTTTTTATACACTCGAGACTTCGAGGCAATCAACAACGACCAGAACATGCGTCAGGTGACCCGGCTGCTGACATATCCATTGACCATTGGGAGCGTGCTGCATGAGTTGAGTCCCTACAACATCAGGAAAGGCGGACGTCTTACCGCAGAAGGTTTGAAGAGCTTGAGCGCACTACGCTATACTCTACATCCCCCGAGAACAGGTGGTGGAACGGATATCAAGGGACTACGACCTGAGGCACCTCCAGTCAGAATATTCATTTTGGGAGCTCGAGCTGAGTCTTCCCTGCCGAGGAATGTCTGGGTCCAGCTTGCCCACCTCTTCCCCCGAGGAAAATTTCATCTCGTTTTCATTGGGCCTGAGAGTATGACAAACCGTGACGATGAGTTCCCGCTGCCGCCGCGGACCCCATCGAATCCCTTTGGTGCCATCATTGAGGATCGAGTATGGCCGACGATGAAGATAAGCACAATCGTGGATTACTACCATACAATCCACAAGACCGGGTACTTCTATCCGTACGACCCGTACTTTGATTGCTTTGTGCTATTCCACCCCGGTCTGGGCCATCCCGCCAGCTCTCACGAGTGGGCGGAGACGGTGCCCCAATTGTTGGAAACGAAGGCACCGATCTTGGTGACAGGATATACTCAATACGACATGGAGAGGGATATTGACTGGGTCAATAAGACGTGTCAGGGAGAGTTCGACATCCTCATGGAGCCAGGCGAGAACATCTTCCGAAGCCAAAGATGGGATTTAAATGATCTTGATCCACAAGACATCACCTGTGGAAACTGGGGCGTGTGGGCAATGCGTGGAAAGAGGTATGCACCCAACTGTTTTCGCCTGCTTCATGACTGGACTTTGCTAATAGCCTTGCTAGATATGAGGCCACGCACAAAAACATGGAATAAGGGGTGCTGGATTGTATGCCAAGTCTGGAGATTTCGGGTTGCACAAGGGGATTGTTGTAAATATGTGCCTGAACTCCAGTTTAGACTGTATACTATGTATAGGTGTACATCTCTACAGTGTACCAAAATCATACCCATAGTCCATCACATCCAAGCCGTAAGACTATGCCCATAACCTGCATGAGAAGCAGTCATCCGGATACACATCGACAGACATGGCGCTTTCGCCTGAATCATATAATACTCAAGAGAGGCAAGACTTGTAGGTCTCTATGGTGGATTTGTTTACGAGCTACTCCAGTGGCTTTTATTTATATCAATGCAATGAATGAGGCTCAATCGCAAGAGCATGAGACGAAATCAACGCAAGGGCTCCCTGGTAAGGTCTGTAAGTACACACGTGCCTTTCCTCGGTACGTTCCGTGGGCTGCAGCTTCCGCCGCCAAAATCGACGCTAGTGACGTTGAACCCCCCAATTCGTGCAATCAAGGGACTTGGATGCGATGAATGACTTGGAGTCTTGGTTGCATTTCAGGCCGGTTTCCCTTGAGGCTGGGGACACTTGACTCTCGCCTCTGCATGCAGTGTTAATCCTCCATTCATTGCGACTTTGCCTACTGATGTGCTGCATAAGACCAACGGGTCTGCAGACTGCAACTGCAAGGTGTAATCTTACCATGATCCCCCGATAACGTTTATTTTGACCTCAGGCCAGCCTCATGGCAGCACCCGTCTCAAAGCCACCGCTGGGCAGCGCACTGAAGGCGGCGCCAACCTCAAGCACACACTCACATTCGGTGGCCTTTACAACAGGCAAACCTGCTCCTGCTTGTCCAACATCACCAGTATTGGCCCATCGCCGCTCTGTGCGTCCAACACCAGCCGACTTCCTCTCGGACAAGGCGACGATAGCCTTGATTCGCCGAACACTATGCGCCCAGCAAGTCGCTGATAGAGGGAGGAGTACTCCGGCTCCTATCGAGGAGCTATTGCCCCCTCTGACCAGCCGCAATGATGTGGATCTCCAGCTCTACGCTCTCATCTCCATCGTCATCAGGGAATATGTGCAGAAATGGTACGAGAGGATCACGCCAGATGAGACATTCGTAGCAGAGGTGGTGCAGATCATCGCTCACTGCACGCGAGCCCTGGAACAGCGGCTAAGGAAGGTCTACCTGGAGAGTTTATTGCTGGACGAACTGCCTGAACTGCTCGATGCACATGTGAGAGGTTCGTGTCTGTCTAAAGTCTCTTCACATCTCGATCCCTCCGGCCCATATCCCCGGCAGATTGAAGGCCAATCCCTGAACAAGCTAACTCATCACACACAGCATATCGGATTGCTCAGAACTCTTCGGCGCGACTCCCTATTGAGTCTAGCCATCGCGAGATATACCACTCGCTTTGCCCCTTGCCAGCGCTATCCCCCGTTCCCAAGCCCGAAGACCCCAAAAGCGTACAGGTCCAGGTCGACAATGAAACGGCATATCGTCAACTGCTAGTTCAAGGCGTACTCGCTGTGCTCCTTCCTACCGAAGATCTCGAGAACGATTGTCTGACATCGCTGGTCGGCCAAATATTCTCGGAATTGATCATTGGTAACCTCATCGCCAATAAGGTCTCGCAGCCATGGCTATTATGGGAGCTTATCATCGTCATGACACGCCTAGTGGACAAAAAGAGGACCAGGGAAGCTTCCGGAGCTTCTGAATCTGAGACAACCACCGAGCCAAGTTCCCGAGACTCGCTTCACAGCCCCGAACCCACCACTGGCTATCCAACTAGAAGCCGCGAGATATGGTCCATCCACCAAATATTCTGGTTCGTCCTCCAATGGGTCTTTTTTGCGGTAAACTCAGTACGACTCATTATCAGTACCATTGTACTGTCGCGAACGCTACCGGCTAGACCCGCCTCTGCATTTGTACCAAGGTCGGATGCGACTGGTCAGCATCAGAGCGAGAAGTCGTTCGTTCCTTCGGTCCACTCCGAGAGACAATCGCCAACAGTCAAGGTCCCCATCATCGATTTCAATATTTGGCCGGCCATCGTGAACCTACTCGAAATGAATGTTCGTATGCCTTGGCTAAGTGGAGCCTTCTCCATCCTGCAATGGGGAGCCATGAAAGGACCGGGAAGACTTGCAGCCTATGACGGGCTTATTGACAGGTAGGCGAATTACTTTCCTCAACCGTTATCTCTGGCATTTCCTTCACGTCACACCGCATGCGCTTCAGGTCACTGGATTTGGGATTGCTCCATTCAGCGTTGAGAAACGGCCTGTCATAGAGAGCATGCACCGTTCATGATACTATCGTACTCATTTCCGCCGGCATGATGGAAACGGGCCAGGCCAGTTCGGCCGTTACACGATGGGAGATGGCCCGACTCCCTGGCCCTCGATGGAAGGGTCGGTCGAAAGTAATGCTGTGCAACACTCCATCTCCGCATTATCCAGTAGTGCTGAGTGCTGAAGAACAGCCACACCTCAACGATGTCTCAACAATCCCCCTCGGGCGTGTTTACCATTCAGAAATCATCAACGGTTCTGGCTCCTCCTCGTCCACCAATGACGGGGTATTTCTGGATGCTCTGCCTCCGATTGCTCGATAAACGGCGCGGGGCTGACCTGGCCTGGCCATCCGCAAGCCTCATTTACGCGCCCGACCTGGAACTTGCAAGGGTATCCGCCTATCGGCTATGATTCCATCAAAACCAATTTCATGGTCTAGTGCAACGCTACGAGCTCCTTCGCCTTGTCCACTCTTCGCGCGCCACGCTGCTTGCCGTCCGCGCATGCGCAAGGCATCGTGCTGCCACACAACGACTTGTCAGGAGACAAATCGCCGTTGCCAGGGACTCAACAGCGCCTCTTATTGTCGTTGGATATTGACGTCTTCGTATCGCCAACTCTCGTCTTCGATGGTGCTATTCATGCAGATGGAAAACAACGAACATATCCAGCTGCTTGGCATTGCCATTTCTGGCAAAGCAGCCTGGGCATCAAGTGGCTTCACCAGGATGAAAGCCATGGTTGAGGCGGCGATGGGCGTGGCTCACGAGCACCCTGGCCTTGCACTGCGAGCTTACACTCACCCTGTCTGGTTTGTCCAATCATATTGCAATGTTATGGACTTTTGGGTGTGCTGCAAGGAGCTCCCCATCGAAGAATCAGGGTCAGGGGTAGGTGGTGCATATTGGCCCATGCTCCTGAGTGCTCAATGCTCCCGCTAGCATCCCCGCAAAGTTCCAGGGGGAGCGAAGGGTCGACTTCAAGCCTCAATTGCCTGGTCACTTTGTTCAATCATGCATCGCCGACACAGCGCTATCACCAACTACCAGAGTTGGCTGTAATTCGTCCGGATCCGTGCCGGAATTGCCATGAATGCAGAACGCGAATCTGCAACAGTGTTGCATTTCGTTCGGAACCGGGAATCCCTTCTCTATCAATCAGCCTTGCACGTTTTACAAGATGTTGTGCAACACACCCCCCCTCTTTCTACATATCCCGGGTCCTCATGTCAACTTGTACCACTTCCACTTTCAGACCCCCACGCAACACCCGTAGTGCCATAAGATGGCCCTGCTAATGCCTCGAACCAAACACAGTTCTTACTGACGATGCAATTTGTGCAGGCTGCTTTCGTACCACATCCACGCGCGTCTACTGGACCCTGCCATCCTACCCCCACTCTTGCGCTCGATCCGTGGTGTCCTCTTTCCCAACAATGCTCCAGGCGCCCCCGGTCTCGTCCCTCCCTCATCCGACGAGGAGCTGGCCGCCCTGCGTCGCAAATGCGCTAGCGCTATTTGGGCGCTTGTGCCGAAGGGGGTGGGCAGACTGTACTTTGGTTCTGTGTCCTTCTGGCCGAGTTCCACCAGCAAGAGCAGCAGTGTGAACACCACAACGAAGAACGCTCCACGGTCCAGTGAAGGGCCCACCTCCAGTTTTTCAAACTCCGAGGCCGCCGCCTCCTCAACCACGGCAACTGGACGCGCGGAGCAAAAGGTTGTTGGAGAGGGTAAGCCTGAGAGGGGTAGTAGCAATGCGACGTCGACATCAAGTAGTAGTAACAGTAGGAGTAGTAAGATTGGTAAGCAGGGTCGTCTTGGGCAAATTGATGACCCTGGCGACACCGGTGAGCAGCAGCAGCAGGTCGAATATGGCGCCGGTGATCAGGCTGTTATTGCCGACGGCAAAGCAACAGAAGACCGGGGGAGTCAGGAAGGAGAAGTATCGCCTTTTTTGTGCAACCATGACGAAGACAAGGACGAGGAGAACAGGATCTTATCCGAGATCGAGACGGGCGTCCTTGACGTTTTCTCGGATGCTTACTGCAACAAGCACCTCATGTACGGCGCGCTCGAGCTGATTCTCGTGCGCCTCATGCCCGAGTTGGCTGACAAGGGGATTATTGAGCTGTGGGAGGAAAAGCTGAGTTAGCCTTGGTCGCTAGTCTTCTATAAAAGTGATTGACTAGCTGAAGAATTGATTGATCGATTGATGCGAATATTCCTAATCAACGTCGTACGACAGCTGCTGCGGAGGGACGAAACAGAGCCGCGCCGAGTTTTCTTCTTGACCGGTAGAGCCTGAATTCATGGTGTGGCGCGGACAGCGGCAAGCTTTTTGTCCTTGCATGTACACATGGGGTTGTCTGTACCTTATTGTTATTGATAACCAATCCAATCCAATACAACGCTACGCTTGCAGCAATTCTATGCTCGTGTTCCCGTTCTACAAAATATCAAGAAGAGTCGCACAGCAGCCAGCCTAGCGCCAGCCAGAGCTGTGTACAATGTCTGAATTCCGTAGATGTAGACTCGGCTGGCTCACCGACTACCTATGAAGCATTGTAATTATTATTATTTCATTGATTTGTTTTTCCTGGTTAAGTTGGTATTTCTTTGGTAATGTTTCTTTCTTCACCGACCAAAGCCACCTACGAGATTAAATTAGATCATGTCATGGTTTTGAAGACGGCTTAACGAACAAGACTCAGTCACAGACACAGCACATAGCACACATACACATGAGCCGCGCGACTAAGGCGAGGAATTCTGATTGGTAGTTGTAAAGGAACCTTTCGGAAAGCAAGCAGAGGGCCGCCCCAAAAAACTGATATTGTGCTGCTCCTTAGCTCAAGCTAATAACAAGCGGCGTGGGTAAGGAGAGTGAACGTCTGTGCAGAAGAATAAACCAATGCGTGCATAACGTCGCGCCACAGGGAAGTTGGAAGAGGAAGACGGGAGCAGGGACATCCGACTCGTTGGCAGTATCAGCAACAAAGCATTGCCGCCACCAACAGTACGTCATGGAGTCGAACGAAGCCCCTTTCACAGGGCTCTCGGAAACCTCGATCCTGACCAAGGGTCGGTTCACTGGCTGCCCAACCGGCCCGCCCCCTTTCTTTGCCCCCTCTTTTCTCCCTTGTATGCGTGCGTATGCACATGTAGCTTCGCCTCGTTTTTTCTTTCGCCTCAATGTCTGTCCCTCCTCACTGCTGTTGCTGTTGTATGTTCCTTTGTACCTCGTCCACATTCGTTCTCGTTCTCGATCGTACTTTTTTCCTTGGTAAACTGAAAACAATGAAACAGTTTCCAGCTTGTGTTGTCCAGATTATGTCCCTGCCACCGATCCCAATCCCCAGTCATCCCTCCAATCATACATCCATACAACCGTAATAGCTGACTGATGCTTGGACATGACGATGATGATATATAGAGAGAAAAGACTCGCAAGATAACAAGACAAGACAAGAACAAGCAAAACGGTAAAAAAGTGCAGGCATAAGAAAATATGATGATTTGGCGCCCTGATGCTGTGAAGTAAACCAGTTCGTCGTCGTCCCCAATCCTCCTCTTTCTCTTATTACTTTCTGGATGGCCCATCGGCCTCTTTCCCTCCCCAGGGTTTGTAGCCCCTATCTCCGCTTGTTCGTCCCGAACATAATCCCCAGGCATGACCCAGAGCACAATGCAAGAGTATCTCGACGAATGGTGGTGGTGGCAATCGGGAGCGGCAGTGAATTTATTCAAGTGGTCGATAGATGGGTAGCAAAGAGTGTATACATACATATATATACGATGACGTAAAGCAAAGTTGAATTTTGGTTGGTCCTTAATCGCGTGAGCGGGACACGTCTTTTGCGTGTGGGTGAAGATACATGAATCCCAATCGATCGGGAGGGGGTGAGCTATCGAATTTCGATGTTGGCGCGTGAGCGGCTTTGGGGTATATAAATATTGCAAAAGGGGCATTTCGTGAGAAAGTGTCGTATATATGGTGATGACTGGTATCGCTGGACAATCCTCCCGGTGGGCAAAAAACATTCGGGAACCCGTCACCTTCCGCTTGCTGATTCTTTCCCTGGCCAACGTCGTCGTGAGACTAGTCGAAGTTTAAGGTAAGTGGAATGTGGGCAGCCAATCGACTACCCAAACTGCGAAGATGGTGTGAAAACAACAATTGGAACAAACAGAAAGACGGAGGGCTTTCCAACCCGCGTGCTTGTGATTCCCCTCCTTCGCAGCAGCAAAAACCGACGGGTTTGAAACCCGAGCCCCTATTCCAGAAGCATCGAGGCGCAAACTCGCAGGTCTTGTTTTCAAGATTCGTCCACGGCCTTGTCGTCGTCGATAGGTATGAAACGTTAACGCCATAAGCCTCACAGGGATGTAGAGAAATCAACTTCAAGGCCAGATCCGATGGTCCAATCAGCAGCTGCTGAAATTCCGACTCGAGATCAACGCTACCCCGTCATCGCCTCGTTCTTGATCATATTCGAAGTGATGGTAGGCATCTCGATGTCGCCCTCGGGTATCCGTGAAAGCCCACCGATTCCTGTACTTGGCTTGGGCGGCTGGTGTTGCTGTTGCTGTGCCTGCTGCTGCTGCTGCTGCTGGTGGAGTCTCAATTTCTCAGTCAACCGCAGTACTGTCACGTACTCCTCGTTGTTGACAAGACCAGTAGGCCCGAGGTGTTGCATAAAGCTCAATAAAGTATCCGCTGCGCGTCTAGCATCTTCTTGTGTGGGCGAATTGGGCGACGACACCGCCACATTTGGCAGAATGGGCGTGTGGGTCGAGCGTCCCCCCAGGCTGCTGTTGCTTCGACTGTGATAGAGTGACGGAGGAGACATTGCCTGGTCGATGCCGAAGGTCGGTGCTGCTATTTCGTGGACTGAAGGTTCCATGGCCGAGGACGGGGCCGTAGCAGAGACACTGTACTTTGGCGTGAGCGGCTCCGTGCCTTGAGGGTACTCGAGGTCAAGAGCAGGCAGCGTTTGGCTTCGCGGTCGTTGAAAATTAGCGCTTCCTGGAGGGACTCGGCTTTGCTCAAACAGGCCTGAGTTTGGATCTGGGGAGAAGGTGAACTGCGACTTGGGGCTGAAAGCACTTGCGGAGAAAGTAGAGCTCGCCGGATCAGTGATTGCACTCGACAGAGAAGTCGTGCTTTGTGAATTGGCGTTGTTCTTGTAGGTCGGGCTGCCAAAGTCAATGTATCCAGATACTTCACCCTTGGATGGCGGAGAAGGCGGGCCAGCTGGGGAAGCAGGCGAGATGCCACCAGGCGTCTGCGACGCAGACAAGATGGGCGAGTCTATTGGCAGTTTGGCGCTGTCTGGAATCGCCGTTTCCGAAGCCCGGCGGATCAGTTTGCCAGGCCCGATATTGTGCTTGTGCTTGAACTTCTCCAGCCACGAAGTGGTGACCGTCTTCAGAGGACTTTCAGAGCCACCACCTCCCCCGTGGTCGAGGAAAAGCCGCGCCTGTTTTTCCATCTCCACGTCCGTCACAACATGACCCTTCTTCTGCTGGTTTCGCACCCATTGCGCCAGTGCTCGCTCAATATCGACGCTCTTCCCCTTGAGTTTCTTGATGGGCGAGCCACTGCGCTCCTGATCCTGGTAAAGATACAGCTCTTTTTTCCGGAGAACCTTGGACACCGTACTAACACCAGCATCAGAATACTCGAGCCAATCTTCCACAGACCCAGTCTTGACTTACCTGCGTTCTACACCAAATCTCTGTCCGATCTCTGTCTGTTTTACGGTGGGGTTGTCTTCGGCAAACTGGCACATTCTCCTGCGGTCGTCGTCTGTCAGAGTCTTCCTGGGCTGCGACGTCGTCAAAGTTGGCAATTTGGGCTGTTGTCTCTGGGATGGCGCCGACTGCGGTGGAATGGCGACCGGCGGCGCCGAGTAGTTCTGCGATGGATTTGTCTGAAGACTGGGCCATGGTACTTGGCTCCTCTGCGTGGGAATAATCAACGGCGGAGGCAGCTGGTTTGAGTACTGCGCATGGTGATGCTGTATCGGTTGAGGGACTGGTGGAGGTGGCATGTGGTTACCGATGGACTCAGGAGGCAGTCCGTGAGTTACGGGCGGCATGTAGTATTCTCCCCCGTAGCCCGACATGGCCATCTGGTTGTAAGCGCTCATATCAGACCATTGATCGTTGGAGTACATGTTGCTGTCATGGGCAAGATGGCTATCCTGGTCCATGCCAGATGATCCGATCATGTTGTGCATCCCTTCTACGCTCCTATACAACATAAGAGACTATGCTGGTAGATCTCGAAGCTGAGAGCCGCATTGACTGGGGAGCACGAGGTAGCGCCGCCGTGATGTATGTATGTACGTATTGACGAAATTGGTTGGGACTGGGAGCTGATACGACTGTAAGTTAGGCCGAGAGTTGTGTTGTTGGCGGTTTGGGATGGACCTTCAACAGCAGCAGCGGAAGACTACATGTATATTCTGGTCCACCAATGGGTTCCTGGAAAGGAGGCGTGCAGTGGCCTGCTGTCTAGGTCAACAGCCCTTGGGTCGTAAGTGCGGTCAGAAGCCGCAGCCGTGTTGGCAGAAGAAGCCTTTGCAGCGGGCCTCCTAAAAGAGGATGGGCGGAGAATCCGTTGGGAAAACTACACAGACGATGGGTACCTTGAGTTCCTTACAAGCGCGGGAGGAGGCGGCCGACTTTGAGAAACCACCAACCAACAACAAACAACGGCAACGGCTTGAATTATGCAGATCGAACGTTTGTTGGTTTTCGTTTTGCGCTGCGTGTTGTTGGTTATCCTAATGTATTTCAGAATGTTGTGTTTTGTTTCTCCCTCTCTTGTTTCGTTGTATTGTGTTATAAGCGAAGCTGGTGTAATTGGGTCGATGGCATGGTTTAGAGCGTATGGGTGTGTGGATGGGATGGGGCGTAGCAAACAGCTCCGTCTGCTGGACAAGTACGGATTCACCAGAGGGTCTGCTGCAGCAGGTAGACGCCGCAATGCAGTCTAATACTCGGGACTTGTCGAGATGATAGTATCAAGGCAAAACCATACGCAGACATGTGGAGGACGTACATAGATACATATGTGCGTCCCTATGCACTGACAAGGATGTTGCGTCGTTGAATCGAGGAGACACACGCAGGAGATGGGGGTGGGATGGGGGTGGTGGGAACCCTCGAGGAGTAGAGGATGTGGTATGACAAGATAAAACCAGACGAGGACTTGCAGAGAAGGGAACGGATGAATTAAGGTAGGCTAGTGTAGAGAGGGTGGAAGGAGACCTGGGACCCTTGGTCGCTGACGGAAGGGGGGTGGGAACAAGGCCTCGAGGTACATTTCCTTAGCTTGTCAGAGGAGAACTGTCAGACCTTGGTATTCGTATGCTCGTTGACTTGACTCGAGGGCACAACATTCATCCATTATCAGATTTCCAAGGTGACCGGGGGTCGCAAAAAGCAACCGGAGGCAGCGGGAAATCCGACACGGCGTAATTCAATAGGCTGTGAAGAAAAGAAGAGGCAGCTTATTAGATATTAGACGATGTCAATCGTAACATACAACACAGCCCTTGAAGACGTCGTTTCCCCAGATTTCCATTGCTTTGGTCGATTGATCTGGCGTCTCGGCCGTCTTGTTTGCCCATGGCTCTTGGGCAGGAGAGCTCTGCCGAGGGGGCCTGGCTGATCTTGATCTGGATGGTCAGCAACCTGAAAACCACTAGAGGCCGATAATGGAACCTCCCGAGGTGTTAACCTGTCCACGGGACATGCCAAAAGCAAATCACAGCGTGAGGTGAGAGCTTGAGAGCGAAAAAAAGCTGCCGTGTGAGCACCTTACTATCTTGCGATTGTCCAACAGCGTCAGTCCTCTGATCCTGTCGTCGGTCAGCTTGTCAAGATTAGCAATAGCACCCACAGTACCCCGCCAAAGCGGACAACCGAGAGCCGACATCGAGTCACACGATGCGACTGCAGTCCAGTCGCAGCGCAAAGCAGCCTGGCTCGGCCTTTACTGTGGAATCACAAGAGCGCTTGATGAGGTATTTCGAATTTGTGAGGATCCATTGAATCCATCCCAAAGAGGAGCCTGCCTGACTTGCCTGGCTCGTGGCTTCCTAGCTTGTGAACCTCTCCACTGACGGCCGCGATTTGACTAGCAGGGGTTGCTTCAAGGTCATTCCTCAGCCAGGGTGGGCTCCATGCTAAAAAAAAAAGACCGCCATATTTCTTCTCATAGGGCAGTCGCCGGTCGGTTTGGACCACTCTCTGCCACGGGTTCCCGTCCACAAGCTTCATCGCATTTCTATTTGGCAGGAATGACCTCAACGACATTTCCATGGATCCAAAATAGTCCAGAAACACGTCCACTTACCGACCTCGTCACCAGCTAGATTCGTATTTCATAGATGGCGCGCAACTCCTGTGGTGGAAACCTAATAAGCCCGTCAGTCCAGTCTTTGCTCATCATCCGCCTGTGGGGAAAGCGACACTGGATCGCATCATGGACGGTGAAAGGGATTTTGGGAAAGGTGGCACTGCCGAGTCCTCCCAAGCACATCTCCGTCCATACGACAACGCTGGAGAGGGGCTCTGCCAGCTTCGCCTAGTCGCCGAGGTGGACAGTCATTTCTATGCCTCGTCAGCAGCTGTCAGTACTGGTCCATGTCGTCCAACTCTGAGACCATCTGACTGAGATGAACATCGCGCCGGGGTCCTAGCTTACAACCGGGGTCCGCGTAGGCGTCGGACGTCTTGAATTTCCTAGAGTTTGTCCTTCTCTCCACAGCGATGCTATCCGCGCCATTCCAGGTTTTGTTTGGTATCAGAATTGACAAAATTAATGCCGAAACGTTCTTAAGCTCTCTTCAGCCTCGACGTCAAGGGCAGCGCCGCAGCGGCATTACGGCACTCATGGATATTAATGCAATGCGCGCCGGGGTTTGGTATCTAACGTGCAATGCTTAAGTTGCTCATCATCGACTCCGCCCCATGAGACGAGTCTCAAAAACACAATGCCAAACTTGCAGAAGTCAAAGCAGCGCTATTGTTGGTCTAGCGTTTTTGACAACTTCGCCCGGTCTTCGAGCCCTGGGAGAATGAGATGGGTTCGCTATCGTGTAAAGCCTCCAGTCCTCTACGCAAAGCTCTTTTGTGCGTCCCTTGCTCCATCAACAGCACAACGTCGCAACGGTAATTAGAAGCCCAATTATTGGTACCTACACAGTGGGTATCAGCGAGTCGCCCAAGCGCAATCAGGTTGCCTGAAGCGGCTGCTTTCGTTTTGCGCATTATTCCCATATGCTTCTTTAAATGTCGGAGATGATAGTGTCAAATTCACACCGTTGCACGGCGCTTTAAAACGCCCGCGCATAGTCAATCGATACCCTTCTGGTCAGTTAACGGGAAGTTGCATCTAGGCATGGAAACATGCTATTGGCGATCTTATCCCCAGACAGCCTCCAACTTGCACTGAAAGGGGAACAGTTACCGAGTTATCCAATCAACTCGGTGTGTGGGAACAAGGCACAGTTGATAATTCCCTCGAGTCCTCAAAGTCTCCAATACAAGACTAACCCCGAAACAGCTCTCACGCCTGTCGGGGTGTGTGAAGCCTCTTCTAAGCCGTCGAATAGAGTGGCACTGATAGTACCAGGATCCCCGATAGAGCTGGCCAACTGGAATTCAGTCCGGCATACGGAAGAGGCATCGCTTGGGCCCCCTCCCAGGCTCGAAGCCTTTTCTACCCAATGGGTATTGTGCGCGCCTCGTGTTTGAACCCGGAAATTAGGCCCAATGAAAATTCTTACTGCATTCTACATGTAATGTGTTGCTGGTTGATCAGTCGGAAAAACTTGGAAGGATTGGTCCTCTCCTCCTGCCATCTGAACGTTATTGCCATGTTGGCGTGGTGGGCCATCAAGAAGGTTTTCGTTTCTTTGGAGTGACAAGACTCAACAAGGAAAGGTTCGCGGAGAGAGGGCCGGCCCTTTCCCTTTAGCCAGATCTAACAGAGCGTATCCACGACAGGGGCGGCATGTTGGTCCCAGCAAAGGTTTCCATTAGAAACTATGGAAAGGGAAACGATCTGAGGGATGCCGCCGGTCCCAAAATGAATAGCGTAAAGTTAATAAACAGGAACATTCGCCGAATACCGGGATAAGTCTGTCTGCTTTTGCAGAAGATCCATGGCGTATCGTGAAAGTGTGAAAGTACTTGTAAGTGGTATGCTGATGTCTAATCAGCAAGGTACAGAATCCGAGTTGTCACCGTCGCGAGCAAACCCCGATTCTTGTTTCCCAAAGCAGAGATGAGGGTTATGCACAGCCTATAGTTGGTCGACTGTCACATCTGCTGGGCCCCTTGATCTGCCAAATTGCAGATACTTGGATTGTTAAAGAAGTGACCAGATTCAAACCCAAGATCAAAAGACCAAGAAAGCTTGGAAAACATGAGCCAATATCTCCACTTTTGGGGCTGTTAATTTCATAGGCGGGCGAGCATCCCGCACATAGTTATCCTGGAAGCCATGGATCCAAGCCGGACAGCGGCACAGCCAGGGCCACCGACTGATCCAATGTGCATCGATTGACGTCTGTGCCCGTTTAAGGCTTCTTTCTCCTCGCCTTGTTGATAGTTGCTGCTTCTGCCAGGCTTGCATTTCGGTCTTGGGCGATCTACTTTGCAGTGAAGGCTTCCCAAGGTGGCCGAGTCAGTCAACTCTGGGCGGGGCGTCCGTGGGTTGCGCAATCCGAATCCACGCTGACCAGTGACTGAACAATGGCTATATCTGACCGTATTTGACCCCTACCCTAGATAAGGCCAAACAGTTGTGGCCCTGATAGCATTGTGCCTGCGCATGTGTGCTGTTGGGCGATCCAATCCTCGGCAATGGATGACGACGACGACGTCAGTGTCTTGAGAATACCATGTGAGGAGCGACTACTCCACCACGTAATTCTCCGAGTCAAGAAACGTGAGCATGCTGTGGGCCGTCGTCCGCGCGTCGGCGGCTAATGGCGCTTTCTGAAAGGTCAAGTGCAAAGCTCCAATTTTACCGTTGGAGAGGGTCATTATTCGACTGGTTGGCTGGTGCAAAGCAACTCTGATCGATGCCGTGGAACTTGAAAATGAGAGGAAAAAGCCCCTTGGCCCCTGGAGAGAGCGGCCGGCAAAATCGCAGGCGGCAGCACTAGCCCTGACGCACTAAGCGCTGTGAACCGTGTATCAAGATATAATACCCCATCGAAAGCGTGGCTCCTGCATCCATGCTATTGTCGGAATGATGGCCGCATTGAGAGAGGCCATCGGTAACGTATGCAGGCAGTAATGGTTGCAGCCCGGTCTCCGCTTCTGCTTGACTTCAAAGATGTGGCGCTGGGATACTGTGGGGGATCATGCATCGAGACAGCCCCGTGCCCCCTTCCCCTGCCCCCCGGAAAAAATTGCGCGGCGGAAGGCTCGAGTGATTATTTGCAAATACTCTTGAATTGAACTCGGGCTGCGTTCCCTATTCAGGACCCCTTTTCCTTCTGCAACAAATGTCCCTTCCTGATGCCACGCGGTGCGTGCCGAGTCGGTTTGCAGCCTCATCTGGCTCCCTGGTGCTGATTTTCAAACAACCACAAACCCCTGGGAATGCAAACAGCCGCCAGCCTTGTACAGATGAAGGCGAGTCCCTCATCCGTCCTACCTTTTGTTCAACGCAAATTTTGGGAAAGGATTCGTGAGCTCGGCGCCCAATCGTATCACAAGAGGATTCTTTGGTTGTCTTGTTGAGATTTCGTGATAACTCAGGTCATTTCTGCAAGATCTGCGCGATGTTTTCGCAGACTACAAGATTACTCAGATCTAAGTCATCATCTCTTGACGATGGTAACTAAAATAAATATGAGCATGCCTTACTCAACAAGACGTGAGTGGGGAGATAGTTATACGTACCAATGTCCTCGTCGGCCAATTCATGGCTAAGCCCCACACGTTGCGGTTGGTGCTTCACGGATTTGCCATACACGACGGCCGTCTTGAACTGTTCGACAATGGTGCGGTGGATTGCGTTGCACTTTAGAACACTCGGTCAGCAAGGTTTGCCCTGGTCACGGCATGTGCCTTGAGGTCACACTTACAAAATCTTCGACTGTACACCTATTGGACCGAAGCACGACAGGAGCCGAATAATCCGGCATCTTTCCCTTTGGCTTCGTGTAGACTCGAACCAGTTGTAGTTTTTCCCACCTGCAGTCCAGACAGGGGTTAGTCGCTGTTGCATGAGTGAGGTGCCACAGGCATCGCTTCGGAAGAATCAAACAAACATACATGGCTTCCATTAACTCGTCGATATTCCAACCGTGTTCGGAGCTAATGGGTACTGCATTGGGAATCCTGTATAGCAGATCGAGCTCTTCGATACTGATTGCGTCGATTTTGTTGAGGACGTAGATGACCGGGATATAACTGCGGCTCTTTGCTTCCAACACATCAATGAGGTCATCGACCGTCGCATCGCAACGGATTGCAATGTCAGCCGAGTTGATACGATACTCATTCATGACGGCCTTGATTTCGTCGTTGTCGATGTGGGTCAGCGGCACGGTGCTCGAAATGTTGAGGCCACCCTTGTCCTTCTTCTTGAAGGTGATGTTGGGCGGTTCTTTGTTGATGCGGATGCCAAAGCCTTCCAGTTCTGTCTCGATGACCCTCTTATCAGTCAGGGGTTTGTTCACGTCGAGCACAATAAAAATCAAGTGACATGTCTTGGCGACAGCAATGACCTGACGACCTCGACCTCGTCCATCCTTGGCTCCCTCGATAATACCGGGAAGATCGATCATTTGCAGTGGCGCACCTGTGCAACAGTGTGTTAATAAAGGCCAAACCAAGACATTTCCCGCGGCCTTAAGCCGTGCCGTGACGGACTGAGCTCGTGTGTTTCCAGGGGTGTTTGGATGACCATACCATTATACGTGACTTGCCCGGGCACAGATGTCAAAGTTGTGAACTCATAAGCAGCCGCTTCTGAGTGGGTGCCAGTGAGCTTGCTCATCAAGGTACTTTTTCCCACGGATGGAAAACCGATGAAGCCAACACTGGCAACCCCTGTTCTGGCAACATCGAAGCCAGCACCACCGCCGCCACCGCTTGATGATGGGGTGAGTAGCTCACGCTTCAGCTTTGCCAGTTTTGCCTTGAGCTGACCCAAGTGGAAGGATGTGGCCTTATTCTTTTGAGTCCGGGCCATCTGTCGAGAGCTTAGTAAATCCCTATCTTCCTAGGGTTCCTTCATGGACCACTTACTTCGGCCTCGACCTCCTTGATCTGTGTGGTGTATCAGCATTTTTTCGCCAGATGATTCAAGATTGGACTTTTTACCTTATCTACTGTAGTCGACATCTTTGCTTCACTATACGATTTCTTCTTCAATGGGTGTTCTATTCGTGAGGCGTGGTACCCAGCTGTTCGCAATGCGATATCGAAGAATCGCAAGTCTGGTGAAGTTTTTGGTGGGGCAACTTCCCGCACTTCAAAGTGTGATGTCAATCGAGCCCCACCCGAAGTTTACCCTGAAAAGCACTCGGCGCCCAATTCAGGTTCTGAAAAGGCAGACTGCAACGACTTGGTCCAACCTTAAGGAATTAGCGAATCCCCCAAATAAATGTTTTGCCAGCTCAAAGCAGCGTGGACGTAATTGCAAAATTGAGCACACTGCTAGGAGCACGTGGACTTTGGCATAAGTGGACTCTTTGACGACATGAGCTCAAGGCAGACCGAATGCAGAACCTATATCACGTTTGCACTTGAGCGTGAAAAATAGCCAAATTTACTCAATACTCGAGTACTCAAGTAAGTATCTCTACTCGAAAAAACGGACAGTCTAACATGATGGGATGAACATGCAATGACACAATCATGTGTACTCATCTGAGATTGTGTCTGTCTCTGAGGTGTCCAGGCATCTGGGTGGTGCCTATTATGTTCCGTTGCACTTCAGATTGACCAAGCCCAGTGTCAGTACCTGGCTTTCGAAAAGAGCAAAAAGTAACAGAGAAGAAAATAATTAGGCGGAATAAGAGTGGAAACATTTCCTATATATGTCCTGCTACCAAGAAGCAAGCGCAGTTAATGGTCTAGCAAGTCTTGTGAAGGCAAACCAGCCAGTCGACGCTCGGTCAAGGGTAGTGCTCAGAGGAGACGGGACAAGATTCGACGAAAAGGAAGGTCAATGAAGGATATGCGTAATTTATGCCGACTCTAGAAGATGGCGCAACCCTTTTTTTGCACTTCGACGAGGTGCAACTTCCAGCCTCCACAAGGCAACATGAAGTCATCAAAGTATTCAGAAAAGTAGCAGCTCAACATGGGTATCATCGAAGACTCGCTCCTCCGACTTCCTCAACCGAGCCCTTGGGGTTGGACATGGATTTATTTAACCGATTAGCTGGTATCTAGACTCGAGAACAGCTGGATCAGTATAGGACTATGAACATGTATATAGTCCACATCTCGCGTGATTGATATCCCAGACGTGGTTCTTGGGTATAACCAAGATCCACTATTCCACTGGGAAGTTTTAGAAACAAAGTTGATTATACATAAGTATACAATAAAGCCATAGTGCTGCATGTCTGCCCATGCCACCCCTCCGGTATCAAGGGTGTCAGGCCAAGATTGAGATTTGCGAAATCGGAATCGGCTGACTGGCTCAATAACATGAAGGCAGCTCCAAGTAGAGTAACAAACCGGGTTATTTTGTAAGTTCCTATTGAACATATCGCAAAGCCGCATTGATATTGAAGATAATATGAAGGTAGACAACGAACAATAAACAAGGCAGTCTCAAAAATTCGCGCCATACTCAACCATACCGTCGTCCCAGCCTTCATCTCACCGCCACCTCCTAACCACCTGTATCGTCTTCACCAGCGGCTTAGCCTCCTCCCCGTAATTCATCTTCCTTAACACTCCTCTTCCCAACCATCCCAGAAACGCTCCCCATTCTCAGTACACCTCATCCCACAACGTCCTTCATCCAACTTAACAGCATCCTTCATCTCCTCCACACGCCAACACTCATGCCCGTACTCCCGAGAGCCCAACCCCTTACCATCACAAAAGCCAGCACACTTTCCACTGTCGACTTATTATCACCCGTCATAGTAGCCAGCAGCACCCACCCCTTACTCTTACTCGCATCGAAACAACCCAGATAATTGAAAACCGAAACCGTGGGCGCCACCGCGGGGGTGGCAATGGACGAGTTTTTGTTAATACTCAATCTATCCATCCCGCCACAAATCTATCTTTTGTTTCTAGACAAGGCATAGTGCGGTCTTCTTAGTTAAGTGACGCCGCAGGCTCTAGTGCGGTGCTGCAGAAGAACTCGCTGCCGTATCAGTGACCAGCTAAGGGGAAACCCGTCTCTGGTACAGAGTGCAAGAAACCTCTCAATCGTCATGTCGGCCATCACAGTAGCGCCCTAGTTCAGCGCGCGGTAGGTAGCCTTGTAGGCAAAGCCGAGATACATCGCAACTTGCAGAGCAGTAGTTCCAGAAGCTCCAGCGGTCGATATCAGATCTAGGGACGCAGTTGCCTTAGGAATTGTTATATTTGTTATTGGAGACGGGATAATACCCAGTACCGCAGCATCACCGGACCTACTAGTATCCACCAAAACGATAGTCTCGACAGTCTGGTCAGTCGACGTCATGATTGTCATGGTTGTCCTCGTCTCTGTCACGACGCCGGCTTTGCCCGTGTTGACGCAGTACCAGTAGTTGGCCCAGAACTGCATATCGCAATTCTCGCCGTTGGCGCCCAGAAAGGGGTTCACCTGGTAGCCAACACGGAGACAACACGCGGAACCATGTTCGCTCGTCTAGCGAATCAGGAGCAATATTTGCTTTTAGCGAAGGCTTGTGCAAGTATCACAGTTGGGAACAATTACGGTTTGGATTGGGAACAGTGGAGAGTTGAATTCCGAATAATCGAGTCGGTAGAGACCCAGGAGTAGGTGGCTTCGGTCATCTTGTCTCAATGCTGCTGTTGCTATGCTAAGGATTAATTGTAGATGGGTTTGATAAGTCAAAGACTGATTTGGCAGCTGCTCCCCAAAAGGTTTAAAACACCTGACTGGTCGCACACTGCATGCTATAGAGGCCTATGGGGTGGATTATGACGGTCATAATGAGAAAGGCCTGTCGGTAAGTACGCATATGGCCATCACTTGAAAGCCTCATCCTGGCTTCTACATTGCAAATACAAAGAATAGAAGTGGCTCCAGCGCCAACGAAAGACATCCCAGTGTTATGTAGTCATGTTCTGCATCTACGAGCGCCACGAGGAAGGGAGAAATATCAGACTGGGCGGAGGCTGGGCCAATGAGTGGGTGGGCAATTTGTCAGGTGAGGGTAACCTGTCTCACGCTTCCAGGTTCATGGATTATCCGGGCTCAATGAGCTCTAACAAAAATCTCTTTCAAATCTGACATTGTAACCAAAGAGGGATAGAACAACGAAAAGAAGAACTCACAGTATAATCCAGTTTGTCACAACTACCACTTGGCAAAGAAGATTGTTGTCAGTCAAAGCACGTAAAGGGCTCCAGGACATCTATAGTTTCATGAGGCAATGCCAAATTCTCAGTCCAGGTCGACTGATATTTGTGACTGCGCTATAGAAAAAGGAAAACAGTGGGCAGTTTAAATGTGAATCACACTCAGCAGACAGATGGCGAACCAGTGTTTCTAAGTTGAGAAATACTTCATTTTTTTCATTCCTAGAACCATCGTATCACCAGTAATAGGGTAGCAGTCCTGTGATACCCTCTAGAGAGACTGTAATGTTTGGATATGCGAATATCTAAATAAAATTGCAGACAACCCTTCAACACCAGGGGCGGTGGGTTTTCATGGTCATGTTACGATTATGGTTATGAGGGGAAAAGCCGCCAACAGTTAAGATGATTTAAGGTATATGAACCATGGTTATTTTTTGATGATATGGCAGCGGCTGGAGTCGTTAACAACGAATATCTGAAAAGGTATATGTGTGCCCCAGTCATCAAGATTCTTGACATGTTTCGTGGCACAATGTATTTCTCGGTATGACAGCTCTTGCAATCTGGCGGAAGGATTATACAGAAGGTTTACATGTAGTACGCATAAGTTTAGTTTTGCTTTTCATTTACAGAATCCCATCCGCTGCTCCTAACTACCCAGTCCCCATGATGGACTACCTGGGTTTGGAGAATCACCTCAGCATCGATCCAGGTACGTCTGCCGAACGCGCTTCAAGACACCTGTAGATTTAGTCTCCTGTACACAAACGTGCAGAATATCCCAGAATAATATAGATATAAATGAAGTGACGGAATCAAGGAGCAGCTGTGGAAGTCCAAAACTATACAGGAGTAAGAATAGGCTAAAATAGAGTACTTTCTATACAGATGTAGATAAGACTCGGATGGGTGATGTGATCTCTAGACAAGAGTAACGAGCAGATGCAGACAATTGATATGGCGAGATACTTTTCCACCATGAAGAAAGTGCAGAGGAGAGAAACACAGCAGTAATGCTGGTAAGAACAGTCCGAAGAGCCAGGAAATCCTGAACGGACCAGCAGTAATGGTGAATGAAACACACGTATAATAGCACAGTAAGACAAGTACACGCTCAATAATAAAGCGCTAGTAGAATAGATGATACGAGTTCTCATATGTAACTTATTGAAAGGGCAAGCGCTCTCTATATGTCCCACTTCGGAATCGTCAAGCGGTAGTTCTCTAGATATGATGGTACCCTTGCAACAAGACTCGAACTAAGTAGTTCGTATCCAGCTTCCCAAAGAACTCTCTAAGGTTGGGTATTTATGAAGCGTTTCTAAAGCAGGTATATATCATTCTATGAGGATTTGACATTGCTTTTCTCATCAGTATACTTGCCCCCTTTACCCCACTAAGGTGCATCAGTATATGCATAACTAAGTATCCAGCTTTATCAGATTAACCGAGCTTATCCCAATTCCTGCTAGAGCTGTGGTTGATTTAAGTCAGCTGGGAACATTCAATGCATGACTAACATTGAAGATATCAACCTCAACAAAGTCCCCAAACGAAGGCTCAGGCTCAGGAAGAAGCCATGGAGATCAAACTAGACCCGTCGACTCTCACTAGCTTTCTCCCGGAGGACTTCCTAGACCACCTCACACCGGCACTAATCTGCCAACTTTTCTTTATCCTCTCAGCAGCCGCCGTCCTCGCAGTCGCGTTCACACCCCCTTCCACGCGCCAACTTCTCATCCAATACGGCGCTCGCAGCTCATCGTCCGCTCGAAACTCTCACGAGGCTCAGCGGGATCATGACGACGTTGGGGCAAAGCAAGACAAGTTCACCAGGCTCATCAGCTGCGTTACGTCCGTCGGCAACGTGCCGCATTCATGGTTCATGCATTTCTACGTACTGTCCATCTCGAGCTCCGTCTTCTGGGCATTTCAGTTCATGTGCCGTGGATCGATCCTCAACGGCATTGCTAAGAGCCAGACCGCAGTATCATCGGCAGCGGCGACTATGAGCATCAACCAGGTTTTCCTGACGTGGTTGATGATGCTGATGCAAGGGGGCCGACGCCTGTACGAGCACCTGGCCATCATCCGACCTTCATCCTCCAAGATGTGGGTTGTCCACTGGCTTCTGGGCTGTGCCTATTACCTTTGTATCGGCGTGTCCATTTGGGTCGAGGGATCGAGTGAGTGTCCATTCGGAAGCGCTATCTTCAAATAAATTACTGACTATTTAGGGTCAATTTTGTACTACAACCGGCGATTCTCCCATGTTGAGGCGCCTTCGTTGAATGAGCTTGTTGGGCTAGTGCTATTCCTGTTCGGCTGGTCAATGCAGTACAGGTGTCACAAGTACCTCTCAAGCTTGAGGAAATATTCGTTTCCAGAAGAGGGCATGTTTCGGTTCTTGATCTGTCCACATTATACTTGCGAATGCCTGTTGTACCTTTCAATCGCAATCACAGCAGCTCCGAAGGATCAATGGTACAACCAGACGCTGATGTGCGGCTTATTATTTGTCTCAGTCAATCTTGGTGTCACTGCCCGTGGAACGAAGACGTGGTATGTGGAAAAGTTCGGCACCGAGAAGGTTGAGGGCAGATGGTTGATGATACCTCTCGTGTACTGAGAGGGAGTCCCACTCGGGTCTTTCACTTCTTTTGAAACATCCCAAGCTTGTTGCCCAACTTCGAGACCTTCAGCACGTCACGATAGGTTAAGCTGGTGCGGGTTGATCGTACGTTGCGACCTTCAGTAAAGGTGTGACTAGATCGGAGCATATTCCAGTTGGCAACGGTGCTTTCGGAAAGGTTCGTATCTTCTATAGAATCTGCAATTCCGTGGAGGTACTCCGTATAGAGATCGTCGGTGGTAATGAGAAGACTCCTTGGCTCCTGCAGAATCCGCCATGCTGGCGCAGGGTCGAGAGCTCCATCTTCCTTACTCTTGTAGATGTCGAGGCACAAACTTGCGCCCAGCGACACAGTGCATACTATGGGGTGATATGCCGAACCGTCCTTGTGAGGCATGATGCCAATACCGGGAGGGTATTCGTTGATGAGAACATGGTTCGGTCGCTTGTGAGGGCTGTTGGAAAAGATGCCGGGCGAGTTGGAGTCCTGCGAAAGACAGAGGGAGGTCAATTGCGAAACGATGGGTTCTTGGAGCCAGTCTGGCAGAGGCGCATCTATAAGCTTGTTGTTGACGAGGTCTGAAGGCCAGGTCTGGAGTCGTCGATGGGTGAGTTGCTTCCATTTCGGTTTGGGTGCGGATGCGATCTAGATTCTAGTTAGGATGCCACAGCAACAACAAGAACAGTCAAGTTCTGGCGATGAAGGCCTACTTTCTGAAGTATTGCTTGCTCCTCGCCCTCGGAAATGAAGTCGGGAATATAGTAAGCAGCAGATGGCAGGGCTGTGATTCGCGCGTCTTCAAGTGCGGCTGGAAGCGAGATGTTGCTGGCTGGTTCGATCTCCATCTTACCACTTGGTCAGGATTGTCACGAGCGAAGAACTGGTAAAAAGGGTGATCTGGCGATGGTCGCTTTCAGTGTCATCAAGGATCCATGTCATCCCAGAAAGCCCGCCAGGCGGCCACAGGGTTGGTTGCAGGAGGCAGCAGGCTAGCGTTTGGATGCCTTTAGAGCCGGGCGGGAAAGCCTGCAGCTCAAATACAAGGCGTGCGTTCTTGCAGTAATGGTTGGGATTTGGGAGAGGGCGCAGTTCTCCTCTTTCAATCGACCTGACGGTTGGGTTTCGTCCACTTTCAGAATTCTTCGTCAAATGAAGTGTTGCCAGCTTATCGTTCGTCGAATGCCATGATGGTGGGATCCGCACGTCGGCCCTCCCTTCCAAAAGATGCTCCATCGAAGGGGGAACGAACGACTCAAGGTCCCAAACGAACATCTGGAAATTTAAGATGAGGGAGGGGTGGAACTGCCAAGAAAACTGCGTCAAAGTCAACTACCGGCCACCGTAATCTTGCTCGGGCCCAATCAGACGACGGCGGGCGGCGTGGGCAGACTTTGATTCAATCTCGAATCTCGAAGCCAGTGTGCCAGTCTTATTTGACCCTCCCAAACAAGACTCATCGTAGTACTTGCTACTGCGAACTATTCTACACCGAAAACTTAGGCGTTGGCGACTTTTTTCCACGGCCAACTCAAATCATCGCCAAAATTATCCAAAACATTCTGTTTGGCCACTGTAGCATTTCCGCTGTGCCTTGTTTTGTTTTTATTTCCCGACGTCCTTTTCTGTTGGCCTGTTTGTTTGACGTGCGCCCCATAAATTCGTATCCTCGCCCTTCAATCGAGCAGCGATCCAACTGCCGCCGCCCCCGTCGACGCGACCGAAGCCCCTTTGCCCTGCTCGATTGTCGTCCATCGTCACCCACGAGTGCGGCCACCATGGTCCACTGCAACCGAGTGTGGTATATGAATTGAATGATATGGATGCGCAGAATGCCCTTGAGTCCATAAGCGCGAAGCAGGCCGCCGCTTCTCCCAAGTGGGGAGCCTCTGAAGCGGAACATGACGCCAAGGCGAAGACCAACACGAATGCCAAATCACCCGTATCCAGCAAAGCGGCGCCCTCAATCAACGATCCAAAGCCTGCGGCTAGTGCATCATCATCATCATCTAACTTGCCCGTGCCCGATGGCGACGCTCCTATCCCAGACCGAGATTCAGACGCCGAGACAATTGTGTTGTACGGTAAAGATGGCATATCGCCGTCCAAGCCGCGAAAAATGATCAAGCATGAGGATAAGAGCGAGGGTGAGGTCGACGACGTGCCGGCGGTTCCACGACAACCTGGCCGAGATGGAGAAAGGAGTGGTCCAGGCGCAGTTGGTGCAGGTGCAAGTGGAGCCACCGACGACGTCGCTTCCTCGTTGGGAAAGAAGAAACGGCTGGGGCTTCTGGAGAAAGAGAAACAACAACACCAAAAGAGCAAAGATGGTTCGAGCGGTCTGAGCTCTGCACCCGCCTCTCCCCCGTCCCACCAACGAAACCACAGCTCCTCCCATCGACGTCGCAGGTCAGGTGGTGACCATCGCTCAGAGTCCGATTCGGAGTCGTCGAAGCCACGGTCGCCCAAGGTGTCGAAAGACAAGCTCAAACCACTCGAAGGTCGGCCTCTGTCCACCAAGCGCAAGGCTCCCAAGGTCGAGTCTGACGACGAGAGTGAGGCTCGCAAGGCACGTCGCCCCCGTATGTCCGATACCAGCGTCGAAAGTAAACACCCGCGGGACCATAAACCGTCGAGCAGTCGGCCCCATCAAGATAAGCCTTCGATTTCACGTACTCGGTCCATTTCGCCTCATGGCCGTGCGCATCGTAGGAGCTTGTCGACACAGCTTCCCTCCCACAACTCGAATGGCCTTGGCCACAAGAAACGGCGCATCCCGGCTCCGCTTCAGAACACCGAATACCACTCAGACGACTCCTCTGCCAGCGGCAGTCCCCACCCTCGCAGCTCACGGTTGAAGAGCATTGCAACACCTGTCACGGGCGACTCTAATATGTCGCCGGCCAAGATGGGCCCCCACAAGAAGCATCTCGACGCGCATGGTCAGACGCTGTTCGCCAAAGCTTGTGCAAAGGGCGAGTACGATGTAGCTAAAACACGCCTGCAGGAACGTCCCGAGGACTTGAACTTTGCAGACCACGCCGGCAACACCCCTCTTCAAGTCGCGGCCTTGAATGGTCACGAAGAGATTGTGGAGCTTTTGATCCAAGCTGGCTGCAACTTGGAGTGCCGAAATGATGTGAAGGATACGCCTCTGCTTGATGCTGTTGAAAACGGTCACCTGGGTGTTGTTAAACTTTTGCTTGCTGCAGGAGTCAACCCCCGAAAAGCTAATGCAATTGGCCAGGAGCCTCTGGAGTTACTACCGGACGATATTGACAATGCCGAAGAAATCCGGGCCGCACTGGTGCAAGCTAAACAAAGAATTGGAGAGCTGCGCCGCACCTCAGAAGACCATCCACCTCAGGATAACCACGACGTCTCTTCCCACGGGCCGGACAGCCCGCGTCGGTCACCCCCAGCAACTTCTGGAAGCGCGGCAGCACGCAGAGGTGGAAATGTGCGTTCAACCAAGACGAGCAATCATCTGCTTTACATGAGTCTCGACGATAAAACACTCCGACAAGCTGCGGCGCGAGGCGACCACGAGACTGTCTCTCGCATTCTGCAAGTCAAGGAAGGATGTGATGACTCAGAAGCCCTTGTTGCAGCCGCTCGTGGTGGACACAGTTTTGTGATGGAGCTTCTCCTAGCCTTGGGCGGGGCAAACCCTGATCCGTCCCCAGTAAAGACACTTCCCACCGACCATGGCACACCAATGCTTGCTGCGATAGGAGGGGAGAATATAAAGGTCATTCAGCTCTTGTTAGACCAGTCCGGCTTCGACCCAACCCGCCGCTTCAAAGGAGAGACGTATTACGAAATTGCAAGGCTCCGCGAAGGTCCGATGTGGAAAGAAGAGGAACACATTCTGAAGAATGCGTATGACGATTACCGAAAGTCTCACAGAAGCTCTGCTAAAACCAAATCCCCATCGAGGCGAGAACGGGATCACGACCAAGAGGTTAAGCGCAGTCGCACTGAATCAAGCCAGGACGTGTCAAAATCGCACAAACGTCGACCGTCGAGCCCGCCCAGGGACTCTGAGCACAAGAAGCGGCTCGGTTCTGCTAAGGTCTCTAACAGTCCCAAAGAGAAACAACGTTCTATGTCATTCAGCAACCAAGATGATCAGATCTCCCCGAAACGCGGACCCGGACGACCCAAGAAGGAGGAGCGGGTTCCGACAATTGCAGTGTCTGATCGTGAAGCTTCACCTGCATCGTCGTCCAAAACCCACCCTATGAAGTCCAAACGAGCTGAATCCGATGTCCCAGGCTCTTCTGATGGCGAAGCTGTCAAGCCAAGGAGGAAGCTTATGTCTGCGAAAGACCTCAAAGGTCAGCGTGAGAAACAGCGCCGTGCCAGCTTGGTGTCTAACAACTCTGCTAAAGAGGCTTCGGATCGACATGATGAAGGACTCGAAAAGGCTCGGGCGGATCGCATCTCGGAGAAATACCATGATAGGACCAAGGCACTCAAACGGGATGAATCAAAAGACAGACTGTCTGTGGGCGACGCTTTTGGAAAACGGCATCGAACAAGCGTGACACCTCCACGTCACGGATCAGGTGATAGAGATGATAGCGAGGCTCCCCCTAAGAGGCGAAGGCTCGACGCAGAAGGAAAAGAGAAACGTACGCCGCAGAATAACCCATCCCCCGATGATCGTCCGAAAAAGCGAGACATATCTCGTGACTCGGTAAAACGCCCCAAACCTCACGAGAATGAACGCAAGGAGCTATCCAAACTGAAGAAGGTCAACCGGGATCGGAGAGAGTCCGAAAAGTCAAGTCCTTCTGAAAAGGCGAGCATCACTGTGTTTTCTCAGGACATGGACGTGGACATGCGAGATACCCCGGTCGCTGCGGACCGCGAAGTCCAAGCTGAACGTGAACGCGAACGCGAGGAAGCGAAGAAGCGCCAGGCTGAGTTGGAAGCCGTAGCTGCGGAGGAGGTACGGAAGAAGGAGGAGGTGCAAAAACGGGAGGCAGAAGAGAAACGGCAAAAAGAGGAGGCGGAGCGAAAACGGCAAGAAGAAGAGGAGAGGAAACGGCGTGAAGAGGAAGAGCGCAAACGGAAGGAGGAAGAGGACAGAGAGCGGGTCCGGTTAGAGGAGCAGCGGAAACAGCAGGAAGAGGAAGACCGCAAACGCCGCGAGGAGGAACAGAAGCGGAGGGAGGAGGAAGAGCGTAAGCAACGAGAGGAGGAGGAACGACTTCGTCGCGAAAAGGAGGCTGCCGAACATGCTCGCAAAATTCGGGAGGAGGAAGAACGCAAGGATCGAGAACGGAAACGTGCAGCTGAGCGTGCAGCGCGTGAGGCCGAGCAAAAACGAATCCGGGAGGAACAGGAAAGGCTTCGACTGGCGAAGCTGCCCCCGCTGCTTCGTTGGTTTGATCAATGTCCCGACCCGAAACAAAAGGAGTTCGCCGAGCTTTTCACGATCATGCAAGGTGTTCGCTACGACACTATCAATCCATTGGCCACCGGGAGGTCAGACGGGCGGGAGCAGTGGCTTCTGAACACCCAGGTCGCTCTGCTGCTTGGGGAGAAGGACCTGACACTTTCCAGATGTAAGACTAGCCCCTATGACCGCAACGAAGATGTCAAGCTGATGGCCCCTAGACACTGCGTGGGAACAAATTCCAGTGTCCAACATTGCCAAAACGGTCATCTGGCGACTAGAACAAGACAGATACGCCCTGACAGAAGGCAAACTATACCATCTAGGGGAGCAGCTACCTGATTATTATGGCGGAGACCCCAACAAGGTCGGGTACCGTAAACTGGAGCAGCTTCGAGGCGAGGCATCTAAGCTGTTTTTCGAGATGGACATGTTCTTCGTCAAGGTACGTATATAACACACACTCCAGCACCCATGCCTGAGCTCAAACTGACTGCTTAACTAGGAATCTGACTTTCTTTATATACTCCCACACTTCTCACACCTCCGCAATGTCCGGCTCGCCATCAGTTACCGTGAGCTTCCGGAACACGAGGGTCAACTCGCCACGTGGTGTGCACCGGCAAAGTGGAAGCAAGATCCAGACGCCGAAAGCAGGGAAGGCTTCGCACCGCGACAAAAGTATTATATCAACGGCCAATTCATCTCTGAAGACAAGCCGGGCCACTACAAACCTAGCAAGAGTCCGTTCCCAGAACAGCGCGTTCCAAGACGGGGTGGCATTGTGGCCGTCGCTCCCGAGGAGCCTGAATACCCTCGGTTATGCATGGAACAAGGCCTTAGTCACCTGCTCTCTGACCAGCAGAAATTGTCCGTTATGAACGGCGCTCACCTGACGCCAAGAAGCATGACCTCGAACGACACGGCGGAAGCAATTAATGGCGAAAACCTATCTCCTACTGCTGCTTCTCCAACCATTCAAGTTAACGGCTACCATGGGCCTGTGGGACCGTCGGAGAAGCCACAAGTCAATGGGATCAACGGCGACCATTGATGCTCTCTTATCCACCAAAAAACTCAACCTCGGAAACGATGGAAACGACCCCTGCCTTCAATCGCATGATTTCTGCTTGCTTTTTGTATCATATCAACCGCAGGCATCCAAAGCACGTCATACCCGAAGTCTTTCTTGTTGCGAAAATGTGAGTTTCTTCTGTTCATGAAGCAACGACGCGACGATCAGCAGCAGTTCATTCCACACACCCAACGTATATTCTACCTGGCTCAACAACATAGGGCGGAGTTGGGAGTTTGCTTATGAGGGGGCGGAATGGGCTGATTGGAGTTTTACTTATTTTGGATGATTTTGCTCTCCAAATCTTGTTCTTCCCAACACATGGCATACAGTCGGCATATATGTGTGGTACATATGTCTCCTGATGGGGGCGTTGGCTTGGCGACATTACATCAGCAGGCAAGGTTTAGATATGGTTTCTGACGAATGGAACGGACTGAACTGGACCGAAGTGAACCGAAATGGCGGACAAGCAAGGCAATTAGACATTACGCAATCCAGTACATAAGTTCCACGAGTACAACGTCACTTGTCCAGATGCATATGACAGCAGTACTGCTGCTGTGACAATGATACGACCTTTTGAATCCTAGTAATTGCTTAGTGTCTACTGATTTATGCAATTAGCCATTGAGTCAAACACTTCCATCAATCCTTGTGGAACAGCTGCTTATGATTGCTCATGCGATGGAAGACAGTTACTGAGAGCAAAACCACCTACACGTACTCATTTCGTCACTTTCTCATCTATAGCTGTTACCATTCCATCTCTTTCGAACTTAGAATTGCTCTCAGTCCCAAGCAATCATAGCATTCGTACTGTCACATGTCTCCCAACTCCACAGAGTATTGATGACATCTGCTTATTGGTGTCTCGGTAGAACTCGGTAGATTGTTGTTTTATATAAGCTAACAATATCATTCTCACACATCAACAAGCGAAGATTAACCGGTTGTGATGAAATAGCCCTTATAGCTCAGTGGTAGAGCGCAGCACTTGTAATGCTGAGGTCGGTGGTTCAATCCCGTCTGGGGGCAACTCTTTTGCTTTTTTTTTTCACCTGTGCATGTCCTTATGTTTCCATGGAAGACAATTTTCCTGTATTACTAGTAGTGTGTGTGCCTTAATTTTGTGTATTCTATGGATGCTATGCCGGTTGAACAACCCTCGATCTCGAGCGTAGAATGTCTACTTTTGTGCTCTCAGTGATTGTAACTGCATGCCTGCTGTGTGTGCATCCCCCAGCTGCCTTCCCACCATTCACGACAACCTGCTGTGACAGGTATATGGTCCTATATGACACACCTCTACTCGATATGGCCGTTCTCGGCTCTCGAAGGATAGAGTCGTTAGTTGTGACCTTATGCCATGTCCCAAGCCCGGATATCTAAGCTCGGATGATGAGGCGGGCGCGTTTGTCTCAGAAGCTGTGCTTGAGAAGTTGTAAAAGATACAGCGGAAGAAGCAAAATCCCTCCACGGCTACAGTTTGGCTGTATTGGGAAGAAAAGGTGTAGTGCGAGTTTGATTCGAGCTTTCAGGTCGTTGGGAATAAGTGGTGTCGATCGTCTAGGTTTGCGTGCTTGAGGAATGTGTGTGATAAATTCAAACTGGGCAAGGACTAGGTTAGGGCGAGGGGTTATCTGCTATTTGAAGATCTTCATTTAACTAAATCTACCTAGACAGGCCTTGTTGAACTTTGGTAGAGGTAGCAGCGGAGGAGACGCAGACTGTTATACGAAACCCAAGCTGCATTTGGACAGCCACACTAACCTACTTAATTCATGGTAGACTAAGTAGTCACTGCGTGTCTCTTCAACCACGTACTTATATGGTTTACTGCATCATGCAAGAAACAATCTCCAATGCAGGCTGATCCGATGCCGTTATTTTGTCTCACCTTTAAGCGCAACTTTCTGATCTGTTATAGGATCTCTGTTAATGCTCTTCCCCTTTCTGATTATGGAGGCCACGTCGGAGAAGGGGGCTGGTTTCATTCACGGACAGCGAGGTGTAGACGGTCTTCACCACTCGGGAACTATTGAGGCCTCAGGATGCTCTGCGGTGAGTAGTCCTGGACGGGTCTGATCGCGAGGGCGGGTCATTGGTCTGGTTGTCATCTTATAACTGTAATGGAGGAGAGTGCATGCTGGTTCTGTTGAATGTCGTGATGATGTCGATCAATTCGTCGCCGTTTGAGTTATTTCTCACCGCCTCCCTTCTTCTACAACCTGACTGAAATTATCTTGCCTACTTTAGCTGATCGCAAAGCTCTAGAGCGGCCCGGAGGAGTTTGAAGATATGGCGCTCTAACTCTTACTTATTGTGGAATATACAGTCGGTTGAGGACGAAACACGTATCGCGAGGCGGTGGTGACGTGGTTGCGGAAGATCTGCGTCAGAGATTTACTCAGCCTTTTGTTTGATGGCGACGTGGCTTCGCTCGCGGACCGATGCTCCATAGAGCGTATCAAAAACCCGGGCGCTCGACGGGCCCTGCCCGTCGACGTTAAGAAGGTGCTAATAACGCCGGTGAAACCGAACAAGCAGCCATTGAATATCCACGGTACTGGTCTATCTCTCGCCCGATTGGGAGCAGATGCTTGCACTGGAAAAGGCCGACAATGGCGGAATGCGACATCAGCGTCCACGGATGGAAAGGAAAAGGGCAAGACACCGGTGGATCAGTAATCGCTCCCCCAAAACAGGACAAGGGTTGGAATCGGACGATCTCTTAGAACTATGAGCGCGTTTGGAGGGGTGACTTTGACCAGGAGCATACACTCGACTCCTTTCCCCTGGAGACGCTCTGCCACTCCACTATAGACACTCATGATCTAGAACTATACCGGCATACGAAATTCGGGACAACAGAGGATATGTGACATCCACAAGTGGAAAGCGCCGCACGAGTCCCAGAGCGGCTGACCACATACTCGCTGCCAGGATCAGTAGTAATAGAAAAGCCAGTCAGGAGGGACGTTTTGGGTGGTAAAGGGTTCGATGTAAAAATGTAAGTCTGAAGAAATGCATGAAACAAAAGGGAATATCCTCCAATACACCAACAACTCTCAACAAGGTTTGTATTGTAAATCAAAGACGACCAACAAATATGAAGATAATGAAATAATGTCCCTTCTCAATGAACACCGAAATATCCGCCTTCGTCTTCATCTCCGCCGAACACTCTGTTTTCGGACCCGTCGTCCGGTATACCGGCTGCGTCCAGAGACGGGGAGGAATTTCAGCAGGCGTGGTGTTATTTGCAAGGCTCAGATGACTGTGTTGACATAAGCCGTGACCCAGCTAAATTCCACACACGCCGGCCAATTCCAAGACTCAACCGCGATACGACCGTCTGAGTCCAGTTGTATTATGTGAAGGATGCTTTGGATGTCTAAGCCAGCGTGTTCCCTACTTGAAACCCTGCCGCCGCTCGCCATGGAGCTCAGACTGCCACGAGGCAATTCTCACCGCTGTCCAATATTCGCACAACGATGCATCCGTCCCTTTAGAGTGGTGTCCTTCCCATTCTTCTTTGTCTTTTCTCGATAAAGATGATGAGACTAACAAATCACACACCCCCTACGCGTCGTCATCCGCAGAAATCTCAAGAGTATCATATGAATCAAACGTATCCTCGGTAACCATCGCCGTCTCGCGGCCCTCGTTACTGGCCGCAACAGTACGAATAGATTTGATATCCGGCCTCAGCACCGCCCACACGGGCGCTACTACGAAAGCTACAGGGCTATCAGTTCTCCTCGCCTGCGCGGTCGCTTTCAGGAACTGCAGCTGACGCCCCGCGATCCACCACACGAAACTGCCCTTGTAGTAGTATTTCTTGAAGAGCGTTGACGCCTTGAGCAATTCCCAGTTCGAGTAATCGGGGTTTGCAGGGCCGAGTTGTGTTAGCAAGTAGCTGGCTAGTTCAAACGAGGCTTTCGGGGCGATGGCGCGGAAGTCTTCAAAGAGCTGGTTGATTCGCACATAGAAGCCGAGATCTTCTTTGCGTGCTAGCATGTTGAGTCTGTCCCATTCCATGTGGATGTGGTAGATGTCGCTGTGTAGTTGCGCCATCAGGGGGACCAGAAGAGGGTTTTTTGGATGCTCTGTGCGGCGCTTTTCGTCGAGGGAATCAAACGGACGTGTGAGATCTTCGTCGTAGAAGTCGACGCCGGCCTCACCCTGTCCGTTGATCGCATAGTGGAAGTTCTTCAGCTCTTGCTCTATGATCGGTTTCGCGATGCTGAACTTAAGGTAGTCGACTAGGTGGTAGGGCTCCCCTTCACCGATCCACTGGCCAGCTTTGTAAGCTGGCTGTGGCGGCTCCCGAAGGTGTCCAATGCAAGACTTCTTAAACTTAGTCCAATCCGGTCCGGTAAAGACAATTCCCTGCTTGGCCTGATCAACAAGATCGCTAAGCAGGGCACTCAGCCGAACGGCGACCTTATCGGAGAACGATTTCCTGGAGTAGCACAGGGCTTCCTTGTAATTAGTACATTTCCCGAGAAGGTTTTGCCGCATGTTGAAACGGAAGCTGTTTTCGAAGAACACTGAGGTTGCTAGCTCTCCGTGTTCCCTAACTAGATCGCCAAACGTGTCGGTCTGCTGGGATAGAATGCCTTCCTTGAAAAAATCCGGGCGCGACGGAACCTGGGCGGTGGTGAAATTGTTGACAATTGCAGGATCCCAGCAAACCCACGCAATGTCTCCATCATAATCGCCACCTGAGAGCTTGTCGGCGAGGGGATGGTTTCCTGTGCTAGGGAATATTACAACATCCTTGAGCGAGCCGAGTTCCGGCTTGAACACGGCCTTGACTTTCTGAATATCGCTCACGAAATGGGCTGGAGATCGTGCAACTAAGACATCCATGCCGTGCAGGAATGTCTCGGAGAAATCATTACCTTTGAATTTCGACGAAAACCCCAGATGGATCTCATCCTCTTTCAGAACGCCCTGGAAGTCGATGACCATGTATGCGTATGCAGAGCGACCGATTTTGATGTTCAGTCGATCTTTCAGTTCTTCACACTTTTCCTTTCGCAGCTCCCAGCCTAGTTCCCACAGGAACTTTTGCTTCTTGGGATGAAACCCACCATCAACGAGGAAGGCCATTTGGTCATTTTTGGACCGAGGCAGTCCTCCCACGAAAGAGACTTCTCCATCTCGTAGGCGTTCTGCTCGCTGAGAACCATTATTGTGCGCCCAAAGCCGAAATTGGACAGGGTCCTCAAGAGCCATTCGCTGCTCTTCGATTGCGCCAGTGAGAGTCTGGGAAAGGACGGTTCCGATGTAGCTTTTCATGGCCTGCCTATCGAGCGTTTGTTCTTCGATAATCGGAAGGAATTGGGTGTTGAGACTAGCCGGCATGAGCTCCCTGCTCTCGCTTCGAACTTCAAATGTCCGATGGTCTTCGTCCATGAAACTGCAATGCCATTTCCTCTGTGAAGGGTAAGTCTCGATCCAATCTTCGCCGCTGTCATCAGTAACATCGCGTATCCAAAAACCTTTGGCGCTTCCGATCCTGCCCTGAAAACCAGCAGGGATGTCAATCAAGCCCAAGATATCGCGAATCTTCCGAGCGAGACTCGCCGACAAGCGGCCTATACCGTCATTCATGACCTTTCCTGAGGGCGATAAGAGATCATGCTCCTTGTGACGGATCTGGTCTGGCTGGAGTATGACGGTCGGGCGGGTACGGCTGAGGCCTAACGCGATTCGGGAAAACAACTTGAGGTATGGTTGTTTTTCATTATTAGCAGTCTGGAGATGCCAGTCGAGCAACCCGCGTCGGTCCATATTCGTGTGCTTATTCATGTCTTCATCCTTGGGCGGAAGGGTTGGCGTAGTTGTAAAACGAAAGTTGTTGCCGGTTTCTGCGAAGAGGTAGACCCGATCCCTCATGATTGGCTTTGGGTCTGGCCCGAAACTCTCATTCCTGGTAGGCTTCCTGGAAGCACTATCCCGAATGAAACGGACAAAAAACGGCCTCCAGATCCTACCCAAGAAGCAATGAGAGGCATTCAGTAGCCACTGGGTGACGCATTCAACGCCCTGCTTACCGATATTTCTGATCGCACTGATGCTGTTATTGGACTCAAGCGAGGGTACCAAAATCTCAAAGAACCTGTCCGAGCCAAACCGTCGACTAAGCCTATGCGATAAATCGAGTCGCAGCGGTTGAAGTGCGACACGAAGCAATGGCCCAGTGCTGAGACTGCTGAAATCGATTAATGCCGACAGCACGACAACTTCGCCATGGCTCTGAAAATTCTTCATCGTCGCAGCAGCCCAAGCATCGGGCTGGCAGCGTTCGGGGAGAGGCTTTTCTTGGAGCTGAGGGTGCTTCTTGAAAGTTTGCCAAAGAATGTCCTGGTTCATCCAGGATGCATTATACTTGAAATTGAATGCACTCATGGAAACGCCACAATGCAAGAACACGCGCACAATTTCCCAGATAACTGCCATGGGAGCGTCATCCAGACATGATGGTATTTGGGCTAGACAATCAGTAATGACTTTGAAAGTATTTTCGAGAAATGGAACTTACGCCACACATCCTCGAGACGTTCCTCGACGCTCTTTTTGGCGGCACCAGGTTTACTGGGTGAAGCGGTTGGGACTGGTGAATCGAGGCTTGCCAGTTTAGCGTCGTGGTCCAGCGGCATACTGGATTCGGAGTATGAGTAGTTGGTGCGTGCAACGGAGTTACCGTCGTCGTTGACATTTTGCACCCCAGCTTTGCTCTCCAACTTCTTGAATGATTCATGAGATGCCTGAACCGAACTGGCGTTCATGGAATATTCCGAAGCCTCGTAGATACAGCTTACCTCGGGTGGAAACCTCTTCTTTTCCTGTGTGCTAGCTTCGACGGTGGTTTGTGTTTCCTGAGATCCAGGTGACTTATGAGCGAAGGAAAAGACGGCAGATTTGTGGGAAGACGACACAGTTTCCTCGCTTGAATTTGTAGAGAGGCCATACATGCTACGGTTTTGCGGCTTGCTGAAATAGAGTGGGGAGATTGCCTTGCCTGGTGATGTCACTTCACCACCAATGTCAGAGATGGAGCGGCTGCTATTCTCTGAGACGGCGCTCTTAGTTCGCTTCGGAGGCGTGCTGCCATGCCGCTCATCGGACAGTCGTTTAGACTGAGATGGTATCTGGGAAGGATCAGAGGACGGCTGTTGCGGCTCTTGCTTCCCGGGGGTGCCCGGAAGTTGATACAGAGGGTTGCTCTGAGATCGAACAAAAGGCCGCCGGTTCGGTTGCTCGACCTTTGGGCGACATTCATCAAGCACTTTGAGGAGCAGCCTCTTGAGATCTTGCCGCTGCTGGTGGTTGGAGGCCTTGGGCAGCCCACTGACGGAAGGGGTGACATGCCATTCTGCATTGGGCTTCTCGACCCATTTCTTGGATTCTGCTATGACACTCTCGCGGAAACGCTCCAGCATGACATGAATATTGTTCTTGTGGCAATGAAACCTCAAGCGGTTGTAAATGAGTTCAGCAGGGTCGCCCAATTCTCTAGATTTTGCGGGGGATCTGATGGTATCTGGGAGAGACAACCCCAAACTATACTGTTCCGAGATGCTGAGAAATATCTGATTCAGGTCATTGAGGTTGCCTGAAGAGCCGACCGCTCTCCTCTTGGTTGGTGTAGTCGGTGTCACTGGTGGGGCCATAGCAATGCTGCAATATTTTGACTCCAGCAACGGCCGCCTCGTGCAGACAGACCATTGTGCCGTAGTGTCGGGTACACCTGCAGGCTAAACTCAAAATCGGGCGAGGTAAGCATGGTGCAGTGGTATCCGACCGAATGGAAAAGCCGTAACACCAACCTCTTGGTCCTATTACGATATCAACCGGGCTCGTTCCACAATATTTGGTTGCAGGACCCCGGGTAGCCGATGCTCAATCGGGGCCAGAGACTCACACGTCGAGAGGACGGGCCACTGGGGAATTTGGGCTTCCAGATGGTGGCGAGCTTTGGGGGAGGGACGCAATTGGCGAGGATTCGACGATGGGGCAGACAGGGATGCGAGCTTGACACGAAACCACAGACAGACACGAGTGCTGCGTGTTTTTGCTGGAGTTTGCGCCACCCCTCAAAGCGTTGCTCCGGATGACAAAGCGCGTAGATTGGATTGAAATGGGCAAGGTTTCGCAACAGTGAAGAAGTGGGATGTACTCGGGTAAGCTAGTTAACATCGAGCTTAGTGCCAACTGGAAGCTGCAGACATGCTGCCAGGACGGAACCAGATGTTCTGGTTCAATCTTCGGCCTCTTCGGATTTTCGGCATCGTAACACTCACAGTGCAGCTAGCAAGTGCATCCATCAATCTCATCAGCCAGACACCCTGGAACCCAATACGCATACGGCAGCTCGCAATCAATTCGGCTGCTATCTCACGCATCGGCAGAGTAGTCACCGATAGTACCGATAGGAACCTGCGCCCGGCAGCGGTAGTCAAGGCGGAGCCAAAGCCAAGCCCCGAGAGAATCGTCCATGTCCGGACATGAACCGTCAGACATCAACCAGGTCCCGGTCGAGGATCTGACACCAGAGGAAGCTAGCCGCATAATTCACTCGCATCGTAAAGTTCGATATGGTATGCAACATCCGCATCTCTCGCTCTCGTGACTTGATATTTTCTGTTCCCCACGAGTGTCGTCCATCTTAAACAAGTCCCCCACCATGGGTGCCTGAGTCAGCAGCATTACTCACGATACCTTGTCTTCTAGGAACCGCCTGTTGGCCATGTCGCCAGCGGAAAGTGAAGTGTGACAACAAACAACCGTGCGAAAATTGCGTCAAGAGGGAGCATCCGCAACTATGCTCTTATAAGCCAAATCGCACCAACACGGCGAAGCCAGGGTCTACTTCCACTGAAGCCTCCCTTGGGAAGAAACGCCCGCATTCCCCCGATGACAGTGTAGACCATGATCACGACCACCGCCATGATCATGAGCACGGGAGCGATCATCAGTCCAACGGCTGGCCTCGTGCCTTGGGTACGTCAAAACTGCTGATTTATTCACCCCCAAACTTACAACTTACTAGATTCGGCTGAGTCTGTTGAGATTCCTCGCTACGTTGGGCAGAATTCCATCCCAGCTCTTCTGAGGGACCAACCCTCGCCTATCGATACCAAAGATGGCATCGACATACGACGAGATATGCGTCCCATCTGGGGCCTCGACAATTCGGCACCATTTCCCCTCATGTCGTCTCACCATCTGGATAGACTGACACAGGAGATCTCGGCCGAGCTGCCATCGGACCGCGAGATAATCAAGTAAGTCACCATATCATGATATTTACAGGCTGGCATGCTGAACACGTCGTGCTAGACTCTTCAAATCGTACAAAGAGGTCCCTCACCCCTTCTGGGGCTTTGTCATTGATATCGATGACCTTGAATCCCGACTCATGATCTATCTAGAAGAACGGGCAAAAAGTGCCAAAGCGGCTGCTCCACATGCCAGACCAACCATTTCAGCATCTTGGCTGGCCATCCTCTTTTCCGTTCTTGCTGTTGGGTCACAATACCATGACTCCCCTTACCATATCAGGACCAGAGATTCCCAGAAGTATCTGCAGATATCGTTTCACTTCCTAAGGCTTGGCAACTTTCTCCTCCGGTATGACCTCCCCTCTAGACAATGGTATTTATGTTAGAGATGTTGGACATGCTAAGTCGACGTTTAGACCCAACCTTGATTCGATTCAAGCGCTCCTCATGACTAGCTTCGTGCTCTTGAATGATATGAAGGCCGAAGCTTCGTGGGCACTGCTTGCCTTGACCTGTAGATTGGCACAATCTTTGGGCCTGCATCGAACACCGCCTCAAGATAGCCGGGAAAATAGCTCGACCGACATGTCCGTCAAGGATTACGTGCGCAGAAAACTCTGGTACGATGTAGCTTCCGTGCTTTGCGTCTTCATCTAACAATTTTCAGGTGGACTTGCCAATGGCACGACACACTAACGTCCTTATCTTTTGACCGGTAATACGCAAACTCCTAGCAAACTCGTCTGTCGTTACTGATTACTCCTCCAGTCCAAACATGACGAACATCCAATGCTGCCCGATTCCATTATCGCCAAGCTCGACCGTGCAAGGATTTTCTTATCTGGAGGCCATGTACCATCTGTGCCAGATCATATCAGAAAAGCTGAATCCCGATGCTACTGCGGCGTGTACCTACGACAGCATCGTTGAAAACTGTCGGGAGGTCGAGTCTCTTCGGGAGAGGGTGTATCCCCAGTTGCGAAGCAGGGAAGCCTTGAAGACCGCCGTGGATCGGCTGCAGCACTATGCGCTACGTCTTCACACTTCCTTCGTTGTATCCGTCTGTTGTCGCCCAGCTCTACGAAGTGACTGCACGAGTTTGGATACGGACGAAAAGAAGACATTAGCCGAGAAGTGCAGAGTCAATCTGACCGAGACAGTCAAGATGTTCTTGTCTATGCACAACATCTCTGTCATTCCCACGCGCAGCTGGGCTTTCACCTACCACGGGCTTTCCTCCGCAGTCTTGCTCGGTATCTTGACTGAAACCAAAACAGACCCGGAAGTGCGCCGTTTACAAGGCGACCTCATCTCCGCTCTCTCGGCCGCGGCAGCCAGAGACAGATCGAGCCCCTCACCGGGTCACATCCGGCGGAGTGAAAGGGACATCGAACTATCTGGCCCCCTCTCGAGAGCTTTAACGGCCCTGAAAAATATCTACGACTACGGCTCGTTGCAAGGCCTTTCCGGCCTCAAGAGCGAGGTGCCATCCGGGTCCCGGACGCCCAACCCGCCCATGCAGAACATGCAGAACATCAATCCCCAGCTTCGTGTTCAACCGGGGCTGGACCCTCATCAAGATGCTGCTCTTGCTATGGCGGAGCTGCAGAATGGGGCTGGGGCTACTTTGCCTGACTTCGCGGCGTAAGTTCATTTCTCTGCACAAATGAAGATAGATGTATTTAATGCTTACAATGTCTTGTTTAGGACGATACCGTACCCGCCTCAAATGCAGCAGGGTGTCGGCGTCCCCGACATGAGCCAAATGGACCCGGCTACGTACATGTCACCGATGGATCTGTATGATTCCATCTTCTGGGGTAAGCCTGAGCTCTTCCTCATTTCTACCCGAATAAGTACACACAATGCTGACTCGGCCTGAATAGAATCGCCCGATCCCTTTTATACGGGCACGGACATGAATTTCGATTTTATGGCTCAACCTCCACCAGGCCAGCCTCCGCAACAGCAGTTCTACTTCTAGTTTGCTCTTGACCAATATCGCTGGCAGCGATGTGTATCTATGTGTTTGTGGAGTTGCTAATGGTAGGCCGCCCTAATTATGTTGTAATATCTGGTGTTTTGGGCTGCGGGATTAGTTTAACAGGATTGGAAAATGTTGGGTTGAGGCCTACTCAGGTGTTGTTGGGACTGTATTATTCAGCGACTTTTGTCAGACTGCCGTTTTCCTCTGGCTCCGTTTCTAGGAATAACGTGTACATAATTACGGGCAACACAAAATGGCAACCTGACACAGTTTATTTATTTCTCATCATTTATCACGAAGCATAGTCTTATCCATGTCTTTCAGAATTGGATGGCGGAGACAGTCGCGCTTTCTTTTCAACGCGTTACTGAACCTACCTCTTCTCCAGACGTATAATTAATCCAGAACTATGAAGTTGCATCCAGAACGACTTTGACCATAGCGATGACCTTCTCCTCCTCTAACCGGCGACCCACGAGCTGCAAGTTTATGGGCATGCCGTGCACAGCCTCGGCATTATCTGACGTACAGCATTAATTACCTGTATGACGAGGATTAGGGAAAACAAGACAACTTACACTCGGCCTGAATCGTCCTGTCCAACTCCGTTAGGGGCTCGTACGTATCACCCGGCGCGGAGTCAATTTTGGAGTCCACCTTGATACCACATGGGAACGAGATGCAGGAATAGTCAAGGACGTTGTAGACGCCTGTGTAACCAACTACATGCACATTCTGATTAGAAAACTTGCCATGACGAGTGAAAATGCTACCAACTAGGGGGACTTACCATGCTTAAACTTGGAGTTCTCAACACTGCTATATGGCGTCGTTGGGCACAGAATAGCATCAATGCCCGACGCGACCCAGCGGTCGAGGTACTTCTTCTGGAAGGCGACACGGTCTAGATGGAGTTGCCAGTACTCTGTAGAACGCGGCCACCCGTGTAAGCATCAAGTCTCAGCCTTGGCCATTCTCATGGTCAGTCCCTATTGCCAACCCAAAGGGAGAAACAAACGGGGTCAAACAAGAGGAGAGGTGGGAGCGACTCACCATAAGCCCCAATCTCTGTAGCAGTCTCGTACATCGCCAGCTCCTCCATCCACGGCTCCCCCGACCTCTCAATCTCCTTTCTTATCGCCTTCCCCCCATCCGCAAGAAACATGCGCTTCAGCAACCGGCCCCCCTCATCCTGATCCACCGATGACCATTCCACGATCTCGTGTCCCTTCGCCTTTAGCTTCTCGACCGTTTCCCGCAACGCCCGCGAAACCGGCGGTGTCGGCTTCGCCAGGCCGTCGTCCCACATGACGGCGATTTTTAGTTTACAACTGCCGGGGTTTGTTTCGAGGGCGGTCTCCCGCCACGGAATCGGCAAACACCTCGGGTCAGCATGCCACGGCTCGGAATCCACCACCGTTTTCGCCCAGAACGCGAGATCATCCAGCGTCCGGGTTAGAGGGCCGTTAACGGACTGCACGGCCTCCTGTCCCGGCATACCCGACCGGCACCCAAGTGTCGGAAACCGGCCAAACGAAGGCCTTAACGTGAAGATCCCCGTGCAAGCAGCGGGAATCCGCAACGAACCGCCGATGTCCGTGCCTATGCCCCAGGGACTTCCCTTAAAAGCAATAAGAGCCGATTCCCCCCCGGAGCTGCCGCCCGAGGTCAGGTTGCGGTTCAGAGGGCTCACCGTCCGGCCGAAGACGTTGTTCACGCTTTCGGCAATCATCATGGCCGTGGGCACGTTGGTCTTCACGTAGAAGACGGCGCCTGCCTTGGCCAGGAGCTGGGCTAGGGCGGAATCAGATTTGGCGGCGTCGCCAATGTGCGAGACAAAGCCGACCGTGGCATCGAGACCGGCGAGGTTGAAGTTGTCTTTGAGGGAGATGGGGAGACCATGCAGAGGGCCGATGGGTTGGCCAGTCTGGGATAGGTGGGTGTCTAGCTTTTGGGCGGTTTCGAGGGCGCGGGGGAAGCAGGTTTCTGAGAGGCAATTTGTCTTTTGGGTTGAAGGGATCAATATTCATGCTTGTTAGTTGGTAAATGAAGACGTACCAGTTGATGAGCTGCCGCGGCTCGCTTACAGAACGCCCGCGTTACCGTCTCGGACTTGAGCTCGCCGGAGGCAAGCTTGGGTAGCAACTCCAGCGCAGTCGAATTAGTGATGGCTAACTCTTCAGGAGTGAACCAGCCCGAAGATTCTGGGAATCCAGTCACATCTTCTTGGCTGTCGGGCGGCAGGAGGTGTTCTGGGACGATCCACTCCGGCGGGATGGAGTTGCGCAAAGCCTGGCGCTTCTTTGCGGCAAGAGTTTCCCACGTTGTCAAGGTCATGATGATTGATAACTTAGCTTATAAGTTGGAGAATACGAACGAAAAAGAGGATGAGAATGAAGATGAGAGCATGGTGAGACACTCCAAGGAGGCTATGGTCGACTTCACGTCTATATCCTGCGAAATACTTGCTGTGTGAAGCTGTACCCCCCACCTCCGACTTTAGCTACGGCTCCGACACCTTGGTAAGCTGCTGCGTCCCGATAGGATGTCATCGTTCGGGCGATCCGATACCGCGACTGAGGTACTAATCGAACTAGTCACGTTTAGGGCTTTCGCTATTGTTTGGCTCGTCGGTCGGCTGCGACGGCTCTGATGGGTAGAGACCTCATGATCAAGTATGGGGAGCTGATGGAAGTGACAAGCTGTACGCGGCGAGCTATTTGCTCTTGCGGTTGCATAGCTGACGCGTCATCAACGGCAACGAAACTCTTGATCGGAATATCAGTGCTTTGAAGTGAGCAGGGCATTTCCCCTGGGGAAAACCAAAGAGCTTCAAAGACATGCATCAGCTTGGCGGTTTAATTAGTGCTTAAATGAACTGGCCATTCAAAGTACCCGACTGGAGCGCGTCGGTGTCATGATGCATCGAATCCGGAGGAGAGAAACGAACCACCCCAAGGTTAATCTACTGCAGGGCGGCTTAATAAAGAGTGGATCTATCTTTCATTCAACGCTGCAGCAGCCACAGCGGTAACTTATCTGCAAACCCACACTTGATATCAGAGAAATCTCACCACCCGGCTTCCATGCAACGGCGTCAGCCGCTGGTGTTGATACTTATCCATCATTTCAACGTTGCTCTGAAGACCGACATTGCCAAGCATCTTATCGCAAATGCGGCTCCGAAAACTGCTTGGGGTAACGTCCATGTCGTGGTAAGCTGAAGTCGGCGTGTGCGACGAACCGGACCGCCGGTATTTGTTGTTCGATACATGAGAAGCGCCTTCGCCATGCAGCTTCATTGACAGCTTCTCCTCCAATTGCTCTAACACCCTCAGGGAAACCGGCGCCAAGATGACTTCCATGGCGAAACTAAGGCAGTATTTTCACTCCGAATACCAGCCCGGTGAGCGAGCCTTGGTCCGGAAGATTGATTTTTTCATCCTGACATTCTGCTGTCTGAGTTACTTTACCAATTACGTACGTGCACTCTCACTACAGCACACCCCCCCCCCATCTATAGACGCTTCACAGAAATAAGGAAATCGACAAACTGACTGCAATTCAGCTCGATCGCTCCAACCTCGCCAATGCCTACGTCTCCGGCATGAAAGAGGACCTCGGGTTCGTGGGGGACCAGTATAATCAGATCAATACATGTTTCACCGTCGGGTATGAATCGCCCGTCTTTTCCGATTGCGAACAGATGGGATCCAGTCGACTAAGATGGGTTTTAGATATGTCATCGGCCAGATTCCCGCAAATATGTCGCTGCAATACGTCAGGCCGCGGCTCTTCTTCCCGTCCATGATGTTGATTTGGGCCGGGCTGACCATGGTGACGGCTTCGGTGCATGCGCCGGGGTCTATTATGGCGATTCGCTTCTTTCAGGGTATTGCTGAGGGTGGGTAGTAGAGCTGCATGTCTGGAGATTTCTTGATTGACTGACCTTTTGGTAGCTACCACGTTTGTTGGTACTCACTACATTCTTGGATCGTGGTATACCGAGCGAGAGCTAGGAAAGCGGTCCGGGATATTCACCGCTAGTGGGCTTGCTGGTACTATGATTGGAGGTTTCATTCAGAGTAAGGTCTGCTTTGGATTGCCATCTGTGCTTGAAACTGACTTGTGTGGATTAGCTGGTATTTATTCTAGCTTGCACAATCGGCAAGGTCTTACTGGTTGGCGATGGCTATTTATGTAAGTGATCCCCGGCGTGTGCATAAATTCCATGCCCAGGGCGTTCTGCCACGGCCAATTGCTGGAAGCTGTCGGAAATATTACTCCCGATGCATGGCCGACGACTCTCCATGGCCCTGCCGTCGATATCTGAGCAAATTCTGACTCCCGCTTAGCATCGATGGTCTCATCACCGTCCCAGTTGCCGTCTATGGCTACGTTTTCTTCCCAGACACACCCAGGACCACGACAGCATTCTATCTCACCGAGGAGGAAAAAGCCCTCGCCGTCTCACGCGTGCCAACCGTCGAAGACAAGTCTCCTATCTCGTGGGCCTTCTTCAAGAAAGTATTCACCTCATGGCTCTTCTGGGGCTTCGTCATCCTATGGATCATCGCCGGCGAAACCGAGTCCTTCAGCTCCAACGCCCTCTTGTCACTGTATTTGAAGAGCCACCCCGTGAACGAGTACACTGTCTCGCAGCTTAATAACTACCCGACGGGAGTCCCCGCTGTCGGCATCATATCCACTTTGTTCTGGGCCACACTCACCGATTTCCTCAGCGGAAAGCGTTTCCTCGTCGGGTACTTCATCGGGATCACCGGCATCGCCACGTCGGCCATGATCCTCGTGGCATCCAAGGATCCGACGAACCCTGCTTCGACGGCCATCGTGTTCGGTGCTTATTACTGGGCCGGGTCGGTCTACGCTTGTCAGGCTACCTTCTTCGCGTGGGCGAACGATGCGCTGCGGTACGAGGAGCACATGTTCCGGGCTGTGGTGTTGGCGGGTATGAATGTAGGGTCGAATGCGGTGAATGCTTGGTGGTCTATTCTTTTCTATGGAGCATCGATGGCTCCGTGGTTTAAGGTGAGTTCATCCCTGTGTTTATCTCTGCATGATTGAATAACGGGGCTGACGTTATTACCTATAGCGTGGCATGTGGGCGATGATTGCTTGCTCAATCGCTTTGGCGGTCTGGACGGGCGGTCTGTCGTACCTGACGAGGAAAGATGAACAGCGGCTGGAAGCAGAAGGTGCCATATCCAGTACGAGATCGAGAGACGGCAAGGGTACTTCTGAAGAGGCGTAGTTGACTTCGTTCTTACAGGATCTAAGTTCATCACTGCTTCGAGCATTGCCGTCGTCTCACGAATGTGCTCAGAAGCTAGCCACTGCCAAAATAGACCATGCCTCCGTCGGAAAAAGCCATCAATTTCTTTTTTTTTTCAATATCGACATAATTGCAAGGCACGACTGGAGCATCCGTAGAAACCTTGAATTTAATGTATGGATGCAACGTCGTTGCCGTAATGGATCGCTACGTATTGGAATCATCAGTCAATGCTCTCGACCCGAGCCAGATGGCGGATTAACAACCATCTGATATGGTGGACTATCTATTCAACGACGTATGTCGTCGTTGCGGAACAGCGCGCCGCTCCCATTGGCGGACAAAATCGATTGTTACTACCACATGATGCTGTGCTCCAAACCTATGGCATGTTTTCCACTATTACGGTATTCCCGTCAGAACCCAATGCAACAGCACGGAGGCCTCGAGATGGATTCAATTAGAAGTAACGTTGTCAATCGCTATCAGCAACAAGATTGGGCAATTAATTTAGTTCATCCCGATCCTAAAAAGAGGCGAAGTCATGCGAATGGTCAGGCCCAGGCTCGTAACACGACGACCTTGAAACCTCGGGCCTAAACACCCCTGCGAGTCGGCCGCTGGAGGCGTTCTATAATTGGCAAAATTGACAACTCTAGAATCTGGGGTAGGTGCAGATGCAGGGCGGACAAACGCGAATCTTACACCCCGCTGATCATCGCCTATTACAACGGGTTCTGCTCAGCTTGGCTAGTCAAGTGCCGGTAAGCTACGACTCTGAACACGAACAAGTTTCCTCATTGGAGGATGACATTAGTTGAAAGTTCGCCTCGATTCTCACAATTTTCAGCCGCACTCGTTATAGATCAATGTAAAGGCAACGGGCCGCGGCTTACACGATTTAGAGCAGACAAGTGCTGATGAGATGAAGATGAAGTGCAAGTTGATGTTTGCATATATATCGGCTTGTTTTCTCCAAAATCAAGGTTCTTATTTATCACCATCAACATAACTCGCTCTCAAGCCAACAAGCAGTATCAACATCACAATCACCCAATCTCAATCCACAACTATCGGAAGCTACACAAAAACGATCCCGTCAAAATGGTATCGCTCAAAACCTTCGTAGCCGCCACCTTAGTCGCCCTCCCCTCAGTGTCCGCCTACCTAGTGGGCATGACGGCCCCCTCCATCGCCGCAGCGGGGAGCACCATCACCGCGACCTTCGACGTGGCCATCTACATACAGAACTGGCAGGATTTCTCTATCATCTGGGGCCTGTCGACTATTGATCCGAGGTCGTGCCCCGACACCATCTGCCTCGGAACTCAGATCACCTACAACACGATATACCCCGATAACCCAGACCCGGGTAACTACAACATCGATGTTAAGATCCCAGCTACGCAGGCTAAAGGGAACTACACGTTGGTTGCTGCTGTGCCTTATTTGGTCGGGGTAAGTTTTACTTCTCCCTTTTTTCTTCCCTGCCTGCTTGATCTGTTAGGCGGGATCATTGTGAGATGCATAGAAGAGTGGAGGACTAACCGATTGGCAACAGGCTTCTGGCATGACTGATATCCGCAACTTCACTTCCGCTATCACTATCACTTAGACGAACAAGGGGAAACATAAACACAAACAGCTTTTTTTTCTGGCTTTCTGTTTGCCTTTACGCCAGAAAAGGAAACGGACAACATGCGGTTAGGCGCTTCACGTATTTGCAATTTCTTCATATGTACATATTCCCGTAATGGGGCTCCAACAGCTGCCGCCCGAACCTCATCACTAGGACGTGCTGAATACTAAAATTCTGCACACTCATTCAGGACGCTTCAAATGACCACTAATGATTACATGGTGCTGCTTTTTCTGCCTTATCAAGTCGTCACATAAACGCTTCCTGTCATGTCTCTCTGTTGCTGATCAGCCGTTCTCTCTGGCCTAGTAGGGGCCTAACGCATCGACCAAACCCCAGTTGCGCCGCGAGCATGCACACTCGCCAGAAAGAGTATCCGCATGATCAATGTTACCAACGTCGAGACCACGGGCCTGCTTATCCCTGGTCAGCGCTGTTGAACCTGTTTGTCGTGTTGGACTAATCGCTCGGGGGTATTCCGGTTATGCAATTTGGCCTATTTGACCTATGTTGCTTGGGGCCGAGGCACTGTGGTCACTCCCCAGAGGCCATTGCGGTCCTCACAGATGCGGTTGGCGTCTATGTTAGCTTTGAACGCTTTTTGTATGGAGGCGATTAGTCTTTGTCTCGTTATACGTCGAGCGTCGTTGTATTTAGTGTGCGTTACGATAGCAGCAAGGGGCCTATGGCCTCATTTGAGGAAGCCGCTACAAATGTAAAGAAACTATAAGATGAATGGGTTCCAATTTATATAGTTCGTAGTCTCTCTGCTCTGTCTGACAACAGTCCCTTGAATGCTTCATGTTTTATGTGCTGTGAGCGGAGAATACTTGCCCTTAACCATTCTAAAGCTCCTGGACGAAATACAGTCGCAGCTGAGCTGAGCTCGGAACTGGGCACATTGCTGACGAGCAAGTTCTAGGAAGGTGCAAAAGTCCGAAGCAGCATGAATGATGTTGGTAAGATTTATCCAGCCGCCAAGTCAAAGTATCCATTATCTGTACCACGCAATAGGAGCTAACTACCAAATGTGTTTACGCTACAAAACATCATCTAATAGAAATAGATCTCTTACTATACTATATACCTTTCCATAGGATGAGCGCCAATCCAAAGTGGTCCCTTACTTCTGCTGGAATATGTCATGACTGCCCCGTAAAGTCTTTCCCTTGGTCGGTCTAACGTGTAGTGACACCATTCAGCAACCATTTGAGTGTTAAGTAGCCTCTTTGCAAAGCAAACTGGTATCTATCCCATGATTCTTGGAGTGAAGCTAGCCCCGGACATAGCCACGAGAACCCACGGATTTCCGACCTCTCTTGCCGGAATCGTTCCAGTGAAACCCTTATTACCTTGACTCCACACTGATCAAATCCGGTTCTCTCGACGGTGGCCCGTCCCGAAACTCGCCGTCAGCATCGGAGGAAAACACCTGTGCCGCCTATCGGCGCCGCATTCTCCTCCGCCAAGGCTTGTAGACAAGCACCGACCCAAGCCCGGCTACCAGGAAGACACCACATATGCTGCCGCCGATGATCTCGAAATGGTCGCTGATAGCACTTACGCCGTCCCAGAAACTGCCCTCGGGCTCGGCCACGTTTTGCACAAGCGAAAGGACCTGGATTATTCCAATGAAGGCGGAGACGAAGATAGTGATGCCCGTCAAGACAATGGAGTAGTACAGAATAGCCACCGTGTCGCGGGCAAAGGCTTTGGACGTGTAGAGTGACATCATGAGAGCCCCGTCCGTAGTGTCGAGGAGACACATACCCGCTGCGACTGATGAGAAACACGAACCAATATTTCCAGGGACTCTTAGGAATCTTGGGAAGCTTACCGGTGAACAAAATGGGAAATATCAAAATAACCCACAAACTCGTGCCCTGGGCGGCCTGAATACTCGCAATTCCCAGTATGGCAATTTCCGAAGACGTATCAAAGCCCAGCCCAAACAAGACGCCCAAAGGGTACATCTTCCATGGCCGATCTACGACACGAAACACCTTCCGAAACACATTCGCCATGAACCCCGCGCCCTCAAGCTGCAAATCCATGGCCGCCCGATCCTCACCCCCCTCGTCCTCCTCGCCATCAGGATGATGCGGGTCCGGCTCTCTCAGCACCTGCCTCAGTCTCGTCACAAGCCGGTACAGGACCCAACCGTTCCCGAGACAAAGCAAAATCAAAAATGCGGCACTGACACTCGTCCCTATGATCCCGCCTATGTATTGAAAATTTTCGAAGCGATCCCTCAGCGCGCCCGAGGTGGCTGCCACCACGATACACGTAATAATGACGATGGTCGAGTGGCCCAGACTGAAGAAAGTGCCTACTGTCACTGGCCGCTGACCCGAGGCGATCAAGCGCCGTGTCATAAGGTCGATGGCCGAGATGTGGTCAGCGTCTAGGGCGTGGCGCAGGCCCAGGGTGTAGGAGAGCACCGCGGGCGTGATCATGGCGGGGTAGTAGTGGAGGACGATGCCGACGGCGGCCCAAATCACGAGGTTGACGACTATCAGGAGGGATATAATCCGGATCGTGGGCGCTGGGAGGGCTTTGAGACGCGCGGGGAGGCTGGGGAGGGGGATGCGGGGTATGCGGGGCATCTTGACGGCCTTGGACGAGCTTTCTCAGTCTTCTTATCTGGATCTCAGAATGAACGCTGGGGAGTGGCGGCCGTCTCAAAATGGGCCATTGCGTTGGCGCGGGAGGTTAAATGCAAAGTTGAAGCAGTGAAAACAGACGAAAAAGGTGTCTTTGTTGAGAAAGTTCGAACTAACTCTATGCCCGTCCCGCAGCTGCACTTCGCCCCACTTGCAGTCGACGATTTTTTAGATAAGATAGTAGAGTGTTCGTGATAGTGACCACTCATAGTCGTTTCGATGACATGTGCTGCATTAGCCCGCCTAAAAGCGGGTTGGCGTACACATATACTCGGGGCTATCCAACAGCTGACTTGCAGTTAGTCAAGTGACTCTAACCATCACACTGGAACATGGTGCTGATCAGTTCAGAATGCACAGAAAATTTTCTTCTCTCGGGTCACGTCGAGTAACGGCGGCCATGATAACCTCCAATCCGACTCCGCTTGCATCGAAGCGGCATCAGCATTCAGTCGGCCGGAGCACATCGCGCGCCTTTGGGCCGTCACTTGTATGCAAGTAGTCAACTTCGTGACATCTACGAACAACTACGGAATCACCCGGATGAAGCCAATATGGTAACCAGTTTGGTAATGATAATTTGCACCCTGACAGAATGGGTTGAAGCTACCACACGTCGGAAATGAGCTGACAGGCTTGGCTTTTTAACTCAGCCCTAATAGTCATGATTTATTTGCTACACTTATTGTTCGTCGTCTTCATCCCGAGATGTAGTATAGTCCGACGACTTTTTCTCACACTAGTGTCTATTCATACAACTCTGTCTTGTTCTCTGGCAATATGATTGCATACTTCCAGAGCCGAGTTTGTTCGCAATGTATCTCCCCTGGAGACTTTGGACTTGGTGATGACACACCTGAATTTCAAACATACATCTTGAGGAAAATTAAAATAGCTAGAAATTTAGTCTAAGTCGTGGACAAATGTGAGCCGCGTCGTACTAGAGCAGTTTCACCCGTGTTAGTCACCATGCCGTGTTTTCACCTACATATCTGAAACCAAAACGCACTCTGAGCAGACATCGAATTTCAAATCATGTAATGATCGAAGAAAAGACCGTCATAGTCAATCATCAGACATAAAAGAGTACATTGACACTGGTTTCTCTAAATCCCTCGTAATCCATCACATTGCCAACTTAACACCCGTTAAGACAAGCTGGATAGGAGATTTTGGTAGACTTTACTTTACCATCAGACTAAATAGAGTGAGAAAGTTCATTTGAGTTTTGGGGAAGTGTGCCCCCTTTCGGCCCATAAAGTCCCTACGGAGCTTCTGGGTTTTGGTAGTGAAGTGAATAATATCTCTGTCCAATCTGCCAACTATGATGCTTGTTCGCATCGCTTGCAACTTTTCTCCTGCGCATATCTGATAATTACACCACGTATATCACGTCTTGGGTTAAGTACAGAAAAAGATACTCCCAGTTTCTCAGTCTTCGAGCTTCCATATCGATTCCCGACAGCAATCTCATCTGGTTACATAACTAGTAACTATCTTAGATGAATACTGAAACTAGAAGAGTATCTCACAGGGATTATGTGATTGGTATGTCCACTCATGGGTTGTTAGTCCCTATATCAGGAAGTCTGGGCCAACGCCGCTCCGAATATCTCGTAAACCAAGGCAGGCGACAACATGGATGTTGGTGGTAGCTGGCTGCAGATAAGGCTCTGCAAGTGAACAATAAACAAACAATGTATCATTCATCATGTTGAAGCCTCCGTACTACTCATTAATGACTCTGGCGTCCCGCATTGTGCCGTAATAATTAACCCCGAAGAATCTCGGAGCCCTTCCGAGAGTCGGGTCTCGGGGACAAGTATTTCATTGGGCGCGCGATTCTGATGGCGGTTATCAGCTTGGCTCGTTTTTCCAAATATTACAGCTTGGAATCGAATCTCTGGGCAATATCTCCAACAGTCCCTTATCTGTCAGCCGCAACTTGCGCAGTCGTCCATGGCGGGGAAACTACGAGACCGGGAAATATGCCGAAGATAACGAGTATGGCTTCGTAACGATCGCATGTCCACGCGATAACGCAGCATGCCGTAAAAGGCAAGATGCAACGTCCGCAATCGGGATATACTGTCATCGGCTACAGCCTCATTACCTCGAGTATATAGACATCTTACTTCAAACACACACAGCTCTACCATCTCGAACACATAGATCCCACTTGCCCCATCTCGCGAATCCGCAGAATCTCCCACAGCAACAAGGCAAAATGGCCCCTGTCGACCTTGGTGTCTTTATCCCCATCGGCAACAACGGTTGGCTAATCTCGACCACCTCGCCACAATATCACCCCAGCTTCTCCCTCAACAAGTCCATCGTCCTCAAAGCCGAAAAATACAACTTCGACTTCGCCCTCTCCATGGTCAAATTGCGCGGCTTCGGCGGCCAAAGCGAATTCTGGGACCACAACCTCGAGTCCTTCACGCTGATGTCGGCCCTCGCGGCCGTGACCACAAAGATCAAACTCTTCGCCTCGACGGCCATTCTCACGCTGCCGCCTGCGCTTGTCGCCCGCATGGCGACGACGATTGATTCCGTAGCTCCTGGTCGGTTTGGAATCAATATAGTCACCGGGTGGCAGGCGGCGGAGTACACACAGATGGGTCTCTGGCCAGGGGATGGGTATTTTGGGTACCGGTATGATTACGCGACGGAATATGTGCAGGTCATGAAGGAGCTTTGGGAGAAGGGCGTGTCGGATTTCAAGGGGAAGCACTTCACTATGGAAGACTGCAAGATGTCGCCGCGGCCGGGGAACCCGATCCAGATCGTGGCCGCAGGCCAGTCGGGGCGCGGAGTCGAGTTCGCGTCCAATTATGCAGATTACAACTTCGCTATGGGGTCGGGGATCAACACCCCCACAGCGTACGGAGCGGCGAGCTCGCGCTTGGTGGAGGCTGCCAAGAAGGTCGGGAGGGATGTGGGCTCGTACGTGCTGTTTATGATCATCGCTGATGAGACGGACGAGAAGGCACAGGCGAAGTGGATGTTGTATAATGAGGGGGTTGATCATGAAGCGCTGGCGTGGATGAAGGGGCAGACTTCTAAGGATACGCAGGCTGATAAGAATTCGACGGCGCAGAATATTAGTCTGCCGGAGGGGGCGGTCAATATGAATATGGGCACCTTGGTTGGCTCGTATGAGAAGGTGGCCGGTATGCTGGATGAGATTGCGTCGGTGCCGGGTACTAAGGGTATCATGTTGACGTTTGATGACTTTTTGGAGGGGATGGATAAGTTTGGTGAGAAGATTCAACCACTGATGAAGAGTAGAGAAGGCAAAGCATAGAGCCTGCGAATATCAAGAGAATCTAGTTGCCTACAGGTTTTGTGTAGATCGTGATACCTACAAATCCCACAGCATCTCAACATGGGCTTGCCGGGTTTGTCGTCATCCGAGGATACTCACCCGCACCCGTTTGTTTATCACGACCTCGGATCTCATGTACTTCATGTGTTTGTGGCGGTTGATTATGCAACAGGTGACATGATCTGGGCATGGAAATGGAAACACTAGAATCGCAGCGGCTGTCGCCGATGTGTGAAAGAGGCTCGAGGTGGTCGATGATGATTTCTCGTATCAATCAATCTCGTCGAACCTACGTTGTTTTCGGCGGACGGATGTCTGAGAATCTCGCTAGTCTTCTAGAAGGAATGGCATGACAGTACACTAAGTGGTGTACGCTTCTTCAAGCCCCGGCCGATGGCTGCAGCCCGTCTTTCGTGTTGGGCGGCCGTCATCCACATGCAGCCACTACTTCGAACCATAATCGCATACTATGGTAGCCTGAGGAATACTATCACGTAGCTAACGACAATGTCATATTTGCCGGAAATTGGTTCTACTTTTGTCACAAGTTCTTTATCTTGATGAAAAGCAGGAGATGGCTGACCAACTTTAGGTTTAGTCGTCGGTCGGAGATACAAGGGTCAGGGCGTTCGGCGCAGCTAACTGGAGTGCAAGTAGCGTTGACTTGAATTCGCCCCGAGCAGAGCACAACATCAGGCACATTCCTCTGCTAAGCACGTTCATCAGCCCAATCTTTCGGCCGATATTGACAACAGGCCTCTCTTCGTGGGGACGTCGTCCTGCAACTGTTGGTTCCCAAGTCATATGTTTCTCGCTTATAGAGTCCGTCGTCGCGTTTCACCAATGGAAGCTTGCTTGTGTTTCCATACGTGAATCTTTGTAAAAGTCCTAAAGTAGGTAGTTGTCCGTTGCGATTGCAGCTCGCCACCCAGTGCCGTGCATGCGAACGGAGCCGAAGCTAGAAGCTGGTCCACACATTATCGAATGTCATGGCCACGATCAGGTTGCAGTTACAGCAGAGGTGAACAGACACTCAGGATCGACGTGCGTGTTTTCCCCCACCACTCTCCACTTGCTTGCTGGGAAAGAAATTTCCGATGAGGACCAACCGTCTTCCCCGCCTCTCGTGCAACTTATGGGACGATCAGACACTTGAACCCCTGAGAAATGTTTCGAAACACGCGCCCGGCATTTCATGCACAACGTGGTTCAAGCTACACGAGAAGTCCTTGGTGCTACCGTTGTCCAGCAATGCATAAAGTGGTAATCCGATAGCAGCGCCAGGGCCGGTTGGACAGAATGGCTGGACAAACGCGGACCGTAATCTCCCTTTTCTTCATGCGCTGAGCTCTCTGTGGCATGAGTGGACACTGGTGCTCGTCTAAAATGTCTAATGTTCTGGCAATCGGTGCTTGGCGGAGTTCGCGTTTGCAGCGTAGTGCAGTCAGTTATTGGTGCTAGAATCGTGCGCCAGTGACAATTATCTATTCTTGAACCAGTATGATAGAGGCGATGATGTGTCCCCCGAGTGACATGTCATCATGTATGAAACGAGGTGTACCATACGATCAATGATATGTCTGCTGTTGCAATGTTATGTTGCGCATAGATGACAAGGGGGCCTGAAGCTTCGGTGCTTCGCGATAAGCAATACCTTGCTATACAACCCGCGGTTTGCTAACGGCCAAAGCTCGCCATGTAGTGCGCTAAACCCATGGTGGCTATGCTGACATATTCCCATGGGTGACGACATCCATCTTCAGTCTTTTCTCATACAACACTCACAGAGCCTCAGCGAAGGCTGCTTACACGGCGAAGTGTCACTGAAAGCAAGGCTATTCCCATTCGCAGACCGAGGCAGAAGGATTGATAGGAGTTCTGACATGATGCCAAACATGATGGCGGCAGAATGGCAAACCATAGAAGAACCGGTCATTGTACATTAACATCGAATATTCTGTGAACATATTCTCCTCACAGCTTACCTTCACGTCATTCAAATTCACATGCCCTGTTTAAACCTACCGCTGATTCCAACTTGGATACGATGGCGAACATCAAGCCCGACCCCGAATTCTAAGTCTTCAAGCCCGTTAGAGAGTTCACGGCGCCCGATTTCGACGATTCAGTCGCCTTTCGTAACTTTCAAGATAACATGCTTTTTGAACAGTTCAACTGGCTGCCCCGCGTCGGGGGTATCACCGAGACAAAAATTGAAGTTGAGTCTCTTGACGGCACGACCATCGATGGATACCGATTTCAACCACCGGCCGGCGTCCGAGAGGCAACCACACCCCTGCGCACGGAGCAATCTACCTGCACGGTGGCGGCATGATTGTTAGCAGCGTCGACCTCGTGTTTCGGCCCATCATCGAACAGTACGTGGAAAGATTTGGCGTTCAGCTCTTGTACAGTACCGCCTTGCGCCCGAGCACCCAATCCCGGCCGCAGCTGAAGAGGCTTACGCGACCGTCCAATAGCTTCAAATGCATGCCGGGGAGCTCGACGTCGACTCGACGAGGATTGCGCAGTATGGTGGAAGCGCAGGCGCCGGGATTGCAGCCGGGCGCCCTGATGAGAGACATGAAAGAGCTTGCTCATCCGCTTGCCAGGCTCATTTTGCTCTACCCCACGCTTGGCGACCGCACCACCATTGATACTGAGAGCCCGCCCTCCAAACATCTGGTTGACGGTGCAGCAGAACGACTGGGCTAGAAGGCGTACTTCGGCGGGAAAGAGCAAGAGGAAAGAGGAGGCCTGTGCCGCACCAGCTAGAGCTGAGAACCGCGAAGGCCTGTCGCCGACATATCTTGACCTGGGCGGCCTTGACTTGTTGAGGGACGAGGTTATCGCCTTTGCCAACTTCGTAGCAACAACGGCGTGGAAGTCCGCCTTTACCCAGGACTCTAATGGCTGGGAAGCTTTAGCGCCGCAGATTAGCGCATCGAAAGAAGCCACGTTGAACCGAAGGCGCTTCTGACAGACTTTTAAGCGAAGATACATCAAAGCTCTGACGGATGAGTGGTATCTGGGATGCACATGATCAGCACGTTTCTCTCATGTATATTGTGTCGATCGCAATGCATTCCTGCCTTTGTGTTGCCAACCTGCACCTCCTGTCGAAGAAGCAGAGCCTTAACAGAGAATGTAGGTAAATTGAATCTGGTAAATTAAAATGTGATAGTCACCATCTGAGTTTGTTACCCCGGTACTGGAATTTCTGCGCAATCTAGATGGCTGACTGAATGGGCAGTGCTAGGGCGTTACATTCCTCCAAAAGTGGCAGCTCATTTACTCATTTACAGCTTGCGCAGCAGCGTCCATGCCCTTCCGCCAGACATTCTCTGGCCCCAGTGTGGTGCAGCCATTTCATCAGAACATTCCATCGCATGTTTCTGCCCGCCGGGCAAAGGTTGGGTACACTGATACGGATACCAGCTCTCGGCGCTTGTGACAATAGGCGAGGGCACGCGGCGAAGATTGGCGGACATGACAGCGCATAACAACAGTCTAGTACAAGACGATGCGTTGTCCCTCCGGTCCGAAGCTCTCTAGTACTTGCAAAGGAAACCTGGAATGCTTCTGTCCAACGGCTCTGACTGCACACTAATCGCCCTTGTAATCTGGGAGTGGCAGTCGTTGAAACGAACCAAAATTGGTCAAGACCGACAGATTGCGTGCTTCCCAATCAATCAGACGCTCGAGCCAACGATGGGCTGCCCCTGACATGCCAAGCAAGATAAGATTCCCGGGCTAGCTACAGGGTAGCGGTTCCCGCTCGGCAGCACCCAATCCAATGCGGCCAAGCAGCCACCTTCCAGCCACTTGATCTGAAACGCCATGCACAAGCGCCCCTTCCTTGTCGCTTTTTGCTTTCCTAACCTGTCAGCCTGTCATGTCACCTCGTCCGACGGCGTTTCTAACATCAAAGTCCCTGCATTCCTCGGACTCCAAGTCTAGCAAGAAGACATTTTCAATATGTGGAAACCATTGCTTGGGAACGGCTCATTGAAAATTTAGACCAGATGCCAAGCGCTCTGTCCTGCCACACTACTGTAAATGACTCTCGAATACTCCTTAATGGGGTGGACAGTGACAACAACCTCAAATACCGAAATGGTGCTCAGAGACTAGAGGATCAGCGGAGATCATCGTCATCCATGCACATCATCTTGCAGGGGAAACGGACCCCGATGCAGGAACCACGCAACGCAGGCGATCTTTAGCGCCGTCCGTTTGCTAACTGTGCTGCCGTTCTAGTCACTAGTTGTCCAACTGTCGGCAGTCAAGCTATGGCTATTTGCCCAACATTGGTCAGCCACTCAATAGTCGTAGTTTCTTTTCATCTGAAGATTAGGCTCTTCGGGGGCAGTGTCAATGCTAGATTCCGGCCATGGATCGCCTTGCTCCTGGACCCCGCTCGTGCTAGCTCGTTTGGACCCAGCTGCTAGCGGTTAAACACATTGTTCTGCACTAACCCAATGGTGTTACCTCGATTGACTTGCAGACTATGACCAGAGGAAATAGCAGTGAATACCAAGTGAGCAGCTGTTCCCCACATGTTTCTCTCAATTAAAGTGTATTCCAGGAATCAGGAGTCAGTGCCGGGGTAGGTAGCCAGGATTGACGTACGTGGAAATACCGCAAGAAGAATTCATCCAATGTTGAGTAGGTAGGTGGGAACTGGTACCCGACTGGCGAAGAGGCGCCGGTGATTCAATGCCCGCCATCGAATTGCCACCCCAATGCTGGCAAGCTGGGATCGATTCGGCATGAATGTTCACTGGGGGCCGGTCGTACCTGGCTAACGAATCTCCAAAAAGAACAGCCGCGGAACGGACCCCGGATTCTAGTGGATTTTTTTAGTAAGGCAACGGCGTACCCGTTGGTGGTTGCCAGGCTGTTATATAACAGTTGACGCGTCCGAACCTACTTTTCATTTGACCTGTTCCTCGGCACCCCCCACCACCCTCACGACCTCAACATCCTCTTTACGCTACCACCTTCTGTTCCTACAACTCCCTTACTGGACGCATTCATTTTCGTTCAATAATACTTTCTTCTTGGTTGTCTTCTTCCAGCGCCACTCACTATCAATATCCACACTCTTTTTCCCTTGGAAGAAGAAACCCGGCAAAAGTCGAACTTGGCTGTGTCTGTCCCACACTCCCTTGAACCTCGTGGCTGATACACATGAGTACTAAGGATTTGTGACTGGTAAGTAAGTCTTTGATTCCCGATTCCTCAAACCAAAGCCCATTATTCTGCACCTGATCACAGCAATCAATCGTTCCATTTGTGATTCATTGTTGCGCAAGCTGTTGCGGGGGCCGTCTTTGTTCGAGCACATTCACGAGCAATTCACTGGCAATTCATTGTTGCTCGAGTTACGAACAATATTAGTCTCATGGATTGTTGGTTCTTATAAAAACTCGACATTCGATGGCCTGTTGTCCTCGACTGTCTTGTAGTCAGATCCTTCTTTGGCATATTTCTTCCTGCCTCCGCTTCCCTATCGATATACCATCTGCTTCATCACAACCCATTAGCATCGCCACGATTAGCCCTCTCTTTTCATCAAACTCGATGGAGCAAAAGCTGACACCTGTACAAGCCCATTCATAACTACATTCTTTTGAGAAAATCGGAGTAGCTCAGAACCATCGTCTGCGAATAGCTGGATCTACCGTCGAGATGGGGCTGTCCTCATTTGTTACAGCCGGGCTTTTAGCCCTGAGACTCTTCGCTCCTGCTGGAGCCGTTCCCACGACTGCGGTGCAGTCTCGCGCAGATACCGCCAGCAGCTATTGGGTATCCACCATCGACCGCCAGGGCACGGCTGCGTTTGGCGAGGCCGACTACAAGGTCTTCCGAAATGTCAAGGACTACGGCGCAACCGGCGACGGCACCACTGACGACACTGCCGCCATCAACAAGGCCGTCCAGGACGGCACGCGATGCATCAAGAACTGCGATTCTAAAACCAATGCCCCCGCTCTGGTCTACTTCCCTCCTGGCACCTATCTTGTCAGCTCGCCTATCATCCAGACTTACTACACTCAGTTCGTCGGTGATGCCATCACCCCTCCTACGCTCAAGGCATCCGCCGGATTCAAGGGTATGGCCGTCATCGATTCAGATCCTTACGAGGACGATGGCTCCAACTGGTACATCAACCAGAACAACTTCTTCCGCCAGGTGCGCAACTTTGTCATTGACATTACGGCTCAGCCTGCCTCGACGGGTGCCTGTATTCACTGGCAGGTTGCCCAGGCCACCTCGTTGCAGAACATCGTCTTCAACATGAACCCGGATACCAGCTCGGCCAATGCGCAAAAGGGCATTTTCATGGACAACGGCTCCGGTGGTTTCATGGCCGATTTGACCTTCAACGGTGGTGGCTATGGGGCTTTCATCGGCAGCCAGCAGTTCACCACTCGCAATATGACGTTCAACAATTGTAATACTGCTATTTATCTTAACTGGTGCTGGCTGTGGAATATGCAGAACGTCAACATCAACGGTGGTAATATCGGTATCGACATGTCGAGCGGTGGTGTCGGCAACATCCAGCCTGGCTCTCTCCTCCTGCTTGACAGCAAGTTCTCCCAAGTCCCTATCGGCATCAACACTTTGTACCAGACGGATTCCACCATGACAAACAACACATTGATTCTGGACAATGTCGACATGAGCGATGGTGTCACCACTGCAATTCGTTACGGTGGAGACAACAGCACCCTGCTTGCCGGCGGTTCCAAAGTTGCGTCATTTGCCCAAGGTCGCCAGTATTCGGGAAGCAACGGCAAGACAGTCCAAACACCCCAGGACGCCATCGCCAAGCCCGAGAGTTTGATGAGCAACGGCAAGGTCTTTACCCGCTCCAAGCCCCAATATGAGAGTGTTGCTGCAAGCACTTTCGTCAGCGTCAAATCGGCAGGTGCAAAGGGCGACGGCACCACTGATGACACGGCGGCGATCCAGAAGATTCTGGACGACAATGCCGGTGGTGAAAAGATTGTATACTTTGACCATGGCGCCTACATGATCACCGATACTGTCAAGGTCCCCAAGAATATCAAGATCACTGGCGAAATGTGGCCTCTCATCATGGCTTCTGGCGAGAAGTTCAGCGACGAAAAGAATCCCATCCCCCTCTTCCAAGTTGGTGAGGCGGGTGATACTGGTGATGTTGAGATGTCGGACTTGATATTTGAGACGAAGGGTCCAGCTCCCGGTGCCGTTCTCATGCAATACAACCTCGCTGGAACTTCTGCTGGCTCTGCTGGTTTGTGGGATGTTCACTTCCGCGTTGGTGGTACTGCTGGCACTGAGCTGCAGTCCGACAAGTGCTCCAAGAACCCCAACGTGACCACGACGCCCGATCCGGAATGCTATGGTGCTTTCATGATGTTCCACGTCACCAAGACCGCCTCTGTTTACGTTGAGAACTGTTGGTTTTGGGTTGCCGATCACGAGCTGGATCTCGAAGACCATAACCAGATCAACATCTACAACGGTCGTGGCGTGCTGATTGAGTCGGAGAACCCCGTGTGGTTCTGGGGAACGGCCTCGGAGCACTCGCAGCTCTACAACTATCAGCTCACCAATGCCCGCAACACTTTCCTTGGATTGATCCAGACTGAAACTGCCTACATGCAAGGCAACCCCGACGCCAAGGTGCCCTTCTCCGTCAACGACGACTTCTCCGATCCCGACTTCAGCGCCTCGTGCACTGGCGATTCAGACACTTGCGCTCGCACTTGGGGTCTCCGTGTTATGAACAGCTCTGAGGTGTTTGTTTATGGTGGTGGTCTTTACTCGTTCTTCGACAATTACGGCCAGGATTGTCTCGACACAGAGAGTTGCCAAGACAACATGGTCAGCATCGAGGATTCCAGTGTCCAGTTGTTTGGCATCAGCACTAAGGCTTCAGTCAACATGATTACCGTCGATGGAAAGTCGGTTGCCCTGGATAAGGATAACCGCAACACTTTCTGTGCCGCTATCGCTAAGTTCGCAACTAGCGGTGGCTCGTCTAGTGGTTCGAGTTCGGGTTCGGGCTCCGGCGCGGGCTCGGGCTCCGGCGCGGGCTCGAGTTCCAGCTTGGCGCCTGCCTCAGCGACCACCAAACGTTCGACATCTACTGTCACCGAATCCACCGCATCTACTGCTACAGCTTCCCAGTCGGGCTCTGATAGTGGCAGCGGCAGCGGCTCTGGCTCCGGCTCTAGCTATGGTTATGGGTCCGCAAGCTCTAACGCCGAGACCGCCGCCACCCCTACAACGGCCGTACCTGTCCCCGAGACAACCACAACCGCTCTCCCTTCGGATGGATCTTCTGATAGCGATGAAGGATCTCCTGACGATGTGACGACTGTGTCGATTCTAGGAGGTACGGCGACGGCTACGGGAACCGTGACTGCAACCGCTGAAGGCGGAGGCGGCGCGACTGTCACAGTGACCGTCACCGCAACCGTGACGGCGCCTTGCAGCGCATCCTAGGTGACGCCTGCTCCGCCCGGCCAAGGCGGCGGTGTGCCCCCAGCAACGACCACAGTAGTACTGCCCACTACTTCCATAGTTTCAACTGCTCCGCCCGGCCAAGGCGGCGGTGTGCCCCCAGCAACGACAACAGTAGCTTCAACCGCTCCGCCCGGACAAGGCTGCGATGTGCCCCCAGCGACAACAACAACCACAATGTCACTGCCCACTGCCCCCACAACTTTGACAACTTATGATCAAGGCTGTGGCTCCAATGCCTATGGGGGAGCCTAAATGCGACCAACCCACCGTGCCTGTATTCGCTTCTCACAAAACTTTTGTTGGAGGGCGCTATTCGCCGCACCTCCCTTCTCTTCTGCTTTTGGCCCTAAGTGGCATTTTGACAACCACCTTATTTTTTACGTCGTCCTTTGATATTAAGAAGGTATGGAACAGGACATACATGCATCATGGCCAGTTTGAGGTCAAGGAGTTTAGGCAGGCAGGACAGGTCATCGATTGTGTGGGATACCCAAGTTTCTTTCGACACTGTGACCACCAGGAAAGGCTCAGCAATATGGGGCCGGTGTGAACATGAGCCAGTGTCAATATGAATAGCATTCAGTTAAAATAGGTTTCTTTCACTGTGACTTGTGACATGGTCTCGAGGATGTGATATGTGGTGGCAAAGCAATACGATGTTGTAGTACAAAGAGTTTTTGTTCGGTCGTTCCAGGGTGGTCGCTAGTTTTTCAGCCACACCTCGGTATGACTGGTGCCAAGGCCTGTAGCAAGCTCCAAATCAGCTCCTGCTCCAAATTGAAGCAACGAGGCATCAACGTCATAGGTGGCTTGCTTGTTCATCAAACCAGAAATTCTTCAACCTTGCCCTGAACCAGACACCACAAGGCATCTTCTCCAATGTTCTGCCGTTGAACGTAGGAAGTTGACTGACAGACCTTCAGAAATACTTTTCGGTCCAGAGCTCCAGAAATTACACGGTCTTCCTCCCTGCTTTGCTTCCACACTCAATCTGAAAAACACCAGACTTTCAGCAACGAAAACACCTCTCCAGAACTCATGGCCGACGACTACTCCCTACGATCGCGCCCGGTAAACATGACGGTCTCTCCAAATGACTCCTCGTTGCCATCATCGCCGCGGGGGAAATCCCGCGCCTCGGCAACAAACCGCCCGACTTCTACCCCGACCGCGCGCAACCCGCCCCAACTACCCACGCCCCTCGAAACGGCCCTCCTAGCCGTCTACCCCATCCTCCTCACATTTGGCACACTCTTCTCGATCCTGAGCCCGCAAACTCGCGCCGCGCCCTACGACGCCTCGGGCCAATCGCACGTGCAGGCCTCGGCGCCGAGCTACTTCGCCCGGAAAGACAACCTGTTCAACGTCATCTTCGTGAAGCGGGGGTGGGGATGGATTACAGCCGCGTTCGTAGTCCTGCTCCTCACGCATCCGTCGCTTGGATCGGTGACGAGGAAAGTGAAAGCCGCGATACGTTGGGGGCTTGTCACGGCGTGGTGGGTGCTGGTTACGCAGTGGTGTTTTGGGCCACCGGTGATTGATCGCGGGTTCAGGTTTACGGGAGGCAAGTGCGAGGGGGCGGTGGTTAGGGTTGCGGAGGGGAAGCCCGATAGGGCGGATGTGTTGACTGCTGTTGCGTGTCGGGCTTCGGGAGGCAAGTGGATGGGTGGGCATGATATCTCTGGGCATGTATTTTTGCTTGTGTTAGGGAGCTGGTTTTTGTTGCAGGAGATGGCGTGGATTGCGGCGAGGGCGTGGTTTGAGGGGAGGAGGGATGATAGGTGTATCGTTATGGGGGATGGGGCCGTGAAGAGTGCTGGTGTTGAGGCAGAGAGGGTCGAGGGGGAGGAGCTTGCCAAGGAGCAGGGACTGGGGCTGGGAGGGAAGTTTGTGGTTGCTGTTATTGGGCTGTGCTGGTGGATGTTGCTTATGACGGCTATTTACTTCCATACCTGGTTTGAGAAGGTAAGTTTCATTCTTCACCACAAGATGTGTTCTTTTTGGACTCAAACTAACAACATGTTCTACAGTTAACTGGCCTCCTCGTTGCATTATTAGGTATTTACCCCATCTACGTCCTCCCCAGATGGATACCTGCGTTGAGACAGATTATTGGACTGCCTGGCATATGAAAGTAGGGAAATGGGGGCCGGTTCGATATTTGCAGCAATAGAGACGAAACCATGGCGGAGATGAGATAACAGAAGGCAACATAATTACTAGCATGAGCACAGAAATATAGTATGGCTTATACACTCGCAACAGATGTTGTGCGACGGTTATTTGGCCTGGGGGAACTACACAATTGTGCACCATGCTATACAGGTTTGATTAAAAGAATCTAGAACAGAACTGCATGTTGCCTGGTTGCGTTATATCCAATACTTGCTGCACTTCCATGTGCGACAGGACAAAACTGCTGATATATCTTGCCTAGAGGGAGAATATGGCGTCATTCCTGGCGTGGAATATTTTCAACGAAACCTGTGAGAAGCCAGAGTCTAGGCAGGCATTTCATGCTTTACAATTCTCGGGTTTTCGGCGTTGCGGATATTTCCTTGAGGCCCCTTGCTTCCTCACTCTTCTGAGACTTGAGCCAAAGATGTGAGTGGGAGGGCATCAAATACAACAGTGGCATACATGCATAATGGACGCTTGGAAATTACTGAGATTTCACAAAGACCGCCTTGCATGACCAATATGGCTGAGCTACGGCACGCCCATATTCACTACTTCCCGGGTGCAAACTCCCAATTATGCCACTGAGATAATCAGATGTCAACTTGTTTTGGGGCCAGTAGACGCGTGTCAATTCAGTCTCACGCGAGATGGCTTCCTTGATTCCTTGAATAGATACGGCCTGTGCTCCTCTGTCCACTTGACAGCTGCACTCAATGAAGATGCCGCAAGCTTGTTCGTGTTACTGCCGCGTCCAAGTGATTGACGTCCACCCCGATCACATTTTGAGCCATCGTCCGGCTCTCGGGCTGGCAGGTGCATGTCCAGGCTCCCTCACCCAATCCAAAATACGGCTCCACAGAAAGGCACCGTCGTGCTCCATACCGATCTGCGTCTCCAACTTACTCCAGGCCTTCTCGTCGACCGAATCAAATCCAAACCACCTCGTGGTGTCGTGCATCCGCAGCCTTGCTGTCTGGGCGTCTTTCTCGGGGTGGCCCTGCAAAGTTAAGATGTTGCCATTTTCATGCATTAGCACTTGATTCCCTTGTGCAAGTTGTACAAAAGGTTCTGGTGCTCTGGCGACCTCGCGCCGATGATGCTGCTGGATCCGGACCATGCCGGTTGATGATGAGGTGTGGCGGAAAAAGCTGCGCCCCTTATCTGTTAGGTTGACGCAGGTCACACCCATCTACAAGCGGGATTCAGCGTTCCGTCATGGCAGGATCATACATCTACCTACACAGGAAACTTACCTCGGGCACGTCCATGTCCACGACCTCGCCCCCAAACACGATGGAAATGGTCTGATGACCCCAGCAAATCCCCAGTATTTTCTTCTCTGGGTAACTCACGACAACATGACGCACAAACTCGTGCACTTTCCTGATCCAGGGGTGCGTCTTCCGGGCATCTACATTGGCACCTCCCAGGACAATCAGGTCGAACAATTCCGGGTCGGGTAGGATACCCTTGTTTGCGGGCTCGAAGAAGACCAGCTTCGCATCGGGGGCGACGGCGCCGATGGCCCGGACGTACGACGCCTGAATGGCGGGCAGAAGCTTTGAACGGTACGAGTTTAGAAGGATGGCGATGCTCAGGGGCTGCTGCAGCTGGGCAGAGGGAGGCGCATCGTCACCAGATGGTAACATGACGTAACTTTGGAACGCGACGCTTGACAAGACCAGAGAAAAAGAATCAAATATCACGAATCAAGGGCGTTTGTTCTTCTCCCGAACATGTCTGTTGAAGACACTTCGCGGCTGGCTCTGCCAAGGAAAATGTTGAAAATACCAGGGACGGATGCAGAAGTAAAACGAGGTCGGATACACAAGATTTTGGATAACTCCTGAATTTGAGTTTCACCAACATAGCAGACGGTTGCTGTCAACGGGGATCAGGGGACGTTTCCAGGGCGCTATGATCGCCTAGAGGCTTTGAAGTCGAGTTTAGTGCGGCGCGCTATTCTTAGCTCCTGCAGTGACCTGGCTTAGGGTCTGTTTGGGGCTCTGTCAGGTTGAGGAGGGACAAAAGCCTCAGGCAACCAACATCGACATCAATCTCCAACGTCGTCCGAAAGAAAACCAATATCTCACTTTGAAAAATCATCATGCAAGTTGTTTAATCTGATTATACTAAGGATCAGTGGATATTTTGATGACAACCCACCCAAACTCTACCAAGGCTATGATGGAGCCACATCGCGGCTTCCTCGTCCCAACCGACCGCATCGCCCGCCCGCTGTTCCGCAGACCGGGGACGATGGCACAGTGTGAAGCCAAAATGCAGCGGACAGAATCACCCTTCGCATTAGCCAGTCGATTCTGCATCGCAGAGGCACGCAGTCAGCGGCACCGCCCAAACCAGGAAATCTAGGTACTGCGTTCGGTCCGGATGACGGGCCAGGCGGACCATGACGCATCAGACAGGGACTCAAGCAATCAACGGCCAGCCAAGTAGAGGGTTCCCTGCTGCTTCAAGCAGACGACTCGTTCTACCCAAGTTGGCGTCTCTACGGATGCCTCCATCGCTTGGAAGCAAGTCTTGAATCCATCCGCTCATTGCAACGTGGAAAGCCTCCAGATCAGCAGCAGCTGTTCAAAGACCAGTGTAGCACAAGCACGGCCCAAAAACTACCACAGGCCAATTGAGCTCAACAGCGGGTACCGTGCAGCCATTCCGATTAATGTCTCGCAGAGCTTGGCCAATCTTGGACGGCCATACACCATTCAGTGCTGGTCTACAGAGGATGGGTCGCACAGCATCCTGTCATCAACGGTTCTGTCATATGCAGCTCCCATGGTTGTCTCAAGCGGAGATAGATGACTGGCTGTTGGCCTAGGTCTGGAGCCTGACGTTGTACTCGCCCACTGCCAACGAGCCCTAGCAGTTCATGTGGATTACCTGTCAGCTGGCTTGTCAAATGGGCCGTCTTGCATCAACTTGCGCTAGGTTGCTGATAGTCCGCCTAGGAGCAGCTTCACCGTTTTACTCAGGGAACACCAGGACTTTTGACTATCAAAACGTATCGAGAATATCAGCATACGACTTTTCATCAGCCTCGTAGTGTTTTCTTAACGAGAACAGCCCAGGTCGCCCTCGACGCCAACCGAACAAACCGAGGAAGCCGAGATTGTTGTGGTCGATCCGGCAACTTCAGGTGGCCAACAAGGATCCTCTATTTCGAGACGTCCGTCCGGCCGTGTTTTTTTATATACGTCAATATGTCAAGGCATGTCAAGGCATGTCAAGCTGCCGTACAGCGTTTGTACTATAAGGTAAACAACTCATTGGCTCACCTTGTACCTGATGATACGCTGTCGAAGCGATGAAAGAAGATTCTCAGTGTTCTCGGGGAAAGCCCAGCCTCCGTGACCAGGACCCCTCGCGGCTCGTGCAGAAGCAGGGATCACACTCGCGGCAGGCAACAGCGATGTCGTGATGATGAGCGTTTCCGGACTGGTTTCATGCATATCGCTCCATGGAGAGAACTTTGCAAAGATTTAACCGGGTTCCTGGGAGTGTCCTCGTGCACCCGATCGTATTGATAACTGATGTATAGCATTCAACACATCACAAAACGTATTCGAGCTTCACATTTGCGCGATATAACGCGAGAATAATGACGAGCAGAATTCCAGAACCGGACAGGGCATCGATAGCCATCACTGCGGAGGCGTGGTTGACTCCAAGTGTCTCTCCGCCACATTCAGCACTTGCCATGTGGAATGTCTCGGGAAACTGATCGTCCCAGGCATTCGGTCCCCACAGATCTCTAGATATCTTGACAAGGCATTGGCTTGCTTTCGTTAGATCGATAGAGATGCCCGCGCGAGCGGGAGATAGGTGCATGGATGCGTGGTGGTGAAATCAGGACGACCAATCTGGCTATCGGCAATGCGGGGCCCCGATGTTTGCTTAGTATCATCAGAACATGCCTGCATTATACCTACATCACTATGCGTGATAAGACTGGTAATAAGCCTGTTCGCGAGACCCATGGTGCAGATAAAGGGCAGGAGCCCAGAACTGACAACACATAGCAGCTAACCAGAAAGGGAAGAGAGGCCCTCCACTCATTGGTTGAGCACACTGCCAATAACTCTTTTTGGACATGTACGTAGAGATACTCCCCAGCTAGCGTGTTCACTACGGTGTAGCCGCAGTGATTGGCTATCGTGTAGTGGTTTGTCTCTTGCTGCAGAATGCTGTGCGTGTTTAGCTCGACCGCGGATGCACTTTGGAGGCTCCGCGGACGAGGAAGAGCCGCATCGCTCAAATATGACAGCAGCTGCAGCTGGCAGTTACCAAGATGGAGACATCCATGCACTTTTACCCTTGGCTCCACGTCAATGGCGATTTCATAGCAAAGACCGGCTCCAGATAGGCGGGCGGGAGACAAGATTGGTAGACGGCTATGGCCAGACGAATTGGGTAATCTTGGTTTCGTATTGAGAAGGACCTGCTTCGGGACTCCCACACATCTTCCCATGGTCCCACTTGTCAAGGGTCAATATGGGTGGTTCTCCCGTCTCCTGTACTCGGCCTGATTCGGACATGACAATGGGGGGGATTGATTTTGGAAGGGGAAGAATCATAATGAATGAATGATTAATCTCTTTAAGCCCATGCAGAGAGAAAAAGAGAGTGGCCGAGTTGGCCTGAAGCACTCATTTCTCTTGTTCTCTGGATGGATGTTCTTCATACTGAAGTATATACCCATTCTTGTCGTCTTCACGTCGTCGTTGCCATTGCTTGTGTAAGCCTTTCAAGAGACCTTGAAAAGCCGCCTTGCCATCTGAATTACCAAAGACATAATTCGAATTCGAATATTTTCATTGATTACATTGAGCCATTGGATACCAATACTCTCGGGCCTGAGACGCCTCCACCGAACTCCCCAACCCCCCTGGTGATTTGGCATCATCCATAGCCTCTTGGTTCATCGGTTCACCCACCCATCCAGCCATCCAGCCATCCAGTCATTTCCCGAGCTGCTGAGGTTCTTCCCAGACCAATTCGTGAACCGCGGCGCAGGAGATTCCTTGGTGTGTGGAAAAAGAAACGGGGGTGTTCTTGACACAAGATTCTCGGGAGCCCGCACCTCGACCTATATCGCTACCGAACTTCATAGTAGTTCCTGTGTTGACCGCCAGGCAGGCTGGTCGCCTTCTTGCCTTTTGCATTCGTACCCAACATCGCTCTCTAGCATAACCAGAACCACCCCACGGGAAGGGGGAGAAAGCGGGTCTCCCGAACTCATCGGCAGCGATCCTCGCTGGTCACTGGTTCGAGACGAACCGGCAGAAGCATTCAAGGAGAAAGGGGAGGGACAGCTAAGGAAGACCACAGAGCAAGGAAGCGGCGGTGAGGTTGCTCTCTTTCCTTGCAACCACGTACCATCGTCGAGGGCAAGAGGGGAGAAGAGCGGTAGGCAGACGACATAGTGCTCGCGGCAGACAGAGCAAGTATCCCCTCCACCAGCAGCAGGAATAGGCGAGGCGTGACGAGGTGACAAGATCCAAGCGGAGCAAACCTAGGAAATTGTTGTTGTGTTGGGAGAGACACACGAGGACCAGAGGCCGCACATACGTCGAAAGAGGAGAAAAAATATGTTTATCAACCGGCAGCAGCCCCAGCTCGGCTGGGACGAGCAGCAGCAAGAAGTCACGTCTGCTGCCACTGCCCTCGAGACTCAATTTTGTCGCGAAGCAGCCTTTCACCAGCAATTGCTTTGCGGGCGACTCACCCAGCTCCATCGCGACGATCATATCAAAGCTTGGAGTGCTGCGCTATCGCAATCTCACATTCACCATCCCCATCTACCTCAACGCCAACATCAACACCCACACCACCACTCCCAAGCCCAAAATCAACCCCCAAACCTTGTACGCATTCATCCACATATTGTTACGAAAATGGACGACGGAAAGTGGTTTCCTCACATCGCTGACGGTGGTGACGAGTATCTGGTAAGTCGCCTCCTTCTCATTTCTTCCATAATTCGACGTAGCTTCCCTCTTTTTTTCAAACTCACAATAAGCCGTACGTAACTCGCATGCCAATAATCTTTTCTCTCCTTTCGTAGACCGAGGACCTCTACAGCAGCGACTGCTTCTCGTCGGGGTTCGGATCCAGTCACCACAACGTCAGAACCCAACCATCGACAACTGGGTATATCTCGGCGGCTGCAACTACGCCCGTCGGTGCCGGCGGGAACGAAATAGGCCCGAGTCAACATGGCAACAACCACAGCTACGACTCCCACCACGCTGTCGCTGCCCAACCGAACAAAGAATCTGGCGCAGTACTTGCACCCAACACCAACGCCAATGCCAATGCCAATGATTCTTGCTTCTGGCCCCCCCTCTCGACTACCAACATGTATTCGCTCCCCTTCGACGGCAGCACCACTATCGACACCGGATTTCCTACCCACTACCAGCAACAGCCGAACCACGCCGCCTCCTGGTCCGTGTTCGACACGTGGGGAGGAGGAGCAGCAGCCGCTGCATTGACAAACACCCCCCTTCATTTCCACGACAGTCTTCCCGCCGTCACCACCACCGGTCCCTGGGGCGAGCCCAGCGTGCCTAACCTCGGTGAGGCCATCGGGTGTAATAGCGTTAGTCCCACTGGCACCACCTACAGCAGCATCTCGTCGTCTGCCGCTTCTGATGCCATGACCTCGATGAGTCTGGATCCCGTGACGCATTCCACGGCTCCGGTCAACACACCTAGCACGACCAACTCCTTCTCTATGGATGATCAGAGATATGAGAACCAGACTAATGTTTCTGCCACTGGTTCTGGTACTTGTGCTGGTGCTGGCGCTGCTGACTGGATCATGGGCAACACCAACGACAGCAATTACCCGCCCACCACCGTATCCCCAGAGGTACTGCGCATAAACCCTTCGCCTGCGCCGGTGCCCAACTCGTACACGGAATCGGTTCAGACCAGTCTTTTGCGCGATAGCGACTTTGATATAAGTCCTTCGTACGTTGATATCCGTCCGGCTCCTTCTCGTGCTCCTCAGGCGCCTCAACCGTCTTCGTCGTCGAAGCGACTCAATAACAAGGGCCGCAAGGAGTTACCAAGCAGGCCCAAGTCGCGCTACCTGTCTGTTGCCCGCGAACCGCCTTCCTCTTCGTCGTCGGCGACGTCATCCAAGGGCAAGGGCAAAGCATCTGCTGCGCCGTCGTCCATACATGGCCACCACCATCACCACCACCACCAGTCAGCTTCATCTTCGGCTCGCCAAAAGGCAGCAGAACAAAATTCCGTCTCGCTACTCAGCTGCGCCTTTAGAGCAGAACAAGAAAATGGCGACATCGGCATCGAAGACCCCAATCCTTCCGACACCTTCGAAGCGTCCGACGCAGACCTGCCAAATCCCAATCCTCCCCTCAGACCCAGGCCCAAGCCCACCGCTGTCCTTCTCCCCCGCCCCTCGCCATCCACCTCAGTAATGATGAAAACATCCGCAGCAGCATCGTCACGTCTCCTCGAAACCCAAGCCGCCGAAAAGGCAGCCAAGGACGAATTCCTCATCAAGCACAAGCGGGCGGGCATGACATACCGCGAGATCCGCAAGAAGGGCAAGTTCATCGAGGCCGAGTCGACACTGAGAGGACGGTACCGCACATTGACTAAGCCCAAGGAGACCAGAGTTAGGAAGCCTGAGTGGGAGGAGAGTGACGTGAGTTTTCTGTTTTGGTTTTAGTTGGGCTGGAATTGGTTTATTCTCAACTCTTTTCATCTCTCATTCTTCTTGCTTTCCTTTTATATCTTTGCTCGACCTCCATTTGCTCTGTCTGGTTCAAAACAATGGGGGAAATACGACGAGAAAGCCAAACAAACAGAGTGGTAAACGCATACTGACCCCATTCTTTCGACGATAGATCCGCCTCCTCAAAAAAGCCGTCCGCAAACTAGCCAAGGGCGACGATCTCGAGACGGCCAAGATCCCTTGGAAGCAAGTCGCCGAGTACATCGCCGAGCATGGCGGCTCATACCACTTCGGCAACGCCACCTGTCGCAAGCGGTGGGATGATCTCCTTGCTCAGAATAAGGCTTGATTGGAGATTCAAAAAAAAAAACAGAAAGAATAATAGTCTCGCACCTTTGGAATGCTGTGTGGGCCGATCTGATTTTGATTGCGGCAGTTATGCTTCTTGATTTGATAGAGGCACTTTGGTTTGCTATCATGTTCATTCAATTGGAGCCCTGTCACCTGGGATTGTCGTCATGTTCCTTCCATCATTGGAATCAGCTCGTCCTGGATTGCAACCAAGTCCCTGTTCTTGGACCAACCGTTCTTGGGTTGCTGCAGTCATCTTTCCGTTGAAGAACCGACACCATCTCGGCCTGGCACTATTTTCACCACTTTTCCTACGATATTTAATTGATGGAAGCGTTGATATCTATGTTTGTTTGTATAAGTATCTAAACATCCGGAGTTCCCATGTGTGAGATCAGAGGGTTCGATCATACGTTGGGAGGGAGGGAAATGAGGGTACGCACTTACTAGATAGGCAGGTCTAGTATGTTCTGCGTTGGGTGGGCGGTTTCTGGATTCTGTCTAACATCACCAGACAGGCGTTATTGGTCTGCATACCCAGATTTTCTGCAGATAAACCGCTGACCTCGCGGTCATGAATTGAGAGTTTTTGGTATGTGCTTGTGTTGATTTCCACGAGGGCGTGCAACAGAACTAGCCACTTGACCCATGCCAACAACCATAACTGCATCTCTTGCATCCAACCCATTGAGCCCTCGTATCCCCACATCTCATAAATTCCCACTCCTCTCCCCAGCCCCCGGCGATGACAACACCCCAATCTTTTCTAAAGCCCCCACCAACATCCCCGGATCCCCCCTCAAAGCATCCCACTCCTTCTCACTCTTCACGAGCGCCGTACCCGCTAACACCGTCCCATTAAGCGCTATATAACCCACCTCATTCCCCTCCCTATCCCTAATCGCCGTGCCCTCGGCCAGCCGCGGACACAACGCCATGATCGTATTGGTCATGGCGAAGTTGTAGCTGATTTCCGCCTTGCCTTCGCTGGGTATGTCGGCTTCGTTTTTCTGGGGGAATACTAGTTTAACGGCGCGGCGGTAGAGAGTGAGGTAGGCAGTATGCAGATCCTCTGGTGTAGTATTGGATGAGATGGCGTGCGTCAATACAGCGAAGGGCAATTTCGTGCCCAGCTTGGGGTGGGATAGGAGTTTGTCGGTTAAGACTCCCCAATCTTCCCCTTCCCCTTCCCCCGTCTTATCCAACCCATCCCTCATTCTTTCAATCGGCAACATCTGTAAATGTCTATGCGCCTGACTGGCCCCCGAGTGCTCGCCAGAGTTGAAGAAAACGAACAATCCCTTTTCTTTCCCTTTCCCTCCGTCTTGATCATTTTCAGCATACGCCCTCACACACGCCGAAGCCGCTTCGATATCCTCTTTCGCCAATACATGAGTCTGCGGCTCGACCCGCTTCGTAGCCAGTATAAAATGCTCCGGCACGATGGCGAATTTGTTCAGGACTAGTACGTGAGTTGGGGGGTCGCCTATGTCTGATATCGTCATGGAGGGGAGGGGATTCTCGAAGGGGTTGAAGGGCTTGGCATCTTTGTCCTTTGGTTTTTCGGGTTTGGGCTTCGACGCTAGAGAGGGCGAGAAGCGGAGTTGGAACTATGGGCGTTCGGATTTTCTCAGTACAGGTCTCTAGAGCGAAGGTCGTGGTCCCGGGAGACAGAGAACGGAGGTGCGTACCGGGATTGAGTTCGCCTCCAAGACCGCGACTTGGGTGGGGTAGTACGTCAGATCGCCAGCTTGTTTTGCTTTGGTGAAGGCGGATTTTACTAGACTTGGTAGATTGGAGGGCGCACGTATAGGAGGCATTTCAGCCATTTTGAGTCTAGATTTTTACGTGGTTTTTGTCAAGGAATGCAGTTGCAAATGGCTGAGGTTGACAATGTCCTATGGAAGGAGCCGGTTTGGAGCTTCTTACAGCTGGTCGACCCCTGGAACAATTACGTAAATTGGAGACCGTAGCAAAGCAGCCGCCGGCCAGCTGTCGTCAAAGTGGTTAGTGCTTGATGAGCTCGAGATCTGCTTAGGAGCAAGTCGATGACTTGAGGCGACTTCAGGGTGCAACCCGTGGCGAGTTCTACAACGATTCTGACCTTTCTGAAGGAGAAGCGCTCAAGAGATATCATTCTTGAAAGTTCCCTGACTTCAAATGGGAATGCACCCCTCCAGGTGCTAACATCCCGGTTGACTCAATGAAACGAGACCATGAGCAGGGAGATAGATAAAGCCTTTCGTTAAAGAACCCGTGCTGTATCCCAGACCCCATAAGTACTCCAGATACCCCGCCAATTACCAGCTCAAAATATAAACCCCACCTCGTTGCCCGGTAAGGAGTGATTGGTATATACCTGTCTCGCTGTCTCGCTTTCTAAATAAAGCATCGTTCTAGGGAGCGTTCCAACGATTATCGCAACCCAAAGCACAAGATAACTGGCTTAGAGCCTGCTATTTCCCAATATCCTTAAACCGCATGAGCCTGAACAAGGAAATCCGTTGATTTATCATGATGAAACAGAAGCTCGGCAAGACGTGTAAAGGAAGTCCCGACTTGCAAACAATCTCCGCGCTCCGCCATGCTGTAAAATAACCTTCGCTCGCAATGACCAAAAAACGTCTCACTTCCGAAACGGAAAGTCAGGCCGCCGTTGGGGCGTACAGTCGCCCGACATAGAATCCGGGGTTGGCACCGGATTCGAATCCGTTGAATCTGTCGTATCGGACCTGGCATCGCAGTCCTGGCCATCATTCTGCGTCTCCGTCTTCTCATCATCCGATTCTTTCGGTTCGTCCTCGTTCTTCGCATCTTCGCCCTTGCCATCCTCGGCGGTATTCTCATTCTCATCCATATCCTTCTTCTCCTCATCCATATTAACCATTCTCGTCGTATGCACCACAACCCCATCCACAATCTCCACCTTATCCTTCACCTTCCCCGTCTCCGTATCCTTCTTCCGCTCCCCGCCCGCGTTAGCCTGCGCATTATCTATATCCTGCGCGCCCTTCTCGCCCATTCCACCCTCAGCCAGCTCGCCTCCCTCGATGACGATGCGGAGGTCGAGATCTTCATCTTTGGAATAGACGCGGAACCCGACGATGCAGATGGCATTCCACGGATCCGGGAGTCCGGCCTCGTCGTCCGTGTCGGTTAACTTGTCCAGGGGTGGAGCCGGGGCTGGCGCGGGGGCCAGTCGAGGCTTCTTCGACATGTCATCGGATCTGTAAAGCTCCTCCCAGTCCTCGACGGGGCTGTCGGAGGAGTCGCTTTCGGATACACAACTGTTTTTCTGCTTGCTGTCCGTCACCTGGGGAGGCGGTGGGGGTGGTGGGGATGGTCCGCCGGAGACCGGGGCTTCGTCGGCGTCCTTCTCTTTGGAACCTCCCTTTTCATCGGAGACTGGCTGTGAAGCCTCGCTGCTTGGGGTGTTTTGAGGGGAACCGGAAGTGTCAGGGTTGGCAGCAGATTCGGCATCTGTGCCGTCACTTGAGACCTGTTTATCGGGTGCCTGGGGAGTGTTGGTCTGGACACTCTTGTCTTCGCCACTTTTGGCTTCGGACTTGTCTGTCAGGATCGTTTGATCCTTGGGCTGCTCTTCTTCGTTCTTTTTGCGCTCTGCTTCCTCAGCTGCTTCTTTCACCTTACGCTCCGCGGCCTCGGCCTCCTCCTTCTTTTTACGCTCGGCCTCTTCCGTTTCTCGGCGGCGATCACCCTTTTCCTTGTTCTTCTTTTGCTGCTTCTTCTGAATCTCGCGGGTTTTGCTGTTCGAAGACGGAAGTCAGTTATTGCTGGCCCATGAACGAGGGCTTGCCAGCCAAAGGAAATAATAAATCACGTTTACGTACTGTCGTTTCTCCCAGCCTCTGCGGCGCTCCTGTTTACGCGAGGTACTGGCCTTCTTCCGATCGGTCTCTTTACGCAGCTTTGCCACGTGTTCGAGGTGCGCAACCCCCTTGCTATGAGCAAGATCATAAGCATACCCAACCTGGGCGAGCTTCTCATTCTCAGAGCGTTTCTTGCATTCCCTTTGCACGACACTTTCAATGGACGGATAATCTGTGTCTCGCTCACCAACCACCTTGACGAACACGGAGTAGTGGCCTGGCCCCATACTTGGAAGCTCAATTGAGACTGCCCGATCCATTAGGTAGTTGCCGTGAGATCTCATCTACTCAGAGTTAGCAATGAAGACCCAACGGTTTTGAAGAGATCGGCTTGCAATGTAGTCTTCCGCGTCTGGCCTGCCTTGTTCGTGAAGCCGGAAATGCAGGCGGAAGCTGTATTGACCGTGCAAACCCTTGTAGTACCTGTTGTCAAGTTGCTGCAAGACTAAGACCAAAGGCGACTCTTTGGTCAAAGTCATATGGAATTTCTCGTTCCACTGAGCTTTCCACGGTACCTCGACCCCAATCCAACGTTGGCAACATCGCCAGTCGGACTCGCGGAAGAGGCGGGTCCGGTCGAAGTGTTGATACTTTCGAATCATGTCCTCGTATCGGATCCAAAAGACGGAGTCGCTGCCAAATGTGTGGCCTAGCTCGTCTTTGACGTCGTTGGTCCACTCCTTCGAACCATCACTCCAGGCTCCTTCCCAGATGCCTTTTTTCAATTTGCCCCATGGGTTCCTGACCACACTCGCGTTAGTTTCTGGTTGAAAACTCGAAGGGCTATCGTTACTTACCGCAGCTTGACCAGACGCTCGCCATTTTTCAGCGTCCTCACATCCATAACGACATATGCATGCCCTTCTCTGATTCCACGTCTTTCACCGTAGCCGCCATCAAGCAGGCCAGTGGAGCACCCGAAGAGGAACTCTTTGTTTACTTTACATAGCTCATTCTCCCAGAATCCGTCAAGATCAAGAATGTCACTAGCTAGAAGCTCGGTGGTAACACCACCACTCAGGTCCTCAACTCCCTCGCCGGTCCACCCGCCAGTCAGAGATGCGAAGTCACCGTGCACCTTGGCGTACGCCTTTTCCACAAGAGGAACCCACGTCTCGTTCTGGTCTTTATTTTGCCCGAAGAAGAGCGCCTTGGAACCCGTCTGATACGTTTGGCGATACTTCTCCTCGATATCATCAGGATCATCGACCTGCTGGAGCAGATCACGATGCATAGATGGCGAGTCAAAGCACGGCGACGTGAGGTACAGCTTATCATCGATGATGGAATACACCCATTCCCCATCGCGATAGAACACAAAACCATATATACCAATCTGCGTATCAGATTCCACGCAGAGTCTCTTGATGCCGTCTTCGACATTCCCGAGCGCACTCAAGCCCGCGATCAACCAGCAGTTCCCGAGATTTCCCTGTTTGATATCGCCCCCATTCACATTTTTCAGGAAGGTGGGTCTGTCGAAGATCTCGTGGACTCGCTTCACGGCCTTGGGAACCGACATATTAAAACTGAGGCGAGGCCCGCACAAGTCGAACTTGTTCGATCCGAGGTAGTTGAGACAATGGCCCTGAAGCATCTTCAGATCCCAATCGAGATCAAAGCCAGGGTCTCTGTACCTCATGTTAACTCTCTTGCACTCCTGTATAATCCTTCTGACTCTCTGTCGACATTCTTCTACTGCTCGTTCGTAGCCCACAGACAAAAGCTCGTTCTTTCGGTCCGCCGTCGGCGAGGGGACGGGGTCGAAGGGTAGAATGGAGAGTGCCTTGGTGGCTTTCTTGGTAGTGAAATGTCTCCATATCTTGTTGATACTCTGTTGAGGTGGAAGCTTCTTTTTGTTCTTCTGGGCAGCATTGTTTGGTGGAGGTTTGGGTTTACGAGGCTTTTCGTCCTCAGATTCCGATGAGGAGCTGTATCCGAACCTGTCAATCCCTCCTCGAGCCATGATCGAAACTGGGTTACAGAGAAAACAGGGCCGGACAGCTGTAATTCCACTACATGTCAGCACCGAAATCGGAGGTTGGCGATTTTCGACACAAACTTCTGGGGATAGACCAGAGTAGCTACTGGGTGCCTACCAAATTAAGACTATTGCTGAGAAGCTTGAGTTGTACGTTTCTTCCTGTAAGAGTTCAAATACAGCGCCCGACTCCAGGATGCAAACGAGATGGGTCTCAAAGCAAAGCTCTACATGAAAGGTCAAAGAAAAAGAGAGACAGCCTTGCGCCGAGAAGTTGGGTTTCTCGCGAGGACTTATGGATGGTTGGAAGAAGTGAGGGAGGGGATGGACATGTCCGGTTGCCAGGAAACTTCACCGATATCGAGGCAGGGGCCACTATAATAAGACGACGACCGGCATCATGAAGGAGCCCGGGGGAGCCCGGCCAATATTCCCGATTGGCATTGGCACTGGCTTAACGAGGCGCATATATTTGCTGAGAGCCCCAAGCCGTGCAAACCAACCCCGACTAGCCGAGTCAATGGATGGTCGTCGAGTCGTCAATTGAGTCTACGGTGCATATCAGAACGTTGCGAGAGGCATACCCTCAATCCACTGAGCCCCTGCCTTACCCCACTGGATAGCGTGTCCCGGTGCATATAGTTGGGGAACCGGGCCATGGAAAGAGTGGACACAAATGGATAAGATCTCCAGGGCTGGAACTGTTCAAATGCAGAGTCCTCACCACCATTCACCAATGCGAAAATATGGTGTCGATCCTGGCCTTCCATATCGCCTTTCCGAGGATAACGATGCTTTACTGCAGCCTGGACATGTGAACTTGTTGGTTGGTTCCTGGCGGTCGAGATTTGGGTTGCAAGAAATGTCGGTCTTCAGCTCATCCATCAATGGGCTGACTTTCATCAATTTCTTATCCAGCGACTGGACAGACAAGATGCTGACAGTAAGCCCTGCTGATACATTGTTCGTGCAGACTGACTGATATGAGACGGCGCTCCATGTGACCTGCGGCAACGAGTGGTCAATCGGCCCTTGTCTCGCACATCTGGCATACAGTCACGAAGTCATTGTTGGGGCGATCGACGCATCAGGGTCCGCAATGGCCAATACGTGGGACGATAATATCGGTTCAGTGCGACGGCCGCATTTAGTCGATGCCATGACTGGTGTGCTTGTTTCCCATCGTGCTTGCAGCGTTTGGGGCACGACTCGAGTGCATCTATTAGTAAGTAAGTGCGTGAGCGGCTGGTTGTTTTGCTGCTGTTGTCAGCCGCAGAACAGGCGACCGCCTCGGCTTCGCGAAAGAGCCCGCCGCAGTAGTCTCGGCTGCAGTCAAATCCTCACCCGCAGGGACGCTATTTGAGCATTCATACGTGCCCAGTTCATTCGGGTCGCACGGCATAGAGCTCTGCAGCCTCATAGCGTCAAGCGATGCCACTGTCCAAACCTTTATTCGAACCACGCAAGACGCATTCCTCATCATCGCAAGGCTGCCGGATTCTATTGGAGTCAAGCAGGCTTTATGCGGTTACATGACAGAAGTGCATCGAACTGTAGACGTGCACGTGTCAGTGGAGAGACAAGACAGTCTTGCGGGCATGCGTCGGAAGCCGATGTCCTGATTCATGTCATTGAAACATCTGAAATCTTTCCAGTGATGAAATGTCTTGGGAAGGATGGAGCTCGCGGCCCCTTCCTTCGAGGACCTTCGGCTCTTGCGGAGACTTGGTGTGTGTACAATACTCATCAGGACGAAGAACGTTCGGATCGTCCAAGGTGGGCGGTTTCGCGAATGCGATGGAATCAAACCCAAGTCCAATTCCGGCAGTCTTGTTGTAACATCTCCAAGGTGCGGGCATGCAATGGGCTAAGGGTTGTACTAACCGCTCTGACCCCCTTGTGCAACAAATTTCCACCAAAATAGGATAACGTGAATGTACACCGAGCTGGCCATGACACCGAGCTGGCCACCCTTACATAACCTCGCATAGAAATTTTACGATAGTAAAACCACAACGTCGTAAATCAATTGAAACTACTCTGAATCTTCCTCTCCAGAATATGGCAATGCGATCTTACAAGTTGGCGCATTATGCCCAGTCCCGTTGCAAATACCACAGCGCCTCGGGCGCGTTTCAACACGCTTTGCGCGACCACCATTTCGGCGCTCTTCTTGCTGTATCTGCGTCGCCAACTCCCTAGAGTCCCGTAGATCCTGTCCTTCTTGGAAAATAAGTGATTCTCCTTCCCGTAATTGCATTTTTTAGTCCTCCGGCGCTGGCTTAGCGTCTTATTTGCCTCTCGAAGCTCAGCGCACTCGGCCCGTACGAGGGCGAGCCGCCGTTTTTACGCGTTTGGAGGGTGCTTCGGGGGACTTGGTACGTTTTTGCCGCTTGTCGGAGACTAAGTTTTTGGTCATTTTTGAGAGCTCGAAGGGCTAGCATTAAGTCTGCTTCGTTGTATGACTTTGCCATAACTAATTGGTTGTTGAGAAAATCAAAGATGAAGTTGGCCGGTCGCGTTGGCGCATGAAAGTGGCCAGCTCGGTGTACATTGTGAAGGTCAACCCTCGCAGACTCACTACAACCAGGTGACTTACAGCTGGAACACCTGCCATGGCAGTGCCAGATGGGAAGCCAATCATAACCCTTGTAGGAGCCCCGCCAAGCGTGGACGACTTAGTCGCGCTCCCTCAAACCTAAGTTGTCATCTTCTTTCCTTCGCTCCTTAGAGTAGAATCTTCCTCGATAGCACCTAATCGAGGTCTCTACCAATGCGATGCAACCCAGGTCGTGACAGATTCGAACCCTCTCGTCTATGACGAGGGCCGACACCCGTACACCGTTAACACTGACATATTTGTCACAAGAGGAGGACCAAGCCCCTAGGCCAATAGACCAAAAGATCTAGGAATGTCAGTGTTGCTGACATTTGGTCCCACTAGCTGCTATATACAGCACTATGTGGCTCTGTAATCGCCAGCGCTGTGACAATAATGCAGTAGTGCGCAACGTTATAGTACCTAATTGAATGGGATTCACCTAACCAGTGGGTCCCCCTACCTTTTCGTATCAACCTCCCACCGGAGCTGTCCACTGTGGAAGTCACCACCGTGTTTTCCAACAGTAGAACCGCTTTAACGTCGAAAACAGCTAAATCTAGTAGTTTCTGTTTTGATTCTCGTTTAGTATACTGCCTTGTAGTAGCATACGGCTTATGAGTAACGAGGCGATCTCTACGGATAACTGACCTCAAGTATAGAGAAGCCCAACTCTTCTACTTGAACCATCTTCTAATACCACTTTTCTACTTACTGCTCAACCTTAGGAAAGCCTGAATCGATTTAAAGATCGGTTGGTAAGCTGCTTAAGGTAAAGGTATTCTAACCTTATCGTAGTCTGCTGTAGGTGCGTTAGTTATATTATCCGCATGTAACTTCGATAGTTGCAGACAAAGTGGGTTCGCAACGTTCTCAAACCATTGTACAATTACTACGATAGATGAAAAAGGAAATAAAAGAATGGGAAAGGGGTATCATGGAGTATTGCAAGCGTAGGTCAGAGGTCAAAGACGCATAGCGTGAGAGGGCCAATCTACGTCAATCGGGTTTGATTCAAAGGACAACTGAAACCTGTCTCTCTCCTTCTCCGGTGGAGTCGCTGCCATTTGATAGCGACTCTGTGACGAGGCCAACCGTCAGTAGCTGAATCTCAATACTTCCCCTTTTAGGTCTAATTCGACCTAGCTGCGTTACCAGAGGGGCCCAATTATTACCCTTTCTCCATAGAACAAATATGTTTGCCTATATTCTATTCCAACCCGTTGTGCTACTTAGCTCATAATAGTGTAGCTTCTAGCTCTGAAGTGGGAGAAAAGTTTTTATAGTACCGCTCCCTCTATTAAATACCGCTTACAACATCTGGACATATCTGGATACTGCCCTCCGTCCATCTGGACACCGTGTTCTATGTCTAGGTAAATCCTCAACATTTGAACTCGGTAGATGGATTCATGTAGCGGAACGGTTTGTATGGGAATATGTCTAAGCTGAGTATAGTTACACACGCTTCGTTCTTGCAGTATCGGGATGGGTGGTGCATCTTGATAATTCTTTTTTGGCGTTAGATGTGAAAACTGCAGGATGCTGTCCGGAAAGCTATGGTATTATACCATCATTAGCATCACGATTCGCCAAGTATTTGGAAGACGTAGCGTCCTTCTTGAATTTGATGTTGAAGATACCTAGCTCTATGCTATAGACTTTTCTTCCAGTCGCTGCTGTTCGAAACCGTTAACATCCCTACTGAAAGGGAAACTTCATATTGTGTAAAGTATATCTAGGCCGGCAACTTGGCCACACTATTCTAGTGCATGTAATTGGAGCTCACGTCTAGCATTTTGTACCAAATATTCGCATTCGGCACAGTCACGGTCGTCGGGATCTTGGGAGCCGAAAATACAAGTTGCATGTTAGTTCACAAACAAGGTTGTTCAAAGGTTTTTCTGGTCATTTCGACCGGGGACCTTCAGGAGCCCGTCCATTATGGAGTTAATCGTATGTTGCCACATTAAGTACTTCTGACAACAGGCGGCAGGCATAGGCGTTCTAGCGACATGATGTTTCTTATTCTTGCATCAGCATCATAACAACTCAATCAACCATGCGTATGTACGAATTAGAAAGTCAAGTATAGTGACTAACACAGAGACATTGCAGGAAATATTAAAGAAAAGAAACAACCCGAATTATGCCACTCAATTACCTCCACTTCCTGCCGCCTGTCTCTTCTTCAAGATGATGGCCGCCAGATTGGTCAAAGACCCACTCGTCAAGAGCTCGAGAACTTGCAGACTCGTTCCCAACTCCTTGGTGATCCAGTTCCTCAGCTCTATGGCATTCAGGCTGTCAAGCCCGTACGCCGTGATGGAGCGCGCGGCGTCCATGTCCTCGGGCAGCACCATCAGGATGGCGGCGAGCTTCTCGGCAAGGCCAACGGTGATGATTTCTTGTGACTCTTCCGGGGTTTTAGCGCGAGAAAGTGAGACACCGATGGATATTTTCTGGTTTGTGGAAGCTGCCGCCGACGACATGGCTAAAACGGTGTTGCGGAGTTGGGTAAACTTGGCATCGGAGGCGAAATGTGGTAATTTGTCCCCATTGAGCTTAAGACCCGTAAGACAATGGTTGTTGCAAGACTGCAGCATGGAGCCGTGGATTGCAGCCATGACAAGGACCAGGACTTCAGCCTCATTGATGGTGTCACCCCCGAGTGTCTGCAGGACCTCCTGCTGACGCGTGGCGTTTTCGGCGAGGTAACCAACGTCTTCAACCGCCGTGAGGTCAATGGAAGCAGCGGGGAGACCGCAGCGCAGTCGGTATTGGGCAAAGGCATCGAGGAAGGTGTTGGCTGCTGCATATGCTGCCTGGCCTCGATTGCCGACGATACCGGCTGCCGACGAGATGAGGATAAAGAAGTCGAGGGGGGTTGCCAAGAGCGCATTGTGCATGTTCCACGCGCCGGCCACCTTGGAACGGATGACGGTTTCGTAGTCGTCGAAAGTCATCTTTTCAAACAGCACGTCCTATTTTCGCAGTCAGTTATATGTTTGGTCAGAGAACAGTATGGCTTTGCCTACCCTGAGAACCATGCCGGCGTGGATGACCCCGCCAATAGGGGGTAACTCTTGGGCACAATAATTTACCAGTTGCATAACACTGTCCATATCTGCGACATCACACGCTTTCACGACAATGTTGGCCCCGGAAAATTGGTGAATGTCTTGGATGAGTTGAGCAACGGGGCCCTTGAGCCGGCCGCTTCGAGACAACAACACAATGTGCTTGGCCCCGTTCTCTACCATCGATTTAGACATTGATCTGCCCAGCCCACCAGTGCCACCGACGATGAGGTACGTGGCATCTGAGCGGAGACGCCTGCTACTACTCTTGGGGTGAACCGCCTGGAATATTATTGTAAGTCACAGCCTTAGAAAGACGATACGCACTTGGGGGACTTGCCTTGACCTGTTCGCCCGGCTTGGGCACGACAACCAGTTTGCCTATCGTCTTTCCACTCTGAAGAAGGCGGAATGCCTTCTCTATTTCGGCAATGCCAAAGACAGTGATGGGACTGATGGTCTTTACCGTCTCTGCCTCGAACAGTTTCATGACGGCATCGAACGTCCTAGCCATATGCACCGGTCTCTCGGCGGCTAGGACGGTCAAATCGACTGAGCTGAAGGTGGCATTGTAGTTGAATTTGGCCATCTCCAGTCTGGTGTTGGATGTGATGTCCCGCTTTCCAATCTCGATGAACCTTCCGAAATGCGCAATGCAGTCCCATGTCTCACGCAGAAATTCTCCAGCCAAGGAGTTGATGACAACATCGACGCCCGCACCACCCGTCATCTCGCGAATGGCTGGCCCGAACGACGTGTCTCGGCTGGAGAAGATGTGGTCCTCGGGGATGCCGTAGTTCTCCATGATGAACTGTTTCTTGTCCGGGCTGCCAACAGTGGCGTAGATCTCTACCCCTAGCATCTTGGACAACTGGATAGCGGCCTGCCCGACACCGCCAGCTGCGGCATGGATCAGGATCCGCTCGCCCCTCTCGAGTCGGGCCAACTCGACGATGCCATAGTAGGCGGTGCAGTAGACGACGGGGATTGAAGCCGCCACCTCGAAACTCATGCTCGACGGGATCCTGGCTGCACTGGTCGCGGGGCATCGAGCCAAGGTGCTGTAGGCGCCCTCGCTCATGGCGCAGACCCTGTCTCCAACGCACAGGTTACAGACATTGGGCCCAACTCTGGATACCACACCTGCACATTCAATACCGATGTAGGGGCTTGGAAGCTGGCCCATGGCGATGACGACGTCCTTGAAGTTCATCCCTGTCGCCATCACTTGAAGCTCAATCTCAGTGTCCCCGATAACATAATCCTCCACGTCATGGAAGAAGAGAGTGTCAAGAGCGCCCGTCGTTCCGATGCCCATTTTCAGGGGCCTCGAGTTCTGTGCAAAGTCTTGAGGATACGGAGCCGATTTTTGCAACTCGCGGTGGACCAAAAGGTTCATGTCACCGTCGTCGACAATACGAGGGACGAAAAGCGCACCATTTTTCTCCGTGTATTCCATATCAACCGGCTCGCTGCCTTCAGCTGCAAATACCTTGGCAAAGGCTTGCAACGTCAGATCGGCCTGGCCCCTTTCCTGCAATTCAGAGTCGGAAGCCAAGTCCAGCGTTGCAACTTTGGCCTCGGTTTCTGACCGGACGGTTCGTGTCAAGCCCAAAGACATGCTAGCTGTTGGGTTAGTGGCATTCATGTATGCGCCCTTAGTGACCCATAGCACTCCCGCGGACTGCGTGAGTATCTTCTGGACTTGAGCAAAACTGTCGGGGGTCAGTTCTGCCAAGAAGGGTCGGCCGAGTTCGCAGAGAATTATATGCGCATTCTCAGCGGTTTCGACTTCCGAGAGCGAGTGGATGACCGGTGTTGTTCCCAATAGACTGACAAAAGAGGCCGCCAAGGAACTCAGGAAAAGGTCCGTTTCTGGCCTATCAGAGATGATAATGACAGGTGTGTTGGGCTTGAACTGTGTTAGTCCGTTCTCGTGGATGGCATAATTCATAACGACGTTGACCTGGTCGGGCTCCTCTGTTGCTGCCAAAGTTTCATCAGCGCCATTCACGTGGATATCTACCACAGGCTTCATATCTCGAGGCTCATCAACATCGGAAATGACGACGAAAGCCTCGGGATTATTGACCAATCCTTCATCGTGAGCCGCAGTATCATGATTATTGGCTGCAACGACTGGCTTGGGACCCCCTGTAGAGCTGCCAGGTTCACTGTTGTTGTCCGAGTCGACACGATCTTCTTCGTCTGCGCAGAATTTAGAGACCTGCGTCCTATTGACCGGCTCCCACTGAAGCTTGAAGCATAGATCACGGGGCATATCCATCACTACGCCCTCGCCTTTGACCGGCGTCATTTGCAGACCATCAAGATGTATTACAGCCTCCTGATGGTCCGACGAAAGCAATGCGCTCATGGAGAAGTCAACGGCCTTTGGAGCTTTAAAGTCTGGACAGCCGTGTGCCATGATGTGCATCTTTTCTCCTGGCTGCATTGGGAGGGTGCCTTGGAGATGAAGCTCTTTGATGGCCGAGGGCATGTACAACATGCCCATACCGAAGCGGCCCGCGCCTAGGATGGGGAAGGACAGCTGGAAGACCTGGTCGAGCAAGGCCGGGTGGACAATGTATGGCGTTTGGAACGCGGAAGGCATGGTGGCGGCCGTGTCGGCAACGTCAACAGTGGCAACCGCCTGGTCCTGGCAGGCTCTGATGCCACTGAGTTTCTGGAAAATGGGCCCGTACGTAGCCCCTATCTTGTCTAACTCATGATAAAAGCCAGTGACATCGACTGCCTCCTGACATGCCTTGTTTGCCGCTTGGAATTTGCGACCTGCCATGACTTGATTGGCCGAGTTGACAAGGTTCGACGAAGCCCCTTTCCGTGCAGCAATCATTCCCCGACAATGCTCAGTCCAGCCCTTGCCCTGCTGCCAAGACCAGATGCGGAAGTCATCCCATTCATCCGAGTATGACCGTGTGCCCTCGGCGTATGGCGATATGGCCAGGGCCACCTCATACTCGGCGCCGTCCTCGAGGAGCAGGGGTCGTTTGACTTGGATTTCACGCAGACTGAAACGCTCAAATGAGCCCCCCCGCATGGTTGCACGCTGGCCCGCAGCCTCGACGGCCATGGACACGAACCCGGCGAATGGAAACGTGGTAAGAGACTGCATCTTGTGATCTCGAAGCCAGGGGATTTCATCTGTCCTGATGATATTCCGCCACGTCGGTGCCAACTCGTTGGAGAAGTCGGCCACGGTACCCAGCAGGTCGTGTCGTGGGAAAGGCTTCTGTCGATGTTGCTGCGACATGCGCGACTCGTGCCAGTACCTCTGTCGAGACCAAGGATAGGGGACCAGGTTGGTGAGGAGTGTTGGGGGCTCGTAATCCCCATCTTCGTGGTTGATACTTTCAAAGTTCAGGGGTTGCCCCTTCATGTATAGACCCGCAGCCAGCTCCAGGGCAGTATCGGTTGCGTTTTTATTTCGCACCAAAGTCGGCAAGTATGTTGTCTTGATCGCCTTCTGGCCTATACTCTTCAGAATCTGCTTGATGGGCCCTTCGAGTGCTGCATGTGGTCCGACCTCGATGACAAGATCCGGGGCACGGTCAGCGCAAAGCGCATGGAAGGACGTAGAGAAGCGGACGGGGCAGGTGAGGTTATCAACCCAGTATGAGGCTTCCAGGGTGCTAAGCTCCACCTTTTTCCCGTGCAGAGAAGAGTAGAAGTGGACATGGCGGTCCTGGACTGGACTGACGCTGCTGATGGCGTTATGGTAGTCTTCGGCCACCAACTTCATATGGGGCGAATGATAGGCGACGTCGACACGGAGTTTCCTGTTGAACAGCTGCCGCGCCTCGATCATTTCCGCGAGCTCGTCGATGGCGAGCTCATCTCCCGATGCGGTAACAGAACTTGGGGAGTTCTCGCAGGCCACGACGGCAACTCCACTTTGGACAAGTTGGGCCAGGGGCAATACAAACTCGGGGCCAGCACCCACAGCAAGCATGGACCCTTTCAGATCCGGGTACTTCTCTCTCATGCGGATCACGGCCTGGCCTCTGTGATGCGCAACCGACATGGCAGCTTCGAGGGATAGCGCCCCTGCGGCGTATGCTGCTGCGATCTCTCCACTCGAATGTCCCGTGACCGAGGAAGGACTGATTCCCCAGGACTTGAGGAGATCAGTCAATGCCAACTGGAGTGCGGAACAGGCTGGTTGGCTTATGTGAGCCTTGCCGACCTGTGTGCTACCCTTATCCTTGGCCAGCTCCTCCAGCAGGGAGAAGTCGGCACCAAGACTTGCCAGGCAGCTGTCTGCCGCACGCATAGTGGTAGCGAAGACAGGGTACGAATCCATGAGCTCGCGGCCCATAGCGTGCCACTGAGCCCCTTGGCCCGTGTACACAAAGGCAATCTTTGGTGACTGCGAAGCCCGCACTGGCTTGGCGTCTGAGTGATTGAGGGCAGCCGCCAGTTGGATCGAAGACTTAGCGGGAAGCGCGATACGCCAAGGCAGATGGCATCGGCGTTGGCAAAGCGTATAGGCCAAGTTGCGCATCAGAGATTTCTGGAACACCTCGGGATGCTGCTCCAGAAAGATAGCCAGCTGCTCCATCGACCTTTTGGCCGACGACTCATCGTTGGCTGATAGCACAAACAGCCGCTCTTCCACCTCGCCGGAATGGGGCTTGAGATTTCCAGGCTTGGCTTGTACAGGTGGCCGTTCAAGCACACAATGAGCGTTTGAGCCACCAAAGCCAAAGTTGTTGACACTCAAGTATCTCTTCTTAGATGGCCATGGCCGCTGGCTGGTTGGAACCTTATTGATGTAAGCCATTGTTCACCGTCACAGTACAATCTGACCAACCTTCATGTTCCACTCCAAAAGTGGGATGTTCTCATTGGGCTCTTCAAAGTTGACGTTGGGCAGGATGAAGCCCTTTTCCAACATCATAGCTGCCTTTATCACCGAGACGACCCCACTGGCATTTTCGAGGTGGCCTATGAAGCTTTAGCATCGGTTAAGAAAACCGGTCCAGGAGCTTTGCCATCTTACCAACATTGCTCTTGACCGATCCTAGGAATAGTGGTTCTCTAGCCGTCCTTCCCTTGCCGAAGACGTTGTGGATAGCGGAAGCTTCGATGGGATCCCCCACTTTGGTACCCGTTCCGTGAGCTTCCACAAAGCCGGCATCTTCGGGCTGGATACCTGCATTCGCATATACTTCGCGCATAAGTTGCTCTTGCGCCGTGCCGTTGGGGGATGTAAGTCCTGTCACTTTATTAACTAACACAAGTCATGACGGACATTACAACATACCAACAGTCCGGCCATCCTGGTTTGTGCCAGTGTTGACAATAACTGAACGAATCCTGTCATTGTCATCGACGGCCTTAGATAGGGCCTTCAGGATCAAGCAGCCGGCTCCCTCGCCCCGCGCAAATCCTGACTTGGCTCGGTTGTCGAAGGCGTAGGTAACGCCGTGGTCAGAAAAGAGCCTGAAGTTGTCAGACCCTCAGACGCAAAAGCTCTTTCATAGGGGCGCAAACGCCTACCTTAAGAGTGACATCGATACCCAGTCTCCAGGCTGCAGATTGAGGTGGCACGCCGCCACGATGGCCATCTCCGACTCGCCACTTCGGATGCTCTGCACTGCCTGGTGCAAGGCGTACAGACTCGAGGAACAAGCTGTATCAACAGAGTAACTCGGGCCACGAAAGTCAAAGTAATAAGATATACGCCCAGCCAGGATGGACTGGTGGTTCCCTGTGGCATCAAAGATAGGTGTACTTTCCACATCACGCAAATTTCCAAGACGGTAGTCCGATGCCGCACCCCCCACGAAGACACCTACTTTCTTGCCGACAACTTGTTCCTTGGGTATTCCAGCGTTTTCGATGGCCTCGTAAGTGCACTCAAGCAGTAGCCTTTGCTGTGGATCTGAGATATGTTAGCAGCTTGCACCAACAATGAAGTGGTTCTCGGGACTATACCCATGGCCTCGGCTTCCTGCTGAGTGATGTTGAAGAAGGGCGCATCAAACAACGCCGGGTTCTGTGTGAGGAAGTACCCGCCGCGAGTATTGAAACAGCCCTTCTTGGCAGGGTTCGGGTGATAGTAGCTATCTTTGCTGAAGCGGTCTTCGGGGATTTCGCTCCAGCCACTTCGAGACATAGACATCAGTTGCCAGAAGTCTTCAATAGTGGACACATTACCCGAAAGACGACATGACATGCCAACAATCGCAACGGGAAGCAGCTGCTGATTCCCGTTGAGAAGAGTTTGGCCATTGCACTTGGCATGTGCATTGGGCTGAGAATACATTCTGAAACCCCGCCTGTTTAAGTATTGGCGATGGGAGTAACAGGAACAGAACGAGTTCTGAAAGTGAGATGACGATATATGAAGGTAATGAAGGCTCGGAGGACTCAAGGAATTATGTTCGACTGATATATGAACATCACCACGAAGTAGGAGGAAGCCTCTATATATGTACGGGCGGTCTAGCGCCTCATCGCCTATGGGGGACGACTTCGACTTCAACTTCGACCTACGCGGACTATGCTCAATAGGTGATAAGATATGGATATCGAAGTACCGATCTGAGAGCCTAGTACTACCGGGATCCTAGTAATAGTAGTACCCCGCCCCACCTTTCCCCCCCTCCCCCCCTTTCCTTTTTCCGGCCCTATGTCCCAGAACAACCTCGCGGTTACTTGTTAGGCAACCTTTGTGGGCTTTGCCAAGACCACCAAGGTTACCACGTGACTTAGCCCTTTGGGGACTAAGTCCAACTTTCGTGCTTGATAGCATTAGATAGAATGTCATGTTTTTACAACTCACAAATATTCGACCACCATTGCGTGTAACATTACTATTATTAATAGATCAGCGCTTTAATTAGTATTTATTTGAACATTAAATACTTTTAATATATAATTATAGCGTCTTCTAGGGCATAATTATGCGGCTATAAATTAATTCCTTACTGTTTATTAATTATTATCGTTTCTATAAGTTCGATCAAAGTCATAATCCTCTTCAGATTTATTTCTATATAAGTATCTATATAAGCTCCGCAAGCTACCGTTTCTATTTATTTACGCTTTGACATAGTCAATCTAGGTTCTTTCTTACTATATTATACTTTACTTCGAGATACTTTTATTATATCTCTAGTAGTTCTTATATATCCTTCTACTTGAGTACAGGGTTCTTGTAGTAGGTGTAGTTGTAAAGGAATGGGGTGCCTAGGTGCATGTTTGTAGGTATCCCTCTAATCATCAATACCATACGGGCCGCCCCAGAAATAAGGGTGTTACGTTACGCTTATGGCTGGATTGTGTTATTGTGTGTGTGTGTGTGTGGACAAAGATCCACGTGGATGTAATGATTAGTATTTTCACCCCACGAACCCTGGAGATGAGTGATGGCTTGTGCTTTGTTGAGTCTTGTTGCACTGAGGAACTGATTCTAGAAGGCCAACGGAGCCCTCAATCCTTCGGATTCAACACAAAAGCCTCCATATCCAATAACTGGCTGAGAATATACGAATGCCTCTTCCATCGATGCCGATCTCTTACCCTATATAGTATCGCTCACGATGTAACCTTGCCTTGACACTCTTTGTGTATACTTGACTTTGACCTTGCCGGGATGCTGGACGTATGATGTCTTCGGTGACCTCTCGATGACTTTAGTTCGGCGACTTCTGTTCATGGGTTTGCTTTTTGTCTTTTCGTTGCCACAAAACCGGGCCTAGATACACAGTCGATAGCACATGGCCTTTTTGTTGACACATAGTCGTCGACGGAAACGAAGCCTTCCGGATTAGCACGCTGATGATCTTTCAGCACCTTGTAGATCCTTTGAAGCCAACAAATAGTCATGGAGCTGAAACATACTCGTTGGGCCATGTGTCAGCTGCGTGATGTAGTTAGCTGGCCTGCATAGAGTCGACATGCGGCCTGCCTGTTTCTAGCCTTGACCCGCTGCCGGTACTTCCTTCTAGTCCACAGCCCGAAGCCAACACATTGCCTGATGTATATCATTGCCCGATGTATATTAATAATCCGGACTTGCCCAACGTCTGTGTCAAAGTCGGTAACTTCATCCGTAATCAAATGAGCAAAGACAATAACAACAAATTGCCTATGAATAATAAGTAACGATAATTGATTGGTGCCTTTAAAATACTATATTTCATCATTATGATTATATTATATAGTAATGTAGGTCACTGATGATGTTACTCTGCGACATTGCTTTCCCGGCTCAACCTGCCCCACAGCGGGGGTGAAGCATGTAACTGATGTGACAACAGGGATTATTCCTAGGGATTCTCTCGTCCAACGACTCGTAAGCTCGACTCGACATCGGCGTTCTGCAGCAGACCTAATACAGTAGGAGATGCAATCATCATACCTGACTGGAACTATCGAAGGAGATTGATATGTGGGGGCCACCCCTGCTGAAATGGGCGCATCGGGCGACGATTGGGTACTCCCCTGGTTAGTCTCACGGCCCCCCTCAATTAGGAACCCAAATGGTCACGACCGGGCTCAAATAAGCCAGAATCAATACTCTGACTGAATCAACACCTGCATAGGACAGGGTGCTGCATGATCGGTCATGTCCAACGGCACCACTTTAACGTCATTGGTGGACGCTATTTCACCAGCAGATTATCTACAGCCAAGCAGAGATCAAGCTTGTATGCAGCATCTGGCAATGCCCGTAGATTCTGGACAAGGAGCGGTGGGATCTGCCTGCAGTACCGGCAAGATAAGCGCCTTTTCAACGTTATTGGTGATACTACAAGGCCAGGTGCCAGGCATGTTGCATCTAATAGGCGCAGAGCCCTACCAGTGGCGTGTCCATGCTCTGATTTTCGCCCAACACGGTGTTCCCACCGGCCTGGTCCGTCTGTTCAGCTCGTCGTCTTGGGCACCAGGATATGCGCTGATGTTCGTTCTGGACTCTGGCCTACTTCCATCGAAGATAAAGCATGAGGCCAGGAGAGCCAACAGTTGTGCAGCCATGTACTCTTGTCGTATGCATCTTGGAGCCGCAGGCGGAACTTGTGCAGTGAGATATTATAGTTGTCTACCCGTACAATCACCACTGGCGCCATTGTGCAGTCACGGATTCAGTCACGTAAGCAGTCGCACTACGGTTCACCATGAAGTTTCTTTGTCTTCCTGGAGCGTATGGGAGCGCCAAGGTGCGTATTGGGTTGGCTACGTCAAGCTTGAATGCCATCACTGACTGACGCGCTCACAGAACTTCCAAGTGCAACTCGGCCCCTTCGTGACAGCCGCAGAGAATAGAGGCATCACGCAGTTCAAATGGACCCAAGGCACCAACAAGGCCACTCCGCCTGCTGGGTTTGAAGATTACTTTGGAGCCGGACCGTTGTACCGCTTCATTGACTTCGATGGTCTCGAATCTTTCGACATTCTGGAGAAGATCCGCGACTTTCCCGATGGAGTAGGACCCGAAGATACCATGAGGCTTCTGATGGGCGACAAGGCCCCGTACGTGGTGGAAAATGTACAGTCGGCTCTGCAAGATCTCCTCAACACCATCGATGGAGACGCCGAGATCGCTGTAGGACTGCCTTCTGTCTTGTCGAGAGGATGGGCATCTCATACTAACTTCGACCAGGGCGTCTTGGGTTATTCTGAAGGAGCTACCACTGCTGCGAGTCTGATTTTGGAGGAGCGAAGGAGGTGGCAAGAGGAAGGAAGACCGCGGCGGATCAAGGTATGTGGAAGTTGACACGGTCTGTATTTGCTCTTCGTCGGCTAACACGCCTCAGAGTGCCATATTCTTTGCTGGATGGCCACCCTTGTTGATAGAAGAGGGCCAAGCGAAGGTCTTGCTTGCAGATGAGTGCGGCGAAGTCATTGACGTGCCAACCTTGCATGTGGTAGGATGCAACGATCCCTACATTCTCGGCGCCATGGCTTTGTATAACATGTGTGACGGGGACTCGGCGGAGCTGTTCGATCATGGCAAGGGACATACTGTACCGAGGGATTCCCGAACCGTCCGGGAACTCATTGATGCAGTCGGTCGTTTGACCGCCAAATGTGCAGTTTGAACTATCGCACTGAGTATCGGGATTCATGTCGTTAAGTCTTGAAAATGCTATTGCAATGCTATTGTTGTGCCACTGCTCTTAGGCTTTAGCCGTAACGCAACAGAGATATCAGGGGTCTGGAGAGGTCTCCACTGTTTCCGTGAATAATTCCATGGTGACACAGCTGCACTTGATTGAAATTGATCACTCACGCCAACAAGTACCATTTCGGCTCAACCAAAACACGGAGGAACTTGGGCTTTGCCGCGCACGTAGTACGTAGACCCTGGCTGCGTCCTGGCCTCGGCCTGTTCTGCATTGCTCGGCTGCGGCCAGAACCGGGAACCCGAAGGCCGCAGAGAAGGCCGCAGAGAAGGCCATCAAGATCGCACTGGGGTTCTGGCCTAGATACTCGGATGCGACGAGCATACTTCACTCCACGCCTCTTTTCTTAGCAGTCCGTCTAGATAGGGCAGATACTTTCAGCCTACTTCTGAGCGCCAACAACGAAACCAGAATGCGTCTGTGGGTCGTACGCCCTCACCCTAGAACCGGAAATACCATAGACAGAATTGTCAAGAAACCGTTGACCTTAGTGGAAGACGCCCTCCTGCACGAGTTGTCGACTAGGGTCATTTCTATTGGTTTCAGAGCGTATCAGTTTATTACGTGCGCCGATTCTCTTCTCTTCTCTTCCCCTCTTTTCCTCATAAGCTAGGAAAATGGGATTGTCCCGTATCGGATAGAGGTCAAGTCGCACATTCGACATATATGCATATAAGCGTCTATGATTGGTTGCTTCTGTGGCACAAACTGCAGCTGGATTAAATGATAACGCCTCGTTGTTCACACTTACATGCCAGACTGTCGCCGGGTTTTCGTAAGAGCGACCGTGACAATATGAGATCGTCAACTGGATAGCTATGGGCCATGTCACAACCTTGTCCAAGATAATGGAGTTCGACTGAACTCCGCAGCCTATTGTTAGCAAGTGCACAATCTACATTTTTTCAGCCTTTAACTAGCTATGCTCAAATAGTTCAAATACAGCAGGCGCTCCAGATATTTAGCCCACACGAACAACGCGACTCCCGTCTATTATCCTACTTCGTACTCTACAGCCCAACCCCTAATTTCTGACGGGGGAAGTGTTGGGCATATTTAATATCTTACTGTGGAGGATAGGGCGGTACGCCTCCGGTTCGATGGCAAGGAGTCAGAGCCAATCCCCCTACGAGCTGGCGTCCCCCAGGGGTCACCGCTATCCCCGATACTGTTTATATTATACATTTCAACGCTGTACGAGGAGCTAGCGGAGCAGCACCCACTACTTTTAGTAGTCGGGTTCGCGGACGACACGAACCTGCTAAGCGTCGGCACCGATCCAGACACGACCTGCCGCCGGTTGGAGAGCGCATGGGCCACGTGTCAGCGGTGGGCAGTGAGGCACGGGATGGAGTTCGCTCCTGACAAGAGTGAGCTAATGCACTTTACTAGGGCCCGAGAGCCCTTGCCGCAAAGTATTCGCCTTGGGGACGCCACAGTGTTGCCGGTATTCTCAGCCAGGTTCCTAGGAGTCTGGTTCGACCGCAAACTGACGTGGCACGCCCATGTTGAGCGTGTTAAAACAAAAATGGCAACTCAAAAGCTAGCCCTGACAAAGCTAGTCAATATGTCGTGGGGCTGCGATCTTATACGGGCGAGGCTGTTATATACGGTGGTTATCCGTAGCGGGATCGCCTTCGGGGCGACTGCGTGGCATACTATAAGTGAGGAACCGGCAGGGCCAGCTAAGAGCCTGATGGGGATACAGAACGAGTGCCTCCGGGTAGTCTGTGGCGCCCACAAAGCGACGCCGGTTCGCCACCTGGAAGCAGAAGCAGCAATCCCGCCACTAGACCTCTATCTTAGTGCCCGGGCTGCTAAGTTTGAAGAACGGCTACGGCTTAGCGGGAAGAGAAATCTGCTTCGCAGCGCGAGCGCTAAAGCGTCACATATACTCCGGCAGGATAGGCCGGCGAAGAGGAAGCAGGCGTCGCAGCTACTCCGACCGGCAGGGTACACTATGGAGAAGGAGGCCCGGGGCTCCGAGTGGATGAGTGAGGAAAAGGAGGTCCCGGCTGCCCTCCTCGGCCACTGGAGGAAGAGATGGCTCACCGGAGCAGAGCATCACGATCGCCAGCGACGCGCTATCGCTGAGGAACCGGAGGGCCCTTCGATGCAGATACCGAAAGGGGGCAAGTATTTCGGCCTGAACCGACTGGAGGCGTCTACGCTGTGCCAGATCAGGACGGAAAAAATAGGACTAGCAGCCTTCTTATTCAAGACAGGGGCTTTTGGCGTGTACTCGCCGCTATGCCGCTGTGGCGACGCCCCTGAGACGGCAGAGCACGTAATCCTCTTTTGCGGGCTGTTGGAAGGACCGAGGGAACGATTACGGGCCGCCATCGCACCACGGCCACTATACTCTCGCAGAGACCTCGCAACGGCAACAGGAGAACCAGTAGTTAGTGGGACTATTGTAAGGTGGCTGCTAGGGACGGGTCGGACAGCTTCAAGGCCCAGATAGCATCGATCTTCTCAGGGGGGACTTTGTTGGTAGGTTGAGAACCAACGTAGTATGGTAGTGGACGTAACGCAGTCGCCAATAGGGCGAACCGACGACGCAGTGTATGTATTTAGTCCAGCCATTAGGGCACGGTTTGACATACGGGAGTACTAGTAGAGGTACCGGGGGCTTCGAGCCTACGGCGTATTTAATAATAATATCTTACTACCAGTGACGTCCCAACGCTTAATCGTAATAACGTCACCCACAGGTCATTGCCCCACACGGGTCTTTGCCCAACTTTTCAAGAAATCTTGACTTTCCATCTTTACTTATACAATTCTTCCCTTCCACAACATGGCACGCAAATCTAGTGAAGCTAATCTTCAATTAGCCATCCAAACTAAACGACGCGATCCTCACCTAAGTTGGAACAAGCTTGGTAAAATCTTCAAAGTCGACCATAAGACATTGAAGCGCCGTTACGAAGGCGTACAACCATTACACATTACTAACATGTCCAAACGGAAAATGACCGAAACCGAAGAGAATACGATTACCTGACGCGTAATTGAGCTAGATTCGCGAACTTTTCCTCCCCGGCTTCGATACGTTGAAGAAATGGCGAATATCCTCCGACGCGACCGCGACGCGTCACCCGTCGGCAAGAACTGGGCCTCGAGCTTCGTAGGCGACAACCAGACCTTCGGACGCGTTTAAATCGTCGAATCGATTACCAGCGGGCATTCTGCGAAGATCCTGTCGCGTATCGCGGTTATTTTAAGCGTGTTGCGGACACAATAGCGAAGCACGGCATCCAGCCGGAGGATATCTACAACTTTGACGAGACGGGCTTTTTAATGGGCATGATCTCAACCGGCATGGTTGTTACGAGTACCGAAAGACGTGGAAGGCCTAGGCAAGCCCAGCAAGGCAATAGGGAATGGGTTACTGTCATTCAGGCGGCCAATTCCCAAGGCTGGGCGGTGCCGCCGTACATCATCTTCGCGGCCAAAGTTCACCTCGCTTCGTGGTATCGCGACACCACATTACCGGGCAATTGGGTCGTTGATCTATCCCACAACGGATGGACAACGAATGATATTGGTCTCAGCTGGGCAGCTCACTTCGATCTGCACACACGCGATCGTACGAAGGGTGTCAAACGCCTCCTGATCCTTGACGGTCACGAAAGCCATCACTCGATGGATTTCGAACAATACTGCAAGGACCATGGCATCATTACCCTTCCTATGCCTGCCCATTCGTCCCATAAGCTCCAGCCTCTGTACTTGGTGCCTTTTAGTGTTTTGAAACGGGCGTACGGTGTGTTTGTTGAGGGTTTGATGCGACGGCATCATACCTACGTTGCGAAGGAGGATTACCTTGCCGGTTTTTTTTGGAGGCATTTGGCGCTGCTTTTACTGAATAAAACATCAGATCTGGTTTCGAAGCAGCTGGAACTGTCACTTTTGACCCCGACAGGGTTATATCTGCCCTGGATGTCGCAGAAGTCGCGCGTATACCCTCTGCCGACCCAGAACTCCTACCCCCTATTTGGACTTCTAAGACACCTACTACCACCCTTGGAGCCGAATCGCAGTCAACGTTGATTAGGAATAGCGTTCAGAGGCATCAATATAGCTCTCCGACGCATATTCTTCATTCAATTGACTCGATTGCAAAGGCTACGCATGCAATGATGCAAGAGAATGTTATCTTGCGTCGCGAGAACGAAGAGCTTCGTGAGACTAACCATGTGCTAAGCAAACGTCGCAGAACCAAAAACAAGCAAATCCAGTATGGTGGGCCACTTAATATAGAAGATGCACAAGTTCTACGGGCTATTAGGGGTGATACGGGTTTGGAAAGTGAGGAAGAGGGTGAAAGTAGTCGTCCTACAAGGAGGAGGGCAACGGGTGCTAGGCGCTGTGGCATTTGCGGAGGAACTGGACATAATGCGCGAGCTTGTCAGGCAGATGTAGAAACAGATAATGAAAAGAATTCTGATTAATTTCTTGGATGAATACGGGTTGTTGTTGATCTATCTAAGATTAAAGGTTGGGAGGTCGTGAAAAGTTGGGCAAAGACCCGTGTGGGGCATTGACCTGTGGGTGACGTTAGCTAATATATTATACGTTTAAATCATCTGATATAAGGTGTTTATGAACGCTAAGCTGGAGAAAATAGTATTCATGTAGATAACACATGGTTATTATAAGCTAGAGAAGGTATACCGGCTTTATAAGGCCCTCGATGGTTTGAGAGAATCGCCTCTATTATAGCAGAAGCTATTTAACCGCATATTTAAGATACTAATCGTATCAACCACTTTTTACATATACTGTGGGATTGAGCGCCACGGTTATGCCCTAGGCCGAAGGCGGTGTAGCGGCAATTGCACTGGTGGAGTCAAAACCGTTCCTCGTAGATAAAATAGCTACACACAACAGAACAGACAACAGATAGAGAGATCAATCAACACTGGGTCTACGCAGAGTCATCAATAGAGGACTGAATCCCTCATATACCTCCATTTTGCAGAGAAATTATGCGAATGTAATAATAACGCATCTCTAGATCACTTCACAAGTATTCTAAACCATACATAAAATAGCTAACCTAGTGGTATATAATCCGAATCATTTAAGCAGCGAATCGAACCGTCACCGAGACACCACGCGTCTCGGGATATTATTTAGGCAGTACAAGGAGTTGACGGTAATACGTGAGTAATACGGGTGCGGATATTACAAGACTAATTCTTAAGGAATCTAACCAGATCTCTTGTAGGTGGGGCAACCTTTCTATTAACATCGCAGTCGACACGCCTCTCGCCTAGTGAGGCGGTGTCGATCTGGGAATAAGGATAGCCGCCCAAGACTGGAATGACGAATAGGTTGCAATGTGTTCCTGCAAAGAAACCCTTCTTGGGAATCTTGGACAGAGTTAATTTGATTCCCCTCAAGTCTGGATGTTGATGGCGAGAGTTGCCGGCGGGGCGTACGCGGTATGTAATTTGATTCTGAAAGGGCTACCAGGAGGGACCCTTAAGACACCTACTATCCGGAAATGGATATTCCATTGCCGAACATTCGGTAGTTGCCAACATACCTTCTTCTGTTCGCAGGAACGTGAATTCCCTTGTATATCAACTAGGAACCATCTCTTCAAGCAATTATATAGCGACTTATACCAGTGGTGGTATAGTATTCCTCCGAAAGTGTAACAGCTCGCCGTAGAATGATGGACACAGATTACTATACCGAACATGAGCTCCTGACTTCGAAAGCAGCATCCTCAATACCACCGCCAAGGTGTGTTATCGCAACTAGGCGAAGAACAAAGATGGGTTTTCAACCATGATTGAGCTTGTTACTTTTGCAGCTCTTTCCCATCAAGAATATTCCCTCTAGAATCCCGGTCCCTTTCCTAACCTTCAACATCATAAGCAAGAGGAACCTAAAAGTTCATCACAGTGGTGAGCTACTTCGCCGGCTCCATCTTCATTCAGTCTTGCGTGTATTGATATTTGCTTCGTCGCAGGCTGAATTGAAGCCCTCAAGTCTTTGTACACAACATCCATAATCAAGCATAGTTGTGAGTCAATATTAGTATTTGCCTTTCTTGACGATCACGTCGCTGCCCTTCTTTTTATCGATATTTTGTTGACCTTTTTTTTTCCCCGATTAATGTCATTAATGTCATTTGTATGGCAAAGTCGCCAACTCATCTTCAATATAGTATTCGCTGACCTGAAGACACCAGGGCTTCAGCAGACAAGATGAGTGGACGAACTCAAATCTACAGCCATCATCTGCCTGATCTCGTGGCTGCCCTGCGGGAAGTCGTCAAGGAGACTGCTCCCGAGGATAAGGCCATCCGAGGCCGATGCACCTACTGCGATAGGCCAGGAAAGAACACCTGTGGTCAATGCAATTCGGCCAAATATTGCTCTGCCGCCTGCCAGAAGAAGGACTGGCCCACCCACAAGGTACTCTGTTACCAGTTTGTCAACGACTTCCAGGACTCCAAGCGCCCGTCCTACAAGCACGTCCGAGGCATCCTGTTCCCAGCAGGTGAAAACAAGCCCAAGTTCATCTGGGTCAGGCAAATTCACACTTCCAATCAGGCTCGCCTCATCCTCTCCGAACACCTCCATTGCACCGAGTCGACGGGCTTAGCAGACTCCTGCACCTTCGACTGGATGCCTAGTAAGTTCGAGAAGCATGGCCACGGCCTCATGGTCCTCAAACGTTGCCTTTTCCCGCCGTCTGGCGACATCCCCATCAACAAGAGTATCTTGTCCCTCAGCAAGCCGGGCCACATGAAGCTCCGTTTTGGCAACCACCTCTTCCTCGCCCACAAGTCGGGCCGCGAAGCCACGTACCTCCTCGACGACACCGACCTCCGCGACTTCCGTCACGCAATTGACTACTACCAACAAAGCCCCTACAATCCGTGCGTCGTTGACCCGGAGCGCTACCCCCTGCCTACCGTCCCCGGCCTCCTCCTCCACTGCGACGGTGCCCTTCGCCGCCTATTTGAGTTCGGTGTCACCAAGCCCATCGAGCAGGTCATAGTCCCGCGCAAGTACCCCTCGGACTGCAGCGAGTTCATAGAGGAGCAACGCGTCATGGCTACGGAGCAAATGGGCCTGCCTTGGTACATCCGCCGCTGGGATCCCCGTCTCGAGTGGCCTGTGGACCAGCGCACCCTGCATAACCTGCGCAATGAGCGCGCTGAGAAGCTCATCCGCAAGCGGCAGGGCCCAGCTGAGATCGCGGCGCAGAAGGATGAGAAGACGCGCAAGATGTATGAGAAGTATGCACAGCAGGGAATTTCTATCTTTGAGCATGTCCACGATGCTGGCTCGGCTGTGCTGTACGATATACGCGAAAATGTGGGGTTGCAGCCTATCCATCTGGTAGCCATGAATGGATTCATTGACGCTGATAAGGTGACGAGAATGAGCCGCGGGGATAAGGTCGTCGGTGGGTGTAACCTCCTGGGAAAGGAGGACCGGCCGCGCAAGGAGATGATGATGGCTTTTGAGTCGTGGTTTAGGAAGTGGAAGGGATTGGACTTGGAAAGTGTGGTCTCGCCGTTTGCGCTTGGAGGAGGGTATGCGGAGGCGTGGATGTGGGTGGACATCATGAACAAAATGTGTGTGGAGACCTTGGTGAAGGAGAAGAAGAAGAAGAAGCGATTATTAGACCGCTCGGACATGGTTGATTCAGCCCATGATGGGTTCGACCAAGTTGATTCGCAGCGAGTCGTTCTGGAGGTTGATGGAGAGCAAGTTGCTGCCGAGCTCATTGGTTTGGGAGACGTTCACCTCGGTGACTGGGAGCATGTCAATACGGAGCACACCGCTTCGGATCACGTCAACTCAACTTATGCCAGCTTGGATCAAGTTGACCCGGACCGCATTCACTCGGAGTATGTCGACTCGAATCACGTCGACTTGGATCAAGTTAACTTGAAGCGCGTCCACTCAAAGCATGTGAACTTGGAGCACATTAACTCAGAGCACGTCAACCTGCAGGTCTTGGGCACCCAAGTCGAGACTGCAGGTCTGTTTGTGGCCATTGACGTAGAAGAGTGTGTTTCAACTCGGAGCATATCAACTGGAACTCGGCGCATGTCGACTTGAACCAAGTTGACTTGGAGCAAGCTGCTTCGCGACACATCAATTCAGCTTGAGGCATTATTAGCGATTCCTCTCGGTATATATGGCCAGCTTTCATTTTCCCTCAATGAGTCTGCAGAGAGGGCAATTTCCATTCCTGGTATAGTCTGCCGAGAGGGTTGCTTCAGGATGTCATCTTGACGGCAGACGGGATTTCTTCAGGTCCAGTTTTGAGTCTACAGAACGGAACCCAAGGATTATAATCTAGGAAGGGAAGGTAGTGAGTGCATTTCGGCCTGGACAGGAACTCCTCTTTAGTTCTCGTATCTTTGATAGACAAGTAGACAAAAGCATGAGAACATATGACACACCTGCTCTGTTTGTGCACCCTAATGTGATTTACCATGAATCACAAGATTATACGTCTCTGTTGGAAACATAAAATCATTGGTCAGCCCTTGATTTGATTTCTCTTTACGACCCCTCACGAAATATGACAACGCACGAAGAGAAATCAAATCAAGGGCTGACCAATGATTTTATGTTTCCAACGGTCCATACTTCTCTCAACACCTGCTGAAGCACTTAATAAGATCACCAAAAAACTCCAATTCATCAAGTTCACACTGCAGCAGTGCTTCTATTTCAAGTCAAGTATCTATACTCCCCATCGTCATCTCACGTCTCGCTTTCTATCCTCTCCTCTCTTTCTACCTCCAAGAGAAATGCAGATCTATATGCGATGCTTTACTTCGTGCTCCACTACACCAGCCAGTACCTCATTAATCCACGCACGCTCAAAAGTGCAACAGAAAACCAACCTGCAGGCTTCAACATCTCTCTTAAAGACCAATTCCTCCCCTCGTTCCAAAACAAGGACAAAACTCGAAACAGTCAAGAATCCTAATAAATAATCAACTCTATATCAAATAATCCTTCAAAGTTGCTTGCTAGAAGAAGAAAGACAAAAAAAAACAGGGAGGGAAAGTGAAGTTCCTAATCCAGTAATCAATCGATGTCCAGTCGACAACCCCTTCCTTCCTCTCATCCTGTACACACTTAACATACACACGCCAGGCCTGCTATGCTGATGAATGCCGGACTAGAGATGGATGATTTATGCCATGCAAAAGTTCCTGAGTTGTACTGTGGTCCTTTGATTCCCCGAATTCCGCGGGTTGAATCGAGCATCGGTGTCAAAGGAGGTTATGAAGGTTATATTGCAATCGAAGTAATTTGGTCGAGAAGGAGGTTCTTAAAAAGCCACTGGTGGCGATGGAAGGTTGAACCCTCGGTGTTTCGTCGTTCGCGCAAGGCGGCCTCCCGAGGCTACCTGCATCAACGCAACCAACCACGATCCCATCCGTCCATCCCCTGACCTCATGATTAAACATTAAAAATCGACTTCATCCACTCATATGAACCCCGCCGCCCTCGCCACATCCGCCTTAGGCGCACTCTCAAGCATCTCAATATCCTCCACCTCAGCACCAAAGTCCATAATCAAAATCTTGGGGTCCTGCCCGGTGCTCACAATGCGGCGGTAGTCGCTCTTCGCGCTCAAAACCCAACTGGCGTGCCAACGCGGGAAGTCCAGCAGCTGGTCGCCCGACTCCATGTCAAAGACCTTGATGTCCGTGTCGTAGGAGCCGCTGATAAGGCGGCCGCTGACGCTGTCGATGTGCAGGCTACGCACCAGACTGTCGTGCGCCTGCATCTCGCGGATGCACTCGCCCGTGTTGGCGTCCCAGACCCGGATCAACTTGTCGCTGCCTGCCGACGCGATGTACCGTCCGTCTTCCGAGAACTGGCTGCAGGCGAGACCCTTAGTGTGTCCTGCAAACTCGCGAATGATGCGGCCGCTGTCGATGTTCCAGAGTTTGACCATGAAGTCGCCCGAGCACGAAACGATGGTGTTGCCGCGCATCTGGACCGCGTTCACCGGGCCAGTGTGCCCCTTAAGCTGCTTCAGAAGAGCACCGGTGTTGCGGTCCCACACGCAGATGCTTATGTCCTTGGAACAGGTGACGATATGCTTGTCGTCGAAGGCCAGGTCAAGCACAGCAGCCGTGTGGTACTGCAGACGTCGAATTGGCCGGTAGCCGGATTTCATGTTGTACACAATGCAGCTCGAGTCCGACGAACCAGTCACCAGGATGCCATCATCGTACTGCAAGCACAGAATCGATGCTTTGTGGTGAGTCGGAAACGAGACTGTCGCGGGAACCGATTGATGAGCCCGGTCATCTTCAGGAACAACGGCATAGTGTACGGGCTGGCCATTGGGATCAAACAGGATGGAAGTGTCATTAACAACTTCCGGGGGCCCAATGACGAGGCGGCACTGGAAAGTGTGCATGTCCCATATCCGTATAGTCTTATCTCGGGAACCGGTAATGATCTTGGACCTGCCATAACGTCAGTAGCTACGCAAATGATGATTTTTTCAAGCGTGACTTGAGGAAGATGGTTTACATACTCGTCGAACTGTAAGCAGTAGATGCTGTCCAAATGACCATTCAAGTAAATCGGGCGGGCGCGGTTTCCTTCCTTCCACTTCCTCTCCAATTCGTGTTTCGCTCGATATATCTTCTGCCAGTCATTTTCAGGCTGGATGGCAGGAATGCCGAGGCCAACACCAGGCTGGATGGATTCGCTAGTCGCAAAGGTGGTGGTCTTCTCCCTGAGGAAGGATTGGCGCCAGATGTGTTGATCTTGGGCGATTTCATACCACACCTTGGAAGCGCGCGTAGCTACCGCAAGATCCCTGGCATCCAGGTGCGCAAGGATCTGCACGGCAAGCTCCAGAGGAAGCTGAGAAATGAAGTCTACGCGGGTAACAGACGAATCTTCGGTCATTGCGGCGTTGCTCAGCTCGAGCTCGGAAGCGGAAGCGACAGCAATGCCAATGCCGCTTTCGCGGTCATTCTGTGATTCTTCCGACAGCCACTCCAGCCTCTGTTGGAAAGCGAAATTGTGGTTCTGGAACGCGGCGACGGCGGCCTTCGCCCCGGCGCCAGTATGATGTGGGATGATGGGTGGTTCGAGTCCATTGCCGGGAACCGGGACGTCTGGGAAAGTGGAGCTCATAGGCGAGTAGATAGTCCCCAAGCCGCTGCGGCTGCCGTGTGCTGATCTAGAGTGACGGAAAGTTGTAGCCTGTCGTAACTTGTGCCAGGCCGAGTGTGCCGTTGTAGGTCTTGCCGGTGTGTGGTGGTCGTGGGCGCTGCTTCCCGGCTCGGATCCGCGACGGTCGCGACAGTGAACAATTCCTCGGACCAGGCTCAACGAGGCCCGGCGGAGTTTGCCTTTCAGTGAGTGATTGGGTCGCATCGCGTCCATATTGCCGTTGAATTTTGGGCTGGTTTCTTCAAACGCATGTTCGCGCTCAGGGGTGGGAAGCTCGGGTTCGGCCTCGTAGTTCAGATTGAGGAGCAGGGACTTGGGTCGCTTCCGCCAGTGGATGGTCGAGCTGATGCTGCGCGTCCGCGGGAAGGGGCTCGCCGTCGTCGGCCTAGCAGGTACCAGGACTTCCTTGTCTATGCCTTCGGCACCGGTGTCGTTTGAGTATGCGCTTGCGCTCGACGCCGAGGGCTCGTCGTGATGCATGGCAGTGGCGTGCAAGACCGGCCAGTCGGCTGCATTGAGGACATGTCGGGGGGATGTGGACGTCACCATCGTGAATGCCACCGCAGTGACAGAAAGGTGAGCTTGTTGGGAGTCAGGTCAGGTCGCACAAGCAATAAAAAGTGGTCGTTGCAGTGGTCGGGTCACGGTGGTTGGTGGCCAGGGACCCCCAAAGAATTAAAGTAAACAAGCGATTGGGGATGGATGGATGGCAGGTTGATGAAAGAGGGTGACGGGGAAATTTATTTTCAGCAATTATTTTGGTGTGGCTGGTCAGCAACCCGTCGTCCGTTGATCGGTAGAACACTGCTGTCTTGCCTGGAGCATTCTGTGCTTTCTTGTTGCCAAACGTCGGTCAAGAATTTTTCCCGCCTGACGTTAGCAAAGGTGGTGCCTCGAGGGAGCAGGAACGAGTCGTGTCACTTTCTCTCACTCCTGAATCAAGTGAGGCTGCGCCAGTGGCAGCCAAGGATTCGGGTCTCGACGTCTTCCTGCATTCAATTTAGGTGGTTCTTACGCTAGTGCACAGCATTGAAGTACCAATGGACCCTCGACATTTGCCTAAGTCAAGGAACAGTCAGCTTATAGTTACAGCATAGCTTACAAGAGCGACGCGGTGCCGACCTTTTTCCATTGTACCCAATCGCTCCTAAACATTTGTATTTGTTTGTATTTAATGGTGGTTTACAAGATGCATCATGCACTGGCTGTCGGTTGCGTTTGGCAGTCTCTTATCGGCCTGCGCATTCGATCGTCCCAGGGGTAGAAAAACCCCAGAAAAGAAAGGAGGTCGGGTCTCGATCGGGGATAGGCGAACTTCAATTCAGAATTTGGTTCGTCACGATTTCACCACTTTCCGGGGTCTCGCAGGAAACACCACCACAACCGGTCATCTGCATAGTCTATCGACAGGGCTCCCGCATGTCCACTCAATGTCAATGCCAGCAAGCTTGAAGAAGCTGCAAGTCATCCGATGCCCGCATGCTGAACGAGCCGACGAGGACCGGGTCGAGGCAAGGTGATGGGGTAATTCCAAGAGCTGAGATCTGAGATCAATGCACCAGAGTCAGACGCCATCGTTCCTGGTGCCGGGACAGGCTTGCGCTGAGGCTGCCGTTGGGTCAGTGTGTCGTTTCACTCCTTTCTCAGTCCTGTCCAGTTTGAGAGCCGAGCACGATGTCGCAAGCACATACCACAGGCAGAAAGGGGACAATTCAAAGCATCGTACGAAAATCAAAGTACAGACATTGGACGCATTGGATACCCAAGCGAATGCATGTTGCTGGAGAATAACCGATGTTGTGAAGCCATCCCAAGGATTTCGCATCATCTGGGCCACGGGCGAAAACAAAATTCGATAGCTATCCGTCGGCATCTCCATCCCTGTGCATTTCAAGATCCACTATGATCTCATTTCAACATGCGAAACAGAAGACGCTAAGATCACCTGCCTCGAAACCGTCGTCACTTTGCGATCCTGCACCGGTCAAGATGCTGCAGAACCTTTACAAGAACAACATGTCCTATCTAGCTCACGGTTCAAAATCGATGCTAGAAGTCGCGTTATAGCAAGCGAAAGGAGAGCTGAACCTTAACTCCAAGAATGGCAATGATGCTCGGTATTCAATTTTCCCCACACCCATGCCATGACCCTTGATGGGCAAGTTGGCGAAAATCCACAGGGGTCCACCTTTTCTCCTTGACCGCCTTCCCTCCCTGCGTGGCTACAAAGAGTAACCACGATGCACGGCGAAGAATGCTCTTCCCGCCGTCCCTAGTACAACACACCCATCCAATTCAATTCGTGATTCGTTGGTTCCATTTGAGGGTCAAAGCATCGTTCCTTTTCTCTTGGGCCCTTTCTCTTACCCTGCCTGGCTTGTACTTTTGCAATTTACAACAGATTCGCAAAAGCCGCAATCTCACCGCATCCACTGGAAGTCCGCCCGGCCCCCCTTATGCAGACTATTATCAGCTGTACTCTGTACTCCCGATCTTGTGTTGCTGGCCCCATAGGTATGGAGTACACTTGAATGCGGACATCAACCAAACACAAGACCATTACTAATTCATTTGTCTCACACTAAGTCGTTTTAACGATCATGATGCCTGTTCAATGACAAACACGATTCAGTTGATGCCGTAATCACTGGAGTACACTCGGATGTGTAGTAGGCAAAAGAGCGTGTGATGTTCAGGGTATTATCCTCAATCGAGGAAGCGACCACCCTCGAGTTGAGTCGTTATTTCAACTAAAAGTGTGCATGCGGGAGATGATTCATAGCAGATACAAGTGAATGCATATCCACGCGACCCGCATCGCCCGAGTTAGTTTTTGTAGTTTCTCGAATCTCAACTAGCTTCACGTTATGTGCTTCAACATGGTGGGATCAACGTCGTAGGTTTTTCTGGTCCACATCTTGCACACCTTGAACGTCATTATCAAGTGCCACTGGGGAAGGCTTTCGTGACACCGAGGATACGTTTGTAGAAAGCAGGGGAGGTGACACAGGCTACCCATACCGTGGAGTTCCAACTGGCCGAGCCCAGCAGAAACATTATATAGGAGCTCGGGACGACTGGGACTTGACACCCGGCATAGAGCAAACAAAGCAAACCCGGGGTAGAATTTAATTTTTCTTCGTATTGGTACAGGTCCGCAATACAAATACAAACCAATATCATATTTGATTTGCTTAACCGTGGAATAGATGGAAGTAGCCGAGGTGGACTGAATAGTATTATGACTACTAGACATGCGTCAGACCGCACCAGCCTTCGACTTCCAGAGACTGTCTTTTCCGTATTACCACTACTATAGCCAATTGACTGAGGATGGATGGACCCTGAGCACCAAAACCTTGGCAACAGCCAACTGTTAGAACTTCAGGATCGAAACCTCTGGTGTATCAGGAACTGACTCAAGTATGCAGTTAAGACACACTCTTTCTTGAATTTAGGGCCCTTATGTCTACCTTCACTATTTTAGGATTGGGAGAGATCAGAGACATATCAAAACCCATGCTTTGCTATTGCTTACAATAAGTCCGATACTATCTCCTTCTAGAAGAAGGGAGCCAATTGTCAGGTGCAGATAAGCCACTGTGGCTTATAGACCTTGTATAGCATATGCGAAGGCTGGCACTGTGTCAATAGGCTGCGGTGACCCCCCTCTCTTGAAGAGGGACAGCGGAATGATTTGTCTTTATCGAGTCCCCTACAATACACTGCTAGTATCCACTTGGTGACTGGCAACCGACTTCTCTCTAGCACTCTTATCCTTCACTCTGTGCTTGAATTACCCGTGACACCAACTATACTAATCCGTTCAGATTTACGTATTAGTGAGCGCCTATCAAGTTTACACAAATTTGAAAAAGGAAAAAAAAAAAGAACAAAAACAAACCGTTCACCCATATCTTCTATATTCGCAAACATATGTATGAGGTATAGATATTATTATTAGATACGCCGTAGGCTCGAAGCCCCTGGTACCTCTACCAGTACTCCCGTATGTCAAACCATGCCCTAATGGCTGGACTAAATACATACGCTGCGTCGTCGGTTCGCCCTATTGGCGACTGCGTTGCGTTCACTACCATACTACGTTGGTTCTCAACCTACCAACTAAGCCCCCCCTGAGAAGATCGATGCTATCTGGGCCTTGAAGCTGTCCGACCCGTCCCTAGCAGCCACCTTACAATAGTCCCACTAACTACTGGTTCTCCTGTTGCCGTTGCGAGGTCTCTGCGAGAGTATAGTGGCCGTGGTGCGATAGAGAGGTATAGAATAATAGAGCATTTCTCCTAAAATAGGAAAAAAAACACTCCATTACCAATAAATAGTAAAAGAACTCATTTATTCTATGAAGAATATAAAGAAAAAAGAAACAAAGAAAGTCGAAGAACAAGGAATTAAAGTAAAGAAATGAAGACTTTCTCTATTCTATGAAGGCATTTGGAAGATAAAGAAAAAGTAATGAATAACGTGATCCACAAGTCATTTTCGCACACAAGTCACTTTCGCACTTTTTCAAATATTTCAACCTTTTAACTTGGCTTGCACTTTTCTTCCCTCCCACGACATGCCTCGTAAATCCAAAGAAGCCGATCTTCAGCTAGCTATCCAAGCTAAAAAGCGCAACCCTGAAATTTCATGGCGTAAGCTTGGCCGTATCTACAACGTTTGCGACCGTACACTAAAGAATCGATTCGACGGCGACCAAACGCGACACGAAGCTAATATGTTAAAACGAAATCTAACTCAAACCGAAGAGTATACGATTGCCCGACGTATAATTGAGCTAGATGCGCGAGCATTTCCTCCTCGGCTTCGATACGTTGAAGAAATGGCGAATATCCTACGACGCGTACGCGACGCGCCCCCTGTCGGCAAGAACTGGACCACGAACTTCGTTAACCGCCGACAAGACCTCCGAACGCGTTTAAACCGTCGAATTGATTACCAGAGGGTATCTAGCGAAGATCCTATCACGTATTACGCGTGGTTTGAGCTTGTTAGGGACACAATCGCTAAATACGGTATCCTACCGGAGGATATCTACAACTTTGACGAGACGGGCTTCCTAATGGGCATAATCACAACCGGTATGGTTGTAACGAGTGCAGAAAGACACGGACGGCCTAGACAGGCTATACAAGGAGGTCGGGAATGGGTTACGGTGATCCAGGCTATTAATTCGCAAGGTTGGGCGGTACCGCCGTATATCATCTTCGCGGGCAAGGTTCATCTTGCTTCGTGGTATCGCGGTAACGACCTACCGGCCAACTGGAAGTTCGACCTTTCCCATAACGGTTGGACTAATAATAATATTGGTGTGTAATGGGCAAAACACTTTGTTCAACATATTATTAGCCGTCGGAAGGGTGCGAAAAGTCTCTTAATATTGGATGGTCACGAGAGCCACCACTCGATGGATTTTGAGACTTACCTCGCGGCGCACGGCGTAATTACATTGTGTATGCCTTCCCATTCATCCCACAAGCTCTAGCCTTTGGATTTGGTACCTTTTAGTGTGTTGAAACGGCTGTACGGTGCGTTCGTGGAGGGTTTAATGCGAAGGCATCAAACCCATATTGAGAAGCAGGATTTCTTAGCTGGGTTTTTAGAAGCTTTCATTGGTGCTTTTCACGAAAAAAACATCAGATCAGGATTCGAAGCAGCTGTACTTGTTCCTTTTAACCCGGATAGGGTCATACCTACGTTGGATATCGCAAAAGTAGTACGAACACCGACACCCGACCCCCAATTGCCTCCCTCCGTCTGGGTTTCTAAGACGCCTACCAACACCCTCGAAGCCGAATCGCAGTCAACTTTGATTAAAAGTAGCGTCCAGAGGCATCAAGACAGCTCGCCGACGCATATTTTGAACTCAATTAACTCGATTACAAAGGCTACGCATGCAATGATGCATGAGAATGCATTATTACGTCGGGAGAACGAAGAGCTTCGTGAGACGAACCATATACTAAGTAAGCGTCGTAGGACGAAAAATAAGCAAATCCAATATGGAGGAGCACTTAGTATAGGTGATGCACAAGTTTTACGGGCCTTGAGGGGTGATATCAAGGTTATGGAGGAGGAAGAAGGGGAAAGCAGTCGTCCTGTAAAGCGCCGGCAGACCGGTATAAGGCGCTGTGGTATTTGCGGAGGGACTGGACATAATGCAAGGACTTGTTCAATAGAAGTAGAAACTGATAATGAAGAAGATTTTGAGTAATTTAAAGGATAAAATGCGGGTTATGCATAGGATATTACTGAATTACTTGAACGTGCCAAGAAAAGTGCGAAAGTGACTTGTGTGCGAAAATGACTTGTGGATCACGTTACCTAAAATCAAAAGTCTAATTCCTCTCTAGATAGACCTAGATAACATATCTCTACACATATCGAAAAACACACGTACACACACACTTTGACAATGCATCATAATAATGACCTATTAAACTCTATTACTTGTTTACTTCACGAACCTACCCTGTAGCTACCTGGTAGGAATCCACCAATACCCGCTGTATACTCGTAATCTTCTATCATGCTGTCCTTTGCTTGCCAAACATTTGCTTTATGCCGGGCGCAGTTGACACCCTTCCACATCCTCTCCAAGTCAACGAAACGTAGCAGTTTCTACAATGAAGGTATAATTTGTCCTCGTGCATGGGTGAACTATGATGGCAATTCGTCGGAATATCAATCACATCAAGCCCTGGGACGCCAGATGAATCCAATTACACTTGCAGTGTCTCTTAGCTAACCACATGACGTTCCAATAATGAACAAGGTACATGGCCTATAGGAAAATAAACTAGAGTACAGAAGGCTAGAGGCACCAATACATTGGGAAAGTAAGCGACTGCCACCGTATTGTGCTTTGTGTCAGACCTTATAACGACCAAATTGACCGTCAAAAGACGAGGGACCCACTCGCCAAGTCCCTGACATATTCCTTTCCAAATTGTTTGCCCAAATTTCCTTACATTTCTCCAATTCTCCCATGATGTATGGGACATATATAGGTTACAGGAGAAACAACAGAATGCCTTCTGAAACCTTGAGAACTCCTTTTCGTATAGGGCTGACACCCAGGGTGCAGCCCTAAGGGGGTGTGTTGGACCTTCAAGGCTACTCCGTCAAGACTGCCAAGTCAAAAGGAGAAAAGTAAAGCCGCAAACCGTAAGAAGTATGGGTCAATATGACCTCTATCCATTGAACCACACAAGTCCTGGCTGTGGGGCAGGCATCAGTCATTTCTGACTATATAAGGCCCTTATGGCCGCCCTTTGCTTCTCTCTGGACTCTCCAGAGATCATGACACTTTCAATACAAGACCATTTGCCCACAATCCAATACTTTGACTCGAGGATATATTAGTAGTCACTGGAGACAAAATGACCAGTAGCCACAAATATTCGTATATATTCACCAAGGCTCTGTGTACATAGTAACGTTCTATCCCCTTTTAGCGGAGAGCTTATGTCCCTATGTATTCAATAACAGTGTTTCGCCCATCTACATCGAATAAGTTATATTTTGACACCGACGGCCTTCATTGGGTATAACAGGCAACCAGGCTCTGTAAGATATGCTGGTCGGTCCATTTCAAAGTTCAACAGCGCTCGATTCGTACTTGATCGTCGTCACCACATTTACTAGCTGCACTGCTTAATCACCACGCAATGATTGCTTCAGTCTGGTTATTTAGATATTGCCTGAAATGAACAACATGTGATCGTCATCGCCGAAGCCTCATGAAGGAAATAAAGCATCTGTTTCACTAAGGGACGAAAACGAGAGGGACGACGCATCTATAGTATATACTACCGAGCATCCCCCAAGACGTGGTTGGGCAATTTACTAGCCTAATCCTGGTCCTTCACATTTACATAGGCTTGCTGTGCACTACAAGTGAGTAAAATTATTATATGCCTTTAAGAGCGATTCCCAGGCGATCTGGTTAAGGTGGCGCCGCGTGTGTTTGGAAAACGGTCTTCGGATCATTTGGGTTTGTTGTTTGTTCGTCTTGTGCTTCTAAGGCTCATACGAAGTACTATCGTGTTGGAGCACACAGAGAGATGGGTGTGTTGTATTGAGGAAAGCTAGGCCGAAGCTGGTGGGCTAGAACCAGATAGTAGTGATGGCCACGCGCGGACCAACTCTAACCTAGTATATGCCGTTTATCTGCTGACTATGGCATGGCCGAAGCGTAAAATCGACAGATATAGAACACGTTCATGTGGCAACATGGTGACTGCATGTCGACCATATTATGTGCCGTATTGTTACTTACTGTTATAGAAAATGCCAAGCCCATACCAATCAGATATAGACAAATCGAAATATAACTACAATACAGCGAGCAATAATTGAAGTTAAGAGACGTTGCTGCATCTCCATTCTAGTTACGAACCGAACCCTATAAAACTCCCGGACCGACCCGGTCCGCTTTCGTAGTGACATGTTCAACTGCCGACCACTAGCGTTATAGACGTCGGGACCAGAGTCGTATCAAGGGCCTGTTTGGGATAAATACCGATGCCATACCTGCGAGGGGCTGCCCACTACGAGTATTTCATCACTTTGCGACAATGCCAATAAACCTTTATAAATTGGCTGACCTTCCGCAAATAGATGCGTTCCGAGAAGCAACGCAGGGATGTACCGCTTTTTTTTGTGGCGAAACGAGCAACCATGGGTCATGATTCGTGGAGATACAGTGGTGAATATAGTGACAGCTATCGTTTCCCTCGTGGCTGATCGGTAACGGGGCCGTTGATGTACCGATTGATCGATGAGAATGTTTATTTAAAACTTACAATTGCCCGGAAGAAGGTGGCCACTGAATTTGATGTCCTCGGCCATCAGTCGCGTTCGCTCTCACCAGATTGCTGTTGCATGCTGATCAACAACACTCTCCGTCTCCACATTCCACCACCACCAAGATGCTCCTCCCCACCTTCACTCTCCTCCTAACCCTCCTCTCCCTCACCAGCCAAGCCTCAGCAGCGACATGGTACTTCCTGCGGTACTACACGCCCTCCGGCTCTAAATTCACCTCCTTCTCCGGCGACCTCGTGATCCCGACCCTGCCCCAAGCGGGGACGTACTACCTCTGGCCCGGTCTGCAGCCCACCGACGGCAGCGGTGTCTACCAAAACGTGCTGGACGGTCGCAGCGGCACGTGGTGGATTGGGTCCGGCTGGTGCTGTAGTAACCCCAGTTTGCCGTGGGGAGGCGGGTTCAACACGTATGCTGGGGAGACGGTGACATTTAACAATGCGTTGACGAGCGACGGTTCGGGGTGGGCCTCGACACTTACGCGGAAGGCGACGGGGGCGGTAGTGTCGGACACGTTTGCGCTTGGTATGTTTCCGTTATTTGCATGTCCGGTTGTGTGGGGGTAAAGTTGTGCGCAGCTGCTGATTATAGTTGCGATTCTAGCTAGCAAATCGTTCAACCAGGTTCTCTTTGCTATTGAACTGTGAGTTTGCATTGCGAACGCCATAGAATCTGACCGTTTCACTGACTGCTTGACAGCACTGGTGTCAGCTGGGACTTTGGTCCATTGGAGTTCAAGAACGTCAAGATTGTACGTCAGCTGAATTGAAACCAGTTGCTTTATTGGCGAAAATGTACAAACACTAACCATTTGATAGACAAGCACGGGTACCGACTCGAGCTGGTGCGACGACTCGCCCGAGAATTATGGTTCCGCTTCGGTATTCTCCATTAGTGGCGTGAAGGCCAGCGTCAGTGGGAGTGTCGTGACCTGCACCATGACTTCTGTCATACTCGAGAAGCCAGCTTAGTTGAAGCATAAATGGGATTGGGCTTGGTTATCAACTGAAACTGGATTGTTGCGTCGGTCGGGTGAAGTCTGGTGCTGAAACTATAGTGGATAATCTATGAGTAGGTTCTTCGCAATCAGCCTTTATATCTGTTGGCTCTAGTCGTTCTATATGTACAAAGTTACTTCATACATAATCAATCTATATCCCTTCAACCATAACACACGCCAATCTAAGTCTTCCCCTTGCCGTCTTCTCCCTCCCCTCCTTCTCCTTCCCCCAAGCCTCAACCTCAGCCCCCATAACCACAAAACAACCATGGACGGAAATCCCAGGACAACAAAAACCAGCGCCAACAAGCTTTCCCCCCAGCCATACCCCAATCTCTCATACAACTGCGGTGCGAAAAGCGGAAAAACAAAAGCCAGCACATTTGCAAACAACTGCACCGCCGCATTAGCCGACACAACCTGCCCTCAAACTCATCCATCATGTACGCCAGAAAGCCCGCACTGAACATAAAACTCGCACACGTATAAACGGATACCTCGATATCAATCACGGCCCAATGCGCCTTCCTCTGGGCCGCCCATCCGTACTATAGCAGTGCTGGTGCTGGGGGCATTATCAGTGTTCCGGGAATCAGGTATGGGATCCGGAACTCCGGGGTGGGGTATTTGTTGGGGTGGCGTTCTTTAAGAAGTCTCCAGGTCCAGTCCATGAGGTGACCTCCTCCCTGGGTGGCGAGGCTAGCACCCAGGGCAACGGCGGTGTGGTGAAGGCTGCCGGTGGTTTCGGATAGGAGATAAGACTCAATCCAGAGGGTGGCGAAGGTGGAGAGCATGAGGATGTAGATGGCGAAGTTAATGGCGAGGGTGAGGGAGATGAAGAGGATAATGGGGCGGTGCAGGAGGAGGAGGATGGGGCGCGTGAGGCCTGCTCCTATTGGTTTCAATATTCTTCTGTAGTAAGCCCTTGGGAAGGATTTGTCGGCGTAAGTTCTTGTTGGTGGTAGTGGTGAAGAAGATGAAGAAGTAGAGTGTTTTTGTTCGGATGCGGCTTTGCGCCGCAGCAAGACCGGTTTGCACGTTTCGCGAATGACGAAATTGCCTATCAAGATATTAGCTGCGTCGATGATGCAAAGGATCCAGAAGATCCAGATCCAGATTATATGTTGGGCGGCCAGTCCACCCATGATAGGACCCAAGGCAGGACCGAGGTACGGGAGGAAACAAGCTATGACAAGAGATTTCCCGCGGTCTTTAGCGTAGTACATATCCGCCAGCACGGGACCGACGAGTTGCCCGGAAGAAAATCGATCAAGATGATATTGCTTCATACAGATGCTAAGCGGTATCTCCGACAATCCCATTCGATCAACAACTTACAGCCAAACCCGCGGAACCCTCAAGCCCAGTCATAAACCTCCCCGCAATCAACATGCCCTTAGACTTCCCTACAGGGCACAGCGCGTTCCAGAGGATATACCACAGACTAGAAAGAACCCACGCGGGTTTCCTTCCGTAGATTTCTGACATGGGCCCCAATGACAAAAGGGCCGAGTGCCAAGCCGAGCGTGTACACGGAGAAGGCCATCTGCGCCAGCGAGGCCGCCATGTCGAGGTCCTTGGAAATATGGTCCAGCGCCGGGGCCATGATGCTTGCTGTCGATATGGTGATGAGATGGCCGAAGGAGAAGATCACTGCGATGGAGATTTTGCGCCATGGGGGCCAGTTATATGGGTCGTGGGGGTCTTCGGGGCCGTCCCACATGGGCTTGGAGGATTTTCTTAGCAATTCAAGATTCGTAACAAGGTCTCTGATGTCATGAAGTGTTCTATTAGGCATTGAATCTATACCTACAGTGATAGTTTCGGCTTGTCGGTCCGATTCTGGCGATTCAGTGTCTTGCATGCATCGGGCCAGGTTGGCCATCTCACTAGCTTCCAACACCTTTCTCGATTTCTCGAAATCCATATCAGCCATTGTAGCCAAAGGAGAAAGGCAAGGCACAAGAGCCAAGAAACACTACCTCAAGTAGGCCACTTAACATACTTATAAGCATACACTGATCATTTCTCCAAGCCGAGTTCGTCACTTCACCCAAAGTCCGAGGGGAGCTTAGATCTAATAAGCCAGGCATCAGCCAAAATTTGGATCTGATAACTTTTGATATCCTGAGATTTCTTATTTCGGTGTAGCTGGAGCTGCATGTCGGACTGATTTTCTGGGAACCTAGGAGTAGATGTGACTCAAAGCGAATCGGCGTTGATTCCGAACCCGGAGGCAAGCCGAAATGGAGGTGCCGAATAGACTCCTCCAGTGAGACGAAACCAACCTGATTCCAAGTCCATGCTTGCTTATTATCGAAGTTAGGAACAGCTGTTCACCCTTCTGCTTGGTCCTAAAACTGCTTCCAGTCGATTGCCTTCTCCCAGGCATACGCAACCTTCAGCACCTTGCTCTCCTCCCAAAAGCGCCCGACGATCTGCATACTTGTAGGTAATCTGATCGTAGGATCTGCCTTCGACGGCACAAACCCAATAGGCATAGCAAGTGCTGGATGTCCACTGGCATTGAAAGCAGACGTATTATCCGTCAAGCCCTTCCCAGCCGCTATGTGCGTCAACGGATCCGCCCCAACATCCGGCAACGGGCTCGCTGGCCGCAACGTCGTCGGCATGATAAGCACATCGTACTTCCCCAGCGCCTCATCATAGCAATCTCTCAACTTCCGGCTCAAGTTGACCGCTTTGGGATACACATACGGATACTCGGCCCACCCCATCTCGCCCGCAAGCAAACCCTCCCTGCTGAAAACGCTCATCTTCTCTAGAGCATCCTGGGAGTAGGGAAGGTTCTTCTTCTGCAAGAGGTCCGTCATCATGAGCTGTCTCCTCCCGGTCGCTTTGCCCTGCATGCCCATATGATTCCCCATCTTGCTCATAACGGTATATATCACCTTCGCCTTCTCATGCATCAGCACACTAACTTCCTCGACCACCGCCCCCAGACGCTTAAACTCCTTCGCCGCAGCCAGGAACTTCCTCTTTACTTCCTCATCCAAATCCGGACTCGCAATCCCCTCTCTCAAAACCCCAATCCTCATCCCCTTGACCCCCCTTTCCTTCCCCTCCTCCAAAACCTCGGCATACCTTGGCACCTCCCCCCTCAAAGGACATCCGGCCCCCTGCCTATCATCCAACCCATCCGCGCCCGCAACAACCTCTAATAACACTGCCAAATCCCGCACCGTCCTCGCCATCGGCCCCACAAAATCCACACTCGCATCCAGACTCGCAATTCCTGTATACGGCACCAACCCCGTCGTCGCCTTGAGTCCGTACACCCCACACATCGCCGCGGGGATCCGTATACTCCCGCCTTGGTCACATCCCAGTCCCATATCCACCTCTCCAACCCCGACCAACGCCCCCGTGCCGGAACTACTCCCTCCCGCTGAATAGCCATGCGCATAGGGGTTGTGCACGGGGCCTGTGGAGGCGGTCACGCTCACCGCGCCCCGGGACAGGTTCTCGCAGACGGATTTACCAGCGATGGTGCCGCCTGCTTCGAGGATGCGGGTCACTACTGTGGCGTCGATTTGGGGCGTCCAGTCAGTGAAAGAGGTGGTGCCGAGAAGGCAGGGGATCTGGGCTAGGGCGATGTTGTCTTTGAGGCAAAGGGTTTTATGCTTGAGAGTCGTGGAGGGGGGGGTTGTGTGAGTGCACTCGCAGCGCCATGCCCAGGCGTTGAGGGAGTTGGTGGAGTTGGTGGGGAAGTGGATGTTCGCACGGGATGTGAGGGTGAGGTCAGGGGTTGGCTGGTAGTCTGATCAATAGTCAGTTTTCGTTTCAGGAGGTGTATGCGTGGAGGGTATTCTGGACACACCATCCATGGCCGACACGGCCTCAAAATTTTGACGTGCCTTATTGAGCAGTTGAGTATAATCGTCTAGCTCGGCTTTGGCAATCGTATATCCCAGGGCTACAGCTACGTTTTGTACATCGTCTTCGGTTAAGCCCATCCTGATGAACTGGTCGATACTTCTGGGAATATTTGTCAGATATGGATCAAAAAGTGTTTACCCCAAAGGCTGAGGGTTACGCTTGCGCGCTCCCTGTGCTTGGCAATGATAGGCACACATAACGTACGCAGAGGGGGAGTAAACAGCAACCAGATATCGATATCCAAAATTTGCATAAGTACCGTGAGTGGAATAATATAGGGTGATAGGAAATGCCAGTATAGATGGTTCTATCTGCAGCTATAGTCTGTGTTTTATCTGGGTGCAATCTTTGTGGTCAGGTATCTCCTGCTTGTCCGAATACCCGATGCTTATCATCCTAATTCCCGGATCCCGACTTCGGCTCCTCCGAAGCAAGTGAGGTGTCCCGAAAGTAGTCAGGTCTGAATCATAAATAAGGCCTCCCATAATATAAAGCATGTTAGGGTCACTGAATTCTTTTTTCTTTTTTGTCCCCTTTTCTGTATGCGAAATCCTAACTATTGCATCTTGTCAACCTATCCTGTGCACCGTGTGTTTTATAGATACCTCAGCAAGCACGTATATGCGGCAGGTTATACTTCGCAAATAATACTCTGTAGCCAACCGAACGAACGAATGGTTATATAGGTGGAATATATCATGGTGGGCTGTCGTCCGAAACTAAGGTTGCCATTGCTGGCTGTAATTCGAGCTGAATCTTGTTCGTTTTCCACGGTGATAGAAACCCAGTGGGGTATATAAATATTATGTTGTCCTTCCCGACGATCTCAACTAAAACTTTTCTATATCCATGTGTAATTTTGTAAATTGAGTGTTGGCGATCAAGCGCGTGTTTCCTGACACTGCGTCTTGCATCACATTGTGAGAGTATAGCGAATGATGCTGGGCTCTCCCATCCTTTCCAAAGTGCACGCGTGGTATTCCCATCGGCACAATCCGCGACAAATGCAAAAACCTCATCCTCGTCGCACAAGTCTCTTCGGTGATATCTTCCTCGACAGGCTTGACTAGGTGTGAGTAATGTTGACCTGTCGACTGACTAAAATACCACTCAGCGAACATAATACACCATCTTTCTGAAAGTCCACCTTGTTCTCTTCTTCGCTCGATATGCTAGTCATCTCGTCCTGCCCTCCAGTGGTGATGGAAGTCAAGGGTCCCTTCTTCTCCCGGGTTGAATTGACCGTGCTCATCTCGTAGCTGGTGTCGCCGGACTTGAAGTAGGTTCGTCGGGATTGGCTAGGGAAGCCGTTTGGGGTTTTCTGCGCGGAGGGTCCGCCGAAGGACTTAGTGTCGGAACCGCCGAGATTAAGGGCGCGTCGGAATAGGGGTCGGAGGGTGGCTACGCACCCTACGAACATGCCCGTGCCGTTTTCGGCGTAGCCCCAAATAACGATGTTGGACAAACCGACTGTGACATATTATTAATATTTTCCAAAGGAGATAGGGGGAGGAGGCGAGGAAAACGTACAGAGGTAATCATTTGAGTTGGTTAGGTTGACGGTATACTTGAGTCGAATGCATGCCGAGAGGGAAGCACTGATGGCCGATTAATACTACCTCCTTCAGACGAAGAGGGCTCAGAGAAGACCTACAAGACGCCTAGACCGAGAATCGCAGCAACCGATAGCTTTGCGTTGAGGTTAAGCTTGACATTCCACAACAATGGTATCGGCCTGGACCAACGTCAGCATAAGGGCCCATATTTCAGAGCGCAGGAACACTTACAAAAGCGCAGTAAACCAGTCTGTAACGATGTTTACGGCTGTCGTGGCATAGTAAATATCAGCCAGAATGACTGGATCGTTGCATTTCCCGCCCTTTATCAACAAATCCGTATCCCATGCGGCACTAGAAGCTAATTAGCTGACACCCGTAACATCCAATCGTCAACAGGACTTACGCCACAGGGTTGCATTGGAAGATAATGTAGAGTGCTGCGATTAAGTTCATCGTGGTGAAAATGCCCATCATGCCATATTGACTGTATACATATATTTTTCGGTTTTGGGCGATACGGACCAGCATGAAGGAGATGCTGAGTTTGATTGGGATGATGCTAACGCAGTAGAACACCTCGAATAAAAAGAACCACTTCTTCGGTCAGTCTCTTGCCAATGGAGAAACTGGAAACCGTCAGACTTACGAAAAGACCCTGTTTCTTGTATTTTTGGTTTTCGTCCTGATCGAGTCTCCAAGCATGAATGCCGATGCCATTGAATGACGAAACGAGACAGGCAATAGACAGCATAGCAAATGGGAACTAGGAGGATAAGTTGGCGCCGTCATAACACATCCAAGAGAAGTTGGCAACACTTACAGCTGCGGCGGTCATGAGCCAGTCTTCAATGCCCCAACTTTGTCTAGTAACTCGACAATACACCCGCAGTCCGAAAGTCAGGTAGGCCAATGTCGTCAGCGTAATAACCGTGCCGGCCACATGAGGGGCATCATCCTACTCAAAGCATAAGCAACAATTCGTCTTCACACACTGGCTCAGCTCTAGCGCAGCAAAGGCCAAATTAGTAGAGAGAGAGAGAGAGAAAGAGATGGAGAGAGCGGCATCCGGCTTCCGGGACACATACCAAAAAAATAGCCATCCCGAATTGTCTCCGAATGCAACAATTGTATGTAATGAGTGGGCTAAAAGAGTGAATAGACAGCAGTGACAGGCTGACGGGCTGGCGAGAAGCTGTCAAAGAAAAACCACAAGCTCTGGGGAAGCCCACGACTTTCACCACCACTGGTGGGTGAGCCTCAGCGGCCAAACCCGGTCTTCCTCATTTAGGAGAAGGGTGGAGTGCATGTTAATCTCCAATGCCGTCTTCCATGCTCCCGGAGGCACGGCTTACATCGAAGTCGCCATCATGAAACACGCGGTATTTTTGGAGTTTTTCTGCAGTGGTTGCTTGGAAAAATTCATAATAATGTCATTAGTGCCCTCCCATCTGCAGGCTGCAGAAAAAAAGCATACCTGAGTTGAACCATGTTGGTGGGTCCAAGACGTGCTAAGCGGATAGCTGACTGTAGGGTAGTTTCATGAAACCGGTAGAATAACGTCAAGGAATAACTGCACATCCACTAATAGGGATTGGACGAGAGTATCTGGACCCGGCACTGACGATAACGTCCGTGTATCTGATGGGCAATCCTATTGCCTCCATCTGGTAAATTCTCCGCGGTGCCGATCTGCTGCATGGTATACCCGTGACCGAGAGGGCCGGGAGCAACGGCTAGTTCGAGGCGGATTAACGATCCGGGTGTTAGCTGGGCTGGGATTCTCATACAAAACGGCAGCTTCGCGGCGGAAATGACTGCAATAAGAGGCACAGATATCTTGTGGTGAACCAGCGGCGCTATGCTAGGTAGGAAATGATTTGCTCTAATTGGAGATTTATCCTTGATTTAGGTCCCTTTCCACCAGATCTTGCAGATATTTCCAAGCATCTTTAAAGGTCTTGAAGTTTGCATCTGGCACAAGAAACCACATAGTTCGTCAATGCTGACAATACTGAAAGTGATATCAAGCTTTCCAAGATTTAAAAATGGACGATGTTCCGCGGATCAAGGGGCATCATCGCATTACTGCGGGCCCATTGCGGAGCAGGCAGTGTGCACAGTGAGTCATAATGGTTACAGCAAAAGTCGGCAGCGAATCTATGAAATGAGACATTCTGAGAAAATAAGTACAGTATTCTCTGACAGACTACTGATCATATCTGAGACTCATTTGTTTCGTGTAGGAAAGATACGGCTGGACATGCCATTTCACCACCTCGCGTGCTCGCAAACAAACGGGCCTTGTCAGGATCAAGCTCGCCAACGGGTTCATCCCCGACTGATGCCAAACTCACTATGAGAAAGACCTGATCGATCAACTGATCTTCATGAAGTCATTCGCAAACTGGACCGTGGGGACCACGCAGTCTTTAAGAGGAGGGATTTGATGCCACCGTTTGCCACTTGCTATAATCTCTTGGAACAAAACAAAATCACAGGTTTCGCCACGCTCTCAGACCTCCAAAAAGAAAAGCGAAAAAGAAACGCTGTGCCGCTTCCATCGGTGGATACAATAAAGAAAAGAAAGGTCCACGGACCCATTACAGTTCGACCTCCGCGCTGTTTCCGGATCGCTCGTGAGAGCAGAGCCCGAGATTGCCGGCCTACCGGGTACCCACATGGTAGGACATGCATACGCATCACTTCAAGCCGCAAAAAGAAGTGATAATCGCATTCGCCTCCATGGGACTGGTTGAGCCACTCTTGCGAATCTAACGATCTCTCAGTCCCGGCTGTCTATTGAACCGGGGAACTGAACTGAATGAATTCATCCTGGTTGTCGTCTCTAGCGATGCAAGTCAGCCGTACTTCGGGTAGTGATCTTCACTGTCGTCTGGGGTTCGCACTCTACTTGTTACGTGCCTTTCCGACGGAAGACTGGGCTGTAATCTATTCATATCCGGAGTTTGGAAGCCGAAATGCATTGTACGGTGCAGCGTTCCAGCGTTCGCGGCTCTTCACTGATTTTAGAGACCAACCCAGATAATACATGCCAACACCACCAATGTAAAATTCCCAATGCGATGCTGGAGTGTTTCAAGTGAGACTTTGATTGGTGGCTGACCATGAAACTTTGACGACATCAACTTGATCCGCGCTTCAGCATTCGCATTATGAGCAGACTCCGCTTTCGACGTCAAGCCGAATGAATCGACGATCAACGAGTCGTCGTACCATGACTTTCTATCGAATGACTCCCCAAATTATGCGGGTATGAGTCTCGGCAGGTTTACTTAAGCTTCTCTTACTATGCGGCTAATATAGGAGATATTGTACTCCACTCTGTGCTACCTTTTCGTAAGACAAGCCGTAGAGGGAATAGTCCAATATATTCATAAAAAGGCCAATGCGTTGCTATTCCCTTTGGGCAACTCCAAACTGGCAATGAAACTCAAAGCTCGCTAGTTTAGATGTCCAATACTAGTGAGGACATTACAATCGGCGAGGGCAAGTTCCAAGAATCGCCGATTTGGAGTCTAGACCAACACTAGAGTAGCATGGCTAAAGTAGTATTTTCGGCAAGTTTGTATTACATCTCTCCAGGCATGCAGATTGTTGGCGCATTACAACCTCCATAATAATTGGACTTCTACTCGTTTTCAGTGCTGTGAAGGGCAATGATATCCTTGTCAAAGTAACCCGGTCCTTGACCTCTCACACAATTTCTATGTGTTAATCAGCCGCTTGCAATGGCCTATCCCATCCGCTAACAATCTGCATGCCTGAAGAGGTGTAAAGACAATGAATCCACAGGTCAAGACAAGTAAATGTCGCATTTACTATCATTGAATAAGTGACATAAGTATCGAGGTTTGCTGGGTTCTGTCGGCAGTCTTTCTAGCGGGCCATCATAATCCATGCGAGTACGTTGGCAATTACCTGCTTATGTTTTGCAGTGGAGGCTTGAGGCTTGTGCGCAGAACTCATGCGTCGTATAGCCGATGCATCATCAAGTTTTTGTAGCCGAGTATAAACTCCAGTTGGTTATTCACCGACCGCGGTACGAAGCTGCCAGTCTAAAGAAATCAACCAGCTGCTCAAATAATCACCAACATCACAGACATCATATTTTCATGGACTCAGCCCAGCACCACATCTGATTGCAGGCATCTAGGTGGGTTGTTGCGAGCCGGTGTGTCTGGAAGGGATGCGAAGACAATCCAATATATCTAGTCTTGATGCGATACCAGGTTCCACAGTAGAGCTGCGAAAGGTATGGGAAAGCTCCTCGATCATACTTTGTGGATTTGTATCCTGCCACCCTCTGTGAGAACCTCTTGACTAGCCAAGGTCATGACAGAGACGCAAAGGAGGGCTCTTTGAGCCTTAATAACCAGGTCATCCACAAGAACTCGCCTGCGCCGGTAGGACGAGATCCGGTTCTTGGAATGTCTGGCTAGACTTATAATTTACCTGGACATAGACTTATATGTCCTCGCGAGTGATAATTTCCAGTTTCAAGCTAGGGCTCGTAGCAAATGCGCCTTGGAACACATTCCAGAGCCGACTGCAGACGCAGATTTTCTTGCCCGCATGCGAATGAAAGAGCAATAAATTCTAGAAGTGAAAAAGCAAAAAAAAAACCATGTCCGTCTGCTTCTGGACAGCTGGCAGATCGCTTGCATTTGTTTTTGACTCTTCCCTGCCATTCCAATCAATATCGTTGTGTACATCGTGAGAAGAGGACCGGACATACCAGAGCAGAATCAGCAGGGCAAACTCAAAGCGTTCAATCGCGAGATACAGTTCGTTGTTGGATGCCCGCGCCTTCAAGAAACGACGAAGCCATCGAGCTGGGGGCTGATCTCCTGGCAGGTAGTGCATAATCCGAGAAGCTTTTTGTCTGCACTTGATAATGGACTTCATGGCCACGAACGGAAAGAGCTACGTACCACTTCATGTTGAGAGCAACCACTGCGACGACTACAATAGGTGGGATGTGCTTCCTCTTCGCGCCAAACACACCTGGTCTTAATTCGGCGCAGGCACAATACGTACCGTTAATTATAGGACTGATAACTCGTTTCAAACATTATAGATTTCAGGTCATCCCATTGCTTCCACTCTCAGCCATCCTCAATTAAAAAAAACGTCAAGCCGCCTTCACCCCCTTACCACCCTGCTCCCCTCCCAACCCAACACCTGCCAAAAATGCAATCCTCATAGAAGCCCCAAAATATACAAACGGCACATTGCCCCAATCAATCGCGTTCCACTCTCTCACATCCCAATACACCCTCCACCCCAACCCGCTAACCGAATACAAGTGCCCAAAATCCGCAAGCAGCAACACAAACAGCACCGTCTTCCAGACACGCTGGTCGCCCGTCGACCTCAGCACCAGCGCCTCGTTGAGCGCGAATAGGAGGTACAGGTTGGCGAGCTGCGACATGATGATGGAGACGCCCGTGGGGATGGGACTAGTTTGCCCTTGGGAGAGGAGGTCAGCGGCCGTGGGGGCGTGGGTTAAGGTTAGGTAGTCTGTTTGTTTGAAGTGGGCGAAGTAGGCGCCGACTAGGGCGGAGATGGGCTCGATTATGAGGAAGAAGAGCCGGTAAGGGATGGGTAGTTTGAAGGAGGTTTGGATGGGTGGTGACATAGTGGCGGATCTGAGTTGTCCTGGGTGGGATGGAATGGAAAAAGGGAGATGTTGAGGTCCGACTGGAAGAGACAGTGGAATCGGTTGGTCCAGGTGCGGTATAAGGTGTTCCCTTCAAGGATTGCGGCTGTTGCCAAATCTGTACCACAATGAGTATGAACAGGAACAACAAATGCAAAGTGGTATTTGAGACATACCGACTAAACCGCGCTTAAATATATCCGACTATCCGAAAGGCTAAAGAGGAGCCTCAAATTGCAGTACCTGAATTGTGTCTTGAATAAGCGTCACGTTCTGAAATCAAAAGGAACTAATAAAAAGCTCGATATCCAAATATGGGAAGGCGAGGGAAAATGCTGTTAAGAGTATCGCGTAAATAAAGAAGTATGGGTCGGGCGTGGATGCTAAGATTCCAATTAGATATAATAAGACACAAGCGAGGGACTTCACGTTTCAAAAGCTCGAAGTTGACTGCCAAATTATAAAGTGGACCGGTTCGGCCAGGAACAATATTGTTCCAATCACGGTATATCTCAAGGTCGATATCCGGGAACAGAACTGATGCTTGTGTAATATCTAACTGGAAGTGCTTCAGCAGAAGTAATCATGTATCGCAAGCACTGCATATCCAGGCCAAAAATGCGTTCTTCAGAAGCAAGCAGAAAGCGGACAATATGAACAGCGTGCAGGAATGGGACAGCCCGACAGGTCAGTGTACTAGACAGGCATAATTTTGACCACCCCTTGGGTGGATCGATTGCCAGGGTTTCGCATTGTTGATGGGCACGTAGTTCAGCTGCCATTTACATTGGGCGGTATGTTTCTTCCGAGTTAACTGCTGATGATGTCGACGCTCGAAGTATGTCACAATGTTGGCCAGCGTCGAGTACAGTTCTGGCAATAAAGTATGACATTAATTATTAAAGCACTCGACAGTCCAGACTTACACCAGCTGATCGTTTGCCGGTAGCTCCGAAACAACCTTTGGCCTCTCTGTATCCATTGCCTCAAGTTCCATTGCCCCACCGCCAGAGTGATGCTTTTGTGCAACACTCGTCGCCACAGAATTCCATGTCGTCCCCGTCATATGTGAGGCATGGCGAGGATCATAATGCCATCCGCCTCCACCTAATTGAGCATCCTGGTGATACGTTGAAGTGGATGATGGGTCAAAGTAGTTCGGCGAGTAAGGTGCTAGTCTCGATGTTGGCGAGTTGGGGTGGCTTCCGGCTGTCGACCGGTCGTGTTGGTCTTGCCATTGTGCTGCTGTGCCGAAGGCGGGCGAGTGAGCTGTTTATATTAGTAGAATATTCAACAGAATATTCAACACGAAAGGGACAAGTTAGGGCAGGCTTACGGTCATAAGGACTGATGCTTCCGGGCCCAGAGACTTTGCTGGATTCTTGGAATTCCTGCTGTAGTTTCTTTTTTCGAGCCCAGCACCCGGACTTGTACGCCAAAATCCCCAGTAGGATGAAAATAACCACCGCACTGCCGATGCTGATACCAACTATAGCGCCCAGGGACAGTGATGAGCTCAAAGAGTTCGAGCTTGGCGTTCCGGTTGCCCCTGAGGTAGGTGTCGACGTCGATGATGATGATGATGCCGTTGTAGTCTCACTTGATAGAAAGACCTGCGCGTTTCTCGCATTGTCACTTAGACGGGCTGCAAGAAGATCTGATTGTGGACATTCTCCCTGTTGACATGGATTCGACTCGCAGCATCCCAAGAAAGGGCCGGCTTGACAGGTGTACCAAGTGGTTTCGTTGTGAGGAGCAACACAAGTCTGGGGGCGGACCTCGTTATAATGATCCGATGAGAAACTAGAAGTTCGAAGGGAAGCTTGAGGACATTCCCCAGATCCATCAGTGCAAGGGTCGACAGTACAACATCCGATGAAGCGTATGCTGGCCGTGTCACAGATGTAGAACTGGCCCTCATTTGGACACGATAGCCCAAGCTCTCCTTTAGGGTCCGACATGATTTTGTCGTGAAAATGACAACAGATGTATACAAAAAGAGAGTGCAAGTTTGATCGTCCAAGAACGAGACCAGCTTGGCCAGCTTTTGGGAGTTCTAGCAAGCAAACGGCCTTATGTGAGAACCTGACCAGTTACACGCAAACCAACAAATAACGCCCCGAGGGGTTTTATTACCATTTTTACTTAGCACTCCACTGGTTCCAAAGCCGATGGCTGGTGTTGGCTGCGAGATTGTAAGCACATGTCCCCATAACTTCACTTGTCCGTGGGATGCTCGGGTGCGCCGTTGAGATGCAACACAGCCTTTGATCTAGCAAAAGCCAAAGTTTGCTTGACTAAGTAAGGCAGGATCAGTATGGCACTTGCCTAAAGTCAGACAGCTTAGTCTGAGCCTCCCCAAGATACTAAAAATGGCTATGAAATCTCAACCTAAAGAACCTGTGATGTATGTCGGCGTGTTTGATTGAGGCGCATTGCCAATAAGCTGATAATCTCAGGCGCCAAGATCAGCACTACAGCGGACAAGTCTTGAAAATGACCCTCCGCATTTTGCCACGAAATATACACCAGTAGAGCAGCCTTATTTGAGGAGCATAGTCTTGCTAGTTCCAAGCCAGGATTATGGAAGACGTTGCCCATGAAACGTTGCTGGTGAGATGGTATTTGACAAGCCTCTGCGGCAAGGCGCGACACAGTTCATGTTCTCTGATCTTTTCTTTTGGAGCAGACTGCGGTATGTCACTATGAAATCGATGGTAGTGTCTCGCAAGGCTTTTTCTACTAGTGCGCAAAGTCGAACTTGATGGATCGTTCCAAAAACGTTCTTGATGTTCTTCAAATGCACATTAAGCAACGGGAATCCACACTCAAACAGCACGGGCCACCATATAGAATTAGCCATGGTTATGCCGAGACCGCGCTTCAGGGTTCCAAAATCCCACCAAAACTAATTTCGAAATCTGAAGAGGCTGCGACCCAGAACTTTTCAAGGCAGGACCATCACTCAGAATTCACTCTACCCAGTTGCATCTCGGAGCAAAGCAGAATAGCAGACAAACGCCTTCGACTAGACCGCAACCATGGCCTCTCTTAACAAGATCGCTGCTAACAGCCCTTCGCGGCAAAACCCGTCGGAGCTCGAGACCAGCATCGCTGGCGCTCTGTACGATCTCGAGACCAACACCACCGATCTCAAGGTCGCTCTCCGACCTCTGCAGTTTGTCTCGGCCCGTGAGGTGAGAATATGCGAATATACACCGAATTAAACGGCTTTTTGCTTGTGACCGCGACTGGTCCTGTTCCATCGAGATACTACTTGCTACACATGCGACGGCGGCATCATCACGAATCGTCTCCTGCGGGCTGTGCAGATTCTGCCGGCTTGCGTTTGCCGACCGAGATGGATGGGCCAAACATGGAAGCACAAGATTGAGAAGAAAAAACATGCACATACACAATGCAATCTAGCAGTACAAATCAGTGGAATAGGACGGGAAGCGGTCCAAGGAAAACACATCTGTGTCTCCTGGAGCTCGCCTGCTGACTTTGGGTCTTGAATAGCTCGAAGTTGGCCACGGCAAGAAGGCAATTGTCATCTTTGTCCCCGTTCCTTCCCTGCAGGGCTTCCACCGCGTCCAGCAGCGGTAAGTTTATTTTCCCATAACATTACCAGTTGACACAATCATGCTGATATCTCCACAGCCTGACCCGTGAGCTCGAGAAGAAGTTCTCCGACCGCCACGTCCTGATCCTCGCCTCGCGCCGCATCCTACCGCGCCCCAAGCGATCCGCCCGCTCGCGCAACACCCAGAAGCAACAGCGCCCCCGCTCGCGCACTCTGACTGCCGTCCACGATGCCATCCTGTCTGATCTCGTCTACCCCGTCGAGATTGTTGGCAAGCGCACCCGCACCAAGGAGGATGGTAGCAAGCTCCTCAAGGTCGTTCTGGACGAGAAGGAGCGTGGTGGTGTCGACTACAGACTCGACACCTACTCCGAGGTCTACCGCCGCCTCACTGGCCGTGGTGTCACCTTCGAGTTCCCCCAGACTGGTGCTACCGATTACTAGGGTTAGGCGGAAGTTATCTGGTTCGATGGTTGACTGGATCTCGACGTAAATGAATGGGCTCTGCTGAAGAGGATTGGTTTCGCCCTGCATTTGGCGTCTATGATAATGCTATCATAGCATAAATGGAACAAATTTTTCTTGGTGGACAATACCTCACAAAAAGGCATGGCGTCTAGGTAGCTTGACATTCCACGTGGTTAATGACAAGCCCGGTTCTTTGATGAATTTTTACAAACTGCTTCTATAGTCTGAAGGCCTTGTGTGTGTGTGTGTTGATGAAACCCTCGAAACAATTTATTCTATAGACTCAAAATCAGACACCCGACTCATGCTCCCTATCCCAAACCCCGCATACAACGCCCTATCTTACCCCTGTATGCTGTTTTCGTGCCATGAAGACCCAACCACTCTACCTTGCAATACACTGTGAACGCCGATATATGACCGTCAGCAATCGTTTACTCTCAAATCTCGAACAGTAATCAACATTATTCGTGAACACTTTCATTAACTTTTACGAGTCGTTTCTTCGCATTCGGGGTATCTAGACATCCATCCATTCTCCGTCCGACCACATACACTCCCTTTCTATTCATTCCGGACTAATCCGTCCAATCCCGAGGGCACACCAATACGCCAACTCCTTCTTCTCTTTGGTCTCCTTGTCCTCCCTGTCCTTCCCCGTAACCTGATCTGCTGACGCCTCCCACTCGAGATGGACAAATATGGGAATCTCAACGATATCCTCGTCCTCTCTCAGGGGACCGAGGTCGTCTACTTCGCCCAGCTTTTTTAGTATGGTGGGCTTGGGCTCGATCTGTATTGAAGAAGGTACCACCTCGACCACGACGCTGACCCAGTTCCGGCCGCTGTCCCATTCCTTCCCCGCCTCGACCTGCTGGCCCGTGGTATCGCTCCGTTTCCGCTGTGGATCCTTGTCCCGGTCCTTGAGCACCTCATCGAGATTGTAGTCGTCCGAGTTAGCGCCGATCTGGAACTGCGGACATAGTAACGTGACCTTGGACGCGAAGCGGCCCGGCGTGACGGCCGGCGTGGCGAGCGTCACCTTTATAGTCTCAAAGATAGGGTTCTTGAACGTTAGGAGATACTGTACGGGCTTGACCGGTGTAAGGAGATGGGTCGTTGGCCCGCCGGGCGCGCCCACAGGGATCAATGGCTTGATCGTGATGGAAGGGATATAGTTTCCTGCTATCAACCGCATGCGCCAGCGTGTGTTGCTCACTTTGGCCTCTGGTTTGCTAAGAATGTGTCGACAACTCGGGCAGCGCTTGGTCCGCTTCGTGCGCAGTACGTATGGAATGGGCCACAAGTCTGTCGCGAAGCGCGCCCCTTCCTCAACCTGCACATTGACCTGTGCCCGTGTGGCGGTTCCGTCATACCCTGCGCTTCGCAAACCCGACATGACGCTTGTGTCGTCGAGTTTAGCCGGGAAAAGGCCTTCTTTAGTAGTATCAGCCTCACGCATTATGGTGGGCTTGCTCTTGGGCTTTGCAGAGCTTAGCGTGTTGCCCGAGTATAGACTCATTATGCGAGAGAGTGCACCAGGTGATCCGTAGCCGTAATCCATGGTGCTACCAAGCCCGGAATTGGGATTTTCGTTGCTCATTTGTGTTTGGTAAAAGGACTTCAGGGAGGCAAAGCGTGCCTTGGTGGAACCTGGCTCACCGTCGGCGTCTCTCTTGGTTGGATACGTGTCACCATCACCACTAGAGGTGTACCGGGAATGATGGTTGTCATAACCACTGCGAAGTTTTGAGAGCTGGGCAAAGATACCCTGCGGCTTGTCGAACTTGACGCCGATTTCTGACGAATTCCAATTGCAGTATGAGCAGCAAAGGATCCAAGGGCCCGCCGGGCCAGTGGCGGTGGCGTGGTCGGCCGAGAGAAGGGAGGGTTCAGGCGCCGCAGGTGTCGACTCGAGGGATTGCACAGACAGGGGACCAATGCAGATGGGACATTGGAAGCAACTGCGTGTGCATCTGCAGAACATTTCGTGGTGAGCCTCGATGCATATTTAAGAGTACTATGCGGTGTAGCAGAGCTAAACATACCTATTCCCCTCTGTTTTCACGCTGCTATTCCCCACCTCAAACAGGCAACTGGGACAGTAGAGGGTCACGACCTCTTCTGTAACACACCTCTCACAACGGACCGTATGGCAGTCCTCGCAGTACAGCATATACTCGATCGGATACAAGCTGTAGTTAGAGCGGGGAGAGCGGGGGTCGAAGTCGCGTTCGTCATCTTCGGGAGACGAATGCGATGTGGGCGTCGATGCGCCGTCCGGAGAGCGCGATCCTGGAACCGAGTCGACACAGGGACACTGGATGTACGCATATGGTGTAAATGAAGCCATGGGAAAGCCTTTGGATGGTTTCTACATGGCAACAGAAAGGTTAGCACCACTCAGGAAGCGAATTCGATTGTCGGAATAGGGTTGAAAGGTCGAAGACGCAAATTGGTTGTTGCGACCGTAAACATTTGCTTCAAAGCTCCCCTGTAAACCACCATCTTTCAGACGACGCAAGGATGTGCGATCAATTGCCATTCCATGCCAGGGGCTATCACTGATAAGATTGCAGCCCTGGCGCCCTAGAATCCACTGCGGAACAGCTAAACTGTCGGAACAAGGAGCTACTTTACACCGAGATCTGCCCAAGTGGTTGCTACATCCCGATTCAATATTGATTGCTTGGGAACAGGCCTCCTCTGTACTTGCCTTTTCTCAAGTCTCCATAGTAACGTCACGTTTCAGGTTGAAGGCTTTGGTGATATGCATGTTTGCAAGCGTCGTTTACGCTCATATGTCAGCAAATTTGCCTATTTGAAGTCATCCTGGTCTGACCACAACTCCAACTCCTCTTTCAGCCCGACCCGGCCCTTCCAGCAACTATCCTGGGCTTTTATCCAGGATTTTGTTGATTCAGCGGTTTAGAATTCCACCCTGTGAGCAGTTGCTAGCTCGTTATGATCCTTGAGGAAGCACGGCATTGAGCACTGTTTCGACGAACTTGTACGACGACCATGCTATTCACTCGGGAATCGGCATTGTGAGCTAAATCGCATCTGTGCTCGTACATGTTGCGCTATTCTATTCTGGCAATCCATCTACTTCATCCGAACATGCTACTAGATGCTCTGATTGGGCTCTAAACAGCTGCGATTATCCCTTGCCAACTGCGGAAGTCTGGCGTCATCATTGGCCATCTAGACGGATGCCGTCTCTCCCTTGGTATGGGTTGATGCATCGACTATCTGTATACAATGAACCCATTTCTCCAAGGAAGCCCAGTGGTGGCCCTTTCCACATCCAAACCAGGGGCATTGCGCCATGTAGCCAAACATCGACAGCTTCTCATGTACTGCATAATGGCGCTCAGCCTCCAGACAAGTATTTGGTTGCACCGCATCTTCCTCGCCTTTCCATTTCGAACTTTTCTGCCTCACTGGACCCGAACTTATGGTAACGTTAGGCGACTGAATCTGCATGGATTATGGGACTGTAGGTCGGCGAACTCTATGCCAAGTAAGTCTGGCAAGGTGGTAAACAAGAAGCTATGGTGAGGCTAGAAGAATCCAACAACTGGCTCGGACGTCGATCCGCCAAGCTGGATCGCCAGTGCCATTGAATGTTCAGACGACCCCCACGTCTGCCCTTGAAAGATCTCAATCCCATTCTCATCCATGCTGTGCCTACAGGATTGCTGCGAAAGCTACGTCTCCAACTCGTCGATGCGTCATGTTCAGAATCTCATTTTGGACACGGCTACCGACAACGGAATTCACGCTATACCTGAGGGAACTCAACCCGCTCCAACAAATGAGCAGAAGCTAGTAGCCGGCCTTTGTCGCCACCGCGCTGCACTTGTTGGAGACACGGAATTAGTCGCTGCGCTGTGGCCACGGGAAACACTCTGATGGCAAGAAATAATCTGACCGCAACAGGCTTCTGAGCAGCGATGAATCGGGACTCGGACACGAGAAGTCCAAATGGGGTGCAGAAGACATGCTTGACTGTACAGTTGTCAATCGATAGGCCAAATGACAGGGAAGAACAACGGCTTGCAGATTTAAAAAAGACAGCCGTAGTAGCTGAGTGGCCCACCTCAGCCCCAAACCTGCAATCGATGACCGAGGGCTGCATCAGATTGGCGATCCCCCAACATCCGGTCCACAGCGGGCGGGTTGGCACCTAGCTGATCTTGCGATATCGTCACCACTGAAAGATGCAAATCACTCAAGGCCTTCGTATCTTGAGATTTGAACAACAACATTTTGAGTTTGCAGAGTTCAAATCCTCGAGAGCCACTGTTCGGCTCCTTTGCTAGTATAAGGGGCCTGTTATTAGCTTCGGTGCTTTACCACGACTATTTGCACAGCTGTGACTGTTTTATCGCAGAAATCAGTGCTAGCAGCTTGAGGATTTTTACACATTCTAGCAAGGGTCAAAGGACCCTGGCGTTGTCCGGTCAAGCCGCCCACGGTGACACCAAGTCAGGTTTGGGCGTTAGATGGGCGTTAGCACCACTTGGGGCAAAGGTCCAGCCGCTTGGCATACCCGATCGCGCTCCAAAGGTCTCGGGAGCGGCTTGCGTGGCGGGCAGCATATAAGTCTTGTTCCTCCTCGCGGCTGAGCTGCAGCAGAGTTTTGTGGGAGCCCCCAATGTCTGACGTCTTCCATCGTGCATGTCAAAAGTGATCGTTTTCCCCGAAGTCAAGCCTCATGAGGCTCCTGAGGTTACCACTTCAACGACCAATGGACGGGCGCTACCTAAAGCAACAACTAAGTTGAGTGCGCCAATCAACCGGGGCCCCCGTTCATCGACGTATTGGATCTGGGAGGTCATTGAAGGGTTGGATCTGCCAGCATTCCCCCAGGTCATCCGCTTCTATCCGGACTGAACCTTGAGGAATCATACTTCAGTTAAACACCTGCTATCCTATTTTGTGGCGAGCGCACTCACCTCACACTCGTTTCTTAATACCGATCGTTGAACGCGCGAGGAATATGACGCTTCCGAGAGACCTTTCTCTGTACAATGGAGTATCGAACCGATCACGTGGCTGGAAATCGAGGAAAACGGACAAAGTAATGGAGGGGTTAATGACAAGTAATACTGGTGTGATGAGGTGGGATGGTGCGGCAAGGTCGAGCGCGGCGTGGGACAACTTGAGAAGGGTAAGCTCTCGCTCCAGAGGCATTTCTGGTCGCGTTGACTTATCAAATTTCATAGGATCCCGCACTCTGGTTCCGCGAAGGTGATTGCTATGTGCATCTCTACGCACAAGGTCAATCCAGGAGGGGCCCAGCCTTCAAGGTTCCTTTCTCTGGATTGACGGAGGCCAGTTGCTATCCGCTGATCGACAACTTCATCTCGAGCGAGATATCTATTCCCATCACGCCTGGCTCAGATATCAGTGCGTACTACCGAAAGACCAGCAATCAGAACCGTGTCGATCTATACATACCCGCGCCTCCAAGATCGGACAAGCAGCAGTCTTACAAGTATCACTTGGCAACTCGCAACTTCTTTGCGTGGATATTCAGGAGATCCATGGTTGGAGAGTATCTAGGCGTGGCTCTCATTACCCTCATGCGCAGCATGCATGATTTCCGGACTCACGATGTGGACAACCAGGCAGATTTGATGAGTTACCTGGACGAAGAGGGTTATTTGGATTTTAAGAGTCAACCGTCACATGCTCTCGCGGCTCTCCATCTTGCCGAGGTGTTTCAGCTCCGCGATCTTTATATCGATGCCTTTGCGCACTGCTGTGGGATGAGTGATCAAGTATTCCTTGGGCCAGAGTATCAGGTAAGACATCCCAGCAACTTACCCTTAACCATCGCAAACTAATCGAATAGCTCCTGTCATCGGTGACGAGGAAACTATTACGCCGCGCTCGAGTAGAGATGGATTTGAGATTGGGCCAGATGGGAAGCATGCTGGGGACACTGCTCCAAGATGAATTATCAGAGACCTACTTGGGACTTTACCCGGGAGCTCGAGCACATCTTGAGCGGTTCCGGACCTTGTTGAATGGTCTCTACGCGGCTAAATTTGGATACTATCCTCCGCCCTCTATCGATCCAAGGACAACGATCTTCGAAGTGGATGTTTTCCGCACGATGAGGGTAGATTTTGAGGCGTTGTTCCAATACTTAGTGGATAATGATTACGAGCCGTCGCAGAGCATCCCGATCTTGGCTCAGGGGGGCATTTGCACACTTCAGAGCGTGCAAGCCTTTGACACGAGGCAGAGGTTCAAGACGCTGGATCATCCGCTGCCAAAGATGCCCGAGATTGCCGTGCCGGCGTCTTCACGGAGGATGTCCTGGTTGGGACGACACTTTGACGTCAAGATCGGCCCAAGTCAGCGCGCAGCTGCTCACGTCGCCTTGCTCAAAGCTACTAATCAGGACAAGATCGCCTTGTTGGACAATGATCTAGTGAGAGCGTATCGCAAGTTTGAGGAGGATTCGATATATTCGCCGCTGAAAGCAGACAAGCAAGAAAACATCGGGCTCATTGATGCTCGCAAGGTTAGATGGATTCTGATATATTCTATCTATCAGGTTCTAAGATCAGCGACGGAGCCACCGTCCGAGGTCAAAGATTCGCGGGAAACCCCCTACCATCTCTGCGTAGCGACAACAAATATTCCCCCGTGGAAGGAAGAGAGGGCAGTACATTCACTCATTCGTGGACAAAACTCAAAGATAACCCGCAACCCGTCTACCTCTACGGCGGGCTGGAGCGGTACTACAGATTATCATACTCCACCCATGACGCCGGAGATCAAACCGGATATTGACTATCTCGCTCTTGCGCGCAGCGATGAGTCGACAGAGTTGTCCAACGGAATCAAGGTACCTGGGCGGAGGAGTAGTATCTCGACTAACCCCGTTATGCGATCGATGAGTATCTTCAACCGTCAAGAAAAGCAGTCGCCGCAGCATCAACGCAAACCCACGACACAATATCACGAAATCGTAGTCCACGGCTACGGAAATGGTACTAATGAGGTCGAGTTCACACAACCGCAGGAGAAAACACAATTGTCTCAACAGGAGCAAGATCAAGAACAAGATCAGGAAAGCCTGAAAATCATTGTAGTTGACACAAATCTCAAGATCAACAACAACACGACCACCGCGCGGTCACCTTCGACATCATCGGATACACGTAGCTCAACCGCCAGCAGTAACTCCGAAGGAAGCTCCGGTACGACGGCAAACACCTCAGTTACTGAGAGTCCCACTACAACAACCTATCCTATGAATTCGTGGGGCAGTCGCCGCAGCAGCGTTTGTGTACGGCGGCGCGTGCGCGACATTGGTTTCATCGACGGCGCTGCCATGAGGACAATGTCCATGTACGAACAAACATCACCACCACGTCCGCACACGCAACACGGTGGCCCGATTTCTACACCCGACAATTCAGACAGCGGCTCGCTCCAGGGCTCACCATCACGGTTTCGGTCTATGAGCGTCCAGCGCGACAATCGCTTGTCTTCGTCTTACCGCAAGTCGCTCGAGCCATTGCCATTGAATATACACAAGGCGGCAACGCTGAACAACAAAAAGTCAGAGAAAAAGAGGATGGGAATGGGAATGGGTACGAGCATGGTTACAGCGACGAGTCCCAGCAAGAAGAGCTCGGTTCCGTCGCCGAATGTATGGGAGGATATTAAGGCGCTTGTGGATGTGAGGAGTAGCGGCGTGGATGATATTAAGGCGGCTTGGGAAATGTATAATGATCTGGGTGGGTTGACGGAGATGAACGATGCTGCGGGCACGGCTGTCAGGTGAAAATGTCGGGTTTGGGATTGAGGTAAGGACGTTATATGTGTAAAGGAGGAAACGATGGGGGTCACACTTGAAACTGCGTTGGAGGTGTAGGGAGATTGGACGCCTGTCCTTACTTGATGGTCACGCTTGACTTTTTCCTTCTCCTTGCTTCAGATTATTGAACCCTGATACCTACAACCATTCGTTTTCGATATTAACGTTTGGTAGCGAGGGGATGTGAATGCGTTTTTCTACCGGGTCCATGTTGTTCAATCAGGGGTTTATCGAGATTTCAGATTTCGGACTACGCGATCGTGTATATTATTTTGGATCACATGCAGATTTTATATGCTCGTCATTCTGGCACGGTAGCCGACAAGGTTCCCAAACTCAATTTCAATACGTATTTAGAATCAAATACCTTTCAACATTATGTACTTCTACATGAATACAATGTTATATCAAGCACGCAACCTCCCAACAAATACGAATTATCACGCCATCACCCCTATCCCTGTCGTCTTCTACTTTATGCTTTGTATAATAACGTCAAAGCGGCCAAGCTTCACAACTCACACCCATCCATGTGGATGAGCTTCACTCTGATTTGACGTTGTTACCACCTGCCGTCGAGGACGAGGCGGCTGTGAGGCCCTCGATGATCTCCCCACCAATCACGTAGATCATGTACGTGGGGAAGACGAGCCACGCCATGCTTGAGAAAGGTCAATCATCTGTTTATCTCGTTTGCTCTTTCTGATAGCGCTTGATCTCGTCAAGTGCACTGCACAAGTACAAGGGGAGAGAGGGAAGGAGGAGAGAAAACTGACTTTGGAATAATCCACATGGATATCAAATCTTGCCAGGTGTTGTGGCCGATATTGTTGAAACCGGAGAAATACTCATTGGCCCCTGTCTCGGTAGGTCTGCAGTTAGCTGCTGAAAGTACACAGAACACGATGCGCCAAAATATTAGCGGCCACGGCTGTTATTCCAGTCGCAATCTCACAATCTCAAATCAACGAGGTGGAAAACAAGGGGGAGAAACTCACAATACAACACCGTCTTACTCAACGTCATAACCGCCGCACTAAATGCCAACAGCGCCGCCCACGCGGCAGGCTTGCCCGTCAACACCCGCTTCTCCCCCACAGCACTAACGCCCTCCCGCTTCTGGCCCCTAGAAAAGTATATCCACACATACGCCAAATACATGGCCGTCTCGACGACATTCAAGCTCCCCTGGGCGCCCGGGAACCCGTCGTGCGCCTCCCAAGACTTCCACCCGTACACATGGTCCACCTCGCCGTACAACTTGTAGGGCGTGTAGAGGGGCCGGTGAAGGAACCCGCCTTCCATGGTGTAGGGCCGCCCAAGCACGTAGCCGCAGTCCCAAATTACAAGGGGCAGGGAGACGCACATCCAGAAGAGGGTTGTACGGTCGGGGGCGTGGTGCCAGAATTTGGGTGTCGGGGACGCGGAGGTTGTGCCCGGCACGAGGTTTTTGGAAGAGCGAGTGGTCACCATTGTCGCGGCTGCCGTCGAATGAGACCCGGATCAGCCGGATCGGGCGGATTTGGCGGATTTGGCGGATTGAATGGGCTCGCGGCGGTCGAGATGAACTTTCGAGATCAGTGACTGACTGACTGACTGCCTCTGCGCGGAGTCAATACTGAACGTTATGATCGAAAGGTGGTTTTAGTGGCGGTTCGGTCGTGGGTTTGACGAAGGTGAAAGAGTTCGAAGCCTGCGCGGTGGACGATGAAGGAACACTGGGGCAAATAAAGCATATCAATACGGCGACAGCTACACTTCATAACAGGCATAACAGGCATAACAGAAGCTGCCAGGCCATATTTAAAGTTTTCCCTATCACTCCGCAGAAGAGTGGAGACCCATGCCGTGCTGGTCCAATGAAGGTAGGTTGCATCAGCAGAATGACGGGACCAAGGATGACAATTGACGAAAACCTGGGGGTTTAATTGATTCGGCTGGTTCTCTTCCCGAGAATTGCAGACGCAACAACGTCGGTGTATCGGCCCAGCCATTTGCCAATTGGGAGCTTGAGGCGCTGCAGGCAACGGTTAATCAGCTAAATGTAAGTAAATCACTCCATTCCTACAGTGGTTAATCACCACGGAGGTACGGACTTGATTCATCGAGGGTGGCGAATCATGGAGTTAGTTGGACTGGTGCCACGGGTGCGCTACTGAAGTAGTCCGGTTGCTAGCATAGTGCCTGACAGGCGCCTCACTGCACTTTCACCCATTTTTGCATGTCTATAATATCATTCCGACGAGACTTCGACTGCCTACTTCGATAGCTTCGCGTGGGAGGTTCCTATTTGTACTATGTACATTTCCTTGCGAACTGAAGCTGTAGTTTCTACCCTGCGATATCAATGGATTCAATAGCGCAACGCAGGCGGTTGATTATGTCCAGGTATTGGTAACTCAAAGGCACAAACCGCACGGAAGGCAGTATTAGCATACAGCAGTACTCCTTGGGAGAATCGAAGGTAATACGCACAAAATAATACTTAAGTGGTATTGACTTATGAACCTACCTGGCTACGTCTAATGATCGAGGATTTCATGTCCGAATCGAGATATACGAGACATACAGCGGTGAGTTATCTGGCAAAGGCAATGTGATCTGAATAGGCACGGCACAAGTGCATGAAGCTTAATTGTGCAAATGCCAAGCTATATGCATATCTTCACAGTACGGTGGTGCTCGTGAAGATGGTTCTTGGGCTGTTTCAGACCCGGCCGTCCTACAGAGTCGACAGCGAGACAATGCAAGCCGTCAATAAAACATATCGTCGATCTCAACCCTTTCTCCGTAGTAAAGTGTTAACTAGTTGCTTAACTGTAACTTATTGTAAACTTTACTAACGTATGCCTATTAAATCTGAGCACCTCTCTAGAGCAGCTCATGTGTTGCGACTTCGAAGAGCAGAGCTCTTCTAATCCCCAGTGGCTGCCACGACGCTATCGTGTTGGTGCGTTGAACTCTCCAAAGTCGCCAGCACCTAGATTTCTGATAGGGAAACCGGACAGAAGCGAAAGCGGTCCAAAGTATTGTTTGCAAATTAAGGCTAGTACTGAAATACATCCACATGGCCTCGAGACAACGAGACTCAACTGCCCGTTATACCGACCCGAATACATTCCTCGCAATCTGCATATACCTATCGTAGGTACAATAGTCCGACTCGGTGTTATTTTGAGGTACCTCGGTACCTGCAGCTAGCTACCCTCGTGCTCCACACAGAGTTCGCACCAGGTGATGGGTGTGGGGCTCTGTTGGGCTGGAAGCTCATAGATGCAGGTGGGTAAGGGGAAGAGCGACCCGCACTGCAGACTGCAGCTACTCTTCACACGGGCCATCTCTGGCTAATGAACTAAGCCCCTTCTGGTTTCTGCTGCACACTTGCAACCTCCGTCGCTCTACCCATCACTGCTTTACTGATATACGTACATCTTCCGGAGGCTTTCAAAACTTGATTACAGCTGCGTTAGCGCCAAATATCGTACTCATACCTTTCTCCCCACAGACGAGCTACACTGATCTCGGTCATGATTTTTGGGCACATCAGGTGTCTATTCGGTCACTGTGTCTTCGACCCCACGGTAACAAGGCGCGCCCGCCCCAAGTCGGTAAAGGTATGGATTGTCGAATGGGTGAACGTGGTCGCCCAAACCCGTGCTATATCAATGTGTCCTACACTCCTTAAGCAGTATCCCATCTGCCCGGCCCCCATAGGAGCTGCCTCTGTGTTTCTTCCTCCATCCAGCCCCTTCCGTCTGTGCCTGTCCTCCTAGATTCATCTCCAATTCCCAACTACCGACGGCTCGGTCATACTTTACGCAACTTCCGTCCTGCCGAACCCACACCTCAACGTCTCCCATCTAGCGCGCCGTGTGCAGCCTTCCCATCCGAGCAGCCACTCGGGGGCCGTTGCCCCTCAAGCTGGGCCACCCCTCTTGAGGGTCCTTGCTGAAAACATACCGTGCCTGCCTCGCAAGTGTCGTGTCCGTGACCCTGACACTGCGTATCCCCCCAGAATGGCAAATTTTACTATTGGGCATGCTGACGCTGCTCAAGTCCGACCCAGGAAGACATTGAATGGCAGGTACTTCGTCTGCCGCCAAAGCAGCAGAGCCGCACTGGGAAGAAACTCGGCCACACTAGGGACGAATTGGCTGGTCACAGACATACGTACCTGGAAGAACCACACCATGAAGGCAATGCGACCAGATATTCGGGCACATGAATGGTCAGACCGAGATCTGCAAGTGATGCGCGAGTTGAGCCGCCAGACAAACCACCGTGACGCCCGCTTCATCAACCGCCTTATAGACGACTTCATCATCGTAGATCACCAGGGCCAGCACCGATATCTGATCTTCGAGGAGCCTGTTGAGATGAGTCTACGAGCCTTTGAAAGTTGTTTCCCGAACCGCCAGCTCCCCGAAGATACTTTGGGGACAATCACAAGACAGCTTCTACGCGCGGTTCGATTCGCGCACGGGAGGAATGTCGTGCTCAACTTTTCTCCAGACAACGTGTTCATCAAAACAATGCAACCGATAAAAACTCGCGCACGTATCCGTGATTTGGCTAGATATGTCTGCGGGGGCGTCGAGAAAACATGCCCTGGGCAGGATTTGTGGGACAGTGCCGGCAACCTGCGCTTCGAGATTCGTCTCTGGAACCTCGAAGCCGCCCACCAGGCTGGTACACCATTGCGGACGAGCCTTCAAGCCACCGCCATCTACCCTCCGGAACTCCGTATCGGCATCCCCGTCGAGAATGGACAATCCGACGATCCACCACCTATTGTCGACAAGCCGGCCGACATCTGGAATCTCGCCCCTTTCATCTTCCAGCTTGTTACTAAGCAGCCTCTCTTATTGGGACGTCGCGCTTGCACATTCGCCCATACAGACGACGAGGAGGCGAATATGGAGTGCCTAGCCGAAATGATGGCCTTATTGGGGCCAATCCCAGAACGTATGAGAGGAGATATCTGGGACAAGATATATGTTCGCCTCGACGAGGAAACGTCAAAATTTGATGAGCCGATAACACCGCCAAGCCGCCGCTCCTTGAACGATATTTTCGACGCTTTGAATCACCCGGAACTGCCGGTATCTTTGCGCCCAAATATGAACCTGTTCAAGGACTTCATCAGATGCATGTTCTGTATGGACCCGCAGCAACGATGTACTATCAACGAGCTTTTGAGCCACCGACTGCTTCAGGGATTGCACTGAATTTGGTCAGGCCCAAGCGTGAGAGCGAATCTTGTTTCTGTTGCAATTTTCATTTGGCACAGGGTTCGACGGGGTTTGGGAGGAGGAATGGGGGTTCCCGTCGAGTTTGTTGTGTTATCTCCCTTGCTAGCCCCGGTACTTGCGCTGCTAGTAGGATGGAGAGGTTAGAGACGAAACTTCATCTGCAGAACTCTAATCAAAGACACACCCAGCGTGGCTCATGGCTTTGATATTGCAAACGTTACGGAGGGATCATGAACATGGGTACAAGGGCGTGTTCAGACGAGTATGAGAGACGAGATGTCACTAGGTTGGATCTGTATGTGTAAAGACGCAACGTTCGCACGCAAAGGCTGGGTAGGAAAGGCGGTTGTCTTTGTCAACGACCTGTTGCTGCGTGTAACATGCGATACAGTTCGTGCCTCCAAAAAAGGGGCCCGATGGGCCGGCAATAGGATGTCGGTGTCGGCTTTGCGAGTCGCGTCTTCAGATCCACGTGGCAAAACAGAAATTGACTGGGGCTGGCCTGTGCGCAATTACGAAAGATGGTGCCATCACCGACTTCCGTGGGGTACCGGCCGTCGGTCAATGTACCCTAGATAATGTAAATCAAGGCCCAAATGCTTTTGTAAAATGGAAATTTTGAAGATATATTCGGGCCAAACAATTGGCAGATTGCAACTGAGACGACAGGACGTACGAATTCTTGTCTCGATAGAGTCCGTGATTCAGTGATTTAAGTGACAGCTACAACAGTTGACCGCATCAGGGCTGGCGGCTATGAATTAAGGTTAAGCATCGGGGCCGCTCTTTCCCACCCTGGAAGATAATCCCGACAGCCGATCTGGACGGTAAAGTTGGGAAAACGGGGTTCTGTCAAAGGAAAAAGCGGAGACTGTGGGATAAGACGATAACGCAATTGCTTGGGACGAAGGTGTGCGTCGTCCCGTGGTACGGTGAGACCATCCAGGCCCTACGCAGGCCATGACCATTGGAATGAACAATTCATCATATATCTATGAGACAATAAATGCTCCCAATACGCAATCCCAAATTCGCTTTAGGCCCTTTACTTAGCATCCAACCCAGTGGAGTCACAGAGCCCCGACTTACACCAACACCACCAGCGAAGATCCAAACAACGACGCCGGACGACAGTTCAATCTCCTCTACCCAGCCATAGCCGCCCCATCCCTATTGCGCAAACGAACCTTGGCCATTGCGAATACTTGTCAGCCTCCCAAGCGGTCAAAACCGAGACCAAAAAATCTCTTGTCTTCCAGGACAGGCCTTTGCTGAGTCTTGTGTATATCCGAGCCACCATCCCCAGCAATTTCAAGGACAGGGCGGTCTGCGCTCAGCACGTCATTCTGCGCTGTCTGACCTCAATCGATTTGTTGTCCGCCAGGTCGCACACGCTGCCCAAGGCGCCCTCTGTTAACGACATGAGTGCGACGCGAGCACCCGCTGTCTAAAACTTTTTTTCTATGGTGCCATACCTGTCGTTATGAGGCACCAGCAACAAATACTCAGCTATGGCGAGCTTACCATCTCCACCGTTGACCAGTGGCCACGGCCCCTTTCCGAGTCAAGATGCCATGGCTTTACGCTCCAATGATACCGCATCTTCCATGAACCTTCTCTCCCCTGCGTCATCCACCTCGAGACCGATCGACGACACCAATAAACCCTCCAGAGATAACTGTGACCGCCGGCGACCAGAGCAGGAGAAGTCATCCCGCTTGCCTAACAACATGCCGTCGCAATCGTTGGGCCAGTCCGTGACTCCTTTCTTGAGGGAACACATACCTGGAATATACGCGCCCATCGGCAAGCCGGACATACCAGCCATGCTCAGCGTAAAAAACAAGGATCCGAACAGCAAGTTTTGCTATCGACATCGCCCAGACTCGAAATGCCGGAAGGCCGCCGACGAACACAAGATGGGCGAGCTTCAGACGGTAAGTCGACTTCGAGATGGCTGGAGTGGTCACGAATGCAAGCCATTATGCTAATACCACATCATACAGGAACTTGAGATGCTTCCCCAAGCCGATCAACAGGCCATCAGTCATGTGTGGGCATTGTTCTCGGCGGCGCCCTCCAAGCACCGCGAGTTGATGCTCAAGGGCATGGTGACACAATGCTGTTTCCCGCAATTATCTATGATATCTCGAGAGGTGTCCGAATGCTTGAAAATCGACTTTCTATCTACCCTACCGACCGAATTGTCCTTCAAGATCCTCTGCTTCCTCGACTGCGCATCGCTATGCAAAGCCGCGCAGGTCAGTCGACGGTGGTCGCAACTCGCTAACGACGACGTTGTGTGGCACCATCTGTGCGAACAGCACGTGAACCGCAAATGCACGTCTTGTGGATGGGCTCTGCCTAAGCTGGAGACGAAACAACTGAAGGCATTTAAGAAACAAAGACAGATCGCCATGCGGAACGGGCAACCCCGGATCACCCACTTAAACGATTTCCCCATTCCTATCAACACCTCCTCGACGCCAAGTCCCGGTAAGCGAGATGCGCCTGCGCTCGAGGACAACGACAGAGCCAAAAGGCAATGCACAAACAGTAGCCATAACGAACCAGCTGCAATCCAGACGGCGGTGGGCCCGAGGTTTCGACCGTGGAAGGATGTCTACAGAGATCGTTACGCCATTGGCTCCAATTGGAAGTACGGTCGATGCTCTATTCGACTTTTCCAAGGGGAGCACACGAATGGCATCACCTGCTTGCAATTCGACGACAATGTCCTCGCGACGGGTTCCTACGACAATACCATCAAGTTGTGGGACATTGAGAAAGGAATTGTCAAACGAACCCTGGTCGGGCACACCTCAGGTGTCAGGGCGCTTCAATTTGATGACCGCATGCTTGTCAGTGGAAGTCTGGATGGCACAGTACGCATCTGGAAATGGCGCACAGGCGAATGCATCAACACCCTTCACCACCAAGGTGGAGTCATCACCGTTCACATGGATGGAGACCTGGTTGCATCTGGCTCGATGGATCAGTTTATCAAGGTATTCAACTTCAAGACTCAGCAGTCTTTCTGTCTGCGGGGCCACGACGACTGGGTCAACCAAGTCAAGCTCGATGGAGCATCCAGAACTCTCCTTTCCGCCTCGGATGACTGTACCGTCAAACTTTGGGACCTTGACACCAAGAGCTGCATCCGCACCTACACGGGCCATGTTGGCCAAGTCCAGCAAGTCCTTCCGTTGCCGGATGATTTCGAATTCGAAGATGGAAACTCGAGGGATGCCGATACTGTCTCAGTGGCCAGCGGTCGCAGCAGCTCGCCAGGACATGGATCTTCCATTAACAAGTCGTCGCCACTAATCGACGACGAGCGCTCCGCATATGGGCATGCCTTTATGGAAGACCCTGAGCGACCACTTCCCCCACGATACATGCTCACCGGATCCCTGGACGCGACGATGCGTCTCTGGGACACGGCTCAGGATACGGTGCAGGAGACGCCGACACGAACCGGATTCCAGAACCCGGCACAAACGGCCACCAAAGGATGCCTTCAGACCTTCTTCGGCCACGTAGAGGGCATATGGGGCCTCGTTGGTGATTCCCTCCGCTACGTGACGGGCGCTAATGACGCGACCGTCAAGGTGTGGGATCCCAAGTCCGGCCGGTGCGAGCGGACTTTCGCCGGCCACGAAGGGCCTGTGACCTGCGTGGGTCTCAGCGACAGCCGCATGGCCAGCGGAGGCGAGGACGGTGTGGTGAGGCTGTACAAGTTCGACACGGATCCGAACGAGGCCGAGGAGTTCGGCACGCCGGCTTAAACCAAAACCACAACGATGGCGAAGGTCAATCTTGGACGACGGCAATGACGACGTCGATCTACTGCAACACTACTGTATCATTTGCGTCTTTTCGTTGTCATATGCTTGGGACGGCGTTTGAGATACCACTATAAGTAAATACCGGACTGGAAGTCCTCGAGGACCGGGGAGGGGATCCAGCCAACAAGGTTGAATTTTTGGGGAGTTTCCATCTCACCTTTCAGCGGGCGTCGATTTGACCTGTATATTCTTGACATAATTGGATGGGGGAGCATAGTCGGCTGAAGATAAAAATTTCGAATGCTCTGCCCGTAAGGGGTAAGTGTTATGGATGAGCCCTCAAAATTTCATATTGCCTACCGCAGTGCCATCACCGACGTGCTGTAAGCGTTCAAACAGCTGGTGAAATGGGAGCATTATATCTAAACTACACGTAACGTACGAACTTTGCCCTGACATGTGAGACGCAGCAGGGAAATGCAAGCGCTGACTCGATTCGGGGTGTTTGTCATGTGAATATGACAGAATATGACAGGAAAGCCTCGAGAGTCTCGAATACACCAGGACGGGTATTGGATGTCTCACTTGATGACTGATACGAGACTACAACTACAAATCAAACATTCCGTTGCTATACAATTGCGTTTCGCCTTACATCTACACAGAATAGCTCCAATATGGTGGTTTCAATGCTAGATGTACCGAGGTAGCTTTTGTTCGTTCGACTTTGAGGTCACGAATCATAGGTAGAATCCAGTTCCCCGGAGAAACCCGGAACAAGCCGATTTCTGGGGGAAAGGGGAAATTGGGGGATGGAGGCACAGCTGCAGGGGTAGGTCGGTACGTGCAAGGCAAGACACTGGGCTGCGGCTGGGCTCCCCCGCAAAATCACAAGCTCGGCTCCCGGTCGGTAAATAAAAAATCGGTTATCGACGTCACTGGGAATCACAGGCCGAAAACACAATTGCAACTGCATACCTTAAAGAAACCGGAAACAACAGCGTTGTTGGCAGGAGGGAACATGTGCATCAATTGGTATTGGTAAATTCAATTGGGACTCGGATGCCGGGTGCCAATGGTTTTCGGTTGTCTGCTGATATACTGAAGATCAGTTCTTCTGCAGATGCATCATTTGAGGTTTGTCCAGGGTTGGCAACGAAGCTCCGGTCCACCGAGTGTCTGGCTTCCGGCAATGCGAAAGCCCATCCAAGCCCATCTGATGGCTGCCATGGACCACAAGGTTTGATACAGGTAAAGCAGTTCAGGCAACACCCCCACAATGCGCTACCTACTACTGGCTAGTGTGCGTCGAATCGATCGAGTTCGTGTCAGCCGCGGTCAGTCGGGTGCGTGACTGGCGCTTCTCGGGAAGAGAGACAGACCTCCTGACATGGCCTGGTCTGGTTCGGTCTGGATCGCGGGTTATATACCTGACCAACCCTAGGCCCAGCTTTGAACGAGGTAGGTTGGCTTGATGTTTCTGTTGGCTCGGAGTCGTCCAGTTTCCTTTCGACGTGCCCTTCTTCTCGCATCTGCGTTTTAGCCCCTCTTCTGCCGTTCATGGTTCTACCACTCCAGTAAAGTAAACAAAGGAAAGGAGGTTTTCTCGCTCTTTCTTTATTTGTTACCTCGAATCTTGTTAACGGGCTCCCTTGGATGGTGGGGACTGTTAAGACATACTCTTGAAGACGGTCGAGCTTTTCTTCTTTTCTGTCTTACCTGAGAGCTCTTGAGTTTCTGGTATAGTCTAGCTTTGGTATCGCCATCCAGGACGGGAGAAGAGACAGGTTGTCGGATCGATTGTAACGAGAGGGCGCAAGCGCAGTTACGACAGAACAATGGCGACCACTGTGAATGGCAAGGACGGCAAGGGGCCTCCGTCGGCGGCGACGAATCTGATCGGTAAGCTCAGCTCAAATCTCAACTATACTAGAAGGAGCAAAGTGAGTAACATCTACACCTCCAGCCGGCGGAGGAGCAGGTATGATGGAAGCCCTGGCATGCCATCCCCTCGGTACGACCTCCCCCTATCCCCTGAGCCTCCGCGCTCGTCACTCCCCCTTCTAACTATAATCCCCAACAGACACAATAAAAGTGCGCATGCAACTCTCCCGCCGCGCCCGCCAACCTGGCGCCCCCAAACGCGGCTTCATCAAAACCGGCGCCGAGATTATAAAACGCGAAACTCCTCTGGGCCTCTACAAGGGCCTAGGCGCCGTCCTCACCGGCATCGTGCCCAAAATGGCCATCCGTTTCACCTCGTTCGAAACATATAAGCAAATGCTCGCTTCCGACACAGGTATAGTCTCAGGACAAGCGACTTTCCTGGCCGGTCTCAGCGCAGGAGTTACCGAAGCCGTCGCCGTAGTGACGCCCATGGAAGTCATCAAGATCCGGCTCCAAGCCCAACACCACAGCATGGCGGACCCGCTCGACATCCCCAAGTACCGCAACGCGGCGCACGCGTGTTACACGGTGGTGAAAGAGGAAGGGGTGGGAGCGCTGTATAGGGGCGTTTCGCTTACGGCGCTCAGGCAGGGGAGTAATCAGGCGGTGAATTTTACCGCTTATACGTATTTTAAGAAGTGGTTGCAGGAGTATCAGGGTGGTTATGAGGAGGGGGGAAAGAACTTGCCCAGTTGGCAGACTACGATTATTGGGTTGGTCAGTGGAGCTATGGGGCCGTTGAGTAATGCGCCGATTGATACGATTAAGACGAGGTTGCAAAAGATGCCGGCGGAGGAGGGGGTTTCGGCTCTGCAGCGGATTACGAAGATTGCGGGGGAGATGTTTAAGTGAGTTTCTTTTCTTTGTTTCTTCCCTTTCTTCTCTCGTCGTTGCTGGGAAGGGCGCAATGAGGGGATCATGTTGTTGCCTTGATGATATGAGAGACTATGTTGGAGGTTCAGGCATCTAAACGAGTACTAATTCATCCTAACAGGCAAGAAGGATTCCATGCCTTTTACAAGGGCATCACCCCCCGGATCATGCGGGTTGCTCCCGGCCAGGCGGTCACCTTTACCGTGTATGAGTTCTTGAAGGAGAAGTTGGAGAAGAGTGGGCCGGTGATGATCACTGGCAAATACGAGGAGTAAATTCGTGTTGTCGGTGTGTGGGTTAGATATGCCATGGAGGATATACAGAAGAGCTCGGGAGTGTCTTACCGTTCGGACATAGATAGTCGAAGCTTGGCTAGGTTATCCATTCTGGTTTGGTGTTCACACCTGGTCTCGGGCTTAAAGCCATCTGATTCATACTTGCCAACTCATCCCCGTAGCCATTCCTGCCACCCCAGTATTCCATCTGCAACTCCCACAATCATAACATGATTTCATAGTCGGTGTTTTGAATATCCTTTATTTGGTTTCCAGTCTCGTCTATCAAGTCTATCTTAGACACTGAGTGGTCTTCGTTTCAACAGATAACAACACCAGCGGTAGTCTATGCCTTAACCCTCGTCTCACACTTGGTTATCTCCCCAAACGCGTTCTTGAATTCCTGCTTCTCCATCAACCCCTCCAAGTACGTAACCACGCCCGGAAACGCCTTTCTCAACTCAGCATCAAACAAAAAATTGAAACTCGCCAACAACGGCCCCGCAACCATAATATCCGCCAACGTCAACTGTCCCCCCACAAGGTACCTCTTCTTGCCCCCATCGATGGCCAAGTCAAGCCTCTTCAAAGCCCTATCAAAATTCACGACGCAGGACTCGTACTTGGCCTCATCATATGGGACAATCTTGAGGACCGCCATGATGAACGGCGGGATCACGTTGGCAATGAGCTCCGACTCGGCAAACAGAGTCCACTCGGCGATGCGGGCCGTGGTTTGCGGTCCCGCTTCGGCGCCGAGGAGTTGGGGCGCCATGGGGCCCTGGCCCGCAAGGTACATGCAGATGGCTGCGCCTTCGGCCAGGCAGAAGCCATCGGCACATTCGAGGGCGGGCACTTTGCCCATGGGGAATTTGGAGAGGAATTCCGGGGTTTTGCTGCTGGCCATGTCGAAGCTGGGGATATCGAGCTCGAGACCGTTGAGCTCGGCTACAACTTGGGCCTGGGTCGTGAGTTAGTCAGATGCAGGGGGTGCGGCTGGGGATGGATAGGGAGGTAGGACGGACGCGTTGGACGCGGAAGTTGCCCGGCCAGCTGTAGATTTTGCCAAAGGGAGCCATTTTGGGTGCGTCTTAGAGGTTTGAGAAGGTGTGATTGGTTGGAGGGAGGAAGTGAGATGCTGTGATCAGACTAATCAGGAAACAGGACATATAGCTCCTGTGCGTGAGAGCTCTTTATACTGGACAGATCATTATTTTTCACAGAGGGGTATGTCTTCATTAATCAGCTATTAAACGTCTCCCTCTATCCCGCTCGGCTGTGTGATAATCCCCTTGCAGTGACATGGACAGCGGGACGGGGAGAGTGGGTACGATCCGCTCAGGGGGCAGGCGTGACACGTTGCGTGCGACAACTGACTAGCGGCCGCCAATTACGGAGACAAACATTCTGCAACCTAGAAAGGAATCTTCCTAAATTAGTATCGATTTATGATGCTTGTTATTGGTATATCACTATCATATTCCACATTTTCATGTCTAGACTGTTGAAGATGGTGGTAGCTATCGCGCACAGGATACAGCGACGGAATCTGTTAAACGCGGGGACATTGGCAAACATGCCCCTACACCGCTATTCCTTCTCCACCAGATGGATCATAGTAGAAACTGAAGGAATTCATCATGTATTAACGCCATGGGCCTGAAGAAGATCCCGGACGCCGAGAACCGGGACCGTATCACCATCCGAAAGGAGTCCACTTTGAGCGTCCCGTTGCCCCGTCCCATTGTCTGTATTATTGACTCGGGACGCTTGCCTCACGGGTCGAGCTTGGCTGGTGTTTTATGAGATCTAGGGATGAGTTCGTATTCAAATCATCAATCTTTGCTCGGCAGCATTCGAGGTGCTAGTGGAAACTGGACAGTACGCTGAGTTCTTGAGACTTAGTCGAAGCATCTAAGGCAAGATGTGGAAAATCCGCACTATTAGATGTTGGCATAGTTGTCAGTGGCGGACAAGATTTACGTGCTAGTAACTTGGAAGGACACGATGGTTCTTTCCGCCTTTATGCTCTGGTCCCCGCATGCTGAATAGAGATCTACACAGTGGGAAAAAGTAAAGCTGTATCCCAGGATTGGACGCACGATATGTCCCTTTTTGTCTATCTACCTCGTCTCTATAACCCAAACCTTTCCCCTCAAAAGGGCAGCATAAGAACCAACACTTGGGGCATCTAAGATCTCCCCGGCTTCTTGGGCCGTCTAAACGCCGTCTTGACCTCAGCCCGGGGATGCAAGTCGGCCAGAACGGACTGCTCGGTGATCTCGTCTGGCTCCTCGACCTCGAACTTCTTCTCAATATGGACGCCGGCCTCCTGCTCGGCGATGGTGACGACAGTCCGCTTCATCAGCGGGTACATCATGCGGAACTTGATGGACTTGCCCGCCGCGGCCGGGCACGTGTAGAAGAAGAGGATGGGGCTGCTCTCGGTGCCGTCGTGGCTGTGTGTGTACCTCCAGAAGGTGAAGCGGGGCTCCTCGGAGGATATGGAAGAGACGAGGTCGGAAAAGGAGGAGGGGGTTGACGAGGAGTTGACGAGTTCTACTTTTTCGGTGGTGGGGTTGATTTTCTGTTTCAAGTGTTGTTAGCAACTCGCATTCCATAGATCCAATAAGGCTTGAGACAAAGATGACATACCAGCATAACGAGGCCACTGCCCTCCCCCCTTCCCATCTCACTCAGCGCAGCCAGGCCTTCTGCCATGATTGGCATGTTCATCGAAGCACTGAGATGAATCTCCCTAACGCCTGTACCCGAGCCCGCCTCCGCCTCAGCTTGCTTCACTTCCTGCAACGTCCTCTCCTCCTCCGTCAGCGGGGCAGCGAGTGCCGTGTGCTTATCGTGCCTCTCGAAGCCCTCAGGTGTCAGCTCCTCGGCCGTGGTAACAAAGATGGTCTCGCGGAAGTGTTCGGAACCCAGCTCGCGCACGAGCGTCAGCCGCGTCGACGCGAACAGCATCTTCTGCCGCACCTTGGCCGCATCAGGGATGTAGGTGACGGCTATGAACGGAGGCGCGGCATCGTGGCGGCGAAGGATGATGTAAAGGGCTTCGTTGGGTTGCAGGTGCGGGGCGAGCTCTGAGAGGCTGCTGGAGAAGCCGCCTTTGGAGCGGAGGGTGGTGAGAGGCGTGAGAGACTCGGAGGTGATGGTTACGAGGAGGCCGAAAAGGGATGTGTCGGAGAGGAGGGTGTTGAATTGGGAGACTAACTCCTTTGATGCTGCGGTTTAATCTTTTGTTAGTTGACCGGGATCGCGTAGCTCAATGGGATGGAAGAAGGGGTCGAACCTGAGATTCCGGACTGCATCGTGGATGTTGGATTCAGGTGAGCGGATGAAATAAAAGAGTCTCCCAGATTGGGGAGTGACAGGTCTTAAGTTACGTCTCGAAGAATAGAAAAGCGCACACTCGCGTGTTCAATCCGATGTTGATGGCCCAGCTTGATGTTGGTTTCGAGGTGTTGGCGCTGCCCCGCCATCCGATACAACATGGACCCCTCCTTGTGAGCTAGCTCAAAGCTGGGTCAGGAGGAAAGGGGACCGTGCGCAAAGCTTCAACCCAACTTATCCTTCTTTTCTTCTTTTGCTGGCTTGCTACACCACAGCAAATGATGACGTTGATAGTTTTCCTCTTTGACCTTTGTGTCTGAGGAAAATGGCAAAGGACATTAATTCGCCTTTATTATGCCACAATGTGTCTGACAGCATCAATACTACCGCCTCTTACCCGAAACCGCGTTACAAAAGCTGGCGTTGCCTGACAGTACGTTTTGCTGTGCTTGCTTTGGATTGCAAGTGAGGAGGGATGTTTACGTGTCTGCCAGGCATATAATCAGACTCAGGAGCGTTCAGCGATTCTGGTCACCCACGTTAGTGCCACGGAGAATTATCCACGTGCCCAACGAGCACGTCTCTGGGTCTCTGGGTTGGTTCTTGATTCCAATGCCAAGATGATGATCTGAAGCATTTGGTTTGAAATATTTTGATAGACACTCATACGACTTATAAGCGAAAATAACAGAGGACAGTTTGGGTCCCTCCGTTCTACGCTACCAACCTGCTTGAGGACAAAGAACCCCAGAGAATGGAAAAGAGGAAAGACCAAGACAGGAGCTGGTTTGGCAATTCGTCTACTCTTGGTGTCTTGAACACCATCGACAGCTTCTTGGCTCTGATCTAGCACAAAACGCCCGACGTCAAGACGCGGCCGGTTAATCCAAATGCCCCAATCACCAGAGGGGATGTGTAGAATGGACCAATCTATCTGATCTGGTCATCTTGCTGCTGATGAGTATGATGACGCTGCCGAAGCCTGCCACGGAGTCTTCGCGTTGGCGCCGGATAGCTTTATTAGAACCCGTAAGAGACTTGAAAGGCTCTGTATAGTCTGGAATGAAGAGCTGTTATGGTCTCTGCGACCTGGGCACTTTGCTCGTCGCCTTCATAATCTGGAGTTATGTATAGTTGCATCGATATGAAGGTCGACGGCGTAACTTACATGGAGTTGGGAAGTGCTCATCTTAGGGGAACCAGATAGAAAACATGGGACATTTCTCTCCTCTTCAGTTAAAGACACGCGCTTCTCGTCCCTGCTACTCAAATTTATTTCTGTGTCGTCGGCTATGCCAAGTAGGAATGCATTGTGTCGAATTTCGCATAGATGTCACTTCTCACATGAAGTTGTGATAGCAAGGACGACATGGGTGTTTTGGGAGCCGACAAAATCTCAAGGCATATTCCCTGTTACTTTAGCCGCAGAATATATTGACCTCAAGGTGGAAACTAACTTGATACGATGAACAAACCCCCACCCTAGACCAGTGCAACTTCGTTGACTCAAGTAGAATTATCTGTTATGCTGGAAGAATGGGCAGGCAAGCTTGCGGGTGGCTCAAAGATGGCCAGAGCGTCTGGGGCATTTCCACACTTGTGTTTCGTCGACATCCTCGGCATGTGTCCGTGGCATTGAGTTATTGACGGGTTATGCCTTCCCATCCGAGTTGATCAGACCCGTGCGAGGATTTTGAGGAGAGCCGTTATGCTCTCTATGATCAACAATGCATTGGGAGTGGTATGATGTTAGACAGGACGAGCTGGTGAGTCGTTCGCTGTGGTGGATTATGTCGTGAGATAAAAGGTGAAGCTTCTCTTTACCTCAGGTACTTGCCTTGTTTTTACATCAGAAAACCAGTATATGATCAGTTCGGTCTAACATTGCGTAGCACAAGTGAAAGACACAGTCCATATTCGCAAACATCATATAATTGGTAACAACATATGGATTCCAAAGGCCTGCAGGACCCTCGCCCCAACTCGTCAGCTCGAGCAAGGAGTCAAGTATCGGGGAGTTTACTTCTTTCCTTTCGTTTCCTGTCCTTGCTCTAATTAGCTAACTATAGTGGCTGCAGTCTGCCTTGGTCCTAAGATACTGCTATTTGGCTTGTTGAAATTCTGTTACAAGCATCATCGAACGTTTGGGATGGTTTGGGATGGTTCGAATCAGGGCCTCTCGCATCGTGTCTCAATTGTCTCGCCAAATCGCAATTCGTTGGCATCAAACTGCGCCCAAAAGTCGTTCGGATGTGAAGATGGGACTTGTAAAGACACATATTTAGATCAGTCGGCTGGTGTAGTTGGTCACTTCGCTGGTAGATAAGTCCCGATTTGAGCCTCCCCCACTTGGGTCGGTGACGAGTCGCGGGTTCGAATCCCGCAGCTGACACACAAGGGGGTTTAGTCAACCCTTACGGCGCGCTGCCCACCTTGTTGACTTCGCCTACCTAGCGATAATAGGGAGATTGGTGCAGTTTAGGATTACGAGCGTCCTAGCCAGTCGACAGTCAAGCACTACGTCGGCGGAATATAACTCGACAGCCGGTCCAGAATTCGAATCGTTAATCCGACCCCTTATCGGACCCCCTCTCGCCGCGATTCTTGCGAGCGTCTAGACCACGTTACGGTCTATCCACTTGAGCGTATAGTTGAGATGTATACGCTCGACGAGAACCCGAATTAGCAGATACTACGACTTGTCGCGACAAAAAATAGTCGAGCATCTTCTGCACATCAGCAGCATCCCACCCCTGAGGACGAATTTAAGTGCCACATCACCACACTTATCGGTAGTTCAGGCAGGGGTTGTAGCACAGACTTAGGGAGGGACAGGAGGTTTAGTAGTCGTTTGGCTACAAGTTTACCTGTATAACCGCCCGACGCGGCTTAAGGGCCCGCTATATCATCTATAGCCCCTTAAGGGAGTACTTGTAGAGGTACCGAGGGTTAACACCTACGGCGTATTGAATATTATTTATTTATTTAGATCAGTTATTTCAAGTGAACATTCAACCATCTTGTACATGTTTGTCTCAATGCCATGACAAACATACGTAGTAGTCCTACACAGTCCTTCGAGTCATGCTGCGGGCCAGGCTGGGGTAGCAAATGGCCCATGCATGAACCACGTTCACTACTCCGCACTAAGAAACGACGTTGTGCCTTGTCCTCTGCTCCACACTCCTCGAAGATACTTTCGGACCGTCCCTCGCCCTAAATCATATCCCGCTTTAGTACTAAACCGTAAGCATTCGCGAACTACCCTTCGCGACATGGCATTTGTGGTGGTGATGAACAGTATACACGTTACAGAAGGGATCTGCTGAAATCACAGGCGAATAACAGCGCAGGGTGATCAGCAGCAAGTTACCGCAAGGCATAGCATAGCAGCAGGCCCTTGCTCCTCGCCAGCCAATGTCCTTTATATTGAAACCACTCTGTCTACCCCGGCAGCCGTACAATGATCGGCCGATGTCTTTTCTCTGTCCCCTACGACGTTAGACGGCCCAGAAACGTACGCTACCACTGCTGCAGAGGTACCCAAAAGGCCATCACTCGACCGAGCAGCAAATACCGTACAGGACGTGACAATGCGGGGAATGATCTCGATAAGAGAGGCAACGCTCGGAGATGCAATGCTCGGAGAGGCAAAGCTCGAAGGGACACAGATTATAACCATGTACACAGACAGCTCCTCATGTTTTAAGGTAGGAGCACTAGGATGCTAGCTTGCTGAAGAAGGGTGACGCTCTGCGCATTTGTACCACTGGATTGCGACAATGCCGAATTCAAGCGATGGCACGACTTGTTCGACAACCATCACAAGCCCGTCTTCAGGATCCGGGGAGCTTTACATCACTCATCCTGGCCTAGAATATCTTATACTCAGATATGCTGAGAGGGAGACTAAGAAAAACCATATACAAAGTAGTGATTCGCTGCGAGCCATCTTCGCCTCAAGTTATAGGGTGTATACAAACCAGATCTTGTCCTGGTAGTCAATGCGTATCCTGATCTCCCTGGCAAGCTTTTATGCATATTCCATTTAGCCCGCGATGGGGTTGCGAAACTCTCTTGCAATCCCATCCTTGCCCACCCACCGGCCAAGGACCAAACAGTAGATTTCAGCCGCATGAGGCTGGCGGCTACGACAATGATCTTCTGGAAAGTTTCGTCTTACTGTGTTCTTTTCATTGTTTGGTATCCTGTGTGATATCTGAACTTGAACCGTCGCGAAGTGAAGAACAAAGGTGCCTGCAATTACCCTACCTACAAGAGATATTGTATGTTGCGATGCCTTCGAAGTTTTTCAATTGGGCGTCCAAGTCCCGGAGGGCCCAATCCGAGGTCTCCACTTCTCGCCTCAATCTACACCAACCCCGGCCGTCACAGCTTACGGACTAGAGACAGTCTCTGAGGGCCATGACCCTGTCGTGGAGTAAGCTGATCTGCTGCGTCTCCCACTCTATAACTCGTCTAACGTGCCATCCAGCATTGTCGCCATCCATGGGCTCAATGGCCACCGAGAGAAGACATGGACTGCATCCGACGGCGTCCATTGGCTCCGCGATCTCCTTCCGAGCGACGTACCAAACGCCCGAATCATGTGCTAGGGCTACGATGCGAACACTCACAACAGCTCTCGTGTGAGCTGTCTATATCTATATGACCATGCACTCAATTTGGTATCGGAATTATGCCGGAAGCGGCAATCGACAGATGTGAGCAACGGCTAGACGCTTAACGTCGTACCGGGCTAGTAATCCAAGCTGACAAGAACCAGTCGACGCAACGTCCGATCATATTCATTGTGCACAACCTTGGCGGAATTATCGTCAAAAGTATTAGTTATCTCCAACCTCTCTACCAGTCTGAATGCTGAACTGTCCAGGCGTTGATCCACTCGGACGCCTCACGAAAAAACGCGTTAGCGGAGCACCGATCTATAAAGGTCTCGACTTACGGCATTATGTTCATGGGCACTCCACACCAAGGCGGCAATGGCGTTCGGCTGGGAAAGCTGCTAACCAATATTGCCTCTCTCTTTGTGGCGGCCGATGACCACATCCTCCGTCATTTAGAGAAGGACTCGGAGTGGCTACAGAAGCAGCTGGGACAGTACGGGCCGATCAGCGGGGACTTTGTGACGAAATTCATCTACGAGGAGTATGAAACCCCCACTGCGCTGGGCCTCTCGATAATGGTAAGTAGCAGGCTCGCCCGACAAGAGAATATGCTAAGCGGGACTAGGTTGTACCTCGCGCATCAGCAGTTGTACCAGGCCAGGCAGACGCTGAGCCTGTCGTCATTCATTCGAACCACAAAAATATGGTCAAGTTCAATTCGAGGACAGATGACGGATATATTACCCTGCCGGAACATTTAATGATCATGATGAGAGCTGCCGGCAACAGTATTCGGTCGCGGTGGCAGGTAGCGGTGGCAGGTAGCGGCAAGGATCGACGATGGTGGGCACCACTAATATCCCTAAGCTTCTTCAGTGATTAACTGTTGTATGAAACTTTAGCTCGAGATGATAATTCTCGCAATGAATTCTGCCTTCCTCTCAACCTGTCGGAAGTTATGGAGGTAGAACACTTCGTCGCGAGGACAGAAGAGCTTGAGAGTCTCCATGAGATCCTAAGAAACACTGGTGGGCGTCGTACCGCTATCGTGCATGGACTGGGCGGTATGGGCAAGACTCAATTGGCAATAGCTTACCTCAAGCGTTATCAGCCTGACTATTCCGCCACGATCTGACTGAATGCAACAGATGAGACGTCACTGCAACAGAGCTTCGCGCGAGTGGCCGAATGGATACTCCGCCAGCAACCATGGTCAGATTACATCAAGATGGCTGTGGATGACCGGGATATTAAGATGATCACGAAGGCGGTCAAACGTTGGTTTGATGATCCTCGGAATGACCGTTGGCTCCTTGTCTATGACAACTACGACAACCCTAAACTGAATAGCGCCAACCAGAGAGACGAGTCCACCAAGGGTACCACGGGAAGTAAAGTTGAAGGAGATACAAGCCAGGCAGACATTCCAACATCAAAAGCGTATGATATCCGGCCCTTCTTCCCCGACTGCTACCAGGGAGCTATCATCGTAACTACGCGATCATCTACGGTTAAGCTGGGAAAGACTGTCCAGCTAGAGAAACCGAGAAACCTTGACGACAGCCTAGAGATCTTGGCTCTCACGTCACATCAACACAGTCTTGAGAATGGTGAGGTTGTTGCGACTATAAACGTGAAATGATCTGCTAACTATTGCCTCTAGATAAGGACGTGGTCGAACTTGCAAAAAGACTTGACGGGCTACCACTTGCTCTCTCGACAGCGGGTGCTTACCTTCACCAGGTTACGACGAGCTGGACTGAATACCTCCATTTGTACCAGAAAACATGGCTTCGGCTACAAAAAGCGAGTCCGAGGCTTCTGGAGTACGACTATGCCATGTACTCGACATGGGATATCTCGTACAGATACATTCAGCTGTGCTATGAACAGTTTGCGAATTGTGTATGGGGCCGACAGTGAGCGGTATCAAGCAGTTATGTCAAGATTCAGTCCTATATAGACTGGGTTTTTTCTGTCGATAGTCATATTCTCACATATTTCTGCTGCGGTGGTGGAACCTTTAGCACCCCTATCAGGTACCCATGGGGGGCGCTAATACTCTGACCTAAACAAATACAGCAAAATAATCTCTACGTGCCTGAACAATCCTTAACACATTCCATCACGGGCTATCTGAATACTGTTACTGTTGCGTGCCCCAGACACACCGCCTGTTAGCTGGGAAAAGTGCTTGGGCCAATTGCACATAGATAGCCCTTCCGTAGCTGCAGCCTGTGGGACTTAGTCCAATCATCATCACCAATACAACCCTCTTGCCTGTATTGCTAACAATCACTTATACAGGTACGGTGCTAGCGAGGTTCTTAAATCGGGCGTTATTTATTATTGCGACCAGTTTTAGTTCATTTTTAGACTATGCCATAAAAATGTGACGCCGATCATAGGACGTCTACACACGTTACTATAGAGAACCACCAGCGTATTCACTCTTCTTTCTTGGTACCTAACGGTCCGTGCTCCCTCTAGTAGGTTATAACGATTGATATGTTACAGGTATTCAAGTATAGAGTAAAGGACGAGAGTACTAGAGAGAAGTCGTTTACTAGTCACCAGGTAGGTACTAGCAGCGTAGTATAGGGGGCTCAATAACGACAAGTTAATCGCTACCCCTCCTTCAGATACGGGGGTCACAACAGCCTATTCATACATGGCCGACCCTTGCATAGGCTAAGACCCGGCACGTCACTGGAGCCCATCAGCTATACAAGGTCTATAAACCACTGTGGCTTATTCGCACCTGACAATCTCACGAGATAACGACCACGATGTTGTATAATGCATAGCAGGATCAAAAAGAATGGATTATTATGGTGAAACATCATCCTAGCGAATGTGTCTGTAATTAAACTAGCAGAGGGGTTTTCGCGTCACATTCCAGCCTGACTACGCCGCCATCCGTTCCTGAATAGATTATTCCCACTAATCTCTTCAAACTACAAAGCTCCAGAAGAAAGCGATCTACAGCTCTCCTACACTGCATGCAACCAGATAGGCTCTACGTCTAGTTTGATGCTCAGTACGCAGATGCAAATTACTATATCGGTGAATCTGACTATACCGCAGACGCTGGGGCCAGCATCCTGCAAACCGGCGGGTACTGCATGCACAGATTGGAACCCGGGCGAAGTCAACAGAAACCATTAGGGGAGGAGGGATAGAGACACGAAGGACACGCAGGAGGGCTAGAAGGGACGGTTAATGGAACCTCCAACGTCCTAGATGACGAGGGGATCCTATAGGCTCTGGCCAAACGAAGGCGGATCGATAACGGGCAGGAAGTCGACTCTCTATGGGGCCATGGCGAATTAATTGATAACGCTTGTAGCCGCAACACCTTCCGTAGCAAAAACGACCCCGACGACGCAGTGAGCAGATTTTGCAACGCCATTGTCAAAAAGGCCACGAGAGGACTGAACACGCTGGGGGATTCAGGCAACGGCAAGAACCACGAAATCCTGTTCAACTTAGGCAATCATAGGCTTCCGTTCCCAGGGTAGAAAATGGCCCTCATCTATTCAAGCACGACGCGCCTGGAGAATATCTTTCATTTCGCCGACATCTTCTACGATGTACAAGGCGCCAAGATAACGCCGTGATGAATCAATTTAGATCATATATCATGTAAGCTAATCCTGTCAACAGGCATCTGCACGTGTTGTTTGAAAGGATTGCTAGACCAAGTCTGCACCGGTTATCTCGTTTGTGAAAGTAGTCCAGAACAGGCTTATTAACCATTGAGGAGCCTGCTTGAACCGATTGCAGCGATCATACTCAACTAAGATCAGTATTAACGACTTAAAGTCTCTGAGACTACGCTACACGCCCACCACTTCTGGATCCTTTTGAGCTTCGCGAAGGATTTCCTTCATCGAACTGTATATTTCTGGGTTCGCCTTAGTCCACCCCTCGCCGTTCGGAAATACCGTCCTTCTTAGCCTATTAACCCAGGGGATCAGTGGTGCATAGTACTCAGTAAAGAATTTTGTGGCGGTCTTCCGGAAAATATTCTCGGAGGCGACGACGCCAAATTTTATCCCAGCAAGCTCCTCCGTATCCACGTAATGCCACTTCTCAAACCGGTCATTAACTCTGCTCTTATGTGGCCCATCGTAGTGGATGAATATCCAGAAGAGAACCCAGAAGAACGACTCGAGATCATGCATGTAGGAGTTCTGCTCGCCTATAAGTTTCCCAATGGCCATAAACGCCCTCGTGCCAGTCATGCCCCGTGCTCCTGAGACGCTATCTCGCTGTACTTTGATCGCAAGGTCCAGATCGATTAAGAACGAAGGCCAAGAATGGGTTTCCTCTTCTTCGTTGATCATAAGATTGTTGATTGAAATGTCTCTGTGAAGGAAGCCAGCCTGCTGAAGGGACTCATGTCCTTTAATACAGCCCTCCAGCGCCGCAAGCAAAGCTGCTCGGGAGCTTGCCTGGTAGATGGGTTTGCCATGGTCACGAAGAATGACGCGGCGACGTACCCGATTTGGGAGCGTATGGAGACTGAACTTGGTCAGAGATGCTGAACAAGATCGCTTGCTGGGTGGTAGAGGGGCGTTGGTTTGGCTGAATGGGCGCTTCCGGCTGGTATCACTGCTGTCACCTGTGCTATTTTTTAACGATGGCATCGAGCGTTCCGGTTGGTAGTTTTTCGCGCTCGTGATGTCTATTCCCTTCCGAACACTGCTCTGAATGTCATCATCCATATCGTACACTCGAACTGTCTCGTGATGATAGTACCGCGCCATGTTTATTACACCCTTGTCTGTTGCCTCACGGAGCAAGTCGCCTTCCTCATCTCGTTCTATATATTGCCACGAGTCCTTGATAACAAGAGGTATCCGGGGATCTTCCTCGAGATGGGCTTTCCAACATGTCGTTGCTCGACCTGCTATGCACCGCGGTCGTATTATCAGTTCATCAATTATAAGACGTTCTTTCCGGTTGTTCCGTTCAATCAAGATGAAGCGCTGGTCATCTGCTGCTTTGATTGTCGGGTCGAACCCAAGCTCCTCCTCGTTCATCCAGAGGAAGCCAAGGATCGTAGACACAAACTGTAGCCCATCTTCGTTAATGTCAAACCGTTCCGATGCGATCCCCCCGAGCCAGTCAGTTCCCATACTCGCATAAGAGATCCGCAGAGTGTACAGCCCAGAATAAATCGACGCGTATCTTGGGCGGCAAGCACTTCTTTTGCGTGTCTCCCAATGTCGAGCCATGCTTTTGGAGCTATGTCGGCCGAGGGGTTGCTCTTGAGTTCCCCAGGGATGAGAATCTGTGACCATTTGCACCTTGTATCTTTTCCCGCCTTGGAATTATTCACGAAGCCGACGTCTAACTTGCGCTCTACGGTCGAACCCTCGATCGACTTGTGAGGTTGTGCTAATGGTCTTCGTGTCGAGGTCGACCTGTGATCCTCTGCTAATGTAACCAGTTTCTCGCTAAAGTCTGCCAACCAGCTTAGGACACTCGTCTCATTTGCATCTCCTGGCCACCCAGTCCATCCTTCCTGGAAAAGTGGACTGGTTCCCGCAGTACACTTCTTGAAGATGGCCTCGGATGCTGTCTCGAGCTCTGCCACACCTCCGAAAAATGCTTCGTAGAATCTAGGAACGCCGACGTACATGGCGCCGAGTTCATATTGGATGGAGGATGCGACCAGCCGGGAAGGCGGAGTGGATTCGGTGATAGAATTGTAGACTTGACCCAGATGTCTTTGTCGGGTTTACTGGCAAGGATTGCAGTCAAGAGGGGTTTGATGTAGGTCAAGTCAAAACTGTCGGAATTAACAGCGGAATTAAGTCGTGATAGATCGTCAAATAGATTCTTGCCATTCCTGCTCGAAGGAAGCAGACGGGACGCCCTAAGGCCTTGCAAAGCCAAGATAACATCGATAGTTAGGTTCTGGAGATCTGGAGACTAGTTAGAAGAAGCAACTAGGAAAGACTAGGTTTGCACTACCTTCATCGCTGAGTGTATAGAGGGTGTGTTGGGAATCAAACAACGTGCAGAATGCATCCAGATGCTTGCCGATAGGATGAGCTTGGATAATCTCAGATTTAGCTTGATCCATCACGGGGTATGGAGTGAGGAATTAAACTAAGCCCGGCACGTTGGATCGACGACGCACATTTTCCACCTGGCAGCACGGACTAACCTAGGCCATATCCGGAGTTACCTCGGGATCTTAAACGGAATGCATATAATATGTAAGCTTTCGCAGGCTTTGTCAATTTGATCAAGTAATTTCATTGTCTCGTTGCTGTAGAACCACATATATGCCTGAAGACAAAAGTGCATGGGGACCTATTCACTAAGGTGGTGGTATATTGCAAGTGTATCTGATGAATGGAAGTTGAGACTAATGATTACCCGTGCCATGCCCCACGTTTTCTGACCCTGGCCAACTGTAACCTGGCTCAGTAGCTAAAGCCGGTGCTACATAAGTATATGCGGTGCACACTTGAGGGGCAGAGAGTTCTAATCGCTGTCTGAAATGAACCGATCCACTTATTCCTAACCCCTACCTGAAATTCCTAACCCCTATCAGCTGGGACGTCCAGACGGGATCCTTCGAAAGGCAATGGAAGCGAAGGAAGAACTGTTAGAAACCAGGGGTTTATGGCACATGGCCCACATGTGTCAAGCAAGGGATTTGTCACATCTCAGAGAAGACAGATCCCCATATAATTTGGCAGGGATGAAGTCCAGATAAAGACGGACGGAACGTTTCAAAGGACAAGGAGTGATAACGCACCTCAATCCCCAAATTACCCATCTTGATCAGATACACGTGCGATACAACGGAACAGTAGGCATACGGTGATTCAGGTGGACTCTGTAGTATTATCTTATCGTGGATCCAAGCGTACTTGAACAGTACCTGGAACCGCACTGTAATTGCACCACATCGTAAGTATCTCTGATAATCTGTTGGATACGTCAAGTGTTGGATTACAGCCATATTTCGGGAGAATATAAGGGTCATGGTGCACAGTCCACATGTAGGGACAAGTGAGTTGCGAGAAGGACAAATCTCTACGTAATGTTTGCAGGAAGTGTGTCCAGACAAAGACAGACTGGCTCCTTCGAAGGACAATGCACTATGAACAATCAATGAATAAATAAATCAACCACATAAATTACCAATCTTTATGAGACACGCTGTCAACAAAAAATCAAGGCCGACAGATGGGAATGTAGAAGCAGAACAAGTTTCCTTCTGTTGGATTACAGTCACTCTACGAGCCATACACAGCCACATAATCGGCAGCATACAAAGGCCATGGTGCACAGTCTATAGGTGGGGAGCAAGTGAGGAGATCAGGACAGATCTGCACCCATCTTTGTAGGGAGAGAGTTCATATGGAGACAGATGGACAATGAACAGTCAATCAATGACCTTATTACCCATTTTGATCAATTACACATGCAATACAATAACCTCCGGCTTGTAAACCACGAGCCAATGTAAATATAAGCTCCAGAAGTGATATATTTAGCGATAAGACATTTAATATGTAACAATAGCGACGTTGTCTTGGGTTGCATCTGAATCCCCCACAAACAACACTGATTCTGCAAGTCTCCCCCTCGGAATACAACATAGTACCTTTGTTAACAACTCAAATGCTACACAGCAAAGACCACATAAGGTATTTAGATATAGAATTACCTTACGGGCACAATGAAGTCCCTGCATAGCTCTGCCCAGCATAGCTGCGCGATATTCCTAGAGAAGTCTCCCGCTTCCACTCAAGAAGAGTAGAGATTGCCGCGGACGCATTCTCGTGCTTGTTCCTGGTTGTCATCTCCGCACAATTCCTAGAATCAAAAAAGGTGTATACCACAGGTATCCTTTCGTGACCTTGTCTTGCAACCCTGCCCATTGCTTGAACCTCGTCGCCGACTTTCTCGGCCACCTCCAGCTGAACGCAGTAGTTCGCCCGCTGCAAGTTAGGGCCCTTTGCAAACATCGAGTGGCAACCAACAAGGATCTTTGGCTTGGCACCCGTTGTATTGAGCCAGGAGAAGATCGCTCCCCGACAATGCGGATTCGATTGACTTTCACATCCGATATCCACACCGCTGTGGATCATGCCAATATCGACCCCCGGATGGTCTTCGTGCAGAAGCATGAACGTAATGAACGTGGAGATAGGGTTGCGAGTAAAAACAAGCATGTGCCGGTTTTCCGTGTCGGCAGGATCGTCCTGGCGATGAGTCATCATCTTGATTATCTCCCTGAGCTCTGCATACTTCGGAGACGTGGTACGGAGGTAATGAAGATGGCGCCAGAACAGGGTCTGCTTCAGCAATTGCTGAACCTCGCCTCTGGTATGCCCCTTGTTGGTGATCATAAGAGTGACTTCTTTCATGGCCGGGTTGAGCGTACTAGCTAAAAGATCATCTTGACGGAGCTTTTCTGAGTCGACAAGAACGGCGAGACCTGGGTATGTTGCTGAATGAACAAGTTGTCCATACGCCTTTGAGCTGGTAATCACCTTAGTGGCTGTATTATGCTTCGTTGGCTTCACACCCTTCCTTCCCCAATTTTCCCACCGTTGCAAGGCTTCCTGATAAACGATGTCGACGTAGGCCAAAACGTTACTGATCAGAACTTGCGCAACTCTGTAGCATCTTGGGTCGGTCATTGGCAAATCGACGACATTCGTTTGAAACGGCAGAAGTGGTATGATGACGTGTCCATTTAATACGTCTATGGCCTTGCGCTGCATAATCATTCTGCAGACAATAGGACCAGCCACCTTCTTCAACCCTTTGAATCTCCTCCGGTACACCTCTCCATATCTGGAGCTTCTGGAGCTGCTGCGGAGTTGATATTTATCGCAACAATAACTCCAGTCGGTACAAACCTTTGCCCAGTTTTCTGGCTGGAGATCCTTGTGCTGCTGCCACTTCAAAGCTTTGGCACTAGCATTGAAGTGGCGGACGAAGTTTGTCCAAGACCGCGGTCCAGCTTGCAGTTGACCGGCACCCAACCCCAAAACCATGGTGAGCTTTGGGGACCTCTGGCGCACTGCCTCAAGAAGCTTGAACGGTGAGGTGTCAGACTTGCAATAATCGGAAACTTCGTCCATGACGACGAAGGCGGCTGCAAATGCGGCTATGGTAGTCTCGTCGTCAAATTCGACCTCGTACTGCTCCAGGAACCTCTTCGCTGTCATGCTCGAGCTCACAATGATGATATTTTCGCAAAGTGAAGATTTCTCAATAGCTCGGTTCTGTACGTCTATGTCGCATTTCGTACGCTCGACCGCAGCCGTGTCGTGATAATACGGCGACTTCTTGTACTTGTCATGCATAACCGTCCACCTCATCTTCACGGGGCTATTCTCGGAAGGGTCAATGAACTTCTGACGTTCGATGGACTCGCGATGATGACGCTGGGGAAATCCGGGTGGTTATTTGCAATGCGATAAGAGAGACCGTGCTTCTCGCAAGGACACCTAAAACCAGGCCTAGTCCGAGGGCAGGTCATATCGGCTGTTTGATCAGATGGAAGATGCTTCCTGGGGCTACTCGGATCAGACTCCTTCCCCTCCTGCTCCCACTGCTCTCTCGCCTCAGCCATGGGCCGACGACAAATGGCGCGAAAGACAATCTTCCCATACGACTCCACCGTCTTCCCTAAGCCCATGTCGTCTGAATTCACTTCGCCTGCGATAAAATTGTCTGGACGTGTAAATGTGTAATGCATATTTGCTACCTGGTGGTCCTTCAGAGGCACCTTGATACCAGGAATCATGAATTCAGTCGTGCCCGGGGGGCAATCCATCCACTCGCACACTTGATCGTGAGGATAAGAATTGCCGCCATTGGCCGGAGATACTCGACTGGCGAACCGCGCCTGATCATCGTCCTCGTCCCTCACATCATCGGCCGTGACGTCGAAATTGGCATTGCTGTCGGCATCATCACTATCGTCGTCCAGGGTGAGGTCAACGACCTCTTCGGATACTCCAACGGACTTAGATCGCTTCGCAGTGGAATTGTCGCCAGACGAAGAAGGATCGTGTTCGTGTTTTCGCTTGCGTGCAAATAATGACGTAGCTGCTGTCTGTCCCCGATCTCGAAGGACTACCGGGATAGGTCGCGAAGCTATTGCCTGACCATAGCGAGAATGAGCGTCCACAGCGCCACCACGGATATTGTTTTCCCTGTTATATAAATCCTCCTCGTAGCGAACTAAAGAACCTGCAGAATGACGCGTCGAAGCTGGATGAGTGCCATCAACGGCGTTGACTTCCACACCGTCACCCTTTGCAATTCTCTCCTTATCCACAGGCTTGGCGTTGCTCGTATTGGCTTCCTCAGCAATCTCAGCCTCCTTCATACCAGAATCAATCTCGACTCCCATCTCGTTTTCTCCAGGCGAGGGATTAGCTGTAGGTACCGAATTACGAGGTGTGTTGTGGTCGCATAATTTGCCCAGTGCTCGTGGCTGACTGGTAGATCCTGGAATCTGTGATCGTGCAACTACCTCATCTATAACATCGCCAGCATTGGACGAACCTTCAACAGTAGAAGCCCCAAGTTCCGGTTGATGATTGATAGGCGCTGGAATCTCCGAAAGCGCAACTACCTCATCGACAAGAACCAAGTCCAAATACAGAAGGCCGTGCTCCATCGCAACGGGAATATATCCACCCTTGACTTGCGCCAGGAACATTTCCAGCTCAAGTCCAGAACAAAATTTCTCACCAGATGGACCTTGTAGACGTAGTGACGGGACCATGGAAGGCTCTACCTTGAGTGCTTCATAGACCTTCCGTCTTATGAGGTCGACATCGAAGTCGGCCACCGTACGAATGCCTGCTTTTAAACCGGTTTTTGTCCGACAGCTGGCAAGACTTGCGCAAGGCACTCCATTAACTCTAATGAAGAGGGAGTCGAGGCAGACAGTGGTTTCCTTCATCATGACGAGCGGAAACAGACGTTGTTTGTAGGAAAACACCGGGGTCGCGAAGAAGGAAGACAAATAATATATGAGGTGATATGTATCTCGACGTCTCCACTTATGGTGAATCCAACTGAGGAAGAAATAAATATTAGCGACGGAAGCAGAGAAGTAATGAGCGGATACACCACCGTTCCGAATCCCCTTTGAGGTAAAGCGCACTCAAAAATGGACGTTGCGTGCGATAACTTGAGAAGAAAACGCTTGGCCGCCGACGATGAAGAGGTTACCGTGATCCAAGTGAAGAAGGTGCGCGAGATAGGTGATCAGCGCACGCGACGCAGTAAAGTTGGAGGCGGCAAGGACGGTGGTAAAGCTGGAATGACTTGCAGAAGTTTCCTAAATAAGTCAGTCGGTCGGGCGGAAAGGTCGAAATCGAAGATTTGTACAAGCTTCTGAAATCTGCGTTCGAGTACCAACGACGATAGACTCGATGGAATCCAAAAGGACAAGGTGCGCATAATAGAGGTGATCAAGGCAAGCTGAACTCTTAACGAACGCGCTGAAGGTGGTGGTGACGAGCCTTGCAGGTAAATAACTAATCGGCACGTTCGTGCAGCCAGGGAAAGCGGGAAGAACAGACGGGTCGCGTGGCCAATGGCAATCGCGCAGATGCCGCAAGAAGGAGAAGACTACGGATCAGAAAAGGGTCTGAAAATGACGTAGTTCTCACAAAGCAGGGCAATCAGTACGGGACGAAACAAGTGCAACATTTCTAGATTCTGTAAGAATGTGAAGCCGAAGTTAGGTGCGCCTGAGGACTACGGGAAGAGGAAGATGTCACGACGGCAAACATGCAGATAAAATGATTAAGCCCTCAGGCATGCAAGCAACATTTAAATTCGATACAAAATTCAATGCATGTACCTAACCTTGGAATGACCAGATTATTCGATAGCCTGGCTGGTGAACGGAGTCAGCGCCATGCTTCATCTCGTTCGGGCGTCCTTGAAACACAATCGGGCGATCCCTTCAACTCCCTGCTTATTTAAGAGGAGTATTCACTGCAAGAATCACCGCTTCCTGGCACCGGTAAAGCCGCATCCACATACGTCCTAACCAACCCAAACAATATAGGCCTCCCGTTGTACGCAAAGCCAGATACTGCCCGGGAAGAGGTCGTCGTCGATAAAGCTAACAATCATGCCAGCAACATCAGTAGTACCAAGGCCAATTACTGTCTTTGGGACGGGATTGACAACATCTGCGATGTTCTGGAGCAGACCATATCCCACCAGGCCCATATGGACACCCAATACGGGATCTGGTTTCGAATCAAGTCCACACTCCGACGGCAGCTGGAAAGCTTCGACTTCATGGACGTGGCAACCGATGAGAACCCCTTTTGGCCGCGTATGACTACAATACAAGCCAGCGGTAGATGTTGGGTTGACTTCACTAGAGCGACCCACGCTGTCACGCTCTTCGGAACGGGCTTCGGTGACTTGATCCGGCCAAGTAGGCAAGGCGCTGTGGTATGCAGCCACTGCTAATTCAATGCCGACGTGCCTAAAGGTCAGGATTACCTCGCAATTTGCGTGCCAGAGATCCAAGACATTCTGCAGAAAAGGGGGAGCAAGAACACTGTACCCTGGCGACTGGTCTACAACATCTACTGGCATACGCCGGACAAGACTTTCGAACTATGCACTGCACAGCTGTCTGAGACCAAACACGATCGAGTACAAGAACTGCTTCCAGCTTCCTCCCCCTAAGCTTTGGGGCAGGGGTCTCACAGGGACAGTCGATATTAGCCTAGCACCCCGAGGAGCTTTACTCTTTGGCCACAGTTGGCGGTTTCCACCACCGAGGTGGAAGGACCAAGGCGCACCAGAAGAGGGCAATCCGGATCAAGAGATGGAGAACATTCAGATATCTTTGCAGGATAATCGCATCGGGACGAGTCTTGGTTTCTCCAGTATCGGTGCTGCTGGGGGCAGTTCTCCTTGTTCTCTTGACTCGGGTCTCTCAAGTTCTCGGGAACGTGATATATCTAGCACGATTGCATCCCAAAATACGGATGAGCACCTAACTAAAAGGTCAAGACTTCTCACGCAGTCAATAATCTGGGAGGCCCCGAGCTTGCAGCATTTCATCAAGTCCCCGATGTAGAGATGCCGCAGTGAAGGGCACATGATTGTCGTTTGCCACAGTTATCGTCCTTGTTTAGGATTCAAAGGAAAAAAGGAAAAAAAGATGAAACTTGATGTGACAACTGGTAATTAGAAACGATAGGTACATATATTCCCAACAGGGGTTGCGAAAAGTCTATTAATGCATCAGACTTGTAGTCCCAAGTGTTAGTGTTGTATTGCACGTGTATCTGATCAAGATGGGTAATGAGGTCACAATAGAAAAACAAGGTGATTAATTGACTTATTGATTGATATGAATATTGTTATTTGTTATCTCTGCTTGTCCTCTGAGGGAGTTCATCTGTCTTCATCTGGACTCTCTTCCTGCAAAAATGTGTGTAGATTTGTCTTCGTCAGGACGCCTCTCCTCACTTGCTCCGTATATTTGGACAGTGCATCGTGACCCTTGTATCCTGACGAGTATGTGGCTATGTGTGCCGTGCAGAGTGGCTGTAATCCAACACGTCGCCCAATATTGGACCTATGAAGTCATCCGTACCCCGGAAAGCTTACGTTTGCTTAGGGGTAAGCTACATGTGGGGTCACAGTACGCGCGTTCTGAACTGTTCGCGCACAAACTGGTCGTGTAATTACTCAAGTGATTCAGCCTTGTCCCCATAATAGTTGACGAGTGCCGGCGCACAGACCTGCGGGCTATAGGGGTCTGAATATATATCCGCTTAACCGCGTAGTTGCCAAACGCGTAGAATGTACGGATGAAATGTTTCCCTTGCTTCAATGATCGGATCAAAGATAGCGTCAATGACTGCACGTTGTCGACAGCGGGATATATTGGTCATTCTGAGATGCTGATACGTATTTGTGTCGGATGTAGGATATTATATGTATCCAATGGGACAATACTGTTTCCTAGCTTATAAAGCAAGGAGAGAACAGCAAAGAAGAGTATCAGGAGGACAACGAAGCACACAATGGAATCAAGCAATCGTTGTTGCCCTAGCTGTCCACGTATATGAGGAACTTTCGTGGAGGTTGGAACCTCGTACTGAATCATATCGCTGTGTGTAATAGCCCGAACATCAATCCGGATGACAACTGTTCCACTTCAATCTATACAATGTCCTGACTGAAGAACCATTGACTGGTCGTCGAGTTCTGTGATGTAAGGCGAGGCAGAGTCCATTATCAGGTTATTGGAGCTATTTCCATTTGACCATGTCCCTGTAAAGTGGGGTTGATGGAGATCGCTGCGTAATTCGCGAAGAAAAAAAAAGGGTTTGCGAAGATCTTCATGTCGGGCAGGCGCAGCGGCAGATGTGCACAGAAGGCGGCCCATGAGGCTCTTAACGCATAATTGTTAGTTCCGCATTTGGCAGGCCACAGCTCCACTGTCGACGACTGTCCGTGCTTGCTAACTGGCATCCCTACTATTAACGCGAACGACAACCTTAAGCGAAGCGCTTTAAACACCTGAAACACCATGGGACAAACACCTAAGCCACACCTGCCCACCGTTATTATGATTAATTATAGAGTTATTTTCGTGTGGTTACCAGCAAGTTATCCGCAGCGCTCCACTATAACCTACTGGCATACACTGCACTGCCGACGAAGACATCGTCAAATCGAACCACACTAAGTGAACGTACGCTTTCGGCCGAAAACAGCTGCCAATGCGATCTGTGTGAATTTGGCAAGCGCATACGCGTCTACCACAGCCGACGTCGATCAAGTTAGAAACCAGGGCTACGACTCCACGAGAAATGTCTAGGTAGTCACGATGCGGCGAGCCAATTCATCTATAAGAAGGGAATGAACCGTACTCCTAAGATATAACCTTCTTCTCACCATCACCATCATTCACAGTTAACCAACAACTACCACAGCCTTTCAACTACCTCCACATTTTCACTAAAACTTCACTTGCTCAACTATACAACCCTCTAACCATCAAAACAACCCCCAACCAACCATCAAAATGCAGTTCACCACCTCTACCATCGCCCTCATCGCCGCCCTGATGGCCTCCCAAGTCTCGGGCATGCCCACCGATCTCTTTACCCGAGCCAACACCTGCGGCGCTACCCCCAGCGCTAGCGGCACCCAGACCCCGCTGTCCTCGCCCACTGCCGTTACGGCGGACGCCTGCCAGGCCGCCTGCGAGTCCAACGCCAGCTGCAAGTCTTTCGCCTTCGGCCTGCCCCCCAACTCCGACGCCCCCGTGTGCAAGCTCTTCTCTGTCGCCGCCGCCCAGGTCTCCGCCCAGGACACCAACGTCGTCGTCTACGACCTTGCCTGCAGCAGCGTCCCTAACACGGAGCCCACCACCGCCTCTCCCCACGGCGAGTTCCAGGAGTCGGGCACGACTGAGCAGACCGGAAATCAGCAGCAGCAACAGCAGCAGCAGAAGCGCGACATCTGTGGCGCCAAGCCCACCGGCTCCGGCACCGCCCCCACTCCCCTTAAGACCAACGCCGCCATTACCTCCTCCGACGCCTGCCTGGCCCTGGGTCAGAGCACCGTCGGGTGCAAATCGGTCGAGTTTGGCAAGTTCAACGCCGGCGAGGCCCAGCAGTGCCGTCTGTTCAACGTCGCCGCTGCCCAGCTTCCCCCTCCCACCGCGGGCCAGAGCTTTGTCGCTTTCGATATCGCTTGCTAAGCGGGTCATATTTCAATTTTGTCTTCAAACCATGGGTTTTCATAGCCTAAGTGATTTCGGTCAACAGAAGAAACACTAGGTGTAGGATTCGGGAAGGAAAGGTTGCATAGATGGATGGATGGGTAGACGAACAGCATTTATAATGCATAGCATTGGCATGGTCGGCTCGAACTGGTTAGCATTGCATTAGATTGGGCGTTATGTGTTCGTATACACTCGTTCACAAGGATAGAACACATGTGTTTTAGGATTTTCTTTAGGCCTGATTCTGATCGCTGAATTCAAAGTCACTTCGCACTCCAAAAGGTCTTTTATGAATTGGTCTTGAACTTTGCTATGAACAATGAATTCTGCTCGATTGCGGTTTTCGAGTATGAAATCACCTTGATTTTTAGCAAGTGAATTATTTGCACCATCCAGAATATTCCTAGATATTATTAAATGGTAAGGGCTGGTCCAGAACTATCCGAACAAAAAGTGGTTCTGCCAAGACATACAAAAAATAGGCATAGACAAGGAATTTCCCTGACAGTCACTGATGCGAGTGCATATGGGGTGTGAATTGTTGTATTGGGAAAGGATGGCCAGGTCAGCTATTCCGGCCTGGCAGAGCTCTTTTATAGCTCTTATCTATCTTATCTATAGCTATGGGATAACCCCCCATGGGGTCACGTATCAGTCACGCATCATCTGGTTAGGGTGTTGTCTACTCCTATGGTTCATTTGAGTAGAGCTGTACAGTTTTAAAAAGCTCTGCAGAAATGTGTGGACTTAACTCTCGATACGGACTGATCTCCTCAGCTACTCCACACTAATGTATACAATACAAGGGAAAACTTTGATCGAGAAGTGCCAATCAGTAAAACAACATACGAGAAACCACCGTAGAATTCATACCGACAATTCCTCATGCTCCTCTAACTGTTTAATAGTTCAAGCCCAGGACACTTCGGCTATACAACTCTTATTCCAAGAGAAAAGCAGCCTTGATGGTCCCGTAGAGAGTTGAAAATTGGTGAAAACTCTGTATAAAAGCTCAGAGATAGAAAGCGAGTCTACAAAACCTAAAAACAAATACCAATATAATCCGAAAATGACGTCAGAATTAACTACCTCCAAAATCATACTTAAAGAGAAGTAAACCTGACGATAATGGCTTAGCCAAACTAAGGCCGGAGCCAGAACTCTCGTCTAGCTTGTAGTCGGTCGACCCAAGTACGACGTTCCATTCTAAACCGTCTGCAGTACTTGCAACACCACAGCCTATATTCCTCCGACCTAAGAGCATTTATAAAGTAAGACGAGAAGACTGTCAAGCTTAGAATAGCGATTCGCGAGACGGTCGACCCCTCCAAGAACTTTATCCTTCAGGATCATCTGTAGGTTACCGAGTGCAATCTTGGTAACCTACTCACCAGATAATAATTATCAGGGGCAGTTACTATCGATTTTGATAGCTGCCGGAAAGTAGGAGAGTCACTACGAGATAAAAAAACTAAGAGAACACGGATGACACAATCCTAATGTTGATGTAGCATCCGAAAAAATGAACTTGATGCCCTCGTCGAGTTGCAGAACTGGTTATTTGGTTCATCAGCCGCCGAGTTCCTGTTTGGGAAAATATGTATCATTGGGCCAAACGTCCAGTATTGGGAAGGGTCCCGCAACAGGCATACGGAGTAGCCCATGACTCTAAACTGGACACCGCAGCTATTGGAAAGACGCATTGCCGCTTTCGATCCCTACAGGCCTCGCATTGTCGCTTTTGTCAGGTCCTTTTAGGCTGATGCGATGCAGTCTACATAAAGCTTTCTCGCTGATAAATCATAAGTGCATCACTGCCACTCTTATTATCGGTTCCGGTGACGTAGATGCATGTCAGATTCTTAATTAAATTACCGTCGTCAGGTAGAGCTGCAAAGGCGCCTTCTGATGCTAATTGCCCACTCTCTCCGTCGCTAAGAGGAACCGACAATTTGCGATCGTCTCGGGCAATTCGTTATAATTATTTCAGAATCCTTATGTGACTGGAAACATGGTGCTATAAGTACCAGTACACCGAGTGGAATATAAACGACTAGCCTGTTAGTCTTCACTATAGATCGACAATTCGAGGTGTCTATTTTGTCAATCAGCACGAGTTGCCTGCAGGCCGGCTTCCGTTTTAAGAACGGTCAATATCACTGCTTTAATATCCAAGCGAGGTATGCGAAAAGGCTGCCATAAAGCTGGAGAGTTGGGTGCAGTTCGTTTCGCGTCCTTCGAAGGTAGCAACCCCCTGACTGTTAGAGAGCTTCAAGGACAGTGGTTTCCTGAGGATATATGGCTGTGGGAATATGTTTGTACGTCTTATGAATGGAGAAAAAGCAATATCGCCTTGAAATGACTACGTGGAGTATATCTTCTAGAGACTACACCACCAAGATCGGATATGTGGCGTCTTATACTTGACGATCATGCTACAAACACCTCGCACGATTTCATGGACGAGACCTATATCAAAAAGGTGTAATGTCTATATCTACCAGCCCATTCCTCACATAAAACTCAACCACTTAATGTCGGCCTCTTTAGTCCATTTAAAACGGCCTTCCACCAAGAGATGCGTGGGTTTGCCTCGTTCTCAGCATCAGCACCTATACAGAAGCAACACTTCCCTCCGTTGCGAGTATAAGAGATCTGCCAGGGTTTAAGAATGAAGAAGATGCGTAGTGGCTTTTGTGGTGCTGGTATCTGGCCGGTCGATATAGAAAAATGTCTCGAGAACAAGGGAGGTATAGTGGATACTAATTTCCCACCTCAGATGTCCATCACGTCGCGGCATCCACGTACGATACCCAAAGACAAGTTTTACCATACACCGAAGAACGGTAAAAAGGTCGTGGCACAACTAGATTTGGTGCGTCGTAACCATGACGGCGTTGATCGTGGCCTTCGTACGATATCAAAGAAGGCGGCCAAGGAACTCGACAATAAGAACGCCATCATCACTAGGCTACAGCACCGATATAAAACGGGATCTACAACCACCCTAGACTGGAAAGCCGTTGAGATAGACCCTAATGAGCCTTTTCCACGTATTGAGTCGATATATAAGGCGAAGAAGGCTGCCGAGCGTTACTAATGGCAACACGGCCGGAACCTAGTAGATGAAGTTCAAGATTCGCATGAATCCGAAAGATATGTACATTCATTTCCAGATTTGACCCAGTATCTCTATCTCTATATAGTTTGGGTGTGAAATTCAAGTCTTTTTTTCTTGATCACGCGTTAATTTTCATCCGTGATAGGGGCGGAGCCGAGTTCCGGTGCACAACCCTAGATCTCGGAAATGTATCTTCGTAGACGATATCTACATTAGATGAGTCAGTGCATGAAGAGAACCAAGGTTGTCAAAGAAGAAAGTCTATAAGCATCTGCCCACGGCGCTTGGCAACAGCTTGCCGGCACCTTTCACGACCATATTTCGTCATGTCCCTCCTGACCAAGGTTCTTGAGGCCCACCGACCCGAACTCTCGTCCTACGAGAAGTTGTACAAACACTTCCACTCGAATCCAGAATTATCCAATCAAGAAATAGAAACCGCTTCCACCCTCGTTAACCATCTGCGCAAAAATCTCGCCAGACTTTGACATTCGTTCAAACATCGGAGGTCATGGTGTTGCCGCCATTTTTCGCAACAGCTCCAGTCCTACTGTGCTCTCACGCGCCGACATGGATGCCCTTCCTATTGAAGAACGAACCGGCCTTGTCTACGCCAGTACGAAACGAGTCGTTGACCTTCACGGTCGAGAGCAACCGGTGATGCACGCATGTGGCCACGATAGGCATATCACCTGTCTCCTGGCGTATGCCGAACTCATGGTCTCTGCTAGATACCAATGGCATGGTACCATTGTCCTTGTCTTTCAACCTGCTGAAGAGCGTGGTACCGGTGCGCAAAGCATGGTGGACGACGGGCTGTACGATCCCAATCGACACAATGTTCCTATTCCTGATGTAGTTTTCAGCGGCCACGTCGTTCCCGCGCGTGCCGGGGTCATCGGTGTCCGCCCCGGTACGATGGCCAGCTCTTGCGATAATCTGCGCGTCATGTTCCACGGTCGTGGTGGACATGCGTCTATGCCGGAGCGTCTTGTGGATCCCATCGTCATGGCATCCTGCGCCGTCCTGAGGCTTCAGACTCTTGTTTCCCGTGAAATTCATCCCAGCGAGCACGCAGTGGTTACATGTGCAAGCTTCATTTCTGGCACTTCTGCGGAAAATGTTGTCAGCGACGATGCGACGATCACCATTGACATTCGTGCTAACGACCAGAATACGAGGCAGAAGTTATACGATGGGGTCCTAAGAATCGTGCAAGCCAAAAGCACTGCATCCAATGCTGTCGCCGCACCCACGATTGTCCCAACCCGTACCTTTCCCGTGACCGTCAACGACGCCATGGTTACTGCACGGGTGGGGGAGGCTTTCTGCGATCATTTTGGCCCTAGTGATCACAGTTATGTTGCAGACTACCCCCGGCTCAGTTTCAGCGAAGACTTTTGTATTCTCGCGTCCGCTGTTGAAAAGCCTTCCCTACTATTCGCCTATGGTTGTACCGCACCCGACAAAGTTGATCAAGCGCAAAAAGAATTGGACGAGAGCATACCAGGCAATCATAGTTCTCTCTTTGCCCCGCAGACTTTTCCTACGATGAAAATAGGCATAGACGCGTACGCTGTAAGCGCTCTGGCTTGGTTATCAAATGATCAGGTAAATGAGTAGGGGCCCGTTATAAAGTATACGGCAGAGGTCGTGACAGGTACATAGCTTATCAGTAAGGAACGAAAGGACCGTCTGACGCGTTGCTAGCACCACCGAACCGTCCGCTCACCCGTGTGGAACCATTTAGGCACCATTTTATAGTAGCAGCAGCAATAAACGGGCTAACACTGCGCTGTAACTAAGGTGCAACGTAGAGGCTCTGCCTTAGTCTACCTCGCCGCCAATTATGAACAGATTTGTCAGCACCCTGTATACTAGCAATTCTCTTTTATTTCCTTTTCACTGCTGCGGCCTCGTGCATGCTAAATACTGCAACATGACACAATCACCAGAATGGGATGGTAGGGCTGGGCAGAAAACCTCGAGTATTAATCAACAGTGAAGACTTGTGTACAAATGCATTCAAGCCCCGCCATGGCAGCTATTCCTTTTACACGTGCTAGGTGGGTATTTCATGTGCGTAAGGATATAATGTACTCTCTTTCTCCGTCACACTGTCTTGTTCATGGGAAACTTCTTACGTAAGTATCTGGCAGCGCTACTTATCTTACGCTACCTGGCTAGTACTTGCTGATTGAGGACCAGTATTGGACTTAGTCGTCATGACGGATGGATGGAAAGTGGTAGAAACGTATTGCCAAAGCTCACGGGTTCGAAAGAATCGTTTTGCTCCCACCAACTTCCAATCCAACAACGCTAATATCAGGTCACTGGACGTTAGCATACCATCAAATCTCCCCTATTCCGATAGCACAATACGCTGGGGATATGCCTTGACGCCTAGAAAATGGGATGGTTATGCGCTATTACGTTACTAACACACCGCAATATGATCCTGAGTTTCCAAAGAATATGGGCCATTGACGTCAGAATTGAAGCTAAGAAAACCACACAAGGAATGACTATCAGGTTCAGGGAAGGTCCCGTGCTTGCAGGGACGCATGTTACTGAATACCTACACTCAAGTATGTCAGTCTAGCAAATGTTTGGTACAAGGCACTCACATAAATGCTGCTCACTAGTGAATAGTTGACATATTCTTTGTTATCTATCAACGTACCGCGATTACTCTATCCCACGACTCAGATAAAATGTTTCAGACAACTCCATTGATGGAAAAGTTCTGCGTGTGACTTACAATCACTACCTATGAACAGCCTGTCCTCGATACTCCAAAGAAAAACTCACCAACTTTCCCGGCGGCTTCAGCGCTGTACAAGGAATGGCAGGCTGGTGTTCTTGGTTACAAACTTGGGAATAGTCCCATCACGATGCCCAATGCCAACGTAGAAGTTGTAAAGAACACTACGGTCCGGCGTCGGTTTGGGAGGGTTGGAGCTGTCTTCCACGGTAGCGGGCATACAGCGGCGAGGTGCCTCGCGGACCTACATTTGATGGCTCTTGGGCACACCAGGTGGGGGTTATTTGAGGATGAACGGCCGTGCCGTCTTGAATTCGGTTCGGGCTTTTGGTGAGGCTGGTACGGTGACCATTGGGTTTAGGGGGTCAAAGATGCATGAACCGTCTGGTGATTTGCAACCGCTGCGTGTTCCCTTGTGTGAAGTCTGAGGCCCTGGGTTAGCCATCTCAGACTCCATGGAGAATATAATTGAGGGAGTCGACGGCGAGGGGCGATGACTACATGTGCGCTCCTACCCCTGTTAGGGACACCAATGAGAGATCGTCGTAAATGGTCTAGACCAGATTAGGTCCTAAAACTGCCCTGTGAGGGGTACTCCACACCTGCAACCTGTATTTTGTCTACAATCTCAATCCGCTCTCATTCCCCGTGTTACAGGTACTGCAGTAACAACCAGTTGTGAGTCCTCGACTTCTTCAACAGCATGCAATAATGGTGCCGCCAAAAGTCAGGTGGGCGACGTCCAACGACTGGGCAGCGGTTCGGGACATCGTGACGGAGCTCTATGCATGGGAGGGAATGTCATTGCAGGCTTTAATGCAATGGATGCGGGAGAATCATAACTTCCATGCAACGTAAGTGGCCCGATCGCAGCGCACAGAGGGAGCAGGGGGTGCCTATAGGTATCATGATACTGACCCGCAGTCGCAGTGCCAAGATGTACAAGTACCGGTTCAAGATATGGGGGGTACGTAAAAATTTTAAGAGTAGCGAGATTGATGAGCTCCTTGCGAACAACTCCCATGAACATGTACAGGCTCACTCAAGATGTCAACCAGCCAGGGACGGACGCATCATCTCAGCATCCCATGACAAGGAACCACCAGGGCGCCTCGTTCCATATCCATCACATCTTGCAACACCAGACTGTCTTCGAATACCGGAGGAATGCATACGCTTCTCCCGAGACTATATCGACTCCAGGGTCTGGCAGTACAGCATAGACAAGAATGCATTTCTACGAGAATGGTACGGCACTTTCGCAAGAGGCGAATCTCTCCTCGCAGCGGGAATGGTCCAAGACGCGTTTTCCCACTTTCAGCGCGGCTTTTCGCAGACAGCCGATGGCGTTGCGGGCCAGGATCCTTCTTTCTTCGTATGGATGTACTCGGCAGCCATGACACTATTCGAGTCCGCGCCAGAAGTCGCCAAGTCACTCATCACCTACACAGCACATATGTGTCGCGTTACGCACGGTCCCCATCATCCTCTCTCGCTCCTCCTGTCTCGCATGAATCGGATGGACATACATGAGCTGGTAAAGGGTGCCAGGCAAGTGCTAGAATCGTATTTCCAGTATCTGGAGTCGAGCTTAGATTCAGCTAAGGAGTGTGACTTAAATGCCACGCTTGTCATTCTACAAGTCCGCACAACCGATCTTCTGGTGCTCCGAGGCTTGTTAGATATGCAAGTTGCGGACGAGCTATTCCAACGAAATCTTGGAAAGATACGGTGTCTACCTCGCGCCACATTCCATCTTCTGAAGCCCATCCAACGGTACGTCGCCAGCGCACACGAGGAAAGTGTCCAGCTTATCATGTCTCCCGAGCAACTCTTTGCACGTTTTGCTTCAGGCGAAATTTTGTCATACTCTGAGTCTCTGGCATGGTGCAATCTTGTACCGCTGGTGAAGAATGATAACCAATTGGCGCCCAGTCATGTTTCCATGCTATTAGACCAATTCGCGTCTACTACCGCAATCTTCAACAGTAACGGTTATGGGAACTATTTAGGGAAAGACTTCTACAGCGGCTTCGAGCGGAAGATGTCTCAAATGGGTTGCAATCGGAATGGAAAATGGAAGAGATCGGGCTTCTGGCTATGAGCTTAATGCGTATGCGACATCTCGAACACTCGAACCGGCGTTGTAGCCAACGGCCACCCCGCACGCAAATACTAGCTATGCACCTATATTTTAAATCTTACGAGGAAATCGAGGATCATCTCTCCTGGGCAAGTCGAAAGATCTGGGATATCAAACTGAGGTGCACCGAGGTCTGAGGAAGAAGCATTTTGCGAACACAAGATTATCCACATCGATACATCAGCATGACAGGTGGATGGGCTTTTGGAGGCTAGACGCGTGGATATGAGAGCATTGACAGGCAATGACAGCGAGTAACAGTAAGATAACAGAGGGCTCGTAATACATAAATGAATTTAAATACGTTTCCATAACCAATATATACACGGGGAGGCTCGTAATTTAGAGACAAGAAACAAAGATACAGAGTCTGAAGGAGAGGGGAAGGTACGGCCAAGTAAGTGTAGGGCTACAAAATCCCGCCTCAAACCAGAAGTAACCATCATAGAGGAATAAAAAAAACATCTTTTTTTGGCCTTTATATAAAGCTGAAAGATTCTTCGATTTCTATATTTCGGTTAGATATTAGAAATATTTCTTGGATACAATCAGTACTAGTAAACTTGAGAGCAGGATTCCATTAAGAAATCCTCGGTATAGCCGGGCTGCATATAGGTCGGATTGCTTGAGGAATGCCAGTGCTTCTCGACATTTGGCCAATCCTAGTCTCTATGTAAGATGATAGTATATAGACCATACACTAGTTTCGGATTATCAAGATACACAGCTTTATCCTTCAATTCGCATATTATATACAATTATCAACCTGATAAACTTTTATACTAAATTAAAAACCACGCTTGCCATTTCCAGAAGACAGACTACTGTTTATATCAGTTGGACAATATGGGCCCTGTGGGCCATGTGGGTCCTATACTTGCCACTATCGCCACCTAGAACGGCGACCATCCCCACATACCTCTATTACGAGAAATGTGGCAAGGATAGAACATTCCCTACTTATCTATATGCTTCTACAACTTGTCTGAATTAATCAGCAAGTCTACCATTCATTGACTATATAAGAACCCTTTTGTTTCCATACATAGACCCTCGAGGAGAGGACCAGAGTTAGCTACAATACATACAGGTTAGGCATATGTGCCCTCCTTTTGCTCCTTCAACGGGAACATAAAATCCAAGTATATCCATTGTGTAGTAAAATACGGCACTTCAACAGCTACCTGGTAGAGATTACCTCCGCTTCGTAATAAACATAACCGCCACTGCCCCAATCATAGCCCCCAACAACAAGCTCGGCACATCCACTGACGGCGGCGTCGGCAACGACGCCTCCACAGAAGTTTTCTCTCCCTTATCCACAAGTTCCCTCTTCCCCTCGGCATACTCCCTCGCCAACGGATCCTCCGAAGCATTCAACCTCGTCATCCAATCTCCACCCTCAAATGTGGCCACACCCTGATCAAGCGGCAATTTCAAATTCAGCGGATACCAATTACACACCATCCCCATCCCGTTTTCTCCCTTCGTTCCATGCCCCACCCAACCAGCCGGCAACCACTCCCCTAATGTCTCGCCCTGCAACGTCCTAAACAGCAACGCACACCACATCTCGAGCACGTTCATGACCAAATCCGCACGAGACTCCAATGCAGGATCCGCAAGGGGCGGCAAGACAGCCAGTACAACAAAGTTATTCCACTTGCTCCGATCAATAGCGAAGTAATGGAGCGACTTATTATCGCGGCGGTGGCGGAAGCTCATGTGGCATTTTGAAATGCGAAAAGCGACGTTCTTGCTCTGCCCCACATAGAGCCGGTCGCGGCCGTCGAGGCCGCGGATCAGGTCTAGGTAGATGCCCCGGGTTTCCGGGAGGGGGTGAGTGGTTGCGTCTCTGATCCTGGACGTGGATTTAGCTTTGTAACTACTACTCTACTACCCTACGTGAAGAAAGCCAAAGCAGGTGGAATAAAATATGTCTTCTATGCATCCAGAGTGTAGAATGAAAATTAGGAGACGTACTCATTCCACTTCGGCAACTCCGCCCCGCCAAACAACTCAAACACCTCAGGCCGTAAGGACGCGGTCAGAGCATCTCGCACGCCCTCCGAGTCGACCCATGATCCATAGCGCTGGAAGTGCTGCGGAGAAGCAGGGTAGGAGAGCTCGGCGAGGAGGTGGGTGAGCAGGGTGTTTGCGGATTCGACGGTGATGTTCGTCATGATCCTTAAGGACATGGTTTGACGTCACGCGCAGTCGTGGGTAAAAAGAGGAAATAAGGAGAAAAAACAGACCGGGGTATGCGGTAGCACGTGACCTGCTGCTCAGCTGGATATTGGATCAGAATTGTCACATAAATTTGGAAGATAAAAAAATAAAAAATATTAAATACGCCGTAGGTGTTAACCCTCGATACCTCTACAAGTACTCCCTTAAGGGGCTATAGATGATATAGCGGGCCCTTAAGCCGCGTCGGGCGGTTATACAGGTAAACTTGTAGCCAAACGACTACTAAACCTCCTGTCCCTCCCTAAGTCTGTGCTACAACCCCTGCCTGAACTACCGATAAGTGTGGTAATGTGGCACTTAAATTCGTCCTCAGGGGTGGGATGCTGCTGATGTGCAGAAGATGCTCGACTATTTTTTGTCGCGACAAGTCGTAGTATCTGCTAATTGGGGTTCTCGTCGAGCGTATACATCTCAACCATACGCTCAAGTGGATAGACCGTAACGTGGTCTAGACGCTCGCAAGAATCGCGGCGAGAGGGGGTCCGATAAGGGGTCGGATTAACGATTCGAATTCTGGACCGGCTGTCGAGTTATATTCCGCCGACGTAGTGCTTGACGGTCGACTGGCTAGGATGCTCGTAATCCTAAACTGCACCAATCTCCCTATTATCGCTAGGTAGGCGAAGTCAACAAGGTGGGCAGCGCGCCGTAAGGGTTGACTAAACCCCCTTGTGTGTCAGCTGCGGGATTCGAACCCGCGACTCGTCACCGACCCAAGTGGGCGAGGCTCAAATCGGGACTTATCTACCAGCGAAGTGACCAACTACACCAGCCGGACGGAAGATATGTCGTCCAGCTGGGCGTAATAGTAAAAGCACCAATTAGATCACCGATAGTGTATCGAGCTACTTGGGCAAATTTGGAACATTTTGTTTGACGAGTGGGTCAGACCCATATGTTGGGAAAGCCTTCGCGCTAGTGCCTTATAGTGTACATATATGTGCCAGCAACCCCTACGTTCCGTTGTTTTCATCTAGATTAGTGTACATATCAATGCTTACAGAGTAGTCTATAAATTATGCTCTACATTACAGACAGGAAACCATTATGCACCTGCTACTGGCACTAACGCGAACAAGATCTCAACGACGTATCCAAAGACCTCCATTCCCGTGTATCTTGTCCATCTTCTCCATTCCGGCTGTCCTCACACCTGCCAAATGCAGCGGTACACTATCAACCCGTTTCTGAAGCTGCGTTCGTGCTTCAACGTACTTATCCGCCAACGAGTGACTGCTCTTCTCCGTCTTCAATCGATAGATGGTCATCTCTGGCTCCCAGTGCTCGCGGCTCAGACTAGCTAGCGTGATGTTAACGTTCCTCCTGACCGCTTCGGCTAGGTCGTCCAACGGTCGGGTCGGGTTGACTTCTGGCACTCGGCAGAGACATGCCATGGCCACTACCTTGAGTTTGGCGTCGAAGAATTTCGCGGGGCCAAAGTCGTGAATAATGTGAACGGCGGCGACGTTCTTGGAGACTACTCGACGCGCGGCGTGAGGTGACGGGGCAATAATGATGATTGCCTCGTGCCAGTCATGAGGAATGTCCTCGAGGCCCTTTCTGGGCTCTACGCTGGCCCACCCCATGTATATCCCCTTGAGGCGAGCGAGAAGGTCGTCGTCAACACCACACAAGTTCGCCGTGGGGATGCCGGTCTGCAATTGGCCCTGGCCAGTGCTTTCCACCACCTTCCCATCCAGCCGAATCGGAAACGGCAGCTCGGGTCCGGAATCGTGCCCGACAACCTCAGGCGGGGAATCGAACGCGGCTTGGACCGGGAGAGGGTCGTATGAAACGTCCCTGGCGCTGTCGAAATGTTGTTCCAAGGCCTCAAACTTATCTTGCAAGCCAGATTTGGCGTAGGCAATGTGGTCGGCATTTTTGGCCACATGCTTGGTGACGATACCCGGCGTAAACTTTTCTGTGCACTTCCCTAGCCCACCCTGAACCACGGCGCGCGCAGGGCCGATATACTTATTCGCCATGGCGGTCCCGATGACAGAGGCTGCTTTCAGCCCAGTTTCTAGCGGCAGAGTCGCGAGGCTTGCGCCGCGGAGGATGCTCACGTCGCTCGAGGTACTGGCGACGCGAAAGACGGGGCTGGGACAGAGCACCTTCTTCCGACGGTCTCCAGTACACATGACGATGCGCAGATATCCATCTTCGGCCGCTGCCGGAATTCGGATGATACAGGTTTCCCTTGCGGCGTGTTTTGACATAGTCTTATGCTTGGCCGTTTTCTTGGAGAACTTCTTCAGGTCCCGCTGCCAAGCGCGTTCATCAGATTCGGGAATGTCGCGGACAAGTCCCTCGGAAGAAGGTGTCACGTCAATCCAGTTGGTAGTCGTACCTAGTAGTGCGCTGGCGTTCATCCCCATGTTGCCGGAATAGCCCTTGCGTTGCAGCCAAAGAGAACGATCAGCCGGCAGAGGTGCGTCGGCGAAGATGGTGATGGTGATGCTGGTTGTGGGCCCGCGGTAGAATACCAACCCTGATGAATGCCGGAGAATACTGAAGTGTTTGGTGGATTCGAACGGGTGAGATATCAGCCCGCCGGCAAAATGGATGGTCTCATCGAGGGCCGTCTTCCACATAGACTTGGGTCCATCCCCAGTCATTGTTGTGGTGGTTGGTGCCGGGGCCACGGACGGCGCGGAACTGCCGGCGTCCAATGGCACTGTATTGGGCCGTGGAGGCATAGATGGCCGAGTCACCAGACTCCCATTCTTGGCCTGTTCGGCCAGGAGCTCATCTTGAACTTGATCGTCAAAGTAGTCATCGAAGATATCCGAATATTCTGGCGATGGCGAAGGTGGAGCTGATGGGAGCGGCTTCCGCCTTACCTTCTCTACCTTGGAGGTGTCCATCACTAGGGTACATAATGAGGTCTTTAGGTACGTTGAACGTTGCCGGAGGCCAGGCTAAGAAGAGATGAGCAACCCATGTCTTGCCCAGCCAATGGACATGGTCATCGGGCGGTCTTTGCCTATTGTCTTGGCATGGTGAGAACGTGACGCTGCAACAATGCAGAGAAAGGAAGCTATTCAATGGAGCCACAAACTTCATCAATTGCAGACACAACATGTCAAGCTGCAATCCCTTATGTTACAAGCGTCTATGGCCATGACTCAGATTCGAAGCTCCCATCTTGTCGGGAGTTGGTTTAAAGTTGAGAAAGGGGGAAACCCACTTCTCTCTTCTGAGCTTACTCAGTAGCCAATCGGGGAATTTAGAGGCCATGCCGTAGCTTGCCGCCGATCCCAGGCAGCTCGATGGAGCTGGAGCTGCAGGTGAACATAGCTTGACTTCCAACGTTGCTCGACAACCTGGAAATTTGTCGCTTCCGCAACCTCTTTCCTGTAAACCCGTGCCAATGATTCCATCGGGAGCAACAATGTAGTAATTCCACGTCGTCGTTGGTTCTCTGCTACCTTGACGTTCTACAGTCCACCTGCCACGCTCAGGCAGCTTATCAAAAGATGGCTTCCCCAACTTCAACGTCGACAGCCTCGCCATCACCTCAACCGTCACGACCGTCGTCATCTCAACATGGCGACGCCTCTGAAGCCGCCGACTCGGTTCCCGTCGAGACTCTTGTGCAGCATCTTCTCGATGCGAAACGATCACTTTCATCCATGACCCTCGTCCTCCGCGCCAACGAGCTCGTTACCGCTGCCCGCCTAGCCCATGAGGAATCCGTTATCCTTGGCGCGCAATCGCAATTTCTTCGCCGCGGCATCACCGAACAAGCGCGCTTGCTCCTTCGCGCCCGGAGAAGCATGAACCGAACCTATGACAGCGGCAAGCGTGAGTTCAAGCAAATCATCAAGAATCTCGACGCCACAAACGGTCGATTGGAAGACACCATGAATATTCTCAGGGCTAGAGTGGTAGAAAGCGCCTTCAGACCTAAGGGTGAAGAGAAGAGGAATTTGCTAGACTTTGTAGATGTTGTTCAGGTCGACACAATGCGAAATGCGCTCAAGGAGAACATTGCCGCATTACAGGTGAGCACACAAAGCCAAGATCAAACATGCACCACTTGCTAGTTCCTAGTGCTAACCACAGGAGTACCATAGGCAACGCAAACATCATTTGATGGCGATTTACTCCGTTTTGATACCGACCTACGAACACTTAACAAAACATTACAGTCCACACCGTCACCTCTCTCGCCGTCTGCCTCCAATGCCGAGCAACCCATTGCACACATTCTCGCATCCATGATGCACAGCTCCCATGATATGGCCGAACATCTCACATCTCTGACCAGACATTTCGACTTATGCGTTACAGCCGTCCGAACCACCGAGGGGGGCGCAGCTCTGGCCAAGAGGAAGGCTGCCGAGGTCACTCAATCCCAAGGAGACGACGTGGTGTCCATCTCCGGCGTTATGGCTGAGCAAGAGTTGCACATGACGGATGTTGAGCCAATATCGGGACAGGACAGAGCCCAAATGCTGCAGGTCGTAGTTCAAGATGCCTCCGAGGTCAGCGGTGTGGTGCAAGAGATCAATGAAGCCCTTCACGGCATGGAAGATGACTTTGCGAGACTCGAAGAGCAGACAAATCGGGTCAGACTTATCTACTTGACCACGCTAGACGCCTTCCACGTACTTCAGGACATCGGATCCCGACTGCAGAGCTACATCGCCGCCGAGACGGAGTTCCGTGACCGCTGGATCGAGGAGCACGAAACCATCAGCGACAAGATGGTCGAAATGGAGCAACTGCGCATGTTCTATGAAAACTATGCCAGTTCGTACGATAGTCTCATTCTTGAAGTCGAGCGGCGCAAGTCGCACGAGGAGAAGATGTTGAGCATTTGGAGGAAGGCCAAGGAAAGCGTGGATAAGATCATTGAGGCGGATCGCAGACAACGCGAAACTTTTAGGCAAGAGATAGCGGAGTACATACCTACTGATCTCTGGCCGGGAATGGATGATGGCATGACGAGGTGGGAGATCGTGCCGGTGCAAGACGAGGTTACGGCCCAGGCTGGCGGGTCGGCGGGTACTCCGGCGTTGGATAGGAGTGTTATCCAGGCTGCGGCTATGCGATTAGGTCGAAATTCGACTGAGCGGTAAGTGTGAGTACGAGTATGGACTTGTACGATGGCCGGCAATCGGCGTTTGGCTTTCAGGCCGACTACCTCTTATGGATGGAGTTTCTTTTGGATGGTTTATATATTGCGCGGTACCACAGTCCGCAGTGGCATGGTTTCAAGCGTCAGCGAATGACACATCACACATACGTATACACACAACGCAGCTCTGGGACCGGTTTGGAATGGTGACAGGAATAGGAATAGGTCAGATGTGTAAGCCTGTAGCTCGAACGGACTAGGACTCACCCTCAACTTAATGGTTTTGAACTTGCAATCAGTCGGAATATTTCGAATTATTACTCTATGAAGTGCTCTAAACTGTCTAACAAGTAATGTTTAGATGGACCAAAAGAGGGCTATCACAATGAAGTGTGCACACCTCTCGTACGTAACAGAATTCTCTTAGCATACAAGTATACTCGCAATAAACAAGACAGGATTCCACCATCAATTCCAGCCCAAACCAACATCGCCTATCTACAGTTCCCATACGCCTCAAGGAGGTAACAAAATCAACGGCGCACCAAGGGTGTAACAATATAGGATAGCTCGATAGTCTAATATAATAAATAATATTAAATACGCCGTAGGTGTTAACCCTCGGTACCTCTACAAGTACTCCCTTAAGGGGCTATAGACGATATAGCGGCTCCTTAAGCCGCGTCGGGCGGTTATACAGGTAAACTTGTAGCCAAACGACTACTAAACCTCCTGTCCCTCCCTAAGTCTGTGCTACAACCCCTGCCTGAACTACCGATAAGCGTGGTAATGTGGCACTTAAATTCATCCTCAGGGGTGGGATGCTGCTGATGTGCAGAAGATGCTCGACTATTTTTTGTCGCGACAAGTCGTAGTATCTGCTAATTGGGGTTCTCGTCGAGCGTATACATCTCAACCATACGCTCAAGTGGATAGACCGTAACGTGGTCTAGACGCTCGCAAGAATCGCGGCGAGGGGCGTGCTGCGCGCCTTCTATCGTGAGGGGACGGGTTCGCCGACGAGCGTTATCGGATAGGCGAGGTCCGATAAGGGGTCGGATTAACGATTCGAATTCTGGACCAGCTGTCGAGTTATATTCCGCCGACGTAGTGCTTGACGGTCGACTGGCTAGGATGCTCGTAATCCTAAACTGCACCAATCTCTCTATTATCGCTAGGTAGGCGAAGTCAACAAGGTGGGCAGCGCGCCGTAAGGGTTGACTAAACCCCCTTGTGTGTCAGCTGCGGGATTCGAACCCGCGACTCGTCACCGACCCAAGTGGGCGAGGCTCAAATCGGGACTTATCTACCAGCGAAGTGACCAACTACACCAGCCGACAGTCTAATATACTAAGTATAATTTTATGATCGTGAGTAATTGCGCCGTTTATTTTATCGCCCAGTCACTCGTAGATATGGAAATTAGCCCCCGATATTCCAGCATAAGACGCCTTGGATACTTAACAGGGAATCTCAAGTCACCGTTAGAACGCTTCCTGTTAGGTTCATACACGCACTGCGCATCGCAAACCACCTTAGGACTCCACTGCTTATATAACTCCCGTGCGAACCTGCAGCACAACATATTGTAGGATATTCTCTTTCTATCCTCGTCCATGACCGTCCCGGACTGTCCCGTTGCCTGCGATCCCATTGTCGGGCTATATTCCAAAAATGTCTCAGCATGAACTGGCGGTGGTTGATACGGGAAGAGGATAGGTGCGTGCAGTGTTGGACATAGTTTCTGTTTTTGTCTGTGTGTGCACCTTTGGGAACTCGACGCCTCATGGTAGAATATTGGGGAAAGATCGAGTATCAATTTAAATGCACAGCGAACCGCTGTCTTTATAGATGTCTTGATTGCTAAAAGTGATATAAGTTTGATGAATAATAGTCATACTATGCTAGTGTATCAGGTTACATTCAATTGATTGGATACATATTAGTACTAACTTACCCCTATTCGTGCTAATTCACCTTGAATTGGACGCCCCGTCTTTCTAAGTACTTCTACGAGATGACGCCATCAAAATGACTTTTGTATGCGTACCAACAACCACTATTCATATCATAAAATTAATATTGATCGATTCTGTGAAGTTAAAGGACAAGGAGTTACACGCATCCGAAGTCCTGCCTTTAGATGGAAACCCGCACTACGTGGCTCAGTCCCTTCCGCAATGGGAGTCTCACCCAAGACAACCCATGGTCACAGCGCCGCTAGATTTTAACCTAGTCGGAACACCCTTGCCAATAAAGGATTCTGTAAGATGTTTAACGATCTCTATCTCCTTCCTGAGAACAAGACTTTGCTGCACTAGGGTGGAAGTGAAAGGAGGGTATATCGCAAGGCTGTCGTTGAAGATGCTAGCTGGAGTACAACGACGGCACACTCTTGGTAAATTTTCATCACTATGTGGTCGAAAACGAGGATGTCCAGCGGACAAACCATAATAGAATCGGAACTGCTAGTACCCCAGGTCATCTATTATGCTGGAGTGGCAAAGCGTGAAACAAGATATTGCTAGAGAGGCCGATAGACTCAATACTTGAATGGTCGATCTTCTCATCCGTGCATAAGCGTGCTAAGTTACAGTAGGATAACAAGCGAGTTAGTAGTAAGTAATATCCCCGATGTAAGGAACTGCAATGGACTAGTAGTTTGAGAAGACTACCAAAGAGGTGATAGAATGAAAAGCGTACTTAGCTAGGGTTATGAAGTTATGCTAGACCTGCTACACTGGAATATCAAGCTATTCCATATTATTACACCCATAGTACGCCGTTTAACCTGTTACATAGCCATAATGCGAAACTTGTTTAATGCTCATTTCAGTAGGCAGCTTTGGCGGGGTAGCTTTGGTGGAGTAATTTTGCCAATCCAGCTTCGGTGTGGTGAGTGCCTTGGAAATCCCCCATTTTTCGGCGAAGACGATGGTATCACGCCTGGAGACTAGGAGGCCAACCATATTATTGGGGTCTGACGTTGTGGTCCATCACGTAGTCGTCCAGAAGCCAAACCTCGAACCTGAAGATAACCTGGGCCATATTTGATGAGATGGAAAATGACTGAACCGTGAAACAAAGCTTCTGCCAAATGGCAAACACAGCACAGTTGAATATACCACTTAATGCAGAGAGAAGAGGAGGGGCTTTATGTGCAACTATCTGCCTACAACGCGGCGTCGCCGCCTTAGACCACGTGTCCGGTCTCGTCTTCCGATCTCCTTGGCGAATATGTTAGCCTTCGTCTACTCGGTATACTTGATGATGGATGGCATTGCTACACAAACCGGTCCCTGCATTCGAGAATACATGGATCAAGTGTCTAGACGGCCTAGCTCGCTATAGGTATAAAATATTGAGCGAAACTTGCCAAATCATGGATAACACTAGCATATTTCAAGAGAAGCAGTTCAATAATGAGAGTATGCTCGTGTGATATCACCTCACAGCTAAATGTCCTTCCACAACAGGTCGTACACAAAGACGTATTATGTGTACCTTACACTACACCAACACACTTGGAACGAGTGACAGGCTTATCGGACCATTCGAGAAGCCACTGTTTAATCCTTTGCACACCCTGCCAGTCTCCTTCTTCAGTTTCCTGCTTATCCTCGTCAACCCAGTCCTGAGTGTAGCTACCACCAAAATCAACGAGACAGGCATTGCCCTCCGTATCAACCAAGACATTATCAGGCTTAACATCACCCCAAGCCAGGCCTGCGGCATGCAAGCAGTTGACGGAGTCATGTATTTGCCGAAACCAGCGAAGCCGATCCTGGTTTGTGCAGTCTGACCAAGGCGCCAAGTCCGTCAGAGTGCCTTTATTCTCGATATAGGTAAGAAGCAGTCCAACTAAACGTGTGCCAGGGTAGTCCTCTTCATCGCTATCGAGATGATAGTGTCCAAGGACATCATCATGATTGTCGATGATCAGACCGTGTAGGCGACAGATACGTGCATGAGTAAGAAGAGGCGTCGCAGTAGTTACCAGCATCTTTCTGTATGACTGCAGCTCGTAGTATCCATGAACTCGGCCTGAAATCCAAGGTTTGAAGAAGTAATCCATACCATTCACAGAGACCTTGGATGGAACCAGCTGTGATGTATAAGCTAGAACTTGTACTTCACGAGATGAGTACCTGTTGAGTTTTGAGGCAAGAAGCGGGCATAGGTGTGGTTGAAGGTGCTTGCTATCCATGTAATCGCCTGGACGCATAAACTCTTGTCGCGAAAGGGTTGTCTTGCAAAGTGGCTGAACGTGGCCGCTCTGAGCAACCGTTGCCTCGAGAATGAACGACGGCGGGTAGAGATAGCCTTGTAGATACTCTATTGGTGGATTTGGAGCCAACCGGGTCATCAATTCCTCAAATGGTCTCCTAAGGCGTTCTGCAGTTTCACAATATCCATCTTTGTGCAGCTTTTTGTATAGCTCGTGATGCTGTTGTAAAACAGAAGATGAAGCGGCGAGCTCCTGCGCAATGTAGCAGATGCGGAACGCAGCACGCCTACTGCGAACATAAAGAGTAACATCGCTGTCCAAGTTGTATTCTGTATCCCAGGTAATAGACTCAGTATAGAATTCTTGCATCTTGATAGTACATTATAACGTAGGTAGAAGACAATACGAAGTGTAAGCTAGCAATGATATTGTAAATACTGTATTAGGGCAAATGGTCAATTCAGTGAAGATAGGGCCTCTTGATAATTTCTGGAGATATAAAACCTCCCCACAGGAACCTCAGGAGCTTAAATACGGGACAATGCCCCTTGCATGTTGCCGGATATCAGCTCCACATACCAATCAACGTTGATCACTAATACTTGGATTAATCCCGTTGGTGTTACTGTACGGTATGTACCGTGTAGAAAGGGTAACTCACAGTACCAAAAATGACGTATACAATTTTACACTAACGAATATCGATGGCAATTCTTGTGGCCGCAAGTACAGATGACGTTGTTTGAGCCAGCAGAAACCTGCTGCTCACAGCTATGACATGTCCAACCGCGTTTTTTGAATGCCTTTTGCGGCAGCTACTGTTGTTGCAATGGCCATGGTCTTGGAAGGTACTTGTCGAATAGTGGTTACCGGTGCACCGCTGCAGTTGCCCATTCATATCATAAACACCAGCAGCGAAGGCATACCCACAATCGTTCGCTTCAGCGGGATGCCAGTATGATTCACCAGAGGAATGATAGCAGCCGTATATTCTTCTAATCAATTGGCACATGGTTTATGAAGTGTATGCGCAGAGAGTTGTACGAGTTGAGGGATAGAGGCAGTGATGTTGACAATCAACACTAAAACATTCGATGTTCAGCAGTTATATATAACAAGTTTTCTATAGATGCACACGACGGTGAATTAGGCTGCAAGGCTAAGAACACATGCATTGTGACTATGCGGCATTACTGATCGTAGGAAATGCAAGGGAAGATTGCGAGGTAAATTTAGGGCACTGACAGGGGTAGGGATCTCGATCCTCCAACTTACTTCGTAATAATAAGATACGCCTCGTCAATAGTATACCGCTGAAGTGCCCACCCAAATAGTCTTTAGCACCTGGGCCAAAAGGAAGGCGTGCCAAGAGAAAATTCTCGCAAACTCCCCTCGCAAAACTCCCCATAATTTAGACCGGTACCCTCAGCACCTGTCATGCGATTAGTTGGTTGCATGCAAGAAGCGTTAAAATTCTGGATAATGCCTCAAATCCGATTGTCTATTCGTGACACAAGTAATGTAAATGGTTGCAGAACTGACCATTTGGCCAGTAGACGCTGAGCCCACGATGTATCCGGTGGGCCGATTATATCCGCCACTCCGAGTAACTGAAGGAAGCCGGCAAGTGACACTGCATCTTTGCTTTGCCAGTCTTCAAGAAACCCCTGTAGTAGGAAAAGTCCGGCTCTGGTAACCTTTTGGTTCCACAACCCGTGCCAAGTCCTTCAAAACGCCCTTTCTAAGCCTCTTCAGTAGAATTCTCTTTCACAAGTGGTTAGAGTATCATCATTCCCCTTAATGTGGCGATATAAGGGCAAGCTACAGTCTCGCCTAACAGCATAGCCACTCAGGGCTGCTTGTATTGGCGCCCCGCAAGGAAAACCCCGGGAGGGTTAGGCATGAGCTGAGGAGTATCTTTCAACCTAAACATTTTTGAGGTCATCTTCAGACTACTCCAGAGATTTGCTATTGTAAGGGTGGATACTACTGTTGTGGCAGAACTTGTTAAATCTCGAACCCCGCACTCTCAGCGTATTACCCGCGTCATATCCAAACCAAGACAGAATCACTCCGTCGAGCTTCAGCCTAATAGTAATTCTAACACAACTTCACCTAGAAATCCTTTACTTATCTATCTATAGTCCGTCGATGTTTCTCTGACTTTCGAAAAAACCGACTGGAAAATCTCCATACAGACAGCGCGTATCTATTTCGATACGGGGACGTTACTCTAGCATACCTGTGGTGGTGCCTACTGGAGGCCAAAGGGGACAAAGGATTGGATTCAATAGTAGTCGACAATGTGCTGTCCCACCGTCCGGGTTTAATCCCCCTTCCCGATTTGGTACTGCGAGGAGACGCATACCTGTCAGCAACAAAAACCGACATTGTTTGTTGGCTGAAAGCCAATAGAATAGCTGTCGCAATTGGCGACAACTTCCAGCGCACTAGTTGGCTTATATGTGTATGTTGCCTGGATGGACATAGCTTTAGTAAACCATTTCGATTTTCTTCTCTAATTCTGTTGCAATATTCGGCCTTACTTAACAAAATTCCGTGGAATTTGTTGAGTGGAATGTATGGCATACGGCGCTTCATTTGCTTCTGCCTAATTCGAGTCCTGGCCGATTATGCGGTCGAAATCCCTAGAGTTTTATTGGCGCGTCGGGCGCGTCTCTCAGCCTGGTGTCCATTTCGTGAAGTGAGCGACATAGCCATGCCCACGTTTTTCACATCTCTATCAGCTAGACGACGAAAACATGGACGGTATTTTCAAGAAACGCCCGTCTGATGAACAAGCTGCCGACTTAGCCGCCAAAACCCGATCCGAAAAGCGACAGGCAACAGCGACTTCCGATTCTCTAGTCGACCGTCGCGAGCCTGATCTGCGAGCGGGGCACTACGGAATCGGAATTCAAAACGTGGGCGGCGGAAGCATTTCTATCGGAGGAGACGCGATTTTTGGTACAGTACTCATGTTCACCCACCGTAGTACATGGTCAACTATTAACGAGCAGGAAAGGAGATTCACATACCCAGTGCCTTAAGGACTTACGATCCACCGACCCACGCGACGACAAAAAGCGTATCCAGGACGCAAAAGGCGGCCTACTCAAAGACTCATATCGCTGGATACTCGAACATAGTGATTTTATCCGATGGCGAGACGACCCACAAAGCCGCCTGCTCTGGATTAAGGGCGATCCTGGCAAGGGGAAGACGATGCTGCTCTGTGGCATTATTGACGAGTTGGAGAGAGAGTTAAAGCTGAATAGCGAAGCTAGGATTCTTTCCTTTTTCTTTTGCCAGGCTACCGACGTGCGGATCAATAACGCTACGGCGGTACTACGAGGTCTCATCTACCTACTCGTCGACCAGCAGCCGATCCTTATCTCGTACGTACAGAAGAAATACGATCACGCGGGGCAACAACTGTTTGAAGACGTAAATGCATGGGTGGCCTTGTCTGATATCCTTTCCGATATCTTGCAAGACTCTAGACTACACAGATTCTATTTCATCATCGATGCACTCGATGAATGCGAGTCAGATCTGCTAAAGCTTCTCGAGTTCATCATTCGGACATGCTCTTCATCTCGAGTCAAGTGGATTTTGTCTAGCCGCAATAGAGACGATATCGACCTTATGCTAAGGCGTACCGAGTCCAGAACGAGATTAGGCTTAGAGCTAAAGGAAAACGCAGAGAAAATATCCCGCGCTGTGGATACTTATATTAGCCGTCGTATTTCCGAACTAGCAACGGTTAAAGGCAACCAATTGCTCCAAAATCAAGTTGGTGATATAATGCGGTATAAGGCCCAGGGGACATTTTTGTGGGTCGCTCTTGTCTTTCAAGAGCTTCAAAACGCAAGAAGCTGGGAGATATTAGACATTTTGGATGAAATCCCACCGAACCTGGAAAAGTTATATCGTCGGATGATACAACATATTCAACGGCTACAGCGCAAACGGCTCGACTTGTGCCGAAGCGTTCTCTCAACGGTTATTGCTGCCTATCGCCCGCTTTACTTGGAAGAACTAGCTATTCTATCTGGCTTACCTAGGTCAATACCGACAGAGGAAATCATAGATATTTGCGGATCTTTCCTCACGAGACGAGACAATATTGTCTATGTCGTTCACCAGTCTGCTAAGGATTTTTTATCGACAAATATATTCCTCTTTCCTAGTAGTATTTACGAGAAACATCACGCTATCTTCTCGATATCGCTCCAGGTTATATCTCGTACCCTCCATCGGAATATGTACGACGTACGGAATCCAGGATATCTCATCCAACATATTAAAACGCCACAAACAGATCCTTTAGCTACCGTACGCTATGCCTGCATTTACTGGGCTGATCATCTCCGCGACGCAGACAAATTAGATACCGAGAGTGGTATTGAACTCTCTAGGTTTCTGTGTGAGAGATTCCTCTACTGGCTTGAAGCCCTTAGTCTATTAAGAGGTCTACCAGAAGGTGTAGTCTCGATGACAAAGCTTGAGGCTTTCCTTCGAGTAAGTTTATGCTGTATCCTTTCTCAGGATATGCTAACATCTCGGTAGAAACGAAACGACCCCTCGCTTATTGAGCTAGTCTACGATGCCTACCGATTTATGCTTCAATATAGATGGATAATCGAGAATGCTCCTCTCCAGGCATATGTATCAGCACTCATTTTCAGTCCAATTCGCAGCTTAATACGGCGAAATTTCAAACAAGAGCAGCCAGACTGGGTCACAATAAAGCCAACACCAGAAGTAGATTGGAATGGCTGCCTCCAGAACCTCGAGGGCCATAACCACCTGGTCAACTCAGTGGCCTTCTCGCCCGACGGCGGCCGGCTGGCCTCGGCCTCTGACGACCGCACCATCAAGCTCTGGGATGCCAGCAGCGGCGCCTGCCTCCAGACGCTCGAGGGCCATAGCGACCGCAACAACTCAGTGGCCTTCTTGCCCGACGGCGGCAGCATCGTTACAGATTGCAATTATATTACCCTTGACTGTATACCTAACACGGGAATTCTAGTTGATACTCTACAAAAATCTCGTAATAGTATCTGTAATTACGGTATAAGTGGAGACTGGTGTGTATGGGAAGATCAGAACGTGCTTTGGTTGCCTCCTAACTACAGACCTGCATGTTCGGCAGTAGCGTTACAGACCATTGCAATCGGGTGCCGTTCAGGACAAATCTGTGTTATCAAGTTCTCAAAGAACTGATTTATGAATGATTAAAAATGTGTTAACATTTTCCCTCCCTCTCTTAATGTCCCTCCTTTTTCTGATATCTTTATTTTCATAGGGTTCTAGGAGGTGGGAAGGTACGGCCAAGTGTAGGGCTACAAAACCCCGCCTCAAACTAGAAGTAACCTTCATAGAAGAAGAAAAAAACATCTTTTTTGGCCTTCATATAAATCTCTAGCGGTCAACTCAAATTTATAAACTTTCTTGACGTGATATAAACATTCTAGAACCTTCTAGTAAATTCCGTATCCACATGTCCTGAGTACCTATATCCAGGGTTGTTATAGCCCTGGTTCTTGGGATTGTCTCAGAGACATAAGTAAGGGAGTTACTGTTGGACCTTCAAGGCTACTACATCAAGACTGCCAAGTCAAAGAGAAAAATATATGGCCGCAAACCGTACGAGTATGGGCCAATATGACCTCTGCCCATGGAACCACACAAGTCCTGGCTGTGGGACAGGCATCAGTCATTGCTTTGTATATAAGGCCCCTATGGCCGCCATTTACTTCTCTCAGGACTCTCCAGAAATCATGACACTTTCAATACAAGACTATTTGCCCACAATCAAACAGTTACCCAATAGGTTAACGATTGGTCAGCACCAAGCCACACCGCCTTGCCCTAGTGCTTCTCTTTAGTCCGCGCGCGCTTGTTGTATTCTACTCTGACTTCCGTCCATTCGTAGTTGTAGATTTATATACCAACTTTGAGGGTTTACTACAAGATAGTCTCATTAGCCCTTAAGCAACGTAACACGGGTCATTGGCATCTAACGTAAAAGTAGCAAGCCGAGCGATCTGAGAAAACAGTTAATACAAAGAACAACTTAATCTGTTTCCCCTTTTCTCCACGGGCTTGCGGTCCACGTCCAGCTAGATGGGGCGAATGCACCCGATACACGAGAGCAACCACCATCCAACTCATCCCCTTGCTGTCATGCCTCCAGAAAACGGGAACTCGCGCTAGCCAAACAGCACATTATCGCTTTAATTTGTAGGTATAAGGTCTAACATCTAGTATTAAGGTGAGGTGAGAGATCTTCTCCTTTATTTTAGATTTGCACTTTTCTTGGAAACAGACATGAGAAGCATGAATGATTTAGTTGAGCACTCGAGAGAACCTGGACTATTTGCTATAAGGGCAATAATACTCCATACCGTATAGTCCAAACTAGTCTCATCGATTCAATTCTATAGAGGCAAGATGATTGTGAGGCTTTCCATAAACTAGAAACCAAGATTAACAATGCCTTCCAATGGGATATCTCGTGTATATCTGACAGCTTTTAATCCTAGATGTCACTTTGTATTCCATTTAACGACCTTCTCGCTTGACCATCCACAAATCCTCCGCGTTGCCCCTAAAGACTCGATCAATCAACTTGTCGTCATTCCCGCACCACTCCAGTACCTGCTCCATCCAAGGACGAATATCCAAGCCGGTAAATCTAGTGTGTGGCCAGTCCGTCGCGAAGACCACCCTTCTTTTCCCAGCAACTCGCAGTATCTCCTGGGCGATTGGAGCCAGGTCACTCATGCCGTCTTTCGCAGCACTTATCCGGTAAGCAGCAGAAAGTTTCACAAAAGTCTGGCCTTCTTCCAGCAGTCTGATTAATGATTCAAAACCGGGCAGTTTATAGGGGTCCTGAGTTTCTTGATACTCATCGGGCCCAGGTAATGTCGGATGCCCGATATGATCGATGCAAATGCGCACCCCAAGCTTTGGTACGATCGGCTCCAAGAGGGTAATCATGCGCATGGGGACATAAAGCTGTATAGTCCATTGCAAAGGTCGCAAAACCTCGGCATACTGCATCAAAGCAGCCTCGAGCTCAGGACCATCTAGCGACTTGCCGACAGATTGCAAATTAATCCTTGCTCCTCGGACGCCCAGGTCATGCCACTTCTGCAGTGTCGCCGGAGAAGTCTTCCTCGGATCCAAGGATACAACTCCACGGCATCGGCTGGGTCCCAGAGCTCGCATGGCGTCGAGCATGCAGCTGTTGTCGTGCCCATATATGGAAGGCTGAACGAGGACGATGTTGTCGAGTCCGACGGATTTCTCAAAATCCATGGCTTCTTCAACGGTATGGGAACTTGGGGTGTATGCCGCATCTGCTGATAGTGGGTAGGCAGTGGGGTCGACTACGTGCATGTGTGAGTCCCATGCATCCTTGGGCATGCGATTGAGAAAGCAAGTATGTCTCCCAGTTGGGTTTGTTGAGATCAGAGCCATTTGTCCCCGCCAAGTGAAGCTTTTCTGAGCTATTGGAAAGTGTCAAAATCAATATATAGTCCAATAGAAAGGGCATCTAGGTATACACACAGCTGCCGTTGGGTCTCTTTCCACAACTCCAAAGACCCGAAAGACAGGGCGGCTGTCTCGGATGACTACATTCCGGACAATGGAGCTCAGCTTGTCCACTCGTGACCGATGTCGGAAACCTCCCATAGAGGATACCATATTGGAACTGGAGCTAATAAGGAAGCAGGCAATTGGGGGTCAGAATAGATGGCGCATCAAGATGGGATAACGTAATTATACCTGTCTACTGCGCCAGAATACCGTGCTGTTCCCAAATTGTTCCACCCTTGCCGAGCTGTTTTGCTTGGGTCACAGCTGTTATATGTTAGCAGACGAACTCGACGGTCTCCGTTGAAGCCATTGTTCTGCAGGTGCTCAGGTTAGTGCAGTGATATCTCGGAAATACGAGGAGTAAGCCGGTCATAGTCCGGTCAACTGTCCGATCCCCCCAATGTAAGACGCCACTTTGGGGAATGATCAGCTTGCGACTCCATTGAGTCTGGCGAATAACCTCCAATACCGCAAAGACCTAACGATAGCAAGATGGGCTTTGAGGATTCAAATTGTAACCCCGGAATGAACTGCGTGCCTGCCCACTAGGTACCCCGTGGGTTACGCTGTGCCCCGCGACGTACCCCACACCATGTCGACTTGTGAATCCAGTTGAAAGATTAGCACTTAGATGAGGATGACGGTTTCACTGCATCGCAAATTTTGAGTATTGCGCGCTTATACTTCAATTCATTATAAATTGGCTTTCAATTTGAGAGAAGTGATGATAAACTTCCACCGCTGCAATGCTCGACGTAAACGCTTATTATATCCTTACAATTATCGTGATAGCATCTGGCTCAATCCCCAAAGGTCTACCAACAATGCTCTACCCCGACCAAGTCCAGAACCACTGACCTACAGCTTCCAGGCTACGATGAAGGCGGCTTCAGCTCCGCCATGAACTTGCCATCCTTCAAGACCGACTTCGCCCTAACCCCCTCCCTCTGGAAAACCAACCCGTCGGGCCTCGCCAACCGAACCGCTAACATCTCATCCTTCGGCGTGCTCGGCGCTGCTATCGGCTCCTTAATCGCAATAACTCTTAACGATCGCTTGGGCCGACTCCGATGCTGGCAACTCTGCATGATCGTCTGGATGAGCGGAAACCTGATGCAAACCTTTTCATCGGGTATCCTGGGCTTCATGCTATTTGCGCGTATATGGGGTGGCCTAGGGGCGGGAGGTCTGACGGTTGTCGCCCCTTTGTTTTTGTCAGAGATTGCGCCGGCTAGATCGAGGGGTATGGTGGTTAGTATTTATATGGTTGTTTTGCTGACTTTGCTTTCGGCTGGGTTCTTTGTTAGCTATGGGGCGCAGAAGGGATTACCTGCGACCAGACAGCAGTATCGGTTGGTTATGTCGATTGCGCTTGTGCCAGCGGGTTTGGTGCTTATTGCGTCGTTCTTTCTGAGCGACACGCCGAGGTGGCTTGCTTCCAAGGATCGGACTGAGGAGGCGATGAGTGTCCTTGCAAGGCTTCGAAAGGCTGACAAGGACACCAAGGCTGTCGAAGAGGAGTATCAGGAACTGCAGCATCAGATGGAAACAAGACAACAAGCTCTCGAGGGTGTCTCGACATGGACCATCATGAAAGAGATTGCCACAATCCGCACTTACCGTACACGATTCCTGCTTGGACGTAGGTATTCGTTCTATCTTATACCACTGCTTACAACTAAAAACCATCAGTTACAATGCAAACCATAGCCCAATGGTCCGGTGGCAACGGCATAACCTACTACATCCCGCAAATCTTCCTCTACGCCGGTGTATCCGGCCCCAACACCTCGCTAATAACGAGCGGCGCCTACGGGATCGTCAAGCTCGTATTCACCATGGCTTTTACCTGGGGTCTAGTGGACGTCTTCGGCCGCCGGCGGTGCTTCATGCTGGGACTTTTTCTGCAATGCATAACGCATGTATATATGGCAGTTTACATGTCTATTTTTCAAGATGGCAGTAACAAACCCGCTTCCGACGCTGCCATTGCGTCTGTCTTCATCTATGCTCTGGGGTGGTCGATTGGGCTGTGTACTGTCCAGTATTTATATGGCACAGAGATCTACCCCACGCGGATTAGGGGGGCGTGCTATGCGGCCAATATGGCGGTGCATTGGTTCTTCCAGTTTGCTGTGGTGAGAGTCACACCAAATATGTTTGTGAATTTGGACGTCTGGGGGGCGTACGTTTTCTGGGTACTGATATGTGCGGTTGGCCTTGTGGTCTTGGGATTCTGGGCCCCGGAGACGAAGGGCGTGCCGATGGAGAGGATGGAAGAGCTTTTTAGTGGTCCTTGGTATAAGACTTGGAGGGCGAAGGTGGATCTCACGCCAATACAGCCTGAGATTGCGAAAGTGAATTTGGTTGGAAAGGCTCAGGAGGTGGGCAGTGTTTGATCATTCTAGGCTTGGAGGTGTCGGACCATGCGGCACGCTGTTTGATAGGCTGTTCGCTTCTGCATTCAGAAATTACGATTCAACCGGGAGCGGTACCTGGACTATACCACCATTAAAATCCGATTTGGGTGGTCTGAGAAGACCGGCAACGCGGCATTCCTAGACTTGCGACAGCAGTTTAGCGCCTCGTCACGAAGCGGCGTTAGGAACTATCAAGATCACAATACAAACTGTTCAGGGCAGTTCTTAGCAATAATATCTGTTGTTATATATGTGAATGCTTGACATGGGGATAATCGAAACACGCCCGTAGGCCGAGGAAAAGGAAGAAAATATGAAAAAAAAGAAGAAAGGTCATGCATTATTATAGGGGATCTCTGACCCGGATATCGACGACACACAAACCGATACAGCAGAAATTCCAATGCTGAATGCTCCCCATTAGAACATCAAGGGATTTAGCACCACGGGTCTCCCCGTCTTACAGAACAGCAGATTTGACAACCCAACGAGCTTAAGCGGTCATCCAGCCACGAGCACACAGCTTCCTTTTCCATCTAATCATCATCTCGCCACAAGCCCACACCCCGAAACCCGGGGCTGGGATATATAGGACCAGTCTGTCTTACCACAGAATCCATCACAAACTCTGCAGCACGAGTCGGTCGAGATCCAAGGGCAATCAGGGACCCCATATGCAAACCTGCTTCAAGTCTCACCCAGCACGATCCAGGCCTCAGCGGCGGACATTGCACCATTTTCATCTTCTTGCGTCCTCACAACATCAACATCGATATCTGGAGTCCCCCTTTGTGAACGCGGCATAACCGCCCATGAATTACTATCGTCGTATTCTTCCTCCTCTCCCTCCGAATCAAACATCAAATCAGGAAAATCTGTCGCTGTGGGTGCCGGCGTTGGTAATGAGTGTAATGAGTGCAAAGAGTCCTGGTCGAGAAGGAGCTCGTAGTTGATATGCAGCGGCGTTGATGGTCTCGAGACCCTTAATGCTGACACGGGTTCGTCATATTCCAGGGATTTGGTAAAAGTATCTGCGTGTTCAGATACAAGATACCGCGCAATATAAGCGTCGCTGCCAAATGAGATAAAGGAGAGGTCCAGCGGTAGTGATTCGTCTTTCCCTATGCTAGGTTGGGAATTCCGACTCCTCCGCAGCCGTTTAGATGAGCAGACAACATAGACCGGCTCTGTCCGGATGACGGCAAGGGCATGGAGCCCAAAACCCGAACCACGAGCATGCTCATCGTCGTACAGGATTCCTAGCCGATACAGATCACAATCATGCATCACAACGTCCGAGAAACGAAGGAGCGTCTTATTCGCCGCACGGAAAGCTTCCTGACGTTGCAAATTGGGCTTGACGGCGGCATGACAGCCATCGCTAGGCAACGGACAGGAGCTCCGTGCGAGCGCGATGCCGTCTTCATCGTCCAAGGCCAAGCGATGTCGGCTTGTCCGCGTGGCTTTGCGTTGTCGGTTTACATGGTTGACGCGGGTGTTGAGATTGAGTTGCGCTATGCGGTTTTGCTTCACTATAGAGTAGCAGGCCTCCCGATCAAGGGTACCTTGCCTGGTATTGGACTTGATGTCGTCCCGGTCAAGAGTGCGGTGCTTGAGGGCTTTTGATGCGTGAGGACTCAAGCAGGGCGCCAGATGCCGGAGTTGAGTGGCTGTCAGGGCAGGTTGGGAGGGTAGGGCCATGATGGGTGGGTTATTTATATGTATTTGAGTGGTGAGCGTGAATGTGGAAAAGCCTTGTAAGTAAGCAACAAAGCGAGATGTATTGCGGAGGGCGCTGGTCACGCTATGAGTATGTCGGTGAGGGTAGAGATCAAGTGAGTGTGCCAGAAGGTTGGAGAAAGGGGTTTGTTATGCTTCAATTTTGCCTATTGTGAGAGGATGACGACTATTGGCTGTATCAATATAATACTCAGAGTCATCGTGATAAGACTCACGCCCACGTCTTGTTGGGGCGTAGGGCGTGTGATACTATTGGTAAGTTTATCGGCGTGACTCACGAAAGCCAGGCATTGGATGGCAGAGTCTGACGAGGCAGATATTGGAGCCTGTCACAGCCCTCATGAGGGCGAAATCCAGGGAGCTGATATAGCAGACTACCAATTAAAAGACTTAGATGAGCGCTATGAAGTAAGGCATTGGCGCGGGCTTCCAGACTAGTAGAGATGCATCGTTGATGATGGTGATGCTGGAACCCGAAGTTGTTCAATTGACCAATTGATGTTCAAGTTCGTTCTTGGGTGCGAGAAAGAGAGGGAAGCTTGACATCAGCACCATCCACGTTTTAGTGGAGGCGACTCCGAGCAAATGCCTCCTCACAGTGACTCCTCTCAAGCGAAAGGGAAATAGTCGTTGGCATTGTGATGCCGCGATAACTTACATTGGTAACATTTGCAATATGGCTTCCAAGTTCGGAATCCGCTTCGTCATCGTTGGACCCAAGTCTTGGTCAATCGTTGCACAGCCGCACCTACAATACGGGTTGCTAAAACCACGATTTAGAAGTCTCGGCTAGGGCTTGGCCTCGGGACGCTTATTGAAGGTTACCATTGCATTGGTGCGTCGCATGCAACAACCCTGGAGTCTACGCATTCTAAAGCCATACAACTGATTTATCCATCCTAGATCATGCATTCTACGTTACACTGACGATAATTCATCAATTTGATATCAGCCATTTCATTCAAGGTTCAAGTTTATCTTTGGGTGATCCACAAGTCCACTAATACCGAAACGACGTTCTAATCGATGGGGAAGGTGCGCACGCCGATCAAGAGGACGCATCCGCGACTCCCAGGACAGTTGTCCTAAACAGAGTTTCCGGTCTCCAAGTTCCTGCAGGACTATTCTTTTCCAACTTCTTCAGAGTAGGGACAGCAAGATTCACAATTCTCCTGGTCCATCTTTGCGTCGCAAAACTACACCAACTTTCGCACAATTGAAGCCCGCCCGCCCGCAGCAAATCGCACCTCTACATGCCGTCCCCTATAGTGAAGGCGACGCTCGCCTCGGCAGCCCTATCGAGCGCCTCCAACATCCTCGCCCAGCTCCTCGAAGCCTACCGTGCCGGTCTCCCCCTCACCTTCGACAAGCTGCAATTCCTCCGCTTCGTCGTGCTAGCGCTCATCACCTCGCCCCCGAACTACAAATGGCAGCAATTTCTTGAGCACAGCTTCCCCGCATACGACCGGCAGACCTCAGTCGGCGACATCGAGAGCCAGCACCATAAGGAGAAGGATGAGGGGCCGTTGTCGGTTTATGACGGCGAGCACGATGCAACGCGTCAGAAGCCGAAGCTCAATATAAGGAACACGATGACGAAGTGGTTCATTGACTGTATCACGATTGGGGCCATTTTGAATACGGTCGCGTTTTATATCTTGATGGGCTTGATGAAGGGCCAGACGACGGCTAAGATTGGGCAGAATATTAGGACCGACACAATCCCGCTTATTGTCGCAGGGTACAAGATCTGGCCTTTTGCGTCTATTGTCAGCTTTAGCTGTATTCCGGTCGAGAAGAGGATCGTGTTTCTTAACTTCGTTGGGCTTTTGTGGGGCATCTATATGAGCCTCGTTGCTGCGAAGGTTTGAGTTCCACTGGTTGCACAGAAAGTCTATGTGCATTTTCTGGATATTTAAGGCGGTGCTCAATGCTGCCCCTATTGACTGGTCTTTTTGTATCCCTGAGACTCAAGGGGCAATCACAATATGGTAATACATCCGTTGTGGGTGTTTTTGTGTTGCGAGTCAGGTCGAGCCAACAAGAGCCTTGTGGAACTCGGAGACAGGGGCCTGCGAAGTACGACATAGACTGTTTGGGCGGTGTTAGTCTATGTCAGTAGCGGATCACGAATGTAATTATCGTAGATGTCGCGTTACGATGCTCCAAGCTCTGCTACAGTTGCCACGATGAAGCAAAGACCCCGGCTCCCGACTGGCTATTTGCTGTCGTTTCCGGCCGGTTATGCCAGTTGGCTCTCAGTAACCGGATGGTATAGCTAGCACTACCACCATGGACAACAAGCAAGAGCAACCACATCATCCTTTGGGTGTGATTAATTAATCTTCCGGTGTGCAACTTGAACTCAGATGGATGTGCCTGAAACTGTGCTCGAGTATTTTCACTGAGGTGAGGTTTGATGCGGTTTACCACAGCAAGGCCTTAATACTAACCTGGATGACTGGTGAATTACATACCTTTGCATTGAACTTCAAAGCAATTTGCAATAGAGTCTGATATTCCTGGGAAAGCATTATGCCCCGAAGTTTCTTACAAGTTGACCTTTGTGCATGTTACAACTACAGAATACTCTCGAGTACTTGGTTAAGGACTGGGCGCTGTTATCATCAAAACATGTCCATCTGCTACTTATGAAATAGACAATTGACTTTTCTAACATTCACCTAGCGCAGTTGCCACTTGAATCCTATACGACTGCATTCACTTGTCCTCGTCATTACTCAAGTGAATAATGCTGTAATTAACCTGGCAAATTATGTACATTTCCTTGCAATAATCCCTCCTGTGACTTCATTCTCTCTGAACCTTTACACTACTTGAGCAAGACGCTATTTATTTAGCCCATTACCTAAATCCGAGCACTATAGGCTTCTGGCAGCATATTCCATCATCTACGATTAACTTTCACTTGCCATGCAGACATCATGGCGGTTTTTTGTAGTGCCATAATCGCCCTCATAGTCGTTACTTCGCTAGCTACAGTATATCAACTCCACTCCTCGGGGAAAACCAGCTAATAATATACTCTAGGCAATCCACCCTCTACTAAATACGTAAGTCCCATACGGATTCCCTGGGAAAGCAGAGTCATAGCCTAAACCTAAGATAATTTAGTTCCTTTGTGCGATTTCGACTCCCCCACCTGTACTTCTGTTGAGGGACACACAATAGAAATGAAGTGTATTATGGTGAGGAAAGAAAGCTAGGCTAGTGTTGTTGGTCTGGAACTAAGTAGTGGTGGTGGCTGCGCAGGTACCACCTCTGACAACTTCCCTTCTTGACCTTCGTATATAACCAGAATGCCAGTACCAGTGCGATCCCACAGTTTCTAGATTAACAGTAGGTTAGGAAAGCACTCTACTTAGCTCACGGTATAACTCTTTATAAAAAGTACATATCTACTATTAGCTATCTAACTCTCGCGTAGATCTGTCTCTCAGGATAGTATCACAAATTTTCTTTTAAACTAATTTACTGGTAGTATTGCCGGACGGGCTAAACCCACTAAAATAACGAAATCTAACAACAGAAAATATATGGGCAGAAGCTAAAGCGCCAGAGATGAGCGCCGGACTGCTATTTTGGCTAGAAAGCAACCAAAGGTATGTACACCGACCTAAAGAGGCTCTTGGGGGTGGAGGGGTGCCCAAAGACTATTAAATACACTTTTTAATGCAATCACGTGAAGAAATAGAGCACGGTAAAGCGGATAGACTTGAAGAACGAGGATACGAAGGAGAGGCTCGAAATTTTCCGTGAATACTACATGCCGGCTAAGTACAAGACCCTTACACGGACGCTCTATTATATATCAAGGGACTAGAACTCGCCGCATAACCCGTGCTCTTGGGTTTTCCGCCATTCGACCCAATGGTACCATCAGACCCTTATGAACACAGAAAGCCATAGTCGTCCTGGATTTCTTTTGTGGTCTGCTCAATGATCTGGCTACGCGGCGATGAAGCGGGTGGGAGGCACATCGAAATTTGTCTTTAAGGAGGGGAGTCCGGCTGTAAAGCGTGGAGGGGTGTCTTCACGCGCTTACCACACGATCCTGGAGGAAGGTCTCCTTTCATTCTACGAGGCAAGGGATCTTTTTCGGCAAAATAGCGCTCGAGTTCACACCTAGGGGGCACCCCAGAGTGGCTGAAAAGGTACAGGATCTGGACTTTCACACGGCCAGCACACAACCGCGATTTGAATCCTAAAGAGCATGTCTGGAAGTCTCTGAAGTCTAATACACGTGAAATCAAGGAAGCATAGTCAGGTCAATTAGGCTCAAATCGACGACTTATCAAAATCATCCCCCGCCGAACCGCTGCTGTACGAGCTGGTATAGCCATACTGAATACGAGCCTTTAAATGACTAAATTCATTCGTTTGTTTCTGAGAAATTGCGAGAACTGGTAGATAATTGCCTGACTGACGATGTTGATTCGTTTGGGTATTGGCTGGATTCAGGGTCGCATGGAGACTTTGTGCACTGATTGTACTAACGTCCCACACCCACATCCGGGACACCCCCACATGTGGGACGCCCTAGAAATGATGCTGACTTCAAGTTTTTTTTACACTTATTCTGATGCGACTACAATACAGCTTTCACCGTCACTAGGGTTTTCAGACTCGCTAGACTCATCTGTACTATCCTCAATTTCACCAGTCTCGATTTGAGCCTTCCGAATAGCCTTGATATTAGTAAACTTCGAATTAGGGCTCATCTTGACCTTCCTCCGCTTCCTAGCCCTACTAGCCTCAAGCTCTGCCTCTATTGCCTCAATCTTTCGCTGTGCGACAGCTAACTGGTAGTCCTTCTCATCAGAGCCCTTTTGAACTTTCCGAAAGAGTAGCCGCTGGGTATTTGGATCACTATCAAGCTTGCTGAATAAGCTGAGTTGATCTTGGAGCTCATCTCTCCTCTTAGGCGTTGACCAGGCTACTGCTGATGTCTCTAACGCCCAGTCCTGACTACTAGAGTGCCCTTTGCAAGTATGACTAGGCTGTTTGATTGGTGCTGACGTATTCTCAAGGAGCAGGGGCTCATAAGGGGTCTAGCTATGCTCGAAGGCCAGAGACCAGTATATTTCCATCCACTGATAATGTTCTTAACGGTCAATGCTGCTAGACGTGCCTTTCTATAGCAGAAGAGAAAGTTTCTCTTCCCTACGACAGTAGTAGTATCCCATTGGTTAAGGTAACCAAGCTCTTTCTTATAGGCTGCCTTGAGGGGTCCAAAGACTGACTGATCGAGAGGCTGGAGAACGTGGGATGTGTGTGGCGGTAAGAAAAGCAAGTGTATCTTGTTTATGAAGCAGAGGTACATAAACTCTGTCGTTTCGTGGCTACTATGCCCATCTAGGATAAGTAACCTAGTCTCTTCAGGGTCCTCTGGTTAAGTCAAAGGAATAAAGATCTTTTGTAGCCACTCAATAGCCGTAGAGTCTGACGTCCACCCATTCTCTGTTGCTGTAAACCTCCAGGCTTCGTATGGAGTCAAGTCTAGAGGAAACCACTGCTGCTGGACAGACTTCCCCTTGTATATCACAAGTGGGGGTTGTGCAGTACCAGTCGCAGAGATACACTCTATAAGAGATGTCCAAGCTCGAGATCCAGGCTGTTTCTTCCGTATAGAACGAGTCTCAGATGATCCTAGAACAAGACCATTTGATCCTCTACCTTCTAGAATACCTGTCTCATCCATATTGTATCGATTCGAGGCCTTAATAGCTTTGATCTCAGGGATAGCGAGGTATTTGAACCATTGCCTGATCACATTAGCTGGGGCTCCATTAGTACGCTGGGAATCGATAGCTCTGCTTCTCTGGACCTTGACTGAAGGGTTCCTCTTGATAAAAGCCTGGACCCAGTTCTTTCCAAGTGGTTCGGTGTCTCCGTGGATCTGTAGGATACGCTCGGCGAAGTCTTTGAGCTGTTGATGGGTTGGTGGGAGGCCTAGGGCAGCCTGGATTCGAACCCATTCAGCCAGATAGGATTCCTGGGCTGGAGAGAGCCTCTGGTAGTCAGTGAAGGCTATATCTCTTGACTGGGCTCCCTGAATCCGTCGTGAAAGAGTAGACCTTGGGACACCATGCTCATATGCTGCTTTTCGGAGGCTTTGACCGGTAGCTATTGCTTGAAGAGCTCGATAAATATCATCTTCGGTATATTGACTCATAGTAGTGTAAAGAAGACGTACGTAAAATATCGTAAAGATTGAATCGATATTGGTAAAGAAAAAAGAGGTTGAAGTTAGAGGCTAGCGGTGTTGATGAGGCATTTTTGGGTGTCCCACATGTGGGGGTGTCCCGGATGTGGGTGTGGGACGTTACTATAAGGACCTCCTGGGCTTTTTCAGTTATCTCCATCGACAATCATCCGAGTGCTACTGACAAGCCCATCTCCAGTTCTCACGATTCAGTAAGCACCAATATTCCCAAACCACCTACGAGATCTTTCGTTTGACTAAATGCACCTAGCGCCGAACGGCTTTTCCCTTGCCCATTAGAATGCCCTTCACTGTAATAACAGTCTGGTATCAACTCAACACTTCTACCCCTCCATCATTCACTGTGAGCGTGACATACTTTTACTTCGAAATCTATCGAAATCCTGCGTAGGCAAAGCTTGCCATCGTCTCATGGTAACTTTGAGTGGCGCTCTGATGTCCTGAGATATACCTCCTACCGACGCAGCCTTGACGCCAGGATCATGTGTTTGGTCGTTCGCAACACCATCCTCAAAACATGGCTGCATGCTGTGTTGTCAGCAATAGATAATCTTACGACTGCCCACATGAACCACATACCCCGGAACATACTTCGAGGCTGACTTACCAATATTCCAGCGTCGGCGGCCAACACCATCGCATCCTGAACCGTGAAAGGCATAGCGCCATCCAACAACGCAGCACACGGCAGCCACTTGTTTGGATTCGAAACTATAAACTAGCAACGTCCAATCGCGTTTTCGCCGAGCGGGCTATATGGGTCCTTTGGCTAAGCCCCAATCGTGCAGTTCCATGCACCCAACCCCTTCCTCGTTCAAGAAGGTGAGGCAAACCCGGTTGCTGCCAGATGCGAATGTTGCGTCACACAAGGTGGGACGAGATCCATCGCGGTTTGGTGCTTCTTATTGGCAGCGGATTCCTACTGGTCAGACTTGTGTCACCTACACCTAGACAGTCTTGTCACGTACTAACACCCGCCCACGGCCAACTCGAGTTCCGGAAATTCGTTCCATGCGATTCAAATTTATATGAGCCATGAATGGATTGCTTTGAGACGCCTCCCCGCTCAGCTGCTTGGATTCCGTGAGTAGGTGTCCACTTATACGCAGTATAACAACTCGATAAGACGTGACTTGACCCAGAATAGATGCTTCCACATCCCCCTCCCGGCGATGGTATCGCGGCGCTGCCTGCCTTTCCCGGCTAGCCCACCCCGCATTCTCGAAGCACAGTTTAAGTGCCGGAGACGAGCGGCCCCGCACCAATGGGCCACTTACCCCAGGTTCCACTATCCCCTCATCCAGTTTCTACCCCATGCCAGATGCATCCTTTGGGGCGCAGCTGCTGAGCTGAGATGATGGTCGACTATCGACTATCAACCAAGTAGCATCACTGTGGATCACAACTGAAGGACAAACCAATGAGCTTGTACAAGGATGGTCGGTCAAGGGAGGTGGCTGCGGGTTTTGGCTTGAGATCCTCTGCTTGTCCTTGAGCAGCAAATCCTCCACGGAAACACTTGGCAACCATCGGGTGAACCATCTTTCCTGAGATAGGAACGCCGGCCAAGATTGGGGAACCCCTGCCGAACTATTCATGCTTCGGATATGTAGTTAGCTGAACTGAATTGCTCCCGGATGATCAGTCGTGCCAGGTTATCCACGCAAAAACAATGGATGGCAAGCTCTTGGCCCTGACAATCACGGGGTAATTCCCTGTTCTGTTGATCCATAGAATGATGTCTGTCCTATGGGGTCCATTCGCTTCTACGAATAGCCAGTAATACGCCTTCCCCAGCTTGGTTGACCCGGCTATTGAATAAAGATATTGATCCCCTCCAAATCCTGAGTCGTGGTAGTGGTGCTGTTCGGCAATTTTACTGAACGTCTACCTTATCGGTAGATTATTTCTTGTTCCCCTCTTTTCCCCCGTTCCTCATCTCCGTCTGTGTCGCTGTCTCTGTCTTCAACGTCCTTCATTGACCTTTCTCCGACGCGCACACTGTCCACGACCGATTGCAGAACAATAAGATGGCGACTCATTCTAAAGCCGGATCGGTTCAGGACAGCGAGAACGAGAAGGCCACTGTTACCATGGTACCCGACGTGGAGCTCAGCAAGAATGTTACCAACGGCGATTGGGAGAATGAATTCCCACCCGAGGTGCAGAAGAGGATTTTGTGGCGGATTGACAGACGACTGATTACCACTGTCGGGTTTATGTTAGTGGCGGTCTAAAAGCATAGTGTTCCCATGCAACATCGTCCTTGCACGATTGCGATGAGATGAACAAAGCCTATTCACATTTCAAGACCCTTAGGCAACGGATAAAGCTAACATCTCGCGCCATACAGGTATTGCGTCTCGTTGATGGATAGGTCAGTAAATCCCTTATCCATACGTAACTAACCACCAGCGAAGCTGACGTACCGGACGTGCAGAACCAACCTCTCCGCCGCCAACATCGCAGGCATGGCCACCGAGCTCTCTTTGGTTGGCAACCGGTACTCAATTGCCTCCCTTCTCTTCTTCGTGACATACGTCATCTTCCAGCCGCCCTCGACGGTCATCGTCCGCAAGCTCGGCCCGCGCTATCATATAGCAATAATTACGCTACTATGGGGCTGCGTGATGATAGGCATGGGATTTGTGAAAGATTATGGACAGCTGGCCGCGTGTCGTGTGCTCCTGGGGATCCTGGAAGCTGGTTTCTTCCCAAGTTGTGTGTATCTTTTGAGTACCTGGGTAGGTTATAATTCTACCATGACTCCCTGGGAAGTACTTGAAGTGCTAATTTGTTGTTGCCAATAACAGTACACCCGATGTGAGCTCTACTCATAAACCAATGTTCTGCATGATACATCTACTGACGTATTGCCGTAGATGAGGTCGGCAAGCGATACTCCTTCTTCTACGTGGTGGGCTGTGTTGCAGCTGCGTTCTCTGGCATCCTCGCTTTTGGCCTAATGCAAATGGCCGGGCTCGCCGGGCTCACAGGTTGGCGCTGTAGGTTTCCAGATATATCACTTAGAGACCTTCTGCTAAAATTAAGTTTCAGGGATTTTCATCATGGAAGGTATAATTACATGTTTGATCGGAATTGTCGGATACTGGTTACTGGTCGACTTCCCCGATTCCAACCGAAAGTCCTGGAATTTCCTCAACGCGGAAGAATTGGCCTGGATAGTCAAGCGAGTTAATGCTGACAGGGGCGATGCGGTCACGCCCAAGTTCGAGCTCAAAAGATTCTTGGGTGCTGGCCTCGACTGGAAGATCTGGTGCGTTGGTTCCCCAACATGACAGACCCATACCCAGGAGTTTCCGTTTCGCTAACCGCTGAATTCCACAGGGCCTACGCCATGATCTTCTTCAACACGACAACAATAACCTACGCTCTCGCCTACTTCCTCCCCATCATCCTGAACAAGAACCTCGGCTTCAGCGTCGGCGCCTCGCAGTGCCTCATCGCGCCTCCCTACGCTTTTGCGGGCATCTACATGTACGGTATGGGCTGGCTCGGCGACCGCTACCACGTCCGCGGACCCGTTATTGTCATGAACATGGTCATGTGCCTCATCGGCTTGCCCATCATGGGCTGGCACAGGAGCAGTGCCGTAAGGTATTTCGGCGTGTTTCTCGTAACGGCCGGGGCGAATTCGAACGTACCCTCTGCCATGTCGTATCAGGCGAATAACATTCGGGGGCAGTGGAAGAGAGCTTTTTGTAGCGCGACGTTGGTTGGTTTTGGAGGTATTGGAGGGATCGCTGGGAGTTTGGTGTTCAGGTAAGGAGTTGCTGTGGTGCTGAAATGCTGTCCGTAATGAAAACTAACTACGTGAAAATTCTAGAGCGGAGGACGCTGAGACTGGCTACAGGCCTGGCTTGTATGCGTGTATTGCTTGCTCGCTTCTGTCAATAGTTATTGTCGGAGTTGTCGGCGTCGTCTTTTACTTCGAGAACCGCAAAGCCGACCGCGGTGAGAAGCAGTTGGAGAGCCATGACGTAAGTATTACGAATTGGATCAAACCAGAGGGAAATTGGACTAACAGCCACAATAGGAAGACTTTCAAGAAGGGTTCAGATATACATACTAAGCGTGTGAACTTTGCACCGCCACGAGGGGATCTCAGCAGCATGGAAATACCAGTATAGGTACGCCAGCGAGATTTATGTAGACGGACGGCCTCGTAATAACTCGATCGAAGCTATCGATTTTATACATTAATATAGTTACGATACCAACCCTACGTATCATGCAAGCTCCGATACTAAGATTAACTGGTACAGCTAGTGAAACCTGACATGGACTGCCGAGGTGTTCCAGGAGGGGTTTACATCTCTGTAGGACCTTGAGACACATGGAATACCTGTTGAGACACAGCATATAGTCTAATGTAAACTATCAGCTACTGAAGGTCTTCTGGGCCTCTTCATACGTGAAAGGCGTGGGCACGCGATAAGAGAATAATTACTCGGTGCCTGTCTCGAGGTCCTTCGTCATACGGATAATCTGCATATCTCTACTGAACTAGCCACAGCAATTACTAAAGCAGGAATAGTTAATATGCAAGATTAGTGAACAGATATCGCATGTTCCCTCGGCCAGCTGGTTATCTAGCCAACCAAGCTTTCCTAATACACAAACTTTACCCCATATATGTACTCGCATCAGGTTATTACCTTACGTATGTGGAACTAAAACTTGTTCGGTATCTTTCCGGTATTTCCTAAAGTCTCGTCGAGATAGCGTATCTAATTTTTACTTAGTCTACTTCGCGGTCTGTCTTCTATTATCACTATTACTACTTTCTTTTTCTATAAGATCTGGGGAAGGTTACTTCTTTCAGCATCGGTATGCCATACTATCTCCGTACGGAATAATGTCCACCTAGTGTATCTAAATATAAAATCCATTACAGTCTCCTTTATTTATCTATATTTATATTCGGGTACTGGTAATACTGCGATCTAGAACAGGTAGAAGTTAAGCATGTCTAGGATAGGAAGGTTATTACAGATGTGGAATTATTCGTACAGTGACAACACCGGTTTTTTAACTGATATTGCTACAGAGAAACCGATTCGACGATAACTACGCTAATAGTTACTAGTTCGTGTTAAATTTTCTGAATATAATCAAACAACAAATTAGCCAAATGTTTCCAGTCGTCGGTATCACTCACGTACTGCTACAAAAGCGAACAATGTCTCCCCCCGACAGATAGGAAGATATGGCCAAGTGCAGGGCCGAAGGTTTACAAAACCCTGCCTCAAACCAGAAGTAACCATCAGAGACGAGAAAAAAATATCCTTTTTTGGCCTTCGTATAAATCTCCGGCCTTGCCCAAGTTCTTCCACCTTCCCCAATTATACCCTCTTTGCGACGAGACGCGACGAGGCCTATGCATAAATCACCACACGTCTGCAAATGGTGCTTGCAGTTTCCAAATTCAGCTATTCGAATACCCTCCTCTACTGTGAGAATCATGACCTGCAAAAATGGAGTTATGTGGATTTTGGCCACCTCTTGGCTCTGACCCCTGGTAGTCGGGCCCCGCAGTGTGAATAGGACATGTGGAGTTTCATATGAAACCGCTTGAATTGGATGCGTTATTGCATATTCGGGAGATTATTGCAGTCACTTCAGTGATCACGGCTCTTTAAATGCCTACGATTTTCAAAATTGTCACTGGTAGAATTTAATAAGAACTAGTTCTTCGTCTAGTGTCTATCCAACCACAAAATATTTGATCAAAATCTGTGATACTGGCATTGCTGGGTTGATATATTTCAAGGTGCAGATTTGCCCCACTTGATGAGCTAGCTTTCTTATCGATAAGCAGTTTTCTTGTCCGCTATCAATTGAAGTGGGAAAGCCGCGATGCTGTTGCTTGCGTAACGATATCCAGCCATACTGGAGATAATGCGAATGCGCCAATTTGTCTCAAGATGGTTGCCGACAATAATGCCAACGAGCGCTCGGCTTCTTCGGCTGCACCTGTCGCGGATAAGTCCCCTACGACATCAGCTCCTTCCACAGACAGCAAAACTCTTCTCGACTCAGGTGTGCCGAAGGCAGATGGCCCGCCAAGTAATAGGCGCCACTTCGACTCGAGCAATCGTGGCCGAGGCCGAGGGCGCGGCGGCCAGCGCGGCAGAGGAGGCGGAGGTCGAGGTGGCCGTGGTGGTCGCGACGACGGCGGCAAGCGCAAGCAAGTCAGCCGGCAGGAATACAGGTTCGTTGCTCGTGTCCGGATTTCAGCCGCCGAAGCCAATACAAGCTAACCAGCTCGTAGCCGCGAACATGTAGATAAACGCACACGCAACACCGACACACAAGACCGCAAGCGACGTAAGGTGGGCGAGGACGGCACCGTCGTGTCCGGCAATGGCGATCCGAGCTACATGAGCATCCCCTTCGCGAAGGAGGAGATTGAGGCTGAGGAACGTCGACCCAAGCGCAAGGTCGCGGTCATGGTAGGATATGCGGGCACGGGATACCATGGCATGCAGATCAACCACAAGGACAAGACCATTGAGGGTGACATCTTTGCTGCTTTTGTGGCGGCCAATGCAATCTCCAAGGCGAACGCCGATGACCCTCGAAAGTCGAGCTTGGTGAGATGTGCTAGAACGGACAAGGGTGTGCATGCGGCGGGTAATGTGATCTCGCTGAAGCTGATCATCGAGGATCCGGACATTGTCAAGAAGATCAACGACGCCTTGCCGCCGCAAATTCGGGTATGGGGCATCCAGAGAACGAACAACGCATTCAGCTGCTATCAGACCTGCGACTCGAGATGGTATGAGTACCTCATGCCGAGCTACTGTCTGCTGCCTCCGCACCCGGAGACTTATCTCGGAAAAAAGGTGCTGGAGTCCATCAAGGAGCAAGGACAAGAGGAGGCATACGCCAGGCGCATGGCCGACGTCAAGGACTTCTGGGAGGATGTCGAGAAGAATGAGATTCAACCCATCATCGACGCCTTGGACCCTGAAACCCGCGAGCAGGTGTTGCGGCGATTACATGCAGCCGAGAATGATTCGACGGAGAAGCCCAAGTCTGCCGCAGGTGATAAGGTCTCGAAGGCACAAGATAAGGAAGCTCCCGCCGAGAGGATAGAGGAAGTCACCACAGTATCCGTCACCAAGGCAGAAGCATCCAACCCAGAAATCAAAGCCGGAAATGACGTTGAGTTGCAGGACTTTTCAGAAGAACAACCGGCTGGCGGAGCAGAGCCTACACTGGTCGAGGATCTTGACGCTTCCACGGCGACTTTAGTGAACCCCGAAACAACCGAGCTGCCTCAATCCAAGGTCGTGTCATCCGTCGATCTTGCTCTCAAAGCCATAAAAGCTACCTACGTCTCCGCCAAACGTCGATATCGTGTGACGCCAGAGCGCCTGAATCAGCTCCAAGAGACTCTCAGCGAATACGTTGGTACCCACAACTACCACAACTACACGATTCAGAAAGGACCTTCAGATCCTTCGGCTAAACGCCACATCAAGTCCTTCGTGGTGAACCCGAACCCTATTCAGATCAACGACACGCAATGGCTATCACTCAAGGTCCATGGCCAATCCTTCATGATGCACCAAATCAGGAAGATGGTCGGCATGGCCGTACTGGTGACGCGATGCGCGACGCCTCTTTCAAGAATTAGCGAATCCTATGACAAAAGCCGCATCAGTATCCCCAAGGCGCCAGGCTTGGGACTGCTATTGGAACGACCCGTGTTTGAGAACTACAATGCCAGAGCCAAAGGCAATTACGAGAGACCTGAGATTGACTTCGCCAACTACGAGAAGGAGATCCAGGAGTTCAAGGATACGCAGATCTACAATCGGATTTTCGAACTCGAGGAGAAGGAGAACTCGTAAGCACATTTTTTGGATGTTGGAACGAAGAAGACATACTAACCAATAATAGTTTCCACACTTTCTTCCACCAAATCGATAGCTTCAAGTCGGATTACTTCCTCTGGGTGACGGCTGGCGGGATAACCGCTGCCCATCAGAGGGTCGGCCAGGTTGAAGATGTACCGGAGGAGATGAAGGAGGAGCTTGGTGACGAGGGTGAAGACCCCGAGGGTGGAGAGGGCTGAGTTGAGCTTGACCTATGACATGTTACGCGTCTATATTTGCCACCCCATCATGACACGATAAGGAGATTGTCGACTTCTGGATGCCACAACAACATTCATGAAGAGGATAGATATGGCCTTCGGAGCCCATATGCTCCGCTTTTGCCCATCTTTAGACGCTGCACCATCATCACTTTGGCACGCAAGTGTGTCATCAGTAGAGCTAGAGATTCATTGCCTTTAGCCTGATATATCATCTAATTTTGCGTCTTTCGTCCTTGCCATTGTGCGTCCGTCCGTGTGCTGCTTGCTGCCATACGCTGAAAAGCAGAGATAAAGCATGCGGACCCCAAAACTTCGCCCTGAGAAAGGATATCATGTAGAACAGTCCATTGGTCATTCTGTTGCTATCTGCCTGTATATCATTAGACAAGAACGACTCAAACCACCTAAACTTATATAGCTCCTCCGTTGACGGCGTCAACACCAACAGCCCCCTACTTCGTTTTATCTCCCGCCAGACCCTTCGCCACAGCCACAGCATGCGCCTTGGTTCGCCTCTGCTGAATGATAATGGCCTGGTTGTACAGACCCTGGACCATCTCAGCCTGGACGTCGAGCTCCTTCTCCTGTTCCGTGTGCTCGCTGGGCGGGTTGAGAGGGCCGCGGATCCAGAGGGCCTTGATCTCGCGGGAAATCATGAGGAGATTCTGGATTTCATTGATCTGGATAAGGATGTTAGGTGGGAATGTTGTGGGATTGAATGATTTGGGGGTGGGGTTGTTTAGCCAAGGTTCGAGGAATAGCTTAGGGAGTAAGAGTGTACTAACCAAAGCAGCAGTCTCCGACTCCATCTTCATGCTATTCAGCATGGCCGACTCAATGGTAGCCTCATGGGGTAGCTCGTCGGTGGCGGCTAGCATCATTTTGAGGAATCGGTCGAGGATCTCCTTGATGCAGAGATTGTGGCGGGCTTTAAGCAACTCCAGGTTAGCATCCAACTTCCGGTCCCGCTTGAGTTTTTCAGTGTCCTCGGGCATGAGCTCTTTGGGCTTGTTCTCCTTGATTGACTCCGTCTCCTTCTCCTTCTCATCCTCGTCCTGGACGGGCGAGTAATTCGGCATAATTTGGATATATATCAGCGTCTGCGCGGGGGTGTAGTTATTGCCTAGACCCTGAACCCAAGGATGGATGTTTCTGAGGTTGCCGACTGTATCCTTAAGGAATGGACCCCAATTGATGAAGTTATCATCATGACCCTGAAGGAAGGAACCGTGATTTATGGAGACCTTCGGCCGGCCCTTATCACAAGGATCAGATTCCTTGGCTTCGGCGTTTGTTTGAAGAAACCCACGATCATATTCCGTAAAGCAAACGTTAGGAACCTGATGCCACACAGCGTCACTGTCATCGTTGGCGACCTTGTTCCAAAGACCGTTACTGTCATCTTTGATGCTGTCGTCCACAAGTTTAGACGAAGGAGAATCGTTATCATCGTTGATGTGGTCATCGTCGGCGAATATTGGCCAAAACCCAGTACTGTCATCTTTGATGCGGTCGGTCGGGCTCTGGTCCCAAGGATCGGAGTAATATACGTTGTGCTCAGCAAAACTAGGCCAAAGAGCATCACTGTAGTCGTCGAGGCTGTCGGTCGAGCGCTTATCCCAAGGATCTGGGACCGTGACCTTGTCGTTCTTAAGCCAGGAACTGGAGCCCGTGGATTCTTTAGCCCGTCGACCCGTCTCCCAAGGATCAGAGTCGCTGAACTCGTCGTCATCGAGCCAAAAAACACAACCGCAACCCTTGGGGTGTGTGTCTCGCCCGCCCTTCTTCTCCCAAGGATCAATGTCTGCCATTGTGGTCGGTCGATGATGATGGCAGGCTGATGAAAAGTCCAAATTGGCGATGTAGATAGGGTAAAGGAGCCAGAAGGCGAAAATGGTAGTCGCCGAGAAAGGGAAGTGGCACCGAAGATTTGATGGGGAGATCAGAGTGAATAATGCGATCCAAGAGACAAGAAGTCGGTGATGAGACAAGTGCATATATGAGGCTCGGGCCATATAAGGGGACAAAGGAATTCAATAGACAGGAAAGGGTCCTGTTGCCTGCCTCATAGAATCATATTGAATCTTTGAGGCGACATGTTGTGGATGCGTCTATCGCCTCGGGTAAGAACACAAACAACGGGCTGACAATATGCGTGCTGCTCATTATCCCTAATGGTCAACTTCGCAGTTTGACCTAAGTGACCCTCAGTGCTCCTTGATGTGAATCCGAGTCATTCCAGTGTCTCCTCAATCTAGCCAACGGATCCCGTTCTTGTAGTACGGCTGGATCCAAGGTCTAATCTATGATGATCTTGAATCACAGATCCAGTGACGTGATGAGGCCTGATGACTAGCATTCCTTGCACACAAATTCATATGTGCAATGTTTTTCAAGGCTGCACGGAACTACCCCAGAATGCCCCCGTTTTTGTGTTGCCAAAGAGCCACGATGGTGATCACCTAAGATTGAGTTCGTGTTGCCAGCTTTCCTGATGGCGTCGCACCTGAGAAGAGCGGGATGGGTTGCAAGGTCCAAGACATAATGCAAAAAGAAACGTAGGAAAACTTCACTTACCCATCAGATCCTGGCCCTTCTTGTTACGATCCATGATTTCCAACGTGAGTTCTGCGTGCGTCGTACAGAAGGGCAAAAGGTGTCTGTTGAGAACACTTCGGCATGGGATTGGTGGAATTGCTTTCTAAGCCAGCATCAACGTCAAGATTTTGGTGTTTTTGGCGCAAATGTGGAGACAATGGGAATGAGTACTCGTTTAGGCAGTAAATTCGCTGTAAAGCACTAAGAGACTGCTGTGGCAGGAGCGATGAGGTTAAAAGAAGCACGTGACATGATGCCCCCGTGCTGTGCACAATACATACGTAACTTATTGCATAAAAAGAATACTTATGAATAGAACGATTCCTACCTCATGTTCATATCTTGCAAATTCCGTGGAAGTCCGGCAGAAATATATTTTGGTGTCTTAACTATTTTTATGTTGCTCTAAACATCACCCTGTTTGAGCCGTCTTTATATGAGTAGCCAAAATCAATGATACTACGATTATCTTATGCAAAGTTCAACAACAAGTAAACAAGGCGCTGAAGCAGGAACCTGAGTCCCATTTAATAATATATTCCCTACATGCCAGTAGGACGCAAAAGTAAGATATGATTGCCTTTATTTTACCATGAAGAGCCTGCATTATCCCCAGCTTGTAGAAACTATATTTCTCTCATGAACCTCGAATGTATTGCTATGTAACTACCAGTATAACTACCAATATGACGACATTCTGCAACAATTGGATCCCTCGTCTTTTGACCGTCATTTGGTCCAATATGTATAGAGATGTATGTATTTTCAACAATCGCATACTCGTCCCCAATAATCTCTAGATATCACCGCTTTTGATGATTACGGTTCTCAGCAACATCTAGTTGGTCTTTCGAGGCTCGGAATACTCATCCAGGTTGGCAAGGCTGAAGCGACTTAAAGCTGAGAATGTGAATAACAAGCTGCCTTGGGGAGTAGGGGTGCTCTTACCAGAAGATTCTGATCTAGGTCATACTCACCGCCACAACTTAGTTGTGGGATCTGCGAATACTTTTTGGCGAGCTCCTGTCGAGTATTCTGCAGGACCTAGAGCGCAATATTAGTAGAAGTGACTTATGCAATATCTCGTGATTGGGCAAGCTTACGTTGATATAACTCTGCTCAGGGTACTCCCGCATCGTGGCTATGAAAACCCAACTCATGGCCCCTGTCGCAGCACCCGCAATCGACGTATCCGCAGAGGTTTGATCATCCGCACATCCCGAGAACATCCAGACATCTTTTCCCTCAGTTTCCCAGTGCTCCTCAAAGTTCTCGAGCGCCAGACCGTCTTCGCCGACCTCCTGATTTCGGCGATGATGAAGACCGTTGAAGAAATCCGTCGCACCACCGAGCAGCATCTTGGCGTCGTCGAGCTTCTCGATGGAGAATCCGCCCTCCAAAAGGTCGCCAGCGGCATGCACCAGGCCGAGACCTTTCTTGATGGTATCGACCATGTTCACGTTGCCGTCGGCGTCGGGGCGGTACACGTAGGGCAGCTCTGCCGCGGAACCACTGTGGCAGCAATCGAAGAGAATTGTAAGTCTGCATTGGGGGTTCATTGGAGTGACGATGGAGCGGTGCAACTACAGTTTTAGGCATTAGCAAACATTCAATAGTTCTCTAACCGACTGAACAAATGAACAGTGCTTACAATCTCACTTGTGATTTGACCATTCTCGGCGAAATCCACAGGACAGATCGTATCAGAGAAGCTGCACGCTATTAGTATATGTTGCCAACAATTTTTCGGACCTAAACTATTCAACTTACCCGGTAGATCGATCCGGGTCACGTACCTGGCTCCCATGGCCAGAGTACGACAGCCACAAGATGTCACCCGGTTGATTCCAAGTGACCAACCACTTGATGGCAGCCAGGATGTTGGCGCCAGTAGGGTAGAACGGGGTGCCCTCATTTTCGGGCACATCGGCCATCACCACCATATCGTGGCTGGTGCCCGAGAATCCGCGATCGTTGACCAAAAAGTTGCGCACATTGTCGCAATCATTGATGCATCCGCCTAGCTCGTTGTCCGTGCCGAAGTAGTTGATGCCGATGATGAGTGCTTTCTTTCGGACCATCTTGGCTGTGGTAACTATAGTTTGGAGGCTGGCGATAGATTGGGGATGGTTACAAGAAGAAATCTTGGCAAAAGTAGGAATACATAAGTAAAGACGAGCTTAAGGACTCAAATTGGACAACGACAGATTCTTACCTGATTCACGATCTGTGACAGCTCCGTGTGTGGGGTCGTTCATGCGGGACTAGCCGACTTCCGTGCTGCACAACCCAGGTATTATAATTGTTAGTCTGGTACATGCTAAGAAAGACTATTCCAAATTAGGACAAGTTTTTATATATACACCTACACCTATTTCCTATAATATTCTAGCATCTAGAATGCTACCTAGTTTTATTGATTATTTGCTAGAGTCTTCAAGCTATTAAATCGGCTAACTTTAATGGCCAGTCTTTTAGAATTACTTCCTATGTTATGTCAACTGTTACACGTAGTTGTTTAAGGCTCTGAATTTCGTAACTTAACTTAATCTAATTATGTATACTGTTGGAAAAAACAGTAGTGCCTTCCATGGTTAACAGTGTGACGAGGCAGAGGTACTGCGGGTACGAATCAAGGTTACGTCCAGTCTATCTCTGTATATTGAGTTAAGAGTGTCCATGGTAGGATCGTCATAACCTTCGAATCACGCTTTTCGACATCCACGCCTCATAGTCCAAGGAGATACTTTGACTCTCACCTGTGACTCCAGTAGACCAGCTTAAGGAGAAGAGGACCGCTCCACCTTTGGATTATGGTAACCTCTTTGTTCGGGTCCGCCCCAGACGCAAGAGTTTGGCTACGAGCTCTTTCTATTGTTATAACGTATGTGCGTTTTGTTATCGAGCAGCCGCTCTGCAAGAAAGTTCGAGAGGTGTTAGCGGGATGTTATAGATGAATGCACCCTGACCGGGACTCATCGTATCAGCCTCGCCCTTTGAGTAGGCGCCGCTGTCCAGAAGCACCTTGGCAAAGTCAAACCTCCCCTCTCGACAAGTAATTATCAGCGGGCTGATGCGCTGGTTTCTGTAGACTATCGGTTTGTTCAGATTGGCACCATAGCTGAGCAGATAGGAAATTGAGCGCCAATTTATCGCGTGGGGCCGACAGCGTCAATGTCACCGAGGGGAACGACGCAGCGCCGAGGAAGTTCAGACACTGGCGTACTCAGGCGGCTGTCATTCTACAGACGAGGCTGATAATATATATTTCCAGGCCAAAGAAAAACCGTAACAAGCAATCAGAAGCTGGACTTCCCAGTTCCAGGGTGATCGTGTAATAGATAGTCTCTTCGGTAAGACATGCCGCGGCTCGTGTACCACGCTCGGGCTTTGGGATCGAGGAAAGACCGAACGTCGCTGAGCAGCGTCTGCTTCGGCTCCTCATCCATGTCATGTTTATCTACGGCCACTAGCTGGAGGCCTTGAATGTGGACACGAGGGAAAGGCGACGAAGATATGAGAAGTTGTGATGATGAAACGGTGGTATATCATGAGGATGAGTCCCACAAGGGCATGAAGCAGCTTCGCGAGTAGGTGATGCATGAGGCCAATACAGGAAATTCTCAGATGAGAAGGCTCCTACGATCGCCAGGAAGGCCCCTTACTCTAAGTAGAAGCACCCCTGGTGCTGTTTTTAATAAGGAACGATTCCGTTTCCTATCGCCTTAAGGCAGTAGAGCCTAGTTTTACTCTATTCACGAAAATAAGTAAGTTACCCCGACATGGTTAATCTACTGACTTCAGCTCAAACCTTGGTTATCGGCCAAGTCCCCCGTAAGTTAGTCCTATCTATGGTTTTCCCGAGCCAAAGCATCTAACGGTATTTTGAACACCCACATTCACATCTCTTATCTTGAGTTTATCGGTATCCAACTCACTGTAGACTGGTTTGCGAAAGCCCACTTGGACGGAGGGGTGTGACAGGCTGTGCCTGATATGGGATCCGGAGCTGCAAGGACCGTGCGTCCGGATCCACCAAAGGAACCATCGAGGGCACACAAAACATAGTCCGTGTTCCCGGGACAACTCGCATATTTTACTTTCCTCCTCAGTTAGATAATTAACAGTATTTGGCCATGTTGAGCTGTATAGTTTCGCAGTGAGCCCGTCACAAGGGGTCTCTTCAGGCCAGCGCTGAACTCGCGGTTTGCGATGTTGGAGTCCTGAGCCACGGCTAAGCCTGGATTTCGTATTTCGCTTAAAATGGGGAAGAACAAAACTATTTATATAAAAGACTATGAAGAGAGAAATATGTAAGTGAACAGGTTGACTTTCGGAGGGCACTCTGCGCGTAAAAGGCGTCCACGACGTTTTTAGACGCACTTCGGCCTCGCTAACAAATAATCCCAAGGCCCAGAGAGTTTTCGTAATATTGAACATAAACTATCAAAAATATGGTATTCAAATGGCGGCCCAGCGCTTGGGTACCATAGTTAACCCTCCGTCCCCGTTGTCGTAGGTAATCGCCACTGCACAAGTCTTAATAATACCATTGGCGCTGGCATACGTGTTTTGGCTATCAGGTTTGGCGGTGAGTTGCTCATCCGGACTGACTATATTCTCTTGGCTACGTGTCAGCGGTGGGCAGTGAGGCACGGGATGGAGTTCGCTCCTGACAAGAGTGAGCTAATGCACTTTACTAGGGCCCGAGAGCCCTTGCCGCAAAGTATTCGCCTTGGGGACGCCACAGTCTCGCCGGTAGTCTCAGCGAGGTTCCTAGGAGTCTGGTTCGACCGCAAACTGACGTGGCACGCCCATGTTGAGCGTGTTAAAACAAAAATGGCAACTCAAAAGCTAGCCCTGACAAAGCTAGTCAATATGTCGTGGGGCTGCGATCTTATACGGGCGAGGCTGTTATATACGGTGGTTATCCGTAGCGCGATCGCCTTCGGGGCGACTGCGTGGCATACTATAAGTGAGGAACCGGCAGGGCCAGCTAAGAGCCTGATAGGGATACAGAACGAGTGCCTCCGGGTAGTCTGTGGCGCCCACAAAGTGACGCCGGTTCGCCACCTGGAAGCAGAAGCAGCAATCCCGCCACTAGACCTCTATCTTAGTGCCCGGGCTGCTAATTTTGAAGAACGGCTACGGCTTAGCGGGAAGAGAAATCTGCTTCGCAGCGCGAGCGCTAAAGCGTCACATATACTCCGGCAGGATAGGCCGGCGAAGAGGAAGCAGGCGTCGCAGCTACTCCGACCGGCAGGGTACACTATGGAGAAGGAGGCCCGGGGCTCCGAGTGGATGAGTGAGGAAAAGGAGGTCCCGGCTGCCCTCCTCGGCCACTGGAGGAAGAGATGGCTCACCGGAGCAGAGCATCACGATCGCCAGCGACGCGCTATCGGTGAGGAACCGGAGGGCCCTTCGATGCAGATACCGAAAGGGGGCAGATATTTCGGCCTGAACCGACTGGAGGCGTCTACGCTGTGCCAGATCAGGACGGAAAAAATAGGACTAGCAGCCTTCTTATTCAAGACAGGGGCTTTTGGCGTGTACTCGCCGCTATGCCGCTGTGGCGACGCCCCTGAGACGGCAGAGCACGTAATCCTCTTTTGCGGGCTGTTGGAAGGACCGAGGGAACGATTACGGGCCGCCATCGCACCACGGCCACTATACTCTCGCAGAGACCTCGCAACGGCAACAGGAGAACCAGTAGTTAGTGGGACTATTGTAAGGTGGCTGGTAGGGACGGGTAGGACAGCTTCAAGGCCCAGATAGCATCGATCTTCTCAGGGGGGACTTTGTTGGTAGGTTGAGAACCAACGTAGTATGGTAGTGGACGCAACGCAGTCGCCAATAGGGCGAACCGACGACGCAGCGTATGTATTTAGTCCAGCCATTAGGGCACGGTTTGACATACGGGAGTACTAGCAGAGGTACCGGGGGCTTCGAGCCTACGGCGTATTTAATAATAATAATAATAATATTCTCTTGACTGTCCTCTCTGCCCTGGATTGTGAAGCCGAAATCATCAACCTTTTTGACCGTGGGTCGCAGCTCAATCGGCGGCTGTATCGCGTTCTCTTGACCAAAGGTCTCGTAACGACCCTTTGATGACCATTTCGTAGTGACGTTTCGGCCCCTAAATAGCTCAATAAGCGGTTGAAAAATCGGGATGCAGGAGGCGATAATGATGGTGTTTGCTTCAAGACTGTGCGTGGTTTTTTAATATACCTCGTAGTCCTCTTTTGCGGCCTGCTGGAAGAATCGAGAGAGCACCTACGGGCCACTATCGCACCATGGCCGCTGCATACACGTAGAGACCTGGCAACGGCGACGGGGAAACCAGTAGTCAGCGGGACTATCACAAGGTGGCTACTCAGGACTGGCCGGATAGTGCTTAGGCCCGGATAATATCGATCTTCTCAGGGGGACTTTGTTAGTAGGGTGAGAACTAACATAGTATTGTGGTGGACGCAACGCAGTCGCTAATAGAGCGAACCTACGTAGCAGCGTATGTATTTAGTCCAGCCATTAGGGCACGGTTTGACATACGGGAGCACTTGTAGAGGTACCGGGGGCTTCGAGCCTACGGCGTATTTACTAATAATAATAATCTATATTAGGGTTATATCCTCTGTTTATCGCAATTATTCGCAACCGAACACATGATCTGCTATTGAAGCCTCTTTTGCTTTCGGCTCTCGGCTGTGCTTATCGAAAATTTTAGCAGCAACACAGGAACGGAACTATTATGAAGACTGCTGGTGGCACCTAGTCGCGAATGAATGCAACTGATATTGGTTTAGACAGGGGACAAATCGGAGTCATCCGGAAACGGTAACGGCGTGCGAAGTACTAGGGGCGGCTTGCGGCTAGTGGATTCCGGACAGAATCCGCTTGGTAGAGTAACTAATACGAGTTTGCCATGGTATGCAAGGTCCCGGTATAAAGTGTTCACCTCGCAATTCCCTGCAAGGTGACGGTTGCGGAAAATCTCCCAGTACCCAAGATTGCTAAGCACTTACCAATGCATGACAAGGACTTCCACTGGGTATCATCTGGATTTGCGTTTATGCCAAATGCCTCTTACCCTTAACAAATTCTTCTTCCCTATCCACTCCCTGACGTTCTCACCTATATTGCATTTTACGCCCACCATGGATGCCCAAACTGGCCTTGCAATAGCCACCAGCCCGAACGACATCGCTGCTATTCCAAATCTAGTCGGTGACATTAATGAATTCGTTAAGAATTTGGAGAACGGCGGGAATGAAGCACGCCATAAGCTGCTTCTCAAGGCCCGGGATCTGGTTCAGGCTCTAGAGACCCCCCGCGAGACCATGATCAAGCACACGTGGGCCCAGCCTGGCGCTGCGGCCGGTCTCATCACTGGTGTCGATACAGGCCTCTGGGTACTGATGGCGAGAGACGGCGACAAGCCACAGAAGGTTGCGGAAGGCAGAGAGTCTTGGAATATACCCTGTGCTACTTGGTGCCTACTTCCCAGACAGGAACCTACTACTCTTTGGCAGCCAGCTAAACTTGTGATTAGGCAGACTCCTGCGCCACTTGGCTGCGATGGGATACCTCGCCGAGACTGGCCCTGGCGAGTACAAGCTCACCAATTTCACTAAATCGATGAGTCTTCCAGTTATCAGCGGTGGTTACATTGCGCTGTAAGTGAAATAAATGAATGGAAGTATTTAGTCTAGAATAACGTGTCTGCTGATACTATTATAACTGCAGATTGGGGGGAATCGGACGCAGTTCAATAGAATTCCATAAGTTTCTTCGCAAGACGAACTGGCGTAACCCGATAGATGCCACGAAGACATCAATGCATCTTGCCTATGGTACAGATCTCCCTAATGCCTTCGAGTACCTGAGGTCCATCGGATATGGTCCACATACGAATAACCATATGGGAGGATACCGTCAAGGGCGCCTGCCATGGATGCATGAATCAATTTACCCCGTAGCGAAGCAGCTTTTCCCGGGTGCAGACTCCAAGCCCGATGCTCCGCTAGTGGTCGATATTGCCGGAGGGTTGGGCCACGACATAGCGGAGTTTCAGAAGATGTATCCTGACCACCCTGGGGTGAGATGACTCCATTTGAAATCTGTTATTTGTTTTCTGGACCTTACTGACCTGTTAACCGCTGGCAGAGACTCATACTACAGGACCTCCCCGTGGTGATTGCCGACGTCAAGGACCTCGACTCCAATATCGAAAGGATTGGATACGACTTTCACACTGAACAGCCCATCAAGGGCGCTAGGGCATACTTCATGCACTCTATCATGCACGACTGGCCGGATGACGTCTGTAAGAGAATCCTATCGCGCATAGCAGAAGCCATGAAGCCGGGCTATAGCAAGCTGCTGATCTTCGACTGCGTCATCCCCCGCACGGGCGCTTATTGGGAAAACACGGCCGGGGATATGTTGATGATGACGCAACTATCGGCGTTAGAGCGCACGCAGGATAACTGGTATGACTTGATCGAGGGCAACGGGCTAGGGCTTAAGATCGTCAAGATTTGGAGGTGCAGTGACACGGATGTGGAGAATCTCATTGAGTGTGAGCTGGCTTAGATGAGGTGGTATTACGTAGTGCGATTTCTTTTCAGACTTGAACTGGCAGTACCCAATCCTTGATCTTGTCCCAATGGTACGTAACGGGGAGTTGTCTGATGGAACGCTGTGCTAAACCTGTAAAGCGAGGGTCCGGAGCTCTCTCTAAGCAGGATCTTGGTATCCTCCTCTTCGGCTGGAAAGGCTGCAAGTAAGTGATGAAGTTCTGTTTCGGTCTCGGCTTGACTTGATACACCTCGCGCTTCCTTTGTAAGGAGTGACGAATTTGGAGCGGATTGTCCAAGATTAAGGGAACATTAGGGGGAAATATTCAATGTACTTATGGGTGGTTCGCGTAACTCTGCAGCTGCCATCTTCGGATGACGCAAACATGCACCGGTCTTCCGCCGCTTATATTCCCAGTCAGGTTGCGTCCCTTTACGAAACTTCCTCCGCCTGGCTGATATTTCTTCCTTGAGTGAGCGCCAACGTGGCCCGTAACTATATTGATGTTCGGGGGTATTTCCGTAGCCGACCCTTCATCCAGGGCGCCCATCATGACTGGCCGTTGTGAGTGGATATCTGTGCATCGCTCGTCATTGATCAGTCTCCCAGGCGGCAGAGAGAATCGCTATGAGTTTATGGAGCTTGTTGGTGATAGTTCGAGGTTGGAAGGATTGGTGCTTAGGTACGGTTAATTCCGCCGTCACAGCGAAACGGTTGGAATACCCCACATAGCTATGTATGCACGGGTGGAAGGAAGCGAATTGGGCTGCTGGGCTGGAGCGTGTATCGTCATTTTTCCGACAGTGAATGTTCTTCAATGGAACATGGTGTGCGGCGCTCACCCATTTTCGGCGGATATACTGTGCTTACAGCTGCAGAGTAAGCGAGGATGCTCACAATTTTTGGAATGCCGGAAATCACTATCCTAACAAGATCTTCTTCAGGTTCTACTTAAGTCACTATAGTCGCTATCGGAAATAGCGACATAGCGTGCCAATCAAGCTTGTTTTTTGTGTATATATCTGTTTGCTACTCTAAATAAGCTAACACCAAAAAATTCACTGATATTTTCTATTCAAAACCTAAAACTTTGGCTATTTTTTCGTGTCGGTGCATGCTTCTGAACCGTCGTCTGGTCTTCACTGCGGCGTCAATATGGCTTCTGAAGTCGTCGGAGACGCGCCCAAAGAAGAGATGGCGCCGATGAATTTTGACGACGATACCGCCAACGCGGATGGATTCGAGACCGACGCTAAGAGGTAATTCAATCGCGAGAAGTCGGCAAAGCCTCCAGGTCGCCGCGGGCTTCATGCTCTTCTTCAACACATAGGGTATGATCAGCGGATTAGGGTTAGGGTTAACAAGCTACTACGAGTCTGGCGAGCTTTTTAAGGCCTCCTCGACCGGAATATCTTGGATCGGTTTCATCCAAAGCTTCCTGCTTCAGCTTATCGGGCTCATCGCCGGACCCGTCTACGACAGGGGCTACCTCCGCCTGCTCCTCATCACCACAGCGTCATGGCAGTTTCGGTCTTATGATGCTCTCCCTGAGCACCGAATAGTGGCAAGCATTGCTGGCGCAAGCCTTCTGCGTCGGTATCGGCGCAGGCCTGGTCTTAGTGCCTACCGTGTCGCTGATCCCAACGTGGTTCAGCACGCGCCTCGGCCGTCGGCATTGCGTCGACCGGTGGCGTCATCTACCCTATCGTGCTAACCCGGCTCATCCCGCAGGTTGGCTTCCCCTGGGCCGTGCGGTGTGTCGGCTTCGTCGCCCTCGCCGCCTTCATAATCCCGCTGGCCGTGTTGCGGATACGTGTGCGCGTGCCGAAGCCGCGTGCCATGGTAGACTGGTCCGTGTTCCGCGACGCGCCCTTCATGTTCTTCACGCTGGGCGTGCTCATCGTCTTCATCGCCCAGACCGTAGTTGTCTTCTACATATACTTCTACCCGGCGGACCGCAGCTTCACCGACACGTCGTTGGTGTTCTACATGGCGGCCATCTTCAACGCCGGGTCGGTTCTGGGGCGGATCCTGCCCAACGCGCTGTCCGATCGCATCGGCCTGTTCAGTACCATTGTGCCGCTCACGGTGCTACTGGGCGTCACGATAATATGTCTGCTCGGCGTGTGCAACGCGGCGGGAATTTTCATCGAGGTGGTCGTCACGGCGTTCTTCAGCGGCGTCATCATCGCTCTGCCGCACGTGTGCTTCCGCGTGCTCACAGAGAACGAGTCCATGATTGGCACACGCAGGGCAGGATTTTGCGATTGGTGGACTCGGCTTGTTGGCTGGCGGGCCGAGTGCTGTGCCGGTCTCGGCACGACCGTCGATCCGCTGAATGGGACTGGCCTGTGGGTTTATGGGGGTGCAACGGCGTGTGTAGCCGGTTTGATCTATGTTTGTGTTCGAATTATGAGGTCTGGGCTCGCGCTAAATATGAAAGTTTGACCGACGAGAAAAAAACGCATAGAGAAGGATGTCTTGCATTGCATTTGACGTTCATTATTACGATTTGTGTATGATACAGGTCGACAGAGAAGCTAGACAGTAGACTAAGAAGAGTGATTCCCTCAAGCACGAGGCAAAGTTTTTGGTATCTTGAAGTTTATATAATCTATCTATGATAACCACATTGACGTTCTCTCATCATGATCTTCGTAGATAAGCGATGGACAATAGCCAGGGTCGTCCTACCACGAAATGCCGACCACAGCACTGCCTAGATCACGGCATTAGACTTGTGGTGACGCCGTGGCCTTGTCTAGTATTACAATTGGAGATTATCGGACCATAGCTCGGGTCAGCCCCTGTTTTTGTCCAACGGAGAAGTTGGCTCCCCGCGGAGCTACCGGCGAGCTAAGGGTAAACCTCGACGTTGGGGTGTCCAATCATCCATCGCTCAAATTTGAAGAGGCTTCACGGCTGCTGAGTGACTCCAAAATGCTGCAAACTCAGATCGCTTGAGTGAGGCAGTACTCAGATGAGGTCTGAGCTGGATCGAGGTTGAATCTAACGTGACCGGAGAAGAGAGCGGGCTCTTGCGGAATGATGATAACCCTCTGCCGGAGGGTCTAAATGACACCTTGGAGAGGTATATTCCGTCGATCAATACCGACCTCCGAGCGATATTCGTAAGCCCGAGCAGGTAGAGGGGCAAGCGTGGGTTTCCCACTACCAATCCGGCTCACCACAGCGACCCGCTCTCCGGGACATAGCGTCAGGGACACGTCGCGAATAATGCCTGGGCCGTAAGCAGAATACTTCCCGGTGACATATCGAAATTCAATATGTCTTTCAACTGGCCACGGCTCGGGCAGTTCAACTGGAACCTTCTTGTCAATATCTTGGAACTGTTCCTCAGGAGGTGGTGAAGCAAATTCTCTTGCTCGATGCAAACAGTTCAAATCGACTTCAAATTCTTCCATGTTAGGAACCACGTTAATATAGTCAGTTTTAGTCCCGCATTACTTATATCAACCAAATCGCCGGGGTCACCCAAAGTGCCATCCTAAAAGCTCTGGCTCACCCAAGCCGGCTCCTTCCGCACCTCTTAAAGCAGCGTGTCTGGGTAAGCTTGGGTAAGCGCTCAGTCTCAGCTATGCTGAATTAGCTAAGAATATTCGGCCTTTCGGATGCAGTTTTATATTACCACGGCAGGTATAGGAGTCGATTTTGTGCAGGTCCCACAAGAACAGAATTTAGCTACCTGTGTGAGTATTGCATCAGCGTCTGCACGCGTCACATCGTAGGCGCATTCCCACAGACAAGCCGCAACTTCTTATTATCCACATCTTCCTATCACTCAGAAATACTACGTGATTTTGGTAGATTAACAGTGAGGTGTTTTCAATAATTTGCTAGAAAAATTAATCGACCGGTGTGCCTATCTAACGGGAGGACTATAGAAGTTCCTACGCTGTTGAGCTGCGCCTCCGTGAAGCTCCTGCTCTGTTGTGTGTTGCTACTTAGACACGGCCTCAAAGACTATATTCAATTGCACTTCTCCCATTGACAAAAAGGCTTTTCCCACCAGACGGTAAACTCATGAGAACGGAGATTAGAACGTGGTTAAGAACTTGTATTTTCTCCTAGCTATATAGTGGCTTCCCAGTCTTACTAGCCGGCGATCTTCATTTTGACACGAAAATGCTGGTCCAAGCAAAACGCATAACCCAAGGTTGGCAACGCTAAGGTTGTCTAACTTCCTCACAGGCTACAACACACCAACCAAAACCCTGAACTTAGTCGAAATCAACCACCTCTGTTTGACCCAGCAGACCAAGTAGGCGTAATTAACCTTCGCTGCTAGATCCAGGGGATGAGATAATAAACGGCGCACCAAACCTGGCAAAATAAGGATACTTCGATTCCAGTATAGTAGAGGACATAACCTGGTCGTTCCACCTCAATGTGTCAATTATTTTGTCATCGTTAATTAAGCGTATAGTAAATTGAGTGCTTGACATAGTATGTAAAAGCCCGTACAAATTAAACCTCCTAACTAATACGAAAGACTCGTTGACTGGATTTACACCGAAAGATTGCCATATTGTCAAGTCACTGTGCATTTTGCTCAGTGCGTAGTCCGGCCAGCCTCAAGACTCGGGCCCCTCATGAACGAGGTAGGTGATCCCAAGGGAGTCGGCGTGCCCCCTACTCCACCAACGTGTGAACCGCCAGGTCCAGCCAATTTCTCATTATCAGTAGTTGAATCAAAACGCTTACGCTTTCCCGTGTGGTCTTGATCCGGATTCACAGTCTCATATTCCAGCACTTTTATAAACACGTAAAACCCCGATGCAGTCAGGGCACCCAGTATCGGCCCAATCCAGTATATCCAATGGTGTTCATCGAACGAGCCGAGCACAACACATGGACCGAAGCTTCGAGCTGGATTGAGACTGCCACCGGTGTGGTAAACACCCCTGGTAGAAGTTAGCTCGGAATTGGGGCAGCTTAACTAGCAAGGCAGATAGCAACTCACATCAATTCCGCAATAAAAAGCGACAACCCAATCCCAATAGGCGCCATAAAAGTTGCCCGGTGCTTCTCAGCCGCCAACATAAAGATAGTAAACACCAACTGTGCCGTTAGAAACAGCTCCAAAAACAGCCCCTGCACCACCGTCGTCCCACCACCCAACGAAGTGCTGACATTCAACGGGCCCGGAAGCAATCCCATCGTCAGACCCGCAGCCGCGATCCCGCCCAACAGTTGGCTGATGATGAGGAGCACGCCCCGGACATAAGGGAGGGCGCCAACGAGCATCATGGCCAAAGTGACGGCTGGGTTGAAGAGCCCCCCGCTGATGCGGAAGAAGACCCATGCTGTGACGGCGAGGGACATGCCAAAGGAGAGGGAGATGTAGAGGAGTTTGGCAGGGTTGGGAGATAGATCGGCGGGTTGGTTGGAGTTTGGGGGAGGGGCGGAGTTGACGACGCTTGTGCCGCCGAAGGCGAGGAGGAGGAAAAGGAAGGTACCGGCGAATTCGCTGGTCATAGCTACATGGCACACGGGGTCAATCTGATGTGCTTTGAAGATTCGCAAGTGTGATATGAATTCTCCGCGAGTTACTCACCAATAAAGCTGTTCTTCACATTGAGGGGTAATCGGTCGAGGATTCTGAGACGGTGTGACACATTGGATTGTTCATCACTACCGGCTTGTCCTTGGCTTTGCCATGGGAGACGAGCTTTCTTGTCGGGTCGTTCGACAGCCATATTTGTGACAGTATGAAGAGATATCAGGCAAGAAACGAATCGCGTTGGTATTTCCCACTCAGCTTCAAGGCTATGTTCTGCTGCACAATATATAGCAATATATAATGCTGAAGAGAGGTGGACAAGGAATATTTATCCTCATCTGGAGGAAACCAAAATAAATCCTCTCCCATCTCATACTCTCACAGAACAAAGAACTAGACCCATCCATCGTTTCAAGGCGTCACACATCGGTTGTAAAACGTCGCAGTCGAATATTCTTCACCATTACAAATGCCATGTGGCTCACCAGTTATAATGCACCCACCTGTCACAAGTTGATTAGAGTTACAGCCGCGCTCCGTTTTAGTTGAACTTCTTAACGCAGTGAACATTGTAATGTGTGACGGGTGAAGTGTCCACGTGTGACCAGTGATACACAAGCGGCAACTAGTTTAGTTCTATATTATAAGGTAACGTCATCGGCTCGCAGCCGCATTTGTTTGTTTCCTTTCTTCATCGAGCTACTTTTCGACGAATGCTCTCGACAGACTCTTCATACAGCGTGAGTCGTAGCTCTATGTTGATCCAATCTGATCACAACATGCAAGCGGTGGCATGTGTGTACAGATTGTCGATTTTGACGCAACACGTATCCTGATCCACTTCTTGCGCCATGTTTGTGGTAGAGTGTTGGGTTGGAAACTAGAGAACAGCATGGCTGTGTTTTACCCGATAATCATGACCTTGTGAGCGCAGCATTGGAGGACGACGGAATTGAGGCACTGGAGCTGCATTGCGGATTCATGCAGCTTCTAGATGACATCCTGATACTTCGGCGGTGGGCAGATCTCTCTGCCCGCGTCCTTTAATTTTCCCTGGTGGTGCCCGCAGGTTAGCAAGGCTTGCGCTGAGACGAAGAGACGACGGCGGGACTACCTCCAGGCAAGGTCGCAGACCAACTGGGACGAATATACAAGAGCCGGCCAAAAACAACGGCTCGAAATCAGCGAAGCGCAGACGCGTAGCTGGCACGAGAAGCTCGAGGGGACGGCGAAGGATCACAAAAGCCTGTGGGCACTGCAGAGGTGGGCTAGGCTACGGAGCTGGGCCCCCCCTGAGGCCCACGGCTTGCCAGATCTCCGGAGGGACGCCGGCGACACGCTTACAGCACGTACACATGATGAGAAGGCAAAATTACTAGCTGAGAGGTTCTTCCCAGACCCGTATATAGATCTATCGGACCTCGATCGCGGCCTATTACAGACGAGACCAGAGCTGAACGTCCCTAGGGAGGTGACCACAATGGATATCGAGTCTATCATCAAAGGAACGGCTGCTCGGAAGGCTCCCGGCGACGACCTGATCCCCACTGGCCTGCTAAAGGCCTGCGGTGAACCCCTATGGGAGATCCTAGCGGATCTGGCAACAGCTAGCTTTAGGCTGGGGTACTACCCGGAGCGCTTCCGCTCAGCGAGGGTGGTTATTATCCCTAAGCCTAATAAAACGACAGCTCAGAAGCAGACCCCTGGCGGCTGGCGCCCCATTGCCCTGCTTAGCACGGTAGGGAAGGTAATAGAGACGGCGATGAGCCAGCGTATCACCAAAGTAGCTGAGGCGGCCGGCCTACTACCAAACGGCCAAATGGGTAACCGCGCTGGGAGGTCCACCGAACTGGCAATACGTATAGTTGAGGACGTGGTCTATACGGCGTGGAGACGCGGGGGCATCGCCTCGCTGCTACAGCTAGACATCAAGGGGGCATTCGATACGGTCAATTACAGACGGCTGATTTCCATATTAGCCCGGAAAGGCTACCCGGAGTGGGTTCAGGAGTGGGTACGCAGCTTCGTGGAGGATAGAACGGTACGCCTCCGGTTCGATGGCAAGGAGTCAGAGCCAATCCCCCTACGAGCTGGCGTCCCCCAGGGGTCACCGCTATCCCCGATACTGTTTATATTATACATTTCAACGCTGTACGAGGAGCTAGCGGAGCAGCATCCACTACTTTTAGTAGTCGGGTTCGCGGACGACACGAACCTGCTAAGCGTCGGCACCGATCCAGACACGACCTGCCGCCGGTTGGAGAGCGCATGGGCTACGTGTCAGCGGTGGGCAGTGAGGCACGGGATGGAGTTCGCTCCTGACAAGAGTGAGCTAATGCACTTTACTAGGGCCCGAGAGCCCTTGCCGCAAAGTATTCGCCTTGGGGACGCCACAGTGTCGCCGGTAGTCTCAGCCAGGTTCCTAGGAGTCTGGTTCGACCGCAAACTGACGTGGCACGCCCATGTTGAGCGTGTTAAAACAAAAATGGCAACTCAAAAGCTAGCCCTGACAAAGCTAGTCAATATGTCGTGGGGCTGCGATCTTATACGGGCGAGGCTGTTATATACGGTGGTTATCCGTAGCGCAATCGCCTTCGGGGCGACTGCGTGGCATACTATAAGTGAGGAACCGGCAGGGCCAGCTAAGAGCCTGATGGGGATACAGAACGAGTGCCTCCGGGTAGTCTGTGGTGCCCACAAAGCGACGCCGGTTCGCCACCTGGAAGCAGAAGCAGCAATCCCGCCACTAGACCTCTATCTTAGTGCCCGGGCTGCTAAGTTTGAAGAACGGCTACGGCTTAGCGGGAAGAGAAATCTGCTTCGCAGCGCGAGCGCTAAAGCGTCACATATACTCCGGCAGGATAGGCCGGCGAAGAGGAAGCAGGCGTCGCAGCTACTCCGACCGGCAGGGTACACTATGGAGAAGGAGGCCCGGGGCTCCGAGTGGATGAGTGAGGAAAAGGAGGTCCCGGCTGCCCTCCTCGACCACTGGAGGAAGAGATGGCTCACCGGAGCAGAGCATCACGATCGCCAGCGACGCGCTATCGCTGAGGAACCGGAGGGCCCTTCGATGCAGATACCGAAAGGGGGCAAGTATTTCGGCCTGAACCGACTGGAGGCGTCTACGCTGTGCCAGATCAGGACGGAAAAAATAGGACTAGCAGCCTTCTTATTCAAGACAGGGGCTTTTGGCGTGTACTCGCCGCTATGCCGCTGTGGCGATGCCCCTGAGACGGCAGAGCACGTAATCCTCTTTTGCGGGCTGTTGGAAGGACCGAGGGAACGATTACGGGCCGCCATCGCACCACGGCCACTATACTCTCGCAGAGACCTCGCAACGGCAACAGGAGAACCAGTAGTTAGTGGGACTATTGTAAGGTGGCTGCTAGGGACGGGTCGGACAGCTTCAAGGCCCAGATAGCATCGATCTTCTCAGGGGGGACTTTGTTGGTAGGTTGAGAACCAACGTAGTATGGTAGTGAACGCAACGCAGTCGCCAATAGGGCGAACCGACGACGCAGCGTATGTATTTAGTCCAGCCATTAGGGCACGGTTTGACATACGGGAGTACTAGTAGAGGTACCGGGGGCTTCGAGCCTACGGCGTATTTAATAATAATAATAATTAATTTTCCCTTCTTGTCCTCTTCTTTTTCCTCAGAATGCGTCGGTAGCACCCGGAACTTGTCAGCTTCCTCAGAAGGTGCTGGCAGAACCGTGGAACCCTCGGCTTCCTTTGGAGACCTTGATAGCAACGGAGCCTTCTCGAATTCATCAAGTAAGTAGCGGATCTCTCTTAGATCTCCAAGTAACGAACGTCCCGTTTTCTGGATGCAACTCACATTTCGGATTATAAATCCCCCAGCTTTTACTTTTGTGGGTGCTTTCACGAATGTTTTCCTCACTTCATCTCCTTGAACTTCTTCGCTGCCAAGTACTTGATAATGGGCAGCATTTTGATATTGGAGTTCGTAGCTGAGTTCAAAGACGTGAGAAAATTCCGCACTGGTGTGCGTCCATAGAACTTTCAACATAGATTCAGCGGAAAATGATCCAAGGAATTTGCCGGGTCTAGCCTGTTGCTAGACCAATTTGCGTCTTCTTCATAGAAAACTGATTCAGATTCGTCGAAGAGCTCTGGTGTGTGAAATGTGCTTCCCTTTGCCCGAGTACAAGCCGTCGTCGTCTCCGGCTCCAAGTAAGCCATAATATTGCATCCCGCAAGGCCTTACATCCGGCGGAGGTTCGCTATCGCTGGATCCAGCAATTTTTTCGGTGGCGATAGAGCTCTTATGTGTATCTTCCAGGTTGACCAAGTCCCGATTTATGACGTCGTACCAATGAATTTGGTGGGAGTTATGGATGTGCCGGTTGTACATTTTGCAATAGCTCTCCGTGCCCTGCATGTGGGCAAATAGATGTCGATAATTACCAAGATTGACGCGATCGCCATTGCAGGTCTTGGTAAGGTGCTACAGGGAGCTTAGGCCTTCTAGAGGGGGAGGTTGGGAGGGGGAATGGGTATCTACAGCACCAAGCAACGTCAACTGATGTTCATTTTCCAGTAGATCTTTGTCTTGAAAGTAGTAGTAGTCAAATAAAGAGATGTGCTATTTCTCGAATACTATATCATGACACAGAATTGATCATCTTGTCACTGCTGTCATCCTAGCACACTGCTACTGCTGGTGAAACAAAGTTTACAATCAATTGTCTTAGCCTACTTAAGCCTGAAAGCATACCCGAAGGCCATGTATAAGATTCAGTACCCAGCCCCCATTCTAGTTATTGACGTAATCTTCACCCTTATAAACAGTCTGGTGTTTAGCATTCTGTAAATCATTCACATGCTCAGTAACAGGCAAATCCTTCTGCGATAGGCCAACCCGCTGGTTTTGCACTTCCTTCGCCGCCTTATCGATGATCGTTGTCTTGAATGCTTTGAAGTCGCGGACAGATAACTTATTAGCAAATAACTCGTCGATCTCTTCCAGTGTACGCCCTTTCGTCTCAGGTACAAACAGATAAAAGAAGATAAGGCACAGGAAGTTTGATCCCGCCCAGATGTATCCGTATTTGGGACCCTGTTGGAAGCCAATGGTCAGTCTCTATTTACTTTGAAGGCTTATTGACTGCGTGGAACATACCCAGTTAAGAGTTTCCGGGTTAATAAAATACGGCGAGCAAAACCCCGTCAACCAAGCCAGGAAATACCCCAAACTGATAGACGATCCAACAGACCACGAGCGCAACCGCGTACTCACCAACTCGGTCGCAGTCGGGTAAGTAGCATCGCCCACAAACGCATTATACGCAAACATGTAAATCGCAATGAAAGCAATAATGCAACTGCGCTCCGTAAACGGGTCCGCGCCAACGCTGGCGGAAATGGCCATGGCCAGCATGCAGAGCCCCTGGATCAGGGCGCCGAACATGAGGATCGTGCGGCGACCGACGAGGTGGCGCATGGCGTAGATGCCGCAGTTGACGCCGATAAAACCTAGGCAGGTATTCATTACTGAGTAGCGGAAGGAGTCGGCGACGGTTACGCCCGAGACGATCATGAAGTAGACGGCGTAGCTGATGAGGAACCAGGAGCCGGCGCCGGCTTGGGTCGCGAGGACGCCGTAGCAGAGGAGGGTGCGTCTGAGGTCAGTTCCTATTGTCTTATTAGCATGATTGAAATGGTGGTTTGAGAAATTGTAGGAAGGTTGTCATACCTCGGAACATGTCCAATGGCCCAACGGTTCGGGCATTCCGCTTCTCCTCTTCTATTCCTTTAACCATTTCGGTCCATTCAAGTTCAAATTCATCGTGCTGCAACGAACCACCCCGTAAAGTCTTCAAAGACTTACGCGCGGCCTCCATCCTGCCTCTATACAGCAGATATCTCGGCGACTCAGGAACGAAAAACAACCCAATTGTCAGGAGGAAGGGCACGATAAACAGCGTCCCCACGGGAATCTGGTACGAGGCTTTATCCAACCGTGTTTGCGTCGCATTTGACACAGCTGCACCTATAATGCTGCCAACATTCACCCATTCCGAGAACAGCGCCACCATAACAGCGCGCAAATGTGCAGGCGCCGCTTCCGCACAGTAAATATTCGAGAACGTAACCAAAAACCCGTTCGAGATACCCAGAAGCAGCCGTCCCACATAGATAGCCCCCTTCTCCGTGCTCGAGATCTGGATAGCGCAAGCCACGAAATTAAACAGGCAAGCGAGCCACAGTGCAGATTTTCGACCGAAAAAATGCGCAAACGCACCCGCGACCAGGGAAGAGAGGAAGGCTCCTAAAGTTAGGAGGGAGCCGATGAGGCTCTGGAAGGTGGACTCAATGGCATATCCGCCGGGGCTGTTGGGGTCGGGATATCCGAATACGGCGAGGAAACCTGGCGTGGCTTGGAGGCTGGCGATGATGGCGGAGTCGAGGCCGTATTGCATGCTTGCGACGGAGACGACAAGGCAGATGGCTAGGCATTTTTTATTGGACCAGAGGGAGGTTTCTGGTAGTTGAATTTTGGATGCCATGTTATAAACAGTAGTATGAGTATTAAGCACTGAGGATGAGGGTAGAGAAGTAGACGGCATTCCATTCTGCCCAGCTAGCTTGTGAAATAGCCCGACTCAGATGCGTCCGTGAACCAGAATAAAGTATAAGAAAGTCACGCTACTATTCGATATTTGCTGCATATATGTCGCATGGCCTATTCTGCCGGGGTGACATTGCTGGTTCCCCGCATTTCGGTAGTTGTGGTCTTGATAGTAGGCAGAGTCTAGAGCCGATGATTCGCCCGAGGGGCGAGAATGGATTCGTTTTCATGAAAAGAACCTGTTTGTGAAGGAGTCTGGCACATATATGTCACTTAAAGGCCTTGCTGAGAAAGAGCCATGAAGGCACGTAATAATTAGTTGAATGTTTGAATATTCTGGGGAATGGTAGTAGCGCAGATTCAGACGAGATAGCATCGAGTTTCATGAGGGTATGATTTCTGAATCATGAATTGCAAGTCTTACTTCCATCTGGTACGAATAGGGTTCTTTAATGGCATTCATAATCGTGTGTGGTGGACATGAATCGCATTCCAGAATTGCCAAGTTTGGGCTTGACTCTAAAGGTCTGAAAAGTTGCGTTCTGAGTACTACCTTACTCCGAGTCTTCGTATACTCAGACGTCCAAGTATTGATGGCTTCCGGAAAGTCGAGTACTTATGAGCCGTTGATATCTCGGTGCTGCCACCTTTCAAGCTTTAGTGAAAAGTGGTTATTTGTTGGAGTGGGAGTCCTCCATGGATGGTGTTCATGAAGTTTTACAGGGGTTGCGCTTGGCACATGCAGGCAGGCACTAGGGCCTGTAGGGAGACTAGTTCCCATTGACCAGTGCCAAACTGCTGCGTGAAGATTCCACAGGACCGCAACCAAATATAGCCAGATAAGAAGAGCTCCTCAAGTCACGACCGATATGCTGCACTCCGATTAACTTAGATGCCTTATCCGTGGTCACGACGTCTCAAACCAACGAGAAGGTACCGCATCGCATGAATCCAGGCACGGCCAGTTACCTGGGCTTGATCGAACTCGAGGAAAAATAACTACCTGGCATAAAGTACAATCCACGCACCTTCTAACCCAAGGTCTTACCAAGATGCAATTCGAAATCGCTAGGGGTTGTCAAGGTTATGCTTATGGGGCCAAATATTCTCAAGGTCTTAACAATTATTAGGGTTCGTTGAATGGCATGTTGGACAGGCTATATGCCTGCGACATAATAATTCGGCCCTTAAGGTCATATTGGCTGTCTATTTAACCATAGATCGTCCCCTTCATAGAATCAATAAAGCAAGCAATCATTCATTGTTCATTTGTACAGGCATGAAGTGCATGGCCTGCGAGGATAATATTTCCTCCCGCAGATATTTACCGAGCCCAAATTCAGCGACAAGACATGACAAATGAAGGTGTAGGTTGGATAATAAGAAGCCACGTATGAGCTCATACGCTGTGCCAAGTGCGAGGGAAAGGTAGAACGCCTTTATTTACCGCGCTCTTCGCGTGGCGCCTTATTTGCCTATGTAACATCATAGGCTCTGACGACGAGAGCCTGGACACTCTGCCATTGAAGGGCAAGAGTCTACTGCAGGAGGGCCCTCGGCAGCACGTTGAAGCCGGTAGAAACCCATGTGTTAGCCGAGAAGCAGGACGAGCAATTGACTTTCGTCTAGGTTTTGTCCATGCTGACAGGCCCCAGAAGTCCAAAAGCGAAGGGTCAAACTACGCAGTGATCCGTTTTCGCACATCATGATGTCGTTCTACAAATTATTCGGTCCAGATAAAGATATCAAAACGCAAAAAATAGACATATTACCCCCCATAGTGGTCAACTCCAAAACGCCATTAAGCAAAGGGAAGTGCAAAGGAAAAGAAGGCAAGAAGCGGAGGAACAGCGCTTTAGACGTCAACATGATCAACTGTCAAACTTGAATCCCGAGGAGAAGGGTTTCCTTATTGTCTTCGCATTCCGGGATATTTTCCCATCGTTCATTCATGTGGAAGGGTCACCGGGATGACGACAAGTTGGTTGCTAAGTATTTCAGAAATTCGTTCCCACTCGAGGCCGAGAACACGTCGCGGTCCCGGCATAAGAGGAAACCAAAAGAACAGCCCCAATATACCTGGTTAAAAAGCACTCTTATATCATGCTCACATCCTTCAAAAAGGATTCAACCACTTAATGTAAGGCACACTCTGGGCAGAGTAAACACTGGCGGCGAAGAAGGCGCCCAAGATCTGAGGAATTTAAAAAGGACAGTGAGCATGAGACACCCACACTACTTACATATGTATTTTCCCATTTAATCTGCCCAAGCCCGAATAGATACTGCACAGTCTATATTTACGATAGCTGATAGACGTACAACTGATCATTTTTACATTGCTCTCGCCTCCTTTTACGTGGAAATCGAAGTATTCGGGTAAACATGTTCTATCCCAAAATAAGACGGTGGCGGATTCTACCTTGGTGCTTTATATAAATACAACATAGCACAAACTTAATGCCAGCGCCTGGAGTTTTGCAGATATTTCAAGCTAACAAGTATTACAGGGGATCCAACAAGGCTGCACTTTTCACCGGAAGTGAAAAGAAGTCCATCATCCAATGAGCTCGTGATATCAGCTGAAACTGTGGTAGGTATGGCAACCCAACCACTCCTATCAAGCATCCTCACCATCATCACTGGGGCCAGCCGTCCCGACATAGAGCCATAAAACTGAAGACTACCTGTGACAACTGTGCTTTGTTGCAGCTCAAGTGCGACCGCCGCCCACTCCAGTGTGGAAGATGCATTCACAACGAGGTCAAATGCCACTACAGTGAGACCCGTGGCATTGGCAAAGCCCGCCGGCTCTACGCTGCACCCGGACACGGTATGAACTATACCACCCTCTAATACTAGCGGAGCCAGTAGTTTGGGACCGTCAACAGAACCAGCAAACCACAGAAGCCACCAATATCATCGGAATCGCCAGACTATACAGTGCACACGGTCCTCTTAGACCAGGCCACGACAGCCATGTTCACGACACAGAAGCAAAACTTACCTCCACAGCTGCTCTTTGACCTGAGAAGGCCAGCCATCAACCACCATGGCCCAGCTAGATTTCTCGAGAAGAGTCCCAAGACGAGCTCATGCACAGTGTTGGTCAACAGTTGGGCCTGGAAAAGAAAAGAATGGAGTACATGGACCAAGACGACATACAAATTCAAAACTCTCCGCCCAGCCTGGAATTGTTCAAGGTCCATTTTCAGAGGCAACAGACGGACGTTGATGCGGCAGACGCATGAAGTATTTGCCGTTACCGCACTCTGAAGCTTGCACAAGCCCACGACGTGCGCCAGGCGTTCCGGATATGACTCTGAGGATCAGGCGAAAACCCTTCGTGGTCTCGACACTGCCCTGAAATCTAATTGTATGACTATTGTCACCGTTATTCAGATTCTGTTATGCGACTGCGCCGGTAAATGGACCATTTCCATCCTAATAGTTCAGCTATAGCATCAAGACATGGACTCGTCATGTAGCCTGTTGCAACAGAAACTATCCAAACCTCATTCCGCAGCAGAAGAATCTTCGCCCACTGAAGAAATAAACGGAAGAGTTCAGGACCGCAGTACTACGCTATTTGAAGTCCCCATGTCTATCGGTGGGTATATTCTAGACGGAGGGGTGCGGACCGAGGCCATTATGCAGGTACTAAGGTCCGAGATCGAGGGGATGGGTGGTTGCATTGACACCCTCGTGTCCCGTTACGCCAATCAAGAGCCAATCGAGGGTTCGCGCAAGGTCCTCATCAACGCCCTCCAGGCATTCCACAAGAAAGCGCTGCTGGCTCTGGATATAGACAGCAAATGGTTAACATAGGGCCTAGGAGCTGTTGGCAGTCACTTTCTCCATTTTTCTATTAGCAGGCTTCTCTGAAAGTAGTACTATGAAGGTTTCCTTCAAGCCTCGAGGTATGATCGGACGCACCACGTAACAGGAACCTAGAAACCGCCGCCCTATAAAAGCTATTCATTCATTTCCAATAGTAATGTTCTAGTCTTATCTTATTCCCCGCCTGACTTCTTTTTGATGTGACCCCTTCTCTCGTCTTCCCACATCAGCATTACTTGAAAGTCCCTGAGCAAACCTAATCGATCATCTCCCTGACCATGTCATATACGCTGTGGCTAGGTCACAAGACAGATAGTGACATACAGCCATGGTGTGGGGGCACATAGACATGGGCAGTACGTACTGTTATACTAACATACTCTTCCGGAATGAGATCGCTAGCGCGTTCCTTCCCCACAATACTTGGATGCCTCACAGGTTTTGGTGCTTTTCAGCTAACGGAGCCCTTATATACAGAAACATACTATGTTAAGGTTCTTTGGAAATCATATGATTTATAAGTGTAGACTGGTAGTTTGACACGGACCGATTACTACGCTAATGTTTTGCATCCCGGAAGAGGTGTTGATACGAACAGGTAGGGGACCCACTGGTTAGGTGAATCCCATTCAAATAGATACTATAACGTTGCGCACTACTGCATTATAGCATCCTCCCCCATAAGTGCACGCATCAGGTGTATTTAGTATAGGCACGTACTTAATGTCACCTATATTACTTACTCCTCGATGCAGAAGTATGTTCTACATTCAGTGCGATCAGTGGCTCAGAAGGAATGCGTGGAAACTGCTGGTGTATTGACTACCTAGGATCGGGCGAACAGCCCCTTGTGCGGCCCAACCAGAGTTCATAGCAAAGCCCAGCCACATATTCGGGGGATACGAAGTTCATGGTGCACAATCCACACGTGGGAAACAAGTGAGGCGACGCGTCCAGAAAAGGACAAATATTGGATTGCACATGTGTCTGATCAAGATGGGTAATTGAGATGGTTGATTTATTTGACTGATTTATTAATGATCAGACTTGGTTGATCGTACTCTTTCATTGTACTTCGAAGGAGCCCGTTTGTCTTTCCGTGGACACACTCCCTGCAAATTCGGCGGAGATTTGTCCCTGTACGCTCTGTCCCAGATTACAGTTGACCGGTTGGTCAACTGCACACTCAATTTGTCCTTCTCTGGACGCATCGCCTCACTTGGTTTCCACATGTGGATTATGCACCGTGAACTTCGTATCGTCCCGAATATGTATGTGGTTGTATGTGGCTCATGCAGTAACTGTAATCCAGCATACTATGTTACTATAGTATCTGTGGAATTGGTGGCCCAAGGTCACGTGAGATACAGGCAAGATCTTAAGTGCCCTTGAGCGGCTCGGAACCCTCCACCTGTACTTCCCTTCTCCACCTTCGTATATAGCCGGAATGCCAGTACCAGTGCGATCCCACAGTATCCACGGTCGGCTCCAAGCTAACGTGGATGTCCCCGCATCCGCATCGGGTCTAGCGTGTCAGCCAGCGTCGTCCGAGGTCAGCGAAACCGCTGATACCTAACAGATCTTGGTACATTTGAATTGTACTCTCCGGACAAACAGCTTAATTGGCCCCGCTCAATCAAGTTGCGCCGCAGCCGAATTCCGTCTTAGACTTCCCAAAGGTAGTCTTGATCACTGTCCGAACATCTGTCAGATAGGGCACCTGGTTCCTAGGTTCAGAAATAATATGGCACTAGAGAAGACTAGTGTCATTTAAAGTTCAGACGGCGAAAGGAACCTCTCTTCTCAAAAGTAACACCAAAGTTACCGACATGTTCTAAAGAATCTATAAAAGGCAGAGCAACGGGAGTTCGCGAGAACAGAACACAGAGAACAACACACCTCATTCATATACAATCTTACGCCCTTCTGACTACTCGATTGGACACACGTGATATTCGACAATTCGTCCTCAGGGGTGGGATGCTGCTGATGTGCAGAAGATGCTCGACTATTTTTTGTCGCGACAAGTCGTAGTATCTGCTAATTCGGGTTCTCGTCGAGCGTATACATCTCAACTATACGCTCAAGTGGATAGACCGTAACGTGGTCTAGACGCTCGCAAGAATCGCGGCGAGAGGGGGTCCGATAAGGGGTCGGATTAACGATTCGAATTCTGGACCGGCTGTCGAGTTATATTCCGCCGACGTAGTGCTTGACTGTCGACTGGCTAGGACGCTCGTAATCCTAAACTGCACCAATCTCCCTATTATCGCTAGGTAGGCGAAGTCAACAAGGTGGGCAGCGCGCCGTAAGGGTTGACTAAACCCCCTTGTGTGTCAGCTGCGGGATTCGAACCCGCGACTCGTCACCGACCCAAGTGGGCGAGGCTCAAATCGGGACTTATCTACCAGCGAAGTGACCAACTACACCAGCCGACTATAAAAAATATGAAATGGCCAAGAAAGAGTGCTCGTGCTTCTGAAGAAACCAAAACTGGGTTCAGCTGGTGCAAGAAATGATCGGATCGGCATTAAGTGCGGAACAGTGGTACTAGGGGCATAGTATCATGGTCGGCGATGCGGTTAACCTATGAGTGTGCATATTTGACCGGACCATACCAGGCTTGGTAATTATTTCCCAACATTAACTCCAGGTTTCCGTATCTCTGCTGTTTAGATATGCTGACACTCACTTGAGACTATTCTGAGTACTTCAAAATCATAGGTAGAAGTTTCCACAAATAAAATTGATGCACCATGTGTTGAGAACGTTGGCGCCCTTATCAGGGCGTCTTGATGGGTTTCACAGCAGATAGTGTAATGCAAATAATAGCTTATAAAGAGAAACTCAGTAGACACATCCGATCTTAATACTACCTTCTACAATATATAAGATAACCCGTCTATGTGAGTTTTACAAATAGCGACAGGTAGAGACATGATTATTTTCATGCTATTCAACTCACAAGCTCATTTCACCAACTATGGGCAAAATGCCGCTCTGAAATTTCATCCCAAATCAGAATTTGTTTGACGAGAAACATCAGGAACTGTACACATGCGCCTCCCCATAAAGCAAATTCTCACGTCTGATCCATCAGCATTTATGGCCAGCTTGACATCCTCATGATTCCTATATTCGTAGCTGTTTCCCATCATAAGCAAATGGTTGCGTGAACTGGTCCAAGCGGGAAAGGATCTACTACTCACGTGTGCCTTGGTCTGTTTCTCCATCTAGTGTCTTATGTTGAGATCTGTTTCCGTCTTTTAGGTTCCAATATTGTCCTCTGTGCATATCGTATCTGAGGAATATCTCGGTGAAGAGCTAAAGTGTGACGTTGATATAGAAGAAGGAGGTGTAGCAGTCTGCGAGGACTTCGAAGAGAATATATTGGATGATTTGGGTGGCATTTTGGCTGAGATGGGAGCTGTACGTTTTTTATGCGGCGTTGGATTGAAAGTGAATATTGGGGAAGACTTGATGATTAGAAGTGATAACTGGTTCGAATTGTACAGCCCCAACTCATGGCATTTCCGAACCCTTATACATTTTACATCCTTGTTTTCGTCTGTAAAACGCATCCGGAATCGTCATCTATGCGAACGCAGACATCGTTGAATAATATGTGCAGCTCGTGAAAATCCCGAGATCAGGTCATTGGCTCAGCCAATGACTGTAACCCATGTCCGCAGAGATATGACACTTATCCCTTTCAGGCAGCATTGCGAACTCCGAGATCGACCTGCTGGGACCAATCGGACATTTTCAACTTCAGGGGGCGTGAGATTGATGCGAACTCGAACTTTCGTTGTTGCTGACACGCAATGGTGAGCGTATCGTGGTAACTGGGCTCACTAAATATTCATCGCCTGCAGTAGACCGCAAACCTGTAACCGTGGCGCCTGAGCCGCATCATCGTCAAATCCATCACGTTGTAAAAGCGAAGGCTAACTTCAACAGTATTCGCCCCAAGCGACCCAGCAAGTGCCGATAACCGAAGGACTGTCAGGGTACGGCTAGGCCGAAGGCAATAGTACAGAGTGATGGGGAGTAACGGGCGTCCCTCCTACGTAATACCGGGTGGTCACTGGCGGTCTCAGGTAGGGGTGCCCACGGTGATGCATTGATCTCTGCCCTCTCTATCTTCCTTCGTCTCGACTCCTTACTTATAGCCAGCCGAGGTTCTCTCTTGGATTCTGGATGTTTGCTTCCGTATGTCTGTGTTCCTCCGACTTCGGCCAATATCTTGGACAGCGGCTCCTTATCTGCAACCAAGCGATTCCCTATCCGTTGCAAACGGCTTCAACGGCTCTCATTCGCCACAAGCGGCTCTCTAGCCGCCACAAACGGCTTCCTACCTGGTGGAAGCCGGCCCGCCTCGGATGACACTTGTGGCTCTGACAACTCCTTCCCTATCCTACTTCGAGATGGTCCTTATATAGATAGCTAGGCCGCCGCTTGGACCCGGCATAACAGCAGGGTTGGCGATGCCAAGGATCTTGACTCTCGTCATCCCAAAGCTTCACATAGATTGTAATCATGATTCGGGAGTCTTTTGTCCGAAACACCCCTCCGGCGGCCCACCGGTGTCCTGCGTTCAGTGTCCTGACACCCACTGGTGCCTATGGCATTCTGTTCTCTGACATCGCTATACGAAGGATCGTACGAAGGGTGTTTATCGTCTTCTTATCCTCGACGGGCATGAGAGCCACCACTCGACTGACTTCGAGCTATATTGCAAAGAGCATACTATTATTACACTTAGTATGCCTGCTCATTCGTCACATAAGCTCCAGCCTCTCGATGTAGGCTGTTTTAGGGCTTTGAAAAGGTCGTACGGCAAAGAAATTGAAGACCTAATACGGGCGCATATAACCCATATCTCGAAGGAGGATTTCTTTTCGGCATTCTATAGGGCGTATCGTACGACTATAACTAAGTCGAATATCCAGGCAGGTTTCAGGGGGACAGGACTTATTCCGTACGACCCGGAATATGTGATTTCACAGCTGAATATTAAGCTACATACGCCTACACCTCCTGGGAGCTCGTCTGGCGCACCCTTAATCTGGGAATCAAAGACTCCAAATAACCCAACCGAGGCGCAATCCCAGTCTGAATACGTTAAAAACAGAATCGTACAGCATCAGAATAGCTCCCCGACGACAATACTTACGGCTATTGACCAATTTTCACGTGGTGCGACGGCTGTTATGCATCGGTTAGTTTTGAGCATGAGGTTACTACACTTCGGAAGGCCAATCAAGAGCTAAGCCGTCGTCGAAGGACTAAAATCGACAGCTACAAGATGGAGGATCTCTTAGCTTTGCGAGAAGCATCAGCCAGCTTCCCAGCAAGAGTTGGCAGGTTAAATGAAAAGCCTAAACAGATAACGTAGTCCACGGTCCAATTGCACACTTCGGCAGATTTTTGTACGCTACCACTTTGACCTGCGGTTTTTCACCATATACCTAGGGTTGGTTCTTGGAATGAAAGTGATATGATTCTAGCATTATATGCGCTTCAATCTGATCCAAATTTAAGTGTACGTCGCGCTGGTCAGATCTATAACGTACCTTTTAGAACCCTTGCGTATCGACGCGACGGTAAACCCGCTCGAGCGATTACGCGATCGCCAACGCAAAAGTTGACTCCTTCCGAAGAAGAGGCAATCGTACGACATATAAACGACCTAGATTCGCGAGCATTTCCTCCCCGATTGAGTGGTGTTGAAGATATGGCCAACCGATTACTTCGAAGTCGCGACGCGGGACGCGTCGGCGTCAACTGGGCCTCGAGCTTCGTAAGGCGACAACCAGACCTCCGGACGCGTTTAAATCGAAGGATCGACTATCAGAGAGTCCTCTGCGAAGACCCCGACGCGTATAGGGCGTGGTTTGACCTGGTACGGAATACAATTGCGAAATACGCGATCCAGGAGGATATCTACAACTTCGACGAGACCGGTTTTGTGATGGGCTAAATCTCGTCCGAAATGGTCGTGACGACTTCTGATCGGCGCGGAAGGCCTAGAGAAGCCCAGTAAGGAAATCGGGAATGGGTTACAGTTATTCAAGGCGTTGGGTCGTCCGGTTATGCCCTCCCTCCGTACATCATTTTCGCCGGCAAAACCCACCTCTCGTCATGGTACGAAAACAGCCCATTACCGCCTGATTGGGTTATCGCAGTTACTAAAAATGGCTGAACTACGAACGAGAGAGGCGAAGATTGGATAAAATACTTCGATCATCACACCAAGTCTCGTACGAAAGGTACTCATCGCCTATTGATCCTCGACGGTCACGAAAGCCATCACTCGACCGATTTCGAGGTATATTGCAAAGCTAACAATATCGTCACGCTTTGTATGCCTCCTCATTCGTCGAATAAGCTCCAGCCTCTTGATGTTGGTTGTTTTCGCGGGTTAAAAAGAGCGTACGGAAAAGAAATCGAAGATCTCATGCGAGCACATATAAGTCATATCTCGAAAGAAGACTTTTTACCGGCGTTTTTAAACGCGTACAACGCAACTTTCACGGTTTCAAATATCCAAGGAGGTTTCCGAGGGGTAGGAATAGTTCCGTACGATGCAGATTATGTCATATCACAGCTCGATGTGAAATTACATACGCCAACATCTCCGGGTAGCTCGGCTGGTCTCCCCGTCCCTTGGGAATCAAAGACTCCGAACAACCCAGCCGAAGCCCAATCACAAACCGATTATGTGAAAAATAGGATTGTACGACATAAAAATAGCTCACCAACGTCAACTTTTACTGGAATAGATCAGATTGCGCGAGGTACAACGAAGGTTATGCATCGGCTTGCCCTTTTAGAAGGCGAGGCCGAATGACTTCGAAAGGCAAATGAGACCTTAAGTCGACGTCGCCGTGCGAAGAAAAAACAGCTACAGAGTGGAGGATCACTTCGTATACAAGCTGGACAGGACCTACAGTCTCAACGAGAGGTTGATGGGCAGTTACATGACGAATTTCGTCAAATTGGTGGTCGTACGAGGCGGCGAATTGCGCGTGTACGGCGCTGTAGAATCTGCGGCGAGCCCGGACATAATGCGCGCACTTGTGGAAATGATGTAGAGACGTCTGAAGATAACGATTCTGAGTAGTTTCAATTGATGATAGGCGTTGTGGTTGAATTAACTTATACATTGTCGTATAAGGTCTGCCAAAGTGTGCAATTGGACCGTGAACTACGTTAGACCATCTCTTGAAAATACACTTTGTCTCCAACCGTCCCAGGTCGTTTGTATCGGTCATTCAGCCACCAGCTAAACCAGTTCTCTGGTCACATTATTACCGTAAATTTGTGTGGACAGCTAATCAACATAACAAGAGGATCAAGCTGCATCAATAACTTGAGCAAATGTGTCAACTCTCATTTGATATCTGGTGCCACGCTGTGTCATGAGTTAAAGTGAGACCTTTAGAAGTTTCACATGACAGAAAATAATCTTATCGCTATGTGTCACGCTATATTCGGGCTTAATTACCACCGCAATACATTCATCAAGAAAGGTTACTTGCAGTTAGGAACGATTATCTCGTCATCAGAGCAGGGCATTTCAGTTTTTAACCAGGACTAGTCGCCCCAGTGAAATATTCTGGCTTCGTCTACTTTGCAGTGGAAACACGTGGAATGCTTCATATTATTCTTCGAATCCAGTGACAGGATCAATGCCGATACCAATAATGAGACGTCTCTGAGCTGTAGCTATTTCGTGGTATCACGATACCCGTGTATGCTTTGCAAGAATTAACCACCCCACGATTCCAGTTGTAGCTACTACAAGAAGAGTTTTCCACAAGGGTTCCTGGGGTTCGTAATGGATTCCGTTCCCGACCACTAATACGGCACCACGTCCAGGATGCTTTTCTGCACTTCCAGTTACAAGCGTTGCAGCGCTGCCATCTTTCCCGAACTGACAACAGTGCAGCCCGTTTCCTAGACAGTAAAAACCATGAGCTTATTTTTACCATCAAAATAATCGATGAAGTGGAAGTTACGGGTCTTCTCTTACCGTAAGACTTTGCGGGTGTGTTTGTGGGAGTTGAAGTATTGAGATTTTCACCAGGAGTATCTGACTTGTTTCCATCCATCATGCTGTTTCGTGATGGTCTCGATTTCATTGGGTAATTCTTGTGCTAAATATCGTTAGATGGTTACAAGTATGCAGCGGATATTTTGTGAAGTACTACCGGATAACTACAGGTCGGCTACGAGGTAGTTTTGTTGAGTAAATTAGTAATAGAGTATAATAGGTTGTTATTGTTGTATATTATAGTGGTTTGTAAAAGTGTAATTCATTAGTCTATCTGGAGGGAAACTGGGCCTTTATTTATAGGAATAGGTTCTGTTAGCTAGACTTCTTTATTACCAGTCTTGGTCCTTTATTCGGGCTACATTCGTAACTTTGCTTTGTTCTATATTCCTTAATATACCAAGGAATGTCTTTATCCTTTTATTGTCTACATTCTTAACTGAATAAAGGAGTTTGTCGTTTATTCTTCTGTTTTCGGCACGAACCCATTATTATTCTCACGAGGATGCGGATAGATGAGAATGTTCTGAACAGGGCTTTGTGGACTTCATCATCTAATATCTTTTCGAAACGCTGCATGACTAATGGGGTGGCCCAGCGGAGGAAGTTTTGGATAATTGAACCGATCAAGGCCGGTAGCATGTTGATATTCATCAGGGCTGAATCTCTTAGTTTCAGCATGCCTAATATATGATGCGATACACTCAACTAGTGTATCTCCCACACCTCGATCACCAATACCGGGGAAGCACCTGTGGCCTGCTCTGTGCAGTTCTCTTAACTGATTAAAATGAGCATATGCCAAAACTCAGGGACTAGGGGCTCGGTCAGACTCACATGATTTCCACCCCTGAATCTCATTCTTATTCTCCATACTATCACGCCACAACCTCAAACACCAACTTGCCACCAGTTCATCCATCGTCTGCCTCGCAACAGGCACAGTTATATCCAACTTGCGCTGCCCCTCACTTTCACTCTCCACCGCAATGGCATTCCTACCCACATCCAACCACTGGTACCTTTGCCCCAATCTCTTCACCAAAAGCACCACACCCACCTCCACCACGGCGTTCTTCCGCCCCCTATACCCCTTCGGAAACCCATTATCTTTCACGGCCCGTGTCCTCACGACTCTAAACCCCGAATGAGGGATATGCATCTCCTTCAACGCCAGATTGCCCACACATCCCCGCGACTTCGCAGCAAGGCAATAGGGGAAATTTGACATTGCTGGGGGTAAATATTTCAGGTCAAATATAAGCCTGTCGCGCTGCACGACGCGCGGGGTGCCGTTGGTGTTTGTGCGCACATGGTGCACGAGGCGGCGGAATGATAGATTAGACTCGATGTCTGTGATGGCGGTTTGGCTAACATCGCGGGAGAGTTCATACAGAGGGAATGCTGTTGTAGAGGAAGGGTAGATGAACTGGTCGTTAAGCTGCAGCATGACGGGCTGGATCAAGTCGCTGCTTGTGTCGTCGTGGTTTGCGGGGTCGTAGGGTGGAGGTTCGTCTACCAGGAGCATAGAGGTCGTCATTGTCACTAAAGAAGTCGGTTGATATTGGTCAGTATCTAATTCGAATTTTGGCGTCATAAACCTTGGCGAGGCTTTTGATAGCGTGACCTGCAGACCTTCCTTCCAGTCTGCCGTTTCGTAGGGGCAGAGCGAGGAACTGATCGGCGGCACCCAAATCCGGCAGTCCAATAACCCGACGTTCCCCAAATGACATCATGCAGAACCCAACGTCGCAGCGGAGCGGCTCCGCCATACTTAGTAATCATGAGACGGTCGAGATTCAAAGACCCGTCTAGACCGTTGCTTTAAATCCCTTGAACGTTGTCGTAATACGACTGAGATCGCCAGGGGTCGTGCAGTAATGTTGCATATGGACGATATCAAAACTTGACCCAACTTTATGTGTCAGGCTATGCATATTTGGTCATTTTCATGGCCTCGAAGTGAATGGGACGTATACCGATGCCTAGTATCAATCCAGTCATGTGGTCCGCTCGCGCTGTTAGAAATGGTAAACTGCTAATATAATCGTGTGCTAGCGTATCCCGCTATAGTCCATAGTGCTGGTTGTATGAACAACGATCTCGTGCAAGTAGTGAACTTTTTCTCTGTCGCATGGGCAATTCTCTAAACCCAGCACTTTCTCCAGCCACGTCTTTCTTTTCTCTTGTAGAATCGATACAACTGCTAGTTATGTAATTATACCCTATTCGATCTTAGTTCCAGCCAACGCCACCCCAGCCTTAGATCCTGCCTGTCAATAATTGCACTAGCAGACGCATGCATCCGGAGGCGTACATGCAATCCGATACTGGTTTCCGACAGTCATGGAAACGGTTGATTTGCTCGAAGCCGACAGACGAGAAGCTAATACAAAGCCAACAGGTGTCTAAAAGTTCTCACGATCTTGCGATAGCATATTGAAAAGAAGAAGAAAAGCAAGAATGATGCTGAGCATGGGTCACAAGAGATTCTCAAAGTGTATGTTCACCAAAATACATCAATTTGTCTGCAATATACTCCAAGCTACGGAGAACATGGTTCGAAGGAATGTCGTCAAGGCCTTGACATAAAATAGAAAATAGCCCTCAGTGCCTCCGCCATCATATTCGCATCATCAGTCTTTGCTTCCCCACTCAAAAACGCTGCTACCCCACATGGGTATTCTAGGTCTCAGTCATCCTTTGTTCAGGATGTTCATTTAGAGCGAGACGCAGTTGAGGAGCTGGAGGTTGACATTGAGCAAAGTAGAGCCCTAGAGTAAGAGAAAACGCATGTAATTAGCAGTCTGTCCGCATGATAGAGACGGAGCTGTATGTGCTGAATTGGAACTCACCGCGGGGGCCGAAGTCTTGCAATTGTATTTCTTAGTGGTGCAGACGTCACCGAGAATCTGCACGACGCAGGTGAGGATGCCGTTGCAGCAGAGTTGCTTGTTCGACGCGGCGGGAGTGCCAGTGCGGACCTCGAGGCCTTCAGCTTCGACGGCAGGGGCAGCGAAGGCAGCGGCGGTGAAAGCCAGGACGGTGGTGATGGTGGAGAACTGCATTTTGACTGAGGTTTTGAGGGGTGGGTAAAGGCCTTGGGAGCTGGAAGATTGGTTTGAAGTGGTAGGGAAGGCTTGTTGACTGATGAAGCTGATGGTGATGAGAGAAAAGAAGATTGATGGACGGGAGATCGATGGTTTATATAGACGAGTTCTTCTGTTTCCTGAGTCCCCGAGCTTTGACCAGAATCTACGGATGATGGATACGATCGGAGCAACTCTTCCTGTTGCTTCTGAGTACCTTCGATCTATAGAGGAATTTCACGATGCTGTGCTTTTTGCTCTGGCCATATTTCTTGAGATCAAGTTTGTGTCTCAGCTCGGATCACGAGCCGACTGGTTTAAGATGGAGAGAATGGTCCGGCATCGATAGTCAGCTTGCCTCGAGCACAGCTGGCTTGAGCTTAGCCAATGAACTGTCAGCAGGACTTTCATTGGGTCAACGGCAATAGTTGTCCGCTGGCGGCCTGCATGAGCTGGACTGGAAAAGCTACCAGCCATGGAGGCTTGGTTTAGGCGTAAGGCACGGCTTCTATCAGCCTCTATACGTGAGTTTTATCATCAATGCTTGACCTGGGCCTATAATAGGGCTTATCACTTTTGGACATGGATGTTTCTCAAAACCCGATGTCGCACAGCGTCCTGCGGTGTCGGTAAGTGGTACCCGGCAGCGGTTCGGAACCTGAACACACCCAATCAGACCAGGATGACGAGGAGGCTTGCGTAGAACAACTGGTGGGATTCAAGATATTAAAAGTCGTATGTTTTTTTGTAGGTGATGGTGTATTCATCGACTGTGGTTATTCAAGCCCCCACTAGTTTGTTCAACACCAACACTCTTCTTCTTCGTCCTATTCGAGAAGCTAACTCGGACTTTTAGCGTCTTTACCATTAGAACGGGACACCAACGGATGAACTTTCCCTGTCGTCTGGTTATGACTTTATGATGCTTGCCGCGCAGTCTTTTACTTTTAGCTACCATTGTATAGGTTGTATTAGGCTCCACGGACGTGCGCGATGAACAAACTATTTGCAGAGAAAGCATGCCTTTCATCTATGCAGATAACCGTACACAAGACCATAGAGATATGTGATGAGCCATTGGGCCACGACGGATGAATGTGCCGGGAGAATGTGACCGGAAAACATGGAGGGTTCAACAGATATTTGGCTCAAGAAACGCCTCATCTGGTTAATCAAGATCATGCATGATGCCCGACTGCTTGCATCGTTTATTGCCACGTTGTAGTAAACTTGCAGCTTAAGTCAGCTCTTGATAAAGGAGTTTGACGAGAACAAGACTTTACCACTGAGGTCCCGGTATTTCGCAAGAATAGGTTGTCCGCCTTTTCTCCGCGGGGCTAAATGAAATTAACCTCCATTCCACCAAGCCACATCTCAACCTTCACCGGTGCCTGCAATTGTCCAACCATTGAAATCCGGGTCAATCATCCAGTGTCCTATTTACTTGACGCCACCACATTTCCAAGCTAGCTAGCTGGCTTCGGCAATTCCGACCGCAAAGCTGGAAGAAAGAAGGTCGACTGGTTCGCGCGTTGATAACTCACAAAAGGGGAGGAATGAGGATGATAGACATGCACTGTACTACACTGAAAGGTTTGCAGGGCACCGCAGCATTTTTACTGGCAGGACATGGAAACATCTGTGACGCCATCCATTCCTGGACCATTGCTAGAATGAGATTCTCTAAGATGGCTTTCGGTAGTGGAAATATGATCTTACGTCACCTGAAAGTTGCGGCAAGGCACAATTAGTGCAGCCAATCCAGCCATTTGGCACACTAACTTTTACGCTCCCACTGTATGCATTGTAAACTGTCCGAGCCACTGATGAGAAGGCGCTTTCGGAACGGCCCTCGCTTCGCGGCTGGCAGCCGCAAAACTTAACCTTATTGACGTTTCTAGTAGGCTTCTATACAGCGGGTACGTAGGGAAAAATCTAAGGATGAGGTTTTCGTACTAAGGATCGATATGGACTTGTAGATTATCAAGAGCCAAGTTAAGGCACCCATTGGAAATTTTCCTTTCCCAAATAACCAGCAGGTAGAAAGTAAACATGCACCTGCTTGATTCAGGGGCCACGGAGTATGCAGTCAGTTCTTTTTCAGTCAAAATCGCAAGTCATCTAGATCGTGCTTGATGAGCCACAAGATCTCTTGCATTGGGAGAGTATGCATCGGCGGATAGGTGCATCATAGAAAGGTCGCCATATGTAAGGCCAGCCAGTCGCCCAACCTCGCATCCCTGTTGGCACAGATATCAGCATCTACGAATGGCCGGAAAACACGATAGCAACACTAGACACAAATTATCGTCCCTCGGCAAGGGTTTCCGCGATTGACAGACCTAGAGGGGGAACACATAATCAGCCTCGTTTTCCACGACAAGAACAGCAGGAAGTGTGGATTTGCATCGGGACATTGTCGGACCGCACCAGCCTTCTGTTGACTGAATATGGATGGTGCAAATGATGTTGTAACTTCAAGGGCGTTACAACCTAATTGCCAACGTGTGAGGCCATATGGCCACCGAACGTACGTTATGGGCCGATATGACCACCATCCACAGTAACACACAATTTCTGCCTGTGGGACAGGCATCGTACACTCTTTGGACTCGAGGAGATCAGAGACACATTCAATCCTATGCTTTGTTACACCTTGCAATAAGTCCGATGGGTATGCATAATACAATTCATCCCATGGTTAGACGGTGAAGGGGTTCAGGTCTCCTGAATGAGAAGGAAATAAAGAACGGATCTGTCACCTGATGTTCTAGCCAAATTGCATTGTGATTGGCTTGGCGGGACCGCCCACCTGGTTCTTCACTGTAGGGTTGGATGCTTGTTATGGAATACAGCCCGATTGGTTCCACCTCAGCGCCCGAGACTGGTGTAAGCTGGTGTTAAGCAACAACGCCGATGCCTGAGGGTTGGCTCAGCCGCGACATCGTATCTTGTCCCTTGTGGGTGGCTTGCATTCTACTTTGTATTTGGTGGAAACGTTCTGTTAAAACTTTATCAGCCCGCCATTTCGGACACCATTGTATATTCTCTTCCATATATTTCTTAAAGTAGCGACTGGCTCTTCACCATCGGAGTAACAGCCAGAGACAAGATACATGGAAGCAATTTACATTGAAGTGTCGCCATAGAAAGTTTTTACAGAAGAGTCTTTGTGGAATGCTTGGCTTGTTTTCCTGTGATCCACCGTGTGTCTCGTCCGGGAAACATGTGTTTTGAGCAGGCTGGAGCTTTGCTGGTCTCCATATCCTCACCTAGTGCCAAGGCCTTACCACTGTAAGTGCAATCAGCAGGGATATTGCCAGGTCATTTTTGAAAATCATGTTCTCATTATACTTTTGGTTGTGTCTTGAAGGAGGCTCAAACAATTAAATAATAAATATCTTGACACACATGAACACAAGTCCATGCTTTCCTATTGGACTTATACGACGGCATGAACAGTAGGGGTGATCCATCTCAACCAATGCCTATATAGAGAACAACCACAGTTTATATTAAATTCATCATCCTCATGCTTGTCTTAGACGCACGCTCCTACAGCCGCTGTGAGAAAAGTGAGAAAATCCCAGAAACAGGAGATGAAAGAAGGGACAACCAAAAGCCAAAAAAATCCCCCAACAAAAAAACCCCTAGAAACAGGTTTCATGTCTGGGAAGGACGAATCATATCGCTTCAGCAATTTCGAACGCGCCTTCTTCACGACTGCCCAATGTCAGAGAACAGAATGCCATAGGCACCAGTGGGTGTCAGGACACTGAACGCAAGACACCGGTGGGGCGCCGGAGGGGTGTTTCGGACAAAAGACTCCCGAGTCATGATTACAATCTATGTGAAGCTTTGGGATGACGAGAGTCAAGATCCTTGGCATCGCCGACCCTGCTGTTATGCCGGGTCCAAGCGGCGGCCTAGCTATCTATATAAGGACCATCTCGAAGTAGGATAGGGAAGGAGCAGAGATCAATGCATCACCGTGGGCACCCCTACCTGAGACCGCCAGTGACCACCCGGTGCTACGTAGGAGGGACGCCCGTTACTCCCCATCACTCTGTACTATTGCCTTCGGCCTAGCCGTACCCTGACACCCAATGAGGGAGATGGTCACAGAATGCAGTCATCAGCTCAAGGCCTAGATTCCATCTAAAAAGCGTGCCACCAACTTACAGACAAGGAGGCTCAGTCTGCAATGAAGCTTCTCGACAGGCTTCATCTAACCCAGGTCTGCACCCTCTTCACAAGTAATCCCACACAGCCAGAAGTGCAGCACCACATATGAGGCCTCCAAGATTAGTATGTAAAAGTCATCAAGGTCGCCCTCGTGATCTTTGCAGCCGGGTTACGCCAATTCCGAACACTAGCAGCAGCGTATCTTCGCGTGAGCCATGATAGGAATCTTCTATGACGAATACATGACAACGGAGGCAAATCCATGGACTCCTGCCCAATCAGCACCCACGCCACCCCTCATCACCAAATTCCGGGACATGCATGCAGGCCGCAAAACCGATCCTTCTTGACCAACCAAACCCCTGCATTGGGTCTGTCAGCTCCCAAACGACCAATCCTCTGGTAAACGCCCCACAGTCCGTCAGCATGTGCTCAACTGCGTGCACCGAGCATGGTGATAACACGGCTACCTGTACCTGTTCCAAGACCACAATGGCATCCATAATCAGGCTACTGCATCCTCCACTCCGATACAGCTTGTGCCCTCGTTTACAAGAGTACTCTTCGTCCTCAACGCTTATAGCGGTGTAGCGGTGGTTGCACGCCGCAAGTAATTACTTAGAATAGTGGCGTGCCAAGTTCCGATGCTCACGAGTCTAGGGGTGACAGTGGCGATGCGAGGAGGTTGGAAGAACGGAGCTGGGTCTCACTGGGCGAGGGGTGGGTTGCTGGGATTGAAGGTGAGTACGTTGGTTCTTTTATGTGGTGGAAAAACAGTGCAAGCGTCGATGACAGGAAATAAGGTGGTGGATTGATCGAGTCTGGAATATCGCTGAGTGAGTTCCATGGGGTTCGAGATGTACTGGGGTCATATCCTCCAGAGGGTTTGAAACCTGGATGATTAGCAACAACCCACATCAACTATTGAGGCAGCACCATGTACAGGGAGACAGCAGCAACTTCATTGATACACATTTTATACAATCTCTACCCGGTCTACTCGGTACAGATCTGCCAACTAGACCTATAACTTCTCCCACAACTTGGTATCTTCCTTCTTCTTGTCCTTCACAGCCTTGACCTTCTTCTTCAGCTGGCTAGGAGGCACCCTAAAGTACAAACTGGGCGACTCTCCTGGCTTCAGCTGGTGGCTTAAATACCCTCTATGCGCCGGATCTCTGTAATACTCCATATCCCATCGGCTAGTCGGGTCAGGTAGCCTGTACGAGAACCCCTTCTGCCGCACCTCCTCCAATATACCCTCGACGAACTCAGATCCATGTGGGAGAGGAAGGCTTGTGTTGACACTCTTGTCCTGGACGAGGCGTCGGATGGACTGCCGGGTGTAGTACCGCGTGACGACCTTTCCGCCTGCCTTCTCAATTGCGTCGATGGCTCCGGCCGAAGCACGCGACACGATGATGTCGATGGGCTGCTTCAGGGTGTTTCCACCGCGGGATAGCAGCTTGATTCCATCCTTGATGCTGCCGACGAGGTTCGACTTAATGAGCTCTTTCGGGGTGATTTGCTTCGTGGGGTCGATGCGACCCTGGTCGATCCATTCTTGGAGCTTGTCGAGGTTTACATGGGACAGTACGTCAGCTCGACTAAGGACACGGTGGTCAGTGAGGGTGCAGTTTAAACCCCGGCGAGGTACTGCTCCTTGCGACAGCTAGGAACCATGCGATCTCGTGCGAAGTAGCCAGTCAAACATACAAGTTCTCGAAGCCCATCCGCCCCTTGGCACGAATCAAGGGCGTCTGACCGCCCTGAAACCACGGGTGAACATGTCCATGCTGTTTCTGACCCTTGTGACCTCTTCCAGACGTCTTTCCCTTACCTGACGAGGGACCACGACCGACTCGAATGCGTTTTTGGTAGGCGCCTGGGTTGTCGCGTAGGTTGGAGAGAATCGACGCGTTTCGGGTCTGGATCGAGAGGGAGGCGAAGAGGCTAACAAGAGGCGAGGTGCACGACTCAGTTACCGCCCGGCAGCATTGCGCTGGCAGCGTTGATGGTATTCGCGGAGGCATTGGGGTTGGCTGGGCTGACCAAACTACTATTATTTGGAGTTTTCCCAAGATTCTGAACTCTGAGATAAATTTCATGTGGCCCGGGCTTTAACGGTCTGTGCACCACAACGCTAAATGAACGTCGTGCCTTCCTTTCCATGCCCCTGCACCGTAATAGCCTGCGCCTCGGGGTAACAATTGCCTAACCAGTCTATGATTAAGCCACAATCTATTCAAATTCCGAGTTCAAACATGGTTACCTGTGAAAAAAATCAGGTCGTCAACAGCATGAGGAGCAACAAGACCAGCACAGCTTCTGCAACTGCTAGTCATAGAAACCAGTGTGCTGTGACACGCAGCCGTCTAAGTGAAAACGCCGAGGGCACCATTGGAGACTACGCGAGCGACGCGGTATTGTTGGGTGATCTATCGGTGGCTACCTTACCCGAACTGTACTCAAACACCATTGAAGCCTCATTCTGAGATTATAACCTGGCCCTAAGCAGTGCTTGGGCCGACAGCTTACTCTCTGTTCCACCCGGTGGCTCGCCACAGCCTCATGTTTACCGATATCGTCAAGGATCAATGGATGCAGTGTCTCGTTGTTGGTGAAAGTCACCTGTATCCTCTCCCCTTTTCCGCCAGAGAGCTAATAGCCCTCATGGGCATAAACGCCCGCTGCCTTCAATTGGGATTACAAGCCGCTCCCTCTTCGGTCTGCACCAACAACTGGGACCCAAACATTCAGACTGGGGTCCAGCGTGGCAATCCATGAGGATGATACTGGACTACACTGTTGCTGATTTCGCGTGGCTCCTTGTAACACAGATTTCAGATTCACAATCCACATTCCGTTCCCCGGGTCGTGATGGATCTCCTTCTAGCAATGCAGACCAGATATAATGACATCGAATGCCGCTTCTTCTAAGGGTTTGAGTGTTGTAGCATGGAAGGATGTCGAAAGTCAAGTACGGTCCAGACAAGACAAGCAGCTGGCTCAGCCTTTAGTAGTTTGTATTTTGTTGTTGGTCGCCGTGGATGACCTCAGGCATGCAATTGTGAGTCTGCCACAGGCCCAGGTAGACCCCGTCTATGCTGGGGTTATGCAGATACTGAGTGAGTTTTGTGTCGAGAACAGTGGTCTGCTTTGTGTGCTGGTTCTCTGATTGTATTGAACCCATGTTGGCGTGGTTTTGCAGCTGCCAAGGATTCCCCTCCAAAGCTGTTCTCGCATCTGCAAGATTTTGAGGTAGGGTACCGCGCGTGGACAACATTTGGTTTCAAAATCATGCATTAAACCCTCTAAGAGCGTGCTTGGCGATGGATGTCGTACAATATCGTGGGCTGGTTCGGTCCGGTAAATGAAGTCCAAGACTGGGATTCAAAGTGGTCTGCCCGTCTCCCCACATGGTAGATTCGTGATTATGCACAAATGTTGTATGCAAAGTATCCGAGGTTGCTCAACATCGAAAGTTATGAGTGCTGTACTTTTTCCGATAGTTCCAAGTTAGCGCACGTCCACCTTTTGCCTTCGCTAGCGCTATCTTGCATATATTAACTCCTGTCAGAGAACAGAATGCCATAGGCACCAGTGGGTGTGAGGACACCGGCGGGCCGCCGGAGGGGTGTGAGGACAAAAGACTCCCGAATCATGATTACAATTTATGTGAAGCTTTGGGATGACGAGAGTCAAGATCCTTGGCATCGCCGACCCTGCTGTTATGCCGGGTCCAAGCGGCGGCCTAGCTATCTATATAAGGACCATCTCGAAGTAGGATAGGGAAGGAGTTGTCAGAGCCACAAGTGTCATCCGAGGCGGGCCGGCTTCCACCAGGTAGGAAGCCGTTTGTGGCGAATGAGGAGCCGGGAAGCCGTTTGTGGCGGCTAGAGAGCCGCTTGTGGCGAATGAGAGCCGTTGAAGCCGTTTGCAGCGGATAGGGAATCGCTTGGTTGCAGATAAGGAGCCGCTGTCCAAGATATTGGCCGAAGTCGGAGGAACACAGACATACGGAAGCAAACATCCAGAATCCAAGAGAGAACCTCGGCTGGCTATAAGTAAGGAGTCGAGACGGAGGAAGATAGAGAGGGCAGAGATCAATGCATCACCGTGGGCACCCCTACCTGAGACCGCCAGTGACCACCCGGTGCTACGTAGGAGGGACGCCCGTTACTCCCCATCACTCTGTACTATTGCCTTCGGCCTAGCCGTACCCTGACAACTCCTTTGTACTCAGATGTGGTGTGATCCTTACATATTTTCATGACGATGAGTAAATCGCGACATATGTGTTAAAGAAGGTCGTCATTTATGTAATATTACAGCTCCGGGTCTTCCCGGAGCTGTGGGGCTTTGGCAGAGGTGGACATTTTCAAATCTCCCAAGAAGGCTTTAAGATATCCGACATTGGGATATTCGTAGAAGGGCGTGTTAAAGTCGAGATCCAAATCAAACTCCTCCCTGAATCCAGCAGAAATGGTCAGACCCAGGAGAGAATCGATGCCAATGTCACCAAAGACAGTGCTATTATCAAATCTGACGCAGCGAGACCATTCTCTTCTGCAATGATCGACATAGCTCGTGCGCTCACCGGAGAGGATGGCGAACTTCCTTTCACTTGAGTTCAAGTCTTTATCTAAGCTTGAGAAAATGCAGGCGCAGAAATTCCAATTTTATGTGCAGACTGCCGCTAAAGCTGCTTGGATCCCTTGCCGCTTTCGATCGAAAAAATGACCCTCAAAACTCGGCGTGGTACGCCTTGCCTCTGGACATTGCGTTTTCGGCACGATTTGCATCATATTTTGACACAGAGACGAAGGAACGTTCTGCAAACTGCCAGAAGTGTGCAACAACCTTTTCACCATCCACGATCGTCACCTCCCCAGGTCACTGTTGTCATTGCAGTGCATCGAGAACCCGGCAGCCTATGTGAGGCCATCAATAAGGCCGGGATGAGCGTGAAAATCCCCGAAGCTCAGGTGGCTCGAGGCTTCCAAAGTCTTGCTATTTGGTGTGATCTCGTCCACAGGGTGGTATTCGTTATGCAATCAGGCCAGAAGGCGAATGACATAGTATACCACGGCATGGGTGAAACGAGCAGTCGCGGTTAAGGACTTTCGCCGTTGGTGAAAGGCCACGAAGTAGCCGGGGTCCCGCTTTGCACTCCGGCAATCTACGCAAATATTACGCTGAGTCTAGCTACACACCTTCTCGAGCGTTTTCATCCGAACAAGGCTGGCAATAATTTCCTTGAAATTGCAGACATGACTATTTGGAAGGCTCTCATCATGCAACCTGATGAGGCTCCCAGTAGATCCTTCAATCCCACGCTGAGGTCAACTGGTCGTCAAATGCAGGAGTTCTCAAATTCATGACTTCCTATTATCCGTTGCTTGCTCTACTTTTCTTCATGTCCTCCTTTTTCATGTTGATTGCGAAGGCTGATTGATAACAATGACAGAGCCAAAAGAAGCTGCGAGAGCATTCGCACTGCATCGTACACTTCAATGATAGAAGCCTCCAGCCAAAGTTCCAAAGGGGCATGACGGTAAAACAAACAATGCAAGCCCGTCGAGATGGGATAGTAACGGTAGCCACATCTGACTCGACCACGATACGAGCTTTCTTGGAACCGTAGGATCAGGACTTATTTCCCAGCTGTCGGCTTCAGGGCAATGTTGACGTTTCGTTCCTGCAGGTTGTTGGAAAGCTGTGGTTGTCTTCTTGTTTATTCCGACCTGCACGAACGGGAATACTTCAGTCTTGTCGACGCTGTCCCAGCTATGCAAGGGCTTGTCCAAGGCTACGGCTTTCATTTTTTTCTTGTTGCATCATCGAATAATGGTCGAAACATGCAATGGTAGTTGGATGATCGGGACCAAGCTGGATCTTGTAGCCATCATATGCTCTCTGGTAATGGTCAGACGCGACGTTATATTGCTTCCGCTGGTGAAGGATATATGCCAGAGAGTAATTAGAGCTTAGCGTGTCAAAGTGTTTTTTCCCTAGCACCTTCTCCCTCCCTTGTAGTGCTCGTCGGTTCATCTTCTCCGCCTCGTCGTATTTCCCTTGGGCCTGTAGTAGTCGCTCTAGCACTACAACGGTCACTAGCGTAGACGTACAACTGTGTCCTAGTATCCTCTCCCTAGCATTTAATGCTTTAACAGCTATGCCTTGCGCTGCCTTGTAATCCCCATTCATCCACATATACCATGCAGCATTCGTAAGAACCTGAGCCCATTCTCTTAGCGATTCTTCGCAAGCTGGTTCATGATCATACAAAGGCTCAACGTGCGGTAGTAGCCTTTCGCACTTTGCCCAGTTCTCAAACTCTCCAGTAGGGAACTCCCTTGCTATCAACACAAGACACTTCCGTCTCCATCCGTCCACATAGCTGAATGTGGACAGCCAGACTCTGGTACAGAAATGTACAAGATCGTGCATCTCACACATATCGTTATCGACAGCTACGCTCACTAGGGAGAAAGCTAGTAACAAGTCGATGTCATTGTCGAACTCGCTATCGGCGTCCACTTCGCCATCAATTTTTATCATACTCCTGGTTTGGCTTCGAAGTATCGACTCTGGGATCCCTTGTGGGTTGAAGAAGCTCATGAGTGAGAGCAGGTCAGCAGCAGAAGGCCTTTCCTCACGAATGTGCTCAAATGACATCTGCCACGTAACTACCACCGAGCTTGACGCGCTGCTATCTCGACGAAGGTCTCCCGCATCCAGGTTAAGAAGATTTCCTTTGTTCCTATCATTCCTGTGGAACTCGTCCAGGTAGCCAGATACTGTCATTCGAGCTCGCTTGTTAATGTATACGGCGGCCTGGGTGATTGCGAGGGCTATGTAGTTAAGAGCATGTAATAGATTAGCCGTGTCATCCTTGTTTGACGTATCCTGCAGCTTGTTCTGAAGGAGCTGCAGGGCTTGGCTTTCGTCCATCGCCTTGATCTCCTTGATATTATTGTAGCTTCCTGTCAGCCTGGCTGCCGCATCTTTGCTTCTTGAGGTGAACAGAATAGATCCATTCGGGCTTTGAGGTAGATAGTTCGCAAGTGGCGTTGACGAATCTTGGTAATATCGCTTTGGATAGAATACCTGGATGTCGTCGACATTATCCAAAATCATACTCCAACGTCCATTCGCCTCGTTACATAGCCAGTTACAAACTAGCTGGAAGATGTTGACATTCGGAACGTGTCGTCCCGGCAGCTCAAGCCTCTCTGTAATAGCTCTGTATGCTTCTTCGAACCGGACCTTAGTGCTAGCATGCACCCAGAACACCCAGGTCTGCGGCGACTTATCACGAATATCGTGGGAATATTGGATGGCAAGCTGCGATTTCCTTTGGTACTGTCAGGTTGACAATGCCGTAGAATAGCCGATATTTACATACCCTAGGCCGCCGAGACCCACAAGCGCTGCGCGAGCGGCTGGTCTCGCGCACTTGTCTTGGATCCACGCCTGGATCTCGGGCCGATCGACGAAGTCAGGGTCTCGGCTGAATGGTACGGTGGAAAAGGGCTCGCGCATTGGGTTTTCGTAGTCTGTATGGGCGGGTTAGCGGTGAAAATCCCGGGATTTTGCGGTTACGAACCACCTTTTCACGTTTAGTGTGACGATTTTCTATCCACGACATTCGCTCATCGACGCTGAACTCCGACAGAGCATCTCCTCGCAGCGCCCGAACCGCGATTCCCATGATTTCTTGGACTTGTTGCTCCAGCGACTTCTTGTCACCGAGTCGCTGGCATCCGGAAGAGAAGAATTCCACCGACGACGGAGCGACAAGCTCTTGCACTGTCCAGCCCCGGGTGAACCATCTACTTTCTCGAAAAGCAAATTCCCAGCTCCACGCTTTAGATTGCTCGATCGGGCCATGGTGATCTTTCGGAACATCTGACAAATATACGTAGCACTTGGTTGCGTTACTATACCAGCGGAACATAGAGTTGATAGCCTCTGAAAGCTCGGCGCTGTTTGATTTGTCGATGCAACAAGTGTCCACCCAGAAATGTTGTAGGTCATCGTGAGCAGCTTGCTCCCCGCAGAACCGAATCTTCCGAAATCCAGCCTTCGTCTTTCCCATATCTTCCGCCAAATCTTTGAAGGTGACCTCTTCGTCATCACTGCCCCAAGTACGGGAAAGGATAGCGTAAGGTGGGATATCATCGACAAGATCCTTGGTTAGGCTGAGTTCGCCACCATGTTGAAGTTTCAGAAGACGCATTGCTGGGCGTAAATAATGACGCTCGACGAAGAATACTACAAGGCAGCGACTCCCTTAGCCAGAACTCTCTAAATAATATAATAATATAATAATATAATAATATTATAATATTAAATACGCCGTAGGTGTTAACCCTCGGTACCTCTACAAGTACTCCCTTAAGGGGCTATAGATAATATAGCGGGCCCTTAAGCCGCGTCGGGCGGTTATACAGGTAAACTTGTAGCCAAACGACTACTAAACCTCCTGTCCCTCCCTAAGTCTGTGCTACAACCCCTGCCTGAACTACCGATAAGTGTGGTAATGTGGCACTTAAATTCGTCCTCAGGGGTGGGATGCTGCTGATGTGCAGAAGATGCTCGACTATTTTTTGTCGCGACAAGTCGTAGTATCTGCTAATTCGGGTTCTCGTCGAGCGTATACATCTCAACTATACGCTCAAGTGGATAGACCGTAACGTGGTCTAGACGCTCGCAAGAATCGCGGCGAGAGGGGGTCCGATAAGGGGTCGGATTAACGATTCGAATTCTGGACCGGCTGTCGAGTTATATTCCGCCGACGTAGTGCTTGACTGTCGACTGGCTAGGACGCTCGTAATCCTAAACTGCACCAATCTCCCTATTATCGCTAGGTAGGCGAAGTCAACAAGGTGGGCAGCGCGCCGTAAGGGTTGACTAAACCCCCTTGTGTGTCAGCTGCGGGATTCGAACCCGCGACTCGTCACCGACCCAAGTGGGCGAGGCTCAAATCGGGACTTAACGTACAACCCCCAGTACCCGGCCACCCCCAGAACCCGGCCACCCCTTAATTTCGCTACGTCAACCACAACAACTACAACAACAAATTCAATTCTCTCCATCAATTTTTGTGCCTTGGACTTCGTTATTGGTGCTTTTTGACCATGGAAGCGCAAGAAACTCGAATATTAAACGCGATTAAGGCTTACCGCGATGGCCAAATCAGCAGCGTTCGCCAAGCCGCCATATCCTTCAAGGTCCCCAGATCAACACTTCAAGACCGAATCAACAACGTTCCTACCAGAAAGACCGCCCACGAACACCAACAACGCCTCACAGTTAAAGAGGAAGACTCTATCGCTAAGTCAGCCCGCTTGATGGCGTCCTGGGGGTGGCCTATGACGATTACCGCTATCCGCGCCTTCGCAACCAATCTCCTTGAGTCCAAGGGCGACCACGAACCCTTAGGGGGCAATTGGCATGACTCTTTTTTTGCTAGACATATCGATTTGGTTATTAAGAAGTCCCGGGGACTGGACCAAGTCCGACGAGAAGCCCTGACGCCCGAGATTATTAACGAATGGTTCGCTTTATACCACGCCACTGTCAGGGTACGGCTAGGCCGAAGGCAATAGTACAGAGTGATGGGGAGTAACGGGCGTCCCTCCTACGTAATACCGGGTGGTCACTGGCGGTCTCAGGTAGGGGTGCCCACGGTGATGCATTGATCTCTGTCCTCTCTATCTTCCTCCGTCCCGACTCCTTACTTATAGCCAGCCGAGGTTCTCTCTTGGATTCTGGATGTTTGCTTCCGTATGTCTGTGTTCCTCCGACTTCGGCCAATATCTTGGACAGCGGCTCCTTATCTGCAACCAAGCGATTCCCTATCCGCTGCAAACGGCTTCAACGGCTCTCATTCGCCACAAGCGGCTCTCTAGCCGCCACAAACGGCTTCCCGGTTCCTCATTCGCCACCAACGACTTCCTACCTGGTGGAAGCCGGCCCGCCTCGGATGACACTTGTGGCTCTGACAACTCCTTCCCTATCCTACTTCGAGATGGTCCTTATATAGATAGCTAGGCCGCCGCTTGGACCCGGCATAACAGCAGGGTCGGCGATGCCAAGGATCTTGACTCTCGTCATCCCAAAGCTTCACATAGATTGTAATCATGATTCGGGAGTCTTTTGTCCGAAACACCCCTCCGGCGGCCCGCCGGTGTCCTGCGTTCAGTGTCCTGACACCCACTGGTGCCTATGGCATTCTGTTCTCTGACAGCCACCAAGCTCAAATACGGAGTCGCCGACGAGGATGAATACAATATGGATGAGAAGGGATTGATGAAGGGTATTGGGGACAACGCTAAGGTAGTCCTTGATCGATTTGATCCGTTGGCCTTCTCAAAGCAGCCTGGCGATCGATCTTGGGTCTCGATTATCGAGTGTATTGGTGCTACGGGGTACCTGATGCCCCCCTTCATTATCTTCAAGGGGAAGCAGATTCAACAAAGCTGGATTGATGAAAAAATAGACCGCCGCTTCGTCGTCCGCGTCAGTGAGAAAGGATGGACTGATCGCGAGATTGCGCTGGAATGGATACGTCATTTCGATCAATACACCAAACCTCAGTTACGTGGCGAATACCGACTGCTGATTCTTGATGGCCATACCAGTCACGTTTCCCTCGAATTCGTGGCCTATTGTGAGGCCAACAAGATAATTCCTCTCTGCCTTCCTCCTCACGCTACCCACGAACTTCAACCTCTGGATGTAGGTGCCTTCAGCCCATTAGCTAAGGCATACAAAGTCATCATCACCGCTAAGTCCCTCTTTGGCGCTGCCTTGGTTGATAATAGGAATTTCCTATTATATTATCAAGAAGCACGTAATAAGGCCCTTAACCTAGAGAATCTACGTGCTGCTTGGCGAAGCGCAGGTCTTCATCCATTCGATCCTGTCAGAATTCTTTGCAAATACAGGCCAAAAACGCCTGTCACGGCCACTTTGCAAGACTCTCAAGGCCGCACAGCAACTTTTGAGGTTAGCAGCGAGACCGCCCGTCAAATCGATTCAATTCTCGAAGGATTATTTGACGTATGTACTGTCAGATAGGACACCTGGTTCCTAGGTTCAGAAATAATATGGCACTAGAGAAGACTAGTGTCACTTGAAGTTCAGACGGCGAAATGAACCCCTCTTCCCGAAAGTAACTCCGAAGTTCGGGGTCAGACACCTGAACAATGCACCTCCGACATTTCCGAAAGAATCTATAAAGGGCAGAGCAACGGGAGTTCGCGAGAATAGAACACAGACAATAACACACCTCATTCATATACAATCTTATGCACTTCTGACTACTCGATTGGACACACGTGATATTCGACATGTACCACCCCTTTGCGCGACGGGTTATCCTTCGTTCAGAAGACCTACCTTACAGCGCTTTCAGATAACCGAGCTCTCCAAGTCCTTAATAAAGGACTAGTTGATAAGCAGAAGGAGAGACGGTCTCAAAAAACTAATAAGAACTTTGGCAAAGCACGTGTATTGACGATAGATGAGATGGTCACCAAACAGAAGGAGCGTGATGAGCGTGAACAGGAGGTTATGACTACTAAAGCACGGCGGGCAGCCCTACGTGGCAAAGTAGGCTTTGCCAAACTTGTATGGAAGGAAATCCCAGTTGATCTTGATGTATTTGAGTAGATTGCCTTACGAATAGCCTCAAAAATCGATTTCTTATTACTCTTGTTGTTGGCGACGACGACCTTCGGTAGCGAGATTAAGGGGGGCTTAGCGGGTGGCCGGGTTCTGGGGGGGGCCGAGTACTGGGGGTGCTACGTTATCTACCAGCGAAGTGACCAACTACACCAGCCGACTTCTTAAAATAAGGCAACTACTTAATCACCCCGGGCGAACAAACCTCCTACCCGTCCGTAGGGACTTCCACGAGTAGATACACTCCGGCTGCTGCTTATAGAAAGCTGGACACTTGGAGAAGATACCACCGAGCTATCTTATTCGTACTTTTCAACCTGCGAAGAGACAACTGTCTAGCAGAAAACACCGATACGGAAGATATATATGACCTTCACGAGGTTATTCCAAAGAAAAGTATCGTTCTATATACATAGCACTAACGTAGTGCCCTCTCGGCTTAGCGCCTCGGGGCGGCATAAATTTCGTCTGTCTGTCTGGCACCTTCACCCCGCATTAGAACTGATTCCTAATTCCACCTTGCGCTACACTTAAGCTATATTAGATACGATAGCACCCGGCTACTTTCGCCGATTGACTAATCATAGTCATGCTAATTTTAATATCATGGAATCTCTCACTCAGCCGGAAAATACTTCAGTGCGGTCAGGAGATGGTGATCTAGCTTCTACGCAAGACCAGCGACGTATGATGAGAGTAGCGCAGATGAACTCAAATTACACGAAGTTAAGTCCATCTATAACGCTAGCGCACCGCATTTTACGAAAGATTCCATGCAGGAGCTTGGAATTGAATTTGACATTCTCCGAAAAGGGGCATTAGGTGGTTGAAAAATCAAACTGACAGGTAACGTAGTCCACGGTCCAATTGCACACACGGTCCAATTGCACACTTTGGCAGACCTTATACGACAATGTATAAGTTAATTCAACCACAACGCCTATCATCAATTGAAACTACTCAGAATCGTTATCTTCAGACGTCTCTACATCATTTCCACAAGTGCGCGCATTATGTCCGGGCTCGCCGCAGATTCTACAGCGCCGTACACGCGCAATTCGCCGCCTCGTACGACCACCAATTTGACGAAATTCGTCATGTAACTGCCCATCAACCTCTCGTTGAGACTGTAGGTCCTGTCCAGCTTGTATACGAAGTGATCCTCCACTCTGTAGCTGTTTTTTCTTCGCACGGCGACGTCGACTTAAGGTCTCATTTGCCTTTCGAAGTCATTCGGCCTCGCCTTCTAAAAGGGCAAGCCGATGCATAACCTTCGTTGTACCTCGCGCAATCTGATCTATTCCAGTAAAAGTTGACGTTGGTGAGCTATTTTTATGTCGTACAATCCTATTTTTCACATAATCGGTTTGTGATTGGGCTTCGGCTGGGTTGTTCGGAGTCTTTGATTCCCAAGGGACGGGGAGACCAGCCGAGCTACCCGGAGATGTTGGCGTATGTAATTTCACATCGAGCTGTGATATGACATAATCTGCATCGTACGGAACTATTCCTACCCCTCGGAAACCTCCTTGGATATTTGAAACCGTGAAAGTTGCGTTGTACGCGTTTAAAAACGCCGGTAAAAAGTCTTCTTTCGAGATATGACTTATATGTGCTCGCATGAGATCTTCGATTTCTTTTCCGTACGCTCTTTTTAACCCGCGAAAACAACCAACATCAAGAGGCTGGAGCTTATTCGACGAATGAGGAGGCATACAAAGCGTGACGATATTGTTAGCTTTGCAATATACCTCGAAATCGGTCGAGTGATGGCTTTCGTGACCGTCGAGGATCAATAGGCGATGAGTACCTTTCGTACGAGACTTGGTGTGATGATCGAAGTGTTTTATCCAATCTTCGCCTCTCTCATTCGTAGTCCAGCCATTTTTAGTAACTGCGATAACCCAATCAGGCGGTAATGGGCTGTTTTCGTACCATGACGAGAGGTGGGTTTTGCTGACGAAAATGATGTACGGAGGGAGGGCATAACCGGACGACCCAACGCCTTGAATAACTGTAACCCATTCCCGATTTCTTTGCTAGGCTACTCTAGGCCTTCCACGCTGATCAGAAGTCGTCACGACCATTTCGGACGAGATTTGGCCCATCACAAAACCGGTCTCGTCGAAGTTGTAGATATCCTCCTCCTAGATCGCATATTTCGCAATTGTATTCCATACCAGGTCAAACCACGCGCGATACGCGTCGGGGTCTTCGCAGAGAACTCTCTGATAGTCGATCCTTCGATTTAAACGTGTCTGGAGGTCTGGTGGTCGTCTTACGAAGCTCGAGGCCCAGTTGACGCCGACGCGTCCCGCGTCGCGACTTCGAAGTAATCGGTTGGCCATATCTTCAACACCACTCAATCGGGGAGGAAATGCTCGCGAATCTAGGTCGGTTATATGTCGTACGATTGCCTCTTCTTCGGAAGGAGTCAACTTTTGCGTTGGCGATCGCGTAATCGCTCGAGCGGTTTTACCGTCGCGTCGATACGCAAGGGTTCTAAAAGGTACGTTATAGATCTGACCAGCGCGACGTACACTTAATTTTGGATTAGATTGAAGCGCATGTAATGGTAGAATCATATCACCTTCATTCCAAGAACCAACCATAGTTATGTGGTGAAAACCGCAGGTCAAAGTGGTAGCGTACGAAAATCTGCCGAAGTGTGCAATTGGACCGTGGACTACGTTATCGATAGCGCTAATGTTGAAGTCTTTATCAATCCCAAGAAATTGGTTTCACTTGGAGATCAATCTATTTGGTAAGCCAAATTTTTAAGTTGTCCCATCTTTGATCTACATGTCCTCCATTCCGTGCTGCTTGTCTAGACTCAACTTTGTTATTTCCCAGGGTTATCAAATACCCCAGGTGGGAAGGTACGGCCAAGTACAGGGCTACAAAACCCCGCCCCAAAACCAGAAGTAACCATCATAAAGAAAGAAAACAAAAACATATTTTTTTGGCCTTCATATAAATCTGGTACCCCTCTATTCAGAGCCTCACCATTGGACAATACATACGGGGGTTTCACCCTCGAACTGCATAACGTGCGATGCGGATTTTGCCTTGCACTTGGGAGATCGAGCATAGTTTTGAAAATATTACAGAGAACTCGCCTCCTCTGTCTACGGAGGATTTACGCAGAACTCTCCAGGATGAGGTGCGGCAATAGTATCCTAGGATGTATACTTAGACGGGAGTTTAACATAATTTAATATATTCGGAACCTCTTCGTCTACGAATCCTCGATCCGCTTCTTTCTCACCCTATTCTGTATAATCATAGCCAGAGCTACGAGCTTCTTTTGGGACTCATCGAACAGGTCTCGGATGATAGCTATTTAGACCTGCTTACGTAGGACGTTTACAACAGTTCTGGGCCTGAAGGCGCAAATTGGGGTAAGCAGGATAGCGTAATGAAACGTGTGCCTGGTTCCTTAGCTATATGAAATACCAGTACCACCAAATCGGATGCCTAATCCTTTATTAGTAGTGTAGAATAGTAACCGCAGAACCATCATACGACTGAGTTAACTGTTGATTAGATGTAATCAAACCAAGTCATAATTGGAGTCGGACACTGATAACGTAGAGTTCTATCCGTCTGACTCGATCAAATCTTAAAGGTTCAAAAAATGCACGAAGCGATGCATGAAACCCGATAGATCCATACAAGTCGCCATTGCTATTTTTTTTGAGAGCGATGCTTGGCAGCAAGCACGCAATGGAGAAAGTGGAGCTCGAAAGAAAAATACAACAAAAACCAAACCGCTCCCAGCTGGAAAATGCGAATTTTCTTTGTCTTAAAAGCAGCTGGTTCCTGTCACGAATTTGCGGCTCGGTTTTAACTATAGGAATTGATTTCACGGCACTTCGTTGGCCATAAAACCGTGCATCTGCTGCTCCGCTGCTAAAGATCGACACTATACCTTAACTTACGATCCACCAAGCTGTCACTTGTTCCCTGGGATATCTTATCCCTTATACGTCATACTCGAATCCACAGTGTCGAATGTGACGAAGTGGCTATGACGGAAAACAAACCCCTGGTCCCGTCAGCTGCCTACAGGTACGGCACAATAGATACATCTGCCCCCAACCAAGATGGTGAAGTCGGTTAGTTTGACTGGTCGCGATCAAACTTCTCACGTCTATCCTAACTGTTCAACCCCAGCCTCTGATCACATCCTCGATGCGCGCCAAGCCAAGCTTCAAATCGGCATCCCCACCGCTGTCTTCCTGATTGTGAACCGTATCATCGGCACCGGCATCTTCGCCACCCCAGGAACAATCCTGGCTCTGTCCGGCAGCGTCGGGCTGTCCTTAATTATGTGGGTTGTCGGCATGATCATTGCCCTCGCCGGTACGGCCGTATTCATCGAGTTCGGCACCGCGATCCCCAAAAATGGGGGTGAGAAGAACTACCTCGAGTATGTCTTCACTAAGCCCAAGTTTCTCACTAGTGCCTTGTACACGGGCTACGTTGTTCTTCTGGGATGGGCAAGCGGTAATTCGGTTGTATTCGGCGAGTATATCCTTCACGCTGCCAATGTCGAGGTCGGACGGTGGAACCAGCGCGGTGTCGGCCTCACCTGCATCACCTTCGCCTTCTTAGTCCACGGCCTGTTCCTCAAATGGGGCATGCGGCTCCAGAACGTACTCGGATCCATCAAGATCATCATCATCCTGATCATGGTGGTCGCCGGCTGGGTCGCACTCGCAGGTCATGCAAAGCTCGAGGAGAAGCCCAACAACTTCCACGATGCATTCGAGGGGACCACCGGCAGTGCGTATGGCGTCGTCACGGCGCTCTACAACGTCATATGGAGTTTCGCCGGCTACAGCAACGCCAACTACGCACTCAGCGAGACCAAGAACCCCGTGCGCACTTTGAGGATCGCTGCGCCTTTGGCGGTTGGCTTCATCGGGACGCTGTATATCCTCGTCAATATCTCGTACTTTGCTGCCGTCCCCAAGGAGGAGATGCTCGAGGCAAAACGTCTTGTCGCCGCGTCTCTATTTCGCAATGTTTTTGGCGAAACCGCCGAGCGCGCACTCTCGGTCTTCGTTGCCCTGTCGGCCCTGGGTAACGTAATGAGTGTCATTTTCTCTCAAGGGCGGTTGGTACAAGAACTGGGTCGCGAGGGCATCTTGCCTTTCTCCAAGTTTTGGGCGAGCAACAGACCTTTCAACGCACCGCTTGCTGGACTCTTCTGGCATTGGCTCATCTGCGTTATTACCATCCTGGCGCCTCCGCCTGGTGATGCGTATAATTTTATTCTCAAGTCAGTCTACCCCTTTTCCCTCAAGACCGACGTCCATACTAACACTATTGTTAGCCTTATTTCGTACCCTCTAGCTATCATCAACACCTTCGTCGCCGCTGGCCTAGTCCACCTCTACCTGCATCGCGACGCCTGGAATTGGCACCCTCCATTTAATGCCTCATTGCCCGTCGTTATCTTCTCCATGCTCAGCAACATTTACCTTGTAGTTGCCCCATTCATGCCCCCAGAGGGAGGCCAGAATGTTTACCAAAGCCTACCGTATTGGATTCACTGCGTTTGCGGCTTCGGTGTCATATTCGCGGGAGGTGTATACTACCTTGTTTGGGCGGTGGCCATGCCCAAGTTAGGCAAGTACCAGCTTGTTCGGGAAACGATAATTGATGAAATTGATGGATGGGAGAAGAATGTGTTTGTGAAGCGACGGCTGGGCGAACTTCCTGCAACGACAACATAATTTGCGCAAAATGAATGATCGTTGGATTGGACCGTAATTGACCATCCAACATATTAATGATAAATGACCTATTCACACCCTAATGTCACATATTGTGTTAACGGAATAGTTTATTTGATCAACTAGTATGAAGTGTTTGTCACTATGATAACCCCTTTTGCTACTGCCATTCCTCCCTATCCCATTATCAGAACCCGTTTATCCATTCCAATGCCATGAGTGCCAGGTATTGGTTGCTAGAGTAGCATTGGCTGTGTTTCAAATTCTCCTTTCGTAAGATAGACACCGAGCATGCCCATTTTCTTTTCCATCAGGCGTAGAATCCACGGCCAAATATCCTTATTTGCGTTGAATGTAGCCATAGTGTCCACCAAATATCTTTCCACCTTTACATCCTTGCCAATGAATCTCACAATATAGTGAGCCCGAATTTTAGGACCTCCCACTCGTATCGATGTGGCAAGCAGTATATTCCTGAAGATCCCCAGCTTCCTTACTCGCCCACATCTAACACATCATCGTTCCATCCTGACTGCCAGGATCAGCTCCACACATTCCACTATCTCTAACTGCATCGAGAACTTCTCGTCACTGTAAAGACCCAAAACGTCGGCCTTCTGGTCCTTCTTTTTGAGGTTGAGCCAATTACCGCCGTTCGAGCCCATCTCCCCGCACCCATTCCGTTTCGCCTCATTCCTCTACGCAGGTAGGAGTACCCGCTTGGTCTGCACCAAATTCAGGAATCTGCTGAGACCAGCCAGGCAGTTATTGGCAGAAAATGCATATATGGAGTCTGGCTTGCGGATTAGGTCAACCTTTTCATTATTTTCTATGCGCAATCGGTATATTTCTCCGCGCCGTTGTGCAACTAAGTGCCTTTGCACAGGTGGTTGAAGGGGTCACTGATGTTCTCAGGCCCCGACGGGTAAAGCTAGAAGAAGTGCTGCCATCGACGTTATTTTTGAAGTGGAGAGGTTGTTGGCGTTGCGGGCGCTCTTCTTGTGAATTTGAATTCGGCGATATGCTAGCCTCGGGAGCAGTATTGAGTGAGGTTATGTGGATAGCGTTGAGTTAATCAAGCAGCGCCGCGATCACTGCGAGTCTTCCGTCCAAGAAGTTGAAATTAAGGGGTTGTGAGGTAGCAGGTTTCCACTGAAATGCGAGACTAATTTTGTGTTTGCTTTACAATGCCTGACGGCTGTTACTACCTCTCTGAACTATTTTTGCCCTTGACTTCAGCTAAGTTCAGGTAGGTAGACAGTGACCAGAAATTCCACCCTCGTCAGTCCCTGTCGCGCATTAGCGTCAAGACAGGGGGCTGGATTATGATAGTCAACAGGATGACAAGCTGCACATCACACGATAGAGGTAAGATAACCATTTATGCCGCAGTATTTCAGATTTGGTACGCCATGTGTTTTGTTTGTCCAGGTCACCTTGGCAATAGCATCGCTGACTCGGTAACCAGGCCACGGTATATCTTTCATATGGAAGGACTCTACGCGTTGTAATATAATTGCGCAATGACCAACGATATGTCCGATAATGATCCCAAGATTGCGCTCAACTATTTTGAAACTGGCCTCAAAAATGTGCCCGGAAGTCTGCAGAGGCAGAATCCAGTGGCGTCATATACATGCAGCAGGCCGTTCAGACTTTTCCGCAACCCCTCACGTACAAATGCTTTCAGACTCCCGAATGTTGTCTTTTCCCGTCTATAGCAGTGTCTCTTCCAAGTGCCCGCCGATAGTTAGTTTGAAGATCTACAAAGTCAAACTGGAGGCTGGAGTTCGAGATGGCGACTGCTGGGATGCACGCTGACTCCGACATGAGGTTAGTACTTTCAGTCAACTACGATTTCTTGGTCACATGCTCACGCAATACAGTCTCTTTCTTGACCGAAAGTTCTCCGATGCAACGGTCGAATGCGAGAGGATGACCTGGCAGGTGCATCGTGCGATCCTGTGTAGTCGTTCCAAGTGGTTTGACAAGGCCCTCGATGGGAACTTCAAAGTATGCACTGTAAACGTTCCTTTTTGGCCCAATATTGAATCAGCTGACCGTCTCCAACCAGGAAGCGAAGGATAAATATGTTGTAATCCAGGAGACACCGGTGGCCAAGGTTGAGTGGCTCTTGAAGTTCATCTACGGTGGAGGTTCGTCACCATGCACTGAGCTACATTAATGCATATTTGACTGATTGTTGCAGATTTGGCTGTGGAAAAATCAACAGGATTTGATTCAAACGTATTCGTGGCATTTTGCGAAGCCTACGAGCTTGGTGACTTCTACGATGTGCCTGCGCTCAGGAAAAGCGTGATCAAGAAGCTAAAGTCGGCTCTCAACTTACTTATAAAACCCATCCAGACGGAAGCACATCGTTATATTCCCCACGTGGCATTCAAAGTTACATTTCAGCATCACTATCAAGGGGTTTTGGAAGGCGTGAGTCGTGCTTACAAGTACGACGTGCCTACACTGGAACCACTACAACGGGAATTCGCTGGTTTTGTTCGGCGAACAGGCTATGCTGTCTTGCAGGACAAAAGGTTCCGTGATTACGTGGCCAGCAATCCTGTGTTTGCGAGGGACATATTGATGATCATATCTGCGGATATTGCATTTGGCGCTCATCCCATCCCTATTGAATTCCCTACTTGCGATAAGTGCAAGAGGGGCCTGTTCAGTTTGCAACATGGGGCTTATCTCTCCAGACTGGAAGGAAATTTTCAATGGAAATCTGCAACATGCTCTCGGTGTGAGGATGCACCAATCTGAATGCCCTACTTATGATAGTATCCCAAACACCGGCTTTATTCCAAGACTTACCACCGTCTTCAATACATAACAAGCCACAGATAATGGAATAGCGACGAAGTGAACTTCAACTATGAACGGTAGAATGATCGATAGAAATGGTTCCTTGGTTGTTTTGCCCTGTGGGGCTTCCGTCTCTCGTGTCCATTTATATTCTACTTGACTCGCAGCTGATTATAAGTGGCCCACACCTCCTTCTCGAATATGCTCTTCATACACACTCTTGGCCTCCTGCACAGTATCCCAAAGAGCTTGATCGCTCTCAATCCTATACTAACGTCAGCAATAGTCTTTTCATGATAGCTTTGGCCAAATTATGGTGAAGTGAGCGTCAGAAATAGTTCAAATGCTGCCGCTAAGAAGCTGCACTACTTACAAGTCTAGTATCTCCGCATTACACAACCCTAAAAGCATCCCCGTGATCTTTCCCGCCAAAGCAGGTCGCCTTCCCAGCATACACCACACTATGGGGTATAGCACCTCACCAAGCATCTGCTTTTGGTTCTTGGGATCTTCGCTAGCAGGCAGGATGGCTTCGAGGCATACTCTATAGGCCTTTGCGCGACTCATGCCGGTTCTTTGTCGCGCCCGCAATGCGTTACTGTGGAGTCCGCGTAGGAGACGGCGGCAGTGTTCGGGAAGAGGAGGCTCCTCTGTATTTTGAGGATCCAAATGAAGTGGATGAGCTCTTCCCAGTTTTCCAGGCGAAGACTCATCTTCTGACCGGCGAGGATTCGATGACGCAATACTAACGCCCCTTGGCCTCCCATTGGAAGAGTTGGGGTCCAACCCAGACAATGTGGGGGGCTCTTGGAGCAGTTGGGCGCTTCGCAGTTTCTCATTAAGAGGTTCTTCTTCCAACTGTTGACTACTCAGTGGCGTTGTAGCAGTGCTTGTCGGACGCGCTTGGGAAGATCTCAGGACCCAGTCATTGGATGGAGGTGGTGCGCGAAAAGCTATGTGGATCTCTGTCCCAGGTACATGCGTTGGTGCGGTTGGGCTCGAGGGATATCTGTAGTAAGTGGGGTTAGATCCGTCTTCGCTGCCCACGCCATCATTTCCGTCCTCGTCATCCTCATCATCATCATAGCTACCATGGTTACGATTATTCTCCCCTTCCATGAGGTCCTCTCCATCTTCAGAGTTGGCGCCGTCTTCAAAGTGTGCTTCTCCTCCAGCGCCTGTCTCATCCTCAGCACCATCTTCTTCAGAGCCTGCTTCTACCTCAGAGTCGGACTGGTATTGAGAATCAAACTCGACGCGAACGCGTCTAGAGCAAGGAAGTTTGAGCACACCGGAGCAAAGAACCTCCCCAGGGACTAAGAGTGCATCGTCTAGAGCGTGACCACATTTATGTCGAAGGCCGTGGCGGCACACTGGACAATCCCTATTCTGACCGCATTGCAGCCAACGACGAACACATTCCGCGTGGAATTTGTGGCCACAAGGTAGAGTGACTAGGTCTTCTACCTCGTACTCTCTGCAGATTGGACACCTCGCGCCTAGCTTCAATATCTTCTTTCCAAGCTCGGCAATGGTGTCGGTAGCCTCCATGACAGCTTGGGATATTTCTAGAACTTTTCTGTTGCGGTTGGTTGTAGTGTCGGCCTCATGCTTTCGGTTCCATTCGTAGAGAGCTCGAAGCCATAAGTCGACAGCCGAGACACAATCTGAAATGATATCTGCCGAGGTAGGCATGGTAGACCAGCGCGGGAGTAGTGTAACAAGAGGTCGCATGAGGGTCGTAAGGAAGTCGGTATTGAGGAATAGAACCTCAAAGGATCAAAGAAAACTTACTAAGAAGAGGCCCCATCAGATAAGATTTTGACTCAAGTAAACAGCTGGTTAGCAAGAAAACCTCGACATATCCATGGTAGAATCTGAGTCTGAAGCTTCTATTTTATAATTCCAAAGTCTGAACGTTAAAATTGAGCACGTCTTCGACTAGGGTCAAATATAGTTACACAAATACTCTTCATCGCATAAATGCTGGGACTAGAAGTAGCCTTAATCCTAGAAACAGCTTATACACCATCGCAAATATTATGCTCTGTTGGAACCTGCAAATGGGCTTGCGACATAATATCAAGATTTGCATTTCACGCGGGAAAACTTAATAATAGGTAAAAGACGTGGCCACGACTCCTCCACGGATAAGAACCCAATATAATATTATGGATATGATATGCCGAACTATTTTACTCGGTGACAACGCTGGATGTTGGGACTTCCAGTATATGTGCTCACATGCTCGACAGTCTCGCGATAATTAAAGCATAGGTTAAATTCAGACTGTCAATATCCCTGGAAAATCAACAAACCGGTCTTCGTTCACGGCCTCCTCTGCTTGTTTCTCGCCGAGAGTCAATTTAGGAAACTAAGACGAAAATAATCTATGGATTGTTCGACGGTACCGTCGAAATGGAATCTATGAATAACGATCCAGACGCCCTTACTGAGTTAGAGACATGATTGTTTGGTTCGTCGAAAGATAAGTTACTGACTAGGTAGACTTGTATAGGGCCCTCAGCGGAATCTCGACTTAAACCGGGTTGGTTTAGATCAGATGAATCTACAATTTAATTACTGGAATGACTATAAGGACCGAGCATGGCTATGAGGGGCAAGGAATATGACAAAGACAAGTGAACCTATCTCACCTTCCGAAAGCTATCAAAATCAACAGTAATCGGATTGCTTACTTCATCGAACGTAATAGTCGGCGTCGTCATATGGTTGTGGACGAGGCTGGGTGAGTTAATATGTCGAATGCTCTCCTAGATCCCACTGAGGCTTGTTCTGACGGTGGCGTCAACGAGAGGTCGTCCGCTGCCAAGAAATTCGGACTTGCTTAGATGGATGCTCACAGTTGACTTTATCGGCTAAGGTATATGTTTACCGCTTGTTGCAGAGACTAGATAGTCGTCCACAAGTTCTACGGACCTCGTAGCATGTGGACATATTTGGACGAGGGCGCCTTCTAATGGCTTTACACCTCTTAGACAAGACATAGGCATAGGGATTGGAGGGTTGTTGTAGCAGTCAACCTGGGTCGCCACCATCCGTGAAGGTCTTATTTCTGATTCTCTATTTTACCTCTCCAGTTTCTGCACGTCATATATCTTTGAGAACTTGGGTTGTTTTGCCGTTGATCTTTCCATTTGATAAATTACAGGAACTCGTCTTTGCGTGTGATTTCAGTGACGTGATGATATTGGAATCTGCCGTCGATTAGATGGAAAAGACTTTCATTTAACGTAGTCCACGGTCCAATTGCACACTTCGGCAGATTTTCGTACGCTATCACTTTGACCTGCGGTTTTTCACCACATAACTATGGTTGGTTCTTGGAATGAAAGTAATATGATTCTAGCATTATATGCGCTTCAATCTGATCCAAAATTAAGTGTACGTCGCGCTGGTCAGATCTATAACGTACCTTTTAGAACCCTTGCGTATCGACGCGACGGTAAAACCGCTCGAGCGATTACGCGATCGCCAACGCAAAAGTTGACTCCTTCCGAAGAAGAGGCAATCGTACGACATATAACCGACCTAGATTCGCGAGCATTTCCTCCCCGATTGAGTGGTGTTGAAGATATGGCCAACCGATTACTTCGAAGTCGCGACGCGGGACGCGTCGGCGTCAACTGGGCCTCGAGCTTCGTAAGACGACCACCAGACCTCCAGACGCGTTTAAATCGAAGGATCGACTATCAGAGAGTTCTCTGCGAAGACCCCGACGCGTATCGCGCGTGGTTTGACCTGGTATGGAATACAATTGCGAAATATGCGATCTAGGAGGAGGATATCTACAACTTCGACGAGACCGGTTTTGTGATGGGCCAAATCTCGTCCGAAATGGTCGTGACGACTTCTGATCAGCGTGGAAGGCCTAGAGTAGCCTAGCAAAGAAATCGGGAATGGGTTACAGTTATTCAAGGCGTTGGGTCGTCCGGTTATGCCCTCCCTCCGTACATCATTTTCGTCGGCAAAACCCACCTCTCGTCATGGTACGAAAACAGCCCATTACCGCCTGATTGGGTTATCGCAGTTACTAAAAATGGCTGGACTACGAACGAGAGAGGCGAAGATTGGATAAAACACTTCGATCATCACACCAAGTCTCGTACGAAAGGTACTCATCGCCTATTGATCCTCGACGGTCACGAAAGCCATCACTCGACCGATTTCGAGGTATATTGCAAAGCTAACAATATCGTCACGCTTTGTATGCCTCCTCATTCGTCGAATAAGCTCCAGCCTCTTGATGTTGGTTGTTTTCGCGGGTTAAAAAGAGCGTACGGAAAAGAAATCGAAGATCTCATGCGAGCACATATAAGTCATATCTCGAAAGAAGACTTTTTACCGGCGTTTTTAAACGCGTACAACGCAACTTTCACGGTTTCAAATATCCAAGGAGGTTTCCGAGGGGTAGGAATAGTTCCGTACGATGCAGATTATGTCATATCACAGCTCGATGTGAAATTACATACGCCAACATCTCCGGGTAGCTCGGCTGGTCTCCCCGTCCCTTGGGAATCAAAGACTCCGAACAACCCAGCCGAAGCCCAATCACAAACCGATTATGTGAAAAATAGGATTGTACGACATAAAAATAGCTCACCAACGTCAACTTTTACTGGAATAGATCAGATTGCGCGAGGTACAACGAAGGTTATGCATCGGCTTGCCCTTTTAGAAGGCGAGGCCGAATGACTTCGAAAGGCAAATGAGACCTTAAGTCGACGTCGCCGTGCGAAGAAAAAACAGCTACAGAGTGGAGGGTCACTTCGTATACAAGCTGGACAGGACCTACAGTCTCAACGAGAGGTTGATGGGCAGTTACATGACGAATTTCGTCAAATTGGTGGTCGTACGAGGCGGCGAATTGCGCGTGTACGGCGCTGTAGAATCTGCGGCGAGCCCGGACATAATGCGCGCACTTGTGGAAATGATGTAGAGACGTCTGAAGATAACGATTCTGAGTAGTTTCAATTGATGATAGGCGTTATGGTTGAATTAACTTATACATTGTCGTATAAGGTCTGCCAAAGTGTGCAATTGGACCGTAGACTACGTTAGATGGTATCATTTGTCTTGTGTGTGTGTTATGAAATAAGCTGTGTTGTAAACGGTGATTGATTGCCCCTTTGACTTCATATGTCTCGTTTTTGGTTTGCTGTAGCTGCCGACATACCCGGTGAAGCCCAACCGGAGTTAACTCTTGCCACCGGCTTCATTTGATTTGCCGGCTTCGAGCTATTTCATCTTCTTGCATCTCTGACTGCTGCTGGCCAACACTGGGTTGATTGGCATAACTTCATTGGCAGATACTAGAGACCTGGCAACTGTCTTGTCTAGGCTTTCTCCGGGCTTCTTCCAAGGATGCTTCCTTGAGATAATGACGCAGTCACTCGGGACAATGGTCATAATTAACGTTACTGAAGTACAAAGGCATGTAAAGAAGGAGGGAATAGCCACATGGCAGCGACCGTACCCCCCATGTTATAGACAACTCCGTCTACTAACAAAACAGGCTGATAGCCTACTTTTTATATAGCGATATCTCCTCTACCACAGCATCCTACTACAGTATTAATGGCTATGTGGCTTCATATTGGACTTACGGTTGAAATCCATGCTTACCCCCACTCTCAGACGGCAAACAGAGGAACAAACCAGATGAAGAACCAGTTCCTTTTCTGTTCCATAAATAAAGGCACACTGCGCAAGATGGTCTGCGGATCCAAAAGTTCCCCGGTCTCTATGAAGTATGAGTCCTATAAGGACTATAAGAAGGTCGGCCGAGGAAGAGGTAGTTTTTACTCTGTGCGTATCTCTCTTCTTCATACATTTTACGTATAGCACGAGCTAGTACACTCACACATTGCATCCAGTTTCTGGCTTTTATCAGTAATTCATTTATATGAGCACAGATGCACCTAGGTATCAAAAATGGTTTACCGGTGGCTGTCTTTTGCAGGGTATCTCAATAATGATAAAGGAGCCTACTGTTGGATTGTGGGCAAATGGTCTTGTATTGAAACTGTCATGATCTCTGGAGAGTCCTGAACGAAGTGGACGGCGGCCATAAGGGCCTTATAGACAGGAATGAACGATGCCTGTCCCACAGGCAGGAGTTGTGTGGTTCGATGGGTGGTGGTCATATTGGCCCATAACGTACGGTGCGTGGCCATATGTCCTTCCAAGACTGGCAGTCTTGATTTAGTAGTCTTGAAGGTCCAACACCTACGTACTGGGACGTATCAAGTAATTGGTAGCAATGCATCATGAATACAAACTCATTACCATTCAGCCCTATTCTACGTTTGGACAGAATTGGACATGAAATGATAAAATGATAGTTGGCGTTTAGATTGACGCAGCGGTCTATATCTTGTGATAATATTGCAATATAGGCACAACTATGTCCTAGATCTGGAACAGAGTACCGTCTACGTCTGATCATTCATTCTTCACTGATTAACTGAATGTCTACCCGAGGAAAAAGTCAACCCACAAACGCGCAATATTCCTATAACTGGAGCCGTAGCCACTGTAGAAGGCTGCCTGGCCTCTGAAAGCGCGGCATTCTATGTAAGTATTGATGTACACAAACATCAGGCGGATAATCTAGAGTTTGACAGTGGCAGGGACAGCAATTTGATATTCCCAACTGCCCTAGCCGGTATCCCAGTACCACACCTTCATGTTGTGCAATCCCGCTTACTATGATATAATGATAGTGTTTTGATGCGGTACCTTTTCTGGTATTGGAAACCTATGACAACCGATGCTCAGGATAAAAACTACAACGAATAACAGACATGAATAAGTTATCCTACGATTCGTTCCCATTACTACTGCGTAGTCTCTGTTCGCTTTCCTCGTGGCGAAATGAGATTTGGGAGAAGCTCAGCTGACAGTGCTACATCGTTCAACTATGCACACTTTCTTGAAGCACTGAGCTCTATGAGGCAAGGAGACTGGCGAACACGTATAATAATATTAGACTTTGAAGCAGACATAACATATCTCTCGGAATATAGTTACTGAACCAACATAATGAAAATGTCTTTCGTCTTCGATATTGTACAGCCGTCTTTCAACTCGAGAATGGCTTGTGCCTATTACGATAGTACACACACTATTGAGACAAGTTCAATACTCTAACACTTACTATACCTAGTAGCAATTTTCAAACGAATGAGTCGAACACTATCCCACAACTTCATCCCAACTTGGTGCTAGTTATGACTCGCTGTTTTCAGAAATGACTTGTGACACAGCCATTCTTGTACTTGGCAGGTCTCAGCTGAATTAGTGAGGCTCTATGGTCACAGTCCAGCGTCGCATCTTGTCCGAATCGAGGGATATATCCCAGAGCTGGAATAAACTCAACACTAACGGGCCTCTACGACAATATTGCAGCATACCAAAAGTAGAGATGACGATCCTTGGCAGCAGTACCTGTATGGATCATCCGTGTCTCTTTGAAATAATTGCCGTTGAGATAAAGATCACTACTCAAAGTTCCCATGTCGGAGCGATCCCAGGATGGTGAAGCTAAAATAAGACATCACATGGCCAAAATCCAAATTCAGTCAATGAAGAAGGGTTTCAGGCTTCAAATGGACGATTTTCGATGCCCCCAAAGGTTACACATGCGGTTGTATCGTTCGAGACGAGGTCCTGAATCATTCTCAAATGTGAAAAATGTATGCCAAGATCGGGTCTGATCTTTGCCTATAAGATCAGCACTAGTATTCCTCATATCTGCCTCGACATGTCCTACTTTTCTCTTCCAGCATAACTAACCCTTCGTTCTCAACACTCATTTACAGCAGTGCTGTCTTGTCTTCTTTCATTAGCTCTCACTGCTGGTCATTAGAAGCACACTTGTTAATACATTCACTCCAACATTACCAATTCACTTGCCTCAGTAATTAACTCAAAACATCAACATGAAGTTCTCACTAGTCCTCGCCACTTTCGCGGCCGTCGCCACCGCCGCACCGTTGATCAGGAACACCCAACTCAGCCGTCGTGCCCCCGTCTTCACCGCCAAGACTTACAACGAGCTGTCCATTAGCGACGGCACTGCTGGCAACGGCAAGGCCGAGGCCCTCGAGAAGCTGAGCGGCCTACCCACCAACCTCGCCACAGTCGATGAAGCCGACATCACGTTTTTGAACGCGGTCAACCAAATTTCCAATGACGCCGAGCGAGGCGCATATAACGTCAAAATCGCGGCTGCTACCCCCGGCGAGGAGGTGTTGGCTCTGCAGGTTCGTTTCCTCCCCTGCCTTCTTCTCCCTCACCCGCGAATTAAACAATTGATCCATTGCTAAAATGAACCCTGCATAGCGCGGCAAGATCAAGAACAAGATCTTCAAGCTCACCGCCACGGTCCTTCAGCTCGAGGCCCAGCAGGCGCAGGGCGAAAACGTGACGGCCAAGCTGACCGAGGAGACGACCAAGCTGAACAAGAACATCGCAGACGACGAGGCGAACGCAGGAAAGGCATCCACTGGGCTTCCGTTCGATGCTACTACTGCCAATCCCGAGGCGTCGAATGTGGCTAAGGATGAAATGCTGGCGGCCAAAGCGGGTGATGTTGTGAAAGCGTCAGAGAAATTGGCTGCGGCCGCGGCTGCGGGGAATGCCGCTGCCAGGAATTAGGATGCGGGTACCAAATCTGCTGACTCGAAGGAGCAATGAAAGATTAGAAGATGATGTCGCAGGTGACAACAATGTGGCAATGCCGGGGCTTATGAGAATCCTTAGATAGGGACATTCAAATGGCACTCTAACATTATGCTGCCAAACAACGCTCCCAATCAATATTGAGTTCAAGTGTCATGTGCCTAGTACTGGGTAGTCGTACCCTAATTGGCGAGACTCAGCTATCGGGGCGAAGTCCTTGTCAGATCCTTCACTGGGACACTGGTTGGCTTAGGAACGTGACGGTGGCCATCAATAAAAAGCACACGCGGTAGGAGACACTTCAGACGAATTGGCCCAGTGATACGTTGGAGTTGAAAACGGTCACATACACAAATCAGATGAGCGCTGGTGACCTGCCACGTGGAAGGTTGGGACGAGAAGTTGATGCGGGAAGGAGTCAACCCGAAAAGCTTTGTCTGTCCAATGAGCAGAGCGTTGGGTTCCCAAAATACTTGACCGCGCCTACGTCACACAGTCAAAAGTAGTTCACCGAAAAACCCCATGACGCGACAACGCGTTAGGATAGTTCATTTCATCCAGCCTTACTCGAGTATTTTATGACTCAAATTATGCCGGCAAACGACAAAGATAACGTCGAGGTCAAGCGCTCGCAGATCGCCGGCGCCGGGCGTGGCCTGTTTGCCAGCAAAGACTTCGCACCCGGCGATGTGGTCCTCTCCGTTGCACGGCCGCTGGTGGCCGAGTTAAATATTGACCGCACCGAAGACAGCTGCGCTTGGTGTTTCCAGCGCGGTGCCATTGACCCCGACGAGCGGAAGCAAGCAGCTGCGATGGGCTTACCAATTGGTTTCATTGAAGTGAAATCGTGCACCGGCTGTCGCAAGGTTTCCTATTGCTCCAAAACGTGCCAGAGCAAAGCCTGGAAGCGCGAGCACAAGTATGAGTGCAAGATTCTGGCTGTCCCCGGACGACCCGATCTACCGCCTGGTGTACGGGCAGTGGTCAAGCTGCTGGGGCGTTTGAAGGCGGACCCGAGTGATGAGCAATTGCTGGATATCTTGCAATTCAGACCGTTCGCGGGAGGTCTCGAGGCTCTCCGTCAGCAGGACCAGAAGACGTTTGATGACTTTGAGTTCCTTGCCTCTGCGTCGTGGAACTACGCCGGCCAACCTAAGTTCGATAACTTGGACTCGCGGACAGTTTCTCGAGCCTTTCTCTTCAATGTGCGTTCCAGTACCCGCGTCAATCAGCGCAAATTGAAGTCACGGCTGACGGTCGGGGTAGGTCCTCTGCAACAACCTGGGCCTCGGCTCGCCCCTTGATGATGCTGCCTTCGGCATCGGCTTTGATCCTCTGGTCTGCAGTGCAAACCACTCCTGCGAACCCAACGTCGTGGCGACCTTCAACCAGCCCTCGCATGTATTACGAGCCATCAAGCCGATCAAGCAAGGTGATGAGATTCTTATGAAGTACGCTGATGTGACAAATCCATTCACCGTTCGGCAAGCCGAGCTCAAGCAGAGCTACTACTTCACATGTCAATGCCCCAAGTGCAAGAAAGGCGCAGTGTTCGCGGAAGACTCCTTCGCGAAGTCGCCGGACGATTTATCGGCAGAGTACTGCAAGCAGGCCGATGCGCTTATCAAGCGCCACGAGTCGAGACTGGAACGGTTCATGGTGTCTACAGGTAACTCCGCAGCCCAGCGAAGAGCGGCCGCAATCCAGGCTGAGGCGTTCTCCGTATCCGAAAACAGCGAGGCCAGTCCGGACGAAATCAAGAACGCGCTCAGATTGTGCGTGAACTCGGGCATGTGGACCTGGACCCGACAGCCGGTGCCCCAGCTCTGCCGCCAACTCTTCGGCGCGTACCTCACGACGGGCGACCCGTACTGCGCGTTCAGGGTAGGTCTAAAGATGCACTTTGAGATCATGCCGCAGCTCGCGCCGCTCAAGTTCGACCCGGATCGCTTGATCAACGACTGGACCATGTCGACGGTGATCAACGTGCTCTGCGGGCCCATGAACGAGGAACTGTACCAGGAGATGGCGCAGAGCGGTATCGAACTGCGCGTTGTGTATCTGGGGTTGTTGCTTGGGGTACATGAGAACATGCCTAAGATGTATGGTTGGGATACGCCATTTGGGAGGGTGGTGGGGAACACGTACGAGCAGATTATGGCGGGGGTTGCGCTGCCGGAGGAGAGGATCAGGGAGAAGGTTGAGGGGGTTTGGCCGGCGCTGGAGACCTTGGCGCATAGTATTAATGTGGATAACTTGTAACACAAGTCATACTCATAGAATGCATGCGAGTAACGAGGCATAACTGGTGTAAGGCAGGCTCAGCTTCGGTCACATTTGGTGTAGCGATCCCTATCCCACCATTCGCGACTTTATTGGCAACACTTTTTGTGTATAACTTGCAGCGGGTGTAGTGTACGGAAAGTACACCGAACTCAACTACCTCCACGCGAGCATGGGTTGTGTCGGATGCTATGTACACCGACACAGTACGGAGTATTAGATAAGATACGGAAGCCTATGCGGCTAAGGCGTGAACATACTTTCGCAAATACGATCAACCTTGCAAAATCAAGCAGCAATCATACTATTGAGAAGCCAGAGTGTTCTGGAAGGACCAATCCTTCAATTTGAATATGAAAGACCACGTTGCGAATATATCATTCTACTATTTAAAATATTTCAAGGATCTGAAAGGTCTGAAAGGTCTGAAAGATATTCGTCGTGTTGCATCGATTTAAGGCTGCAGGGATGCCCCACATCCCGCCCGCTGATCCCAACTTCAGAGCCTGCTGTACTCCCGTTCAGCCGCAGCTAGCAGCAGCTTCCAACGTCCTAGTTCGCCAAACTCTGCCACAAGCCCAAACACAACGGCCACGAACTCTAGACCGATCGTAGAATTGGATGGACTCACCGTTGTTTTCAGACTTCAAAACGCGACCGACCGTCCAATGACGATCTCCATGGTTGGCGCGCCGCGCGGTCTGCGGGCTTTCGGCCTACCGCTCATCTTCATCGCCATCACGCTGTTGATTGTCGCTTCGCAGCGCGGCGTCGTAAATGGTCCCAATTACTTAAAGGGGATCCCGGATTTGATCAACAAGGGGAAACCGAAGGGCGACACGGCTGTGGTGCGTATTTTGCAACCAATTGGCTGGTCTGTTTGCTTGAACGGAGGCCGCTCGAATCTCCCTTGAATCTACCTATCCTCCTTGCCTTGGCAACAACTGACAGTCTCTCTACATAGGACCGCCGACCAACCAACACTCACCCACCCCCAAAATACAAGCCAACCCCAGCCTATCTCGCGCCCGCTGTAACCGACCCCTTCCCCCTCCTTGCCAGCTCAACAGCAACACCCCCACCGATCCCAGCCTACAACATCCCCTCGCCGGGTCTGCACCGCACGTACGGCATCTCCTATGTACCGCCTCTCTTCATCGGCTTCACCCGCCAATGGCCCATGCTCCTGCAATGCGTAACGGCCTACATCACGGCCGGCTGGCCCCCCGAGTCCATAATCGTGGTCGAGAACACCGGCGTGCAGGACTCCAACAAGAACGGCAAGCTCGGGCTGCAGAATCCGTTTTACCTCAACCACACCACGCTGCGGAAGCTGGGGGTTACGGTCGTGCAGACGCCTGTGCTGTTGACGTCTAGCCAGCTGCAAAATTTCTTTTTGGCTACGGCACATGGGCGGAGCTGGCCTTATTACTTTTATAGCCATCAGGATGTCATGGTGTTTAGTTTTGAGGACGGGGCTGATACGCTGAAACGCCCGGGCGATCAGGATTGGGTTTTCTATGATGCTGAGGACGAGGCGGCGGTTATGCGGCCGCCTGCTGCGGGGCAGATGGGTTACAGGACGATTTACGAGAATGCACTCCGAGAGATCAATCGAACGGTGGAGAGTAAGGAACGGTGGGGATTTAGGTGGTTTCAGGACGATCACCTCACGCTGGTGAACCGGGCAGCGCTGGATGCGGTGGGAGGGTGGGATAATATGATTCCGTTCGTTGGTAGTGACTGTGATATGAATGCGCGGTTGGCGATGGACGGGTGGACGACGAAGCATCGGAGAATTGGGATCGTGAATGATGTTTCAACGGTGCTGGAAGATTTGGGGGCTTTGTACCGCGATCCGAAGGTCAAGCCAAAGTTTGTGGATCCAAATCCGGTGCCGGAGACGCCGAAGGAAGGGGATAAGGTGTCGGAGGAAGTCGAGACCGAGGACGAGGGTACGAGGGATGGTAAATCGAAGGAAGGGATGGGGGAGGAGAAACCGAAGCAGGAAGTGGGAGATGCAGAAGTAAAGGATAAGGAAAAGCCCAAAGAAGATTCCAACGACAATGAAAAGAACACAACGTACGTCCCGAACCCTAACTGATCAACCCTCTCTCATGTATTCAAACTAACACCTCACCCCAACCTCAGCAGAAAACGCGAAGACAAGCAAGCAAAACAAGACCAAGACCAGATCGCAACCGTTGCCACAGATGTAGAATACTTCCGCGAACTCCTAAAAGTAGCCGACGACATGGGCACGTACAAGTACCGCAACTCGGGCCTCGCTCGTAACTCGTGGCAGGCCAGCCAACACGGCGGCCAGGGGGAACCGTATTATTACCCGGCCGACGGGTTCGCGGCTTCGTTTTGGATTCTTGCGGAAGCGGGGAAGGAGGTATATAGGCAGAAGTGGGGGTATGAGGGGTGTGATTTGATTGAGGGAACAGCGTTGTTATTGGGGGATATGTGGAGGGTGGAGGGGAATTGGGAGGGTTCAGGCATGAAGGGGGAAGGAAGATGAGTTGATTGTTGATTGGATAGACTGTTGTCTGCGGTAATAGTATGGTGGATGGGATGGATGGTGTATATTATGGTATTCGCGGTCCCGCTGACTCGGGATGACTTTGGCTGACGCCCGGGCCCCCGACACACATACGGGGATATCCACGTCGTCCCCCTAGTTAGGGGAACGTGGATATTCGTTTATCTCCTTCCACCATACATGGCGGCTGACGGCCCCGCTGGCGACCGCCTAGCTTATTGGCTACAGGCCCCCTGCCCCCTGAACCGCTAGGCCTCTACAAGGCCAAGTGCCGCTGACTGGCGCCCTAAGACCCCTCCGACCCCACCCCCCCCCCTCCCCTCTCCCCTGGCCGGCTGCGATACAGCGCTTCGTCCAGTGTTTAGAGCCGCTGGAACGATAGGCCTAATACTGCTAACCTGACCGAATACAAATACAGGGGCGGCACAAGACGATGTACGATGTAAGTTGCCCCGCGCTCTCCCCTTTCCCTCCTCTCCCCCCGGCGCCTCACCGCTCTCCTACCGGCTATCCGGCCTCGCTACTTATTTGTCTGTCTGTCTGTCTGTCTGTCTGTATATGGCGAGGACGAAGGAGACGGGGCGCGTTGCGCGTCTCGGAACCGATGCCGTTAATAGAGCTGAGTTACGGGCTAACACACAGAGGATCCTATCGCTTATCGACCAGTCCAGGCCGAAGAACACTGTTATAGCGTACAAGCCGAAGCAGAAGGAGTTCCAGGTATGTTGTTCGCTTACCTATCGGCCCCGTAGGTTGCCCGGTACGTAGCTAACGTCTTTATATATAGGAGTTCTGCCGGCGGAAGCAGTATGAGGATGCCGATACGGTTACGGAGGACAAGCTCCTCCTCTTTCTTGTTGAGGTCGTTACCGACCGGCCCCTGAGAGCCTGGAGCCGGAAGGCCGACCAGGGCGTCCCGCAGGAGGAGACGCGGCTCGGGTGGCGCTCCGTACGGAGCTATATTACAGCTATTACCGACCTCTATCGGACCCAGAGGACTTTAGGGATGAACACGCACCCCTCCCCGCGGGAAGACCACGTACGTGAGTACGTCCGGTCTCTCCAGCGGCGGGATGCGCAACGGGAGAAGGATCTATACGCGGATAAGGGCCGGGAGACCATCTTGGACGGCTATACCGAGGAGCAGTTCGAGCGGATCTGCTACGAGCTTTGGGCACATAGCAGCTCCTCGCCCGAATGTCACTTTCGGACACTCGTTGACCTCCTTCTCGGCCATTATATGCTTACTCGTGGCGGCGATCGGAGGGCGGCCGAAATCTCGGACCTGTTTACGTTTGAGCTGCAGGGCGAGGGCTCGACCCCTTGTATGCCGGTTATCCTAACTACCCGTGCGGGGAAGCAAAATCAGCATGGACGACTTGAGACCGCAGGGGCACTCCGCAATAGAAAACCGCTTATCTGTATGCTAGGTGGCCTTGCTTTTTACCTGCTGTACCGCTGGGATCTAACCGACGAGCCCTTCCCGGACCTGAGCCGGCGGTCGGCCTGGTACGATATCCGGCTGATCAAGGGAAGCGGGGCGGATCGTACAACAGCCTTCTCGTATAACGCGCAGCGGGACTGGGTTACTAAGGCCTTCCAGTACGCCGGGGTAACGTCACAGAAGAAAACGCATATCGGCCGCAGCGCTGGGGCTAAAACAGCTGAGTTGAAAGGCGTAAGCGAGGAACAGATACGACGAGCGGGCCGGTGGAACCAGGAGCAGATGGTCGGGTGTTATCTCAGCTCGTTACCCCGGAAGTTTATGCGTGTAATGGCCGGGCATCCGCCGCAGATGGGATGCTTCGAGGTCCGGCGGGCTACTATCACGCCCCCGGAGGCCCTGCTTAGGGAGATCTGGCCTGAGCTTGACAGCTGGAGGGATAGGTTCGGCCCTAGCCAGGACCAAGTTAGTGACCTAGCAGCTATGGGTCTAGTCGAATTACTCTTCCACCTCCGGAAGGTTATCCTACAGGACTCGGCCCTGCTACAGGAACAGTTCCCTAATAGCCCTATATGGGATCACCGGGTCTTTCAGCATAAGGCTTACGCGCTATTCGCCCGGCAGGTCCGAACTACAGCCCAGGAGGAGGAGCGCCCTAGCCAGCTAGCTCTCCTGACTCAGGCTATGCCGACGCTAGCTGACTACCTGAGGTCGATCGACGTACGCCACGAGGCAAGGATAGCTGAGCTTCAGCAGCAGACGGCGAAGCTTCAGCAGTCTCTCGATCAGCTCGTACACTCAGACCGTACCCAGTCTACGCAGCTCCAGAAACTCACGGCCGGCGGCCTTACCTTTCGCCTTGAGGCTACTCCAGTAACAGCACCTGTACCTTTACCTACAGAGGTAACAGTAGTAACAACAGTACCGACAACAGCATTAGCACCGGCCATAGCAGAGGGGCAGATACCAGTATTACGTAGTAATCCCTCTAACCGGTCGAACCTAGCACCTACCGGGCGACCTACTGAGCGTAGTTCCCTAAGTCCGCAGCCGTGTATCTGGGCAGGAAATCCAGCGCCCCCGAAGCACAGTATGTGCCGTACGACGCGTACAGTGGAGGGGCTATGGAGGGAGTGGACGATCGGGATCCATGGCCAGCCGTCGGTTACCGAGTTAGACAGGCGTTGGGGCAGCCGGTGGAGATCTGGCCGCCGGAGCGAGGTACAGTGGTACTCTTTACGGAGCGAGGTTATCGTTGAGATTAGGAGGCAAGCACAAGCAAGGCGATGTAGCGAGGAGTCGGCGATGTGGATACTTAATTTGCAACAGCAGCAGATAGGCTGTTCTATAGACCAGCTATGTAAACGGTTACGGGCCGGGAGGAAGGCTCGCCTAGTATAGTAGGACCTACCCTAGCGGCCGGCCTTAGCCTACCAATAATACGTATATATTACGGGTACGAAACGGGAATCGACGCCTTACCTAGCTTTGTATTATATCTTTTACCCCCCGGAGCATCTCTCCTACCTGCTAGTTTGGTATCCGGACGTCGCCGAGCGGCCGGCCGTTAGGCCGGCCATCCGATGTGGTGATATTTGGGATATTCTCACCTGCTGACTGCACGGACGGTGTTTCGCCCTAGTGTGGCGCTCAGCCGCTGAATCCGCCCGCCAAACACCCCTGAAACGCCACCGTGGATATCCTATTGATATTTAATGTTGGAGGATGGCTGAGGGTGTCTGTGTAAACCAGGGCAGGCGTTCTTGTAAACATGATTGGTGGTGGTTGGGATTGCATAATGTCTTCCTTGTGTATACTGAATGGGACTGGTATATATTGATCGATAGTCCTGAACAGGAGAACTAAGCTGTGGGCATGTGCTCTATAATTGCAAATGACGTGTCTCAAACACCCGGGGCTCCTCAGCCTCGAAAGTCCTCTAAGAAATATTGTTATGCAGTAGCACTGCCGACTCCTTGGAAGGTGTCAGTCTGCGTGTTCTTAACTGCACTAAATATTATTTTATTATTATTAAATACGCCGTAGGCTCGAAGCCCCCGGTACCTCTGCTAGTACTCCCGTATGTCAAACCGTGCCCTAATGGCTGGACTAAATACATACGCTGCGTCGTCGGTTCGCCCTATTGGCTACTGCGTTGCGTTCACTACCATACTACGTTGGTTCTCAACCTACCAACAAAGTCCCCCCTGAGAAGATCGATGCTATCTGGGCCTTGAAGCTGTCCGACCCGTCCCTAGCAGCCACCTTACAATAGTCCCACTAACTACTGATTCTCCTGTTGCCGCTGCGAGGTCTCTGCGAGAGTATAGTGGCCGTGGTGCGATAGCGGCCCGTAATCGTTCCCTCGGTCCTTCCAACAGCCCGCAAAAGAGGATTACGTGCTCTGCCGTCTCAGGGGCGTCCTATTTTTTCCGTCCTGATCTGGCACAGCGTAGACGCTTCCAGTCGGTTCAGGCCGAAATACTTCCCCCCTTTCGGTATCTGCATCGAAGGGCCCTCCGGTTCCTCAGCGATGGCGCGTCGCTGGCGATCGTGATGCTCTGCTCCGGTGAGCCATCTCTTCCTCCAGTGGCCGAGGAGGGCAGCCGGGACCTCCTTTTCCTCACTCATCCACTCGGAGCCCCGGACCTCCTTCTCCATAGTGTACCCTGCCGGTCGGAGTAGCTGCGACGCCTGCTTCCTCTTCGCCGGCCTATCCTGCCGGAGTATATGTGACGCTTTAGCGCTCGCGCTGCGAAGCAGATTTCTCTTCCCGCTAAGCCGTAGCTGTTCTTCAAAGTTAGCAGCCCGGGCACTAAGATAGAGGTCTAGTGGCGGGATTGCTGCTTCTGCTTCCAGGTGGCGAACCGGCGTCGCTTTGTGGGCGCCACAGACTACCCGGAGGCACTCGTTCTGTATCCCCATCAGGCTCTTAGCTGGCCCTGCCGGTTCCTCACTTATAGTATGCCACGCAGTCGCCCCGAAGGCCATCGCGCTACGGATAACCACCGTATATAACAGCGTGCACTAAATAATAATCCGAATTGATCACGTGAACTATAATTATTAATATTGTCCTACTTTGAGTGTTATTAACTTAAATAGGCGTGAACACTGCACTAGTTATGACCAAATAATAGCCGTTCCCAGATTTAATGGAAATTCTCTTCCGGTCATGTTTGAATGGCAACTATACTCCGCCCACTGGCCATACAATTTGGTGCGACTCAAGCTGTAGCAAGTGAGGCATTCCCATATCATAGCCGATCTACATCTGTCCATCTGACTCGATTGGACTAGTCACAGACCAAAATTTCATGCGGGTTATGTACTCTGGTACAGTTAGCCTGGGCTATTGAAAGCTAAATTCGAAGAAGGGAAAACATGTTTCTTTTAGATATGTTTGTGTCGTGTTAATTCACTAGTGCAACTTCGCAATGAAGGTTTATGCTGAATATATACACTTTTGAATATGGCCAAGATCGTTTAAGGTGGAATATGGAAGAGGAAAACATTCATCGGTGGGCTTTCTGGCTATTAAGAGCATAGTGTTAACATGTTAGCATTGGCGATTTTACCCCTATTTCTGAGGTTCTGGGAGATAGGAAGGTACGGCCAATTGCAAGGCCAAAGGCCTACAAAACCACGCCTCAAACTAAAAGTAACCATCAGAGAAGAGAAAAAAACATCTTTTTTGGCCTTCGTATAAATCTCTGGGTTTAGTTCTTTGGGGTTGCTCATTCTACATTTTGTTTCCTTTGCTTTCCTCCGAGTCACCTCTTCGAGAAACCTCTCTGCTTTAAAACTATAGTGCTCTATTTTCTGAATGTTCTTTCTTATATACACTTACTCTTCATCCTTAGTTTATCCCGAGTAGTTGTTTGGTTAAGTATAATTTGTAGCTCTACTTTCGATCTATCTAACCTGGGAGCCGACATCAAGTTCCAAGACTTCATATGTGCTTATGTCCCAGGACAGGATGTTCATATTTAAATCTTCATCCTAGACTAACTAGACATGTTTGGCACGCGGGTCTTCCGCCTATTCAGACACTTCTCCATCAGCGCCAGGGTTACATAAAAGACACCGCAAATAACCGTATTAACAGCAGTATCAATAAGCGTCTCAACGACCGGTACGTTCACGAAATACTGCGACACGCTCCAAAAGTGCCAGCTAAAATGGAAGAAGAAGTGAACAAGTACAGAGATAGGGAGCATAACCCCAAATTTGCCCTTTCCCCAGGAATCGAGCGTAAGTCCCAGCGCGACGGTAAAGGCACCCGCAGATGGGAATGTCAACAGAGCGATCCACAGGAATCCCTTGACAGTGTTGTCGCCAATCCAGAACTGGATTAAGGTTAGTTTGCCGAGTGGCATAGTTCTGTTGAAATGCCAGCCGAGGAGGAGGCCGCAGGCTTCGATGATATAGGCGATGATGACGAGAGATATGGCGATGAGGCAAGGGCTTCTCCATGTCTTTGTGTCGTTGTAGTTGCGGGTTAGGAAGGTAGGGAGCGTGGAGGTACCGGCGCTGAAGGGATATGAGTCGTTGGGGACTGAGGATTGGGCTGAGGAGCTTGGGTTGAGAATGGGTTGGTAGTCTTTGTGTCAGAGAACAGAATGCCATAGGCACCAGTGGGTGTCAGGACACTGAACGCAGGACACCGGCGGGCCGCCGGAGGGGTGTTTCGGACAAAAGACTCCCGAGTCATGATTACAATCTATGTGAAGCTTTGGGATGACGAGAGTCAAGATCCTTGGCATCGCCGACCCTGCTGTTATGCCGGGTCCAAGCGGCGGCCTAGCTATCTATATAAGGACCATCTCGAAGTAGGATAGGGAAGGAGTTGTCAGAGCCACAAGTGTCATCCGAGGCGGGCCGGCTTCCACCAGGTAGGAAGCCGTTTGTGGCGGCTAGAGAGCCGCTTGTGGCGAATGAGAGCCGTTGAAGCCGTTTGCAACGGATAGGGAATCGCTTGGTTGCAGATAAGGAGCCGCTGTCCAAGATATTGGCCGAAGTCGGAGGAACACAGACATACGGAAGCAAACATCCAGAATCCGAGAGAGAACCTCGGCTGGCTATAAGTAAGGAGTCGAGACGAAGGAAGATAGAGAGGGCAGAGATCAATGCATCACCGTGGGCACCCCTACCTGAGACCGCCAGTGACCACCCGGTATTACATAGGAGGGACGCCCGTTACTCCCCATCACTCTGTACTATTGCCTTCGGCCTAGCCGTACCCTGACACTTTGGAGTCTGATTCACGCAGTAGACCTCGCTCTGGGTCCATGATTAACGAGCCGGGGGTGGTGGGTGTTGTCAGAGCGGGAGATATTTCACTCGAGGTACCAGCTTGCATGTGATGGTAGTCTCTGGGATCGTATTGATGCACAAGAATACGCTCCGGAACCATGGTGATCGAACCTGGAGTCATAGGTGTTGTGAGAGCAGAGGTTCCAAGCATGTCAGTGTTATGTGTCATGGTGAAGGTTCGGAGTCCTATTCCCAGCTCATCAGCAGCAGTTGTCTCAGTCGATCCATGGCATTCTTGGTACGGTATTGCTGTTGCGATATGGCGTCTGAATTTCCCACGAAATTGGTACCAACACGCCTTAATATTACGCAAAAGCATTTTCAAGGCAAAACTAGCTGCTGGTGAGATTAATGGATCCACGAGTAGAAGGACAGGAATTATTTGGCCGAAGGTCCATTCGTTTTCCTCGTGAAAGATATCGGGTACCTCATAAAACAACACGTTTCGTGCTTTTACGAGCTTGATCGTGCCCCAGAGCATGGCGATGACAAGCCAGGCAACCTAAGATTTTCTTGTCAACTTGAAACCCAAGAACTACGGGTGATTTTCATCATTCTCACCATGGCTAGCATTGAATTAAGTAGATCTACGACTAAACGTAGAAAAATAAATAGCGAAAGAAGGGGCCGGATGATGAGAACATCCCATAAATCATGCTTTGACAGGCCACGCGGCCTCGCCCTCGGGTCCCATGTTTCGTCAAACAACGGGTATATGTGAGCAAAGCCGGCCAGACACTTCTGAAGCAATTTGCTGATTCGCAGTCGCAGGTGCGAGTTCAGGCACTTGGATGGATGTCTGAATAATTTCGCTGTCGTCGTCAGGGTACCAAGAACAAGGAGTACCATGGAAATAATCATAGATTGCCAAGTTCCCGAGCCCAGGAAACCGTTCGCAGTAATTGTATTCCAGTGTTGGTAAACGGTCGATTTCGGGTGGTAATAACACACAGCCGTAGAAGCCATGTAGTTCTTTCGGGTCTTGAGGCCCGTCTCCAGCCACCCGAAGTACCCGGTAGGTACGATCGCAAAGATGAGCATAATAATAAAGCCGATTGTTACCAACAACCGGAAGACCCATTTCTTCCTGCGGTTATATGGACGATTTCGCAAGGCAATAAACCCGGACAGCAGGGTGATAGAAGAGAACCAAGACAGAAATACGACCATCTGCCAATGATAGGCTGAAAGGCCATGACGTAATGATATATAGCCAGCGATGAGTATACTACTGCCGGTGATTAACTGGGTGTCGCAAATGCCGCTAATGGACTGATGCGGTTGAAGTTAGCAATATATGTTTCAACCCAAAACAGTACGAACTCACTTCATTGACGGCGTCTTCGAAATTGGACAACGTTTTCTTCGAAAATTGGAGCCTTTTCCAGGTGGTGCGGAGTGAGCCCAGGAACATACTGTCAACTGGGTTCGGTTTCCACCAACTCGGTGTGTTGCCCTCGTGTTCTGTCTCTTTATCGCGGGGAGAATCGATGCTCTTAGTATTGAAGGGATACTTGCTGGGATCGAAAACGAGCAAGTAATATACCCCGACGTGAAGGAGTACAAGGTAGCTGGTTCCCACGAAACCGATGATTACCTTCGCATCCAGATTAGCGCTTGGTTATTTTAAGTTGCTCGCTCAAAGTGCACTTACGCCTATACCCGATATGTCCCCATAGGCTTCTAATTCCGGGGAAGTTGCATTTGAGCAGTCGGGTGACATTTCCCCCGGTTAAAAAATCTAAGCTGAGGGAAATTGCGTTTTCTACAGTAGGGTGTGCAGAAGTGTAGGATCATTCGAAAAGTGGACGAGAGAGAAAACTACCAGCCTCGAAGGCGAGTGGGGGACTAGGTTTCATAAGCAGTGAGCCTTCAACAGCTGGGACGTGAAACGGCTGGGTTGTTAGTTGCTTTTTGCACTTCTGGCCCGCAAGATTTCGGTATCTAGAATCCCTTCTCAGTACGGACTATTGCATTATGGCGAAGTAAACGAAAGCCGTACTGATGATCCTAGATTCAAGGCTGGGGCTGAGAGAAAATGACTCTTTGAGGTTACACAACATGGCAATGCCACACTTTCAAGATGCTATATGGCCGCCTGGAGAGAGAGCCTCGCGCTAGACGGTGGGGTACTGCACGATGCTGAGTAACTGCCCACATAGCGCACTCCGTTGACTGTAGATTTCTATGATGCACGACAGGGAGGCGACCAGAACCACCGAGCCAAACCTCTATCCTATGCGCGAGGTTTGGAAAGTACAATACTGGAACGGAAGTGGTTCATAGTTGGGGAAGAACACCTTGAATACTCACATCACTTGCACATGGGCTAAGTAGTTGATGAAGGCGACAGTGGGTTCTTTGAAGGTGGAGAAGGGGTAGGTGCGGTCGTTTTTGACGTAGCTGTGGATAGTCTACCAAGCAAATTTAGCGCTGGGGACGGACATAGAGGCTTCGTGTAGGCGCATAGTTTTCTCGAGGGCGGTACACTTCTCGTTTGGGACTAGAGGGCTACATCCTCGATTTTCTTTTTTCGGCGGCTTGGGAGAGAGTTCGCGAGGGTTTGGGCTTGGACTTGTTCCGGCTGCTTTTACCGGGAGCCATGCATCACGGTGTTGGCGCTAGGTGAAGCCACAGCTTATAGAAAACATGGGAGTATCTCTGAAAGGCTAGGTCCCTCTTTATGACGTCTTTGCTAATCATCTAGCACTTATAAAACCATAGGGAAAGACGATTATAATCTTGTCATAGCTATACACAGCCTGTATAATTGCCTCTCTACAAACAATACTACCAGACCCTGTAGTCGGCTTGCCTTCTTCAATTTTCGGTGAAGAGGGGACACTAATGTCATGTGTGGTTGTCTGCATATTAATTCTTTCGTGTCCATTTGTCGACATCAGCCTCATCGAGTCTGGCATGATGATCATTTGCTAGATCTGGAAGTGGCCACAGCCACCATTTAAGAAGCCGAATAAGACATTGCCGATTCTACATCTGGGGGAAACCGGTGTAGACCATGGCTGCAACAGTGGCGTCGTTTGTTGCCTTGTTCAGTCGCGAAGTGGGATCGGCACCCACTAACCCTTTTACTGTTCGGTGTCGGTTCAGAGCACCAATTGTATGATCTGATCAGTATGCACAGTAAATCGCTTACCCATCGTTACGATAGTATTGTGTAGCCTTCAGGAGGCCTCAAACAAGCTAGTTTGGCCACATTGGGATATGAGCGAATTAATAGCCCCTTCTCTCTCAAGTCTTTCCAATCGCCGCTTATCGTACCATTGATTTTCGGTATTCACTGTTACTCCTGTATGTCTTTGTCTAGGATTCACCAATCTATGCCTTCTGGGTACTTCAAGGTCGTCTGATATCACCATCGTTGTTACTGAAATGCGGAGCTTTTTCCAAAGTCCCTCGGGAAATCGCCCCGAACCCGAAAGTGTTCCAGCCCGAACCCCCAGTCCTCGCCAAACGACGCATTCTTTGACCAGCTCATATGTCCCTCCTATTAGTAGACGTTCCTCTGTCTCCGGAACTGTCGTGGAATCGGTTGATATTTTCGTGGATGCCCGGGAATCTTGGGTGCCCGAAGGAGAGCATGGGTCACCTCGGGGAAGAGACCTCAGCGCTTGTCGCGGTGCTTCACGCGGCGCTTCTCCCACGCCAACAATCACGATCACACCTCACAGTACGATTAATATAAATAGGAGTCAAGACAGTGCCTTGTATGTGCCATATTAAATGTCATGATCCCCCTGTATTGACATTACACGCTCAGGGAGAGGGCCGACTTGCCAACCTCTAAGCCAAATCACCTGCCGGGACAACCTCGTGCAATATCGCGTCAAACAACCATCACCTTTACAAACTCAAACAGTAATATTGTGGGTCAGTTAGACGCTGTTTCTGCTGTTTCTGCAAAGCCCGAAAGTACAAATGTGACAACGTCCACGGTTAATGTGTCAAGTCCTCAAGCCCATCCCTTGCCAGCGTAAGTTTATCCTGATTACCACATCCTCTTGACTTAAGACTTGCTGAAATTTGCCACTAAAGTGGTGCCCCAAATCGAAATGCGATGTATGATGCATCATATTCCACGCCGTCTTCATCCAACGTGGTATCATCCCAGCCAGAATACATGGAGGTCCGCCACCAAAGGATGTGCGAAGTGTGCGAAAATTCAACTGGAGCCATTTGGTTCTGCAATGTATGCATCAGTTCGTTCTGTGAAACATGCTGGGCAGCACAGTTTGTGCACAGAAAGGCGCGAGGTGGTGCCCTCCATGAGAAGACAAATCCAGATATCGCCGAGAAGGTCAACAACGTTCTATCGCCCCCAACAGATGACCGGGTTCGTGAGCAACTATACAAGGCTGACGAGGTCACCTCATGGTTTGGTAAGACCATCCGCCTCAACTTTCCTTTCACATGAAAACCACAGTATTGTTCCTTTCTATTTCTGGTCTTTGACTTGAATTCAAATCAGCTTTCTCGTGGAACTGCATACTGATACTCACATGGCTTTTCAGGGGTGGTACGTCCAGAGGATAATGCGCCACCTGTGTTCCAGGATTATGGCCGTTTTGAAGAACTAATGGCGAAGACAGATCCTGTCAGAAAGAAGCCCAGCTTTATGGAACAGTGGGCAGAAGTGGGTCGCGACAGGAGGACTCCGAGTCTGGTGTCTTTTGTCGGGCAAACAGGAGCTGGTAAGAGCACATTGGTGAAGCTTCTTATCGACTTTGCCACTGAAGGATCTCAGCATTACTCGACACCAGTGGTCGGACCTCGTGGAGCATATCTCCCTTCTTCAGAGGATGTACATTTGTACTTGGACCCACGAACAACAGAATCGCCTGGACCCATGCTGTATGCGGACTGCGAAGGTCTCGAAGGTGGTGAACGAGAACCCCTTGGAGCTATGTTCAGGAGGAAACGGCGAACAGACAGTAGCAAAGAAGCCCAACAGGCCACAAAAGCTGGTAAAGTCATCTTCGAAAGGGAGTTGGAGTGGGCAAGCGGACCGCGAGCAAGGAGTAGAGAGTTTGCTGTGACAAACCTGTACCCTCGACTGCTCTATACATTCTCGGACGTGATAGTGTTTGTGCTTCGCAACCCGAGGTGAGCCAAGACTTCCGCCGTTTGAATGACATGCTGATTCATACTCAATACAGGGTCATTGAGCATGTTTTCGAAAGACTGGTGCAATGGGCAGCAGCAGCCATCGAGACATCTTCAAACCAACCTGTGTTGCCCCATGCTGTGATAGCTCTGAATGCGTCCGAAAACAACATCGATGCTAGCTTCTGGGATGTCAAAACTAACACCGAGACTATACTGAAAGACTTGGCACTAACTGTTAACCGAAATGAAACTTTCAAAAAATGGGCTCAATTCTGGAGGGAGAGGGGCAAATCCATTGATAGCTTGTTAGACCTGATACTTTGTTACTACAGTTCCATACAGGTATGTTCGGACACAGAAGACGAACTGGAGCATGAGGGCTAAATAACTTAGATCATACGCTTGCCAGCCGATGGGCGCCCGAAGCTGATGGCAGAGCAAATTGAACAGCTCTACAGCGGTACCTTGTCAGCTTGCATTGCTGCTCGAATGGCCAGGAATCGAGTACGAATGCTCTTGGACGTGGAGGACTTGCACTCCTATCTGCAGGAGGCCTTCAATCACTATTCAGGCACCCTGGAATCGCCTTTTGACTTCGTCCAAGCATCCTTTCGAAATTCTCCGATCCCTCCCGACTTCGGTGGTAACATTCTCAAGTTGGCCTTGAGCGTCATGGGGAATTACCCGAAGATGGATGCACGGCGGATTTTCTCCGAACTCAGCTACATGGTTGCTTCATGCATCATGTTGGATTCTGCAAGACATAAAAACAAAGGCATGTTATCCTGTCTGCGTCAGGTGCGAAACTTACTGATGATTCTGACAGGGTCGGCCTCCCAGATTCTGCCGAAGTACATGAACCATCTAGATGATGCACTTGAGAATTTCTGCGATCAACATTGGCCATGCGAGTTCGTGAACTCGAAAACCGGGGTCAGGTGCGTCAATGTACGATCTGGACATACCAAAGGACACCAATCAGAAGATGGGAAAGTATTTGCGGCCGGAGATTATGAATCCAAGTTCTCGTGGAAGAGAAACAGTGCCGGGTTCCGCAACAAGGTCTACGCGTGTCTCGTTGAGTTACTCCAAGAGTTGAGCCAGCGTCTACAGGATGGTCAATCCGAGGAAGAGACTGCACCTCACATCCACAAAACATTGGTGCTGAACAATTTCTTCAGGCGCTCAACGCCCGATACTATGCTTTCGCAGGACTACAGCCCCTTGACCAGCCATACAGCTTGCTTTTGCTGCCTATTCGGACAGGCCGAACACTTTCTTCCATGCGGCCATGTATTGTGCACGGAGTGTCTGCGCTCGTACGGCCACCAAATAAGCACGTATGAGTTTGATATCCATGGCTGCCCAATCGAGGGAGCTAGAAACCGACGGGGTCCTTTGTGGACAGTTCAACTGCACCCCAAGTCAGCCGGGGTTCGCATATTGACACTCGACGGGTGAGTCGCCGATTGCAACTTTGGGAGCTAGCTGATGCTAACAATTAAACAGTGGCGGCATCCGTGGCATCGTTGAGCTGGAAGTGCTAAAACATTTGGAAGATGCACTTGGGGGAATACCAATACAGCGCTTCTTTGACCTGATGGTGGGAACCAGGTTCGTGCCTCCTCTTCTCGCTTGACATTCATCAACAAGTCTAAAAGAATTTAGCACTGGTGGCTTGGTGGCTCTCGGTCTTGGGGTAATGCATTGGGGAGTCGACAAATGCATCGAGAAGTTCGAAAGCCTCTGTGACGAAGCCTTTACTCGTCGCGTTGGCAGCAGTCTACCAGTAGTGGGCTCCTTCATCGACTACTACCATCACTCAAAGTATCAAACATCGACCATAGAGAGCGCTTTGAAAAAGGCGTTCTCTGAGGACCTTCTTTTATTTGGAGGTCGACGTCGGGCTGACTACGGATCACCAATTAAAGTCGCTGTTACAGCGACCTCACAAGCCGGAAACAAAACTTATGTCCTTGGTAACTACAACTCGTCGCGAAGTGATCAAAAGCCAAGTGAGTTTTTGTAGCGGAGAAGACGAGATATTAAACTTACGCATCGGCTAGGTCACTATCATTTCCAGCGGCCTGAAGCCATCGCCGCAGAACTGAAGATTTGGGAGGCGTATGTCCCTGTGGCCCCCTCAAAATTTGATTTGGCCTATACTGATGGCAACATAGCGCTCGAGCGACAACGGCGGCGCCGCGGTATTTCAAGCCTTTCCATCATGAGCCTGCCCTAAAGACTTACATCGACGGCGCGATTCTCCACAACAATCCAGTTCGTGTGGCCGATGCCGAGAGAAAGAGGCTATGGCCAGATTCATCCATCCCAGACCTCTTCCTCTCCATTGGAACGGGATACTCCGCTAGTTTGACTAGAAATATGTCAGAAAATAAAGCCACTGTTGAAAGGGGCGTCTTCAACCATGGACGGCAGCTGTATAAAATCCTGCGGAACAATATGGAGCAAACTTTGGATTGCGAGAGAGCATGGGATGATTATTTTGCCAGCGTCGCCACCGCCAGTACGAAGCTCTTTTGTGCCTCAAGGTTTCTTCGCATCAACCCCGACGTCGGAAGCATACCCGCTCTGGACGAGAAAGACAAGATGCACGATTTGCGCAAGACGGTGCAAGCAAGTCTGCGCCGGAATCTACGAATAAAGGACATAGCCAGGCAACTTATCGCCTCTTCATTTTACTTTGAGCTCTTGGACATCTCGGAATCCGAGGTGGATGGCAGGTTTCTGGTCCAAGGTACGTTCTATATTGACCACGCATCCCCGGATGCGCACCTTCCATGGGATGAAAACTAAGACGTTGATATATACAGGGAAGATTTATTGCCGGCTGCCGCAGCTTTCTAGTGAAATACGCGAGCTTGGGAAACATCTAAGACAACGAGGCATAGAAGGAGAATCCATATCGTTTGTCATATACGAGGATGGCGACGCAGAGGCTTCGATGAAGATTCCGCTACCCGATCGTGTTCTCGGCGTCATGATTCACGATCAAATATTTGATCTAGGGCGACTCAAGTTCCGCATCAAAAGCAAGGTCCTTCCCACTCACATCGTCATGTACTTTGGAGACGTCGCAATGCATCCCGTCAGCGGATGTCCCCGGTCCTTTGTTGCCGAGGACGACCAATCTGGCTCGGTTCCTGTCGCACACCCAATGCTTACAGGGGCTCTGTCGGCGCGCTACACTCATGGATCCCGGCGGCTGAGGAAGACAAGCGGAAATGATACTTGGAAGCCACCTGACCTCCGAGGCGTCCAGAGCTTATCCAACTTGCGGCAATATGCTGAGCCAGGTCGCGCCTTGGGAGATGACGGCATTGAAGTTGGCCTCACCGGACGAGCAGAGTCACAAACGCCAGCTACGACAGATCACCCGCACCAGGGGCAGCAAGTATATTTTGGGTCGTCTCCAGTCCAAAGGACAGCGTCCCCGTCGCTGATAGACTCGGTCCCGACACGGCGCAGGAATAACGCAACGCGTGACGCGTTTCGAAGTCTTTTATGGCCGGGAAAAGCTCGTCACATGGACGAAGATGATCACCCGTACGATGTTTCAGAGCCTCAGAATACCAGCGCCGGTCGCTACAACAGGGGCGTCATGGACTCAATACAAGGGAACGGAAACGCACATACTCAATTCCACGACGTTGATGCCACTTCCACCGTTATTGATGCACAACTGGCTTCCTCCTTGCAGTATTACAACGTGACGCCGGACGAGCTCGAAGTTTATAGACGATGGGTTCATCTGCTACAACCAGACGAATTAAGCAAGCCGCCATGGCTTCCTCCAACGAGTGAAACTACGGCTGGTTTCGCTCAGTCGTCCTATGGCTTGCATGAAATGCCCGGAGAGCTCTCGACGCCCGAGCCGCTCACTCCTAAGGATGCGTCAGGGCCTGTCGAGCTTCCAGCATGAAAATTGCAGGCGGCTTACCTCTTTGCGGGCTGGCAGTTGTTTTGTGTTATTTTCTTAGCATGTCAAGTTCACTAGCAATTATTGTCGATCAGTTCTTTCTCAAGCATGCTTGGATGCTCACTAGAGGCCATTAATATCAAAAAGTTTAGACATTTGAGTCCCCTTTACCTAGCATCAGGAAAAACATTTAACGGTAACATGGGAAATAGATTCTTCCAACATGTTTCTCATTCAATCATCCAAACTCCAATGATTGTAATCATCTGAGCCACGTAGAATACCTCAAGCCACAAATCTACCACGCCAATATCCACGTATTTCGTCCGTAAAGTCGGCCTTGATCTTACCGAGGGAAACTGGCTTAGTGCTAATTTCGCGTTCCATCAATCGCACAACATTGTAAGCTCTGTGCGCTTTTTTCTTGATGGCGGACAGAAACAGGATTCTTTCCATGTTGATACTGAGGGGTTCCGCCGCTAAAAGTCTCTGTTGCCTCACTTTGTTGTTCCACTGGGTAACAAATTTGGTCGGATCTCCTCCGCGGTACTCCAAGTGTGTAACGTGGAGCGTTGCCACTTCTCGAGCTATGTTCCGAGACTCGAATAGTGCCTCGAGGTATTGACATAGTTGCGTCCCGAAATGTAAGCTGACTAGTTTGTCCAAAAATGAGGCCTTAGTCGTGTTTTTCAATTTTAGTGCGAGAAGGCGTTCATCGACTTCCGTTATTTCTTTTCCTGAGTATGTTAGCCAAGTCGAAATGTCGAGTCCGATAAGGCGACAGGCTGCGTAAAAGCTGTCCTTATAGATTCGCCAGTTAGAATATCCATCCAAGTATCCCTCGTTTTCTGGAGTGAAATACCATCTGTACCACTTCAGAACAAACTCCTTTTTCTTACTCTGCTTCCTCATCATGATAATTTCCTCGGAGCTGCTTGAGCTTCCTGACTCGGGTTCGTCCCTTTCTTTAGAGTACTTGATGCTGGGAGTCGATTTGCTCGGGATTGTGTCTATGTCGATTGAACTCGGCTCCCTTTCATGCTTTAATTCTCCGCGGAAGTCCTCCGTTTAGCTTTGCCAGAATATTCAGCCCTTTGGTACGATTGAGTTGTCTCCTCATCCATGGGTCTCAGAGATAAATCCGGTCTCTTCCCCGTCCACTTCGAGCTTATTCCTGAACCCTCTTCCTTGCCTATGATATTGTTGCTCAAACCCAGTTTTCTTGGGCCAGCTACAACCTGGCTGCTCTCTTCCATCCTAAGTTTCTTCAGGACAGAAAGTTCCGTAAACTCCATTAGGCCTAACAATGGCCCTGATGGCAGCAATGGTACTTCGAGGCCGCTGCGCAGTATTCTCGAGTTATATTCGGATTCGTGTTGTTCAATCTACCTTGAAGCGGGTTGATTAGGCCTGCTCTCGGGTGTCTCATGTACTGGATTCGGATTTTCCTTCGGTCCAGCCGCTGCTGATGCTTTTATACGAGGCTTGGCGTGGTATTTGCAGGTGTCATACTGCACCTAGGGGTCAGACACAACTTGGCTGTCTTTCAGGCCTTGTGCGGAAGAGTGTTGATTGTCTTGCGTCCAACATAAGGCGACATGCTACTATGCGAGACTCTAATCACCAGAGTCGAGGGATGGAGAAAAGAATACCGCTGAAGCTGCTGCTGATCCTATAAATAAGTAAAGAAAGTTGGCGTAGAGTTTCTTCCCGGCGTTTCAGAGCCGAGAGTAGCTAGAATAGGGCCAGGATACTAGCAAATGCAGCACCTAACAAACTCAAACAATTGCTGAGAAAATCTAATAATAGTCTATAAACTCTAGCCTGGCTTATCGCCGACCGCCTAAATAGTCAGTCTAACCAATTCGAGACAACGATACGTCGTAGCTCTCGTAATTATATGTAATTAGAAGAGCGATCCGCTCAAATCTATACCTTCAGGTTACTATCAAGAATAGTTATTCGGATCCGTAAAGGGGAGAGCTAGATTCGTAGAAGCTAAGATATATTTATTAGCTCCTATAGTAATATCTAGGATATCATTCCATTGTTAGTGGGATGTCAGAAGGGTAAGAGCGACATTGGGGCAGTAAGTGTCGGAATCTGGAGCGTGGGTTAGTCCAATGGACTATGTATGATCTTGCTGTTGGACCTTTGTTAGGCAACCTTGGTGGGCTTTTCCAAGACCACCAAGGTTACCACGTGACTTAGCCCTTCGGGACTAAGTCCAACCTTCGTGCTCCATAGGTATAGATAGAATGTGATGCTTTTACAACCTCACAAATCTTTGACCACCTTTGCGTGTAACAACCTTCAATGCTACTACACCAAGACAGCCAAGTCAAAGAGAAAAGTATATGGCCGCAAACCGTACGATTATGGGCCAATATGACCTCTACCCATCGAACCACAGAAGTCCTGGCTATGGTCAATCATTCCTGTCTATATAAGGTCCCTATGGCCGCCATTTACTTCTCTCAAGACTCTTAAGAGATCATGACACTTTCAATACAAGACCATTTGCCCACAATCCAACACTTGCGACTTGGAAAATAATATGGGATATTTTTGGGGAAGTGCGGGTACGGAGTGGAAGATAAAGGTGTAAATTGTGCTCTAGTATAGTTGGCGCGTGAGAGGGAGAAAAATAACTATGTAGGTGAGGACTTTGCGTTGCTGAGGTTCTTGGTGAAATAGGAGTATGAATTGGCCAAGGTAAGGGCTCCGATTTACTGGGAGCTAGGTAAATTGGCTACATTTTATCCAATAATACTTGGGATGACAGTTACGAACAGGCGAATTCATTCAAGCGATTTTGAGAGCAAGAACATTTGTTGATTGCTAATATTTACTTTATCATTGTGCATATTACTAAGTAGGTATTTATTTCCGACGTGAGTCGAATCTAGACCGGGGAATATACCCACTGGGTTGCTAGACACGGGTCTTTTGCCATACTTTCCAACGGTGATACATGAACACTCACGTCCCAATAACGGCTCTGCGTATAGAAACAAGACCATAATCGTGAATATACACAGTAGAAGATTCTAAACCGGCAAGTCTGCTCGGCGGCGTCATTACCCCCTCCAGCTCATACCCTGCATAACGGACCGTTCTGCGTCGGCAGGCCCGTTTCAGTCTCGACTTCCCATCCTTCACTGCCAACAGTATGCAGCGCGTAGAATACATTATACGGGTCATACTTCTGCTTGATGGACAATAATTTGTCATAGTTGGTTCCCCAAAAAGACTGTTGCCAGTCGGGCTCAGACGAGTCGGCCTAGATTGCGTGTTAAGACTGACCATCGAGAAAAAGAGTGCTTGGGTTAGACTTACCTCACCGAGATAGGACCCAGCACCAGGCGAAACTGCACGCCATTGGCCCATACATCCATACGTCATGCTATCACTGAGGGTTTTGATATCGTCGGTCGATGTGCCATCAGCCCACGCGACGGCAGTGATGGCATGAAGTACTGTCTCCCTCCATGCCGGGTTTGCGGAGTTCTCGGTATTATCGGGATGTAGTTCGGCCTTCATGTTGAATCCTGTGAAATAGAATCCATTCTCCGTCGTGTTCTTAATCACGACAAACGTTTCGTTCATGAGCGTCTCGTTTTCCCACCGATTACGGGGAAACAGTCGCGATGCGATGCGGCCAGCGTCGAGCCCGACGGTCTCGAGCGGGAAGCTGGGCTGCCACGCGTCATAATAGTTGTCGTAGTATGTCGCGTTGATATCGAGTTCTATGCCAAGATCTGCCAGTTCCAACAGCCAGGGTTCCAGGAGGGAGTCGTGCTCATCTTTCGACATGTTGGGCGCGAAAAAGGGGGTCATGCCGAAGTAGTACTCATCCTCGCCAATGGCATATGCACGGAAATACGCATATGCGCCCGCGTCGGCAAAGGTAGTAAAATGAGTCCAGAAGTAGTACATAGCCTGCCAGAAGACCTCGGACGTGCCTGTGTCGGAGGTGGTGAAGGTGAAGCTGGAGACTGTAGCGCCTATTTTGGGCCAGGCTTTTACCGTGACGGATGTAACCACTCCAAACGTGCTGCCGCCGCCTCCACGCAACGCCCAGAAGAGATCCGAGTTCTTCTCCTCGGAGGTCGACAGGAATTTGCCGTCGGCGGTGACGACTTCCATAGCCAGGACTTGATCCGCTGCGAGGCCGTAGATGCTGCCTAGGGGCGAATGACCGCCGCCGGCGATATATCCCCCCGCGAAACCGACGGTCTCACCTTCACCGCCGATGACGGTGACATCGTGCTCGTCCGCAGCTGCATAAATCTCATATGATTGGACCCCTGAGCCGATCTTAAAGGCTTTGCCGGTGTAAGTGCTGCTATTGTAATTCGACAAGTACGAAATGCCCTTCAGGTAATGAGTCCAAATACTCAATGCACCTGCGCCAGCAGACTTGCCCGCGAAGTCGTGTCCAGTGTTTTTGATGACGAGGCGCATGTTGAAAGTACGTGCAAAGTTGATGGCGAGCTGAATATGCGCTACGCTGGTTGCATTGACGACGTAGTAAGGGAAACCACCCAGCGTGCAGTTGGCTGGCTCTCCGTCAATGGGCATGCAAGTCGCCCCCTGGTAAAAAGGCGACATGACGGAGGTTGGGTGGTCCATGTGTAGATGCGAGTTGGTGAAGTTGGACGCGAGGTAACTGCAGTAATCTTCATCGTAGTTGTCCCAATTTGAGTAGCATGGCGAGGCGATCGGAGCCACGTCGAGGAGCGATTTGCCCAGCAGTCTCTTGAAGATGGACCAAACGAGGCCGTTGGGCCATATCTCGTTATCGATGTATGCCCTGCAATTGCTGTCAGAGCGTTTCATCTCTGAAGACGCGTCGACGAAGGAAAAGAGGGATGCCAGGGCGTCATGGTGGTCATCGAGTTGCTCGTGGAGTTCGGAGGCGATTGAATTCAACAGACCGGGTGTCAACTGTAGAGTCTCTCCTGGAAACAGACTACCATCGTGCGCGATTTGTTCCGCAGCGGGTGAGAGAGATGATGGTGGAGTTGTCGTGAAAGAATCATCAGCCGGCAGTGCTTGTACCAGTTTCGAAGCTGCACCAACTGTGGCCAGGAATCCTCTGGCATTCACCATCTTTAATCAGCATGCAGCCGCAATACGAACCCGGTCCTGTATCAAAGAGCAGCTGACTGGTGAGATGCCGAAATCCCCCACGTGCCAAGGCAAGGCAAGCCGAAAACTTGGACGATGGATCGACCAGCAAGTACTATGCATACCACCACGGGAAAAGTTTCGCAGGCCAACCTGCATGAATGTACGAGTCAACCGAAGGAGCGAAACAACGAGTGTGTATAGTGGAAGGTCAACGCAAGCAAAGTTAATTACAGAAGAACTCGACCAATCTCCAGTAGTAGCAGCCAGAAGGTCACCAAACGGACATTTCTATTTGCCGGTGGTGCCGCTCACGATGACCGTGGAGTGGCCTCGGCAACATTTAGATCGAGTGCGCAATCTATTTCAGTGGAGAGTCATCATGGGGTGCTATATATTGATCGCACGATCATGAACGACTTAATATTCAGCATACATTAGCGTCCTGTGTGCTGCAGTACCGAAAGGACGCGCAACTAGGTCACATCCGAGCGCGATTTTCACCCCGAGACCCACCTCCAGATATCTAAACAGCGACAACAGTAGATTATTCCTTAGTTATGATATTTAGTCCTAATACCCGAATTTCTGGGTTTCTGGATTTCCGGATTGTCTGTACATTATGCCGAACCTCTGCAGCAGTACGCAGAACATATCTTTGGCTACAGATTATGAGGGCGACATCATCAGCTATATGCTGCGCCCGGTGCGCACGGAGCATTTCCGACTATGGAGTAAGAGTAAGGCGTCGTAGATCCGGGGATCATCGGGAATCCGTGCCGTAAGCTTGGATGACGAGATTCTTCTCATATGGATATTCATGCCATGTATACTTTTAGCGCTTCCTTAGCCCGCATATTTTGAGGCAGGCATAGAGTAAGTGCTAAGCATAGTAAAACATAATGCGTAGAGAAAGTTGGTCAACAGCATGTCCTCTGGACTAACCCACGACTTACCCTGGCTCGAAGAGTAATAAACCCGTCTTTCAAACTTGAAGAACTACATGGACAATCCAATGGACGTGAGGTGCGAAATTGAGTCAGCCATAAATTTAATACAGATCTAAACTTGCAACACAACTACGCAATATTTCTAAGATTATATAAGCGGGACCCTGTAAGATCTGGGTAACGAGTCAGTATTTATGGACCCTTTTCAGCCGATAGGTCATTAATATATGATATTTATATAACTGGTACACAAGAGATTGCCAAGCCCACTAAGTACTGTTCCGATTTACCGGGATAAATCGACGATCTCAATCAAAGTATCAACTCCGGAATTTACGATTCTGGTACAACGTAGGATGTCGATACAGTATGCACGGCAGCACCCCAGGTCTAGTGTATAGCATGAGGCTTAAGAAGAAGGATATTGTCAAGACGCACATGGAAATTCTTCTCGACAAATATGATGGACACATGTAAATATGCCCATGTGGTAAAGTATCCTGGTTGACAACAAATTTGAGGCTTGATGTGCTCCATGGGATAGCGGTGGTTACTTTTTTCCTAGTTCTGGCTTTTCGGGTTTTGACAGTCGTTTGGATTCCGACTACGACTCATGATGGGAGACACTGGGCTTCAGCCCATTGCGGTGGCCATCACCATCTTTTGCCCATGTCTTGCATTCGTTTTCGTGGTTTTGCGCACGTACAGCCGGTATTTCTTGACAGAGACACTGGATTGGGATGATACTTTGATCGGAATACCTATGGTTAGTCTTCAAATTCACCACTATCTCTTTGTGCCATGATTGACTAGAGACAGGTTCTCTCAATTGGTTTGGCGTATGTTACTACCGAAGGTATGTGGAACTGCACAGTCCCTTACGACTTCAATATCTGACTTTGTGTAGGCATATACGCCAATTTTCTCGGATACCACATCCAAGACATACCGCTCGAGCAATATGATTCAGTCAAAGCCGCAAAGGTAACGGATCCTTTGTAAAAACCGTTGTGGCTCAACCTTCTATCACATGCTAACACACACCATTTAGTTGAACTACGCGACCCAGCTCATGTACAACCCGATCTAGCCCTCGTCAAAAACGCGGCCCTCTTCCTTTTCCTCCGAGTCGGCGGCTCGAAACCAACGCTAAGGAAATTCATCTGGGCACTTCTCATCATCAACAACGCCATGATGGTAGCCATTTTCGTAGCCGACATGCTGCAGTGCATACCGATACGGAAGACGTTCTACCCGACAATCCCTGGCCAATGCATCTCGATTGGGGACTTCTTCATCGCCACGGCCGCGCTCACAATTCTCACGGATATTTTGGTTCTGATTATTCCTGTGTGGCTGGTCGCTGGGTTGCAGTTGAAGTTGAGCAAGAAGGTGGCGGTAACGTTTCTGCTATCTCTGGGGCTTGTGTATGTTCAGTTCCTACGTTCTTTGTGGATGGGCTTTCTAATATTGATTCTAGGGTGACTGCGGTTGGTGCTTTCAGGATGTGGTACTTGATAGACTCATATTACGGTGCGCCGAACCCAGACGCGACATATGGCGTTGCTGGGACTGCCTCTAGCATTGAGGTCAACTTGGCAATGTTAGTCCTATCTCAAAGCCCCTCTGAACGGTGGACTAGTGATTAACGAGTACATCCCAACAGCATTGCAGCATGTGGTCCAGCTTTGAAACCCTTGTTGCACTACTGGTTCCCGCGGCTCTTCGGCAACACGAAGAACGCCTCTAGTATGGGCCCTAGCGGCTCCTACGGCCTTCGGTACGGGAAATCTATGGCGACGACTAAGCGCTCGACAATCCACACAGTCCGCAACGGCAGTACCCCGCGTCATGATAGCTTCGAACTGCGCAGTTTCCCTAGAAAAATGTATTCGTGTAAGGAAAGAGGTGATACCCTCAATGACGACGACTCCGCAAAGGATATTGCGCTGTCGAATCGGCAGGGAATTATGAGAAAGACGGATATCGACGTTAGTTATACGTCTATTGACAGTCGGCCAGAAAGCTGGCCGGTAACAGTGCAGGATGAGACTGATTTTGGCGGTTATCCTAGGCGAATGACCGGGAGGGTTACGCCGGAGAGGATGGTTTGACTGGATGTTGAACATGAAATTATGAACACATAAGTTATGAATATGATTTATAAGTGCCTTGCTTATACGTATTGGTCACCGCACCGTCCATACCACCATCATAGTATGAATCTCCAATAAACTGAAAATATTTGCCCTTGGGCCTCAGAATGAAAGGTTGTTCTTCCCCAAACGAAACAGGAACAAAGTCATTTTTTGCACTTCTTACAGGCCGATCCCCATGATTCCGTCCTTGGTGTAGAAACATCAATTGGCTAGCTTCGCAAAGTGAGTTATAGCAGCGAAAGTATATTTAATCGATCTGAACTAACCTGGCAACTGTGGTTCAAACTCCGTCTGGGGACATTCTCCACGGCTCGGAAAGTTCTCGAAATAGAAGTCGAGTAGCATTATCCGCTACAAGCGCTCAGCACCACTGGGCTGCAGTGCTCTAGTAAACTTGGACATTTGCTGAACCAATAGTCACCTGAAACACCAGGGTCCAGGTAGAATGAACCCCGAGTCAAACATATGTTCGTACGAAAGGGCCATACACACTATCGGCATGGTTCACGCCCATGATGAGAAGTAGCAACCCCAGCTCCGGTATCTAACTGTGCTTTCACTGCCTTAAATTATGGCCCCAGGCGGTAGTCAAAGCGTAGAATCTTCGGCACTACGGTGTATACTGAACAGCCGACTCAAAGGCATCTATATTGTAGCCTCGAAGGTAACTTCTGCCATCTTCATGGTAGACTTCAATCCATGGAGGCCCAGACTCCATCGTCACACCCAGACAAACTAAACTGCCCTTACAGGCCAGGCTTCGCCGGGCAGATCGCCAGGCAGATCACAACTCAAAACCCGCCACCACCCTTGGGTTCCCCTCTCTACGGTTCTGTAACCCTGCGTGAGGCGTCAGGAAAATGGCACTGCAAATTTCAGCCTGCATATGTTTGATGAGGCGGAGTTTCCAGTGTTTCTTTCACTTTGGCCCCCTCCACTTCACATCTTCCTCCCCCTCTCCCCGCCCCAAAAAGAAAAAAAAACCAAAAAAGGCATCTTACCCAATGAGGAAAGTCATTATACAGGTACTTCTACAAGTTTGTATGGTACGCCGAGGTAGTAGAGCCTATGTATTTCCTCGCAGGTGAGCAATCGAGAGTCGCCCCTGCTTCCCCCGCCCCCCGGCCCCGGCGGTACCCTACAACAGTGTGGATATGCGATACTTGCGTACGACAAATGCATCATTCCAATGTCCTATAATCGCACTACCAATGTGAGCAGCACTGGACTAAAAAGAGAAGTGGGACTATGCGCAAGTAGTTCTGGCAGAAGATGGCTATAATTCTGGAATACCATATAGCCTATCCGCGCCAAACAGCCTCAATGACAGCAAAGAAATTCTGTGGGTTGGCATTCACATTCGCCACCTCAAACCTCTCATCCGCCAACCGGAAAACCTCCTTCCAAGCCTTGACCGGCCTCTCCTTCCCATTAAACAATGCCATGAGCCTCAAATCCGTTGCGGACCCCATCTGCTTGATGGATCGCGGCAGCTGCGGCGCCTCGGATGCTTCGCCCTGGTTGCCAATGTACTCAAAGAGGATCACACGCGCCCCGGGCTTGAGGGCAGGGATCAGAGCCTGCAGGATCTTGGCGGCTTCGGCGTCGGGCCAGTCGTGCAGGATCATCTTGAAAATGTAGATATCAGCCTGCACGGTCTGGGGCTTGAAGAAGTCGTGCTCCCGGAAGGTGACGCGGGATTTGAGGTCAGCGGGCAGGTTAGCCTCGAAGGACGACTTGACTTTGGGAAGGTCCTCGACGGTGATGGTTAGGTCGGGGAAGTGCTGAGCTAGGACTACGGCGTCGTGGCCCGCGGAGCCACCAACCTGTGATAGTCATCAGTCAGCAAAGTTCCATGATAGTTTGGAAAGTCATGGGGTCTGGGGGTTAACACGCGGAAAAAGGAGGCACTCACATCAACCACCGTCGCCTTCCCCACAGACTTCCAATCATGCGCATCAAGCACCACCCCCTCCAAGTGGAAAATCTCCTTGACGTATCTCATAAACTCAACAAAGTTCTTCTGCCTCCACCCCTGCTTCTCCCCGTCTCCATCATTCTCCAACATATCCCACGAATTACCATGTTTCCCAAACTGCCCCCCCGCATGAAACAGCGCAAAAGACGACTCGTCCATTTTCTGCGTCAGCTCGGGCTTGCCCTGGCTATACCGCCGCAGCGCCTCGTTCATGACCATCAGGGGCGCTCCCGCATCGTCCAGGATGGAGGAGACGAGGGCGCGCAGACCGGCCGACTTGGCGAGTGCCGCCGAGCGAGACGTGTGCTCGATGCGGGAGGTCGACTTGCCTGGTTCGATCTCGACGAAGATGCGTAGGGAGACGGCGTGTTGTAGCACGCGAAAGACGACCTCGTGGGGGAGGGAGGTGTGGGTTGCGATTTCGGCGTAGGTTGCCGAGCCAGAGACGGGGACGGCGGACCAGAAGTCGAAGAAGTTGAGGATGTTGAGGCAGGCGGCGTCGGGCATGCACTGTGTTCGTGTTAGTCGATCTGTAGGTATGGCATTGGGGAAAGGGAAAAGTGAGAAACGTGAGAAAAGACAGGGCTTACGTTGTGGACGTAGTTAAAAATACTCTCGCTTGGGCCTTGGGTAAGGTACCACATATCGTTGAGTGCGTCCAGTAGCACTTGGCGTGTCATGAAGATCTCCGGTGACAGATTGGAATAGCTGGTTGGACTGTCCGCCGCGAAAGTCGGCTCTGGCACTTTGTTCTCACGGAGGTAGGCAGTCAAAGTCTCTGAGAGCTCAGTGATCTTAGCCGCGAGGCTCTGGAGGGTTGGTTGTGGTTCAGCCATTCTGAGAAGGCTTGGAAGAATTACTCTGTGCTACTGAGAAACAGGAGAGAAAGATGGGTGAGAGGATTTCATGAGACGGAATCATGAGCTGGGGGCCAAGCCAGTCATTTTATAGCCCTTTTCTTCTCCCCACCTTCCATCACTTACCATGAGATCATGGTGCCGAACCGCAACTTGGCATACTGGACTGTATCGGCATCTAAATGCTTGGAAGAGAAGGTGTGATTGGGGAGATCGCAAATGGCAAGGCACGAAATCTGATTAGATTATCTTATCAATCTGATAACTACACGTCCCCAGGGATTATAATTGTTAGTGTAGTGACTTACCAGGATCCTGGCTAATGCACTTAATGCTTTTCGGCTAAAAGTCACTTTTCTAGTAATTTCTATGGAAAGAAACTGTTACACGCAAAGGTGTTCAAAGATTTATGAGGTTGTAAAAGCATGACATTCTATCTAGTCCTATGGAGCACGAAGGTTGGACTTAGTCCCAAAGGGCTAAGTCACATGGTAACCTTGGTGATCTTAGCAAAGCCCACCAAGGTTGCCTAACAGAAACCTCTAATACAAATTACATAGCACCTCAGCACTACAGATTTGGATCCTATTGAAAATGTATGGGGTTGGATGAAGAGTTGGATTAAGTCGGAATACGACATTCAGAGCCTTTCTATAGAAGAGCTCCGTGTAGCAATTCAGAGAGCGTGGGAAGCAATTCCAGAAGACGGGTTGTTGGAGTTAGCCCATTCAATGCCCTGAAGGCTCCAGGAGGTTATTGATAGAAATGGTGAAAGTACTGGGTACTAGAAAGTGCTAGAAAATAGGTGTAAGTAGATGTCTATGGACTTGAATTAATTTGGAATAGTGTCCCTTGGCGTGTACCAAACTAACAATTATAATCCCTGGGGAGGTGTATGTAGCTCCGTGGATTGCAAATTTGGCCAAGCCGCTTAGATCAACATCGTAGTTTAGCATCGTTCTTTATTGGGTGATGGTGCCTTGGCTCTCGTATATAGTGGCGTGTTTCTCGCATGCCGAGACCACTGAACGAGGGTAGCGCCAATCAGATTTGGACTGTGAGGTGGTTCGGATTCTTGGCCATCTGAGACATTTTTTTCAGTTTATCTTAACAATCTCAACTAACATTAATTTTTCTAAACTGAGATTTTAAGAAACAGCAGCTTTACACGCTTGCACTTTAAGTGTCATCCAACTAGTCCATGCAGACGGTATAATCCCCAAGCACAACAAGTGTTAGCGACGTCCGTGCTCACGCTAGATATCACATTTTGACCGAAGTATCGATTATATACATTCTACATACAAAAGGTAACCCCATCTGTAAGCAACGCTTAATTCTACCCCACCAAGACTGCGCTACACTACTGCATGCTCACTACTGCATGCTCACTACTGCATGCTCACTACTGCATGCTCACTACTGCATGCTCACTACTGCATGCTCACTACTGCATGCCATCACGCACCTAGCAATGCGTGAAACAGCTCCTCCTTACTCAGGAGCTGTAAATCGTATGTCTTCTCCGGCCAGTCCTTCATCCACGCCCAGACGTGCTCTGCGGGGTTCAAATTCAGGCTTGACGGTGGCTACTCCATCTCATCGGTCCCGAAATCGTCCCCATTGAGGCTCCTAAGGGTCTGGATAGCTTTGGTGGCGTATGTATTTTTAGCCGGTGGTTTGGTGATGAAATACATGCCGATCAAAATAAGCCAATGAGCTGGGGTCTTGCCTTGCTAACATTTATGATACCTGAGAGTCGTAACAAGCATAAATTAACCTCTGTCTCATCTTTTTCAGCCAAACTTCATTACACACTTGTCGGCATCATCATCCGAGACCCCACTACTCCACTAAGTTCTAGTCTCCGAAACCTCGCAACTTGGGGGAGAGGGGTAACCGCCCCTCGTTGAATACCGACTACGTAAGTATGTGTGGGATTGAGCGCCACAGTATGTTCTAGTGTAACGGGGTAAGGCCGGACATCCGGGAAATAGGTTACGGGGCTAGGAGAAAGTTTATTTTCTCTTCTTTTAGAGGCACAGAGGCAGAGTCCCCCATCTTCACGCATCATCATCCTCATCTTCATATCATCATCTCCTTCTTATCTATATCTTCACCCTCGTTTTTCAGTCAGTTATTTAGTTATCTAGTTATTCAGCTTATCTTTACGTTCGAGATCCTATTATCACGATACGAGTATCAGAGGCACATCCGACCAACTCGCGCACCAGACGTGTAAGAGCTTCGCTCTTATAACCAGTACCACGATCTTCGTCTGATCAGACCAACAGATAGATAGATCTATTAGTACTGGAGCCGTCTGTTCAGTGTGTTAGTTGGTAGGTATATCCTACTGACCGCCTGTCCCCGTTTCACTAGGCTGAAAGCGGTATAGTTGCAAGTGTGGATAGTGGGTCCGACCCTCCCACATAGTACCTCCTGGTAACACCAACCTACGCAACACAACGCGTAGAGCAGGCATAGCGATTAACACGTCATCCAGAATTATTAGTAGAGGGCCGATTCCCTCACCATGTCCCCAAATAGAGATAGTGGTGTGAATCCGCTAAGGCGTAGCCTGTTCCCAGTTGCTAGGTGTTGGACCAAATAACCGTCAAAAGACGAGGGACCCACTCGTATTAGAATGAGGTATTTTTGGTAGTTATAAGATCTGATACTAGGCTAGATGTCGTATTACACGTGTATCTGATCAATAGTAGGGGTCAAAGTAATTGATTGATGTATCTTGGTTGTCTTCTGTTGCATTCGACCGACTGCTGGTGTGACCTTGTGTAGTGAGGGGTAATCGTTCCTCTTATGTGGCTGTGTGTATGGCTTGTACAGTGGCGGTAATTGTCGAATATCACGTGTGTCCAATCGAGTAGTCAGAAGTGCGTAAGATTGTATATGAATGAGGTCTGTTGTTCTCTGTGTTTTGTTCTCGCGAACTCCCGTTGCTCTGCTTTTTATAGATTCTTTAGAACATGTCGGAGGTACATTGTTCAGGTGTCTGACCCCTAAGTGGACAGTAACTTTGGTGCTACTTTTGGGAAGAGGGGTTCCTTTCGCCGTCTGAACTTTAAGTGACACTAGTCTTCTCTAGAGCCATATTATTTCTGAACCTAGGAACCAGGTGCCCTATCTGACAGTAATCCACACTAGACCTTAACTTTACTACATCGATTAGCACGTATAACAACTACTAAGGGTATAATTTGTGAAGGTCAACCCTCGCAGACTCACTACAACCAGGTGACGTACAGCTGGAACACCTGCCATGGCAGTGTCAGATGGGAAGCCAATCATAACCCTTGTAGGAGCCCCGCCAAGCGTGGATGACTTAGTCGCGCTCCCTCAAACCTAAGTTGTCATCTTCTTTCCTTCGCTCCTTAGAGTAGAATCTTCGTCGATAGCACCTAATCGAGGTCTCTACCAATGCGATGCAACCCAGGTCGTGACAGAATAGACGGCTCCAGTACCAACAGATGGAATCTGTTGGTGTGATCAGACGAAGATCGTGGTGCAAGTCTAGTGCGCAAGTTGGTCGGATGTGCCTCTGCGTGATGCGAGTGCATATGAGGTGTGAACTGTTGTATTGGGAAAGGATGGCCAGGTTAGCTATTCTGGCCTGAATAGCTCTTATCTTATCTTATCTATAGCTACAGGTAATCTCCATGGGGTCACGTATCATAAGCTGATCAGAGCGTTTATAGCCTCTTTTTTACGGCGGAAGGTGTAGGCGAATTTCACCCCGAAGAGCGTATATGTCCCGATTAGGGCTCTGGTACGCTTATTATAGGCAAGGAGGTACTCGAGGAGATCCACTGCTATGTGTTCGAATAGTCCATATTTCTTGCATCATGGCCTTCGAGAGATAACCTTCCTGCGCTTGGCTAGGGCGCAGTCCTTACACTAGATCGACTATAGTATGGTAATTTTAACCCTAGTAGTCGCTGATACCGCTTTCTCGAGGGCTCTAGCATTCAGGTGGCTAAGGCGACGATACTAGGTGGTGGTATTACTTGCGAGGTCCTTGTGGACTTTACGGGAGTTATTTCCGTGTAGGTTATCGTCTTCGAGGCCTCTTTGGCGCACCTCGTCGTCCATTGTGGTCGAGTATCCTAGTGTAGGAAGAGTGCGGAGTATTCCGGAGGAATAGGGTCCACCTACAGCCGGGCCCCCCGGGCTCGATCGCTGTAGTTCTGGATCTTCATCTTCAGATGTGAAGCTTATCGTCGGAATCGTCGAAATCAGCAGATTCTTGTATCACGTCGTCTGAGTTGTCAGATTGATCTGACGGGACGTTTATGATGGAGCTGGTTGTTGCCAAGCCGTCCACTTGTTGGGGCGTGCTTTTGGCTTTATTGGCCGTGAAATTGGCGTAGCAGCCTAGTAACCGTTGGCTGGAATGGGGAAGAATAAGCGCCACCCCAATCTGCACCGTAATCTAATCTGCCTTGGCAAAGTATCACATGAGGGCCTATTCTGATTCGAGTAGAGTTGGCCAGACTGGCCGAATCCTGGAGGGGTCGGAAATCGAGTACTGGCTGTTCCTCGTGCTCTGAGAGATAGGCCAACGTTTCCTTCTGGGGCCTATAATAAAGTCGGGACCCCTCCATGTCGTAGTACACACCTACTTTCTTACTTAAATAGACTGGCTGAGGCCAGTAGTACGTCAGACTCTGCAGCCGGCCGCCGATTTGTGAGATTTGCGTCACTATTAACTATATAGACGTTAGCTCCAGTGTCGTAAATAACCGAATTCTTTAACGAATAGCTCGTATCCGCTGAGATAGAGCCTGCGGTCAACATGGAGTTAAGAGCGGCTAAGTTGTAGACTGCCGAGGCGCCAGCTAACGCTGGCCTCTAGTCATTAGGTCTATCTTGACGGAAGGTGCCGTTGCGAATAATATCGACTTTGGCCTTGAGATTCTGTGGCAACTTGGCTGTTACGAACCGTTGGTTCCTGGCCAAAACCAACCCGACAGGCCCTACAATAGGCCATGACGGAACCCCGCAGGAACAAAGCCCCATAAGGACGGAAAGGAACAACTAGGCCCCCGACTAAAGGAAAAGGTCACGTGATCCAAGTGATCCAACGAGATCAGTGAAGGAGAGATGGATATATAAGGGACAGGACTCCCAGGCATTTCATAGATAGACAGTCTCTACTTCAATGATTAATCTAAGCTTCAATCTAACCCATTGGCGAGGCAAACTGCCTTAACGACTCTATTCCCGATTACCCTACTTGAATACTTCAGTTACCCAAAGCACTCTACTCCATACGTCAAACCCCGATATTATTGCTTGAGGACTCCGCAGCAGGGCTTACTTACTAGCACAAACCCTTACAGACTCTTTAGTGGTTTACGCAGCTAGACTATTAGAGGTTTCGTTACATTGGCGTAGTTGGATTCCACAGTCTTCTGGATACTCTTCCTAGCGGTCCAGTTGGCCGGCTTGATTGGGATAAGGTAGTAGCACTCCTACCACAAGTGTTTCCGGCAGCAGATACATTAGGGCTTCTAGTAAGTCAAATCCACACTCCTTCTCTGTTAGGGAGTCTGTCTCTCTGACGGCGGTGCCGCTTCGCCCCTAAGAGTGGTATCAAGGTAACCCTGGATACGCTACTGGTATCATCTCTGGTAAGGTCCAAGTGTTATTAGAAGGCCTTGTAGATAGTATCTACCGTAGGTATGTCCTCTACTGGTAAGAAGTTCATACTCCTATGTAGGGTTGAATTCTGGAGCGGCTGGTTTTAGTCCTTGGATGAAGCTGTACTGAGGATATGTCACAGCGCTGGCGATTACAGAGCCACATAGTGCTGCATATAGCAGTTAGTGGGACCTAATGTCAGTAACACTGACATTTCTAGATCTTTTGGTCTATTGGCCTAGGGGCTTGGTCCTCCTCTTGTGACAGGATACTAGCCTTGGACTATTTCACAGCCCGCTTCGAAGGCGTTGATATAGGCCGTCCACCAGGTATCAGCCTATTTGGCTGTAACCTGCTTCTAGGCTAGTCTATGGGCCCTTAAGTAGGCGGCTTCTATAGCTATCTTGTGGGCTTGGGATTCTAGCTTAAAGTAGCCTGTAGTAGCCTTCATCTTGTTAGTTAACATCTTCTTCGTACGGAAGATGGGGTACCGCTTAGGGCTGATAGTCTTGAATGACCAGGCGGTGAATTTATCGGCTTTTTCTTCAATGGCTTTGAATTCGGCAAGTTCCTCGTTATATCGGAAAAGATGCTGCTTCCACTAGGTGTGCTCGAGGTCCTTCAAGTCCGAAAAAGCTTTCTTAGACTTCAGAAACACCGCTTCGCGCTGACGGTAGTATCAGGGTTTTGAGGCTATAGTTGTCGATAGCTTCAAATAGCTGACCGCTGTAGTAGTGGATGGACGGCAGCGACGTCAGAATTGCTGAATCCGTAGAAGATGGTTAAGATAGAGCCGGTGCGGTTATCTCGGGCTCATAACTGCTGGGTTGTATGCAAATGGTCTTGTATTGAAAGTGTTATGATCTCTGCAGAGTCCTGAACGAAGTGGACGGCGGCCATAAGGGCCTTATATAGACAGGAATGAACGATGCCTGCCCTACAGGCAGGACTTGTGTGGTTCGATGGGTGGTGGTCATATTGGCCCATAACGTACGGTGCATGGCCATATGTCCTTCCAAGACTGGCAGTCTTGATGTAGTAGCCTTGAAGGTCCAACAGCATTGCAATACCTAGGAAGACAAAGGGTCAATAGGCTACAAATACGGGGAGGCATTGCGGGCTTTCTACGGGCGCCACTGCTCCTCTACGGCATCGAGGCGCAATGTCGTCCCAGAGCTGTGATCTTTGCAGTTGAATTTGCTTTCGTTCAAATCCTCGCTAGCCCACCGGTAATGCTCTGCGGTTTTCACGTTTCCGCCAAGAGCTGAGTCCGGTCCTCGATATCAATCTCGGTGAAGGCGTTGTGCAAGTCCTTAATGGTCAGTGCTCGAGCCATCTTCGCACTCCTCGGCATCAGATGAAAAGGAGGAGTCTAAATCACCCGTATCTAGATAGTCCTGACGTCGTAGCATACTCGAGGTGGCAAAGATGGTGGGAAAGAGATGCTAGACTGAGATATACCGGTGATGCGGTGTAAGGAGGACCCTGGCAAATGGCCAAGACGGCGCAGGGATACGCAGCCCAACAGACTGAATTAAGTGTCTATGAGCGGCGACAATTCATAGCAAGTCTACCACCGAGAGTGGAGACGGAAACTTCTAAAATTAGCGGCCAAATTGCCGTCTTATAGTTCATACGAGATTTGCTCTATGTCGGTCACTGCCTCCAACTCATATCAGTAAGGGGAGCTACATTATAGTGTTGAGACATTCGGTTACATGGTGAAATAGTCTGTAGAGATCACGCTATAACAGCTTCGACTAAATGAGATACAAATAGATCACGGAGACTTTTGGGCCATTCAATCATTTCTGTTCTTGTCGCTTATACTCCGGCTGGGGCTCAATCAACTCCAAGCTCTCGTGAGCTTTGATAGCAGCAGCGTGTCGCTCTGAGCAAGCATCAACCCGATCCCTGGGCTGCATCATCGGCGGTGTTAAAGACCAGACGAATCCATGTAGTTGCTGTCGGCGAAACTTACCCCAGACGTCCTCAAGAGCAAACCGCGGTCCTCCCGCCTTAGCCAGGGTGTCGAGATAGTGTTGCAACAAGCCGCGCTCGTGCCTGCGCCGATCTGGGATACTCAACGAGCTAGGGTGAGGTCCCTGCCAGTCGACGAAGCCAGGCTGGCCCTCAAGTGTTATCAAGGTGTTTCCCACCTAGCTGTCTTCATGAGTAATGTCCTGAAACCGAGGATCCTGCGTGCTCCAAAGGGTATGAAAGGCAGCCAGCACGCGATCACGGTCCTTCAGCTCGTCATGCGTCGGCGGACAGATGTCGGTGGCATAGCGTTCATGCCAGGTGGCAGGCGCGCACATGGATTCGATGATGTCGTGGAGCTGCGAAGTTGTGCACCAGGAAAACCCTTCGCTTCGACTGCCCCAGGTGTGGGCATGAAGGAGGGCTAGTTTTTTCACGCCAAGCCACGCGCGTTACATTGGCTAGGGCTCCAATACGGTACCGAATGTACACTCGGATGCCGTGAGATCCTTCATCACTACCAGACCCCATCCGTTCACTTTGTTGGTGACACACAAGTATACCATAGACAGCCTCACCGTCACTGTAGGCGTAACGTGGTAATAAAACTCTGCCTCGAGACGGCAGCGAGCAACGGTAGATGAAGCTTCATAAGTGCTGCATTAACGCCGCCCTTGACACCGAGCCGAGGGGCAGAGCACCATCAGGATTGGCACATGTGAGCTGGACGATGATTTTGGACGCAGTGTCATGTATTCACTTTTGATGGCCACTGTAATGGGGAGCGTTTCTCCAGAATCAAAGGTCCCTTTGGGACCAGCTGATGCAGCAATGCTCCTGAAACTCATTGGTCTTCGACAGCATCTATCGGGGTGAATGACTACGAGGATAGGGGAGGGGGACAAAGAATCTCAGGAACTCATTTCCGTTGGAAAGACCTGGTACACCAAGTCTCCGGCGCAGTATTATAAAACTTCGACCGGAGTAAACTTCGATCGGAGTAAACTCCGGCCAACGGCGAATTCATGCGAGTAAGAAGTCCGCCTTTTCGAACGAAAGATGCTTCCGTCCCAGAGAACATATTGCTGGGTCAGACCTGTCTGTTCCTCCTGCACGCTAGCGCCTGCCAGGACCCCACCAGCAGCAGTCACGCCATATGCTTTGGTAGTGCAAGTCCTTTTAAGCGCAATTGCATCTTCTCGATGCGGTTGTCTGTTCGCAGCGTGACAGCTGGGACAGGGCCGTCTACCTCGCAGGGTCTTGGCCTATGGGGCGAGGCTCCACAGCAGTGCCCTTTAGTTTCTCCTCCCGTATCTCTAGGCGCCCAGGAGTTTGGGAAATGCTATTTATTTGCAGCGCATGAAGGATGTGAGGTCACTACAGATATGGAGCAGGAGAAGCCGGTAAAGATTGCGGTGGGGGAAACTGCAACAGTACCGGTAACAGGGTGGATTCCGATAGGCGGGTTCAATACGTCCACTCAATTCGTCGATGATCTGCGTGTAACCACGTAACCAAAAGCTCCATTTACCCCTGAAATGATCTGAAATGGTCTGTATCATTGGCCTATAAGCAGGCGATCCGGATAATCGGTTTCCCAAGACAGTAAACTCCACAATGCACCAGCACCCCCCCCCCCCAACCCTGAAAGTATGGGTAACGGACTCATGGAACTAATAATTGGAGCTGTGTCGCGTTCTAAGTCGCAGAAAATCCAACCGACAATCTGGCCTCGAAGCACTCTTTCCCTGCGTGGACGATACGAGGCGTTCAAGTCGGAAGTGACCCCGACGGCGAATGGAACCAAAAACAGACTACAGGGGGGGGGCTGTCTTCGCATTGAGCGAACCCATGGATCATTGTCTCACCTATCGAAATACCTTTTACTAATAGTGTACGATTTCCCATCCTTAGATCACACATATACGTTGGCGTTGCTATCACCCAATGCACTAATCTACCTAGTTCATACCCCAGATTTTGATGTCTAAACTGTGGAACTGGTCTCCTGGTGGACATCGCGTTCAACAAGGTATTCCCCTCACATGCCATAAGTGCAGCATTATTATACTGCAACACTACGTGCTACGAGACATCTTGAACATTGCACTTCGATTGTAGTTGGGCTTGCCTCAAGCCTCCGCGTTGTGGCAGAATTGCTACGACGTGGACTTCCACATAAGTTTTCTAGAATTCTGACTCGTAGAGATCGGCGTGGTACCTGACGGTAATTGGGGGGAGATTCGAGTGATGTTAGCGTCGGAAAAGAACATCACATGATGTGGCCAGGTACCAGAAGCAACTCAGCCCAGCATCATGCAGCCAAGACGAAAGGTTCCATATGTCAGAAGTGTCAAAGTGGGCCTGGTCTGACGGAAAGTAACCCTAGTAGGTTATTGAACTGAAAATGGATGACTCGAGGTACCAATTGATAAAATGACATTTGGCCTCCTTACGACACAGCTGCATTTCGACCCAAGTTCTCGGCGGACCGTAGCATTAATATCCCTTCAGGGTTGTCAACCCTATCCCTACCTCGCCGTCTCAGTGTCTCCTATATTCTCGCGAGTGCCCTCGTCAAAATACAAATTATGCATTCCTCCATCTAGTCTGCAGTTGATGTCCCCTATATTAGTCTCGTAGCTGTACTCTCGACGAGACAACAATATCGAATCTCCATCTCGGCATCCACTTACGATATGGCCACAACCATTGACCCCCTCACCCCGGCGGCTCCGGCACCGGCCGGCGTGACTGCCGACTTCTACAGCACCTCGCAGCTACAGCTGGAGCTCCTCGTTGTCTTTGGTGTGACGTTTGGAATTGCCACAATCTTACTTATGCTCCGTCTCTACACCGGTCTCGTCTTGACGAAACAACTAGGCTGGGATGCATGTATGTGGCTCTAATCAGTTGTCGTCCTCAAACCCTCCTTGGGATGATGATCAAAGGCATGGCTGGACCAAGCTTACACAAGTAAACTCAGTTTTCGTCGTACTGTCATGGTTGGCATCTCTAACATTCTTCATCGTTATGGTGATAGGTAAGATTCATGTGTCTTCGGTCTTCTAGACGAGTGCCACTAACCGTGACACAGCTTTTCAGGCCGGCTTTGGCAGACACCTGTACAATGTCAATGTGGGCCAACTGGCAAGATACATCGAACTTCTCAAGACTATGGCTATCACGTACATTTGGCCGCCAACGTTAGCCAAGGTGTCACTTCTCTTCCTCTACTACCGCATCGACAAACATATGGGCTTCCGATACTGCATTCCGCTAGCAGGATTCGCAGTCCTCGCGCCGACATTGATCTACACTATTCTGTTTGCAGGGCCATGCGATCCCGCCAAGGGTGACCTGCAATGCCTCAACAAGTTGGCCGTGTCACAGGCCGTCACCAATATTGGCACCGACGCCATGCTTATTGCTATGCCCATCCACATGATTGCGAATCTCAACATGGCCATGAGGCAAAAGATCACCCTAGGCTGCTTGTTGGCCTTTGGTTCATTGTGAGTTTTCTCTCGCCCAGCCGGATAGCTCCAAATTAGCCAGAGCCAAGATTACTGATATTTGCCTGGTCTTCAGCGTTGTGGTTTTCTCCATTATACGCGCTGCCTTTGTCCACTCCTTCGTCTCCGACGCAGACATCACGCACACCCAAGCCTACGTGGCGATATGGGGGTGTCTTGAGCTCAACTTCGGCATAATTTGCAACTGCCTTGCCGTGCTTAAACCTTTCCTCACCCGCCACATGCCCTGGCTGGCGCGCAGAATCACCGGAACCTCTGGCACCCGTGGTCAACCCAGGAGCAAAAGCGAGCAGACCACGACAGCTTTCAGCATGGCTAAGCAGAGCTCGCGTAGCCATTGGCGGGGTGATCCGGGGAACCACAGCTATCAGCTGCATAGTGTGGGCAAGTCACTTACTCCAGACCCTGAGCAGCAGTTGTCTTCGACGAACAAGCCCACCTCGCGCGTAATTGTGACGGATGAGTACTTTGTCGACTATTCGCCCAAAAAGCCCAACGGAGGAGACGATTCGAGCACCGAAGGTATTTTGGAAGACTCTACCAGACGATAGGTCACAAATGGCGACTTGTGTAAAAAAGCTGTGAACAACATGTATCCTTCTAATGTAGTAATATAATATATGTATAGTAGCAACCTCCCGAGGGACACTCTTATGAACTCCATCGCGTATTCTCGAGTCTTCGTCTGCTGATTGGCACTATCTATATCCGACTGCAAATCACGCAGAAATTTAGGCGCCGGGGAGGGGGGATGGGCGGAAGTGGACGCGTAATGCAATCCAGCTCGGCGCTCCCATGTCGCGCTATGATACTGTCTCGCTTCCTTGTTCCTGGGATCCCTCTTAAGGTAAGCCTTCCAAACCAAATGTCTCCAAGTGCCTCGATAGGACCATAGTGCTAGCTGGAAAAGGAACGACAAATACACCTTCGAGGACTAAACCAGACGCTCCACCGCCAAACTCCAAAACGCTCCGCCCCCATCTGCGTACACTACCGCGACGAACCCAAGTTAAGCCTCGTGGCAAAATCCCGCCTGTCCACCTAGGTATAGCTTCCGGGTAGAGGACTTAAGACATGAAAAATGTAGTCTGGCGTAGTCCGGTATGCAAGGCCACTGATACTTCAAGGTTGGGGTTTTGGACGCGTTCGCGTCGTGCTGTCGATAAGAGACGAGGCAGCAGAGCGGTGCGCGACGTTAGGTGGCAGGTGATGGACGAGTTGCGAGTATAAAGCGAATAATAGTGACCTTTCTATCATGTCACTGGAGCTGTGTTGCCCCTCAGCCCAACTATTTGATGTCACATCCGTACTCGCGTCGTTTTTCAACTCCAAAACACCAGAACAGTTCGGACTGGAAAACAGGAAGCCCCCGGCCAACATCATCATTCACCTGCAACAACTGTTACTATCGATTCATGGTACAGAGCATGAATAAACGTAGTGCTTTCCACATGATTGTAGTGAAAATTGGGTTTGTCGCAGAAGTTGGTGTAGGTTGCGTTCGTCTTTATTGTTGAACTCGGCGAAAGTCACGATTGATGCTTATCCATATAAGGCTAGCGCACGTTCGTAATGGAGCTATTTTAGGGAAAGCACCATGGAAGCACAGGGCACTCCCGGTTCAACACGAAAAAGGCAAGGATCCCCCTCAGCCGACTACCCGAAAGCCTTGCTTTGTAGTCCCTTTTCCCTGGCAACGAGCGGGTTTTTCGTTGGAGGGAGGTTGGGATTGTAGAACATCGTCCATCCCAACCGCTCCGTCTAACGCCAGTCCGTCATCGTCGCCGTGATCCTGTCTCTTCACTCGCTCGAGATTCACACTCGCTGCAGGCTGTTTACTACTACATCCGACATTCAGCACATCCAATACCGCATATCATCGACACGTTCGTTTACGTTCTACACGCGCCGACCGACACATAAGAAACATCGTCACATTACACTACCGCCGCAAGCCAATTCCTCCACCGAACCACAGTCGCAACCTAATCCAACTACAAAATGGGCGGCTTCGGGGACTTCACGCCCCTCTGCCACACGGCAGCGCTCCCGCTATGCGCCTCGGTCGGCCCCATAACCTCCATCTCCTCGGGCGTGGGCATCGAGCCTGACTGCTATGCGCGCAATATCGAGCTGGCCAACACAATCATCTTCGAGGGGGCGGCGAGCTTCATGCACATCATCGCGCTGGGCATGACGGTCATCATGATCCTGCACATCCGGGGCAAGTTCACCGCCGTCGGGCGCAAGGAGATCCTCGCCTTCTTCTACTTCTACATGCTGCTCAGCTTCTTCTCTCTTTGCGTCGACGCCGGTGTCGTCCCGCCCGGCTCCGGGCCTTACCCTTACTTTGTCGCTATCCAGGCTGGGTTCGTGTCGTCGCTTGTTACTTGTCTGTTGATCAACGGCTTCGTTGGGTTCCAGCTGTATGAGGACGGCACGCCGCTTTCGGTGTGGTTGCTGCGGCTCTGCTCGGCTGCCGCTTTCGCCATTTCGTTCTTGATTTCGCTGGCGACTTTCAAGTCGTGGGCTGGACTGGGTCCCACCAACACTATCGGCCTGTTCACTGTGCTGTACCTGCTTAATGGGGTTCAGTTGGTCGTCTACGTCGGCTTGCAGATACTCCTTGTTTCGCGCACACTGCAGGATAGATGGCCACTTGGAGACATTGCCTTTGGTGTCTTCTTTTTCGTTATTGGCCAGGTCATACTCTACGCCTTCAGCTCGACCATCTGCTCTGCAACGAGCCACTATGTCGACGGTCTCTTCTTTGCGACCGTCTGCAATCTGCTTGCGGTCATGATGGTATACAAGGTACGTTTGCTCATTCGTCCCAATCTCGCATTGTTATGCGACAATACTAACGTCTACTTCAGTACTGGGACTCCATCACGAAAGAAGACCTTGAATTCTCCGTCGGCACCCGTATGAACAATTGGGAGGTGAAGGAACTCCTGCCCGAGGACGAGCGCCGAGCCACCGTCTACGCCGAAGACCCTTATCACCAATCTAGCGCATATGACAATGGATACTCGCCCACCGGCAACCGGATGTCGAGGTACTAGATGTCGGATATCTCGGAGATGTCGGGGGTAAAAGCGTAACTATAGGCTCGTTACAGGGATATTTTGGGAAAGAAAATGGGAACAAGCGCAGAACATTAGGTAATGACTAGGGCGCATTTGCATTGGCCAGGGGTTTGTGGCGTTTACATTGAATGATTAGTGAATATAGTTTTTTAGCACAGCGTTTGGGTCTTGGTCTTGTGTTCCAACTGGTTAGCGGCAGTTCGAATGGCATCTGACTGTAATCAAACAAACACATCAACACATGGTATTATGACATGAGACGACGTGGTATCGGATGTATATTGACAGCATCTTCCTCTTCTGGGCACTCGGGCCCCGGGGGTGGCACATTCATTTGCCATGTCTGAATGGTTGGGTTTCCATCCCCCATATTCAGGCGCGAGCAACAGAGGTACCCCGAATTGCGATCCTGCCTCACTCGTCTTCTTCCATCTCGAGCGGAAGCTGGTATAGAAAGCTGTGCAGTGGCTTGTCCAGTTGCAGACATAGATAGTCTGGCGTCGACGCCGCGACATTATCCTGAGTGACTAAATCTTGCGGTCGACTCCTGGAAGAATAAGGCATCTTGGGGAGGGACGCCGAGGTGGCCATGTCCTTGTGCGGGCATGGCCATACAAGTCGAGCGTACGAGGAGTCATGTCTACCACAACAGCTCTGGTTCTAGCTGCTCCATAATCATGCCGTCTTAATCTGCGTGTTGTATGTCGATCCATCCTTCCATCTCTTCAGCCCTCATCCCCAAAACTAAGCTTAATCTTCTTCGCCTTCTTCTTCCCGCCCTTCTCCCCCATCTTCCGCACTGGCTTCGCATCGTCGTTTTTCTCGTCACTTCGCTTCGTAATCATCTGTGTTGCTTTGACCGCCTTCCTAATCGCTGCATCGACTCCTCCGGCATCCTCACCCTCCTCCTCGTCAGCGCCAACAACCTTCCCCACCTTCCTCTTCTTTCCTGCGCCGATGACAGCTACTTTCTCGGGCTCTTTTGCCGTTTCCATTTCTCGTCTTTTCTCTTCTTCTGCACTACTGTTCTTATTCCCATTCCCATTCGCAGTCGCTTCCCCATCATCGTCGTCGGTCACCTTAACATCAACGACATTACCCTCCTCATCGACAACTACAGGCGCGTCTTCAGCCTCCTCGCTCGCGCTGCGTACTTTGGCGTGGCGGCGGCGCGCCGCGAGAATCGGGTCGGGCGAGTTGGATCCCGTGCCAGTGTGTTGGCCGCGGAGGGCGGCGAGGAAGGGTGGGAGGGTTTGGTCGTAGGTTAGGTTCTTGCCGGTTATTTTGTCGGATGGGGCCATATTGGTAGGGGTGACACGGGGTGATGGTGGTTCTATTAGGGCATGGAGGATTCACGATTGGAGCATTGGATGTTGTATTGGCGCAAGTCTTCGAAGAGTGGCGAAACTGTCACAACGGAGAGCTTTCCTTGAGATGAGGAACGAGAGGTTGCGCACTGATGCGTTCCATGGTGTCCGTCCCACATTGTCCTACAAGCTAGTGGACAGGGGTCTCGAAGCTTAACAACTCCAAGCCTAACCCCGAGCGCCTTCACGGGCTCATCCAAACCATGACCTTTCCGCTTTTACAATGTGAACGTGTACGAGACTCGGGTTTCCTCACCCATGGATTCATGAACTTATCTTGAATTCTAAAGTTCTCACAATGCATACCAAGCCCAGGCTCAATTTCACCTTCAAACTATCTTCACTATTTGCATTTCCAAAACTATCTTGCGCGTTCCCCCACGAATCATCCAACGCTGGACTGGGGCCTCGCTGCTAACTCCTCGAGAGGGAGCTAGTCCAAGAGCTCTTCCAACTTCCTTGTGCATAGGGCTATGTGCTTGTTGTGGATGGAAACATTCATTTGACGATGACGCCCGATGACCCCATAGATAAGCTCCTGGGCGGTGACACTTCTTCGCCGGACGAGCTCATGGCTACTACCTATTTGACCATGTCGCTAGATGAGCTCATAGCAAATGACATGAGAAAACCAGATATCGCTTGAGCCCCCTCGAGAGCAGAATAATAGACATCTTTGTTGCTGGCGAAATTGTACTGGCAAGTATCATGGTAGTCACGGAGAGGTTTGCAAAGAGAGTTTTAGCTGTCACTCGCCGATAAAGCTGGAAGAAGGCTTGGGTTGACCCGAACAATGTCATTAATATCGTTCTGGAGGCCTGAAAAAGGAATCCCTTGTTCCACCCCAAACGCACAATGATGAGGCCGACGTCCGACTGATTATAACAACGATCAATCCCTGGGATACAAGGATTGTATTCGTCGTATTCCATAACACATTCGATGTAGCATGAGCACATCTATATGACCAGGATCTACTAGTTGTCATTGTCTCTAGTGGAAGAAAAGGGATGAAAGCATTTAACGCTAATACGCATGATTTGCACCAAGTCAACATCGACATCAGGCATCTTCACAATTGTTGGACCTTCAAGGCTACTGTTGGACCAAATTGACCGTCAAAAGACGAGGGACCCATTCGCTTTAGAATGAGGTATTTTTGGTAGTTATATGGTCTGACAGCTACTACATCAAGACTGCCAGTCTTGGAAGGACATATGGCCACGCACCGTACTTTATGGGCCAATATGACCACCACCCATCGAACCACAGAAGTCCTGCCTGTCTATATAAGGCCCTTATGGCCGCCGTTTACTTCGGTCAGGACTCTCCAGAGATCATGACACTTTCAATACAAGACCATTTGCCCACAATCCAACAACAATCGCAGTAGGAGGGAGAGTTGACCTCCCTTTCGTAAAGATTATCGCCAAGACAGTCCCTGGTAGGCCATCCAAAAACGTTACCGCAGCTGTAGGGAGTTTCGTGCTTCGCGGAAAGCTGAGATAATAGCAGCAAAAAAACTAAATCGGAGTCACGGCTGTAGCTTGCTGAGACTAGTAACCCATCGCCACGACTTAGCCGGCAACAGAAGTGAACTAGAAATAACAGCTTGCTATCGAATCTGTTTCAATATAAGAGCCGATGAAATTCTGTCGCCAGTCCGACTGACGTATAGGCAAATACTTATCTTCGATATCGCCAAGTCGTTGGTAACAAAATAACGGAATACGACATGACTTATGAGGATAAATCCTACTCAAGTAAAGTCCCATAACCATAGCATCTATTTCGACGAGTCACTTACTCACTTCAACTCGAGCCTTGGTCACCTCGTTCAAGTCCCTTCAGTTAGTCGTATTCATGTTCTTGCCGAGCCAAAGCCACCAAGGCCATTTAACCACCGCAGTAGTATCATCTCTTGCCATGTGGTCTTTAACATCCAGTTCTTTGTAGACAGCGTTTGCAAAGGCCCACGTAGAAATAAGACTCCTCCGGTCAAAGTTGAATTTTCGGTAAACGACGTGGCATTCCTAACCAACGACCAAGCCCGCATGACCCATTTGACGGCAGAGTCAAGATCCAATCCCGGTGTACTCGCCAGAAGCCTCGGCTTCGCGCCGCCTTGCTGTTTCCCAAAGGCACACACAGTAGGGGCGAGTTACTTTCCTTCTATCCCATCGCGACCTAGGAGCCTTCCACCTCATGTAAGATTATCTCGCCCTTTCGGGCTGATACTCCCACCATAGAGTCCTACTTAACGCTGATCAGATTGGAGGAAGATCGGGTAAAGAGCATGTGGGCGTCGACGACGGTTCTGAGATATGGCAATAGGGCTATAGCATCGCGATTGGTCTTGTTGACTTTGTTCAAAGGCAACAATGGATGGCCTATTAGGCTTTGGGGGGCCCAAGGAGTAGCTTCCAAAAAGCAGAAGACTGCTCAAGAAAACCAGACCCGCTGGCAGGATGACACTGAGCGACCTAAGGTAGGATACTTGGCCGGGTGGCATCCATGGATGAGTTGCTCGTATGCTATTCAATAATACTGAGGAAAGGATACAGTCTCTGGTGCTGAAGGAAGAGATTCACAAGATCATGGGTTGTAGCCGAACTTTGCTGTATCATTTCGTGATTGTTCTATTGGCAATAAGTAGCATTGGGAGTGAAACACGTAGCTCACACACGGCCATATGTAACGGTAGGTATATATATATGAACTGGAATGCGGCGCAAAGCAGGCCATTACCTCATGGAGTGACTCGCCTCTCCCTCGAGCTCTAGATGCTACCCCAAGGCTTTTGTGACAAGTTGCGTCGGTAAATATTTATCGTAGTGGGCTCTCCGACAGGTTGTTGCCAGGCCGGCAAGGCAAGTTGTACGCTTTATCAACTTGGCAATGAGTCGCTGCGTGCGGCCGTCTGAGGTAAGGACTGTGGGGTCGAACCCGAGCTCCTCAGGTATTTAGAGAACCTCAAGGATCGTGTCTATGCACATTTTGGCGGTATCCGGAAGAATTCGCGAAGTCATTGATGTGAAGAAGCCAGGGCTTAGGGGTCTGGGAGGTAGGCTCGGTAACGGCATTGTAAACTTCATCTCTCGGTCTTTCTTTTCGGTGCCGGCTGCATTTAGGACAAGTCAAGTACATTCAAAGTTGAAGTTGTCGAAGCTGGTAGCTGAGATAAGTTCTAAGAGATTGTGTGTATCCTGGTCGATCTACCGCACTGGACTCATGTCACGAATGTCAAGTTCATCGAATTCGTGCCAAGTCAGCTGTGTGGTCAGATCTGTTGATTCGTGGATTGATTGATGATAAGTCTAGGTTTCTATGTAACGCGGTAACAGCGTTGGCTTTATTTCTCCACTTGTGGGGCTTAGGGCAAGCCACACTTAGATCCACAATTGTTCGAAAGCGTTATGATCTGTCTTCTAGCACAGAAGGCGGATGGCGGGGTAGTTTCGCGGAGCGGACACGAGGTCGAGAGTGAGCTTCTGGATATCTGTATACAGTGAGTGTAACCAAACCCAGTTCATGAGTCTAGTGAGTGACGGATGTTCCTTCTTCGTAGATCGAATCAAATGCTCCGTTATAGTTAAAAGCCCTGCCTCCGCGGTCGTGATATTCTTAAGATGGAGGCTATGACTGGAGCCTAAAGTCGCGTTTCGTGTCATGCCGCTCCGCCACCAGCCACCGAGCTACTAACCGCCGCAACTATTTTATGACCGTTTGTCAGCCCGACGGACACCAACCACTTCACCCGCGCGCTTCGACGAGACAAACAGTGGAACCTTTGAAGCCAGTGGCAAATTCTGAACCGAATGGAGGTGGATAATGATGTTTCGGAGCAGCTTATGGTATGATCCTGCGGCGAAAGCATGGTTATCTACTGAGCCACTTATACTAGTCTACCATAAGGCACATTCCTGCGTCTTATGATTCTCGACTGCAACCAGGATATTAGCGCCTCGGGAATTCTACCAAATTGGAGACTGTAGTGCACACAAATATGCAGCCCAGCTGTTGCAGTTCCAGTACGACAATCTCAGCTAGTCAATCTAGGTTTTGTATCGCTAGACTGTTTACCAAAAAATGGGCTTTATTCTATAAAATACCATTTTAGCTTACAAACGATAGTACCCGCCTTATGCATCTCGAGCTGCGTAACAGAATTGAGACGGTGACGATCACTTCCTGTTCACCCTCGATTCTCCCGCAGCGATCTATCCCAGCTTCCGACCCTTTTGCAATAATCAGTCCAAATTTCCTCAGTAGCTGCACCGACTAAATGGGCCCTGAGGTTATATAAGAGGTATTCAATAGTGATATAGCGACAGCGTACTGGACCTTTCTCGTTCATGGCTCAATTCCTACTTGCTTTGTTCTCACATTCTCACAGGAGATCGCGGAAGTATCATGGAACGATGGAACTATCATGCTCTTATCTCTGGATAATCATTTTCCTAGTTATCTATCAGAGACCGCCCAGAGGTCGCAGATAGCCTTTCTCGTGGCCGTCATCAGTTTTGGAAGACAAGTCTGTAGGCATACTTGGTATGTTGGCTCTAGAACAGGTGGCTGTACAACAAGCCTCTGTGTGACTTGCCACGCAGTTCCGGCCTGTTAAACGACCAGGCAGACCCCCCACATTCGAAATGGATATTTAAGGAGCAATCAGAGCCCAACAGAGAAAACTATGCATTGTCATTCCACCTAACGTAGAATGAAACCTCCACATAAGTCCAGTTTGATTCTAGACTATCATCATACTCGTTACTTCCTTAGTGAACAAGATGCCCGGTATTTCAGTTCCACCCCCAAGGAGAGATCATCAAGTCAGAACCAATATTCCTACCCCGCGTCGATCACATCTTGCTGGATGTATCATGTGGCTGCCGCGAAAAGAAGACATTAACCTCGATATCGAAATTGAGGATGGCTGCTACAACCACCCAGTTGTGATTCTGTCTCCGCAACCGAAGCCAAAAATGGTCACATTATTACTCGTATGTTATGGTGCCCACTATCAGATGACATGATCGTTCAAGAATGCTAACCACAGTAGATAACATCATTCAATAGCACGAGTTTGGAAGCGAAGCACGCAAATGACGTTAAGACCAGGCTCAAGCACCTTCCTATCAAACCGGCCGAATCTCATCCCGACAATGGGAAGCTACTGTTCCTGGAGGATGAGGGACGTCCGCTTCGAAAGACTTCATGGGTGAAGACAGAGACGCAGCATCTCGTACCATTGAAGGTCTTGCGCTCATACACCCATAAGGCCACGGACTATTTCCTCTCACAGGAGTCGTACCACGAGCTCATTGTCAGGGTACGGCTAGGCCGAAGGCAATAGTACAGAGTGATGGGGAGTAACGGGCGTCCCTCCTACGTAGCACCGGGTGGTCACTGGCGGTCTCAGGTAGGGGTGCCCACGGTGATGCATTGATCTCTGCCCTCTCTATCTTCCTCCGTCTCGACTCCTTACTTATAGCCAGCCGAGGTTCTCTCTTGGATTCTGGATGTTTGCTTCCGTATGTCTGTGTTCCTCCGACTTCGGCCAATATCTTGGACAGCGGCTCCTTATCTGCAACCAAGCGATTCCCTATCCGTTGCAAACGGCTTCAACGGCTCTCATTCGCCACAAGCGGCTCTCTAGCCGCCACAAACGGCTTCCTACCTGGTGGAAGCCGGCCCGCCTCGGATGACACTTGTGGCTCTGACAACTCCTTCCCTATCCTACTTCGAGATGGTCCTTATATAGATAGCTAGGCCGCCGCTTGGACCCGGCATAACAGCAGGGTCGGCGATGCCAAGGATCTTGACTCTCGTCATCCCAAAGCTTCACATAGATTGTAATCATGACTCGGGAGTCTTTTGTCCGAAACACCTCTCCGGCGGCCTACCGGTGTCCTGCGTTCAGTGTCCTGACACCCACTGGTGCCTATGGCATTCTGTTCTCTGACACTCATTGAGTACGCCGGTTTCTCAGTTCCGGTTCCACACCCTATTTCCACTTCAATTAGTACCGCCCGATCAGCCATGACAAGGGCCCCCACTTCTACTGGCAGAACCACCGTCAACCAGGCTTCGAGGATAGAGTCTGCTCGCAGACTTCCTATGCCCCAGCATGGCGAGGACCAGTATAGCCGCCCGGCTCGGTGGATAGCGGATCTCGAAAATCAGGCAGGGAGCCATACTAATACGGGTTTACCCCTTCCAGCCCCTCAAGTTTATCGTCAAGGTTATCGAGTCGGTGGGCAGACTAGTCTTCTGCCTACGTATACTCAACAAGGAGCACTTTATCGGGCGGACAGATGAAGCCATTCAGACTTCGGCCGTGATTTCCGATCGGCGAGGGACTTCTCCTACGGTCACTCTAGTCGCACGTGCGCTTCTAGCACACCCGCGGCGCCGTGGGGAAAAATCTTCAAGGTCGTTCTGTGGGTTTTGGTCACGTCTTTAATCTTCTATGGGGGATATCACGGTGTTCTCAAGCTCGTTAAAGACATGCGGAGTGCTTTGGCGGCACTGAAATACAAAGCAAGTAGTATGGTGCAAGCCGTCGAAGACTTCACAGGCAACGCAGTAAAAGCAGTCAAGGAATTCATTTTGAATCTGGGAAGCAAATTTGACTTCGTAGAAGTTTAGATTAGGTACGATCCCCAACTTCGAACCAGGTCAGCTCCAGTCTTTTCGGCATCACATCAGGGTTAAGAAGTACATGCAGACCAACGGCAACAATTATCTTCAATCAATAATATCTAACACTGAATGAGAATGCAGACTAAGCTGCCATGTTAGTAGACACCTAACAGAAAATGCTTAGATGCCCCATTTCCCAATTCGGCTCCTGGATAGTGGGGAATAATAATCTCGACGCGTCTCTATCTGGGGACGAATAGCTCCGGCCGTTTCTGACACATCGTACAGCACGCACTGGATTTCAAGAAAATGATTTAGCGTCCCCGATGTTTGATAATAGGAACTGTATCGAGAAAGAGATGGAGGTGGGGAGACTGAATATTTTGCACTTTCCGCATGGCTATGGATCGCGGGACGGCCCATGCCGCCACGCCGTTACACTAGCAGCTGCCGCTGGGATATTGTCGTCACAGCACCGTAGCCAAGACTTTCCATTTCCTCCCTTCTTAAGATTACAGTCCGGGACCTTGTATTCCATTTTTCGCTATCTATTTCTAGATTCGACCAGAGGAATGGAAAATCCATCATTAGGCTTGCCTCTGATTAATACTCTGGATTTAGTATCCCTTCCGTACCAAGTATTGCTGTTGCAGTACGACTTCCTTTGGTTCGGTCGAGTCTTGCAACTTGAAGGCCTTCAAGTTGACTCGCCACGCAACATGATCGGCGACCATCAGTACTTTGACAGTACATTGAACCTGGCTCATCATGTCCACCAGTATCCTTACCAAGTCATATTGGTCCTCCTCCTGGCACTGGTCTACACGGTCTAGGATGAGATACACAGTCTCGTTCGGTTCCAATAATCGAATACAACGAGTGGTGAGAGAGGTAAGAGCCTCAAGCTTCTTAAGGTGCCCGCTAGTGTCGTCGTCTTTGTCTCCTTGGTCCTTCCACCCGCTGTAGTACTTAGCAGCTGCGAGAAGACCCTCAAGCTGTTCATTGCCGGCCAGCTTGGACCTCAGGAGCCGTAGTAACTGTACCAACAAGATGGGCAAGGCGATGTGTATCGAGGTCGATTGTAAGGGTGGAAAGACATAGAGTGCAAAAAACGCTAAGGGATTGCGGGAAAGTCGATCGCCAAGGTCGAGGGCAATGGGAGAAATCCAGCAGTGCCTTTTACCTTCACTGATGCTCCTGTGATTGACACCGATAAGTACTAGAAATTTCGACGCTTTGGAACTCTTCCACTCAGCAAAGTCGGATTCACTTTGAAACCGTTCGACACTTCCACTTCGCATCTGCTCATATATCGATTCTCTATCTCGCTCGTAATCCAACAGTCGCCGGTAGTGCGCCAAATTCTGCTGTTGGGCCTCAGGTGTCCATTCTGGTACTCCAAGTAGCTCTTGAAGTTGCATCAAGTGGGTTATGGCTTTATCCCTCTCGATGTCTATTGTCAGGCAATGTTAGACAGTATCGATGCTAATTCCTTCTTAGCTGGGGTATGGCTACTTTCAAGTTTATCAAGAAGACCTTGATAAATCAGTTTCAGTTCATTAATGGGCGGAGCAAACTCACTCTTATTTGACTCCCTCAACTGGCTTATGCTCAAGCTCTGCAGTTCTTCACAGCGCGTTCGGATTCCCACAACGAGCATATTGACTCTATCTGTCATGTATTGGAATTTTCCTGGGTTGGATAAAGCGCTCATCCAGCGGACTATGTAAAGTTTAGGACGATACCTTCTGCTGAGATATAGACTCGACAAACGATGAAGGTGACTCACCATATCCGGGTTGGAGATAGTACTTGGTAATACTCATACTCAGTTCGACGAATGCCATATAAGCAAATACAATCTTTTTCCTAAGGTCTCTGTTCATGTCGGCCTCTTCACTGTAGATTTCCTGGTACATCCGGAAACCTGGTAAGCGGTCCTTGACCTCCTCTATGGCCGCCCAAGTTTGCTCTTCCATGTAGCTCTTGCGCTCCGCTATCTGCAATATTGGTCAGTAAATGGGTAAAATATGGTACTAGACCATTTGCCTTGAATAGTCCGCTTATAGTGCCAACAGCGAAACCTGATGCGGGAGGGAATAGTCCGTTGACAATATCTAGCATTGGACTGATGTCCTGCATGAATGAAGACACCCCTTTAGAAAACCCCTGGTACTTCCTTGTCCATCGTCGAATGCCCTTCTGGTGTCGTTCATCGAATCGAAAATGGGATTGTTCAGCCAAGCCTGTCCAAAGTTGTGTGAAATCTTCGTTTGTGCGGCAAGAGGTCGCCTTTGTTTCATCTGGAGCTAAATTCCTTGATTCGAGCCATTTGTGGAACTCTTCATGTGCTTTTTGAAAGTCCTTGAAACTTTGCCTATACTTGAGGTGTCAGTCTCTACGTATACAACATGGAGCAAAATCGAAATTTGAAGAATTACCATTCTGCTCGAGAGAGTCCGTATTTACTTAGTACGACTTCATTTACCTGGTATGCACGGGCTACCTGGCCCTCCTCTGAGGCCTCCATGACCGAAGAGAACTACGAGAATTAGAAAGGCTATCTAGCACTTGCTCCAAAAACTCAGCGCAAGGAACGTACATATGACCACAAACCTTTGCTGACGACCCGTGAACTGAAAAAGTTGACGTGCATGTTGTCTAGTCCTGTCACAAAGTCTCTGATCCCGGCAACGTAATCTCACTGCATGATCAACAGGATGTGTCAAGCACTTCAATAAGTCGCTTCGAAATGATTGGTGAATCCATTATCAGCCCCCAAATTTGAAGCCGCATGATCTGCGCGTCAGTCACAGCCTGCTTGATGATGCGGGTTTGTAAAGCATTGAATTTACATTCAATGTAACCCGTCAGAAAGACCACCAATAGAAGTGTTGTTCGGCAGGATGCTCGATCATCCGTACAGGTAGATCACCAATAGCATCTAAGCCGGGCAGCATAATATGTCTGCAAGGCAAAAAGAAGTGGTACGAATTTCCTTGCCCGGTGTGATTTTACAACCATGGATGGTACAATTCTGGGACCATGAAAGAAGCACAGCGGGCTGAAGGCCATCAAAGCTGAATTAGGAAGTCCGCATCAGCAATCGATCAACCCCTCTCTTGGTGCGGTTCATGTATAATAGTCCTTCTAGCGCCACGAGTGGATGGATTCTTGTTTGAAATTCTATCGGACTCACACAGGCGTGCGGGAGCTAGCAACAATGTCAGAGGTAGATGAGAGAAAATCCACACAGGTACGAAGCTTTCAATAATTGACTCAGACATTAGCAAAACTAAGAGCGCAAAGTTGGATTCCCTCGAGGCGAGGCTACGAGAACTCGAAAACAAATACGCTGATCTCGAGAAACGATACAAAAGCAATCCGACAAACGACAAGGGGAAATACGCTCAATCAGAGTCCGATGACACATCAACTAATGAGGTGCCCAACCCTGGACCATAAAACAAGTTGACCGATCCTCATGACATTGCAGGTAACTCAGCGATTTCGCATTCTAGTGAACAGATACGATTCGAGCTCAGGCGAGCGAAAAGACTTCGAGCCAAAGGATTCGGACGCAGCTTCCAAGGACAAACAATCGACCAAGTATGCATGGCAATTGCGAAAAGTCATCGATCAAGACGAAGAGGATTACAGCGAGATTGAAATATTTGGCAAGCCTCTGCGCGACCTTCTGCAAAGACTTCTCCATCACTACCCCTATCACTTATTCCTCGGGGATATTGTGATACTTGTCTCGCCATACGAGCCACTGGTGCACAATTGGTGCCTACTCTACAAAGAGACCGCAAAGGATGGAGGAGATGAAAACGAGAAGATCGCTCGAAACGACCTCAAGGAAATGATGGAGACAATTCGGCAAGGATCAGGAGATCCAAAGCTGGATGAATACTTCAAGGTCCGAGAGTCTCTCAGGGCGAGTCGCAGCATCACTTTCTCAAACCTGTGGACGATTTTTCCTCCAGGTATGCTTGTGTACGGTCGGCCGTTCATGAAGCAACCCCAGGTCTTCATTGTGATGGAGAATGATTTGACGTGGCCAGTATTCAATCCCCGCTCACACACACATAAGACTTGGGAACTAGGATGTTTCACATACGACTGGACAGGCCAGAGATTCAAACGCCGTCTAATCAAGCTAAGAATTGACTCCTTTGAGGGCCAAAAGCCGATCGCCACATTGCCCATCCAGCCATGGGAAGGCATGGAGAAAGCAAATGATATCAAGAAGCAACTTCTGGAAAGGGGTCGCATATTCCGAAAATACTGCACTCTTCCCAGCGAAAGACGGCTATTCAAGTATGCCGGAAAGGCGATAGTCAACCGCAGTGGTATCAGAGGTGTCGTTCCTGACATGGTATGTTTCCGTACTATACCTGCGCGCGAAGCAGATGATTTGGGGAAGCAGTCTCACTAACGCAAAGTAGGACAGAGATATGGACGATGACACGATCATTCGTCGCCGCAATTATCTACATCGCTCCATTTATCCAAACGACACGTCAAACACAGAGCCAAATTATTCCACGGTAGGTCTCCGTTAAGTCGTTGGTCATTCTGCAATTGTGTTATACTCACGAGATTCAAGATTAACAGCGATGTCATGATCGATTTTGAGTCCTTTTACAAATACGGGCCTCCCTTTTCCTCAATCGGAAGCCTACAGGTAGACGACGAAAAAGGAGAGTGCGACTGCTTTGATTGCCATAAGAATCAAGCCCTGCAAGACAACTATCGAACACGCTACGACGAGAAGACTGGCGATGAGTGCGAGGAATGGGAGGATCTCCAGTTCATGCTATGTGCCCCTCGAGTCCTCGGCTACGTCTTGCGCGACAAGACTTGGGCCCAACTAGATGTAAACCTGGTCAACCCGATTGCCACGGGGGGAGCCGACGACGCCTTTATGAACAAGCTCAAACTGGCCGGCCCAGAAAACGGCAGAAATACAAAGGAGTTGCTCATGGGACTGGTGAAGAACCATGGAATCAGTGAGTCTTCGAATTGGAGTCATGGGTATCAACTGGATGATATTGTCGCCGATAAAGGGAAAGGGCTGATTATACTGCTTTATGGTGAGTTGCAGCGCCCAGCTTGACCGATTGCGACATACACGTAACTGAAAGGGAATTTCTGCAGGGCCACCTGGCGTCGGTAAAACTTCTACAGGTAAGCCCAGTACACCGTCTTCCCACCAGTGAATATTCAAAAAGGCTCACGCTCGTACGTATAGCTCAAACTATTGCAATCGCCGCTGGAAAGCCCCTCTTTTCCATTGGCGTAGCCGATGTTGGAACGTCGGCCAAGTTGGTTGAATCGAATCTTGAGAAAATATTCGACCTCGCAACGAGCTGGAAAGCTGTCCTCCTCATGTACGTCAAAGGTTCTCCTGACACGGTCTATTGGATTCCAATTAGCGTTCCATTGGCGCAATGTGGGGCAAACATATCTGACACTATCTTCTTGTTCAGCGACGAAGCGGACGTCTTCCTACAGAGCCGTGCAAGGGGCGAACTTGGACCGACTACAGAGAGAAATGCACTCGTTTCAGGTTCGTTAGGAAAGCTCTTCTAGCGACAAACTCTGCGTTTCTAACCGACACGTTCTATAGTATTCCTACGGGTCCTAGAGTACTACCAGGGCATCATGATCTTAACAACGAACCAGATTTCGCAATTTGATGTCGCCGTGCAGTCGAGAATCCATATCGCCATTCGCTACGAAAAGCTGAAAGAATATCAGACGTGGGCCATATTCAAAAGCTTCATGGAGCAATACGAAGCGAGGGGCCTCGTAGATCAATTGGACACCAGGATGATTGAAAGATGGGCGAAAGGGGAGTTACCGAAGAAAAACTTCGATGGCCGTCAGATACGCAACATCGTCACGTCGGCTATGGGCATTGCCCGCTCGGCAGAACGCAAGATGAACCACGATGATCTCCTCAACGTGGTAGGCATTATGGAGACTTTCAAGTCAGATCTCGCCTACCAGATGATGCAGTACGAAGGTAAGTAAATGTAGGACAAATGAGAAAGTCGTTTGACAAGAGAGCTGACCCGTGGATGCGATGATGATGCAGATTCCCAGAAAAGTCGTTTTGGTTGAGGTTTCGTCTTACGAGGCTTAAGCCAGTTACGGCGGAAAATTGCAGCAGATTCTTTTGTCGGACAGCACCAACCTGCAGTGGACTTACGACGGAGGTTGTTGGACTTTCACGGGCATCAGTTTGTGAGACTATATCGTCACCTAATGTACGTTACGGACCGATTGGGCCACTACTCGTCGTACCACACCAGTTTCAGCCCGAGCGCAGGCATCATTCACTTTTCTATGCTTAAAGCCTTCAGTCGTTTGTACTTGGGGAGATCACAGACGCATTCAACGACACGCATTCAACGACATGCGTTTTTATGGCGTGCGTTAGTCCGATATGTTTCCACACGCGAATCTGAACGTCTTGCACCAGTGTTCCCGCTCCCATTACCAGTACGTACCGTAAATACGGATAAGTGGAAGTCTCGAAATTACCTCTGCGTAGTCACATCTTTGATCCTGGGTCGCACTGTAAGCCATTATCTCCAGCTTTCATTTTTCTGAATAATCTCAAGACATGATTGTGAAGTTTTTGGTCTGTGGTAGTTCTGCTACTATTCCCACACGAAAATATATTTTGTCCTTCTTCCGCTTCTTGGTGGAGAACTTGAGAGTTGTGGGGTCTAGGTGGAAGCTGTCTCCAAATTTGGACTTTGCATGGGCAAACGCAACGTCAAGTTGGGATGAAATAATTTCCGCATGTTCAGCTCGCCTTAGGAACCCCCCTAGTCTTGGATAGGCTAGTAGTATTGGAGACAGAGATCTTGGTGCCGCCTGGACGTGGATTGGTCGTGCTGATAGTGCTTGTGATGTCAGCATTGGCGATCCTGGATGATGGAGAATATGGGGAACCATCTCCGCTGCCACTCTCACCTGGACTGCACAATAGTCAGGAGATCCCTGGTACTCTGAAAGTAGCCTTCAGGGTCTTCTACAGATGTCTCCGATCCAGTAGACTTTTGTGATTATTGCTGCTTTGTCCCTCAAGCAAGCTCTCCCCGTCCAGCTCGGCCGCTTGGAGAACATAGAACCCTTGTAGCCTGCTGATAATATCCGCACGATCTGCGTTCCAGTTCAGGACAACATTGGTCGAAAACCTGAAGTCAAGCTTAAGACGCTTTAAAGTATACTGCGCCGGACGCAACAAGTCAATAACCTCCACTGACAAGACTTCAGGGTTATCATCGCCTCGACCTAGGACTTCATAACCCCCTGAGCTATAAGAGAATGATTCTAGCCGAGGACAGAGTCGGAACAGACGCGCAAAATCGTCAGATGATATGTAACCGTAGTCCACCGCAAGTATGGTCAAGTGCTCGAATCTCTCCAGGTTCGGGTCATCTGGGTTCGGGTTCTTGGGCTGCCATAATCCTGAGCACCCAGTGAGCTTGAGGTGGGCGAGGTTTGGGCACTGCTTTAGCAGGTAGCGTACATGGTCGATGTCGAACCCTCGGTTGAGTTCGCAGACGCTGATCTCCAGCCGTTCAAGAGACGGGAACATAATCGAGGGAGATTTGGCCGTGCAAACGACGATGGAGTGCAGGACATCAAAAGAAAGATTGAGCTCTATACTGAGATCCCGGAGGTTCGGGAGGAGACAGGGCAGTAACTGCATTGACCGGAGATTCGGGAGGAGGTGCCGCAGGTGTGGATCGTGCTTGAATCTTTCCATAGCCCGTATAGCATCTTCGATGTGGGCTTCCATTTCTTGGGCGACTCCTCGTTCCATGCCAATTTGTCTGGCGACACATTGGAGCAGTTCCCAGCCATTATCTAACCTGTCGTCTTCCCACCGTCGGGCATTGATGTTCCTGACAAACGATGCGAGTCTCTTATTTGTTGCGACTGTTCGGAAGAAGATGTTATAACAGTTCCTGAAGAGGATTCTTGGGCGATGATCAATGCCGGTAGGGCTCTCGTAGAGGATGGGTTGAACAACGTGGGAAAGGAACTTGCAGGATTGAGCAACAGAAGATAACGTGGCGCCCTTGCCAGTATCGCGAAGATTACCGACTATCACCCATACCTCGGTGGGAATCGGGATGCTGCGAGCATTCATTTGGGTAATGGGCATTATTGGTTTATTCAGAGATAGCTTGTGAGCTAGAAACCCCAGTTTGAGCGAAGTGTAGGGAAACTGGTTAGATTGTCAAGGTTATGGTCATAGGACCAAACCTTCGCGATGGGCCTGAGAACCTCAACAGTTATTAAAGTTTGTTGACGTGGCGTGCTGGAGGGCCTGTGCTATCAAGCCATAATAATTTGGCTCTGAAGATAGTTTATTTGGCCATACTATGTCGGTCGTCCCCTTCATAGAGTCAATACGGCAAACAAACATACACTCGTGCAATCCTAACATAGATTCACACGTGTTCTATGACCAAGACAGGAGCCCATATCATCGGAACTTTTCAGAGGAGGGAGACGAGACGCAGACAAATCCGCAGTGACTTAACAAAAGGCTCGTTTTACAACCACGATGCTCACCAACCCATCACAACAACGACACTAACGACACGCCCCAGTACTTTCTTACGCCTTCTTCAAAGAGTTGGAAAAATATTTTCATATCTTCGGACTCGAAATAAACAGAAATTCCCAGCCAAGTAGAAAATTTACCCCAGATGCGCAAGCGGCCATGACTTGAGTATCGGCGTTTGGCAAAAGGCACGAGGATATTCACAACGCGTTTGATGCGGAGCAACACACCGCGGGCAGGACCTGTGGACCGTGTACACCCCAATATGACCAAAATTTTCTGACTGGGACCCCATTCAACTATTGGCTGGGATAAGGGTCTAAAAGGATCATTAAGCACTTCGAAAATCACCACATGACACATTCCAGGTCTAAGGAAAGGAATATATCCGAGAATTCGATGTGCGAGATGAACATCAAATCAATCACGTCATTCGTTGAGAGCTGAGAGCCTCGTTCGATCTACGCGGAGATCGACAGGGTAACAGGCCTCTAGGTCTTGACTAGAACTATGACGCGCATTCTATAGCGACATTATCTTAAGAAGTAGCGAGCTGACGGATGATGATGCTTATAGGAGACTCGATCTGACGAAGTGACGGTTCAAAAATATCCCAATTATAAGATGTCTGGGTGATCTACATTTTCCTACGGAAGCTACCGGCCTGATTTCGTGATTAAGAAGACAGATGCTAGGCCAAATCTCTACTATGCTGTGGGCAATAATTTGGAAACGCGACGGCGAAACACGAACAAGCCCTCTTATTTTCGTTTAGCCAGGTCCAGAATCACCACGCGGAGGAGCTTCTTGACGCTATTTCGACATTCTGGAGTAATGTCTACTTCCTAGTATTTTTGGTCCCCAGCCTTAAGAGCTACACTTGGGCCAAAGGTTTTCAGCACCCCATAGCACAATTATCGCATAAGCTAAACCTCTTTTGAATACTGTATCATATGTTGTTTATATTGGTCTTCTCGGTATGACCAACAGTGTCTGTCTTCTGTAACTCTCACAACACCAAAGTTTTTCTAGTTCTGCTTATCATAGGAGTTCATGCAACACCAGCTTCTTGTGTAGACAGAGTAAAGGTGAACAGGGATGGACGTCGGTTTTGTTGAGCCCTAGATTAAGGCTTCCTATTTCCCCTGTAAAACCGTACTCACCTGTATACGCATCAACTATTGGACTGTAGGGCAAATGGTCTTTTCATTGAATGGTTCGAAGGGTGTAGGCCACGTTGGCCAATATCGTAGGGTAACTGTGGCCATACGTCGTCACAGGCTGGCACTTTTTGATGTTATAGCCTTGAAGGTTCAACGTTAATTAGGTGGTGAACTGCCATCTCCCTTCACGGATATGTGCTTGGTTGTCTTGGGGTAGACTCTCCCAGAGAAATTCTGTGAGGCAATAGCTGAACAAGGAAGTATTATTCGCCTGTTTGAGGCAATTAAAATTGCATAATAACTGGATTTCTTCGCACTATAACTAGAACAAAATTCTCGAAATCAAAGTGGCGAAAGCAAAGCAGACATGGAACAACAACTTTACGGCTCTACCCTAGATAGGTTCTTGCTTCAAAATCAGGTAACAAGGAACGATATATCATTGAACAATAACTTTCGTCGAAATTAGCGAGAGCAGAGCATCTTTGCCATAGTTAAACTGTAATCACACTCTTCACTTGAAGCCAGGCAAGTAACGGCGAACATGCGTAATTACGAGACAAAGGAATAAAAGCACGGCGGAGGAGAGCACACATGATCTTCCTTATAAAGGAATTCGGAACAGAATGGTGGCGTCGACCACATATTGTGGTTCGCAATCAGGAGCTCCCTCGGAAAGAATAACGTGAGCAGTGCATACAAATGATTGGATATATCCCGTTGGTTATTGGAGTTTCCTTCCATAGCATAAGTACGTAACAGAACTAAGCAAAACCGCGCACCGGAAATCTTCCTAATGGCCGGCAATAGAGATAAGAAAGCGCAAAGCGGACACACCTCGGCAGGTTGAGGTCTAGTCAGCTCTAGCTGCATTACTATTGCCGCAATGCTGCATTCCCAATCCTGCCAAGTGGATACTCAACAGGTTTTGATGCTTAGTACAGTAAGTGATAAGACGGGTGAGAAGACGCGCAGAATGTCCGCGTCTGAATCATCAAAACAGCCAACTGGCTTATACGACTGTTGACAGTTTGGCCTCCATCACACGTATGTTCGTCAAAGTTGCACCTGAATCGCTAGACTTCAGCATACGGCTTCCGAACTATCGCAAACGCTTGCACACTGATGAGTTCCGGAGGCAAACTTGTCGATCGATCATGGATGAGCCGGGATGGCCTGCGATGTAACCCCAAGGGTCTTAGGGTGTCTTTCGACCCCACCACGTTGAGGCGAAGATTTGCATCTACCGTTGGAGCTTGCATCCCTGTACGAGGTAGAGTTTGCACGGCATAAAAGTCCCTGAAGTCCCCGATAAAAGAGCGCATTGTGACAGTGCTTATCTACCCGTTCGATTATCGAGACACTGAGCTGATACGAGCTCAGCTCAGAAAATCGCAACTCGCGATCTTGACAATTCGATGTCGGTCCCGGATCCAGCGGCCGCGACGGTGCCGTTGCAGTTAGCGTCCAACCCAAACGAATCCCGCGACCAGCTCACTCCGCCAACAAACACAGCCGACGACTCCAAACACGGCCTCGGCGCGGACTCCGAGCTCGGGCTCTCGCGCGGCATCGTAGCGCCCGTGCTAGCCTTCCCCTCGGTTCCCGAAACGACGCGCAACGAGATCTGGGCCTGGTACGCGTATTACATCGGCGCCAATGGGCTCGCGCTCTTCAACTTCGGCCCCACGGCCTTCCAAAACCTCCTGTCTCAAGCCGCGCCCGCCGACACTGGGCTCCTCGATTTCGCAGGCGGTTCGCACAATGTGAATTCCATCGTGCTCCTCAGCAACGGCATTAGTTTCGCCATCCAAGCCGCTTTGTTCCTGGCCATAGGCGCTTACGCGGATTTCGGGACCGGCAGACGGTGGATCTTGGTGTTTTTCAGCCTGGCGAGTTACGGCATTGGGTTCGCATGGCTCGCGGTGCACGAGCCGGCCAATTGGAAGGTGGGCGCGGGGCTGTACATGGTGGGGTTAATCTGCTACCAGCTAACGCTAACGTACTGGACGGCGGCGTTCCCGGCACTGGCGAGGAACACGCCCAGACTACGAGAGGCGGCGCGGAAGTATGCCGAGGGGGGGATGACGCAGCGCGAGTACGATGTCGAGGACGAGGTGGAGCGGAGCCGGTTGAGCAACGTGGCGTTTTACGTACAGAGCGTCGGGGAGGTGTTTATCCTGGCCGTTATCGTGGGCGTGATGTTTGCGGTGCATGTTACGGCGAGCACGGAGGCGAATAACTGGGGGCTGAGCGTTTTGATTGCGGTTGCGACGGCGTTTTGGGCGGCGCTTTCGATTCCGTGGTTTTTCATGGAGAAGAAGAGGCCGGGGTTGAAGATCCCGAAGGGCAAGAACATCATCACGGTGGGGCTGTGGCAGCTGTGGTTGGCGCTGACGCAGATTTGGAGCCTGAGGCAGAGTCTGATTTACCTTGTCGGGTACTTCCTGCTCGGCGACTCGCTCAATACGACAGTTACCGTCATCGGAACCCTGCAGAACGAGGTGGTCGCGTACGACACGCTCACTCTGACGTACCTGCTGATCGTGGGCATCGTCGCCCAGGCCGTGGGCATCGGCACCTTCTGGCTCATCCAGAAGTACATGCACTTCAGCGCCAAGGCCATGTTCAACGCTGTCATGGTCGGCATCATTCTACTCGACGGCTGGGGCATGATCGGAAACTGGACCGACAAGTTTGGCTTCCACAACGTCTGGGAATTTTGGCTTTATCAGGCTTTCTACGGCTTGTTCGTATGTCCCTGGTACTCGTACTCGCAGATCCTCATCTCTTCTGTGACCCCTCGAGGACACGAGTTCCTCTTCTTCAGTTTCTTCAGCATCGTCGGCAAGACGTCGTCATTTATCGGTCCGCTGGTGAGCAGTGCCATAATCGACGCTTCGCCGGGCGGAGACGACAATAGTTCGCCCTTTTACTTCCTGTTTGCCCTGAGCCTCGTCAGTGCCGCAGGTATATGGATATTTTTGGATTTAGAGAAGAGCGCAAGGGAGCAAGAGGCATTCTTGGCTAAGGAGAAGGCCAAGCTGGATTTGGAGACTAGCAGCACACGTACATAGGGGCTTTCGGTTACGACGATGTGCATTACTCACGAATAGACATGCCGGCTCGTATTGCTACTCGTATTGCTTTTCCGCATCTCACAGGCAGCAGTGGAGATGCTTTCGACATCTTTCAACAGCCAAAAAGCAATTACGCCTACGTGAGATGAGGTGCTTGTTCATTGCAGAGCGCCTTGGGGTCAGCAGCCAGTATCTACCGCTATTCCTTACGCCGCGTAAAGCCCGACTTTCGTCCCGTTCCTCGAACAGACAGTCAAGGTCAAATTCTCCACCCATGGTCCCGGATCGCGGCTCTCTATGCGTTCGAACTCTTGCACCAGTCTCGTGGCCACGAAGGATGCCTCTGTCAAGGCATATTGCTCTATACCAGGTCAGCATCGCACCGATATCATGGAGGCGCATACAGCTCCTGCAGTTCTGCCTCCCCCCACATGATGGTGGGAATGGCCTGCTAATTCCGCCGAGTAGTCCAAGAGGAGAGTGAGCACTTACGTCCAACGCATATCCTCGGTCCACCATTTAAGGGCAGGTATTCCCACCCCATCCGTAACGTCTCCCATCTCTCCGGCTTGAAATCGTTGGCATCTTCACCGTAAAACTCCTTGCGGCGGTGCATCGCGTAAACACTGTACGCTACGAAAGTGCCTTTGTGAACGAAAATAGGGGATTGGCCGTCCAGGCCCCCACCGCGGGGCAGGACTGTGTCGTTGTGGGCGAATCGTCCATTGAGAGGAACGACGGGATAAAGTCGAGCGCTGTATTGGATTAGTAACCCTCGGATGAAACTGGACACTCGGGCGCTTACTCTCGTTCAGGCAGTACTTGACGTACTTCAAGTTCCTCAAAGTCTCATACGTCGGTACCTCACCCCCTAATCCAGCAACCTCAGCCCTCAACTTGGCCCATACATCCGGCCGCCTCGCCAGGATAAAGAGCATGTTGGCGAGTAAACTCGCCGTCGTGTCCCTCCCCGCCAGAAGCACATTCAGCAGTTCGTCCCTGAGGACAACCCGATCCGTCGTCTGCTTAGCCAGCTCCTTGAGAAATACGTATTTCCTGTCATCAACACTCGCCTTCTCCTCGTCCTGAGCACATCGGAGCTGGATGGCGGCATCGACAAATTTCTCAATTTACTGGTGGACGAACTCGATCGCCCTTACCGCCCGGCAATCTTTTAGGATGCGGGCGATGTATCCGAGGCGGAAAAGCCTCACCCCGTCTTCTTGGGCATAGTTGAAGGCCTCGGCGAACGCGGAGCCCGCCTCGTTCCCTTGCCTCTTGCCCTCGAGCGACTCGACGGAGTGTCCAAAGAGGAATTCGGTAGCGGAGTCGATGGTAAAGCAGAAAAATAAATCTTGCAAGTCGACCGTGGACTCGTCCCTCGGAATCAGCGACAGCATAGTCTGAAAATGTCGCTCGAAAGCTTCCAGATCAGCAATCTGCTCGCGGATGAAATTAGGCCTTATCAAACTGCGCGACTTGTGCCACCTGTCCCCGTCCGACGTGAAGATGCCATGGCCCAGAAGCGGGCCGAGTGCGAACTGGCGATCGCTCAACCCGAAGTCGTGGAATCGCACTGACAATATCGTCTTGATGTTATACGGGTCACTGGTAATGATGGTACGGTTCGTGAATGTATCCATGGCGAACGTAGGACCATAGACTCTATCACGCTCTAGAGAGTCCTTGAGCGTGGTGCCGTTCTTTGCGTGGCGGTTCATTTGCATCTTGCGGTCGAGGCCAAAGAAGGGGTTCTTGGGCTGCGCACTATTTCGGATCGGTTGGCAGCCATTCTTCAATTTGATCTGGCGCCGTGCTATATATTATGCTGCGAGACGGCATAAGAAGACGATTGTGCCAATGGCTAGCACGGCCTGGACTAGTTGGCTTTTACTCAACGCCATGGTGGTGAGTAATTCCGGCGGAAGCTGCTGCTGGTATGGTTGGAAATTTCGATAGTTTCACCTCAACAAGCGAGTTTGGACGCCGCGATAGAGGTGTGACTGGGGATGAAGGAGGCGTGGGTTAACGTCCCACACCCACATCCGGGACATCTGTGGGACGCCCTAAAAATGATGCTGTATATTATAACCATTGACTTCAACCTTTTTTTACACTTATTCTGATGCGACTACAATACAGCTTTCACCGTCGCTAGGGTTTTCAGACTCGCTAGACTCATCTGTACTATCCTCAATTCCACCAGCCTCGATTTGAGCCTTCCGAATAGCCTTGATATTAGTAAACTTCGAATTAGGGCTCATCTTGACCTTCCTCTGCTTCTGTCAGAGAACAGAATGCCATAGGCACCAGTGGGCCGCCGGAGGGGTGTTTCGGACAAAAGACTCCCGAGTCATGATTACAATCTATGTGAAGCTTTGGGATGACGAGAGTCAAGATCCTTGGCATCGCCGACCCTGCTGTTATGCCGGGTCCAAGCGGCGGCCTAGCTATCTATATAAGGACCATCTCGAAGTAGGATAGGGAAGGAGTTGTCAGAGCCACAAGTGTCATCCGAGGCGGGCCGGCTTCCACCAGGTAGGAAGCCGTTTGTGGCGGCTAGAGAGCCGCTTGTGGCGAATGAGAGCCGTTGAAGCCGTTTGCAACGGATAGGGAATCGCTTGGTTGCAGATAAGGAGCCGCTGTCCAAGATATTGGCCGAAGTCGGAGGAACACAGACATACGGAAGCAAACATCCAGAATCCAAGAGAGAACCTCGGCTGGCTATAAGTAAGGAGTCGAGACGGAGGAAGATAGAGAGGGCAGAGATCAATGCATCACCGTGGGCACCCCTACCTGAGACCGCCAGTGACCACCCGGTGCTACGTAGGAGGGACGCCCGTTACTCCCCATCACTCTGTACTATTGCCTTCGGCCTAGCCGTACCCTGACAGCTTCCTAGCCCTACTAGCCTCAAGCTCTGCCTCTATTGCCTCAATCTTTCGCTGTGCGACAGCTAACTGGTAGTCCTTCTCATCAAAGCCCTTTTGAACTTTCCGAAAGAGTAGCCGCTGGGTATTTGGATCACTATCAAACTTGCTGAATAAGCTGAGTTGATCTTGGAGCTCATCTCTCCTCTTAGGTGTTGACCAGGCTATTGCTGATGTCTCTAACGCCCAGTCCTGACTACTAGAGTGCCCTTTGCAAATCTGACTAGGATGTTTGATTGGTGCTGACGTATTCTCAAGGAGCAGGGGGCTCATAAGGGGTCTAGCTATGCTCGAAGGCCAGAGACCAGTATATTTCCATCCACTGATAATGTTCTTGACGGTCAATACTGCTAGACGTGCCTTTCTATAGCAGAGGAGAAAGTTTCTTTTCCCTACGACAGTAGTAGTATCCCATTGGTTAAGGTAACCAAGCTCTTTCTTATAGGCTGCCTTGAGGGGTCCAAAGACTGACTGATCGAGAGGCTGGAGAACGTGGGATGTGTGTGGCGGTAAGAAAAGCAAGTGTATCTTGTTTATGAAGCAGAGGTACATAAACTCTGTCGTCTTGTGGCTACTATGCCCATCTAGGATAAGTAACCTAGTCTCTTCAGGGTCCTCTGGTTGAGTCAAAGGAATAAAGATCTTTTGTAGCTACTCAATAGCCGTAGAGTCTGACGTCCACCTATTCTCTGTTGCTGTAAACCTCCAGGCTTCGTATGGAGTCAAGTCTAGAGGAAACCACTGCTGCTGGACAGACTTCCCCTTGTATATCACAAGTGGGGGTAGTGCAGTACCAGTCGCAGAGATACACTCTATAAGAGATGTCCAAGCTCGAGATCCAGGCTGTTTCTTCCGCATAGAACGAGTCTCAGATGATCCTAGAACAATAACATTTGATCCTCTACCTTCTAGAATACCTGTCTCATCCATATTGTATCGATTCGAGGCCTTAATAGCTTTGATCTTAGGGATAGCGAGGTATTTGAACCATTGCCTGATCACATTAGCTGAGGCTCCATTAATACGCTGGGAATCGATAGCTCTGCTTCTCTGGACCTTGAATGAATGGTTCCTCTTGATAAAAGCCTGGACCCAGTTCTTTCCAAGTGGTTCGGTGTCCGTGGATCTGTAGGATACGCTCGGCGAAGTCTTTGAGCTGTTGATGGGTTGGTGGGAGGCCTAGGGCAGCCTGGATTCGAACCCATTCAGCCAGATGGGAATCCTGGGCTGGAGAGAGCCTCTGGTAGTCAGTGAAGGCTATATCTCTTGACTGGGCTCCCTGAATCCGTCGTGAAAGAGTAGACCTTGGGACACCATGCTCATATGCTGCTTTTCGGAGGCTTTGACCGGTAGCTATTGCTTGAAGAGCTCGATAAATATCATCTTCGATATATTCACTCATATTTGAGGGATTCAATCCTCTATTGATGACTCTGCGTAGATCCTGTCTTGATTGATCTATCTATCTGCTCTGTTGTGTCTTCTGTGTAGCTATTTTATCCATGAGGAAGGGTTTTGACCCCACTAGTGCAATTGCCGCTACACCGCCTTCGGCCTAGGGCATAACCGTGGCGCTCAATCCCACAATATTAGTGTAAAGAAGACGTACGTAAAATTTCGTAACGATTGAATCGATATTGGTAAAGATAAAAGAGGTTGAAGTTAGAGGCTAGCGGTGTTGATGAGGCATTTTTGGGTGTCCCACATGTGGGGGTGTCCCGGATGTGGGTGTGGGACGTTACTCCTGAGAGGCGCACAGGGTAAGACTTGTGTTGGAAATGATAGCCAACGAACACAGTCTACGGACTTTCTAGCGGCCTTAGATCCCGTTCGCGGATAACATGCGGTTTAGTTAACCCATACGGCGCGTCAACTGTGACGGCCGGTGTCACGATGCCACGAAACCCACTAGCTGTGGACCCGTAGGAGCACTGGCCATCTGAAGGCGGGATTGAAGATCCTCAGATGTGAGCCAGCCTGTTTTAGTTTCTCTTTCTTTCCTTGTCGAGAATCGTTAAGTCAATACAGTGCATTAGAGTGTTTTGACTCTTCAATTGTGCTCACCGTGACATCAACCCTTACGGCGCGTCAACCCTTACGGCGCGCTGCCCACCTTGTTGACTTCGCCTACCTAGCGATAATAGGGAGATTGGTCAGTTTAGGATTACGAGCATCCTAGCCAGTCGACCGTCAAGCACTACGTCGGCGGAATATAACTCGACAGCCGGTCCAGAATTCGAATCGTTAATCCGACCACTTATCGGACCCCCTCTCGCCGCGATTCTTGCGAGCGTCTAGACCACGTTACGGTCTATCCACTTGAGCGTATGGTTGAGATGTATACGCTCCAAGAGAACCCCAATTAGCAGATACTACGACTTGTCGCGACAAAAAATAGTCGAGCATCTTCTGCACATCAGCAGCATCCCACCCCTGAGGACGAATTTAAGTGCCACATTACCACGCTTATCGGTAGTTCAGGCAGGGGTTGTAGCACAGACTTAGGGAGGGACAGGAGGTTTAGTAGTCGTTTGGCTACAAGTTTACCTGTATAACCGCCCGACGCGGCTTAAGGGCCCGCTATATCATCTATAGCCCCTTAAGGGAGTACTTGTAGAGGTACCGAGGGTTAACACCTACGGCGTATTTAATATTATTTTAAGGTAGTAAAAGGGAAGAGCAGCGTGAAGGGTAGACGAACGACATTTCAAGACAGAGATAGAAACATCGCAAACGGGATTTGACACGTACCGGTGGCATGAAGGGGCTGCCCCCCGAGATCGTGTTCTTCCGGTTTAATGACTCGGAAAGCGCGAGGAGGTTAGCAGGGATGCACAGAGTACTATAACTCTACTGGGCAACGGCATCGGCAATTATAAGGTTACCTTCAGGTAAGTGCCAAGTTTCAGTTTTCGAGAGCAGTACTGCAGTCGAAATGTGTCACAATACCCCACAACGTTACGCACGATGCTCCTCCGTCTAGGTAACGGACATCATTGATGCGCACAGGGATTCCCCAGATTTTCAAGTTACGAAACCGTTAGGAAACACGGGAAGCAGGCCTGTTAAGGCATAATTAAAGTATTCATTTAATCTTGGGGACTGGTCTTCCACGGCAATCAGACGCCTCCTTATGTCTTATATAGTGGAGATGATCTAGTTTTATCGCGAACATAATACGCTGGTTATATAGAAAGAAGGCTCGTATATAATCTTGAAATAATTGATTTAATCATTTAGGTAACTCAAGAAATAATACAGAAATACTTACTTAAAGATAGTAGTCAAATGGTTGCTAGGGAGGTTAGCTTCAGGATCGTGGGGATGCTTTTACTACTTGTATTAGCTTCCAGGCTGCCTGTATATAGTTTTCCAAAAAAAAAAAGTTACAACGTAGGCGATCGGCTTCCAGATCAAGTAGAATACAGCAGACCAAGCTACTAGTATCCTTGCAAAACCTTGATCTACGTAAATTGAAAGCGGTCAATTTAAACATCAACGCCATCCCCTGCCTTTGGCACGATTTCTAAGTCTTTTCGTCTCATCCACCTCCCCAATCACCTCAACCACCGATGCTCAAAGATGCGACAATCCATCTCCATGCGGCATCGTCACCAAAGCGGCCGGCACCCTCGGCCTGAAAAAGTCCGACTCAAAACTCACGGGAAACCTCCCCCTGCCCTCGGCCTCTGCGTTCACAAAACACGCCATGCTATTGTACTGGCAGGTGAAATTTCCAAATCCGTTTTCGTCAATAACAACGGCCGCGCCCTCGAACCCCAGGACATCCGTCCAGACCTGGCCCGCGTGCTGGCGCCCCACGCACATGGAAAGCACTGGCTGCTCCTGAGCCTCGTGGTGGTGCGTCTCCCGACCCCAACTGAGAATCACAGCCATGCCGCTCGGCTTCTCCCGAGTGCCCTGCCGTACCCAGCCAATGCAGTCATGCCTATCAAAATGATCCACCTGTGGGCCATGAGCGTACAACTTCCGGGCTAGACACAAGTCGGGCAGTTTGCCCCGACAAGTAGGTGGCTCGGGATACGGACGGCCGATACCGTAAAGGTCGCCGAAAAAGACGCAGGGGCGGCCGTCGCGGCGGAGGAGGATCAGGGCGTGTGCGTGCGGTGTGAAGGAGCGGTTTATGGGAGTGTCCATCTCTTGGCCGCGTTGGGTGTCATGGATGCGGATGAATGTCTGGGCACGTATTCAGTTTACGGGTTCCCCACTTTTAACCATTGGGGCCGAAGGAGATTTGATGTGGAAAGGGGTGGTGGAACTTACCACGGCGTTCTGCGGTCTTGCCTCTACCAGCGTATTGTTGAATACCACCCTCAGGTCCGTGTCCTCTCGCGTAGAAAGACGAGCAATGTGATACATGAGCGGCACATCGTAAAGACAGAAATGCGGACTCATGTGATCCAGCCACTGCGTCAACATGTGCACATCCCCATGCCAAAACTCCCCGACGAAAAATAACCGCGGATCCATCTTTGCTTTCAGCAGCTTGGCCCAGTTGTTGACGAAATTGCGTGAATAGTGCTGCACCGCATCCAGCCGGAACCCCTGGAGTCGCAGTTCTTTTATGATCCACTTACCCCATTCGTTGGTTTCTTGCACGACTTCCGGGTTCGTATAGTCGAGGTTTTCCAACATGAGGTAATCGGCATTGCCTTGCAATGTCCCCACGTCTTGCGCCCAGTCCTTGCCGTCTTCGATAAACCGGTAGATGGCCCTCTTCTGGTTTGTTTGGTTCCAGTCGGTTCCGTTGAAGTGATTTTTGTTGTAGGTGAATTTACTGTATTTCCCCCCTCTCCCAGCAAAGTTGAATTTGGTCCACGCCTCGATTTCGTACGGCTCTGTAATGTCAACTCGCCGATCTGGGCGGCGCACAACTGTCAGCGGTGTGTGAACGCCGTGATGTATGACTTTCTGCACAACTTACCCCTTGGATCTACCTCGACCACTTTCACCGTCTCAGTAGTATCGGCAAAAGCTCGATGGTTGAGAATCGCATCCCATATCAACCCCATTCCCAACGCCCGGGCATCCGCCGCGAGGTTCACGAGATCCTGCTTAGACCCCCACTTGGTCGGCACGGTACCCTTCTGGTCGAACTCGCCCAAGTCGTACGCATCATAAATATCATACCCATTGCTCTCAGCGTCTCGCCCCTTACTCCCAGGCGGCAACCACAAGCTATCGATCCCGATTGATTTCAGTCCCGGCAGCGCTGCCCGTAGTCGTCTCCAGTGTTGGTGTTCACTGTGCAGGTTCCACTCGAACGCCTCGAAAAGAACTGGGTTGTCCACATCGTGCACGGAAGTGGCTTGGGAGCCACTCTCCTGGACTCTCGCTTGGGGCGTCGGGGGAATAATGTCCAGCGCCATATTTACACACAATTCAGGAAGCAGTACGACAAACAAACAACCTCAGAAAGCAAGAAAGGCTACATTTATACTTTCAATGTCAATAATGGTACACGGGCCTAGCTGGCGCGAGAGGACGACCCGCGCTCCGCGGAACAGGTTCCCGTGACGCATGTCGAACAAAGTTTAAACCCATGTCGCTCGGCGCCGAGGGATGGTACCTGGTCCCTGATTATGCCATGAATAAAGATAAAACCGCCATTAGCTAGGGTTTAGACTCTCGTATCGTACCTTCAGTTCCATGTTTTACGAGCACCGTTCGCTGCGTGCTCCTTTAAATTGGGGGTTGGCGTCTGAATTCGTTAGGGCTTGGCGTTTGGGGCTTAGATCTGGGGCTTAGCGCTTGGGTCTTTGGCAATCGACTCTTGACTCAAGGCTCTCCTTTCAGCTTGATTGGGCCACTCGACAGGAGAGTAGAGGAACAGAATGGCACTTCTGGACCGGGGTTAGGCATTGTTACTTCCGGATGTTTCGGCATCTGGAATAACGATGTTTGGCTACAGTACGGACGTCACTTCCTTCTTCTGGCCTATCATTTTGATTCCCGAATCAGCGCCCCAGTTGTCGCATATAGAAGGGAGGACCCTGAATACTGAGTCGTCTGGTCTTGCCCTTCAAGACTGACCAAACTCAAGCTCAGAAGCTGATCGAATGACACAACTCTGTGCCTTGTTTTAGCTGAACAGGTGAAATGCGCTGGTCGCATCGGATGAAATTACTGCTGAAATAGGTTAAGTCGCTTGCGTCTGCGTCCCAGAAATAGTGGTATACACGTATCGGTTTCAATTTCCCCAACCCCGGGCAAGTCTGTCAATATTCCATTCACTAGCACGAATCATGGTCGGTAATGATTATTTCCAATTCCATCTTCGCATCATGCTTCTCGATTCGACTCACGTTAAGGGGGTGATCATGACTTGTTTGGTGTCTTTCCAAAGATAACACGTGATCCAGTGCATGTCTCAAGCACCGGAATGTCGAGATTCCAGCCCACATCCCTGAGGCGACGGGCGTGTGCATCAAAACTGGCCTGAACTTGATCCAATGTGACCCCCACATGAGACAGGCTTTGCTCCTCGTGGCTGTCCGATGCATCCATTTTGCTGTTGGTCACGTCAAGAACCCTCCTAGCAAGTATCAAAGCATGATACCAAGCCCTTAGTTGTTGTTCCGTAGTAACCTCCTCCTTGAGCACCACCAAAACCCGCGTCGTTGAGGATGGAGTATCATTCCATCGAGGAGACTGCCTTTCATACCAGAGAAGATAGCCTTGATGTCGGAATAGTCTCGTCAAAGTTGACAAGTCAACCGGGCCCAGTCGTGACGAACCGGTCTTTCCATGACGGCCGTTCTGAGACAGACTCGAAATCAGAGTTTGGAGGGAGACTCCGAAGTCACAATGCCCAATCAAAGTGCCATTTTTTCCCCTGAGAGTGCTTCCACCACGCTTCGCGAAAATAGATTCTCTTTGGGACACTTCAGCGGGATCGAGCACCTTGTTCTTATCCAACAGGTTTGAGAATACGATGTTGGCCCGCTGTCGATTGAGAGAGCGCATTTTGACTGCTTTAACCCCTATCCAGTTCATGACCAAATGGACCACTAGCAGGCATATTAATGAGAGCCACGTCGCTGTCGGAGTTGATAGGAAAGCCATTGCAGCCGTGCCAGCCTGATGCTATGTTAGCCAGCATAACCAATCCCCCACTGCCACATGATACTCACCATATTGCCCATGAGAGAAATCATCGTCTCCTGACTTCCATCCTTGGCATTCAACTCCCCCAAATTATTCCACCTTGCAAAATGCCCGCTGAGGCTACTCTTCGCGGCGCCGCCTGCCACCCCCGCCGCCGCATACAACACACTTGAAACGCACAAAACGGCAACCCTCATCCCAAGAACAGGTACCAAAGGACTCAAACAATCTAGCACCATCGCCGCATCACAAAGCACATCCGCCTTGAACCTGTACATCTTGCACTCGGCCTCGATCGCCGTGCCCATGGAATGCGCAAACACGATCGTAGCCAACTTCCCCATGCACTCCCGCACGATCTGGATGAGCATCGCGCCGGTGGGGGACGCTGAGGCATCGCCTACGCCGAGACCGACCCATACGGCCCGCGAAGAGATCATACCGGCGATGGAACCCGCGAAGGCCTGGAGCGAGTCGTAGATTTGGTATTTGGTGTAGTCGTCCGTCACACTTTGGGGGTATCCGTCTGGGAGGAAGATGACGAGGAGCTTTTGCCAGAGGCTTTTGCCGGCGGTAGGGAAGAAGACATCGATGCGTGAATTCGAGGGGGTGGTGGCAGAGGAGGAAGAGGAGGGATGGGATTCAATGTAAGTAGCTTTGAGGTTACCTGCTTTGTCGCATTCGGCAATTTCGACAACATCAGACCTGGATGAGTCGCCTCCGTTGGTGGTGGAGAAGGAAGCGGTGGTGTCCATTTCAGGAACTGGTAGAATATGACGGTGAACACTACTTGGACCAAAATATGGACTGATATCCAGTGAATGGGAGTAATATCGATTCAAGGATGTCGAACACTATGACATCATCCAATCTAGAATATTCACGCGTTAGGATTAGACCAACAAGGCGCGGGAGTCTCCTGATAATGTGAAACGTTAAGTCGACGCGCGCAAAATTACTTCAACCTCCAGGCATCGGTCCTTATTAAGCCATCATAGCCCCACCCACCAACCTAAGGTTAGCTACCAAAGCAACCGCAGATGTCGGGAAAGAGCATTCAGTACCCCGCGTAGGTCATGGACACTTCAGATTTCGACCAGTTACAAGAGGAATCCACATTTCTAGACTATCGTGTACATCGCAGTTCTGGACTCTAATATCCACGTTCGTTCATTTCACTCTAGTTGCGTCTATGATGTGTTTTCTCATATTGCAGTACGAATATCGGGGCAATATGATGAAAGGGATGAAAAGAGATGGGGAACCAAAACTGAAGATCAAGTGTGTTCGCACATTGTGACAATGTGCAAGCCTCTTAGGGGGGCCACGATCTTGGTCCTGATGGTAGCTAATATCAGCTTCTCAAGGGCTAGAGGATTCAAGTAACCGAGCCGGCAACGCCGACTAGTAGCATCACCTTTGAGATCATTGAGCACCTTTTTTGAGTCATTCCTTGAACATGACAGTGCTCTAGCTTGGTAGGCCCTCTGGATCAATGGGGAGAGCGGAGTCCTCTACCGATATAACGTCGACTTGGATACTCGGCTGCTGTGTCCCCCAATATTCATCACCTGACTCTTCTGATTCAGCTGATTCAACAGCTAAGTTTTCAGAAGGATTGGTGAATTTCGAGGTGGTCCACTTGGAAGTTCCAGGTGGGTATCCATATTAGACTCGAAGTCGCTCTCTGCGAAGGGCTTATGAGATCGACGGAGCAGTCCCTTGAAATTGGCCATGAGGTTGAAGATCCAATCCTCGTTGGGCCGAAATTCGAGCACTAACTGTTCCTCATGTTCCGTTCGTAGGGCTAGAGTGTTAGGTGCTGTATTGTGGTACAACCCGGATTCTCCATGTCCAGGAACACTTCTGCACGCTTAAAACGGCATGCAGACGCAAGATTCGTGTGCATGGAGGGCACGAAGGCAGCATTATACAAGATGAACTTCCTAGGGCCGTCGTCATGGTCGCTGATCCGGATCTTGGCGTTGCCCCAGTGGATCATCGGTTAGGCTTGCCGGAAGCTGAGTAATGAAGCGCGAGTCATCTTTCATTGCATGGGTATTATCTCCAGTGTCGTTAATGACTGAATCGTGTAGAGGGTGGCCCTGACTCAGCCCTAGGAGATCTGTGGATGAGGCAGTCGGTTGAGTCTGTGTAGAATTAAGCTTAATCAACTTTGTCCAGCCGGCAGCTTTATATACTGTTGAGGGGTCCAGCTAGCGTTGGCTTGGCATTGGTATCAGCTTTTCCTTGACAAGAGTCGGACCCACAAAGTCGGTCGATATGCTTCTTCATGTGTTCCAGCAGCTTGTTGTAGTGAGCCTCAACACGTCGTTGAATATCTGGTTGGGCTGTCCAGTGAGCTGGTCAATTTTCTGCGACTAGTTACGCACTCTCGCGGTAGAAGTGTTATTTTCCGCAGAGACAGCGGCAAGAGGTCTTCTTGTTAGGCTCTGGGCGCCCTTGGATATGCCAGATTTATAAAAATAATATTAAATACGCCGTAGGTGTTAACCCTCGGTACCTCTACAAGTACTCCCTTAAGGGGCTATAGATGATATAGCGGGCCCTTAAGCCGCGTCGGGCGGTTATACAGGTAAACTTGTAGCCAAACGACTACTAAACCTCCTGTCCCTCCCTAAGTCTGTGATACAACCCCTGCCTGAACTACCGATAAGCGTGGTAATGTGGCACTTAAATTCGTCCTCAGGGGTGGGATGCTGCTGATGTGCAGAAGATGCTCGACTATTTTTTGTCGCGACAAGTCGTACTATCTGCTAATTGGGGTTCTCTTGGAGCGTATACATCTCAACCATACGCTCAAGTGGATAGACCGTAACGTGGTCTAGACGCTCGCAAGAATCGCGGCGAGAGGGGGTCCGATAAGTGGTCGGATTAACGATTCGAATTCTGGACCGGCTGTCGAGTTATATTCCGCCGACGTAGTGCTTGACGGTCGACTGGCTAGGATGCTCGTAATCCTAAACTGCACCAATCTCCCTATTATCGCTAGGTAGGCGAAGTCAACAAGGTGGGCAGCGCGCCGTAAGGGTTGACTAAACCCCCTTGTGTGTCAGCTGCGGGATTCGAACCCGTGACTCGTCACCGACCCAAGTGGGCGAGGCTCAAATCGGTACTTATCTACCAGCGAAGTGACCAACTACACCAGCCGACGCCAGATTTATATGAAGGCCAAAAAAGAAATGTTTTTTTTCCTTTCTTTATGATGGTTACTTCTGGTTTGAAGCGGGGTTTTGTAGCCCTACGCTTGGCCGTACCTTCCCATCTATGCCGTCCGCAGCACTGGAACCCTTGAGGAATTCTCGGTGCTTAATCAAGGCTTCAAACATTTATAGTATCTCTGGTCTGGGAAGCCACTAGCTGGAGGATTCATGAGTTGCAACTCCCAGACAGCGGCCATGCCAGCAGCTACCGGCCTCACTGATGGACTAATTGTGGCAATTGCACCGCATTGAAAATGTGTAGATCTCTGCGGATTCTTTTCTTTAAAAGGTTGTATAGTGATCATAAGGGCCTTACATACGTAGAAATAAACGATTGGGACGTTCAACGAGCCCACTTCTCTTCTTCATACACTTCGTACGACGCAACGAATCAACTTTGTAGTTGTCTGACTATGGTTGTTTTCTTTTATGCCTTCTACTTTCACTACCAGACGCACGGGCTAAACTTACAAGCAAGGGTTGACCATGGGTTTACGTGACTTTGGATTGACATGAAGGATACAATCATCATGGACAGTCTTCATGATCTGAAAGGCCATGGTTGCGGAACGTCGCTGTACGTGACATGCAATGGCAAGAATCATCGGAGACAGCCGGTATGCAAATGAGCTTTATCTTCACTACCTGAGGTTTGGAGACTATGTCAACCACCAGCGCCAATGCAAGAACTCTAACACAATCTGAGTCCAGTTCCAAAGTCTCCATGATGATCTGATCATCTACACTTCTTTGGAACGAGGATGGTGCTCCTCGGTACTGACCACACGGGCGGCAGGGTTGTCCTCGTGATGAATCTGTTTCTCGACGGCCTCGACGGCGCGGTCGGCGAGTTCCTTGTCCTCGAACACTGTTGTGGGGAGTCTGAATCAGCATTTGGCTGCCGAGATTTGGGGTCACAGCTTGATACTTACGGAAAGCCAACTCCTCGAGGGTACGACCCCCAGTCTCGGGATAAAAGATGAACTGGAAACAGAACTCGAAAAATATCCAGGCGCAGTAGGCGGCGAAGTACTTCCAGCCGATGGCGTCCATGGCGATGGGGTTGACGAAATTGGAGAAGAAGCCTCCGCATTTACCGAAGATCTGCTCGATTCCGATGCCGCGGGATCGGACAGCATAGGGGAAAAGCTCGACCAGGTAGGCTGCGAGGGTGCGTTGTTAGCCAATAAGATGAAAGAAATTGGGAGCATGGTGGACTTGCTGTATGTCAAGGCATTGTTTCCAATGGCGTAGGTGGGCGAGTAAGCAAAATAGAAGACCAATGCCGCGTAACTGGCCGATTTGTTCTCGTACCCAGCATCGTCGGCGACACTCAGGCTATGAAAGGCGACCGTCATAGCAATGAAGCAGGAGAGCATGCAGAGCGACGACGTCATGAAGGCGACGCGACGACGGAAGCGGGTGACGTAAATCGCAATAATGGTGCCATTGAGGAGGGACCAGCACTGGTTGGCGATGTTGATCCTCGTCTTGGCGTAGCTGCTGGTGAATCCCATCATGCCGAAGATCAAGTTTGTGTAGTAGGACAGGAGGGTGTTGCCCGACATCTGGGTGAAGAGACCGAGAAAGGTGGCAATGAGAACACGGCGTCGCATTCCTGAAGTATTGATCATCGTCATCCAGGACTGCCTGGAGACCTCCATCTCGAGCTTGATAGTGGACTTGATCTGGGCCATTTCGGCTTGCACAATGAGGGAGTTTGTGTCGCCCTCGGCGTGGTACTTTGTCAGCACAGCAAACGCCTCGTCGTCTCGATCCTTGCTCACGAGCCAACGGGGACTCTCGGGGAGGAGACTACATACACAATTAGTTACGCTCCGTTGCGCTGCGACAAGAACAGATGTTGGTGACATACAAGATGGTGCAGATCTGCAAAACCGAGGGGCACAGCTGCAACAGAGACGGGACTCTCCAGCTCCAGTCACCTACAATGTTCACCGTCCCGATGGAAATGGCGGCCGCGAGGATGGACCCTACGAAGTAGGACGAGTTGAAAAGGGAGGTAAGTACGGCTCGCTCTTTGGGATGCCCAAGTTCTCCAATCAACGAGGATCCCGAGATGATGGCGAAGAGGATGCCGATTCCGAGAATGATGCGGGCAATGATATACATGGCCACTGCCAGGAAAGTCAACCAAGTTCAAGCCCACGTGGTGCTTGCAATCGACCTTGACATACCGTGTTGAGAGAACCCCTGAATTATGGCTCCAATACACATGATAATGGAGCCAGTCATGATAGACCAACGTCTGCCGAAGCGATTGTTGAACCACGGGGCGATAGGGACGGCAAAAATGGAGCCAAGCTGGTAACTGGACGAGATGAATCCTAGGAGGGACGGCTCGATAGCCCAGTCGCCGTCTTCATCTGTATATCCGGCGCCAAAGTCTTCCGGCTGTTAAATGGAATCCCACGATAGTCGTTTGGAGAAGAAGAAAACGCACACTTATTGAAGGGCTGTGAAAATTGCAGCGTGTTGATGAGCTGTGAGTCGAAACCAGACGTCATCTCGACGCCCATGCAGCATAGGAATAGCCACACGTACATGAGCCGCAAGTTGGGCTTCTTGTACCACGGCATATGGTCCTCGGCGACCAAGCGGGTGACAATGGGATCGGACGTCCCGTCATGGGCCTTGATGATAGCCATGTTGTGTAAAACGCCAGATGATGGCACTGCTGTAGAGAAACAGAAAATGAACAATAACAACCAAAATGACGAGGAGCTCCGCCAGATACAGGTCCTGGTCGTGGTAGTGATAAGTTTCGGAAAACACACCGCGAAAAAACAGAAGGCGGCTAGCTGAATATATTTCACCGCGTAGACGAGCAATGCAGACGTGCTAGCAAAGTACTCGCAGCACATTTAATATGGAGCAACTCAGCTTACCACTTCTCTGCATCTCGGTACCCCAGATTTCCCCAACCAAACATGGGAGTGTAACCCCCTCCGCCTCCACGACGTATCTTCTGTCTCCCCCATATTAGCCGTTTCAATTCCCTTGGCGCCGACCAACCATTGGCGCACGCTTAAATACCAAGGCGGCCAGTCGCCCGATAATCCGCCTGCGCGGACCCAGCACAGGGGTTTTGATATAGGCCCTGCAATATTAACAGAGTCAGCATCGCGGTGTATGGTTCATCGCCGTCCCTTCAGCCTGAACCCACGGTGTCAAATATTGGCTCTCGCTTCCAGGTCTTCGGATATCAAGACGGAGTTTGAACAAGTTACGTAACTTCGAGACGCTCTCCATTTCGCCGACGGGCGCTGCCAGTCTCCTCGGACCGACTGTTAAGGGAGGCAGCCCTGCTGACACGGGGTAGATCCTAGGCACATCCAGCTTTTGGCGATGATACCCCTCCCCGATGCAATATGTTGGGTTAGCGCGACAGACGCCCGTTGGTGAGATCTTCCGCATCGCAGGGATTCTAGAACACGTGTGTAACTAAGAAGCTGGTACGGGCATCACAACTCGAACCGTAGAGGGACCAACTGTTTCATATCCTTAATCTGCCTGTTCTGGGTATCAAACACATTTTGGCGGATGTACCATCAACCATGACCTAGAATAAATATATTATCGAGCCTAAAGTTATAAATGGCGGTTGACATGAGGATGTGGCAGGGCATGTTCATGTTTATGGCTAGTGCCCGCTAGGGCAACGAAGCAGATAGACGATTTGATAATTACGTCCTATTCTTTTCGCAAGTTTTTCATGTTATTGAGTCGTTATCAGATCATGGATTGAAAGCCTGCGAGGGTTGTGTAATAAATGTTTGATGGGACCGAAACACTTGATTCCGAGCGTGTACGAGGTCGACTTTTCAACGCCTATCTCAACTTCAACATCTTCTGTTGTCTTGGAAAACTTCCGCCGCACGGCTCGCTCACACATCGTCAAGTTGTGTCAAATCAACCTTCAGTCTTATTTCATTTGAACTATAAAGCAGTACGATGCGCGGTTGGCACTACAGTGGTAGTGTTTCTTATGCTCGATAACCCTCTTGAATTTCCAGATAACAAGCGAGAGTTCAGCTTCAATGATCACATAAAGACGTGGAATTTCTTTTATTACCGAAGTTATCCTCTAAGCAGTAGGCTCTATTCTGCCCTGGTAGGCAGTTGGCGCTCCACAATCCTCGCAGACCCCACCGCGGGATCCGGCCGCCATGCAAGTAACCCTGGGCCATGTGATTGGCTGTTGAAGGAAGCTGACAAGTTGTTATGATAGGGGTAGTGATGGATAAAGGGCATTTCTGCAGCCGTATCTGATTTTTCCTTGCCGTCACATCTCGGATCTCGGAGCATTAGTATGATATGTTGGCTGAATTAACCCGTAATGGATTCTAGCGGCAACTGTGAGGCACAGCAACAGTACAGCACAGCGTGAATTCTTCCCTAGAGTGGCTTTTTGAAGCTATGATACGGTCTATTTTACACGAAGTAGAGGAGTCTTTGGCAAGGATCATTGGAAAAATAGTTTTCTGACCATACCAGTGTCTACAGAGCCATATCTCGAATTCAAACTACTTAATCACACAGCAACTGTCCATCTTAGCTTCGTCCGTGCCCCGGAGTCGATTGCGGCCTATCTAGTTTTGAGCACCGCTTTGCCATCTCAGTACCTCAAGGACTACTGTAGTGGGGGCAGAGAGGACTTCTTTTTCGCTTCAAGAGGGATACTGGGACCAACAGATGGAATCTGTTGGTACTGGAGCCGTCTTTTTAGTGTGTTAGGTGGTGGGTATATTCTAATGACCGCCTGACCCCATTTCACTATCTATGCTGGAACAATAACACTAGCCTAGATACTGGAATAATTGAATAGATCAAAGAAAACATCGTGGTCTGTCGAAGCTCCATGTCATAGCAAGAGATTGAATCAATGACTCAAACCACGACGAAAATACAAAGAAACTAACGCTAAGCCAAATTAATTGGGTTTCTCGCGGTTGCAGTGTACCATTCTACGGTTCAGTGGCAGTGACTGTGAGATTGGGCTCGTCGGGCAGAGGAGTTGTCCAAGAGTGACATATTGAAGACAATTAAGAATAATCTCCCGACGAGAGGGACTAAACTATGGGTAGGCAATTGCTCTGAATTCTTTCCTTATATGTATGCAGAAAATCCGCCTACCATAAGCCCAAAAAAGATACTGGGAATTCCCGGCAGCATAATCCGATCTGGTAAATGTGGAGGGAACACAATGCCCCCCAGAAAGTTGACGTTCTAGAATAACGAGATGACACGGTATATAGGTCAAACAGTGACCGGGCTGCTAGTACCAATCTTCATTATCTTCATTGCTCATGAATAAATCAGGACGGGCATGAAGATGGGCAGCGAAACTTCTGAGTCATTGTCTGTTTCATGGCTTCTGATATGATGAGATGGGTGCTGTCGCCTATGCTGGGGATCACCTTGCACTTTCCAGAATGCAGTAATAGACGATAAACGGTATACTGACAGCACTAGATTGTCATTTGGTCAAGGCTTTTATCAGAAATTGGCAAAGCTACCTTTTCATGTTCAGAGATAGTATTAGGCTGTACATGGCGTGTATATTCCTGCCTTGGGAAACGCCTTCAACCTCTGAGATTCATCGCTGCTTATAGAAGAAAACCATCAATATGTGTTATCTATGGTAGTATGGTCTGCTGAAGCCAGAGGTCAATCTAGTGGTTACTGTCTGGAGCGATATTTACCGCGAGGTGTCAACTGGATTCTGATAGAAAAGTCTAATCGCTGTTCCGGGTAGGCGTGGAATGTGTACTCAAATACCTCCATTCTGAAGAGGACCATGACGTCCTGCGTCGCAGGCCGGAGATTTATGCGAAGGCCAAAGAGAGTTTTTTCTTCTCGTCTCTGATGGCTACTTCTGGCTTGATGTGGGGTTTTGTGAGCCTTTGACTTTGCACTTGGCCATACCCCATCTGCCGGTAGGCTTTGTTTCAGGCACCAAAGCAACCAATGTACCGGATATGTGATCCCAGAGGGAGGCAGAGTTATCCTGAAGCCATAGACAGGATAAGTTAAGATAGGGCTGCAAGGGCCCGAGCTAGCCATACCAGCTTTCCCATTATCCCATATGCACTCGCATCAGTAGATGAAATATCACCCGAGAAAGCTTGAATAGACCAGTGGGGCTGCTATACTGAAGTAGGCCTTAGCGGCTTGCTTTACTGCAGGTATCGTATACCTTTGGATTTTAAGTGGGATGTAGTACAATTTAGCGGGTACTCGTATTCGAACTTGAATACAAACAAGTTCGTATTGCACTATCAACGCTGAACTCGGCCGGCAATGTTGAGGGCTCACTGTAGTTTCTTATATTGAAGCCTCGAATGCTTTCGTTCGCCCGCGAGACTGGGTTTGTAATTCCCTATCTTCAAACGAGCAGCACCAATTACCTCGAGGGCTGGTACGGTCATTCCTCCAACTTGCTGTCAGCACCCTCTTGGAGGGGCATTGGGGCCAGTAAAGTTGTGGGTCGCATAATCTGCATACTACTGTGATACCCCTCACTCAAGGCAAACAGCAATTGTAGATCATCCACAGACGAACGTAACCTAAATATGGTCTGGAAATATCGCGGAAGAGATAAATAACGTTCCCTTGCGTTGCTATCTGCCCGGATATGATAGCCAGTCTGTTATAAACCACCTCGACTGCTCTCGGACGAAATATCTCTGGGATATATGACCTTTTCGCCGCGAAGGGGTTCTTGGGACTTTCTAAGTCGTGCGAGAAAACAAATGAGTGAGGGGCTCTTCAGATGCTGCCGAAGATATAAGGAATAGACACGTAAAAGAAGAGACATATTATTTTTCGTCAAGTACGCTTTATAGGTTACCCGGCGCCTCCAGTATAGGCCTCCTTCTCGAGCAAAGGCTGGACGGTGGCCTCGTGCCCATTCTCTGCTGCCCACCACAGCGGCGTCTGGCCATAGTACTTTTCCGGCACCTCGGTCTGAGCCCCCTTATCGAGCAACAGCTGGACGATAGCCTTGTGCCCTTTCACTGCTGCCCACGACAGCGGCGTCCGGCCATGATTATCTGGCGCCTCGGTCTGAGCCCCCTTCTCGACCAACAGCTGGACGATAGCCTCGTGCCCATTCTCTGCTGCCCATGACAGCGGCGTCTGGCCATGATTATCTGGCGCCTCGATCTGGGCCCCCTTCTCGAGTAAAGGTTGGACGGTAGCCTCGTGCCCTTTCACTGCTGCCCACCACAGCAGCGTCCGGCCATAATTATCTGGCGCCTCGGTCTGAGCCCCGTTCTCGACCAACAGCTGGACGATAGCCTTGTGCCCTTTCACTGCTGCCCACGACAGTGGCGTCTGGCCATAATACTTGTCCGGCGCCTCGGTCTGGGTCCCCTTCTCGAGCAAAAGCTGGACGGTGGCCTCGTGCCCTTTCTCTGCTGCCCACGACAGCGGCGTCTGGCCATAGTACTCGTCCGGCGCCTCAGTCTGAGCCCCCTTCTCGAGCAAAAGCTGGACCGTGGCCTCGTGACCTTTCTCTGCTGCCCATGACAGCGGCGTCCGGCCATGATTATCTGACGCCTCGGTCTGAGCCCCCTTCTCGACCAACAGCTGGACGATAGCCTTGTGCTCTTTCTCTGCTGCCCACGACAGCGGCGTCCGGCCATGATGATCTGGCGCCTCGATCTGAGCCCCGTTCTCGACCAACAGCTGGACAATAGCCTCGTGCCCATTCTTTGTTGCCCACAACAGCGGCGTACGAACCCTGAGAGCCTCAAAATCTTGCCCATACTCTAGCCGGGCAAATATGTCATCATTTTTCGAACCTGTAGTTCCCGATTGCGAGAGAGCTTCTACCGCATCTTGATGGCTATTGATCAAGGCAGCAAAAAGCGGATAGTGATATCGCTCTCCATATATATTGATTCTTGGGTCCCGTTGACGTACTGCTTTTATCAACCTTGCAAAGTTGTTCTCCGCAAGTATGTACAAAAGACTTGCACTTGACGTGTGACGACTGATTTCGAACTTCTCATAAAGATTATGTTGCTTGATCCACTTTTTAAGAGCAAATTCTTCGAGGAAGTCGTTTTGTGGTAGTCCGATCGCAGCTTCATTAGCATGGTAGAGGGCATGACTTGTTGCATAGTCTAGAAAAGGGAATTGTTTTGATACGACTTGTCGTAGACTTTTTGCATCATCAGAAGACGCTCTTGGCAGCGTCACGTCATGAGGCATATAACCAGAGAGGTCGATCGTCATGTAGGTATGGCAACATTGTTTCAGTCGGTTGTGACTCAAGCTGTGCAAGTCCTTTCCAAGTTCTGGCCATAGGTCGCACAGACCATTATCCTTAATAAGAAAGTCTCGAACGGATTCATGAATAAACTGAACTGTTTGAGAATTGGATTTGGTGAGCTCGGCGAGTCCTTTGGAAGAATTGAGGACAAATTTATCCATGTCGTCTGTGGTAATCTTGCCGGGATTCCATCTCAGATTTTCGGGATCGGGGTCCAGGCCAGAGACGAGAGCGAAATAAAACTCTTCGCGCCGTAATGGCCGTTTTGCGAAGAGTATCCATTGGATACACAGCAAAAGATCCATCATATTCGTATTGTCTCTCCTCAAAATGTCCTTAAAGAGGTCGCTCATTTTTGCCGGTATCTCGTGCAGTCTTTTCCTGACCGCGAAGATACGGCCAGCACGGAATTCTCTATTAAGGATTTCGACCACTAACACAACCCATATGAAAACACCATTTGCCTTCTGGAGTATCTCAGCTCTGACTTGATCGATGAAATTTCCCTGGCCAGCTTGTAAGTGACTTCGTACGTATTTTGCCAAGTCTTCTCCGTGACCAGTCTGGTCCTCTAATGTAAATTGTCGGCCGTTCTGGATTTTTATATTCGGATAGGGACGACTAGAGAAGCATATGTATAGTCTTCTGTGCTGTTCGACAGCAACGTTTCCAAGATACTCAAAGTACACCACCATGTCTTGAACTTGCTGCTCGTCACACTCATCGAGAGCATCAATAAAACAGGTGAACCGTCGCTGGCCGAGTTTTGCTATAGCCGCAGAGAAAAGCTCCTGGAGCATTTCAATTGTCCATTGAGGACAATCGATCTGACGCTCGGAAAACATATCCGGATCATCTAACACTTCCTGAAGCGCCGGTATTTTCTTTAGTAGCTGTAAAAGCAAGGACCGGTACATTCCCAGGGTGGACTTTTTCAGATCATCTCCTCTCGCATTAAAGAAGAATGAGGAGCAGAACTCATCCTCGGTCGTTCGTTTCTTAGTATAGTTGTAAACGAACTTCATCAGCGTGGACTTCCCAGCCCCTGGTTTCCCGTTGATCCATAAAAATCCATGGTGCTGTACTAATTTCTCGGCATCGAGCCAACCCACGTATTCGGGGTGTCTTAGCAGCCACTCGCACGTCGTGGGATATGCCATTTTAATAGTGGAACGTCGAGAATCCATCTGATCAAAGCTCAGCCTGTCCATAAGAGCCTTTCGGTTATCTCGCCGGGACGCCAGGATTTCGTGGTCGCCAATCGTTCTGTCGGTGCGGTTGATATTTGTTACTAATGCCGTTTTGTTAGTACCTCAATCTTGCTCTTCGGAAGGTATCATGCACACTGTTCACATCTCGGCAAACCTGGATATTCCCATTGCTGTTTTGAATACCTTGACCATCAAAACGATTCTCGATTTGGCGATGCTGACGATAATCGGTATCCCCATCTGCCTGCTGTTCCTCCTCGTCATGCCACGCATCAAACTTCTGCCTCTTGTGTGGTCTTTTCATTTTGTCGAGTCAGATTGTAATTCGATCGTGAGACGGTGTACCGGCGGCAAGACATATCAGAGGTCTTGTATCGCATCGTGATACAGAGTCGTGTCGTTATGGACCGGTCGCAGATATCAAGGTGGCAAGGAATGCAAATTCTCCTAGAGGTAGCATCCCGAGACACCTTGGAGTCTCTTCCTACTGGTGGTAAGTAGTAATCATGGGCGCCTGGGAGCGACATTCATCATGGTAATGGCGAGGCTGAGCCGCCTAGACAGGGTCGAGGGCGGGGCAGGGTTTTGGCACCATGCTGGTGTTGAGCACCCTGTGGTAAAGTGCCTTTCCTTCAGTCCCGCACCAGCTGGACCCACCTGCCACCTGTTGTCATATCCACGACTGCTTATCTCGAAGACTAAGCCAGCTCGATCGCGGCTACACCCATTGCCCTACGATTCTTGTACGTTGCTAACAATATTCCAGCTCATGATCGTGCGCCAAATTTAGGTGTATTAATAGTCACGTCCAGTAGCATATGTTCACAAAGTTCTTCGAGATCGTGGTTACCATCTTTACCAGTAGGCCTGCTTACGTAGCCTGTTTTCCCCAACTTGGGCGTAGATAAGGCCGGATGTCAAACCGAACCAAATAAGATTCGTAGCACTGAGAATTGTGCCGGACAGTTCCGGAGTTGAGGCACTTGGAGTCATACGCCATCAAGTTAGCTGGAGGCCAAATCGCGAAGGAGACCCAAAAATTGAATACGAGGCCATTAAAATGAAGGGCTACGCCTGCTAAAAGTACTGCGTGCCGTCGGCACAGGTGGGTTCTGTTTTTTGTCTTCATATAGGGTGGCTGCCGTGGTGGACATTGTAATTGAGAATTTACATGCGTGAAGGTCACACTGGAGTGGTAGCTTGATGACGGCTAGATCTTATGATACTTTCTCCTAGAGATGAGCAGGAGCTTGACCGCAAGCTGCGAGGCAATTAACAATGTGTTAGTCATACATAAAAAGTTGGTAAATGGTTTTCCACGGTGAAAGAGTTACAAATATCTTACTGGAGTGCACGAAGTCTCAGCTGGTTCCTTTAGATACATGTGCAAATACAGGTGGAGGCTTGTTTCCCGGCTCCGTTACGGACATTCAGTTATCCTCATTCGCCTAATTACTCGCTCGTAGTCTACATGACTCCAGTGAGTGTGACAGTATACCAATATATCTATTTATATTAGATGATTCTCAATCCGCCACAAACAAGGCGCGACAGAAAGCCCCCATGGATAATGCGACATGTGTTGGATCAATATTTAACTTAGCCTCGTGCAAACCAATTGTTACACAGAATTTAGGAGTGACACTGGCTGATTCTGGTAAGAGATAGTGCACGAGCTTGCTTCTGTAACTAAATTGGAGGGAAAGTTAATGGATATCCAGGGATATTCATATTGTGTGAAATTCAGTTTGATCCGTATTTTGAAATGTCCGAAGAAGCAAGTCCATCAGGCATCGGAGTCCGGCTATCTCGTTCGCAGTCTACTTAGTGATGCTTAGGCTCAACACCCGGACAGCCACGTTTAGATACCTACGGCATTATTAATGTTTGTAAAAGCTTAAATGATCATATCTCGACGTGTTTAGACAACCGTGCCGACCGCCTGATAAGTGAGCTGCGGTCCGAGCCCCTGGCCGCTTCGCCGGCGTCCGGACAACGCCTCACATACTACTTGCCGCATAGACGATGCCTGGCCACTCCTATTAAGGACGTCAATTCTTAGAAATAACACTCATAAAATAATAGCACTGAAGTAAACAGTTGTGTGCGGAAAAGAGAGACTGCCAAGACATTGGAACAAACCACCAACAACGCAGCCCCAACCAACGCACCGTTGGAAAACTTCACAGTCCCTTGGTTTCTGTCAATGCTTTCGAATCACCGGGTAGGGAACGGAGGCTCTGTGACCAGCCCTGGCGATCTTTGAACAATCGCACCCCGGTCGGCCTCATTTCTAGAGTCCGTGTAAGAACATTCAATGTATTAAATACTGGATAGACCCTCTCAAGTCGTGAACAATTCTATTAACCACAAATTGTCACCAACAAGCCTCCACAACTTGACTACGAAGACCGAATAAACATCCATAATGGCATCAGGAACGACCCCCTTCTGGATCCTGCCTATGCAGTGAGCTGTAGTCTCATCCCATTACCCCCAACTTGCATACTGATACGAGGGACCCAGGATCTTAGCAACTATGGCGCCTTGCATCAACTTCGGTAATTCCATGCTGTTCTCCTCCCTTACGACTACTTCAATCAACTAATGCAACTCAGGCGGTTCCGTCCTTCACTCCCCCCTAATCATGCCCATGCTGCAGCTCCCTGGGATCCCCATATTGCACACAAGTCGCCAAAATGCCTACCTCTTGCACAGCAGTGAGAAGTTCTTCCCACCCCTGTCATTTCTCTCCGAGTTCTGCAATCTAGCCCTCCTGCTCTCCTCGTTCCTGGTCCGCGACGCCGATCCGCAGTGGGCGGACAAGTCCAAACTCTATGCGATAGCGCTGTTCTTCAATTTGAGCACGACATTTTACGCGTTGTACATTATGGTCCCGCATAATCGCAAGATCAAGGCGTTGGCGAAAGAGTTGGAACTGCGGGAGTCAACGAAGAGTGCCGACGATGAGAAGATGGGAGAAGACGAGCAGGTTGTGCAAATGTATAGGGAATTGCAAGGGTTTTGGATTCGGAACAACTATGGTAACTTCTTCCTCTAATGGAGCTTCGCCGTGGTCGCTGACAACGTCAACTTAGGCCGTGCTTCATGCATGCTCTCGGGCGCTATTGTCGCCATGTATGCACTCACCTCCTAGGCGACATGCTTGCTCGTGCGGACAACGTATATGGCACCCTGTTACTCATGTGGGTCTTGTGGGAACGTGGTCTGGCTACCATTGTCGATATCGAACTCGAACCGATAAAGGCAATGGCAAGAGACATTTGATTGGACTGGGACGAGTATGGATAGACAAAGATTGTACTTCTACCGGGTATTGCTTTTTAATTCTTGGACTTAACACTATGTACATTACTCAATGCCGAACAGCGCTTTTCTTTTCCAATAAATTTGGTTTCCGCTGCTTGAGTCAGGTTTTCTCCTACATCTGTCTGATCTTCGAATGTTCTAAGGCATTGGGGAAATCCATATTTTCAGCACTCTGGTTGTAGTTACCATCGGTCCGACATACAGTTCCTCAGCGTATCGTGATCAGATAGGACGCTAGGGAAGTCTTTTTCTAGTTGCGGAATGTCACCGCGAAATAGATAAAGGACTGCGAAAGCCTGGGCTGAATAACTTCATCTTTCCAAGTGTCGAGTTTAGAGGTTCGTTCTCTGCCAGGGACGATGGGGCAATACCGTCTTAGGATCTTGGCGGCCCGATCCATGGTCCATCCGCGGCATACATGCCATAGTGCACTTTCTAGTTGTTCATTGATCCAACTCCTAAAAGCTTAGTGCTTTGAAGTACCATGTGCGGGTTATATCTAACTCGACAGGGATCATGATCCCCCCCTGACACACCTGAACTCCGAAAGATGTTGTTATGCCGTGGATGGCTCGGATCCGTTAAGCGCAACCCTGTCCAATTACCCCGAAATGAAAGAGAATTCTTTATGTTCTATTTTGAGGGCGAAGCTCCCCCAGATATCGTTTCTATGTGCTCGTCTCAATCAAATCCAGCTCAGGCAGTATCCTGGCTTTGGCCTCGCGATCCTCTACTTCTAAGTAGTCTATGAAGATAAAGTAGGCGATGATGAGGAGGATTATTCCGAAAAGACATATACCAGGGACGACAGCTGTTGGGAATTTTGGTCCGTTGTCTGTCGCGCTTGCTGAATTGGAATTGCCTGCTGTAGACGTGGATTTGGCAAAGGTAGGAGATGCCGTGGTGAAGGATGTGGCGGTGACTACAGGGTCTTTTGCTTTGGAGCTAGTTTTCGTTGCACCTACTGCAACTTATTATTATTATTAAATACGCCGTAGGCTCGAAGCCCCCGGTACCTCTACAAGTGCTCCCGTATGTCAAATCGTGCCCTAATGGCTGGACTAAATACATACGCTGCTACGTAGGTTCGCTCTATTAGCGACTGCGTTACGTCCACCACAATACTATGTTAGTTCTCACCCTACTAACAAAGTCCCCCTGAGAAGATCGATATTATCCGGGCCTAAGCGCTATCCGGCCAGTCCTGAGTAGCCACCTTGTGATAGTCCCGCTGACTACTGGTTTCCCCGTCGCCGTTGCCAGGTCTCTACGTGTATGCAGCGGCCATGGTGCGATAGTGGCCCGTAGGCGCTCTCTCGATTCTTCCAGCAGGCCGCAAAAGAGGATTACGTGCTCTGCCGTCTCGGGGGCCTCTCCACAGCGGCATAACGGCGAGTACACACCGAAGGCTCCTATCTTAAATAAGAAAGCTGATCGTCCTATTTTTCCGGTCCTGATCTGGCATAGGGTAGACGCCTCCGGTCGGTTTAGGTCTGAGTACTTGCCCTGTTTCGGCATTCGCATCGAGGGGCCCTCCTGCTCCTCGGCGATAGCGCGTCGCTGGCGGTCGTGTTGTGCTGCCCCGGAGAGCCATCTCTTCTCCCAGTGGTCTAGGAGGGCGGCCGGTACTTCCTTCGCCTTGCCTATCCACTCGGAGCCCCTAGCCTCCTTCTCTATCGTGTACCTCGCTGGTCTGAGCGATTGTGACGCCCGCTTCCGTCTCGCCGGCATGTCCTGTCGGAGTATGTGTGACGCTCTCGCGCTCGCGCTCCGAAGCAGGCTCCTTTTGCCGTTATTCCGTAGCCGTTCTTCAAATTTCGCCGCCCGGGCACTGAGATATAGGTCTAGTGGCGGGATAGCTGCCTCTATTTCTAGGTGTCGGACCGGTGTCGCTTTGTAGGCGCCACAGACTATTCGAAGGCACTCATTCTGTATCCCGACTAGGCTCTTAGCTGGTCCCGCTGGTTCCTCGCTTATAGTGTGCCACGCAGCCGCCCCGAAGGCGATCGCGCTGCGAATAACCGACGTGTACAGTAGTCTCGCCCGTATGAGATCGCAGCCCCACGCCATGTTCACTAGCTTTGTTAGGGCTAGCTTCTGAGTCGCCATTTTTGATTTAACCCGTTCGGTATGGGCGTGCCACGTTAATTTGCGGTCAAACCAGACCCCTAGGAACCTTGCCGAGACCTTCGGCGTTACTGTAGCGTTTCCAAGACGGATACTCTGCGGGGAGGGGTCTCGGGTTCTAGTGAAGTGCATCAGCTCACTCTTGTCCGGAGCGAACTCCATCCCGTGCCTGGCGGCCCACAACTGCAATTTAAAAGTCATGAGCGACGATGGAGCGGTACTAGGAAGAGACTGAAGGGGGAAAGTCAACACGTCGGACTCTTCCTATATGACGGTTAGTGTGAAGTAAATGGCGGTTGTCACGATTGTGTATGAGTGCGATGAGGTAAGAGCCAATGTGACTAAAAGAGGAAATCTGTATATTGAAAAGAATTTAAAGCAGAGCCGTCCTTATCAGGTTCCAATTTGGAAGCTACTGATTAGAATTCCAGTCAATCTACCGGTGGTTTACAGCACGGCAACTAATGTTTTACAACATTGACCGTATATTTTGTTCCGTCTCCACCGGTGTTTGCCATATACATATTACTTGTGCGCACTCCAGGCTAGAACGAAGTGAAATCTGGGGTCCTCGCTGTCACTTCAGATCCACTGAGGCCAGGCCGTTCCCTCATCCGCCATAGTAATATCCCAGACACTAGGTTGCACCAGCGTTGATGGTTGTCGATGGGACAGTAGTAACTTTCTCTCTGGGCTGCACCCGGGTGTACGATCTCGTGTCGGAAGCAATAGTAGTTGAATTCGAGAAGCAGAATGAAGGCGTCAGTATTTCGCAGCAACATGAGAAGGCAAGTCTTAAGTCAAGTCACGATGAAATCTAAGCACGAAGGATGTTGAACCGACTCACCCTTATGGTTAGATGAAGTCGGTGTCTTCGTTACAATATCAAGAATGAAGATCGAAGTCAAATGGTAGGCTCACAGGCCCTGGATTATGAAGAGGCAAATTGAGCTACATCTATCATTGGATAAAACAGATGCTGTTGCTTCGAATTCGACCATGTACCCCTGTCCTGAACCTGGTCAGTTCCAAGATGTCGGAACCCTCAACTTTAGGAAAATATCCCTGAAATGAGGGAACAATCAACGAACCCTTGAGTTATTAATTTCCTCAATTAGCACAGTCTCCGAGAATAAAACCAATCCCAATGGAATAAACGCGGCGCAGTTTGCCATGCCCTTGGACCATAAGCGTGTGATCCCGTCGCCGCTGCACTCCATCGCGTCTAAATAAAATCTACCAAAGCTTGAGGTTTGAATATTGGACGATGGCAGACTCTACAGGTTTTCCTAATTGTGTCGATTGTATTTAACCATAGACCCAATCGTTTCTCTCCGATTATATTGAAAAGAAATTATTTATGGTCGTTGATGTGACTTCCTTGCGCTTAATGTGGTAATGCATGAACAAATGCATCGACGAATGCAATAGTTATATTGTTACTCGATAGGCGGTCATTGGCTTGATAGTCTACTTTCTCTGATGTGAGTACAACCTTGACCACAATTTAAGTTACTCTACCATTCGGTCTACCTAAACCTGGACATATAGTCTTCCTTCATAAGGTCGCAATTCTCCAGGCTTCCCGTCGCCACTATATGTCGACGTCAACAAAGTGAATGACTTGCCGTTGAACTCCTTTGGCGCCTTCCAATCCCTCTCTTTCTTTGTGAAATTCAGCACCACCAGGGCAACATTGCAGTCACTCCGCTTTGCATACACGAAACAGTGTTCATCCTCCAAATCAAACAGCTCAAAATCGCCGTAGATCAGCAATGATGCCCACTCCTTCCTTAATTTCAACGCCGTCTTCCAGAAACTCAACACACTTGATTGGTCCTTCTCCTGATCCGCCACATTGATCTGGTCGTAGAGGTCATGGACACGCATCCAAGTGTCCGTACTTGTCGAAAATCCTCCTTGCGGCGATGAATCCCAGCACATGGGTACCCTTGCATGGTCCCTGGCAAGATATTGCAGACCCCTCTTCGCCTTCTCCAACGCCTTCGAGTCACCTTTCGAGGTCTTCACAACCTCCTCGTAGAAGTTCTTTGACTCAATATCCTTATACTCCTCGATCCCCCAAGATTGCGGCATATTCACCATTCCAATCTCTTGCCCTTGGTATACGAACAAAGTGCCGCTCAGCGTCGCATTCATCAGGGCCAGCATCTTCCCCGCCTGCACCCTGTTCTCCGGTTTATCGGATGCAAACCGACTAATCGACCTCCCCTGATCGTGATTCTCCAGAAAACTCGTGGTCCACGCATCCGTACCCATAATCAAGCCTTGCGTGTTTTCTACCGCCTTTTTTAACTCCGACAGTCGCCAGTCATGAGGCACAACGTCGAACTTTGGGTCCTTCCCATACCCAATACATACAACATCAAACTGGAACACCATGTTCATCTGCTTCTTAGCCGCAGAAACGTAACTCAAGACCTCAGAACGATCCGGCGTGTGCGGCAACTCGCCAACGGTCATGATTTCCCCGTAGGAGGACATGACCTCGTTCATCTCGGAGAGGAACTCGTGCATCCGTGGACCGTTGCAGTACAGAGTCTCGGCCCACTGGAACTCCATTGAAGGGTTGGTGATGGGGGCGTCTGGGTGGCTGGGCGGTTTACTGTACATGTTTACCGCGTCGATGCGAAAGCCGTCTACGCCACGCTTGAGCCAAAACTCCATGGATGAGGCGTATATGGCGCGGCGGGCGGCTTCGTTTTCCCAGTTCAGATCGGGTTGTTTGGGGGTAAATCTACGTGTTTGACCGTGAGAAGGGATTTGGAAGTTCATCATGAGCTAATTAGATGACTTACAGGTGTAAATAGTACTCTTCGGTCGCCTCGTCCCACGTCCACGCACTGCCACCAAAAATAGACCGCCAGTTATTTGGTGGCTTTCTGATGCCCTGGTCATCATACTTGGCTTGCCTCCAAATGTACCAATCCCGCTTGTCGTTGTCCTTGGATGCCTTCGACTCCTGAAACCACTGGTGAAGTTCTGAAGTATGATTAATCACTAGATCAATGATTATGCGCATGCTGCGCTCATGACACCCGTCTATGAGATCCTGCATGTCCTGCAGGGTGCCGTAAGGCCGGTGGATATCCTCAAAGTTTGAGATGTCGTAACCGAGGTCAATCTGCGGACTTTCGTACCTAATTTTCTCAGTCAACGGTCGAGTGTTTGGCTATGGATAAGAAGAAGGGGTTGTGTTCCATACATGGGGCATATCCAAAGCACGTCAATCCCAAGACTGTGGAGATAGTCGAGTTTGGAAGTGATGCCAGGGATGTCACCAGTGCCGTCACCGTTGGAGTCTTTGAAACTTGCGGGGTAGACCTGATAGACTACAGCCTTTTTCCACCATTTGCCCTTCTGAGATTCCATTTTGCAAATTTTAGGAACGCTGCAAGACGAAGGACGAAGTAGAAACAAGTTGAGTCTAGCAAACCAACAAATTTGAAATGTTTTGCAATCAACACGAAGAATTAGGTAGGTATTACAGGTAGAAGAGGGTCGTGACCTGGAGTGACGTTCAGGTAATTTTGATTAAAATCTACGTGCCAGAACACCATATATATCAAGCCCGTTGTTATGCTGTGTAACTTGATTTTCATGATTATCTGCCCCGTAAAATGTCGTTCTTGCGCTAATCCCACCTTCATAATTATCTCTTTTCGGATCTCGCTCACATTGACGTCACACCCCCCCCAAACAAAATGTTCTCATAGCACTAGAAGAAAGACCGGGCTGGGCCGGGCCAACACGCCAACTCCTGCTCAGCTTTCCCAGTGATTAGGGGGACATACGAGTATGCGGTGGTACCTACCGCTAGCGAATTAGCATCCGAGCTAGCAGATCTATGATGTCGCGGAGTGGTGTCGCTTTGGTTTCCCCAGATTGCCCACCAATTGACCACTTCTTCGCAGAGAATACAGGTTTTGGTTGGACCAGAAGGACATGACCAAAACCTCCGTGGTAATCAGGATTCCTAGATACTTGTATGTAGATATAATCAGAACCCCTAGATACTTGTGTGTAGATATAAACGGAACCCCGATTACAATTAGACACATTATATGTAGAAATACCCTACGATTTCATACTATGGGGGACTCTACGGTCCGTTATATCCTGAACTGTACTTCATCGAGAGAGATCTTGTTCGTATTTTACTAACAAAGTCATTAACGTGATCCACAAGTCAGTGACTCACTTTCAACCATCAATTCAATATTAATCAAGATAACTTCACCACAACACATCAGATCAATTCAACTAAGCAGAATCTTATTCATTAGATGTTTCTAATTCTACTTGACAAGTCCGCGCATTATGCCCAGTCCCCCTGCAGACACCACAACGTCTTGCACTGGTTGCGATCCTTTTCCTTGGACTATTACTTTTGTCTTCCTCACCCTCTACTGCCTCAATATCACCCTTGGCTTCCCGTAGCTCTTGTGATTCAGCTACAGTAATTGTACCTCCATGCTTTATTTGCTTATTTTTGGTTCTGCGACGTTTGCTTAATAGGTGGTTGGTCTCATGGAGCTCCTTGTTCTCTTGTCGCAGAAGGGCAACATGCATTATTAGGTGAGTAGCCTTCGCAATTGAGTCTACAGAGCTCAAAATATGGGTTGGAGAGCTATTTGGATGCCTCTGGACACTAGTCTTAATAAGATTTGATTGATAAGTAGCCTCCAGGGTGGTAGTAGGAGTCTTGGAAGTCCAAGTAGCAGCCGGCAATTGGGGGTCGGGCGACGGTGTATGGGCTTTTAGAGCAACATCTAACGAGGAAATGACCCTTTTTGGATCCAATGGGACAAGTCCAGCCGCTTCGAAGCCAGACCGAATATTAGATTCGGTCATTGCCTTGTTAGATGCCTCTAGAAACCCAGATAGAAAATCCTCCTTCGCAACGTGGGTTTGGTGCTTTCGCATTCGCTCCTCAATGTAGCCACTATATGCGCGTTTTAACACACTAAAAGGTACTATATCGAGAGGCTGGAGCCGATGTGATGAATGGGCAGGCATACAAAGAGGAACAATTCCCAGTTTTTTGCAGGATTCCTCGAAATCCATCGAGTGATGGCTTTCGTGGCCGTCGAGAATCAAAAGACGTTTCGTACCCTTTGTACGGCTCCGGGTATGTAGATCAAAATGATTTACCCACTCTACACCCAATTCATTGGTTTTCCAACCATTACTGGACAGAGAAACCTTCCAGTCGCGTGATAAGGCAGCGTCGCGGTACCAGGAGGCAAGGTGAACTTTCCCCGCGAAGATGATAAATGGAGGTACCGCCCAGCCTTGAGAATTGATGGCTTGGATAACGGTAACCCATTCCCTATCACCCTGCTGGGCTTGTCTACGCCTGCCCTTTCGTTTGGCACTTGTAACGACCATTCCAGTCATGATCATGCCCATTAAAAACCCTGTCTCGTCAAAGTTATATATATCTTCCCGCGTGATCCCGTATTTCGCTATTGTGTCGGCAACAAGCTTAAACCACGCGCGATATGCGATGGGATCTTCGTTAAATGCCCTCTGGTAGTCAATTCGACGATTTAAACGCGTTCGGAGGAGTGGTTGTCGGTTAACGAAATTTGAAACCCAATTCTTGCCCACGGGTGGCGCGTCGCGTGCGCGTCGGAGTATATTGGCCATATCGGTCACGTTTTGAAGGCGGGGAGGAAATGCTCGCGAATCTAGCTCAAGTATACGTCGAACAATCGTCTCTTCTTCCATCGTGGTCAAATTCCGCTTCGTAGCGTTGGCAATGTGCTGTGGTTGAATTCCGTTGTATCTTCGTTTGATGGTACTGGCGGCAGCTTTGTAGATCAATTCGAGCTGGTTCCAGCTTAATTCTGGGTTTCGACGTTTAGCCTGGATAGCCAACTGAATATTGGCTTCGTTTGAGATACGTGGCATTTTGAATCGTGGAAAGTTGTATAAGTCAAGTTGGAGGTTGAAATGTCGCGAAAACTGAGTCACTGACTTGTGGATCGCGTTAACACTTAATATTCTATTGAGGCAGAATCGAAAATGTCGATGTGATTATGGAGGCGACAGAAAAGGCCTTCGATAGGTGGACTACAAAAGTTGATTTAAGTGGTTTTCTATCTTAATTACCCGGTCGATATGGGCTGCTATGTAGTCGTCTGTCTTCTCTTGAGAATGTGCTGTCGCACTTCCCGGGTTTAGCCCCTTTACCGATTCGGTATCGCGCGGCCGCGCATCCCTGTCAGCCACGACAAGATATATATAAGCTTGGTTCTCACCCTCCTCCTCCAAGTCCTCCTGATGTGGACTTAAGTTCTTTCTCGTATTTCATACATAGATGCACCCTACGACAGTTGCGTGGTTTTCAATCAATTTAGGTCGTAGGAAAGTAAACGATGGAGCTGTGCTAGCAACTAAAACACTATCGTCCCATGCTCACCAGGAGCCTAAGAATGGTGATGCGAGTGCATATGGGGTGTGAATTGTTGTATTGGGAAAGGATGGCCAGGTCAGCTATTCTGGCCTGGCAGAGCTCTTTTATAGCTCTTATCTATCTTATCTATCTTATCTATAGCTACAGGGCAACCCCCCATGGGGTCACGTATCAAATGGCAAAAGCGCTTTAGCCAATAGGTAGATTAAGAACATAGTTATAAGGTTAGTAAAACACTATAAGCTTTACGTCTTTACATTGTATACACGATAAACCTATTCTTACACTAAAAAGTGCCAGGTTGTGAGGACATTTGGTCACCCATCGTATCATTTAATTTATGCCCACAGACATCGTTCACTTCTAACCATCTAAGGCCCCTCTGTTCACTGTTTAATCCTTGGGGGACTCTTAAGAGATCATCGCAATTTAATGCAAGAGCATTTGCCCTACAGTCCACTAATAGCATACAGGCCAATACTATCGGAAGTTGGGTTTTGTATCCGTAGTTGTATGTATTAGGAGCTAGGTATAAAATGATAATCAGGGTACGGTGCTACTGATAATTTATTAGCTTGAAAAGGAAGCTATAGAAGGGCACGCGTGCTTAGGTATAAAAGCAAAAGGCGGAATTTGGAAGGAAACATTTCCGGCGAGGAACGTATCTGTAGATCACCTAATTTTACGCTATGAGTTATGTAGCCTCGAGGTTGGGTCATGGATTAAGCTAAATTCCAGTAACATCATGAAGACACAAGAAAGATTGTATACATCGAATAAGGCTTAGGAAAACAAACTCCCCGAAACAATGAAAAAGTCGCTGCTGTTGAAAATCCCAATCTCTGAGTTAGACCGAGCTAACACTGTCTCAATAGGCTTGCTGTTATGCGCCTTTATTATATCCAAGAGGCATAGTGCTACATGTGTGATCCAGCGAGCAGGCAACCCCCTGTCAGCCAATGCGGCTGCTCGACGGGGAGCTTGCGGGTTCAAGCTGAAGCTGCACGCTAGCCGAGAGTTGGCCCGTTTTTCCAAGATTTGTCTTTCTTTCATTATCGTTTATTATACTGCCTTATAGACAGAAGCCTACGGCTTATGAAGGCAGTGAAGTAGACCAGCTACTATCTGTGAAAGAAAGAAAAGTAACAGGGGCCTGTGCTCCTATCGTCTCTCCTAGGCTGTTAAAACCTAGAAAAAGTAAGATAAATTCGGTCTCGTTTTTCCTCTGGAAATTCTAAAATATTTCCCTCGCAGTCTAACCATCATTGGTATAAATACCAATTCCTCGGCGCAGGTTCGATAGACAAGGCGGGACAGGATTCTGCTTTCTAGCCGACGGGCCGGTCAAGAAGGCGGTACAGGCCCACATCCACACGCGATATCTGCTGTGAACTCTACATGAACACGATTTCCAGTATTTTCTTGACGTTCTGGGACTTGAATATTCTAAGATATAACTGGTACAATGCTTGTCAAGACGCCTCCTTGAGACATTCTGATCCAATTTAAGCGCCATGGTTACTTTGAAAGCGTACCAATTACCTCTATCCAAGAGACAAATCACGTCCCCCTAAGCCGGTCAAATGCGCATATCTACATGTAGAATCCACAACGGTGGAAGCCTAGAATGAATCTACGAGTATCTCAAGCTCCAGCACTGCGGACACTTCGTCATAGAAGGGCATTTAGTCCTGTATGAAAGCATCTAGGACTTGAATAGAAGATTTCTTCGAACCCCGACCCCTAATACCCCCTTGCATCTAGGCCTATACGGGATACCGTAACGGAAGAGCAATCTAGCTAGTTTTGAAAGCTAAATGAGCTCCATCTCAGATTGGGGCACCTCTCCAACCAGCTCGCGGAAGACCCTCCAGAAGGCACGCTGCAGGCAGTATCATTCACTGCCGCCACGGTGTAACTGTGCAAGCCTTGAAGCGGAATGGGATTATCAGCCCTCCAAAGGTTTTGCTAGCAAACCCGTCGCATTGACTCCTAGATGTGCCCGCTCCTGCCTTCGAGATGGACTTCTCAGCGTTACTATCGATCGAGGACATGCTTCGACAACAAGAGAGTAATGTTGCGATGGAATTTTGATGGTATTTGCGGTCCATGGATCGGGAAGACTTTTCTACTCCATCGCCACACTGGACCACATCCAGCATGTGATCGGCCGAGAAGGTATGCCTTACCCTCGCATCGACGGGAACACCCACACGCATGAGCGCAGGGCGATCGTCAGGGATTTCAACAACGGATAAACCAATGTGCTGCATATCTCGATCACGGCAGGGGGCGTCGGCCTGAACGCCGCGGGGGCCAGGTCCAACTGTAATGACGTCTCCAAGTCAAGACGTTAAGTACTGATGGTTCCAGGCACTTCAGTCGTTGCTCTATCAGTCGTTGCTTAGTGAGGTAGTACTGAAGTCCGGCCCTGGCAGGCGCAATGGTCTGTCCCTCTCAACCTGAGTGCGCAGCGCAGGGTTCAATCAGCGCGGGGTAGTCCCAATGAGCCAAGCCTGTGCTCTGATAAGATAGATAACCACGAGCGCCAGGAGCCCTCATTCATAGAGCCGATTACCACGATAACAACGACCAGTCAACTGAGAGCGAGCTTACTCTGTTTGCGAGTCCAGGCTCAATAGCTTGGCATGTCCTTTACCGGGCTTTGTCTTGTTACTCATCGGCATCCGATCTCGAAAGCAGCTTGGGTGCTCTAGGTTAGATCAATACGACGTCTACCCGACGGTTCTGTCATCAACTGAGAACATGCTGTCTAGGAGAGAAGAAATTAAAGAATCAGTGACCACTACGACAGTGCCACGCATCATTTCTGGCAAATAATTAAAATTATTGAATGACGTGGATAGCCTCGAAGGCAACAACGTCCACTCAATCAAGGAAGAGAAACGACTCGATGCAAGCTTGATGCGAGATTGGTCCCCATATTGCGGCTAAATGCGATACTAGGGGCTATGGATAAGGATACAACTAGCACTGTAGTGCCATAAGGCATGCTGGTGTTCTTGGGAATTGGTACGCTTGGGTTGGGTAGGTGTTACATGTGAGGCCCCTCGCGTACATTTCCCCATGAAACGGACTACTTGACTGTCAGTTAAGTTCGGATATGTGCTTTGGTATCTGCCCCCTGCCTCAATCCTGCAAAGATTTCCTGTCTCCAAGACCATGGCGGTCGTACAGATCCGGGGGGTAGTTGTATTCGGAATGGACTTCGCAAGAAACTTCCCGACGCTCATTACGCCTTTGTACCATGTTAGCGGCCCTGGAGGCCCCGATCGTGACGGGCAACTTTCTGATCCTGGGGATGTGGTACATATGTCCCAATTCTGTCGAAAATATGGGCTTGCTGCTGCAAATCTCCAAGAGCGGGCAAGAGCGGGGAAAGGGAGGACATATAAACCCTCGTATGCACTTAACCGTTTAAGAGCAATGCAATACCCAGCAACTTACATCACCAGTGCTCGTGCTTTGACCATCACAGTAAACAGTAGCCTCGAAACGTTCTATGAGCGCGTTGAATCGAACCGAATAAACTCGAGTTAAAAATGGCGACTGCTATATTGGGCGAAGACTCGCTTAGCGACGACATCAAATACGCCAGGCTTCCCTCAAGAGGCACGCAGGAGATTGCGTACCGGTTCCTAAATTTCGCCGCTGGACCAAATTGTAGACCTGGTCGCGACTATCCACAGGTGAAAAGAAATGGGCACCATGGAGAGGATGGGTCTACAGCCGAGAGTATGCTCCTCGTCTTCATTAATGGTCTTATTCTCTCCATGGCATCTTGGAACTCGATGCTTCATCATCTGTCGGATCTCTCGTCCAGTCCAGGCGCAGTGTCGACACAGATTTCTTCCTCGATTGGACAGAATACTGACGGAACGCAAAAGCTGGAGCGAACCCCCGTCGCCTTCTCAGCGCTTCTCTACGATCGCTATGGCCAAGGTCTATCGATCCCTTCAGGAGCTAAGGTGGATGAACACAGTTTTGAGTCGGCCGTTACTGAGTTACAAGAACTTCTCGATTTCGTGCTCGGTAAATACTACACCTCAGCTAGCGAGCCCAGAAAAGTAAATGGACATCTCAAGGTCGTCCTTGTGTCTCATTCGATAGGGGTGCCACTGGCGCGTCTGTTCGTTTCGACTTCTGTCCCTTCGACCTTGTCACGCCTTTCCACCGTCGAGTTAGCAGCACACATATTCCTCGACTCCAACATCAGCACTGCAGACTACGCTAGACTGATCCCTAACCCCGATGCAGCCTCCTTCGACCCGGAAATACTCCCACCGGATGCCAGTGCAGAGCAGCTGAGAGACTGGCGAGCCATAATGCTCGGTCGTTTCGCGCCCAACGTCCAGAATCCGGAGGGCCTGTCAAGGACGCGCGTTGCCTCGCTCGTTCCCAGCGCATCTGAGCCAAAGCTACGCAATCACCTCGGGGTTGAGGGAGGAGGGGGTGCTAGAAACACACAGACCTCCCCCTACCTAAGTGTGCTCGGACATCATCCAGCAGCCTTCGCGGCCGAGTCGGAGCGCAGTACCGGTCTACCTGGATCGCTAGCCCTAGCATTTATTCAACCGGAATGGGAAAAGTACAACTCGGAATTGAGCAGTCTGGTGTCAGGATGGAAGCTTTTGTCAAAGAAAGGGATCGTTGGAGCGGAGGATAGGGAGAAAGGTTCGCAGCCAGGGGTGAGTCTGGTGTACGGGGCAGGTCATTTTATCCAGCGTGATAGGCCGGACGTTGTTGCTCAAGAGACGTTCAAGATGGTTCAGCATGTCGCGGGGGTTTTTCATGAATAGATAGGCCCGGACAGCAGTCCAATGATACGTAATTTATTTATGTATACTTGACAGATTGCAGTAAAAAGACCAATGGAAGGTACATGACTTGAATTGGAGCCGTCTGCTCACTGTCGAGATGTCCCTTCCAAGCCTGACATTCTTAGGAAATTGTTGGTTGTGGGCATCAACTATGTGCTACTATTTTGCTGCTTGCGGCCATATCCCCAGTTTGGCCAATTATTCATTTGGTGGTTGGCAGTGGGTAGTGATGAAATTCATTTCTTTGTCCCCAAACAACCAACTGTTGGTCGTTGATTGTAGATGTGCATTCTCCTCTTCATTTTCAGTCAACTGACCATCGTTTCTAATCATTCGGTAATCTATCTCTTAGCAGTTGGTAGGGCATCGAAGGTATTTCTTTGAAGTTGATCAACCAACGGATTCCAGTTCAGTTCATAGTTAGTCGTTGACTGTGGACATGGGCGTGATCGTCTTTTCTTTGTGTCCGATGAACCGAACGTCGTAATCAAGGTTGGGGTTTTACTGTGACAATGTAGTCGCGACTGCCTCTTTCACCTCGAGTCTACTATACGTAGCCTAATAAGTTCATATCTAGGAGAGACTTATCTGCCAACTTTTGCTAATGCCGAGATACATACGGCATCTACACTATTGCCCAGCGACGAAATTGACAACACAAGGGTGGATGTCGCAGACCCCGTGGCTATGGAGAAGCCTGAAGGAGCATGTGCTCCGAGGTGGATGAGTTGTTAATGTATTGTCGGCTGGTGTAGTTGGTCACTTCGCTGGTAGATAAGTCCCGATTTGAGCCTCGCCCACTTGGGTTGGTGACGAGTCGCGGGTTCGAATCCCGCAGCTGACACACAAGGGGGTTTAGTCAACCCTTACGGCGCGCTGCCCACCTTGTTGACTTCGCCTACCTAGCGATAATAGGGAGATTGGTGCAGTTTAGGATTACGAGCATCCTAGCCAGTCGACCGTCAAGCACTACGTCGGCGGAATATAACTCGACAGCCGGTCCAGAATTCGAATCGTTAATCCGACCCCTTATCGGACCTCGCCTATCCGATAACGCTCGTCGGCGAACCCGTCCCCTCACGATAGAAGGCGCGCAGCACGCCCCCTCGCCGCGATTCTTGCGAGCGTCTAGACCACGTTACGGTCTATCCACTTGAGCGTATGGTTGAGATGTATACGCTCGACGAGAACCCCAATTAGCAGATACTACGACTTGTCGCGACAAAAAAAATAGTCGAGCATCTTCTGCACATCAGCAGCATCCCACCCCTGAGGACGAATTTAAGTGCCACATTACCACGCTTATCGGTAGTTCAGGCAGGGGTTGTAGCACAGACTTAGGGAGGGACAGGAGGTTTAGTAGTCGTTTGGCTACAAGTTTACCTGTATAACCGCCCGACGCGGCTTAAGGGCCCGCTATATCATCTATAGCCCCTTAAGGGAGTACTTGTAGAGGTACCGAGGGTTAACACCTACGGCGTATTTAATATTATTTTATTTGTTAATGTATATGAGCCTGACAGACAACGGTCACGTGAGTTTGGAGACAGAGGGCGCCCGTAGGGCAAAGAATGTTGTCAGATCAATTAGAATGGTCTTTGGTGTCACTTCTGTCAAAAACGACGGGTCACATGGTATTGAAGCATAGAAGCACCATATCGTTAGTTCTAGCTTTGTCTAGACTGTTGTTAGATATTCACGTATCTTGCAGTATGACCGTGATATGACGGTTATATGAAAAGAATAATTTGTTGGTTATGGTTAGGTCACCGTTTTTTCCATGCTAGATTCCCTCTATCTGTTCTGTTGGCTTTGTGCTTCAGGATAAAGGGGGGATAGAGGTAGCCTAGTAAGGCTGGGCCCTTCGGATTACTTAAAGGCAATGCACACAGCCAACAGAACAGATAGAGGTAATCGAGCATGGAAAAAACGGTGACCTAACCATAACCAACAAATTATTCTTTTCATATAACCGTCATATCACGGTCATACTGCAAGATACGTGAATATCTAACAACTTCGTTGTTCTAGGAATCGCCCCCAGAAATAGTCGTTAACCGTTTATGGCATCGCATATACAAAGACTTGGAGGCTATTTCGGATCTGGAAGCCTTGCCGGGAACTTATCAGTCCAGTTAGATAGTACTTCTGCAGACGGCGAGGAAGGTGGAACTAGAGACAACACGCATGTCGCCAGAATCTGAAGATAAATGCAACCATGATCGAAGGATGAGAGATATTGATATATAACAAACTTGCGGGCGTTCGGAAATATATATCGTCCACCGATAGCAGTCGACCGTTGACGAATTCAAAGAAATCATCAAGTTCATTGATTTCTAAAGATTCTGAGGGATTCAACCCTCAGATGATGACTCTGTACAGATCCTGTATTGGTTACGATGCTCGATGCGCAGTGTGATGTGTGTATTGACTGCTCGGAGTCCTATGTAAGAAGTTACATCTAAGGTAGGTAGGCAGGTGCCGACCTTTTTATCTACACAAGCGATTTCACTGCCTTAGGCACCACCTCAGGCACCACCTCAGGCACACATATGGCGCTCAATCCCACAGATTCAAGACAAACAACAGCTGATCAATTGGTAAGCACAGCATCCATTGCGCTGCTGCCCAGCTGTAGTTCAGAGGATGGCCAAATACAGAACTGGATCAATATCGACGCCCCCACTGTCTCCCTTGAGGACTCCCCTGCTGTTTCCCAAGAATGCGCCCAGCACCAGTCGTATCATGATCGTGAGCCTCCCGAAACGGATGATTGGGGCATATTATGCTCGCTTCTTACGACCAAGAAAACAACCCACGTAGACAATATGTTTGCGGCAAATGACCTTGGTTAGATGGATGTTAGCCAGAGCGTTATGGTATTATCGTGAGCGTGGATGGACAGGAGTAATTGAGCTCTTTCTTTTTCTTTTTTTTCTTTTTGGGAAACGAAATCCATTAAGAAATGGTAGTGTGGTGAAGTTGGGAAATGGAATTCCACATTTTGCTAAATAGAGTGGCCAGCTCACTTGCGGACTACGTTAGATCGCAGGAAATTTAGTTAGAGGGTGTTTATCGTCAAAGTTTACTATTGGCAGCCGCTGTGTAAGCTCTTTGAGAAAGTGTACTACATATGCTTATTGTCAAGTGGCGCGACACTTTTAATATCCTCCCACAAGGCATTGATTTTAGCAGCCGTTTCCGCTTCCAGTCTCCCTTTTGATACCCAACCCACTGTTTTGCGGAGCTGCTCTATACTGCGGGCACCCAAGGTAACACAATCACCATTTTCAGGCATCAGCGCTGAATTCCACACCACCCACCGGAACGCCAACTCGGCCGGACAGCTACAGCCAGCGGCGTCGGCGATGCGACCCCAGTCCGCCAGCGCCTCGACTAGCTTGGGGCGCGAGCTGTACAGCTGTCGGTATAGGCCTAGACCGCCCTTTTTACCCTCTGGATCCGCCGGGTCGATAGCGAAGCGGCCCCCGGTACCCGGCGCAGTAAGCTCGTCGGCGCTCCGTCGCGCTAGGAACCCACCCGCCAGCGGACTGTAGGCGGAAAAGGAAATGCCTAGCTTGCGCAGCGTCGGGAGCAGCTCTGTTTCCTGCCGGCGCGCAAACGCCGAGTAATTGCCCTGATACACGCTGGGAGCGACCCAACCACGCTCGGTGCACAGCTTGTGTACGGCCGCGACCTCGTCGGCCTTCATGTTGGACAGGCCCAGACGCGCAAAATAGCCCTCGCGGTACAGCGCGTCGAGCTTTTCCAAGGCTGGCTCAATTGGCGTCGTCGGATCCGACGCATGGAGGAAAAATGTCCCGAGCTTGGCGATACCGAGGTTCTTAAGCGTCGCGTGAAAGTCGGCCTCGAGCTTCTCCGGCGCCAGGGAGCCCGGCACGAATCCACCAGGCGTCTTGCTGTCAATCACAAAGGAGTTATACTTGGTGACGCCAGCCTGGCCAAGCAGGACCTCGCAGTCGCCATATAGCTGTGCGCTGTCGAGATGTGTGATTTTGAGGTCCTGCAGCGTGCTAAGAAGTTCCTGTACAGCGCTAGTGGTGGAGAAGGCCCCATCAGAGTGCACTGAAGCGCAGCCCCAGGTCAGTGAGACAGGTGCCGTGCTCATGATGATTTAGCTATCGGAAAACGGGAAAAAATAGTATGAGCTGGCAATGGTATGTGCTAGTAATAAGATTACGTTTGGGGGTCTGGGGTAGCGAATTTGGAAAAGGGTGGGATCGGGTTGCGGCCTCTCAAAAACGAGTTGCAACAGGGAGAAATTTCCTTGATTTAGAACAAAAGCTGAGCAAGTACTAGATGAGTAGAATCTTTAAAGTCCCCAAAATTTCTCGTTCATGTTGCACAAGCATGCACATACAATTGCTTTTTCTCTGGTGCTGCTGGTTGCTAGCAGTCTTGGTAGGTAGCATTGCATCAGTCTCGGCGTGGCGTGCCAGAAGGAGGAGATCCCAGAGATTCCGCAATGTGTGTCAGATTGGATATGCACGGAACCTTGGAAATCTTCGGTCAGCCGCCCCTGGATATTGTCAGATCATGGAGATCCTGGGTACTCTTTAGGGTCATTCTGTTCAACATCTTCTGTTCAACAGGGAATCTCTCACTATGAGTTACATACCTGGTTCTATGGGGTCCAGGCTTTGAAGCAGTCATCCAAGTAGAATTGCATTCATGCTTTGCACATGATTACAGGGATATTATTCATTGGATAAGCAGTATCTGCACGATGTAGTCTGTAATTTTTAGATATAGTCTATATAAATTCTTTTCCCTTTTGCATATACCACGGTCATAATCCGTCAAATAATCAATAAAATAAATTTAATTTGAGGTTCATCTTTGTCCTGTTCATTGCAAAATGCTTTCAGGCAGTTCCAAGGGAAGCAGCTAGGTTTAGACGAGCATACTACGGCCATAACCTGGTGAGAATGTTGTCATGATGACCCCCACTTCGCCTCACGTACTGGTTGTTAATATTCCAGCTGGGAAGGATCCAATCATCGGCACGTATACTGCATGACCATGCATACTCCCTGCCTTGGAAGTATCTACCAAGTACCTGGATTCCTGGCAATAAGCACAGAATCCTCTCTTAAGTCCGGACATGGGTCATGTTTCAGTTCGAACCAATAGTCACCGAAAACCCATGTAGTGGATGCTGACTGAGATGTCTTGACTCTGTACTGAAGTGGTCCCGATGAGAATGTATCATCCGAGGATGAATGCTCTTTCCAGGTATATGCCTTGTTATGGGACCCCTTCTGCCTGTTAAAGACTACACTTTCTGCCAGATATCACGACCACTGCTGACAAATTACTTGTGCGTGATGATCCTGCGGTTAACATGGGTTATTATTCTGCCCTCAAATATTTGGCCCTTTGGTGCCAAATCCACACAAAAGGTCCTGCACTCCGCACATCGACAAATTCCACAAATTCCATCTACTATGACACTTGGAAGCGAGGTACAAGAGAATAATTGCGCAGCTAGCCATCTCCCAATACTACAACTCCCCGCTTTCCCCAGCTTTGAGCCTCTCAAGCCTTGTCATGTTCACCACGAGCCATTTTACGTGGCACCTTTCTTGGAATAGCCTGAAGGATTCGGCTGACGACGAGAGTTCTGGGATCAGGATTTCAGCCCTGACGCCCCGAATCCATCGGCCCTTCTCGAGCAGGGGAAGTCATGGGAAGAGTATGTTAGCATCCCCAAGATAAGCGATGATATGGAATTTCTACAAGCACGGATGAGGAATATTATAGGGGCAATGGGGCAATGAGAGCAACTGTGCCGTAATGAGGCCATTCTCTCGAGAAGTCTGGCGGTATAAAAGAAGTCCATGAGGCGTACATAGTCGATAGTACGAGAGGAGGGCATCAGTCCATCAAAAAGTCATGTATTTATCATTGATTTCTGCGGCTTTGTGCGGCCTTATCGTCCCCCAAACCGTCGGCGCCGTCCCTTACGCGCTGCGCAGGGCGGTCCATGATTTCACTCCCAGAGCCCAGACACCTAGTCAGATACAGTTGGACCTTGGTCCGCAATTATCCAACGGCTCGACCATTTACGTCCAGGGAGACGACGAGTTCACGACCGCAACGTCGCGATGGAACGTATACGGTCAGCCCAACGTGTCCGTCGTGGTCGAGGTCGCGTCGGCGGCTGACGTTGTGGCGACCGTCCAATACGCGAACCAAGTGGGTATGCAATTCATCACTGTGAATCGCGGCCATGGCAGTACATACACGCTTGGAAATGTCCAGGGTGGGATCGAGATCTGGGTGACCAAGCTCGACACCGTCACCATCTCCGAGGATGGCAACACTGCCGTCGTCGGCGGTGGTTCGTATGTGGAGAGCATGATTAGTGCCCTTGCTGAGTATGGGAAAGCCTCGGGTACGTTTTCTAGAATGAAACTTTGAAGACACGCCATACTGACTGTGCGCCAGCAAGTGGAGCATGTGGTTGTGTAGGCATCGTGGGTGCTGGTCTTGGCGGTGGACATGGTCGTTTGCAGGGCCACTTTGGGCTTGTCGTCGACAACTTCATTGACATTGATCTCGTTCTATGGAACGGCACCCAGATCAGCGTCAGTGAGGAATCTTACCCCGACCTGTTTTGGGGTCTTCGCAGTGTATGTCTATATCCTCACTTGCAATCACTGATCCCGCTGACCATTTCCAGGCTGGCCACAATTTTGGTATCGTTACGAGCTTCACGTACAAAATCTATGATGAACCATCACCTGTATGGTTCTATGGAGTTTACTACTTCATGGAGAATCAGTTGGAGAACATCTTTGAAGAGATGAACCGTCAGTCAGAAGCCACACTTCCCCCGGAAATGGGCCTGTTGCTCCTCGACTACGTTTGGAACACGGACATTAGCGAAACCGAGCCTGTGCTGGTGCTGTCGATAAACTATGGAGGTAGCGCTGACGATGCGGCCCCCTATGTTGATGCGTTCAAGGCCTTTGGGCCCGTCAGCGTAGAAGAAGGAGAGGCACCTTATTCGCAGATTGCCAACGCCTCGGGCACAGACGTGGATGACCCATTGTGTAGTCATGGAACACAGCGAATGCAGTTCGCCGCCGACCTCACCACATACAACATCACAACGAACCGTGCCGTCTTCGAACTGTACAAGGAGAAGACAGTCGCCCAGCCCCTGTTCCGGGGCACCATTGTCGTTTTCGAGAGCTACAGTCTGCAGGGCGTGCAATCAGTCCCCTCCGAAAACACTGCCTATCCTCATCGTGACGACAACATCATCTGGACTACCGTGATTCAGTACGACCCGAACCCCGACTTGGACGCAGAGGCCATTGCATGGGGAGAAGAGACGCGCACGCTCGTTCATGCTGGCCAGGCATCCAATGCGACGCTGAATGTTTACGTCAACTATGCGTTTGGCAATGAGACCCTGCCCAGCATGTACGGTTATGAGCCGTGGCGATTGGAGAAGCTGCGGGATCTCAAGAGGACGTGGGATCCGTACGGAAAGTTTAACTACTACATGCCCATCTCCTAAGAAGGGGTATGCGCACGCGAGTTGCCGATCACTCACCAATGAGTATGGTACGGACCGCTTACACTGTCTCAAGCTCAGAATCGCGTCCTAGATCGGGATTTCTTTATCTGAATTTCTTTGAGTCTTTCTTCTATTCTGGTACATCTTTGGTTACATTATAAAACAATAGATAGACCAGCAGTGGCGAGAAATTATACGGAATCTTCTTCTCTTCGTGGGATTGGCATGATACTTACTGCAACTATTATGCATCGTTTATTCGCACCTTTGAATATCTCTAAATATCTGGCCAAAAAAGAAAACTAGTCAAACTTGCCCATTTGTTGCAAATCCAGCATCGAAAACCTCGTAGTAACCCAACTCCTTTTCCGTACTCTTGTTCTCTGTCCACTCCTTGTATCCCGACCGCAGCTGATCAATCACCTCCTTTTTCCACAAAGGCGCAGGCTCCAGGCCCATGCCCACCAGTCGCATATTTCGATTCCCAGCCATCAACGCGAGCCAAAATTCGCCAGGGTCAATCTGAGGCACCACGGCGCCATCGACGCGGCCCTCGAGAATGTCCTTGCAAAGGTGCCACTCGTCCGTCAGCGGCCGGCCGAGCCCAATGCCGTCGACCGTGTCGAGCGCGCACACCATGCCGCCCACGGTCCGCAGGCCACCCGTCACAAAGACCTTTGTCCGGGTCAGGCCGGGCGCAATGCGATCGGCAAACTCGAGGAAAAAGGCCTCGCGCTTCTTGGTGGTTTCGCGGAGGTGCGAGTACATGACCTTTTCGTACGAGCCCCCGCTCAGCTCGACAAAGTCAAAGCGGTGGGCCTCGAGCTGCTGGCACAACGAGTTGGCCTCGGCCGTCACCAACCCCGTGTCCTGAAACTCGGTGCTGTTGATCTTGATGCCGAGGACGAAGTCGGGTGGCGTCCGGCGGTGTACCTCGCGCCCAATCTCGAGGATTAGCCGCATCCGGTTCTCCAGGCTGCCGCCGTACTCATCGGTGCGGACATTGGACTTGGGACTCAGGAACCCGCACAGCAAAAAGTGGTGCGCCGCGTGGATCTGCCTATAAACACCCTATAGCAAGCGTTATTTGCCTCATGCAATGAAGGGGATGGCCGTTATGTACTTATGGACCGCATAATTTCTAGAGGTCCGCAGTCAGCCAGCATTCGCTGCAGTCAGAATCTGCTGCAGTCATCACCAGTGATTTTTCAACGGAAGGAACACCGGCACATAAGCGAGAAGTGAAGGAAACCGGATATGATGTTCACCTTTCATGCGCCTAAGTGTCACTGTGACTGCATTATCACCCACGCGCATGTATCATATCGTCTCTAAGTTAAATCCTCCCAAACATGCGGTCATGTATCTGCGGTCAGACCACTAATATCTCGGAAATATCTCGTGATGAAAGATCTGTATGGGTAAGCTTTGCGGTACAATCTTGCTACAGAATGCATAGAGTCTGTACCGATGTCGATTATCATTGGTATCGAGGGCAAAAAGGTAGGTCTTCAGCCCAGACCACAAGTTTATAGGCAGGGTGATTCTTACGCCATGAGAATGTCTACTGCGTGTATCCCCCCCTCCTTATCCATTTTGCTTGTGCGGTAGCGCGAGCTTTGGCGTATCGATTCCGGTTTATTTTCCAGTTCACTAGACTCGAGGTTCCTACAACGAAGGGAAAACATACAACAAGATGGTTCCGTGTGGATTCACTACATTGATTCCTGCTCTGACTTACAAAGTAAGTAGGTTGAGGTTTGCGTCAATCATTGATCGACTCGTTCCTCCTTCTTTTCCATTTATTACACTACTTAACGCCAAAATTGAAGTTGCGGATTTTTGCTTCATATCCAATCGGAAATCTCACGACGGGTGGATTCTGGGCCAATGGCAATGCAGTAGGCGTCCTCACCTCCGTTCCCGGGTTCATACCGGCGATCAACGCTACGAGTATCCATATGGACGACACATTCGTTCGTTACCCGGGCGCACCGTACATTCAAGATACGCGTGGCCTCGTAATGACCGACGATGGTCAGATCATTGGCGTGAACATGCAGGGCCTGGTTTCGGCCACACCCCACGTTCATGATATCATGGCGTAAGTAAATGTTCCGAGAGTCCATCTGAGATCTAATTGCTGACTTTTGTGCAGGAACAAAACAGGAGTGGAGCCGTTAAGGTGGGGGGAGATGGATACTTTTACGGTCTGGAACTTTCAGGCGGCGGCAGGCAAGTACTCGCAGCTTGCAGAAGGGACATTTGTCGCGAATACCCGGCTGATCCCTTCGGATAATGAGGATACCGTGGTATACATGGATTATCAGATCAGCCAGGTTGACGCTGGGCCGTTGTGCGTAGACTCTTAGGACAGTTAGTTAGTTGGCTATTGAGTAAGGCCGCAAGCGGAAGACGGTAGCACGCAGATTGCATAATTCCTATCACGCTATTGGTATTTTCCGAGACCCATGTTTCGGGTAAATCGGTTCATGGGGCTTAATTGGGAAGAATACCCGCTTACTGTGTAGACGATGCGGACGCTAGGTATGTCAGATCATCACGTTCTTTGTCCTTATCCTGGTTTAAATCCTATAAGGATTGCATACCTGATCGGCGACGTTTTCTGTGACCGCGAGTCACCTGAGCAATGATAGGGTTCGTGTCCGCTGCTGGGATGATGATTATACTTAGCAGCGCATGTATCAATTTGAGAAAGGAAGGGTACCTGAAAAAGACAAAGGGGAAAAGAAGGAGGATCATCGTGGGCCATATTTGGCGTGCCAAGAAGAATTGGATAGACAAACATTATTATTATTATTATTAAATACGCCGTAGGCTCGAAGCCCCCGGTACCTCTACTAGTACTCCCGTATGTCAAACCGTGCCCTAATGGCTGGACTAAATACATACGCTGCGTCGTCGGTTTGCCCTATTGGCGACTGCGTTACGTCCACTACCATACTACGTTGGTTCTCAACCTACCAACAAAGTCCCCCCTGAGAAGATCGATGCTATCTGGGCCTTGAAGCTGTCCGACCCGTCCCTAGCAGCCACCTTATAATAGTCCCACTAACTACTGGTTCTCCTGTTGCCGTTGCGAGGTCTCTGCGAGAGTATAGTGGCCGTGGTGCGATGGCGGCCCGTAATCGTTCCCTCGGTCCTTCCAACAGCCCGCAAAAGAGGATTACGTGCTCTGCCGTCTCAGGGGCGTCGCTACAGCGGCATAGCGGCGAGTACACGCCAAAAGCCCCTGTCTTGAATAAGAAGGCTGCTAGTCCTATTTTTTCCGTCCTGATCTGGCACAGCGTAGACGCCTCCAGTCGGTTCAGGCCGAAATACCTGCCCCCTTTTGGTATCTGCATCGAAGGGCCCTCCGGTTCCTCAGCGATAGCGCGTCGCTGGCGATCGTGATACTCTGCTCCGGTGAGCCATCTCTTCCTCCAGTGGCCGAAGAGGGCAGCCGGGACCTCCTTTTCCTCACTCATCCACTCGGAGCCCCGGGCCTCCTTCTCCATAGTGTACCCTGCCGGTCGGAGTAGCTGCGACGCCTGCTTCCTCTTCGCCGGCCTATCCTGCCGGAGTATATGTGACGCTTTAGCGCTCGCGCTGCGAAGCAGATTTCTCTTCCCGCTAAGCCGTAGCCGTTTGATGCGTGCACCTAGGGGGGAGGATGCTATAATGCAGCAGTGCGCAACGTTATAGTATCTAATTGAATGGGATTCACCTAACCAGTGGGTCCCCCTACCTTTTCGTATCACCGTTCTTCAAACTTAGCAGCCCGGGCACTAAGATAGAGGTCTAGTGGCGGGATTGCTGCTTCTGCTTCCAGGTGGCGAACCGGCGTCGCTTTGTGGGCGCCACAGACTACCCGGAGGCACTCGTTCTGTATCCCCATCAGGCTCTTAGCTGGCCCTGCCGGTTCCTCACTTATAGTATGCCACGCAGTCGCCCCGAAGGCAATCGCGCTACGGATAACCACCGTATATAACAGCCTCGCCCGTATAAGATCGCAGCCCCACGACATATTGACTAGCTTTATCAGGGCTAGCTTTTGAGTTGCCATTTTTGTTTTAACACGCTCAACATGGGCGTGCCACGTCAGTTTGCGGTCGAACCAGACTCCTAGGAACCTGGCTGAGACTACCGGCGACACTGTGGCGTCCCCAAGGCGAATACTTTGCGGCAAGGGCTCTCGGGCCCTAGTAAAGTGCATTAGCTCACTCTTGTCAGGAGCGAACTCCATCCCGTGCCTCACTGCCCACCGCTGACACGTAGCCCATGCGCTCTCCAACCGGCGGCAGGTCGTGTCTGGATCGGTGCCAACGCTTAGCAGGTTCGTGTCGTCCGCAAACCCGACTACTAAAAGTAGTGGATGCTACTCCGCTAGCTTCTCGTACAGCGTTGAAATGTATAATATAAACAGTATCGGGGATAGCGGTGACCCCTGGGGGACGCCAGCTCGTAGGGGGATTGGCTCTGACTCCTTGCCATCGAACCGGAGGCGTACCGTCCTATCCTCCACGAAGCTGCGTACCCACTCCTGAACCCACTCCGGGTAGCCTTTCCGGGCTAATATGGAAATCAGCCGTCTGTAATTGACCGTATCGAATGCCCCCTTGATGTCTAGCTGTAGCAGCGAGGCGATGCCCCCGCGTCTCCACGCCGTATAGACTACGTCCTCAACTATACGTATTGCCAGTTCGGTGGACCTCCCAGCGCGGTTACCCATTTGGCCGTTTGGTAGTAGGCCGGCCGCCTCAGCTACTTTGGTGATACACTGGCTCATCGCCGTCTCTATTACCTTCCCTACCGTGCTAAGCAGGGCAATGGGGCGCCAGCCGCCAGGGGTCTGCTTCTGAGCTGTCGTTTTATTAGGCTTAGGGATAACAACCACCCTCGCTGAGCGGAAGCGCTCCGGGTAGTACCCCAGCCTAAAGCTAGCTGTTGCCAGATCCGCTAGGATCTCCCATAGGGGTTCACCGCAGGCCTTTAGCAGGCCAGTGGGGATCAGGTCGTCGCCGGGCATAGACAAACATTTTGGCCCTTGAGGAATCCACTAATCAGCACATCAATTTATTGGGGTAACACTGATTGGGCGGTCTTGTGTTGAGGAACCGAGATATGAAGAAGAAACACAACTCAATATATTATGATGTGTAAGAATTCTGCCAAGTATTATATAAGTTTCATAACAACCATACTATCATGGAACTCGGACTGCAGCATCCAGACCTAACTCGGCTTCTGGCAAGACAACCGTGTTATAGTTGTGTTCAAGCATAATTCGTATCAGTACGCTAGTACATAGCGGTCATGCGGGCCATAGCCATTCAATCGCCGAGATAATGAAATAGGATTGGTTCTATGATACTACTCCCCAATCTTAGGAGACTCTTGGCAGGTGCTTGGCACATTATTCAAGTCTCTGCCCAAACTGCCCTGCACTGTCATGGAATTGCTCCCTCACAGACCCCATCTACTCACTGTCTTTGGTTGCTTCCTCGGACAATTTCTGTACCGTCATTGTCGCGCTCAGTAACTTCAACATGCTGACCTCTTTCCCAAAGGTAGCGACGAACCAATTCCGCAGCTCGGCCGCCACCATGCTGTCAATGCCATAGTTGTTGATAGCCTTGTCCGCGTCCACCTCGTCGACGTTCATGTACAGAAGCCGCGAAATCTTGCCTCGGATGCGGTCCAGCGCTGTTCCTTCCTCGGCTGCTGCACTTCTCTTATCTTGACTACCCGCAGAAAGCAAGTCCGTAGCCTGGATCAGGTTCTGGAAACGAGGATCCCGATACCAGAGCATGTCCGACAAGGGGTGCTTGCGGTCGACGTTCTTCAGGCCTGCAGGCTCGATTCCTACCAGCAGATGGGCGGCCGTCTGAGGATCGTACTTGAATGTTGGATCCTCCTGAGTGCCTTTGGCTGGCGGCAGGATGCCCGTCTCGCAGTACTGCAAGAACTCTTCCTCGTCGTTTCCGTAGAAGCCATTGCGAATCATGGCTTGCTGATACTCGGGCATGTACGAGACAATGCCAATTCCAAGGACTTGACTCAGCGCCAAGCTGGTACAAGGGAGCCCGCGGGAGCATCGGTGTCGGGCAAAGACATCCAAGAAGGCGTTGGAGGCGAGGTAGTTGGCCTGCGTGGCGGTGCCAAAGATGACAGTCCACGAGGACCAAAGCTCAAAGAAGTCCAGAGGGCAGTCTCTTGTCGCCGCATCCAAATTCAGCGTGCCGATGACACGCGGGCGCACGGTGGCATAGAAGCGGTCCAACGACATGTCCGCGAATAGACCATCGTGCAGAGTGAGTGCTCCTTGTACCACGCCCTTGATAGGGTATTGCGAGGACTTGACGGCCGCTTCCACATCAGTGAGAGATGTCACGTCACCTTTCACGACCGTGATGTCGACGCCGTTGTGCGCGAGCTCGTCAAGGAATGCCTGTGCTTCACTGCCAGCCGCTCCCGAACGAGAGAGGTAGATGAGATGTCGGGCCCCGCGTGACACAGCCCAGGCACTAAAGCTTCGGCCAAGACCTCCTAAACAGCCGACTAGTAGATATGCGGCGTCTGGGTCAAACTTGGCAGTGAAGGGATCTCGTTGTACCTGCGGTAATAACTTAGTTAGTCGCAAAGCACATAGGTGTAGCAAACGCAGGGATTCACCCAATGGTAACTCACCTTGATACCTTTTCCCGACTGCTCATTGTATTCAACAAGCAGCTTTCCAATGTGAGCACCCTTAGTGAACGTCATGAAAGCTCTGTCGATCTCAGCAACATCAAATGTTTCAAAAGGGAGAGGTGTGATGAGGCCTTCGCTCTTGAGCTGCTGAATGGTTTTCATCAAACTACAAATCGTTAGTAAAAGACACAAGATGTAAGGAGATCAACGGGAGATTGACATACCGAGCAATCACCTGTGGCTTCTCGTTGCTCATGACTTCGAGATCAAAAGATGTGAATGTAGCATTCCGCCTGAAGACATCCAGGCTCAAGCTGCCATTATCCAATACCTCTGTCCTTCCAATCTCAACAAATCGTCCGCCAGTAGAAATGCATTTCCAGTACTCATGCATGAGTTCTCCACGAGCGCTGCAGAGTATGACATCAATGCCTCGGCCACCAGTCTTCTCCAGGAGTCTTCGGGCCGAAAATCGGTCGCGTGACGGAAGGATGCAATTCTCTTGGATACCGAACCCCATCTGAAGCAATTCCGCCTTCTTCTGATCCGTGCCGACAGTAGCATAGATTTGTGCTCCAGCCATCTTGGCAATCTGGCAGGCCGCCAAACCAACGGCACCGGTAGCGGATTGAATCAACACGCTCTCGCCTTTTTCCAGCCGACCCAGATCGATCAAACCATGTAGCGCGGTGCAAAAGGCAATGGGAAGAGTGGCTGTTCCTGAAAGGGTATCGCCGTCCTCGAGCTTCTGACAGAAGATTGCCTTGTCTCGGACAAAATTGCCAAATCTAGAAAAAGACTGACAGTAGACCGAGTCACCAACCTTGAAGTTCTGGACCTCGCTGCCAACTTTAGTGATGATACCCGAACATTCGTCACTAAAGGAGTCGGAGTGGTGACGGCCTGTCAAGACTGCAATATCTTTGTTATTGAGGCCGGCAAATTTCACCTCGATCTCAACTTCATCTGCGGCTAGCGGCTTCGAGAATTCCGGGTCCTTCTTGAAGTGTACCGTACTCAGAACTCCAGGCTTGCCGATAGCAAGTTGAAGGGGGGCCGACTTGAAGTCCTTCAGCGGTACCTCAGCAGGGCTTTGATCAGAGCTTACTGAGGTCTTCGCCTCCTCTCAAAGGGAGTCGTCAGAGGTCAGGCGGCTTGTGTACAGCACACCGTTCTTGAGTCGGAACTCGGAGTCATCATTTGTTCTACTCGTGTCCGCTACCCTGGACTCCAGCTGTCCGATGAGTCTGAAGAGCTCCGCATCAGAGTCAACTGGGGTCTTGTCCAGGTCAAGAATGCTGAGCCGGATCGAACTGTTCTCTGTTCTGATTCCTCTTGCCAACCCCGATATCATAGCATAGAGGGGCTCAGTACCAGTAATGAGATCTCCACATGTCAGCCATAAGGATGCTGTCGATCGTCCCAAGGCTAATTGGACGTGCTTCCACTCCAGCTCTGTCGCATCGAGAAAGAAAGGCTCGGATGTCTCCAAGAGGAAAATGAACCTCATGTAGCGAGAAGTCTCAATTTCTGCAAGAGATGCTACGTCGACGGCGATACCAGTGGTCTCGGCGAGAGAAGCAGCCAACGATTGGATGAACGAGGCGGGTTGGGATCGATAGATGAGAGTAATGCCCCGTTGGTCCTGGCTTGTGATCTGACGCGGTACGCTTGTTGGGGCGTCCACGGCTGATGCACAAATGACAGTTGCCGAGATATTTGCGCCTGCGTAGTCATCTAGGAAGAGATCAAGCCCTGAGAAGCCTGAAGCAGAAAGGACAGTCTGCCACAGAGACTTGCTGATAAAAGGCCCATCGTAACGAGGATAGCTAGGATCGTGATCCGCTTTCCAGAAGTCGCTAAAGGTGCCCAGCACTAGACCGGCGCTGAGCTGTGATTGTGTCAACTCTAGGAGTATCATCTTGCCACCCGGCTTGAGAACGTTTCGAACATTGACAAGCGTACTGCGAATGTCGGACGTTGCGTGGATGACGTTTGAGGCAACCACGACATCCCAATCCTGCTGGTAGCCTTGGGACTCCCCGCTCTTTTCCATGTCAAAGGTTCCAAAGGTCATTCCACCAAAGCGGGAGAATCGTTCTTCTGCACTAGCTAGGAACGAAGGCGTCGTATCTGTAAATCGATACTCTGAGTATTGACGCCAGATGCTCTCTCCTTTGAGAGCCGGTAGGATTTGGTTAGTCGCACTCCCGGTTCCCGCGCCCACTTCGAGGATTCTCAAATTCGGGTGTTTATGGGCGTACAATGCCACTGCTGAAGCTAGGCGCTGGTTGCCTTCCCGATAGACTTGGCCACTTTCATAGTTGTCAATCAGCAAGTTGTCTTGCAATGCTACCTGGATACCTGATTTTTCCCCACTGTAGATCGCAGCAAGATTCTCGTATAGATGGCACATCAGTCGAGCTTCAGAAGACGCAGCTTTGAGTCCGCTAGAGATACGCTCAATTTCCTGAGCTCTGTGCGACTCGTCGTACTGCATGATACTTGAAGCGGGAGAGGCAGGATCCTTTTCGGCAGCTGACAACTTCTCTGTTGTCCAGTCCAACAGCCGTTGCAGATGAGGCTGATCTGAACCTTGCTCGAAAACATGTGCATGAGTCGCCTTGAATTGGATCAACTGGTGCAAAGCGAGGGTATTCAGAGAGGGGATCACTGCATCGTCGCTGAGCACGACCGGTGGGTACAGTTGGGCCATGATGTTTGAAGTGAGGTGATCAAAATCAGGCTTCCAAACGATCCTTGTGAATGGAGCAGGATCATCAATCAGCTTGAGAGCGGTCTGATCAGCAGCAGTCAGGAAAACATTGGTTGCCTCCAGCATCCTTTGACCCTGTGCACCCAACAATAGAACGTCGGAAGACAAGCCACGAACGCCCTTGAGCGTTGAGCTGGCATAGACTTCAGTGAACTTATGGCTCTGGCTTGCGATTCCCGGCCACAGCTTGATGCTTTCGAAAGAAGTAGGCATGAATCCTCGCTTAAACTTGGTCGCTGTGTTGTTGTGCGCTGCGACAATCGAGAGCTGCAGGCTGGCATCAAGGGTGGCAGGATGCAGCACGTATCGCGATTCCCTGATCATAGTCTTTGCGGTAGGTTCCAAACCAACTTCTGCTCGCGTGGTGTTTGGCTTTCCAATCGCAGAAATATTGGACAGGCCTTGGAAAATTGGTCCGTAGCATAGCCCTGCTGCTGCGAAGCTCTCGTACCATTGTGCTGCATTGATCGCCTTCGAAGAAGGAGCGTGGACATCGCTCATCAGTTTACTCTCGGCAAAATCTGCGATTGTTAACAACAACGCTCGAATCGGGACTAGCCTAGCAAAAGGGTCTTACCATATTTGTCGAAACTGACTTCCACCTGACCACGACAGTGTTCCACGAATGTATCCTGTCCCTCCTCGTTTGCGACCGAAGTGAGGACAAAGTCAAAGACCCACTGATGGGAGGATACAGAATTCAGGGAGGATGGTCTAAAGGTGAACAGAGTCTCGATTCCCATGTCATCTTCAGGTATCATGAGAGCCCTGAATAGACTAACATTCCGGATATCGTAGAATTCGATGCTCGATGCCTGTAGACCTTCGACTTCGACAACTTGAGTTGCCGCTTCTACTACCATACTGAGATAGCCAGTAGAGGGAAATACCACGTCCTTTCCGATCTATTACGGCTTGCTTTTAGCTTTTATTCATCCATTCTCCAGTACAGATGTACTTACGCGATGGTCTGTCAGCCACGGTACATTCTTCACAATGAGCTTGTTTCGCCAAATAGGCTCTGACTGGTTGGTGCCTGGTATCCTGCTCCCAAGGATGTCATGTCTTTCATGCAGACGGAGTCGCCATTCACGAGTGTAGCGATTCTCGTACAATAGAACATCGTTTGGATATTGCCATTGATAGCGTGGCAGGTCTGTGATTACTTTGGCAAATTGATAATCATTGCCGCCGCGAGTCTCTGTGGCATTGACCCGACCAAGGTCGATTTCATAGCCTAGAGTGAACAAGTTTCCGGCTAGTGTCAGGATACTCGTCACATCATTGGAGCCACGAGTCAACGTGGGATAGTATGTTGGAAACTTGGTGCTATCACTAATGCTCTTGGAAAGCTGACGAAGAGGTCCTTGAAGTGCACCGTGCGGGCCAACTTCGACGAGAATGTCAACAGGGCAGTTGATAAGCATTTCTGTGACCGCTTGGTGGAAGAGAACCGGAGATTCGAGATTTTGTCGCCAGTACTTGGCGCCGAGTATGGCCCGAGGGGCGGCGTGTCCAAAGACCGAAGAGAAGAATTCAGCTTGGCAGGTTCGAGTCTTTGATCTTTGCTTGAGGGTCTCTGCAGCAGTCTTCTTGGGCATCAAAGCCTCCAAGTCACGCTCGTATTTGGGACCGAGTGCCCTCATGTGGTCTGAGTGGTAAGCGTTGTCGTTGGTCAGCAGGACGCGGCAGAATATCTTGTTTTCTTCTAGAGTTGCCTTCAGCTCAAGCATCGCATCCACATCTCCGCTCAACGTGTGGCTTTCTGGAGAGTTGTGACATGCAATTGTAATCTGCGAGTCATAACTGTCGACCAGAGGTTGTATCGTAGAAAGCTCGCCACCAACCGCCATCATCAGGCCGGCAGTCTTGTTCTCTGCTACTGCCTTTCCCCGAAGATATGCCGTAATGATCGCTTCCTTCTCAGTCAAGAGTCCGGCGGCGTAGCTTGCTGCTATTTCTCCAGAAGAATGTCCAACGACAGTCCGAGGCAATAGGTTCCAGCGAGAAAGCAAATTGACCAACATGATCTGCAAGGCTGTCACCAAGGGCTGTGATAGCTCTGCCTTGTGCACCGTGCTTTGTTCAGGCTCTTGACTGAGTACTTCTTCAATGCTCCAAGGTCGACTGTAGCCCTCGTCGAGATCGTTGAGATGATTGTCTAGCCTCCTGACGGTAGCAAGGCAGCTGGGATACTCCGCCATCAATTCGGCACCCATACGGGGCCACTGAGCACCCTGGCCAGTGAAAATGAAACCTATGGTGGGAGTTGCTGTCGCCGGTACCTTGAAAGGGGTTGAAATCTTTTCTGATATACCATTTTCGGCCTTGCTGGCGTCTGTGATGATGAAGGACCGATACTGAAACAAGCTCCGTCTTACACTGAGCGTGTGCGCAATGTCGGCAAGCTTCCAGTGGGATGATACTGAAGCAAGTGCACCATGATTGGTGCGTAATGTCTTTTCATCGTGTGCCGAAAAGGGTAGTAGATATTGGGACTTTTGAGGTCCCTTTTGCGAACTTCTTCCATTTGCAATGTGTTGGGTTGTACCATTCGTATGGCCGTTCCCATTCGCGGTGCCGTTGGCTTTGATGATGCCATTTCCGTTAACATGGCCATGTCCATTCGCGGTGCTGTGGTTTGTATCGCCATTTTGAAGTGGCTTCTTCGTTAAACCATTTCTGTTCGCAAATACCACCAGAGCGGCAGACTCCTTACTGGCCTGATGTTTAGATCTGTAGCCCGGAAGAAGTGTCTCAGCGGATTCAACAATTGCCTGGAAAATGGTCAGCAGCATTCGATCCGTGCGAAACAAACAATATTACATGTGCATTCGAGCCTCCGTAGCCGAAGGAGTTGATGCTGGCTCTCCTGATGGGTAAATCAGGCCACGGCGTGCTCTGTTGGACAATTTTGAGCCGTCCATCCTTCAAATCCACGTTTGGATTCAATGTCTCAATGCCAATTGTTGGTGGAATAACACCTCGCTCGATTGCCAAGACGGCTTTCATCACTCCAGCAATGCCGCTCGAAGGCTCACTGTGTCCCATGTTGGATTTGATCGAACCGATCAGCAGGGGATTCGCATCAGTTCTACCTGCAGCGAATATCCTGCCCAAGGCTGACACTTCGATGGGGTCACTGACTCAACGTTAGCATCACTGAAATCTCTCAGCTGTGCATTTGGGTTGGAACATACCCGACGGGAGTACCAGTGCCGTGACATTCAAAGTAGCCTGTGAGCGACGTGTCCAGTCCGCCAGCCCTCTCGTAGGCGCGTCGGATACATGCCTCTTGGCCATCAGGACTAGGATGTGTGATACCACCTGTCCTTCCATTTGCGTTGAATGCCGTGCCTCGAATCACGGCCCTGATGGGGTCACCGTCGGCTACAGCAAGGGAAAGCTTTTTGATGTAGAGCGCGCCAATGCCGTCAGCACGGGCGTATCCGTCCGCTACACCATTTCAGGTCAGTTATCCACAGCACGCTAGATCTGAAAACAAATCTTATGCCGGTTGCACTCACCACGCGAGTCGAATGTGTGACAAACTGAAGTGGGCGAAACAGCACCGAGCACAGACGAGAATATCTGACATTCCGGGGTTAGGATCAGATTGGTTCCTCCGACTATGGCCGAGTCACAGTCTCCGGTCTGAATGGCCGAGCATGCAACATGAAGTGCGTAGAGAGAGCTTGAACAAGCCGTGTCCAAGGTCATGGACGGACCCTTGAGGTTGAAGATATAGTTGATACGATTGCTGAGGATAGTGATGCCACTCCCAGTAACGGAATAGGGCATAGCGTTCTCAGGGTCCCGATAATGCATCAATTGATGGTCATAGTTGAAGTTGCCCACAAAGGTGCCGGTGTAAGAACTCGAAAACTTGTGGAGCGGAACACCTGCTGACTCAACAGCCTCATACACGACCTCGAGGAATTTCCTCTGTGCCGGGTCCAGGGTTAACACTTCTTTGGGGTGAATCCCAAAGAAGCTGGCATCAAATTGCCTTACATCAGACTTGATGAAGCAGCCACCCTCGGTCTTGAATGAGCCCGGCCTGTTTCCATCTGGATGATAAAATGCATCGCCATTGATCCTACTCTCAGGAAACTTGCTGTAAGAGTTTCTTTTCGCTTCAAGATAATCCCAAAGCTCAGAAGGGGACTCTGAGTCTCCGGGCCAGCGGCATCCTGGTGGATCATTAGCCAATGGGGGTGCATTAATTCATGCGGAGACATCTCACCCATTCCTATTATAGCAATAGGCTCTAAAGATTCTGAGATCGGTGGCTCAGTAATTGAAATCGGCGCCATGTTGAATTCCGATTTCAGGGTCTTTGGCGAGTAATGATAGAGTCCCAACGTAGTCTATTGAAGGTGAAACAAAACGTACGACTGAACAATGCGAATGGTACGATCTAGTATGATCTGTTTGAGAATTTGAGACTGAGCGATGATCTAGTGAAGGTGTTCCAGGATCTAGACCCAACTTGGACCAGTGGTTATAGAAGTCTACTCATATTGAATCTTGCAGTTGATACCACTACCTTGTATATGAACCACTGTGACTAACAGTTGATGAAGATCAAGGGTGCTTTAGTCTTGTCGGTTGTTCCATGTGAATTGGATAACTTGTTACTGACATCTGACTTTGCAGCAAGGATTCTCACCAATGACGGTAATCAGCTTCAGAGACTTAGACTCTACCAGAATCTCAATGAGCCATCAGAGCAAAGGCATCGCTGACAAGATTGTGCAGGGATGACATTCGAGCATTTGTCATTGACAAATGTATAAGCCGGGGGTATTGACAGGGTGGCGACTATGGCAAAGAAAACCAGACCGAAGGCCAGGCTGACATATGAGCCACGGAGTGACCGCATGACAGACGCATGTCATGCCCTCAACGGTGCCAGTCAGCCCCCTGCGATCAGGTCTGTAGGAAGGACGGATGGGTTGAATGTGGATTATGAAGCCCTTGTAGTGGAGAAACCTACTTTTCCCGGGAGAGATTGTACCACTCTCTTTTTTCCCGGCCATGAGATGATTTGAGACCTATCCTTCGATGTCGACTGTGTAGAATTATTCATATGAAATTTACCGCGTATAAATGAGATTGTATGAAATCTAGCCTGTGAGAGGACAAAAATGATCACACCGTTCAGAAGTTTCAAAATGTCGTGGATCTTTACTTGGATTTTGTCCTTCAATATTGTCCTGCCCTATTTGGCAGACTCGGTGGCAGCAACTAACGCATCAGTCATATACTCGTCCCCGGTCGCGGAACAAGCGGTATTGTTGGGAATGAGTTCCTATGACCAGAACAGTGCAGAATACAACGACTACAACAAACTTAGTATCAAGCATGAACTCAAAAAGCGGCTTTCGACAAAGTCAAACATCCTCTTGGCGGGGGAGGATAATTTTGCAGAGATCTCAGCTCGTTACACCGAGTACAAGCGGCCCCTTTACATTGCTGCTGTTCAGGTTCAGGAAGAACAAGATGTCATTGAGACGGTAGGACTCGTACATTCTCCCCTGAAAGAGACACGCAGCTCATCCATTTCAGGTTAACTATGCACGCTCAAGAGGCATCCCATTCGCCGCACGAGCGGGTGGTCACAGTCTGACAGGTTCTCTTCGCCGGATCAGAAATGCGATCGAGATTGACATGCGTGGGCTGAATACGATAAGCTATGATGCAAACAAGCAGCAAATGACGGTAGGTGGGGGCGTCACGACTGGAGAGTTTGCGAATGCAACTCACGCGAAGGGTATGGAAGTCAGTAAGTGACCTGTGGTTGAATTCCTCAATGCCATGATCCGTGCTAAAGTTGTGAATGAAGCTGTTGGCTCTTGCCCATGTACAGGAGTCATGGGCATCTCACTTGGCGCTGGCATTGGCCGGCTTCAAGGAAAGTACGGTTACCTGAATGACAACATGGTCCACACCCGTCTGCTTCTCGCGAATGGTACAGTATTGGAGGTCTCAGACTCGTCTAACCCAGACCTTTTCTGGGCTATTCGCGGTGCCGGACACAATTTTGGCATAGTCCTCGAGGCAACATACCAAGTCTATCCGCAACTAAATGACGGCAGACACTTTGTCGTGGATTTTGAATTCGAGCTCGATAAACTAGAGGCAGTCTTCGAAGTAGTCAACTCAATCTCTGACCCAATGCCAAAAGAGGTCGCGGTATTTGTGATTGGCAGAAGGCGGGGAGCAAATGGGAAGGTCAGTAGTCTCTTTGTTCCAAATTTTCAACATCGCAGCTGTACTTACAGTTTTAAAAAGCCGACAATAAACATCAACGTGGTATATTCAGGACCTGAAAGCGAGGCAGAGCCATTTGTCAAGCCCTTTGATGCAATCTCACCCGTTTGGAAAGACAGCAAGACGGCTGCCTGGGATGCCCTGCCTTGGGCCACCTATAATGGGCTCAACAACATATTATGCACCCCTGCAGGGTGGGCGAGATTTCCTATCAAGAACTTCTACGCAGCAAATGTGGCAAAGTACGACATTCCAACCATGCGCTCATTCTTCGACGGATGGCGAGCGATGAACGAGAAGTACGAGGGTACCGTGACGTTTAGCGTCATGTTTGAATCTTTCCCTCAGCAACGTGTCCGTGAAATTGCGGATGATAACACGGCATATCCATGGCGCCATGGATCCCAGCACTTTCTGTGAGTAGTGTCTATCCATTGAGTCTGAAGTTTTTCGAAAGTTTTTACTCACCAATTATCAGCATGATCGAGGCTGCATATAAGAGCCCAGTCGATGAAGAGGTTACAGACAAGTGGCTGTCGGACCAACAGGACAAGTTCATCGAAACCTCGGGTTACGGAAGACTCCAACAGTATGTCAACTACGGTCATGGGTCCAAGGATCCCGCTGAAGCCCTGTACGGTTATGAACCCTGGCGACTAGAGAAACTCAGGAGATTGAAGAAGGAGTATGATCCTGAAGGTTTTTTTAACGGTTACCAGCCACTAGTGGAGGAGAGCGAACTTGAACATTGATACTGGCACACATGATATGGCCTTTCAGTGAGTTTGGGAACCGAGAGCAATCCGGCAAAGGGGGTCGGGTCAATTCTAGGGTGAGAGTACACAGATACTAGGTACTTAATGTGTCCAATGCTTGCAGGCCAACAGCCAACAAGGGTTGTTAGTCATTTGTTAAACTGTGTGTGAAATCTTTTGACTATAAAATTGTCCACCTTCCAGTACAGCATATTCGAGGCCGAGTGATAGGCGCATTGGGATTTCCAATTCCGTGACCAAAGCCATGTATGGATTCATCGAGCTGATACCCGCTAAAGCTTTCAAGGTATCTAGGCAGCTATCGCGTATCATACCTTGGTGTATATCAAGTATGTCTACAGAGAAAGTGCTGATATAACCACAATGCAAGGTCATGTTCATGTCCAGGCGCGCTGGGAGTGGTCAGGTTCCGGATGAATGAAATTGCAGAAAACACCAATTTGGCGTGAGCTTCGGGGTATCGATGGGGCTACGGTTAGATTGACAAATAAACACTAGATACATTCTCGGGCTTGAATAGATATACCACATTGTATCATTGCGCATAATCAGTATCACTAGTACAGTAGGTAGATCAAAACCCTCTAGGCATTGACGAATCCCCACGGGCCGTGCCGTGCTAGTCTCAATGGAGGTCGGGGCCGGTCAGAATCCTGTCAGGGTCAGACACCCCACAAGTTGTCAGAAACCAGGTTACCACCGGGGGCACACTTTTTTAGCTTATGCGATGCAGTCATAACTATAAGCAACAACATAAGAAGCATGTCAGAATGTGTTTCGGATATGCTTCTTACTCATCTAGGTATGCCGATCTCCTTGTAACTAATGGACAAATGTGCATCGTCGGATACTAAGCTCGTTGTGGCAACAATATCCCTGAGAGACCCCGTACTGGCGGGTTCTCGATTAATGGCCGGAGCCCATGGCAACAAAGTAGCATCTCCAATAATGGCCGTATCGAGGGAGGTGGCTGGTAATGACTATCTCTCATAATGGTTATAGCACCCAAGTAATAGAGGAATTCTTGCTTGTCTACCTACCTACTTACCTACACAGCCCAAGTAACCACCCAGTCCGTAGCGACGGTGTCAACCAAACCACAACATATCCATTCTCCTCATCAATCAGCACGATACGTATCTCTTTTGGAAGACTGGAACAAAATGCAGTCCCTCTGTTCCTCTTTGAACGTTCTCGTATCACAATTACTTCAAGTAACCTCTCCAAACGCCCACTATGCTCTTGTACAGCAGCGGGCGGAACTCTGCGGGCATCATCGCCAAGATGTCTCGCCCCACGGCACAATGACTTACACTTACCCATCTCCCAACATCACACGAGCCACTATCAACAATGGACCGGTCAACTACGTCGATCGCCTCTTTGCCGATGATCTCTTGGACTTTTTGGTTCCTCTACAAAATGTAACAGATGCCACGCCCAAGGTGGTTATCTTTGATTCCTCCAATCCCAACTTCTTCCTGGGGCACATTGATATGAGAACTCTCAAGACCCCCATCACCGACGAGAAGAAGCAATTGGGAGCCGACTATATTCGCTTCACGCAACTTCTGCAGAACATTACCTCTACGATCTTCATTGCCGAGATTGACGGCCGTGCTTTCGGGGCCGGCAACGAGATTGCAGCGCAGATGGACATGCGTTTTGTCGGCCCAAACGCGCGCACCGGGTCCTTTGAAGAGGCGCTCGGCCTCATTGCTGGCGGCGGCGGGCAGACGTACATGGGTTCCATCCTGGGAAAGGCGAAAGCCATGGAGTACCTGCTCGCGGCCAAGTCCTTCACGGGCCCGGAGGGCGAGGCTCTGGGCTTGTTTAACAAGTACTACGACGACTCCCAGGGTCTCAAGGACGGCGTCTTGGAGCTGGCCAAGCGCATTTCCCTGTTCCCGCGCGTCGCCGTCAACCAGACCAAGTCGGTTCTCAGCTTTTTGAACCCGCCTAATGATGCATTCCAGCTGGATTTCGAGGCTTTTTACGCCATTGAACAGGGGCCCGAGCAGCAAGCAAACGTCCGAAAATTCCTGACATTGAGTGAGGATCAGAATGATAACCACTATGAGTTGGGCTTGGGAGAGAGTGTAATGGCTTTATATGACAAGTGGGACGGTTCCATCGCGTAGAGATGCAGTCTCTTGATGGGGAAAAGAGAAGAAAAGGAAAGAAAGAAGAGAGCTCAGTACTAGGGTGGGCCCTGTTAATTTGAATGTCTTTTACGCTCATGGACTTTATCTGGCCGCGAACGAAGCCCGTCTAGCGCTAGATAAATAGGTCCTCAACAAGCCCGCATAGGCCTGCACACATACCCCGACTTAATGCAAAACTCGCCAGTGCAGTATAGTTATAAACACAAGAGCCTCAAGCATAAAATTTGAGAGAAACTTTCCAAAGATCATCAAAAGCTAACTTACCTTATTCTCTCCTATTATAAATAATAATCGTTCCTCTTTAATATTTTCATCAGCACAAGAACTATGAATATAGACACCTGCACGACTGCCCACTGAATGGCTGAAAGGCATGGGCAAAGACTACAGTTAGTGAGCCCTGATTTGCGGTTACTAGTACAGCTTGTAGCGGGTATTCTACTCGCCGAGCATTGCTCGATTTCAAATAGCCTTAAGCTATAAGGATTACATGGCTATGAAACAAACAACGTCATGTGTAGTATTGATGTGGCAGGCTTTCCATATGAGATGCATTAATCCCGGTCACATAAGGTGCCCATTTTCATCGTGTGAAGACAATAGCTGTAGGCCAATAGTGAACACAATAACATTCAGTACTCTGACAATACTAATATGCATGTCCTAAATACATATTCAGGCCTACTTGCGCTTGAAAACCAGATACATGGTAGTGACATGAAACAAAATGTCTCCATGAGTAATGCCTTCACAGTTCACCCAGAGTATATTCATTCTCTGCTACCGACAGCTCATCCTCTACCGCCGACTCGCACACGGGCCCCGCGAGAACCTTGCTAAGTCGATACTGGGCATATGCCGAAACCTCGGCATCGTCAGACGGCAGAAGCCTGATATTGGCAAAGAAGACAGACTCGGTCAAGGCAGCATACTTTCCCGAGGCCTGAAAGCTCCAGGCGGTCAGGGTCTTGAGCTCGCCCCATGCCGTCGGCGTGGCGCCCGTCTCGTTGGCGATGATGGCCTGCACGTGGGGCGTGTTGGACAGCGGGCCTGTGCCCGTGACCCCGATAAAGTGCCCGTCGTCCGTCTTGAGCATGCCGCGGGCGCTCAGCTCATAGGGCCCGTTCTTGGAGTTCATGACTGTGAAATCGTCCATGTGCAGTGTTGTGGCATTGATGCTCAAGTCAGACCCGGCGACCGAGGTCAACGTTCCGACACTGTTGCCATTGGACCAAATCTGCCCGTTAGGCAGCTCGCCAATGGGGTAGAGGGAAAAGATTCGGAGCTAGGAGTATAGCACCTTGGTAAGCAGGATGAATCAATCCACTGCTACGAAAATCGAGGATAAATTGTCCTGCTACTCACGTTGAAGAACAGGGCTGGTGCCAGCTGATTGAATCCGCATTGGACCATTGTTGAAATTCTAGTCTTTTCCGTTCAGCGCTTTCGGTGCGAATCTGTCGTGCATCTACTCAGAAGTGAACTTGACACAGTAAACAAACATGTGCTAGATGTAATTCTCTGTACTTTAACCATTCGACCCTGAAATCTGTGGGTCAGTTCTTACCAGAAGCGACATTGCTGTTGGCCATCGCAAGTCTATGCATCTTGCGGTCCGACTTCGAAATCCTGCCCATCAATGCGATCGACAACAGATGTTCCTAAGTTCAAGGATATCTCGGAGACCTGACATGCAGACCAAAATTGTTATAGAAAGCGGATGGTGCGATAGCGTCAGACTGTCAAGGATTCGGTCAGCTTTGCATTAGTGGCAAATACCTACCTAGTAATTATGCGGTCAGGCATCTTTGGCGAACTTCTAGGATAAGTCGGAACTATCGCATCTCCGATAGCCCCATTATCTCTGGGACTTGTTTGTAGACGTAGAATTTCATTTGCTGCGCATTTTTTATGTGAAATATTCTCCCATTGCCCTTCTAATAGTTCAAGAGTGGATAGCAGTCATCGCTAAAGAGATGCCGTGGTTCTGAACCAAAATGGCCATTCTACAAAGGGACGACGGTGAAGGCACTGGCAATACTTGTCGAAGGAGTGTTATTTTCGGCTTCCTCTTTCACGTAAATTTTGGTCCATCCCGCATGACTACTGCGTAGAAAGTCGTTGAAGCATGAATGTACTCCAGCAATAATGGTAGTGTGAATTATCTGGGCAGAGACACCTACTCGCCCAGTCCAAAATTATACCTGTCTTCGATAGTTTCCATGTATTACGTATGGTTGCCGTGACCAATGTAACTCGTAAGGCAAGCTATGATAGTTTGTAACTATCTAGAATATTTTCTATTATTTCATACCTATCCAGTTCAGATTCAATCATGTTCAGTAGATACATCTTCGTGTCGCCAGGCTGAACTGCCTCTATCTATCCATACTCGTGACTTGCGTTTCCTCAGTTCCCTTAGCGTTCATCTCCGGGCACGTCGCTGATCTAGCGATTGGGGTGTGATTGGAGCCTAGGACAACATGCCAGCTACAACTTCTAATCTTGCTCAGCCTCTGCCTTTTGCTTGCTGTAACGGTGGGCGGCCACCAACGGAATGGTCATCAGCACCATTGCTACTGCCATGACCACGCCAGCAAATACCTGCGCACGAACAAAATCCGCATTAGCCACGTCCGCCAAGGCGCCGGCGATAGGCGCCCCAATCAAGACGCCTATGGCCGCCGTCGACCAGCTCATGCCCAATCGCGCCCCAATCACATCTAGACTGGGACTCAGCGTTGGATGGGCGGTGCTGGCGGCCGACGCCGTAACGAGCACACCGGACAGGAAGCCCCAGGCGACCGTCCAGACCACGATTCCGCTCACCGAGTCAACGGCCATCCAGCTGAACAGCAGCACGATGCCCACAGCTTCCCAGAAAAAGAGGATCTGGATGGGAGTGATGCGCGAGCTCAACAGGTACGGAACTGTCCGGCCAAAGAACGAGGCGGCATTGCTAATGGCCAGCAGCTCAAAAGCAAAGTCGGCTCCTGTGTGCAGCTTGACGGCAGCGTACGTGGAGAGATAGAAAAGTGGGATGTAATACGCCAGAAACTGGAAGAAAAGCGCCGTCACGAACGTGCCAAAGATGGGCTCGGTAAACCCCCGAGGATCCACGACCATCTTTGATGTGGGTGACCGGATACCGGGCTTGCGACAGTAGATGATCAAGGTCGGGATCGAAATGATCAGGTTGACCAGTGCGATGGCCCGGACTGCCCAAGAAAACCCGACTTGGGGGACTAGCTGGCGAAAAATGAGGGGAAATACAATGCCACCAACGCTCGCACCAGTCGAGGCACATCCGAGAGCTATCGGCCTTCTAGTTGTGAATTGAGAAGAAATGCGAGCGAAAGCAGGAATGTTGATTGCCCCGGCTCCTATGCCAACGCAAAATCCTTGTGCAAGCATGACTTGCCAGTACTCAGTCGAGATAGATAGCATCAACATTCCAAAGACGACCATGAAGTGGCCGAAAACCATGACAGGACGGAGATAACCTCGATCGGTCAGTGGTCCTGTCACTAGTCCCATGATGGTAACAAACGTTGACTGGACGCTGCCAACCCAGGATAAGGTGGAGGGTGAAGTACCACGAAGGAGTTGGCTGCGATAGTGCTCGAGGAAGACGCCAAAGGTGCTGGAAATGCCCCTTGTTCATGTTAGCAGGAACACAATGCCTTTCTCCAAGTAATAGACTGACCAGGAGTTCACAAAGACAAAGAACCCAGCAAGAACAAATAACCAGGCTTCAGAACCTCCATTCGGTGGCTTGGACGCGGCCGACCATGCCCCGTTGCTGGCCGGAGCAAGCAAAGGTTGCCGCTCACCATGGCCATTTTCTGCGCTTATTCTTGATCCGTTGCTTCCATGTTCATCACTGACTGGTGCAGCCTTGCTATGGTAAGCTTCATGTAAGTTGCATCTGCAGTTGAGCAGTCGAGACTCACTACTCTTTGTCTGCCTGCCATTATCGAGAATTCCGGCCAAGATGAAGCCTACTTGTTGAAAGTTTTTTGAGTGACTATTTTGGGCCACGAATGATGATTGAGAAAAAGAATGGTTCAGTGGTAAAGAGACGTTCTTGGTGGGGGAATTGCACATTGGCTATTAGGCAATGGATCTAATTGACAAACAAGCGCCAGACGATTGGGAAGAGGTAGATTTCATCTATGTGAGTGTTGCTGAACTTTCGATGTATTCAGCGAGATGTTCAATTGGTGAATGATGTGCGGGAAAGCTACGCTGTAGAATTGCTCCATACCGGCGCTAGCTGCTTGCGATTCCTTGACGACTGACAGCATGGGTGCGCCTAGTTAGCTATTTACATGACATGACTGCATAAAATGACTGCATAGAATGACTGCAATATGACCGCATGAATTTAACTGCAGGTTTTTCGGCGTGGAGAATACATGGCCGTAGTCTGCGGTAGTACCTACTGCATACATCTTCATAGATGTAGAGTTAAGCTAATTGATGCGATCACTCATGGATACGAGTTGAGAAGTGGCAACTTGATTTTACATAGTGCATCTTGTCCCTTGCTCGCACCTGCGAAGCAAGACTGACATCCTGGAAGAACCCGCGTAGGTCATGTCAAAGCAAGTTGCGCTGCAAGAAATATTCTTTAAATGACAAGAATGACGACCTAGTATTTAGCTGACTGCAGCGAAATGCGTCCAGTGGAAACGGACTCTACCTTTCTCCGAATGGGTAGTTCAATGCATTTTAGTTTGCTCTGAAACTATTCATCTCGCCATCTCAAATGACATTTGTGATAATACTGAGCCTTCCTGGCCTTCCTAACTGCTGATCTCAAGGGAGCGTAAGAGGTATGGTCTTCAGTGCTCAACATGGCGTCAAACCAGCAACATTTGCTGCAGCAGATCATCTCTGCGCAGCGCCATCTGATTGTTGCACTCTCTTCTGTCACTTGTTTGGAAGTGGCAGGTGTCCTTGCTTCTGGTGTAGCTCTTTATGTGAGTTGACGCGATCTTCAGTTGCGCGACCTCAATTAAATCCAAATTATTTCTAGGCATTTTCTGTGGTGTTCTATCGATTATTCCTGCATCCTTACGCAAAGTACCCCGGACCTATAATCGCAAAAATCAGTGGGCTACCCGTTTTGTACCACTCAAGGAAGGGTGACTTCCACCACTATGTTTATATCCTCCACAATCGATACGGTATGGTAGAAACTGACCCGAATTGGTGAGCATGACTAAAAGATACTCAGGAGAGAAGGTTCGGTACTCACCTAACAAGCTTTCAATCAACAGAGTTGAGGCTCTTAATGGTTAGTTGGTATCCATACACCCATTATAGCTCACAGCTCATATGACGCAGATATATATGGATTCAACAAGAACGTGTCAAAGCCAGAAGAATTTTACTCAGCTTTCAGAGTGAATAAGCATGCAAGGAATGTGTTCAACACGGCGGATAAGGAAGAGCATCGACGGAAGCGCCGTATTATGAGCAAGGCATTTTCTGCCAAGGCGCTTCCGAGTTATGCTCCTTTCATATCATCCAAGGTCGATGAGATTTCGGTCAAGCTGAACGGTGGCAGCTTCCCTGACTCGGTCGGCCACTGGAGGCAATTCAACATGGCTGACGAGGTCAATTACTTGATGCTTGATATCATGGGCGGCCTTTGCTTTGGTGAGCCTTTCGGCTTCATCGCTGGAAAGGGTATCGAGATGATGGCCAACGTCCATGCACGGGCCGTCCGTATCTACATGGTAAGCTTCCTTGGTTTTCCTGAAACCTCGAACAAATACCTCTAACACGGGTCAAAGACCGGACAAGAGCCTCTGTTGAAGCGACTCTCGCTTGACAGAGTATTCTTTCCCCATCTGTTCAAAGCCGCACACGCTCTGGGCGAGTATACACGATACTACACGGAGAAACGTATCAAGAGCCGAGACAATCTTGAAACCGACAAGGAAGCGGTGGAACAGCGGGGCTACGAAGATATCCTGGCACATTTAATCAACAACAAGGACGATGAGACTGGATCTGTATACAGTCAGAACGAGTTGCTTGGGGAAGCGACGCTACTCATGATGGCGGGTAAGCGATGACGAATAGTTGGAGCAATTGCTAGTATGCAACTCACGGTCTGACAATTTCATACTAGGTTCCGACACATCGACGACTGCGATCAATACGGCACTTTTTTACATCACCAATCACCCCCGCGTCCGCAGAAAGTTGGAGGCTGAGCTACTCAAAACCTTTCCAGAGCTTGAAGATATTCATCCAAACGCGGCCGAGAACTGCAAGTATCTGCGAGCATGTCTCGATGAAGCAATGCGACTCTGCCCGTCGGTTCCGTCCAGCATTCCGCGCGTCATCGGCGAGGGCGGTATACAGGTCGTGGACGAAAAGCTTCCGGCGGGCCTGTGGGTTTCGGTGCCTCACTTCACCCTCTTCCGTAACGCCAAGTACTTTGACCGGCCACACGACTATATCCCCGAGCGGTGGATTGCCGAAGAGGAGCCAGACTCTGGAGGATACACGGCCGAGGAGGTCAAGATCTCTCAGACGGCTTTTCAGCCCTTCTCCGTCGGGCCGCGCCACTGCATCGCTCGCAACCTGGCCCTTAGGGAGATGACCTTTGCTCTAGCGCGCATCTACTACCTGTTTGATGTCGAGCCGGTGCAGAACAGCGGTCGATGGATGGGGGAACTTCCCGGCATTGATACCCGGAACAGCCACTTTATCCATGAGCAGTGGGACGTTTTTACTTCATTGGAGAAGGGGCCGGAATTGAGATTCAAAGCTAAAGCGGTGCGTACAGAGCCGATAAAAGTGAATCCATAGATAGCTTTATAGTGGAGAGCATGCGCTATATAAGAGCAATCCGCCGCGATCCCATGCGAGGTAAACGAGGTTTAACAACCCCTCTGTTTGTCGTTTCCGATTAAGAAAGCTGTTACTACCGCGGCCTCAGAAAGCTTAAATCCAAGTTTAGTATAAAAAATCAGCACAAGTCTCCGGACTTGACTTTTACAATAACCCTGTGGGAGTTCGCTACAGCTATCTATGAAAATAAACCAAGATTGGCGCCATCGGCCACGAGGTGTCCATCCCAGTACTTCACTGAGCTCTGCTTTTCGGTTACCGAAGCCTCAACCGCCATAGAGCCGCCGATAGAAGGCGGCTAGAATCCAGGTAAATTGGAAAAGCCTACCGAAGCAGGGAAGCTATCAGAAAATGGACAAAGGAAGAGATGATGGTACATCTGAATCAGGCCCAAGCGGAAGGTGCACGGGTGTAAAACGTGGTATAAGACGACATTTAAGGCTCATGGTTACAGAACCGTAAATACTAGCTAGATCACAGTTCGTCACCATGGGCCCTCCCAGTCCCACCCTGTCATCTGGATTATCAAACCCGTCAACGCCGGGCTCTCTGAGGCTCGGAATACTTCTTGCTTAGAGATCCAAGGGGCTTGTGCCGGGTCCGTGAGGTCCCGGCCCTCGCTGCGGAACTCGACACGGAATGGTCTCCCTCTCGATGCGCCCGGCATCTTCAAGGCATGGGCCGCCCCTGGTTCTCGTAGAAGAACTGCGGCACCTCAAACTCGTGGTCGGGCCCCCCTATCTCGCAGTAGTATGTGGCCATGGAGTCTCTGCAGATGTGGTTCTGAGATTTGGTCCGCCTACTCCGTGCTCACCCCAATCTTGGTGCATCTGAATGTCATTATGTTCATGCCATGGCCCCTCCAATGTTTGTACCAGGTCTTCTGAGAATGACGGGCATCTCAGTGCTGGGTCGATCAAATCACGTAAATCAGTAGAGTCGGTTAGTGTGTTGGGCTTGGCGATATGCTGAATCATTCCGGGGTGACTCTGTTCGTGGTCAAAATTGTTATCATCTGTGTCTGTATTGTTGCGAATGCCTGAGTCGGACTGGCGACAGAATAAATTCAGCTGCATCTCCCTTGTTGGCAGAATCTCGACTATATGTGTATCATTCTTGTTGCAGTGGGCGTCTCTGTCCCATGTTAGTGCGCGCATGTCTCTGTTGCTGTCGTGAGCGTCGGCAAGGCTCTCGGAGAGGTCCTCAAGCGGGCGTTTCCGTCGATTAGATGCATCAGGTCTCGGTGACGCACGAAATCCAAAAATAGCCATCCAAGTCGGATGGAAACTTGAAATATGTGTTTTCCAAGAAGGAAAACCGATAGCTACTTCCCTTTCTATGCCAGCATCGGTGCAGGCGGGACATAGGAAGGCCTTTTCGAAGTCGTTTTGGTGCTGAAGGGTGCAATATCTGGTTAAACCACTGGGACTGCAGCAGATATACCCGCATAACCCGCAAAAGCAGGCCGAGGGTAAATAAATGAACTGCTTGTAAATGGTCGAGAAGTGACCAGCGACTCTCAATTTTGGTGGCTGCCACTTTCGTACGAACGCACTCCGCACAGTCGATCGGCCAGGATTGGTGCTCTGCCTCCTGTCGATTCACGTGTCCAACTAATGCGCTCATAGTCGTGTAATTTGAGGAGCAAAGGGGGCAGCTAAAGGTCCGCAGATTGCTTCTTTCAATCCAATTTGGCGCGTGATGGCGGCCATGGGTATTTTCCACATGGTTGCTCCATTCTTCTCGACTATGCACAACCACATTTATGCCACGGGAACAGCAATCTGGACATTGAAACTTTTCATCAAAAAGTTGCATGTGGGATCTGGTGTAGTGTCGGGTGAGAGAGCTTCGATTGCTGAATCCTTTCTTGCACACAAGACACAAAGATCTTTGAGAATCATCGACCTCAACAGCAAGCCAGGAGGCTCCAATGTGCGACCACTGCTGTGATATCGCACAAGAGCAAAAAGAAGTGCCTCCTAATGACTGGCTGCATCATTTCATTATGTCTCTTCGTGGTGTGGATGATGACTGGTTAATCAGATATCATGTTGTATTCTACTCATTGCATTCAGCGTGTCCGCTCCAGAATATATGCACACAACTTAGAACACCTCCCACTTCGCATCGCCCTGTGTCTGTAGCACAATCCAGGATTCTTCGTGTCATAGAACTTATTCACCGCCCCGGACACAATCTTTTCGACCTGATCTGCCGCCATAGTCGCTGATAAACCGTTGATTCTCTTGTTGTCGAGAATATCGCTTCCAACGTTTACAGTCAGGCTACTATCAAGCCGCTTCGATATGCGCCTAACATCATCTGTTCCTCCGACCTGGAAGAACTGGAACCTATCTGATGCAGTGACGCTTCCATTCTTTCGAAATCGCCAGTCGTTTCTTTCAATAACTTGGCATCTTTTTTATCGCCGAGGTTCCCATCTGTGAACACAATGACCTTAAGCGGCTTTGGCTCGTTTGCTGTACCCTGGTGGTCCTTGTAGCTCGACACGTAAGTTTGAAGGATGTTTCGTATTCTCTTTCCCAACGTAAGTGGAGGAGGCAAACTCCCACATATTCTTGACATACGCATCATTCGGAATAATGTAGCCGCCATGTTGGAGATCAGGACTCGTTATGCTGGTCATTGACTCGTTGCTCGGAAGGTAGATATCACTACCGTCTTGGTTGTAATTACCTCGCAAGTAGCCTCACCAGTTTTTGAACGTCTTGTGGGCGTTATCCGATGGGTTGGCAAGGAAGACGAAATCGTATTTCGTTAGCATTTGGGCATGTGATCGGCCGAAGTCCGCCGTGCTGTCGGCTTCGAAGTTACCCATGGCGTGCAGTCAAATATTTGGTTGCTATGGGCTGTTTGGATGTGTGATGAAGCCGAATTTGACTGTAAGACATGAGACATGAACAAGATTCAATGCATACTAATATCTTGGGACGTGTCATATTTATAATACCCACTGGGGACGAAGGAAGGTAGGGTGCCTGGGATAACATGGACTGCAAAGGGCTTAAAGTTGCATGACTCGCCCCAAATTTGAGGGCCCGCCTACCGGATTCGTGTACTTGTAAGCCGAAGCTTAAATACGTGTTCGACCACGGCGTGATGGAGTTTGAATTGGACCCTGCTTCCGATTCGATACGAGTGCAGGGTGTAGCCCGTCGAATTTCCATCTTGTATGTGGCACCAGACAAAGCTTCTTCGCGACTGCTTGCGAAGTATACTTGTATGGTCATTGCCCAAGATCAGGAACACCTACAAGCTAGTCCGCAAGCAATGTGACGTTCATGTCCATGCTCAATAGAGCTTGTCTGTTGGCTAGACTGGAAAAATAGTCATATACAATTGGATATTATCCGCTATGCAGACCCACATATATATAACCATGGTTGGCCGAACGCAGGAGGACGCAAGTACTGAAGCACGCTTCCCAGCTGGATTTGAAAGTGTTCCCTACTGAAGTACAGGAAATATCGAATGCCATTTTCACAACTGCTGTTGACCATTCTTAAGGGACAATTGCCAAGCTGGCAAATTGCGCTAGCAGAGGAGAGGTCAAATATGGCCTCACTATTTTCCGCAGTGGGCCAGGACTATAAGACCCCTGCCGCACCCACCCTGCCGCACCCTGCCTCTTGGGTCCACGAGCGTCTCTAAAAAGGGGCATGCAAAGGCCCAGGCCACATTAAGATCAACGAATTGGGTTCATATGCCGTCACGATAAGGGAAATCGGAGTCATTTCAGCTGACTTTCTCCATTTTTTAATTTCTCTCTCGGCTGCAAGCGGGCGACAATCCAAACACAACAAGTCTCGAGCGCCGTTTCCACGGCGTCACGACCCCCCACGTTTTGTGCGAGTGCCGCTGCCATCCTTCCGATTCTCAATTTGAGATCTCGTCGCCGAGGTTCGAGGCTTCGCTTCCATCGCCTACCCCCTCCAGACTCTAATCTAACGGCTCACCAATCAATCACACTCGTCCAACCACACTCGTTCAACCACACTCGTTCAACCACACTCGTTCAACCACACTCGTTCAACCACACTCGTTCAAAATGTCGACACCGCCGGCTAACTTCCGCGTCATCATCGTGGGCGGCGGACCCATCGGTCTGACGGCGGCGCACATGCTCTCCAAGGCGGGGATTGATTTTATTTTACTAGAGCGCCGGGGCACTGTGACGCCGCAAGACGGGACGAGTCTCGCCATTGCACCACAGACGTTGCGCGTGTTGGACCAGCTGGACCTTCTGGAGCCGGTGCGGTGGATCGACCATGCTATTCGGAAGAAGAACATTGTCACACACAAAGGCGTGCTGTATAACACGACGTACCCACCCATTTGGGCTGAGGAGGAGTAAGCCGACGCCTTCCACTTCATGTCTCATCATTTCATTTCAAGTTGACTTGGACGTGACAATGCCTAGACAGTCATGAAACCGTACAAATCTAATGTGAATCCCAGCCACGGTCGCCCCTACTTCATGGTGCACCGCCCCGAATTCCTGGAAACCCTCTACAACCACCTCTCAGACGCCGACAAAGGCTGGATATTCACACATAAGAATGTTGTGGACATCGAATCCAACCCAGACGGCGTAATCGTCAAATGCGACGACGGGACTGAAGTCGACGGCCACATCGTCATCGGCGCCGACGGGGTACACAGCCGGGTCCGCAAAGAAATGCGCAATCTGGCCCTGCTCAAAAACCCCCGCGCAACCGTCAACGACGAGCAACCCCTCGAGGCCTCGTACCGCTGCTTGTACGCGACGACGGACCTTATGCCGGGGATGGTTCCGGGGGAAAGCTGGGGTGCGCACGGCAGCGGGGCCTCAACGCAAGTCTTTGTCGGCAGGGACCGCACGTGGTTTTTTGTCTATGAGCAGCTTGATTGGCCGACGCGGGATTGGAAGAAGTACTCGGCGAAGGAGGAGGAGGAGTTCGTGGCGAAGTACGGGAAACTGGCAATGACGGAAAGGTATCGATTGAAGGATTTGTATGCCGTGAAGAGGAATAGCACGCTGGTGAACTTGGAGGAGGGAACTATGAAAGTATTCTCGTTTGAGAGGTTGGCGATTGTGGGGGATGCGGTGAATAAGCAGACGCCCAATGTAGGGAATGGGTATAATAGTGGCGTGCAAGATTTGGTGGTTTTGACGACGGGCTTGAGGAAGTTGTTGGACAGTCGGGAGGTGGGCGAGATTGCTACAGAGAACGTACAGGAGGTGTTGCAGGAGTATCAAGCACTGCGGGAGCGTGACGCAAAGGACATATGTGGCAAGTCGGGACAGGCGACACGGATGCAGGCTTGGAATACTTGGGGACTTTGGCTGTTTGAAAGGTATATCATGCCGTGGGGCAATATGGACCGGCGGGTTTTCAGCAAGATGGCAGGCGACATAATTAGGAAAGGTCGAGTGCTACCCTTCTTGGAGGAGAAGGATCTGCGGCATGGGAAAGTCCCCTGGGTTCATTTTCCTACCGTTGGGCCGACCAAGGTGGAGACGTCCTCGGTTTCATGACATCAAACGGCGGGGTGGGATCTATAGAGCGTATAATACGATAGCATAATTGTAATATTAATATAAAATAATAATATTAAATACGCCGTAGGTGTTAACCCTCGGTACCTCTACAAGTACTCCCTTAAGGGGCTATAGATGATATAGCGGGCCCTTAAGCCGCGTCGGGCGGTTATACAGGTAAACTTGTAGCCAAACGACTACTAAACCTCCTGTCCCTCCCTAAGTCTGTGCTACAACCCCTGCCTGAACTACCGATAAGCGTGGTAATGTGGCACTTAAATTCGTCCTCAGGGGTGGGATGCTGCTGATGTGCAGAAGATGCTCGACTATTTTTTTTGTCGCGACAAGTCGTAGTATCTGCTAATTGGGGTTCTCGTCGAGCGTATACATCTCAACCATACGCTCAAGTGGATAGACCGTAACGTGGTCAGACGCTCGCAAGAATCGCGGCGAGAGGGCGTGCTGCGCGCCTTCTATCGTGAGGGGACGGGTTCGCCGACGAGCGTTATCGGAAAGGCGAGGTCCGATAAGGGGTCGGATTAACGATTCGAATTCTGGACCGGCTGTCGAGTTATATTCCGCCGACGTAGTGCTTGACGGTCGACTGGCTAGGATGCTCGTAATCCTAAACTGCACCAATCTCCCTATTATCGCTAGGTAGGCGAAGTCAACAAGGTGGGCAGCGCGCCGTAAGGGTTGACTAAACCCCCTTGTGTGTCAGCTGCGGGATTCGAACCCGCGACTCGTCACCAACCCAAGTGGGCGAGGCTCAAATCGGGACTTATCTACCAGCGAAGTGACCAACTACACCAGCCGACAATATTAATATATCAATACCGGCAATTTTCAGTATGAACCGGCCCTGTTTTTGGACACGAATCACGCGCGAAGCTCATAGATCAGCCTCTCACCAGCTGCGTGAGCAGGTACTAACTTCAGATGCCCAAAATGTGAAACTCAGCCGTCGAGTAACTGAAAGTCAATCGAACCGTCGGGTGTCTCGTTTCAACATACTTACCCATTTGATTACCACAGGGCTTACGCAAGCAAAGCGGCTCCTTCCCGGGGCATGAGAGGTGAAGTTGGAAACGAACAGATATGCCGCAGTAGATAAGCCGAGAACACTATTCCGTTGCGCAAAGCAATTCTACTGACGAGGACATAGTGCAACGGTAGTACTGATACCAAGTTAGCTGGTGTACCCATTACAAAGCTGGAGATTTATATAAAGGCCAAAAAAGAGATGTTTTTTTTCTTCTTCTATGATGGTTACTTCTGGTTTTGGGGCGGGGTTTTGTAGCCCTGTACTTGGCCGTACCTTCCCACCTGCTGGTTAAGGATAGCCTGTCTAATCCTCGCGATTGTCAATTGGCCAATCACGTCACACAATCGTTTGCGTCATAGTTCAGAAGCCAACACCCCCTCGTTCGGCACGACTGCCCCACCCGTCAACGCAGGCGAAGTTCTTCACTCCACCTCATAACGACATCGCGGGATCCGTGGAAATTTTCCAATCCAGTCTTCACTCGTCCTTGTTACCCATTGCATCATCAACAACGTCCACAACCATCATGGCCAGCATAACGCCCACAGACAGCAAAACCAACACGATGAAGGCATGGCTCTACAGCTCTGCTGGGCAGGGCCTCGAAAAGAGCATCAAGCTTTCGTCTGACGCGCCCCAACCCCCCCTTCTCGGAAAAGACGACATCCTCGTCAAAGTCCACGCCATGTCGCCCAACCCAGCGGACTACAAGTTCCCAGAGCTGGGTCTGCTCGCGCGCGTCATGATATCCGTCCCTGCTTCCCCCGGCATGGACTACGCTGGCACAGTCGTCAAGACTGGCTCTGCGGTCGATACTTTCAAGATCGGCGAAGAGGTGTTCGGGCGCGTGGAGCCAAACCGGTTCGGTACGCTGGGCGAGTACATCGTGGCTAAGTACAGCGGGTGCGTGAGTCGGCCCCAAGGTCTGGGGTTGGAGGAAGCGTGTTGTGTGGGGACGACGGGGTTGACGGCGTACCAGAGCATTGCGCCTCATGTCACGGTGGGGAACGGGGATAAGGTATTTATCAACGGCGGCAGTGGAGGGACAGGGACGTTTGGGGTTCAGATTGCGAAGGCGCTGGGTTGTCATGTTACGACGAGCTGCTCGGGGAAGAATGTCGAATTGTGTAAGAGCTTGGGTGCGGATGAGGTGATTGATTACACCAAGGAGAATGTCAGTGCGGTTTTGGCGGCGAAGGGTCTGGTTTTCAAGCTGGTTGTGGATAATGTGGGGACGCCGACGGATCTGTACAAAGCTGCGGATCAGTTTCTGATTGCGGGGGCAAGTTCATCCAAGTTGGGGCCTCGGTGTCTTTGGCCCAGTTGAAGAGCACGGTGTCAACTATGCTTCTGCCCTCGTTTTTGGGTGGTGGCAAGAGCAGTATTTCGTTCATTATGACGAAGAACAGCCACGACGATCTGGTCGAACTTCGCAAGTTGATCACGGAGGGTAGGGTCAAATCCGTCGTTGACGAGGTGTTTGAGTATGAGGATGCGCCCAAGGCATATGAGAAGCTGAAGACAGGAAGGGCAAGGGGTAATCTTGTGGTCAAGGGGCCCAAGTAGTCTTTTCTTTCACGTCACCTCGCTAACTTCAAAAACAATATCTATCTCACATCATAAAGACAACAATGACTCGTACTGCGGCGTTGGAGGGGTCGTGTCTCGGCCACTGCCGTGATAGTCAGCCCTGCCTTCAACGGTAACTGCCTAGCTTCTCTCCTCTATCATCACCGCCGCCAATATATGCTATATTGTTCACATTTACTTTATTCTCTAGGGTATGGATAGAGCGATGGTCTGTGGTGTTCGCCGGGTTGGGCTTGGGAACGCAAGAATGGCCTTCTAGTGGCATAGCATATGCCATACGCGTTGGCTAGGAACACGTTGCTAGGAGCTGAGGGGAAGCTTCTGGGTGGATATATCACCTATCGCATCTCCCGCGACGGGAAACATGGACGCTTGTGTCGGCGGCTCTGGGTTGGCAGCCAAGAATGATTGGGGCCGTCGTGACTTCGACGAGGGGTTCCAGGGCCGGCGATGGTCCCAATAGTTCTACGAGTCGCAACAGACGCCGCGCGACTGATGGGTTGTGAAATTGGCATATGCGCTTGTCTATCTGGTATTGCTGCACTAGGTGTCTGGTTGTTGATGCTGCTGAACCTAGACAGCTCGAAACTATTAGGTCTCCTGGATGATGTTTGTGAAGTTGGTTTTGCAAGTCCGTTGGCGTAGTCTTCCCGGTCTTCTGTTCCGTGTGCTCACTTGATGTCGTCCAATACACTCATGCTGGCGTTCCAAATTTCGTTCTGTCTACGAGAGCATTGTTGTTTATCGTTGAGGTGAGGATATTCTGCAACACGAACTGTGGCTGAACTGGAACATCGTGCGGGGCATCAGCTGCATGGCTGCCCAGTAATATCATACCGAGATGCATCTCTCGTAAGTGAACGAATCAGTATCTAGGTAAGCAACCACAGGGCTTCCCATAAGGCTCGCCAAAGGCGTTCTTTGAGGCTCTCTACGGGGTTATAGCAACTCCAGGAGACTATTATTACATCCTCGTAGATCAGCCTGCGCAGAGCTGTAAACCAGGCCACGCCTAGTCCATAATTGAAAAAGATCACGCACATGCGACCACGCCATCTCTTCTGTCTTTATTGATAACAAAGAAAAATAATCTCTTTAGAACGTTGATTGTACATCGCAATACGCGCTGACTCAATGCCAGACACCTCCACGGCCAAAGTCCGACTCGAGATATTCTACAACATCAAAGAAGGGAGTTCTGCATTCGTTTCCCAACACCAGAGCTAGTTCTGGCCTACCAATCACGAAACCCCGAAACTCGAATCTTCCACGATGGCGATCGAAGAGACGCATGGCTGCCCACACCGCCAGGCCTGTCAAACCTTCGCAGCAGCTCGCTGGGCATGGTGATGCTGTTTAAGACGCCGGAGGCTGCCACTGCATGGCGGAAACGTGCTATCTTGGCTGAAGACGTCATTTCAGGATCTCCTGAGGCTGGGTCAACATCAAGCGGGATTGGGTGTCCGAAGAACTCCACTTTCAGCTGAGAATTCAGAAGAGAGCGGTGCCGCCTCCACCCTAGCCGGGTCCACGGCAACCACCGCCGCCCGAGCCTCAAGTTGCGGTTCCTACAGCGGGTGGCAGGGTGGGGCCGTCCGCGGGAAGCAATCCACCCACGTCGTGATCGGGAGCAGGGTTATTTTGATACAAGGAGGAAATGTGTTGCTACCTACCCGTTAGTGTGCCTAAGCTGTTGGGTTCACTGGGGGTTCTTATATCTCGAGTCGTCAGTCAAATTCTCGAAAGCTTTTACTTCCAAATGGGATGCTTGGCAACAGCAATGTTATGTCAGAGCGGTGTATTTCTTCGTCAGAGAAATTCTGCGTTACTTCGAAAGAGGACACAGCTCAATCATGCCTGCTTTCAATACTTCATATTTGATGCGTCGGATATGTTGTTGGGGCACACAGAGAGAGATAGAAGTGTGTGGTATTGAGGACAGCTAGGCTAGTGCTGGTGGGCTGTAACCAAGCAGTAGTGGTTGCCACGCACGAACCACCTCTGGTATATGTATACTCAAAACGGTGTTTCCAAATGAATTATGCATAGCCTATTGTCGAGATGATCCTATTGTTGGTAGGCCTGGATAAGGAGCTGGAACAATAGATTTGAATTCTTTGTAACTACTTTTTGTGTATACCTTATTCTAGAATCTCACGTCCAGCCACCAAAAGTTGGCGAAGCTCTACATGGTTTACGTTATTCGGTGATATGCCTGATACTCACTCCACCCTGTATTAACCTTGTCTGCTGAATTCCACACAACCATGATGTATCATCGAAAGTATCTTCCGCCTACAAAATAAGTTGCAAAGAATCCTGACGCCATGCTCAGGCCAACATATACCAACCCGCGATAGAACCATACAGCGCAGTTATTCGGCTGACGTAGATCGACCAATATAATCATGCTCGCCAACGAAACAGCTGTTCCACCACAGGTGGCTGCATAGTATATCGCGTCCATCTCAATAAACCAACCGAGAAAGACCAATAGGCCGACCTGAGCAAAAGAAAGGACCAAAGCCAGCAACTTTGTATCCTCGGCGAACCGAACTGCCATGGACTTGACCCCGACTTTTGCGTCTTCCTCGGCATCTTGATGCGCATAAATCATGTCGCAAGTCATCGTCCACAGGACGACAGCTGAGAAGAGAATGATGATCGCACCGAATTCAATTCTGTTACGAAGATCACCCCCAGCGGCCACCGCAGCCACTGTAGTGACTCGTGTCAGTGTACGATTATGGTTGTTTCCCTGGCATCCGGGGGGGTTGGGTGTGACAGTTACTGGATAGCTGTGGTTTGTCTTGTTGCTCTCACGAAATAATGCAGTTCGATGAGACCCGCTTGTTGAGAATAGAATACTGTTTACATGAAGATCATAGTGGTTAAACTCGAAATCTACTCACTGAGTACTCCCCATCCCAGTGCTAAACCGAGAACAAACTGTGGGTAATATGTTACCCTCTTCGCAAACGGATATATCGCAGAAAGAACCGTGGTTGGAATCGCATGAACCGCTGCACCAGTGGGCAGGAGCGCTAGTAGTGAGGATCCCAGCACGGTAGTGGCGGCCAGAAACACCAAAGCTTGCTTTGTCGATACAACACCCCGCGCTATGGGTCGATTGCGAGTTCGTTTGACCTTTCGGTCAATATCCTGGTCGATGATGTCGTTCCAGGTGCAGCCTGCACCACGAAGGAAGACAGAACCGAGGGAAAATACACTTAATAAGAAGAGGAGCAGTGTTGGAGATGGTGCAGGCTTCGCAATGCATGCACCGAGACCCAAGCCGATCGGGTAAGGGAGGAAGATTGCGTTGTATCCGGCGGGGCTGTCTAACCGCCAGAGTCTTGCATATGGGGCCCAAGACGCTGGAATGATACTGAAAATGCTCTTCACGGATGGCTTATAATTGGAATGACTGAGAGGAGCCAAGTCCACAACCGTGGCATGGTTCTTTTCTAATTGCGCCATTGTGATGTGAGAATGAGACTTGCTCAAGAAAGTCTATGGTTTAATAGAAATCTACTCTCAACCTCTATGCCATGGTCTTATATTTGGTATCACGGGCCTTGGCGCGCGGATGACAGCCATCCGCTGACGGATCCCACCCCGCACTCGGCACCAAGGCCAGACAACGCCATACAAAGTCTGGAGTCAAATTGAAGGGGTGGTCCGGGTTGAAGATCCATGGGCAGTGTTTGGGGAATTCATCGCGTAATTTCGACTCTACATTAGCGCATTTATCCCTCGTTGAAACACTTACTTACCCCTTTTGCAACACAAAATTCGATCAAATCAACAGGCCTTTTTTAAGTAAGCTATTTAGCTTTAAGTATCTTTGGTGGGACCTCACTGGTACTAGTATTCTGGCTACATACGAAGATGTATAAGGGAAGTACAGTTAGGGTGGGACGCGGAGAGAGAGAGGTAGGATGGTACAGGGAGAGAGAGGTAGGATGGTACAGGGAGAGAGAGGTAGGATGGTAAGGGAGAGAGAGGGCGTTGTTCAAAGCCGCACATGGCTCTAGAGTACCTCAGGTGTACTTCACCATGATCTCAGGCCACCAATTCCACAGCTTTACATATTATCTAGTATGCTCTCATGCTTTCTTCGGCGAGCTTTTATGACGTAATACAACATCTCATGTGGTGTGTACTGACTTATCCCGTCTGCCTTGCAGCCGACCTTCCTCTTTTGATTTTACCCCCTAAACAGCGTTTTCGGCTTGGCACCGTTTTAGCACCAACCCTCACTACGCGAAAGTTTAGGAAAGAAGTAATAATAAAATATATCGTACATGTGAAGAAGAAATATCATACCTTGTAGTTAGTAATTGCGGTATATTCTCTAACCTCTGGGCAATCTCTGTAATAATCCTCTGCTAAGATGTAGATACCGGGAAGTCCTTATACGAATATTCAAAGTCGGCCCTAGCAATCTACAAACCTGGTCTCGTCGGATACTTGGATTCAAACTGGGCATATTGTGTCTCTGATGATTGAATTCTGTCTCTTCTGGTCTCTCCATATCAGTGTGTTGACTGTTTAGTAGCTTGCCCCCGAACATGACGCTGTTTAAAAGGGGACACGGAGGCTTTCTCAAAGTTTTTAGATCAAAGTAACAGCTTGAAACCATTCTCATAGATCACCGTATACCTGTCAGGGTACGGCTAGGCCGAAGGCAATAGTACAGAGTGATGGGGAGTAACGGGCGTTCCTCCTACGTAGCACCGGGTGGTCACTTGCGGTCACTGGCGGTCTCAGGTAGGGGTGCCCACGATGATGCATTGATCTCTACTCTCCCTCTATCTTCTTCCCGGGCCTCCGCCCCTTACATAGATAGCTAGAACCCGACGTCGGAGCCGCGGAGCACTAGTTTCTCCAATTGTTCCGCAAACCAAGACTTCCATATCGTGTCATGACTCGCACATCCCTACACCAGAGCCCCACCGGTGCCCCACCGGTGCCTATGGCATTCTGTTCTCTGACAATACCTTGGTTCATGGTTCGTTCACTGTCTTGGCTGCGGGTTGTAGAGGCACCTAATATCTACCAACCTCGTGTTGCTGGAATCCCATGATGAGGATACGCATAGAGCATAGACCGAAGCTCTTGTCTCTACCATCCTACAACGGTGATACGTATACAGTATAGCTCAGCCAAATATATATATAACGGGCGATCCATGTCTCTGAATCAAAGAAATTCTGCTCTAAGGGCCAAACCGAAGATGGTACACACTCTATACCGAATGCAAAACGTTTCATGTAGCCCAGTCCACTACGCACAGTTCAGCTCACATGTTGCTCAGCTGAGAGTACGTACGTACGATCTGGGTAACATATCCACCATTTTGGGACATGTCGCCACCAGAGCCCGCGTGTTGAAAATGGCATTGCGCTGCCTGCCGCATAAACAAATCATAGGTCGTGTTATTCAGCCTTTCTGAAATCAATCTTCTCCCTTTCGCCTCAACGCTTCAAACTTTTATGGACCGCCCGATGCCGATATGTTTTTGTGGAAAGATGAGAACCGCCCCCAAGTCCACCACCCAGCGCCGGCCCCGTAAGTGCCCAACGTGCTGCTGCTCGGATATCGGTGGGAAATCTCACCTCATTGCCCACAATGATGCTACGTGGCCCAAGCAATGCCATCTACCTCGTCAAGGTACTCCTCATAAAAGTGATCGTCCTGATCGCCTCGCTCCGGGCTCACAACATCCCCAGCCTGGCCGCCGCCAAACAACGTCTCAAAGTCGGCGTAGACGTCATCCATATCATCGTCGCTCATATCGGCATAGCGTCCGTCAAAGGCCTCGCCGTCATCATCGGCCATGGCCATTGGCGTCATGATAGATGCTGTGGGAGCCAAAATTGGGCTGCGCAGAGGCGAAAGCCTGGGAGCGCGCGGCGGGCGCATAGTCGACGCATCTTCGCTGATGACGGACAAGGGGGCAGGGGACGGCGGGAGCCGGGTTGCGGTCATCGATGGGCTTGGTATGATGGGCGGCGTTCCGGGATATTGCAGACTTCTTTCAGCTTCGCCGGGTCCTTGTGTTTGGCGGGTGTGCGGCCTCCATGCTGGAAGCACACTGACTTCCTCCCAGGCGCCCGGTCTTCCAGGGAACATGGCCCCCGTGCCGGAGATCCCCGTCACCAGCTGCACACCATGGTCCCGGATCCCTGTGCCCGCGAGCCTCCAGATGCGCTCGTGTCCCCTATTCACAGCTGCCTGCCGCACGTTCAACCTCATTCGGTTCAATATAGCCGCCTTGCGGACGAGGGCTGTCTGGTGCCCGGCCCTTTTCGCACCCATGGCGGCGTACTTGAGGAAACGCGAGAGCACGGGCGTGTCTTCGCCAGACTCCCGATTCAGGATGTGCGTGGCCGGGAGCGAGTAGGGCTGCGAAAGCCGCGACGTGATGAGATCCAGCCGTATCCGCCGCTTCTTGCAGGCGAGATGTCCGGTGCCAGGGCCGTCTACGTCGTGGAGGGCCCGACGTCGCTTTGGTGGACGTTCCAGAAAAGGATTTGTCCAAGACTTAGCTCCGCAGCCGCACGACCTTGTGGAGGCTGAAGTCGAGGCGTACGAAGGTAGCGTCGTTGACTTGGTGATAGACTCACTGGCCCCATTTGTCTTGGATCCGTCATTTGGGCGGAGAAGTCCGCTGGACTCTGACGGCGCATTAGGTGACGTACAATTTTGTGGTGGTGAGGATTGGGCCTTATGTCTGGGTGAGACCGGCGCTGATTTCGATGCCGGCTTAGGCAGCGGACCAACTGCACTATTCACTTGGGCTTCGGGGTCATGCTTGGGTACCTGGAGGACAAGAGCCTGGTCCAGTGGCGAGTTGGGAGCCGACGCGCTCACTCGAACGAGGCAGCCCCATCTACCCACAGTCGTCCCTCTCTCAACCGGCTGTCGACAATGATGGGGCCATGGCCCAAAGGGCGCTGAGCAGGGCAACTGTGAATCGACTTCGAGTACCATAGTACGTGTTCGAGAGATTGGGATTGTTCCCTTGTGCGGGAAGGGTGGCAAACTGCCCCTATCAATCCGCTTGACCCGGCCAAGAGGCTGGTGCCTTAAACCCTCTCTAGTGCTATGAGGGCCAGAATGCCCCTGGAGGGTGGAGAGTTCGAGGCAAGAAACGTTGTTCAAGTTGGAAAATGATTCATGGTCGCTTCGTTGTCCTCCACGACACCATGTAGAACAATATGGTACTTGGCATGTGCCCTTTATCGAATCAAAAGATTTCAGCATCAACTGCCGGGTTGCGGTCAAGGCCTGCAATGTCGAGTTCACATATGAAGGGGATCCTCTATAGACAAACTGAAAGAGAGGTGCCGCGCTGCTACGGTCAGAGCTCCGGGCCGTTGGAACGGGCGCGTAGTGGACGTGGCAAGAGCGGCCACAGGTTTCGGATCCGACACCAGGAAGGATGGCTCCGAATACTGGGTACGTGAGAGGGGATGCGGGTTTGGGAAACAGAACTGCTTGAGAGCGGCGTGCAGTTGAAGGGTGGCGGCAAGAGGAAATGGGTCATTCAAAAAGCCCGCGTTACCTTGGAGCTTGATGCAAGCGGCACGAGACGCAACTGCCGGTTTGGGAATGCTTGGGTAGCAACTAGAGCGAGATGCCGAGGTGAGAGGAGCCCGGTGCTCATCGGTGGTCGAAGTGACAATTAAGGGTCACAAGACGGGCTAACAGGTGATATCCACTACGTAAAGGATGAGGCTTGGGGGGGTCGGAACGGAAACCCGACATCGATGCTGTGGCAGCCGCTCGTACATCAGGCAAAGAAAGTAACCAGGGAAAGCGAGTACGACCAATGCAACTAGGTGAAGAGAAAGGTGTTGGTGCGTTTGTCTGTGTGAAGTGGCAGGCAACTAACTGATGACTAGCTGACGCAGGGCAGCACACATTGCGGAGAACCTGGTCAACAGTCTAGATTTCCACATTGTCTCGAGGTGGTGTACTCCCAAAAGGGTGCTAGGTTGTTTTTTTGTCTCCGAAGACCGGGGTAGCACAATAGCGTCGAGCATCCGGCATGCCGACTCGTCAGTCAGTCCCTGGGAGCTGGAGGCAAAAGAGACCGAACACGAGTAATAAATATCGACCGCTATCACTCATCGACGTTGCTTGCTTCGGTCTGTTGTAAGTAGTCTTATATCGCACAGAGATCAATCGATGTGAGAAGCTACACGATTGGTAGGGCGGATTCCAAAGCGTAACAGGGCAAGCTTCACATTTGCGTGTGTCGCTCACATCGTGCAGTTTCTGCGAGAGAGATGACGATCCCTGAGCTAATGAGGCCTCGTATGGGAATCGGCGGGGCGGAAGTTGGCCGACAGCCCAGACTGACCTGGTCAGATACCCGGCGTTCCAGAAACTGGATGGCCCGGCCTTCAGGGCATCTCTCGAGTTCTCCACACCCCCATCGTCTCATTGCATATACTCGGTACTGTGTATCAGCACAGAAACGCACGTTGACGAGCATAGACATTTGTCCCTGTGACCATGGAATCCTCCTTCCCACGTACAAGCCGTGCTAAGCATGTTCGCCAACGCTGGCATGCTCTATGCCCAGAGGAATCTGAAGTTGTCCGATTGATCTGAAGTGTGCAACACATGGAGATATTGATTCGAAACGTGTCTGGGATCACGAGGAATTGGCGGCGTAGATGCAGAAACGCACCACCCCATGTCTTACAATGGCACCAATATTTTGTTTCAGGCTGCTGCACTGTTGACGTAGACGTTAAGCATCGGGCTTACACCTCAGAAGATGTCTAGGTGATCAAAGATGCGAGCTCGCGCAATGGATTGACGGCGATGATCTTCGCGAGGAGTAGTGGGCTGGAAGCTTACTGTGCTCGCCATGTGTATTAATCTGAGATTTGGCCGGTGCCTTGATAGTGGAAAAAAAGCAGCACAGTACAGGTAAGCACGCCGCCAAGCCTCCAATTCGCGCGAATGGACCTGGTTAAATCGGGCCACTTGTTAGGCGTCGGTCGATGCGTGATGAGGAGAGAAGAAAAGTTGGCAAAAGAAGGAAGAAAAACCAACCACTTCCGCCCGATCGAGTGAGGGATCGCACATTGCGCGTTCGATACCTCGAAGAGAACTCACGATGGTACCTCTGCTGCCGCGAGCACTTTCAGTAGCAGTCCATCATCCCAACTCAACGTTCCATAACGCCTCCTCGGGCCGTTTCGTCTTTACACGCAAGTACCAATGGCTAGAGACCTACAAGCCAATCGAGCCCTCCATCAACGGCTGATTGTTTACAGATAAGTACATGGCTTGTTGCTTCACTATCGCAACATGGCAGATGCCAGTCTGTCATGAAATTCGGCCCAATAGAACCCCATGCTTGCAACCCCGGTGCTGCTTCTCTAGTAGCATTTTTACGATGTCATGCACGTTCCAAGGTCCGCATGCATGCTGAGGTTTCATTATAAAGAGTGGCTGATTGATGGTGAGAGCGCGCTGCTAGCATGACCATGAGAAGTGGCTACGAACCCGATCGGAATCAACTATAGAGCCGTCATGTTATTGCATCCGGCAATATTCAGTGAGTACACTGTACGGCCAAGCATGTCGTATCTTGCAAGCTCTTTACTCGACTTTTCCAGCGGCTCGTCGTTAATTCCCAGCAACATTTTACCTGTTCTGCCGTGGCGTCGGCGATAGCGATGATAGCCGGCTTCGTCGCAGAGCTATTGCCTCTTTGGATACCAGTTTTACGAGCTGCCACATTCGGCCTCGTTAACGAAAGCTGAGAGGTACCCGTGATAAAAATGGCTCAGTGGTCGATGCCTCGGGCAGACGATATTTACATGAGACTGCCCGGTGTAGATGATAGAAGTCGTCGAAACCCGAGGTTACTACGCATCCTCGAGCCTGGGGACCCCTTCTCGAAGACATCCCAAGAAGCCTCGCCTCCGAGCTCTCCTGTTATCTTCCATCGTTCTTCCCGGGGTGGGAATTCCGGGATGCCGGAAGTTGATTTCGTTCAGCTCTCGCCTTGTTTGTTGCTTTACGCTTGTACCTAGGTCATCTATTATCTGGGTTTTGTTTCGAAACTCAACTGCATCCGCCGCTTCCGTGGCGTACACTAGCTTGATCTCACACAGTTCCAGGTCTCTGGGGGTTATGAGCTGTCATTCGTAGATATATTGCTAGTGAGATGAGATGCGCAAGCTCCCGCTTCCTGTCGGACAATCATCTGGTTTTTGCCATTGAGTCTTGGCTCCTAGCGTGCCCACTTCGCCGCAGGTTGGCAAGGTTGCAACCGTTTCCAACAGTCCGGCGCACCGCACTCTACCAATCCTATCCAGTCAAGTTCGAGCTATGGGACTCCCTCGAACTCTTGCCCTACACATGTTCTAATTCACTGTCGGTGGTTGACCTATCTGGCTTGCGCAACTTCCAGTCGTATGGATGCCTAGTACATACGCTGTGAAAGCGCGGTGATACCCCTGCTTAAAGGTGTAATATTCCCTCAAGGTCCGAAACCCACATGCGTGCTCGTCTTACATAAGCAGCCTGGACTTCTGGAGATTTCTAAGGAGAGGGGAGCTCCTGGCTATAGATCAGATCCTAATTCGTGGACTATCTCAACATTGCTTATTTCAACCACTTAGGAACACGATTAGCTTTCTGTTTCCACCTCAATCCCTCAATTCCCCGTATATGGTATGATCTAATCGTCCCGGCCTCGACGGTAAGCATTTGCTATTCCCGGCATCGGACCTAGGCTCCATGATGCCCCGTCGTCTTTGAACTCCACCCGCTACATTTAACTCCACTATATTTATCAGATCTTCCCAAGCTGCTGCGCTTGCTGATCTCTCTTGGGCGAATACCGATTCTGAAACTACTCATTACATGTACTAGAACTGAACTCTTGAGATCATCATGGCCAACAAGTATACCATCAACTCAAAGTTCAAGCTGAACAGCGGGTATGAGATGCCCCGTCTGGGCTTCGGAGTAAGCAAGCCAAACCCAATCCTGCTTTCTGTTTCGTGCATAGCTAATAGTTTTCATAGGTCTACCTAACGTGAGTGATCTAGCTCGAACCACATTCAAAACAAGAGCCCACAGCGTCTTTCCCAACGTGTTACTAACAAATAAAACTCAGTCCCCCCGAGGAAACCGAAAAGGCATGCCTCTCGGCCCTCTCTGCAGGCTACCGCCATATCGACTGCGCCGTACTATATCAGAACGAATCCGGCTCGGGCGCTGGAATACGCAACAGCAACCTGCCCCGCTCCGACATCTTCTACACGTCCAAGATCCCCCCTGAGCATATGACGTACGATCAAGCCAAGGCGCAAGTCGATGCCTCCCTCAAAGAAGCAGGACTTGACTACATCGACCTCATGCTGATCCACTGCCCCAACGGCGGCTCCGCCAACCGCAAGGGGGTATGGAAAGCGCTCGTCGAGGCCGTCGAGGAGGGCAAAATTAGGAGTATTGGGGTTAGCAACTACGGCATGCACCACCTCGAGGAGCTGGAGAATCACATTTCCGAGCTGGAAGCGGAGCGCGGTGGAAAGGGGAAGGGCGGTGTGGTATCGGTCGGACAGTGGGAGCTTCATCCCTGGTGTGCGCGGGACGACGTGGTGGCGTGGTGCAAGAAGAGGAATATCGTGGTGCAGGCGTACTGTCCCATCGTGAGGGGCCAAAGGTCCGGGGATAAAACGCTGGTTAAGCTGGCGGAGAAGCATGGGAAGACGCCGGCACAGGTGTTGATCAGGTGGAGTCTGCAAAAGGGGTATGTGCCGTTGCCTAAGAGCGTGACGCCGAGCAGAATTGAGGAGAATGCGGATGTGTATGATTTTGAGCTTACGGACGCGGAGGTGGAGGAATTGAAGAGTAACGACTATGCGCCGGTTGCTTGGGATCCGGCCAAGTGGGGCTTGGAGGAATAGGCTGAGTGAATAAGGGATAGGGGTGACGACAATATGGTAGTCCAAGGGAACCATGAAGCTGGATAAATGGATACGATCCGCGCAGAATAAGTACTTGTGTTTCGCGTTGACAATAGATCATTCGTCCCACCCACACCAAGTCCGACTTTTGCTGAACCTATTACGACTTCATCCCATTGCATCCAAGTGAAATTTGCCATTGAATTAAGACTTAAGCAGTGCTTTCAGTCCAACCAAAACGCCCATCAGACCTAGCACATGCATCAAGTTGTGGCTCTGACCGGGACTCAAACTTCCGCGGGAACCAGCGCTCTAGTATCCTGGTTGCATAAAGCGCAGCTCCCGAGAAGTTGATAGCTTCCAGTCTTAGGAACGACTGAAACCCCATCATCCGGCCGAGATCTTCAAGGCCAAAGAAGAAAAATCCGTGCACTACTGGTGCAAAGAGATGCGCGCCGAGGAAGACATACATCACGGACCGAATCAGGCGGTACTTGGGTTGTCTGCACTTGGGGCGAAGTGTGAAGATGCCGAGGGCGAGGCCATCTTGAAAGGGGATTTCGGATAGAATCTTCTTCAAGTGAAATTACTGCGTGAAGTTCACCACGAAACAAAGGGCGCCGAGGAGGTAGGTCCATATGTTTGATAGGAAAGAATAAATATTAAATACGCCGTAGGTGTTAACCCTCGGTACCTCTACAAGTACTCCCTTAAGGGGCTATAGATGATATAGCGGGCCCTTAAGCCGCGTCGGGCGGTTATACAGGTAAACTTGTAGCCAAACGACTACTAAACCTCCTGTCCCTCCCTAAGTCTGTGCTACAACCCCTGCCTGAACTACCGATAAGCGTGGTAATGTGGCACTTAAATTCGTCCTCAGGGGTGGGATGCTGCTGATGTGCAGAAGATGCTCGACTATTTTTTTTGTCGCGACAAGTCGTAGTATCTGCTAATTGGGGTTCTCGTCGAGCGTATACATCTCAACCATACGCTCAAGTGGATAGACCGTAACGTGGTCTAGACGCTCGCAAGAATCGCGGCGAGGGGGCGTGCTGCGCGCCTTCTATCGTGAGGGGACGGGTTCGCCGACGAGCGTTATCGGATAGGCGAGGTCCGATAAGGGGTCGGATTAACGATTCGAATTCTGGACCGGCTGTCGAGTTATATTCCGCCGACGTAGTGCTTGACGGTCGACTGGCTAGGATGCTCGTAATCCTAAACTGCACCAATCTCCCTATTATCGCTAGGTAGGCGAAGTCAACAAGGTGGGCAGCGCGCCGTAAGGGTTGACTAAACCCCCTTGTGTGTCAGCTGCGGGATTCGAACCCGCGACTCGTCACCAACCCAAGTGGGCGAGGCTCAAATCGGGACTTATCTACCAGCGAAGTGACCAACTACACCAGCCGACTGATAGGAAAGAAAGTCATCAATCAAGAACCAGAATTTGTATACAGAGTGGGCCAGGCCCATACCAGTTTCATTACGCCTGTCCAAAATGCTCTGCAATGACTTGAAGTATGAAAATGAAGCTGAACTAGTACGAAATTAGTGTGTACATCTCGGACTGATGACCATCAATTGTCACCGATATGCTGTGAGAATGAACTCATTTTCCCTTTATCCGTCAGTGCATGCTGGTTTCGCTACAGATGAAAGACAGATATTTGTGACATTGGTGGCCTGAGGTCATGGCGAGATACACGTAAGATTCTTTCGTGCCCGTGTGCAGCTCGGACCGTTCCCCCAGGGCAACCTGTACTTCCCTTCTTCACGTTTGTGATCCCACAGTATTACTATTATTACTATTATTATCGAAGACAGACATCAATTAATGTCATAGGTGGTTCGTGCGTATCACCACCACTACTAATCTCCTTGGGTTCAGCCCACCAGCACTAGCCTAGATTACCTAATTACATCATCCTGCTTCTATCTCTCTGTGTACCACAACGATTCACTATAACCTCAAGTATAGCAATAAATATAGAAATTAGCGTAATAGAATGACATTTTAAAGGCGTTAACTCAAGCCCTTTGTGTTTATGTGAGGTATTAGTCTGAAGTTAGAGCAGCAGATATAGATTGTGCCAGAGACATATATTAGTGTAAGGGAGTTGACAACTAAGGCATACCAAACATCCCAGTGGACGAATACTCTTTCCCCACTGCAGACTTTCTCAAGAAGCAGAATTCAACAAAACTTATTTTGTTCAACCCATATCCAAACGACGCGTGTGCATATGGGGGTCAAGTTGAATGTGTTGGGAAAGCTTGGTTAGCTAGCTAGCTGGCTGCGAGGGCCCTTTTGGGCTGGCTGACACCCTTGCAGCCCTATTTTATCGTCTTGCATATTTCTACTCTACCGGGTAGCGTGACCCCCTATGGGCTCACGTATTACCAGAAGATACATAACCGCTGTCATTCATCTAATCCTGTCTCAGCACAGAAAATGGAGGTTGGCTTCCTGTATTTAAACACACCCTGGACCTCTCCAGCGAGAGAATTCACTTCAGTTCTGCCATGACCTTCATCAGCTCCTCCGCCACCTGTTGAATATGACTTCTTACATCCTCAGGACACCGCGTAAATCTGTCCGGGTGCCAAACGCGTTTCTGTTCACATAAGAACCTCTCCTTCCAGTCCTCTGACTTGTGGATCTTGACATACGCATTAAGGAGCTTCTGCATGCCGTGCCTGCAAAAAGAGACACGTAAAGCTCCCATTGTATCCTTGCACACTGGGTCGTTGCAAGCAATGGCTTTTGGCTGGGGTATGGTGCGGATGTGATCTCGTTGACACATCGCAAGCTCTGTCTTGAGCATCCATAATTTAAAATCGTCTGCATCCGTAATCATTTCAGCCTTGCGTGCTTTTTCCTCGGCATCTTGTCTCTCCAGTTTCTTCTTGGCTTCCATCTCCTCTCGAACCTTCTTCTGGGTCTCCAGTCTCTTCTTGGCTTCCATCTGCTCTCGAACCTTCTTCTGGGCCTCCAGTCTCTTCTTGGCTTCCATCTCCTCTCGAACCTTTCTGGCTTGCTCCTCTTCTTCCTCCATGACATTTTGTACCGCTTCTCCGGTGTTTGTGACTTGGTAGTGACTTTCAGTGTGTCCTAAACCAGCGTTAGCCAGAGACTCTAACCGCCGTAGCAAAGGTGATCCACATACGAAATGTTGTAGCTCCATAACTGGGCGTCCATTCCCACCGGGTCTGGTCACTGCTCCTTCGCCTGGCCTTGTGTTTCTCGGAGAGTTTGGTAACCGCTAGAGTAGCCACCAAAGCTACAGTGCTGGCAACAAGTAGAAATGTAATCCCAATCGCTCCCCACATTAAGACGTTGAGTATAAAGGCACCTGCTCTAGAGAGAAACGGGCCCAGGCCTGATGCCTCCCATAGCCACCGAATAACCCGCCCAGGCGCGGCAAGTGACCAGTTCCAAGCCGTTTGAAGTGTACAGAATACGTGATGGAGAAGTTGCGAGAAAAAGGTGCCCATGGTCCGACCAATGCCAGTGGAGAAATCAGCGATGGCCTGGCCAGCGCCAGAAATAGATGTGACAGTTGAAAGCATCGTCGATTGGGTGTTGCTGTACTTTGGTGGTGAGACGTTAGGGTAATGCTACTTGCATCACCGAGAGAACAAACCGCGTAGATTACATTCCACGATGTTGGGAACGTTACGGTAGCGGCGACGTGGTAGTCTTCTATTTTGTAATGCGATGGGGCCACAAAGGGCTGATGCCTTTGTGTCAACTTATGGCTGAGCCATTTGGTAGCCTGTACATGTGGGGTTGAGCGCCACAGTTGCTAGTGCAGCTACTGGGTCAGACCCTTCGTTCCTTCCTTAGTAAGAGCAAGAGCACCTTACAGAGCCTCTCAAGACCAGACTACGTAGCACAACGCGTAGAGCAGGCAGGGCGATCAACACGATATCCATATCCACCCACAGTCAACAACAAAGGGCCGTTTCCCTCCGTAATCTTAGTTTCTCCAGCGGATGGATCCCTTCAGAATTATATTTTCATGCCTCCATCCTCTCTCCATCCTTGAAGATGGAGAAGTTGCGCTGGTAAGGCTATCTGAAGGTAGGCTGCTGCCAATCAGGTTCCACGAGGCGTCAAAAACAGATTCTAGGCAAAAAGAAAAGAACCTGTGGTCTCTCGGTCTGGGATCCGAACTTGGGTCGTCAGATAGACACTCAAGCATGTGGCTGCTTCCCAACAACGATTATTGCCGTTTATGGATATCCAGAGTCATTGTTGTGATGTTTGAGATAGGCGACGACATGCTAAGTAAATGCTCCTTTCTTCTTTGACTGCCTGATAGTCCCTCAACTCGGGTAGATTGTCCATACGCAGCCGTCAACAAACTAGGTACCCGACACGATGCAGATTACGAAAGTGAGGAAGGAATACTGTTTGGCTTTTCTCCGATTTTAATTGTTCTTTGAAACTTTCTCTGGCTGCGATTCACAAGATACTCCAGCATTTACTTAAGTAAGCATTGGACAACAGGAATGGAGTAAAACAGAGCTCGTCATGCCGGTGCAAGTCAAGCTCGCGCACGCGCAGACAGTGGCCGCTCTATGCAGGCTGTCCGCAGAGACCGAATGGGCAGCATCGTCGAGCAGGTAGTTCAGGCACGCCATGCCGGGATGGCCGGTGATAGCAACTCGGGAATCCAAGAGAGTATGTTCGGAGAAAGGGAGAATGCGAGGTTTCCTCGCGAATATCTCTATGTCGGCATGGTTTGGGGAGCCAGAGACGATTATGAGGGTCTTCGGAGCTTGGATGGCGGTTGTAGTTCGTCGCTTTGGAATCTGCGAGGCCCATTGTGCAACTATAGTGGCATCCTTTTCATGGTGCAATCCTGCTTCGGTCCACCAATCTGTCAATGATTCAAGGAATGGCTGAAGGTCATGGTCGGTCCAAGACTTGGGCAGCACATCGTGAGATATGCGGTTGCCGCTTTGCACGATGCCCGTGTATGTCGGTGGGTCGCGGCACACCTGATGAAATTTCCTCCAGACTCGGGATAAAGCGATGGCATTTTCGCACGGTCCGAGTATCACGATGCGCTGGAGCATCTCGTAGGGAAATGAGACCAGGTGGTACAACTCTTTCTGCACTGCGGCGGATATATTGTCTTGATTGCTTACTTACATAGATTTCTAGCGTGCGATGGTTGTTGGGTGCCGAATCGATGCCTTGAGACAGCTAATAAACAACGGAGGAATGGACTCCTGGGCTGCAGCCTAAATTGTCTTGACATCGTGAGAAATAGGGCCTGGTCACTCAGATTTCTCGAACTTAGTATGTGTATTACTAAAGCCGCCAGTTAGCAAGAGCAAAGGCAAACTTGATTTCTTTTGTGTCTTTTCTCTTGCTCAAGAAAATAAATAAACAGGTTCCATTGCAAGACAAACACTAGGTACTTCGGTTACAATACCCATGAGCTAGGGATCTGGGACTGACACAGTGACAATACTTTTTCTGCCAAGACAAGATATACATAATTTCCAATGTCGCCGAATTCCCATGGTTATCGCCCACACTGTCTTGCACAATCCGACCGTATCTCTCACGCACGTCCCTTTTTTCTTTCCATTGGTAGGCATGTCGAGTTCACATGAATACCAAGTTGGAAGGGTCCCCAGAAAAGAATGGCAACCTGGGTCAATACTCCCATCCGGCCAGAGCACTTCTTCACCAATGCACCAAACTGTCGCACCAGGCGGGAGGCAATCGCCTGCTGCCTTGTGACCCAACCGTTTGCCAAGCCCCAATCCCAGGCCGAAGATGATGATGAAGAGTTACACCGCATATTGTGGACCAAAAGATCTTGAATGAAAGTGGATCACTGACGCTTCGGTCCAAGTAACCACTGCATACAGGACTCTGTGGCTATGTCATCGCCGGCACTGTGACACAAACAGTCTGCAAGTCGGTCTGCACCGGCGAGTCCAGCCTCGAAAGCAGTGGATATTTCCCGTCATGTCCGAAGTGAATTAGCTATATACAGGACGAGATCCCTAGATATTTCATAGACAGATAGTCTCTATTTCAGTAATCATCTAAGTCTTGATCTAACCTATTGATAAGGCACACTGTCTTAATGACTCTGATCCTGCTTAACTATTGTTTATTAGTTATTTCTTGATGCGAGTGCATATGGGGTATGAATTGTTGTATTGGGAAAGGTTCGCCAGGTCATTTATTCTGGCCTGGTGTTACGAACCACGTTCCTAACCAACACAGAATAGGCCCGTTGGCAGGCCTTAGGTGGATACCTGCAGGAAAGGACCAGAAACCAGGATAGAAGCTAGGAACGGAGAAAGGATGGACCGACTAGGAGGTCACGTGACGGAACACTGGATCAGTCAGTGAGCCAGTAAGCCACCCCAGCAGGATCACAACGGATAAGAGTGATCCAACGAGATCAGTGAAGGAGAGATGGATATATAAGGGACAGGACTCCCAGGCATTTCATAGATAGACAGTCTCCACTTCAGTGATCAATCTAAGCATCAATCTAACCCATTGGTGAGGCAAACTGCCTTAACGACTCTATTCCCGATTACCCTACTTGAATACTTCAGTTACTCAAAGCACTCTACTCCATACGTCAAACCCCGATATTATTGCTTGAGGACTCCGCAGCAGGACTTACTTACTAGCACCAACCCTTACAGACTCTTTAGTGGTTTACGCAGCTAGACTATTAGAGGTTTCGTTACACCTGGCAGAGCTCTTTTATAGCTCTTATGTATCTTATCTATGGCTACAGGGTGTCAGGGTACGGCTAGGCCGAAGGCAATAGTATAGAGTGATGGGGAGTAACGGGCGTCCCTCCTACGTACCACCGGGTGGTCACTGGCGGTCTCAGGTAGGGGTGCCCACGATGATGCATTGATCTCTACTCTCTCTATCTTCTTCCCGGGCCTCCGCCCCTTACATAGATAGCTAGAACCCGGCGTCGGAGCCGCGGAGCACTAGTTTCTCCGATTGTTCCGCAAACCAAGACTTCCATATCGTGTCCTGACTCGCACGTCCCTACACCAGAGCCCCACCGGTGTCCCACCGGTGCCTATGGCATTCTGTTCTCTGACACAGGGTGACCCCCCTTGAGGTCACGTATCATTTCTATACGCACCTTTACATTAATTAAGAACCCGACAGTAGGACTTACTTGCGACCATGATGTCTTACAGCAGCTAGACTAGTAAAGGTTTTGTTACACGGGACTGAGATCTTAGCTTATATCATAGTACTCTTTTCTATAGTTATAATAAGATTGGCTAAGTGTAAGGAAAGAGCCGTTGTGGCGGGCCGGTCTCAGCTGACAAGCTGAGTCGGGAGGGATTCGCCTCCGATCCGGTAGAACCCCGGAACCGCCCAGCTTAAGAGGAGAGCTCGAGACACTCGCACCTAGTTTAGATTCTTCAAGAATCAGTCTTGCAATATACGCACCCATACACTGGCCTACTTCTAGCTACCCTTTGCACTACCTGACTATTATATTGTGAGACGTGTGGTATCCTCGTTACACTAAGTCCGTAGTATTAGTGAAACTAGCAATAGTATAAAAAGAGAAGATGTCGGAGTAGTTTAGGTCTTTAGGCGTAAGCTATATAAGGTAGGTGCAACTAAAACTCTATATTCTAGCTGCTGAATACTTGGAGAATTGCTGTATGGGTTGACAATAGGTTGTTAGGAATAGAGTTGTTAAGGCAGTGCGTCTACTAATAAATTAAATTGATGCTTATATAGATAATTAAAGAGCGTTAGGAGGAATGGTAATACGTGACCCCAAGGATCACCCTGTAGCTATAGATAAGATTAGATAAGATAATCGGTTCAAGAGGGCCTTTGCTAGCCAGACAGCTAGCAACCCACACTTCCCAATACATATACTCTACATTACATATGCACTCGCATCATATGGGGCCAAAAGGTCTGTCTGTGTCAAGTGAGCAAAGGACGGAACACTTTCTCTGGCAAAGGGACTGAGTGATAAGATAAATGGCGCGGTGAAGGATGGAATAATCTTCAGGGCTGGAAAGAAGATGGGGGCATGAGGATCTGATTCTAAAGGTGGGAGCACTCCATGGGCTAATTAGGTGTGTAGCACAAAGGAAATACCCAGCCACTGCTGCCTGTCACAGGACAAAGCCTCAACGACCCCATTGTGGTTCAAGGTAATGATACAGGGATCGCCCGTGATTCCAGGGTAGTAGACTGACAACGCCGCCATTCAGCCTGATGTGCCATACGTCTCATCCGCTTACCTGACTTACTTTGTAAGACATTAAAAACATAATGTATCGTACCACCCTGGCGTGCAGATCACCCAAGGAGGCATTCGAATGGGACATGATCTGATTGTCCACTCTGGGACTATCCAATATGTGAATCAGAAGTGACGTGAAGCCCACCTGAGCACTCCAAAAAAAAAAGAAAAAAAAGGGCGACATGAGCCAAAGAGCCAAGCTGTGGCCAGAATCGTTGTGTCACGCATGATGAGAGGCACCTGTGTATGACATGTGTTCTAAAATTCTCGCCTTGATTATAGGTACCAAGAGATCCAGGTCTCCGGCCCAAAGTAAACCTAAAAACTAACACAACAGCATCTGAAGCTTACTAGCCATGTCGTTGCTCTCAATCTATACCCTCACTGACTTGGTCCATCTCTCGCAACCAGGCCCCTGTTCTCTCCCAGTTTCTGACCCGTGCCCCTATTCCTAGTCCTACATCCAGACCTGAACAATCGCGTCGAAAAAGCTACTTAGGCAAATGTAAACGGGAACAGAAACGCCGGTGGGGTATGGGATTGCTCATGTATATGAAACACAACGACTTTTGGGATGGAGGACAATGATCAAGAAGATTCACGCCTAAAATGCTCGACGAAGCTGCTGTCCGGCGAAAGACTTATTGGAGAGCATACCATGGGCCCTTCTGTGATGAAAAGTGGGGGCTTATTATCTTGTGGAAACCCTCCATGTCGCAATGGCGAGATTACATCGACAAGGTTCGCTTCTGAATCTTGGAGAAAAGACAGATGCAGCAACTGATTGGTCTTCCGACTCCGAAGGTTGGTCGAATGTTTGTCCATGGCCTTGTCGACAGTGCCCTAACGTGTCTTTTGGCCAGTGAAAATTTCGGGGAAATGTTCTTTGGCATATTGCTCACAAGCCTTGGGATACAAGTCAGTGCTGGATTCTTCCGGGCAACGTGCGAAAAAGAGAAACAAGACCAAAAAAGGAAAAGAAAAACCAATGATGATGACGTCGGATGGAAATGGATGGGTGTTGATAGAGAGTAAAACGAACCTTCGCCGGCTTGCCAACTTTTTGGCCAATCGTCTTCCACTTGTTGTTCTCATACTCCTTGATCGCATTAAGCAATGCTTGGCTCTGTACACCCCAGCTCGTCAGCATGGTTTCTGTGGTACGTACAAAGCTTCACTGGAAGAATCATGGTTGAAGCATTTTTGGCATGTCACGTACCTCATCCTCGGCAAACTCTGCATAATGCATATCCTAACTAGCAGTTAGCATCACGGCACTTTACGTCAACGCCATGGCATCTGTCAGGCATACCTTGTACCAGTGCTTCTTGACACTTCCCTCTGTTCTCGACGGGAAGGTCTTGGCAATCTCAGCCCAACTGTTGCCGGCATCTCGCATCTGCTTCAGTCTGAGCTCTTCAGCCGGCGTCCATGGGGTATTTGTTCGGCTCTTCTTTGCTGGCGGCGGCGCTGGGGTCGAATTAGCTTCTGCCGGCGGCGCGGGCTGAGAAACTGGGGCCGGGGGGGGTGGTGCAGCGATGGGAGTCGGAGTCGGCGCAGGGACAGGAGTCGTGGCGACTGGGGCCGAAGGCGGAGCCGTAACTACGGGCGCCTGCTGGACCGGGGCTACGGGGGCCGGCGCAGGTTGCTGGGGCTGTGGGACTTGTATCTGTTGCTGGACCTGCGGTGGTTGCGGTTGGTACCGAGGCACCTGCTGCTGAGCTTGTTGCGGTGTGTGGTGCTGCTGAACCTGTTGCTGCTGTTGTTGAGCCTGTTGCGCCTGTTGTGCTTGTTGCGCCTGCTGCTGCTGTTGTGCCTGTTGCGACGACGGATGGGCTCGCTTCCTGGATCGCGGCGCCGGCACAGATGCGGGGGCCGGAGTCGGAGTTGATTTCTGAGGCGGCGGCGCAGCGGGCTGCTGCTGGGGAATGGTCATCGTTGGCTGGACCGGCGTTGTGTGGTGCGCTTGTTGCTGCTGTTGATGGGCCTGCTGATGTTGCGCATGCTGAGGATGTTGGGGATGCTGCTGGACCTGGTACTGAGGCACCTGCTGGTGGGCCTGCTGCGCATGCTGTGCGTGCTGTTGATGTTGAGGATGTTGTTGCTGATGCGGGTGGTGTTGGGGTTGATGCTGCTGGTGCTGAGCATGTTGTTGGTGTTGCTGCTGCTGGGCAGCCGGGTTCGGTTGTTGAGGATATCCCGCGAAGTCATTACGACGAGACATGTCGTTCGGATACGTGTTCGGATGCGAGGCACTGTGTCAGTTGCCGGTGTTAGCCAACCCAGCTAGCGACCTGGTGTGTTGCGTAGGGTGACGGCGCCGGTAGCAGAATACAAAGGCAACATGACTGCACCGTCCACCAGGCCCTATGCTTCTATGCTCCTAGAGCAAGCAAACAAACCACCGACGACGAGGTTATCGCGGTTATCTAGAGTCGGGGTCCGGCACTAGGCCATGCAAACAACTCGAACCAGCGACGGCGAGGCCAGGGACATTGAGGACTCTATAGGACTTGAGACCTATCGCAAAGACCCGACGACTCATTGGGGAGCGGTGACGAAGTGGTCTGGATACATTGTTTGCGAGACCAAAGCAAGAGGTGGGAACACTTGTTTTTTTTGGGTGAAATATACATGAGGTACATATAATAGTCTTCTGCCTTGGCTTGCTTTGTGTACCCAAGTGTGAGAGTACGGAGGGCACTGGGGTGTTTGGGGATACCATGGCGATAGAGCGTCAGGTGGAGAGTGGAATAGGGCAGGGTGAGAAGACGTGGAAGTGACATGGGCAGGTACAAAGTGGATGGCGAGGTACTTACTGCATGTCGTTCGCATGTTGAGCGGAGTTGGAGTAGAGGTACTCCGGTACGGGGCCGACCTGCCACTGCTGCATGATCTGTGTCTAGTGTCAGCTGTTTTGCGCTTCTCCAGCTTCTAAACTGCAGCACGGCCCGGGACACAAGGACAGAGTTTTAAGGAAGTCAAAAGGTGAGACGAAGCCATCGAGTTGGAATAAAATCCCAAGGGAGACAGAATGTGATAGTGGACGGCCGAGGCGAAATGGACCAGGCTGTGTGCCAGTCACAATGTGGTGGGCCGCGTTGAAATAAAAACGGCATGGCGGTGTTGGTGTGCAAACCAGAATACGACGATGACGACGCTTGGCCCTGCCAATGTGGTGGAAAGGTGAGGGAAGAGAGAGAAGAATTCATGTGCATGGGCGGTTGGTGCAAGTGTGTTGTGATGTTGGTTGGTTGGACCTGATGCATTGCCACGCCCAAAGATAGCGTTGCAGGTTGTCGCCAAAGCCGACTGAAGAAGGTATTCGAGAGCAAGATGCGGGCGGGGTGTTCTTGACGACGCGCATATGCGTCCAACTCACGTACTTGACCTGACTTGCGACCCATAAGGATGTATCGCGCACCGAGGGTGCGGACGGGTTTGATGGAGTGCTTGTGTGTGTGTGTGCGTACGTGTGTGTGTGGTATGAAAGTGGATGTGACAATGACAGACAGAAGTTGAAGCTGAATCTTGCTGAAATGGAACTTACGGGCAATGTAGCGTGGACGCGGGTGGGATTAGTGTGCAGCTACCAGGAAGAAAAAAAAATCGCTGCTCGTCTTGTAGCTTCCACCAAAGATGCACGCCGCACAGAGGGAAGGCGCAATGCGGCGGCAGGCAGGACAGGGCCAGACGGGCGCGCAAAACTGACGGCGGCAGCGGCAACAGCAGCGACGAAAACGACAACGACGACGCGCCTACTCGCGATACGATGTCGTAGCAATGACAGCTGCGACGAGGCTAGATGAAACAAACGGTTAGACGAGGGCGCGTGACGAACGACGACATTGACGGGAGCCGCAGACGCGTTGAGAGGGTTTGAATGACAGTGGTGAGGATGATGATGATGTAGAGGGTACGAGAGGGGTTAGGGCGAGTTTGGTGACAAGTCATGTATTCATTGCCCCGGCTCGCTCAAGGTCAAGGGATTGATTTGCAGTCGAATGTAGCGAGGCGGGGCTTGGATCTGTTTGTTTCGCGACAACGCTCGAGCAAGCGTCAAGTTGTACGAGGTACAGCCTTGGCCCGCCCCAGTGCGCACTGCCTGGGTGTCCTCACCACCACCACCACCAACTGCAGAGCCGTTGCCAGATAGTAAGATCAATCTATATTGACTCCAAACCTTGCAAACGTGGTTGAATGGATGAAATGTCAAAGTAGAGGTAAAAATCAAGCTTGATTCTGGTGATGCAGCGCAACTGAGTTCTGCAGCTGCCTCTTGTGGTTTTCGGGTCGTGGCGTCGCGTCTTGGGGGGCCTTCGTGTTGTTTGGGGGGAAAGAGGGGGGGGGGCCCTTCCGTAACGATACGAAGTACGTACCGGCAAATAACTTTTGGCAAGACCAAAAAATATCTGTCAACTCGCAAGTTTGCGACCAGGCAGGATGCCCGCCCTGATGTACAGAGGTGTCAAAACCACTATTCAAATGGTGCGGTTGTCAAGTCGAATGTGCGACGGACCCGGTAGACCAGGACTCGGGATCTTGTCGATGGCCCTTGGGTGTACTTTCGATGAAAGTATCTCGGCCTGTCGATGTTTTGGACTGGTCCCAGGATTTCGGGGGTGGGTTCGCGACGAGGTGGAAAAGGTGAAGAATCGAGGGTAGGGGGGGTGGACGACGAAGTACCTTTTGCAAGTCACCTCCCGTGCAGTGTTGCCTATTATTGAGGCGAGGTTGGAAAGGTGGGTTTGCTTGTTGATCTGTGAAATCCCTGGTCGGCTATTTGAGGGCTTGACAAAACAAGTAGATCACTAACAGGCGGGACCTGCGACCATTTCACGATGTTGGCGCACGGATAGGCGCAATCAACAGCGACGCCCGTTGCCAGCGAGATAGCTGCCCACCCCAATGGCGCGGGCGAGGCAGATGCGTAGGATGCTACGTACTCTTTTCTTCTTACAAATAACTTCTGGATCAAGGGCAGACCGAACCACCGCAACAGCATGACGGTATTGAGTCTTTACTGAGCGCAATGGTTGACGTCGCGCTGCTCAGTCCGATTGTTAGCTGGGGATCCACCTTCACCAATCAGACGCAGGCTGAAAGGCAACGGGTCGTGTCTTGGAGTAGCCCTGCAGGCGTTAGCGCGAAAACGTCAAGTCGATCCTGTTAAGGACTTTCTGAAGTGAAAAGTGAGACTTGAGGGCCAAAGTATCGAAATTTCGACCCACCCGAGATGAGGGGCAATCTGAATGTCCAATGTTGCTGTGGCTTGACCTTCGCTTCGTGGCTCGTTACGTTGCAGAGGTCAAGAACAGAAAGCCAGGCTGTAGGCGGAAAGAGCATTAAAAATATGAACATTGAGACTTGTTCTTGTCGTCTCTCCTTTTCCCGTGGAATCCACTAGAAACTTGAAGCCCTCCTGGTATAAAGGTGCGAGTGACCCGGTCGTGTTGGAAGTGTTCGAAAATCTAATATTTGAGGCGTTCGCCAAATGACATGGTCAGACCCGTAAGCTCATTTCATGGAATAATGAACGAACGATGGCAATTAAGATAATGATGACTTCTAAGTTTGATGTGTCTCGTAATATCTGACCAGGATGGTTCATGGTAGAGAGCTACCAAGACCAGTTGAGCAGCCAATAGTGGACAGACATCGAATATTTCTCAGTTTGCATCCGAACCCAAGATCCAAGATTAGCATGCGGTGAACTGTATACGTAAGACTATAAACTTCCTATAGAACCGACGAATCCCCGACCCGGAACTTCCCAGAGACTGAAGGGATGCAATTCCTTCCAACAGATGCTAGCATGAGGCTTGAAGTGCCAAGACCTCAATGGCGAAGGGGGTATCCGCTCAGCGCAGTCCGGGGAATAGAGGTACCGCTACTTTTCCCCGCAGTACTCTCAAGCTCACGATACCTGGGAGGTCGTTGCGCATGTACCTATATCGGCTGGGTACATCCTTTCCACAAGTTAAAACCGTATGCAATGCAGCCTCATCAACTACCGGTACCGGGACTTGCCATTGCAGCTTTGGGGACAATGTAAGGTAGTGTCGAGATCGACTTCAAATTGTTTGATGTAATATTTGCATTTGGAACCATCCGCGCAGCTAGAGTCTAGAATTCTTTTTAGTCATCTGCCGACTTGCATAAAACTTGCACCAACCTCCACGATCCCGCCAGGATTACACAGTTCCACAACCGTTGCGGTTATGATCACCAGCTTATCAACTGGCCGATAATGTGGCACGAGGCAACAAAAGCACTCACTCTCCAGTGTAAACATCTTCTTGCTCTACAGTCATGCCGCGTATCAAACGACCGGGGCCTTCTCAGCTCTTGACGGCTGATGGGTGCAATTTCTAGCAGGTTGAAACTGTCCCACCGACGCAGTAATACCTGGTTCCACGGACTGCACAGACGACGGCAATTGAGTTGCGCTCTGAGGCGGTACGCGATGGCCGTTATCAAGGCAATATGCGGTTGGCATGTTTGCTACCTCGCATCTGGTGTTCCAACAGCCCAGCCGTCCGTTATGAGGTCTTGGATGTCACCACATGAATCGACGCCCAACTCCCGCGTGAAGGTTCACGCAACTATCCATCCTTGAGATATCCCGCTGGAGGTGCTGTTCGAGTCGGTTTCGCTTCTGTACTGGCCTATGAACCTTGCGTGCATGATGCTCGCGACGCATACTCTGAATGTTCCGGCTGGCGGCGTAGAACCCATTACTGACTATTGAATCCAGGCATGAAGCGGCGTCGGCATGGTTTGCATTCGGATTTCGACTTGGTCCTGAGGCATTCCATGCCACCGTATCAATATGGAAGGTGCGGTTGGTTGAGGATCAAATTCAGTCATTTCGGCTGCATGTCGATGCGTGAGAAGTTTTGTGGAAGTATCGTCAGAGCATAGCCGCAATGTCCATCGCAGTATCCATGTTGTGCCTTCGCACGAAGCAGCACGGACAAGGAGAGCGCTGTCAGTACCCTTTGTATCATGGTTGCTGACGTTGATGCGGAAGCCTCTGTTGTGTCCGCTTCCTTCTTAGTTGCCCGCGGTATGTACCCTGTGGTTTGCATCTTCTCTTCACGTCGATGCATACAGCTGTTGCCTCAGATTGGCCAGGTAACCGATGTAAGTACGGCAGGAATCCGGGTAGCAGTGGATCCAACCCAGAGGATAGCCCGGCACAAACCAAATATTCCTCCCTGA